ATTATTTCAAGGTATGCTATCAGCTAAAATCTGTATCAAAAGGCCTTTAGATTTTCTGTTTCTGTATTTCCGTCTTATCTGGCTTTGGTTTCTTTTTGATTTCTTCAACCCTCATCCGCCAATTCGAGCCCAAATCATTCGCCTCAGAAGATTCGCAACTTCTACCATCAATTGTTTCAAATATCAAATTGCCTTCGCTCAATTTAGCCGCTATTGTCGCGGCTTTATCGTACCTGTCGCAGCTGTGCTCGATGCACAACTTTCTGTATTTTGTGATGATGAGCCTGATTCAAGTTTTTCATTGTCACTTCAATTCAAGTTTCATGCCGCTCTTTGTTGTAAGTATAATTTTCATTTTTCTAGGAGAAACGGATTCTTTTCAGTCATTGCTGCTCAAAGATCATTTTCCCTCATACTTCTGTCCCCTTTTGATGGGCCTCTCTTTTCTTTTACCGCATCTGAATAACTTTTACTTCCTACGTTTGTGTCAAAAGCAGGGAACGTATCATGTTATCCAAGGTAAGCACACTCTTTAGGGGAGAGCTACGACTCGCCGGGATTTCTGGCCGAGCTACGACTTGCCGGGATTAGATGTGCAGAATCCCGACGAGTCGTAGCTGATGTTTTAGAAACTCTAGATAACAGAACTCTACGGAAGTAAAAAAGTGAAAAATTCGCCGATTATTGTTTTTGTTCGATCGTTATTAATAGAATATTATCGAAACAAATATGATTGGCAGTTAAATATTTTTGAACCCCTAACCCTAACATTAAAATAGAAAAATCACACAAATACAAACTTACACGATGCTTCAACCAAATCTCACTGTCAAACAACTAAACACACAGTTAAAAACAAAATTTAACAATAAATAATGTCTTCTGTTATAAAGAAAAATATTTCAAGTAAACTTTCATCAGTTTTGCAAAGCTAAATTTGGTAAAACTTTTATCCTAACCTTTATTTTAGAATGATTGAGGGTATTTATATCAGAATTTCTAGACCAGCTACGACTCGCCGGGATTTATTATGCAAGGTCCCGGCAAGTCCTGAAAATCCCGGCGAGTCGTAGCTCCCCGCTCTTTAGTGTACTCCTTGTTGACTTCAAGATCTTTAGGTCTCTTGGTGATCAAATTTCTCCTCGCATTCGCAGTCTACATCGCCGACGTCAACTTGCTCTGGCTCATCGCTATCTTTATCATGTCCAACAGAATCTTCACCGAAGGAATTTGCCGACTTTGTGATCTCGTCATCGCCGATTTGATCGACCAGGACTTTGTTGAAAACGACAGAAAAGTGACAGCCTCGGCTTTCTTTTTCGGATCAACCGCGCTTTTGACCAAGCCAGGCCAAAGTCTAGCGCCAATTATCGGTACCGCGCTGCTTACAGTAGCAGCTGGTTCGGATGATATCAGAGCGAGGACAGAAGAAGAAGCCCTTACAGAGGAAGATTTTAAGTCTTATTGCTTGGTACTGACAGGGGTGCCGATGGTTTGCTCGATTTTGCAAATTCTTATTTGGGTAAGCTTCATTTACTGATAACTTACGAGGATCAACCCTCTTTGTTCAGAAACAATTTGATCTGAAAGGAGGCAAGCTCCGTTACATAAAATCCGTCCGCCAAAAACAAGAAATCCACTCAATATAAACCTACTCATCAATCCGTCTATTTATTCGCTCAAAGATTTTCTTTCATTCACTGTATTTGCATCTCTCAAAGTTCCATCCTCTCCATTTTGTTTATATCGATTTTTACGCAAGAACCTAAAGGCTATATATTCTGATTCTTTCATAATTCTGTTCAAAACTCAATAAACTTTACGAATGATGAAAATAACTGAATGAACATTTGCAGAATGAGGTGATGGATGCTAATAATTACGCTCGGGCAAAATTTGCTTACGAGCCTCAGAATGCTGATGAGCTCAGCCTCACCAAAGGCGACTATGTTGAGATTTTGAACAGCGAAGAAGAAGAATGGTGGGAGGCCCGTATTCTCACCTCGAATGAAAGAGGATGGATTCCAAAAGCATACTTGAGGCCGCTCAAAGGACAAAAAGAGCTCGACAAGGTCTTACGTTTACTGAGAAAAAGTCCAAAAGGAAGAAATTCTGGAGCAGAGCCGGTAGAAGCTGTGGTGCAAAATGACTGGTTCAAAAAAGTGTATATCGAAGTTATCGAAGATTCGAAGAAGTATCTGAGAGATGTGGAAGCGATAAGAACAACCTGTGCCAAAGTAAGGGAGGCTCTTGGAGACACGGCGTATGCAGTATCGAAGTTGGAAGCGAGCTCGGATAAACTGAGGGGAGTTGAAAATCGAATTGTAGAGAGATTTCAACATGATATTGACTCTGAGTCGCCAAGCGCTGGAAGAATCCTAAATGAGGTAAAAGTAACATCATGGATTGATTTAACGAAATGTATTAGACACTCGAAGAATACAGAAATGTTTATGAGTCGTATCACATCAACCACCCAACAGCAGTTGACTCCCTCCAACGCGAGCAACATCACATTCAGAACCTTGATCTCAATGCCATCAGATCATCCTGGGCGAAGCCACTTTTGAGATTAGAAAACTTTCCTTTGAGATTAAGAGATCTTGAGAAATATTATGGGGAAGCAGATGAGGATAGAAATCTTCTTGGTAAGTTTTTTAGCGAATTTTCTGAAGTAGCCCCCTTTTCAAGCCCGATCAATCTACCAAATTGAAGAAGTCCTACTCCAGAAGTGCCAGAGTATAAGGAAAAATAAAGAGCTCGAACTTGCTGTACTCCAGCAGCCTATCAGAAATTGGACTGGTGACTCTATCGATGAGCTCGGCTCTCTCAGACTAATGACTCCTGTAAGACCCTTCGACTAGCAACACCTTCTGATTCTTCCTTTAGTTAATGATTCGCGCAGGTCGCGAAATCAAAGCTTTCAACGGCTATGGTCTCGTCTTTTCATCAGCTATTGTTTTGATCACAGCGACAGATCGCATGTCTGGATTCGTACTCGTTGCAAATATTCCAAAAGTTAAACTAGCGGTTTCGCGAAAGAGTGACACTTGTGTCGAGGTAGGATTATTTTATGTTCTCTTCCTTGATGTCGATTTTCAGACAACTGGTAACGCAGGTCACTTCTGGTTCGTCTTCGAGTCCAAAGAAGATACCGATGAGTGGTGGGGAGCAATGGAAGCTCTCAATGTTCAAATTTCAAAGTCGCTTTCGACAACCCAAATTCTTCATCCCTCTGATCGATCGAGCTTCTCTGAAGTGAACGGGCACGGACCTCGAAAAAGTCGAGAAAGACCAAGCTATTCTACTGAGAGCAGTGCTACCCTCAACGTTGATAACAAAAGAAATCCCAGATCAAAATCTGGTAGTCCATTTGCAGTTATGGCACCGGTTAAACATGTTCCCATCAGAGTTTGTTGAATATCTAATTCTCTCTATTTTATGATTTTCTTAGACTTCACGAAATCCAGTTGAATATTCTTCATACAACCACAATCAGTCCTCCCCACCACCGATCAAACTCTGTCCTTCTTCATCAACCTTATCCACAACAGGTATTTGAAGAATGCGCTGTCTTTTGTTTTGCGTTTTCATAATGCATCATAATAAAAGAGCAGCAATTTAATTATCTGTTGCTAGCCTCATCAACATTCTGCGCCCGACCGACTCCCCCTTATCGAGCGACATCACCTCGTCCTGCCAGAAGTAAAGACAGAAAGTCAAAGACGTTCAGATCGAGAACGCCGGAACATCATCGAGAGACGCGGCAGAATGTAAGAAAGATAAATCGGTTTTGAATACAATAATACCTCAATGAGGTCATTAACTCCTTGTGAAAAAATTATGGAAAAGTAAAGCCGTTTTTAAGCCCCGAGATCACTCGATAGAAGTGATGGGGATTTACGAAGCTTACAACTCGACAAACAGAAGGCGGAAAAACTCAGATCCATCTCTTGCTGCCGGTAGAATGAGCCAAATACCGCTTGCGAATCAACAGGCGTTTCATCGATCTATGGAAGAGTAATTGGCTAACTAAAGTGCACTTGTAATCATAATTTCTAGCTTGATGGAAATGAAAATATCAATTCTTCGTCAGGAGTTTGAGGAAAAGTTTGATAAGCTAAGAGAGCGGATAGAAACTGCTGATCAAGATCGATCTGTTTTAAAAGCGACAATCAGGTGAACAACGATTTAAATCGAAGGTCTCTTAAAAAGACTTCAGAGCGACTCGTAATAATCTACTAGAAGAACAGGCAACAAGGCGTCGACTTGAAGCAAAGATACAGGAGATGATTAATGAAAGAGATACACTTGAGCTTCCACCAGGAAAGGGTTACTTTGAAGACTTCAAAGTTTGAAGGTTGAAGTAGCAAAATCTTAGCCTAAGATTCTTTGAACCAGAAGTAACCAAGCAAGAAAACGCATTCACTTCGCACTCTGAAGACCATTAAATGAAAATTAAAGAAGTACTTCCTCACTAAGAAATCTTCACTAAATAAAACTCAAAATCACCCAAGTGCTCCAAGTTCACGTGAAAAACCCCTTTTATTACATTTAAATTCAATGCCGCTAATGAATTGAATAAGTTCAGCTTAAAGCTTCCTCTCCCCTTTTATTTGTGTATCATTTTTTGTTCTTTGGAAGATGGCAAGCTGGATATTTTGCCTTTTTCTGAACCATTTCTTTACCAAATGAAAGCTTTCAATTTTATTTCACGCGTACTCGCATTCAAGAATCGCGATTTCAAATCTATTCTATCTGTACAATTTTCTTAGAATCTATCCAACCGCTATCATGTCCTCGAAAATGACTTATCAAAATGAAATCTTATGCATGTGCTTCAAATCGCCTGTTTTCCCATTTCACCTAAATTCATAAAAAAACGAACAACTGCGCAATCAAAATCTAACGATGAACTTTAGAAAAGATGAACGATATCGGAAGAGACCAGAGTCGGGAGGAGACGGAACGAATGCGCGCCAGCTTCGCTGCTGATTTTGCTGGAACGATTCGAGTTTATCAAGTGCTCAACGAACGATGGCAAGATAAAGCTCCTCCCTTTCTTTTGCGAAATATTGATTATATAAGAGACAACGATATAAGAGTAGCGAAAAAACCACCGAAAGAACCAAAAATTAACAAGCCATGCAAGAAGAAGCCAAAGCTAAAATCGCGAATCTCAGACGTAACAGAAAAATTGAAACTAACCGCACAGCCGGTTCGAACATGTGATTCTATGAGGATATCTCTCAATGGCATCCATAATGTAAAAAACGTCGACGAGAGGGCACATAAAAACTTTGTCCAGTGCAAGATCAAATTCATCGGCAATACTGCTCCTCACAAACGAAAACCAACGGAAGAGCAAATTTTCAAGACGATCCAGACCTAGGATCGACAAATGCCCCCGAAATCCGGATCGGGTTTTCGTCGGATTTTCTCGAAGTCTGATTTTTCCGATCGGGTTTTTGTCGGGTTTTCGTCGGGTTTTTGTCGGGTTTTTATCGGATTTTCGTAGGGTATTTTTCGGGTTTTTGTAGGGTATTTTTCGGGTTTTTGTCGGGTTTTTGTCGGGTCTTTGTCGGGTTCTTGTCGAGTTTTCACAACACTGAAGTTGAATCAAGTAAAATAAATCCAAATGGGGGAAAATAGACATAATTTTTGGCTAACAGAATTTCGGGTACTGTCTTTAATCAAACTGATGAGTAGATCCGAAGAGAAACCCGACGAAAATACCCTACAAAAATCCGATAAATGACCCTATAAATACCCGATTTTGTAGGGTCGCCAAAATTTCAGCGTCGGGTTTTTGTAGGGTCGGCAGAATCCAACAAAAACCCGACAAAAACGTCGGTTTTCGATCGGGTGTCGGGTGGGACTTGTCGATCCTAGATCCAGACTGTCCTAATTTTGAATCCAAAGAAAGGAAGCTTTTCCGAGGGAATACAAATCGATCTTACCGATCTTGAAATGGCGTCCAGAGTTTTGTTTGAATGCCAGTTTCCTGAAATTACGAAGAATTCAAAAAATCATTCGCCAAGAAAGCGCCAAAAGATAGACAACCATCCTGTAGATTCTCTTCATGGGCTTTGGGTTGCGTACTGGGGCATTTCTCCGCCTATCCGCGAAGGTGAGCATACGCTGATGCTTGAATCGGGAATCAAAACTGAAAAAGACTCAAAACCGCCGCCAAAGAAAATGGCATCGTGGCAGACTTTTGATCAAAATCTCGAAGGGTTACCTCCATTTGGCGTTTCGCAGGAACCGCATGTCTGCTTCAACCTTTCGTGGACCGAGGCGATCAGTCACTTGCGCAGCGATCTGAAGCGTTCTTTCCTCCCTTCCGCTTGTAAAGACGCAACTCGAGTTCATTACCAGCTCTATTATATGTCGAAATCTCGCGTCTGTACCCAAACGTATGACCAGCCCCTGTGCCAATTCTGCGAAATCAAGCCAGATCCAGTCGATGCTAGCCGTTACGGAAAACCAGTAACGCGTACTAGAGTGTTTAAATCCGTCAAGGATCTCATGTGCCACTTGAAAAATTGTCACGATAAATTTGTGTTCCGATCGCCGGAAGAACGAGCCATCAAAGAAGGGCAAGAGCTCGAAACTGTCTTCATCGAGGTCTATCCGAATCCGAAATATGTGCGGAGCTACCTCGGGAACTCGAAAAACACTCTTGAGTCGCTTCGAAAAGGCGAAACGAAGGTGCTTGTCTGGCGCGGTGTTCACGTGGATCCAGACGAAACGTACAACAAGGAATACGAATTCACAGACTGCTCGTTGACTTCTTTTGGACATACCAGACTTTACTTTCACACAAGCTACAACTTGCCGATAAGGGCGTGCGAATTCGAGTACGATAGTGAGGACGATCAGTCGCACGAGTTCAACTGGGTTCGCTCTCACATGGTCAAGCAAATTGATGAATTTACAGATGTCAACGAGGTTACTTTTTATCAGAAGTATTTTGAATAAAATATTATTCAGGATGAGAAATTGATCATGAAGCTTTGGAATCATCAACTGATGGTTACTCGTGTATTGTCCCAGCAACAACTTCTTGAAGCATGCAGAACTATATCCAGAAAGTATGGAAAATTCATCTACAAAAGAAATGTCCGACGCAATTGGTTGCTTCATCTCCTTAACTTGGTCGACCACTGTCTCTTAAAAGCTTCGGAAGTCCCGAAAATAATGGTCTTGATGGGTAATCACACTATTCTCTGTTTTTTTTCTACTATTTTTAGATGAATGTGTAAAAGACGAATCAATTCCATACGAAGAACCTGATATTACTGGAGATAAAGCACATGAGGAAAATCTGAAGAAAATCATAGAAGACTCGGCCAAAAGAAACTGTCATTTCTCAAAGAAAACAGATGCATAAAATCCTGTTCATTCCGAACGTAGAAACTCACACTGCCTCTCTGCAGACAAACTACAGCCTGACTTATGGCCCATAAGTTGTGGCCTAAACACAACTGCCCATTATCACCCTTTTTACAATAAAACGAACGAAGAAAAAAAGTTCATTTGCGTACTCTTAGATACAGGATGATAGGGCGACATGTGCGGACGTTGAGTTCAAGTGCTGTCCATAAATTTCGAGGGCATGGAAACGCGATGAATTGGTTCGCGCCAAACATTACTCCGGAAGCGAAATATCAGAGGTGAATCAAAAATTCCAAAATGAACATTTTCTATGACCAATGAATTTTTCGAAGATCAAATAAAAATGCCTGAACAGGACCATTGTACGTTGTTCATTTCATTTGTACGTCTGTCATTTAGAAAACAATGGCTACACAGCCTCGAGAAAAAGCAACACAACGACATGGGCGAGTGGTCCAAGAAGAATAATATGATCTATCCGCCCTTAGAAGAGGGCCAGCCTCCCCGACCTCATGAAATTTATTGGGGCAGAAGCAGAGTAGCAATTTCAAAAAGAGTCATGGCAAGAACTTGGTAAGTTAGTGTGAAAATAAATGCTCGAAATTGAGCTTGACATTCAGTTAAATTTCTGTCATATTGTTAACTACGCTAACATGGTTGTTTACAGCCCCTAATGCGGCTATAAACTCCTCACGAGTTGTTTAAATTGTCATGATAAAGGGCAGACACAGAATACGCGATTATCTCGCGTTGTTAATAATACGATTTGTGTATTGAGAATTTTCCTCTCTGAAAATGAGATTTTTTGAAATCAAGGAAGACTAACTTTTGGATTTTTAGTTTGACTGTGAACAATTTGGAGCTACAAGATGCTCTGGACAAGATGTACAACTTAAAAGCGCGCGAAGGATTTATTGTGAGTTAGCGACGTCCCATCAATCAGCCAAAAATGAACGTTTGCTTTCTTTTCAGATGTACGAAATTTTACGAGAAGCTAGAGACTTTGCCAGCAAGCGGGCCCCGAGCGCAAGCACGTTCCACATCGCTGAGTGCTGGGCAACAATCTTGAACAGAGAGTATAGACATGGATATGCCATTTTAAGGTTTGCCCTTATCAAAAACTTTTTTCATAAAGAAATTTTAGAAAACGCGATTTAACAAATATTTATGTGCTCTTGCGCGAAGGACCACCCCCACCCGAGCGAACAAAGTTGACAACAGAAGACGCCATTGATCACTATCTTCAAGGGCATAGAGAGAAAGAGATTCCTTTTACTTGGTAAACAACTTGTTACATAAGTTTTGAGTGTGTGTTTTTCAGAATGCCTACGAGCTCGCGGGGCGATAATCGAGCCTCGCGGCCTTCATCAGCATCGAGATTGTCCCAAGCGCGCGGTACCAGCAGCAGGAACAATTTGGGATCAACAGGTACGCCCTTGAACGCAAAAACAAAACCCTAAATTATATCAAGGCGGCATCAACTCCGGCAGCAGCGAGAACATAAAAGCGTTGTACGAAGCTTCACCTTCTCGTGGCAGGACTGAGAGGCCCATTTCCGGCCAGAAGACAGCGAAGACAGCTAAGCCCGGTGTCGTCAAGGCGCCTGCAAGCTCTCACATGCGTGGTGGAAAGGTACCTTCCAGCAAGTCGACCGGCGCCAATTCGAAAGTACCCGCTCAAGGGACGGCTCAGCGACCAAGGAGAGATAATAACGAAATGGTTCGAAATGAAGGAAAGGGTCATTATTATCAAAATGATTTATGAGATTCGAGTCTGTTTTAGCACGGAGATAAGGTCAAACAGAACCTTATCATGGCGATATTAACAGGTTCAAGTCATATTTCAAATCGCTTTTTCGTAGAAATATAAAATTTCGAAATATTATTTTTAAAAATGTTGAATACCCCTTCAACTGAAGCTTACCGAAGCCAACAAGACGCGATCGAAGAGCTCAAGACTCAATTCGCGCAGCTACAGGCTCAATTTCTGTCTACACAAAAAGAAGCGATTACACAAGAAAACGAGCGACTGAAAGACCAACTTGCAAGGGCCGTTTTGAATTTGCACAAGCATTAAAATCGCCTCGTAATGAGTGAAGTTTGAGCTTGATAGCGCACTTATGGTGCTACAGACATCTGAACTCAAACAAAATTCAAAGACTATTTTTGAAGCTTTCGGGACTCAATTTTTGGAATTTGAAAATATTTTGAAACGGAAATAGTATGTCGAAAACGATGGCAAACATCAACTACAAAGAGAACTTCAAAAGCAGCGCTCCAGTAGATGGCATGTCCACCCCTGACTCACTCTCCGATCAAGAGAATTCGCGCAATCCCTCAAGCTCAAGCAAAGATAAGAGGCTTTCGATAGCGGAAGAATTGGATGCGACAAAAGACGAGCTGCAAGAGGCACAAGATCGCGTCGCCCAAGTTGTGACTCAGGTGAATTCTCGTTTCTCCGGCGCCACTCATATTCATTATCAGTTGATATCTTCAATGCTTACTGACATTGAAAACAGTTAATTCGCTCATTTTTCTCAAGAGTTAAACTAAAAGTTGTAAAATTAAAATGGTAAGCCCTGTTCTGTTTTGTATTTTTTCCATGAGAAGCAAAGAGTCGATCCAGTAAATCTTACAATGAGCTCTTTATGAATTATTTATGTAGTTGAAGATTAATGGGAATCAATAGTGCTATTTTTCGCGCTGAGCGAACAACTCATATTTAGCGATTGCTTCTATCTTAGCGCGGATTACGCCGAGCAAACTTATAGGCCCCGATCGTTCGTTTTTCCTAGCGCAAATCGATTCTTTTCTCGCCCCTGAGAAATTATTGAGATTTATTTAACGAAAATCACGCGAACAAGACGAATATATTTTTCAAAATATTGAACCACCAAAAGGCAAAATAACGATACATCAATTTAGAACGCTCATCTGAAGAGAGAACTACAGGACTTCAGTAACAGAGTGAATGAAAGCCTTGTGCATCCTCCTCCAGGTAATTCATACTGATATTAATTGTTCATCAATCAAAAGTAGTAAAAATTGAAATCAAGGAAGACTCATTTCAAAATCATTTTCCCTCTAATTATTAAAGTTTATTAAAGTTTATTAATTTTCTAGAGCTACTTTTGAGCAACTGTTTGCTCGAACAGACAGAGATAGTTTTCCTTTCTTATCATTTTTCTCATAAGTAAGCTTCATCTTTTGTGACTATTCACATGCGTAGAAAACGAATTTTAATCTGTCTTTTGCAGATTTGAGCCTGGCTGAGCGCCTTACAATCGTCCTGGAGGGTGGAACAAAAGCAGTGCAAGGGCTTCAACGCCAACTTCAGTAAGTCAAAGCCATCCTACTTCTCAGAGAAGAGGCCTAAGAGTGTGTGTGCCCAACAATTCAGAGCAATTTGGGCGAATTGATATGTGCTCCTTTTGTCCCTAATTGAATTGAAGTCGAAATTGGACATCGCATTATGGAATCTCAGACTCAGAGTAATGGATCTATTTCTTTTAGTGACCAGGAGGAAGAGAATGAGGGAATCAAGCGGGAAATGGCTGAGATAAAAAGTAACGAAACTCCAGAGGTAGTTACCATCATTTGTTGTTGAACCATGTTTGAATTCAGGCACATGAGTTGAGAAACAGAATCGAAGAGCTTGAAAGCCAGTTGAAAAGCTTCCAAAGCGACTACGCAGATCTCATGCAAATGGATCAAGCAGATCGAGAAGCGACGCTAGAAGCGATCAAACTCAAGTATCTGAGGGAAAAGGATATTCTCATTGAAAGAGAAGAGACCATCCAAGCACTTCAGGTACCTTTAAAAATATTACCAGTTTTGAGTCAGCTGTGAAATAAGGAGGAGATGTTTGCAAAAGACAACGACCATCGTCAAGATCTTGAAGAGCTCTCGAAATTTATCGATGAACTGCGCAGCGAACGATGGAAGAAGGATCAAGAAATGGACAAGCTTTTGAATCAGCTGATTGATCTTGAGGATGCAGTCGAGCAGCAGATTGCTGTGAAGGTAAACCAAAATCGCCCTTTCGATTTTTCAATGTTTTAAGCAATTTGCGGAGCACGAGCGAAAACTGCTCCAAGAAGAAGTCAACGATCTCAATGCCCAAATTGTCGAGCACAACAAAGAACTGATCATGCTCAAACGAAAAGCTGAAAAGTCAGAAGAGGATAAAAACACCCTTCAACAAGACATGACGTCGGCCATTACACTTGCCCAGGATGCCAAAATAGCAAAGGAAAATGAAATTCGCGAGCTTCAGGTTAGGTCGAATTCTTTTTGGACGCGTCCTGACAGATAATTTAGGACAAAAATCGAAAGCTAGAGGAAGAAAACGCGAGACTAACGGTCGAAGTTTCCCAACTCAGACGGGATCGTCGCGGAAGCCCGGTTCTAGCAGAACCAGTATCGCCAAAGCCACAAGTTTTCGAGCCTGATAGAAGACTGTCAACCTCCCTGATGGCTTCAACAGAGGATTCTTGGTCGACAAGACGTAATAGGTAATGAATTCGAAGAAGGAAAACATCTTGAATGGAAATATTTAGATTTGTGAAAAGCGACCCGCCAAGTGTTCAAAATCTCATTCAAAACTTCAACAAAGATCCCGAACCAACTCTTGAGGACTCTGGCAGAAGTACTGGCAGCGGTATTGCAGTGCCCAGCTCTCCTGGCTCAAGTGGCGATCGTCTTGCCAAATTCAGACTGAGCTTTGAAAGACGCGAAAGCGCGAGAGACGTTTATCTGTCAGAGCGTGTCAGTCAGGAACGGATTGAATTTGTGTTTACGCGTGTTATCTGTCATAGGATCGATAATTAACGAGCCCATATTCAACCTAATGAAAGCTGAGAACGAAAGCAAATCGAACTTCTACAGTTTCTTCTCGCCTTGGCAGCGATGGGGCTACTCCAAGACGTCCCTACGCGCGTAGTGAAGACTCCACTACATCATCATCGTCTGTTCCATCGATTCAGTCGTATTCTAGCATCAATTATCCGTCAATAAACACGAGTGATCCTTTACAAGATCTCTCGAGAAAATATGGTTGCTCCAAGAGAAACGCTCTTTTGAAGGTTTGAAAACAAACTGTTATTGGATTTAGTAAGATAATTGTAATTAAGTGGTGTCAAGAAGAGCTTGCCAATTACAAGGAAGTCGATGTGACGAACTTTAGCTCATCATGGGGCGATGGATTGGCCCTCTGTGCCTTGTTACACACGAGAATGCCGCACAACGTCCCCTTTAGGGAGCTGGTGCTCGACAACAACCCAAGAAAGAATGTTGAGACTGCGTTGAAAGCTTGCTCAGGTTGGCAACTATCATTATAGCTACAAAAGAAATAACGTGCATTTTAGTGCTTGGAATCGGCGGTCTACCGAGTGTGGATGAGTTCCTCGTGAACGAGCGGCCCGATTGGCAGCGGATCATGAAATTAATTTCACAAATTTTCAAAAACTTCACCTCTGACCAGCCAGCAACTGCATAAACGACTACCAGACCAGAATAGAATGTCAAAATGACTTCTAACCACTTGTACCTTCCATTTTGCACCTTGGGCATCTCAACGAAAAAAAGTACTTCTATCTTGTCACCTCTGCAATTCTCTTCACGAAACTAAAAGATTCATCCTTTCTCCATCATATTTTTTTATATTTAGAACCCTCTCTTTCTGTACAAGCTCTTTCTGTGCAGCGCATGGATATGATAAAAAACAATAAACTAAAGCAACCGTTCGGTAAAATGACAGAAAGACTTGAGTTGATGAGTTTAGTCTGATGCTCGATGATAAGAAAGTGAGTTGTTCTTCAAGATAGTCTAAACAAACAGGGAAAAATGAGCTGGTTTTTTCGGCAGTCGCAGCCTGGATATGTTGGCAGCAAGTGAGTGCAGTATTTTTGTATCATCGTTAATATTAAATCAGCGTCCAAATCGGCTCGTACAATGTTCACATCGAATCAGTCCTCGCCGAGGGTGGCTTTTCCATCGTTTATCTCGCTAATGCTAAAATTCCGAATTCCAAGTCGACTAAAGCAGCCCTCAAGGTACTTCTAATTCAATAAAGACTTTTTGTTATCAGATGTTAAAGCGTATGTTTGTGAATGATGAAGAGACACTCGCTGGGTGCAAAAATGAAATTCAAGTCATGCGAAAACTGACGGGCCACAAGAACATAGTCCGTTACATGGCGCACAAAATAACCTGCCTGAAAAATGGCACGCACGAAGTCCTGGTCCTTATCGAGTACTGTTCTCGTGGCCATGTCCTGGACTTTATGAACAAAAGACTCAACAGTGGATTTACTGAGGAAGAAGTGATGAAGATCTTCTGTGACGTCGTCGAAGCTGTAGCGAAGATGCACCAGTCGAATCCTCCTTTTGCCCATCGTGATTTGAAAGTAGAAAATGTCCTGATTCACGATAGTGGTAGATATGTTCTGTGCGATTTTGGGTCAGCAAGTAGTCGTATCCTCGAGCCAGACAAAAACGGTGTTAGTACTGTCGAAGAAGAAATCACCAAGTTCACGACTGTTCAATATCGTTCTCCAGAAATGGTCGATCTTTATTCCGGCTTTCCGATCGGGCCCAAGTCGGATATTTGGGCACTGGGCGTTCTCTTGTATCATCTCTGCTTTTTCAACCTTCCGTTTTCTACGACTCTTTCTATTCAAACTGGCGAAATCTCTGTTCCCGATAATTCGCCGTTTTCCGTTGAAATTCATCGAATTATTCAATTTTGTCTCACTGTGGATGTTCAAAGACGTCCAGGAAAGGGATAATAAAAGATTCACATAACCTATTGTTAGCAAAAAAAAAAAGTTTTGACCCAAAAAAGATATTTGGCAGCTCGCGGAAGCTGTTTTCGCCCATGCAAAGCGCCAGAATCCTGTCCATAACCGAAACAACTCTCCTTCTATTGACCTCTTAACGATCTCCCCATTAATGAACGCTACCCAACTCGCCCAGTTCAAAGAAGACCAGCGTCGGCAACAGAAAGACGCGTCGAATCAACAGAATCAGCAAGGCAATTTCGCGAATGCAACAATAGCACCAAGACAACGACCGAATCCGAAGCGACCGCCTTCTCCGAAAGAAATGGTCAATAGAGCAGAATCTGCGCTACAGGTTACTAAAAAAGCTTTCTTTTTGTTAAATTTTTATTCAGATTCTTCAAAAACAAATGGCCGATATAAAAGTCACATATGCCCAGCTCCCTGCCACTGATAGCCGCCGAATCAAACTAGAAAACGACGCCGCAACGATCAAAATCAAGTATCAGAAAATCCTCGATTTGCGGAATGAAAATCGCTCGCGCCTCGCCAACTCTTCAAGTACGACATTTAATCCCAGTCAGCAAAGTGCGAATTTCCGCCAGAATCCGCCGCGCGCCGAAATTCCCCCTCCGAAGATTCCGCCGAAGATTCATCAAGGAAATGCGCCTGAAATCCACACAAATCATCATCTTACTCACAGAAGAGTGCTCTCTGATCCATCCACTATTCAAGAGATTCAAAGTCAGCAACTTCAGCAACAGAGACAAAATCAAATGGCATCCTCGCAGACTTTTACTACTGGACTTTCAGCATTTCAACAGCCCGTGATTCCTGATCAAATGTAACAGTATTCAACCAAAGTCAAATAATATTTAATAATTTTAGGTCATCTTTTGCTTCTGATTCGACAATCGACTCCGTTTCAACTGTAAGGCTTGCTAACTCACCTTCAGAAAAAGATGATGATGGTAAAGAGAACGAATGTTTTTGATTACTAACTGAATTCAGCTTTTGATGCTTTCCTCGAAAAACGGAAGAACTTGTCCGATGCGCCGACAAACTTCAAATGCGAAAAGGGACCAGTCTACCAAGCTCTTTATTCCAACGGGTAATTAAATATTTGCAAGTCAGTATTTTACTGTTTTGAGGACTTCTGAATCTCAACCCGAGACAAACGGTGGCTGGGTGAAAGATCCAGAAGATACTGATGATTCTTCGTCAGTTTCCGACTCTTCAGAATCGCGATCGGTTAAATCGGATTCCGAAGATGCCGACGCGCTCATTGATTCTTCTGATGACGATTTTCCGCAAGTTCGGCAAATGCGCTCCCAAACTTGCCCGAATTTGTCGGACTCCGTCAATCTAGCGCTGAATCGAGAAGAAGTAAGATCTCAACTTATTTGTTTGGTTGACCGACTTTTAGGATCCATTCTCGATGGCTCCGTTTCCAGCTGCCGCTATTCCGCCACAAATTAAAGAAAATGACCCCTGGGGTGACAATCTTCCACAAAGTAGACCTCCTATCTCAAAGACGAATCCTTTCCGAATGGGCGCGTTTTCCGGCCCGCTTGAATCTTCTGTAAGTTGAGCTTCTTCGATAATCAATTTTTCTACTTTTGCCGTTTAGAATGATGCCGATCCCTTCAATAATGCTCCATTCCCAGCGACATGAGCATCTCTGACTCTCATTTTTATTGTTCAAAGCTGCGTTAACTTTTTCTATCTTTCGAAGTTGATCTTCAGAAAATATCTTCATTATCGAAGATTTGTGATAATGAGCCGCTGTAAACTTGCAAGTAGTCTTGTGCCTATTATATATCAATAAACAAGTTTAATCAAGCCCCGTTAATTACACAGTACGTATCCCATCAACAACTGCAATATCAACAGAAAAATTCTTATCTATACATATTGATACTGAACATGTCGTGTCGTTTGTTCTTCATCTTTTCACCAATACATTTTTCTTGAATAAAATCATATTCCTTTGCTTCATTATTGTTAATTTTCTTCTTCTACCTTTCATCAACCTGTTTGCTTCCTATAATAAATATAGCTTGAGTTCAACTCTTCATAGGGTCCAAGATCCTGGTTGAAGACATCTTGGACTCTATTTTTGTTAGACTTCCTTTTCTTGTTTTCATACAAAGATGAATCGACCCAAGGGTTTTTTCACATGAAAGTAACCGCCTAGTTCAAAGGTACACTTGTGCAAACAGTCATATACTTTCAAATGTTAATTAAGCAGGGCTTTAATTAACGATAAAAGCTTATATTTGTACTGAGTCAGAATTAGAGCTCAGCCTCTCAGAATGATTTGTTATTCTCGCTCGCTTCTAGAACAAGCACTGATCCCTTTTATCGATCCGCCATGAAGATTTAAATCCGATTACAGACATTTCCCGCGCCCTTTCTACCATTATTTCAAGCTTTCACGAGAGCGAGGAGAGGTTGAAAATGCGCTTGAATGTTTCGGGTTTCTTTATGTTGCTTTTGGGGGTGACAGCGATGGATTATGAGTGTGATGGAGTGATTGGGTGCTTCCCAGAGAAGTATGAGAGGGTTTATGGGTACATACCGACGAGGAAGAAGCCGCTTTCTAGGTTTAATTTGGGAGGTATGTTAGTTTCTCTTTCTGAAATCAACGAAGAATCGTCATTCAGGAAAAAATGGTGGCATCATTCTCAATTCCACATGGATTGAGCCGGACCCTAATTTATCCTATCTATCAAATGAGACATCCGCAGATGAAGTTTTCAAAAAGTTCAATCCGAAAAACAAAATGGTAGTCATTATCCACGGTTGGCAAATTGCAAATACGCCTGTTAAAGAAATGATTGATGGAAAATTAACTGATACTGTTCAATTGGGTTCATGGCAAAATGATTTGGAGAACGCATTATTTCAAAAGGAGGATGAAATTAATGTGGTGATTCTTGACTGGCGGAGAGGAGCCACTGTAGGATACAGGTAACTGTAGCTCAGCTGTACCTAGCCATCCATAAATCATTCATCACAGGGGCGCGATGTCAAACACGTGGGTAGTGGCTCGAGAGACTGTTGTCTTTCTCAAGGCATTTATCAATCGGGGTCTAAAGCTCGAAGATATTCACGTGCTCGGGCATTCGCTTGGAGCTCATGTGGCTGGAATTATCGGTAATAATTTGAAGCTGGAATTTGGAAAGAAGATCGGACGTGTGACAGGTCTCGATCCTGCCGCTCCATATTATGATGAAGTTCCTGGCGCTTGTGAGTTACCTAGAGAGTTGACAAGTAGTCTCATCTTATTTTCAAGTGATGATAGATTCTCATAATGCCGAGTTGGTTGATGTCTACCACACAGATACAAAGAGTCGACTGTATTCTAACGCTGGTCTTCCTGGGCAGCATGGGCACGCCGATTTCTATGTCAACGGAGGGGAGGATCAACCCCGATGCAAAAAACTGAAGACAGTTTCAAAACAAGAACTTTGTGATCACTTTAGCGTTTGCGATTATTTCGTCCAGGTAATTTCAGAGATTTTCGAGTGTTTAGTCAACGCGAACTTCAGTCAGTTCAAAGGCCTACTTATGCGATTCGCTGCGGTTCCTCCGAGGATTTTATTGCCGGAAAATGCAAGAGTTGCGGTCAACGAAAGTGCTCATTTGCAGGGTACAATTATCGACCGTTTGGGAATCACAAAGATGGCAAGATGTTTTACCAGACAACTGAGGAAGTGAAGAATAAGTGTGCCAGATCAGCTGCATTTGAATTTCGAACATTCGGAAAGCGTGAATCAAATATTCATGGAGATAAGAAGTTAAGAGCTGGAAAAATAGGAAAAGAGATAAAAACAAGTCTGACCATTGATTTTGTAGAAGAAGACCTCCCCAAAAGGTTCTCTTCGTTGATTTCAGACTCTTGGATTAAAGTCGTTCATCTCTTCTTAGAGCTCAAACTCTTCTCTTTTTCAAACAGCACTCGTACCCTCACAGACTCAACCCTTCTCCCTGCGATAACAGGTTCAAGAAGGAAGACATTTTCATTCGTTCGGCCGATCCCGTGTGATGCACAAATCTTCCCACTGGAGCGTATCGAGATTTCGCTCATTGATTCGCAATCAGAATCGAAGCCAACAATCTCGGTTTCAATTCCAATTCGGCAAATTAAAATTTTCACCATCGAGCCCAATCCCTACCGAGGGAAGCTCAAGAGACAGTCAAGAAAGAAAAATGAACCGATGATCTTCAGACCAAAGAAATAAAATGAAACCGTACTATCTAGCTACACTAGAAATTAGTGCGCGATTTATTCGATAGCCTACTGCAATATTCTTTCATTATTGAGCATATAGCCACTGTATTACCTTAAAAATTATACAAAATAAATAATAGCCTGACAGTAACTGGAAATTCTCTGATATTGAAAAGATTTATATTAGAAATTGTTAAACTGGCATGAATGAATCGGAAACTCGAATAAACAGTCCACCACCAATAAAGGAGAAGGCGGCGGAGGAGGGATCAGTGGTCGAAGGTGAAAAGGTAAAATTTCTAGACGCGGCGACAGTCTACGAGACTAAGCCCAAGTTTAAATAAATTTTCTGGAACTTGGTCACTCCACATGCCCTGTTATTGCGAATTGCAACTTCAGACATGAATAGACAATTTTATACACTTTTTCAGAGTATTTTTTTCCTAGAAGACAGTAAAGTTTTCGAATTTCTCGCTAGAATAGCTTTTGTTTTGCTAAATATGGTCAAATTGGAGGATTTAGAGATGGAAATTGACCAACTTCATCTAGAGGTTTGTCAAATTTTCTAGCACACGAAAAATAAAAAGTCCGCGTTCCATTCGAGAATGTTTCTTCGCCCAAAATTCGTTTTAGAGGGAATACTATCGCAGAAAGCCGCAGCTTAATAATTGCATAAAATGCTAAAAGTAGCATAAATTTTATTTGCAAAAAAATTTTTTTGAGAATTTTATCTCAAAGCCGCGAGCGGTTTTAGAAGACGACTTCCTTTAGTTTCACTCGGAAGTTCGAATTCAATTGGTTTTTATAGCGTTCCCTGATATTTTTCAGACAATAGAAGGGCGTGTTTGCTTCAGTGAAATTAAATATTTGCGGAAAACGGACGTGAATTACTCTTAAGGAGAACCAGACCCCCGAAGCCGTGATCAGCATAGATGACGACGCAAATATAAATCCAACTTCCATCAAGAGCAAAACTCAGTCAGAGCTAAGCATATCTTCGAAAACCAGTCTCGATGAAAAGCCAAAAAATAGCCCGGCCAGGAAGCCGAGGAGGACCAAGGCAGAAATGGAAAAGGAGAAAAAAGAAAAAGAAGAGCAAAGAAAACGCAAAGCAGAAGAGCTAGCGAAGAAAAAAGCGGAAAAGGTTGGTTCTTCTTCTAGCTTCTAACTTGAGTTCAATCTTCTCAGGAGCGCGAAAAAGAAGAAAAACGCAAGGCAAAAGAGCTTGCTGATCAAGAGCGAGCAGAAAAGAAACGCCTTGAAAATGAAGAAAAACAAAGGTAGAAATTCTGTGCTTTCATACTTTTTTATGAAATGATATTTTGTAGAAAAGCAGCGGAAAGAGAGAAAATACGTCTTGAAAAAGAAGAAAAAGAGAAACAAGCTCGCGAAGAGCGAGAAAAGAAGCAAAAAGAAAAAGACGAAGCAAAGAGGAAAAAAGAAGATTTAGAAAAACGGAGACTAGAGGAAAAAGAAAAAGAGCGCCTTCTCATTGAAGAGAGGGAGGAAAAAGCAAGGTCTGTCTATTTGCTGAGGTGTTCGATTATCCTAAATTGTGATTTCAGGCAACAAAGAGCCAAGTTTTTTCAAAGCTTTTCGAAAAAACGGCTTTCCACAAAAATTGAAAAAATCGAAGATGAACCGCGCTGGACGCCATTTGTCGCTCACAAGGAGCAGTTCCTTTGCCCAGTTATTTATCGACAGTGGAGTGAATCAGAAGAAGACGACTTTGAAAAGTTTCTCAAATTATTACGCGAAAAGGGCTTTTCTTGCGAAGAATCAAAATACTTTCATGAGCTCAAGTGAGTACAGTTTCTCAAGTTCGATTCTCCATTTCAAAGGCTATTATTCTCAATTCAATGCTCATTAGTATCATAGAAACCGGCCATTTCGGAGGCGTCCAAAACGAGAGCGGCGAAAAAAGACCGACGATGAGTGTTTCTTAATCAATCCAGAGCTGGAACAGGCGCTCAAAGAGGTAAGCCGCAGCGGTCACTTCCTCTTTCCGGAAAATCGAAAACCGAGTACCGGAAAGACGGCCGGTTGGTTTAATATTTACACGCTTTTGGTAGGGCGCGCGGTTCAAATATTTCAATTTTCACACGGATTATCGGCCGCCTTTTTACGGAACAAACAGAAGTACATCAACCGAGATCAATCCAAGACGGCCACTCGCTTTGGACCCAAATTTAGATTACGAATACGACTCAGGTAAGCAATCACAAGAAAATCTCATCTGACCATCGTGATTTTAGGTGAAGATTGGGAAGAAGAACCGGAAGGCGAAGACGTCGAATCCGGGAATGAAAAAATGTCAGGTTGGTCAACCATTTTTGTTTACTTTCTGATAAGACTTTATTTAGACGAGGAAGAAATGGATGAAGACGACCAGGACGGCTTTTTCGTTCCGCACGGTTACCTCAGCGACGATGAAGAAAACGCCGCTTGTGATCCGGATGGTAAGATCCTCATCATTAGCTTTGATGGTCCACTGCTATTTTTAGATCCGGAAGATAGGCGACCCAAACTTACTGAAAAGGAACTCCAAGAACGCGAAGAAAGATTCCAGAAAATGCGAAAACGGCGTCTTCGCAAGCTGATTGCCTTTACCGAGGGACCGATCTATTCCGATGAGGAAGATGATGACAAGCCGCAACTTGAAAATATGAGCTATGATCAAAAGACCAAAGAATTCGACTGGGAAGAGGTCATTTGTTTGCGCGAGGTGAGCTTATAATTTGAGCGTAACAAGTAACAAGGTCAAAAGCAGGGGAAACAAATTTCCATGAAATTTGACCTATTTTTGTAATCAACTGATTACGTGGTGATTACCAAGTTCATATTTACTCAAGAGCTAATAAGGGGATTCTTTTTTAGCAACGTTTTTCGATTTTAGAAATTTTCGAAAGTCCTCTTTCTTATAAACCGCTTTCGCAACGATTTCCCATGTTAAAAATGTGTTTTGCAAGCTGTTGGAAACCGGATTTAGTCCCATCGGATTAGGAGTTTCCGCACAGTAACTCGCCCGCTTCCGATATCATGTCCATACAAGTGCTGATCCGCTTACGTCTGAGTTATCGGTTGGCCGCTGCATTTTCACGGTTTTTGGCGCAACTTGGCAGGTGTGTGGTCGTGGGTGGTGGATAAACGCTTGTTCCAAGGCCCGGTCAATCCACCAAAAAGCTCCGGGCGTCGTTGCTCTTGCACCACCATTATTCTCAAGCCCCTCAGCTGCTTGTTACATGCATTGTTTCTTCTATCAACATAAACACCAATTGAATCTCCAAAAAACAACTTATGCATTTTTGCTTTAGGGCTCACCAGATCCTCTGAGAGACTATTCCGACAATGAAATCGGCTCTCTTGATGGAATTTGGAATGAAATTGCATCATCAGAGGAAGAGTGTGACATCGAAAACGTCGAACTTGACGAAGATGAAGAGGAGGATCTGGTAGAACTTGAAGACCAGTTCCCCTCAGACGAAGAGGACTTTGTTGAGCTAGAGAATCCTATGTGGGACAATTCTGCCATGAGAAACTGGAGCGACTTCGACGAAGTCAAAGAACAGCTGTTGAAGCGTGAGGAAGAGTATGCTGCTCCTGAAGGTAAGTTTTGTAATTTTGACAGCAATTTTTATCATGAAACTAGACGATGCAATGGAAGTAGAAAAAACTCAGAAATCTGAGGATCAGCTCTTCTGCACTGAGAGTCCCGAGAAAACTCGAATGAGGAGGAAAATTTGGGCACATCCTTCTGGTGCTTCTGTTTCATGCGCTCGCGCTACAACATATTTGGATGTATGCGACTTGAATATGATCCTCAAAGACGGCAAGATTACTATTGCTCCTGGAATAGAACCTGAAGCTTCCGAATCCGAAGAGGTTGAGGAATTCATGGAAAACGAAGATTCTGAACATGAAGAGGAGCAGGAAGTGGAAGAAGATGGCGGAGAAATTCAAGGAGAAGTCATTGAAATCCTGAGCAGCGATGGCGAAGGTGATTCCGAGGGTCATGAATCCGAGGAAATTCCAGACACGGAAGATGAACAAGAAGTCGAACAACCAGAAGCCGTTTCTGAGGTAGACGAAGACGATGACGATCTCGATAATGTCGAAGATGATGAAGATGACGAAGAATCCCTCGGCGACGAAGACTCGGATGAAGACGAGGAAGAGCTCGAAGATCCAGAAGAACACGACAGCATTCCTTGTGGAGGAAATTTCGACGATGAACAGGAGAATAACAAGGTTAGATCGAGGCAAAAAGTGTGATCTCACTTTTCACTCAGCTGGATTATGAATACAAAAACTCGAGCATCATACAAAATCGCTAAAGTCCTTTGTAGCTCGGTGAGAAGCGAAAAGTATCGCCAGCGCGAAGACAGTTGAACTTCGAAGACCCAAAAAATAATGACGAAGCTCCTCAAAAAGAGCCAGTAGCGCCAATTGTTATCGATAGCGATTCAAATCCTCCGTAAGTCTGATAATATTACACGTTCGTTTTTTCCAGTCTAATTGCTTTTACAAGCTTTCAGGGGCTCGGGAGGGTGAGAAAAAATGGCTTATTTTATAATTCGCTTCGAAATTCATGCGAAGATAAAAGACGCGCTGACCGTTTTAGCGGATCAAAGGCGGCGTCTAATTAACGCATGACTCAACAGCTGCCAGAACCCGTCCCCTTTCGCTTCCCCCTTTTTTTCTTTCCCAAGTGGCTTATAACTTGGCCCCACCTCTATGGCGCCCCCATGGGGAATTCAAATGTGGCGCGCAAAAATGCGTGAGCATTATTGGCCCCCGCAAATTACTGATTTTTTCTGCTTTTAGAGCACCTATTGAAGAGACACCGAAAGAAGAAAAAGTCAATATTTTGATACCGAAGAAGAAAAAGAAGAAAGATAAAAGTTAAAAGAGAGTTCTCATGAAGCCTTTTTCCACACCACCAAAAGCAAGTAGTTCTAATTTAGTTTATTCCTTTCAAATCTATTCCGTCAAAAATTTTTTTTAGCATCTATCCTGCCTTTTTTAACTAACACACATTTTTCCTCCTGACTCGATTCAATCTTCCTAATTCATTGATTGAGCCCATGGCTCGTGAAAACTGTCAGAAAATCTTCAATCTGACAGGAATCAAGAGAAGTTTTATTGAGTGGAAAATATCGGGCCCTGGCCCCAATTGACACGCTATATTACCCGTTTACTGGGTTATCAGTCCCACAAAATTGAAACAACACATGCTCCTTTTTTGCTACTTGTCACAGTTTTCTATCAGTTCAATAAATACTACGCCCTTTTGAAGCATGATCTTTTATTTGTTCCAAATAGCGAATAAAAGGATAAGTACCGAAAAAGGCCGTTATAAAAAGAACCCTCCGTTTAATTCCCTTCCAAATATTTGCGCTGTAATGACGACTCCTGTTTGAAAAGGTCGAGAGGTCTTTATTACAAGAAAAATCAACCCTGTCAAAATACGAGAATGATTGCGAAAATCTATAGATCGTTTTAAAAAATCATCGCAGAAATTGTGCGTTTCACTCTATCAAACTGCCAGTTACCCTCCCACTACTACTTTCGTACAAAAGAGTAAAAAATACCTGTATAAAGATAAATAATATCAATCGTGCCTTTTTACAGTAAAACTCATCTAAACTTCTTCTTTTTTCAGAAAGTCGGAATTGGGAAAAAATGCTGAGAAGCTTTATCAAACCTGAAAATTGATTGAAAAAGTAAAGAATATGCAATCTAGCACTGGTTCAAGCAATGGCTACTATCTTGCTGAGCAAGCTGATCGATTGATTCGGTAAGTCTTTAGTTTAACTCTCTGCCAGATGGCAAACTTTCTTTTACAACCGGGTGCTTGAACCGGAATCCACTTGAAATACTTCTAATATTACCCCGTCAATTATAATAAAATTACTCTTTGTAGAGCTTCCCGCTACCACGAGGCCTTTCAACTAGCCGCGCGCGCCCGCGACGCCGATGAATATTGCACCACTGCTTATATGGCCGAGGGGCTTGCTCTCCTTGGCCTCAACAAACCTGATGAGGCTCTCGCTGCCATCGCTGAGGGTATCGCCAACTGCCCAAGCGACATTCACATACTTCGGACAATGATCAAAGTAGCCAAGGAATGTCCTCTCAAGAACGAACTCCGTGGCAATATCCAGCGACTTGAGCAAAAGAACCTCGCTGAAAATCCATTTCTCGTCCTTTCGATGATCGGTCAAGATCTACACCGGGCAAAGCATCATCAGGCAGCAATAGACGTCCTCGAATGCGCCCTCGATCTGAATGCTCCTTCATTCAAGCTCCGTGGAACCGTTCTCAACTCTTTGGGTGCTGCTTATTGGGCTGTGGGCGAGAGAGAATCCGCTACATCAAAAATGAAGGAAGAACTTATCTTGAGCCGGGAAAACGCCGACATCGAGGGGGAAATCAGAGCCCTTGGAAGCTTAGCCGCCGCAGCTCGTGAAAGTGGACGGTTGAGCGAGTCAATCTCCTGCTTGCGTGAGCAAATCCGGGCCTCTCGATCCCTTCCTGATGTTCAATCCTCAGCTGCCGAGCTCTTGGCTCAACTTACCAACACAGAAATGGCTCTGCAAACATTGGAGAAATTCAGTGCCAAGGCGGCCACTTTCCTTCTATTCTCGCAGCGGAGAAGTGATAAGGCGGAAAAGCGCGATAGCTTGCGTCGGGCAATCGCCGCAGCGGAACGCTTCAAAGAGGAGGATTTACTCATCCAGTCCCTGCTCAAGCTTGGCCAAGTGCTTCTTGAACTGAAACTTCATGGCGACGCCATCGTTCGCGTGGAACGAGCAAAGCTACTACTTGCAAAACATCAAACAACCGGGAATAAACAACAACTGCTTCTCGATGCTTGTGCAACTCTGTGCACGTGTTATCGAGCTGTGAGAGAACATTCCAAGGCCACTCAGGTGGCGAGAAAGGGCGCGGAACTTTCACAAAAGTTGAACAACCCAGATGTCGAGTTTCACTGTCTTGGAGAAGAAGGACGAGCTTACCAAGATCTTGGCAATCCTGAAAAGGCACTGGCCAGTTTCACATCACAGCGGGAGCTCCTCAGTCCGTCTAGCTATCCTATTGCTTGGGCAGATTGTCTTCTTGGCATCGTCGATTGCTTGGACAGTTTGAGCAAAAAAGCCGAAGCAAAGTCTGTGGCTCATGAACTCGCGCACAAATGTGAACGAGAATACAACCTTCAAATCCGCGTCTACAGACGATTGTCTCGTCTTCATGCTGATGAAAATTGCCTCGACTTGACAGCGGCGATCAAATCCACCGAGTCCCTTCTCTACGCCGCTATAAAAGAAGCTGACACGGAAGTCGAGTGGGAAGCATATCATTCTTTGGGACAGTATCACATGCGACTTGGGCAGCTTCAACAAGCTGAAAGTTGCTTGGAACGCGCCAAACGAATGGACCAAGACAAAAGCAAGGCGATTGATATTGATCTCGCTTATATCGCCTTTCAATTGAAAAACTTTGACAAGGCGCGCACGATCCTACGTCATCACCATACGAATGAGGCGTTCAACATCCTTGGTAAGATTTAACTCTATCAAAAAGTCATTCTTACTTGTTTTTCTAGCGCAAATCGAAGAGGAATCTGACAACTGCCAGGTTGCCGTCGATCTCTATAAAGGAATTATCGATTCGACTCAGAATCTGACTCTGAAAGATGCTTGCACGAGCAAACTAGCAAGATGTCTTCAGAAGATGAACCTCCACGACGAAGCCGTTTCAACTCTCAGAAATGTTGTCAAGAAAAGTGGTGGCGAAACCGACTCTGTTGTTTCTGACGCGACGCTGAACAAAACCGCCACTACTACTGCAACGATCTCAAGTATACACTCCACCGGGTCAAGTACAGCCGAACAACTTCATCTGACTCTTGCCGAGTCACTGGCAGCGATTGGAAATATCGAAGAAGCGCTAGAAGAGGCTGAACATGCTGGAGATACTGGAACGTCTCTTCGGGAGCTTCTTCTTGTTCGGGAAAAGAAACTTACAGAAGCTTTGCACGAGAGAGTTGCTGATCCAAAGCCGGGTCTCCACTTTTCCCTCTGTCGGCTTGATCTGCACTGCTGGCTCGTGAATGATTACCAACAAGTCATTGCTTTTTGTGGACACTCAAAGGCTTCTGACCACCTCGTTCGCCTCCGAAACATCATGCTTCGTGATCTCAGCCCTCGGATGGACATTTCTGATCAATCTATGGATAGCACCGACGACAATTTCACCCTTCAGTCCGCCTCGGTTTATCTTTACGAAGCACTGATTGGCGCTTTTGAAGCGGAACTGGTTCGAGGTCAGTCTTTGGAAATCTACTGCCACGACGATCGGCTGTTATCTGTTCCATGGTCGTGCCTCACTGGAGACGATAAGATCCCACTCGTGGAAAAATACAAGATCGCAGTCGTTCCGTCTGCTCTTGATGTGATGCCAGCATCACCTGAATCCGGCGTGAAGCTTATCCAAATCCAATCTCTTGAGACTCAATCAGAACCAAACAGCAAGGACGAAGGGTTCCCACAAAGTGTCATCTCCAATCTTGCAGAATTGAAGAATGCCTTGGCGAAAGAAAAGCATGTTTGGCTGAGTCTGGACGTTCGCAGCGAGCTCGAACTTTGTCTGTCCGAAGAGCGACATGACGTTTATAACTTATTCTCAACTGGAGAGCTTTCAAATCTGAGTATGATCGTCCTTGATTCCGACAACACCGGCCCACTTGCAGATGTTCTGATCAAAGCAGGAGTTTCTTGCGTGATTCGACCACTTTGGAAGGTTCCTAAGATCGCTGTGTCTGATTTTGTGCGATTATTGAACGAGAGCCTTGAATCAATGGATCCGATCAGTGCTTTACAAGATGCTCAGTTGAAACAAAAGTCGGGAAAGAAATTTGTCGATACTAGCTTTTGGGGTGCCTGGATTGGAACAGGGATTCCCAAGTCTGGTCCGAATGCGTCCATCACCGATGCTCTTTATGGGCTTCTGAGAAGCGAACCGAGTAGAGCCAGGCGAACGCTTCTTCAAGTTCAGCTTGGCGAGAAGACTCTTTCAGAAGAAGATGAATCCCTTGTCGATGACTTTACAGCTCTCGTCCCGTCGCTTCTTGCGATTCCAGTGGATTGCTTGAGCGCTCTTGTTCCAATCCTTCCCCGACGTCGACTTCTCGGAGAAATCAAACGCCAATTGAAGTCATCTGACAAGAGCAGAATCGATATTGACATGTGCTCCTGGGCTGCCGGCGGGTGCCATGATTTCCTCCAGAAAATGGGCTTTGGCGTCGTGGAAATGAGCGCCGAAAAGGTTTCCCTCCAAGGCGGCAAATCAGAAATCGTTGAAATCGTTCACCGCGCTCTCACGCAAATGCTCAGTACTACCGACAAGAGTGCCAGCCAAAGTCCAGATGAAACGAGCCTGGAACTAATTGAGAACTCGCCCGTTGTATCTGAGCCGTCAAATACGTCACCTCTAAGACACTCCGATGCGTCGCCATTCAGGTTCGTGATTTTAAAAGTTCAGTTTCTAGTTGAACCTATCTTTCAAGTAACCAGTTATTAAAAATCTATTCAGGGTTGTCCAACGAAAGGCGAAAAGTCTCAACGATACAATGGACTCTGCTCTCGGGCCTGAAAGCATCAAATCGCCTGACCTAAACCTTACCCCGTCAAAACGCCGCGTTATTGAAGTGACTGGAAGATCGAGCTTGCCCCTAGTTCAACACAAGTTCCGATCGCTATGGATCGGCTCAGATCCGCTTCGACCCAGATGCGAGGAAGATCAGAGTTCCGGATTCGGCTCTGGACAGAACAAAACACTCAGTGAAACACTGTAACTGTAAATTAATCTTATTTGTATAAACGTTATTTTTATATATTCCGATGAAACTGCCTTATCTTGATTTACACGCCTAGAATATATCTTCACTCTTTTATTCCGAAAAAATAACCTAAATTGTTTCTTGTACTGTTGGAGGCTCAAAAAACTAGAGTTACTGTGAACGAAATCTTATACAATCGACTGTTCTTGTAATTATTTCTTCGCCTGTTTCTGAATGTATATTTTGACAAAAAAAAAATAAAAAGCATAAAATCTCTTCGTTGATTTCAATCAAAATGGTTTTGATGGCCGTTAAAGGCTTGAATTAAAGTTTTAATTGAAGGAGCTGAGTAATTCTCTAGAATAATTCTCTCCCAATATTTGCACACTCTTATCGACCGTACAGTTTCTAATCATACAGTCGCTTGGTTACTCATGCTCTGGCTCTCGAGCTGGTCCACTCTGAATTAGTGTGAATCACACACTCAATGATGCACTATTCCCTTGGCTGATCCCCTGGCCAATGGCCGGCGCGTGAGCTCGGTTGAGATCATCTCCAGAGCACGGAGCTTCGTGGCCCTAGCGCGCGTGGGCGCACTCCTTTATTCCCGCAGCAGATCGCGCCAACTTAGTCAAGCCACCAAAAAATAGCAAGGAAATACTCACCCTAAAAGCCTTCCCCGAGCCGTAGATAGAGAACAAGGGGCCTCACAGATCGCGGAAAACGTGTATTTTTCTGTTGTTTAGCGGCGCGGACTGAGCAAACTTATTTTGTCGTTCAACGGCGCCACGGGTCAGAGCGGGTGAGAGGCTTCAGGGAGATTTTGAAAAATAAAATTATACAAAAGAGACTTTAAGAGCGATTTATTTTATGAAAGAGACTCGGTGAAAGTGAGGAAAAAGAAAATGTATGAAGACGGCAGAAAACTGAACTGGAATCGATTTTCATCAGCCACGGTTTTAAATAGTTATTGATTCAAAATAATGCCGACTTTTTGTTTGTTTTTTAAAAACAGCCTTTCTTTTGAAGGTTCTTTGCAAGTAAAAAGCAGTAAGGTTAAAATTAAGTAACTTCCGCTCACGTCAGTTTATTTCTCCTTCACGGAAAGGGTGGTCTGTCTTTCTCAAAATTCCTGAATCCTCACTAGTCTGGCCCTTAGTCAAGCCATCACTATTATCATGCCCTGTCTACATGTGACCATGTGATACCTCTATTATTTATCTTCTCTGCTTCCCATTTTACGAGTGCTCAATCATTCAAGAGTGATTTTATTCAGAAAGAAGTTGAAATATGAATCCCGAATACGATTACCTTTTCAAACTTTTACTGATTGGAGACTCTGGCGTCGGCAAATCATGTCTTTTACTCCGATTTTCCGATGATACTTATTCAGGTAAAACACCTTTTTCTTCAATCCTCGAATTATTGCGATAATAAAGAACATTTTTATGAATAGAAATTGCCGTCGTTAAAATTCCGATTGACTTTTTTAAACTTTGAACTTTCAGAAAGCTATATCTCCACAATTGGTGTCGATTTCAAAATCAGAACTATCGAATTGGATGGCAAAACCATCAAACTTCAGATTTGGGATACAGCCGGCCAGGAGCGCTTCAGGTAGGCTCGTAGAAAGTTAGAATCTCTCACCTTCCTGCCACACAAATATTTCCCCGTTTTTTCGTCAAGTTTAAATATTTGCCAATCAGTTCGATTCTCAATCCTTGTTTTTAGAACTATTACTTCTTCATACTACCGAGGTGCTCATGGTATCATTGTTGTGTATGACGTCACTGGTAAGGGAGCCCTTTTACGACAGAAATTCTAGCTCAATATTTAGACCAGGAATCGTTTAACAACGTCAAGCAATGGCTCCAAGAAATTGACCGATACGCTTCTGAATCTGTAAACAAACTTCTCGTCGGAAACAAATGTGATATGGTTAGTTAAAATAATCGTAAAAGAAAGAGCCAATTGACCTTAATATCCAGACCACGAAAAAAGTCGTCGACTACACTACTGCGAAAGAATACGCCGATTCCCTTAATATCCCATTCCTCGAAACTTCTGCTAAAAATAATACCAACGTCGAACAGGTACGACTCCAGTCTTTGATAACTCTAACACCAGTAATTTTAGGCTTTCTTAACAATGGCATCAGAAATCAAGAACAAAATGGGACCGGGCTCTGGTCCCTCGCCGTCCGGCCCAAGAGGAAATGTCGATATTGGAAAGACGAACAGTGTAGGAAACAAATCTGGAGGTTGTTGTTGAAAATGTTGGAAAGTTATCTTCTCACTGGAAAATTAATTCCCTAAAGGCGCCGGGCTGATTGCTTTTTTGTTTTTTCTCGGTCGATAATTTTCATATTTGAAATCAAGGAAGAGTACATATATTGAGCATTTATCTGTTTATATTAAACAGCCCTGTAAAAAGATATATACACCACAACTCTCGCCACTTTCAACTCTCATCGCTGCACCACCTTTGCGTCAATTTCACAATTTACAGTCTCCTCTTTCGAGGATGAAATATCGTCGGAACTAATCTCAATATTCAAACCGTACCACCACCAGCTCGACCCAAAAAAGAAGAAAACTACGTTTTGTCAATATTTCCCTCTATTCGTTATATAATATTACAAGAAACGACATATTTATATACAAAAAATATACTTACATTACAATAATTCTTCGCCGCAGCCTGCAGGTGGCACTTTTGCGTTTTTCTTTTTTTCTTTCATGAACATGTTCGAAATTTACTCCATCCGGTAAATGCAATAAAATTATTCTGATCAAAATCAATGTCTTTTGTTCAATTGTCATTACAGGTATCTAACAGTGTCAAAGAGGGAAGGTCAGCAATTGCGTCAACAGTCAATTCCGTTGTTCACGCAATTGCTGATTTTCCGGACAAGAAAGTCGCGAGTTTCTTCACCGCTATTTCCATCTTCTATTCTAACCAGTAAGTTCTAATCAGATTTTATCAATTTTTCGCTGTCAACCAACATACAAGCTCAACTTCGTTATATTCTTATAGTGAGACAACCACGTTTTCATCTTTTCACGTATGCTTGGCAATGACTTTCGTAGGAGCCAGTATATTTTCTTTTCAATAATATTACTGCAAAATCATGATAAATATACATAATAATTTTCACTTTCGGAATGTATGCAAGAACACGAAGCTTTTGCATATGATTCGAGTTTATTTCGATTGACAGTTAAGGTACTAAAGATCAGAAAGTGCGAAGGATTCTCTTGTCCCTCTACTCGGCATAAGCGGACTTACATCGTTGCCGATCTGTTGACTTATCGATCGAGGAAAGATTCGACCTGAACTTAGTTTTGTCTGCTAGAAGTGCCCTTCTCACCACTCATGTTCGTTTGTTGAGTCCTTATTGATGAGCGCGAGGAGAAAAACTCCAGGTCATTTTCTAAAGAAGCAACTTTTACAGTCAACAACGGAATAAGAACTTACGCAAATCGTTGTTATGCACTCTTATGTCGGAAAAACCTGACTCTTCTTCGACGCAGCAGAATAGTAGACAGGGCGATATGTACTTGTATCTAACGCGGTAAATAAGTCGATAGAACAGTTTTCTGCATTCAACTCGGTATTCGCTGCTGTGAATTATCTTTTCGTTGTTGAAAATTGTTTTGCTTTTTCTTGGAAATTTTAATTTTTAACATTCATAAAATATTGGATCAGCGCAGTTTCCAATCTGCGGCATAATCTGAAAGAAAGCGGAGACCATGATGATCCAGTGGCTTGGCTTGGCGACTTGACTTTTCAAGTCAAAAAACTTTGACCAATTTAAATACAATTTACTGGCGTGATAAGGCCCCCAGCTCAATGCATATAATATTCCCAAAGCTGTAATCAAGTGTTGGGCTTTTTGTTCCCTCTCGATTACTGGATTGATGGAATTTCTGTTCTTGCGCTTGATGTGCTGTCTCAGTCTTTTGTAGACGTAGAAGTATGAGTGGCAGATGATCAATAAGGGAAGCATGTAGAAGAGTGCGAATCTGATCGTTCTGAAGATGGGGAAACTTGATGAGCTTTCGTGGTAGCTGAATTTGGTTGAATATTTGTTACAAATTGAAAATAAGAAGCAATATTTATCAACCAAATGTCCCACAGCTCTTGACCGTTGAAATATTCGAATAAACTGGGTTCAAACCATCAACTGGCCTCGAAACGGCCTGCGAAGAAATAAAGGACAATGTTGGAACTGATGAAATAATCGCTGATAGAAGAACGGCGTAAAGTTTGATTGACGACTCTTCAGCTCGGTACACTGAGCCCAATCGCTTGTCAAGCCCGCTGACGGTATTGTATCGCTCGTTAGCAATAATCGCGAGTGAGGTGGATATTAAAGAAGATGCAAGGTCTTCTCCGAAAAATGAAAGTTTGCAAAAAGCGTTATTCTCCGTCAGAAGGTCGTGAGTCTGGCTCGGTTTGTAAAAATCCTCGTTTGCTGATGTTTGCAAATAGTTGATGTTCATAAGAAACTTGTGGGGCAGAACGCTAACTATGTATCTCAAATGATATTAAATTTTCTCTCCTCTTGAGTATTGCTTACATAATACTTCCGATAGCATTAAGCTGAAGAAAACGTCGAGTTCCAGTCTTTCTCTTGCTTATTTGCTGGACATAAATGACCAGTAAATTTCCAAAAATACCGATAAGAAAGCTCGGTATCTCTATAGCAAGTTCTGCAAGAGCATATGCATTCGTTGTTGTAAAAAACTCTTCAGTTTTATCGCCAAAACGAAAATCGAACTCATGAGTTGATTCCAACATGTTTTGGGTTTTAGTCGGCAGTTGATATTTTGCGAGATTTTATAATCTTTCCTTTTGACTAGGTTTTTGTTCTGCTTTCAAAGTTGACGCTCTGTAACAAAGATAATTGAGTTTTGTTTATATCAGGAATACGTTTTAAGGTTCAATAACAGACAGATTTGTAGGTCAAAGGCTTGAGGAACAACTTTCAATCGGCTTGAAAGGCTTTGACTCTTCGGAAGATAGGCGTTCATGCGTTTTTTTTGTAAGGAATTTTGTCTTTATTTTTGAAGCGAGAAGGAGAATCGCAAAAACCATGAGCATGATTGTTGTTTTGAAGGGGAAGAGTTGAGGATGTTTGTAGTCAACAGATTCGTCATAGCCGGGCCATTTGATGAAAGCTGGAATTCCAAGAAAATGCTCACCGGAGAGCAGCCTTATCAAGGTTCCGAAGATGAATGCAATGACGGAGCCGAATCCATTCACGCGATCCTTGAGATAGAGAGATGCAGTCAGCTGCGGAAAGAGAAGAACGTAGACCAAATCACCGGCAAAGTGGAAGAGCTCGTAGATTGATTCGAACGTCAGGGATAGGTAAGTGGCGATGGCGGAAAGGAGAATGATGTTGACTTTGAGAAGGTATCCTCCTGTTTTATTCGTGATTTCGAAACCCTAAAAGAATGTTGATTGAGCACTTTGATAACAAAAACTACCTTTGCGTCAGCAATTTCTTGAATAACATTCGCTGTAAGCATCGAGGCGCCGGAAAGCATAGAAGAGTCAATTGAGCTCATCACAGCAGCTGCAACTGCTCCAAGTCCGAAATACCCAACAATTGTCGGAGTGAACTCTTCAAGAGAAAGCGGGAGAATTGATTTCTTATTCTTTAGAAGCCACTCTTGAAGCTCTGAATCATTCATATCCATATTGGCCAAGCTTGTAAGAGACCAGTCCGCAACTTTTGCCGAAGCTCCGATAACGACGGGAGGGATAACCAAAATTGTGGTCCCAATAGCGCCACAAAATGAAAGAATCTTAGCGGATTTGTCGCTCGATGCCGAGAGAACTCGCTGGAAATATCCTTGCCAAGGAATTCCTCCAAGCATAAGCATGATAATTGCATCAATCCAGCTGGCGATTTTCGGTTCTGGGATTGTTCCGATCCAGTCAGAAGTTCGATTTTCCCAGTGGCCAGCTACAGGCTCAGAGGTTAGAACAAAAGGCATCGCAGTGAAGAGTCCGATGGCAATGAAGATTAATTGGACAATATCTGTGTATGCTACCGCGTAGATGCCACCAGAGACAGTCTAACGGAATTATTACCAGTATGGATAAGCATGAACTTACATAGAGTGTCCCCACAGCAGCGGAGATGATGATAGTAGGCGTTTCTGGAGTGTTCAAGATGACCGACAAAGTTGTTCCCAGAGCGGCGAGAACAGCAGTACTCCAAAATAGATCTCCAAGTACTGCAGGGATAACTAGCAGGGCAGCAGGCAATCTTCCGTAAGCTTTCTTTCGTAAGATTTTTAGACAGAGGTTCTTTACGCGAATTATGTCACAAGAGTTCACACTTCCTCAAGACTCGAGAATTTCAACTTGAAACCAATTAGCGAGCACTTATCGCTATTAAACCTTTCCTTCAAAGGATCAATCATCGTTGTAGCACCAGTCGCTCGTATCTGTTTCGCAAAAAACATGCCACCGATGGCCATGGAGAGTGTGTATCCAACTGCACTAGAAATCGCCTCAACTAAGATGATGCTATACGAAACTTACGCTTGGCACCACAGAAGGCCTTTTTGAAACACAACTTCGGCAGAACCGTTTATGTAACCGCCGCAGACCCATGTAGCTGTCATTGTGAATACTCCAACAACCGTTGAAATATCCCTGAATATAATTAAACCTTTTCAAACGCTTGGCTACGTTACCTGTCACCAACAATGTATCCATTGTCGCCTTTTCCTTTGTGACGATTCTTCCAGCCAGCCCAGACACCAACACCAGCAACAGCCAAGTAGAAAACTATCATGCATTTCGCCATTATTACGATAACAAAAATGAGATGACTTACTCAAAATGATTATAAGTCCAACAACATCTAAAGATCCGCCTTCACTCGTCATAAGTAACTGTTGAAATGACTTCGAATGTTCAGTCTCTTAAATTTTTGTCTCTTTGATGTGGATTAAAAAAATAACTGCTATCAATTTTTATCAAAATATGAGGTTCTGGAAGGAGAAGTTCACTCCCGCCTTGAGTAACTTGTAGCAATGTAGATGGGAGCAATAGCGTAGTGCCCTCTATACTCTGTTACGCATAAGGCTTGTTCCATAAGCGATGCTGCAAATCAGATACAAATTTTCCTCGCTAGAAGCGCTAATCCGTCCCAATGTCAATTACATGAAAAAGCAAATTATTTTATGAGCGAGAATCTCTGATATTTCGGAAGTATTTTCTCAAAATCAAAAAATAATATTTGATTCGATCACGAATGATGTTATCCATCATTTTTTTATTTCAAAAATATGGAAACTTTACCGTCCGAGTGTAAAGCAGTCTCTTACTCATAAATAAGAGACATGTATAAACGTAAAAGAAATTTTTTACCGTAGATAAAGTATATTTTAGTTTGACAGGAAGAGGAAATTTTTTCTCCATTAGCCAAAACTGACCCTTATACCACATTGAAAAAATGTATTTGGGCCAAAATAACTGTTCACAGGAAGGAATATATTTGTTGGTATATTATTTGCAAATATTAAAAAAATCGAACAATTCGATAGGATATTCCAAAATCATGTACCTCCTCCCTTATTTTAGTCATAACGTTGAAAACGATTCTATTTGAGCAAATTTATTCATCAAATTTCGAATTTATAAAAGTTTGGTGGTTTTCTTCGTCGGCCAAATCACTCCAACTCCAACTGGGCCTCCAACAAGGCCTCCAACGACAGAAGGGCGCTTGTTGTTCACTGTTCTGCTTTGATGATCCTGATCATCGTCTTCAAGACTTTCGTATCGCTTCTGTTTAAAAGTTTTTACAAAATCAAAAAATGTCATCTCTGAATTAAAAAAACGTGTCTACTGGTTGTTGCTGCAACGTGAAAGGTACCAGAAAGAGGAGGGGCCTGAAGAAGCACGAGTGTTCTATCCCCTCGGGCGGCAGTTGATGAAAGTATTTCGGAAGAATTGAGAGTCTCGTGTGTCTCAAAAATGTTGATCAGCATTTCAGGCAACGCTGAAAGTTTCAGCATGAAATACAATTTGAAATTTCTTATCATAATTTTATTTATGATCTCGGCATTTTCTAATTCATTTGTCAGCTAAATTTTTCGTCATTTTCACCACAATTTATGCGGAAAAAAACATATGCGCTGACTTTTCAAATGCATTATGCTTTTGTTGAAAGGTCACGCCGCAAACGATGCTATAAAATGAAATCTTATCATTTTGGAAGGTGACTCTGAGATACTCAACCGCCAACCGTCCACGAAAGGTTTGAAAGCTTTGCGAGATAATTATTTGAGAAATTGTGAATGTAGGAGTCGGGGAATGAAATTGTTCCCGTCCCTTTCAATCCTGCACCTAGCAGCGGCGGGGTCAGACTTCCACGTCGAGGGTTGTCTCTCCGTTGCCGTGCCATGGGGCGGGCTCCTTGCTGATTTGGACAACCAATGTACTGCGCTCGGTGACGCCATTTCGGCCCAGTATCCGGACATGGAGTTTCGAGCGAACACGTGCTTCTCGACTTGCTCAGCCCAAAACGAAATCGGAGGGTCGCCGGAAATTGCTTATTCTGCTGGCCAGTTGAACCCAACAACTGCGGCCTTTGGTTGCTACGATGTTTGCGTAGAGGCTTGGAACATCAACGAAGACGCTGTTGGTAGCGATGATGAGGCTGATGTCCTTGAGTATATCGAGGTGAGAAATACTCATGTTCAAAATTCGCATCAAACTCTAGAACGGAATCGGCCTTCCATACGGTGGCTTTGCCAAATTCATAAACGTCATCAACTTCAACGAATTTGAAGGCTCTGGATCTGGTGACGAGGTCAGCACAACAACTGGTCCAACAACAACCACGACGTCTGGAACCGGTACGACCACAACTGACTTCACCACCACCACGACAGTCAACCCCTTCGAGGGCTACAGCGAGTACAGAACATGTGTCACCATGTATTTGCCCATTCTCTGGCTCTTCGGGTCGATTTTCGGAAATGTGAATGAGCTCTGCTTCAGTTTTACTGGACAGATCTGTCAGTCGTTCCATGCTGTCGGAGCTAAATGCTGGGAGACTGCATGCGCTGGAACCTGCAGTGGTAATGGTGTCCAAGACGGTGTCAACGACTTCCTCGATAACGATGCTGCCGCTCAGGAGGACAGCCAACAAAGTAGCCAGGCTTTCGACAGCAATGGCCGCCTGAAGCCAGATGCACCCCCAAACAAACCAGGTTGTTTTGATTACTGCTGGACTGTTCATGCTACAGATGACCAGATTGCAACAGTTATCAACCAATGGTCCTCCAGCAGTCGCGGCTTTGCTGAGAAAGTCAGTCAGCAGCGATTCATCGTCGATCGACAGAAAACCTTCGAGGTCATCGCTGACTTCGCCCTTCTTGATGCTATCGTTGAAGAGGGTGAATACACTGGTGGTATGCAACAGCTTGTTGATGACACTGTTGATGCTGGTTTCGTCTGTGATGCTGATTGCGACGAGAACAACATTGTGGATACCGCTTCTTCAACCATGTGGGGCAAAGCTGACAACAGTGCCCTTTCAGGTATCGACTGTCAGGACGGCAACAACGGCGGCTGTTCCCATCTTTGCACCGGTGAAGGTGTTGACGGAGTCTGCAGTTGCCCTAATGCTTGTTGGGATCTTGTCGGAAAAGAGTGCCAGATTCCCTCTGACAAAGTACTCCTTAAGTGTGAGCCCGATCGTATGGTCGCTTACATCGCCAAGTGCATTGTTGAAGACCTTGATGAGGGAGTCACAACTGGCGATTATCATCTCAGCGATAGCCAATGCAACCCTGTTACTGGCTACGTCAACGCTACTGAGCCTTGCCCAGCAGAGATCGACTCTATGACTACTGGATGCATGTCTTTCAACACCCGTCTTGATGAGTGCTCAACCGGTGTCACTGCTGATTACACAGCCAACATCATGACCTTTTCTCAGACCCTCCAGTCTGCAACAACCGGAAACGCAGTCACTGCTTCAAGCGGAGCTCTTTTCTTCATGAGCATTGCTCCAAAAATCACTGTTGACTTCACCTGTGAGTACAACACTGACTACGAGACTCATGTTGGATCTGCTCTCGTAAATCCAGATTCTGTTGATAACTCACTCACCAGCACCGGTAACTTCGTCTTCCAGTTGAACACTCTCGATCCCGTGTACACACGAAGCGGAGCCATCACTAGCTGGGCCATGCATGATGCTGTCGCCGATCCTTACAATGTCGGTTCTACTCTTTACTACAAGGTCTGCCAAGCCATGCCTCTCGACAACATTTACTTCTCTGTTCCCGACTGCACAGTCACCAACGCCAACAAGACTGAGTCCTACGGCATCATGGTGAACCATCAGACCGACGAATTCGTCAAGTTCCAACGAGTTGGACGGGATTTCAATGGTACTTTTGCCGAGTGGGGCAATGCTGCGGATCTTGTACCTATGCCAGCTGGTTCGTGGTACAGCCCATCAAACGAGCTCTCGAACGACTGTCTCTACTTCAGGTTAGAATTTGTTATATTCTGTATAGTTATCATCTCTATCTCTAGTTACACCGTTTTCGAGTTCGTTGGTGACGATAACGACGGAGACCTCCGACTCACCTGCGACGTCCACGCTTGCAACTACGATGAAGATCAGCCCAACGACATCTCATCTTGCGTGAGCGAGGATCTTCTCGCCCGACGAAAGCGATCTACCGACGATCAAATTCAGCAATACTGGCGAGTGGCGGTTGATATCCCCCTTCGTCATCTTGACGTTTAAACAAAAACAAATACTGTTTGTTTGAGTTTCCTCAGACATTCGAATTCGACAATTCTGCTTTGACAATTGACCATGCTCCTGCTGAACTGGGCCAAAGTACCGCCGTGGGACAACGCGCAAAAGGCCGACCGATACTTTGACCCAGTCAGCTATTTCTTCACCAAAAACGCTCTCATTTTCATATTTTTTACCTCAGCTGTGGTATAAATTGATAATATAGTATCAGAGTCATTATCAATTTATGCCGCGCGAGGGCGCTGCTTATTTCCCTACCTTTTCACTTTTATTCGTTTTTACCATCTGAATCTGTTTTTGCTTTCCATTTTCTCAGTTAACGAAAAAGAGAAGAAACTGTTGCGGTTTAGTTTCTTCTGTTTACAACAAATGCGAAAATAAATCAAAAACTTTTCAAACACCATGTAATCGTTGTTAATCATTCTTTGTAGCAGCTGTGTAGTAAGGCTCAAATACTGAATTACGAGGCATCTGACCGGTTTGACCCATTGTTTCCAGCATGTTTCGATACTTGTCTTCCTCATCTTGCTCGATTTTCTCCCGATGGTACCTTAGATCTTCAAAACCTCTTCTTTTGTACACTGCATATGCAAGACACATGTCTAGAAGTCATTAAGATGTTTTTATAGGAGTTATTCTTTACCAACGAAAGCGATGCAAAAAGCCGCATAAGTGCATCCTCCAAGCTCAAATCGAATTTGGTCAAGATCAATTTTGAGCTGATTTCCAGGCATGAAATCGCTACTCCAGAGCTCTTCTGACTTGAACTTCTTTACGATCATGCTTGTGTATAAACTTGCAGTTGTTAGCTCAAGAACGCCAGCGGAAAAGGTCAGCAAGGCGGCGAGTTTCATGAGCCGAGTTTTTGTCTCCGGTGTCTTCAAAGAGTATGAAGCAAACTTTTTTCTACTTGGTAGAACTTACCCTAAAAAAGCACTTTGTACATTCCATTCCGAAGAGCAGAATGATCAGCGCAGCTCCCAGGAAAATCTGGCTTATTATAGCAAAAGCTTGCATCACAATTGTGACTGGAGTTTTTAAGAAGAGAGGTCTGAGGCCATTATCACATTGGAATTGACCAGGCATATATTGAGCACACTGCGCAAAAAGTCCCTTGAAGAAGAAAATGGCTCCAAGAGCAGGGGATGAAACAGCTGAGTTCATAAGCGCCCAGAGTGGCCATACAAGAAGAATGACTTTTTTAAAGTTAGCCTTGGAAGAATGAAAGATGCAACTTACATTGAGTTGTGAAGGCAAAAAGGACGCAACAAAATAAAACAATCTGCAATTGATCAAAAGGTGGTAATTGGTAAACTGTGGAAGCTGAATTAAATGTTCTTCTCTCCATCATTTTGTTATTTGAAATATTGAAAATTCTCACTCCTGCTAGTCTTTTATTGCTTTGCGCCATTATAAAAAGCCAAAAGTACACATTCGATATTTTTATTGGAATGAGAATTTCCGTCGAAAATTTTCGATTATTTATGAAAACAAATATATTATCAGAAAAAAAATTTGAATATGGCAGTTATGAATACATGAAATATAAGTTGAAAGTTATAAAAAGAAATTAACGCGGTGGTGTTTGTCCATGTTTCCATATCGAAAGCTTTCAGTAAGGAAATCTAGGTCCATTGTTCCCTCATCGTAAAGACGCCCTTATAAAAATATGTTCATAAGAAGTGAGGAAAGGCTTACTTAATTTGATAATCGGTGCAGTTTGCTCCGTTGTCATTCCATTAGCTGTGTGCGTCTCTGTTGTTCGCTCAACTTCCTTTTCAATATCAGCAATAGTAAGGAGTCTGCCACAATTTGGCCCTGTATCCCACTTGTAGCAAAGCTGAACATAGCCATCGTGCCAGAATTCTATGTGAAGTCCTTCTAAACTTGAGTCTTAGATAGAGGAATAAAGGGTACTCAACCATCAGGATGATCACTGGTATCTTTGCAGTTGTCCACCCAGCAGAGCATTTCTGGTTCTCCGTCTTTTATTCTGGCAAGGAAGCTGTGTCTTTCAGCGTGCGGCAAATCGTCGGCATCATCTTTTCCAATGTAGCAATACATCGTATCTTTATAGTAACCAAAGGCTTGAATGTCGGTCCAACCATGGCCGAATCTGTAACTTTCAACCTTTCTTTCATCGAGGCGAATGTGATAGATAAGAGTCCGAAAAAGGTCCGGATTGCAATCTATCCCTGCCCAGTTGTAGCTATCAAGAAAGGCCATTCGCGAGAAGATTTCAAATTTCGTTCCTTCATCCTCTACCTCGTCCAAGATGACTATTTGGCTCCACTGCTCTTTGATGCCTTCGGGAGAAATATGCCAGACTTCGATTTTGACTTTGTCGGCACGGTCTGTTGGGAAAACGACCGGCAGAAAATGATTCTTGGAAAAGAAACGATCTTGGATTAGCTTGGGTCTGTAACGCTTGTCGTACTCGTGGCATCCGTAGCAGAGTCCACCAACGATTTCTGCTGTCCGTGGATCAACGATGTCTTCTCTGATATTTTCCATGTTGTAGATTTGCACTTGTTTCAACTGATGCATCCGCGACCGTATGGTTACCACATATGGCTCGTAAAGATAGAATTCTGGATGATAGACTTGGTAGTCGTACTCGGCGGTGAAGACTTGGTTCAACATGACAGTCACTTTTGAAAAGCTTTCGATTCGAAATCCGAGTGTATGATTTATATTCAGAGTAAAAGCGTTCCTGCGTTTGGCCGAATGATTTTGTAAACATAGAAGGTGATAGTAGTTTGTGCTAAAGGCCCTCTTGATGCTTTCGTTCTGTCTTTCTTTGGGAGGCTTCGATCGTGTGAGCCAAGAATTCGAGCATCTGACACAATCTAAAGACAATTAGAGGAAGAAGAAACTGGAGAAACTTACATAATCATTCCCAAGAAATATCTCAGGGAAGGAAATACTCGCGCAAGTTCGGAAAGAAGCTTTTGGTTGAATGTATCCTTCGCAAAGAGCCTTGTGGGTTTTGATGATGCTGACTATCCCGGAAACATTTGGTTTCTTTGATAAAATAACGCTAACAGAGAATAAGAAGATGAAAACTTTACCTTTTTGTACTTAATTTCAAAGTCTCGTCTCACAAAGGCGATGTTTCTATCAACAGTTCGCTCCATCTTGTTCAGAAGTTCAGCACATCTTGTATCTGAGATAATGCCGTCGTATGGCCCCGCTCCTGGTGGGCAAAGGATGTATTCAAGGTTCAAAAAATCGTTGTATTCAAGCTGTGCTAGGATCTTCGCACCGATAAGATGACCCATCGGGTGATTCTTTATGCCTTCTAAAGTGGATATTTGCTTGTCTCTTGCTGATGACGACTGCATTTTTGCAGCTTTTCTGCTGCCAAGACTTTCAGATTCGCTGAAAACATCATCCCTTGCGACAGTTCTAGAGAAATCATGTTCTATTTTGAAAACATTCTTTACGATTGATGCTCGACTCCGACCATTATCTATCATTGATTTCATGCAATAAAAAATGAGTCATAAATTCTGCTGAAAGGCAGAGAACAGCTCCGTCGATCCCCTGAGTCCACCAATCGGCTCCTTTTATCTCCGTGAAAATCAAGAAAGAGAACGCTTATTCAGCTTTCCCTCTCTCACTTTTCTATATTTACCGAGGCGGACGAGTGAGCACACTTTTGCGCTTCCCTCGCAGTTCAGCAAATCACTGATCACACTTGTTTAATTTTTCTTAATCGAGAGAAGCAAACTTCAAGAAAATGGGACTTTATCCGACACTCGAAGATATGACTGTAGCAAATGCTATGAACGCTCAACAAGCACAACAACAACAACGTCAACAAAATATGATCCAAAGCCGTAAGCAACTTTGAATTCTAATCGATATAAAAAATAAGTGTCAAAATGAATTTTTTTTCCGAAATGTATTTTCAGACTCTAGTGCTCCTTATCCAACACTGACGCCAGGTTCACGCCCTGATGATCCTCCAAACTACTGGAACCAGCAATCGCAAACATCTCAAGCTCTTCAACCTGTTCAGCCATCTTCCATGGCCGTGGCAAACTACTCAAGCGCCCCTGTTTCAGGCGAGATGGTCGGAATTAAGAGAGCTGAGATCAAAGATGGCCTCCGAATGGTGCACATCTGTGTTGATCCTGATTCTAACAAGTTTGGACTCAAGTTGAAATGCATCGACGCTGGAGTCTTTGTCAGGAAATGTTCCTAGAAGATCCCGTGAAATTTTCCCTTTTGAATTCATTTTTGGAACACTAGATAGCTTGGTTGCAAAAGAATCACCGGCTGCACTCGTAGGAATTCGCTTTGGCGATCAAATCGTGCAAATCGATGGCGAAAACCTAGCTGGCAAGTCCTCAGACAAGGCGCTGAAGCTGCTCAAGAAGGCGAATCCCCAGAGATGTGAGGTAACAATAACTTTGAATGACACGCTCGTTAAATTGATCTTGTGCGTCAATCATTCTGAGTGTACGAAATTGTTATGAAAGCCTCTCACAATCACTTAAAGCTTGTTCTTCGCGACAGGCCATTGTCCTCCACGATTACGATGCAGAAGGATAGTCAAGGGCATGTTGGCTTCAAATTCAGTAATGGGCGTATTTCTCACCTCGTGCAAGGTAAATACGCGCTTACGCGTTTTCCCTTACAGTGTTTGTCTATAGACTCATCTGCTGCAAGAAATGGTTTGCTCATTGATCGTCAAATTTGTGAGGTTAACGGTCAAAATGTCGTTGGAATGAAGGTACCAGAAAGCCTCTTCTGAAATTCTTATGAAAAAACCTTTAGGACAAACTTATTTTGGAAATCCTTGCTGGCTGTGGACGAACCGTAACATTGACGACTATGCCAAAAGACGAGTTCGAGCATTTGTCGAAGAATGTAAGCAGAAGCATGTTCAAATCTATGGATCATTCTATTCCTGATGTTTGATAAAAGAGCTTCTGTCTTCTTCGCGCCTGTATAAAGTTCCTATGACCGTTAAATATCCCTTTGAGAAAAAAAGTCCAATAAAGCGTCTTCTATTGATTGTTTCTGTCATATTTGATTATCTGCTATTGATACTGGTAATAAATGCAGTGATATAATCATAAGAGCTGTCTTGCCAACATCATTTTGAACTTATTATTTATGAATTGCAATATCTATGGACCGCCAAGAGCGAAATAGAATGGTATTGATTGACCTGGCAAGGTAAACGCAGTGCATAGAATTCTTTCAAAAAGTCAAATTGTCAACAGAGGAAATCTGATTTATTCAGACGTCTGACGCAATATTCCAGATTGACAGCACTATCTCCATGTTTAACCCATGGTCAGTCATTTCTTTTTCCTTAGTAATCAAGGGCAAAGAGGCTCTGACGGAGCCGCTCCGTTGACCAAGAGTGCCTTTGGAGAATATTCTAAATTATACTAGTATCTAATGCAAGGCCAAGCAAGTTAGCGTAAATTTCAGTCCAGTTATTACCGAGTTCAATGAACTAAAGAAAAGAAGAATCTGGAGGTAAGACAGTGCGCACCGTCACAGTCATGCCTGCATTAATTATTATTACGAGATCCAACACTCAAAAGGCCAACAATATCGAAGTTGCTGGTCAGATCGTCGGTCATGAATTTAAGCTTTTTTCAACGGGTTATCATAGTTGTTGGTTTTGTTGGAGGAGTCAGAGGGATGAGTTACAATCAGGCTTGGAATGGGGCCTTTCAGGAAGGTTTAATGAACAATTTTTCTAGGGGAAAAAGTACTGTTTAGTAAGCCAGAAAAGTTGAAAAATGCGGGGCAACAGGTGAGCTTGGTTTAACTCATTAAAGGGAACAATATTTCAATTTAACTTTCTAATAGGAAAGTGAGGCGAATGCAAATCTAGTCTCTATCTTCGCATCCAAAGATGGGATGAAACGTTTAGCTGCGGACAAGAGGCGAAACAAATTCCTGCGAATGTACCAAAAACATGCTTTCGCCTGAACCTTCTTTCTGCGAATAAACTCGAATTGAACTCTAACTCTCGTCGTGTGGTAGACCAAGAATTGAAACTGTGTGCATAGCTGGCGTCGGTGTAAAATAAAATTTCCGACTGCCAACCATTCAGACAGTTCTTATTCTTGATCTCAAATCGTGTCTGTGTCTGGGTGACTGTCTGTTTTGTTCCTTGCTCCCCAGAAGGGATGAAAGGAATGATACTGAATCTGTCGAGCTTGCAATAAGCGAGGACTGTCGTTGGCGCCGAAACTGCGCCGGGTGGTGGCGCCACTCATTGGAACGTGTCCAGCGCATAGACAAAAGAGAATCGATAGAGGAACAGATGCCACCTACGAATCGATTGGCAGCTGCTCCAAATCGTTTTTTGCAAAAATATCGATATATTAAAATATAATTTTCAAGTATTCGTTCAAGTATAAAAATAAATGTGTTTGTGTTCAATATTATGGCATGGTGATAGTAAAGTCGCATCATCGAAATTTGGGCAAGTGAAATCATAATTTCGCAACTGCGGATAATCTAGCTTTAGACGGGATTCATTTCGCTTTTCATTTTCGAGTTTTGACTGGATTTTATGATCGGAGCTCCTAGCACGCCGCTCTTGTGCATTCTGCTCTCGTGAAGAAGCTTTTCTTGGCGACTGAAAAAAAGATGTTTAGGGTTGAATAGAAGGGCAGAAGTTTACCTTTGAAATCGAAGACTAGACAAGTCTTTAGCCCTCAAAGGCTTTGTATTAAGATCCACAAGTTTTCTAGCGTCTTTGAGTCCAAAGTTTTGCGGCATTGCATCTGCCTTGAGCGGTGGAAGATCCTTTGCATCACCTGCTTCTGTCTCTGGTCGCCCAATAATCTCTGTTGCCGACGTTTTCTGTAACTGCTTTGGTCGAATACTGAAAAAATATTCATAAAAACTAGAATTCTAGAAAAATGAGCCATTCCAATTTGAGATTTCCAAGAAAACTTACTCTTTTTTCCTCGTTGATCGGACAAGCACTTTTTTGACTGGATTTTCATCCTCTCTCAGGCTAAGATCAGAAATAGAAGTCGTTGCGGATATGATTCCAGAGTCGGCTTCGGAGTAATCGTCAAGTTTCAAAACATTCACTTCACTTGAACTTGCTCTGCTCAGCGCTGATTGCTGTCGATTTTTGAGCTCATCTAGAGTTTTCTGGATGTCTTCCGGAGTTACGGGAGTCTTATTCTGAGAATTTGCAGAACTTGGTCTCACTCTGGTTCGACCCTAAAATCGTTGGTAAAAACCATCCTTTCCGTGAAATCAAACCTGCAAGAGCCCCCTGTGACCTTGACGAATTCCGCCACTGGTGAGTGAAGAAGCAGACCCTGGCCGTGGCCCGATCGTATCGTCAACGGAAAACTCGACTTTGAAGTTATTGATCGCAGTTCTAAAACGATCACTTTTGCGATGGTAATCACATTATTGCTACAGACTTTTTCCACTAGTATCGATTCTTGCACACATACATAACCATATGCTTTCGTTATCTAATTAAGTCCAAAAGTAGACTTAACTAAAATGCAGATTCTTACCTGGGCCGGCTGGCAGACGGCGACTGGGGCGTCAGTTTTCCTGTTTTTGGGCGAATTCCAATCGCGGTAAACGGTCGCGAGAGTGGCTCGCTCGCAAGCAGCTCATCCTCGTCCTGAAAATTACCATCTGGCGAGTGGGTAAAATCAATTATCGAAGAAACTTTTGAACCTTCTCCACCGAAAATTATCACCCGCAATGATTGATTAGCTCTTGTTCCGTAATTATCGAAGTAGAAGAAGATTTTTTAAAGCAAGTTCACAAAGAAATTCCTTCAGGAAGTTTCATCTCTTATCTATCCAAAAAAAGTAAAAATCGCTACTCCGGAAAATCCGGATATTCAACGTACCAGAACGCCTTCAGCACAAAGCTCTTTGATGAAATTGACATCTGATAACTCGTCGAGAAAAGGCTCATCAGAGGGTGAATCATCCTCAATTGTACAGCTCTTCGGAAGGCGATTCGTCAAAAGCTTCCGGTAATCTGCCAGCTTTGAAAGAGGCGAGCCGGAAAGATTCACGTGTCGTAGATTTGGGCACAGAGACAGGAATTTTAGCTCAAGTGCTGAATAGTCCTAGTAAGAAACTGGAAGTATGAAATAACCTACCTGAATCAACATAGTTTCCTTCCATATCCAACACTTCCAGGTTCGAGCAAAATGCCAACGGCCCCAGCTCTTGAATTTGATTGTACGAAACGAACAGTTCTGTCAAATTTGGCAATCCAGAAGTCCCGTCTAAAGTTTCCATTCCCACTGCGTGTGCCCATAATATTTTTAGACTTTTGCAACTTCCGAGTTTTCGTAAATTTGGGAGGAATGATGGCGGTTCGAGTTTCAACTCGACCAGATTTGGTAGGAATTGGGACAGGTCTGATATTGAATTGGAATCTGTGTCTAAACAAGAGCTAGAAAAGTGTTCCTGAATAAGAAACATACCAAGAGGGAAGGCTACTTTCTCTACTGTATCAAGATTTTTTTCTTCTGTAATTTGCTCTAGCCTCTGTCGCGTGAGCTTATTTCCGACCTCAACCCCTCCAAGCCCTTCCGAATTCATCTCTGAAATTTTCAGCGTTAAATTTTTTTGTCTCTTCACAATTTAAAATGGCAGTTTTTTTGGGAAATGGTTCTAATCTGAGTCTGAATCACTTGACGACTCGCTTTCGGACTTGTGGACTTCTGTGGTGTCAGTTTTTTCGTGGAGGACGATGTACTCGCGCGTTGAAAAGCCGAACTTGAGCATGTCTTGTTCTTTGAGCTCGTAATATCTAGAATTTCTTTGAAAAACGGAAAAGGAGAGATGGCGTTGAGAACCTTCTTGGTTGAATCTTTTCGTTGTTGAGATAAGTTCCATTCGCCGATTCAAGATCAATGATATAAGGGCGGACAGAAAGAACTGTTCGTCCACTGGGTTTTGTGATCTTGACAGCGCGGAACTGGAGAGCGGCGTGTTGACGCGAGCAAGAGGGGTGTTCAACGGGGATTTCACAGATATCAGCAAGTTTTCCAATCAGATACGCAGATTGTCGATGGAGATAGATCACCTATGTTTTGCTAAAGACAGGGAGTTACAGAGATCTTACCTTCAGTGCTTCCTCCCCTTTGAAAGGATACAATCGCCACCTTTTCTTTGGAATTTTAGCCTCTGGCGGCTCAGAATATTTTATCACAACTCCCTAAAGAACGCGCTTTATTTACTTTATCACTTCTCTGTTTGAATAATGACCTTATAAGTGTTAGTTTCCGCAGTAAGGGCTCCGGAAAGTCCAAGATCAGGCTTTTGTTTCGGTTTTGAAGACTTGTCTCCTTCTTTGTCATTGCTCCGAAGGCCCCATTGTTGCTCGTCATTAGTATCGCCGCGCAGTGCGTCAGCGAAAACATTCTGAGAGCTTCCGCCCGGCGAGTCCGGCTCTCTTTTCATCGCCTAATGAATAAAGAGTCACTTCAGAGTTCTGGCAGATCGGGTTTTTCACCTCATTTTTAACATCTCTGTCTCCGCGCTGGAAATGATTTCGCCGTTCTCGCGCACGCTCCTGTCTTCTATCAAATTCTTCCTCAGTTTTAACCTCCTTCTTGATATCAGGAGATCTCTCTCGTCGGCGCTCTCTTGACCTGGATCGTCTTCTTTCCCGGGAACGATCGCGCCTTCTATCACGTGATCGCGAACGGGACCGAGATCTGGATCTTCGACGCCTTCTCTCCCGAGATCTTGAGCGAGATCGTTCTCTTTCTCGACCCATCTGATGCAAATTACAAATTAACAATTGTGTCGGAATGACATTAGCCGTATGAATGTAGAAATGAACTTTTAAAAGAAGAGATAAAGATAATAAATGATATCGAATTCAAGAGATAAAGAAGGAGGTCCTGAGTTCAGGAATAAACTCTTTTTGTTCCACTTAAAAATGTTTCAGTCGCGAGGAATTTTTATGAAGAATAAGTAAATAATCGGTAGAAAAGATAAGAGTCGGCCGAACCATTTTTTTCAATTGCACATGTTTTTCCGGTAAAAATAAAAACGAAGAGGGGATGAAGAGGGATCAGTAAGTGGTTGATGAATTATTTTGTATTTCGAAAGCGAGTTTTTGATTGTTTAAATTCGCCATTTTATTTTTGGTGAATGATAGCGCGCAACGTTTTTTCTGCCTCAATTCGAATGTCTGTCTGTTTTTCGAAAAATTCGCGGATGTGATCTTCTTGAAACAGAATGGCCTCCATTTGCGAGTACTTCAGGGTCCATTCTTTGTTTTCCGAGCAATCTTCAAAATGATTAAAACAGTAATTTTAAAGCAGGCGGTACCAGAATGATCAATAATTTCCGCCTCATCAGAATCTTGATTTCCTTCCTTACTTTCGTCTTCCTTGCTTCCCTGTTCATCCTTCTTTTCGATCGAAGCATGATGTTTTCGCTTTGCTTCACCAAGTTCTGTCATTAGCGAGATTGCATGTGCCAATTCTGTCCGCTCCGTCTGTCCCGTCCCGTTGCTTGAAACGTCGCCAAAAAGCTATCAGGTTTAATAATTCATGCGTTTTATAAATTACAACGAAATTCGTCGCTTTTAGCGTAATCGTCACGCGAAACAGCTTTACCTTGTAAATGAGCAGGTTGAAAGCTGTGAACTCGTCATAATTGAATGTTGTGGGCGTTTCATGGAAGTACGACTCTTTGTTAATTTCAAGATTCGCCAGATCATCGGCAAGAACCGCGGAAGCATCTCCACTAGGGCCAACGATCTCTAAAATTTTTTCACAAAATATTTCCTTGCTGAAAAAGTACCTAATGAATCGGGTCTCGATTCAAGATGCTTAACGCCAGCCCATGATCCAGAGGTCTTCATTGGATCAACATCAGCTGCACCTCCACCAAGTAAGTTGCCAATCGGACGGGTAGGAGCTTCTACTTCGGGGAAGAAGTCTTCTTTGAGCACAACTTTTGCGACAACTTCTGTAGATGAAGTTAGAGAGCCAGATTGTCCATTGTCGTCGCATGAAACAAGGCAGTAGCTGTCTTTTGGAGTTGTTTTTACTGCAGGAGGCTTTTGGCAGCGAGCAATTACGCGAAGTCGATCAGAGCTTGTTCCGCGGCAGAGTTCCCCGAATGTACTACATGCATCTTCAAATGATACAAATCCCTTTGAGTCTTTCTTGAGAAGCTTCCATATCCTGCTGCAGATTTCATCACCTAAACATTCAAACTAAGAGAATGTGGTCAAAGGGTCCACTCATGCTACTGATAAGATTTTGCCCTTCCGCGCCATTTTGGCGGTTGTTTGTATTTCTGATAACAATTGTGTTCGGGCTCAATTCATTCTGATTGTAACAAATTTACATGAAGATGTCTTTTTTAAAGCTTTTTACGAAAAAGAAAAATGAAATTTCAAAGAGACTTGATGAGTTCAACTCGATGGTAGCCGATGAAAAATACGAAAAAGAAGACATGATTGCTTCTGCTCAAAATGAAATAAAAAAACACAAGGCGAAGATGAGCAACGATAATAAAGACGCAGCAATCATCGCCAGAGATATCAAAGACATCACTAATGAAATTGAGTTCTTTGAGGAAAAAATCGCTGAAGGAAAGCAAGCAAAAGCCTCCGCGGAAATAGCTCTCAACGCGAAAACCATTCAAATTGCCGAAAATGATCGAATCCTTGAGGAATTAGAAGCGAATCTCCAAAAACGAAAGGAAGAAAAGGTAAAGCTTGATGACGATATGATTGAACGATTGAAAAATCTGGAGGTGAAACAAAAAGAAAATGATGATGTCCCGGAATGCCCCGTATGTTTCAATGCTTACAATGATGGGGAGAACCAGCTCGCCTCGGCACGATGCGGCCATATGTTCTGCAATGCTTGCATTCGAAAATTAGTGCAGGATGGGAAAAACTGCTCGATGTGCGACAAGAAAATTGAAGCTTGCGATGTTCGACGACATTTTATGTTCACATAAATTTTATCCATTGCAATTTCGTCGTTAGGAATAAAATCAATAAATCAAAAACATACCGACCAATCCTTTACCAAATGGCAAAAGTTCTTTGCCAAGGCTCATCCATAGAGGTCGATCGATGCGAAATTGTGCTTCAGCAGGTTTTTCAGGATCAAACAAGCAGTCTCTTATTTCTTCGTCATGATATCTTCTACTCATAGCTTCTTCCCGAATAAGCCTGTAAAGCGCTTCGATTTCTTCATATGCAAGCTACAGAAATTAAGTAAAGCATTCAAATTCAAAGAGGTACCTTCGTAGTGACTCTTCTGCAAGCAGATCTCATCGTGTTATTCTCAAGATCTCTGATAACTCGAAGTCGCTGATCCATTCTTAGTTTCTCAATCGAATCTGCAGAAATTAGCGAGTAGTGTTGGTAAGCATGTCGGATGAGTTGCGATATCTCCTGGCCAGTTCCAGCTCTTGAATTGAGGACATCTTTTGGTGCAGTCTGGTGGCTTTTCGGGGCTGCTTCTCGTGAGAAAACAGACTCAAGATATCCAGAAAGCAGGAGCATGATTTCTCCTTCATCTCTGCAATCCAAAAGCTAAGAGCGTTACGAAAGTGTATTAGAATAGAAATGTACCTTCTGTTCGTTTTCGCGAAGTATAGCAAGTGCTACTCTGAATATGACAACTGCACCATCAAGAAAGAAAGCATCGACAATCATTGTCGCTGCGTGAAAGGGCATTGAAGACAAGAAAATTGTAAGGAACCATGGAAGCGTCAAAGTGTCTACTACAGATAATTCTGCCAGACGACCGTGAATTTTTGGTAAGTGCTAAAAATCTTACAAACTTTGACTCTCAAAATAGAACCGACCTGTTTGACAAGTCCGACAAAAACCCCTTGATCCACAATTGCTCCAACAACTCTTTTATTGTAGTAATCGGGTAAGAGTCGTTCGCAAATCGCGACCAAAAGCCAGAATGCTTGCTCCTCGTTACAATACAGTAAAAGTACTGCAGTGACGATATTCATCGCCTGGCAGTATCCTATTGAAGGATTTCGGAGAGCATATGCGTTAAGAACGCGTCGCAGAGCGGAAATGCCCTTGTCTTCCTGAAACGCAGGATGTTCTGGAAGAGCTCTGTGAAGGTCTCGTTCGATTTCATCGGCAGCAATTGAATTGGATTCGTTGCAAGAGTTCACGTACTCCGCGTACTTCCCAGGGGCGGCTCTAAGTTGATGAAGAGCGCCTGAAAATGTTAACCAAAGCTCTCCACGAAAACAGGTCGGGATTCCTTTGATAACGAGCTCCTGCAGCTTCGAAGTTCTGTACATAGCTACACCTCGCCCAAACTCTTGAAAGTGAAGCTCCCACAGTTTCATCTTTACATCATTAGCAGCCGCTCTAGACGCGTTCTCCAACTCGACTTCCCGGTAATCAATGTCAGCCGCTTTTCTACCAGCTGGTTCTGTCGAGTATTGCTCCGCCAGCGGAGAACAGACAGTAACAGGAGATGATGCGGATGGCATTGGAGTGCGTATTTGCGTCCAAAAATTTCTGATGATTTTCAGGACATCGTCGCGATCGGGAATGCTTCCGAAAAAGAAGTTTTGCTTCGCTTTATTTTCGTTATTGATCAACGGCTCCGAAACGGAGATAGAGATACCCGACTTGACAGCGTTAGACGAGTCCATCCCTTCGACATGGGTTACGAAACGAAGAGGGATGACGAGCGTCAATGAATTGGGAAGAGAAGATTTGAAACAAACAAAGTTCTTGAAGACAAAAAGCCCGCCCGATTCAGCCCTATTTCGCTCGAACGCACAGTGCAGAACGCAGTCGGTCTTTCCATCAAGTATTTCGGCGGAGGGGAGGCGAAAGAAAAATCGAATTTTGTCGGTTCGCTGGCGCTTATCGAGGCGGCTCTTAAGGCTCTCGGTCTTGGCTTTGATCTGTCGCCCGCTGTCGAGATCGGTGCGCTGCGGGTCGCCGTCCATTAGGTTTCTGCAAGCGATGTCGGCAAGCTGTTGCATCGTTTTGTAGGGTTCTTCGCTCACGAAGTGGAAGGAGAAATTGTCGTTTTTCGCACGAACCTAGGATCGTCCAATTAATTTACCAAATGGTCACTAAATCGATTTACCTTGACAACATACGATAAGAAGCCAGACTTGAGTTCCAGTTTTTCCACATCAATCCATCTACACACCACTTTCAGCTCACTTCCAAAAACATACGAATAAAAAGACAAATGATTCACCGACAAGTAAATCTGCCCAGGTCTGTTGCTATAAGTACACATGAAGAAATTGACGAGCCGTTCTGAATCGGGATAACTGAAAGTTTGGCGGAATTTTATCGACGCTTCTTTGAGTTTCTTCGGCTCTTGGGATGATCGTTCTTTTTCCGCCCTAGAGGCGAGTGAGTTGATTTTGGCCAGAACGAAGGTTGTTCGATCTTCTTGGTCGTCCATTTCTGCGAGCATCGGGACGCATTCCTTCTCAAGATAATCCCAACGCGAGCGTATTTCACCCTCATCCCATCCAGCCGCAATTTGATATCTAGAATCGAGCTCATCAACAACATAAAGTATTCTCCAGGGCAGGATGTTCGTCATAAACGAGTCCATCGACTTGAGAAGAGCTCCGGGAAGCCCGATATCTCCGCCATGGCCACGTCGTTTTTCTAAAAAGAACCATTCGTTGCACTGCTCGGTCGTCCAAAGCGCTGAGGGCGAGACCAGCTCGGGTTTAATCCACATTCATCAGATTTCTGAAAGAATTTTTTGAAGACTAGATCTGTTTTAGGTTTGTGTAGATATCTCAATATACAATAAATCGAGTAGGAATAAATCTAAGACGGAATCGCGCTTCAGGCGGGTTCTGATATCGCCAAAGGCGTAGGCACTGATAGGTAAATGAAGGAATTGCACTTTGTTACAGAAAATTAAGGAGAAAATCTAGATGAAACTACTGCAGAATCTAGTAAACTAACCCAGCGACATAATATCTTATAAATAGAGCAAGAGCACAACCGAGAACTTGCTGAAAGAGTAAGATCTTTGTCAAACTTGCTTCAGACACGGAACCAACTAACTTTAATGTCAGATTAAGGTTCGTCAAGTTGTTGAGCTCAATTTCATCATCTTCAAGTTCCTTGGTCCAAATGGTTCCAGTGAGTTTTCCAGCTGTGATCCATAGTTTTCCAATTATGTTCAATTTTGACCATTTTACTCTTGTCGTTGACATTTCTCGTAAGCCAGTTTCTGAGTTAAAACGAGGAAGACGATGGCGAGGGCAGGGAATGATGTGGAACAGCTGGGGCAGGCCGTAGACGAAATTGAAGATCTGAAAGATTTATTCCGTATTGTTGTTCGAAGCTCAGTTTTACCTGAGGGATGAAAAACAAGAGGCCGGTTTTGGAAAATCTTCCGATAATCGAAGTTGTGGCCAGAGTACATCCAGCCCAGTAACAAAAAGTATCGCCGACGAAAACCTCTGCTGGATACCAGTTCTTAAAATAAAAATTGTCACCTGTAAAGATATCGAAATACTACCCTTCTAACGAGCCCAAAAACGCACCCGACGAATGGGACCATGAGTGAAAGTGATCGGTAGTGGCAGGCCAGGTGCTCTAATATTAATATGATGTTACTAGAGAAACATGGACTGCCAAACCTTCTGACAATTTGCCATTATAAAGCTCTATCAAATTGTAGCAAATGAAACCCAAGCCGATGATAAAACTCTGACCAGCTAAAATAGAAGTTGAAAATTAAATGGTAAACATAGCTTGTTCTAACCCTCGAGGCCATTGACGCCAGACAGGATGTTGATTGCATTCAGACAGAAAATGATCAGGGCAAGAAGATAGCAGTAGTAAAGCGGACCAAGTTGGAGGATCCCTTCTTTAGAAAGGAGGTTGAAATCGAAGATGGTTAGTTCGAAGCCGCGAAGAAATTTGGGCAAGAGAACTGAAGTCTCCCCGTTGACGATGAAGTAAACCGTGAGAAGTGGCACAGTAGAAACAGCTAAAAAGAGACCATAAGTTTCGATAAGACCCGGGTGAGTGATTTTTTAAACGCTTTTTATTGGTACTATAGCGTCGCATGTATCTCCTGACCGGTGTTTGAGAAAAGGGATCGACCCTGATTTCGGTTGCCTGTTGGGTCGAAGTGCCGACCAAAGAGACGTCGAACTAAAAACTGGTGGTCGGTGCCTACCGCCCTCTGCCAACCTGTCATTCGATACAGATTAATCTCCGCAAAATTAAAATGAAGCGAAACAAACCTGGAGCCCACAGCTTATGTCTCCATCGAAGATTTAGGACGTCGTCCACGAAGCCAAGGAAAGCAGCAGAAGTTATCGTCAACAAAGCTCCGAGAAAAAGCACCAGATCTACGTTTGAGTCCAAGAATGGAATTTGAATCACTGAATATCAATAATATTTACTCTCTGAAGATCATCAGTACCGGCTAAGACGAGAAAAACAACGGCAGAAATGAGTCCCAGTGATTCAGGAACAAGAGGTCGGTCAGCGCGGCCCATATCGTTGCCCTTCAATCCCGCATCAATAAAGGATTGCTTCGCGCTTGAAATCGCGCGTTCAGATATTTTCCATCCGAGAAGAAAAATCACCGGATAAAGCAAACACCCCGAGCAGATATCGACATCCATTTCTGAAACGAAAAGTTGAGAACTGTGGAATCAACAAGGAATTAAGTAGATTTGAAAAGGAAGTATACAATTAGCCTGGGTCTCAGACCCAGGATTCGTTTCAAAAGTGACGCCTGGGTCTCAGACCCAGGTTACCCCCTCAGAAGTGACGCCTGGGTCCAATACCCAGGATTCATTTAAAAATTGGCATTTTGGGCAGACTTCGTCGATTGATTCTCTGAAAACTCTCAGATCTATTTGCCCCTTACCACGGGGCTTCGCCCCTTAGGTCCTAAAATGCCGGGGTCTAGTCTAGGGTTACTTAGGGTTACCTTCAGTTAGGGTTAGGGTTAGGGTTAGGGTTAGGGTTAGGGTTAGGGTTAGAAATGAACTTTTGAAATGAATCCTGGGTCTGAGACCCAGGCTAATTGCATCCTTCCTTTGAAAAAGTGGCAGGAAGAATTAGAGCTTGGACAGATCCATGGTCATGTAGTCATCTTCAGATTCGCTATCCGAGGCTGGCTTCTTGTTTGATGAATTTTCTGGAGAAACGACGGCTTCTTCCTCTTCATCAAACCATGCGTCGGTCAAGTCGTTGTCTTTTACTGAATCGCGAACATCGAGAGAGTCATAATCTGAAGATGAATGTCAATTTCAAAAGGAGATGCAATTTTTACCGAATTCAGGGTCTTTTCCGTCGACAAAGCGTTCCTTCATAAGATTCAAAAACTCCTCTTGTCTTTCTTCTGGACTTAGATCTTCGTTTATCAGGTCCGCTACAGGTTCTTCCTGCTCTTCGTCCTTGTCTTCATCATTTTCTTCTTCCTCCTCTTCGTCTTCTTCTTCCTCGTAGTCCGGATCACTTGGGTCTTTCATCTTGTTGCCTTAACAATATTCTAGAGCATCTTTCTAGTTTTTTATAATTACTATGGTTTTTTCTACTTGAGATCAGTTTATAATTATGCCATGGAACCAAGAGCTCGATTTGAGAACGCTTGAGTCTCATCCGCCATTTTTAGAAGACGAAAAAAATGTTTTCGATCAAATCAATTTTGAGCTTAACTTATCCGCCATTTTTGGAATGGGGACTGCATCCGTTTAATACAGAATGATACCGATGACGAACAATTTAGTGAGGAATCATGGCTGGCTTGGATTTCTCAATATTCTGATGGTTTGTCTTTTATCATTCTAGACCACTTTTCGGTGATAATTATTGTTGGTTTTAAAATACAGTTAGTTTTGATTGCATGTCGGCCCGTCCCGGACTTGACGTTAGAACCGATGTCGGTCCCCCGCCCGTCCTCGAGGAAGAGAAAAAGATCTTCGATCAAATTCTTTTCGAGAAAAATATCGCAGCCATGTTTGGCATTGGAACCGCGTATTTAACATACAAAGCGCATCCAGTTACGCGCAGAATAGTAAAAAATCATGGATGGATTGGGTTTCTCAATGTTTTAACGGTCACAATCGAAAAAGTCTCGTTCAAGGAACATATTGTATTTAGGTTGGAGGAATAATCGGTGTCGGAAGTTGGCTAGCAAGTGGAAGACGAAGCCAAATCTACGAAAATTTACCAGGAAAGGCTCGAGAACACTAGAAAAACATTTTTCTCTAATCCGACGAAGCAGCCTAATTAGACGGGTACTTCCGCAAAATCAAAGTCGAGAACATGCCCGATTCAATCGAAGAAAAGAAAAAGTACTTCGACCAATTTCCCCATGAATTGCGACAACGAGAACGGGTCATTGGCATCTTCCGACTTCAAACACCGATGCCGACGGTTTCACAACAAGCCGAGAACCAAGGACGCCCTTATGTCACATACGCTCAGCTCCGCGCTAAAGCGAAAGAAAGCGACAAACTTATTGCAGAACAAAACGATAAGCTGATCAACAAATAAATTCGCAGAAGAAAACTTACTGTGAAAGGGCTTGTCGATTTTTCGCTCGCCAGTGTCGGGGTCTTTTTCTTGCATCCAGCATCGCATCAGAACGTCTGAGAATTTCATTTCTTTTGGTCGTCCGACGGCATCTTTTCCCACAACTTGGTCATATAATCCTGGATCTCTTTCTTTCGCTAGAAAAACTATTAAGTAGCAGTTAAAGTTAGAAAGAACCTTTTGCTAACTCAAAATAACCATTTTTCTCCAGCTCGAGCATTGCCGCATATCTTCAAGTATTCAGTAACTTTGACAGGACATTTTACTAGACATTCAACATTTCTCGGCATTTACCTCTTGTTCCTGGTTTCTCGATGCTTCATCTTTTCGACAATAGCTTCGCAATCATCAATGGCGAAGGGATTTAGATGATTGAGATCGGCGACTTTTAGATGATGCCAGAACTGACGGATGATCTCTTCATCTGACAGGTTCTTGATGGCGTCTAAGGATATTCCTCTTGTATGGCAAATCCGACGGAATATGCGCTCTTGTTCCATTCTACATTGAATTAGATAAATTTAGAGTGAGTAGAAGAAGTTATAAATTATCTAACTGAAGATAGGAAGGAACTGATTAATTAAACTTTTAAAAAAGTCGTTGTCCGTAATAATAAATCTCAATATTCGTAACGATACAGATATTGGAGAGCGAACTACAGGTTGAGCACAAAAGAGAGAAGTGTAATTTCAAAGTGCAAAAACGAAACATACAGAAAATAATAAATTGAATAAGAATGAATGTACTACAGCTAGCAAGTAAGGCACAAGATGATGAATTTCAGGGTTAGTTTGTGAGTTGGAGCAATACAGAAAATACGAGCTCTTGTATTAAAACTTTGATTGTTTCGATAGATAGTTTCAATTTTTAAATATTCAACATTTCCCATAAAATTTGCTGGCTGTCTGATCCAGTGCAAGTTCTCACTCTGAACGAGCCCAGATCAGATCCATCAAGGCAGAGGTGAGGAAAGTCTTCTAGCTTGATATTCGTACCGACATAATTCCATCTTTGATGAGAATTGGCTTCTCTAACTTCTGCGTTGCTCACGCAATCAGCGAGGATGACCTTTGCGCCGTCGGTTGGTGTCGTGTCGGGGGTGCCAAAGCATTTATTCACGTACTTTCCGTCTTTCATTTGGACTGGCTGTTGGAAAAGACCAGTGAACTTCTTCAAGACGAGTTGTTGCTTGTCCATGTCTTGATAGCTCGGATTGTTCAAGCCTTGGTTGCAGTTTGCTGCTCCTAGCTGACCATAAACGCCCGATTTATTGGATTTTGTTGGGAAGACGTTGAGACAGTGTTCTCCTCGTTTAGCATGACCCCAAGCAACGGAGTTGCGTTCAGGAACATATTGACGAGGATAGACGTTTTCCAGGTACCATTTGAAGCCCTTACATTGCAGCTTTTCCTACAAAAGAGTTTACCGAAATCCCTGAAATAAAATATTACCTTAAAATGTTCCCTAACAGACAGATCTCCTGGCTCAATACTCTTAGCATTTGGTCTTGTTCCATAGTAGAAATCGGTGTATTCATCCATCCACGTATGAACGAATCTATTGTTGTTCTTGACAAAGACATTGTTTGAACCCTTCTTTCCAAAATCGTATGGATGTTCGTCTCTGAAAACGTGGCCGACTCTTGAGCAGGGAAGAATTTCCATTTCTCCGCCGCATTGCCACACTCGAAAAGAGAATTCGATGTTTTCTCCGCCCCAGATGTCCATTTGATCATCGTATTCTCCCAACTCGTGGAACCACGCTTTTGAGATTGAAAACAATCCGCCAGCGATTGTTGGGCTCCGGAGTCCTATAAAGCAACATTATAAGAGAGTTAATTCAACCACCAACCTCTCGTGTGATCCATGGTGCTTGTCCCTCTCTGAGTCAGCCAATCCCATCTGAAAACCATCGCCCAAGAAACTCCACCGGTCAAAAACGCATCAGCACCAATGTATTTGAAGGTATCTTTGTTGATGACGTCGATGATAGGAGCAACGACAATTTTGGGGTTTTGTTGGATTCGCTGCATCAAAGGTTGGATCCAGTTTCTGTTCACTTCGACGTGACTATCGAGGAAAGTCAGAGTATCACCAGTAGCGACCATAGCAGCGCGGATACGAGCTCGAATGAGGCCTTGCCGTTCGCGGTTGACGATCAACTTGACTTTCTCGATCTTGATCAGTTCCATTCCAACGTTTGGATCGCTAGAAACGACTCTTATTTTTGAAATGATGGTCAAGTTTACCTAGAAGCATCATCGACGAGAACAATTTCTTTCAAAATATTAGCTGGTGTTCTTCGAATGACGGAAACGATAGTTCGCAAAAGCGTCGATCTCAATTCGTTATGAAAGGTGATAATAATTGAGGTCGTTGGAAGCCCTTCAGAAGGATATTCTTGAGACGGACAAGATCCTAGGCGAGTGTCTGGGATATTTCGATCCATCGGAATGTCGTCGGAAACGAGCTGGTTAAACGCTGCGGTTTTATAGGCGTCCTTTTTGTTCGTGACTCGGCCGGCATTGATGTATTTGCGGATATTGAAATCATTCCAAGACACTTTCTCGTGTGAATCGTAGACGTCTTCGTTGTCCACAATTCTAGCTTTTTTATACAGCTTTATTTGGTTAATCCGGATTCTTACTACTCTATTATTGAAAATCGGTTTAAACCAATTCCTCGAATGATTCTTCTTCGACTTCATTTCGAGCAACAAAGTCTGTGGGTACAAATTCAGGCACTTCGTATTTGACTCTGACGATCTTCTGATTCTTTGCAAGGAAAAAATCGAAAACTTCAAGTGGACAGAAAAGCAGAATTCCAAGAACAAGAGCGGACACAATTCCAATAAGTTGAGGAGTCGAGAAACTGGAAGATTTTTTGGATCCTTTGGAGATTTTCGAAGCGACGGATTGAGAAGAAGGTTTAGTGACATTTCTTTTACGAACACCGGACATTTTCAGAAAGCGATCTCGATAATCTGATCTAAAAATATTTCGAATAATAAACTCGCTGTCAATTTTTTCTGCTGTAAATATAAATAGTCGATGAATTTCGAGATGGTCTATCGATTCTTTGGCTAACAGTCTTTTATTTAATAGGTTTATGATGTTAAGAACGCATTTTACACATTTTTTGTTTATCATTTTATTTAGTTGTTAATAAATAACAATAACTATAAATTATTGCTATAAATTATTCATTATTTTTCGTAAGAGACAAAGAGGCAAACTGATCAGCAAGAGAAAGCTTCTTCAACTTCAACGGCTTCATACATCTCGGACGATCCTTCGCCACTTCCCCGCTAATGAGCAGCTTTCTCAGCGATGCAAATCTGTTCCCCTCCACAACAATATCATCATCTTCAATCGCCATTGGCATTTTTCTGTAAAAGAAGGCAAAGTCCATCGCAAGTTTGAGTCCGTCTTCCGATACGATTAAATTCTTCATTTCATGTTTTGAGGGCTTGTCGAAAAATCCGGAGATAATTTCGTCGAATTCATACTTTTTCTCGGTTTATCAAGCACTCATTTAGCGAAAACAGCTTCATCCAAATTGAAGATGATAGAAACCTGTAACTGTAAGTATCCCCTGTTAATTTTCTTAATTTTCAGGGTTCCCGCTGCGATAACCCTTCTAGGCATGCATCTACATCTGAAATTCCACGATAAACGACTATTAATCACTGCAAATCAACTGTATATGGCTGAATAAGGCTAGATAGATAAGTTGAATGTATAAGTTGCACAAATCTCTGAGTCTGAGCGAAGTAAATACATGTAAAACGTTTGGTTTTTTTAGATTGAAGATTTTTTTAATCAGAACGAAACACAATTGTTTTTTAAACACATAGACTGGCACAGGTATCATTTTTAGACAACAAAACAGTGAACTTGGAGGACGATGATTTGATACGATCGCGTAACTTTAAATTAGAGGCCGTTTCTCTTTTTAGGCAGAGGCCTTCTCGAGGAACTCAGCGGCGTATTTGGCTTCGCCAGAGAGTTCTTCGGCGGTGACGGTGAGTTTTTCTCGGGAGAACTCGCTGATTTCAAGGCCGTTGACGACGGTCCAGACTCCAGCTAGAAAAAATAATTAGCATTGATCGTTTTATATGTAGTTACCTTCGCAAGTGACTGGGAAGGAGTAGATAAGACCCTCTGGAACACCGTACTTGTTTCCATCAGAGGTGATGGCCATGGAGACCCATCGGCCTTCAGATCCGACAATCCAGTCGTGGAGGTGGTCACCGATGGCCTTGGCAGCGGACATGGCGCTGGAAAGCTTTCGGGCAGCGAGAACAGCGGCACCTAATGGAAAAATTGAAGAGACGGGTTGATTATTTGGATTTTTACCTCGCTTCTGGACGGTAGTGATGAAGTCGCTCTTGAGCCAGGCATCATCGTTGACAGCGGCGGAAGCAGCGACCTCGGCGCCGTCCTTGTTGACCTTTCCGTGCCAGGCGTCGGGGTACTGGGTGGCGGAGTGGTTGCCCCAGATGGTGATCTGGCTGACCTTGTCGGAGGTGACACCAGCCTTGGCGGCAATCTGGGCGGTGGCTCGGTTCTGGTCGAGTCGAGTCAGGGCGGAGAAGTTTTCCTTGGGAATGGTGGGGGCGTACTTCTGGGCAATCAAGCAGTTGGTGTTGGCTGGGTTACCGACAACAAGGACTTTCACGGTCTTCTTGGCGACCGTGTTCAAGAGGGCGCCTTGGGCCTACAAATGGATAAATAGAGAGAACATCAGTCTGACTTTACCTTGAAGATTTCAGCGTTCTTGGCGAGCATATCATTTCGCTCCATACCGGGCTTTCGTGGGAAAGCACCAACGAGAACGGCGACATCGATGTCAGTGAAGGCTTCAGTCTGGTCGCAGGTAGCAGTGACGGACTTCAAGCTTGGGAAGGCGCAATCCTGAATGGAAAATTACCAAAAGAGTTTCTTCTTTCGAAATCGTATGTAACTATTTGTCTAGCACGCCTCATAAAATTAAATAAGACCGGGCAATAGTAAATGCCCGGCGACTCTTGAAAATGCTATAAAAATCTAAGGAGGTGCTAGTTTTCAAGGAAGATTATGTAACGAGATCAATTCGATCAAACGGAAGAAGATTCTCTTGCTTGCTTTCAATAAAGGTTGTAATTACCTGGAGTTCCATAACGACACCTTCCAAGGCATCCTTGGCAAATGGCAAGTCCAACATAACAAGATCAACGGGCTGATCTCGTCCGAAGACATCACCTCGAGCAATAAGAGCCAAAAGCGAGTAGGAAATCTGTCCAGCAGCTCCGGTAACGACGACTCTCATGGGTGACTTGGCCATTCTGGAAAAAAAGGGAAATTGAAGAAGGAACTTTCGGTTTTTTGAAAATTTGAAGTTGTGATTTTTTGCACTGTTTGATTTCGCGTGAGGGCGAGAATAAATATGCTTTGACAGGGCTAGGCTGTTTGCGCAAGGCATCCTGACAGTTGCGTAAGAATCATCTTTCTGATAGGAAAAGGGTAGCAGGGCTTATCAGTAGGGTCTAAATGAAAACTTTTTGTAAGTGACGATTGGGAATGAACAAATAAATAACATGTAGCGGGCGCGTTTAGTAGACGAAGATCTGATCGTCGGTGAATCCAAGCTCTTTCAAGTTTGGAAGACAGGCGAATTTGACCATTGGAGGGGGGCCACAGATGAGGATCATTGTGTCATCCCCAGGGATGGGAAGAGAGGTTGCACACATGTCTGAAAATTATATAAGAAGACAGTATAAAGATCATGTAAGCTCCAAACTCAAATTTGCTAGGCCCGAACGTTTTCGTTATATTTTATCACTGATAGTATCAGGTACTACCGGCAAGAGACCTAAATCAGGTTACCTTTGTTAATGAAACCAGTCTGGTACTCCCATCCTTCTTTCGGCCGGTCGACGGTGTACATAAAGTTGAATCGATCGGGATAGTCAGTCTTCACTTGTTCGATTTCTTCCCTCAGCAAAATATCTTCTTCGGTTTGGTTGGCGAACAAAAGTGAGAGTTTTGTCGATTCTGACGATTTGAAAACGTCCCTATCGAAAAAATAATCTATCTAGAAACTTTTGTGAATAGTAACTCGCCTGACAATCTGCATCATCGGCGTAATTCCGGATCCGCCAGCGATCATTCCAATATGTTTGATTCCGCTCTTTCTTGTGTTCTCATCTTTAGCAGTAGCTCCTCGGATCAAGAACTTTCCATTTCGCTGGTAAATGATTCTTCCTTTCGGGCCTGACACGGAAATTTTATCTCCAAGTTGCATTTTGTTCAAATACTGGGTCATTTTGCCGCCTTCAGGAAATCGTTCGTTTGGAAGATAAACCTAGAAAATCGCGGTTTTTGAGCATCGATGAAATCAGCAAGTTCTACCTTTATCAAAAGATCGACGAATCCCAGATCATCATCGGACGAAATCGGTGTGTAGGAACGAATAACAAGCTTTCCATCAATCTTGGCCTTTAGGTTGATGTGTTGGCCAACGGGCAGTCCCAAGCGATGACCTTCTTTCAATCCAAAGCGGAAAATTTTTGTATCGTGAGAGATTTCCGTCACCTAAACAAATCGGTAACCCTTTCTGTTTCTTTTTGCCCTTGAAATGTACCTTGATAAGAGGCAGCTCGACAGAATCGTTCGGGTTGACAGAAAGAGTCCTTGGAGTGGTCCTATGGTATCCTTTCTTATTCGAAGCATATTTCACCGCCAAATAGACGGCTCCGAAAATGCCGAAAACTCCGGCGAGCATCGGTCCCGGCCCAGAGAGAAAGGACAGTCCAGTTCCTTTTTTCTCTAGCATTTTTTCTAAAAATGAATGAGTTAGATTGACCATTTGGCGCTAGAATCGGACTTAAGAGAACTTTCAACTGGATAATTTCTCTTTTCTCGCATGAAAATCATTCTTTCTTCTAACTCTACGAAAATCTCTTAATAAAAAGTAGTCATTTTTACGAGTTCGAGGGGACTAAATAAATCGAGTCGGAGGGACACCAAAATGTTCCGTTGCTGGAGCGAAGAAAAGTGCGGCGCCACGATTGGCTCCGCGGATCTTTCTTTTTCTTTTCATTGCGTCAATTTTGCGAAAATATGCCTCGAGAGAAAGTTCGCGGCGCTTTCACACTAGAAAGTTTTTTACATTAATTATTTTTTCAACAATTTTATTCATTAGAAATAGATTTCCGTTAAAGTGACAGTAGAAATAATTTTATACCAACTAACAGCTCACTGGCCTTGGTATACAGGCGTAAATCATTTCATAGATAATTTTATCTTCGATGCAGTGAGAAATTAATCTTCTTAAAATTATCTTTAAACTTCCTGAGAATACTTCAGTATCAACTTCAATTCACTGTGAATTTCATTGTGTCATTTAATATCTTAGAAAATCCAGCCTAGCAAACTTTTATACTTCTTTGCCAGGCAAAGTTTGTCTAGCTATGCCGCCCTCTAGTTGTCCCACTTCTTCCCCTCGAATCTCCCGTCAGGCAAATTTGGTAACCCAAATCTTCTTCAGAATGAAATTGTTTGGTTTGGGCCTAATCGGCCTCCTTAACTCCCCGCTTGGCGTAACTGCCGATGCCAACGAAGATCTCGAAGCCCAGCGAAAACAAGTTCTGAAAGAAAATCTGAAGAAAATGAAAGAAACTCACACGAAGGAAGAACTCAAAGAAATCGAAACCGAGCATCTGAAAAAAGCGCACAAGGAGCAACTCAACAAAATGGCGGCCAACGGGGCTAAACATGCTTTTGACCATCTTTCGCATTTGAGCGAAAAAGACAAAATGAAAGTTCTTGCGGCTCAAGCTGGCCAAGGATGTCCAGTTGCCAGGGCAGAATTGACGAGAATGGTCGAGGCGAAAAAAGAAAAGGAAGCGGCGAGAGCTGCAGTCTTGAAAATGAGCTCGAAAGAGCTGAAAGAAAAGGCGGCTGAAGGATGCCCTTACGCCAAGAAACGTCTAATCGGTAATAGAAAAAAAACTTTTTCTCTCTACAAACCCCTTTAGAATTGAAGAAAAAAGTCGCCGAAAAGAAGCTCGAAGAAGCAAAAGCCGCCGTCGGAGACCTAACAGCTGATCAACTGAAAATCCGCGCTGCAGAAGGATGCCCTCACGCTGCCCGAATGCTCGTTGAATTCGAAAACATGCGAAAGCGCAACGAACCACCACCAATTAGCGCTAGAATTCTTCCAGAAAACGACGATGAAGAGTTCTCCATTGAGGAGTTGAAGCAAATGGCTTCGATGGGAAATGGCTTGGCGGCGGAAAAGCTGCGAGAACTCGATCCTTCTTTCTTTGAACCAAATGTGGAAGAGCTGAAGAAACGGGCCGAAGCGGGTTGCCCAGTCGCTAGAGCTCAATTGGCTTCGTTGGAGGAGGGAAAGAAGGATTCTTCCGCAGAAAATGAAAAGCCAAATGTCGAAGCGCTCAAAGCCAGGGCTGCTCAAGGCTGTCCACATGCCAAAGCAGAGCTTGAAAGACTCCAAAAAGCAGAAGAAGCGGAAAAACCTTACGTCGAAGCCCTAAAAGCCCGTGCCGCCCAAGGTTGTCCGCATGCAAAAGCCCAACTTGAAAAGTTAAAGCTTGAAGAAGAAAAAAAGCCAAATGTAGAAGCTATGAAAGCTCGAGCTGCTCAAGGCTGTCCTCATGCCAAAGCTGAGTTAGAAAAGCTCACGAAAAATAATGAAGAGGAAAAACCTAATATTGAAGCCCTAAAAGCCAGAGCCGCCCAAGGATGCCCCCATGCAAAAGCCCAGCTTGAAAAGCTTGAGAAAGAAGAGGGTGGCGAAGGATGCGGCTGCGATAAAGTAATCGAGGCGGGATGGAATAATCGATAAATGAATTTATTTAGGCGGACAGAAAACATTTGAAAAAACAGGACGACGAGGAGGTCGAAATCGAAGTGGATAACTCTGAAGATCCGGCGGTTAGAGAAGAGTTTGAATTTCCAGATGATATTACTTACCCAAGGTAAATTATAATTCTCTGCGGATAGGGATCATAATAGAGCTAGTTTGATTTGAAATACTGTTTTTCTCTGTCTTGAAATCTTACAATCTTTACTGCATAATGCTTTATTTTTGATCCCCTCAATTGGACGAGAGGGGTTATTCTATTTGAATTCGAATAAATAACAGTTTGGGGGGTCCTCGGTGAGCATATCATTGATATGACATCAAAAAAGCAGTTTCGGAGAATCTTGTTTGAGAATCTTCATTTTAAAAATTTATTTGATAAATCCATCTCAAATGGACGATGGTAAGCATCGAAAAATTTATCGCAGAAAGTCTCCCAGGAAGAAATTGAAATATTACAATCAGTATACTGATTGTTATCGTGATAAAGCCCAGAACAAACCAAAAAAGGATCGATCTAAAAATCCACTTTTCAGGCACCAGCGATACAATCAGGAAGCCCGAATTCCGGCTGGAACCTTCACGATGGGCGACAATGAAGAGTTAATGCCTGGCGATGGTGAAGCTCCGGAACGACAAGTTACGATCTCGTCAGATTTCTTTATTGGTAAATCTACAGACCTGGGGCCAATCGTTTTGACGGATTTATATTCTAGATAAATATGAGGTAACGAACAGCGAGTTTTATCGTTTTGCTCACGAGACCGGCTATGTTACGGAAGCGGAAAAGTTCGGCGATTCATTTTGCTTCATCAATTTCATCCCTGAGAAGACAAAAGAAAAGATCGAGCTAGAAGTGAAAGAAACTCCTTGGTGGTTGCCTGTCCAAGGCGCAAGCTGGCTCCACCCAGTTGGCCCGGAAAAGGATCTTACGGGCATTTGGGATCATCCTGCTGTTCATATTAGCTGGAATGACGCTGTTGAATACTGCAAGTGGGCTGGTAAACGACTCCCGACAGAGGCAGAATGGGAATATGCTTCGCGAGGCGGCTTGGAAGGTCGACTCTTTTCATGGGGAAACAAGGACAAACCAAAGGGAATGCATTACATGAACATCTGGCAAGGAGAATTCCCCACTGAAAATACAGAGGAAGATGGCCACAGTTCTACAGGTAAATTAGCTCTTTTACTTATCAAAACAAATTGACAACTCTTTGTTTAGCACCTGTGGATTACTACCCCTCCCAGAATAAATACGGCTTGTTTAATATGCTCGGAAATGTTTGGGAATGGACGGCAGATAATTGGTCCAACAGACACTCGGGAGAAGCTGTTTCAGATCCACAAGGTAAGCCTTTTCTTCAGTTATTTATAAACAGCAATTATTACTAGGCCCACCATCCGGAACAGATCGTGTGAAGAAAGGAGGCTCCTTCCTCTGCACAACTCAATACTGCTATCGTTACAGAAACGCCGCTCGCCATCACAATACGCCCGATTCTTCCGCTCAAAATTTAGGGTTCAGATGCGCTAGAACCGCGAATTCGAAATCAGTCCACGACGAACTGTAATTTATATTGATGCCAAAAGTGATTCACCGCTGCTCTTTTTCTTGCTAATTTTAAGATTCTTTCAAAGCCAATATTTTTTATCAAACAAATATTCGTGCAATATTTGAAGAAAACACTGATAGTTCCTATCTTCCTAAGTTCTTATGAAAATACTCGTTCAAATCAATTCATCTTCTTTACTTCTGTACTATTTATCTATCTATCTTTCATGAATTCAGAATTGCTCAAATTTCATTCTCTCGATTCTATCTTTTTCTATTCGCTTTTAGAAATGAAAATATGCCCCTCGTAAGGAGATCGATACAGCCTCAAGACCTCTGTCGGAAGAAACTTCCAGAACATGTCGAATCGGAGCTTGAAATGGTCACAAATAACGCCCTCTGTGGCGTTATTTCTCAACTTTCAGGTAGTCTTCCTTGATTTCAGTTAATTTCCAACACCTCCTTCAAGATCTCTCCCGACACGCAGAGAATTTATTCCAAGAACTCAGCTTGGAAGCGACGAATTTTACTGATAGAGCACGGGAACTGGAAGAAAGAGTTGTAGATCTCAGCCAGCGACTTTCAATAGACAGAAACAACAACGCCGAATTAGAATTGAGAAATAGGGAAATTCAGTTTGACCGGTACATCATGGCGAGAGATACGATTCCACAATCGCTAAAAGAAGTGTATGATCGCGCAGATGCTCCACCAGCACTAGAAAAGCTTCAGGTAAGAAATAACTGATGATTTTTTGTAAATTTTTGCAGAAATACCGAGACGACGGGAAAAACTGCCTGAAAATGTACACGAACCCGGACTACTTCTACCTCATTTGGCGTGAAAAGATTCAAGCCGAAAATGAAGCCGATCGAAAGAGAAAACGCGACGAACGCGAGCGCAAAAAGCAGCAACTCAAGGTAACTCTTCAGTCAACTCGTGGTACTTGAGCTTCAGCTTGTCAAAACTTTCTTTTCGGCCAATCAATTGATGGAATCTGATCGAGAATTCATTAAATATTTTTAGATTCAGAAAGCCAAGCAACCGGAGAATCCAAAACCAGCGTCGAGGCCTTACTTGTAAGAAAAGTATTCTTTAAAAACACGCTCATTTAAAATTTAAGCGATAAAAATCAAGAAAAGGGCCGAGGAAAGGAGTTCCAAAAGTCCATCAGGATCCCAGCCGACTCAACGACGTACAGAAGAGACTCGCAGCCAATTAATCCGACTTCGAATTATATGGATACACTCCCTAGGAACGGATTTCTCGCTTTCAAGATTACTGTTGATTCTACTTCAGAAGTAAGTTCAGGAGAAAATCCTCGTTCAGAAAGAAAAACTCAAATGCCAAGAAACCCCAGTCAACAACAAACCTTTCTCATCAAAGTTCAATGTCCCACGAAATGTCAAAAATGTCGATTCGCTCAACCGCCTCAGCATCTCAGATTCGCCAGCACCAACAGTCGTCTTTCCCTCAGCCTCCACCGGCTCACATTCCTCCTCCTCCAAGTAGCGGATCTTTTCCGCCACCGCCTTCAGGATCTGCATGGCCACAGCCGCCCGCTGGCTTTCCCCCTTCGCCGGCTCCGTCGCAGCTTCCTAGCTATCAGAAACCAGGAGGCATGCCTCCGGGAATGACACACTTGCCTCCTAGTAATGTGCCTCCAACTCCTCCAGCTGCTGGTGGGCCGCCACCACCACCGCCGCCTCCTGGCATTGCACCTCCTCCGGGTCCTTCGTCTGGTCCTCCTCCACCTCCTGGTCCCGCTCCCCCGCCTGCACCAGCCCCAGCTCCGGCAAAATCAGCGGTATTGACAATTCAATTGAATCCTTTCCAGAAAATCCTTTTCAGATCGTTTCACCACCAAGTGGAGCAATCCAAAAGAGCGTGGATAACCGATCGGATCTTCTTGCACAAATTCAAAAGGGCCGAGAATTGCGGGTAGCTTTCAAGCATCTTAAACAAATCTTTTAAAAATAATTAAGCGAGTGCAACGCGAAGAGAAAGCACCTCCACCAAGTTCAACAGCTGGCGGAGGCATGATGACGGCGATGATGTCGATTGATGAGATCTTGCGAACGCGTAGAAACGTCATAGAGAGCAGCTCAGGTTAGTTTATTATCGAATCGAAGCTCGTACAAAGCTTTAGCGAGTAAATTTTATGATGACTGCGAAGTCGATGATGGTGACATTGAAGAGTTCTCCTTTTTTGAGAGCGACTTTGATAGTGATGACTTAGAAGACGAGTCATTTATTATCGATTTATAGGTTGACTAGGATTCACTAACAAGAAAACCTAAAACCATGCGAGATTCACGAAGAAGACTAAAAATGAAGACTAAATTCGATGAATTTCAATTAACTTCTATTTTAGGCGAATCTGGCAGCGAGTCCGACTCTGAATGGGACGACTGAATGGAAATACAATCAGCCCAATTGCCAACGTCCCGAATCTCTAACCAGTAAATAAATCAGTATACAAACTGTATGTTTCAACTTGTATCACAACACTTTACTATTCCCCTTACCAAAGACCAACTAACAATGAACAACTTAATTCCTGTTTATATTTAATCCCTTATCCAAGTTACGGTTACTGTTATATATGGCTTATATATAATTTAAATACTTCTGTAAGATATATTGAGTAATAAGCGTAACCTGTGACAAAATGCGTGTAATAATTCTTTCACTTCACTAAAAATTCTTCAAATAATTCGTGATGACTTTGATTCTTCTGCAATACAATCGTACTTAACAGTACAAGCAAAACTAAACATATAAGAGAAACATTTGTCTTGTTTTTCTATTTAATAGTAGAGAGTAATTTACTCTTTTTTTTTTGTTTCCTTTAACTGATGCAGTAATATGCAGGAGATTGAAAAATAATCGGATAAATCACCAACGTTTCAAAATGACATTGAAGAGGGAAATGAATCATCCAGCCAGTCAGTGAACTCCACAGAATAGCAAGCAAAGAAGACCTTCACAGAAAGGTACGTATATTTTATAGAATGAAGGATAAAAGATGTTACTCAGAAGCAGTTTTCAAGAATCTCTCTAAATTTTTTAATTTCAAAAATTCACTGCACAAATTTTTTATGAAATAAAAATGTCTTCAAATGCTTGATTTTACAGTTTGCTCTGGAATGAACTGGATGGTGTAAGCAGTAGGAAAAAGATACCACTTGTTCTTCTCCATGTTTCCGAACTCTTCGTTCACTAATTTGCATTTTATCAGACTGATTTTGTCGGTTGAGAGACAAGAGTTTGAAGGGAATTCGAGTGCTGGATGGGAGGAGGTTGTTTTTGAAAATAGAAAAGGAAAAGTTTTTCGTGATGGCAAAGAAAAAGAAAAATGGGCGATTACTGCATTCCAAAAAACGATTCTGGACCAGGATTCTTCGCGAATTCGCCAAAAAGCGAAGCGAAGCGAGGCAAAGCGAAATAGAAACTTGAAAAACCGAAAAATCGCACGATCTGAATTGAAAGAAGAAGCCGGAGAATGGATTCTGCACAGATCTTTAAAATCGATTTCTGAAGGAGGAGAAGCGATTGTTTTGGAAGAAAAGTTTGGAGAATTGAACGTCGCCGGGTGCAGGCTTTTGACTCGGCGTTGTTTACTAAAAATGATGAAGAGTTGAAGTTTAAGATTCATCTTTCCAATGGTAAGAATAATTGTTTTATTTTCGATTTTTTCATTTTTAGATTATGGAACCGCCGAAAATAGAGAAGAAGATGACGTTCCCGTGATCCCCCGGCATTCAAATATCATCAAGAATCATTGCAACATCGAAGTCTACTCGAGCAAAGACAACAAAAATGAATGATCGTGGATCACGATCATGGAAAAGTGCGACGGTAATCTCCGAAGCCGACTTAAAAAAGAAGATCTCAACTTGGAAGCACGAAAGAGTGAAAGCGAAAGAGTGAAAGAGTGAAAGCATGAAAGAGCACGGAGTGAAAGACGGACTTGCTTATTTGGAGCGCGTCGGAATCGGGCATAAAGACAAGAAGCCCGAAAATGTTCTCCTCAAAGATGGAAAACCATGGATCGATTACGGAACGTTGGAACTACGTTCCGATTACGGAACGTTGGAACGTTGGAACGAAGAAGCTACCGCGAAATGGGCTACGCGCGGAGAGGAAGCAAATATAAAAACAGATTCTATTTATGTAAGTTTTAAATTCGATTATTTTGAATTAATTTAGATGCTGGTTCTGCTGCTTTTTCGGGAACTTTCGGGAAAAAGGATTCACAAAAAAGTCTTCTTTACAATCCCATCGGATTCGAAAAGAAGGATTCGAAATGATCCCTGGTTGAAAACGCTTCTAGAAATATCCCTGGTTGGGTCTTTAAAAAACGCTTCTGGCCGATTCACAGTCTCTAGAAATATCCCTGGTTGGGTCTTTAAAAAACATGTCTCAGTCTCTAGAAACACATCGGGTTAATAAAAAAAGAAAGCCTGTGGCCATGTCTCAGTCTCTAGAAACACATCGGGTTAATAAAAAAAGAAAGCCTGTGGCCATGTCTCAGTCTCTAGAAACACATCGGGTTAATAAAAAAAGAAAGCCTGTGGCCATGTCTCAGTCTCTAGAAACACATCGGGTTAATAAAAAAAGAAAGCCTGTGGCCATGTCTCAGTCTCTAGAAACACATCGGGTTAATAAAAAGAAAGCCTGTGGCCATGTCTCAGTCTCTAGAAACACATCGGGTTAATAAAAAAAGAAAGCCTGTGGCCATGTCTCAGTCTCTAGAAACACATCGGGTTAATAAAAAAAGAAAGCCTGTGGCCATGTCTCAGTCTCTAGAAACACATCGGGTTAATAAAAAAAGAAAGCCTGTGGCCATGTCTCAGTCTCTAGAAACACATCGGGTTAATAAAAAAAGAAAGCCTGTGGCCATGTCTCAGTCTCTAGAAACACATCGGGTTAATAAAAAAAGAAAGCCTGTGGCCATGTCTCAGTCTCTAGAAACACATCGGGTTAATAAAAAAAGAAAGCCTGTGGCCATGTCTCAGTCTCTAGAAACACATCGGGTTAATAAAAAAAGTACGCCTGTGGCCATGTCTCAGTCTCTAGAAACACATCGGGTTAATAAAAAAAGAAAGCCTGTGGCCATGTCTCAGTCTCTAGAAACACATCGGGTTAATAAAAAAGAACGCCTGTGGCCATGTCTCAGTCTCTAGAAACACATCGGGTTAATAAAAAGAAAGCCTGTGGCCATGTCTCAGTCTCTAGAAACACATCGGGTTAATAAAAAAAAAGAAACAATCGCCTGTGGCCATGTCTCAGTCTCTAGAAACACATCGGGTTAATAAAAAAGTACGCCTGTGGCCATGTCTCAGTCTCTAGAAACACATCGGGTTAATAAAAAGTACGCCTGTGGCCATGTCTCAGTCTCTAGAAACACATCGGGTTAATAAAAAAAGAACGCCTGTGGCCATGTCTCAGTCTCTAGAAACACATCGGGTTAATAAAAAAAGTACGCCTGTGGCCATGTCTCAGTCTCTAGAAACACATCGGGTTAATAAAAAAAGTACGCCTGTGGCCATGTCTCAGTCTCTAGAAACACATCGGGTTAATAAAAAAAGTACGCCTGTGGCCATGTCTCAGTCTCTAGAAACACATCGGGTTAATAAAAAAAGTACGCCTGTGGCCATGTCTCAGTCTCTAGAAACACATCGGGTTAATAAAAAAAGAAAGCCTGTGGCCATGTCTCAGTCTCTAGAAACACATCGGGTTAATAAAAAAAGTACGCCTGTGGCCATGTCTCAGTCTCTAGAAACACATCGGGTTAATAAAAAAAGTACGCCTGTGGCCATGTCTCAGTCTCTAGAAACACATCGGGTTAATAAAAAAAGTACGCCTGTGGCCATGTCTCAGTCTCTAGAAACACATCGGGTTAATAAAAAAAGTACGCCTGTGGCCATGTCTCAGTCTCTAGAAACACATCGGGTTAATAAAAAGTACGCCTGTGGCCATGTCTCAGTCTCTAGAAACACATCGGGTTAATAAAAAGTACGCCTGTGGCCATGTCTCAGTCTCTAGAAACACATCGGGTTAATAAAAAAAGTACGCCTGTGGCCATGTCTCAGTCTCTAGAAACACATCGGGTTAATAAAAAAAGTACGCCTGTGGCCATGTCTCAGTCTCTAGAAACACATCGGGTTAATAAAAAAAGTACGCCTGTGGCCATGTCTCAGTCTCTAGAAACACATCGGGTTAATAAAAAAAGTACGCCTGTGGCCATGTCTCAGTCTCTAGAAACACATCGGGTTAATAAAAAAAGTACGCCTGTGGCCATGTCTCAGTCTCTAGAAACACATCGGGTTAATAAAAAAAGTACGCCTGTGGCCATGTCTCAGTCTCTAGAAACACATCGGGTTAATAAAAAAAGTACGCCTGTGGCCATGTCTCAGTCTCTAGAAACACATCGGGTTAATAAAAAAAGTACGCCTGTGGCCATGTCTCAGTCTCTAGAAACACATCGGGTTAATAAAAAGTACGCCTGTGGCCATGTCTCAGTCTCTAGAAACACATCGGGTTAAAAAGTACGCCTGTGGCCATGTCTCAGTCTCTAGAAACACATCGGGTTAATAAAAAGTACGCCTGTGGCCATGTCTCAGTCTCTAGAAACACATCGGGTTAATAAAAAGTACGCCTGTGGCCATGTCTCAGTCTCTAGAAACACATCGGGTTAATAAAAAGTACGCCTGTGGCCATGTCTCAGTCTCTAGAAACACATCGGGTTAATAAAAAGTACGCCTGTGGCCATGTCTCAGTCTCTAGAAACACATCGGGTTAATAAAAAGTACGCCTGTGGCCATGTCTCAGTCTCTAGAAACACATCGGGTTAATAAAAAGTACGCCTGTGGCCATGTCTCAGTCTCTAGAAACACATCGGGTTAATAAAAAGTACGCCTGTGGCCATGTCTCAGTCTCTAGAAACACATCGGGTTAATAAAAAACGCCTGTGGCCATGTCTCAGTCTCTGTCGGGTTAATAAAAAAAGTACGCCTGTGGCCATGTCTCAGTCTCTAGAAACACATCGGGTTAATAAAAAAAGTACGCCTGTGGCCATGTCTCAGTCTCTAGAAACACATCGGGTTAATAAAAAAAGTACGCCTGTGGCCATGTCTCAGTCTCTAGAAACACATCGGGTTAATAAAAAAAGTACGCCTGTGGCCATGTCTCAGTCTCTAGAAACACATCGGGTTAATAAAAAGTCTCAGTCTCTAGAAACACATCGGGTTAATAAAAAGTACGCCATGTCTCAGTCTCTAGAAACACATCGGGTTAATAAAAAGTACGCCTGTGGCCATGTCTCAGTCTCTAGAAACACATCAGTCGCCATGTCTCAGTCTCTAGAAACACATCGGGTTAAAAAAAGTACGCCTGTGGCCATGTCTGTCTCTAGAAACACATGTTAGTGTCTCAGTCTCTAGAAACACATCGGGTTAATAAAAAAAGTACGCCTGTGGCCATGTCTCAGTCTCTAGAAACACATCGGGTTAATAAAAAAAGTACGCCTGTGGCCATGTCTCAGTCTCTAGAAACACATCGGGTTAATAAAAAAAGTACGCCTGTGGCCATGTCTCAGTCTCTAGAAACACATCGGGTTAATAAAAAAAGTACGCCTGTGAATAGCCGCTCAAGCTTCAAAGCGACAGAGTCTCCCTCCTTAATAAAGGTTTTCCTACTCTGCCTGTCCCCATCCCCGCCCACACCCGTTTTTAGAAAAACTCCAGAAGATTTACTAAATCACAGCTTTACGGTTTCGCCAATTTAGCGAAATCAAGAAGAGAAATCTGGAAATGAAAATCTGGAAATGAAAAAAGAAAGCTCATAGTTGAGAATCTGATCAAGATGAATTTTTAGATTATAATTATTTTATTAAAACAGTAAAAGTTCCTGTTAAATGCCATTCCTGCAAAAACAACGAATTTGAAAACAAGATGCCAACTCAAAGACGAGGAAAGCACCCGGGGTAGAAGCTCATTTTATCTTTATTTCTTATCCCATGCAAAAGTACTTTAAAATTTTCAAAATAGTACAGAAGATCTCAGGTAGGTAAAAAGTAAAAGGAAGGAAAATAGGACTACACTTTTTCTACAGTGAAGCAACTGTCGTATTCTGCAGCTGATGAGGTATCCATGCCGTCGATTAAATTACGTAGAAAGTTAATTTCTCGCCGGCTTATAAGAAGTAACTATTAGATGGAAACGATTAAGAGCAGACCTGTTATCAAGTAAGAGCCGAGGGTCGTCCGACATTGGACGAAAAAGATTCGGAGCCATGACCATCGCCAAATTCGCCGAATCCATTCTCGTCTTTTGATTTACCTTCAAACTAGTTAGTAAGCAGTTTTCTATTCAAAAACAGACCTCTTCTTTTGCGAAAACTTGCAGAAATCTTATCAGATGAGTAAGACAAGATTTTGTCACATCTGAAAGCTTAGAAATGATCTTCAATGACTCCTCCTTGTCTTCCGAAGTGTCGAGGATCTCCTCCGTAAGTTCCATCGGAAAGATAGGCTCAGCCATTTCCCGTAGCCATAGTTTTAAAAGTGAGCAAGCCACATGAGCATCGTCAGAATTCCGCACATGATAGTCTTCCACATCAACTCGAAGAGCATTCACTCGGTCGATTTCTCCAGGTAAACGAAATATGCCCTCTGCTGAAAGTCCTCCAAGGCGAATTATTTCTGAAGTGAGTTCTCGTTGAATCCACGGAATTTCTAGCTCTGGGAATGAGTCTTTTTGTGTGGCGAGTATTTCTTCGAGGGTAGTGCCGAACATGCTTTTTTGATAAATATGCCGCTATAAATTGAATTTTAGCATGCTAAAAATATTTGGTGAAATACCTTTGCCAACAAGATCTCCGGCTCGCCTGGGTCGATCAAACCTCTTCTGTTGCCCTTTTCGACGACCTTCTTTAATCTTGATAAACAGCCTATAATTTAGCTAAAGATCTCATTCATTTAACTTTTCATACTTTGATAAATAGGTTTATGAGTACGTTCATGAAGACTGAGCCACTCTCTTATTAACTTTTGAACGTTCTCGTTTGACGGAGCGAAGAAGTAAAGGCAGATTGCTGATAGCTCAAGAAGTTTTGGAAGACATTCATCAGCAGGATTATCTCGGCTCTAATTGAAAGGAGGAAGTGAATAGTTTGACAAGCAATTAACCTGTTTGATAATGATCGGATAAATCTCGTTCGCGAGTTCTGAGTGATTCCAGCCAAGAGAAATCAAGCTCACAAGATCATCAGCTTTCTCTCCATCCAAATAATTATTCACAAGCCTAAAGCACTCTCCAAACTCCTTCATCAACACCTTCGATGATCCATTTGTAAGCGGTCTTTTCAGAGGCTTCTTCTGAAAAGTCAGCAATTCAGAAACCGCCATTGGCTTTTTCATGAAGCCTCGATTTAATTGAAATGCGCCAGCGCATGTCTCGCCAAAAGTTGACTTTGGTCCTTTCGCTGACGATGTTGAGAGGCTTCTTCGAATGTTTTTCGATGCAGGAGATTTTGTTGGAGTCGCGACGGATTTAGACTTTTCTCGAGAAATTAATCTTGAGTTGTTCAAAGCTGATTTTTCTGGCGACGATTCTGGCGAAGATTCTGCTCCAACACCGGGAGTTCTTCTTGGTGTTGTACTTCCACTTTTTGCAATTGTACTTTGAGAAGTGTGATCTTCATTTTCTGCTTCTTCCTCGTTCATTTCCTCTATTAAATCTTCTCTGGAGCTCATCGAGTGTCCTGCGCTCGAGGTATTCAAAAGCTGACGAGTGCTTGTATTATTCGACGCTGTTGAAGCCGCGTCGTTATTTGTGCTCGTTGTGCTCTTGGCATTGGAGATTTCGGAATCCTGGCGAGCTCTTCGTTGACGCTGCTGGAATCTAGCGAGAGGGATGATATCCGCGTCAAGGGGCCTGTGCCAAACTGTCGTCATTTTGAACGCGTTGTAATAATAGAACCGGCTGAAAGAAAAGATAAGAAATTGATTGAAAACAAGGAAGAGTACCCAGTTGAATGATCAAAGAGCTCCCACCATTGAGACAAGTTCGCCTGTTTTATCGGCTCTCCAATGGGGGCTTCCCACTGGCACTGACCCGTACCGAGGTTGGCGAACATTCGCTCGCCGCGCTCATATATTTCCACCCACATAATGTGTGGCGGAAGGTACTTTCCTCGCCAATCTTTTCAAATAACCGATCTCTAAAAACTGTAGATGTTTTCCGGGTTTTCTAAGTTCACGGTGGTGTGGCAGTCAAAAAGAGAGCTATCGAACATCTCGCCGTTGGAGAATGATCGTGTTCAGTTGGTGATAAATGTTCTTTATTGCTTCTGAAATGTCCTTCGTGATCTTTTCTAGCTAACAAAGGGCTCAATTTTATCATAATTTTTTGGAATGATACAAGGACGTTAGTTTCAAATACATTGATGAGCCCTAAAATAATCCATGTGCAGTCGTGATTCCACTTCAAAAAACACCATCTCTCCCGTCTTCGGCATTCCAGTAGCCACAATCGTCGGTATTCTTGCTGTTTCCTCCGAGTACGCTAAAAAACAATAGGCAGCTGTTCACTCTTTCATGCTTTACCTAAATCCAAGAGCGAATAGGCAACATTATCTTTGATAGCGACGCCGCATGAGACAGCACAGCAAACGTCCCGAATGGGAATGCCGGCATCGATCAAGGCCAAAGTCGCTGCATTCACACACACGGCGTAATCGCCTCCATCAGCTTGAAGGACCTCAACAAAGATGGAAATGGCAGAGCGAGGATAAAGAGTAGTCAGAATTGTAGCCTCAAATGTCTTCTTCAGTGAGAGCGAAATTTCTTGCGCTTTCTTGTCACCTGGAAAAGTTTTATAGAAAGACCAATATTTTCAACCTTACCTCTCGCTCTTCTCTTTCTTTCCGCCGAAGCAAAAGCCGCTCTTGAATACTCAACATCAACAATACATCTCTCCTGGCTAACAGCTCCCCTTTGGCTGGCCATCGGCTCCCGCGGCCCAAAAACCGCCGCTAAGACTTTCGTATTTCCCTAATAAGCCCAATTAACTCCAAATTCAGTCCCTCGAGAACAATAAATTACATGATTCGACAAATTTACCTGTTGTAAAATAGCTGATCCATCGGCGTGATCAAAAACGCCCAGGCGACCTTGAATCTTTCGAAATTCTGCTGCTCGTCGTCCGTCGAAACGGAATCCTTCGTCTGATAAAAGCTCCATTCTGAAAAAGTCAACCTTCAGCATTCATCATTCAGAGTCGATGTGAGTCGCGCTTATTTTATAGACGTATGGAAATGAGTTTGTTAATTTAAAGTCTGAGCGCACTTTCTCTTCACTCCGCAAGTTCCCAATCGCCTCCATCATCTTCGGTTTCCAACACTTTAAGATTCTTCTGCTTTCGTATCCTTTTTCGATCAACTATTGCCATTTTTGTCATTCGGTTTTTGTACTGAAAGTATTGAAAACTTTTTCATATTTTTTCATTACCTTTTTCACGGCTAAGGGATTTTTCTTCGGAACCTTCGTCTGTAACTCTTCTCTCTCAACCTTCTGTGTTTTCACTCGCTTTTTATCATTCAAATCTGCTTTCGCCAGGTTTAAGACTGATTGCGGTAATTCTGCACCAGATTGAACCATTACTCCTCTCAGAATTCTTATTCGATCTCTGAGAAAGGTGGTTAATTCAAATCAGACAGTCAATTAAAGGATTTACCTGTCCGCATCTGAGAAGAAGGTAATTGCATGGCCCGTGCGATTATATCTTCCGCATCTTTTTAAAAGGATCAAAAGATAAAAACATTCTCTTAGAAACTAGTTGAATCAGACCCTCTCCTTCCAACTCTGTGAACATAATCAGTAACTGAGTTGGGGCAGTCATAATTAATAACGGTCGAAGTCATTGGCAAGTCCAGACCCCGAGAAGCGACATCTGTGGTAATCAGGAGCCATACTTTGCCCACGCGCGTCGCCTGGATCACTTTCTGACGATCGGCATTCGATTTTGCGGCGCAGAGTGACATTGCATTAATCCCATCGTACAGAAGTTCTCCCATGATTCGCTAAATATCGGATAAGAAATCGAAGAAGACATCTTCTTTCAGTTAAAATTTTGCTCATGAATGCTCGGGGGAGTTCTCAATTATAAGCCTTTCTAGATTTTATAAATTAATAAGTCGACAGGAAACTGTACAAGGACCGAAAAATATGAATAACTGTTAGAGAACACAAATTTACGGTTTCTGAAAATCTTCCAAATACAGAAAAATCTTACCTGGCATCGCTCCTTCGTCTCAGTAAACAGAATCGCAGGCGGCCTAAAGCCGTCCTTGATAAACTCCCGCAGCGCTAATAGCTTGCCCCGCTCGTTGCCACAATAGATGACTTTCTGCGAAACATTTTGATTCACAGCATTTCCCGATTTTCCAATGGCTACTGTAACTCCTTGATTGTTGAAGTTGGAATGTCCGAATTTCTCGACGGCGCCAGACATTGTTGCGCTAAACAGACCGACTTGGTGGTTGTCAGCGCACTTTTACTGGGTCTTTAGCTGTCTTCCTATGAATATAAATCGCTGGGGACTAGAATAAGACCCATTCCTGTGATCTTAGTATGTTAACTTGTGCCGAAAAGCTCTTTGGATCGTCAGGGTTGAGTTTATTCGTGATTTCCAACATTTTATCGCACTCGTCAAGAACGATCATTTGACACTTCGACAGATCGAGTTCTTTGCTATCCAACATATTAATGATTCGATTCGGCGTTCCACAGAGAATATGACAGCTTTGAATGTTTCTATCGCTCTGACTTGTGTCTGATATTTTCGGCCAGAGGCCTCGTGCAAGAGCTCGTCCAACGCCGCCGATTTGCTCGGCCAACTCGCGCGAGGGCGATAAGACGATGGTGAAAAGAGTGTCCTTGATATTCTTGCGCCCGATCTTCAAAAGCTTCTCAATAACAGGGATCATGAACGCGCCTGTCTTTCCACTTCCAGTTGCCGCGGTGCAAACACAGTTCTTTCCAGCTCGTAAGATAGGAATTGCCGCCATTTGAATTCTCGTCGGATTTTCCCAACGTAGAACTTCTTTCAGATTGTTTTTAATCGCCTTGTTGACACCGTTGAAATCTGATAGCAGAGGGTAAGTCGAATCATCTTCAGCATTCATATTTGTCACAAAAATGCCTTTCTTAGGGTCATCTTCTTTTATGTTTTCTTCGAGCTTTGGTGCTTTCTAGGAGAATTTTGAAGAATTGGAAATCCGACTTATTGTACCTTTGGAATGATGCCTAAATTTTCAGCATCCTCTCTGTACTTTTTTCGATCGAATTTTGCCCCTCTCGTTAGCTTTTTAAATATCGAATCATAATCCATTCTCTTATCTCTGAGAAAATGATGATAAACGGATTTTCTGTTTTAGTGAATTAAAGAAAGTATGGTGTAAATCAATGGAGAAAACCTTGGAAATCGGAGAGCGTATTGATAAAGAGAAAATAGGAAGGAAGAAATATGAAAGAGAACTTTATAAGCGTGGGTTATACACAGCGTAATGACGATTTGATAGAACGCGCAAAATTCTGGTCCAAAATTTTGAAACTCAGGAGAGGAAAATTCTTTGAAAGGCAGTGACGCAAATTTTAAAGAAACAAGGAGCTCGTGCGTATAATACAGTCATGTGTTCAAAAAGAAAAATGCGCTACATTATATTCTACATCTGAAAATAAGTATTGATAAGTATCAGTGTTTGTGTCAGACTCTGAGGATTTCTAGGAAACCGGAGGTTGATGAGTTGTAGGTAATTGCAATCCAGTCGTTGTAAAGCGCTCCCCACTGGACGGAGTTGATTTCTCCACCGGCGGAGTAGGCCAGGATAGGGTCTTCTAGTAATTTAAGAGCTTTGATAATATGCAGAATTCATTACCTATTGCACGAGGCATTTGTTGAATATCCCAAATTAGGGCTTGCTTATCATCTCCGACAGTACAAACATGATGGGCCGAGTGAGGCGCCCATGAAACCCCATTCACTAATAATTACCATTTTTGATGTAAATTGAAGCAAACTTACCTGCAGCTCGATGATTTGCAAGACGAGCAACAGGAATACAGGGCACTCTCTTGTCCAAAATAATGATTTCAGAAACGTCCATGCCCAGCGCAGCAATGTAATTTGCATCGATTCCATTCCACGCTAGGCGGAGCAATGGACGCATTGGGTTCGATTCGTAGATGATAGTTGAATGCTCCAGGTGTCGTAGGTCGAAAATGCGCACTGAAAAGTATACTCTTCCTTGACTGCACTTCAATTTTGACTCGCACCTGATCCGTCTCCACCAACAGAAGCAAATCCATTCTGACTTGATCTGTCAAAAGCAATGTCGTATACTTCCTGTTCATGAGCTATCAGTTGCGTCCTTACTCTTCCTGTTTGAGTACTTCTATGACCAGAAGTCGAAGCAAGAGCTTGGCCAGTTTCTACTTCCCAAATAGTGCAAGTTGTGTCTATCGATGATGTTCCAATTAGACGAGGGTTGATTGGAGACCAATCGAAGGATGTCAATGGAGCGCAGAAATCACGGTCGTTGTTGTTGTTGAGAAGATGAGTCTGCTCCCAGTGACGAGGATTCGGATTCGTCTCGTTGTAATTTGCGCGAAATATCCTTATCCGTGAGCTGACAATCCGAAAATTAGACGTACCTGAGATAATCGCCCGAAGTAGCGATTAAATCCGGCCTGCCGGAGTCCGTAGTCGCGTTAGGAGGACACCACATGATCTTTGTACAAGGATAAGGATGATCTATCGTCGATTCCTCTTCAAACTCTGTCCTGGAAAATCAAAATCAAACGAAAGCAATTAGAATGGGCGTACCGAACATTTGGATCAAGATTTAGAATTTTAACTTTGTTTGAGTACTCCTCGATAAAAGAACCAACGGCGAGACGAAATGCTCCGTCTTCAGTAGGTCGCTGACACCAGCCCATGGAAAATAACGGCCACGGAGATTCATAACTTAAAAATCCAAATTCAACAAAATTTAGGTGGCCTTTTTTACCAATAAATTTCTCTTCGATTTCTCACTCGTCGCGCCATTTTCAAATTGTCCGATTTTTTCTTAACAAAAGTAAACTTTATCAAATAAACTTTCTGCTTATTGCACGACATATATTCAGAGAAGACAGGTTGACAAGTTTGAAATATGCGAAATTTTGAAACGACTAGAATGGATTTCATTATAAATTGCCTAATTGGCTCATCAGATCTTCTAGTGAAACATCGGAAGTTTGAACTGCAGGGCTCTCTTTTGAAGATTCTTCTGTCACAGCTTTTTGAGTTGATGGAGCTTGGGATGGAGTGGGAATCGGATCTTCTTCGTCTTCCTCGCACATTTCGATCTCGAAGGGATTGTCGATGACGACTTCTTCTTCTACTTCCTCGACTTTGGGCTTATAGATGATCAGTTCTTTCTCGTTGGTTTCGACCTTTTTCTGCATTTTTTTGCAAAAAGAATCGTTACAAGATGGATTTGGCTTCATCGGGTACTTCGGGAAGTGATCTACAAAGAAATCATCTACTGAAATGACACATTTTCTAACCTCTTAGGGCGTTGTATCCGAGATAAGGGCTGACTTCTCCGAAATCGAGGAGAAACTTGAGCGTGTTCTGAACCAGAAAACCAGCTACGATTCCCATCGTCGTCGGCAAACTAGCAGCGCATACACCTTCTCGCTTCAAGGTTTTCTCATCAGTTCCTTCTGCCATGATTAGCGGTGGAGCACAACCAAAGCAAGCAGTTTCTCCTGGAGAAATGAACTGAAAATGGTTTGAAAATGTCGTAGAATTTGAAATTAATCGTACCTGGATATGGCCAGAAACAGCATTCTCTGAAACGCCCGATTCAATCCACGTCTGGCCGAGCTCGTTACAAGCTTGATTGATGCTCATTCTCGCCTCGAAGTTGTCAACGCAGCTCAGTACTAAATCGACTCTTCCACCAGTCAACGATCCGTTCGTCATTTGCCCCAAGAAATGGTCAAAGTTCTCGACCAAAGTGATGTTGTAATTGTGCGTTTCAATGACGACATCGGGATTGATGTTTTCAAGCGTTTGAGCAGCCGCTGCAACTTTTGATTGACCGGATTGATGGGGCTGGAAGAAGAGGCGGTTCATGTTTGCCATTTCGACTTTGTCGTAGTCGAAGAGGATCAGTTTTCCAATGCCACAACGCGTGAGCATTTCCGCTGTGACAAAAAAGGGGTTTCATACGCATTCGAATCCTTTTCCAGAAATTATAAATGAAACACCAATCTGAGCCAACTCCGCCAACACCTACGACAATGACAGTCTTCTTTCGAATGTCCTCGTAGTTTTTCACAATGCCCATCCGCTGAAGCGCCATCAGACGAGAATAAGGATTAGAATCTTTCACTTCGGACGAGAGTTTTTCGATCTGCAATTATTTTTTATCATTTATTCTTTTTCGAGAAAAAATTACGAATCAAGTTAATATAGAGGTAGAAAAACCTTGGATCTCGCTGGAGCATTTTCTCCCACTCTTGCGATCTGTTCTTTCAATTCCTTTACTTGCTTTTGCAGACTTTCAATAAGTTCCTTATCGCTACTCATTCTTGAAGAAATTTCGATGAAGAATGCGGATTGATTTATTGAAGAAAGTATTTCCTGCAAATCAAAGAGACAATTTGTTTTTTGATAGATTTTTGTGAAGATAAATGGCAGTTGATAAATGAACTTCGGAGAAATTAAAAAAAAAAACTAAATGGCAGCTAAATTGAGTCTTTCTACTGACTGCAGAAATCGCTTTCGTCGATGACCAGGCCAGGATCGCTTCCAACCGACTCTTGAGTCTTCTAAAAAAGCGATCAAAATAAGCTCAAACAGGAGAGACTTACATTTCTTGCTTCAAGTTCGGCTTTATTCGTTTCTTCTGAGACTACAATAGTCTCTTTCGGCGTTTTGACGGGCTCATTTTTGGGATAAAGAGTCTCTTTGACGACATAAGAGACGTTCTTTTCATTTCCGACTGTCTCTACTGCAGTTGGAACAGATGTTTCTTGCTTCTTTTCTTCAACAGGAGTAGCAGCGAGGGTCTTTTCTTCCATCGTCTCGTCATCTTGCTCGATTTCTGTCTCCTCGTCTGGATCCGTGTAAAAACTAGTTACCAGAAATTCGTCTTCTTCGTGTTCCTCGACCTTCTGTTTCTTGGAAATTGGCTCGTATAATTCTTGAGCTTTGAAATCAGGGAAATGGGGGATAATGTCTGATCTTATCTTCGGCTGTTCTTTAGCAAAGGCGGACATATGCTTCTTTTTCATAGCTCGACTTTTTTCATCATCCGAGAACTCATCTTCCGACCATTCTTCCCCATTCTCAGCCCATTCTTCAGCGACGTTTTCAACACGATCTGTTTCCATCTGAAATTTAAGAATTGAAATCAAAGTGGATGAAATTTTAGGCATTTTTAGTGTTGAAGGCACGCAGGAAATAAGAAGGTAACTCAGGTGGCATTAGAAGATAAATAAACAAGAAAAAATAGGTAAAAAGTCGGTTGAAGTTTTTCACAATTATTTGAAGGTAAATTGGTGGATTTCGATTTTTCTCAGGCCTTGCCCCTGAAATGTGATAATGAAAAGATGAACCGAAAAGAAATTACACTCACGTTCGTTTTTGACGAGCAAGATCGACATTTCTAGTGATCAACTGGCCGCAAATGTGTCGTGGTCCGGGACAGCTAAATTGATAGCCAAGTTTTTTGATGGACGTATTCTCTTCGAGCACGTTTTTCAGCGTTTCTTCGAACTTTCCTGCAAGTTTTTGGCGCTGATTGGCGAACCGGATTTCGGAAAGAGTTGTATTTGCCCTGCAAAAAACAATAAGTGTTCTGAAGTTCAAAATGCCTAAACATTTGTAAACTGCAACTTACGAAAGAGCTTCGACAATAGCTAGCATTCCCTCGGTCGTGATGAAGTTTGTTTCAATGTTGAGGCTCGAAAGGGTCGAATTTTGGCAGAGGACTGCTGCCAGAGCTTGAGCGACGACATCAGTGGACTTGGTGTTGGCGATCGAGAAGGATTTTACGCTCGTGTTCGACTTTTAATCGGATAAGAATTGAAAATCTTGATAAAGCCGCTTGTGAAGGCTTATTTTTATATTAAATCGAAGCCGCCATCGGCTTCTTTGTTTTCAGTGAACATAAAAATAGAAATTGTTATCCAAGTCCTTGAGTGCTTCGCAAAATTCAACGATGGTGTCTATTTGTATATTATAAACATTGTTGAGATTGAGTTCAGTGAGCGAGCTGTCATTTTTTTTGACTTGCTCGAGAGCAGCTTCAACATCTATCGCGTTTGGTTCGTCATCGAGCGACGCCAAGGGAAGTTTGCACAAAGTGTTGTCCTTCCAACTCTCCGTACAGACCATTTGATCGCCCGCCCCTTGCGCGTCATAGTACTGCTGGTTGTTCAGCATCTTGTAGAGCCCTTGAACAGGGGTTTCCCATCTCTTTCTCTCTATTTTCATAAAAAAATGAGCAATTTTTAATAGAAATATAGCTAGTCTAGAAGAAAGTAGATTTATCTAGAATTCACAAGCTTTTTTGGTGCACTTTTGATTGAAAGTAAAAGGATGCAAGACTCTAAATTAAAAGCGTATATTATCGGGCGTTTTTGTGAAAGCGAAGACGCAGTGTGTGTAGAAAAGTGGCCGATCAGACGCCTAACTTTGCCCGAGCGTCAAATCAGAAGATGCCCACGAAATTTCAGCATGGATTTATTTCCTTGACAGAAATTTGGAAATGTATTGTATTTGAAAGAATTTTGAATAGCCTGAGTTGTGGAAACCCCGTGTGCCTAATACAGCTGCAAGGTCAGTGAGCTCCAAGTCAGTGGCATTTTCAAGTGCCTGCTTCACTTCTGGCTCCAAGTTGTCTTCAGCTGTCGCGCCGTCCTCGAGCGCGTACGGATTGTCTGACACGATCTTTTCCTTTTGCTTGAAGACTTTTCCTTTCTTCGTTCCTGAATCCTCCGTGAAATATTATTTATACAATTCTTTTCTTACCCGGAACAAATGGAACCTCTTCCTCCTTATCGGGAATTTCCAGCGCGGTTTCCTCCAACGAGTTCATCAATTTCTCCCGATCAAGTGGGCCAGTTGGCTCTTTCTTGGTATGATCTCGTTGACGATGTCCGACAGGGAGCATCGTGTTGTCCGGATCCATATCAGCGATGTCGCAAAGAAGATTTTGCAGGTCATCCTCGGCCATTTCAGCTAAGATCTTCGACTCATCGATTCCCAGGATCTTTTGCCTGAAGAAAAGATATATTTTTTATTTGAATATATATTCTCCACCGCGTCATAAACTACATGTTATGAAGAAAGTCCCTAATTATCTGATGACTCGGATCAACTAACCTTTCTGCTTCCTTTTTAGCTTCGAGGGCATCTTTATTCTCAATTTCAGCATCCGCCATCTTTTTTCTTTCCTTGTTACTGTATCTGCTCTCTATAAAAATATAGCTTGAGTTAGAGAAGTCGTGGGAAAGTTTGACAAGAGTGCTAGGTTGAAATGCGAGAGGCGAAAAGCCATGTTAATTTTTCGAAGATGAAGCAGAAAGTAAAGATTTAGGTTGAAAACAGTTTTTTTTGACTAATGGAAGATTAGGTAGACGTACTTTGATGAGTTTTTATCGTAAATGGTTGTTTTTGAAGAAGCTCAAAATGATACAGGTTAATGAAGAGTGGGAGACAAGAGTTTTATAAGTTACATGTAAGATACTATCAAGTTATGGAGTCAGGGATATCTGCAAATATATTTCGGATACGTAGAGTTGTATTTACACAAGACAGTAGTTTTTTTTCTTTGGAAGGGTAAAATTCAGAAGACAGTTTTTGATGGACAGCTCAATAGAAAATTCAAAAATTTTACTTTGTCTAGAATCAAGTCACTAGATCATTGGAGAATTTATGCGTTATGCAAGTTGAAGATGAATATTTAAAAGAAGAAACAAAAAAAGGAGCTCAAGAAAACGAATCGTAAGTCGGCTCTGCTCCCATCATCGCCGGCGAGGTGGATGGTGAACTTTTCCAGGGATCGACAATTGACCAAATGACGTTTTATTTTTCTACCTTATGATAATTAATCTGCTTCATCCTCCACGTCATCCCGATTTGCTCATGAGAATATTTTGTTCCTGGTTCGATTTCTATGAGGTCTCATGAAATTAAGGGGCTTTCGAAATTATTTTTGGATAGAACTGTAACTCAAGCGCAGCCTAGTCGATCGTCCCGCCTCGCGAGTGACGAAGGTTGAAACAGAAGATTCTGCTGAGATTGCTGAGCCGGATTCAACTAGTTTTTTATTCATATTCTGACTAAGGCGTGATAATTTTTCTACGAAGCATCTGACTTTTAGATCAACTGGCAACCTACTGAAAGATCTTGCCTGATAGAATTACAGTCACATTGAGCTAGAGCACTAGATTTTCCGACGAACTCGAACTTTAAGACTTTCAGACCTTGTGCCTTCATTTACAGAATTATAGAATATACTGAAATAATTTTCTGGTTTATTTGTGAGCTACCGGTTTCGGATATTAATCCTTCATCAGGCTAACAAGTACAATAAACATATATTCCGTTGAAAAGTAAGTTACCGTGAGGCGAGCGAAAGCACGACTGAGGTGAAAGCGAGAAAACAACAAAGATCATATCGTAACAGAAATGGCAAAAGGGGCGCCAAGAATGGATTGATGTATGCCCCTTTTACAGAAAATTGACACTTTTACTCTTGATTTGACGGTTTAAGATTGGATCTGTGAGTTTAATATGGAAAGCTTCTGAAGTTTTTCGTTCATGATAGTTATCAAGACAAGTTTCAGTTATGGAAATAAGATCAGATTGAAAAGCAAATTCACATAGAAGTGTAGCAAGAGAAGTGTTTTTTCGTTTGAATTTAGTCAAAGTGCTTGGATCACTTTTAAAGTTGTTAAATCTGTCCATAAATTTCTTACAACTTAACGAGTGTGACCTAACAGGCAAATTAGCTGAGGGTAGATCGAAATGCTCGTGGAATCTTTTCTCTAAAGGTCTCATAGTTTCTCCATGATATCTAGTGCCACAGAAGCATTTGTACTCGTAGACTACACAAGATTTCTTTCGGAAAGGGATTTCTCTTTTCAACTTAGGGTAAATAACTGATTCTAACCGAACTGTTTTCCAGGCCATGACTACTCGAAATGACGGTGTCACTTCTTTAATAATCTTTTGGATCTTTTTGCCGATTGAGTCACACCTGGTTTCTGTAAACGTAGCTTTGAAATAATGGGTCACCTCGGATTCTTTTGATTGAGATGGCTTAGTAAAGTTATTACTTCGCATGAATCTAATCTTCTCATTAACCAAATTCCTCGGGTATCCATTATCTATAAACTTTGTTTTAGTGCGCTCAAGGCCTTCGTCTAGAGCCTCGGTGCTAGTGCAAGCGTTATTGACCCGATTTATTTCTCCTGTCAGAAGTGCGATTTTTTGTGATCTTGGTGAAATATTTTCAGTAAAGTGGGGAACGCAATTTGAATTCGATGGTTTGACATAATGATAAAGATCGAGTTTATTGTTGACATATCTTATTTCACAGTCCAAAAATGGAAGCTTGTTGTCTTTCATTTTTTCGATTGTAAATGAGATATTGTCGTGTAGAAGGTTAACTTTCGAGAAGATTTCATCGACTTTATCCTTTCTACCCGTTAGTATCATATCATCAACGTAACGTCTCATGAATCGGACCTCCCCTTTTCTAATAAGCTCATCAAAAAATTCCCTTTCTATTTTGTTCATAAAGATATTACTCAGAACGGGGGAGAGTGAGCTTCCCATGCTGCATCCCGAACGTTGGACATAAAATGATTTTTTAGTGCTGAAGGCAGTAAATTTAATTAACACAGCATGTAAAAGTTGAGAAAATTTCTCTTTATTTGGAAACTCTAGTTTAGAACCATCTTTAAGGGTTTCTTCCTCAAAGTAAAGTTTTGGATTTTGGTAAAGTTTCTCAATAATATAGCTATGTATTTCTTTTACTGGAAGATTTGTGAACATGGAGGACACGTCCAGACTAAAAATCATTTCATGTTCAAGGTCGATTTTATCTTTATGGAGTAAAAAGTGATTTTTGAATTCAAGAGTATTTTTAATAGAATATTTTACCTCTCGATTTTCTAATTTCTTCAACACTTTAAGGATATACAGCTCACTGTTTTTTGTGAGTGATGATTGTGAGCCTATTATCGGTCTCAGGGGGTTCCCATCTTTGTGGAGTTTTATGGTGCCGTAGGCCCTCTTTATATTATGATGGGGCTGAAGTTGGTATTTTGTATTGTCCGAGATTTCAGTTGAATATGATTTTAAGATCTCGTTAAACTCACGCTGGTGAAGTTTAAGGGGATCTTTACCTAATCTTCGAAATTTATTATTACTGAATTCCTTATCCAATTTACGAAAATATTCATCAGTATTCATAATACAAATGTCACGTGATTTATCGACTTTCAGAAGGATTATGTGGGGATTTTGGTTAAGAAATTTATTTAACTCTTTACTTTTATTATTTGGAGTAAAGCATTTTTCAAGTTGAAAGAAGGTTTGTCCCAATTCGACTTTGGTCCTGAATATTCTAAGAGGCTCGACGCCTTTCGATTTAGCATGTTTTTCCCAGCTCGAGAAAAGTTGCTCAAAAGATATTAACAGTTTATTTATATTAGGGGATCCTCCCACTGATTGGCTAAGTCCAAATTTCAAAATGTCAAAAATATTTTCAGGAATTTGTACGTCAGAGAAATTATGGATTTTGACAGTAGGTCTATTGTCAGGAGATTTATGATAGTATTTGAGTAAGTTATTTAGTTTTTGGTATCTCTTGTTATCATCTTGTTTTTGTTCTTTTTCAATAGAGACTTGGATTTGACGAAGAATAGATTTACGCTCGTGATCTGAGTGAAAGAAATATTCGTATTGAAATTGTTGATTAAAATCATGTTCGAGAGCGGAAAGATGATTTTCGGTTTTCAAAATATCAGCTTCGACTCTTTCGAGTCTTTTCTGTAGAATTTCTGCTCGATTCCATTTTACCGTTTGAATCAGTTTCGGGTGAAGTTTTGTGTACGATGGAGGAACTCTGTGTTTCAAGCAATTGGATAAGAACTCGATGTGCTTTGCAGCCCGATGTTTCTTTCTTTGCAACCGTTGAAGGAATGTCGGAAGATTTCTCTCCATTTGTTTAGTCAGTGGTCGGTTACCATCATAGAATTATTCTCTAGTTGACCGTTGGCATTTTCTGGTTTATTTGTGAGCTACCGGTTTCGGATATTAATCCTTCATCAGGCTAACAAGTACAATAAACATATATTCCGTTGAAAAGTAAGTTACCGTGAGGCGAGCGAAAGCACGACTGAGGTGAAAGCGAGAAAACAACAAAGATCATATCGTAACAGAAATGGCAAAAGGGGCGCCAAGAATGGATTTTTGCCATTTCTGTTACGATATGATCTTTGTTGTTTTCTCGCTTTCACCTCAGTCGTGCTTTCGCTCGCCTCACGGTAACTTACTTTTCAACGGAATATATGTTTATTGTACTTGTTAGCCTGATGAAGGATTAATATCCGAAACCGGTAGCTCACAAATAAACCAGAAAATGCCAACGGTCAACTAGAGAATAATACTGAAATAAAATTGATTGACTAAAACAAACAGAACAGAATACAAAACCGGCGTCTTTTCTTCCGGCGTGAGAATTTATTTACCCAATTTGTGACTACTTTCTGACTCCTTCCTCTTGTCCAGGGGTGACTGACTTTCTTCTTCCTTGGCGCCTGACCCTGATTCCCTAATCACTCGTTTCCTTTTGAACTAATCACGCCGCAACTTAACAACTTCCCTAATTTTATGTAAAACATCACTTGCGTCGTTTTCGCGCTAATTGATAATCATAATTATTGCTCTTCCATACACGTCATTTTATTTTGTCGTTTATGTTTTATTTGTCGTCATGTTATTGGTTTTGTGTGGCCGGAAAGAGGCCGTGGCATAAGAAAAAAAAATATAATGCAACTGTAACTTTTCGAAAGACTGTAGCATTTGGTTCATAGGTTTCGAATTTTTTTTTTGAAATGTTTGTCTGTTATTTAGCTATTGTCAAATGTGTCGTATCCCATGCTGCTTCCGTTGGCGCCCGTTTGACAAACGGCCTGGGCGTTTTTCGCTGCGTACAAGTTAGCTTCTTCTTGGAATTTGCCGATATTTTTCTTGTAGCGAATTCGTTTGTTTCCGAACCAATTGGACACCTAAAAGTTAAATGAAAGTAAAGAAAAGAGTCTCTTGGCATCATCAAGAGATGAAATTCTAGTTACCTGGCTGACTGTAATGCCGCATTTTCTAGCGAGCTCTTCTTTGGCCTCTTCAGACGGATAAGGATTAGAGAGATGACTGTAGAAGTATTCGTTCAGAACTTCAGTTGCCTGCTTTGAAAAGTTTCTTCTCTTTCGCCTGAAACAAAAAAATAATAAATTTAATTTCGTTCGAATGATGTTTACAAGCTAAGCTAAACATGAAGAATCTTCTCCATGTTTTTAAAATTCTCAATAGTTTCAAACAGGCAGAATATCAGAGAAACTTTTATGGACGAATTTACAAGGAAAGGATTCTCAAAAGCAATTCTTCTGGGTTCAAGCAATCAATCAACCGACAGAGAAGATTATGCTCCTCCCGCTCAAAAAGGATTTCCGAAAACTCATCTTTGGAGAAGTTGCTCTTTGGGAGACTCTTTTCATGATTCATTCGAAATCATTTGATTCTAATAATCAAGACGCGAAATTCGACATGACAACGGTTAGAATTTTTTTTTTTGGCTGATAGCTACCAATGAAGAATTCAATATTTACCCTCTAGGGGTCTCAAAGTCAAGTCATGTGAGTGAGGCCTCACAAGACTCCCTAAAGAACCATAAAAGTATTGATATGTATCTTCTTTAACAAATGAGACTTTAGAATCTAAACTTTAGATAAGCTATCGAAAACAGACCCTTCTTCATGTTCTTGTATACAATGTATACTATACATACAGGTATATAGGTAGGTATGTTTAGAGTCTAAATTATAGAAATATATTCTAAAACAAAAGTAAATAGAAGAAAAGTGTATAGAAGAAAGCCCAAAAATAAAATTCTCGTTGCACAAGTTCAGATTCTCAGCAGCGAGCTCGGGCGCGCTCGGATGTTTCAGCCGTAGACACGGGCGCCGCAACAAGGAGGTTATAAAAAGAAAGGCATCGTGGTCAAAGGGAGTGTATTTCTCAAACAACACAAATCAAACGACTTAGAACTAATCAAACGAAGCAATAATTGATTTTGCTGAAACCAGAATTAAATATAACCGCTTCCGACTACACCCGAAAGAATTAACATAGAACTAAAGAGCGTAAAAACGAAAGAGAGAATTTTAAAGATGAACTTCGGACCAGGCGCAAATCAAGATGGGTTTTCTAATTTTGGGCACGCAATGTCCGAGGGAGGAAGCCCGCCAAGAGGTAGTTTTGGAACTCCTCCTCCAGCCGGACAGATAACCGGGCCTCCAGATTACTTTTCCGTGCTGGCTCACGCGTCAGGACGCCCAGGACTACCTCCGAGGTAAGGAATAAGAAACGCTAATTAGCTCGAATTCGACCCGATAGACGAGAAGAGATTTTCTTTTTATAGGTGTCTCTTAGTCATCCTTTGTCGCTCAAAAGAATCTGTAAAGGGGATTTGACTATCCTTTTTTCGGAAAAAATTATTAAAACCAATTCTCATTTCTTTTATCTAAAATTCTCCTCGACCCAGACAGAGTCTGATGATTACGTATAAATTAAGGACGATGGACTACATGCTCTCTCAGGAGGAATTGAGCCGCCGAAACGCCAGACGGAAGCGTAACCGAGAAGCTGCTGCTCGCTGCCGAGAGAGAAGGATTGAAACTGTCAAAGAGCTCGAAACGAAGGTCAAAAACCTTCAGAAAGAAAAAGACGAGCTCAAGAGACAAAATGAAGTGATGGCATCTGAGTTGGAAAAATGCAAATTTCAGGTAAGAAATCACGAAAAAATGAACTAGATCCAAGACAAAGATGGAAAACAATACGGATACAATTATTTAATCAGTCGATCAAATATTGAAATTATAGTCTGAATTCAATTCTTTAAGCTCAAAATGATGTCAACAAATTGGGGCCACGTGCTCGCGGACTCGCCACAATCAACAAAGAGTCTCCATTCGCCAATGACCCCAAAGGAGAGCATCCCGTGCGAGAGCTTCTCGGATCCTGGGCTCACTCCTTTGCTGGACGGACGGGTGAAATTCGAGTTTCCCGATCTGCCCGAGGAATCAACGCGAAAAGCTAGAATGACATCAACGAGCGAGTTCAACAAGTTTCTCGACGAGTTTTAGTGCTTCAATTCAACCCAGAATCGAAAAAAAAATAAGTAAAATCAAAAATCTGCCGCTTGAAAACATATTCCTTAACAATCCTTTTTATGCTTTTAATAATAACTCACCTGGCATCGAGAAATCTGCTCCTCAAAATCATAACAGCTTCACATGTGCTCTGTTTCAATTGAAGCTGGATTTGATTGAATCTCCGACTGCACAATAAATTTTAAATAAAATAGTAAAAAAGAAAGACTCTTACCTAATGATCGTGATCGTTCGTTGAATTTCTCGCTGGGAAATTGGCCGAGTTCTTGATTGCTCGCGGAGCAAGTTCTGCACGTGTTGTGTAAACTCCTGACATGCGTTGTTGTACTTCTCCAGCTCGGCGTGATAGATTGAGCGGATCTGATTCAGCTTGGCTCTGTAATCACCGTGTTCGGCAGTGTTGTCGCCAGAAGCAGCAAGTTGACCTTCGAGTTGGGCGTCCGCGTCGTTTCCGATGACGCCTTCGGATTCGAGCATTCGATCAAGTCGAAGTTGTTGGGGATCTGGAGGATCGTCCTCTGGAGGGTTTCGCTGAGAAAGGGCGGACTTTTCTTTGATTTCACAAAGCACTAGAATGAGTTTGAGACTTTGAAAACCATTGAAATCAAGGAAGACTCACCCAAGATTTCATCGTTTTTCCTTACCTTGGAATAGCGCGTTTTTCATTCTGTGCATATTCAATCTGTGTTTTCTTTCTTGCGCTTCGTCCATTCCCTGCTCAGTGTTGAGACTCATGAGATTTTGCTGTCATCTGGGATCGGAAAAAAGTTCAAATTTTATGACTAGCGGTAGTTTAGGAACTTTCACGCTGTCATTCTTCGATGCCTTTTTGAATGTCGAGTACGGAAAATAAAAAGTATTGGCGAAATGCTTTGATCTCGCGGTGGAAAATCGATCAAGTTTACCAAGTGACAGTATCAAGCCGCCACCGCCCGTAGTTGAGACCGTATTTACATCTTGTATACAGAAGTAAATACGAAGATGACGGCTGGGGATACTAAGGCCGCTCCTAAGAGTTTATTTTGTCAATCATAAAAGAAAAATGTAGAAGGCATTTTGTAGGACAGCTTCTGTTTCAAAAGTCAAGTAGCAAGCTGAATAGTGAAAAGCTCGAGATCGCTCTTGAGCCGCTCATCAAGCAATTGAGCTCTGGGCTCAATCGATCACACTAGCGCGGCTCAAATACGTTGATATCGAAAAAATGGATACTTGAAGTGGATCATTTTGCTTTGTAAAAAAGCTCGCGCGGGTACGTTTAAATTTACGACTGAGGAGATGTATTTGATGCTCCTCTGATGTGCTTGCCCAAACCATCAAATCAAATCGAGTACAATTAAGATCATAAATGGGCATTTTCCCAGTGCAGCAGTCAGAATTAAATCCGTGGGAAGAGTGGGGATATTTACCGTATTCATACGTATGGCAAGTCCAAAGACCGGGCATCGAAATTACAAGTTACGATATTTACGAGCATTGTTGCGGAAGTATTGACGGCTATATAATTAGTGCTAAGAGTGTTTTATGACAGCTATTTCCGGAGCTCATTTAGCCGAGCTTGAAGTTGATTTTTTAATGTTTTTTCAATAAGGTTTGTGGTGAGGGCGAAAAATCTGATAGGAATTAGTGTCCAGCAAGTCGTAAACCTCGCGGTTTTCTCCTAGTTTCCCTTCCCTTCGCTCAGTTGTAAAGCGCTGTCGATAATTTCAATCAAAATTCTATCAATCATAATTTGACCTCGATGGGCGGTGACAGGCGGTGAAATCATACTACTACTAAAGGCGCTTCGTTTCAACTCAAACCAGCTAGTAAATCGGGGTGTTGCTCATCATTCCTTTTTGAAGCCGAAAATTTTCTCAAAGAAAAAAAGACAGATGATGGATGTGAGCACAAGTGGCGGGTTCAATGCAGGGACAGAATTTCCAAACTGTCAAAAAACGCGGCCGAAACGCTGATAATTGATGGATTGGAAACTTGAAGTGATTTCAATCGGCCCTGTAATTGAAAAACATCTTTCAAAGACAAAACTGTGAATACTCATACTTTCCGATCCCTAACAAAACGCTTTCCAAGTTGCCACCATTTTGCATTTGCTGATTTGGATCCGCCATTTGTTGTGGCCCTTGTTGATGTGGCTGCTGATGAGGCGGCTGCTCGTAGCCCGTCGCGTAGTTTTCCTGCCCGTACGACATGTTCCCGATTTCAATGTTTTCTCCCGAATAAGCTGAAGAAGGAGCCGCTCCTCAATTTTTGATTCTCGTTAGTCTCCTTTCTCCGCTTTCTCTTTCTTCTGAAAAACAGATTTGATTAAAGATTGAGCTTATTAGCTAATGAAACGCGAACAAAACTGGCAGTTGTAGTCTTCGGTTCGTCAAAATCAGAACGAAAAGAAAAACTATACAAATTTAAATATATAAACATGCAATAATAATGAAGGGTTCTCCTTGTTGTCTTCATTTTAAAGATCGCTCCTTTTATGCATTTTCTCTATCGTTCTAGCGCAGCCAAAGTTTCAGTCGAAAAGCGTCTACTCCATTCAAATAATACTGGAACAAGCGCTCGTCACGCACAAATCCAAGCCGCTCGTAAAGCCGGAGTGCACCCAAATTCGTAATTTCCGTTTCTAGCACGACCTCGTCGCACCCTTCCGCATCCATGGCTTCTATCGCCCTTCTGAAGAAACTTTTTAGAGGATGCTTTCTAGTCAGAACCGCTTTAACCACCGTTTGTTATATACTCTCTGCATGGTACACACACTCGGTGGAGCTCTAGGTCTTGATGAAGAGCGATCTCTATATCATCTATCAAGAGTGAGAATTAGCCACAAATGAGTATAGCGCAATTGTAATTAAAAACACAGATGTTGAGTTTAAAGATTATTAGCTAATCATTGTGTCATCTAATTTTTGGGAAGGAGCTTGTTGATACTCTTGAGATATTCCCTTTTTAAATGACAAGGCACACAATGAAAGAAAGAGCCGAGTCAAGTTCAGTTTCAGGAGGAACTGTCACTGCCAGGAATTAATAGGAAAAGGGTCTACCCTCGGGGTAGCCGATCTTTTCAGTGCACCGATTAAAATGTGTCTAGCCGGGTTCGGAAAATGATTGAAGAGTTTATTGATAAGTGTTTCTTTCCAAAGATATCCTTAGCAATAATCAAATATAGATTGAATTTAGAATCATAAATTTATGTTTGAAATAGTTTTTTTTAATTACCCCGTTTATAACCCCAATTTGGAATGCTTGACATGAATGTAGAAGAGACACAAACCTTGTTGAAACGTCTCTCCCGGACAATCAAGCCTCTTTTAGGTATTCATCTCTAAGTTCCGCTAAGTGCCTTTCTTTTCAACATTTTCGGGTCCGATCACTGCGTTATTGAAAGAAGCGACGGGGCAATATTTGGTATGGTGGTGCAGCGCGCCTCTATCGCGCCCGCTGAGGTCGCAAAAAATCAAAAACCCGCATAAATTTTTTGATAAAGAAAAAACTTTCCAAATTAAAATTATCGGCGAATGAGTTAAATATTCTACTTTTTGTTTTACGACTTCCGCTGATGGTGATCATTTTGAGACCGTAAAATTGAATAAAAGTCTGTGCTTTGGTTATTTTTAGAAGTTCAACAAACCTGACTAGTTCTTTTCCGATGCCGCGTTTTCGGTAGCGCTTGTCTACAGCCAGCATTGCTTTGAGTTGGATCGAAAAAGTAAACGCTTCTTTTGTGTCAATCATATCATATCATTCATTATGAATGATTCATATGTAAGTCAACTCTCTGAAAAAAGATCCATCTATCTTACTTATCAAAATGTACCCAAAACGTCGCTACTAAGATAGGGCAGGCATTTCGCGTGGTTTGTTTGTTAGATAAAGCCGAGCGTAAACAAGTTACCCCGAATCGTATAAATATCAAATCCAGTACCTATGTATCCTCTTCTGATAATGTTCTTGTGGCGATCGAGTTTGCAGACGATTGCGCCGATTACGCTATTGTCGTTGGAGTCGCGTGCCAGGAAGCAGAGTTGGGGCCGAACATTGGGATCGAGATTTATTTAAAACATAGGGAGCTTTTGGGGTTGGGATAGTGCTAGAATTCGGGCGAAAGTTTTGGTCAGGTATTACGTCTATTTCTTTGGCAGGTTTAGAACAAAGTTAAGGGTTTGCCGCAGATGTGGGGTGTATTCAGATTAAAATCCCAAAGAAAATCTTGACGAGTCATTTTTACTCCGACACTTCAACTGTCAAGCACTGCCAGTACTCGTCATCATTGACCTTAATTTTTCGATCGACGATAATTTCACGACCCGTTAATTTGTCAATCTTTGTCACATTTCTTCCCACACTCTAATTGTCATAAATTTCCCTTGTTTTTACAGGCGCAATAAAGCGATTAAAAAGTCATTTTTTGGACCCGAAGAAGGCTGAGTTCAAATTCATGGATATTAGTGTAAAATGAATTCACGTACATTTGGGTTCTTTTGATGTAATAATCTCGATCCCTTGTCAGTTGTGAATAAAGTATCGATAAGTGTAGATGTTATATGGCTCGGAGAAGTCGACTTGAACCACGTCCATGATATCTCTAATCGGGGCATCTTTAAAATGAGATGGCTGAGCAATTATCGGTTTACAGATTTCCAGGCGGCCCACGGCCTTCTTCCTTTTTAAGCCAATTTGATACTGTATTGATTTATTGATTCCGGGGCTGAGATCTCGCACCGTTGTTCAATTACACTGTTAGCTACAGTAATGACTTGAAAGTTCCAAATTATATTTTTATGATGGCATGCTTAAAATTTTACGTAAATAGATTCAAACTCTTGCGATAACGATGTTCAATTACCCTTAAAATGCGCATTTGAAAGCGTAAGCGCCTATATTTTACATTCAAAATATATGCCCGTTTCCCTCATTTCCGTTTCGTCTTTGTACGGTGCATATTTGACTTCTTGCTTGTTTTCTGGCGGCGGAAGAACAAGGCCAGACATTCTCTGAAAAGGTCAAATTTCATCGTTTTTGAATTTTCGGAATGTCGAAGCAGTTTCTTTATCAGTTCAGAAGTTGAAGGAAAGGCTGATTGAAGTACAATTTTCTAAAAGGGCAGAGAGGCTCAATTTACATAGGAGCTCGAATTTCTAAGTCTTCTTCAATTTTCATGATTTTACTCATCAAAACGAGCTCTGCGAAAAGACCATCTGTGATGAGGATCACCGCTCCCGCGACAACAGCTAGAATTTGTATTTCGATTAGCTTTGGAAAGATTCTTTTACCGAGAGTAGCAGCAAAGTAAAAATTCGCATTTGCTGAACCAAGAACGATCCATAAATGCCACATGACTGGACAGAGCGCTAGGGAGACAACAAGGACGAGAATTCCAAAGAGTCGTCTTTTGCCGGTCGCGAAAAGTGGTAAAACTTGAAGCAATAGAGCAAAATCACTTATATATGGCTCCAGACTTCAGCTGATAAATCAAAGCTATCAAATTGTCAATGAGCCATTCCTGAGGGTCGCATATGGAGTAATTATTGAAAGTAAAGGAATCAGGTACTTGAAAACGACAGGTGTTTCGTATCGTGCGCAAAGGGGTAGTACGTAGCAGAAGGCATTTACCTGAAATTATTCTAAAAAGAAAAAAAAAAACGTCTTTTTACCTGAAGAATTTGAACGAAGAAATCTCGGAAATGGTCAAAAAGCTCGATCAACATGTACCAGGAGCAGTTCAAGCCTGGCTCATAGATCGTTAAATTGAAGATGACATTCCAATTGGAGAACATTTCTGATCCGACTGTAAACCAAACGAGGCTGCTCCAGAAAACGACGAGAAACAAATATTTCGCTTTTGCATGCAATCCTTGTTTGAGCATCAGAATTGGTACGATGAGTTGCAGTGGATACAACCGATCAGCAGAGGAAAGAACAAGGAGTAAAGATCCGATGACATCTTTATGATTGATCGAGCAATGCCAGAGACATGTCAGAACTAAAACATGCAATTGAATAAATACCCATCAGATATGCAGAAATATGTAAGTGTTATTAGTGTGCGATGGAGAAGAAAATTATTTGTTGTTATGAATGATCGAATCTAGATCGGAAGAGACCGATTAAAGCTTGAGTTCATAATTTCAATAGAGTTCGTTACGCTGGAAGGAAGTTTTCTACTTATTTATCATGTCGCTTGGTACTGGACGTGTCAATTTGAGGGAAATTAACACTCCCTCAACCAAGTAGTTAGCCTATCATTTTAGTCCAATTAGCACTTTCCTCAGCTTTTCTTTTCTCCTTCTATCTTTTCAAATTTCTCCATTCTTACTCATATTTTACATGAAAACTTACGAGCATTGGAAATGATCCCAGCACTGCATCCACCAGCTGAAAGAATCGACAAAGGGTTCAGATAGCACCACGCGAGACTAATAAAACAGTTAGGAATCAGCCTACTGACAGCGCAGATGACTGTTAAAGAGTTGTAGCGGAAAGGGAAGGACTTAAAAAAGCTGTCAGGAATATATCGAAAGCTTTCAGCATGACGTCTCTATAATTCAATCATCATATGAGGCTGCGAAATCTCTCTATAACTCAGGACAAGTGCAAAGTTAGCGCCCGAGGAGGTGATTTATTTTGGGTTAAAATCGCTTTGAGCGAAGTCGACCTAACGAGTGTCTGTCAATCTCACGCGCCTCAGGGCGTACTACACTAAAGGGAGCCAGTATTAGCTCCTCACTTACAAACAACCTAGAGAAATGAGAGATCGAATAAAATGACAATCAGAATGTTTATCAGTCACTAGATAAGCCTGAGCTTTGACCGCTATGAAGAATGGAATAAATTTACTCACATGATAATCCTCTTTTCTTCATCATTCCGTGAATCCTTCTCAATTTTATTCGATAAAACAAAGCAGGTTACAAAATCCACGATCGCGAGAAATACAACCCAGCTAAGATCATTCTGAAAATTAATCATGAAGAACTGATTCCATCATTTATCAAGTTCTACCTGGAAAATATACTTGATTGACTTGGCGATAAACGACTGATTAGCTGAATATCTTTCCTCAGAAATCTGTGCGTAGCTCTGCGAAGGAGAATTTAATTCCGGCCGATCTTGAATATCAAGGGAAAGAGTTGCGATTCGGAGGACAAGGCCGAGGGAGAAAATTCCGAGGGTTTGGAGAGAAGTACTCTTCCTTGATTCCGATTTCATTTTTGATTCTTTTTCTGAAGATTTTCATTTCAAGGATGATGTTCGAGGCAGCAAGATGTTTTAAAAGATGTGCGTTCATTGCCTCAGATGATCAAGTTTATGTAAACCGCAGCTTAGCTCAAGTGAGGGTTTATTTATTAGATTCACGTAAGGATCACATAATATTTTTTCATAGACTCGGTTACAATTGAATAAATTGATCTTTTATAGACAGGGCAAAGGCCGAGGAACTTTTCGGGAAGCAGTTTTCTTTTGAACCTTGATTTTCGGCTTTGAAATTTGGAAGCTGTTGTGTGAAAGAAGTAAATTGTTTGAGGGAGAATGAAAGCTCTTGGAAGGGTTTGAACGGAATTGCATTGTGGAAACTTTTGATCACGTGGTTTTCTTCGTTGAGAAGTTCGCAGGAGAACGTTTCGCCGAGGCACAGGTCGACGGACGAGGAAGAATTAGAGATGAATTTTACCTCGACATCGTTTGAGGACTATAAAAGGACAGTGAAAAAAGTGTTGAACTAATATTTTCTTACTGTAATTTTTGCAGAAATTCCAGCTCGATAACGAGTCTTCGTAATTTTGGAATAAATTCTGTTGGCCACTGGAATGATATCAGCTATGCTACCAGCTGGAGAGTCCTTCTCAAGGAAAATGAGCCAAAATCGACCAGATACATTTCCAGAGAACATCGCAACATCCTTGTGCCAAATTATATCGACTGAGTTGGTAACATCTTTCCACATAACCGGCTCATTTCCTATAGAATTCTGATTAAACATATATTTGAACAATTTAATTGTGTGTTCTATGTTGAGAATATGTGTAATTACCCTCTGTAATTGAGCATAGGACACGTGTGTGATATTCATCAAGATTTCCGATTTCAGGCGGTTTAGGCAGATTGTAAATTACAGTTCTGTGGAATCTCCTTCTTCTTGGCTCGAGCGTCAGGACTGGCGACGTCAGAACTCCTGCTGGGCACGCCTCTGCGGGCACCGGAAAAGACTGTATCTTTCGAAAGGGCTGACCTCTTTTGAATGGTGAAAAGACTTAATTTTGTGGAAAGCGAATCTTAATTAGCCATCAAGAATTTGAATAAAAACATAAGACAGAAGCGCATATAGAATTTGAATATTCTACTTTATCGACAGATGTTCATAATGCCTAAGGAAAAAGTGTCAAGCCCGTCACATAACTGTTGTAGGTTTTGTCAGTGCTCCTTCTGGAAAAGTGACGCGCAAGCGTTCGTCGATTGCTGAGAGGGTACCGCCTTAATTTGAGTTTTTACTGACTCTAGTAGAATTCCAAGGCAGGTGAAATTCTTTGAACTCATTTCCTGCTGGTGTAACATTGAGCGCAACCACTTGAGGTCGCGTATGGATAAATAGAAATTGTGGAAGTTTCTGGAGCCGCAATCGTTTGAAGTCACAGCTTTCCAGTAACGAAGAATCTTCCTTTTCAAAGCCGTCGATATCGAGCTCTTGTTCCTCTAGCGGATACCATTTAGAATCCATTGATGATCGGAGAACAACCATTTCTGTGTTGCTTCGATGCTCTCCAAGAACGGGAATGTCTATGAAGTGTCAATGGGTGTCAACAAAATATGATTTAAAATATGATTTTATCGAGTATACTGAATAAATTTGCTGGTATGATATTTATCTTGGCGCCATAAAAGTCATATGAAAACCGTAATAGAAGAGAGGAATTTCATCTCTCCCATCATGTCCCATGTTCGATAAATATTTAATTTTAGCAAATGAACATTATTTGTTTCGATAATCTTACCTAATACGACATTGACTTTGAAGAGAGTCGGGCTCAATTCAATAACCGGCGTTGCGGCCGCCTCGCAATCGAATAATTTCGGCTGAAAATAATTTCTTATTTCATTATCGCATTTTCGGCTGTTAGCGAGAGTTCTGGAGGAAATCGCATTATACCTGGTTCTTAGCGTTGGATGATCTGGCGAAGATCCGCGTTGGCTTTTCCACGGCATTAGGCGGGACAATCAAACTTGATCCTGGTCGAAAAATGTTAATCAGAATATCGAAGCGATATTTTTATTCGTGAAAATGCTGAAAAGCAGGGTGGCGGGAAGATGCGACTTGGAGGAGCTCCAAAAATTCAGCGTGTTGCTTTTGTTGCTTAGAAATTTTTAAACTGATCGATTGAAAACTAACATTGGATGCAACTGTAAAGAAATGTCTTCATTTCAAAATGTTTTACTGTAATTAAGCATCCTAAATCGATACGACTTGACGCCCCAAGATCGATTGCTTTAACAACCTAGGCGAACATCTGTGTGAATACCTTCTATTAATTTAAATAAACTTTTCGACCACTACCGAAAGCCAGGAATTCTCTTGGATCTTAGGGTTCCTCCTCGGGCATCGACGAGGAAACACGCTAGAAATTCTTCTTCCATTCGTTGCGTGTTTTAAATAGTTCTCTTTCTGATGCGATGTATTTCTATCTCTGTATCTTTCTTTTTGTTTCTTATCGTTATTTAATTATTCTTGCTTCCCAGCTCATTCTTATTCACAAAGAGGCCTCTCGTTGATGCAAGAAATGATTGAGAAAAAATAACAACGAGAAACGAGCTACAAGCTTTTGACAACCAAGCTTTTTGGAGGCGCTCTTGGAGGGAGGTAACTCGGGCGCGCGCTCACGCCTTGGGCAAAAGAAAGAAAACTGACCAGCCTTGTGGCGCAAAACTCTGTCGTTTTCACGCCGTTTGTAAAGCGCGACAGAGTGTCCAGGGTTAGATTCAGATTAATTATAGATCAGGATGGCATAAGGGAGCGGGCTTGTTTTATACTAAAGGAAGATTAAGGTACTCCCGATGAATAATTTAGGACAGAAGGTTTAAAAGTAAATGGTAGTGACAACAAAACCGATTACATTCTCCATCAGGTTTGGAGGAAAAAAATACCCTTATATAGACAACCTAGGGCCTTATATAGATAATTTCCCATAAGATTAAGGGTCTAAATTTAATGCAAGCCTTGAGGAATACGAATGAATCAAAGATAACTTAAATTAGCAGTATTTTGACAGGAGGGTGGTATCATTTATTACCGGCTACTGGATTTCCCGGTGGAATGCTCGAACAGAAACAGAGAAAATTCTTATGTACAAGGAGGTTCAAACAGATACACATTTGAGGCGAGTACTGATGTCTTTTTTCAACGAGAAAGCTAAAACTGGTGATTGAGACGACGGCGTTTCATTTCTTCCGTTCTTTCCGCCAATTTGCGCTTCAAATCTTGAGTATGCTCGTTTGTAATCACGCCGCCGGAGGACTGCGCTTTTTCGAACATTTCTTTCATCATTTGGCGCATGAATGCAACTCTATAAAGATGACTGTAAAGACTTTTTGCGAGGAGAAAATTAAATTTACTGGGGCATAAAACTCGGTTGAAAAAGTTCATGTGCATTTAAAATTGTGAGATAGAAAGATAGGCCTTTAGTACTCCCCAAAGGGCCAATTAGACTTTGTCCGCTGGTGCAATAAGGATTTTGCCCATTTTGACACTGTCACTTACCCATGAGCGACTTCCATCTGGCCGTTGTGATCCAATTTGTCAAGAAAATTATTTATCTGATCATCCGCTTCTTTCTCCTCTTCTTTGTGCGCTTCTATGCCTTTTTGCTCGTAAGCAGCAACACTGTCTAAAATGAACAGTAAAACGAATAGCTCCTTTTCGATTTATATACATGAGATAGAATAGAAATAGTTCTGTAATAGTACCATCAAAGTCGATGAGAAATTCGACTTTGGCATCAGTCAGCAGCTTCATACAATCAACGCATTTGCAGATCTTGAGGCGGAAATCCTCGACGAAAAAGCTGCCAGACGTTGATTTCGGCTCGTTCTTGGGCTTAGTACAGTCGCCAGAAACTTAATTGCTACTGTTAGACGTTGATTGACAGACACAGATGTCATTATTCGATCCTTTCAGACAAGGTGAAACATAATCGACTGTAAAGCGTCCTCTCTGTACCTGATTCTTTATCTGCATTGCTGATACTATAGCAGCGTAGAAAGGAGAGTTCAGGCTTGGCCAAGCACCGAGGGCAAATCATCTCGTCATTATCATCATTATCCAGCTCTTCTTTGGTGAGTTTCAAGCAGCTACTGTGCCACCAATCCTCGCAAACGATGCACTGGATCATCTCGTCGTCTTTCAGCTCTTCTGGGCAATCTGGATCGGGATAAGGGCGGAGGCATTCGCAGTATTTTCCTGATCGATGATATTTTTGCACTTGAAGGGGCTCTTACCATCGAAATTGTGGTCGTATCTGTTTTTCTCGTTTGTGTGATTCTTGCTCTCATCGAATTTACATTTCCGGTGATATTTCCCGGTCCCACAGTCACAACGAAAATCGCGCTTTGTGTACAGTTCCACCAGCTCGCAATCGTCGTGGCAATTGTAGGAACACGCTGTTTTTAGGGTAAAAATCTGCTTTGACAAAAACGATCTACAGTAACACTACTGGTCTTTCTATAAGAAAGCAATTTTAACCGTTTCCTAGACACATAGCAGCTGGCTGGCCATCCTTGGCACAAGTCAAACAAGCATAAAGTGCCTGTCTCTTACAGTAGCCTTGAGGAAACGAGCAATTATCTGCATCAGAAGCGCCCAAAACTGATATTTGCTCCTTTTGATCGGCTTCTATTTCTTCGATTGTCTGTAATTGTTCCTCTATAAAAGATAGACTGAATATTCGGGCCACGAAAAGTACCTGTATTTCCATTTTCTTTTTGTAGGTCTTCCATGATCTTCTCAACTACTCGTGCTTCTGCGCTTCTTTCATTCATACTCTGGTCGTTCTAGAGATTCGTTTTTAAACAGTAGACTTGTTAAATGTTTAGCCGTTAATTTGTTAAAGTTAAAAAGTACAGAAGGGAAAACGAATCGAAATGGCAGAGAAAATATATTTTCAAGTTAAAAAATATTTTGCTGCCTCCAATCGACTTCATCTTCGGAGCCGGAGGACATTTCTTCATCTTCCACTGCTTCGAGCTTCTTTTGGCGGAGTTCTTCGCGCTTTTTGCGCAGTTCTTTCACCCGATCGGCAAGGTCTTTGGTCTTAGAGAACATGGCGATTTGTTGATCGACTTCATCTGAAACGAAAGTGTAAAATCCGAAACAGAGCCGATTTTAAGGTTCTATGGGAATCAGGCTGGATCGTTCTTTGCCGGATAAAAACCGTGAAAATGAAGCGTTTATAAAGAGAAACTTGAAATCCTCCTCAAAGTTAAAATTAAACTCGATTTCGTTCAGCTTATGTCCATTAGAAAAGGATCAAGAAAAGATTAATGAAAAACGGTATAAAATGAAACTCGAATTTAAAATAGTTATTGCTTTAACTCAGGAGGTACGCTTGAGTTTATAAAATAAATATCATATGATAAATATATTATGAAATGTGTAAATAGAGATCATATGCTATTTGAAAGCAGCTTGTTCTCACCAATATCTTTTGAAAAGTTGAAACTTTCATCCTCTTCTTCCAACATCTGATTCGACTTGACTGTTTCTTCATTTATCGCCATGGTGAACTCGTTCCATTCTCTGCAAAAATAATCCTATAAATTCTATCATGAAAATTCACCTTTTTGCTTTATCCGCCGGCGTTTCAACCCCTCGAATAGTCGCATCTTTCGTCTTGTCGTCGTAGAATCCTTGCGGTAGATTTTTCGCGATTCCGACGCCCTTTACTTTTGCTCCGTCCTTGAAATAGCTGATTGTTTATTGCTCGGGCAAAGGTGTTAGTACCTGAGTTTGGATGAGAAGACGCTTGTTTATCCTTTCCTTTTCTTCTTGCTCTTCTGAGACTGAAAATAGGGTTGTTAGAAATTTGGTTCGATTGTGAATGGTCCCGATTTTATCGGAAAAATCGATGAAGAGATAGGATTTTGAGATTTAACTGATAGAAATAGGATAAAAGGGGCGCTAAAACGTCAACAAATATAAATGCCCGATCTTTGAAAATTTCTATTCAGAAAATGAAGCGCTAGAGTCACTAACAACTCCTCGTAAATTCGAATTCAATAAGTTACCTTCCATTGGTTCTTCCTGAACTTTTTCAACCTCTTTTGGCTTGACAAATAAATCCTTGTTCGCTATTCTGTCTTCTTCCTTGTCAAAAAAGCTCGCAGTCAATCCTGAAGATGTCTTTCCCGATGCTGCTTTTGGAAGTTTCTTCACTGTAGTGCGCATTTGGTCTGCGTTGAGTTTGATTTTTGAAGCGATGCTGTTGCTGGCAGTAGTTGATGCTTTCTTCGATGACTTTAGCTCGCCGCTTTGCAGGAGCTTGATTTTTTTAAGCGCTGAGATTTTGGTTGATATATTTTAAAATCTTTTGATTGCTTAGTAAGGTCTACAAAAAATGAATTCGACCACGAAATCTGTCTTTTAGACGCTGAAAGCTGAGATGGAAAAAAATTAGTTCAACCAGTAACTATCAAATCTTCAGTAGTAGAACTCGCAGCTGGCCTTTTCGCCTTTGCTGATTTTGCCTTCAACTTCGACATCATTTTCTGCATGTCTGCTGCTGTGACCTTCTTTTTCGACATTATTGTTTCAGACAAGCAAAAACACCTCTAAGCAATGGTCCTTTATTTATTCGTTTTCATGAGCAGTGAGAGTTTTTTACAAAGAAATGAGTGAAAAAAGTACAGTAATGAATGTGATTTACTGAAAGTAGTAGTGTAAGGCGGAAAGAGTTGAAGTTTTTATTTTTTTTAACATTATTAATCAATTTGATGAACATTCTAGCGTTAATTCTATTCGTCGGTCATTCTCCAAATACTATTATTTTTCGGGACTTTCATTTCCCAGAGACTTTCCCGACGAGAAGTTGCAACTGGCGCTGGTTCTGAAGAGAAAGATGAAAAAGGGATGATGGGAAAAGATGCACCTGAAAAAGCTCCATCGGAGTTTTGATATTTGATGACTGTTTTTTGATATTCTGAAGCGGGTTGGGTGGAATCAGAGTAAATCTCCATTTGGTCGATTTCCGAATCGGTATCTTGTCGACTTCTGCGCTCTTTTTTCCTCCCTTTCGACGGAGCATCTGAACGGGGTGTAAGTTTCGTCTAATCAAACCATTTCACGCCAAAAAGATTTCAAAAAAGTACAAAGAGCCCCTTTTGATGATTTCAAGGTCTAGGCAATTTCTTAGGCTGAGTCGATCTCAATCAGATAAAGATAGTAGCTGAAGCTAAAAATTCTATCGAAGTTTCCAAAAAGTCAAGCCTGTTCTCAAATTTCAAAGTTTTAACCTGGCTAAAATGCAGCTCATTGCAGAAACAACTTTTGGTTCATTTTGTAAAATGTCAAATAATAAATGATTAGTATCTGATCGCGAACTAATCTTACCAGAGCTAGTAGCATAATCAATAATTTCCGTAGTCAGTCGATCAGCTAAGAGGTCAATTTCTTTATCCTCATCGTTTCGTCGTTTTCTCTCCGGAAAGCCCATTTGCGGCCCTTTCAGTCGCTTGTGCGGTCGTTGCTCGAATTTGGAAAAGAAACTGCTTCTGTTTTGATTTGGACTGTTAGAGCCATGATTAGCGGCTAGTTGCTCGGCTGGTGAGCTACTGGCACTTCCGAAGTCGTTTTTGACGTCTCTAATGATTTCCCGAGCGAGTCTATCTGCAAACGATTCCATCCGTCTTAATCATTAAAATTGCAAACAACGAAGAGGAATTTCCATAAGAAAATATATGCTCTGTCAATTATATAAATATAGGAATGAAACAAAACTGGTGAGATGATAGTGTCGGAAGAATAAATGGCAGGCTCGTGATTATATAAAAAAGGGGATGATCTTTCGATGCTTATTCGAAGAGCTGGGCGAGGCGAGGTGAATTTGGGATCTTTTCTCGGGCGAGTTCGGCAACTCGCTCTGGGTCGAGCTTTTTCAGGTTCTTCAGAGCGTCCTGAAAAAGAAATAGAGAGGAAGGAGGGGCGGGACTTACGTAGACAGCGCTCTTGACATCTGGGTTCTCGTCTTCAAAGTGCAGGATCAGGATTTTCGCGCCATGCTCAGTATGCGCTCCATAGAGAGTTTTGTCATAGTTTCCATGGAACTTCTGGTCCAGCATTGAGTAGATTCGCTGGGCGCACTAGAAACAACCCTTTAGAGGACACGAATAAGGAGATAAAAGCTTACCCTGGTGGCAAGAATACGGAAATCATTGTGCGGGTCGTCCAATCGTTCGAGGAATTTGTACAGGACCTTGTGAAGGAAATCCGTTTCCAAGTACTGCCCGCTGATCTCGTGCAGCAAGTTCGAAACCAGAAACAAGCCATGCTTCCTAAGAAATTCTCTGTCAAAACTGAAGAAGGCAGAAAAACAAACCTGATGCAAACTTCATCGTCCTCAACGACAGAGTGGATGGTGGCCTCGTGACCGTTGTACCACATGACTTGATCCATCTCCGATTCTAATGGAAGTAGAGAGCAGAGGATCGAAACTGACGCAAGTTTGACAGCTGACTCGATGCGGCCGACGCGATAAGTGAGGTTCTTTGAGACGAGGGCTTTTTGACAGTTGATCATTTTGAGTACTTTCTAAAGTTTTTCATAACGAGAAATGGCTCGAACCGTTCGAAATCAACCTCACAGCAGGATCTGGAGTTGGTTCGATCTCAATCGATCCCTAGGAGCATAAAATGCGGGCTTGGAAAAATTTATCAACAAAATAATATGAAATCATCGAACACTGTAGCGAGATAACACACGCCGTAGGCATTTTTTAGGTAAAAATATGATTACAATGAAAACTTTTTGAAATAAAATCTATGAACTGTTCCTATGAGTGTCTTTCTTGCCTGTTCCGGAAGCGATTCGGGGTCCGACTGAAAGAGACGGAAGAGCACCTCGACGGTCTTGAGCCGGATGCGCTGATTCTCAAGTCTGGTGTCGAGTAAATCTTCAAAAATCATTCTCGATCCGTCGAAAATCGCGTCGATTTTGTGAAAACGCGCGAACTGTAGAAAGCAAATCCAGGTCCAAAACTCGTTGGAGTGTTGGTTCCACGATTTGAGGCTGCCCTTGATACAGAGGTTAAACAACGAGGAGGCTTACTTACAATTTGGGGCGTTGAGTTCAAGTTATTCTCGAGGAAGAACTAATGTTTCCTTTCTAAGCACGCTTAGTTGAAAAACAAGACAAAAGGGTTCTAGAGAGAAATTTGCAAAATGTCAATTTAAAACAGCGCGGCCAAGAGTATCTGACGCATAGATTTGGCGAGAGTTGTCAAGGTTGACGCAATGTTACATCAGCAATTTACTTTTTATCTGCTATCTTTTTTTTAATTTTCTGAGGTAAAGAAGACATAACATTATGTTTTAATCAAAATCAAATCTGCTAATTTCCAGGAATTCCGATTTTCAGGAATTCATTTTCTCGGATAAAAATCGGTTTAAACGGGCTCATTTATATCGAAAATATTTCTTACTTGATTTGCTTGAATAAATTTAACTCCAACTTGTCCAATAACGTCGTCCAACGGAGCACCAAAGTTTTTGATACTTGCCGGCTCGTAATCCGTCTCTTTGTCGTTCAATGCCTGTATTTCGGGTTGCTCCGGAAAATTAACTCTTTGCGGCTAGTCTTTAGTCTAATAAACAATTTGTTTATTGATCTGATTCAAAACGTGGCGACCCCTGCCTGGCAGTAGATCTCGGAGCAGACAACGTTGAAAACATTTATGTTTTGTCTTTTGGATAAATGCTCGAGCGTGCGGCGGACAGTCTCGATTTGCCGCTTATCTCGGACCATGTGAGGCATTGCTAAAAATAGGGGTGTTTCAGAAGGCTCCTTTTCTTCAACAAAACCTTTAAAAATCGCCTTTGCGAGTTTGTTCTGGAGCTCTGTCTCGTTCCAGACGTTTTTCGCAAAGTTTTCCAAGATCGAAAGCGTTCCAAAGGCAAATCCCTGCACTCCAGGAAGCACAACCTTGAGCACAAGCTCTGGAGTCGCCAGAATCGTCAGCCAGTTGGCAATTTGGTCGCCGTTTTCACGGACTTGAGGGTCTCTATCGTTACACGCGCGATTGATCACTTCGACTATCTTTGGCACATGCTGGTGAATATTTCTTTCGCAATGGGAAATGACGAGGCCGTAAATTCGAGTTGCCATGATGCGATTCTCCAGGCTCAGATTATCTTAATTAAAGACGTAAATCAAGCGCAAATCTTTCAAAAATCAAAGTATGAAGGGGCAAAATCCTCCATACTTGAGCGCTGGCTTCAAGGAAGAGTACCTGTGGCATCATTCGCGAGCCCATTCATCATCCCCATTAAATTCCTCCCACAGAGCTCCCGACAGCCCAGCCTGCTTCTGGGCACGCCCTCAGGCCAGGCCTGCGGCGGCGCGACGGGATAGTCCATCTCTTCTTTCAAATCAGTCTCGTTCTCATTCTCAAAAACTGCGCCAATTTCGTTCCATTCAAACTTCGACTTTTCCGCGATCGCTCGGTCTTCATCGTCGAACATGCCAAAAAGGATCGGAATCAAGAGGTTGAAAAAGGAGTACCGATCGCGATACGTCTTCAAATAGTCGACCACTTCGATCAGCAAAGCCATTCTGACTGTAGCATTTGTATCGAAGGTTCGTTGAACGAGAATGCTCATGTTCTTTCGCAAATGCTCGGGAGCGGCGATTTTTAACAACTGCCAAGTGCTAGTGACTGTGCTTGCACGAACTTTGGACTGCTGATGATTACTGGAGGAGAACAAAGCTGGAAGCATGAATTCAGCGTATTGATGGAAGTTGTAAGGATAAGTGGCGATCATGTGGCGAAGAATTTCGTTGGCGACAAGGCGAGCAGTGACGAAAGGATCTGCCAGGGTTCGAGAAAGAATGAGCGAGATTTCAGGCATGTAGCCAGGGATCACTTCTGGGTGGTTTTTGATCACTAAAATTTAGTGGTTGGGTTTGAAAAGTTGCGGACAAATTACCTCGAAATATAAGCCTCAGCTGCTCAAGACGCAACTCTTCGCAATCTTCCACGATTCTCTCAGTGCCAAGTCTCGATTCAAGCGTCGGAATCAACCCAGCAAGGAGATTAGGATTGTTGAGTACATCAATGAGCACTTCAATATTTTTCGTGGCGTCGGTTCTGATCGATTCGGAATCATCAGCGAAAAGTCGACAGGTGAGCTTCACGATTTGAGGAAGGACTTTCACGTCGCTGAGGACTTCGTAAGGTTCGGAATTGATCACTTTTGTAAGAATACGAGATCCTTCTTTTCTCTGCGCCCGGGTGGCATTTCTATTGGACTAATGGACCGATTAGGGATGGAAAAAGATGACTGTTTGTACCTGAATCTGCTCTGCTTTTCTCAAATTTCCTTCAACTTCGTAGAGATCGTCTTTACTTGCTCCAGAGGGGGCGTTTTCCGGCTCACTTTCTTTCAGAACAGTCACTTCTTCCTTCTGCTTTTCTATTTCTTCTGTTATCTCTTGAAAGGTAACCATTTTCGCCCTTTTTCCGATTCCCAAGGGACAAAAGGGCTTTCCAATTCTTCTTCCAGCAGCAAACGCGCGCTGATTGGACGGACTGGAGAGGACCGCGATTCGCCGAGCAACGCGGTTGAAATCAATAATTTGGCGACTTTTTCGCTGCCTGGTGAGCTTTTTCTAAAGAAAATAAAAGAAGAAAGGAGTAACTAGAGAAACGAAGATCATGGCGTGGCTGAGCTTTATGCTAGTGACGATTCTATGGGGACTGGTCGGAATAGGAGCTCCTATGATGGTGCCTTCAAGTCCTCAAAAGGTAAAACGCAATTCCTAGAATTTTGTGACGCTATAATTTGAGATCTTGCAATTTTTTCTTTGATATTTGGGCCTAGAACTGTATCTTCGTAAATATAGAGATCAAATTAGTTGGAATTTTCGGCGAAAAATGACAATTTTGTAATTCTACGGTCAAATTTCGAGATTGAAAGGAGCGTATTTTTCTTATTTCAGAACTGATAATTATGACAATTTTGAGAAGTTATAGTTTCTTGTATCATCTTGTATTCCAAAATAACTATTTGATTTCAGTTCCTGATCCAGACGATGTTAATCATGACCGCTGCGTGTTGCTGGTTGCACTGGCTGATCGCCTGGATGTCACAATTGAACCCCCTCTTCGGCCCCGTTTTGAGCAAAGAAGCTTCGGAAATCATCCGCTGGAGCTGGGAAGATAAATAAAACTAGGCTCACCAATTATACCAATTTTGTTCGTCGAAAATCAAAAAAGGAGCATCAACTTACAGAAAAAAAGCAACAATCTCGTCTCGTGCAATATTGAATATTCAACCATCTTTTTGTTCATCATATAGTCGCTAAATTTACGATTTTGAAACCTGCAAATTTCATCTTTTGCAACTTTCCTATTTTAGTCAAATTTCAATTTCCATGTACATATTTATTCTCTGTTTTACTTTGCATTCTCTCTCTCTGTTCAACCGAATAACCATATTTATGCAGAGCGCATTCAATAATAAACTACAAAAATAGCCGAAAGTTTGCGATTCACGCCGATTTATTTTGCAAAATTTCGTGAATCCAGCGAAGATTTTTCAACGCAGCGGTTTTCATGTAGATTCCAGGACGATTTACTTCGCCACAGCCTTTTCCGTTGCTGATAACTCCCATGATTGTCCACTTTCCGTCGATCATACAAGCAGCCCCTCCGCCTGAATCTCCTAAAGAAAGGTCTTCACCAGCTTTCGATGGGATCTCATACCTTGGCAATCTCCGACGACTCCTGCTGAGTGTCCAAAACAAAGCTCATTTTGTTTTACCACTTGCTTTTCTTCATACTCCCCTCGCCTGGCTAAAATTCGTATCTACCTAAGACCTTAAAATACTCAGTAGAAGAAGCGTTTATATTTGAGTATTTTATATCTTACTTGAAAGTTGTATATTACAATTTCTCCTCGGATAATTCCTCAAGACCGCCGCGCCCAATTTGTCCGGAGAACTTCCATCTTTCTTCTGCCCAAATCCAGAAACGATGCATTTGCTGAATCTCGGCAATACGAAATTACGCACAGGCAAACAGGCTGGGCGAACGTAGGATGTTTGTTCAAATGGATGATCTGTCTTCAAAATAGCCAAGTCGTAAGAAAGAGTTGTTGATTTGTACAGCGGATGTTTGAATTTTTCGTATTGAATGTGGCGGACTTGATGAGATTCTTCCTGGCGGTATTCTTTGTATTTTCTATTCAGGTGGCCAGCAGACGCGAAATAGACTGTTGGCCATCTATCGATGCAATGAGCTGCTGTAAGAATCAAATTCAAGGAAATCAAAGACCCGCCGCAGAAAATGAAGCCGCCTCGAGTTGATGAAAGACCAACATGCCAGGGAATACGCATTGGTTGAAAATTGTGTCCGTTTTTGGAGATTTCTAGTGAAGAAGAGTCATTTTTGCAGGAGCTTTCTTTCTTGCTGTGTAATGCCATATCATAACTTGTTCCATTTATTTTCGAATTCGCTCCAAAAGTGACTACAAGTCGTCAAAAAGATTGAAACTTTCAAGTTACCGATATCGCTGAAGCCCATTCTTATTTTCAACCTGTGATTCACTTTTATCGTCGAAGAACATGCCGTGAATTTGCCACAATCACCGTCTGAGCATGCTGGAATGCTACAGTATCCAAAGTTACATTCTTCTGGGTTTTTAACTGAGCATTTATGAGAGCTCTGGCCGGTAGAAGTGAAACACCAAGGAGCAAAACCGTCGTCATAATTTCTGCAAAGCGCAGGTTTTGAACCCCTTTCGATGCAATTTAGGCCTAGAAAGAGTGATATTCCTTGAAAAACTTTTTCAAGAACCTGCTCGTGTTATATTTTTGGTTCCTCGATATTGAAGTCCTGTCGGATCATTTTGCTTTAGACACTCTCTTGCAGCTGCTAGAATGCCGAAAATATGGTAAAGTATGTTTCTCATGAATCGGCCAAAATGAGAGAAAGGAAATGACTCATTTCAAATGAGGTCTCTTTTTTGAGAAAACAAACTTTGAAAGATGGCCGTTAAGGGTGTCCCCAACGATCGAGGTCGAGAGTGTCTAATTCGGTGACTCAAATTTTTCTTTTTATTTAGAAAATTCTGATTCCGAACCTTTTTTCAGATCTTCAATATCTTATCTACTTCTCGAGATATGGCTTTTTCTATGAGCGCGTTAATGCATTAGCCTTCGATAGAAATGCACTGTGAAAATGGCTATTTTGAAATTCTCAATTAAGTGTAGCAAATTATATATCTCCTGAAAGCTTGAAAAATTTGCTTTCTGCTGATACCATTTTCAAAAAGATCCGATGAATTTTACTTATTGTAAGAGCGCGTCAAAACTCGAAAACACCTGCTCTTTGGCGCCGAAAAAGGGGATTAACCTACTTATCGGTGCATAATCTGAGCTCATGAGAGCCTTGTTGAAGGATCGAACTATGTTCAGACTGAAATTTGGACAAAAAAATCAAGCGAAAAGGGCCTTCAAATTTGGTTCAAATTTTGTTAAAATCATCAATTTATATATTGTATATTTATATATACATTTGATAAAATTATAAAAAATCTGTCTCGATTAATGCAGAGAGAAGTGTTCAAGCAACATGATTCTTTTCGAAATTTGAAATTTGAACGAGAAGATTTCAAGAAAAACGATCTCAAAGTTACCCGAGATTACAGAAGTCGACCTTCTTTGAAGCGGCGGTAGGGGATTAACGGATCAAAATTTACGAAATCGGTCTCGATTAATGCAGAAAGAAGGGTCCAAATAATAATATTCATATTGATTTTTTATGTAAAAACTATCCGATTAGTAGAATTATTAACTCAAAGTTGATCCTGTTTCAAAAAAATCGTTGGGGACACCCTTAAGATTGGTCTGGTGAAAAGAAACGACAAAAACTACAAGAAGAATCTTGTTTTATTGCAGTAAGGAAGATAAGGAAAAGTAAATGTATTTACAGAAACGGAATTTGTGTTTGGTTGGAAGGACTCCCAGCGAGAGGTAGCGCAAAAGGAATGAGACTGATGAAAGCTTGGAATTACAGGAAGTACGCCCAGGTTTGCGGTAACTGCTGGGAATAATTCCGTGCAAGGGTTTTCAAAAAGCCCATTTGGGTTGAGCTGGGAGTCTTTCAATGACGGAAAAGGCTTTGGTGAAGGCGTGTGGAGTTGAATTCATGTAGTAAGTATAAGTAGTAGCACAAGAAAGAGATAAGGTTCGAAATATAACGAGAAAGCAATATGAAACTTTACTGAAAATTTCATAACTTCATAAAATGGGTGATATTTTTACACAGACCGAAAAGATCAGCATTTTCGACTCTCACTCATCAGGATCATGATGATTTGAACAAAGAGGGTTGAAAATGTTGAAGATTTCGTTCTTAGCGCGTGTAGAAGGGAAATAACTATCCAATTTGGGATTTTGGTGTAGCCAAAGCGCGGCTAGAATTGTCCAAAAACGATAGGGTCACAGTTTTTTCTCATTCTTCGAAAGAAAAATGCCTCGAAAGGGTCGGAGAATTTTTCATTCAGAAAAAATCATTGAGTTTTTATGCCTATTGATAAAAGGCGGGGATGAATCTTTTGGAGGATTAGTTGCCAAGAGGATTAGTGGGAACTCCAATAGCGAAGTTGTCGCAAGCATCATTACAAGGAGAACCTGTCATGTCGTCCTCGGCGACGCAGACCTGGATGTCGCAGTGGACATGGACGGTCGAGTTGGTCATTGGCTGGTGGTTCTCATCGATAAACTCGAAGACGGTGTACGAGTATCGATCGAAGTCCTTGGCGGCGCAGGTAGCGGTAGAACTGAACTCTTGCCAATTACAGTAAATGCTGGAGAACTTACGTTGCGTCAAAGTAGAACGGTTCCCATCGTTCGATGCCTGTGAAAGGCTCTGGGTTATTTCCATTGGTCCAGAGATTGTAGTCGAGGGTCAAATCGTTGTTCCAGACGGTGCACTTGGTAGCACGGAAAACAGTGTTGGAAACAGATGGGTTCTAAAAACGAATCAGTAACGTAAATTTGTCTTTGAGCTAAATTACCTGAGTGATAGAGAAGTACATCTTCTCTCCGACTCGGAATGGACCAACAGCTGGCTCAGCAAAGGCATCAGAAGTGTAGAGATCGAGCTGGAAGGCGAAGGTTCCGATGTTCTCGCCATCATGGGAAGCCATGGTACTGGTAACATTGACGTCGGTATCACCGATGTTGACATTAGCGCTGTAGACGCAAGAGAACTCCTGGTTCATTCGAGTCTTCATGTTGATCTTAGCGTTCATGTCGATGCCGGATGTGATTGCATTGGTGAAGGTGATGGTCTCGAAGACATCATCGTAGGCGACAGTGGTTCCGCACTCGTCAAGTTTGACTTCGACTCGGTATCGATCACCCATGGGAACGATGTGGTAGCTAGTCTCGTTACAGTTCGAGTCCAAGAGGTTGAGATCTTCGGCATTGGTGAAGTCAGCAGCGCTGAAGTAAGCAACCATTCGGTCGGGGTAGCATTCCATTCCAGTGAGATCTGGAATTGGCTCGCAAGTATTGAAGGAGGTCAGGAACTCGCCATCTGGGCACTCGCAGTATCCAGCGGGGTTACAGACGTCGGTGCATCCTCCGTTGTTGACGGAACAATCCCAAGATGGTCGTTCGCAAACGAATCGTGCCTTGGTAGTGCAAGCTTGAATGACGTACTTGTCGGTAGAATAGTCCCAGAATAAGCAATCTCCCACGTTGAGAGTAGCACCAATAAGGTTAGACTGAGCTTGTTGGATAGCATTGTTGATGGCGGTAGCAATCATGGAAATGCTACAGTCTGGGTCGCCAGGAGTAGCAATCCAGCCGTTGTTGGCATCAATGTAAGCACCAATTGGTGTCTGGGAAAGGGTATCAGTGCAAGTGACACCATCGAAGAAGCACCAGTCGGTACCTGCATCGTTGACTTTGTAGCCAGTGTAGACTGTGTCGGTGATTCCTGGTTCAAAACCGTCTTTTTCGATCTGCCTGAGTCGACCGTGGGCCTTGCTCCACACGTTCATGTACTCACTGCAGTCGGTATAAGAAGAAGCGGGAGTGTACATGTCGACTTCTTCGTTGAACAATTGTCCACCATGAGCCAAACAGACTGCAGCAGCAGTTTCGAAGTCTTCTTCCTCGACGGAGATACCAGTGTCGATGATGAGACCTTGCTGGTTGGAAACTTCAGTGTACTGGTTTCCGGTATCAGAGTCCCAAACGATGGTTGGCTGATTAGCTCTGGCGATGTAGCTGTCGAGAGCGATGAAGTTTCCATTCCCACAAGTGACGGTGTAGTCGCTGAAGTAGCAATCAAATCCTCCCTGGTTGGTGTATCGAGAGGTAGCAAATCGCTGAGTAGCATCGTTACATGCATATTTCTTGCCAGATTGAATGAGGCCGTAAGGAACTCGGAAATATTCCTCGCAGAGGATGATTGTTACACCCTTTTTGAAAGCATGGAAGTTCAAGTTGCTAAAGCTGGTAAATGGCTCAGGCGAGATGTAAATATCGTGGTTCAGGTCGAACTGGGGTCGGAAGAGCCAACCAGTTGGATAGCCTGTGAAATCACAGATAGTACCATCCCCGTTGACGTCGTCGAATCCGTCGGGACAGACGCAGCTGTATCCAGGATCCAAGTTGGTGCACTGAGCGGCGACAGAGCAAGTGTTGTCAGCGCATTCGTCGACGTCGGAGCAACCGCCATTGACATCATCGTAGCCGTAGCCTTCCTGGAGACATTCACACAAGAATGTACCTTTGAAGTTCTTACAGGTACTGTCGGCAGTACATCCACCATCGTTAGTAGCGCACTCGTCGATGTCAACACATCTATGGTTGATGATATCATATCCATCATCACAACCGCACTGGTAGCTAGAATACGAGTTGACACATTCTTCGGTTGTTGCGCAAGCATGTCCAGTACCCTCGCCCAAACACTCGTCAGCATCGACGCACTCGTTGTTCTCGTAGATGAATCCATCGGGACATGGCTTGTAGCTCGCAGCATAATTGAGTACGATTCCGTAGTTCTGAACGAGATCATCGGTGATCAAACCCATTCGGAGCTCGTAGGTTTGCGAGTTCTGGCCGGCGTAGTCACCAAGATTGTTGATGCCGAGGAGACTATCGTAGTTGTAGTCGTAGTCGACATTGGTGGGATCAGCGAAGGCATCATCGAATCCGCAGAATGGGCCGATGGCGTTATCATCGGCGTCAAAGATGTAAACCTAGATAAAACAGAAATTGTTTTGCATTGGCAGCTTACCTGGTCGTGTGAGCAGAGACCGTCGTCAGAGTGATCGACCTCAAACTCAGCGAAGCTCCAGTCCACATGAGTGGTCATATTACCTTCAGAATACCGTGAAAATTATCCCAAGATTACACATGACAGCTTACCCGACAGAGAAACCCGAAAAGCATAGACGGAATTTGCTGCGTAGTGGTGTGGTGTGGAAAGTTGCCCAGCGACGTTCGCATCCCTAGAAAGAGTTCAATTGAAAATTATTTCACAGTACGTTACTCACGCTTCAAGAACGGTGCAACTCGGCCCGCCAGATCCGGCAAGGCAGTCCAGAATCGACTGCGGATCTGCGCCGTGGGCAATTCCAGCACCAAGAAGAGCGAGCTAAACATTCTCTTTACATCAAAAATTCAAGTGTAAAAATCTTACGGTCTTCATGGTGAGAAAACTGCCTTCAATTATTTTAAGCGGCACCCGACTACGCTGAATCTAATGCGCTCTCTTTAAATGTGTCGGTGAGATCTGTTGAAAGGTCGGCAAATGCAATTGCTAGGAATTTATGCATTTGACAAAAACTCAGAAATGGCTGAATATATTTACAGATGGTTTTATTTACAAATTCTACAGAATCACTCAAAAAGCCTGTTGTTCTTATTGAGCTTGATTGATCGCCGATAACGAGTGATAAGCGCCTCCATGATTATTTGGTACTTTTTGTCGTAGCAGACTGACTGATTCTTCGGCTTTTTCTGGCGAAGAAAGCCTATCAAAGGATCCAAGACAAAGAAAGGGGGAAATTTTATGTTCATTATTGTGGATCCTTTCTTTTGGGGACGGAATTAAATTGAATGGAGAAGGCAACGAGTCATGATTGTTGAAATACGCGAGAATAAAGTCTGTTTTCGCGTACTAAAATGATGTTATTTGAACACTTGTATTCGCGATACCTTCCAAGATTGATCCTGTTCCTCCTGTACATTTGTCAAAGTACTTTGAATAGCGGAAATGACCAGTTTAGAAACAACGACGACCACCATCATATGCTGAAATCGCGATATTCATTAGCGGAAAAGTCAAAAATCATCGACATATTAACAACGGACTCACATAAAGGGCAAGCATGAGCGATGTGACGTGTTTGGTGGTTGCCACACCGGGGATTTCCGTCAGAGGAATATTCGCTTTCGAGTAGATGAACCACTTGAGCGCAACGATGGAGCTAAAATAATTGCCGAATATTCTTGCTTTTCATTCGGATCGTGAATTTATTAGCTCTTGAAATCATAAACGAGTATCGTTCTAATTTGACCCTATCCGTCAGTGTCATCAATATTAGCATACAGCTGCGCAAGGCCAAATCCAAAGGCATGAACGACTAACAACATGAGACTCAGGCATTTCCATAAGGCGCCAAGGGAAAATGAAAACGATATCTGAACTGGTCCAAAAGTTCTGTGAATCACGTAGAACGATAAAAGCTTCAAAAAAGCCAGTAGAGTGGAAGTTGCAAAAGAAGCTTCAGCCAAAAGAGTCGGATGATAGCCAGACCATTCTTTGACGGGAGTCGTATCAGATCCATAGTGATAGAACGCATATGCTTTCATTACATAAGAAAACGTGAAAGAGCCAAAGAAGGTGATATACAGTAGTGAGCCCTGTCTAGCTATGTATTGCTTGAGCCCGTGATAGTATATGTTCTTTGCATCGTGCCAAAGTTGACCAATAATCCAGAGGATGATCAGCCAGTCAAGACAGTTGAACGGTGGGCCCGCAGTTTCTCGCGTATGGTAAAATGGGGTGAGTGAAATAAAAAGCAGAAAAGTGATGTAGGAGGCAAGTGAGCAGACAAACTGCAAGATTGGAATGTTGAGCATCTTCCCTGCCTCAGAATTCGGGGCAACGAGATAAGCAATGGACCAGAGGGGCCAAAGAAGACCGAGGACGAACCAACACGCAGTCCGAATCAATCCCGATTGACAGATTAAATACGACAGCTCTCCGTACCAAACTCGATTGATGACCTGTTGGCAGTTCGCCTGGCTTAGAAATTTCACCTGCTTGTATTTCAAGGCTTTTTTGAACAACTCAAGCCGCGAGTAGCGATTTGTGTGATTTAGTTTGAGCAACGCCTCCATTTCGTGGCTGCTTCGCGCGTGGCTGATCAGGTCGAATGTGAATTTGTCGACGATCTTTACCAGCTCCAGATACTCTTCCCGGAACTCGATTTCGATCATGGACAGCTCGTCGAACTCGTGTGACAGCTTGAACGCTGCTTGAATCGGGTCCTTTTCAGTCAAAATGAGCATTGCTGGAGAACAACGGGCTTTATTCACATCTAAGCGGAACCGACTGAGTCTTAGTGAGTCTTCTTCCGTCTTCGTCTTGCAAACTTTGCAACCACAACCGACCCGATGCGTTCTTGGAATCGTATTGCAGCCGTTTTCGAGCAGAATTGAAAGAATCTCGTAGTAGTTTTTCTGAGCGGCGAGAAGAAGAGGGGTCATTTTCATTTGAGAATAAGCTTGCTCGGATTTGATGATTTCCAAGGTTATCTGAGCCACAGTCGTTGTTTTGTTTTGCTCATTTTCCAGGAGATATTTCACAACTACATGTATGTGAATAATTTTAATTCTCTGAACATGGCCCTACCTTCGATTGACCCAACATCGACCGCTTTCAAAAGCGCCCTAGAATAAAGCATCGGCCAAACTTGAAATAGAACTTGAATCACTGTAATGTCTCTCAAAACAACAGCATATTCAATCGGCGTTCTTCCCAGATCATCCTTGAAATTCATCAGTTTCTTGCTCTCTTTGTGCTTCAAGATTTCGCCAATCAACTCTGTATCCGAACATCTGATGGCGCGGAAAAGGAGTCTCGCGAAATCTTTGATGTCCATATTTCTCCTGATGCTTTTTCTGTTCTCTTTGGATAATCCTGCAATGAGGACATTTGCCCTTGAGGACATCTCATCACCGAAAAGTGCTTTCAATTTCGATTAACTCACCGCAACAAAACACTTTTGCGTATTGATTTTTGAATATATGTGACTTCTGCTGATCCCTACTGTATTTTCTTCTTCCTTGTTTCTTACTGAGCTTCATTGAATTCTTTTTAGGGGAAGAACTGCAAGTTACAGTAGGCAACAGTGAAGATAAAATCAAAAAGTGAGCCTAATGCGGGGCTCGAACCCGCGACCGTTGGATTAAGAGTCCAACGCTCTACCGACTGAGCTAACCAGGCCCGAGGAGTGCTCAGAATTGAAAATACTTATCCTAGCACTTTTCTAGAGCCCTCAGTGAATCACTTGTTGATGTTCTAAAAGTACCTCAGTTCGTTGCAATGGGTCGGAAATCCCGGAAAAAGAGTGAAGTTACAGTAGCCGAGTCGTCGTCCTCCGAGTCACTCACTGACGATTCCGACCCAGAGTCCATCGAGGAGAAGGAGGATGTCAAAGAGAAGTTCCCCACCCTCGAAGACTTCCTCAATCGCCGTCCGAAAATCTACCAGCCAGTCGACAAAAATGATGCTGGAGCCAGAGTCGGTCAAACTTCAGAACTGCTCTATGATGCCCTCGAAGTAAGTTTGCTCCTAAAATTTAGATGATAGATTTTGTAGGATTATTCTGTTTTCATGCATTACAGCTTGGCGCTAAAAAGAAGAATGCGAACTGGAATCGGTAAATACAACGCTAGAATAAACACAACTCAAGAATTTTTTCAGACGAGATCGATCTTGGGACGAAAAAGATCATGCGCACGGCCAACATTCCCGGCGGAGAACAGGCAAGCTTCGATAATCAAATCAAGTGGCTCACCGAAAGAGCTCAAAAACGGCGTAATGAAATGGCCGAAATGCTCGCCAAGGTTAAGAAAGAAGCTGCTCTGATGAAGGATGCGAAGATCAAGATCCTCAAGTTCCCCAAGATGGATGAAGAGGTAGAGCTGCTTTTCAAGTGGAACAAGCAGCGAGTGCCGAACATAAGGGATGATTTGCCACAAGTTCTGAAGGAGGTATGAGCTCGTCGAATTAGCACTAGAAATATAAGTATTGTAGACCCAAGAATTGGTGGACAAAGAGTATCAAGACTTGATGGAAACTATCGACAACGACCACAAAGAAAACCTCGGGACTGGGCTTCGAACTCTTAGATCAAAATTCTTTCGGTTTTTTCTCATTTATCCTCTTTCGAATTCCAGCTAGCCAAGCTCAAGAAACTCGAACAAAAACTTCACCGAAAGTTGGAAGAGGAAATGGACGAACTAAAGCCTCGCTGCTCCCTTATGTAACCAATAAAAACGAACCACAAAAGTTTGAAATCATAGAAGAGTACACTCATTCGACTCAACTTGAGTTGAGTGATCTCTGCTTTTATTTTCATTTTATTAATAGTCTTTTTTTCTCCATATCTTGTTCTGAGAGAGCAGGAAGTGATTGTTGAATGTAAATAATATCTTTTTTGTCTTTTTTGAAATATTTTTTAACTTGTGCAGGTGCATATTATCTCAAAGAGGCGCTCCGAAAAGATCAAGTTCTTTTTCGATGCGATGTCTTTTTTTTTGTTGTTTTCGGAATGGATCGATGAGTAGAAAGAAGATTGCTCCAATAAAAGTATTGCAGTCTGGTAGAGTAAAACTGTACAAGGGTTTTGTGGTTGATATTTGATCAATGCTAGTGAGCGGTCTCAAGGAGAGAGGCACGGGAAAGAGAAGGTCTTCTTTAGGCAGCGATTCCTTCGAACGACAGGATTCCACGTCCGGAGGTTTTGATGTCGCTAGAAATGGGTTAGAATATGTCGTGTGCTGATAGCTGGCTTCCAGCTCCTGTTCTCAATTAAGACGACTTACGATTTCGTGGAAAGATCAGATATTCTGTCGGAAGCATCGAGGTCTTCTGGGGAAGTCAACTGCCACTCAACCTGGATGCCTTCAAACTTTTTCTTGAGCGCGTCTTTGGAGGAGGCGGAGACCATCTTCTGCCTGATTGGGGCACTATCGGGCGACCAGATAATGAATGTCAACTTGAATAATTAATCGTTAGACACTTGGTAAGAAAAATTTAATTGATACCTTTGTTCGTTCTCCTGCTGGAACTCCGGGACCCATATCAAGTTTAATGGCAACGTCGTAGATCGCATATCGACACTCCTAAACCCAGAATATGAATAAAAACGATAAATATTTATTGATGAGTATGTTTGATGCTAACTTTTATTGAACCCCCGGCGGATAATAAAACAAATGAGTGTTAGAGACAAAAGAAGAGTTATGCAACAATCAACAATTTCCGTCTCATTTTTTCCTAGCAATTTTCTAGCTTTGATGTTTCTGAATATAGGATTTACTTACACTTTCAGGCAGACTCTGAGTAAATGATTTCCATGCATCTGGAGCACCTTTTTCTTGGACAGACTCTTCGATTGGCACAATCTCTTTGTTTTCTACTTTGAATTGGCAGGACTAAACTCGTGATTCGGAATGATTTTTTTGAGGATTGTTACCTTGATCTTTCCAGCTTTGAGTTTCTCCCACATTCCGACGCAGGAGTCATTTGCAGCAACACCGGACATAGACGCCATTTTGTTTTACTCTTATTTTTTCAATCTAAATTTAAAAAAGGTCAATCTCTAACTTAAATCCTGTGCGGCCTGTCAATAACCGGCGGATCGGATGAATAAGTTATGGCAGCGCAAATGTGTGCCCAAATTGAAAAATTGAAGACTGCTAGATATACAATTTCAATTTCAGGGCCATTTGTTTTTACGAATAAAGCCGTCTTCTTGCACAGACGTCGCATTCATCAAAGCTTCGACTGTATATTTTGGTTACCACTGTAGCATACGCACTGTATAAACACGTGATTCAGAATTTAAGCGGTTTTGTCTGCTCTTTTGTAAGATTATTTTCAACGAAAACACAGACGACTTCTTTGTTGATTTCAAGACAAAATGGCTAAATCAGATGATTTCCTCGAAAATTTCTCTCTTAGGTCGGTGGGTCTCATTCTTTTTGAGAACATGAAAATCTTCAGAATAAAAGCTTCTGAGTTCTCGCAAAGTAGTGCTAAACGGCAAGTGCGAGACGTTTCCTGTTTGCTGGAGCATTTCTCTTTTAACGTGTGTTGGATTTTGTCGACTCACGCATTTTTAAAGCGCTGTGTGTACCCTTAATCATCATGCCATGATCATCAAAGTCATCAATAATCATTGCCAGTTACAATAGTTGAATGGAGTCTTTCTCTGGTATTCCACAAGTAAACTCTTTATACGGGCAGGTTTTTTCGCTTGAAAATGGTCAAAGAAAGGGATAAGGGGCTGTTAGAGAGTTTTGGCTTGGCGACACGGTGGTGTAAAAACGAGTGGCGCATCTTCCACGATGAAATGGTTGAAAAAGTGGTGGTAGCTCCAATGGGGCGGCGAGAGGCGCCCGGGCGGCCAATCCTATGAGGCACAATCTCCGTCAAATTTCCTTATTTGGACATCTCAACGAGCGGGGCCACCTCTCCTTTCAGCTACGCAGCGACACCACCGACAACTGATCAAACGGGCGCATTTTTAAACACGAAAAATTCACCAACACAAGAATGACTGATTAATGACCTTGACGTCATCCAAAAAGGGAGACATGAATGATGAACTTCAACTTCAAGCTACAAGCTAAACACGATGCTTTTGCAGTAGATCGCTGATTGTGCGCAAGAGCTCTCAATCACAAATGAAAAGAAGAAATATCTGAAGAACGAAACCTTCTGAAATTTCATCGTCTACGTCTAAGGCTTAGACTCTAAGTCCTCAATTTTGTCCGGGATATCTTCAACAGCTCTTTAAAAGATTTAACTTTCATGAATAAGGCACTTTAAAACTCTCAACAGTCTACGCTTTTAGTCTAACGATTGGCATTCAACCTAGAATTAAAGAGAAAGAAACAGCTGAATGATATTGCTAAGAGATGAGTATCGAAGCTTTTATATTTTCATCGCTTCTTTTATTGTTATTTTGGTACTTATTATCAGTTTTGACTCGCGTTGTTAAAATTATCCAAGGTGTTGCTGAATAATCTTGACGATGAATCTGCAACTTCTACTTCCCAGTATTATTATCAAACAGAAATAACCCAAGTAATCGAGGAGGAAATCAAGGAAGAGAACATGGAATCAGCGGACGAAGAAATAGAGTGGAATTTCATGGAAAATACGGTGATTGGAGGTTGCTGCAAGGATAATTGTGAAGAAATAGAAACTCTGGAAAGAGCTAAGAAAGAATGCGTTGGTATGGGCTTAGACTGTATGGGGGTAACTCTTGAGAATGGAAAATATACTCTTCGGCGCGGTCCGAAACTATTGAGGATGGACATTACGGGACTCCCCGCTGATGAAGTACCTGTAAAACGAGCATGGGCAAAATGGACAGTAGAAGACTGTACGATGGAAGATTACATAAGAGATCACGGAGAAAATATAGTGTTGAATTTGACCGACTTTACTGAAGAAAACCCAACTATTAAAAATAGACTGGGTCGGCCAAACACGAAGAAATGCGAGTTCATGTTTGGATACAGCCATATCGGAAAATTACTTCAGTTCAATAAAGATCAACAGATAAATGTACTTCAACAGCCTGAAGATTGTTCTTTCAGCTCTGATTCAAGCTCAATATTATTTGGCATCAAAACTCTACCCGGCGCTTCAGAATTTCGTCGAGCAATTCGAGAGACTTGGCTCAGCCCAGGGATTTGGAAGTGGCTTGGTTACCAATTAAAAGTTGTCTTTCTCATTGGAAATCCGACAGGGATTGATTTGGCGGAAGAAATTGAACGTCACAACGACTTACTCATCTTGGACATAGAAGAGAGCCACTACAACTTACCTTTCAAAGATGTAGCTTTTCTTAGATTCATCAAAAACCACTGCCAAGCTGATTTCATCTTCAAGGGGGATGATGACATCTGCCTTGTTCCCCAGAATCTCGTCACCGAAATTGAAAGACTGAAAAACACCTCTGGAATGGGATCATTTGGATGTTTGAAAGGGCCTGAGTCAGTTACTCGTATTCCATTTTTCAAATATTTCGTCCCTCGGCAAATCTACGAACCTGAAGAGTATCCTGTTTATTTCTCCGGCGCTGGTTACGTAACAACGCTAGAATTCGCGCTGAAGCTAGAAGAGCAGACGTACAATGTTCCGGTTATTCCTTTGGACGATACTTATGTAGGCACTCTTATTCAAGCTGCTAATTTGAGGTAACTAAAATATCAATAATTGAGCTGAAATATTTCTGACAGTGATTCTATGATGCGCTCTTTGACCAGTTGCATGGGCCTCGTCCCTAGAATTTTTCGCAAAGAAAAAGCCTCAAATGATCTGTGTACTCTTCGCGGATTCAACTTCGTTCATAAATACCGGGATCCGAACCGTATGAAATACGTTTATCATGACCTCGTTAGCGGAAAATTCTCTTGCAACATCAGGTACAGTAATATCTCTCCATATTCAGCTCATAATCTTCATTTTCATTTCTAGCGCGATGGAAGAATATTGGAAGCCAACGAACGGCTGGAGAAGAGTGAATTTCACAACGCTAGAAAATGCCTGGCGTGGAAATTTTGAAAGCTTCAGACCTTACTTAGAATAATAAAATAATGATAGAACAATAAACTTGAATCCTCTGCAAACCGGGCCATTGTTTCCTACGATCTTCCTTTTATGAGCTAATTAGCTTCCTAGAATTATTACAAAGCCAGTCACTGTTACGCAAAGAAACAACTGGTCATCTAATGCCATTCTCGAATGGACTGGGAGACAAGTAGAGATGCCGCAGGGCGAAAAGGGCGCGTTCAAGCAGAGCATAGATAATTCAGCACCTAATCGTCCCTTCACTTGAGAAAAGTTACGCTCCTTGATTTACCTAAATTCATTTTTTACGACCGACCTTTAACGGAAAAAAATTACAAAGAGAGAATTTAAAGTGCTCAATCAATAATGAGGGCGATTTTGTTGCTCCTCGGGATTTCAAGAGCATTGGTGCTAGAAGACGATTTATCGATCGAATGGGCAGTGGAAGATGAGACGTTCAGAATTCATGTTCAAATCAAAGGTAAGTAATAATCAGCGTTTATTTGTTTTAAAACAAACATGATTAGATAACGCAAAATATCCGTTTGGGATTGGAATAAACAAGCGCGAGGATGGTATCAGCAAAGATTCTGAGTTACTTTGGTTCACAAATGATGATTTCAGCCAAAAATATTTATCTGAAGATGGAGAACTGCTTTCAACAGAACGTAAGAGCGGATAAAAATGATTCTTTTTATGCGATTATTAGAAACTGCCTGGACTGTCAACGAGCTTTCGGATAGTAAAATGTACATTATTGAGCGACCAGCTTGCGCAAAAACTGACGACTTTGAATATGTCACCATTGATTCCAAAACCCTAACACTCCTATGGTCAGCACCAGGCCAAGAACTAACTCGTGACAGCTGGAATTCAAAGCTCATTCACTTCCAAGAATATGGAAATCCACCAAAAGCTGGCTGCGACCCATCGAAAGAGGAGTTTTGCGAAGATTATACAGGAACTGTTCGAATTTATATGATATTAAATCATGTTTCGAAAGCTCGGTTGATTCTTCTTATCCTCAATCTTCTGAACAATTAAAAAGTGAAAGCTACGTTAACGGCTGAGCGAACACAGTACTGGTGTAAGCTCGTAGAACTGCCAACTGAACCGTCTCAAATGGTTGGATTTGAACTTATTGCTGAGAAAAGCGAAAAATACCTTCATCATGCTCTTCTTTACGGTTGCTCAGGTATTGATTATTCTTGAATCTCATTCATTAAAAATGACTTCAGGAATCCCCGATGGCGATATCAACTTTGATGAAGAATTCGTCTGCGGTGATTACACAATGATACATTTAATGAAGTGTTTCCATGCTGTTGCCATCGCTGCCGTCGGCTCGACTTCCTTTGACTACCCCGCTGAAGCTGGTTTCCCACTCGGGTAGGCTATCGACTCTCTGTTCTCTTTCTTTATTTTCATTAGACCCGGCGAGATGCAATTTGCCATTTTGGAGGTTCACTATGACAATCCTTTTGGCGACAGCGGAATAGAAATGACTTCTGGTAAAAAAAGTCGCTAAAATCTTTTCTTAAAATATCTAGGTTTGCAATTGAAAATGACCACGAATCTGCGAGAGCAAGAAGCGGGCCATATCTCCGTCGGCGCAACCTGGATGTTTTACCTGCCTCCAAACACTGCCAGCTTTAACTTGAGAGGGACATGCCCTCATCAATGTATTGAAGCACTTACAGAAGAGGACTATGAAATGAATATCTTTGCACATTCCAGCCACTCTCATGCATACGCTCGATCAAGTAAGAATTGATGCTGAAATCTCAAACTAGCGCTTTTCTAGTGACGCTGTCACAAGTTCGCGACGGCGAAGAAATCAAACGCGTCGTTGATGAGCCTTTCTACAACCGAATGTACCAGGAATACAAGCATACTGAAGAAATCGTCAAAATTAACCGATCAGACGATCTTATCGTCACTTGCGACTACTCGACCAAGAACACTTGGGTTCGCGGTGGTCTCACTCAAGAAGATGAGATGTGCTACATGTTCCTACTTTACTACCCGAGAATCAAGGAGCTTAGTTTCTGCACTGATATGGCCATGTTCGAAGGGGCAATGGAAAACTTGGGAATCGGTGAAGACGACTTTGTATCAACCTACGGGCGGATCGGACATCCAGATGAGCTCCAAATCGATGGTCAAAATGCCCAACCATGGTTGAACGAAAACATGATGTCGATGAGTCCCGCGAAAGTAAAAGAATATGAAAAATATCTTCAAGACGCGGAGAAAAACCCTTTCTGCACTGGAAGCTGGGGAAATGTCTTCTCTATCGCCGATCACAGGTCAAATGAGTCAAATGAAGGTGGATATGAGCCCAGAGCGGAACCAGAAGGGAATGAATATGATGATCTAGAACCTTTCCCCGAGCCAGAACCAGAAGGAGGTGAACATGGAGGTCATATGACAGACCTGATGTTTGATGCGATCGGGTTCGAGCTTCTCCCACGACCTGAAAATACCTGCTTAGTCAATTTTGAGACCACAACTGCCGCACTAACTCAAGACTCGACTGATGAAGATAAGGTGCCCAAAGAGGATTCAGGATCAACAGAAAAGCCAGCTACGACAACTTCATCAGCAATAAAAACGGCGATTCCGTTATCAGTACTTTTTTTGCTAATTGCCATGTACTTTCTGTAAATATTACATAACACAAGCCAATAAAGATGATTCGATATGATTTTGATGATTGTTTGTGTTTAGCGTTTGCCATTGGCAGCTTGAAGGTCGTGGCGAGGGTGAAATTTGAAAAGGTGCGAAAGTTTTATGGATGCTTATTTCCGTCCCCGTTTGAGCAAATTTACCGTGTCTTTGATTTTGAAATTGAACTCTTCTGGTTCATCTTCTTCTTGCTGAAAATGAGCGTTGTTCTCAGCGAAAGTTTCAGTCGAACACGCCTAGGGGCAATTCAGACGCGCCTTCTGGCGAGTACTTTTGTTGTTCGCCAAAAGACAACACTCAGGCTTTTTGAGTCAGTTTGACCGTGTGCCCGTGTACGGTACTTATTCCGGTGTAGTAGCCCGAAGAGGAGAAAAATTACTCTCGACCAAAAATCATCTCTTTGTTGTCGCCCGGATCGGCTACCCGCGGCGCTAGTAATCAAGGACCAGGGCAGGAGTTGCCGCGCACGGCCTCGGCTTTTCTAATTTTTCAAAAAATCTTAATTTTCTGACACCTAAGCTAATTCATCCCATTAACAGAGAGCTCAAAAGTGAGCCCTGGAAGAAGATAAAAAAGAGATATTGAAGTACAGTCTGCGTTTCAATAACTACTGGAAGATTTGATCGAATGTTTCAAAATGTAAGATTCGTTTTTGATGATTTTTATTTTTCATAAATTAATCAGTAAAACCCTTTTGTTGGACATAAGAATCGAATAAATCATTCTTATTTTTCAGTAACAATAAAGGAATAAGATTGATAATTTATGAATTGATTTGATATTCAGTGGCTTCTTATATTTTCCTCAATAAAAAGTTTTCTATGATTTAAATGACTTAGTAGGCTGGTGTTTGATAACCTTGGCATCCTTCTGATCGAGAAAGGATGAGCCGGCGCTCTAGGTTTATTCAATAACAAAGCCACCACCCAAGTACTGGCTCCCTTCCTTCATTTTAGACAAAACCAACAACCCTGATCGTGATAAATTGATTCCTTTAGAAGGACAACATTATCTTTTTAGGTTAATAAGTAAGCTTAGCTGACCTCAATGGTTGACCCCGATTGACCTTGGAAAAGAGAGAAACGATGAAATGACCGGCTGGGCTGAGTTGGGCCACAGAGTTCAGCGAAAACGATCCTCCAGGTAAATTTTATTTGTCCGATCAAGTCGCAAATTAAGGCTCAATTGTGACTTCACAGTCTGGTGTGGATCAAAATTTTTAAGGCCTTATCCACGCGCTTAATTAGCAGATTAATCATCACCTAATTAACCCTAATCTTTTGAAAATTTTTCAAAAGTTTTTAGTTTCAACTTCAGAAAATATAAATAAGTTGCATAACTAGAATGAAGCAAAGTATGCTAGAATAACCTTGAACTTTTTTTTCGACAAAATTTTTATGAGGTGTCCAAGTGCTAAATACAACAGAAATATTTCATCAATGGTCCCTTCAAATCCAAGATTTCCCTGGAGTTTGTTCATAATAAACCGTAAAATAAATGAGCCAAGCATTGATGAGCGGCATTATGAGAGCGGTAGTTTTCACCCTCATTGATCACTTTGCCCATCAATGATCCATCAAATCCAATTTCAAAGTTAACTTTAGTATAAATTGCATTTTCGCCCTTGCTTCACTTCTATTCGCCTCGGTCTCCTGCCAAGAAGCTTCCAAGGAACCTATTCTTCCCTTCTTCACGCTATTTCACCCGGAAGTCAATACCTATCCCCTCTTTGGAACGGAAAAGATCTGGATTCTCCGAAGAGAGTGGCCCGAAAAGTGGACTCTTGATATTGAAATCGAGCCTGACAACACCCGGCATCGAAAGTCTGGGCTTTTTCGAATAAAGAAGCAGAGCAGAACTCAAGAGTTTATTTATTCGCTCGACTGGAATTTTTCCAGACAGAAGACTGTTCTTTATGTCGACGACAGGAATGAGTTTAGCATCTTTTTACCGACTTGAATAATTGATGGTTTTGTAAATGTTCAAGAGTAAACTCAAATTGAAGACGAATTGTGTTCTCTAAGGCTCCAAGGAAATTCTTCATTGCATTTAGCGGAGATTCAGCATTCCTTTACTACGGCTGTGCGAAGGCTCTTAAAGGTTAATTACATCAATCACCATCAACCTTTCATTAAACTTGTTATTTTAGGAACCGTCTTCGGAGATGCTCCCCTCAAATCGCCCATTTTCGACGAAGCACACCTCGAGATCGGATCTGGACAAGCAAAGAACACCGAGTTTCATGGGAAAATACACAAATTTTCATTTTACGACAGCGCGGAGATCGCCTTTAATCTCGCCAAAGAACGATTCTGGGACGGGGGCAATAATATCCTTCATGATCGTCCTTTTGTAGATACATTTTTATAACCAATTATGACGTTTTTAATATTTTTCGTCCCCATCAAAGTCTCCCTGAGTCTAACGCTGCATTGTGGTCCTTCGAGGGATTCATGGCGACCGAAGCTTACGAGGAGTCTACTACGTTCAAGCGAAGCAAAGTTGTCAATTCTGGCACTGCCACACTTCGTTCTAACCCATTATTAGGCATGGTTTTCTTAAAAGTTTTCTTCCTTGATTTCAGTAGACTTTCGAAAATCACCATTGAGTGTCATTACCTGCTAAATGTGAATCAACGCCTGACGAACTTGTGAACAAATTTCAACTTGTAGATGCTCTGTATAATTGTGCTGCCTATTCATATCCTGACGACAACACCATCAAAAACGAGATACTTACTTGCATTGGGTTGAAAATTTTCATCATTTTTTCTTTTTATAAATTTTCATTTGACCAATTTTTGACCCAGTTTTTGGCAACAGTACAAATCCAAGCATTGAATGTCTAAATCCGTACTCTCCAATCGATCTTCCGAGCTATCGTCTACAATTCCTGCCCTTGACTGATCCTGACGACGGTTCAAAACCTGCCTACAAAGCGATAATTTCCAGCTTGAATCGAACATTCGATCTCAATTATGCGAACAGATTTGAGATGACTCGACTCCTCGTTGATCTTTACTCTGAAATTTGGAAAGAAGAAGATGTCACTGAAGCCCTTGGGTGCAAATCTCGAAGTTGTAATCAATTTGATCCTTTTGACCGAGAAGAGTTTGCACTCGTCACTTCTAGCTGGAACAACGGATCGGCTCCTGAATACTGGTTTATCCGAAAAGACAACGACCCTGAGTACTACGCCATTCTTGAAGAGCTTCGTGGACCCCTCGGCAATCCTGGAAGAACAGGTCATCCTGGTCGTCCTGGGTTTAAGGGACCTAAAGGCGAAATCGGCGATAAGGGTGAAGCTGGTTATCCAGGTGATGTTGGTCCGCGTGGCGAAGAAGGCTACAAGGGTTGGAGAGGCCCGGAAGGAATTCAAGGAAAGCAAGGCGTTGCTGGAACAAATGGCACCCGCGGTGACACCGGAACTCGAGGATTTCAAGGGCCTATTGGACCGAGAGGAAAAGATGGTCTCCCTGGAGAACGTGGAATAAAAGGAAAGAAAGGCTTTCACGGCTATCCTGGCATGCCTGGTCTTCCTGGCTTCGAGGGTGACAAGGGTTCTCTTGGAAATCCTGGAGAAGTCGGGCAAGTTGGAAGCCCAGGTCCTATTGGCCCTCCTGGATTCAATGGTCGACAAGGATCAAATGGCACTGATGGACTTCAGGGAGTCAAAGGTTATCCTGGCGATCATGGAATGCGTGGACTTCGTGGTTTTCCTGGTAGACCCGGTGTCTTTGGGATGAAAGGCGAAAAAGGAAAAATCGGGCCAGTTGGAAATCCCGGGATGAAAGGTACCCGTGGCTTGAGAGGATCAGTTGGCTGGAAAGGTGATCCTGGAGATCCTGGCTTGACCGGGCCTGATGGAGTGCTTGGCAATCCTGGCCCTCCCGGACCCGACGGTAAAAAGGGTGTCAAAGGACCGGTTGGACCTATTGGCGAGCGTGGAATAGAAGGTGACCTTGGTCAAAAGGGAATGCGTGGTATCAAAGGATTACCAGGCGATCTTGGCGACAAAGGACCCAAAGGAGAAGATGGCAAATCTGGAAAAGATGGTTGGCCTGGTAAAAACGGCGAACCTGGTAAACCTGGCATAACTGGTAAGCCTGGAAGAAAGGCGCGTTCCGGCTGGCCTGGAAAACATGGCTTGAAAGGCTGGTTTGGTAACCCTGGTCCTCAAGGAAAAGAAGGTCCTGAGGGTCCAGCTGGTGTGAAAGGCAAGCCTGGAAAAGTTGGTTGGCCTGGACCTGTTGGAAAACAAGGGATTCCTGGTCAACTTGGTCCAATTGGTTCAAAAGGGCTGAAAGGATATCGAGGAAAAGAAGGCGGCGATGGACCAGTGGGATTTCCCGGACCAAAAGGGATTAAAGGGTTACCTGGCGAGAAGGGTATCAAAGGAGTAAACGGTCCAGCAGGGATATTCGGCCTTCGTGGTGAACCTGGTGCAAAAGGAGATGTTGGGCCAAAAGGACACATCGGTACTCAAGGTGAAGAAGGCGGAATCGGCGAAGAAGGAGATCCTGGGCCTATTGGTTTACCTGGAAAGCGAGGAAGACGCGGTGCATGGGGTAAACCAGGCCATATCGGTTTCAAAGGTGAACCTGGTCTCGTCGGTGGGCCTGGACCACAAGGCATTCAAGGTCATCCTGGCCCTCTCGGCGATCCTGGTCCTCAAGGTCCGGTCGGCCGTAAAGGTGCTGCTGGCCCTCCTGGTCTTACTGGAGAAAGAGGTCGAGTTGGACTCACTGGTATCGAAGGTAAACCAGGTCTCAAAGGCGAGCGGGGAGTATCTGGCCTCATCGGTACAGCTGGCGAGAAAGGTTTACCTGGCCCAGAAGGATATATTGGGATGCCCGGTGGAGTTGGCTTTCGTGGTGATCTTGGTGATAAAGGCGAGCCCGGGCCACCTGGTTTTCCTGGCGCGACTGGTCCGAAAGGCGAGGAAGGTACTCCTGGAAGGCAAGGACCAATGGGAATCTCCGGAAATCAAGGTACCTTCGGCGACCCTGGCCATATTGGACTTCACGGAAAAGCAGGTCCTCTCGGACCAACAGGTGTTCCTGGTCGAACTGGTGATCGCGGTGATCGTGGAATAAAAGGAAAACCAGGTCCACAAGGTCCTGATGGCAAACGTGGATTCATTGGCATGACTGGAAATCTTGGTCCAAAAGGCAAACTCGGACCACGAGGTGCTGAAGGATTCAAGGTTAGATAAATCAGAATTTCAGTCGAGAAAAATAATTATTTAGGGTCAAGTCGGATACCCTGGCATTCCAGGAGCTCCTGGTTTAGCTGGAGCTCGAGGTCCAAAAGGACAGACTGGTGATGCCGGCCCTGATGGCCTCACTGGACAAATTGTAAGATTTCTCATATTAGCCGAGTCTTATTATATATTCAGGGAGCACAAGGTCCTCGCGGTCTGAAAGGACCCCCGGGTAAACAAGGGGTTACCGGTGGATTTGGTCGTCCAGGACCACCTGGCATCAAAGGTGAAAATGGACAAGTGGGAATCCCAGGCCAAATTGGCATGACTGGCGATCCGGGTTTTCCTGGTCAGCCCGGTTTTCAAGGTCCTCCTGGTGAGCGCGGCGAAGCTGGAGAAAAGGGCCTAAAGGTAGTATCTTTTTAAGCGTATAATTTCATGATTATGATAAGGGTTTCGAAGGACAACAAGGCTACCCTGGAATCACTGGCTTGTACGGACGAAAGGGAGAGCCCGGCTCGGCGGGTCGAATCGGTCGCGAAGGTCGAGTTGGTTTACCTGGAAGAAATGGTCCACACGGTATTCAAGGAGATCCCGGACAGCCTGGATATATCGGCGCTCCCGGCTTGAAAGGAATTCAAGGGCATCCAGGTCTTCCAGGAAGATACGGACCCATGGGAACGATCGGCATGCAGGGGAAAACTGGATCAAAAGGCGACTACGGTGATGTCGGCGAACTTGGTCACCGAGGTGCAGTTGGCAAGACAGGCCCGAGAGGAAGAGATGGCCAAGAAGGCCCGAGAGGTCCAAAAGGATCGAAAGGAAAACTTGGCAAAAAGGTTATATTTTTATTGATAAACTTTCTGATAAAATTTCAGGGCATGAAAGGTGTCCGTGGAACTTTTGGACCCGAAGGTCCACAAGGGCGACAAGGACCAACCGGTGACAGAGGAATTCAAGGAATATCCGGGCTTGAGGGACCAAGAGGAGATCCCGGGCTTCCCGGACCGCCTGGACCACCCGGTGCTCAAACTGCATCTTATTCGTTCGATAAAATGTCTTACCAAAACGTGAGAATATTGCCTGATCCTGAAAACTAATTGTTTCAGGACATGTTCGTCGGAGTAAAAGAGGATCTCGTAGACCTCAAACGCCATATCCGACGCTTTGCCAGCCCTAATGGCGCTGAAAAAGATGAAGCCGTCCAATCTTGCGCCGAACTAGGACCGAAAGCTTATGGTCAAAAAGTAATCGATCCCAACCAGGGCCATAATGGGGATGCTCTGATTGGCGAATGTTTTGTCCAAGATGATTTCGTCTTAACCTGCTTTTCCTTCGACTTTGAAGATGGTGTTCATCCAGAAATCAAGGTTAGTATTTTTTTATTATTTGAAAATATGAAGTATCTTTAGCTGACGGCAAGTCAAATGAAAATCCTGGGAATACTGTCCTCCAAAGTCACTCAAAAGTTCAACGTCTCCTACTTGGCGGCGAAGCTCTGTACAGATTCAAAAACGATACAAGTCGCCAATTTCTTGCATTATTTGAGCGATTCGAAAATCGCCGCTTTATCACTAAACTGCCGCAAAACCAAGTCTAAGGTTTGACATCAATTTTTCTATGTCAGAGAATAGAAAAATTTAGGATTGGGACGAAGAAATTTTCCGATTTGAGTCGCCAACAAAACTTCCAATTGGGCGATTAAAATGGCTCAATGGCTTTTCTCCCAACCGCAAATTCATAAAGGAACTGGTCGTTCGACTTGAATAATTATTTCTTATTTCTAAAATGACCGCGAAAAAAGATCAAAAGCGAACTGTGTTTCTTCCATCCAAATCAACTCAAGAACAATTCCTGACTCATGAATGAAAAGCTCAGCTCTTAGCACCAACTAGTTCATCAAAAATTCTGTATAATTTCTGTAAACATTACAGTGTAAAGACTAATTCTATATGTAAATAAACAATAATTTGTTTCCTACCACTTCGTTGAAGAAAAAATGCATTGTTTTACGCGCAAATATTTGAAAAATGAAGAAATTTTACGAAATCGGGAGAAAAAAACTAACAAATAAAGCCTTCATTATGAAGGTCAGAGAGTTTCAAAAGAAAGATCCAGACCAAGCTTATGCAATTTGGAAGCATGGAATGTCAGTCGATCTGACAGAGCAAAGGGTTTGACGGAAGGTGAAATTAAAATCCAAAAAGAAATTAAGATCGACTGGATTTTCAATCTTTTTCACGTCCGCCTCATCCTGCTAGCTCTACCGCTTGTAGTTCTCTATTGTGGCTATGGAACTACCCCGGTCGGTTTTCTCTATGCAATTGTCCCATCTGGTCTTCTAATTGCTTTCTTGCGATATATGGTTCACTACACTTTGAATGGCTACGTAGCTACAAGAACAGACATGCTCAATATTCAAAAACACCACGGAAAGCGCTTTCTTGTCGCAGAGAACGAAGATGGAGAAATTATCGGGACCGTGGCGTACTCTGAAAAAACAAAAATATCTACTTTCAAAGTCCGGTTTTGAAGAACAAGATAATTTGCTAATGACATTTAGGGAGAGAGAATCGGGAAAAAGACGTGGGAAATGTTCTCGATGAGCGTCAAAAAAGAGGCAAGACGACTGGGAGTGGCGAACAAAATGCTTGGTAATGATCAAATTAATTTTTTGTTCGTATATATTTTTCAAAAGCCGAGCTTGAAAAACGAGCAAGAGGTGCGAAAATACAGAATATCGTTTTCACTGCTACGACGCCTCAAGTACCAGCAGTTATTTTCTACAGAAAATGTGGCTACGATTTTGAATTTGAAGATTTTCCAGCTCTCGACCGAGGCTTTATCGGTGCGATTATTGCTGACTGCTTTTTCAAATTCTGTAAAATGAATATAATCAAGTTTCACAAAGAAATTTAACTCCTTCGCAACAAATAAAAGTTCTCTTGAAAAGATTTGCTGGCTGATTTATGCGCAATAAGCCGCCCAAATATTTGCAAAATGGAGAAATCTTTGCAATACCGGGAAAGGGAAATAGAAAGAAATGGTGAAGATCCGAGAGTTTCAAGAGAAAGATCAAGATGAAGCTTATGCTATTTGGAAACATGGAATGTCGGTTGATCTGACAGAATACTGGGTTTGTTGCTGACTGAGATAAAATTATTAAATAAGTTAGACTGACTGGATTTTCAATCTTTTTCACGTCCGGGTCATATTATTGACCCTTCCGCTTGTTGTTGTCTATTACGGTTACGGCACACCTCCGGTCGGAATTCTTTATGCGATGGTTCCTTCTGGTCTATTCATCGGTTTCTTCCGCTTCATGATCTACTGGAACTTGAATGGCTATGTCGCGAGTAGAACTGATATGCTAAATATCAAAAAACATCACGGAAAGCGATTTTTGGTGGCGGAAGGTGATGATGGAGAGATTCTTGGAACCATCGTTTACGTTGAAGAAACTAAGATTTCAACCTTCAAGGTTTGATTTTGAAGAAGCGTTTCACGGACTGAGATTTAGGGAAGAAAACTTGGCAAGAATACATGGGAAATGTTTTCGATGAGCGTCAAGGAAAGCGCGAGACGACTTGGAATAGCTAATAAAATGCTTGGTAAGATCTTTCTCAATTTGTTTCTTCAAAACTTTTATAGCGGAGTTGGAGAAGCGAGCGAAAAAGTCAAAAACAGAGCGAATAGTTTTCACAGCTTCTACTCCTCAAGTTCCTGCCGTCAAGTTTTACAAAAAATGTGGCTACGATTTTGAGCACGAAGCTTTTCCGACCCTTGGAAGAAGCATTTTTGCGGCAATTTTTGCTGACTGCTTCTTAAAATTCTGTAGAATGGACATTGTCAAGTTTCAGAAAGAACTGTAATAGACTATTTCAAATTTTGAAATTTTGCTTGTGAATTTGTGTATTTTTATTATATTAAACAGTTGGAATATCTAGTTTTCCATCAAGTCTAACATTAGCAGCTGAATGAAGTTTGAGGTGATCAATGGAGTGAATGCAAGAATTGCAGTAAATCGATTTCGGACACATTGGGCACTGTTGGCAAGGGAAGGGTTGCCCTTGCTCTGGAGGGAAAATGGTGATGCGACAGGAACTGCAAGCCATTGAAGGAATATCGGGTTTGGTGTCGATCGGAGATTGCTGGCTGGTGAGGGGGGAAGAGGTGATTGAATCGAAGGAGTCCGTCTGGTCCATTTCAGTGATGGTCATTTCGTCAGAAGGTTCTTCCTTGATTTCAGCAGTGGGGAGGTTTCTAATTGAAATAATAAGACCCGCTGCTTCATTTGGGTAAGGCTTACTTACCCTTGAAGATTTTGCAAGAACGGCAAGAGCTTAGAAATCGCTGCTGGGTCTGATTGTAATTGAAGTGAAAGGAGCAATTGAAGATGTGCTTTGAGATCGATGCCGGGCAAATTGGCGAGATTCGATAAATTTGGTGATGAAGAGTTGGGGCTTGAAGCGCTGCTAGAGGCGGTCGGAATTGACGAGGTTTTGACTTGAATCGGGGCGAGTGTGCTGGAAGTGGTCAGCTTCTCGACCGACTTAGGCGTCATCCGGAAATTGCTGGAAGCAGAAGCGGGTGAAAGAATCGTAGGAGCGATAGAACTTGGTGCCGGCGCAAGTTTGGGTTGCTTGCTTGGAGGACCGTTGTAGTGGGTCATGGTCAGACCGTTAGCTTTTGCAGTTTTCTCGAAGTTTTTCTTGCGATTTCGCCGTCGGGGAGTTTCCTGCGTGTTTTCGGAGACTACTCGATGTTTCTAAAATTTAATTTGAAGCCAATAAAAAATTTCTTAGATCTTACCCCGTGAAGTGACCAGTAGAGCGCACACGAATTACAGGCGAGTTTGCCTGTGTACTGGGGAAAATCGCGTTGAGCGACAAGACCAGGCCTCTTGAGTTCGATTTCTTCCGGGCTCTTTATTCGTCTCCAGAGGGTCGCCGTATTCGTTCCGCAATTGATGCAAATATTCTTTGAGTTTTTCTTGGCTCCCCCGCGGCGAGATGCTTCTGTCGCTTGTGGGGTAGAACTTGAAATAGTTGGTGTTGCTTGGACGACTGTGGCATTTGTCGTGAGTGGAATCGAGCTAGTGGGAGACGAACGGGAGCTAGGGATTACTGACACGGCTTGAACCATTGAAGGAAGGCTATTTTTGTTTCCGGACATCCAGCTCATCTTTTCCATCTCGTTTCCACTAAATTAGTTGATGAAGAAAATTATTCGTCGGGTTTTAAGGGCGCTAGACATGACAAAGTCTGGAGAAAATTATCGGGCGCGAGCCGGTTATCGAATTACAGACGTTAATTTCTCGTCCCGGTCTTAGTTAGGCTCACATGACTTACGTTGAGGATTTTGGCGTCGTCGTGGCGATCGTCACGGGAGTCAGACGCAGAACGTTCTTTGACGCGAGCAGCTTTGAAAGTTGAGCTTGTTGGACGCCGTTCAAATTGTTCGTGTTCTCTTGCGTCTTCTGAGTGTTGTTATTCTTTGAAAAATCAGCTTTTCTTACCGGTTGATCGCCGTTTGACACGATAAGCGACATGTACTTCTGTAGATCTGACTGACTGACGTTGTATTTCGCGACTAATTTCAACATGAAACCAGGGTCGCTTTTTCCTTTCGCTTCCTGAATAATTCAATCAAAATCAAGTTCAATCTATCTTCATTTGATGATCATTCGATTAACTCTTTAACTACCTGTAGGAGCTGCTTGATCCTCTTGATCGTAGAAAGTGGGAGCTTTGTGACTGGGCAAACGTACGCAGCGGGATTGATTGATTCTGTCTTCCATGTTTTCGGCATCGTGACTTTACCAGTTGTCGCTAAAAAAAGCAATAAATATATGAAAGATGAATAAGAGTAGCGGCTTTCTACCTGTTGAGCTGGAACTGGTGTCTCTATACATATTGAAATCAGACGGTTTGATGCTCCACTTCAAGCAGAGCTCGTCCAGATCTGCGCCTGGATTTTCTTTGAGCTCGTTGTTGATCGCTTTGACTCTGGCGACTTTCTCCTCTTCGGATAGTTTGAGCTGCCTGCCAGGAGCTTGCGAGCGCTGGCTAGCACCCTAAAAGATTAGTTAGCGTCACCGTTATTTATATAATCGCCCAGATAAGATGAATTTTATGTAAATCTTACTTCTGCTGGCACGATCCTCATTGATTCGTACATCAGGAAATTTGAAAATTCAAAGAGATCTCTGTTCATCTTTATGTAGCCATAGTTCTTGAGGTGTTTCGACCTCGTCGTTTCGTAACAGAATGTACAGACAGATTTAGTCCCGTCGTAGTTGACAAAGCACTCTTTCTTGGCATAGTTGAATGTGCAGCCGACGCAACGAACACTCCCAGGAGCATTTGTTTGGGTGGATTTGACATGAGCTCGGGCTTTCCAAGTTAGGAAGTCAACTAGAAAAATGACTAAGGCGTCGAGATGATGATCCTACCTTTGTGGATGTTGTGATGCACTTGCAGCAAATTCTCATCCTCAAAGGATCGGTCACAAACATGGCAAATGTACTCATCTTCATCGATCTTCAAATTTCCTTCTTCATCCGAATCTGTATTAGTAATTTCTAGTGACCCTTAGATTGAGTTCATGAATACCAATTTCTGACTCAGAAATAAATTCTGAGGATTGTCTACAGCTGCAGAGTAGGAAAAGAACATCCTGAAGGCCTACTGATAGACATGGATCGATTCATAGACAAAATATTGAACTCTTCCTGAATCATCGGATTTTGACCTGCTTGAAATTGAGGAATCAAGGACGAGATCTTCTGGCGACTGTGGTTGGATAATCATGTAGTCAGCAGGAGACTCGCCGCGAGGACCGGCTGGTTGAACTGATACAGACATGCTGGTAGCTTCGTTTCAATTTTCTAGAGAATAGAGATTAGTATACAAAGGTAAATCAAAGAAGATCGGCTCTCCTCGTTGTTTGCTCTTTATCACTTTGGTGCGATATCAAAAACGAAGCGTGAGAGAGCCAAAGAAAACGCATAAGGATTTATCATTTAGCTTCACATGACTACCCCAAAAAGACGGGACAATTAAAAACCCCGACTTTTAATAAGACAGTGGAGGAGTATATTGAGTTGTTTTGACAATGTCTGATTTATTACGACAACAAGGACTTTTCAAGTACTTTTTTGTTAAAACAACTTCTTTAGATGAAAAAATTTTGTTAAAAAAACTTGTCACTCAATGATTTACAAAGTAACTTGGCCTGATAAAATCACAAAACAACAATAGAAAACCTCCGCCAAGGGCTAAAGCGTCCAGCAGGTGAGCTGAGGAGATAATGAGGGCCTAATTTAGTCAAAAGAGGCTCTTTGTTTTCTCTCTTTGAGCGAGACAAAAAACGGCTACGTCCGTGAAATTGCGTTTCTCGATAAGAAAGAAGGAAAAAAGGAGCGAACTACCGAAGTGTTCAGTTCCAAACTCACACGCTCGGGGCTCTCTATCGATCGTGGCTCTTATCATCTTGCTGATCGATTTTTTCGGCGATGCAGTAACTGGTAAACTAGAGTTTGGAAATAGAACATAAGGGTTGAATCCATCGAAAAATCAGGAAAAAAAGACAAGATTCTAATCAATTATCGAGTCACGCTTTTTGCCACTGATAAGTTTTTATCATTTTCGTTATTTTCCAACCAAGCGGAAAACAAAAACTCGTAACGATCGTCATTTCCTGCCGCTTGTAACCGTGGTGATGGGTTAACGCCCTTATCAGTGTGTTTTTTGGCGTGGCAATGGCGCAGGATTTCCGTCTTCCTGCTCAGTTATCAATCTATTCATTACTGATACGGTAGTTTACTGCGTATAAACCGGTATATAAAGTGGAGATACTGATAAGAGGTATATACTGATAAGACGTTATGGATCAACTTTCATATAAGCTTATAAAAGTAAGAAATTGAATGATTATTCAATCCAAAAAATACTACTCATAAAGCTTTAAAAAGGTGATAAGAAACTCTCCATACCGTTGTGTAGTCTTTCTTCTTTCAGTTCAGCTCTCTGTCGTTAAAATAAATGAGGAAAATGCCAAATAAGGATCTCCCCCGCTCTGCGACTGATATGGGAGCGTAAAAATTTCAACTTTTGTTATGCTTTTTTTTCTTCGTTTGTGTTAGAAAATCATCTTCCTGTTTGGCCTCGGCGCGTCACGGCTCGATATCTCGGCCAGAGTTCTCTCTGATATTTTTTTTCTTTATCTTTGTTCTTATCTCAAAATTGGAGATTTGGAACTGGTGCCCCTTCGGTCTGGCGGAGGCTCCGTTCGAGGGTTGGAAAAAATAATGGTCGAGTGGGGTGCCGAGGAGCCGATAGAGCGCGTTTTATTGAATCCGTGAATCAATAAAAAACGGCCTTTTATCACTGAATAAACCAAATAGGGCGCCCCGCGCGTTGAGAGTGAGCGAGAGAGAGAGAGAAAGAGTAGGACGTAGGCACATGGAAGAAACAGACGAGAGTGTGTCGACTCTACGCCAACACACCAAACACACCGCACTTATCATTAGCTCGCAGCGGGCAATGCTACAACACCACTAGCGACTCACCAAAATCCGAAGCTATTATCATCGAGCCGTTTTATGGCGCGCGCTCTTTTTTTCTGGAGAAGAATCATTAATGCTTATCAATTCATGGTTTTATTGAGATCTTAGATCTATTTATGTAACTCTAGTCATGAGAATATGAATCGGAAGGATAATATTTCTTGAGCGAATCCAAACAGAAGGGACAAAATCGAAGGTCTCCAAAAATTTGAAAATTCTTGCTCAAAAAGAGCCAAATTTAGCGACAAATGAGGCGAAGCTTCGCTTCGCTCTGAGTCTTTCTTTGGCGAAGATTCGCTTCGCTCATCTTTGGCTTTGGAAAGTTTCACTTGCTGTCCGTAGTTTGCTATGATTTTGAAGCAAAGTGGGACATGTTCTATCGTTATTTGAGCAGCACAACCTATTTCCCTTTTCATGCTTGTTTTGTTGGAAGGAGCGGACTATTTTTAAGAGATTTGTTTTGTGTCAAATGGACGATTGAACTCCTAAAGGCCTCGGAGCTTCGCTTATTCAAACACAGACGGCGAAGACGGCAAACCTGATCAAAGCTCAATAGTGATAGCGCGCTGTTTGCGGGACCCTCCATTCACAATTCACTATTGACAGTACTGATCTCAGCGAGGTACCGGCCGCGCATGGAATCGAATTTCTAGCGGATCAAAAGCTAAAGTTTGGAGCTGGCTTTCTATCATTCAAATTCTCCTTCGAATAATGAAGTCGTCATCTTCCCACGACGGGATTAGGGTTAGTTCTTTAATTGTTTGTAAGAATTATTCAGCATCACAGTACTCGAAGTGTGGTTATTGCTCGCCTCGTAAATACGAGCTCTTATCAGAGACTCACGGCGTAATTATGCACTATTGAATATAATCAATCATCCATGAACACAATCTGCTTATCTTATGTCATTTTATATTTGTTATTAGTGCAGTGTAGTTTAACCAATAGTAAATTAATTATTTCAACGATGAAGACTCTAAAATGAAATCTTGCTGGAATTAAACTTTTATCAGTAGACTTAGGATCCACACTAGACGACCTACTTTGACTGTCTTTTTTCTTTTGATAAAAATAAAAACGAAGGTCAAAAAAGATTGGATAAAAACGATTTCCTTGGCTTTCTTCGCCGAGTTCTTGTTTGCCTGCCCTTTCGAATTTTAATTCACCATTTTAGTGATAAAAGCAAAGTCGTAAAGCGTGGCGCTCCACACTCCTTTGGAAAGGAGCGTTTCGTTTTTTGGATATTATCACGGAGGCAGGGCTTTTTTTGTTTTGCGAGTTGTCTCCAACCGTCTCAAGTGGGAGCAAATCCAGCGCTGGGAACGGGATTGTCATTTATGGTCAATATTGTCCTTCTTTTTCTACCAGCCAGGATTCAAAAAATGATAAAAGGAATCCTCCATCTGGGATCCCAAGTTGACACTGTCGAAAATAAATCTAATAGACAGCGTATCAACAAAACAGTGTAAATACTTTTTCATGAGCAGTAAAATAGAACTGATTTGAAAAGACTTACTTTTGAACGAAGTTTTCTTTGTTGAAAAAATCTCTAATTACGGCTATTGGAGCTCTTAATCCGGTTTCTTGAAAATTGGAATCGATAAAAAACAACAGGGGCCGGGGAAATTATAATCTTATCAGTCTCGGAGCGACGGGAGTGATGCCGAGCGCAGCGGGATATCTGAGAACGGAATCAACTGATCAATAAAAGCTCTATTTACTGCTGTTTGCTTAAATAAATATCCGATAAGAGCATTTTTCTTAGACTTGATGGATGAATTCGGAGCTTTACAGATTTAGTTTAATACTTTTTCCTCGTGACCAAAAATAGATGTAGAAAAAGAAGTTCTTCAATCAGACACTCGTGAGACCGAATATGGAAGGAGAACAACTTGATACCCTTCATGATTGTAATGAGGCTCACTTATCAGTCTCGATCGCGATAATAGCCCCAATCAATATAATTTTCCATCTTCGAATTTAAAAATATACTGTCGGGCAATATAATACAGAGAGCTTTCTCGGGCGTTCGAAAAAGAGGGAGAGGAAATGTTATGTAATAAGAAAACCACTTGGAAATCGTTATCTCTAACTTACCAGTATAGTAAAGTGGCGACATTTGGTTTAAAACTTGGGGGACAAGAGAATCTCTAGAGGCCCCTCATGAAGTACTGTTGCGTAAGTTTTACCGATAAGAAATCTTATCTAGAACTTCTACTGGAAGTCTCTGACTCCACTTAGGTAATCACCTGTTGATAATTGTTGAATGAGCGCGAGAATCGTTGATTCTTAAGAGAGTCGTCTCCGCGTCGCTACTCTCTCTTATCACTTATTGATGCTCACAAGTTGCGAACAGGATCTTGCGACGGGTTTTCTTGAGACCACTGATCAGTTAGCCCGCGCAGTTCCAAGTGGTGGCGCCACATAAAGACATCGATGTGAGTCACTCATTGAGATTTAGAGGTGTGTGGGTGCTCCAACTCCTCACGTGGTGCTGCCAGTGATAACGGCCGCTCGATAAACGACGGCTCGCGGCGTGTTGCCCCGGCTCGGGCATTCAGGCACGCACGCGCCACAATGCCTTCTACCACACCACACATGATAGGGTGCGCACGCTAGTGTACTCTCACCCTAGCTTCGTAGGAAGACAACGAAGAAGTGACATTCAGTCGCGATTTTCCAAGCTCTTTATCATTCTCCTACCTACTCATCCATCATCAAACATGTCGCAAAGCTGAGACTCACTATTTTTATTGCATGTCGGTAAAAGAATGTCTGACAGCTTTATTTCAAGTTTTTTTTACCGCGAGATGACGGGAATAAGGATAAGAGGCCGCTGAATTTACAAATTGTCAATCAAGACAACTAATTTTCGCTGCGAAGATGGTCAGCTGGTAAATTGTCGGAGTTTCTCATTCGATAATCTGAGAAATTTGCACATGCTCAGCAATAATAATTCGGAGCAGGATTCATCCCGTCCTCAGAAGAGCACAAAAAACCATGAGGGTAGGCAAGTTTTCAAATTTTCACGGCGTCAATTTATTTTTTAGGTTCTTCCATTCCTCCTCGCGGTCATTTCCGCTCAAGAATGTTCCTCCGGAAGCAAGGATCTAACACTCACTCCAGGCGCCACTGGCGAAGACGTCGCCCGAGCAACAATCGCCAAAGTGTGGCAGGTCATCGCAACCTGGGACTCAAAATACGAAGAGCGTGATTTCTTCCTCCGATATGCCTACGCCGAGACCAATTATGGAGTCGTTATCGTCCACGATGTCCAACAAATCTGGGCACTCAGCGAGGAGCAGTTCAAGACGGCCCAGAAAGCGCCCATGGTTAGCAGAGTCTCGAGCGAATTCAACGTCAATTTCGCCGCGCTGGAGTTTGACGAAATGAATATACCTACCTACTCGATGCTCGCACTCTTTTTGCTTCTCGATGACATGAATGTCTTCCCGATTCCATTCTCCATCGACGACCAAGCTACCATCTACGCAAGTGTAACGAGCAACACCCTGGACGAGTTCAAAGATAGCGTCAACGACCTCGATCAAATCACCCAGAACGAATGTTCCTCCAAATCCCTCGATATCATTTTCTTAGTCGACGAGTCCGGATCGGTCGGAATCCAGAACTTCAACCTCATCAAAAACTTCCTCGTCGATTATGCATCTGACAGTAACATCGCTGCCGATGCTACTCGTATCGGTGTCCGACCATTCTCCAGCTCAACTTATCTCTATTTCGCCCTGGATGACTATAAGACCAAGAACATCATTCATGAGCTCCAAAACATGCCCTACAATGGCGGTGGAACTGACACGGCTACTGGACTCGATGCTGCTCTCGGCGATTTCGGAAATGACCGACCTGAATCTGTAAAGTTCTTGGTTACAGTCACTGACGGTGCTAGTAACTCTTTTGACGCAACTAAAGCGGCCGCTGATCGAGTGAAGGCTGACCCAAGAAACATTCAATCCTTCGCCATCGGTGTTGCTGGAGCGAACATGGACGAGCTCGAAGCCATTGCTACATCCAAAGACAACATTTACATGCTCAACGGCTTTAGCGACTTCGATCCAATCAAGAACAACCTCCAGAACAAAATCTGCGAGGGCAACGTCGAGAACAACAACGGTGGCGACTCGCAAATCGGTGGCAGCACCAGCCAGCCAGGCAAGCTCATCATGAAACTTGGAATGTCGGGCAAGGACAACTTTGATGTCAAATCTACTGGCCCATTGACATTCTACATTTCCCGAACCAACCCACAACCCGGACCAGCCGTTTACGACAAGACCTTCGAAATAACCACTTCCAACTTGAACACGTGGGTTAATCAAAACGTCGGGTCTGGCCATCAATGGATCTACCTCGGCGCCTACAACTACAAGCCAAGTAAAGCACTCATCTCTCTGAACATCAACTCTGGCGGCGCGACTTCCCCAGAGGATCCGGATCCAGTCGTCTGTCAGCCAAACGCGCAATGTGTTGGCGGCACTTGTCAGTGCTTTGACCAGTATGCTAACATCGATGGCGAATGTGTTTTCGATCGCTGTGCGAGTGCTAATTGCTTCAACGGGTACGAATGTGCTCCTGATACGGGCGACTGCTACTGTCCAGAGGACCATCTTGAGCTAGATGGAAACTGTTACGCTGCAGAATGTCCGGAATCAGTTGTTGAAGTTCATGTAAGTTTTGCCCGCTAGAATTCAATACTAAATTAGTATTATGCTATCAGAACAACGAATTGGGATACGCTACTGGGGAAATCACCTCTCCCTGGTTCGAGCACGGTGCTGAATATCCTCACAACTTCGACTGTACTTACGAGTTCGAGACAATCAGAGCTGAGGGAAGTTGTTATGAAGTCATTCTAGAGCAACCGTTTGGAATTGAAGCATCGGCGAACTGTGAAAACGACCGTCTGGAAATCTTTGGCGTTTTAAATGCCGATCAAGGTATTTCAACAGCACTTTTTCTCACAAAAGTTAATGATTTAGTAAATATGGATCACTACTTCGAGCGTGATTATGACACAGCCGTTCTTTGCGGTCGAGCCTGTACTGCCGAGACAGGATGGGTAGGCAAGGTGTGCGGCAATCACTTGAAAATTCGATTCCGCTCCGACCATATGGTCAGCGACATTGGATGGAAAATCAAATGGATCTTGAGACCAAAGGAAGACTGCGACTGCCACTGCGAAGAATGTGACGAGTGGGATGGCGAGTATCCAATGTGCGACTACAAAAATGTTAGACCAAAGAACCGAAATCCTGGCAATAAATAATATATTTAATCAAAGTTCTTTGTAAAATCGAATCAGCTTCATTCGACTGAACCAAATAAAGAAATCAAAAAATTGTTTCTCGAGAAATCTTGTCCTTCCAATCGTTGGGAAAGGGTGAAGCTCCCAATCGTAGCCACATTTTTTGTAGAACTTGATTGCAGGATATTGAGGAGTTGTTGCCTCAAACACAATTAATTTTATACCTTCTTCTTTCGCTCGTCTCTCCAAATCGCCTAGATAAATAGATAGCTAATATTTCAAACTAATAAAAAAGGTCTTACTTAACATTTTTTGCGCGATTCCGAGTCTTCTTGCGCTGTGCTTCACGCACATTGAAAACATCTCCCAGGATTTATTTTCTATTTTCACTCCCTGTAAAATTTACAGTGTAAATCTATTCAGTCTGATGTGTTCCGTAATATTTTATTCAACAAAACTTGCCTTGAAGTGAGTTATCTCGGGTTTATCCAAAAAACCAACTGTCCCCAAAATCTCATTGTTTTCTCCTTCAGCAACAAAAAAGTTCTTTCCGTAGCGCTTTTTGATTTCCAACATGTCTGTCCTGGATTTGACGTAGTCGTTGTTCGATGTTTCAATCATGAGTCGCAAGTATAAGAGGAAAATTCCAGACGGGAGTATGGAAAACAAAATTGTTTGAAAAATGGTAGAAGCAGGACAAATATAGTGCACAAAAGCGGGTATCATCAAAAAAATTACGCGAACATGATGTTGATTTGAAAGCCAAGCGTACATTCCCCTATGAAAATGTTAAATACTTCGAGATAAACCTTGACTTATTGCTTGGTAACATCGGGGGAAAACGGATTCGGTTGGCCCAACTCCCGCAGAGTGTGAACGTGCAGGAGGTGTCAAGCTGAGTGAAGGAGATGCAAGGAGATCAACTGCAATCCCATGCTGCCAGATTTCGTAAGCCGAATGTTGATCTTTTTCTTTAAACTCTCTTATTATTATCATTACAAGTTCGGCGAGTTCATGTATTCAAAGTCGAACGAAGAAGCTTTTTGGCACAAAAATGAGAAAAATCAATAAAACATAACATGTTATGATTGAGTAGTCGACAATTAACGCTATAAAAAGAGAATCAAATGATACCAATTTTAATATTTTAGATTTTTTTGTAAAACTTAATAATGTTCATTCTGCAGAACCAGAAGAAAAAATCGGCAATCTGCCTCTCAGGAAATTTTCTGCCAAGCGTCGGGAAGTTTTCAAGCTCCCAATCGTAGCCGAATTTCTTGTAAAATTTAACAGCAGGAACCTGGGGCGTTGAAGCATCAAAGACGATTACTTCTACGTTTTCTTTTCTTGCTCTCATTTCCAAGTCACCTAGAAATTCCAGAAAAATACGGATAAGTAGACAGAATACCAAGCAATTTATGAGCGACTCCCAATCTTCGAGCGCTGTGTTTGACGCTCATGGAAAACATCTCCCAAGATTTTCCTTCGATTTTCTTTCCCTTGGAATCTGTAAGCTCCATGTTTAATTTCAAAATCTACCTTGAAATGAGTGATGTGTGGTTTTTCAACATAAACGATCGTTCCTAAAATCTCTCCATTGTCCCCTTCTGCGACGAGAAATCGCTTTCCATGATGCGTCTCAATGTCGAGCATGTCTTTTCTGGATTTGACATAATCTTTGTTTGTCAAATGTACCATTAGCCGCAAGAAAGCAAGAAGAATTCCAGAAGGAAGAGTCGAGTAAAACAGCCCTTGCAAAAGACTCGTCGAAAAGCCAAGGTGATGGACAAAAACGGGCATCAAAAGAATAATAACGCGTATATGATGTTGATTCAAAATCCAGTCCATCTTGTCGCTTCGATTTAATAAGAAGCTTCAGAACAAATAGTTACCCAGTGCTTGTTGAGATCAACGCTCATTCCGTGCTTCCAAATAGCAAAAGCAGCATCTTGATCTTTTCGTTCGAATTCTCTAACTTTCATTTTCAGAACTGCTCTGACCATGTTTCTGATTTCATAAGAAGATTTGCTCTTACTGCAAATATTTGTCTTGAATAGTTTTCTGTCGATCTTAGTTGTTGTGCAAGACTCTAGAACTTTTGTTGCTGTTCAATTTATTCATGCATGTGCTCAATGGCTGAAGAAGTACAGTCTTATGGGTTCATCACACAGTAACATGGAATAAAGAACTTTTAGGCTACATCTACTTGAACTGAATTTGTCTATATCATGAGGCTGAAAATAAAGAAGATCGCAGATGCTACCATTTTTCTTTCATCGCTGGTAGAAATGTAGTCCATTCGAGCTTTGTTGCAGCTGGCGGTGGCACAGTGCTCAACTTTGACGCGTCTGGTAACACTCTTGTTCTCGACGACCATGGGAACGACTGGGAGCTCTTTCGTTTCCTCTCGTATTTGAGTTACTCCTGCGAGCTGGGAGGACACTCTGCTGCATCCTCGTTTTGCGTAGTAGTATGTTCTTAATTTGAAATCAAGGAAGAGAGCTTGTTCGCATTTTACCTCTCTCGATTGGTATTCGGATCGACAGCGGTGTAGGAGGAAGTCTCAGAATAACAGCTTGTCGCGTTGAAATCCTCGCAGTCCGACGCAGGTGGAGGGTTTTGGAAACAGGCGTTCTAAGAATCGAATAATTTCATTTTAAGGAGAAAATCTTACATTTGCCTCGCTGAATTGAGAATCGCACTGATGACAACGAAGAGGAGCCTGATTAAATCTATCGAATCCAAGAGGATTATTTACGCTGATAAGTGCTTGTCCAATACTAAGGGTATCAGCCGCAGTACCAACTGCATATAGCGCTTGAATGTTGCCGAAGTTTCCAAAGCTTTCCTCTGTCAGTGTCATGGTGCATTGAACGCCATTTTTAGGAATGCACTCAGTTGCGCTGGGGAAGGATGTCACATTTCGGCCTACCATGGTTCTCTCGTGAACACAGCCCCGCTCAGCGTGAAGAACGTAGAAGTCATCACCAATGTTATCAGAACCACGGGTATTGAAAAAAAGAGCGTAGCATTTCGAACAGCTCTCCGTTCCGAAATTTGCGGCGTCGGTTGTATCCCAGCAGCCCTTGTTTGGTAGAAGATCCGCTAAAATGAAATAGAAGATTGGTTATTTCTTAACTTTATACCTGGATTAGTTATGGTTAGAGGCTTATTCCGCTCAATCATCGTTTCGCTACAGACAGTACAGGATTGCTGGGCATAGCCAAAGGCCAGCAAAGTCGAGAGAAAAAACTTCATGGTGAAAACTCTTGCGTCAGCTGGAAAAATGACCGATATTTAAAACAAAATCCACTTGAGATGTCTACTTGAGCGAATGTATTAAAAGCGGCGTATAATTATTTATGATGCCTTTGATGCCCGGAAATAATTGATTCTCATTATTTTCTATGATTCCTGCAAAAATTGACGCATCAAAGGCGCTTCTGGTGGAATATATTTATTTTTGTTGAATTGGAGAACGGATTTTAGAACCGTTTAACTAAAAAAATATGGAAATTGAACATCGAATTTTGAACAGTGAACTCAAAAATAAAATATAAAGATAAATAAAAAAGAAAGTATATAAGAAAACCTCTTTGAATATAGATAGAGGATAAATAAATAAAGATATGGAGTGGTTTTAGTTTGAATGCGTCTATAAATTGTTAATTTGAAGACGTTGAATGAAGTTAATGAAAATATTGAATTAACTTGGAAATGGAGGTATAATTCGGGAATGGAGTGGAGTTTAATAGACCGAAATAAAAAAGACGTAAATATTGCTGGATATAGTTGCTGATAACTTAGAAAGTGGGGTTGGTAAGGGGATGGTAACAGTTGGAAGTGTTGGTGTTGGACGGGAATGACGAGAGGGAATCTGTCATCTGGCCACGCTCTGGAGAGCCGAAGGGGCCGATGATTGGGGTGTAGTGAGTCGTTGCAGTTGTGGCGCCAATGGGAATGTCGACCATTGGAATGGAGCTGCTGAAGAAGTCTCCAGTGTATGGTACTTCTGAAGGGAAAATAAGAGGAGGAACTGATTTGGTAAACTTACGAGGTGGAATTCCAAAGGCAGCATCAACAGCAGCAAAAGTGTTGAGATTGGTGAGAGAGGGCTGGGAAGTCAGTGGAGGAGGAGCCGTAATAGACGTCTGGGATGATGAATGGTGAAGGCTGGTAGGTTGAATGGGCTCCAGTTGAATTGGGATTGGCTGAGGATAGGGCTTAATGAATCAAAATGAGATGGGAAGATAGACTTACTTGATGGGGGTGGGGAGATCCTTGGATCGGAACAATTTGAACCGGGCTGGCGACGATTTGAATCGGCTGGTTCATGAACTGCGATCCTTCAGCAAAAATGACAGTTTGTCGGCTGCGGTTAGCCTTCGCATTTGCCAACTTGACTACAAGTCGCTAAAATAAACGGTTTCTTTTTGCGAATAAGAATTTTTCTTACCAAGCATGGTTCAGATAGCGCATATTTAATGCCAACATCCGCCCATTGTCGATTGTTCATCAAGTCGATGACAGTTTGGGCGTGGTCTTGGGTGGGCAGGCGGCAAAAACCAACCGGGTTCTTGCCATCCTTTCCAGCTTGGACGTGGCAGGTGACCTCGTTCGAGCTCCAATCAATGTCCATTTGATTTTGCTTGAGCTTGTCGGCGATGCACTCTTGGAGGTCTTCTTTGGTGCAGTTGAAGGGCAAAGGCTGGAAGTAGACGTTTGTCTTGTCTCGCAGCTTTTCCTGAAAAATGATTTATGATAAGAGAAAAGTATCAAAAAACATGATTTGCGGGCGCTTCGTTTTATGGTGTGTAATTTAGGCCAAATATCTGATCGGGCGTGAGACAGCTCACGCGTTTCATTTCTCAGAACGCTCGGTATCTCTAAATCTTAATCCCCTCTCGCTCAAAATTGCTACCTTTGCATATTGCGCCGTGTTGGGTCCGACGAGATCGTTGATCTCAGTGACGAATCGTTTGGCAACGTCGATGGAGAGCCCTGGCAGTTTGGATTCGAAATCAACGAAGAGAAACTCTTGCGAGACTTCGGGGACAGTTACTTTTGGCGTGATGGTGGATCGCTTCTCCCGGTCGAGGGACATGCTGGCAGTGACGGAGGCGAAGATTTCGCGGAGATAGTTTTCGACCTGGTTCAAGGTCTGCAGGTGGTAGCGCTCGCGGAGTGGACGGATTTTGATGTAAATGTTCGTCTTGGACTCGACCTTACCCTCCATGCTTGCTCGAGCTTCGAAGGTGTTCGGAACGAGCGTGAAGGTCTGGCCGCCACTCTGGACGAGAATTGGACCGGTGATCTGCTGAGGGCCAGGGCCGCCAGGACCAGATCGAGGTGGAGGGGAGTGGCTGAGCGGCATCAGCTGGGTGCCGATGCTGGCATTGCTGCTACAAACAAGTTTTAGGGCCACAGAAGGCTTAGTAATGATACGTACCCAGTCCTGGATAAGGGAGGAAAGTTGGTAATGTTGTTGTAATTGAGCTGATCTGCCATAAAATCGGGTTCGTAAATGATTTGATAATCGTCAAACTAAGACTAGGGATGCCATTTGATCATTGAAATTTGAAATTATTGGGATTTGCAACGAAAAATCGAAGAAATTGCTAGAAAAAGGCGCGTTTTTGCGAGATTCCAATGCTCTAATGCTATCCTACGGTTAAAATATACACTTTGAAGCTATCTAGTAACTCTTGTACTGTGAAAGAAAGTCCCATTTCCTGATAAACGTTGTCTCTGAAGCAGTAACACGGCGCAAAATGGTATGCTGGGGCTAGAATCGGTCCCTCCTGCACTTCATCAACAACAAGTTGTCTAGAGAGTTCCTCGGAATCGCTCTCCGACTCGCTCCATTCGCTGCCAGTCTCTCTCTCCTCCGGGCAAATAAAAGTGACTTTCATCGTGTAATTTTAGATTTTTGATGTTTCAGAAAAAAATAAATGTTTATAATGAAAAGTTGGGCTTCTTTTTGCGATGTGAGCGGCGTGGCCTGATCCGGTGAAAATCTGGAGTTTTCTTGAAATTTTTGCTAAAATCACTGGTCTGGGAGACCTTGTACACACGGCTACTAGAGATAATTCACTTGATTTGTATCTTGGTGTTTCCCAAGTCTCCTAGTCGTCGAATTTCAGCCTTCCTGCATGTCTATGAGACCCTAAGCTTACATAACTACTAATTATATAATATAAACTTTTATTTACAGAATTTTACAGAGCTCTTTTACAGTTTGAAAAACTAAGATAGAAGGTCAGAAAAGCTGACAGAGTCGCAGGGGGACAAGAAGGGATGATTCAATAATTGTTGGCACGACGCTCTGCACATCGGATTGAGCGCAAAGCAATTATTGAGAAAGTGGCGAAAAAGCGGGGAGAATCGCTCCGGGAGTTCCATCGGACCAGCAGGTGCCACGGTACCAGTGTATCCCGCAATGAGCTTGACGGCCTCGATCGCACTGAACTTGGACATGAGCGGCGGCTCTCCATCGAACAGCTCAAGCGCTAGAATGCCGACGGACCAGATGTCAGACTTGATTGATGATGCTCCAAACTTGATCACTAAAAATGGAAAATGAACAAACTGGTTGGAAAAAATGGGGAATAAATTGCTTCACGCGTGGCTAGGTCACGTGAGCTTGATTTGAGGTGCTTGATTTACACTGATTGATAAACTGGTTTTACGAGTAAAAGAGTTTCTTTTTTGAAAATTGGAAGAAAACGCTCAAAAGAAATGTCTCGGTAAAGCTATCTTAGAGTTCAAAAGCAAACTCAATCCCTCGAAAATTCATATTTAAATGTCAAGGTTGCTAAAATTACCTTCTGGAGCCATCCAATAAGGAGTTCCAATGACAGCGTTTCCTCCACACTTTCCCTCATCATCAGTAACGTCGCAGAAGCCCAGGTCACTCAGGAACACGTTCCCGTCCTTGGAGAGGAGGATATTATCGGACTTGATATCACGATGAGCAATGGAATTGTGATGAAGCTCGGCTAGGCCTTGAAGCACCTGTCGGAGGATGAGAGCGGTCAGTTTTTCGCTGTGACGCGTTTTCTTGCAGAATCTGATCAGATTGCCGAGGTCGGCAAAAGGTGTGACGATCGCCACTTTGAGGTCGCTATCGACGGCATCTTCGTAAATGAAGGCTTGATTGAGGGGGAGCAAGTTGGAATGCTCGATGTGCTGCATCGCGCAAATTTCGTTCAGGAGGAGCTGCTTGTTTTTCAATTTGTTAAGGGGGATTTCCTTCACAGCTACTCTTTCGCCTTTCGCGTTTTCACAGAGATAGACAGTTCCGGAAGATCCTTGGCCGAGGGGATGAAGCTTTGAAAAATGATTCCAGGGCGAGTCCTCCACGCAAAGTTCGCACAGTTCCGAGACGAGGTCGGAAAGTGACTCTTCCATGATTTCATTGCTCAGGATCTCTGATTCGACGATTTCAATTGACGAGTCGAGGGTTGAACTGGACGAGTTGAAGTCAGGATTGAAGGGAATCTCTGTAAAATCGACCGAAGCATAACCAGAACCGGCAGAGTCCCAAGACATCGAAGTGTCAATTGAAGTGAAGTCTTCTGAAAGAATCTCTTTTGGCATCTGTTTTCGTGGAGTTGAAAAAATAGGAGAAGTGGTTTGCATTTTTAAGTTTTTTTTCTGCTGTAAGCTGTTTGTTTGTCTGAATCTCCTACTGGTCCAGTTCGGTTTTATGAAAAAAGGATCGCGCGCCGCGCTCCCCCGCGCTCAAGCGCCACCGGGTGATCGAGAAGCCCAGATTTTTACTGTTATCTGATGATTTCGAAGCGAGCAGGAAACCTGAGCCTAAGAACGATGTAATCATCTGATCAATACAGGTCAACGTAATGCATGTAATCCGCAAAATAAGCGAGCAGAAAATCCACAGGACAAATTCTAGCGAGAAATGACTGACCTGGTAATTTTTGGGCTGAAAAGATTGCTGGTAATTTTGAGCTGTGTAAACAAAAATACTTCTTGCATTTCAACAGGCAATTAAAAATTCTCCATCGCTTTTTAGACCAACAACCTTACTAATAGTTGAAGTTTCTTTTAGACTTCAGAAAAACTAACAGCGTAAAACTAATCGCACCTGTTCCTTCCTGAATAGCTCACTGATTCAGATTTAGCCCGGCTCAGAAAACAAACGATCAGCATGGGCAGTCAGTGAGATTCAAGCTGAGAAAATAATGCAAACGATATTAGATGAATAAAGATCTTCAAACGAGTATTTTTGTTTTTCTTTCTTTGTTGCAGTGTTTCAGCGTCTCAGTAGGCGTCTACTGTCGATACAGAAGGTGGAGGAAGGATTAGGCTGACAGTGATCAGAGGAAATGGCTTGAAAGCCCGTCTGTCCCGTTTATTTAACCGGAAGAAACCCCAGCGCTAGAATGCTACTCTTCCAATCTGCTTCAGCTCTTTCAATACCAGGGCGGCGGATCTAACCGCTTAGGCATTTCGGCAGCTCAAAATTTTGAAAAGCAAAGGGACAAAGTCAGCAAGCTGAATCGATGGGAAAATCACCAAGAAGTGTTTTGAAAATGAAATTTTCGCGGATTACTGTTTGTACCAAAAACAATTGCAAGGAATTAAAGTAGAGGCATTTTGGAGAAAACGAGGATTAGGGTAGATTGGACAGCATTTGAAGTTGCAAAGAGGGAGGTAGGACCATTTCGAGGAAGGCAATCTTGGAACACTTTTTCAGCGGAAGAAATCTAGGTCCGATAAAAAGAAGTGCAAATAATGGAGTGGGCTGGAGTCCGAACCAGCATAATATTTGGTTCGTAATTGAGCTTCCTGCTGGGCTATGCGTGAGAATACACGCGTAAATCAGCAGCATAAGTTCTTTTACAAATTGGGTCGGTTCGAACTTTTTTTCGCGAAAGGTGCGAAGTTCTATTTTTAGCGCTGCAAAAAGTTCAAATTCGATGCTCATTTCAGTTCAAGATTTAGTTCGATTCTCGCTTCTTAATTTATTCTCAAGTCGCAAATTCCGGAAATGATTGAATTGAATCTAAAGTCGGTCGAAGATCAGATAGATGGATTTTTACCCAGAATCGGAAGGGCGGAAATGTGCAGGTGCTGCGCGGATCAGGAGCTTTGATTCGGGAATGACCTCTCATCCGATTTATGGCCTTGTGCAAGCAAGTTCCGACACACCTTGCATTTATGAAAATGGCGACTTTATGGCTCCCAGATGTAGCTTTGAAATAGTGGTTTCTTCCTAGAGCAAAATTTCTAACAGAAACAAATCTTAATTATTGTCAATATAATTCTTGTAGCTAGTGTTTCGATCGATCTTGCTTTTCTGAGTCTTTTAGTAGTAAATTTAGACTTCCAAGGCGCTAAATAGACATTTTTATTTGAAAAAGAGACGGCCTAAAGTATCTTTTTCTTTTGAAAATCCTCGAAAAAAATAATGAGCGTATTTGATTTTCGACTACTTTGTGTACTGGAAATGGATTAACAATGTTTCCTCTGTAAAATCACGTGAGAAGATTTCGCCCGTTTCCGATTTGCGCCCGGCTGAGCTGATCAAAAGACGATTTCGTCGCGGATATTTTCGAGGAAACGAATTTATGCGGAAATCGTTGGGGGAGTTTATGACTTGGGCGAGAAATCGCTGAGAAAGTCATATTCCCGAAATTCACGTTGTAAATCAAAGCTATTGAATTTTATATTAGCAGGATACTATCGGGTCGGAAAATTTATGGCTCCAACGTCCAAAATCAAAGCTGAGGGCTCTTCTTCCCTTTTCGGCCCTTTGAGACTGTTTCAAAATGAACCACTTCTCTTCTTCTCACTTGCAAAGTGCAACCGTAATTGACCGCTTATTTGAGCATCATACAGAAAGTTTCTCTTTTTTACCATTTTATTTGTCTCTCAATTGTGGCTCCACGCGATCTGATGACCTGAATTTGCAATCGCGATCTAAACACTCGAATTATCATCAATTCTCTTTCGCAAAAGTCGATGATGACAATGAAAGATGGCCCAGATTATCGAAAATTATTACGAAAAAAAAGTTCAAAGAACGGAAGATCTGAGAGGGGTCAAAAATTCACACTTGTTGTTTTTAAACTTTTCCAATTGCTCTCTATCAGAATTTCTGATAAAAAACCAAATTTGAATGAAAAAACGTGAGTTTTATTAAGGGGGTTGTAGTCGCTTTTTGCGATTTCGGGTATTTTTGAACAGCCCTCAGTGAAATTTCGGCTGAGGTTGAAGGGTAAAAATTATTTCAGTAGACAGGTTGAACCCTTTTCTAAAGTTGCTATCCCAGAAAAAAAAATTTTCTCGCCCGCTTAAGGAGCTAGGGTGCCGTATTCACACTCCGACCTCGCGAAATAGCAATTTTGGCCTATTTTCAAACACGTTTAAATTTGTAAAAAACTTGAAAAAAATTTTTACCAAATATATTTTTGAGAAGCTTATTCATTCGTCCTCAGTTGCCACCCAAGGAAATTAACCAACTCAAAAAAGTCATTATGTAAAACCTTCGGTCAAAAAATGGGTCTCAAAAATCAAAATATCTCGAGGGAGGATAAATCAAAATGGACAGAATTTCATTTTTATCTGTTTTTAACTGCATGAAAATACTATTTACAAATGATTTATATAATCTCTTGACTTGAAAAAAGACTACATGCACACGAATTTTGGCTCAGCGCGGCGCATCATTGCCACGTATTGAAATTTAAAATCGATTTTTCGGCACTTTTGATTGGCGGAGAGAAAAAAAAGTAGGGACCTTTTTTGTTTGTCTTTTGTTGGGCTATCAGAATCTGAAAAGAAAATTCGGAAATTCCGACTTTCGCCAAACCGACTACAACTTAACGTAGAGCGAGTATCACGTGAGCGAATTTCAAAGTAGTGATAATTTCGCGGAAGTACTTTGTGACCCAGTCGCTGCGGTCTCCGCTTCTACTCAACCTTTCTATCAGCGTTTCCTCAGCAAAATCAGGTTCAGCGACCCCAAAATTAAACTTCCAAGATATCAAATAAGCAAAAGGGCTCATTTCTTCATCATTTAGAATTGACCTAGCGTTCTAAAAATGACTCCTTCAAAAACAGAATGCGACCTGAGATTCCAACCTTCAATTAAGGTACTTTCTTCACGTTTATCTTTGTTTTGGTTTGAGGATTGTTAAGTTAGCAAACAGAGTAAAAAATATGAAGGAAATTGTCCAAGAGGGTGTTGTCTGCTACGAAATTCTGTTGAGGCTTTTGAGATACAGTTGCTTCTTTTTCCGCGATTTCTAAAAATTGGACTCACTTTGTTTTTCGTGTTTTATGCATTAAACGTACCTGATATTGCTTTTCTCTACACCAGCCACACGTACAGAGCAAAGCGAAAAACACCAGTACTCCAAGAAGCACCTCAAGAATAATATCATTTATTTGAAAGATGATGATGGCCATCTATAAATAAAAGGAAGCGCGGAGGAAATTTAAGAGGTGGAGTTTTTCTAATATTTAAAATAAAGTCGCTATTTTTCTTAAAAAAAATCCCTATTTTTTCTGAAAAACTGCGGAAATGTTGTGTCATAAGGAGTTGTTTAAGTCTTTCCGGAACTTGCTCCGAAATTTGAGCTTTATTGGTTCTTCAGCTTTCGCCATAAAAATTCCTCTAATCTACCGCTCTTACCGCTCCTTGAAGCAATCCAGGTTCATATTCTAGCACTATGATCCACGTTGAGTAATATTTGACATTGTCGACTTCGTGGAAATAGAAGCCCTCGTCTCCTAACTGAATGTCGTTGATCGTTATGTCTGAAATCAGTTCATAAAAGCCTGGTCACTCGTTTTCGTATGAGTTTGGCGACAGAAGAGGAAGCAGTAAATTTTCAGCGGACTAAATTCTTCCGCTGCGGAGAGAGATTTAGTAACCCCGGTTCTCATCAATCCCTCAAAAGCAAACTTACCAATTTGTTCGAAGCCAGGTTCAAAAACGCAACCGGAAGTTCTCTCGACTTTAAAACGATCAGTTGAGTTTCCGAGGGAGTCGTAGAATTCGTAATTGCCTTCTTCTTTGTCAAGAAAAGTCGTCACTAGAAAAAGATTAGAGAAATAAATCAAAAGATGTTAAGGGTATCACCTCTTGTCCGATGCTTAAATCCAGTGGAGTTATTATATGGCATGTAAAAGAGCGTGAAATTTGTCCAGCGGTCATGAATACAGCAGGTAATTATGGCACTAAAATATCATTTTGACTAAAAAAAATATTTAAAAAAAATACATACCTTGACCCGATTTTTTGTTCAATAAAACCATGTACAGATGAGGGATACCATTTGATAGTGGAGCTCCAAGCGCGCGAATTAAATAAACACAAAATTGCTAATCATTAAAGAAATAATATTCAAGGTCGCCTGCTTACCGATAAATCTATAAAGGGCATTCATACTTTTTCTCTCAATTCTTCTTCATTTCAGAATTCTTCCATGCCCTCCGCGGGCTCATATGACCTCAATTCTCTACCACGTTCGCCCCGAATTCTCTCCGCAACTTTATCTTAACAAATCAGCAATGCGTTAATTATAATAATTGTCAGCTGCCTGGTAGTCAAAATCCCACAGAATAGTATAGCGCTATCAGCTAATAACTACAAAAACGGCTCGTGGAAAAATTTGCAGGTTATTAACTCGTTCGAGATTTATAGCGCCGAAACAGCCAGCTATAAAAAGTGGTCTTAGTCGACTTTTTGGTTCAAGTTTAGTTGAAAATCCCGAGAAAGAGATACAGTAGTTCAGATACGGTATTTGAAAGTGAGCTTCAAATTTGTTTTACGCCTTTTCCCGAAAAAAACACGTGTTTTACGAATTTCAAAAGGCAGGTAAACTTGCTAAGTTTAGTCACTTATTCAGAAACGGAAAGCTAGAAAAATTGCACTCCACTCAAAATTCAACACCCTGACTCAGAGCTAAAAGGGCTCTTGAAAAATGACTCGCAAGAAAGAATGAATGATAGTCTATCATTGAATGATAGATGCTTGACGTTTTTCGAGTACTCGTATTAACGTATACTTACGAAATCTATCCGTTTTCTCAGTTTTGCTCTACTTTTTACTAATACTCTTCCTTTTAGTGTTCGCCTGTCTCTGAAACAATAAACGGCTTCCTCACAAAGCGTTGCTTTAAAAATGGCATCGCTGTCACTTCGAAAAAAAAATCCAGCGGAAAGTTAGCCGACGTTTTGCTGACTCGTTGCTGTCTCTCTTTTCTCAATTAATGCGAATTTGTCAGGCTCACTCCATCATACTAAGCGTGTTCGGATAATTGTTGGGCAATTAGGCCAGCTACACTAAAGAATCTCAGCTTGTTACGGCAGGATCTTATGTTTATAGAGCCAGCAAAACTATAAACGACTGACGGCGTAATCCCAGGACCTTATCATCTTCTTTTATCGACCAATATTTCTGTCGCCGAGGATTAACAAAAAATATTTTTTCGTCAATTTTTTACAACTCTATTTAAAATTTATTAACGAACCATTATTCTAATCGCTTGAATTTCTCCTACCACGATTTATTTACCTTGAAGCCTGACCTATATAAATATACCACGAAAATGGCTCTATAACATTTTTTCTCTTGTCCGCGATTTTAGTTTTCTTGCCAAGCTCAAGAAGCTGTGAGAAAAGCTAAAGGTCGTTAAGGGGATAGTGATCGATAGTGTGTCGGATCAGCGTCAATGCATAAAAAAGCTTATTCATAATCGTAAGGATACCCTCAGCGTCATCTTCTCTTAGAAGGTTCTTAGACAAAGGGCCCCTTGTCACTATGGATTTTTAGCCAACCCGCGATACAAAAAATGTCATAACCATGACTTACTTGCTTATTTTTTATCTTTCCCTATTTGAGGGTCGACTTTCTGCTTGACTATTTCGAGCTTAACGTGGTGCCACCCTTTTTTCATCGTAGGTCAGTTTTTCTTTCGAACATATCTCTAGGAGCTATGAAAGTATTCTTGTCAAATCAAAGTCGTCAAAAAGTCAGTCTGTCCTCTGAGCGCTATGCGTTGCGCCTTACAGAGCCATTTTTAATCATGGTCGACATGTTTGAATCAGATCTAACGCCTAATTTCATCAAATATCAGTCGAGTTCGCAAGCCTTATGTAAGGTCGATACTAGTTAAACTATAAGGCTTAACCCCTGGGTAAATCAGATGAAGGACACAGTTGTTGTTTTTTTTGTTTTGAATATTTTTTTGGGTTTTATTTTAGTTTTATACACAGACATGAATGGAACTATTCAAACAGGAATTTAAAAAAGGGAGAATTGAAAATTTTGTGCGTTTTTCACAAAATTAGCAAGTGAATGGTCGGTTCTTTGGCTCAACCCATCCGAGGCCGAATTTCTTGTGGTCTTCGTATCGGAAGCATCGAGCGTAACCGGTGACACTGCCGTTGTCGCACTGGAATCGGCATCGGTTCATCTTTTCCCATCTTCGTTTCATCTGGCAGTCCCAGGTTCCTGCGCCTGGTTCTCGGCCGAGGAGCTGGGTAGCATCGCAGGAATCGGCGACGGGTCGCTCGATGCAGGATGGGCAGAGTTCGCCAATGAGGAGGTTGGCCTTCTCGTCGGCTTCTTTGAATTCTAAAGGGAAATATAAATAAGGGAATTCGATTTTGAATATTTTGCCAAATCAAAAATTTTTCTCTTTGTGAATATCTCTGATAACTTACCAACGTTGATGTCGATTCGTCGATCGCCAGGGTTGAAGGTGTTCTGGAAGTCGACTCGCCACATTTGGTATCCCTCGTCGGTTGAGGCCATCTCGACGGCTGGAGAAGCAGCTGGTCCGGCAGCCTTGACGAAGCTGACATCGTTGTCGAAGGTGAGGAAGACGTGGTCCTGGTTGTCCCAGAGAGCACCGACGGCGCCGAGTTTGTTCAAATCGACTTCGATTCGGAGATTGAAGCAATCTTTGCAGGTCCAGGCGTTGGTCCTGGTGATCTTTGGTGTGATATTGGCGCAGAAGCTTGGTTTACCGGCGGCGGCGCAGGCGTCCATTCGGACTGTGGCATCGGCAGCAGCTGCGAGAAGGGCAAAAAGCTTCATTTTTTTCTATTTGCTATATCGTATCGATATGAATATGATTTACGGAGAGTGAAGAGCGCTTTTATAGCGCGCAACGGCGCGATGCATGGGGCGCCACCAAATGCGAAGTCCGCGATTTGGTGCTGCACCACCAGCGATGCATGCGCCGCGATTTGAGAGGGTGACCTGTTGGCACCCCCGCTGACCGCGCACTTGTGATTCTCTGACCATGATTGATATACTTTGTGGGCTTTTCTAGTTAAATAATGAGAAAAAATGATGATGGAGAATATTCATTTCATCATAAAATAAAAGCCAAAATTTATTTGACAGATAATTTATTGAACTGAGCAACAACAAGATTTTTATCAAAAGCAATCGCCATATCTCGCGCACTTCTTCCCAGATTATTTTGAACATCTGGATCGGCACCATTTTCAAGTAAAACCTAAAATTCTCTTTTTGAAAATAGAATTGATGCTTTCCAGTACCTGGACTAATTTAGCGTTATTATTGATTGTGGCTTGCATGAGTGGGGTTTTTCCTTCATCGTCAGTGATGGAAACATCGGCGCCGGCGTCGATTAAAGCTAGAATTTTCCTCAGTGAAGGGCAAAACATGAGGGTGTCAAAAATACGGAGGAAAAGTCTCAAATGTTGATCAAACGAAATATTGATTTTCATAGTAAGAGAAGTCTAAGATATGTCTGAAAAGACAAGCTAATGGGTGGTTGATGCCAGTAGAAAAAATATCGTTAGAATGGTAATGTTACCTTGTGCAACATCAGGAGATCCAGTAACACTGGCAAGTCGGAAAATCGGCGTCCACTAGAAAAAAAGTTCATTCAGAAGAGGAATCTTGAAAGGTTATGTTTTTGTAAACAATTGAAAATTGTTTCCTGCTGATTTCTTAATTAGTAATAGAAAGAAGGGAAGATTGAATTAGGGAAGTAATTTTCGATAATGTTACGATGTAATTAGCTCGGAGAAGCCACACGGGTTTGCCAGTAAGAAGGGAAAGAAAAATCACTATTCACGAGTTTGTTCGAAACTTGGGCGGACAACTGTTTTGACATGAAGTGGTTGAACTTCGCTCTCACGTTATGCAACGACACATCCCAGAAAAATTGAATTACAGAAGTCAAGTGAATTACTTCAAGTCAAGTTTAGAGGACTTAGACAGGAATTTTCGGACGTTCGTGCGAAAGGATGAAAAATCGCATGAGAGTCGTAAAGTTTATTAGAATTCGATTTACGGCGAGCGATACCGTAATTTTCGACTTATCCAATTTTTAAATTCTACGGCATTTAACCATCAAAGCCCGAGATTTGCGAAAAATGCTCTCTAAAACTAATAAAAATGACGATTTTTTTTTTATTTTTCCAATTTTATTTTAAAAAAATATTTTTTTACCTGAGAATTGGCGTCAAGAGCATTAACATCGCAATCATATTCTTCACCAGAATTCCCATTTTTTGCTGATTAAAAATTCATGTTCCACTTTCAGAAACATTCGAACTAGCTATTTTTTCTCGCTATCTTTGCAAAAATGCACCATGTGAACCTCGCCCGTTATTTTACAAGTGGCTCGTACGTAAGTGATTTTTTAAAATCTAGAGCAATTTGCACCGTGCCCTTGCTCGTGCATTTCAGTATTTATGTCGCGAAGAAATTCTTCCGCCAGCTGAGCATTAATTTTAGAATATCCTCTTTTTGGCCTCCTTAATTTTTGAACTTTTCTTATTCAATATTTCGCTCAAGCAATCAATCAAAAATGTGATGGAGCTTTGGAGGAAGTGGGAAAGGAAAATCCGGTCCTATGAGTCGTTTGACGATGGATACTTTTAACAGGTTCACCATCATAATTTAGCTCAAGTACGATTTTCGCGGGATTGAGCGGATGAACAACGACTTTTATACCGCGTCATGCTTTTTGAGACCCCCCCCCGTATGTCAAGCGAAAGAAAACGGTAACTCATCGGCGTGATTGAATTTCAAGCGCTGCCTGGAGAAAGTGGCAGCCACCACGAAACGTTTTTTGGTGAACCGCGTCCTGAGTTAGAATCGACTGCCCAGTGAAGAGGAGTAGACCCATCGCCGCCTTCTACACCAGCTCCTTCGTCCATTAGTCTAATTGCAACTTCTTCGTGTCCTAAAGAATACTTTCTGAATAAACACCCTCACGTTTCGGAGCAATCTTTTATTTAGACGTAAATTATCTTCAACAATCGTGGTAATAATCGACTCAGCAAATAATCGCCGTAAAAATATCGGTTCAGCGACCTGAATGTTCTAAAAACAACACCTTGCTCGCTATAAAAATAAAGTGGCTAGAGGTAGTTTTCACAAGTGGCGAATTTTAAGAAGATAAGAGTGGTCAGAAACGTAGTATGATCTCAAAATTCATCCATCTCAATTCGCCCTTCACGTTTTGACAGAAGTCTATTTGTAATAACTCACTCTGTGTTTTGCACAGTGTTCAGCGAAATATTTTGAGAATATTCAAAACCTAAGCAATTCCTGAAAATTATCATTTGACCTCGAAATATACAAGCGTCCCAGATTTTTGCTGAATACGACGATTATTGATAAGAAAATTCAAATCGAGCAGAGGATATTGAACAATTTTTCACGAAAGACTCGATTGGTGACCTTTTTGGTTGATTCTGCGGTCTTGATTGGCATGTAAACAGGTCCAAAGAAGAAAGTTTGGATTTCAGACTTGCTCATGTCTGCCAGACAAATTAATCGGGATTCAAAGTCACTTTGGCTGCGTAGAAATGAATAGTTCTTGTAATACATTTCCTGCTTTTGAGTACCAAGAGACACTTAGAATATGATTTATGCAATGCTTTTTAGCATCAATCGAAACACATAAGATTTCTAATCTAATAATTTTAGCTTGAAAAGTGTCTGCAGCTGAGCGTACCTGATTGACACGCGAGCATGAGCGCCGTCTTTCCGGAAGGATTTTGAAGGTCCAAATCAGGATCATACTCTTTAAGGGATGTTTCAAGTTAATAAGAAAAGCTAATCAATTCTTGGGGATTCGCGCTCCCGTGCCTAGAAGACAGTCCAGACATTCCAGCGCGTTGTACGCAGCGGCCGCCATCAAAGGGCTGAATCCGAGCTCATCAACGACGTCCAAATCCACGTTTTTCTCGATCGTAAGAATCGTTCGCACTTTAACAGCGTCGTCGCGTTTGATTGCTAAAAACATCGACCTCAGAAATTGTGTAAAATCATTTTTCACATATGCTTCGTAAAACCGCAAATTACGGATAAAACGGTGTTGTCGACTTCCTCCGGAATAGAGATTCTATTATCGAGTATTACAAAATTTTGCGCTATCTTTAGATGTCAAAATTTATTGATGGTCTAACCTTTATTTATGTCGCCAACTCCAATAGGTGGCTTTGTCGTGCAGATTTTCACCCATTCTGACTCTTTAGAACCTTCTTTTCTTCAAACTGGTTTTCATTTCTGGCGCTAGAATCAAACAGGCTTGAAATTAGGGCTCAAAATTAATATTTTCATTCAATTATTCGCGTTTTTTTCGTCTTGATGGTCAAAAATTAAGCCCTATTGCAAGACCATATCAAATTATAAATGAAACCAGTTCCCGTCGAATTCGATCTTGATCCTAAAATGATAGCCCGTTGTGCTTTCTAGCTCCGCAGCTGAATAGAATTTGTATTTCGAGCGCTTTCGATGCACGTGACTCCTGTCAAAAGTCACATAAAGAGCTACAATTATGTCTACCAAGCTGATTTTATCACTGACAAATGAGGCTGTTTCCTCTACATCCTGGATTACACGATGTTCTAAAATCGTAGCACTGGAAGTGACCTTTGTCTAATAGACATGGAAGATTACCTAATGTTTCGTTGTTGAAGCCAGAGTAGACAAGTTCGATCGTATCATCCTTTTTTCGCTGAATAATGTACCGAAAGGGATCAACAATCAATTATCAAATATTCTAAAATAGCAGCATAACGCTACTCGCGCAAATATTTTTAAACCCGGATGACATGATTCACAAGCTTTCGGATTACAATGCTTTGCTTATTTCAAGAATTTACATGTGACCAGTCCTTCTAAAACCAACACGGGCAATGAGATTGTCGAACCAAAGACTTAGCCATGTAATGATTGCAGAAAAAATTATCATTGAAACATTATTTCAAAACAAATATAGCGTAAAGTTAACGTTGACTTGTTTTTCTTCCGGATCACCTTGTTTTTGGAAATAGAAATTATTATGTCGCTACAAATAAATGATCTGTAGAACCGCCTTGTTTCTATGAAAAATTGAGGGCAAATAGCCCAAAATAGGGCTTGGAAATAATGCAGATTTTATTATACCAATCGATTATAATTTGATGTTTATAACTTCTTTGTCTTTCTGATTTGTCAAAATGATTGTAATAAATAGTGTTATAGGGTATATCCCTATTCGCTCTAGAAAAATAAAAAAAAGAGCAGACCAACAAGTCGTCTTTTCTTCCTGATTAAAATTCACGAGCTCGGACTACCCTACTTTGGAAAGAGGATCTAAATAGTTGCGTCTTTCTCGCACGTTGAAAAAATCCGCGCTTAGTACGCAGAAAATTCAAATTCCACACCGCGCCCAAAATTTTTGGTTAGTTTTTCTCAGGTTCAAATCAGCGCCGCATGTTTGACCAAGATTGAATTGATCCCGTACGAGCTTGATGTTCGTATTTTCGAGCTTCTTCCATTTGATTTGGCACGAGTGGTGGGTCACCTAAAGAAAAAGTAGCCTTGTGGTTAAATCGGATTTGCAGGTACTTGATAGTTTTGAGCATTTTGAGATTGAAGAGATTGCTCTTATCTACTTCCATCTTTATGTAATTTTTCGAGAAATAGAAATTAAAAAAAAAACTGATTTTTGACAATGCTTTTCTTTTTGATTTTTTTATAAAGAGACACCCTTATTTATTCTGGGCCAGAATTTCTGGCCAAAATTTGAAGTATTGCTTCAGAAGCCTTTAATCAAAAAATAATCCCTTTGATCGGCAGGGGAAAAAGTAAGAGCACGTTCGAAAACGCTGATATACGCGGTTAGATAATCACCAGGGCAAGAAAAATATTTTCAATGAAAAGTGCTCGCGCGAACTTTCCTAGGTCAAAGTCGTTTCCTCGCTATCTTGGACTCTATCTTTTGGCGATCTATTTAGAGTTCCTTTCTTTTCAAAATAAAGAATAAAAACGTGATCAAGTAGAAAGAGGCTTAGATTTCATTAAAGTTTGGCTAGATCAGAATATGGAGTTTTCTATATTATGAAAACAGGAAAGAAAGGTTTGTGTGAGGGCATAAACATCATAGAAATGTTTTCTCGCGAGCTTCAAAAACGGCACTTTTCCGAGCCTTTTCGGAAGTTGCATGCTATCTCGAACCTTTATCACAAAGCTAGAGACTCAACTGTTGCGTTAGAAAAGGTTATCTCATGCTCAAACACGTATTTATTACTGACTCACTGAAACGTAAATACAGATTGCATGAACAACAAACTCCCAGAGCCTCAAAAACAAATTTTGCGTGTTCGGAATTTTTAGAAAGCTAGAAACTCCAGGAAGAACTTAAGTAAGGAGGCCCCTAATTTGAAATTTTAGTTTCGCATACCTCTGAAATGTCCAAACTCGGCGGCGTCGGAAGCTCCTCCTCAGACTGAGCACGTGTCGTTCCCAACATTCCTAAAAGACTTTCGAGTAATTGGAAAGGCCAAAGCCACGATATCTCCTATCTCGCGAATTATTGACGCTGTGGGGAAGACCTGTGGTTATCTAGATTTTTGAACATGCCCGAAACTATTTCAGTTTTGGTCAAAAGGGTTCAACTTTCAAATTCTTCTTTTGACATCGTAAATTATTTTTTTCTATTATTATATTATGGCTTTCTTATTCTTTACCTTCGTTAAAATCTTCAGTATGCTTTAGTTTTCTGTAATAATCTCTCTTTTTTCAGTATAAAAAATTTTTAAGATCTGGCAAACAAAATTGAGGGATAAGTAAATTGAACTCAAGTGCCTCTTTTGTCCGAATAGGATCTTGACTTTAAAAGTGACCATTCCTCATTCACCCCATTTCTACTTGTTACTCAAACCTTGTAAGATCAGTGACATTCTTCTCTTGAACCCCATTTTCAATTTTTTTTCTTTCACTACTTATTTTTTGATGTAGGAAGTGTTGCTTTTCCCGTGGAATAGAAGCATTATTCATTAAAACTTGGAACTTGACTCGTTCTTTTGAAAGAATTGACCTTTATGTTCATCAAAGTAAAAATAAATAACACGCTGATCTCATGTCAAAAAGGCAAAAGCCCATCATGAAAATGGCAGATCTTTGGATCGTCAAAACAAACTTATTCTTGCGCTACTGCATAAACTCATAAACAACGACGCGTAGATTTAGTATGAGAGCATCTAAAAACGCTTCAAATTGCTTGAAAAACTTTTTGTATGGCACTTTTTTGACATGACTTGAAAACTAAGCTTCCAGCTCAAGTACCTTGTTCTTGGGACTTTCAGGCAAGAACATAATTATGATTCTTTCAAGTAGCGCAGCATTCCAAGGTTTCGATTGGAATTTCTTGGGCTTGACATTTTTATAGAAGAAAGAAGAACCTAATATGCATTTTCTTCAGATTTACAGAATCTTGAACTCATCCTGATTGTATCATGCGAAGTCCTAAAAAATATGCAATTTTCTTATGTAATTATTCCTGGAATGCGTTGTTAGGTCAGTTCAGGTACTCGAAAATGAATCGGCACGTGTTTCTTAATCAGCTATTTATCTTGGTACATAATTTGTAGGCACACAATATTATCTCCCAATAATGACAATGGTCCAATGTAGGGAGAGTCTCTATTTCGTCATTATAACGAGGAATGTCGTGTTGAAGTATAACAAGTAAGGGGACACTTGCGATAAGAGCAAAATGCTCAACTGAGGCTTTTACACAGCACCTGATTTTGAAATGGCGACTCTTGAATGAATTACCTTCCGCAAGTCAAAAACTCGTCAAAGAATTTCGATAAAAAGATCAATAATTTTTTGAACTTCCATTATGCAGCAAATCCGTAATTAAATGCGCAGTTCAATTACGAATTTGATCGATAGGAGATCACGATTTGACAGAAAACCTTCTCGTGTTCGTTCTTGTTCTGAGAATTTTACCTGAAGCTTGAACTTGTCGCCTTTTCTCTCAAATGGTAATCTGCGATTGTGGTTCGTGGAAAGTCCCGGGACGAGTTGGATCTTCAGGTGGTAGCTCTGTTGAACTGGATTTCCGTTTGAGTGAATGGTGTCGGGCAAAAGGCAAATAGCACCCGCCGCGGATGAAGCTTTGTTTGGGCTCCTGAAAGCCAAATCGCGATTATGATTACTGTAACTTGCTTGGTAAACAACATTACAGAACTTATCTTGATCGAATACTCTTTCATTTTTTCAGCACTGTTTTTATTCGTAAAAAATCGAAACGAAGTCTTCTCGACCTTCAAGTGTGTCTTTTAAAAATTCGATTACGCTTATTTTGAGTTGAAACCACAAATTTTTCATGGCCGCTTTTGGAATCCAGGGCACTTGATCTTCCCATTCTTACATCTACTACCGGAGCCGAGTAAAAATGAAACCGTAATCTGCAGCGAAAACATGCTGGCTTCCTGGGGATAACATCAGAATTACAAAGTACCGTGAAGAGCCTCCAAGCTCCATTGCGAAAATACAGTATCAGCACTCTTAGAGTCATAATTCTGCCATTGCTAGAAAGTGGGTCAAATACAATAAAACCACGAATAACAATCTGTGGCTTCGGTATCAATGACAAGCTGTTTGCTCAGGATCTTCCTCAATTGATGAGCTGTCATCAATTCCTTCATGGTAAGCAACAAAAAGAAGAATTTTTTTTATGATTTTATTTCGTCCATAATCTCATTGTACATTTTATCAGCAACAAAGCTCTTCCAGCAAAACTGCTGAAAATCATCCTTTTCTTCCGTTTCTTCCGGTTTATAGACTTCGACTTTCTTAACATTCTTTTTGGCACTACGCTCTTCGTCGGTCAGGTTCTGTAGCTTTTCGATCTCGGCCCATTGGGAGGAGATGAAATTGATGTTTTGGCAATGAGATGGCGTGGCGGGGATATTGCAGCTAGAATTCATGTTTACTTTTCTTCCGAGGGGTTCAATTTCCAAACTAGCTCTTGAATTTTGATGGGTTTGAATGTCAGAATCGTTGGAAATATCCGAAAAGCAGGCTTGAAGGAACAATATTTCAGCAAATAGATCAAAGAGCTTCGAAATTTATCTATCTGTGTCATTAAAACCCGCAGGCTAAGCGTAAAAGCTGTCAATCCAAAGAGCGACTAGTGCTAACAGACTGTCACTTCTGATTTATGCAAGTGTACCTCTTCGTCGTTGTTTTTGACATTTTGGCGATTTCTTCGAAGTTTGATAGCTGTTGGGTCTGCTCAACTACCTTGGCGATGTTTGTGTTTGTATCGCTGACCTTGTCTAAAGAAAAATAAATAGAAAAAGTTCTTTAATTCGAAATCTCTTGACCTTCTAAATGATTTAACAAAAGTCTTTTGTCAAAAGACTTGCTAATTAGTAATCAACTTGCCTGTGAGCGAGGTCCCATATCTCTGCGAAGCTCCGCCACGAGTACCCAAAATTCGAATGTACATTTTCTCTTCTTCTTTCGTAAAAATTTGACCAAGGATTCTCTTTCTATTTTCTATGCGGATGGATTTTGAATGATGAAAACTTTCGGCACTTATAATGGTTCTCGAGAAAATTTACTCTCGACGCATGGCGGGGGCAACTTTGAGTCACTCTTGCATCACACAGAACCCGGGGTGTGTGCCTAACCTTTTGACCAAGTTGATTGAACAAACCCATCTAGGTAGGCCAACCCTTAATAAGAGTACTATCGTACACGACATAGTGCGTTTTTCGAATTTGTAATGAACTTTGACAAAAAGTAACAGTATTTTCATTAATTCATTATTAATTACCAAGGTGATACTTCTGAGAACCATGCCAAAACGGCCAAAAATTAGCCCAACGCACCTTTTTATGATCAATCAATTTGCCGATTTCACTCTCAAGCTACTCATTTTTCCAGCCGCTAGCATCATTAACGGCCTTTTTAGCATCAGACTTGTCTCATTTCATAACACTAAAATAATTATAATTTGGTTAGTTAGCATAGCGCAAGGTTCATGGTTCCATTTCGAAAGTTGCAGCAAACTGAGCATGGTAATATTTTTTTTCAAAGAGAGTTCAATACGTATTAACGATGAGTTTAGTTTCTCCTCAATTTTCTGCTCTTGTGGCAGAGAGGAGTTCTTGCACTGGACTGCAATGCAGGCTCAGTGGACAAAACAAAAGTGCCGAAATCTTTTGGCCCGGATGTGACGGAATCAACTCTTCGGAAAGTCTGGCCAAACATCCATAGCGCCTACCCCACTGTGAATTTCTGGGACTGGTACAAGTTCTTCACCACTTACGCGGCTTACTTTAATCATGGAAAGAGCATCGCGAATGATATTTATCAAGTGTGGCCGATTTCGCTTGATAAATATGGAGACATCAGAGAGGTGGATAACTACGACTACACTGTTGCGGAGGAACTGGGTCTTTCTTGGAATGAGATGGTCTTTGATCAACTCAATATTCCAATAGTTTCTCTTGTTGCAGCGAATATCTTCTATGACGGTAATTAAAAGAACTCTTAGCAAACACAAGTCAAGTATTCTAGTGGAGGTGGGATTGAATAATTACTTTCATGGCGGATGGAACACATTCTCGATCAATTTCGGAGGGGCGAATAAAACTCGTTGGGATGAACTCGAAGCGAAGTTTGAGTTTCAAGAGCATCTCAATCACGATAATTTTGACCTTCTGGTTGTCGTTGATGATTCTTCCTTGATTGCAGACGATGATTTCCAAGAAATCAAGAGCTTCATTGAGAATATCGAAACTGTTGCTAATTCAGCTTCGCTTGATATTTCAGTTCATCCTCTAAACGGCGGAAGCTTTCACACGTGAGCATCTTCATCAGAGAAAATGATGTAAAGAACGTCTTTTAGATTTCAAGCTGGGCCGCTCGATCTGAGCTCTTTCTCAAAAAGCTCAAGCCAAGACCGCAACGTTGAAGCAGTTTTTGACAATATTTATGGTGACTTTACATCGGCCAGGTAAGATCGCAAAATAAATCTTTCGTCCGCTATTTTCAGATCCGATGCCGCAAAATACGTCCTGTTGATAATAACTGGCACTCCCACAGATGATGTATCTCGAATTCAAAAAAAGTATGCTAAAGAATGTCACCTGCTCTAACTCTAGCTAAAGCCTCCCTGGACATACGCAACTCATTGTCCTGAATATCGGAGGACAACATGTGACTCTTGATGGAGACACGACAAAGAACATGTACGCGTCAACAGCAGCTGATCTGAATTCGGATAACCACAGAGTAGAGAATATCCTTTTTGAAGTCACACAGGGTGTAATTTATCTTTCAACTGTTAGTGGTGATAGCTGGTCTACTCAAAATATCAGACTCCATGCAAACTGTAAGTCCAAGAAAGAATTTCAGGCTTCAAATTAATAATCTTTTCTAAGCAAATCGTCAGTTCTCGTTCCCGACTGCGATGCTTGGTGAAATAACCACAGAAATCCGAACTGATGATGGTTCTTTTGCCGAAGCAACTATTTTGGCCGGCGTTAGTGGCTCGCCAAGCTATGCTTTTTATGAATTGGAACGAAATGTGAACAACACTTCGCCAACCATCATCAAAATTGGGCCAACATGGGATACCACTTATTTTTTTATACTAAACGAGAATGATGAAGATCTCCTTGTTGACTTCACGTTGGATATGCGCACACCTGTTTTCGGGTTTTATACTCCTGATATTGACATCTCGAGGTATATTAATCTGACGAAAAATATGAACTGATACATTTGTAGGTGTAATATTCACGAATACTGCTCTGCTGATGGAACCTGCGACTGTATTTCGACTTACTACAGGACACGAAATGACCAGTGCACTTTTTCTCAATTCATCAAGAGACCAGAACTCGATACATTTGTTTGCGACCTCAAAGATGGTGAGGTCGAGTTTTACATCAATCTTACTGACTATATTCCGCCCGTTACGGATCCAAGATACGAGGAAACGGTTGAAATCTCTTCCTAGCTGGCTCTAGAATAGTTCATACTATAATTTCAACCCTTGTCAGAAAGACATCAGAGGATTCTGTTTCGTCGACAACTCCACAATTTCTGGCCTAATCACGAAGCTTGAGTTGGCTGGTAGCTCAAACAACACCTTCGGAAACTCATCTTGCGCCTGTTCTGCATGGCTCAAAGGAAATCCCGGCGAGTTGCAGAAGTATAATCCGAGCGACTGTCCATCGGTAATGACAAAAGAATTTGTTCAAGACGAAAATGGCTTGCTCAAAGAAGTCTACTCGTTTGGAGTCGGCTACGACGACGCGACGATCGAGACAGGATTTGGAAAGATAATGGTCCAGGTTGATTTGAGAATTTAATCATTGCTTTTTAAATAATTATTTCAGCCTGGAGCGAGATGGAAACTCTCATGTGACGTCAAACGGGCGTCCGAGATGTCGCTGGGCGACGACGGCGGGCCAGCGGAGATTACTTACGAAATCGAGTCAGTGGACGGCATCGATCTTGAAGACAACCTCGACGAGATCAATTTCGACTTTGCTTTCTTTGCCACCACGGATTTAGAAGGAAACAAAAGAATTGGAGAAGAACCTTTGGAAATCGACCAAGATGTTTACATCCAGGCACAAATACGAAACAATCCATTCTTTAAACTCTTCACGAGTTATTGTGAGATCACCGTCACGACGAATGGCACGGACAGCATCTTCCAAGACATTGTCGAGCTCGGATGCGTGAACCCTGATTACGAAGACTCGTTCCTCCGACCAGATGGATTTTTACCTCGAGATTCGGGTGTAGACAAGTTCATCTTGCGTCCAATTGTTCCTTCGGGCTTCAAAACAGCTTCCGTCGATGTGGCTTGCACGGTTTTGGCGTGTCCAGACATTGGACCAGGCGAGCCATTCTGTGCGCCAGGGCCGACTTGCGGAGATATCTATTCAGCGCAGACCCTGCGATCGCTCAAAAGGGGAAGTAACAAGCCTCACGATAAGGACATGAGTCTACAACTCACATATGTTCCAAAAAACAAAGCTGACAATGATCCAGAAGATCCTGAAAATCCTGAAGATGATGACAACTCAGCAGGAACAACATTTTTTAGCACTTTTATCGTATTCTTCTTATCGTTTCTTTTATAAAAAGTAGGTTTCTCTAGTTACATTTATTTCTGCCTATAATCAAGCATCCCTGAATGGAACGGCCGTGAACTGCGCATATTATTCGAGCTAAATTTAAGAAAATTTAAGAACCCAAAACTGAGAAAAGTTCATTGTCGCTCCTTATTTTCTGTATCTGACCTACTGTTCTTCGTTTACTCATAATATTTTCATACCCTTCATACATGGCAAACCTTGTATTCTCAATAAAATGCCTAAATCGAATCCGACGTTTGATATCAATATCATCAAATATTCAAACATAAACTCAGCTTGGCTATATAATCTAGTTCAGATTCACAACTGATTTCAGAGAATCAATTTTTCTATCGTTTCTTGTCGATTAAACTCTTGATCAGATGAATTAGAGCAAACTAAGTTTCAAAAGATTTATTAATAACGAAGAAAGGGCTTTTGATCGTTCTCCAAGAAATATCTTCAATCTAAAATTCATATAAGCATTAGTCGAAGAGAAACGCTTCTGAAATTGACATACCAAAAGAAAATCTACCGCTATTAGCTTCTTAAAGGAGACAGATATCTACAGTTGTATTTTCCTCCCGCGCGCGACAGGTCCTCAAGTGACAGTGAGCCTGAACAACGAAAATATTCCTAATCCGTTTTTTTATCGCCGAGAGCTCTTATTGCATTAGCGACAACACGAGGAAAATAATCAGCAGAAACAAACGGCGACTAGCAGCGAAATTCAATTATTTTGTCCGAGTTTTTGACGCAATTAGACGCTTAGCTGATCAGCTATAAAGTCGACCAGCGGCTACGTTTCTTCAGACGTAATTCATCGCTTTTTTCCTAATCTCTCACTGCGAAAAAAGTAAGGGGTTGAGAATAAATTAGAACAAGGCCTAATTAATGTCTCAAAAACACTCGTCCCTTTCTTGGCCTCGGACCAGAGTGTGAAACACATATTTCTCAACCCTTTTTGAAGAGATGAAAGCTTTCGTGATATTCTTGGTCATTCAGAATGTTTTAGCGAGAGCGACGGGAAAAGATGAGAGAAATTTTGGGTAAGTGAAGATTTTCGAGGTTCTCCTCCTTGATTTCAGAAAGGAAATTCTAGCAGAAGAGGTCAGATCGTTGACAGTTTTTACATATTTTTCTTCAGAGGAAATTTGGACTACGATCCTAATTCATGCAACCTCCCGGAGAATCGACAAATGTGCGTTATTCTGAGCCGTATGATGAGACCCAGGTAACAGCTTCCATATTTACAAAAAGTCAACAAATCTTGTAGATCAGAAAACATGAACGAAGCGCCTCCGAAGCGCTCTGTAATGACGCCAGAAGCAGATATCTCCAGCGCAGATATACAAGCTCTCCTTGATCGACTCGCGCTAGAATTTTCCCCAAGCATGTCCGATAATCCGGGGCTTCGTCCTCCAGAGCTTTTGGAACGCTCAGTGCGAACGCCAGAAACAGACATTATCGGAAGTCTACGACTCCAAGCTCTTCGAGAAAGACTCGCACGAGAAAGAGCGATGATGAGGAATTTTGGTGGTGCCGATTTCGACTTCTGAAAATGGACGAGAAGGAAGTTCTTCAACGATTAATAAAGTAAACATACACAAATGCTCCGAAACGATTTTCGACAAATTTTATTTGTTTTAAAACATGTTATTACGCTCATTCGCTCAAACAAAAGGGAAACTGTTCACGCTGTGCCAAGTAATCAACTTGATTACTTATTTTTATGAAATAAATATTATGTAGTTGATAAATTCATACTCATATTTTTGCAAAAAACTTGCCGAAGGGAAAGTAGAAGCTCGCTTGGGGCCAGCGCCTGGTGGAGATTTACGACTCCAGCTCGTAGTGAACGAATCAGCGCGCTGTTTTCTAACGTTTTTCCCTTCTTGCCTTCAAACGAACCCGGGGTTAACGAACCCGCTTATAAGCTGATCATACTTTAATTGACCGTCAATTTCTTGTTAATTAAGCCAATAACTTAATAAGTTATTGACGATAACTAAGAGAGAAGAATATGCCTAACTTTGTAGGAACGGTGAGAGACTTTTTATAAACTCAGTGTATGAAATCAGAATGATTTTTGGGAATGATGTCGAAAAAGTGGCCTTTTTGAAGGTTCTCTGCCGAAGAAGCCCTAACAACATTTCTAAAATTTCAAGCACTGACTTTGTAATTTGATAAAAAATAAAACAAAATTAGTAAAATAAATTTAAGAGCCAAGACACAGAGCAGCACATTCTCCTCATAGAAGAAAGACATGCAATTCAACGAGTCACCTGGATTCTTGATTTGCATGATAACTTCGAAAACACAAGCGGCTCTGGTCCTCCACAGTAGAGTTCTGCTTCATACATACTATGTTCCTACTAGGTAAATTTGAAGATAAAAATTATAACGAAGAGAATTTTAAAGAATAACTCATTGCCCAATACCGACACGAACTTCAGCTCTTTCTTCTTGATTTCATATACACTGTCCTGATTGACATTCCAATTTCTGTATAATTTAATTCAATCAACTTTCTCTAATCTCATTTGTTGTATTTTGAAAAGACATTTTGTACGTTTCTCGGGAAATCGCGACTTTGCAGTCGCGACGATGGTCTTTAAACATTGTCCATTTGTTTCTCAATCTTGATTCAATGCAATGTAAATAGTAATTTTCCCTTTACGATTATGTTTTATTTGCCCAGTCACCAGATCTTTCCTTTTTATGGGGATTTTCATAATGGGACTTCAGTTCGTTATTACGCATAAATATGAATTCATGAGTTAGAACGTGTATTTTTGTTTTCCTACTTTTTCTTTTAGCGGAAATATTCAAAGAGTTGACATTTATTATCTTTGAAATCAAGGAAGAGAAGACTTTTTATCTAGCCGTTGATTCTTCCGTAAATCAGAGAATACGTCACGCAGCATTCTATTAATGAGCATGTTTATATAAAGAAAAGTCCTTTGCTACTCACGTGACCACATAAACGGTCGTTGCATTCCTTGGTCAAGAATTTGGTAGGGCTCGAAGTTCTGGACACTGTTCGCGACAAAATGCTGGACACTTCGGGCTAGAAAAAAAAAACATTAATTAAAAACTTCATAGAGCCCTACCGATCACGAGATCATCGTTAGATTTCTCAGAGTCGCAGACAGAAATGATGTAGTCGCTAATTGAAAGATCATTTTTCACCGATTCATCCCAAATTGCCACGAGTTCCTCAGCCTTTTCGCACTTGTTGTTGTAGTCAAATTCGCCAGCTATCATGCTAAATTTTTGTAAATGCAATCATCATTAGCAAAAATGATTCTCTTACTGGAGATCAAAAAGAATGTGCGTCTTGGCTGGTCGTCTTCTTTGCTGCGTGTAATCATAACTAATTAATTAAACATTTTAGCAGTCGTCTAAGAAACCTGAATTCAATTCCAATAGCTCTGTAGCAGCCCTTAGAATCGCAGCAGTTTCGACCGGCACAATCTGCTTCGCTCAAAGTTGCTTCAGTTGCCGAGTCTTTTTGGCCAATCTTCGCCGTTGAAAATTTCCGGGAAGGATCACTTCCATCTGGGACTTCGTAGACAAGCGTAATAAATATTTTTGACGGGTCAGCTTCAAATTTTTTAAATAAAATAGCTGTTAAAATAGAGACCTAGATTTTGAAAGACATCTTGTCGAATCTGCTCTGCTTTCTCGTCCAAGGTTGATTCATCTCTGAGACTCAAGACTGCCCAGAATTTGAAGTCAGAAACCCAACTTGCATTCGCAAGAGCAAAAATTAATACTAAGCTAAAATTTCTCATTGCATATTTTTTTAATTGAAAAGGCTGATTTTGATGCTCGACAGTTGCTGGTGTTCTCACCGAAAAAACTGCAAAACAGAGTCAGATGAGTAAATATTTTATTATTGAGTAGAATAAATGGCTAGAGAAGATGATAGATCAGTTTTTCGGAGCTCTCCAAGAAATTTAAGCAACGATGGCAGGTTTGAAATTGACTGGGAGTTCTGGATGAATGTTTCGGACGCTCGCGACCAAATCAGCAATCACCTGAATGAAGAGCTTCTTAGTAAACGAAAAGGGTTGAGGAGTATAACCTCTTTCTGCTGCGCAGCAACTCGTTTGTTCATCTCTTCGATTTCCTTTTTCGTTTTCGCGTTGATCAAGCTCTGAAGTTTGTCCGAGCCGCCCATAATTGAAGCTTCGATTTTCTTGAATTCAGCATCTCGGTCGGCCTGGAATTTTTTGATTTCGTCCTTGGCTTCTTCTTTTGCTTGCTTCAATTTTCTTGCTTTTTCTAAAAGATTCTTTCACAAAAAGCTTTTTGAGGCTGAATTCAACCTTTTCTAGCAGCGTCAACCTCCTTTTGAGCAGCTTTTTCTGCTTCCAAAAGTTTCTGAATCCCTTCGCTTTGGCTCGCCATTATTTTTTCTCTTTGATTTCAACTGCGTTTATCTCAAAATCAGAAGGGCAATTATGTGTTTTTCACAGCTTGTTTCACTTTTGCGTAGAATCAATGAATCATTTCCCTTGGGTCAAGCGATCCCAGAAGACGGTCAAAATAAATACTGTCCCCCGATCGATGTTGTCCTGTCTTCGAAGATGGCTAGCATCTAGAATTCTGGTACAAATTACTACCAATTACAATAATGAACAGTCTTCTATGATTTCAATGAAATTCTAGCAGCAAAAAAAGACCAGGAAAATTTATTCATTTTTGCACAGAAAATGCGAGCTATTCTAGCTGAATTATCGGCATTCGGAGCCAAGCCGGTCTATGCCAATCGCTTCTTCTTTCTGCCTTTCTTTGAGACGCAGATTTTATTTCTTCCTCAAGCTGTGACTGCTCCTTGAGAAGTAAATTTGTAAGCTGTTGAAACTCACTTTTTTTAAGTGAATGAACTTACATTTTGCGCGATATTTTGACTCTTCGTTTGAATTTTTCTTGGATGAGGAGTTGCTTTGATCCTCGTTGTTTCCGATGGACTTTCTATTTTCAACGGAGGACCAAATATTTTCCGGACAGGAGTGACTTCGAGCTTTTTCAAATCGACTTCGAGCTGCTTAAAAAAGTTGGTATTAAAATCCATTTCATCTAAGACCACTTACTTTTGGTGTCATTAGTTGGGTCTTGGGTTGAATCTGTTTCGGATTCGGGGTGTTATGACTGTTCGCCGTTATTGATAGTCGTTCTGGAGTTCGAAAAGACGAGTTAGGCGGCTGATCAGGTGACTGGGTCAAATCGATGATGTCTTCTGTTTGAACTTTTGGAGGCTGTGGAGCTGGAGTCATCTTTGCTTCGGTTTTTATAATTTTCGTCCACGAGATAGCATTATTTATAAAAGAAGCTTAACCAATTCCTGAGTTGAAGAATCGACCTTCGTTACGATTTCATTTTCGGGAGTCATTTGGCGAGTATTGACGATTTGTGATAAGCCTGGAGTCATCTGGGTCGCACTCTCCTTCATTTTGACCTGAAACTATTAACTTGCATGTTTTTCCTAGAATAAACCTACCGGGCTTCGCTTCGGAGTAATTTCTTTTTTGATCGATTCATCATCAGAAACTATCGTTTCGTCACTGTCATAGTCTTTCGCCTTGGGCTCTTCCTTCTCCGGCTCTTTCTTTGCTGGCTCTTCCATCTTTGGTTCATTCTTTTCGACACATCCTTTCATGAAATCCTCGTACGCCGACCCAATTTTCCCTTTCTTTTTCTGAAGCGAAGGCAGCAGTTGCATCTTTCTCGTTTTCTCCTGGGCTTCTGCGTTTTTCTGATCCATCAGACTTCGGCGCCACGCAGGTTGGCTGTTTTAGGGGTCAAAACAGTTCCTAAATTTAGCTAGTTTTGGGCTGAGCTAGCTCGGAAACGAGCTCGGATGGCAAAGTGCTTAGTTTTGAGCTAAGTTCGAAAAGTAAGAAAATATTTTTCGAGTCAAAATTTAAACCCAAGCCTTTGGTAATAACTTCGTTTGCCAGTTCTTTGAGGGGCAAAAGGATAGTACGGCTGTGGCTGAAGATTGATAGCTTGAGGAGCAGGCATTTGGGACGGTCCTTGCTGAGAATTTGCGTTCCAAAGCGGCTAAAAATTTTGATAGAGCTGAAAATAGAAGGAAGTTTTACCTGGGAATTGTTTGAGTACTGTGAGAACTGACAGCTCGAACCACTGTGCCTCTGACTGTATTGGTTGTATCTCTGCATCTGATTCTGTGAGCTCTGGTAAGTTTGAGAGTTCTGTGAAGACTGCGAATAATAGTTGTTGTTGTAATTTTGATAATTTGAATTTCTCCTCATTTTGCTCTTTTCTCAAATTCGAACAAATGAGAGATGACAAGCTTGGGCGTCAACGAGGAGTTCTCGCGCAGTTTCGAGCGGAGGTGGCATTTCTCGAAGAAAAATCGAGGAGGTGGCTAACAGACCAACCAGGGCTTCACGAGGGGCTCGAAAACCTTTCCACGTGGAAATTGCCGTATAAAAACGCGTGTACTAAGCACAATCACTCATTCTTAATCGTTGAAAAATACGGAAAAGGACGATGTCTGCTCAGAGCTCTCAAGGAAAGGCGATGAAAACCATAAATGAGGTATAATTAACAATTTTAGCTACACGTTCAATTATTCTAAAAAGTATGAACTAATGATTTTCTTTAGTCAGCCGATGAGCTCCTCCGAAATGCGGAAGACTTCGTGAAAGATGTCGAGACATGGAGGACATACAAGGAGTGCAAAAAGCAGAGCGACGCATTCTGAATGCGGCATTCAACAGATTCATGGAACTAGATGAATCTGATGAAGAATACAAGGAGTTCAAAGAATGGTTGGCAAATCAATCTCCTCAACCAGCTGCTTCCTCTCAGCCAGCTTCTTCATCCCCAGCCGAGGTAAAATATTTTTCCGTCCATTATTTAACTCTTTTCTTTAGCAACACGAGGAAAAATGCGAGGAATTCGAAAAATTCCAGAGATTCCAAGGATGAAAAGAATTCTTGAATGAGTTCGAGGAATTCTGTGAATTTAAAAAGGTCGAAGAAGACTACAAGGAATTCCAAGATTTCAAGGATTGGCTAGAATCAGAGGAATCTTCCCAACAAGCCTCGTCTTCTCAACCATCTTCATCCGAAGTCGAGGTAAAATTCTTTTCTTTCTTTATGGAAATTTAATGCTTCATTTTAGCCGGAAGCTGAGGTCGACAAGAAGAATGCTCAGAATTGAATATTTCTGCCTTTATCTCAGATAACAGTTACTGTATCCGTGATTCTGTAAGGGGGATATTTTTAAAAAATAAAGCAGCATATCTTTAATTTCGCTGTTGATTAATTAAAAACTCCAATTTGCAATGAAAATATCGATTCACTGAATAAAGGGTTGACGAAATTTCCAAAATTTCAATCGCGCCGCATTTTCAAGTTTAGCGTGAGTTGAGCGCCGCTGGGCTCAGAAATTGAGCGCCATTGGCTAATTTTGCGCCTTTTTCATTTTTTTCTTCGTCTTTGAACCCAGACGTCGTGACTCATTCTTCTCGACTCACGGGTTCGAAAAATTATCTTCTGCTCCTTTTGATCGAGAGAAAAGAAAATTGAAAAAAGCATCAAAGAAAAAAGAGGGATGAAAACGGAGAATACATACAAGCCGATTATAAAAGCACGCGGTAGTCATGGTATGTACTGTCTCTGTCTGTATATAAGTGGAGGGCGAAGCAAATAGATTTTTGAAATTTTGGAAATTGGAATTTTGAGGCTTTTATTGATTTTTTTCGCGAAGGAGTAATTAAATTTAGGAAAGAAAAAGAGAAAAAGAAATAAAAAGGGTAAGAAAAATGTGCGAAATTTAAAATTTTTCAAATTTGGATGTCTTTCAAAATAATTTAATTTTGAAAATTACTTGTTCTGATTTTTGCATGTTTCCGATTCTTCGCCTCAAATCGCCTTTGAAGCGAGTTTTTTTTCGCTACAAATTCATTTTGAGGCGAAGATTCGCTTCGTCCTTTTTGTGGTTTGCTTTGCAACAAAACCTATTTGCAGCAAACTAAGGGGGTCAAGCGTAAAAAACATCGAAAAAGGGACCGTCTGGAAATCAGCGATTTCTAGACCACTGGCCAAAATACCGTAGCTACCTCTTGTCTGAGTTTCATTCTTTTTCAAGGTCATTAAATTATTTCCCCGTCACTTTTTGTTGTTCATTTTTCGCGATGAAAATTGCTGATAAGGGGAGCGATAAGAATCAGTTCCATAAAATGACACATTTGGGGAATGGCGACGGAGTTGTATTTCACGGTATTGTAAACAAAAGTCGCCTCACCTTGCGTTTGCGTAATTTTGCGATTTCACCATTTTTCGCAATTTTGAAAAATTTAAATTCATTTCTAGCGAAAGAAAAACGCTGGGACTCGAAGAGCGAACTGATGGGAAAAGAAAGAGTGAAGAGAGACAGAGAAGAAAGAGAGAATTTGGTGCTTTGGAAGGCGCCCGTTCAGACGATCACGAATTTTATTGCTGAAGTGTTCAGTATTTTATGTAAGTTTTAAAGAGAAATGAGCATGCTACACGCAGCACTCTCGATTCTTACTTACTTTTTTAGTAAACTTTCTTCAAAATCTTCAACGAAACTACCTCAAATGTCTTCTAGTCTTGTCAATTTGTGCCTTATTTGTAAGTAATTGCTGTTTGTGAATTGAAAGTATTGTCTTTTTTAGTCATTTGTGTATAAAAACGAAGGTCCAGATGGATTTTTGCATTATTACGAAAAGCCATTTCTTTGGGGCTTGTGGTGGGTCTGGCTTGGTGTTTTGTCTTCTGTCGGTCTTGGAACTGGCCTTCATACTTTCCTGCTTTTTCTCGGTTAAAAGTCGCAAACATGTATGCCTAGAAACAATTATTTTTAGGTCCTTTCATTGCAAAAGTCACGCTGGAGGCTTACAACTGCGGATCTACTGATTTCGTCGAGTCAGAATATCCCGAAAAGCTTATTTGTCAAGAAGGGGCTACTCCAGGTAAGGAGTTTAGATTCTGAGATATTTGTAAAAGTATATTTGACAATGAGAGGAACGCGTATTTTTGTCTGTTGATGGAGATTTAGAACATCATTTTAAATTTGGCGATCCGAAGGAATACTGACTCGATTTATATTTTGCTATTGAGTAAAATAGCGCCAAATATCACCTGTTTCTTGGCCCCGTTACTATAAAATTATCTTCCTTATCGCCGATAAGTTATCGGCCTTATCGCGCGCTGCAACAATCTGTTATTAATAGAGTATCTAAAGTAGTGACCGGAAAATTACCGAACTTATTTCTTTCTGAATTTGAAATAAAACGCTTTTTAGGACACGTCTCGATTTTGGATATAATGGCAAAAGTGCGTTTCCCCGCGTTCTGCTGGGGCGCTGGAACTGCTCTTGGAGAACTGCCGCCTTACTTCATGGCTAGAACCGCCCGTCTCACTGGAGAAAAGGACGAAGATGACGAGGATCTCGAAGAATTTGAAGAGATCATGAAGCAAAAAGACGCCAAAGGTACCGTTACTGCCCGATAATTGGGATCTCTTGACGCTCTATTCAGCCGATTTGGATATGATGACTCGAGGAAAGATTTTCATGCATGATCTCGTCCAAAAAGTCGGCTTTTTCGGCATCTTGGCCGCTGCTTCCATCCCCAACCCTCTTTTCGACCTCGCTGGAATCACCTGTGGCCACTTTTTGGTCCCTTTTTGGACATTTTTCGGCGCTACGTTGATCGGAAAAGCAATCATCAAGATGCACATTCAAAAAGTCTTCATCATCTTCGTCTTTTCTGAACAATACGTTCTCGCCTTCCTCTCTTTCATCAAGGTAAAACTGCTTTTCTAGCGCTGGAATTCATGCTTGTTTAGGTTCTTCCAGGCTTCGGGCCATCTTTGTACAATTTCTTGGAGGAAATGATCAAGAAACAGCGAGCGAAACTCCAAACTGGACAATCTTCCGAAGAAGGCGGGAATCCTATCGGAAAGATTTTCGAGTACTTCGTCTTCGGTAAGCCTTTTTCGCTTATCTTAGCGCTCAGTAGAACCTTCAATTGGGTCTGAAAGTAGGGGTTGCCTTTAGCTCTATCGACTTCATGGTTTTGCGGCACTAACGCTGAATTCTAGTGATGGTGGCCTACTTCGTCGTGACAATCATCAACTCCTTGGCCCAAAGTCGTCTTGCTCGATCTCAAAAAGCCAAGCGTGACTGCAACAAAAACGACTAACTTTCTATCTTCACTTCAGCTGCTTCTTCTTTATATTCTGTATTATAGATACCTACTATTCTAGCGTTTCAAGTTCCATCTCGTGTTGAATACAAACATTGACCTATTTTTCATATCAGCGTTCTTCTTTTCAAAAAAGCCTTTTGTTTGCCATTGAAAAATAAAAAAAAGTACAGGTCTTCTATCACAACAAGAATCACTGTAAAGTAATCGCACAGTGTATTTTTACCTACAGTTTTCTGTCGAGTTTTCCTTGTGAGTTATGATTTGAAATTTTTCTTTCGCAATTTTAAATTTTTGAACTGTTAACTGGAAAAATATATTGAAAGAACAAGTAGAGCCGCCTAAGTTTCTTCCGACAGGAGTTGGCTCCTGGAGCGCTAGAAATTTGTTGCCAATGATGGTTGATGTTATAGATGCAGGTTTCGAAATGCTGGACGTTACGGTAGAGACAAAGCTAGAACACGACCAAATAGGTATTCATAAACTCAAGCGTTGTTGATCGAGCAATTTCGCGTTCAGATGTCTCCTGGGAGTGGAAGGGTGATGGATGCGCCCCGACTGGCTATTTGATAAAATGGGCGGATCGGGAGGAGCAGCTTGCGGCTGATAAGAGAAGATATCAACTGCCCATCGAGGACCAGACAGCGCTCGTGGTCACACTCCAGACCATGGGCGAGTCAAGGTGAGTTCTAAATTTAGCCCTTTCTCTCTGTGGCCTAGTTACTGTCGGTTTCACATGATAAGCCATCGATTTCTCCTGCTAGAAAGACCAACACACCCGTAAATTCTCGATTCAGCGTCGAATACAACTCCTTTGTCAACATCCGCGGCCCCAAATTAGACAAGGCGAAAGAAGAAGCAATGACACTTATCATGGTAAAACGCTCCCACGAGCTTTTTGAATGCTTATCAGAACAACCTAACACAACCTACAGCGACGAAAAGCTGAGCTGCTAAGGGACATCGCCCGCGTTCGCCGAGATTTGGAAGAAAACGCCAGAGAAGTCGCCTTTTTTACCGACCCAGAGAGATTCAAGGAGCGCTCCGAGCAGAACAAATCCAGGTACATCCTTCAAAAATAGCCACAAGACTGGAAATCCCGATTTAGAGAGCTCAAAACAGCTGTACGAAAGTTCAACCAAAAGCCAAAACGTGGCCTTGAGCAGTTCATCCAGCACAATTACGTGGATGAATCACCAAAATCAATCACAAAATTCCTTCTCAACCAAAAAGGACTTTCCAAATCCGCCATTGGCGAGTTGCTCGGCGAGCCGGATCAAAAATATCTTGATATTCTCGGTACTTCGTTTCTAGTGCATTATTATGTAACAAAATTGAAAAGAGCAATTTGTCGTGGCGATTGATTTCACTGGATTAGATCTTGTTGAAGCTCTGAGAAGATATCTATCGAAATTCAAGCTTCCTGGAGAAGCTCAGAAGATCGACAGGATTATTGAGACTTTTTCTAAAGGGTAAGTCCTTATTTGACATCTCTGTGTATCTAGATGCGCATTAATGTCTATGGATACCTTTAGATGTTTCTGAACACCTCTAAATTTCCCATAATATCTCATTTCTAAGAGGCCCCCTTTTTAGATACACAAATTGCAACCCCACCGTCTTTTCTTCATCGGACACCTGTTACGTCATTGCCTTTTCTATCATTCTGCTAAATACCTCGCTACACAACCCCAATGTCAAAGAAAAACCGACCGAAGACCGTTTCATTCGAATGTGCGCCGGAATCGATGGCGGAAACGATCTTCCCGCATCACAATTAGGAAGTTACTTCAAAAGTATAAACAAGAATCCCTTCAAACTGCCGGAGGAAGAAGATCAAGCCTTTGGTAAGTCATCAGAGCTCGTTTAAAAGTGCTAAAATGAGTGTAGCTAATGTCTTGTACAATCCGGACAAAGAGGGTTTTCTCTACAAACTTGGAGGAAAGATAAAGGGATGGAAGCGGCGCTGGATTGTGCTTACGGAAAAGGTTTGCTCAAAAAACCTGTTTTAAGGGGGTAGACAACGATATTTCAGACGCTGTATTACTTCGAAGAAGCAAAAGATCGAGAGCCAAAAGGCATCATTCCTTTGAACAACGTCCAAGTCCGCAAGTGCGACGAAAAAGGCAGGAACTTCTGCTTCGAGCTGTACAAAGAGCAAGAACTTCCAATGATGACTATCAAGGTACTTTTTAAAAAGTGCTTTTGATTGATTTATTCTCGATTCTAGGACGTGAAAATCAATCCAGACGGAAAAGTAATCGATGGAAATCTTGGTACGAAGAGTCCTATTATCCGCTTTTCCGCGCCGACAGAAGACGATCTCGACGACTGGGTTTCTACCATCAAAAAGTAAGGAGAAAGAGTTGTGTTCATGTCTTACGGACCCAATTTCAGATGTTTGGGACGAGATCCGATGTACGACCTAATTGCGGATCGCCGCCGCCGCGCAGGTTCTATACGACAGCCGAACGCAATAAATCAAGCCAAATCAACCGATATTCCTTCAACGAAAAATTAGAATAGTTCCTCTATGAATCGATAATACCATGGTCCTCGTTTTGTTTTCCTCGCTTGATGAGAGCAGCTCCTTATCAACGAAAAATTATACATGTGTATTTTTTCATATTTTTCTCTTCCCTTCTCTTCCAACTCCCTCGACAAATCCACCAACTTCTGTAAATACGAATCAAAGTGCAAAAAAGAAATTACCTTTCTACTTTCGTTCGAAAAAATATGGTTCCAGATCATTATTTCCCCATTTTTAACTCTCTCTATTAGATCTCTATGATTCGGACAGGGAAGCTACTTCAACGCCAGAGTGTCCTCCAACTGGTCAGACCAAAATTGGAGCAAAAGAATGAAGTGGCAGACATCACCGAGGCGATTGCTGGACGAGAAGACAGGAAGCTTTTTGCGCCAGAGTACATCTCCCCAGAGCGGCAAGCGCCACACTCACTTTGGAAACGATTAGTGAGGCAAGATTGCTTGAGGAGGAGAAATGTTATTGAGATTCCTGAGTTTTATGTCGGCAGTCTTTTGAGGTTGGTGATCAGATATTTTTTGTCAAACTAATGCGAAGTTTAGAGTCACCTACACGGATAAATACGCTCAAGACAAAAGCACGGTCTTCGCCGGCCGAGTCATTTTTCTCCACGGATTTGGAACGAATCACAAAGTCTTGCTAAGAAATTTTGTTAATGGAACTATGGTCAATTTAAAGGTGCTTATCCTCTCGATATTATTCGCTAAAAAGGGTTAAGATCGATTTATATTCGCCGATAATTCAAAAGATAGAAGTACTGCGGCTTGAAAAATGGAAGGACAGCAATCTTCAGTACCTTAAACTATGCGATCCTGCTTACTGCACCGTCCCGCTGGATATGATGCCCGAGCCGCCAACACCACTCAATCAGGAGCTCAAATACTTCGAAGGAAAAGTTATGTTCAAGAGACCCACACAAATGCCAGAACCACCCGTGACGCAGCAAGAGATGGTTGATGATCCCATCGGTACTGATGTAAGTATGCTCGATTGTACCTTGAGTTAATTCCATTTCTTCAGGGGAAGCATTTCAATGGCCATTGGCAAAACATCCACTATGGAGACAAGCGAATTTCTTTGAAACAAAACCAGAAGTGGCCGCAGTACCAGAATCTATTCGCAGATGAGTTTACGATCAAAGAAGATGACATTTACGCGCAATATCGTCACCGTCTCGCCAACTGGGCAAAAGTCACTAGGAACCATTTAATTGCCTTTTTCATCAATCCATTCAGTACGATATCATGCGACATCACAACTTTGTCGACGAGAAAGAAAATGTCATAAAAGAAATGTCACGGAATAAGAAAATCCTCGAGAAAAAGACTCGAGCTGTAGGAAGGCCGAAGGTCGATTATTCCAAAATTTCAAAAGTCTGGATCGAAGACTATAATTTAAAAACCTGCGAACCAAAATAGAGTTCACTGAAATCATCACCTTTGATTAAAAGCTGTTATTTAGATTGAAAATTTTGGCGTTGGGCTACGAGTCTACGACCGTCTAAATTTTTAGGTTGATTAGGGCCGTGTACGAGAGTATTTACTGTACCAAGATACAGTTATCGAATCGCACACGAGTTTTAGCATTTAAATTACCACCTTATTTGGCCTCTAAATTCTTCCAAATTATGTCCCTTGCATCCAACGGTGTCCAAAAGTAAGTTTACTCAATCAACATGCATCTGACTGTGCGTTTTGCAGTCCCGAGGGATTGAAAATTGAGTCAAAAGAAAACGGATTTGATGAGAACGGTGACAGGGATCAGTACAACAAGCTTCTCGACTTAGGACTCGTCGAACAAGTTGCCCAAAAGCTTGATGCCATCTACCAGGAAGGTACGTATCAACAAACCCGATTAACGCATGAACGCACGAAATATTTTTCCTGCTGAACGCATATTGCGCAGATTTCCGCGCAGCACCTTTGGAGCGCTCTAGCGACGATTGTGGTCGAGATTTGAAAAAACAAAACATATCAAAATGAAGCCCAGACTCTTGCAAACAAGTTTATTATTGTTTATAATCTTAACCCTAACCCTAAGCTCGCTGAAACAAGTAATTTCAAGTATTACCTAAAAAATGCCATTTTCTCAAGTTTTATCGATTGTTATACAAAAGAAGGTATTATTTTAACTATAAATCGTCATTCTAATTCATCTAAGAGATTTATTATTAGTAAAATTGTTAGGTCGAGAAGTAGCCGTTAGATCTGATAAGGATCGAGGCGCCACGTTCCTATTCTGCACTGCTTCAGTCCGTATTCTACCAACCTTGAATACACAACAAAAACCAACTACCACTTTTCGTGTCGTTTATCTAGACCTATTCTACAGTAGAGAAGCAGGGCAAGACCTCGTGAAATAGAAGGCATTTCCGACCTATCAACTGGTGACGTACGAGCGCTCATTTTGCTTCTACGGACTACAACTACGAACTACTCATCTTACAGATAAGTAACACGACCTCATCGCCTGGCAAACCACTCGGCCACACGCGACCTAGGGAGAATTCTTGACTTCTTGGACCGCCGAATCTTCTGGTGCTTCTTCCGCCGCCGCAGATCGTTGAACTTCAGCTGCAAGTGACCTGAATTTGCTCATCAAAAACCCCTAAAAGCAGTTATATAGCTCACCAAGCTTATAACTCGGGGTCACCGCAGGTACACTTCGTTCTCTCTCCGATTCTGCCGCCAAGTTTAGCACGCAGTTTGCATCTTCATCGGCCCAGCTCTTGAATTCGACGACTTGTGACGCTCTCTGGATCGTTGACCTGCATTGCTCATCAAACACCCCTAGAAAGGATTTAAGTTAATTCCAGAAACTTAAATCTGGGGTCAACGCAGGTACAAACGCCAACTTACAGTCGACTCGGTTTGAACTTTCAGCGCCAGATCGACGATTGTCCGTTACAGCCGCCGCCGTTCGATCGAAGCCGTTCGAGCAATCTCCTCCGCGCGATCGCAACGCTCTCCCGCCCAACCGAACTCAAACTTCTTGGAAACCGCAACTTCACCCGTGAAGATGGCGCCGCCGACGCATCTTTTGTACATGCCCGCCGACGACATCGAAACGGCCAGCCGCGCCAATCTACAAAAATGGAGTAACACTCTGATGGATTTCGTCGTGACTAACCTGAACGACTCTGACCAGAAGGACAATGTTCAGCTAGCCGCGGCCCAGCAGAAGCTCATGGTTGCCCAGCTTGGCAAAGCGCCCGTGAAGTCGACCACATCCAGCATCACTCCCAGTCATCTTGTCGAAATTCGACAGGCCTTCGAGCTTGAGAAGGAAACGGATCTCTCCGACGCCGATGAGGTTGAGGTCTGGATTCGTAAGATCCGTCAAGCCAAGGCTGATTTCGTGGATCATCTCTCCAAGGCTCAACAGCCAGAAGCCGAAGCTCTTCTCGCCAGAACTGCGCGCAAGTACTTCTCCAACGAAGTCCGCCAGTCCTTTTCCCGCCAGAACCTTCCGTTGTCGACTGTTGACCAGTTGGTGGAGGCCATGGAATCGATGTACTCTTCGAAACGCAGCATCTTCCAACACCTGAAACGTACTCATGATGTCAAGTACACAAAAAGCAAAGGCCTTCAGGCTTACATCAGCGAACTTACCGAGGCACAGCGACAAGCTTTCCGCCAGGTTGAGCGATTGAAGCTTCGAGTTGCCAAGCCTGATGTGACAATCATCGATGAAGCCACAGCTGACTACACCACGAGTACCGACAGCGCTGTTAAGATGGAAGCTGGCTTGAAGAGACCTGAAAACTACGTCTGTAAATGTGCTGTAAAGGCGCACGAGTTTTCAGACTTGACTGCTGCATGTCTGGCTTACCTGAAGATCTCCGAGTTGTTTCCTGCTGTCGCACTCAAGCTCTGCGACCAAATCGACGATTGTAGAACTGCACAAGATGTCTACAACAAGGCGAAACTCCTGATCGACCGCCTTCCTTCCAACATGACCAGCGAAGACGCAGCCGCCTTCGGTGTCAAAAACGGCACTTGGAACAAGAAAAGTTCCAAAGATGGTCAAACCGAGAAGAAAAAGCCGTCGCTTGAGGCCACCTTGCAGTCCATTTGTGATCGTCTCTCCAATCTCGAGGGAAAGAATCCAGCTCCGAAATCTGACGACGCTGATTCCAAGAACAAAAAGAAGCAAGGACGAAAGAACAAGACCACCAATGCTCGAGCAGCTGAAACTGAAGCAGCTCCAGCATCTCTTGCTCCCCAGTCCAACCATTTTCGGCTCTCAGATCAGGAGTAATGCCGTGCGCACCTGATCTGAGCGATTCCTTTTGCGCACACTCCAGCTTCCACCGCCCATCACTTCCATGGTTCGTAAACTTCAAGCTCACGCTCGGTGGGTCAACTTTTGCGGTCAAAGATGGTATCATCGACAACGGATCAGACGACCTTCTGATCCCGAAGCGGCTCATCCCAGCTGATCTTCTGGACAACTTGGATGACTGCGACTACACCATCAACGGAGTGAACGGAGCCAGACAGGCTTTAGGGCAGTTCGTTTCTGCAGTGGACATCGACGGCGCTATCTTCAAGAACATCAGGGTCATCGTCACAGACCATGAAGCTACTCCCGCTCTCATCGGACGCACTGTGATCGATCATCCCTCAAATGTCTCTTTTGGACGGACGGGTACAGAAATCATCGTCCAACGCCGCCTTGCCCCTGGTGACCCGATCTTCACTGAAAAGTTCAAGATCAACGGCTACCACAGCGACCCTTGGAATGTGGCGCAAGAAACTACAAAAGCTCACCTCAGCAGTCGACCAGCTCGGCACGTGATTGAGGTAATGAGCTCCGGTGCTCACAACTCCGCTGGTGATGCCAAAAGCAGCCCATCAGTCGAGCAGATGAGTTCCAGCCCTAGAAAAAGTACTGTAAGTACTGTACAACCGTCAAGTCGTGACAAACCTGATATAAACGCGAGCACAACTGAACTTCTTGATTGGCTTGAGACGAAGAAGAATCTGAAGCTCCCCAGGGATCACCAAAATGCTGAAGAACTTCGAACCGCTGCGCTGCTGATGGTCGAGTTCGACGACGTCTTCGGTGGTGATAACGAGCCCCTCGGCGAGTTTTGCAAGCCGGTACGCATCCCGACTACTGGAAAGTCCGCCAGCCGCAAGCAACACCAGATTCCGTACAAGAACCAAGAAGCGGTCGATGCTGAAGTCGATCGTATGGAACGTATCACCGCCATCGAGCCATGCAAGAATCCTCAGGGCTTCAATACGCCACTCCACTGCGTGGACAAGAAGGACGGAAGCCCCAGAGTTGTCGCCAACTTTAAGAACACCTTAAATTTGGTGTTGAAGGATCCTGACCCGTACACGATGCCAAACCTGCGCGAAATCTTCAACGAAGTCCGCCCAGGGATGATGTACATGGCGTCCGTGGATTACCGCTCAGGCTACTGGCAGATCCCGATCGACAAGCGCGACAGGCACAAGACGGCTTTTACCTGGAGAGGGAAGACCTGGCAATATACGCGATTGCCATTTGGCCTGTCGTGTGCAGGTCAAATCTTCAGCAGATGCGTCGGAGAAGCTCTGGAGACCATCACCAACCGCGACGGCATCTATGTTTACATAGATGATGTTCTCATAGCGACTCCTACCTTTGGCGCGTATGTACAGCGACTTCGAAGCCTGTTTGAAGCATCGAGGCAGTTCGGACTTCGACTTCATCCCGGCAAGTGCAATTTCTTGGCGAAATCCTGCAAGTTTCTCGGGCGTGTCTTGAGCCCAGAAGGAATGAGCGTCGACCCAGATCACGCTTCAGGAGTTGACTCCCTTGCACCACCAACTTCAAGATCAGAACTGCGTACACTGCTCGGTCGATTGACGTTCATCCGCGAATTTCTGGAGACGCGCCTGTATGAGCGAATCGACACTAGTTGTTTCAGCCAGCTAGTCCACGAGTTGAACAAGCTGAATCGTGACGGCGATTTCTACTGGCCGCCTGAAGCCCAAGCTGCATTTGAGCGAGTGAAGAAACGGCTCAAGTCCAGTCCCATGATCTCATATCCTGACCCAACGCGCGATTTTCTACTCGTCACCGACGCTTCGGAAGTTGCAGTTGGAGCTGTGCTGATGCAGCTCGTAGATGGAAAGGACAAGATCGTCGGTGTTGCTTCCAGGACCTTCACTGCAGTAGAAACCCGTTGGAGCACGACTGAGAGGGAGGCCTACGGGATCCTTTTTGGCGTTCGGCGATTCGACTATTTCCTCCGTGGCCGGCCTTTCGTGGTCAAATGCGATCACGCCGCCTTGCAGTATATTGACAGCGTCGACCACAAAAACGCCAAGCTGAGCCGTTGGATGGACGAGCTCTCCAGCTACCGCTTTTGTGTTGAATACATCCCCGGCGAGCAGAATGTTTGGGCAGATATGTACAGTCGTCCATTTGGCATCAAGAAGCCTGTGCATTCGGACATTCACACTCCAGCCGGAAAATTTGTAGACTTCGAGAATGGTCTACGTGCCTACATTCCATCTTGGTCCATGAAGGATCAGGTGCCAGCGCCAGTAGGTACATCGAAAAACCTCCTTCGTGAAGGGATCACCAGAGCTTTGATCGCCAGCAAGGACGAATTCATCCTCACCGATGCAGCAGAGGGCTATCTCCAACTCGCGTCCGATCAGCGCGCAGATTCAAGCATCGGGCCCCTGATTTCAGCTCTTGGCAAGTTCCAGAAAGATCCAACCGCAATTCGACTCGACCGGAATGACCACAATTACGATGTGTTCCGAGTGAATTGGCCCTACTTCCGGATCTGCAAGCGGACTGATCTTCTTCTTCACGTCAAAGACGGCAAATATCGCCAAGTTCTAACGCCAGAGCATGCGATCCGTCTCCTCCGAAATTCTCATGACGATTGTGCTCATCCAGGTACTAGTCGGGTTGCTGATTCGCTGCAATCATACTGGTGGCCAGCGATGGAAGAGGACATTCGCAACTACGTCGCATCATGCTTGATTTGTGCCAAGAAGAAGGGAAATCAAGGTCATCCGTCGTCGCCGAATATTGGTCACTGCAGACGCGGCGAGCGGCCATTTCAGGTGATCTTCATCGATTTCACCGTCTTCGACAAGGTCAATGGCAAGAAATTCTGCTGCACGATCCTTGACAGCTTCACCAAGTTCTTCATTGCCAAGCCTGTTCCGGGCGAGAGGGCAATCGACGCTGCCAGGACGATAGTAGAAGAAGTAGTGCTTCGACATCATGTGATTCCCAGTATTGTGTCTTCCGATCGTGGAACTGCGTTCATTTCTGCGACGATGGGGGAACTTTACAAGCAGCTCGGAATCGTGGCGGAGAAGCATACCGCTTTTCGACCCCAAGGTACAGGAAATCTCGAACGACAGCACCGCACTTTCAAGTCGATGATTTTCATGCTCGAGCACGAGCGGCACATGAACTGGATTGACGCTGCTCCATACGCCGTGGCATTTATGAACAGCCACAAGAACAGCAGCACTGGTCAGGCTCCACACACGCTGGTAACTGGTCGCCGATCACGTCTAACAATTCAGGCCACCATCCACGACAGAGATGTCAGCGCCGATTCGCCTTCCAAGTACGGCTCCATCGTCCGTGAGCGCTTGGAATTTCTCCACGATGTCGCCAAGATCGCCAACAAAAGCGCTGATCTTGAAATGGAGAAAAAGCTGGACAAGGCTCATCGCGCGCGCCCACTTCGCAAAGGAGACCAGGTGACTCTGTACCGACCTGTCTCCAAAGCCGCAAAGACCAACGGTTACGACTGGATTGGCCCGTTCACGGTCATCACTGCATCTGAAAAGGTCGTGAAAATCAGATGTAACAACGACAAAAATAGTGTTGACTGGGTGCACAGGGCACATCTACGCTACGTACCTGAGCGATTTGTGCATCTTCGAAATTCTGAGCTGATGCGCGAGCTCGATCTTCTTGAAACTTCAGCTGATCCGCTCATCTCGCCAGAAAATCGACCGGAGAATGCATCTGGAAGTTATCCTGTAGCTCCTGACGCGCTTCCAAAAGTTGGGAGGCCGGCTAAGGAAAATTTAACTTCTGGAAATTCGCGGAAATCTCCTGGACCTACCTCAAAACTACGAAGAACTCAACCAGCTTCGACAACTTCTTCATCAGACCCAAGTTCTGCAGCTTCGACTTCTCTACCAGCTCTTCCGGCGATCGATTCTTCGTCAAGTTCTCTAGCTCCAGCTTCGACGACGTTTGCGCCCGATCCCCGACTCGTTGACCTCTTCTCTAAACTAGAATTGCGTCAAATGAGGAAAAGCAAGAGACAGAAGAAGAAGCCAGAAAAGTTGTCTCTCGATCCGAAGAAGAAAACTTACGCTGCTGATCGCTGATTGGCCGACGCGCGATGATTGACTCATCGGATTCTTCGCTCGACTTTCTGGGTAAAAGTTCTCACCCACTGGACTGCTCTGCTATTAGACCGCCGCTGCTGCTTTCCCTTCTGCCGCGTCGTTTTCCCTTCTGGACTGCTGCGCGACTCTCCTTTTCAACTCGACTGCTTTTGGATCTATCATCTCAACTCTACTTCCTTCAAGAGAAATCCACTACCGTCACTACGCTAGAAGATTTAGAGGGCTGTTAGGTCGAGAAGTAGCCGTTAGATCTGATAAGGATCGAGGCGCCACGTTCCTATTCTGCACTGCTTCAGTCCGTATTCTACCAACCTTGAATACACAACAAAAACCAACTACCACTTTTCGTGTCGTTTATCTAGACCTATTCTACAGTAGAGAAGCAGGGCAAGACCTCGTGAAATAGAAGGCATTTCCGACCTATCAAAAATAAAATTTAACCATGTTAAATTAGCAGATTTCGTCAAAAGAAATCAGTTTATAAGGAAAATTTCGAGGATTTGGGCGGGACGGAAATTTTCACTCTGAAGCCAAATTTTTAACCCGAGGACAAAAAAATTTTTTGATGATGGATTCGGATTCCTCATCGAAAAAGACCCCGAAAAGTGGGGGTTCATTCTAAATTTTGATGAAGTAGAGTTTGAGTTATCGAGCTTCGAAGGTGCTCTGCGCAGAAATCTGCGCAATATGCGTTCAAGCGTTAAGAAGTATTATTCAATAATCTCCTACAAATTCTCGTGAATACACATGAAATTCCCATAATCAAATTAATGTACCACCCGAAAAATATCCTGTTTTCTTTCTTCTGAAATATCAGTATGATTCAGCCGCATCTCAAAATTATCATGAATTGTGTGAAAATATCTCCCGATCTATATAAAGCCCTCATTTTTACTCATTTTCTAAAAAGAAAGATTTTCGTTTTGAGATGAATTATTACCCCTATTTGACAACCAACATGTCCTACCCACAATTGATCCCAACCTATTGCAATATCACTGATAGCATCGTCTACACCACTCCTGCCCCAGCTAACAATCCAAATCCAGGACTTGTGAAGCACGAAGAACTCGACGATCGCGCCTTTGACGCATTGAAAGAGTTCGAATGTGAAGGAGCCTGCGCCGTGCTGCAGCAATTCAAGGATTCCAACCTGTCCCATGTCCAAAACAAAAGTGCCTTCCTCTGCGGAGTGATGAAGACTTATCGACAGGTAAGATTATTGCTCACTTACGACTTTGATTTCTAACTTGATTTGCTCACTTTAAATCTGCTTGATTTTAACGGCCGTTCTCTTCCTTGATTTCAAATCAAATTCAAATAATCAAAAGTAAGGGGGTAGAAGGCAAAGTTCAACTCCCTTATAATACACAACCATAAATCCTAATGAGATGAACCGATAATCAATAACCAGAAAACGCGCTCTTGAAGTCTAGGTTGAAAGTTTTCATTCTACCCTAGCGCCAGAAGGCGATTGCCGAGGGTCGCCTCCAACCAACACCTCATGGGCACCCCGATGAAGCAAAAATCAAGGAGCTACTCAACCGCACCAAGTACAACCTTGACGTCACCACCGGCCAGCGCAAGTACGGCGGCCCCCCACCCAAGACTGTTTCTGATAAAGAGCAGCCCGCCGTCGGCGCTGAAGTGTTTATCGGCAAAATTCCTCGAGATATGTTTGAGGGTAAGTTCTCGTCAATCCCTTTTCTTGCTGAATCAATCTTCAGATGAGCTTGTCCCCCTTTTTGAAAAATGCGGCCTCATCTGGGACTTCCGACTCATGATGGACCCAATGACTGGCCAAAACCGTGGCTACGCTTTCCTAAGGTGAGTGTACTCTCCCTCTATTTCAATCGATCATTATTTCAATATAGCTTTGTTGAACTGTCCGCTGCGCGGAAGTGTGTCGAAATGTACGACAGATTCGAAATCCGCAACAAGCGCGAGCTTCATGTGACTATCTCCCAGCCCAACAATCGCCTCTTCGTCGGATCGATCCCAAAAACAAAGACTAAGCGTAAGCCCACCTTCTTTACCCACTCCCTTATTCGCTTTTCAGAGGAGATTCTCGACGAGTTCTCCAAGCACACGAACGGATTGACAGACGTTATTCTGTATTATCAAGTTGAAGAAAAAAACAAGGGTTCTGGTCTCCAGAAGAACCGCGGATTCTGCTTCTTAGAATATGAAACCCATCAAGCTGCCTCACAAGCCCGACGAAGGCTTCTTTCCGGTAGGACTTACCACAATCCGAAAAAAACTAATGCTAGCGTTAAGAACATCAGCTTTTTAATTAAATATATGATTTAGATAAATTAAATTAATTATATATGCTTGTAGAATATTATAGTCTAAGGTATGTGCTGCAAACATTTGCACGAATATTGCACGAATTCAACTATACCATTGTACAATTGTTTTCTTTGACCTCAACCATATTCTAGGTCGCGTCAAGGCCTGGAACAACCTCATTGTCACTGTCGACTGGGCTGACCCTATCAACTCTCCAGGCGATGATATCATGGATAAAGTTAAAGGTAGCAGCATCGTTTCTTTCATCCAAGTTTACCTTTGATTTCAGTTTTATACGTCAAGAATTTGGCTTCAATGGTCAGTGAAGATCTCGTCACCCAAACCTTTGCGGCCTTTGGCGATATTGAAAAAGTCAAAAAGCTGAAAGGTGGGAGTTGGGGTAAGCAAACTTTTGTGACAATAAACAAAATGGTGATATAAAAGGCCGTGATTATATCCGAGTAATCCGTTTGGTGATTTAAATCTGCATGTATTTATATAAGTTTGTGATTTGGGGGAACATTAGTTGCTAAAACCGATTGTTTGACTGTTCTTTTTAAGATTACGCATTTGTCCACTTCAAGAACCGTGATGAAGCTCGCCGTGCGATGTCTGAACTCAACGGACTCAACTTGGAAGGTCAATGCATCGAGATTTGCCTCGCCAAACCACAGGACAAGAAACTCAAGGAAAAGAAACTCGAGCGTCAGATGCAGAAGCAGATGGCCATGTCAGGTTAGCGTCCCTCTTCTTCAATGTTTTATAAGAACCGATAATTTCATCAGATGAAGGTCGTTTTAACGACTGTCCTCTTCCTTGATGTCAATCGATCGAGTTGATACTGTCAGTTGATTAGGTTATATCAATATTTAATATCAGTTAATTTCCTCGATAGTTTATCTAGTCGATTAATCACTGTTTCAGGCGGTTTTGGCTTCGGAAAAGGGCAGGGAATGATGCCTGGCATGCCTCGCTTCCCAGGCCATCCGCCATCGTGGATGAACGGAACTGGATACCCGTACGGTGGACCTGGAGGCTACAGTGGCGGCCCGAGCAATGGATACGGAAATGGTGGAAACGATCAAGCGTGGAATGGCTACTCTGGTTACGCTGGCGGATACGGTGCTCCTATGGAGGTGACACAAGTTTATCTGGCCGTAAGGGACTATCTTTTTCAGCAGTACATGAACGGTTACGGTGTCCGGAGTGGCCCAAGCGCCCGTGGCGGCTACTATAACCGCGGATCCAACCCCGGTCAGAACAGCGGCAATAACCGAAGCGGTGGACCCAAGCGCGGCTACAAAGGCGGCAAGTCTCGAAAATCGCAGAACCACAACGCCAACCAACAACAAAACAATCACCAGAGCAACCAACAGTAACGAACAGTCACTGTTGAAAGTTCCTTCATCGTCCTGCGTGTGGCCTGCTCCATTCTCTTAGCAAATCTTAATTGATCTCTCTCCTCTCCCTCTCTTTTTTCCACTACAATGTTCTCCTGCAGCGGTTCAATTTGACTCCCACGTGACTGCCAATCTCTCCTTTTTTTAAATAGTTATAATAAGATCTGTTAGCCCTTCGTCTGGGTCCATTTTCCTTCAGTTGAGAAATCTTCCGTTCTTCAAATATAATAAAAAAACCTCCAAAAGACTTAGAATTTTGAAAGCTTTCGAAACAAACCCAGTAAGCCTAACTGTATGTGATACCCACAAGTAAGTCGTGTTCGCAAGATTTGTGGCTAATGCAACTTAACTCGTATTTATTTAATTTCAATATTTCCTGACGTAGAATTTTTCTAATTTCCAATTGTCAGATATTACCTACACTCGAAAACATTACACGCGCCACGCCCTTATGGCCATTTCTATCTTGCCTTGGGGCGAGCAATCGATCCACAAGGTCGATTCAATTCATCGTTAGGTTTTTGCTCATAGGTTTTTCCAAGAAATTGTTACTTTCTTACCATTCTAGTAATGATTTTTACTATACATTTTTGAAGTTCAAATAAAGAAACGCCCGTCATGTTCATCCCTTCGAGATTCAACCTAAAAACCAAGATGCCAAAAAATGCTTGTAAAACTTCCTTAGAGAACAGTTTCCCCTTGCTTCAGTAACTTTTTCCGACTGCCGGAAAAACTAAAATTACTGAAGCAACGTCCTTAATTAACAGCGCGTTGACTCTTCATACTTCAATACGAAACAAAAGAAAAAATAAAGTTGAACCCTTTTTGCCTCCCCGCAAGAATATGTGAGCGTGCATCGTCAAAAAAAAATACCGCGAGACTAAGACCCTCGCGGTAGTCAAATTTCTCGATCCATAAAAAACTGATCTACAAATTCTCTTCCTTGATTCCTGATCGAAATTCTCTCTAATTGTATACCTGTCTGAGTATTTGTCTCTTTCTCTTAAAATTACTCCTCCAAATTTATAACCTCTATCTATCCTAATGCTAGTGTGTACTATTTTTAATTCAGTAATATCATCGTATTTTACCCTCCTATTATCTATTTTCGGACGCACCAGACGATGCATCAAAATCAGCGGTTTTCCCTCTTGAATTTTACTTCATCAGGAATATTTAATTCTTGTAAAGAGCTTTTCTTTCAATTCCGACACTAGAATGGGGCAGAATGAGGGTCAATTTGGGGCCCTCACTGGCAGCGCACTCATTTTTAATACTGTTGTCGGAATGGGTATTTGGGCGCTCCCAAAGGTACGACTTTTCAACCCTTTTCCTCCATTCATCCACTTTTTAGATGATTTACGAAGCAGGGACAGTAGCAGCGTATTCAATTTTGATCTTCTGCGGTTTCATTTCTTTCGTCGTCGCTTCTTTCATCAACGAACTACAAGGGGCAGCAAATGCAGTCAAGAAAACCAACCTTTCGAAAAGCCCAAAGAAGGTATTGAAAGAAGACGAGGTCAATCTCATTACCCCGGATGATGAGGAGCCGGACAGAATAGGAAAGGTTGACGAACGCGAAATGCGAAGAACTAGGCACAAATAAGACACTGTCATGATCAAATCATTAGTAATTTTAAGATAAAATAAACCATAACTAGTCAATTAAATGATTAATCTGGCCTTCATATAATCAGGATTATCAACAAAGCTGGAATTTCGCGATCAGTTCTTGGGAGTAAATCGGCGCAGTGGTGTAAGTCGCCAAGAAGAGAAAGTCGGGGTACTCTCACCCGCCGGGTTCAATTCCCGCTGCGAGTAAGAACCTTTCATTACTAGAAGAGGTAATTGGGAGGAACGCATCCTAAAAGGGGGTATGCTGGGACGAAATATGGCAAACGCCATATTTCCCCCCTTTTATTGTTCACAATAGTGAATCAACTTACGGGAAAAGCTTTTCATGCATGGACGATGGGCCACGGAATCACTTAAATTTCCTTAGTCTCAACCTTTCTAAAGACCAAGCCACAATCTACTCCGTCACCGAGCGTTTTGAACTCACCTCCGCCGTCAAGCTCATACTCGGCGACTGGCCAGCAAAAATCAACAACATCCTCATTATCCTCTCCCTTCAAGTCGCAGTATGCGCATACATCGTCACATTCGCCGAGACGTTTAGAAACCTTTACTGCCGCCCGCTCACTTGTCAATCTGACAATTTCACTGAAGAAATGGATGACTCTGCGAAAGTCATGTGTGGCGAGACGGAATACACCGAGAAATTTATTTATACAATGGCGGTGATTATCATTCTGGCAGTCACAGCACCTTTTTGCGCAATGGGTAGGTCTTTGGAAATGAATAAATTAGTAGACATTTTATATAACTGCCATGTGTAATTCATCACGCCTGGCTTCGGAATCCTGTCAACAGGCAAATCATGACTTGATTTAGTAAATTTCGATTCATAACTGCGCGTCTGTAAAACCAGGATCTCACTGTATCTTATAAGGTGTGGGGAACAACACATCCGTTCAAATGCTCGGAACGATTTTCCGCTGGATCACCATCATCCTCGTTTTGATCATCTCAATCGCGCGCGTTGGCGACTCTGACGCAAAATTCTCGTCCTCGCCGACAAATTGGGTGCGGATGCCGCTGATGTTTGGCATGGCGAATTCCGCTTTTGGTTGCCACGAAGCGCTACCTTCACTGCTTTTTCCTATCAAGCAAAAACGCAACAATGTGAAAATTCTCGCCGTGACATTTTTGCTCATCGGCTTGCTTTTCATGCTCTTGACGACAACTGCCCTGACAGCTTTTGACGGACCCGATATTGCCGATTTATACCTTCTCAATTTTCAGGTGAGCTTTTTCAGTTTATTTACAGTTCTGTGGTGTCAATATTTATCACTTCTTCGTACGTCGGTGGCAAGTCGATCTCTTTGCCATCCTCTTTTGGTTCTATTATATCTCGCGGCAGTGGCGAAGTTGCGTTTCCATAATGAATATATGCACTATCTTCGGTTGCATTCGAAGCTGATCTCTCGATGCTTCCTACTGCCGTCGCATTTTCATAAGTATAAGCATCATTTACCGCATCATTCTCGGACTGTTGCGATTCGGCATCACTGATGTTTTTCTTCCCACAATTCGTAAGACAGTCAAACTGATGTGGAATATTTTGCAAATTCGTGTCACATATTTATTTCTTACCATTAGGGCAACAAACAGGAATCCGCCTATTAAAATTAGTAAAACTGAAATAAAACCCTCTGCAGCTTCGTTTGTCATTTCTCAACAGTTGAAAACTTCAGTCGAGTCTGAACTTTAGCGCGATTCTTTGATAAATATAAACATGAAGAGTCGATTTGTGAATAGTAAATCACAAGATTCTGTTTTGCTGATAAAAAAACAGTGGTATCAGATCTTGATATCTACTTTATTTACAGTTCTATGGATTGCCCATTGATGACTTCTTCGTATGATGGTGGCTGGTCCTCTTTTGGTTGTATGATTTCCAGAGGTATATGACTGTCATAAGCATTGTTTTCTATCGCAATATCAGGTTCTGCAGATTCCGGATCTCTATCACTGATTTTCTTTGTGCATTTCTCAGCAAAAAAGCACTTGATGGATGAGATTCTTAGAAACGTATTCATTTATTATCAACTTACAAAGAGGACTACAGAACCAATAGCGACAAACAATAGAAGAAGCTTCAATAACAGGACTTTAGTTTCATCGTTCATTTTCTCTTCATTTGATCTATTAGTAGTGGGTACTCAGAATTTTGGTGCTTTTATTTGGTAAGTATAAACAGAGACGCTTTCAGACCAGTTGCAGTTTGCATTCGCAGATTTCAATTTCAAAATCTTCATGTTCCTCGGTCGGTTTCGTTGATAACATCATCATAAGTCGGCGGTAAATCGATAACGGTCTCGTTTTTTACTTTTGCAACTTCTAAGATGTATTTTGAATAAAGATGTACAAACAGATTCGTTTACCTTCAGAGACAACGGATTCATTTGGAACATATGCATTATTTTCGTAAACAATCTCGAACTCCTCTTCTCCGGGATCACAATTTATATGACAAGCTGGCTTGTCAATTATGCTACCGGTATTGTCGCAGACACCACAAAAATAGCACTTTGCGATAATTAGTTGAATCGCTCAAACAACTTACAAGTGTCCACACGATAGCGAACGTAGCAGTTACACCGATTATGAGAAAAATTTCTGTATCACTCAAAGAATCTCTAGTACTTTTTAGTTCTTCCATTTTATATTCAATTTCAGGCAGTCTGCAAAGTTCGATTTTTGGTGATCTTGTTTGCTAAATAGAAACATGGAATTTTCACGGGAAAAGTTCGTTTTTTTAGCGAAAGTCATGTTTGTTTACAGTAAATAATTTACTGATTAAAAGTCTTCATTCTGGTTTTCTTCCATAACTGCATCATATGCCGGTGGTAGGTCATCAATGATTTGAGAGCCTTATTTTTCATCACTTTGTAAACTACGAATGGTACCTTCGGGGACATAAGACCGAGTTTCGGCAGCTGGTCACTTTGCTGAATATCTCCAGTTGATGTTCTTTGCGATGAATTCCCACTTACAGCCTCGCTGGAGGAAGAACAACCCTCTGACCGACAGAATAAATACTTATTTTTTATGGAGTAGTTGAAGAATAAGGCGTTTGGAATCTACCATGAAAAGTAAAGCAAGTGATCCAAAAGTGACGAGCACTCCTATTGCCAATCCGTCCATCTTTTCTCTTCCAAGTTTCTAACTTTCTTTGGCCAGAATTTAGAGTACAATAGTTTGCCAGGAAGACGATTTACTATCCATAGTAAAGTTAGCATTGCTAATTTGCATTTGCAAATTGCAGGAGAATACAGAAATGATTATGTACTTGTTATTACTCATGAGTCAATCATCAAAATACTGAAAATTAAAATGATTCTCTCAGAACGACTGCGATCTGGTGAAAAGCTCCTTTGTTCGGATGATCCTCACATTTTACCCTATCATTCCAGGTAAGCCAGTTCGCCATAATAATTGACTAAAACTCGAACTTCAGCTGTTACGAATTTCATCATTTTCCACGTCGTTTGCCAGCGCAACTTGGAAGTGATGCTTCCCTTGCCAAAAGCTCTCTCCAAATCGTCACTCGTGTACCAGAAGATCTTTCTGATGACTCTCTCCAGCATCACTCCTCTCATCATCTCCTTGACAATCACCAATGTCGGACTGATCTTCAGCGTCGGCGGTGCATTCACGACCATCTTCAGCTCTTTTTTCTTTCCAACGCTGATGGTAATGCGCTCGCGATCGATGCTCGCTGACGTCCCCGTTAAAAATCCACTTGCAAGTCCGATGCAAAGTAACTTTTGGATCTTTTTGGTATTCTTGACCATCGCAGGGACTGTCGCTGCCAATGCTATTGCCATCTTTTTTCTGTAGTACTTTACCTATTTACATTTACTTCTTACCTTTCAAAATTCATTCAAAGTCTTATTTTTTATCAGAGCAAGATTGGTAAGCTTGGGTGGGGCATAAGTTTGGGGTTAATCGGGTTTACTCACATATTGGATTTTTCAGCCAATAAATGTTGATAATTTTAGCCTCTGATTGGCTGAAATTCCCCATAGCACACTTATCTTTCTTTATATATTCGAAAATGTGCCCACCCTAGTTTAAACTCAAGCTCTTTTTTGTTTATACATAAAACTTCTACCACTACTAGCGACTACTTGGGACTATCACCAACCCTTTGGCAGTAAAACTCAACTTCTAGCCAATCAAAACTTGCCAGCAAAGGTTTTAGTCCTAGACAGTCACAAAAACAGCAAAGTTCATTCAATCTTCAATCATATTTTCTGTTACCAAAAGCAATCAAAAGTCATCTGTATATCTCTTTGTATCCGAAATACGAAAAAACGCTCGCTCATCCTTCTTTTTTGTTTTATTTAATATTTAACTTCAACAAGAAAATAAACTTTTCAAATTTCGAAAACTTTATAATTTCTTTTTCCAACTGTTTCATTCAAGAGATGAGGGGATTCGATTACAGCTTCAGTACAGTAAGCAGTGCACCGATACAGCGCCAGAAAATCCGTCTCACAGCGAACTGTCCATTTCGTATTTCAAAAGTATCGCTGATTCCGGATCCACATCCGGACCCGAATGAGGTTGAAATCGTTGTCGGATCGCTGGACGAAGATCTGGCTCAAGTGAGAATTTACAAAAGAACAGCTGATAATCAACTCAAAAAAGAATATATTCATGAGCTCGACTCGCCAATTACCGATATCGGATGGGTAAGAATAGCAAAAGAGTCTTGATGTATAAATATGTGGATTAGATTCAACACAACGCGATGCTAACCGCTCAAGCTAATGGAAAAAGGAAGATGTGGCGTGTAATTGACTCGTACAACAACAGAATGAGTGAAATCTACGAGTGGGAAGCTGCTACTTCGAGAATTGCAGCGCTCTCGGTCTTTGGTTATGCCTCGATTGGGCAGGATGCGTTCGTTACTGCAACAGAGGTAGCATAATCACTTTTTACGAATTTCGTCAATGCTTCTTAGTCTGGAAATATTTGCATTTTCTCGCCTAATGACAAGACTCCGTTGAGGACTTACAAAGATGAATGTGCCGTGAAAACTTGTGAAGGTATAATCAACCGATTACTGAACCCCTAATGCTTGTTTCTAGCGCTTTCTACCGGACAAATCTTGGCCGGGAACGAATTCGGACAGGCTAAGATCTTCGATCCTCGAGCAAATACAGTTGATCCAGTTTTGATCTTGGACGTTGGCGAGCCTGCCATAGCGGTGCTCTCGATCGCCCAGCATCCCGGTAGAACGCATTTGATCTTGGGTGGATGTTCTGATGGAAATTTGACGCTATGGGATGTACGAAAAGGCACTGATGAGCCTCTAGTCGTTGCTCGGCACGAGGGAGCGATTCTTGATGTAAGTATATACAGTATCTGTACTACAGATGGTTGTTACAGTAGCTTATACAACGCCGGAAGAGGCCTTATCATCAAAATAACATGTGAATTCCAATCTGAAAATTTGCATCCAAAATATAGATATCTTTCAGACCAAATTCCATCCTCATCATTCGATTGCGATGACAGCAGGCTCTGACTCAAAGATCCTCTTGCAAAACGGACAGTGGGAGCCAGAACAAATACAGCAAGCTGAAGCGAGAGACATGTCCGCAGAAAATACTCTAGAGTAAGTTTCCCCTTTTCAACTTCTTTCTAAACCTTTTCTAGGGCTATAAACTCGATCTCGATGCAAGGAGACCACTGGGCAGCAGGTGGTGATGATGCCATGTTGATAAGTGATATTTTCCGATAAGCTCAAACGAAAACAACACGCTTTCACTTTAGGTTAATTTTGAAATGAACCATTTCACTGTACACTTCACCCTTTTACAGTGCACTGCCAAACCTGCACTTTTTTCTACCATCAACGAAACGTATCATCCTTTTTCGTGTTCAGATCCATTCGAAATCGATAAATATCATGAGCTGTACGTGCAATAGACTTTATAAACCGAAGCATCGGCGGCAAGTGGATCGTATTTATCCCAGCGATCCAAAGAATGACAAGCCCATCAGAGCGGAGATGGACAAACTCGTCTATTATTCGATGGCGCATCCAGAGAAGCTCGACCGATTAGGGGTCTACCTTTCTGATATTCTGGAAGACGCGATTTATCGGAAACAACAGGGGTGGACGAAAATCTCTATTGACGCTATTGAAGCTTTGCTTCGTGCCTGTCAGGCTCCGCAGATCAATCTCTTTGTACAGTCCTACATGGAAATGTGCAGAATGCTGCTAGAATCAGACTGCACTAAGGCTAGAAAATGGGGAGCGTCGGCTTTCGTTTCATTCTGCGATGTGGATGAAGAGGGCAATCATGAACGGAGCTACGAAGCGTTTATTGACATCTTTTGCAAGTTCTGCCACGAAGATGGGAAGAATAAGGAGGATGTGAAAACTTTGAGGATTTGTGGAATTCAAGGACTGCAAGGAGTCGTCAACAAAATGAGCAAGACGAAGATGGGAGAGAGGTTGATCGCGCAAAGTTCGAAAAAAATCATACCCAGCTTGCTTTACAATATGAACGATAGTTTAGGTAAGACACCCTTTTTATTTCCTTTCTATAAAGTTTATACATTTTAGACGCGGGTCAAACTGGCCCCGGATCCCTCCGATACAAAGCAGAAGAAGTCATTCGCGAGCTCCTCTCCATCGCTGTTTTGTCGCAAATCGACATCATTGTCAAGCCACTTTTGAAACACTGCGATCATCATCAACTTTGGGAGACTGAAAACTCGATCGTTTGGGCGGAATTGTTCATGAAATCTGTCAGATTGAGCTACTCCCACTATATTGTAAAGCTGATCATGGAACATACGGAGCATAAAGACTTTGACTCTGAAAAAGGTAAACTAACAGCTCTTGTCGTATTTTTTATGATCATTTCAGGGTTGCTGAAAAAACGAGGAATTCTGAACTGCATCTCGCAGATCTCCAAAATCCCAAAAGCCTCCACGATGAGTACCATTGCTGGCGAGCTATTACAGTACATTCTTCGCGGGATCGAGAAACACGGGGATCATGAGCAGCTCGTCGATCAATACACAAGTACCTGTGGCGCCATTATCGGTCATCTTGAAAGCGTCGTTCAAGTGGAGCTTATTCGTTCGATGATTCATGCTCTTCAGAAGGCAAAGAAGAGGGAAGCTCTTTTGGGAGCAATTCATTACGCGCTTTCCTTCTGCGATGTTTCGCGCCAAAACGAGTACAATATTCAATCGGACATTGTCAACCCGCTCATCCACATTACCGCCCCTCTGATGGCCAAATCAACTCCTGAAGAGCGCAAAGCCCTCTCGAAGATCGTCATCTACTGCCTCGATTACAGCAAAAACGCGCCTGTTCTCAATAGATCTGGATCCTACCACAATCAAGAGGTCCATCTAGCAAAAATGGGAAGTATTCATTTACGTCAAGATGCAGGAGATATCACCGTTTGGCTACTGGAAAATCTAGCTCAGCCCAAAAACACAACGCAGAACTATCTTCTCTATTACCAGGTAAAATTTATTCTCTGTTCATTCAAGTTGAAAATCTAATAAGAATCATTTCTTCGAGGAAAATTTAGTTATCGAATCTTATATAAACTTCAGAATATCCTTGTTTTTCGACATTTATTAATGTTTCATAATAAGATTCTTATTCAGTATTACTGTTTTCTCCTTTATTTTAACGACTGATTGACGCTGTTTTTAGCTGATGGGTGTCTTGGTATGCGAGCTTGGCGAAGAAATTTTGACGCAGATCATCCGTCTCCTTCTAGCTTTCCAGGTAATTTCCGTGCCTAATATCTTATCATCACTTCGATAGTCATAATTTATGATCAGAAATATAATTTCTGCGCCACTGATCTATAAATATTTTTATATGATTACAATCATTCAATTTTATGGGAGTAGGCTTGTCATAAAAAAGAATCTGACGGTCCAATTAAGACTATAAAATATATTTTTAGGATAAGATCACAAGTGCTGATACGCTGCGTCATCAAGCACACGCTTGTGTGGGTGCTACTTTTGCCCTTTTAGCTTCTCTTTTCGTCGATTTACAGGAGCGGGTTTCTTTTATTTCTCTTCAAAATCATCATGGAATCAAAAATGAACCCAGAGTCAGCCCTTAGTTCTCCCGATCCTTTCCGAACGTCGAAATCACCGCCCTCAACTCGCTCCTGAAGCTCTTTTCTCAAGTTCTAGCGACGCATTGAGGCGCTCGACAGCGAATTTATTCGCAGAAGACAACTCAGAAAAGTACCTCTTCCGAAGAGCCGATATTTGCTCAAAACTAAAGCATGCTGGTTTCGATACATCCTCGATCAGGTGAGAAAAAACTCAAAGAAGGGTCCCACTAATGTCTCATTTTCTAGCGACCCTCTTGGCAAAGTCGACCAATTGTCTGTTGATTCATCTGGTCTTTCAGTTTCAAGATCACGCGACCTTGATACTGAATCCATTCATTTAACAGTACAAGATGGTGCTGATGACACACCATTACTGACAGATGGCAACGAAAACACACCTTCTATCAAGGGTCTTCTGGCGCTGCTAAAAGACGCGCCCAAGGGAAAAGAAGATCGAAAACTCATGCTTCAAAAGGTGACCCCCGTGCCCTTTTTCTTGATTTCACTGACGAGTTCTTTCAGAAACAAGCAGAGTTACAAAAACTCGACTTCAATCAAGTGGTCGCGCGACTTGAAAAAACGCGGAAACGCGACTCGGAACTCATGCAGCGAATCATGGAGCATTCAGAAGCTGCCTCCGAGCGTGGATTCATGCACGATTACAAACCAGCCGACATTGGCTCGCCTCCTTTCTTCATTTACTAGAAACAAATTGCTACAAACTCCAATATGTTGCCTACAGATTCAATTCACGTACATATCATACTGTCTTTAATCGCTTTCTGTTCATCAAAAAAATTGTATATTTTCTTTAGCCAAAATTCAAATTTTCAATAAAAATTCATTCATAAAAAATTTTGTTCTCATCTATGTAATCTAGATGGAAAGATTAGAGGAGGAAGTGTCCCCTGAAGCGTTTTGGAAGGATTACATACAGAAGCTGAAGCCCTGTTTAATTGGAAATTGGCTGACAGATTCATGGTCGTCCAGGAAAGACTGGGTCAAAGAGGAAAGGATAGACGTCGATTTCTTGATGGAAAAATATGGCCATCTTCAAGTCCCGGTCACAAACTGTTCGACTGAGGACTTCAAATGTTCCTCGATGCTTTTTAGAGAGTATCTCCGCTATCTGCAGGAGAGGAGGAGAAATGCGTCAGAAGATATTCTTTATTGCAAAGATTGGCATTTGGCCTTGATAGATAAGACGTTTTATGAGTGGCCCGAGTTTTTTCGCAAAGACTGGCTGAATGAATACTGTTTGAAGACAGATTTCTCCGACTCTGATTATCGCTTCGTTTACATCGGCGTGAAAGACACTAAAACGCCGCTGCATAGAGATGTCTTGGCGAGTCATAGTTGGAGTTCAAACGTAGGTAAGGGGTTCAGTTTCTTTCGGAAGAAAAATGCGGATTTTAGTTGGCAAGAAACTTTGGCACTTTTGGAAAGACCCTTTGCCCGAGAGACTGCTTGGAACATACTCTACTGACGGGGAATTTCTAAAGACGGCAGATTTGGTTGTTGTTCAAAACTCTGGCGAGACGATTTTCGTCCCTTCTGGCTGGTTTCATCAAGTAAAGAACTTAGAGGACACGATTTCGATCAATCATAATTGGATAAACGAGGCGAGCATACAAAATACCTGGAAGCATCTTCTTGTAAATACATTTTTTGAATCTACTGTAATGAGATTTATATAAAGGAAGAATTGAAAGCGGTGGAAGAAGAGTTAGAATATCTCCACAGGAAAGGACTAGCAGATCTTTCTAGAGCTTATTGTCCCTGTTTTCCAAAAACGCTTAAAACATTTCAAATCGAAAACAGAGATAGATTTAGGTAACCCTGTGTAATCCTCAAAAGCGGGATGGAGGACGCAGAATGGACGGAGACATGTCAGGCTAGGGCTATTTATCGCTGATAAATAATTTATATTCTCCGCGAAAGATAATTCTATTTTTTCCATCTGGCAAAAGGAGTTCACAACTTGAACTCTGCGTTCGATTAACGCTACACAAAAGGGTACATTTTCGGAAACATAGAAGAAAAGATTCCTCTCCGAATAATGTCGTAAAAGAATATGCTTTTCCCTTATTGTAAATACAAAATATCGGTCATATTTTCCAGCTTCAAATATTATACAATCAGCTTTGCGTAAGGCAAGAATTCGAACATGATTTATGATGATATAATAATGATAATCAAGACCATTCAAGCAGAAGAGAAGCTCAATTTTCGTGTCAACAATGGAGCAATTATCATTTCCCAATTCGGGTGTTATGTAAAGTGATTTTATAATACTTTCTCGGGTGGAAAATAAGACCCTCATCTAGTATTCAGAATCATGGAAAACATATTTTTCAAGGCTTCATTCGGAGAGGGATATTTTCTTCTAAGTCTCCGAAAAAATTGACTTATTGGTAATTCAATTTGCAAAAAATATTATTGAAAAGACAGGTTGATCGAAGCCGCAAAGGAGAACGGCAAGAAAATCGATAGATTGTTACATTGGCTCAAGTTTGCCGTTCAACCCTCTTTGTCATCGGATAATTTATCGATCTCGCTGCGAAAAAAATTGTTTGTTCCCGCATCTCGCCGCCTGAATTTACATTTCGATAATTTACAAAAAAAGCCCAGAGAAACAGAAGATCCTCAAGGCTCAAACGAGCATGGATTTTGAAGATTTTCGCAAATTTTTGCAATTTTTCGAAGGAAAAGGAGGTTACTTGTATCAGTATAAGCATTTTAAAATCTTATTTTCTGCAGGACTACCATAATTTTACCCTCTTTCAGACCGCTAATCAAATTCTTATCAGTTCTAGTTGATTTTAAGGGTATACACGTCGATAAAAACTCAAAAATACGCAAATTTTCGCTGAAAAAGAATAGTTCTAGATGTTCATCCCTTCATTCTTATCAACTCATGAATCATCATTTCTAGATATGAAAGCCACCCACGCAATAGAATAAAATTCTTTTCCAGATTTGTTTTTCATTTGCAAAAATCAGAGATCAAGAAAACAGATAACGAAAAAGGCTTTTTACGCGTGACTTTTTCCGCGAATCAGAACAGAGTTTAGGCCCCATTATTTTTCATTTTTTGAAAGCCTTTGCATAAAATAATTGTTAAAGAGAATAATAATAATTTCCGAATTGTCGATGACGTCATTCGCCACCGAGACGAGGATCTTTCTTTTTGAAAAAAGACGGGGTTTTCGACCACTCAGAGGCCGCGATATTTTTTCTTTCTTTCAAAAAGAGAATCTTTACTTGATGATTTTTTCTTTGTTGATTTTAGCACGTAATTACCCACTCACGCCGCTTCCTCGTTTTTCCTTCATTTTCCTAAAGGGATCAATATCGAGAAAGCCGCAAGCGGCTTTCTGGGCAACTTTTTTGTCGCGGCTTTCTTTTTTTCTTGAAAATCGCTGTTAACGCCCTTAATTTACGAATTCTAGAAAATCTCCTTCAGATAGAGCTCAAATTGCAAAAGATCTTCTTATTGAAGTTCAAAAATCCATTTCTGCTTCGAAATCTGAAGAATAGATACTCAAGCTTGTTCTTTATATTCCCTGTTTTCAGATTGTTTATGTGTAAATAATTGTACTAAACGAAACTCGGAAGAATGCAGACAATGGAACCAACAGCAGACCAACTCCGCATCGCCACGATGTTCGAAGGCGACGGCGGAAACGACAAAGATCTTGAGCGCAAGATCAAGCAAGTCACAGAATTTACAGGCTGCTCTAACGATCAGGTCACTTTCTTTTCTTGTTTGTGTTTTAAAATGCTCTTCAGGCCGCCGTGGCGTTGTACGACTGCGACAATGACATCCAAATGGCCTGTTTGAAGGTGATGGACGCTGGCGGAGACTCTGCGAAAGAGGCTGACAATTGGACTGCAGTCGAGAAACCAGTCAAGAAAGAAAGAGACCCTTCGGTAAGTTGAAAGCTCAAATGGGGCTCTCTCGAATTTCTCTTGCGGAAATTGATGTTTATTAAATTTTTAGGCGGACAAATGGGCAAGCGAAAGAGCAGTGGACAACTTCACTGGTCGTGGTCGAGGACGTGGACGCGGCTACTTCGACGGCGGCCGCGGTGGTCGAGGAGGACGAGGACGCAGCTTCGCCAATGGCGAGCGCCGCGAATTCAGAGACTACGAAGATCGCGGCAATCGAGGCTCTTTCGGCGAGCGTGGACGGGGACGAGGCCGTGGTCGGGGAGACCGGGGCGGATTCCGAGGCCGCAGCGAACCGTTCCGTGGCTCTGGCGGAAGAGGAGCTCCACAGAATGAGAGCCGAAGTCGAAACAGGTAAACAAATCTTTTAAATTGAAATGCGTATTTTCCGTTATTGGTTTATTTTCGAGAAGAGCCTCTCAGAAGGCGCGAAAAATTCCTAGACTGTTATTAATTCACCGGCACTTTAGTAATATATTCCGAGGTGAATTCGATTAGAAATTTGTTTTTGAGTTTCTATTTGGAAATAACCCAGTTCCAGCGGGTGTTATTTTTGAGTCTGAAGGACAAAACAATTTGTAAACATAAATCCTTATTTTTCAAGACGACAACACAGCCCATCTGGATCGGATATTGGCAGTGATGGCGGCTGGGGCAAAGAAGAGGAGAAAATCACTGTAAGTTTAAATTCTCGATTCAAACTCTTGATGACTTGTTTTTCGATAGAACTGGAGCAATAAGGAATTCACCCGCGACGGCTGGAACGAACCCGATTCTTCGGAAAGATTCAATCACAAGCAGCAAGGTCAAGAGCAGCCCTTGCCTGATTGGAGTGACTCGCCTAAAGTTGGTGCCCCAGTTCCAGGAAAAGTCGAGCAGTGGCAGAACAACCAGACGAGCAGCCAGAGCAACGCGTGGGATCAAGAGGACAGCTGGAGCACAGAGCAGAAGCCTGTTGTCCAGGAAAGCCAGCCCAAGAAACAGCACAATGTGGAAGCTAACCAATGGGCCGCCGAGCCTGCTGAACCCGTTTCGTGGGACAGCGCGCCGCAGATGCAGAGCTGGAGCCAGCCACAGCAGCCGGAACCTGTTCAGCAAGCGCCACCACCTCAGCAAAAGTGAGTTCAAGTCAACCATTCTTTCTCTAACCCTACTTTAGCCATTGGCATTCGGAACCTGCTCAGGTCAGACAGCCAGTAGTTCAGCCCGAAGATACCCAACGACAGGAGCGTTTGGCGAAGATCTTCAACCAACAGGCGCAGATTTCTGAACAGGAACCCAGAAAGGTACTCGTCAATCATTTTTATATCGCTATTCAATTGCGTGTTAGGTGGTACCGGCTCCACAGAAGGCTCCTCAGCCAAAGCCCGTGGCGCAGCAGAAGCAGTCGAGCATCGGTCCACCTGGCCTCCACAAATCGTCAGTTGCTGATCCAGTTCTTAGTTTTGGTAGATCTCCTGAAGACGCAGGACGGTAAGTTTGACAGTCTGTTGCGAATATTCTCGTACAATCATTGTTTTGATTCAAACCTTTTTTGATTCAAACCTTTTTTGATTCAAAAAGGGAATCCACGTAAAAATATCCACTCTAATAACGAATCAGTTGTCTGCTGGTGAATCGACATTCGAACATTCAAGTGAAGAATCCAACTTGTATAAACACGTTTTGTTTTTAGACGTCTTCCACCACCAACTCGAAGAACGATCAAAAAAGGCGTCCTCCAGATGCCAGAGGATCGAGACGACATGCCCAAGGCCAGCCAGTTTGTTTTCGGCAACATTGAAAGCACTGATGATGTTGACTACTCCCGCGCTCAGGTACGACGAGCCATCCTCATTTTCTGTCTAATCCCCGCTCTAGAAATACTCGGAAAAGCCCTCGCCCCCATTAAAACAGCCCTCTGCCCCTGGTTATGCACCTCAATCTCTTCACCAACCAGCACAGACGCGAAAACCCACTGCCACCACTCAATCAGATCAACCGAAAGAGCAAAACAAACCTGAGCCCCAACAAGTCGCAGATCCAGGTACAGCCCCTGCTCGAGCTTTCGCCAATTCCACCTCTGCGAATGCGCAAACACGCACCTTCCAAAGTCAAGCACGTCCCGTACAGAATTACGCTCGCAATCAAAATACACAGCCAAGCACACACAGACAGCCTCGTGTTCAGTTACGGCTTCAAATAATTAAATAAAAATGATATCTTGATTGAGGGATGAGCATGAACTGAGCGTGTTAGTGGGTGGTCGATTCGGAAAAACCGAAACGCTAGAATCTATTAGTCGTTGTTGGAAATAAACGAAAGAATAATCAACTGTCTATCGACTTGATTCTCTGATTTGTTTCTAGTCGTCGTTGTACTAATCGTTCTTTCATACTAACCAATTTCATCAATCATCATTCTGTTAAATCCAAATCGACTGCCCTGCTAACAGTTCAATTCTAGGCCTCTCGTATCACAGATATGCGCGGGAAAAGGAACGCGCCGAGTCCGACCTAAGAAACTTACTGAAGCCGAATCCTCAGAGCTCGACGGCCAAGCCCGCCCAGCAACAGAGCAGAGAGCAGGGTGGACCCGTTTCGTCCACTGGAGTCGTTCCTGGACTTTCTGTTCCAGCCAGGACCTCGCCCAACAATCCTCAAAGTACTGGTGAGTACAGGGAGAAAGTAGACAGCTGATAAAGATCCAAGTCATTTCATTAGCTTATGAATTGAATTTTAATTTCCTTGGTGTTTTTTTAATCGCAATTGTTGATTAAGAGTTATTATTCAAGAGAACTGCTCCTTATGCTAATTTGGGGAATATTTTCTGAATAAAAGAATCCAAATTCTATAAACGTTTCAATTTATATTTGATTGACGAAGATATCCGTTCAATAATAACCGTGACAATTATTTTAATTTATGCTTCAGGACAAATGGGCTCCATCTCTGCGCCAGGTCAAGGTCGATCCGGCTCAATTGGCAACGTCCGCACTGCTGGACTCGGGCATCAGCCTTACTCCCAGCATGAAAATATCATGGTAAGAATAGCTCACAGTCGCACGCGTTCTGTCTAATCGTCTAAATGTTTTCATTTTTGTAGTTCGAGGACTCGTATCATCCTAAGTCCTATCCGTCCTATTTGGAGGTAAAGGAGCATTTGATTGATCATTTTACTTTTGTTTCTTCTTTTCCTTTCAATTTTAATCTAACAAAAAATTAATACCCGCGTCGCCAGAATCAAACAAAAATCAACGAAAAAGTTCATCTTTTTGTCGATGGGTTTTCAAAAGTATTGTTTTAGTATCAGCCATCGATGAATCAAGGATACGACATGATCCAAATTCAACGACCGAATGTGTCGAGACATTCTGACGATGGTCTTCGAAGTCAGGGACTTGGCGGATTCCAGGCTTTCACTGGTTCCATTCAGGAATGTGGGTTGAAATAAACGAAGAAACTCTTCATATAGTCATGGCTTTGAATCTCTTTTCAACCCATTTTGAAGCCACAACAATACTACGCGCCTATCCCACAGTACTACCCAATGACTGTGCAGCGTTCAAGTAAGCCTCAGCACCCCAAATTCACCAGTCTTACCCTTTTCTTCCATTTTAGGTTCCGCTTATGCTCCAATGTACTCGTCCGCTCAGGCGGGTAACACGACAGACTCAATGCGAAGCATGAGAACTCAGCAACAAGAGACGCCCCCACCATTTCTGTCGACAAATGCCTACGGCCAGGTATGCCGATCCTTGCGGCGCGAGTAACTCTTTCTTTAGGGCTTTCCAAACATCCTGATTCCTCCAGGAGCGAGTGCCCAGCTCGGGCCTCATGGCCAGCACCCAGACAACCGAGGACCTCGTTAGTCTTCTTTTTGGATATGTAATTATGTTTTACATATGTAAATTGACCAAGGCTACGCTCCTCTCTCGCTGGATTAAAAACTGGTCGGGAAGAATCTCCTCAAAAATAAAATAAAAAATAATATTGTTTTCTCCTGTTTCCGTCTCTGTCTGCCCCCTCCCCCCAAAAATCTCGTGTTCCTTTCGGTACACTTTCAAAATGCTAAGAATCTAAAATTGGATGATCCACCAAAAACTCAAAAATCTGGTGTTGATCTCCACGCTCAAACCAAAAAAAAAAGAATAATTCCCTGTTCGTCTGTTCATTCCCACTAGGCCAATTTTATTCGTTAGGTTCATTTTTCCTCAAGACTTCATTAAATTTTCACTCTCTAAAACTACATGTAGCTGCCTGTACTCAATTCAAGTCTAAATTTTTGTCGCACAGGGCGGCTTTTACATCTTCTACTCTTCTTCTTTTTTCACGGTCTCAGTAAAGAGATTGCGGATTTCTTCCTGACAAGATAATAAACCAACAGAATATTCATCCCTCCTGTGTTACGCCCTTGTTTAAAGTAAACTTGCTTATCAAAAGACACTAGAAAAGCTAGAAAAGAGCAGCAGCCTAACTCAACTCAACCTATCCATTCAAAAACCTCAAGAAAACGAAAACGAGGCAGAAATATACTTGAGATTATGCACTCTTTGAACTCCCACAGACGCCCCGTAACTGCCACCTGAGGTCGCCATGTGCAACACATTTTTTATCGTGAGTACTCATTTTACAGTAAACAAAAATACAGTCGTACTAAAGTCAAATCCAACTTGTTCAAATTTCCCCTACTATTACTTCTTTGAGACACTTTACCGTTCGAATCCCCCCAAAGATACTGTATCGTGAGTGTACTTTGTGTTAAAAGTTAAAGAGCTTCAGTTACATCACGCTGCGATAAAAAATAATAAAATATCGGAATTATGTGAGACTCGATTGAAAGAAAAACTCCAAAAAGCAAGCTTTTCTTTGTGGAGAGTATACTCTCTGTCGTCAATGAGTTCTAAAGAAGCATCACAAGAGAATAAAATTGGTATAATTGCAATGTATCTCGCAAATAATTTGATGGAGTATGTTGTGTAACTACATTTTACATAAAGAAGGTTCTTTGATATACGCGCGTGTTGTAAAATATTCTACTTATATTATCAGCTCGTTTCATAATTTCAATCGACTTGATTTCACGCAAGAATAATCGCAGTTTATTCTCAGGCCAGGAGACTATTTTCAGCAATTCTTTCCAGCAAAAGCTTCGATTTAGTCCAAATATAGCTCCTTTCATCCTCAGTTCTGAGGTTTTCCTCCAAGATCTTGTCAATTCCTTCATCCACAAACTGCTTACAATACTGAAAGCAGGCTAAATTAGTTGTTACGCAGAAGTTTGTGTACTTTGTCGACGGATTTCGCAGAAAATTCTTCTTCAAATGGGTGGGTAAGCTGAGACCATCGCCAACAAAAGAACCATCGAATCGGCTTTGATCCATTTTCAATGAGTTTGAGGAGGTCTTTGAATGTCCTGTAGCTCATACGAGCTGGTAGGCTCTCCGGAAGGAGTTCGATCAGGAAGCAGAATTTATTCTCAAGCTCCGATCGTTCTATAAAATTGGGAAGCTCGATGTCTTCATGAGCCAGAATCGTGGACATTACTTCGAGTCCATTCGTAAACCCATCCATTTTTTCATTTTCAACGGAAATCTCATGGTCTTCGACGGAATTGATCGACGCCATAAGCATCAACATTAAATCTGTATGTTATGTTTTATTATATAAGATTGAATGTAATTACCAGCCGACATGATTTCGCGCGTCATATCCTTGTCCGAAACAATATTTCCAATGAAGCCCGTGATATTGTAACGAAAAGCGTCGTGCTTTTCAGACATGGGGAGAATCTTTTCAATGAAGTTAGAAGCGACCAGTTTCTTCTTGTCCTTCTTATCTTCAGGTTCAAAGAGAATCAAAGGCAAGCAAAGCTTATCATCTGAACCTTCCCTGATTTGTATCAATATAGTTCCAGAAGATTGAGAGAATTCGGAGGAACAAGTTCCAATCATTCGCCATCGCTTTGTCCGAAAGCACCATTAATCTATCCACAAAATTTGTATCCTCTGGTAGTTCGTTTGCTAATTCCACTGAAAGTTGAGAGGAGAAACAATTGCTGATGATCACTGCGGCCATAACTTTAAACCCTGGGTCCTCATCATATTCTTCCAGAACTTGGAGACACGCTTCAACGACTTCTGAGCCGAAGCTATTGCCGTACTTATCCACAGGTACGTGAGTGAGAGCCTTGATTATGTTATAAATAAACTGATTCGCGATGGGTTTTCCTTTATGCTGTAAAATTGCTTTGCAAAAAGAAGCAGCCATTCGTTCAATTTGATCATCCGAGATTTCGTCACTATTTGCAACGATGAAAAACATCGATGCAGACAAGTTTAGTGCCAAAGAAATATCATCCAAAGAGTAGAAGCGTTCAAAGGCTGATAGGGCGTCTTCCATAAATTTTGATGGATAGGGCGATAGAGGAATAACCTCGTACAAATCATTCCAATATTTGTTAAGCTTTTCTGGATCGTTGGCCGGCTACACGACGTTTTGACTAAAGCGACGTTCTCGCTAACCGACGTTTTCGCTAAACCGACGTTCTCACTAAAAGTCAAAACGTCGGTTTAGTCAAAACGTCGGTTTAGTCAGAACGTCGGTTTTCCTTAAATATGCGGGGGCAATCAGAGCGAATGAGAATTGGCTCTTCCTGGATTAAAAATTCTGTCTAAAGCCCGCCGTCTTTCTCAAACCGAAACTTTCCTTAAATTGTTAACTTGGAAAAACAAAATATATATTTTTGAATTAATTATTATAAAATTATTATTTGAATAACAAAATCAATAATTTTAAAAAATATTAAGTCTGCATAATTTACTGATCTTTTTACATTTTATCGGTCTTGAGATCATTTTTAAAAGATTTATTTTAGTTATATTCGTTAATTTAATGAAGATATTCATTATTCTTATACTTTTACTCTTCACAAAGATTTTTCGAAAGAAAATGAAAACGTCGGTTTGACGAAAACATCGGTTTCCAAACTGAGTCTTAACCAAATTCAAGGCGCCCACGCATTTTTAAGGAAAACCGACGTTTTGACTAAACCGACGTTTTGACTAAACCGACGTTTTGACTTTTGGTGAGAACGTCGGTTTAGCGAAAACGTCGGTTAGCGAGAACGTCGGTTTAGTCAAAACGTCGTGTAGCCTCGTTGGCCGCTTCTCTGACGGGTGCAAGAATCTCGTCAATAGACGACAGTCTTCCTTGACAATTGATTCGATGTTCTTCGTAGTTTGAGTACTGAAGGATGGCTTCAGAACAATCTTCGCATTTGATTGTGAGCTCGTTTGTTTTCTCGAACCATTCTTTTGGAGGCGATTTCAAGTAAGAAACATTGTCATAGTTGATGTGGATTTTGCAGTTCGGGCATTTGTTGTCGTTGTTAGCAACTTCGATTCGGAAGCAGGGTAGACAAAAGACTTTGGGGCAGCTTTGGCAGACTTTTGGTTTTTCCGATATTTTGTCGCATAACAAACAGGTGAGATCAGGATCTACAAAGGGATAAGTAGAGGCTTTTATATTTGAAAAACTGAGGCTGAGCCTTTAATCAATAAAAGAGATTTATATATTTTCGTGAATAAGTACCAATTTGATCTTTTGGTTCAATATTTTCTAGAGAAATTCCCATTCTCTCGAAGTTTTAATAAGGAACTGCAAATAGGATACTGGTTTTGAGCCTGTGAAAAGCAAATAACCTGACATTTGATATGAGCTTCGCAAATATTTACAACGCTTAGATTTTACCAAGATTCTTTTTTCCAATTACCAGTCTTATTTTGATCAAAACAGCACTTGGAAAATGTATCAATCTATTCTTCTCTTGAAGCTCTCGAGCCCCACCAGCCGTCAAAAAAATCTCCATAAATATGCGACGAGCGGGTGCTTAGATATCATAAGCTTCTAGACAAGCATAACATAAAGCAAAACCCACCAATCTTCAACAATAAAGATGAACGTTCTTTCCATCTTCTTCCTCTTTTTCTCTTCCACCAACGCCTTCGACCACAGAAGCCAGGCTCAAGCCTCAGCTCAACACATTCGAGCCATGCTAAGACGCAACACCCCCTTCATCAAAATCCAGGACAAATCTCCAAGGCGAAAAAACCAACGTCTCATCAGCAGACTTGAAAAACTCTACTCAAAACACTTGTTTCGATGAACCATAGTTTCTGCTTCACAAAATAAAAAGCATGGAAAAAAAATTATATATATTTATTAGATATCTTTGAAAATTGAGTATGAATATCATCACGATGTTCATCATGATTTATGATTGTCAGGAGGTACAGACATTTGAAGTTGAAACAAATAGGGTCGGATACCAATTTTTTGATCCATGGTCAGCAAAAATATCAGTCGAGAGAACATTTTCATTTTTATCTTAGTGAAGGTTGTAAAGACATTTCTATGAAAAAGTTAATGCGAAACCAAGAATATACTATGAATCTTTATAAGTTTGAGACCTTCACCTAGAAAAGCACGCTGAATCGAAACTTTAGGGGAAACAGATGAGCCGGGGAATACGAAAATAACATTGTCGATAAATATAACGGATGAATAGTGAATTTTCTTTAAAAAATGAGTTAATTTTTTCCGTCAAAGATAATTAACTAGATTGATATAATATTTGTATGTTTACCTCCGGCAAGTTCCCGACTAAAGACCAATTGTCATTCTTTAATCGCCAAATGTCATTCAATCGGTCCCAAATCTGATCATCAAATCCTCCAACAGTCAGAAGGTCTCCTGAAGGTAGTCCGATAGCAGGAGCATTCCGTATCCCTCTTAAATATCTCATACAATAAATATTTCTATCTTGACTACTTTGGATGGCTGGAAAGCGATTTCCATCCATCATTTTCCAGGGTTTCAGTAGCCCCGTATGAATACCATCCTCCAACAGCAGTTGGCCGACCATTGTAGCTTCCCAACGCACCATACTGGTGCTTAATTTTCGTTCCTGATGCGTGAACAACGCTGGAGCCGTCAAAACGCTCGCATGCTTTGTAAGATTTCTCTTCAAAGCAAATTATAGCTCAAAAATAAACTTCTATAAATCCGAGTCTTAAATTACGCAGTACCTTCACTACCTCCCTCAAAACTGAGGGCGTCATGTTTAAGCATATATTCATTATTGAGGCGCGATGATAGTTCTGTGAATGCACATTCGTCCAAGCGATAAATCTTCAAGAAATTATTATGACTTTTTTAATTTAGGTTATCTCATTACGCTTTGCATGTTTCTTTGGCCTCCGAAAGTGTGTAAAAGACCATTGATTAAAGCGTGTTTCGATTGGTACAAAAAGCCATAATCGGTGTCTTTTCATAGGATTTTTACAGCTTTTTTTCTATTAAATTATCGATTTAAAACAATAAGTAAAAATCCCTGGTCTGAAGATGGAGGATTAATCATTAAATTTTTGGTAATTGATCCATCACTCTTCAATGCATAAGGCAAAAAGTCTGAAGATAGAACATTAATCTGGGTTGATTGCTCCGCTGAATAAATGAAGTTTTTGATTTCGGTCCGCCGATCAAATTTTAAAAGCCGGACCCTCATGTTTTTCTCCTTATCGAATTCAAACAATTCTAATGCAAAGGTTTTTGTTTGCATCTGATCTATTTTCAACTGCGAATGTCAAAAGCGCGTTCTTTGTTAAAAAGTAGAAAATAAAACTCAAAATGGAAAAATGAAAATATTTCCTGAATGCTTAAAATCGTGGAATTGAAGGCATTCTGAGCGAGATGCATCTCGAATTTTGTCCATTGAAATAAATCTCCTTCCAAGATCAATTTATCGCTAAAGTAATCAGAAGCTATCCAAAAAGATCCATTTGTTAAAAATCCCAGATTAAAGAATGATTTTCTGTTAAATAACTGACAGTCTAGCTGAGTTTGATTGTCGATTTTAAATCCAGTTTCTCGCTAAAAGTTTTTGATAGATATAATATTTAATTGACTTTTAAAGTTACTTTTAAATAAAACCGCAACGTCCATATTTGAGAATCTTTGTTAGCTGCATAATTCAATTCAAAAGTCGAAACATGCTTGAACTCCTCAAGCGAAGTGAATGGCTTGTCTTCGAAAGAACCTGGTATGATTGTTTTTGGATATGGTTTCAAGCTCGACCTTGCCGACTCAGGAAACCGCGGCTGGGAGGCGGCATTTTTCGCAAAGGCGGGAAAGACATCGTCGTGAAAGGCAAACAAGGGGTTGCTTGTCACGTACATTTTCTCCTTTACATCCTGCTGTACGTAATTTATCTCAATTAGATCTTGTATTTCGGATTTGCTTTTTTCCCATTACTAGGCATAGAGTCTGCTGCATTCTGCTTTATCATTAACAAGATATTAGTTATTTAATTGATAGTCAATCCTTTCCAAAGTTAAATTCAATTTCGAGAGTTGCGTCAAAAACATAATTTTGGATATAAAATTTCTCGTTGCTTATGATTCCGTTTGTGAAATAGTCGCATTCATCGTTGTTGAGCCCACTCTGATCTGTATAGTTCGGGTCATCAGAAGCGAACAATTTTGAAACGCAGAAAGATCTTTCGTCGTATTTAACCAGAGAACCAATCCATTCGCTGCCAAGATTCAAAAATTTTCCTTCGGCTTCGAGAAGCAACGAGTACTGAGTATTTGAGAGAGCGATACTTCTTGTCACCAGAATAAGAAACAGCCGATTTAAGTCAATCTGTTACGGGTTGAAAAAACAAAAACATTTGTATTGAAATATCCGAAGTTCAGCCCTTTTCAAAGGTATAACATGAACTGGGTCCAAATCTCTAAATTCAACAGGTAATGCTATTTCATTCTTCCGCCACCCTTTCTCCACTTCCTCACTTTTTCGGATTCTGTTGAGAGCAACTGCTGTTGATAGCTTGATCCAACGTTCACCCATCCTGACACTCATCAGATAGAAGACCCCTTTAAAGCTGACTGAATTTGTCTTTGCGTTGAAATGATTGCTCGCAATAAAACCCTGCGCCTCTTCAAAGCGATTTAAATTGTAGTCCGGAGCATAGTAGTAGCACTTGTCTGATCTTCCGGTCGGAGAACAAATGACAACGACGTGGAAAATCTTTACATCATTTTCTTTTCGGCGAATCTCGATATGATGAGTTCCGATAGACGCGCCAAAGTGAAATACAAAGAAACCCCTTATTAAAATATTTCATTTAACGAAAATAAAATAACCTTACAGTCCATGATTACGATTGGCAAATTGCCAATGGCAATAAAGACCGGAGAGTCATCACTTTCGCTTATTTTCATCATATTTCCCAGTGCATCGACAAGATAATGCTGTCCTTTGAGAAAAGTAGCGCCTGTTGACTTGCAAAGTTTTTAACAATAATTTTTTAGTCCGTAGAGAGGCGTTATCATTCGAGCCTATGATTCGAGCCATACTACTCCTAGGCTCCGGGGGGCGAAGCCCCCTGGTTTAGGCCTTAGGTTGGGGGGGTCCTGGGGGGGGGAGCGTAGCCCCCTGGGTAAAGTTTAGGGTTAGCTAACACTAAATGAAAACTACAGTTTTAATTGTCGATTAATAATAGAAATAAAAACTTTCATAAGGATAAAGAGACTTCTGAGCCTTGACCGGAATCTCTTGACCGCGATCGTTGAAATCCGAAAGAATGATAGTAAAAAATTTCCTTTGAATTTCACGATCTTCCCATCGACCAGTTATCAAGCTAATACCAAAGTAATCGCGTGTTACATTGCCGAATTTGACATGTTCCCACTTCTTCAGGTCAAATAAAGGAACAAGTTTTTGAGCTGATTCTAATTTTTCACACTTGTAATGGGGACAAGGACAGCCTTTCGGACAGTATTTCTGAGTCGGGCAAACTTCTCCGGCAGAATCAAACGATCGAGTCAGTTGAAAACAAATTGACTCGCAGGGCGAAACCGGGCTAATACTTGTCGATTCCAAAACGAGCGTTTTTGAGCAAAGATGGCGGCATATCTTCTGATCATAGAATTGTTTCTTCCTGCATCGGATGGAATTGACTTTATTCTCTTCCTCTGAGAAAACAATCGGCTGACTTCTTTTCTGATCGATTTTAGAAATAGGCTTGGGAATGATGAATTTTTCTGTCACGTAGCATTTCTTCATTAGGTGCCCGCAGTAGTCCATTGTTTCAATTTGAACACATTTCTTGTAGTTTCGATGACAAGTTGAAGTCAGAAATGATGTGACGCCGCGGGATTTTTCCAATGAACGTAGATTTGCTTTAAAATTATTTTTATTGACAAAGATTCTCCTATAACTTACTTAGAAGCATAATTGTTATCCAGAAAAGAGTTCCAATTACAAGGTACGAAGTCATCTGGCGCATTGTTGAGAATCCATGCTGCGCAAAATTTAGTTTTTCGGTTTTCTTCTTCCAGCTTTTTTCTTTTTTCAAATCTCGTTCTTGCGTGTAAATACTTCGAGTAGTAAGCACTTCTTCAGGAAACAAATAAACTTGACCTTGCTTTTGTTTAAGAATGCCAATGCAGTGGCAATCCAAGCACTATTATAAGCTTGCTTACATATAAAAATTAATTTACATACCCGGATTTTCGCCGGATGATTGGTTTCTTTTACAATCATTTACAGATTTTTCTCTTGAAAATATATTTATCTCCAGAAATCACGGTTCTAACTCCCATGCGCGTTCATTTTTTGGCATTTGAACTTTGTCAGTTTAATCTCCAGTTTTCCTTTTTCTCCCAACCTAAACGTGAAATCTATCCCTAAGCGGGGGATCTCGTAAACTAAAACAGTTCAATGAACGAATTGAAAGTTTATTGAACAGTTGTAACTTGCGCAGTCTTTGGGCAAGACTCAGGACAAGCATCTTGAACAAAATCCATGTGGCAGATACTTTGCCAGGTCGTTTTGCACAGCTCGCTCATATCAACATCGGTCGTGAACGTGGATTTCCCTTCAGTCAGTGGAGCAGCTACTATTCCACCTGATTGAGTTCCGGAGTCTTAAGAGAAATAAAAAAACGGCTAATTTGTGCAAACTTTGGTACCTTTTTCAGTAGGATCAATGGGAATAGGCGCTTCAGGCTTGGGATCAACGATGAGAACTGCGGGATTCATTGGTGTTGGGGCTGGTGGCCTTGGATCGACAATAAGGACTCCTGGATTAACTCGAGTGTGTGGCGGCGGGCTGGGATCAACGATGAGAACTGCTTGATCTACAGGCGCAAATGATCCAACAGATGCGACTTCAGCCACTGGCGGTTGCATTCGATACGACTGCATTGGGGCGCACATTTCGGTCTGTGCTTGGCAGGAGACTGGGCAAGCTTCGCGCACCCACTTTTCATCGAGGCACATTTGATGAATGTACTCCATCGAGCACATTGAATGCGTATCCACACATTTGTACTCCAAGTCCTTTACGAAAAACACATGATTATTCGGGCACATTGTTGATTCATCCTACCTTTGTCGCGCTGCACATTGAGCATGTTTTTCCACACTTCGCCCAGAACTCTTCCAGCTGGCAGTTTTCTCTTGAAAGGTGAGCTTTACAAAGCTCTGGGTAAAGATCCTCACATTCGGAATCATCTTTTTGGTCGAAGATACTCGGCGCAAAATGAGCACTCTTTGCCGGCTCGTTGTTGAAAATGTCACCATCACGGCCGAGCATGTTCATCCAGGGGTTGAAATCGGCGCCCATCGGGTCGTGACCCTGCTTGCCTGGAACATAGGGAGCCAGAGTTGTAAGTGGCAGGGGACGGCCGGTGCCAAAACCGTAGATCTTCGTCCAGTCGAACCAGGCTTGTTTGTTCCATTCTCGCATTCGTCGGATTTGGTCGCGATTTTGCCAGATCCTAGCTTCGTAGCTGTCATTGTACTGAATTTAAGCTCAATAAACGCGATCAGAAAAAGAGTACCTGAGATACAAAGGGCTTGTACTTCGATTCGGTTCCTTGAGTTCTCTCTGAATGGTAGCCTCTGCTGTCGATGTTTCTAGAGCCGACCCGAGTTCCTCCTGGAAGAGCTCCAGCCGAGTGATTTGGCGCTGGAGGAAGAGTAGGAGTTGGCTGCTGTCCGCATTTGCCGCAAGTGGCTTGGCAAACGTCGTAAGTGTACTTTCGATTCTCTTCGCCGCAGAAATACGACGTTTCCGCGCAGTTCGGAGCTTTATCTCGGCACTAAATTAAATTTTATTTACAATTAACATCTCTCAATCTTACAGTTCTCCAAAGAAATGCTAGAGCTTCATTCGCAAGAAATGCATTGCAAATAAATAATTTCATCTAAAACTTTCCCTCTCAATCAATTGTATGATGGTTTTTTCTAGTATTCATGCTCATATAAGTACTTTCTGAACTGCTGGAGGCAATGACAGGAAGGGCGAAATCACGATTATTTGGATAACGTTCTATTCACTTTTCGTTGTATTGCACAATAAGCGTTCCCCTCATGACTCAGACCTTTGATTACTTGCCCTAGAAACAGGAGTACTGCATCGATTTTGACATCTGAGAATTTACGGACAGTAGATATGAAAATAAAATTATTGAGGCTAGTAACGTTAGGGGGTCAAGTTCAGCAATATTGAAAACTTCGTGATAACGTCGCATATTCGCAGGAAACACTTTTTTATCGACACGATCGCAAATATAGCTGCACGATCGCGTACTTAATCTTGCTTGACTATTTCTACATTTTGAGTTGCAAAATGCGTCCTGTAGTTCGAGCATTTTTGATCTTGAGTTTCTCATTCAGCTCATTAATTACAGTTTTTCTGGCATCTTTATATCTTCACCAAGAACCAGAGGCAGGAACAAGAGAGATTCTTACAACAGCTCTAAGAAAAACGACCGAAGCAGAAACACAAACGAGTTATGATCAGTTCTTCACGGTAGAATCCACAGGCACGAGCACATCAGCATCACCAGCGACGACAAATCAAGAAACACAAACACAAAATGATGCTGAGGGTTATTCAACAACAGATATTCCTAGTCAAGGAACAAAATTTCAAACCACAACGGAATCATCAAAAACAACGGGATCAATAGAAGAAACAACATCTTCTAAGTCCACAAAAACAGAGTCAACAATTGTTACTTCGAAAACATCATCAACATTTTTGACAACGACCACAACAATTCAAGATCCATCAAATCCTTGTCCGTCAGAATGCCTTCAACCAGACAATTGTGTCGTCATCGTCGGAGAAGAAGATCTTAAGCCAGAACGCAGTAATTGGCTAAAAGATATAATGGCGACAAAAGAATTTCGTCTCACTGTCGGAATAAATTTCCCAGATTTGGCCACAAAGAGGGACTTATACAATGTCATTCATTTACGGGTTAAATTTAATTGTTCCAAGAAATTTTCAATAAATAGAACACGTTTGAACCCTCAAAAAAGATCCACACCCCGGAATCGAAGAATTTCACTGAATTTGGAGATGGTTTTTTCTCTGTCTTCAATCCACCCGGGCATCAAACTAATTTAATGGTAACTGTTACAAATCGACCAAGGAAGCCTGTCCACGAGGTTACGATCGAAACAGTTCTTGGTCAATTTCAGTGTCTAACGGTATGTATAATCTCTCATTCTCCAAAAAAAAAACAATAATTCAAGGTCGAGCAAAAAAGAAACGACGAGACAGGGAGGCTTGACAAAAAACTTTTCTTCAATGGAAACATTATCGAAACCTGGTCTTATAAAGAAGAAGAGGTATTTACTGGTCGTCTTCAAGTCTGGATTGCTGATAAATGGAATCCATCGGGAGTAAGGTTTTCTGTTCTTAATTTTCTTTATGAGAATCTTTAACAACTCAAAATAAATGCTTTCGTTCTCATTTTATTTGCACAAGACTTTTCAAATGATCAATAAAGACAGTGAAATTCTCGGGGCGCTTTGACCTCGGGGGACTAAAACGCAGTGTTATCAATCCCTTTTTTATTTTTTTTTCTCGCACATTTTTAAAGATGAAGAAGATAGTGAGTTCGATAATTTATTATTCGTGGCTTTTTATTTTGCTGTATTCTTGTCTGCTTCAATCGAGAAGAGCAAAGAATAGATATTCTTCGAGAGATTTTTTAACGAAAAGTGGAAGAGACAAATCCGACGAAGGGTTGAACTATTTCGTCTTCGAGAAATTCTATCTCCAGTTTCCGCTGATATGCTTTCAACTTCTCTGTCAATTTCTCTTTCCGAAAAGAATCCGCTTCAATGCAATGGCGATTGGGTCCATTTTGATCCTCTGCGTTTTGGTTCAATTTCGAACAGTGGTTCTCATCGCTAGCTGGAGCATGGTATTCTTTCTTTTTCAAGCGGAGGAGAAGATGGTCAGATTCACAGCCGTGTTACTGTCGATTTCATTTACTGGATTCTTGAAGTATCGACTCGATGAGTTTCATTTGGATGTCACGGACTTACAGGTAGAGTGATGAAAAACTTGAGCCTCCAGAGGCCTCCCAGAATAAGGAGACCTCTGCAGAAATCAATCGTTATTCTCAACTTTATTTACAGTTATTACTCGCAGCTTCCTTCAAAAGCACTGCCTGCCTCTGGACGGACGAAACTACAGATGCCTCGAAAATGGACTTTCTTTCATTTTTCTTCTATCCTTCAACTATCACTGGTCCCTGGATCAGCTTCTCAAATTTTCTTCAAACAAAAAGGGAAGAAGAAAATCTCCAAAAGCCGTCTCTATCAACCTTTTTCCTTGATTCCCTAAAATGGGTTTTTGTAACGATACTTCTCGAGGCAGCTGCGAGCTGGTTCTACACTTCCCTTCTCATCCGAGATGTCTCCTTGATAGAACACTGCCCTTGGCTTTCTTTGATCGCTTTGGTCAGCGTTATCACTTTTAAAACCTGGGCGGAACTGTACTTTTGCTACGGACTAAACTACGCAGTGATCAAACTCGACGGGATGGAATACAATCCCCCGCGACCTGTCTGGCTCAACGACGGTTTCAGACAAGTCTGGCGAACTTACGACCACGGACAGCATCAAATTCTGAAAGAAAATGTCTACAAGCCGATTTTGAAGGAGGGAGGAAACGAGATTCTAGCTGCGTTTTGCTCCTTTATGCTCGTAGGCAAGGTTTCACAGAAGACAGATCATTTCTTAAATACAACATTTTGGCGTTTTATTGCTCAAAAAAGGCTGTATGAAAACCTCTGAAAGCTTTCTGGCACAGTCCGTTGCCATATTACAAAGATGGCCGTTCAAACTGGAACAGCATTCTCGCCTATTTTGTCTTCGGATTCGGCAACTTTTTCTTCACAGTCGCTGAAACTGCACTTGCCGACTTCAAAATTGCTGGCTTCAAAGGTACCGTCAATGATTTTTTCGCTATCTAACTGTAATTCTAGTTTGGAAAGCATTTGCCTTCATTGCCATCTACCCAGTGAACATTTACTTCATCTGTTCGAACTTCCAGCTTGCAAACATCATTATTTCACGACTCTTTTTCGACTGGAACATTATCGTCGGAGTCATAGTCGGATACTGTGCAGTTATTGCCCTCGAAAAGAAGAAAATTTCAAAAGATTTAGTCTAATTTCCTGCCATTACTAATTCCCTGACAATATACCATGAGATTTTTTTAGAGAGGGAGAAGGCCCCTGGCCTCGCTTTCCCGTTTCACTCTCGGGGAAATCTAGAAATTTCTTTCAGCTCCAGTTGGGCACCTCAGAATAAAGAATTTAGAGTGCGGTGCACTACGGAAAAATACAGTCATTTGATTGGCTAGCCGCGCTAGGCGCACGCGGCTAAACTGAGAGTCCCAGAGGGCTTAGGACCCTCAGATTCTCAGATCTCCCTTTAGAAAAAAATCTCATGGTAGAATAAATTAGCAAATTTAATAAAATGTTAGATAAATTATGAATTTATTTTCTCCATCCTTTTTCCCAGATTAATTTTTCTTCATCATTTAGATAGGCACTCTCTCCTGCAGAAAATTGCTGTAGAAAATGAACACGTGAAATTTTTTTATTGAGTAAGGTGTCTTTATTAGGATGGGTGTCTATTGAGCGAGAATCACGGAAACATACAATGGTAGAAGGGGCTCAGGACTGGATTTACCGAGCTCGATCACCAAGCATTTCGTCAAGCATTTCGGATTCAGAAGGACTCTCGCTTTTCTTTCTCACCTCGCTCTTCCGATTCTCTCGTCAGTATAATCGGCCTGAAAATTAATTTATCAGAATGTCTTGAAAAGAACAAGCAAGTAACGTGGAAATTCAAGAGTTTACCTGAGAATATGTACGCGAGGACAGTGCATCTTCGGCAAGTACCAGTAACTGATGTTATTGGCGCTAATTTTTCATATTTTATTCTGAAATGTAGGAGTTAGGGACGATTCTAGGGTTCTGATATGTAGTGTCAAGTTAAAGCCAGTGTAAGTAACAGTACAGTCAAATCTCAGAACATATTCCCGACTCGAAATTCCGAACATGTCAGAGACGCTGAGCGCTCATTGGCGGAACTCCCGTGATGAAGCGGTTTTCTGATTGGCGCGTGGGTGGCACGTGCGCCCCAGCAGCGCGAACGCTCATTCCAGTGGCTCATACACCCACCGGGGCGAGTCGCGGCAACACGCTTTTGATCTTTTTTGAGCCGAAGAGTCCAACATTCAGAGAAAACTTTCGATGTTCAACTATTTTTTCCTATTTCTCCTTAGGCGTTAATGACAAAAGACCTGACCCTCTCTATTTCAGAACTGAGTAATGTGAAATGGGCGTGGAACTTGCCCTGTAAGTTCCGTCCTCGCTAGCATATCGTCAGGTAAGCTTGAATATTTCGACTAACACGTAGAATTTGAATCGTTTTCTTTCAGCTATTGACTTTTAATTAAGGTTGCGAATACTGACGGGAGCATTTCATCGGACTCTGATGAAGAGCCCTTGAGCCGAAGAGCGAGGTGTGAGAGAAAGACACTCAAACGAGCTTTGAGTGTCATGAAGATCTTCCCAGTCGGGAGAAGTCTGCATGTTTAGAGTCTGGAAACAGATTTTAAACATGGATACCATGCAAAATGCCAGTAGGCATCTGCCAATCTGCTATTCCTAACAAAGTCACCTTACCATTATTGCCTTTCTTTCTATTTGTTCTATTTCAATTATAGCCACAAAAACTTTTCTAACCGAAAATAACTTTCAGAATTGAGAAATACTCGGTAGCGACCATGATCGGTGGATTTCGTATCCTGGTTCTCCCTGTCCTCGCTCAGCATTTGCCAGGTAGAATCAGCTTTTCTTTGCTAGTCGAAGAATAACTTTCTTTTTAGTTTCATCCGTCAATTGAACCTTACTTGAGCGAGGTCGAGAAAAGCTTGCGGCATGGAACTGCCGTATTAATAAAGAGCGCCAGAGCTCCGGGAAATACCTACAGCTCCAAGCTTTCCTGAAGAGCGCATTCTACCACAGTACCGAGGAATCGGACAGTGATGAGGATTATGTCATCCGAAGCCATCCTTACCAACTGCAGAATGACTGTATCTGCTTTTTCTGTAAAAATAAGAAAAAGTTCAAAAATGAATCATCATGACGACCTAAAATCTATCTAATAAAGACACCTTACTTTCACCATCATTGTTTGCTTCTTTCTTTGCAGGATTCTAAGCCAAAGTTATCAGGAATGTTTTCAGAACTTGAGAAAATGGTCGACGGAGTGATTTCGTTCAAAAAAGTGCTCCAGAGCTCTGACTCAGAACCGATTCTTGAGATGCCGTCTGTTCTCGAAGCGGTAGAAGCTTCAGTGAGTCTTGAAGCAAGAGCAGTTGTGCTGAACCAGCTGTGCAACAATAAGGCCATTGAGGATGACATTGAAGGTAGTTTTTAGCGAGTTTCATGAAAAGATATTCATCTTTTAGAGCTCAAGAAAGAAAATGCGGAGACTCTTTCCAACATCACTGCGGCTGAGAAAGAATACTTGGAGACCGTCAATTCCGGCGCTTTCGTTGAGAAAATGGAGAAAGCTATCGTTGCGCTAGAAAGCCTCGACGTCAAGGAGAAAAAAATTGATGAAAAGAAGATGAAGATCAAAACTCTTCAGGCGAGAAATGAAGATACCAAGAAGTCTTTGATTTCTTACGACTGTTAGTCTGTTTTAAGGAGATATTCATTATAATAGCTTCTTTCTAGCCGACCTGGCGGAAGAGAAGATCGCCGAATTGACGAAAAAGCGCGACGAATTGAAGCAAAAACTGGCGAAACTCGTCGAATTGTCGAACAACCGCCAGTTCGAGTACCAACGGGAGCTGCAAGAAGCCAATTCCAACGGCACAAATTTCCAGCGCACCAACGATGATGGCTACGACTCAGCAGAAGCAGAGACAAATTCGATGGAGACGATCTAAATTTGACCTTTTCCAATTCACTTTCACCATTCCACGTATTTTTCCCTGCCCTCACTAAATTAGTTATTAAATGAACTCACTTTTTCAAAAAATTCGACACTGATTGAAAATTAACTCGTTTTGTCAAACTAGCCAATTGATTGGAAACGCATAAATCTTTATTGGGTGACGAATCTGAGGGCTAACCAATTATTTGGCTGGATTTGCATTTAGGGGTTAATTTTCATTTCAATTCTATCTTATTCTTTTCACCGATTTCTACTTCAAATCTGGGCGTTATAGATTTCCCGGCAGTGAATTAGGCAATAAATCCGCAAATGTTGATCTTACGAGGAGGGTGTGTCATTCGATCGAGCTTGAGATATAAAGTGCGTATTTCTAATTATTGAATTCATTTTTGATTATCAAAAAATCCAGAGAATGGCAGCTGTAGCGTTAGATTCAACCGGGCGAGATCAACTCGAAGCTTCTGGCTGGGCAAAGGTCGAAAATCGCGACGCCGTCGAGAAAAAATTCGCGTTTTCTGATTTCAGCGAGGCTTTTGGCTTCATGACTCGAGTCGCTTTGAAGGCGGAAGTCATGTGCCACCATCCCGAGTGGTTCAACGTCTACAACAGGGTGGAAATAACGCTTTCGACGCATGATATTGGAGGATTGTCGGATAGAGATTTAAAGCTTGCTAAGTTCATTGATGATGCTGCGAAAAAGGAATAAATAGTTTCTTTCTCCGGAGAGTTTTATGAAATAAAATTCTTGATACTGACATGAAAATCAATCGTCTGCATGAAAAATGCCTCGAAAAATGATGACAGTGGTCTATTTTCAATTTTATTCTCGACGATCTAACTCGGAAAAAGCAGAAACAGGAAGAATCTCTTTCAGTAGAAGAGGCCAAAGTCCTTGATGAGAACAGCAACGTGGCCGCATTTCGGGCAGCTAGAAGTAATCTTTTCGGCCTCAATATCGTGACATTCGAGCAGGAGGCAGTTGAAGCACCAGTTGTCGTGGCCGCACCAGAGAAGCTGCCGCGCGTACATTTCGTTTTCTTCAATTTTGTCGTGGTCTGGTGAGAAATATCGCTCGCAGGAGTGGCAGACGTTCTCTGAGTATCCTTCGATCTCGTCATCATCATCTTCAGCTTCATTCTCTTGCTTTTCCTCCTGCTCAGAGTTATTATTTCGCGTAACCAGCTTAGAAAGGAGAAAAGTACTGATTTGACTTCACCCTTGTTCTGCTGAAAAATCTGAAAAATTATAAATCTGCTCCTGGTTTTCTTCCTTCTTCGTCTCTTCCTGCTTCTCCTGGTTTTTCTTTTCTTCTTGAGTATCCATTTTTGAGCTCTGGAAAACGATTTTCAACATGAAGGGATAGTTTTGAGGAAAATACCTTTTTTGAGAATCGGAGTTTCAAAAGTGACTCTTTTTTGAAGTAAAAAAAAAGACGAGTGAAAATGAAGCTTGAGAAAAATTTGTCGCGCGTCGGAATTTGGCTCGATCGGGTTTTATCGGTTGAGTCAAAAGCAGAGATGAGTTGTCTCATGTCAGTGGAAGATTCTCGAAGTCAATGAAAAGGATATCTTTCTCAGTTCATTGCAAGAACGCTAGAATCCTAACATTTCTAGATTTCGATGATTCAAATGACAATTTTCGTCTTCTAGAAATCAACCTAATAGCCGAAATGAGAAGTATGAATTTTCCCACTTCTATTGGCGACATTGATTATCATTTGGCGGAGAACTTGCGTAAATATGGAGAATTCTTCCCCTCATCCAGCTGAATTAATAGCGCTCCAAGCGGATCGCTTCCTGGGTCTCCTATTGGTTGTAATGGGAGATGACCTGAGGCCCCTCTGGAGGAGGGTCACTAGAGGACGCCTAAAGATCCTCTCGATCTCGTCAAAAGAGGAAAGTTCAACTGTAGTTATAGAGAAGAAACCAATGAATTGAAGAATAAATGAAGATTTTATAAGAAAAATGGACAGCGCAAGGGTCACCAAATTGCTGCAGAATGAGCTTTTGACGATTGAAAATGCAATTAAATCAGGTAGAAAACAAAAACCATAAAGTATAAGACTACAGAAATAATAAGTACTTTATTGATTTTTAATTTCCCGATGAACTAATTACATGTAACCTCAACACGTGCTAGTGTGAAATTAACGGAATTTACAATTTGTAACATTTACATAAATAAATTTGATTGTTCAGACTCGGTCAATCATTCAACCGTCCAAGCTGCCAAAAACATCATCGAACTCGTCGAAAGCCGAGCTGGAGCATCTGGAGAACAAGTTCAGTCCCTCATCAGAATCGTAGCCGCCTATTGCCATCTCCTCGCAAACGATGAGCCCGTCTTTGTCGCCGAAAATCCCAGGCAAAAGCTCAGAAAGCTCATGCTTGAAACCATCTCCCGGCTGCCCACTCAAGAATCAGTGATAAAACGAAATGAGCGTGAGATTTCTTCGATGTGTTTCCAGCTGATCAAAAAAGACAACGAAGACAACGCTTCGATCGCGCTGAAAATCCTCATCGATCTTTACAAGAATTGCCGGCCGCCGATTTCCAGCGATGTCCGAGACTTTCTCATTACTGTTCGAATGATGTACCAGTCCTTGCCCGGCTCAATGGAGCATTTCTTCGAAAACCCTCCAAAGTACGTCCCTGGACAAACGCCGGATGAAACCAAAATTGGCTTTCTGACCAAGATGACTTACCGGGTAAACGCTCACAATCAAATTGTCAATAGTGGTGGAACTCTGACGACAAGAACCTACATTCCCAAAGCTCTGAATTCATTGGTAGTTCTGATTGAAGCTCCAATAGGAAATGGTTCCTTTACTGAATTAGTTTTTCTTTCGATACTTTTGTGACCATGATAAAGCTGTGGTTTTGATGTATCAACTTTACCGCGAAAGACTTGATGATCTTTTCCAACTTATTTCAGCCGTCCTGGCTCTTTCTCCGTCTCCACAAGCCATAGCTCGGCCAGATTTCAGAAGAGAACTTTATGTTAATCTTATTGGCGTACAGGAACAGGTCAAACTCTTCAAATTTTATCACAAGGAAGTCAAATTTCTGGACCTTTTTACAAGATCAAAAGCTTATCCTTGGTTGCGTATTTCGTCAAGCTCTTCCCCCAAAACATCATGCCATACTCACGTGATCTGCTTCTGGGACTTTTGCGGACACTGAAATCTTGTCCTTCTGAAAAAGCTGCTTATCGTAAAGAGCTCATCATCGCAGTCCGTCATATCTCAAATACAGAGCTGAAACAAGCGTTCATCCCCCACCTGAAAGAATTATTCGACGATCAGATTCTCTTTGGCCAAGGCTTGACCGTTCGCGAGCATATTCGTCCGCTCGGATATCATGTCATTGCAGAGCTTGTTCATCAATTGAGGACGATGCTTCCCTATGAAATCATCTCAGCAGCGGTTTTTACTTACATGACGAATTTACACGATGATACTCTGCAACTAGGCAAGGAGTTAATATTTTTGATTCAAAAATTTTGAAAATATTTCGTCTCAAATCAGAAAAATATAACTCTGAAAAGGCGCTCATGTATTTTCCGCAAAATTAGTGGTTACCCTTATCGACTGCATCCGTCAATCAAAAGATCCATCTTTGACACAAAAAGAAGCAAGAAAATTGTTGATGAAAATTATGAATGTTTTCACTGATCGCCTCGTCTCAATGGCAAACTATGATCTCATCTGCATCCGAAAATCGAAACCACCAAAAGACGAGGAAGAGCGTCGGCAAATGGAAGCGACTTTTCAGGAAAACAAGCAGCTTCTTAAACTGCTCGTCTGTGGGGCAAAAATGGTCACAATCTATTTATATAGTCATCGTATCAACGAAATGAACATACACAGTCGTCTACCAGACTTTGGTCCATCCGAACGTCAACTCTACAACAAATTCGGCGTCAATGTCTTGAAGTCAGTTGATATTTACACTTTGAGCAGCGTGGGTAAATCGGACAAGGATCTCAAAGACACTCTGGAGTACTTTGCCAATACTTTTCTGAACCTCCCACTACCGGCCTTCAAAATCGTTAGCAGTGATATCATGGAATTTCTGATCGATCGAATGCATGAAAATCCTCTTCTTCATCACGTGGCACATCCAATTCTCACAAGACAGCACTACTCGTTTGAGTTTTCGTCGATTCTCGTGAAGCATGCAATTGCAAAGATGCCAGAAATGGGCAATCCTGGAAAACGTTCAGGTCTCTACCTTCTTCTTTTCAAACAGCTGTTCGGAACAGTCATTCATTTGCGCGGCGAAAACGAAGAAATGCTCAGACCTCATCTCGAACAAATCGTCAGCGGAGCCTTGAAACATGCTGTTCACGCCAAGGATCCTCAGAATTTTTTCATGCTGCTTCGATCCCTCTTTCGATCGATTTCCGGCGGTGTTCATGAAAAACTTTACCAAGAGTTTCTCCCGATTCTTCCGAAACTCCTTCGAGCAATGAATCATCTACAGGCTGAGCTGCATTGGCCAGACATGCACGATCTTTTCATCGAGCTCTGTTTGACCGTCCCTGTCCGTCTTTCTTACCTGCTTCCTTTGATGAATGAACTGATGGAGCCTCTGGTCGAGGCGCTCAAAGGCGGTCCAACATTGATCTCTCAGGGTCTCCGAACATTGGAGCTCTTCGTCGACAATCTCCAACCAGACTTCTTGCAAGAAAAGATTCGACCTGTTCGGCCTCAAATGATGCGAGCACTGTGGGACATCATCAATCGCGATGATATCATTCGATCGAGCAAGGAGAGGGAAAACTGTTGCACAGCAGCATTCCGAATTCTGGGAAAATTCGGTGGCGAGAACAGGAGCTCGCTGAGAGAAGCCCCTCAATTGGAATGGGTTGACTTCAACAAGGCCTTTTCGCAAATCATGGTGATGGAATTCAGCGACGTGAAGATGGAAATTCCTCTTGAAAAATTAGCTGAAAGCGCGTTGGAGCTTCTTGGGTCAAAAGAATCAAACGATTTCACCCGTCGATCTTGTGTTCAATTACTTGTTCTTATCCTTACCTCTTTCATCGAAAAAGAACAGCGGGAAATCACGGACCAAGTCAAGTACAATCTTTTCTTCACCAAAGCGAATGATCTTTTCCGGCAAAAAGAGACAGCGAAGCTTTTCAAATGTGGCAAAAACATGGACATTCCCGAAAATCTAATCAGAAAGACCATCCAAGGGCTAATTTACAGTCTCCAGTTCGAAGATTCTTCGATCTCCGATGTCGCTCGATTCCACATTGAAACGTTGATCCGCCACTTAGTCATTGCTGATTGCGGTTTTTACGTATCTCCAATGAGTGAGCTACCGTTGATGAATGATCAGAACAGCAAGATGGTCTACATTGTCGAAGCGATCGTGAATACATTTGAGCTACAGGAGTGCAACATCGATGTCATTTCCTCTGCTGTGTTCAGTTTGGTAAAAGTCGCTTATGAAACTGCTACTTTGCTGCTTGAAAATGGAGTCAAAGTCACCAAGCTCCCATTCTTCGTCGTCATCGCCCGCGAACTCCAACAAGTCTGCTACGAGCGTAGCTGGTACATCAAGTCCGCCGCTAGAAACGTCATTGAAAAGCTTCTCGAGTACTTCCCCCTGACATGGGTCTACGAGCACAGCTTACCGTTCTACAAGGCGCTTTTGTACATTCTCCGAGATTTGGAAAACGAAGTTTCTTTTTCAACCGTCGAGCTGACGCATGCTACTCTTTGGAAACTCATCCAACGCGTCTTTCTTGACGATTCGAAAAACATCAACCCTCAAGATACGAATTTGGCCAGAGAATCGCTTCTGAAGGCGATGGTTGCTGATATCATTTCTCCCTTCAAAATTGTCCGCGATTTCTCGCAGAAGACTCTTCAACGAATCGCTAAAGAAGCTGGAAAAGACACTTCTGAAATCATTCTTCAAATCGTCGGTAAATATGAAACTATTCTTGAAATTCCACCTTTCCAGCTTCCGTCAAAAGGAAAACTCGGAAACATGAACTACAAGGCAATTCCAATCCAGATTGGTATTCTGAACGGCTCTGCGTTTTGCCTCGGCCTGGACCCTCCTGTATTTGCTTACAGTCCTGAGCCTACTGCTGAATGCCATACCTTCCTGGTCGAAACGTTCAAGATCATGTCCGCCGATGAAAATTATATAAACCGGGACTGTTACAAAAAGTGGATGATCAAGAACGAGCATGGCTATGAAAATTCCCTGACTCCGCTCAGAATTGAAGCTATGCGTGTCATGTCCCATTGCTGCAACATCAAAAAGCTCAGAGAAGACATCTTCTCCGCTCTTTACCAAAACATGACGCAGCTGAAAGAAAAGAAAAAGGACGAAGAGCTGATGAAAAGCGCTGAGGCTTGTTTGGAATTCTTTCTCGAAAAAACAATGGCGAAGAAAGAGACTGAGATTACGATGGATTTCATTCACAGCGAATTGAAGCCGATTCTTGAGAAGATTACGCCAAGATCATGCCCTCGATTTGAAGATATGGATTGTTACGTGATTGAACGACTAGCAGTTCTTAGTCGATTGTTGCCGAAAACACTCAAGTTGTATGATCGATTTGCGACGCATTTCAGGAATGAGATCAAATTTGATAGAACACTAGTATTTGAAGCAAGTTCTTTTATGATCTTCTCTTAGGGAAACCCTAAAGCGCATTGTCGAAACAGTCCATCAAAGTCGCTCTCATACCGATCTGCTAAAAATGGCCGTAGCAACTGCGGAAGTCTTCCCACTTGGCCAAATCAGTGAGAACTCTGCAGCAAATCTAGAGGCACTGATGCAGCTTATCATTGATACAGAAGAAGAGCTTGGATTTTATTTGGAAGAAGTGCACGCTCACCTTGCGATGTTCTTCTGCAAGGTGATCAAATTTGACTCACAGAAAGCGTATGAAAATCTTCTTTCGATGGAAAAACTTGCTCATCCTGGTTGGACCCGGCTCATTGGCCAGTTTCTAGCATTCGACAAAGAAAGGGTATTGCATGAAGCTCTTATTTTTACTACTTCAAACATAATCGACAAGACCCTCCAGCATGGGAAGATCGATAGGCTAGACAAGAGCTCCATCATCCTCTATCATGTGATCCAGCTAATTGAGAAGATCAGTCAGTCGATTAAACTATCAGATGAAAAGCTCCAGCCTCTCATTAAAAAGCTCGTGAATGTGTGGAACACAACATGGCTGAATAACAAGATCCAGAATACGTGCCCAACCGAAGATTACAGAGAAATTGTGTTGATCGCCGACATTTTTCTCCGCGCCGTCAAAGAATGTCATCGAGATACGATCATCCTTTTTGAGCTTCAGAAAGTGTTTCAAATTCGGAACATGTGTCAATTCAGTGAAGTGAAGTTTTGGCTCAAAAATGAAATGCCAAGAAGCTTTTCAGCGGAAGATCGACATTTTGTTCTCCGGCAGATCTTTGAAAACTGGAATAAGAATGATTTCTCAGAGCGTGTTAAAGCTGATATCATGGAAAACATTGCCATTCCACTGTTGGTACAGAGCCGGGATGATAAGTCGCTCGAGAGAGTGCTTGGTCAACCAGGGCGATACGATCTCGTAGGAATAGCGGTGGCTCAAGTTGTCGAGTGGAATCCTGATGCTAGTGATCATGTTAAAGTCTCTGTTTTGCATCTTCTCCAATTCCTCGTCCAGAACTGCTACAGCTACATTCAGGACAGCAACGACCCTACCGAGAGATTCCGCATCAGCAGAATCACCGAGTACAGTAGCCCATGCATTGCCTCTGACGCTACTTCAATGGAACCTTTTACCAAATTTAATGGACATCTTCTCCTTGCCATGATTGCTAAAAACTTCAACGTCGATCGAGCAGTAGTCCTTGATCTTTATGAAAGATTGCTCCGCGCTTTTGGAATGCATTCGAAAATTCTAGTCGACCAAGCGCTTGATATTCTTATTGGAAAATTGTCCAAAGACGGTCGAATGGATGACGTGGCAGCTGTGACGAGGAGAATTCTCGTCGAAGAATTTCAAATACTCCGTGCTTCTGCTCAACTCAGCCATGTTGTAGGTCTCATCGAGCGGCACTCAGACACGTTCTTTGAGTGCAAAGATAAATCTGGACTCGTCGGGGTGATGGTGCCGAATATGAGTCGCTTGTCGAGCAGCAATTTCAGCGAACAACGATGTCTTGCAGTAAAACTCGGAGCGATGCTTATCAACTGGCAGAAACGCTCACTAGAATCTCCTAATCCAGTTTCAATCGTGGAAAAGAAACATGCCGAGACCATCATCAGTTTCCTCATAAGAATCATGAATCAGTACTTTAGTACCGTCGAGCAAAGCGGAGCTTCAGCAGAAATAATCAACAAATGCAAAGGCGTTTTCAAGACAATTTACGAAAATAATCTCTGGGAAAACATCCCTCTCCGCCTTCAAGTGATCGAAAAATGTTTCGAATCAATCGACGGCTCCGAGCAAAAGTCATCTGAAGCAGTTTCAGCAATGATGACCCTCAAAGAGCTCGTCCATATTGTTCCGAACTCGATAAATGAGGTCCTCGCTATGCAAGACACACTCATCAACTTAATTTGCAAGGCTGACCTTCGAATTTATGCTGGACTCAAGAATTTGCTAAAAGAAATCGTATCGAAATACGGCTCTCATCCCAATCTTCAGCCAATGAGAGAAACAATTTCTCATCAACTGAATGAAGGGTTCAGTCAATGCGAGAACTCTGCAGATCCCATTCCTGAAATGCGAAGATACCTTATCCTTGTTGATTCCTGCAAAGAGCTTCCAGGCCTTGTTGAAGACGTTTCTTACAACTTGGTCAGATTATTTCATCGGGTTTCGAAAGAACACCTCTCCACCAATGTCATGTCTCCACAGAACCCGAGGAATGATGAGAGACAAAGTGGTCTCATTCAAGGCCAGATTCTGACAATCTTCGAGATTTTGCAAGGGCGGCTAAGTTCCATCAATACCGAAGCTAGAAAAACGTTCTTGAGCCAGCAGTCTGTTACTTCAGTAATTCAACTGATTGAGAGGTCTGACTCCATTGCTTTAATTGAAGCAATTGTCGAATCTACTGCTTCGTGGGTCAAATCTGGAATTTTGACGGCAAAAGAACGAGGGTTGATCCTCCCGAAGCTATTTGTTAATTTATCCAGACGACTTGAGGATCTTTTCGACGAGAAGAAAATCGAGAAGGAAAGACTTATCAAGGTACAAGCTCGCTACTTGGACATCATTTTCAATGTCTACTACGATGAGCGGGGAACAGACGGTACTGGTAACCAGGGAGATCTGATACCAAAACTCGAAGGTGCATATCTCTGGGGAATGAGCCATTCTGATCGAACGATGCGAATGAAATTCTTCGATCTCTACTCCGAATGGGTTCCAAATGACATTACTCAAGCCGTCCTCTTTATTTTCTCCACCCAAATTTGGGATCAACTTTCGACTAACTTCCTTCCAATCGCCCTTGCTTTGCTTCTCAGAAGAGTCAACAAGCAAAAACCAAGTCTGCTCAGGCGAATACCAATTTTCCAAAGCCTCGCAACGCTCTTTGAAAGCGGAAAACTTCTCAACGACTACGACGAAGATGGAATTGGGCCAGATCGGCATCGCGAGCTGTTCAGTCGGCTGACTTCTTCGAACAATGAGATAAGCGAAAACTTCAATGCTGAAAACTTGCTGGGTTGCTTATCCGAACTGGGCTTTGCTTCTCCGAAATTGGCAAGATATGTTTGGAAATTCGTCTTTCCTTCAATTTGGAAGGCGATTCCAACTAAACAGCACCAGATTGTTGGGAAGCACCTGCGCCAATTCATGCTTCTGTCTCACCCATCTCATCGAACTGATGATATTGTGGCTTTCGTTGAGTCGATTGTCAGTTTATCTCCACCCGTCGATCTCAAACCTTACCATTTACGATACCTTTCTGAGACGTATCCCCTCCAACCCCTTGCAGCCGTCACTTTGGAAGAAACAATCGCCAGGGAGCAGAGCCAGGGAAAAAGAGATGTTGTCGACTTGGAGCAACCACCAGGGCAAAACGCTGCCGTCGTTCTTGCGCAAATCTACGATCATCTTGGGGAGGCGACTTGGAAAACATCTGTTTGGGAGTCTCGCTGTCAATTTGCTGAGACTTCAAAGGCTCTTCATTTTATGGAACAAGCAAAATACGATGATGCTCAAACATTGCTGGAAAAATTGATTCACTCTGAAAAACAAAAGCAAAATTTGTCACCAAAAGACTATTCTGAATACGATCTCTGGCGCGAAAGCTGGATCACGTGCTGCAAAGAGCTAAATTCATGGGAAAGTCTCTACTCGCACGCTGCGCATCAGAAAGACACTGTACTTGCTGCCGAGTGTTGCTGGAAACTGCCGAATACTTGGAATATAATGAAAGATGCGGTTGTTACTCTAGAACAGTCTTCAAAGAGTCATCAAACTTGGCGAGTTCATCTTTACAAGGGATACCTGTCGATCAGAAAATGCATTGAAGATGTCAACAAAGAGGTCGACTTTGATGTTGCTGTCGTCGATAAACACTCGCGAATGTCGGTCCTTGAAGCGATTCGAGCTTGGAGAAAGCTCCCAAAAATCGTCTCTTCCGCTCATGCTCCTCTTCTCAGGGCTGCACATCAAATTGTGGAGCTGAACGAAGCCGCTACGATTCATGAATGCCTCGGTGGAAGCCTTATTGGCACTGAAAAAGGAAAAGAGTCAATAAAGGACATCGTCAAGCGCTGGAAAAATCGTTTGCCGCTAATTTCCGACCCCTTGTCTCACTGGTCGGATATTGTCACCTGGCATCATCATCAATACCAGTCGATCGTGACTCAGTACGAGCAGATTGGCACTGACCAGAGCAATGTTGGAATGCATGCATCAGCTACAGACTTTATTTACTACGCCCGAATCGCTAGAATTCACGGACAGCTCACATCCGCTCTTGAAAGTCTTCAACAAATTAACCAGATTCCTTCCGTCTCCGTCTTCGATTGTTACATCCGAACCATTGAGCAGATCAAGTGCTACTTGACGATGAACAATCAAGATGATCGCCACCTAAAAGTCATTCAAGAAACATCTCTTCGATTTTTCAAGCCGCCGGAGCAATCCGAGATTCTTGCACTCAAAGCCAAACTTCAAGGAAAAGTCAAGTCCCCACCCCAAGATCCTTCTTTGACATTCTGTCAAGCCGTCCAAGTTCACGATTCTGTCCAAGCTTGGGGTCACTGGGCCGAATGGCTGGTGGCGGAAAATCTTGAGAAAGCCGTGGCTAGTAATAAAGACTGTGCTCCACACGCAGCTACTGCTCTTACAGCGTTGCTTCAAGCAAGTAGGCAGCAAGCTAGCGGTACATTTATGCCAAATGTCATTTATTGCTTGACATGGGACTTCACTGAACCCGTGCTAGAAGTTCTCGATCAAATCGCTGATTCAGTTCCCGCCATTCAATGGCTGCCCTGGATTCCGCAGCTCATAAATTCGCTCTGCAGACCTTGTGGACATTCCGAACTTGCGCAAAGACGTGAAGATCGACTTCGAACTATTCTGTACAAAATCGCGAAGAAATATCCTTTAGCAGTGTATCTTCCAATTAGAACAAAATACTTGAGTGTCAAAATGGAGAACAAACAGAAAAACATCAACGTCGACTCTGCCACGGGCTGCTGCTGCTCAAGGCTCATGTATCTGCTACGGGATGAGTTCCCTCCTTTATTGGCGTCTACTGAAGCGATGATTGAAACGATCAAGGGCATTAGAGAAACCTGGGCGGAAAGTCTCATTCGCCAAATGAGAGGACTGCTCAAATGCTGCTTGCACATTCAATACAGCAACACGAACTCTGTTAACGCAGCCAAAGAGCCTGCATATCTTGATTTCATCAAATCATTGCGCCACTCTGTAGCCGACTTCAGAAAGAACGTACAGGGAGAAGTAGCGGATGAACAGTCAATGAAAAAATTCTTGGAAGAATACCCACGTGATCTCGGACTCCAAGCAGTGTTGGAAGATGAATCGAAAATCAACATTTCTGAAATGGCAAATTTGATCCCACAATGTTCTACAAAATTGCGAAAGTGGATCAGAAAGTTGGAAAATGTCATCAAAAATGGAAAGAAGTACTTTTATCTCTCTAACTGGAGATATATCGACGGAGAAATCGAAGTTCCTGGGCAAAGTTTAGAGCCAAAAGAACCAAAAACCTTCATACGCGTTTCCAAAATCATTTCGAAAGGCGTCATTCTTGACCAATTTGATGCGATTGTGAAACAGATTTCTTTCTTGGGGAAAAATGGTCGTATTTACAAGTTCTTGTGCTTCGTCGATGATCAATTTCCGCCACAACATGCCTCTGAGCCTCGAAGAGAGGAACGATCGAGTCAGCTCAAGCGAGCTATAAATCCGATTCTATCAACCTCCAGGTAATCAAGATGCTTCGATTTTATTTATAGGTAATTCAGGTTAACTTCTCGACGCGGACTGACAATAGAATCACTCAAGATCATCCCCCTCGGTCCTTTACAAAAGCTAGTCGAGCACAAAGAAGATGGCGAAACTCTCTGGCAGATTTACCAAAAAAGCTGCATCAAGAAACAAGATCGCGATTCTCCCCTCAGCTCTTACTTTTCTCGAATTTCTTCGCCTCAGAAAGAAAATGCGCCAAGCGACAGTTTGCTGAAAGAAACCTTCTCGAACATCACTCACTCCTACGTCCCCAAGGACATTTTTTTCAACTGGGCGAAATCGACCTTCCCGAGTCATGTGGACTTCCTCGCTTTCAAGGGCCGATTCTTGCTCTCGATCGCGGTCCAAAGTGTTGTGTCTTACTGTTACAACCTCAACGCTGTTGCTCCTTCGCGATGGTTGATTGACAGAAAAACTGGATCGTTGTTCATCATTGGGCAAAAGATCGAAAGTTCAAGTCCCAAATCAATTCGACTAACGCCGAATCTGATGTCAATTCTCACTTTCTGCGGATCTCCTCATGCTCTGGTCGAAGCCATTCAATGTAAGTAACATAAAATATACTTTCCTCTTTGTAACAATTTCTAGCGACTTGTCAATCGATGCTTGCAGACTCGTTTGTCACCAACGGAGTCTCTAAAGCAATCATCAGAGACGAGGAACTCATTGCAGATACAAATGCCTGGGGAATCGCAACTCAAACCAAAGCAAATGCGGTTGCCTTGAACCTAGAAAAATTGAACAAGGATGCGACAAAAATCGTCCTTCAAGCTTCCAATCCTGCCATGCTCGCAAGAGCAGATCCTTCATTCTACCCCTGGTTATGATTTCTGTAAATTTAATATGCTAATAAATCCTTATTGATCACACATAAAGTTGTTTTTTTCAAACACTATCATAGCTTCTGTATTTCGACCTTCTTCTTTCTTTACAAAATAATCTCGCAGAAATGATTCCGATGTTAACGGCACAAATAAAGCAGGAAACTCCAATCATCAAAAGATTCTTCTCTATCGTAGGTATGGTAAACAACTGTTCATTATTTTTGACCACTGTGGGTTGAGATAAATTTTCTAATTCCGGCTGAGTGGATTTCAATTTCGACTCAAGAGGGATTGCGGTGAACGCTCCTGAAGAGGGTTCAATTTTAGAAGAGGGCTGAAAATCATCATTTGATTGAACGAAAATACTGTTTTTACTTGTTTAATAGTCATTGTCCTGGCATTCGGTGTTGAAGTTTTTACTGAATAGTAGCCAGTAGATTCTCCAATCTGAGTGGTACTTCCGAAAGTTGCACTGACAGTGGAAGATCCTTGGGAAACAGATGACAATTCGTCGCCGACGGCCGCCCTTTTCATTTCATTTGACTTGTCTTCTTTTAGCTAAAGGTCGCTTTGTAACCTTTGAAATCAAGGAAGACCAACCTCTAATGCCAGTAAAAAACCTCTTCTGCTGAAAAACTCGTTTGTCTTGAACTCCAAATTCACGATCTGATGACTTGTTTCGTTGAAAAACAACGATTCGCCTTTCCAGGAGTTGCCGCAGAGTTTCATCTCGCGAACATCTATTGAAGAAGTTGCTTCCGGAAGCGCTTCCGCCCTGATCGTGAGAACATCGTAGAGACAATCTGATCCATCTTCTACGTCGAAATCGACGATGTCTGGACAGAAGAGGTTATAAAAACTAATCCGGTTAATTCGATAATTGCTTTTCAACATTCTTTCATTTATCGAATAGAAATTAAATTATAGGCTTTAAAATGCAGTATTGAAGATGATATCGTCTTTATATTTTCTGAAACATGGAATTTCTAAACAAAACGGCGCATGTTCGGCCGCATAACAATTTGTTGCTATCAATTGTCGCTCACCTATCCTAAACTCAGCTGGGGCAAGGACGCGCCAACTGCACGTGATCGAATTGCTGTATCTTCTTGGATAATCCGGACTGGCAATCGAAACCGCCGGTTTCTCCCGGGATAACCTTGAATTTGGTACACAACGAAATCTAATCAATTTTTCGAAGGCTGTGTTTATTGCAAAAAAATATGAAATTTTACAATTATGGATTTATTTGAAGCAGGTTGCTAGGTGGATACATATGGGGCTGGGGGGTTTAAAAACATGTGGCGGATGGGGGATGATATTTTAATCCAGGAGCGAGATGCTTGATCGGCGAAATTTGGATATTGATTATTGAGAATTAAATTTTCCTATCGTTTAGTTTTTTCCTAATTATTGCGTAAAAACCACAATTCGATGGTACGTTCCTTATCTCTCCGCCACATTGAACCTGGCACCTGTATCCAGTCACTCCTTCCGGGCACAGGCAAATATACTCTGGATAGGTCATGTTTTGAGAGTAACTTTTTAAGGGTTATGCTTTATTTAATTGGACCCTTCCAGCTGAGCCCCTATTTTTGCTCGTAAAAACCCGTTTTCAAGTTCCACCGGCCTCGCACCTCGTTGCTTCGCAAGCGTCTAATTGCTTCTCACACTGAAATAAAGATATAATTAGAAGTGAGGTCCTTATCACGAATGACGCCCTACCCGTTCGCCGCTGAAACCTTCGCAAAAGTTGTCAACTCGTGGGAATTCGATGGAGCAGGGGACTTACCAGGGTCGCAGATGCAATTTGGGAAGGGGTCCGCGACGCAGAAGCCGTGAAGGGAGCAGTCTGGGAATATGACGGTTATGGAGAAGATTTATACCTTTTTCTGTCACGTGTAAGCTTGTTTCTACTCGAGAAGGGTTAAATTCTTATCTCGCCCAACAGCCATAAGTGCTCCTTACCGAATCCATCGCAAGGGTCCTCATAGATTTCGCACACTTTCCCAGCGAAGCCCTTTTCGCAGGTGCACTAAACACCGTCCTGTAGTGAGTTTTTTCCTTTATCAGTGGCGATAACGCACCTCAAAGCCATTGTGGCGATCGCTGCATTGGCCACCGTTGCGGCACGGATTCAGGGCACACTCGTCCACGTCTATCTCGCACAAGCTTCCTATTTTTGGGCACACACGCGTTTTCTCGCTGATTTTCGTTATCAAAGAAAGCTGCAGCCAAATTTTTCTTTCTTGGCAAAGAAAACATCCGCTTTGCGATCTTGTGTGCCCAAAACCCATGAAGCTAGGAAAAGGAATCGCATTCAAGTTAAATCGAGCAAGATTATATATTTATTGCACCTTGCCAAATACAGGGGCCAAGGGCGTGTGTGCCGCGCAAACAGGTTAAATCCTTCAAGTGGTCATTTTTGACCACGATATTGAGTCCTACAGCGGTCAAGTGCCCCCCGATCGTGTGTTTTTTCAATTGTAAATTTTCAATTTTGACTCGAAAATGCGGTACTTTTTTTGAAGCTCGTGCTTTTTACCAATTAGCTTTCCCAGTGGCTCCGATCAGGGAAATTTCATGGGGAGTTAGGCACACGGGCCGAGGGCGAAATTTCACTTGTGAAAATCAATGGTTTTCCATTTCTTTTAAATTTACTCACCCCGGCGGACATTTGCACTCCCACCCAGGGCTTGTGTCGATACAGGTCGCGTTGTGCTATGTTTTCGGGCTAGGAGTGACATCATTTACTTGATCTGTAATTCACTGTAAAAACAAATCCCCGCTGGGCTAAATCTTGCGGGAGCAAATCTCAGATTGAAGCCCTGAAAGTTCTTTGGTGGGTTCAAAATTATAAGCCCGTTTCCTGGCAGCTGGCCGAAGAACAGGAATCAATGGTGACCTCGCAGCGAAGCCCGTCGAAAGCCGCCGCACAAAGACACACTGAAGAGAGGATTAGCTCTGATACTGCCCGCTCAGAAGATAATAGACCAAGCTCAGACGAAACTGGTGTTAAAAAATCCCCAAAATTAAGTCCCACTTTCTTCCCATGCTGTCCAGCTGTTTCAGTACTGCTTATTTCATGACTCTTCAAAATTACAATGCAAAAAGGTCTAAAAAGAAACCTCAAGGTCAAATAAAGCCCTCGAAAAAGTTCAAAACGCAGCGCAGATTTGGAATTTCCGGAATTTTTTTTTTTTTTCAAAAAACCGTGAAGAATTCCAGGGCGGAGCAAGAATATTGAGGAGCATCTTTGATTATAGAAACCATCAAAGAAGCCGGAATTAGGGCTACTAAAGACTTTGCGAGTTGATTAAGGGTGTCGGTAAAATTTTTGCATTTTCGCAGGGAACTTTGATTTACGATCGTTTGCGAAGGGGCAAGGGGCCTATAATCCTTAAGGGTCCTCTCAACACCTGACCTGACAATGGCTACTTTTGGCCCTCGAGCGAGAAAACAAGGGTGTTCTTAAGGTTCTCCTCCGCTTTGTCCCACTCTCCTTATCAAAATAACCCACTCCAGCGCACCATAAAGGGCCTATTTGTTGCTACTAGGTTAGGATCATCCCCATGCGAAAAATGGTGAATGGGAAACGAAAAAAATGGTTTTGATAAAAAGAAAAGGAATCTGCTGTAATTCCATTGTATCCTCAGATCTGGCCAGCTGAGGCTTTTGATTCGGAATTTGAGCAGCGAGTGCCCATTAATCAGAGCTTACACACTTTGCTTGTCACTGTTAGGGGCAAATAAAGGAAGAGACTTGCGCCATTTGTCAAACTAATCGCTTTCCACTGGAACCGAGCCCGACCGCCGAACAACAAGTTAGGAACATTCTCACTTCTTTGATTGTTTTTATGCCTAATTAGGGCTGTGGAGGGTTTTCATCTGGGAAGCTTTTCTTGTTCAGAAAATATTCAATCAAAGACAGGGCCAACCCAGTCTCTTACTCTTAACCCTAACCCGAACCTAACCAAAAACTTGGTTTCCCTGGCAACTATTTTTTGGCATCGACGATTAATAATTTGAGTAAAAATATAAATGTAAATTTGGAAATTCTAATCCATTGGGAAATTTTCCAACTTCGGAGGATCAAAATTCACGACGTGGCAAGGCCTAATCTCTTACCATATGGAGGCTCTAAGCCAGGAGCGAAAACGCAGGTGCCGCCGTTTTCGCATGGCTCAAGTCTGCAAGCATTTTCAACGCCGAAAAAGTCGAATTCTTGGTTTTCTATGAAATCGTATCGATTCATTTTTTTGCTAGAAAGAGCTTTGAAGCCTTGGCTTACCTTTAAAAGGCCCAAAAGAAGGGCTCAAACGGCCAATTTCAGCGTAATAAGTCGGCTCAGCTGTCCTCAAGTACTTTTTGAGTGGCTGAAGACTTTCTCACTGAAGTAACGTTTTAACCCGGCGGCGTCTTTACTTATCGATCTATCGACACAGGCGAAGGGGATCAAAAGGAACCCAAAATTGTCAGATTAAAAGGGATCAAGTGATTCCTGTTTAGTCAAAACATCCTCGCGAAAATTATTCAAGAAGAGGAAGATTATCGAAAATGGAAGCTGACCGGATCAATGGAAATTTTCATAAACCGGAAAATCTTAAATTTATCACAGTTTATGTTACATTTTTCGAAGAGAGCGATAAGGGCGCGAAATAATTCGCTCGAAATAAGCCGCTAATTGGAGACGTTTTGGAGTAGGGATTGGAGAAAAACAGGTTCAACTCAAGTCTCGATTCCTAGAATTCAAAATTAACCCATCTGCGCATGAAGCAATCTTTTGAGGTCCAAAAAGGAAGTTGCATTGCATTTTCGGCTATTTACTCAGGCCAAGTGCATGGAATCGATATAAAAAGTAGAGGCGGAAGCTGGCAGTGGACGGAAGAGTGCTCGCCGCGTCTATCAGACAGGTGGACATGTCCAAACAGAACTCTTTACGACAAGTTTATGGGCGCGAAATGGTCCCGCTCGTCACGGCCAAGTGTCAATACCACTGACAGGTTTCAACCAACTAATTGCCTTTTCTTGTGACATCGGCTTCCGAAATTACCACTAGGCGTACTTTGGATGCCAAACTTGATCAACGGGTTAAAATATTTTCATTTTTAAAGTCTCAGCCTGAGACTCTCAGGAAGGAAGTATTGCCGTCCAAATGAATTTCTTTCAATGATGCAAGAATTTGAGTGTCGCACTTGATTTTGACTTTGCGCCAGTTTCAACTCATTGAGCGGGTGTTGTTTTGCCATCAGGGAATTTTCTAAGGGGTTATTTTTTGAACTTGACAGCACCGGTGAATGAGCGCGCGATCCACTTACGCAAAAGGGTTAAGATTAATTTTCATTAAAAAAAGTTGCCGCCGATTTTTCGCTCCTTTTAGGGAGCTGGGCTGAAGGATTAATTTTGACGGATCGGGCCGGATATTCGCCGATTTTCAAAGCGCGCGGGCTGGTAATTTGCCATTTGAGAAAATTTTCTGAAATGCTCACGTGATGCTTTTGCGAAATCCAAAATTAGAAGAAAGGGTCTTTGAAGTAAAGCAGCTTGTTGAGAAAATTAATTCTTCAATAAATTCTTGTCTAGCCAATTTTCGAAAATTAGTCGAAAATATTCTATTTTCTACAATAAAAGTGGTCTCATTGACGATTTCGATTCAAAATGAAAATGACGGTAGAACGGCTTAAAAACTAGCTAAAACATCAAAGATTTAATTTTATGGCACTCAAAGTCATAATTACGATTTTCTTGTCGATGACCACCTGGGTAGAACTCAGCTGGATAAAGAACGAGTTAAAGTTAATATCGCCATAAATAATTATTTTTCTTATCACATGATCAGCCGCTTTTCCGACCAGCGTAAAAAGAACCTTTCGTCAAAGTTATTTTTGCGCCTTCGGAAGTGACCTTTGGGGACAGTGGATGATTTAGACGAGCTTGTCAGTCGCCAGTTTTGGGATCAGAGAGAAGAAAGGCCTCAAAGTCCAATTGAAAAAATGACAAAATCGGCGAGACAACTTGTAAATCCAAAGACGAGGGGTGGTCCGGTTCTGGAGCTGCTCCCGAAAAGATCGAATTCTGGAATCGAAATACCGTAGAAATTCTTCTTTACAAGTCGGATTTCTTCGACAGGTTAATTTGTCAAGCTATCAACAAGAAACTTATCTAAATCCAAATCAAAGCAGCCAGTGATCCGTGCTCGTAAGTAAGTGTGCTGCTAAATCGCCCGTGGAAAACGTTTAGGTTAGACAAGGACTTAGAGGCGACTCGGGCGCCATTATCGAGCCACAATCGGTTAAAAACACTTTTGCTGTACTTTTGATAAGGCGGATTGCGGAACTTGGTGATTCCGGAGTTGAGGTGAGAAAGTTTTTTTTTTTGTCGAAAAATAAGAAGTCTTCGGGGTCGTCACTTGTCGACAAATTACATCACTTTGGAAGGTGCTTGTTCCTAAAACCGCAAGTCAAACATACTCATCCCTTTTCCATGAAGCTCGGGCCCCAGCGTGATGTGCCAAGCTGTCTCGAAATTAGGGTGACCCAAGTATTAGCCACCCGCCAAGGTAGGGCCATGTTCTCGTTACAGTTTGCAAAACAGGTAGTTACAGTTGCTAATTTGTCAAGGGTGGGGCATCATGTCTGCCGGCGATTCTGACGAATGTCACGGGCACAAAAGATGCACCTGAGGGACTGTATCAAACACGGACTTGTTCAGGGACAATGACAGAATGGCCGCAAGTTCCGAAGGAAGCAGCTGAGCCGGAGCTGGGGCCTGAATGGACGAACTGTAGAATGCCGCCAGGATGACGGTAAATCCTGCCAAAAAAGACACAGTAGCTTTAACTGAAGTCTCCCAGAACATGTATCGACTCCTAAATGAGGGATCAATTTGGCGCGAAATTTTTAATTCAGCAATTTTGAAATCGACTAGTTGATGGGATCCGGAAGTTGGCCTCCTGTCTGTAGTGCGAGACTCTCTCTCATACAGTAATTGGAGCCGGAGGAGGAGGAGGAAAGGCACCTGGAAAAACTGGCGGAGTTACCGCATTAGAGGAGTTTGCGTTGCGTTTAATCCACTTTGAGACAATCAAATAAGCGGTATTTCTTGGCACGCGCCCCAGCAAGGAGCGAGAGACCCCTTAGAAGAAAGTACAGCTGCTGCTATTGGTGTGTGAGTGTTGGGAGTAACAAACTAGCGTGAATTAAAGGGTGCACCTGCAGGGCCAGCACATAGCTAACAACGAGCGGGCGCTTGAAACGAAACGGCTAAACGACGGATTTGACGCTCAAAGGCACCTTCGACTGCCAATTTAAAAAGATTAACTGCGACCAGAGTTGCAAATTTTTGAAAATTTTTTGTGAGCTGAGCTAGCTGAGCTGAGGTCGAAATTGAGCTGAGCTGAGCTGAGCTGGCCCCTTATAAAAACAACTGAGCTGAGCTGAGCTGAGCTGGATTTTTTCAAAAAAATTGAGCTGAGCTGAGCTGAGCTGGGGCATAGTTGAAAATTTTTGAGCTGAGCTGAGCTGAGCTGAAGATTTCTGAAACTGAGCTAGCTGAGCTGAGCTGACCATTTTTTTATGCTGAGCTAGCTGAGCTGAGCTGAGCTAGCTGAGCTGAGCTGAAAAAGCTGATGTTTATTTACTACAAGGAATGCCAAAAAAGTGTGTTGAAGCGAATTTCAACCTTCTAGAGTAGATGGACAGGGGAGCCCCTGCCCTCACACACCCCTAGACCAGCATCTCACTCGCAACATCGCACTTTTTTGACATGAAAAAACTTATTCTGTCATTTAACAATAAGGAATCCTCTAAAATATTATACAGTGGTATCATTTATGTGGTTGAGCCAATGTTTCAACCTTCTAGCGTAGATGGACAGGGAGCCCCTGCCCTCGCACACCCCTAGACCAGTCTCTCACATTCGCAATCACATATTTACCATCTATACTTTATTATTTTTATATTGGAAGCGCTTTTTTATTTAAATTCTCTCTTGCTTCAAAGAAAACTCGAATTATTTCTATCTAAAATTGACCAACAGGAAAGCATGAATAGAAAAAACGTCGAAGTTTTTGAAAAATAGACCAATCAAAAGTGGTTCGAACTTTGTCAGCTCAATAGACTGAGCTGAGCTGAGCTAGCTGAGCTGAGGTTAAAATTGAGCTAGCTGAGCTGAGCTGGCTCTTTTCGAAGAACCATTGAGCTGAGCTAGCTGAGCTGAGGTCAAATTGAGCTGAGCTGAGCTGAGCTGACCCTCACCTCAAAATTACTGAGCTGAGCTGAGCTGAGCTGTAGCTCAGCTAGCTCAGATAGCTCAGCTCAGCTAGCTCACAAAATTTGCAACTCTGACTGCGACCCCACTTCAGAAATTTACTCGCTTTATTTTGTTATATTTGGATAGTACTTAATTCAAAAAAGTCTTCTTTACGTTTCTTATTTCGAAGCTGTCAATTTTCTGACTCAAGCTCGCTTCTCACATTTATCATTTTCCGACATTCGGAGACATTCGTTGTTTCTTATCGAGTGTTGGGTTCGTAATTCGCGGTTCTGCTACGCTGAAATTTGCGTCAAGTGTGCCCGGCTTGGGTTTTCTTTTCGCACTTGTTCTGATTGACTTAACCTACTTCCGGATTCGCGTCCCTTTGCCAGCTGCGCTAGTTGAAATTGGATGCGATTGCACCGACGGTTAAGGCTCTCCTTCCCGATTTTGAGCTGCCAGAACCGTTAATTATCTTCGTGAATCTGCAAAATAAGCATAAAGAGACTACAATATGCAATAAACTCTGAGGATAAGATTCACATTCAACCCATTTTCGAGTCAAATTCAATCAGATCTGCGGCGGATTCCCAGGCCTATCAGCAGATGATCCTTTCATCATTCCCATAGGAGCCGCCACTTTGGCTCTTCTCCCTTAGATTCTGCTGAGAGTTACAATCCAAATTAACTGCAATAAATTCCAACACACTCAAAAATAACTTCCTTTTGCAATAAAAAACCCGCAAAGTAGAAAATTGTAGACCGAAAGAATTTCCGACATTTTGGTATTTCTTTGTCACCTGATCGGTTTTTTACCGAATCGGGTTTAACTTGCCAACAACAAATTCTTCCTGGGCGGAGAATTTACATGAAAGGTCACATGTTCCCGGAAAAATTTCAAAAATTTTACCTAGATTGACGAGCCCCGCCGCGAAAAATCACCTGCCTTTTCTGTCAACCCCTATTTTTGATCGATTCCTTTTGTATTTTAGTAGCAACAATGCTTTAAAATGTTTAACCTGTTCTTCTGACGCGCGTAACTGGACAAACATCCGGCGGGTTTACGACCGGTTACGAGCCTGGTTATGGCGAAATCAAGAGCCAACATCAATTAATAAAGATCTATTAGCTCAAATCTTAAAACACTTCCTTGTTGTTTCGGAACTGAATCACGTGTTTCTGACCTTCAAAAGATCATCGTTGAGAATCTGAAGGACTGAAGATTCTAGTTCAAAGAATCGACCAATCAGAAAGTTGAAATGATGGATGAAAATGTTCGTTATCTTGAGAAGCAGTTGTAGCGTGAAAATCCCGAGGAAAACTGGTTTCATGATTTAATCCGTCTTTGAAGTGCGTTTTCCGAAGCAGCGAACTTGTTGGAGTTGTTAGGTGCGATAAGCTGCTGAACAAAGGAGCCATTGATCGGAGAAGTTCTCCGCGCTTGTCCGAAAATTGTCGGAAATGGGCGCAATTCAAATTGAAAATTGTTTCACTGTCAAAACGAAACACACGTCGATTGACGCCCTCTGTACTTAAATTTTGTATATAAAGAGCTGGCTTTTAGAAAAGAAGGAGCTTTGAATTAGTAATTGGCTCGAGTGGAGTTGTAAGAATAATAATAAGGCGTAGTTTTTGCTCGGATTAAAAATGCAAAAGTTTTGATCAATCAGCCAGACCTTCAAAAGTAGACGCGCATCTTACTCTGTTTTCAGACTGTATGTCAGCAGTGGCGGGGAGACCCTTAATTTCGTGGCTTAGGAAATGAAGATGAGACTTTGGTTGAGCATTTATCATTAATTTCTTAAGGGTATCCCTTTAGTAATTCATTCTACAGCAGATTATCTTCGAAAACGGTCGATTTCATGAATTTCGCTCAGATTAGAATGAGTGGTCACCTCAAAATAATGATAAAAAACACTCAATAGTCATTATTTTTCAACCGCGGTTCTTGAAACTGGATAATATAATGATATCAGCGTTTTGCCTTTTTCACTGTTTTTTGGCACCATTCCAGCCTGAAAAGGTCCTTGTCTGAAGAGCCGATTTAATCACCCGCTGAGAATCGCTGATAACGCCTGTCACATGTCCCAGGCGGCGGGTGATCACATCAAAGCGAACTTCGCACCGTTAGTTGTGCATTGAAAAACCGCGAAAAACAAATTTAGCGACATTTTTCCGCATTTTCCGGTTCTTCGTTAATCCCGCTGAAAATTCGAAAAACAAACTAAACGCCGCCATATCAACTTTTTGGTCGATTCCCACGAAAACACACAAAAATAGAACTAATTGGCGATTCTGCGGTATTTTCATCAGAAAGAAAAATAAATCCAAGCGAGGATTTGGGCAATCAGCTGCGAAATTTATTGAAAGAGAGCGAAAAAAAGGTTGAAATTATACAGAAATACAGAAAATACTCATTATACAGAAAACTCTATAATTTGCATTTTTTCATATCAACGATTTCATCCAAGAATATCCTATTTTTCAGCCATTTTTATCTTAAATTATCTCAAAAATTGATGATTTAATCATCAAATTACGAGTAAATTCATAATTACTCAGTCAAAACTTTTGACTCAAAAGGATAGTTCATTGAGGAGTCTTCCATTCTTTTACCAATAAATTGGCAGATACGCTGCGGGGTGTTAATATTTCTTCATAGATCCCCATTCCCTAGAATTCTTAAATTTCCGGTCCTTCAATAGATCCCCTAACTCCCTGGTTGATCCCCTTATTCTTCACCCAACCCAAGCTCGATCCAGCTCGTCGAGGGCCTCTTCAGTCTGCAACTCTCGCCCGCCGCCGCAGAAAAAAAGCGCGGCGGTGGCGCCCTTAGCGCACTTTTAGCGCGTCCTCGCTCCTGCCGAGAAGCCGAGCGCTCCGCAATTTTCGCTAAATCAAGTTTGACACGGGTACCGTAACCAATAACTGAATCCCGATTTTTATTTCCAAGAGAGAGAAATTAATTAAAAAAAGCAAAACTGGAAAAAGAATAGAGATCTATGCGATAAGAAGAAAAACGAAGAAAATCATCATGAAATTGATTCAAATTTCAGCCCTTTTATCAGGTAAATTTCAATTTATTTGAAAAAATTACTGTTTCAAACAATTGCCAATAGCTTTAATAGAGCCTTATTTATCGTTAAAAAGTTTTTCCTATCCTTATTTAATGAAGACTTTTTCAACAAAAATGCAAGAAAAAGCTTGGATAGACCCTTAATCTTCCGATAAAACGATAAAATTCGAACTTTACGAAACCCTTAACCCACCAGCGCATCGGTCGATCCATCAGTGTTTTTACGCGCGGGGCAATTTCTTTGGCTGTCAGATGCGCCAAAAATTATCATGACAAATGTGCTGTCAGTGCGCCAAATCTTCTGAACCCCTATTTTTCGCCGCTTTTTCTTTCGCTCGGCCCTATTTTTGGACTTCGCGGAATATTTTCCTTTTTGGGGGTTGATCGATGGGAAATCTAAAATGGGCGAAAATCGGAAGTGCTTTTCACGCCGTTCGGAAGTGAATAAAATGATAGCGCGGGCAAGTAGGGAGGGCCTCATTGAAAATCAAATTTTCCTCGATGGAAAGAGAGTAATAAATAAGGGAGACAGGGGCGAGGAGGGAATTTTTGAGAAATGTGCAAACGCATGTAATTGAGATTTGATTTGAAAGGCGTTGGCACATTATAAAATTATATTTGAATGCTGCTCCTTGACAAATTGGCTTATTGAGACTGAGCATAATCATATAACAAACGGATTTCGAAATTAGACGATTTCGGAAAGGGAAAAATTATGGGTATCTACCTCTTTCTTCCCATTTTCTTGTAAAAATGTAGATACCCTTATCGTAAGGGTCTATCCCTTTTGTCAAGAATTAAGGGTATCTTAGATACCGTATCTACTCCATTTCTACAAAAGAACATACTGGCAAAATGTCTCCAAAAGGCCTTGTATACCCTTAAATCTCCCTTGTTTTGTTAAAAGGTTATCGCTAACCTATTTTCAATGTTAGCTAAGAAACTTGAGTTTGGAATTTTTCGCGTGATTCGTGACCTTTTAGGGCGTGAAAAAAAGAACTAAAATTCCGGAATTTTTCGAAAAATATTTCGCGCCTCAACCGAAAAAAATAAGCTCTTCCCCGGAAAAGGTTAGCTAATTATAGGTACTCATTTTTTCACACTCGCCAGATGCGCGAGGTTTTGCTGAGCGAAGGTCCTTTAAAATTTGAAAAATCTGACAAAATTTCATTTGTTTCTCACAACGGGTCATTTCCATGTTTGCCGAAACCCTCGATGGAGGAAAAAATACGCTCGTGAAATTTCATTGCTACTCGGAAGGAGCTCGAGCACATCTGGATGTTGTAAGGGACCTCGTTTTGATCACAACGAAAAACGATTGCACATTCTTGAATTTATATTTTGCAAGGGATACCCTTAAATTTGATGAGGAATTCTTTGAAAATGAAAAGGTAACGGCCTTATCTATCTATTTTTAAATTTATTGATGGACTAAAATTAAGGGATTCTCTTCGTTAAAAAGCGACAATACGGGTCGACATTTGTAGCACTAGAATTTCCAGCAAAACAACCGCAAAAAATTTCCGCGGGAGCATTTCTTTCAACCCATATTTTTTCGTAGAAAACAAGCGGCGCTGGAAATGTACTCAAGTGGCTCAACAAAATACCTTTTTTGCGTTTGCTTGTATTGTGAAATGTAAAAATTTGAAATTCAAACCCGTTTTCGCGACGAAATTCCGCCGCTTCTTAGTTTTCGGATGGTTCCTATTTTTTTTTTGGAAGTCGTTCAAGTCCGTCTTTTTCGCTTCCCGGGTTCTTTTAATTGCGCTAAATTTTTGATGAAGTTTTTTTGGCTCCGGATGCATATTTAGCGGATAATTGAGGCGCAAGCCCGAGGCAATAGCTTCTCTTGCCTCCGGCGACGAATATAAATCGATGCGACCAACACCACCACTAATGTTTGCCAAATCGATGCACGACAGCTTTTTTGGAATCTATATTTTATTGTCTAACTGTTAATTATTGACGAGGTGAACCTATGCCCAGGCGTAGCCCGAGGCGAGGTAACACGGCGGAAGCGAATGAATTTTGACAGCTGCCGCGAGGAATAAATTTAGGCACACACGCTTTTGTAAACAGGAATTATTTCCAGAAGGAAATCGCCCAATCCTGGTGTTCCAAATGCTCGATTTTTGACGTTGTTGATTTCAAAGTCAAATTCGCGCTTTTGTCCCCCTTTTTTCGCGAAGAAAAGTGTTCTCACAGGGTTGAAAGTCGCCGGAACCGTTTTTTCCGTCGCGGCAAATTGATCCTAAAAAGATGCTCGACTCGAGCAAGTCAAGATCAAGACCGTAATCCGCCTCAATTGATCCGTCAAAGTCGCCCAGCTGGAGGTGCTCATTTTTAGCCCCGAGGCTATTGCCCAAACGGCGGCTAAGGCTCTCTGGCAATTAATTATTTATCAAGGCGAAATTCATCGGCATATGCGCCCTTTGAAGCTAAATATCAATATTTGGCTTGGAAGGGCAAACTCGGAGGATACTGTATTTAGATGCTCACCGTATGCTACAGTCAGAAGAGGCTGATAGGCGTGTCACTTTGGGCCGATTGTAAAAGTCTGTTAACAAATCTGACACGCATCAACCAAAGGTCGACTTGGATAAGAATTAATTTACGATCATTTTATGGGTGTTTATTTCTAAAATTATCGATGGGTAGACCCTTAAAATCTTCTTTATTTCTGGCAAATCTATTGAGGATAATGGCTGTAAGGAAATATACCTTCTTTTCCTATTTTCATAACAGAAATGTAAGATTTTCTTAAGGCTCTACCATTCACTATTTACTCAGCATTCCAAAAGAAAATAAGTCTCCCTGTCAGGCAATCAATCATTCTCCCGCTCAGACGAGTGGCTAAATGGCTTTTCAAAAGGCCATTTTCTTCATCTCCTTATTTTGTAATTTATTTTCCCCCAGCTGATTGCGTTGGCCTTTTGCCCTGATACCATTCTTTAGCGGATTATAATTTTTAGCGTGATTTTGATCGATAGATTTTGATTTAGGGGTTTTAGCCCTTGATTTTCGAGCGTGATTTTTTGGCAATTTGCAATTTAAAATAGACAATTATGGGGCCCTTGAGGGTGCTTTTGGGATCCCCCGCTAGTTTTAATTTCTGGGTCATGAGAACTCGCACCTTCTACATAACTTCACAGCCCCCGGGGGACTTCCGCCCTGCCCTCCGGTTTGATTCAGTGTCTTCTCAGCCCGAATTTTTACGGCGGTGCCCTTATGGATCTGAGAATGTGCGAATTTCTGCTGGTTTGGCTAGAAACTGAAGGTGTATTTTTGCCCGTGTCAGATGTGGTTTGGCCTCGGGCGCGTGCGGTCGCGGCCCAGCCTCTTCAGAGAGTGCTTTTTCGAGATGGGTGATTCTTCTTTCTTTTTTGAATTCGTGCTTGAACAAACCGGGTTTTTGAGTTTATCACAATGAAAAGAAATTTTAAAACAACAGGATTTGAGTTTGCTCGGATTAAACCAGCAGGAGACGCTCCTTCCGGCGCAGGGTTAAGTTTAACCTCCTCAGAGTTTATATTAATTCATCATCAAGCTTAAATTTTTTATTTGCCAATTATTTGTTTCTAGCGCGGCAATAAGTTAAATCCTTTTTAGATCAATGAAGAATCATTTTTCCTTATTCGGAAATAAGTTAATGAATATATTCTCAAGTTAACCTATTAGGAGCATCCGGCAATTAGCCCAGTCAGAAAAAGACGGATAATTCTGCCTTGACAGGTGGCTAATCCGACTCATAGGTCGGGAAGAAAACGATGATTTTTACGGTGCTCAATTATACGTTCATTGTCACGTTTTTCGATCAATTATCTCGGTAAAATATGAATAAGGGGGAAAATTAGGGACCAGGGTATCCATCAAGTGTGTGAAATTATCGAAGCAAAGAATGAGTGAAATGATTTTGAAATTGGAAACATTTTTAATGACCATCCAACTTGACATTTTCGCGAAGAAAGACGATTTTGATGGAGCCCGGAAATAGTTCTTGGCAATCGGGGCGGATCCTTTGAACTCGGATTTATAATTCAATAACCGCGCACTTTTCATTTGTGGTTGTTGCTAATCGAAGATTCAAGAGCGCACACACATTTTTATATAAAATTAAATTCTTGGATTGTGGCGGCGTCATCCCTTTGAAGGATCCTAAGGGCGAGGACGCTGTTCAGGTGTTTTGGTAGCATTGTTTCGTAGGGACTTATCACTCGGTATTTTCCCACAAATAGAAATAGAAACCGTGAAATCCGTCTTGCCCAAAATAGAAACTTGAAAAGCCATAAGCAAATACCAGCCCTTTTTCGAGAAATTCCTGCTGTAGTTGCTTCTGTATTGAGCGTTTGTTACTGTTTGCAGAATAATGACAATCTGGCGGGCCTGACAATCTGTCTCCACACTTCCGAACTCGCCGTCAAATTCTGACCTCAGAGTAACCGGAAAAATGCTGATTGTGTTAAATTAGGATGACCCTAGGAAGACCTTTGCTCCCCAAAACAAACCCCCAAATTACAGGATGAAGATACCCTCAATTTTTGAAAGTGACTCTCGAGGTGCGCTGCTGATAACATTTTTTCTCGCTACTTTGGTGGTCACATATGACTAGGCAACAATAGTAGCAATTTGGCACCTTTTATCAGTCCATTCTATCTCTCCCAATTTCGCTCATTTCCTGAGCTCTAATTGCGCAAAATCGCTTTTTTTACGCAAGGCATCTTGCCAAAACCCGAAAAAGAGGAACTACATTTCCTTCCTTATCAATTTTCCTTCCTGAATTTGTTGTTTAGGGATACATTCTCAACGCGTAAGCGTGGACAAAACTCAGCTGGACTTGCTCAACGCTGGGGATGAATTGCGATGCATTTGCGACGACGATGACTGTATGGAAGAAGTCACGTGGTTTCGCGATGGAAAACCTGTCTCGTACGATATTCAAACGATGGTGGACAAGATCATCTTCATGGGATACGAGGAGCCAGGCAAATACTCCTGCAAAGTCGGCGACAAGATGTCCCATCCTGCTGATGTCCGCGAACGATGTAAGTACTCTCGCGCCCCAGGGAATGTTATATTTGCCCTCTAACCGGAAGCCAATAGGTTCTATTTGAGTTTGAAAAAGAAAGAAGGAGGGCAGCTTATAAAATCAATTTGAAAAGGATTAAACTTTTTATGAAGCAACTTAAGCCTTTTTTATAACTGAGAAAATTTGCGAAACAAAATTCAAACCCGGGCCCCGCAGGTTGGTAAATATTGCAACGCGCTCGCTCCGAGGCGGATCCCTTTGAGAAAGGATCTGTCTTTTTGAGTAAGGGAGTGTTTGAACAGATTTGAGGCCGTAACCTTCCTTGTTTGTGCCCAAAACATGACTCTGTCAATGGATGAAACGGTGCGTGATGAATCTCGCACCTCGCCTTTCCGGTATCGTTTCATGTTGGATTAGGCACGCGCTTCGGGGCATTTTTGACCTTGTTTACGAGAAATTAGCTTTAGTCTTCGTTGATTTCAATTTTTGAATAAAGCAGTAAATAGCTAGCAATAATAAATTCTCAAGACACCCTCGACAATCTCCGCTCGTTGTTTAGATGTTCGTTTATTGCCCAAGGCGAGTGGCTTTGCTGGAATGTTAGTCTTGCTCAAGTCTTTTGAGCAATCGGCTCGAGGGCTCTCGGCTTGTCGGGCTCGATGGCCTCGTTGAAAAAGTGATTTTTCAAGTCACTCTTTTTTTGTCTAATTAGGCTCCTTTTCTATGAGGGCCCTTCTGATTGTCACTCGCCTCGGGCCGCTAGTTTCTCGAGTGATGATTTACATAAGAACCAGTTGGATTTTCCACTTCAAAAGGGAGTTACCTGTCGAAATTGTCGGTACCAACCTTTTTATGGCCTCTTTAGTTAATATTGATATTTGCCATCCAGTTTTGATCACAAACACTTTCCCTCGGGCGTCATAAGAATCCTTCTCGCCCTCTCTCCGGTCACTCGCTCGAGGCAAAAACACTTGTATCCGGTGGTTTTCCCCACTAATGAATAAAAACCGCTTCCGCTTTTTGCGCCTGTGAATTCAGATAAATTTACTTTCAATATCGTTGCCAGGCGTCTGGCTCCCAGAAAGGTCAGAGGCCGGACAATCTGACGACGCTTTAGCTTTGCTTATCCTTATAAGAATGAAATGTTCTTTTATGACGCGATCGGGCAATCACGCGATCGCTTATTTTTCTGGGTAAATCATCGTCGCGCAATTTTTTTTCAAATTCTGGAAGTTGTGATTTTTAGCTCACCGGAAAAGCGTCTTTGATCCTAGCTGAAGTAAACACTTGAGAATTTGTTCAGTTTGCGTCAAAGTCTGTTAATTCAGCTTTCTACAGTTGCTACGGGCCAGCAGCGCAAGTAATTACAGTTTCTTTTATCTGCCAAAAAGCAGGGACTTGTGGGTTCGGGAAGTGAATTCGCGTGAATTGCCTAATCCGGAGCTAGATCACCAGCCGGATATGTGATAAGCGCACTGTGTTAGACTAAGTTTTTGGCTTTCCATATTTCCAGGATCAGGGTTTATTTGTTTTTCCTCCCTCTCGAGATTTGCATGGTCAAAATATTCAAATTGAACCTGGCCTGATAGCATCTAACAGCAATCTTTTCTAGCGTTCGATTTCATCAACATCTCTCCAGCAGCCGATATGTCAAAGATTTCCGGGCAAAGGATAGACCTGACCTGCGATGTGAAGATGTTTCCAAATCCAAGCGAGTATATTTGGCTAAAGAACGAGGAAGAAATCAGATCGACCGGAAGCAGGATTGGAATCAAGGACGACAGACTGACGATTTATTCTGCTACTGTTGAAGACTCTGGAAGATACAGGTAAAATTCAAGATGGAATGAAATATGCAGCTGGACGCGGGAAAAATATTCAATGCAGCAAGTGCACTTTTCTGGCCGCAAACGTGTTCATATTATTCAGCGGGCCCTCTCACTAACACTTGATCATTTCAGCTGTTCGGTGCAGTACAGCGACGAGTACCAAGTCTCGCCCCAGCTGCATATCGAAGTGCGATCATCCGGTTTCGAGGAGAATTTCCCGCCCGTCAGTTCTACCATCGAGGGCGAGTACTTCGATCTACCATGCTCGCCGGAGAATAAACAAGCCTCTCTCTACTGGATTGTCTTTGGCGAAAAAATGAAACCAGGAGAAAACAACGGAAGAATATCAATCGACGATATCGATGGAACTTTAGTCATTTCCCGCGCTAGAATCGAAGACAACGGTTTGATCAAATGCGTCGCTGGAAACAAAAGCATCGAAACGAACCTCCATGTCCTGAAAGACCGCTCTGTAACTAAGCAAGACTCGATCGACAACATCATCGAGTCAGAATCCGTCGAAATGGTCTGCGAGCTCGAGGGGAAACGCGTTCAGTGGAGCCACAACGGAGAATTGAAGGAGCAAAACGCGAGGAAGCGAAAAGTTTTTACGCAGATACAGGTAATTTTTTAATCACTGAATAAGTGCAAAATAAAAGATGACTTTGACGCAAATATTAACTAATCGCTTCAGCTGGGCGACGGTGGTGAATGGATTTGCGAAGCTGAAAACGGCTCGCGCCACAAATTTGTCGTCAATGTCAATACAGGTTAGCTCTTTTGTGACAGTTTTCAGATGCATATCTTTCCTTATATTTATATGTTTCTGCCCCTGCTGGGCCCAACGCCAATATTTTGCCAAATCAGCGTAACAAAAATTCTGCTAATAAATTTTCGACCCCAGTGGGTATTTTGCCAAATTTAGGCGCCAACCAAGCGGAGCAAAAACAATAACCAGAAACACTGTAAGCTTAGACAATAGCATGCAAGCCAAGTTAATGCTGTTTCCTCGACAAATAAGCGTGTCTGACTTTTACATAAATCTTTTAGCAAATCAAGCCGCCATGAATCCACCAGCAGTGCGAATTGTCGATTCAAAAGTAGAACTATCCTGGACGGAGACGCTTTCTGATGTTCAGATTCAATACAAAAGGTAAGAATTTTTGTTCTTTGTTTCTATTGAAAAGTTTCTCTTCATGAATATTTAAACACCGGATATCCTTCGTATTTTACTTTTAACGCCGGTTTAACACGTCCTTATTCTATGATGAACTTTTTAAATCACTACCGAGTATTTCAGACTCAAAACCCGAGAAGCGCTGCCACTAAGGCTTTCCAGAGCTTTGATTGGCTGACCAGCAAATTGGATTTTCAAAAGTTATTAACATTAATCCTTTCAGTGTTTCCGAGGATATGTGGGGCGTGCTTAACCCACCCAAGCTGAATGGTCCTTCTACCGCCACAGTCGACAATTTAGTCTCTTCTGGACAAGTGCACTTCCGAATCGCTCCCATGGATAACTTTGGCAGACTCCTCGCTCCTTTCTCCGCCGCTTCTGATGCTGTAACCGTCAAGTCGTCCAATGCAGCGGAAGAAATCAACCTGGTCGTCCTTGGTGTCATCGTTGGCGCCGCTGTTTTCACAATCGTCCTTGTCTGCGTGCTGATTTTTATGCTGAAACGCTACAAGAGCACGAAGAAAACCACCAAAAACGGAAGCAAAGACTTCACCTACACGAAACCCGGCTTCTACGCCCAGCCCGACTACCCGATCACTCACTGCGGGCTTGTAAGGTAAAAGAACAGGCATTAATTTTTCACCAGCGGCGGATTAAAAACAAAATTGAGACCAAAGCACAGACAATTAATTCATTCACATTCCTGCAGATGGCAGAAAACGTAGAATAGAGCACACTATTAGATAGTATTTGAATATTTAATTTTTCGTTCTGAAAGAAGCCGTATCGGATCGATTTTCACGTGGCTTTTTACGAAATGCTTTTTCAAATATTTAATATTAAAGAATCGTCAGACTCAATCAATGTCCGTATATACTTAAAAGCAAGATCAATCAATGGCAAAGTAGTAGCGTGAGAATAATTATCACGCGCGATCCATGACATGTAAAATTGTTGTTTCAGGTCATCAGACCGTTTGTCTGGGCTTTTGGCAGTCAAAAGATAAATTACCAATCTTTCTTGGAAATAATGATTTTTCTTCAGAAACGGCTCCGACTCCGGCCACGGAACGACTTCTTCCAACCGAGATGACCAGGCTGATCATTGGCTCGCCTTTTCTCGCCCGGACCAGTCTCCAATGCTCTATCACCACAGTGTAGCCGCACACAACGGAGCTAGCACAAACAAGCCGCGCACCTACACCACCAACCGTCCGGAAACTCTTCTTTCTGGAACTCAATACTCGGATCATTCCTACCACTCCAGCGCTTCTGGCCGCTCGGGACGCTACCAAAACCCCTACACGATTGGCGCTCAGACTGTCTACGAGACGGCCACTCCCGCAAGCCAATTGCCATACGCCTCGCAATATGCTGAAATCGAGATTATCCCGCGAAACCAGCCGAACCAGCAGACCGGGACTCGTGGCAGCTTCTCTCAGCAAAACATGGGACCTCCACCCTCTTACCTCTCTTCTTACCCATCTGGAGCCGCCCAGCCCGAGCCTATCTACGAAAGCCTCGATCACAAGTGCTAAATGCTCTTCTATCTTATCTAATGGAAACATATTGTGCTCTGTAAATTATTATTTTTGCCACGATAAATTACTTATTATTCACTCATGTAAAAAGATATCACTTTTCTCGACTGCCTGCTACTTGAGTTCAAAAAAACAACACTACATAAAACAAATAAACTGCACTGTAAACTTCAAAATGAGTCTAATTTATATACAGTCATGATAGCAAAGCACTTTCAACCCTTCCTCTGCTTGTACTCGAGTAGGATATTATTTACTTCGGACATTTGATTTTCGAACGTCATCAGTTTCGCCTTCAGTTGTTGGACTGTCTTTTCCAGATTGCCATTTTTCGATCGTTCTTCCTGAAGTGCTAGTTCTACTGCTTGACTGATTTGAAAGCCGGTTGCTCCACTGACGGATGTGTTTTTCTTAGACTTTGATTTCGCACGGATTTCGTTGATTAGTTCTTTTTGTTTCTCTGAATTTTTTATAAGCACGAGATTTTTGAATAAACAAAATTACCGAGTTTTTTCAATAATTTTTGATTGAGCTCCATCTGTTGTTGCATGAACAATTCCTGTTCTTTACTAGCAGCAGAGCTTTGAATTACTACTGGAGCTTCTGCAATAGGTTTTTTCTCGACTGCAGTTTTCCCGCTTCCTTCTTCTTCTGCACTGCCTTCTGTTTCTTCAGGAGTGGGGTGCGAAGATTTGTTTTTGGTGATTTCTTCCAAATGATTGAAGATTTTCATATTGTCCTCTTTCAAGAAACTGGTCACACTTCCGATCTAAATATTTTGTATCGAATAAGGTCTATTTTAGTTCAATAAAAAATGATGGCACAAAGTTCAGGCGTGTGTTATTTTAGGATTTGGATTTACCATTTTAAGCTCTCGATCCTGATTGTCCAGCTGGAGCAGTATTTTCGAAACTTTTGAGCTGTTCTCCGCAAGCTTTGCCTTTGTCGATTCCAAATCGTCGATCAGCTGTGGATCAAGGACGGGGTTATTCTTCGCTACTTCCGGCGTTGTCATAGTAGTCGTTGTTGTCTGCGCCCAGCTAGGTAACGTAGGATCAGCCGTAGTCGTCGTTGTTGGCAGTGGAATGCCGAGTTTTTTCATGACCTTGATTTTTTCATTGAATATTTTCAGACAGGGTGCCACATTTTACCTCAAGTTCGATTGCGCTTTTTGTTGGCGGCGGCGGTTTCGGCCCATCAAATCTGCACAGAACATGGACAGGCTGTGTCCACTCAGCGATTCCAGTAGTCGATTCGCAATCGCCATCAACAAACCGACCGCGTCCCCAAGGGCCCATCACAAGAATACCGCAGTGCTCAAGTCCGTTGCGATTATCGGGCTCGCTTGACGCCCAGCGGACGTACTCGGCCGGTTCGTTACGGACTGTCAGCCAGTTGCCTTCGTTTCCAAGATCACTGAAAGAAAAGATCAGAGCGCTACTCCTTCAGGAGAGTTCAGGCCCTGTTCAGGGTATAAGACTTCCATGAAATTTTGTTTTCTCATAATCGCAGTCTAGGGGAGTCCCAAACTGAGGGTCTCAGTAAGCTTGTTTGTCTGAAAGATACGATCAAATGACAATACAAATTGATCGAATGTCCTTGCTGAAAGACTAGAATGAACTCATCGCAAAAGTTAAGATGAGTGTCTATTTTTTAAACGGCAGAGTGAGTACATAATATAACTTGCCTCATGAGTATATCCTCATGATGTCATAATTTGGTCCGCGTGCGCACAATATACCGCTGTAAGCTTGATAGATATCGATCATTTCGTAGTAGGGATCAGGGCTGGTAAATTCGCGTCCTAAAATCTGTCGAAAATTTTTTGTGCACTAAAATTAGTGCGCGAATTTATTTTGTCGAGACTTTAGTGACTTTCGCGTCTCTTTCGCGTGTGTCTCGAAAAGTGTCGAAAATAAGGGCTGCTGATTGGCCCGCCAATGAGCGCGGGCTCTTTAATTCTAAAGAATACGTAAGTTTGAGAATTTCAAACTTCGCTTATATTAGAAATTCAAAAAATTTGGTTTCAATAAAGTTGAGTGGGTAATTGAGGGCGTGAATTTTAATATAAAGTCAAAAAAGACTTTGTCAATTCATTTGTTAATTTTCTTTATAAATATAAAGTAACAAATTTAGCCTTAATTATACAGGGAAAAATACAATTCAACCTTTGTTTGCAACTTTTCTTGTGCTGGATTTGAATGATAAGCTTAGACTTTTAGCCTAAGATAAGCTTTCTTAGGGAGGTCTTCTCCCTTATTTTTTTTTATTGAAGGGCCATCCGCAGCTTGTTATTCCTGCTTTTTCCCTTTCTTGTCAATCTTCTTCTTGTCATTGTTCGACTAATTTCGGTGTCCTCAAAAGTCTACAGCTGGAGGAGCCTTGTGCGAATTGTTGATATAATTCTTTAAAATCAAATTTATTTTATAATTCAGAAGGGAGATCTTCTCCCAAGTTCATGCTTACTTTGTAATTCAGAAAGCAGATTTCCTCCCAATACATTTTACTCAAAAAACTTACAATGCTCACTGAATTCTGAGCACCCACGTGCTCACGCGTGCTCGTGCTCACGCAAAATTTTCAGATTTCAAACCCTGTCCCTAGCAAAGCTTATCTTACCTCATCATTTAACTCGACAAAAAGAATTTCCAACAAAAGTTGAGTTTTATTCTTTTCAACTTATTTGTTACTAAATAAGTAATTTTTTTAAAATTAAATTGTGTCATATTTACGATGCATTGATTTTTATATATCTAGCAGTTTCAGTTTGAAGAAATTCTTCCCTGATCAAAATCGTCTTCCATGAAACTATCATCCGGGAAGAGCCTATTGGATGATGAAAAAGAGCCTCTTTTTTCGCGTCTTTAGTGCTGATCAGCTCTCGAAAAGTCACTAATTTCCCCAAGAGGAAAAATTAGTGTCATTTTAGTGCACTAAAGGCGCGCAAGACGCGAAAATGTCTCTAAAAAAAATAAGTGCGCTAATTTTTTTTTCTTCGAGAGAAAATAGTGCGCTAATTTACCAGCCCTGGTAGGGATATATGATATATCATCTATGATACCTAAGGTATATCCCTTGTCGCTTTCATTTCTTGTTAGGGGTTTCCAAGGGGGCTTACCCCCCTAAATTAGGCCTAAGATTTGGAAACTGCATACTCTTACATAAGGCCCTTAGGCTACGGGGGCTACAGTGCCTACCTGTATCCGATCCATACTTTCGCTGATGCAGGGATGCCCTTCATCGCATAAAGATGATCGTAAGGATCATCAAAATGAGCAAGCTCTCCACCTCTTTCATAGCACAATTTCGTTGCGTCAAACCAGTTGACCCCTGTATCTTCGTAAAACTCAAATGCCTTGTTTCGTGGTCCGAATTCTCTGGTTGCTAGTCCGTTTGAAAGAAAAAGTAAGACTGATTTCATGATTCTGTTTATTGGATTGATGCAGAATGCACGTTAGAGATTATGAAGTCGATCTAACCGATGCTCAGAAATAGATCAAGCAAAACATAATATTTAGATCACTGTTACCGCAACTTTAAAGAGCCAGTCAGGGCAATGTGAAACTAAATTAATATTGACCGAGACTATTTTCCGGAAAAAGTAACGTAATCAATAGTCATAAAAATAAAAATAGAAAAGTTGGTTCCAGTGCTACATTTTAATGAATTGAGGAGAGTATATAACGCAAGTTAAAAATTGACACGGCCCCATCATTGTGGAGATTTCTCAGCGATGACTTCACTAGAACTCTGGAGTTCTCTGACGTCTTGCATCGGCGAAATAAATGAAAGAGATATTGGCAAGCTTGCTGCGGGCAGATTGATCCTCTTTGACAAGATAATTTCACGAGCTTCCAAAGGTTTTGGTTTAAACTTCAAAGCACATTTGAATAACTAGCACCTGAGCAAGTCTTAAACTATGAAAAGCTGATATTCTCGAGGCAATTTCTATCTACAGAAAATTAAAGGATGTTTTTGGCAATAATGACGATGGTCTTGCTTTGTCAGAACCTTTTAATGAGGAATGGGGTAGCGAAAAAATCATAAACGAGTTTTAAAGACGAATAAAATTACCCTACTACAGATGGAAACGAACCTGTATCGAATCGATGGTCAGGAAGAGACGCTGTATCTCCCAGGAGGATACGCAGGTTAGTGATTCAACAAAAGATAAGTTTTCCGAGGCCTTCGGACATACTTTTCCGAAGAAAAAGATCAAGATTAAGTCGTAGCCTCAAACAAATAAAGTTTGAAATTTCTTGGAGAAACTTGTCGAGTAGGGCTGGAATATGAGCCCGAAGACCGACGTTTTTCGTCAATTATCGATCAAGATTTCTTACGGGAATGATTTCTCAAATTGCTTTCAGGACTGTATTTGGTTATGAATCAGAGTAACCGCGAACACGAGTTCAAATCGCGAAACACTGATGCACACACTTTTGAAGAGCTCATGAAAGTGGATATGGAAAATGGCGCCAGTGCAAGTCATTTTCGAGTTGTAGCGAGTTTCACCTTCAACTTCGACATATTGAAGAGTGAACTTTGGGATCGATGTAAGCTTCTTTTTCAGACAGTAAACAAACTTTGTCTCAAGACACGATAAACTGGAAATACAAAATCGGCGGATACAGTGTCCTCACAGCGCCCAACGAGTTCATCGCACGAGTTTTGATAAATATCTGTCCATACTCGAAGGAAGAAATCTACGAGATGCTCCTGACAACCGACAATACGATGGTTTTCTTGATGACTCAGATGCTCAAAGATTTAAGCGTCAAGGAAGCACAAGAAGTGGTCTCGATGCCAACTCAAGTTGCCCTGTCATTTCCTTATTATGCGACTCGGCGGTACTACCGCTCCACGATCTTTCTCCTCGACAATTTTCCCAATCTCGAGCTGAATTTCTGCAGCCTCTTTCACAACAGCCCTGGGTTGGTTTTCAAGCCGCTGATTGAGCGTCTTCTTGAAAGAGGCCTGAATCCCTTCATTGCTCCGAAGTACGGTGCGATCGATCCGACTTTCGTGAACTGGTATCTTTACGAATACGCCTTCGATGCGCACGAGGATTTGAAAGATTGCAGGCTGAAGAAGGAGATGTACTTCCGCGTAGATTCTTTCACCCAGTACAAGGAGGAAATCGAGCAACTTGAGATCTACGATAAGCTGGTTAAAAAATACGTCACAGGACACGGACCAGATGGAACTGCTCTGACAACTACGTATACTTCATGGTACGACATTGAATGCAACGAAAGCTGCACTGTATGTTGCAATCAGGCAATTCCCTCGATGAGGCATTTCTTTGGTCAACTCATCAAGAAGAACAAGGTTCTCGGGCATGGAGGACAAGGATCTGTCTACGAATGCACCTGGCACGGTGAAAAAGCAGCGGCGAAATTCATCCCCAACCGAGGAGTTCACATAGCCAAGACTCTACAAAAAGCCCCTGAACAGCTCATGGATCCGATGCGAGAAAAGAAAATGAAGCAGTACTTCACAAGCCAGGCTTCTGAGTTTTACATCGGACGCAAGATCAAACATCCTCATGTCTTGCGAATGCTCGACTTTTTCTTGCAGCATAAAAACGGCGTGGACGAGTTCGTCATTGTCTCCGAACTTTGCGATGCAACTTTGAGCCAGATCGAGTTCAATATGTCATCGTTTATGGAATACTTTCGTCAGGTTTTGTCTTTCGAGAGTTCTAAGATTGGGTAATAATTATAGGTCGCTGGCGCAATTAAATCGATCGGAGAAAAAGGGTTAACGCATGGTGACGTAAAGCCTGAAAACATACTGCTAAAAAAGATGACACAGGGCTTCTTTCCACTCGACTTGGGGACTTCGGAATGGCTGGGATTATCGGAGGAACTCCGCTCTTCGTGGCTCCGGAAGTATCAAGAAAATCCATCCCGTATCTATCGGATATCTACTCCCTGGGCATCTCGATTCTATTTACAGTTTTTGAGATACAGTTGGCTTTCAAGCTCTATCTCGTCCCAGGTAGTCGTGCCAGTGCTTTCTCAATTCTTTTTACGGCTGTAGTTGACAACAAGATCCTCCAAGTTGCCAAGAAAAAAATACAGGAAAACGAGCTTGTGCGATTCATAGCACGAATGATCTCCGACGATCCGACAAAACGGCCGAGCATAGAAGAAGTTGAAGATTTCTTAGGAGGGCAGAAATACTCTGAAAAGAATTCAGAAAGAATAATAACAGCGAAAGATCTCGGAATCAACAAACACCTACAGGTGATTAGAAGGGACTCGTCTGACGATGTAAAGCGCAGAGCAGACAAATTCAAGCAAAATCCGTTTTCCAACGTAAAAATTATGAATTCACTTCATCATTTGTCTTCGTACGCAGAATTATCAAAGGCCGGATGCAATTAAAAATAGCTTATTTCCTTATTCTTCCTTTCTTCCTTCAAATTCATCCTTTCAAGACAACAAAAGCGATCAGCAAACGAGTTCACGACCAGGTTCAGTAAAAGCTCAAATCATTTATATGCAGTAATTAGGGTGACTCATTCAAATGCTGGGCTTTCTCAACTGCCAGCATGCTTCGATCTTCCCTTCGTGAAACAATCAAAGGATTGGTTTTCTTTTGATGCTTTCTTCTTTAGCAAAAAAAACCTTTTTAAATCAATCAAAAGCGCTTACGAATTTTTCCAAGGAAGAAAAAACTGAGCTTTTGGCTGTTATTGATGATCCATCGCACCACAAGGTTATCCTGTGATTAAACAATATATCAATATATTTGTAGACTTTACGATCGGAATTAATGATGAACGTAATTCCGACCAAAATGAATGCGAACGAGGATGAAATTCAAGCAGCAATGCTTCATCACGTGATGCAACGACTCTCACGGCCTACATTACTCCAGCGAGAAGGTTTGATACAATGAAATACGCAGATTGCTAAGCTACTGCTAGGGATTCACCTCCTTGGCAGCTTGAAACCGATCTTTGAACGAATCGGACAGGTTCAACCAGTTCTGGAAATCTACTCCCATCCAAGTGAATACGACGAGCATGCAGCAGAACTGCGTCAATTTGGAATTATCGGCGATTTTTTCGACGCCCTAGATTACAAAAAAACCCTCGTTTGCCCAGTCAAGTATCATCTGCAGTGATTTTCATTGTTGCTTATTTGATATTTCAAGCACTGGATTGATGAACGTAAAACATGCAATGTGCCTCTACGAATTCAATGAAAACGATCATACATTCGTCTTCAAAAACAGCTCGTCAGAAGTGACAACGATAACACTTCCGCTTGGAGCATCTGAGGAAAAGGTCAATTTTAATTTCATGCAGCATCTTTTGTGATTAAATAAGATTGTACAAGTATTGACCTTTGCAAAGCCCAGAGTTGGATACCACATTTCATTTCTTCGAACATCGCTCTGAATTTATTTTTAACTTGAGCAACTCTCTTTACTTGCTTCTCGTTTTGTTAAATGTTTTTAATAAATCTAAACTGCATTTTCATAATTATTTTTACTGTAAGAACATCCAGACCTTCACATCGCCATTCTTGAAAAATTCCAGCAACTAGTTCCCGCTGAACACATTATTCTTCTTCCATTTCAAATTCTTCCACTAAGAAGGGTCCTCCAGGCAAAAAAAATTAATTGCTCGCTTGGTGTCGCTTATTCCGGCTTTTGTTCTCAAGGCAATCATCATAATCATCGGTAAGAAGTGGCAATACGACATTTATTATCGATCGCAGCACTCAGACCTGTTCATTTCAATATTGATTTTTATTCGTAAAAGTGTCCATTCCAGCGCATTTTTAAAACTTTTGTCTAGTGCTGAATTTATCTCTCCACTAGGTCGATAAAAGAGAGAAGTTTATGAGAAATGAGAAGAGAGATCACTCGCCGAAAAAGAACGATGGGTACCTCCGAAATGAGTCGACTAGACTTCTGGAGTCTTAAAACTTCCAACGCGGACAAAATGCTTGATGAAAGAGATATCTCAGAACTGGCTGCAGGAACGATGATCCTATTTGACACCATTATACAGCGATCGAGCGAAGGATTCGGTTTGATTAGTAACGGTCGATAATACCATAAAATTGAAAATAAGCCGAAAAAAGATGATATTCTTGAGGCAATTTGTATTTACAAAACACTCAAATATCTCATTGGCAAAGATGACAACGATTTTTACATGTCTGATTCTTTCAAAGAGGCAAGAGTTTTCAAGTATCAAAAACTAATTAAAGTCTTCTGAAGCTTGAAGAACAACTGTACCAAATCGATATCAAGGAAGAGACCCTTTATCTTCCTGGAGGCTATGCAGGTCTTTATTTGGTCATGAACCAAAGTAATCGAGAGAACGAGTACAAGTCACAAAACACTGACCCTCACACTTTTGAAGAACTCATGAAAATAGACTTGGAAAATGGCGCCAGTGCAAGTCATTTTCGCGTGGTTGCCAGCTTTACGTACAACTTTGAAATTCTGAGAAATGAACTTTGGGATCGATGTAAGGGAGCTTTTAGATTTTTTTAGGTTAAATTTTTTTCAAAAGATCCAATTAATTGGAAGTACAAAATTGGTGGATACACAATTTTTACGGCGACAAATGAGTTCATTATTCGGATTTTGTTCGGGAAAAGCCCATATTCCAACGAAGAAATCTATGAAATGAACGTTTCGGCAGATGAGACCATGGTCTATTTGATGACCAAAATGCTGGAAGATCTCTCAGTCGATGAAGCCCAAGAAGTGATCTCAATGCCGACACAGGTCGCGCTCTCCTTTCCATACTACGCGAGCCGACATTATTATCGCTCAACAATTTTTCTGTTGGACAACTTTCCGAATCTCAACTTGAATTTCTGCGGCTTTTTTGCGAACAACGCCGGGATCATTTTCAAGCCGCTCATGCGAAGACTTCTGCAAAGGGGCTTGAATCCGTTCATCGCGCCGAAGCATGATAAAGTGGAGCCGAGTTTTGTCAACTGGTATTTGATGGAGTACGCTTTCGAAGCTCACGAGGAATTGAAAGATTGCAGGCTGGAGAAAGACGTCTACTTCGAAACCAGCTCATTTCAACAATACCAGAAGGAAATCGAGGAGCTAGATATTTACGACGAATTGATCAAAAAATACGTAACTGGATATGCGAGCGACGGTACAGCTCTAACAACCACTTACAACTCGTGGTACGACATAAAGTGCAATCCGGACTGCGCTGAAGATTGCAATCAGTCCATTCCATCCATGCGACACTTTTTCGGGCAGCTCATTGAGAAAAAGAACCTTCTCGGGAACGGAGGTCAAGGATCAGTCTACAAATGCTCCTGGCATGGCGAACAAGCAGCCGCCAAATTCATTTCTAATCGAGGAATCCATCTTCAAGAATTCCTACGAACGAAGCCTGAAAAACTGATGAACGCACTACGAGAGAAGAAAATGAGGCAGCTCTTCACAAGCCAGGCTTCTGAGTTTTACATTTGCAGGGAAATGCAGCATCCATTTGTTCTGAGAATGTTCGACTTTTTCTTGCAGCATCGAAATGGTGTCGACGAGTTCGTCATTGTCTCCGAACTTTGTGATGCAACACTGAACCAGATTGAGTTTAATATGTCATCTTTCATGAACTATTTTCTACAGGTTTTATTTTTAAGATCTCAAAATATTCAAATGCGAAATTTTAGGTCGCGGATGCAATCAAATCCATTGGAGAAAAAGGACTTTCACATGGTGACGTAAAGCCCGAAAATATTCTTCTCAAACGAGATGAAGCTGGGGAACTTTCCGTCAGACTAGCTGATTTCGGGCTGGCCGGAATCGTTGGCGGAACTCCTCTATTCATGGCGCCGGAAGTCCTGAAAAAATCGATACCACTTTTTTCCGACATCTACTCTTTGGGAATATCGATACTGTTCACTGTTTTTGAGATACAGTTGGCCTTCAAACTGTACCTCATTCCAGGTAGAAGGCCTTGAATTTTGAATTTAAAATTTTTTTAGTTGACAGCAACGTCCTCCGGACGGCAAAATTGATAGCGCACGAAAATGACTTGATAAGTTTCATTTCGAAAATGATCGCCGATGATCCACAAAAACGACCAAGCATTGAAGAAATCGAAGAATTTTTGACCATCCAGCGCGTCACACAAAGCAGAGACAGAAAAATTACAGCGAAGGATCTCGGAATCAAGGAGGACTTGCAAATCATAGAAAGGAGTATTTCGAATGACGTGAAGCGGAGAGCCGAGAGATTCGAGCACTGTCCGTTTTCGAGAGTGAATATTATGAACTCATTGAATCATTTGACGTCTTATGAAGAATTATCGAAGGCCGGATATTTTTAATAAAATTGGAATTTTTAGTTTTATTTCAAAATTGAATTATTATGGTTCTGAACGATAAAAAATTATATCTCCTGCAAAGACAACTAAAATGATCAGCAAAGTAGTTCACGACCAGGTTAAAATAATTAATTTTTTTTAACAAAAATGCGTTGTCTCTAGGGCGACTCATTCAAGTGCTGGGCTTTTTCTACAGCGAGCATGTTACGATCTTCCCTTCGTGAGACAATAAAAGGACTCGTTTCTTATTAAATTTGGTAAAATTTTGCATGAAATCATCTTTGAACGAAGAAAAAGCATTGTCAACTTTCTCCGAAGACGACAAAAATCAACTTCTAGCTATTCTTGACGATTCCGCACACCATAAGGTTTGCAAATGTCGGATTTCCTGAAAGAAACAATATTAAGACGCTAAGATCCGAGCTGATGATGAACGTGATTCCAACAAAAATGAACGCAAATGAAGACCAAATCCAAGCAGCACTGGTTCATCACGTGATGCAACGACTCTCCCGACCAACTCTTCTCCAACGAGAAGGTGAGCATCAACGTTCATCTATTCTACCGGTAATATTGATTAGGTATTCATCTTCTGGGCAGCTTGAAACCAATCCTCGATCGAATCGGTCAAGTTCAACCTGTGCTTGAAATATACTCGCATCCTACAGAATACGACAAATACTCAGCGAATCTGCGTTCGCTCGGGATCATTGGAGATTTTCTCACTGCCATCGATCAAAGAAAGACTCTTGTTTGCCCAGTCAAGTAAGATCTGAAAAACCAGCATCTTCAATCTTTGATTTTCTTATCTAGTACCGGATTGGCAGATATGAAGCATGCCATGTGCCTCTACGGATTCGACGAAGAAGATAGTACATTCATCTTCAAGAACAGCTCGTCAGAAAACACAACGATCAAGGTTCCCCTTTCCTCTTCTCAGGTCGAGGTCATTGATTGCACACAACTAAAAGTCAAACTAAACGTTCTGATGACCTCGATTCAGCCAAAACTTGGCTACCACATTTCATTCGTTCGAATAGCGAATTAGTTCAGAAAATCTAAATGTTTGCCCTCTAGGTTATAAAGTTCAAATAAATGATAATTGTTCATGTCCCTATGTCAATCATGCTAAGATTCTTTCTTGAGTATTGATTTTAAAAGTAAATTACTGTAGTAAGTGCAGTGCCTCTACGTTGTGAGGAAATGAAACTTCGCCCAAAGAAATAAAACTAAAATTGAACGGAAATATTTTTTGGCAGATGATTATTGACGACAGCAACATCTGGGGAGCGAGAAATGGCAAAACTTATCGAGATTGATTTGTGGAAATTATTATAATGAATCTCCCTCGATATGAGAAACGCACAATTTGAAGCTTCGCATCCTTGATGAAGTTGAGCGTTGAAATATAAACGTAAGATTCTATAAGTTTTCGTAAATAAAATTGAGTACAGAAAATTTGCTCGCATTAAAATGCCATTTATCAGAAATCCAGACTTGAAGAGGACCAGTAAAGACATCTTCCTCTTTGAATGACCATGATTTGATAATGTTTCCATTGAAAAGCACTTTTTTATCAAATTTTCTCGTTTCGTCGTTAAATCGTTGCTCAATCTAAGAAATCAAAAAAATCAGGGTGGTCATGTTTACCTCAAGACATTGAAACTGTCCAAGCAAAGCATCAATCAAAAACTCCTTGACAATATTCCGAGGTCGATTGGAAACTGTTATCATCATTTTTGTTTGGTAACCCTTCGCATTGAAGACAGAGAAAAATCCATCACCGAAAGCAGTGAAATTGTTAGATCCTCGTGTGTGAATCTTTTGTGGGGTGAATTAATGCAATTATAAGCTAGTTTTTGACAAGTTCAGCCCATGAATGAATAGCATTAGCTCCGTTGTCCAAATTCGCTTCTTCTGGAAAATTAATTCCCACTCTTATACGGAACTCTTTTGTTGCATTTATTTCTCCCTTCTTTGTATTCTTGTTAGGCGTCCATGGTGTTTCGCCGATAATTTTGACACAGTTATCACGGCTCATGCAATTCGAGGGACATGGATTTGAAGGATCTTGCGATGTTGTAGTTGTAGTCATAATCGTACTTGTTTTTGTCTTTGTGGAAGTTGTCGTGGAAGAAGTTGTAATTTTAGTAGTCGAACTCGTCGTAGTAGTCGAGGTCGTTGTAGTCGTTGTAGTCGTTGTTGTCGTGGTGGTCGTAGTGGTCGTTGTAATCGTAGTCGTTGTTGTCGAAGTGGTCGTAGTTGTTGTAGTCGTCGAGGTCGTTGTAGTCGTTCTTGTCGTTGTTGTTGTTGTGGTCGTAGTGGTCATAGTTGTGGACGCCGTTGTAGTCGAAGTGGTCGTCGTATTTGTTTTAGTTGTCGTTGTTATCGTTTTAGTTGTTGTTATTTTAGCTGTTTTAGTTGTAGTTTCTATCGTAGTCGTGAAAGTTATAGTCGATAGCGTTGTCGTTGCAATCATAGTTGCTGTTTTAGTATTAGTTTTAGTCGTTGCCATTAAAGTCGAAGTTAAAGTTTCGTTGAGAATAGCATTAGCGGTTGTCGTCTTTAATTGATTTTCCGTCGCTGTAGATATCGTATAATCTTTCTCAAAGGACTCTTTAGTATTCAAATAAGTTGGGGTGAGTAGAACGCAAATAAATAGTGCCAGCGGAATTATATAAAAAAGTTCTCTCATCTTTTCCTGATGAAAGAAAGTTCGTCTATATATTTAGAACTGTTGACAGTTGCCACTGGTTATCGACTCGAAGTTGGCATTGATAACTTATCAGTGGACAAAAAAAGATAATAAAACGTCTTCAGCAGTCAAATAAAAAGAAGGACTGTTTATTTTAAATTTTAAAACATTTTATTAAAAGGATTCATAAATAAAATTAAGAACAGAAAGTCTTCCCCCTTGTGGATGCCATTTATCAGATATCCAGACTTGAAGAGGACCAGTGAATACGTCATCTGGGGAAATGTTCCAGGATTCGATTCTATTACCATTGAAAAGGACTTGTTGATGAAGCTTTCCTGTTTCCGCGTTAAGTCGCTGCTCGACCTAAAAAGGCAAATTTTGAGATAATGAGACCTTTTTATTTACAGAAAGACATTGAAATTGACCAAGAACTGCGTCGATCATTAGCTCGTGGATGATTTTCCAAGGTCGATTTGAAATTGTTATCAGCAACTTTGTTTGATATCCGACAGGATTGAAGACTGAGAAGAAACCATCACCAAAATCAGTAAAATTATTTGAATTTTTCGTGTGAATCTTTTTAAGGGGGTAGAAACAGCTTTCTCGATTTTGGACTGTAGCTACATAAAAGAAAACATAAGATTTATTAATGTTAACGGAAATTCCTCATAAATGTTCTTAGAAAAGGGGTTGAGGTTTACAAAACTGTGAATGAAATTTATTTAACTATTAAGTGACTCGAGATATTCGTGTTTGAAAAGTGGCGAAAATCGAGAATTTCGGAGAGATGAGTTGCTTCTGAGCCCGTCTACTCAAAAATTTGATAACTAAAACAAATTTCGAGGGAGATGTTCCTAGATCTAAGATGTATCTATCTAAATCTGAAGAGAAAATTTGAAAATGAAACATGCTCTTGTCTGTAGCGCCGGTCAAAAATCGCCTTTTTCGGGAAAAAGCTGTTTCTACCCCCTTAAGGATTGAAAACGTTTTATTATTTAATGATTTTAGTATTTTGAATCCATAAATGAATGATATTAGCGCCATTATTCTCTGTCGCTAAATCAGGGAAATTTATTCCGACCGTCAGGCGAAATTCTTTTGTTGCAACTATATTTTTCCTCCTAGTGGCATGGGCTGGCTTGAGAGGTTCTTCCCCAACGATTATAACACAATTTTCAGGGTCAAGACAATTTGATGGACAAGGATCTGAGGGATCTTGCATTGTTGTTGTTGTTGAAGTGGATGAAGAGGATGTTGATGTGGTGGATTTTGTTGTTGGTGATGTTTTCATGGTCGTTGTTGATTCGATTGTTGATTTTGCAGCAGAGAACGTCGTTGACTTCACCGTTGTTGCTGTCTTTGTCGTTGATGTTTTTGTTGTTGTTGTTGCAGCCCGTGTTGTTATTGTCGAAGTTGTCATCGTCGACGCAGTAGTTGGAGCTAATTTTGTTGAAAATGTACTTGTAAATATCAGATTTTTTGTTGAATAACTTATTGTAGCCATGGTTGTTGGATAGTTTGTTGGCGTTGTTTTTCCTTCCGATACCATCGTTGTGGACGATTTTGCTGTAGTAAGATTATCTGTTTGGAGGCTCATAATGTTGGTCGTTGAGATAAAATTGAGATTGCTCTCTGTTTGTCCATCTTGAGTTGTTTGATAAATCTTTGTTGTCTTGATAAGCGTCGTTTGTTCTGTTGTATCCGCCGTTATTTCTTCTAGTGATGCTGATGAACTTATGCTGGTTCTTTCTGTTGTGAAGAAGAAATCATGATTTGACTCCCCTTCTGGTTCTGTTGTCGTCTGTAAAGATGTTTGAAAACTCTCTGTAACCGGAACTTGCTCTTTTTGAAGATAAAGGGGAGTTAAAACGACGGTAACTAACGCACTGAATGTAAAACTCAAGATAAAAAAGGCTCGAATTATGGGACGCATTTTATTCGAAAGAAAAAAGTAAGACAAGATCTTGTACGCGATCACACAGCTTTATTTGCATTGCTGTCGATAAACAACATTTCCTGCGAATATGCGACGTTATCAGGAAGTTTTAAATCCGCCGAACTTGAATAGAAGATAACGAGCTATTTTGATATAGCATGATGGTTTATTATCGAAGCAGTATAAGTTACTCTGTACTATAGAGTCTATAGAGACTCGTAGATGAAGTTGAGAACAGAAAATCTTCCCGCCTGTGCATTCCATCGATCAAAAATCCAAACTACCAGGGGCCCAGTAAAAACTTCTTCTCGTTCAAAAGACTAGGATTTGATTATGTTGAGATTGAAAAATAAATTACTGTCAAACTTGAATTTTCGGTAGCAACTGTGCTCACTTCAAAAATATATTATTATCGATACAGTAAGTTGTAAATAAATGAGAAGACAAAGAGAAAAGACCCAAAGGTGGCGAAAAATGCACCCATATAGGCTCTGTAGCATTTTCTTTTACTGTAAGCGACGATCATCATTACTCCCGGAATGACGAACATGATGAGTCCAGCGAAAGAACCGATGATGCCGGAGACGATGTCATAACTTGGGCAATAGATGGCGCCAAGTAGACAGACTCCAAAGAAAGAGGAGGCGAAGATAAATCTAAAAGGCTAAAAAATGAATTCTTATTGGTCATCTTTTACCTGTAAAGGAAGCCTGTATTTTCCGAAAGAAGCTTTCTAGCAGTAAGGGCAAAAACTGGATAAGCTCCGGTGACAGATCCAAGCGTTCCGATTCGAGCAAAGGCGATGATAAATGAGTGATTAGGGTAGCTCATCAAGAAATCCGGGTTGACAGATGAGCCAAAGCAGAGGAGGACGAAAGTTCCAACAAAGTTGTAGCAGACGAAAGAAGTTAAAAAAGAACCAGCGCTGATCCAAGGGTAGTTTTTCGGGCGCTCGATGCGGCGGTAGATTTTAACTGAAGCTAAATGACCTGAATTGGATGAGAAAAGAGATCTGGAGGTTGAATTTACCTTGATAAGCAAAGCAAAAAAGAGGAAGTGCAAGAAACATCGATGATAAAGAAGGAGGCTTCAAATGCGTCGCGGTCGGAAGCATAAGCGCGTCAATAAGAGAGCGTTCTTCTGTCAAGACTTCAGACACAATGTCACTAGAATTGTTAATTCCTGTGAAATTCTCCGGAATGTTGAGGAAATAGTCCAGAGCTGTTATGACACACGTGACCAGCATGCAGACCATTGCAATTGTCCCTGTGTGCTTCAAAAAAGCAACATTCTTCGCGACGGAAAACGGAAAAGGCAAAAGACAAAGCAGCGGCGCAAAAGAAGGTTTGAAATCGAAGAAGGCTTTTCCTTGATCTATGATCACGACAAAATACGCCATGCTACTGCCAAGCGAGTAGATGAAGAAGATGACTTTGATGATTTTGTCGACCTTGCTTCCGAGAACAGCGGTGACGATGTCTTCGTACTCGTCGCAGTTGTGTTTTCTTGCTATCATACCTTTTATGCGGTCGAAAGATGAAATGAAAACTAACAAATGAAATAATCTTTTGACCGCTTTCCTAAAGCATTGATGGTAATCCAGCAAAAAGCAAGGAATGGAATTTGAATCAGAATTCCGTTCAGAATCCCTCCAGCGTAGACAAAGCCAAGTGGGAAGGAAAGCACCCCGATTCCGGCCATTGAGGAGACGAGTAGAGCCATCGCCGGAAAAGGCTTTAATTTGGTCTCTTCCGGCTCGTTGATAAGCGGCTCGGATTCGTGGTTGTACCAGGAAGAAACACGACTGTCTTTTAGGGAGTTGAGTTCGTCCTCGACATCTTCTATTTGTCCAATCTCGTCGTACTCTGGTTTGCTGGTGAAACTGATGTAACGGCCGACATAATCGGTTGTTTTCTCGATCAAGCTGTACATTTCAACGCTTGTTTCTTTCCCTCTCTTCTATAAAATCTTGTGAATCGATGACTTTTATGTTCAAATTCCGCGGGGAAGAAGCCTCTCATCCCCTGCTGCGCCATCTTGTAAAACAATCTTGTCCAATCACTTGCTTCCATGCTCACTCGAACGAGCCATTTTTGAGGCCTTCTGGCTTGTGTTCCGGCTCCGACTGGAAATTACCGGACTTACTTACTGATTACAATCAAAATGCCTTATCACACGACCTTATCGATTCTCGTATTTTGAAAATTCTAAGACTAAGCGATAAATAATTTTTTATTCGAAGACGACTCTGATTATTTACAAGCAAGACGCATAAAAACATGGACACAGTACATTTTCTTCTTTGACAGTAATTAGTAATTTTCTCAAGCTCAAACAGGCATTCTTCCTCTGAAACGTCTCCTTCCTCCTTTTTGTCCTGGAAGACCAAAATGCAGCAGGTAGTATTGACTGGCTCCTCGTTTTTCAAGACGCTGAAGCTCAAATTGTAATCATCAGTTTTTGTTTTTCATGTACCTGTTGTTGGGCGGATCTTTTGGTATCAAAGGAGCCGTTCTGTCGCGGGAAAGCTTCCATAATCTGAAAGAAAAGATAATTTGAAAGGACGTCCTACGTTGATCTGACATTAATTTCTAATAATATGATGCAGACTTTTCTAACAAGCCAAAGTCTTGTCCGATAGTCTGTCTTTCCATAATAAAATAATGATTGATTTCACTGTTAATCAAATTTAATTTCAAGAAGAAATGTTTTCTTTTCGAGGTCTAGGTAAAAATATGCAGTACTTACGTAGTTACTTTCTGTCGCCTTGAAAAACTCCCATAATTTTCGAAGATTGTTTACTAAAGAGAAGGTTTCTCTCTCAAAATCGTCATCAAAATCACCTGTTTCTGGTGATCTGTGCTCTTCTCTAGTTTCGTACAAGTCAAAAACATCTTCCATTTCCTGGAGAAATTGGTCTACATCACCATCTCTAGCGAACACATCTCAAAAAAGGTTAATTCTCTCTTCGTTGATTTTCAGTTACCTCCGACCAAAAATATATTCGACAGCAAAAACGTAAAGTCCAGTCTCATTTTCTTCAAAAATCGCCTTGCGAAAAATGTCTTTTATAGACGGCGGCGGAGCGCGTTTCATCCGCTAGAGAGCGAAAGTAATGGTCTTATCCTATTAGATTAAATATAAATAGAAAATATCGTGGATCACAGCGGACATTGCTTATCCGCTTTGAGACCTAATTACTCTTCTTTGAAAGTGTTCCTTCTTGCCTGTAATTGATCATCAAGGCATATTAAATATGATGATGAATGAAACTGAAAGAAAATCACATGCAACAAACTTATTTTGAAAAGGTCGCTTGAAAATCGCTTGAAGATCGCTTGAAGAAATTTTCCGATTAAATTTATATGACATCCATATTTTTATTAATCTAATGTTAAAAATTGCTGACAGCAATTCAAAGTCAGACTTGAATCACATTATCATGGACCATGATTCATGGTCTTATCAAAAATCAACAAATGAGGATGTCTTAATATTATTTATTGCTGCAGAAATAAGGCCTTCCTTTTATTCAATCTTTTATCTTGTTTAATCATTTTAACTGGTTTAAATCTTGAGTTTTCAAGCTCAAGTTCATCTGTCAAATCTGAAATGGACAAAAATACTGCATTTTTGGACGTATGTGTGTTCGATTTTGGAATTACCTCTGGGAATTCAAAAGCAGCTCGTGGCGGCAGCTTTCATTAACCCTGGCCAGCTCTTTCCGAGCTACGAAATCTGAGAAAAAAAAAGAGTTCTTCAAAATGTCTATTCCCTTTTTTGACGAGAAAACGCGCTCCAAGGCTGGTTCTTTTAAAGTTCAGTTTGATTTATTTATACCAGACGGTATTTAAAGACCCTTGAAAGGCTTCTGAAATCCTTGGGAAAGCCCTGAGATCCTTTTGGATTACTAGCTCGTGTTGCAGATGTGCTCATTCAGGGAACAGCTCGCTTCTTGGAAGTCCGGTTTCCACCATTCAAGATCAGGTTCGATTCTTATTTGCATATTTTGTCGATAACCGTATGTAGCCTCTTTTGTCCGAAGTGACGGATTTATGCCAAACATGCGGATCTCCTCAATCCACGTCACCAGCTCCGCCTCTAGCATCATTACTGACCGACGATGAAAAGATTAATCACCAGAAACTCTCAGGTAGATAAATAAGCAATCATGTTATGCAAAATCTAACTTCAGAAAACCCCTCGGATTTGTCTGTTCTGGGAGACGCGCCAGATCATCTGCTACCAAGAAAGATCAGCGGCTTGCAGAGGCCAACAACGCTTCCAATTTTTCAATACACAGGTAAGTACCAATCAATGAATTTCTTTTTGACACTTTCAGAAATTGTCCCAAGATCTCCAAGACAACAAGCCTTTGGGCTTCTTACACTCGAGCACTACACTTATCAAGAATCACTCATCATCGTCCAGTAATCTAATCAACCCTAAACTCGACTATAACACCATCTTTCTATAGCCACATGGCTTCGTTGATCCACACCCAGAATCTGGGAAAAAGTCAATTGGCGGCAGAATTGTCGCTGGCAATGCGCACGATGCGTAAAAATCTTTCGCCGCCAGTTGCGATCGAAGCTGTCAATCTCGTCCAAAGGTATATCAACAAATTTCCCCTCCTCCCCATACAAATTCATTCAAGAGCGCTCTGCAGAGCGCAGAACAAAACGCTCTGCGAGGAGATCGTCAAGGATCAGGGATTCATTCGCGTTGTTGGAAGTCTTCACAAAAATCGAAACTTCTTGGAAAACAAACAACTCTTGACTCTTGCTAAAAATCTTCTTCGCCTTCGCTGGAGTCTTCAATACTCGACGATCCCTGATTTCATCAATTCTTGTAAGATCTCCGACATGGAAGAAAACTTTGAAACTGATGAGGTCACCCTTTTCTGCCAATGCCTCCACAATGTTCATCTCATGAGCAGTCTGGACGAGAACTTGACGGAAAACATGGGTCAAAGTGCTGTTCGGATTTTGGACGGCTATGTTGCCAGTGAAATTGATGATGATGAGCTTTCCAGTACTCTTTATCGAGGTTAAACAAAGGTTGAATAATAGAGATCGATTTTTTTAGTTACTTTGCTGTTCAAATGCTTTGGAAAAAAGATGAATTTTTGTCAAAAACGGCAAATTGGAGAGCTCTTCATAAAAATGATTGGTAAGATTTGTATTTTTTAATGTGTATATTATTAATTGCTGCATTATTTAATCTAAAATATTCAATAATTCACCACATGATTATTCTGCATCGTAGATAAAGGAACATTGACAAGCGACTTCACCTTCGACGACGGACGGCTGGCCGTTATTCACGTGCTAGACGCGTTCTACCGCGCTGAAGCCGAATTAAACGGCTTTCGCGCGATCTTCAACACGTGCTGCAACGAGCTTGCCGAGAGCCAGCATGCCAAGTTGACGTCGCAAGATGTCTCGGCATTATTGCGCTGCTTTCAGAAGTTCAAAGAGCAAGGTTAATCTTAAAAAGTTATATCAACCATTTTGATTGTTTTCTTTAAAGATAATGGCGCTGTGAACAAATGCTTGTCGAAAATTGCGGATGCGATGTATACTTCAATTATTTCAGGTAGAATTAAGGGTCTCTCTTGAACAAACGGAGTCTTCTAGACATGGAAACAGTCAAAGCCCGCGACTACACCAAAAACGTCAAAACCCTCACCGCGAAATACTTCTACTCCGACCGCCTTTTCTACGTCTTTTGCTCAATCGTCGAAAGAGACCTCGAAGCGAAATGCTCTCGCAAAGCGTCTGATAAGAACATTTGCGCGAAATCGTGTCGCTTTCTCGATTTCTGCGCCCTGGCAGATGCACTCGATGCTATTTCTCAAATCAACTTTATCTTCAAAAACGAAGTTTATCATCGTCAATTTTTGGAAAAGATCGAAAATCGACTCTGCGATTTGAAGACATGGAAGAGTCTCTTTAGCTCGCAAGTGAAGAATAAATCGTCCAAGATCGCTTTCGTTCTCCAACACTTTCAAACCTTCGGATACTTCCCGAAGAAATTCATCAGCGCAACGAATAGTGCCAATCAAAGTCGTTTGGCATTCATCCTCGCCAATAAGAACAAAAAAGTGCATTCTCAGTTGAAATCCTGGGCACTCTACCAGAATGCGGTCAGCTACAATGTTGCTCTGTAAGTCATTTCCACTGTAGTCCCCAATTTTGAACTTTTCTCAGGAAGAAGAGCATATTTTCGACAATGCTAAAAGCCGACTTTTCTGATCAACCCCGGTCATTGATGACCATGGAGACAAATATCCTTCAACTTTTAGGAACTCGGCTCCAGAATCCAAATTGAAGACCGCCTTTCCTTCAAGTTGTGAGCCGAGGGTTCAGTTATTTTCTTCAAGCCGCCGAACAAAATCACTCAAGAGTACAGCCCCGGACATAATATCCCCTATTTTGTCATCAATAACGACTTTGTGATTTTGCCCCTTCCTCGGTCTAGATTCTCACGCGATGCTAATGGAACGATCCCTTCTTTGGCGAGACTAAATGGACGAGTAGTACCGACGGTCAGAGTGGCTATTTTGGACAAAAAATAGGGGTCTATCCATCCAAATTCCATCCAAAAAATTTCTAACCGGGTCTATCCATCCAAAATCCAATCCAATCCAATTTTCGCCCAATTCCCAACTAAAATCGAATTCCAAGTTCTTCCAAAATTCCAACTTTTCCCAATTCCCAATATGCCCCGATTCCATTGGATTTCCAATATTTTCCAGCTAGCAAATTCAAAAAAAACAAACAATTAATACTTATTCTTCAAAGTTTATTTCTGTAGATCCAAGGGCAATGTCTAGGATTGTGCTGGCAGCAAGTTTATGGCGTCGAATAGATCGCATCAATGTCGTGAAACTGAAGGCTCGCTCCAGGCTTGAACTTGAGACGGAAGAGTGATGAAGCTAAGAAATGCTTTATTTTTAAACTCAAAAAAACCGAACCATTAATCCGATTCTGCTCAATCTTGGCAAGGTTTCAGCGTATCGCCGCCAGAACTCTCCAACAATATCATCTTCCACAACCTTCTTCATTGCGCAATACTTCTTGTCTAATTTCAAATTAAGTAGATTAATGATGAAAATTACTTACGCGCTTCTATATCAGTATCATTTACTTCGTCGTACTGAGCAATCTCTTCTTCGATCTTGGAACGGATTTCTTTTGGCTTTCCTAGTCCGCGGCGGTGACTAAGTGGGCCAACAGCGTTATTTTGGCTGTCACATTGAACATTATTAACGCCAGCTTCAAGGAGCTGTAACAACTGTTCATCTGTCAGCTCGTCGTCTTCCATTGTTCGATCAACCTCTGTGATCCAGTTCTTCGCTTTTTCGAGCCAATCCTTGGTTCCGTCGACGAGTACTTTCTGAATTATTTAATTTTTTTGGCATGAAGATAAATACATACCATTATTTTGGAGATGATTGGGACTCGGGAATCTTTCATTTTGGCGACGACTGGATGAAAATTCATCGCTATCGATGTAGAGTCGGGTGCCAGGTAAATGCTTGCCAAGTCTTTGTTGGTAAAACGAAGGGGTACTTGACATGGGACATCGTTTCCATTCATATCAATCCGCTTTTTTGTAACCTGTTCCACCACACTGATGAGCACAGCCTTCGCAAATCTGGATTCCTCGGTCCGACTGATTGTGATTCGATTGACGCACTCAATCATTATTCGTTCGATTTGCTTGTTGTACGCTGATCCGCAGGCAAGCGAGTCAGACTCGAGAATATTGATACTGCGATGAATTTCGATAAGAAGAGGGTTGATCGATCGCGCAAACTGCAGATCTGGGACTGGACACTCAGCGAGAAGATGGCGTTGAGGGTGGTTGATAGAAAAGAGGTTGTTTAGGCTATCTTCGCTCAAAAGGAGACGCTGAACTCCATAGATTAATTTCCGGAAGCGCGTGGAGCCGGAAATTCGATCGATGGCCTTCCCTTTCTCCTTTCTGTTGAGGAATGCATCCGTCTTTTCTTCAACAAGTCGTTTGACTTGATCGTCTTCAAGAATTTCAGTACTCGCTTTTATTTTTGCATTATAAAACTCTTTTATAAGCAAGCGATTAGTCACTTCTTGAGAAATCAAAAACGCATTGATTGACTTGTATCCGACACCAGCCGGAAGATCACTCGCCGATACTGTAGCTTCACACTTGTCGATGAATTTTTCAAGTGATTCGTACTTCTTATCCTTCGGTCCACCTGGTCTGAGATTTTGTTCGCACGCTCTCTTAAGGTTGCAACACATTGAATGACTTCCGCAAATGCTACGGTTGATCGTAAAATGCTCGGGCACGGACTCTGCTGCCTGATCGCTCACAATGCAGACCAAGTTTTCTCTATCGCATCGGTAAGGTTGTATTCTTCAAATATCTGCTTCAGTTTTTCTATGGTGTGATCCGCAGTTGAGTCCGGCATCGGAACATAACCGATCAAACAGTTCCAAAATCCGTTTTTGCAGCGAATATTGACCTCAACCCCGAGTATCTTCCAGAGCGTATTTTCTTTAGTTTTCACGTATTTGTGGTCTTTAAAGGATATTAAATTGTTAATAAGACAAATTATTCAAAAATTTTTAAAGAAACTTTGAAATCCTTATCCTAGAGAAATTGACAGGCGGCCCTTTTTTGCCATTTCCGGAAGAATCTGTTGAAGGCGCTCCCGAATTTTCTTTGCCTCTTCTTTCATGTATATTTTGATGGCATCCTTCGAAAGGCAAAGTTGATTGATGAGCATCTGGCTAAAGGATACATTTTTGAGAAGGCAGCGCATCAGGGCCTTGACAGAGTCATGTGACCAAAACCGGAAGCTTGTTCCGGTATCGCGCATGACTTGCAGAACTTTCTTCTGGACATCAACTCTGTGGTCCTTGGTGTTATTCAGAAGCGCGAGTACTCTCTGCTCATCTGGTGCTTGCGCGTGGCGATCCACAATCGGTTCGAGAGTCTTTTTATAGACATCTGTATTTTGATCGTATGTATGGAATGGCTTAAGGTTTTTTAAGAATTTTTACAAAATGCAAATTTTACCTCTCCTCTGCATTTTTTGCACTTAGCTCCATCTATTCTTGCGCAGCGCAAGTAGCAAGTCGGAAATCCCTCGAAATAGTACTCTTCAAATTCAAGGTTGAGCTCTCGAATCTTGTCTTGTAGTTTTGTAGGGGTCCATTTCTTCCATTCACCAGTCGGTTGCTCACTTTTTTCATCAGCAGTAATTTCCGCTTTCTTTCTATCAACCTCTTCTTTTCGTTTATCCTTGTCTTTTTCGTCACTCGCCACATAAATGCATCTCTTGGAACGCTTGGCAGGTGGACTCATCCCTTCTGAAAAAAGGTTGACTAGTAAAAGAAAAGAAAATGCCATTTAAATCGCAGTAAAACTCTCTAATGATCAGTATTTATCCGTCTGAGAAAGGTAGACTGCGCGTGATGAGTGTAGGTTGAGAACAAACCTGATTGGTCGAGCATTTTTTCGCAATTTTTTCTCGGATCCAATCTTGCCAACAACTGCCAATTCCCCAAGAAGATCCAATTTTCCAATGTCGCCAATCCCCAATTTCCCCCAATTACCCAATTTTACCCAATAAAATCCGATACCCTGGCCATCCAAATTCCATCCAAACCTTATTGGATTGGATCCAATCCAATTCCAACTAACCCCCAAGTCCAAAATAGCCACCCTGCCGACGGTGAGACTGCTCAGGCTCAAATACAAGCACAGAATCATCTTTATTCCGCATTATGAGTTTGACTCGCTTCAAGGAGGAAACAAAGGAATGGCTTCGAAACAATGGTTAATGAGTTACAGGGTGGCATTCTTCCATTATGGACGTTCCATCATGGAGCCTTCATTAGTAATCAATTATTAAAACTTGGAAAAGTACTCTTGGTAGTTTAATAATTAACTAAAAAGCCAGATTCAGGACCAAGTGTAGCTCAGTTCGCCTATCTGTCCCAGAAGATACTTAGGAAGGTTGTGAAAGTTTAATGTTGTAAGTAAGAAGTTCTTACTAAGAACTGTTTGAAATTGAATCTTTCACTCCTATCAAAGTTTGAATTCGGCCTTCCTTCAATAAAATTTTATCTCGTTCAATAAATAAAAATAAGTAAAACTACGAGTCTAGTTTTTAATGTTTTTCTGATTTTTATTGCGAAAAAGATGATAAAGGCAAGTGAAAAAGTTGAAAGAAGGCCTGCCACGTGAGCGCCTAATTCGTATCGCCGGCTCCTGTCGGAATGGTCAGTCGATTCTTGATTCGCAAGGTGATCATCTGAAGAGCAAGATCTTCGACGAACTTTTCTCTGGCGGACTTTTCCTTCGACTTTTCTAAAGAAGCATTTGATTCGCGCCATTTCGCGAAGGGGAATTTCAGGTCGATTTTCTCCGCTTTTTTCTTCTCGTTTTCTTCTACTGGCTTTTTCTTCGTCTTCTTCTTTTTGGATTTTTTCTTCTCCAAAGCAGCTGCGGGATGTTTTTCTTTCGAATCTTTTTCGGCTTCTTTGACGATCTCAGTCTTGTCGATTTTCTTGAGAACGTTGTCCTGACTTGGTTCTTCTTTACTCTTTGTCTTTGATTTTTTCTTTTTCGCCAGTTTGTTTTCTACTTTCTGTTTTGCTTTTTCGTCTGATTCTTGTTTTGCCTTTTCTTCTTCGTGAATTCTAAGGAAGTTGTGAGAATGAAGTTGTGCGCTTTGAGGTTGATTTTACCTGATATTCATTTTGTGGAACGCTTCAAAGTCGAGAATTCCGGCTCCTCGATGTTGTTGAGGATGATAATTTGGTTCATTATTTTTCGGCTTGATTTCTGGCTTTTTCTTCTTTTCGCCGAAAAGGCTCATTATTTTTGGATTGTGCTGCATGTACCCATTCTTTACTTTTGGCACTTCTTCTTTCTTCTGTTTGAGGTTCAGTTCTGCTTCTTCAAAAAAGCCTTGGCATCCGTGGAAGATTCCCTGGCTTCGTAGATCTTTGCAGACTTGGCAGAACTCTTGCCAGTGGGGCTTTGGTGGACCAGACATGCCCTTCTTTTCGTTCAGTTCGATGAGATGATAAGGCTCTACTTTCTGGAAGCAGCGAGCGCACTGCTGCCATCTGCCGCAAAATGCATAGGAGGAGTTCCAATGATTTCCGCAGCTTTTCTTTGTTCCTACGAAAAGTAAAGACCTCGCTTTTGAGATAATCATACCTCTGCATTTGAAATTGCCGAATAATCGTCCCGTACACTTGATTTTGTAAGGCTCTGTCTCGATTTCGCAGCAGGGACAGTTCTGTACTTCCGCCTTATCAAAAAATTTTTCTTCATAAATTTCAACCTCGACTACTCGGTACCTGATGGTCTGCATTTTTCCACTTTGGATTCTCAGCACAGTGGTAACTTTCGCATTTAAAATAGCGAGTAATTCTGCCTGCCGGCATTCTCTCTTCGTAAAAACCCACTCTGCGAGAAATGATAACAAGCGAGTTCGAGAAAAATGAGACGAAATTGTTATCTAGAAACACTTAAATTTATTTGAGTTGGAGGAGATTGAACAGTCTAGCCAAGCTTGGAGAGCACTCGTCGAGAACCAGTCGAAGTTCGTGTCGCTTGTTGAGAGGAGGAAATCGTCAAAGTCTTCATTTTTGCCTCGAGACCGGTTTCGCCTTTTTTCACTATAAAATAGGACTAGTTGGAGTTGTGATAGAATTATACGGTATAATTTATACCTTGATTTTTTGTCTTCCTCGCGTTCTCCTTGTTGTCATCAGTCGTTTTTGCAGCCTTCTTTCGGTTTCGCTTCCGTTTTTTCTTTTTGGCTTCGCCAGTATTTGATTGACCAGTTTTAGGCTCATCCTTCTTCTTCGAGCTTTTCTTTTGCTTTTTGGGTTTTGCTTGATCCTTCTTTACGGCAGTTTTATCAGGAGCTACTTGTTTTGTTCCTGGATTCTGCTTCTAAGAATTTCTCCAGAAATTTTTAGAAGTATATAACGAATTTCGTTACCTTTGCATTTGTAACTGACTTTGTCTGGGCATTCTTCTGCATCTTGACGAATTTCGCGTGGTACCATTGCTTGTACATTTTTCGATAAGGATCGCACTCTGGGGACTCCTTCACCAATCCAGCTTCAAGTCTGAAAAATTTTTTTATGAATCAATTATTTTATTTGAGAGCTTACTTTTCTTGATAATCGACAAGTCGAAAAGGTGCATCTTCATACACATCATTTGCAAAGTAAAACCAGTTATTACGATCATACTCATCTTCAGAATCCCAGTACTCGTCATCATCATCCTTCTTCTTCGAGCTTTTCTTTTGCTCTTTTGGTTTTCCGTTGTCTTTCTTTGTGGCAGATTTATCAGAAGCTTTAGCTTGAGTCTAAATGATTTATCAGCAATTTTTTCCTAAATCTTATTTTACCGTAGTCTTTGGAACTATTAGCATCTTGACTGGATCCGCTTCGTGCCATTGTCGGTATTTTCGAGATTGTTGATAGGAAGCAAAGCCTGGGGAAAATTCAGTCCTTTGGTTGTGACCGATCAATCTCATGTTCTCAAAGTACATTTGACGATAAGGGTCATGAAGAGGACTCCTAGTCACTTGACCAGATTCAAGCCTAAACCAATTTTTAATAAAATCCTAGATTTCACAAAAACATACTTCATTTTATAATCGAGCATTCTGTAAGGTAAATTCGCAGTGTAGAACCAGTCATCGTCATAAGAATTTACTTGATTTTGAAAATCCGCTTCAGCCTTCATCTCGAATGGATTTTCGTTCTTGATCTTCATGTTTAGCCGTGATTCTTTGTTGCTAAAGTTGTATTGTAGCAAATGCGAAAGGCCTAGGGCAACTGTTTTCTTTGGCTCATTCATCGGAGGTTTTGTGGCAGTTGTTTTTTCATTCTTCGCTGGGAGGACTTTTGGTTTTCGGGCGCTTCTTTTCGTGTTCTTGGACGTAGATTTTTTCCCATACTCGACGCCAACACATCTCGCATCCGGATCATCATAAAGTTCTTTTAACTCCTGACATCTCTGACAAAGGTGGTGCGGATGAGGCCTTTCTACTTCCTCTTCAGATTCGAGTTCTTCATCAGAGTCCCTTATATCATGCTCACGAAGCATAACAGGAAAGCAGTGAGTACTACACTTTTGACATTGTTGCCATTTTTTATGAGAGGCATTTCCGGAAAACCAATGCTTTTTGCAGCGATCGCACCAAAATTTGCCAAAAAGCCTTCCTTCATAATCATATTGATACGGCTCAATTGTCGAATGACAATGATAACACTCCTGCTCTTCCGCCTTGTAATTTACATAAATAAATTGATAATAATTAATAATAATAATTGACATAATTTTGAGAATTAATAATTTACTTGATGCTTGTCGTTTGACCACTTCGGTTTTATCTTGCAATTTTTATTCTCGCATCGGAAATATCTCGTTATTTTGCCCATGATTTGTTGCTCTGAGTTGGACAACAAGGAAAAATAAAAGAAAATTTTTGATTCATTGATGCTATCTAGAAAAAAGGGGAACGACGCAAGATGACAAAGCTTTGATTTGATAATAATCATGCATGGTATTTATTGATGTTTGGCAAATTGCTGTATAAAATCAGTACTGAAATACAGAATAAAAAGTTAGGACTAAGATTAAGACATTTATGTGTCGGGCGCATTTGTGCGCCGTCGTTTCACCGAATGGATTAGAGCAATGGTAAAGTTGTTTGCAAATTGCTTGTTGGATGGTTTCGCTTTTTTGAATTGGTGTTGAACTTTGTTGGCGTGTTGTGGCTTTGCCGACTTCGGTCGGGTTCAGTCTCTCTGTGGGGAGCGACTGATGAGGTCAGGTGACTCGGCAAGTTGCTTGAAGGATCGCATGCTGAAGGTAACTAGAATTTATGTTAAATAAAGATGCTGGAGAAAATTTCGTACCGTGGCTCCTTGGTAAGAAAGATTGAAGAAATGATCAGGGCCTGGATCCAAATTGATCGCAGACCCGGGCCTGAAAAACTCAAGGCCTTGAAAACTGGCAGTTTTGTATTACTCGTATGCACATTTGAAATTCGATTAGTAGCCTTTTCCAGACAAGCCGGATTTGTAATCGTAATCGCCGTAATAGTAGCTGTATGCCGCGGTATTGTAGGGCTCCACAGTTGTAGAAGCTCCGTAGGTCATTTTATCCGCTGCGATGGTATTCTTTACCCATCCTTCGTAATTGGCCATGTTCGCATAAATGCCGAGATGACCAACTTTTCCGCAGTCAGAGAATCCGAAAGAAGTGACTCCAGCGAGATAGTACTGGCCTGAATTTTGATCAAGGCATGACAAGGGTCCACCAGAATCTCCGCCGCAGCTGTCAAGACCGACTTTGGAGGAGTCTCCAGCGCACATGTGGGAGTCTTCCTGAAGGAGCTTGTACCAGATGCCAGTTTTTCTACATTGGTTGAAGCTGACGACTGGAATTTCAGCATCCTTCAAGTGATACGATAGCTTGGTGTCCTTTGGATTGCCAGTGGTGTAGCCCCAGCCGGAGATGGAACATTTATCACCGTGTTTTGGTTTTCTTCCGCCACCAAGACAGATTGGAAGTCGATCGAAACCATAGGTGATTTCAGTTCGGAGCTTCAGGAGCGCGATATCGTGATGAGTGATGTATTGGAAGCGGTATTCACTGTAGGGAATTATCTTTTCGAGCAAGAATCGAGTACCGTCGCTGTTCTTATTCGCCACATCGTCGTGCTTGTAGTTGAGCTTGTCCATGCCAACAACGATCGCCCAATCGTCACCGGGGTTGTTGTTGTCAGTGAAATAGCCGGATTCTTCGATGCAATGCGCCGCAGTAACGATCCACTTGTTATCGACAATCGATCCACCACAGAGATGCTTCCATTCGCAGTTGTTTCGATGATTGCAGTTTCGATGCTGAAGAGACACTTGCCAAGGCCATTCACCATCGTTCGAAATTGCGCCTCCGTGGATTCGAAGGTTCACTTTCGGTCGATCAGGAAATTGGCTTGGCTGAGTTCCACACTGCCATTCATTCGTTGCGGGTGATTTCGTGCTTTTAGGTCGAGCGGTGAAACATGGGTGAGTATTGCACGGTTTCTGAGTATACGCATCTCCCTTGCACTTTGAATCGTCGACGTAATTGCCGTTCACTTTGTTGATGCAGCTTCTGAAGCCGTAGGAGATTCCTCCTCCGCAATCTTTATCGCATTCGTTGAACTCGAACGAAGTCCAGGCATATGCTTCTGGAGAAGAACAGGGGTGAGTATTGCACTTGACTCTGGCAGTTGTTGGGCCGGAGCCGCAATTACTCTCGTCGACGACGTAGCGAGTTCCTTGCTTGAAACATTGACGCTTGGCGATTGTGGTACCACCGCCGCATTCTTTTGAGCAAGAAGTGTACTCGAAAAGACCCCATTCATAGCCTCCGCAATTCGCCGGCTAAGAAAGGTTAGATCGACGACTGAGAGGAGAAAACTTACATTGCATCGTTGTCGTTCAACAGCACTACCAGGGCAGTCTCTGCTTCCAACACTAGAATTCTTGCAGAATCGTCGCCTGAGCCTGAATCCTTCACCGCAGGTTACGCTGCACTTGCCCCACGCGGCCCACATTGACCATCCCGGCTGAGTCAGTCCCTTCTTCGGTGCCTTAGAGGAAGTAATCTGGGCATAAGAAGAGTATTGATTTTTATTTTTCTTTTGTTGTTGTAATTTACGCCTTTGCTTGGCAGTCAAGCGTCGTCTCTGAAATACAAGAGTGATGAAAACTTGAACTGTTATTCTGAAAGATTGACACCGAAATTCAGTGAGTTGAGTTCAGCCGAAGCGGGGAGAGAGAGGTTCCATTCTTTGGCTTGATTTTTAAATCTGGGATTCCAGAATTTTTGATTCTTGAGTTTCCGACATTGATCATTTTTAGTAGGAAAAGCAAGCTTGCATTCATTTCATTTCACATAATGTAATGAGAGTATATGAGCATGAGCATCAAAGTTGCTTTACCTCATGGTTAGAATTAGGTCGACCAGGGTATGAGAGACTCAGCTGTCTGTCTGTGTTAATACTAGCGTCGGAGTTAGTTCTTACCTGTCCGTTTCCGGAGCGACGAACTCGCTCGTTACTCATCATCGGTTCGGGAAAGAGGATCACACTTGCATCCATCTTACCGACGAACTCGGTTTCTTCAAGTTCCCGAATCGTGACTACATTATAAGTTGGAAAAGCCCCTTTTTGAAAGATTTCTTTACCCTCCACGAATTTGGGTTCATCATCATTCTGGTTCTGGATCTGTTCAATGTCCAGAGCTCCAGCAGCGACATGTCCAACTAGCGAGAGCAAAAGCAGCTTTGCAGCACATTTTCTAACCATTCCAAAGGTGAGCTCGGAAACCTGAGCCGCCGTTCTAGTAAACGCTGTTGTTACCAGCTTAGAACGTCCGACAACGAGGTTTAAAAATATACTGAAATAAAATTAAACCCTGGAAAGGACGCTAAAAGAAATTAATAATAAACGATTCTTACAGAAAACTAATTAAAAAAGGGCCGGGTTGTTCTGAAGCACTTCTCCCGATGTAGCCTCGTTCAGCACGGTGAGATCAGGAAATCGTCTAAAAATAATGTCAATAAGCAGCTTTTCCTCAAGTTACGTCATGGAAACAAATTGCACAACAAAAAGCCAGCTTCGTTGAACCCCGCGCATCCGTAAGAATGTTCCACCCCAAAATATTTACACCAAGCTCTAATTCTCCTTTCAAATATTTCTCTAACCTAATCCAAATATTATTTATTCCCTCAGCCTCTTTTTGGAGGCTTTCCAGACTCTATTCTCGTCTTTAGGTACCTTTTTCTGCTCGTTAACTAAGATTCAAAACTAAGACTCTTCATTCATATTCGTTTATTTAAATATCTCTTTAGTAAAATGTTTTTGTTTTGTTTCAAAAAAGTGTTAAAAAGGATTTTCTGTTTATTTCGGAAGTGATCTGATATCAGGGTTCCATAAGGTGCCGCCGGCGGCGCACGACGTCTCTAGTCCTACCACTAGTCCGGCCACAAGTTATCCAACAAAAATCCCTTCGCAAACAAGCTTGATTCGCCAAGCAGGTTCAATTCACGCAAGTTATTCAAGAGTCCCCCTTGCTCGTTCTGAGGACCCAAACAGCTTCAACTCCTTCGAGCAAATATGCGACACTTACCGTATGGATATTCTAAATCTAACAGGGCTCTGATCTGATTCTCTTGGTAGTCAGTAGGCCTCCAGACGTATTTCCGTGGCTTTTTTCAAGGATACACACATGTTCTATTTTTTATTCTCTTATCGCTAAGCTCATTTTCGGTTATTTTTCTCTAACAAGCGAAAACATAAAAAAATCTAAAAGTGTGTTTATCCCCCGGTCCCTTCAATTTAGTCTGTCAGCTAGGACGAAAAATTTCTCTCAGGAGGTGGTGGAGCGCTTGGTGGAACACACACCAACACCGAAAAGCGGGTGCGCCTGGTGTAGTAATAATTCCCGAAAGGGGACGCCGCGCTATTTATCAGAAAATCCACAATTATCTTATTTGGTTCAATCAAAAACGTGCTAAAGTAAACGTGAAATCATGGAGGACTCATCCATTTTTTAAAATAATTCGTATAATTATTGATTTTTCATTTTTTCGAATGATTTTTTGGGCTGTAGATATTTTGTCTTTGGAAAAATATTGTTGAAAAAAGCTGCGATTCACTTCCAAGTGCTAGAATCACCAAAAAATTAGCCGCAACAAGTTTGGCCTTTTCCCTTTTTTGAACGAAAATTTAACCTTGTTTCCTCAAAGTTCACAGCTGGGTTATTACATCTTCTCCGTTCTAAATGCTGACGATTTCTTTAACACGTTCACGGAAATTCTAGTGGTGTCTTTTTCGCCAATTACCAGGCCAATTTTGTCTGTGGGTACTTTTTTGGGCTCAAGGTCCAGATATGCATTCAACTTCTAGCGAGATTGGCACGTGACGCGCGGAGGAACTAGACTCAAGAATAATTGTCAGGTAAGTTACATAACCGACCGTCCGGTCCTCCACTTTTGCTCCCGAGCGCCGCCGATTAGCCACTAAGGGGACGAGGACTTCACCGAACAAACGAATGTTCTTAGAAGCAACAAACTAGATTGACGCAAAAGTGAATACCCAATGTGTGGTCACCCCAAATGTCACAAAAAATGGACTCAATGAACCAATGAGTAAGGAATTCACCCAGTTAATGGATCATTTAGCTGTTATAAAATCAATGTAGTTTTGCATGTTTCAGTCTGCGTTGAACCCAGGTGTAGCTTTTATCATGGATGTAGAATGGCTATCTCTCCATAAGAAATTATCTAAAAACGCTATTGCTATCATTGATAGTCTATCAAGATTTGACCAATAAGATATTTTGCTGATGATATTAACACTTTTTCTGCTGAGAATATTTATTTGTGGGTAAATTGTAATTCAGAAGGAAAGGGCTTTAGACAGACATTACAATTAGATTCAACAATTAGAGATTTTACGAATCTGTCTTTTCCATAAAGATCCACTCATCGGGGGTCTTACTCAGAATTATATCCCAAAAATCTCGCTTGAAATAGCTGAATGATTGCAGATCAGAAATTTTGAAAAATTGATTTCCGTTGATTTCATCTTTTTCTATTTTCCATTCAAAATTATCGTCTGGTTTGTCTGGCAATTCGCTCATCGCAATTTTTTGGGGAGATTCAGGATGTTCCACCGATCGAAAAGGGTTTGCAAATTTTAAGATTCCGGAGTCATTAATTGCAATTCGGTAAACATCTTTCTTGATCTCGATGATTCTAATAACAGAAGCACCCTCTTGAAAAGAATTAAGTCGTAGGAAGCTTCTTCCAGTATGATCATTTTCGAGCACCCAGTACGCCTAAAATTTTGATAATTAAGGGACCCGGTTAGGCAACGGCGAGCTGAACTTCACGCGCCCGTCGTTACTCTTGTGAATAATATTTTTCAAAAATTCTTTTTGCTAATGATATCTGCAGATCACCAGCTTTCTCATCCAATTTTCAGTTTTTGCCTATCATCACTCGTTCATGAGCCAGGTCCGAAAGAAGGAGCGCAACTTCAAAAGGGTGTTTGAAGAGAAATCCTTTTTCAATCTTCATAAAAGCGGCACTATTGAAAAGCCCATTAAATTCTCTACAAATCTTACCTATCGCGCAAAAATGAATCATTACTAATTGCGGATTAATGGCTGATAAACTGGAGAACTTAGCGCGCTCAGCACGCCACAGCGCTGCAGGACGCTCCGAAATAGCTCCGGGACATGAATCCCGCTGGGCGTGCGCTAAGAAGTTTTGTTTATCTGACCTGTATCGCTAATAAGTACAGCTTCAGATTTGCGCGATAGGTAAGATCTGTGGAGAATTTTATGAGCTTTTTAATGGTGCCGCTTTCATGAAGATTGAAAAAGGATTGCTCTTCAAACACCCTTTTGAAGTTGCGCTCCTTCTTTCGGACCTGGCTCATGAACGAGTGATGATAGGCAAAAACTAAAAATTGGATGAGAAAGCTGGTGATCTGCACATATCATTAGCAAAAAGAATTTTTGAAAAATATTATTCACAAGAGTAACGACGGGCGCGTGAAGTTCAGCTCGCCGTTGCCTAACCGGGTCCCTTAAAGTCATAATACTGCATGCTTACACTGTCGCATCTATGTTCAGAATCTCTCCTTCCGCAGACTGTTCCAGATATCTCTTTCGGAAAAGGCGACTCAGTAGTGAAATCTTCTGAAATTGTTGTCATCTCTTCTGTTGTTGGCGGGTATGTCGTGATCTTAGCTGTCGGTTCTTCTGTTGCTATTGTCGTGTCGATCGGGTTTCGAACTGCAGTGGTCTGTGTTATTTTTGTCGTCAACGATATTAATGATTCTGTTGTAGCGGATGTGGCTGCCATCGTTGGTAAAGTCATTGCAGTTGTTATTGCAGTTGACGAAGTCTCATCTTTTGTTGTCGTCGATGATGAGGATGATTCAATGCCAGCTGAGGTAGCGTCTGTTCTTGAGTCAGTCGTTGGCATTGTTGCAGTCGTCAATATCTCATCTATTGTTATTGTCGACAAAATCGATGTTGATGTCATTGTAGAAGATGAGCTTGATGGGAACGTTGTTGTTAATATAGTTGGAGGAGTTGTCGTTGTAGACGTCGTTGTTGTCGTCTTCGCTATTGTTGTTTTATAGTTATTCGTCACAATTGGAACTGTTATTCCAACCACAATGCCGATAAGTATCACTAAAGAGAATTAATTTATTCAATCACATAAAAATCATACAGAGAATCGAAAGAATGAGACCAACGAGTCTCTTCTTGCTTCGTTTTATCGGGACGAAATTTTCGTCTTGGATTTGTTCTTCTTCGGAAGTCATTTTTTCAAGAGTGAGAAAATTTCACAACATCCGCTTGTATTATGCCCCACTATCGCGCCGATACTGTCAGATAACACACTTCTCGTGGAAGAGTTCCAACTTTCTAAGCCTGTAAATCCCCTGGCTACAGTGTGGATTCTACTCTATACAAGATTCTCGAAGATTCCTACGAATTCTTCGAAGAAAAAGGCGCCAGAGAGAAGAAATTTTCATGGGAAAAATTCGTCTTCCGTTTTCTTCCTTCAAAGAAATCAGAGTCTTCCACCATCAACATTGCATTCTTACTGAAATTCACTTTTTCGGAAGGATTTGACTATCTGTCAATTAATCAAAAGGCCAATTTTATTTCCGTAAAATTTTATTGAAACAGGAATTCAAACATTGTTCAAACAAAAATCGAAAGAAGCATGATAAAGAATTGGCCAGTACTCCGCTCTATTATGACTTCCTATCACTGTAGTGTTTTTGATTTGATCATCTTCAAGGTCAATTCGTTGCAGTGGATATCCATCGTAACTCTGTCCAGAAATTACGTAAATTGACGATCCTATCAAAATTGAACCACCAGTAGACAGGCCCTTAAAGGAACAGTTAATGCTTTGTTCACTAAACGAGACCTTACCTTTTCCATGTAGCCATCGATGGACCACTGTCCGTTTTCGAGTCTCCAAACATCTTTTCGATTGCTGTATCCGCCGATTAGTAGCAATGAGCCAGAGTCCAGTCCGACAAGGTTGTGAAGCTTGACATCCCTTATTTAGGCATTAGAATTTCGAGAATATGAGCCAATCTTACTCAGGGTGGTCTGCAAGAGATTTCCATCCGTCGCTCGTCAATGTTTCAACTTTACTTGTACCATCGTAAAACCAGCTTCCAACGGTTGTTGGGTTTCCTTCGTACATACCGAGACCGCCAGTAGGATGACTGTATTGAGAAGGCATCGTTGAAGAGCAAGTGTAGCCGTCGAATCTATCACAGTTGTTTCCAGAGCTTGTTATTTCTGGAAAGCAGATCAAGGCCTCGCTTCCATCATTTATTGCGAGAGCTGCTTCGCCTCCCCTTGAAGCGGAAAAACTGAGCAGAGCGGGAAGTTGGACAAAGGAACAACCTTCTAGTCGGGCAATCTACTCAAAACTAAAGATCCGTCTTATCCACAAGAAGCCTACCTTTTGACTATCATAGCTTCCTCCGAAAATATGTAGATGATCGTTAACGATAGCATAAGAAGCATATCTGACGAAGTTTTCTGAGGGAGCATTTATAGTTGGCTTCAAACTTGAACTGCCGTCGCCAGATAGAATGTATGCATTTGAAAGACCTGTTTCAACGAAGATCATGAGCGCAGTATCTTTCTGAAGAGAAAGATAAAAACAGACTGATCGAATTTTGAATCTTACAGGAGCGATCGGAGCAAGTGTTGTTGTCGTTGTGGTGGTTGTAGTTGTTGTTGTGGTGGTGGTGGTGGTTGTTGTTGTTGTCTGAATGGGCATGATAATTCAAGAAGAACAGTGCTTGATTTACCTCCGGTTCAAGGCAGGGACATGTTGCCATTTCTTCCCGGTACTCAGCATAGCAGCTGTCGTAGCACTCAAAGCTCGGTGGACATTGCTTCGAGCAAACGTTCTTAATAAAAAATATTTCTTTCCGGGCAGAGCATGCAAGACTTACAAATTGATCAAGCGCGATTTGCAAGCAAACACGATAATGGTCGTTGTTCTCTTGCGCGAAGTCACAATCGTGGCAAAGTTGATGCTCGCAGTCATCACAGCCGCCGGGGCAGTTGAGTCCGCATGGACAAAACGAATCGCAAGCTTAGAAAGATTTATGGAAAATTCGGTAACGGATTCAATCTTACATTGAAAAGTCTCCAAACATTCACTGTGACAATATGAGGATTCGCAATGAGACATACAGTCGACGTAGTCCACTCGGCAAAATGTCAAACACTGATCATAAAGATCAGGAACACTGAAGAAAACATTTAAGAATTTCGAACTCGGCGGCCCTAACTTAGGGTTAGGGTTAGAGCTCCTTCGGAAGCATCTTTACTTACTCGCATTCCATATCCGTTGTAGGAATTAGGGAACAAGCTGCAAAATTCAGACAAGTTATCAAAAATATCATGTTTTCTTTCTTATCAAAGATTAATTGATAAAAATTTTTGATCAGCGCGATATTTATGCACGCATATTTGCACTGGAAAGAGACCAGAAGCAGAAGGTAAATTTCAGATTCTTCTTCCAGAATGTTCCATCTTCCTCGGGAAGCATTCATTTTAGGGCATTTGAAAAACTCCCAATTTATTTTTTTTTTTGAGAAGAAGGGCATTTTATTTGAAGGAAGCATCAAAATATCATTTTAAGCAAGTTTGGCTGTTGAATTTTTTGAACTTTTACAGGGGCATTTTTTTTATTGTTTTTCTTGAACTTTATTTGTCTCAGCATTTGTCGTCGTTCTTAATTAAAAATTATGATTTGTAATAATAATTATTCAATTTGCAAAAGATGAAATACCTGGCGATATTTGACATCTTTACTAGACAGTTTCTACATATTCAAGTTGCTCATTTTCACGCTGGATCTAAACAAAAATGAGTATCTCATTCATGTTTTATTATTCAAGTATCTCATTTTTGTTTTCAGTCAATTTATAAGCTCAAACCTGAGGTCATTAGTAACGATTGAAATTTCCGTCTTGTTACTGGCTGTTGTCGTTGTCCTTGGGGTAAGAAAGGATCCAAGCTGAAAAGGGCCTAGACGAGGGGATCCTTGAAGCTTAGGGGTTAATCCGCCGGCTGTTAGGTCTGAACATATAAATTTATTACATGTTCCCGATTTTTATCAAATAAAATTATCTTACAAGTTGAATTCGTAGCGTCAGAATTGGGAAAGTCGGTATCGCGAATGAGTTTGGCACCAGAGTGATATTGACTTGCTAGAATTCTTTCTCTCCGTCTCCTGAATATCAAGTGTTCATATTGCGTTTGCACTTGACCTAGATGAGGAAACATACGTTAGAAGACTCTTCAGCCTCGTTCTGAAGGAATTGTTCAGGAATGCGTAAAGCAGCGGGTTTATACAGCTATTCGACCAAGCGAGGATAACAGTGACCATATGGAAGCTATTAGTAAGGCTATCATGCGCCCTTTCTCATGAATATTGAAATCAACGAGGAGTACACCGGGGATAAGCCGTTCCTACTTTGAGTCTGGACTGGATCCTCGAGATCGTTGGTACTCGTGTTGTTTCCCCCAATCGATGTTGCCAAATCAAGGTTGAAAGAAATCCAATTTGGATAGATTCGATGCAGCAAATTGGAAATTTGGTTAGGCAACCAGCAGACGAAGAAGATCAGAATCACCGAGGCCACGAGTCGGGTCGACTTGTCATGTTGCTTTTTTCGCTCGAATTGGCGGCCTGATCACGTGATTCATTTTTCCACGGTTTAAGTTGTTTCATACCTTGTCTCTTGGCAGATTTCTGGTTGTTTTCCTTGAAGCGCCGTTTTCTGAGGAAAACGAATATTGAAGTGTAGCAGTAAGTGATGACTATCAAAGGCAAAATAAAGGCAAATCCAACACGGGAGGTAATTTGAACATTCAACCAGAACTCGTGCTGCTCCGAGCCGATTTCTCCCGGAAATAGCCAGGCGCAGTGCGCTTGTTGTTTGTTCAAAACTTAAACGGGTTGAAAAACGTTGATGGTTACTCCTTACTTTTGTTGTTGATGTAGGTCACTTGGCGAAAGGCAAAGGCTTGTAACGAGAAAACGATTGAAATACACCAGACTAGTAACGAGCAGAGCATCGAGTTTCGAACAGTTCTATTTTAATTCATATTAATTTTTGGCTTTCTTGAATTATTAAACTAACCGATAAGGCCGCGAGTTGATGGCGATGACCACTGCCAGGTAGCGATCTATAGCCATTGCCATCAGAAGCTTTTGAGGATTTCATTTTTCATTATAATCAAAATTATTGTTTTAGGTTCCTTCTTGTTAAAATCCGTTCCAGAATGGACGATGACATATTCAAAAAAGTCACGAACGAGAAAACTCGACAAGCAGCATTTCCAAAGATCCACTCGTCTTGAATAAGGTCGAAGGCCCAGAACGGGATGGTAGAAACGAAGATGAAGTCCGCAATTGCCAAATTGGCGACATAGACATCTGCGCAACGCATCGTATCAAAAATGCATAACAACTTCCATACCTGTGCATGTTTTGCTGTTGCTGTTCAGAAACATCGAGCAGAAGATGACGAGCCCGTTCCCACACAGGCCCAGCATGCAGATGACGATGCATAAAGATGGCAGGATGATCTGAGGGAAATTTAAGCGGAAAGATTACTGACCGAAAATAATATCAGATGAACATTAGGGCGACTTGAATACATAATTTGGTAAGGAAGCATTTATTTATGAGCTTGACCTACGTCTAATCAACGACAGATACAGGTATTGCTACAGTAATCAAATTTTATATGCATTTTACAATATTATTAATAATTATTCTATAAAGGGAATTTTTAAAGAAGGCTGGGAAATTGCCAATAGATGAAAATCAGCCTGACAACAACGATTTTCAGGGGCACGTCCACAACGATTTTCAGCCGTAAATCCAGTCTTTTTATTTTTGACCCCTATTATCCGCTTTGAAATATATCTTGAACCTTTAAATGTCCATCAAGTTGAATAGTACTGACCTGTTTGAGTAGGGCGGATTGTGAGTACAGACCGTCAATGTGATCTATTACACTCGCGTCTGCGAGGAGTAATGCTGTTCCACGGATCATTTATCAAACTTTTTATTCCGAGTTTGGTCTTGTCACGTGACCGGAAGACAGTAATTAATTCAAGTTCATTTTTGATCCGTTAGCCATAAATGCCCCGCATTCCAGGTCCATGATTTCGCCATATTTGTCGGGTTCTTCTTTCAGGAAAAGCTCCTTTTCCTTTTAAAGAAGATCTTCACCCAGTTTTTGATGAATAATTCATAATTATATCGAGTTGAGCTCCTTCGTTTCTCAAAAAACGCGACAGAAAACGATTGGAGTTAATTATTCTGAATAATAAACGATTCCCTTCAGAAAAGAATAAGAAAAAACCTTCTGAGTTTACAATGAAAGGAAACTGCCCAAAGCTCCAGGGGAGGGATGATAAATCTACCAGCAAAGGTTAATTCTGACAAAATGGGATTGCCCTCCATTTATTGGGGAGGGGGACCTTTTCCTTCAAGCATCCTGTGTCATTTGAGCTTGTAAACGGGTTGTAATTGAGGAAATCGCTGTCCACTGTATTTGCTCCATCTAAAATATCTTTCAGGAGAACCTTTCTTTTGTTTTTTTATTTAGTTAAATTAAGCTTTCTTTTTTGGATAAATTCTAAGATCAACACTTATGTAACAAGAGGGTATTCTATGTGACCCAGATGATTTGATGTCCACTCAAATAAGTTACTGTAAAAACTGCTGCATAGACTTATTAGAGTATGTCAACCTTTCGGAATTGTCAATTACCAATGCAGCAATGCTTCGCGAATAAAATGACATTTTAGTTGAGTTAATAAGGAAAAAAGAGCGAATAAAATCAATTATCAAAAAGGTCGAGGGGTCTTACGAGAATTTCGCTATAGAATATGCAAATGTATCTTTTTACAAGAATCCTGGACACACAAGGAAAGGATAACTTTACAAGGTCAAAGATGGTATGAAAGCGAGCATATGCTTACATACACGCTTCGTAAAACCATTTGATGGTTTGCAATTCAGCGCTATTTGAAGGAGGTCAAGTCGAAGTACATTAAATTCCAATTTTTCAAAAGAAAAAGTTTTCTTTGTGAACTCCCCTGCTGATTTGTATATAGCCACTCCTTCAAATCGAACTATGGCTGTATTGTTTTGTCAAACAAGTGCTTTGGTTGTCTATCATGTTAATACGACAATAGTAAGAGTAGATATCTGATCTGAGCTCAGCAGATTTATATCCAAATAAGTAAGAGCGTATACAAATTCAAACATTCTTTAGTTTATACCAGAGTTGGTAAAAAAGTATACTTCCCCTCGCCCTTCAAAAATCTGCAGGGCGCCCTTCATTCTTGAAGGGCGGTGAAGTGTACTTCACGCGCCCTTCAAAGCCCTGAAGTATACTTCAGCTATCGGTTCATCTGCCACAATCAGCGTGATTTAAATCATGGCGCCTGAGAGCCAATAAGCGCAAAATTTGAAAAAATTCTGGCGGATGGATTCTGATGGCCGACAGAACCAAGTTGAAGTAGAGTGAAGGGCGGAAGGGCGGTTGAAGTAGAGGGAAGGGCGGAAGTACACTTCACGCCCTTCAACGCCCTGCAACGCCCTGAAGTATACTTCATGAAGTATACTTCATTCTGAAGGGCGAGTGAAGTATACTTTTTTACCAACTCTGGTTTATACAGACGGTTTACAAGCATAGATAACAGTCGTTCTCGTGAATTTCGTAAAGTCTTGTCTCGCAAAAATGATGTTGAAATGCAGAGCTAGAATTTCAAGCTCGAAAAGAAGTGAAATTCGAAGGCAAAAATGACCACTTTTCCTGAGAAAATCTCAATTATTTTCCAGTAAAGGAGAATTTTTTTCAATAAAATTCAATTTCATAGAAGAAAAAGAAATCTCGTACCGTTAAAAGATGCATCCTCCATCAGTATTTTTCCTTGTTCTCTTCTATGTCTTCAAATTTCCTCTCTATAAATAACTTTTTCGGTCTTCATCATCAGAATTCTTGCTGACAAGTTTTATCCTCTGAAGTTTATATACAATTAAATTGAAGCTATTCGAAATGTTTCTCCGCCATGGTTACATTTGGGCACGCCATCTGCTCGCGCGCGCCCTCGACTGATTTTAGCGTCGTTTTAGTGTCACCAATCTGCTGATAAGTGTTTAATAAAGAAAATTAATGAAGCATTTATAAAATTGAATATTTTCTCAGACTCTCAATTTTGAATTGGGTCGGCAAATAAATCAGCATAGTATCAAAAGAAAAAAAGCATAAATTAAACTGACTTGACAAAAAGTAGATTTACTGTCTCGACCTTCCTGTATGAACCGCGGGCGAATCCTCCCGGTATCTAACTGTAAATCCGTATATAATCGACTCTAACATTTGTCTCTCGAAGAAAGAGCAACGAGAGCTCACAAGTCAAGTGCAGGCAAAAAAACTGCCAATTCTTGCACTTTTCTATTTGGGGATTTCTGTAAACAGCGAAGATAGATTCCATGAAATAAATATTTATTGAACATGTACAGAAAATACGCCTGGTCTGGGACGGTCTTAATCAGCCAAAGCGTCCCAAACCAGGATTATTTTCGCTCTCGCCTCTGGCGCCACTTTCATATTAAAAAGCACCCCCCAGGCGTGCGCCTTTGATCTTTGAATGGCCCGACCGTCCCAAACCAGGCGTATTTTTGACCGTCCCAGACCAGGATTATTTTCTGTATAAGAGGTATGTTAATTAAATTGTGTCTTTCTGAGTCGTTGAAGCAGGCGTTAGTAGGTTCAAGAATGCTTAGAAGAATATACAGGAGAACAGGAGTATGTACAGTTATTAGTCGTTTCTCAAGAGGTCGAGAAGAGCATCTGCAAGAATCAAGCTTGGTAAATCTATCGACTTTGTCATACATTTCTTTCTTTTCAAGGGCTTACTATCGAAGAGTCTTTTAAACCTACTTATCCCTTATAGAACAAGGTATATTTTGATGTATAAAAAGCTTTATCTAATGGTTAACCTAAGGTTATACTAAGGGCATGCGATTTAATATAAGAGCAGCATGCATTCTAAAAGATCAGCATCTGATTTATCTAAGATTGTTCATATATACCAGTAGTAATCAGGTTTCTGCGAAAAACCGTTTTTCTCAAGTTTTTCATAAGCCTTTCCTATAAGAGCAAATTGTCTTTCCGCCAACGACGGAGCATTGCGGAGCACATTGCCCGATTCCACTAGACGGTCTCATCCCAACTTGACGACCAGACGTTTCGGAACCGTTCTCGTTGAAGCAGATGCCGAGGGATTGGCAGAAAAGAGCAGAAGTCACTAAATAAGGGTACTTTAACCTATATTTCTTTTTTAAAAAAGGGATTTACCTTGAGAGCTTTGTGAGCCTCCAGGAACTTTAGCGCCGAAAAAGTCACGTGAGGACCTATCCGATGTATCAGCTTTTCCAACAGTAGATTGATCAGTTGTTGAGCTGCTCGGGTTAGAAGAGGAATAAGATGACCCAAGATTGTCATTAAAGATCTGGAAAGGCACCTTCTTCTGAGGAGCTTGATTGTAATCGCCATTGAACTCGTTGTTCACATTATGCACGAGCGGCTTGGGATTACCCGCTTGCGAATAATTTTCAGGGATGATCTTGACATTTGATGCGGATAGTGGTGGTCTCATCCGACCATTTACATTTTCTTCTACTTCAGACGCAACGGGCTTTTCCGGGCGATGGGAAACCGATGGGCGAGTGATCGAATTTGGAGTCGAAGAATCTGGAACGACAGATGCTCCGAGGTTGAGGTAAAATGCCAATTCGGGCGGCAGATCCTTATTCTGTAATTGCACATTTTGATTGACAACGGGTTGATGCTGTAATCGGCTTCCAATGTAAACCTTTGAATTCAGCCCCAGTCGATTTGGATCAGCAAAAACTGGGTTTTCTCGATTCAAAATTTTGACCCTAGAATCATTGTTGATTTCAGCAACTTCGGAATAGGAATTGACAGAAACTTGTTCTTTACTGAAAACTTGATCTGTTATCAGGCTCTGTTTTCCGGGAACAGCGTAAATCGGATTTTGTCCACTCAAGACTTCAGCTTTGGAATTCGGGAATATTGCGGAACTCTCATTTTCGCGTGCATTATTTATAAGATTCTGTACGTTTTCAAATTCAGCAGGGGTTACTGTTGCCAGCTCGGATTGAATGGTAGGTACTGTATTTTGAGAAGGAGCAGCTTCATAAGTATGCGGATTACTGGAGCCCATCCAATTCTCGTTCATTTGAATAAGCTTTAATGGATTGTCGCCTTCTATCCGCTCAGGGCTCGCGGCCTCGTTGACCTGCCGATTCTGTTGCAGAGTGAGATCTTCTGAAGATCCCGATTCGTATGCGACAGGATTAGTCGAAACTGCACTTGATATGGTTACTGTATTTTGAGCAGTTGGCCTGAGATTGGCGTTGTGGCTGTTTTCTGCGGCGAATTTTACGTCCTCGGCGGTAAAGATGGGAGAATTTACAGCCAAAAAGTCCGCAGCGCTCGGGGATGAAGAAGTGTTCAGAATCGAACCTGGCTGACTTTTGCTTGAACTTTGGAGAACTGAGGACTGTTGTTGACTGAGATCATTCTGGAATGCTGGTTGGTGAGATTGAGAATTGGTATAAGCCTGGATAAGGTTGGATTTTGATTGCTCGGCAGATGGAACTGGGGCCGTAAAACTCCTGTCACTTTGTTCCAAAACGTCACTTTTCGGAATCATATTCGCATGATTTTCTCGTTCAGATTGTAATCTAGCGTTCGCTTGTTTTTCCTCAGCGTCCATCCTGTTCTCTTCCAAAACACTTCCATCTATCGTCTTCCCAGAAATCATCTCTTCATATTTTGACATGATGAAGCGTTCGTGAGCTTGTGCAACTTCTATTTGTGATCCTGAAAAGCTGTCTTGCACAGAAGGGCCTTGATTGAGATTATTTTCTTTAGTGGTTGAGATTTCAAACGGCTTGGTTGTCGGAACACTGCTTGGTTGATCGACGTTTTCAGGGGTTAAAATTACCCTGTTTTCGTCGGTTTTCTTCGCAGCAGATTGAACATCATCATTCATATTCACTAGATTTGATGATGATTGAATAATCTGTTTAAAACCGGGTTCTTCTGATTGAGATCCCTTTTGACCGAGTTCTGCAATCATTGATGAAGCAGATGATGGCTCATTTTGTCTATTTGTTTCAATGGCTCCCAAGTTATTATTAGAGCTAAGCTTGTTGAGACGACCCACCGTCTGAGTACCATCCACTTTATAGCGGTCGCCACTATTGGTTTTAGAATCGAACAGCGAATTCGACTGACTCGAACTTGCGTCGTAGTCGCTGGGCAGAAAGTTGACGCTAGTTGACATCATTGTGGCGGAATTCGGCGCCTGTGTAGCGCCTAAGCTCAATAAATTTGACGCTGATTGCGTCTCGTATTTCGATCCGGTGTTTTCAGCAGCTGAAACGATCTGTTGAGAAAATAGGGGATCGAGTTCCGTTGTAAATTGTGAAGCGACAATTTCACTGTTTAAAGTACCGGGTTGTTCCTGTAGCTCCGTAAAAGGAGCTGAAAATGGATTTAGAACAGTCGCGGAAGATGGTATTTTCGAAGCGTTGGATAGAATCGTTTGCCTTTCCGATTCATCAGCCGCGGATGATGAGATTTGACCTTTGACCGGATCTTTGTGGAAATCTGCATAAGCCCCGTTTGTGCGCAGAGCATCGAGTAATTCAGGAAGGCGTAAATCGTTTAGAAGCGCGATATCAGAGCCTTCTGCGTACGCGCCAGATTTTACGGCGGAAGTGAGATTTTCCACGGGCTCTGATTTCGGGATTTTTGGATTTTCAGCATTTGAATCGTTTGAAGTTTTCGTAGAAGTTATTACAATCGATGGAGAAGGAAGAAAACTTGTTGATTGGGCATTTTGAAATTGTTGCTTGGCAGCCAGCTGACTGTAAGTGGCACTTTCCGGCGGAGAATTAATTTCGAAAGGAAGAGAATTTGCGTCATCCCCGCGTTCATCGATCTTTTGCTCAGAAATTTCAGTCTTTTCCAGGTGGCTTTCTGCTGTCTTGTGGTCTTGTAAAGAACTGCCTGTAACAGGCGGAGAAGAATGCTGCTGCACGTGTGAAACAGCGTCGGGGAGCGCATTGATGAGGTGATTTTTCAGCTCTTCAGGTTTCTGTTTAGAACGTGCTGGAGTTACGGAGCTACTTATTTTTACGATCTGAGTATTTTCCCTCTCAAGTTCGAGAGCAGCCAGAGCACCAGCAGGACTCTCAGATTGCGAACTAGATCGAGATAAGCCAGAGAGTTCATCGGCAGTGATTTCACTTTTCCGATTCTGCTGAGCGGTCGGAGCTTTGTGGGACACCGGATGTTCCCACTCGGGGGAAATGACATCTGGCTTTGTTTTCAAAACGCTTGTGCTCGTCATTTTCTTCTCAGGCGAAAGAGTTTCTGAATTGAGAGCATGAGAAGTTACAAAATTTCTAGAGTAAGTTGCAAAAACTATAAGTGCGCGACAAAATGCTAGAAATATATAAATTTTAACAAGTTTCATATATTCGATAATAATCAACCAAACACTCTACTGCAATTTGTGCATTTGTGACTTCATGATTGTGCAAAAAAATACTCACCTCTATGGTAAAGCAAATCACGTGATTGACCGTGCTCAATTAACTCCTCATCTTGGACATCTCCTCGATTTGACGCCTCAATTGGCAGATTCGAGTTAATTTCATCCTTTCCGATATTTGACGATATTGATTCTGTCGTGTGCCAAAGGTCACTCGATTGTGATTTCTCAATCGGCTCGTTCGTTTCATTCGTTTGTTCAATTGCTGGAAGTTCTTTTTCAAATTGGCTCTTTGATGCTCCTGTCGATTCGGAATCTGATGATGGCGATGATGATGATTTAGAACTTATTGATGAAATTTCTTCTTTGAAAGATGGAGCTTCTGAAGCTGGAGCATTGTTTTGATTGATGATGAGCTCATTTTTAATGTCACTGGATGATCGAATTTCCGCGTTGTTATTTTGATGAATTTCTTGAAAGCCCCCGTCGCCAGCAGAGGTGTCAGCGTTTTGGGTAAATAGAAAGGCTTTTAGCTCATTTAAGGGCTTTAGGTACGCTTCCTTTGTTTTGAGTTCCAACGAGTTGGAGTCAGAGGAGATCGGGGAGCTTGCATATTCGCGTATTGCTTCATTTAACAAATGGATATCGTCATTAGTCAAGAAGTTGTTCTCTTCGCCATGATTACTCTTAAGAATTTCCGGTGTACTTGTTGTTTCGGGAAAAATCCCTGACCCACGGGTCGGTTGCTTATTTTCGCTGACTGATTGCTTCAACCCAAGACTGGAAAGTAGATCTTCAGATACAGATGCCGATTGTTGATTTTTGACAAGTGGAAGAGCTTCACTTTCATCTTTCGCCAATTCTAGCGCATTCAAGATTACGTCATCGCGATTACGATTATGATCAAGTGCAGCACTTTCAACTTCACTTGTGTCCATGTAATCGAGCTCATGAATTAAGCCGGAGAGGATGAGCCACTCCTTCAATGATATCGGCTTAACTGTCGGAGAACGGATGATGGTTTGATCATGTGATCCAGTGTTGATTGAGCCAGACAAAAACGTGGTTGAAATTTCATCGCCTGCTTGGGTTCCATCTTCTTGTCCAAAGATGCCGGAGAATCTTTCTTGCTTGCTAACGGCATTTCTGAACGAACAAAAAAATTTTTTGACGGCATTTCTGGCTGCGTAAATAAAATTTTGCGGAGAATTGCAAAAAACTGTTTAGTTTTGCAGTTATGCGCAAATAAATAAGTTTGAGAGTGCACAAATAGTACGGATTCGCCTCGGAAAATCTCAGTCTGCGAAACTTGAGTTTGAAGTATGAGGTTTCTCATCCTCATATTATATTCGGCAGTTGCCGAGACAGCATTATCAAAGGAAAAAGCTAGTTCCTTTTTACGCAAAAGAAGATCCTACGATTATTACGGGGAAGATTGCATCCATTCGATGCTTCAATATGGATTACGCGAAACTTTAGTTGAATCGATTTTTCCGCACAAAAGTATCGTTGATGCTGTCAACGAAAGAGTATTTGAGGAAGATCCATGTGATTGGAAAGCTGATTGCAAAACATTCGTTAAAAACAGACCAACGAAACCGGGAAACTCCTTGGGCAGGTGTTTCGATATTTTATATAAAAAAAGTTTATTTGTGATTAATGATAAAAAAGGCGAAAAAAATTGAGAAAGCTAAATCTTGACATAAACTACGAAATATCAATCGAAATTCAATGCTCAAATCGTCATCCAACCGGCTCGTGGTTTAACATTTTTCACTTGACCAATGGTGGAAATTACGGCGCGTTCTGATCAAAAAATTCCTGACAATTAATTCTCTCACCTTGGTCGTTTAGAGTTGGACATCAAGTAGCTCCCCAGAATTTCATTTTGCAGTTTTTCATTTTTCGTCGCCATTTTGAGCACCAAATCAACCTCTCCATAAACTCGAGAATTCCTAAAATTTCATAAGACAAATTGCATTTTCCCAAAAACTGAAAAAGAAGGTAAGGAAGGGCGTTTTTAAATTTGCCCCAACAAAGCGCGCGAGCCAGCTTTGTTGTAATCCGGTTTGGAGCTCACCTGGCTTCAGTCTCAGAAGTTCCATCCTCTTTTGGTGCGTCAATTCCGCTCGCGCTCTTATCATATCCTCTCTTTTGAAGATTGTCTATTGAAACTAGCCGCTTCTTGCTGGATTCTTGATGGAACTCCGGATTTGGTGCTCCAGCGAATAAGTCATTACCGGATAGCGCTGGCGCGGATGAGGAGCGATTTGGGTCAACCACAGTCAGCAACCGCGTATTTTCTTAAACCAAGATCAATGCACGCAAAAGGTTAGCACCGCTGTCCCACGCTAGCGGTTACGTATAAATTCTTATCATACGCTTGATTATTCTACAACCGAGATAATAGCCCTCCGAATAATTATCTTCGTTTGAAACAAAAAAAAGTAGGACACTTTCTAAATCCAAATAAACCGCCTTTATTTTTAATGACCCTTGTCCCAAAAGATTTCGATATCGAAGGGGGTACCCTTAATTTCCTAGAAAGAAACGTACCTCGAGTATACATAGCACTTTGTTTATCTTGTTGGTCGGACACTTGGTGACCATTGTCGTCCAGTTGGCGTTGTTGTTCCTGCCAAGTACTGACTTGTTGATAAGCGGCCAGCTGGTTATTATCATCAGAGGCCATTACTCCTCCCTCCTGCCTCACTTCTGCCTTCTGAGGTGTCAAAATTGGCACTTCCACTGCTTGCCCGTCGTTTCTTACGTTTTCAAAGCTCGTGAGTTCTGAGTCATTTTCGGGCACTTCAAGAATGGTATCGGGGTCTCGCGGTCGCATATTTCCAGTATTGACATCTATTGATGGAACATGTGCATTGTTAGTGCCCTGTGCTTGAGTTGGCGCCACGGCGGCAGGCTCAAGAAAGGCTAAACCCTCATCCGTGGTGAACTGCACCGAGCTCACGTCCAGTTCAGCCGGGAAAATGACAAGCGCACAATCATCCTTGAGAAAAGTATTAGAGTAATTGCATTAAAAAGGTTAATGGGTTATTTTTCGTGAATTTACCTTGTCAAGACAGCCTGGCATTGCATCACTAGAATCCGCCTCCGAGTCGTTTACAATTTCTTCGAGATATCGTCTCAATCGAGTGAGTTGTTCTTCTGAAACTCCGTTCAGCAAAGACGGGGAGTTCTCAGCTTTCCAGGAGAATAAGGAGCTAGGGCAGCTTTTTGGACAATCCTGACGAAGAGCAGAAAATAGAACGTCCGTTCTTTGGCAATTTTTCGCGACGAAATCGCAGATGAGTTCTTTGATTTCACGTGTTTTATGCGTTGATTTATCTTTGGAGACTTCTGTGGTTGTTTTTTGCATTTTTTGCGGAGAAGGTTCTAGCGCGGAATTTGTTTTGGCAAATATTTCGGAAACTAGGTTTTTGAGGAATGTTGTGTAGCTTTCATCAGTGTTTGGCCCTTCATTTGAGCTTCGGTCGTTTGTGGATTGTTGAGCAGCATTAAGAGGACTAAATGGAGAGAAAGAAGAAGAGGGATTAAATGGTACCTTTGGGTATTTGAAGAAATCGGCAGTGGGGTTGTTTTGGCGACTGAAACTTGGCACATGGCTTCTAACTCGTCGGAGCCATCGATGCAATCTGCGATGCCATCGCAAATGTTGTCTGTAGTGACGCAAAAGTGTCCATCTCGGCATTGGAAGTCACATGGTTTGTCATCCGGACGCATGCTGCTAAGAGAGCATCTGGTCTTGCCAAAGGTGGACTTGGTGACTTGGCGGTGGCCCTCGCCATCGAGCGCGGTCAGCGTCAGTCGAAAAGTGTGGCAACTGTGGAGGTGTCCGATCGAAGTGTATTCTATTCTTTGGATCACCGAGATATTCACGGAGTGAGGCTAATCCCTAAAACGAACTGCCACCGGAATCTCGTGGCCCAAGCTTGAGTCCCGGCCACGTACTGAAGCGGCACCTTCGCGCCGCCGCGATTCGTGATATCAATCACTTGATCACGGGGTAGATAAAAGCCCTTCTGCTATTCTTGCGCGTAAATTACAGTTACAATTCTAGCTCACGTAACAACAAAAAACTTTGCATTTCGTCTGGAATGTTAATTGAGCATTCTTTCGAAAATATTACCAAAAATAGCAAGAAAGAAAAAAATCAGTGTTTACACTAGGGTGTTCTAATAATGAAAGCGTTCGGTAATATTTGCGGCGAGTAAAACTACCCACTCTATCATTGGCTATAATTTGACCGTAATTTTCTGGCAGTTCCCGTTTCGCCCAAAATCCCGGATCGCCCACATCCCGGATCGCCCATTTTCCTGGATCGCCCATTGTGGGCAAAACGGGAAAATGTGCGAATCAGGAAAATGTGCGATTCAGGATTGGGCAGAACGGGATTTACAAAATTAGAAAAGGAGCTCTTTATCCCTGAGTCAGGGGTCTAAATTGCAACTGTGAATTCGCTTTCGCTTCGCACAAAATATCAAACTCTCAAAAGCGAAAAAAAGCTAAAAAGTGACATTATTTGTAAAAAGGCAGTTACTTGTTGCTCTATAGTAGGGCGTCTGTAAGAATATCATAATAATTTTGATGTTTAATTCTTAACAACCATTCGTCACTTTGAAATTTTTAACCTTTACAAGTGCCGAATGTTACCTAACTTGAGATGGGCCATCTCAGATGGCCGACTTAAAGGGTTAATTCTGATGAACACAGTAGCCCTGAGCACCTTATTTGAAAGATAAGAGCTTGAACTCTCTCAGAGGCTTCGGGACCTTAGTTTGGGTCTTATAATTCCGCAAAAAATACATTTTAGGGTTTTCCTTCAGGCGTTAGAGATGGTCGCCTTATGTCTCACAAACCTTTGTGAACTTACCCTTTTATATCGACGTTTTCATAATTGTCAAATTTTTCTAAATCAATGAATTCTATTATTCTTGAAATAAAAATTTTTACCTCCTAAAATTTTCGCTTTTTTTCGCAATTTTAAAGAAATTTTCGCTTCGCACTGGAAGTTCGAATTCGCTTCGCTTTTGCTTCGCAAAAAATTTGAAAAAAAGTTTCGCTTTCGCACTGGGTTTTTGGCTGATATTTAGACCCCTGCCTGAGTATTATATCTTTTCTTCTTTCAAATAAAATCAAAACTCGATCAAATCTTCTTTGGAATGTCCGATTTCCAAAGATCAATTTCGATCGATTATCAAATTTCAAATTTACAATTGCAAATCCTGGTTTGCACACAAATCCCGTTCCGAACATTTTCCCGTTTTGCCCACAATGGGCGATCCAGGAAAATGGGCGATCCGGGATGTGGGCGATCCGGGAATTTGGGCAAAACAGGCGCTGCCTAATTTTCTCGTCCCAAGAGCCTCTTTATCTAGTTATGGGTTCGTGTTATCACCAAAACGCAGTGCTAAGAAAACCAAGCTACTGTTCATATTTTCGATAAAGATTGCTACGACTGTATAATTTATTTGTACTCCCGTTTCCTTCAAGCTCAAATTGATACGGCACCGAGTAGGAATTCCACTCCAGCTCAATTTTATGCTCCGATAACGCGTGCGCTCTCAAATTCTGAGGTGGCATAACTTGAAGATTTTTTCAATTTCAGATTTGATTTGTTGTTGTTTACCTTGCGTCGGGTAAAAACAAGCACCGTCTTTGTAGCAGCAGTATCGCTCGTGTTCGCACTCTTGCTTCGAGATGCCATCTTTGCCGCAGCGCTGGAGTTCGGCCAGGCTGGGGTCGGTGACTTCGCATGCTGCGTATTTTTTGCGCAGTCTCATGAAACCTTGCCATTTTCGCCAACGCCATCCGACTAAAGCGAGTTAGAACTGCTGATGTTTGTCATTTTTCTTCAATTTTAATCTTATTTTTAAGGATATACCGGCCGATTAATAGGCCCGAGACGCAAAACTGGACACGTTAGCGCTCGGGGGTTAAACCCGTCTTGTTCCATCAAAACCGGTCAAGGCAGGTGTCCAGGAACCCGATGAAAGAAACCGAGCGTTAAGGAGCGTGTGGTAGGTATTTTAAGGGATGAGTCGTTGAATTACGTTCTATCGCTTTTTGCGATAAAGCGCACGCGCACCTCATCCGACAGCTCTATAAGTGCTGATTATCCCAAAAAAAAAGCTCAAATATTTTTTCGCTCCGCAATCGAAATTTAACGCCTTATCGATTTAGCTCTCTGGGAGCCTCCAAGTTGAATGTTATCATAACATGGATATACTTACACAATGATCGACCACCAGCGCTATAATCAAATAATTGAAACAATAAGATGACCCACAAGCGCATGACTTTATCATTCTAAGTCTCTTTCAGGAGATAACTTTTTAATCCTCTTGGCTTACCAGAGAACATGACCTACATTTGTCTACCTGTGTAAGGCTCTTACACAGGGTACCCATTATAAGATCATGGTGAAATAGATGAAGAAGAGGTTTATGAAAATGAAAAATTGAGTCATAGTTTTGGTGAGGTTCAAAAATAAGGATATATGATCCGTTAAATTCATAATGATCTGAGAGAGCTAAAATTGGTGGTGCGAAATTCGTAAATCGAACGTGGGCACCTCTTTCTTGTCAATTTCAAAAATCAATTTCTTAAAAGCTTTTCAGTTACGGGGATAAGTCAATTTTTGACAGCTGCCTCAATTTTTGAAAATATTATAAAAGGGTTGTGATACTCTTTGGGTAAGCGAATTACCGGGTTTGAAAGTATCTGTCAAATAGTAAGGGGGCAGAGTTGATTTTTGGCATTTTCTCATGTTGAAAATCTCTTCGCCTAAACATTTGTCGAAATTACATTGTTTCACGGAAAAAGGGTTGAGAAGCTGATACTCTCGGAAGAAGAGAAATTGAACCGGACGGATTTTTAATGAACCAGCGACATTATTATATAAATATGAAAATTAACCTCCGGCGCAAAAACTGGATGAGTACAGGGTCTGCACTACAGACAGCGCTTATTTTGAAAACCAAAATCATCGATCTCTGTAGATCAGACTAAAACATCTTCCCTGCCAAAAGAATAATTACGCGTAATTGTCTCTTTTGGGGCGGATCCAGAATTTTTGAATAAACACGTGACAAGCAATTAACCCTTACTCCCTTTGAAAATGCCAACATCACCTTCTTACATCGATTTAGCGCTAGAATACACGCTTGAAAAGGTCGAAATGATTACAATTTTATCTCCTTTCCTGTAACTATCTCATTTTCCAATTCTTCCTGCTTCTTCAGAACAAACTCTCTTTCTCGAATAATCCTTTCTCTGTTTTTTCTTATGAAAAAAATTGGTAAACAAAAGCAATCTGTAATTTTCTATCGGAATTCTAGTTTTTGAGAAGACGTGCGGCGCGGATTTGAACGCGCGGCGCTTGACGTGGTGGCGCTAGGACGACGCGCGCCGCCGCGAAGGAATCATGAGATTCTTATTCATAAAAGCTCTTTTGGAATCTACATAATCAAGTTATGTTCTGAGCTAAGTGAATATTTGAAATGCTAACATGAAACTTGTCCAACATTTGAACCTTTTGGAAACTCAAAAAAGTTGTGTTACAGAAATCCCTGAAAAGAGATGACGTAAATTGACCTCTCGTGTTTCTTCAAGGGCTCGTTGTTTGCTTTGGTGTTATCTGTTTAGTCTTTTGTAGAAAGAATAGGTTTCTAGAGCTCCTTACTAAATCCAACTATCAGCTTGATAAGCGTTGATTACGAGTTTTTGTGGAGAGCAATGACGAGTTTTTTATGCTTTTTTTGAACTAAGGGTTTCAAAAGATTACTTGCTGGAAATTTTTCCGTCTCGACTTTGAGATTCTTTCTAAAAGAAACTCTGAAAGTCCCACTAACGAGTTTAGTTGTTTTAATTAAATAAGAGTTATTACAGCAAATTAAGCGCGTTTATGCGACTCTGCCGGCTGTTTTTGAAATCTGTCGAGAAGCAAAAATACGCGCCTGACAGGGCGATTATTTTGAATTTATCCAAAGGACCAAAAGGAGCCCTTCGTGGGAAAAATACGTAATGGAAGAAATATTGTGTCAGGATTTTGGCAGGTAGTGTATTCGAACTCAGCGGGGGACGATGCTGCTGCCTGGAATGGCGCCGGTGTAACTGATAGCGTTTCTGGCGGCTGGTGATAAGCTTCAAATGCATAACTTTAGGAAAGAGGATAATCTCGGACTTGAACCTTTTCTTGCCAATTATTGGAGCTTTTTTCTAATAGCCAGACAAAATCGTGCGGCGCGGCGGGGGAAACAATGTTATTCCAGGCCCCTTATCAGCCACGTAGATATTTTGATTGGATATATTATCACAAAGGAGTCTTGTAAGGCTTTGTATCTAAACCAATTTTACGCTCAGCGGGCCTTACTCCAATTTAATTTCGCGTGCTTGTTCTTTTTTACATTTTTTGATTTATCAACTTTGTTTTATCATCTGAAAATTGGGCATTGACTTGCCTCTTTAGGCTGATATTAGATTCAAATTTTGGCTGATAAGTTTAATTTATTCGTTAAATTTTTCAGTGGTAAAGAAGGATGCTTCTAATTTTCCCAATCACCGAATATTATTGATTTTTTGCTATACTAGTTTTTTCGCAATAATTATTAATAACGGAAACAGTAAACAATCCGTCAGTGTTAATGCTTCAGCCTTTATGGTTGATGACGGTGCTGCTGATGAAAATTGTGTTATAACAATTCTTTTGACAATTCTATTTATTCCGAAGAAAATTGCCAGATTTCTAAAAGAGAAAAGTATTTTCTGAATTGGCAATTCAGAATTGCACAAGTTGTTCCCTGCCGGGAAAGAGTATTGTATACAGTATAGGCTTCAGACTATTAATAATACAGCTCCTTCTGAAGCTGCTCGATCAATCAAATATTCCACCTTGATCTTTTATAAGAGTAATCTTGTTTAGAGTACTCTAAAATATTGAGATTGAGGCTCAGTTTCGCGAATAAACGCATCGAGGCGATAAACATTGTAAACATATATTTTTTGATTAATTATGCAATATTTCGAGCAGCAAAACGACACGCACATTGTCGATAAAACAATGATTCAGATATAGATAACACTCCAGAGGAGACCTCAAAGAGAACGCTCACTGCAAATTCAGATGAGTACAGAAAGAACTGGGAAAAAGAGACGCTGAAATCAAGGAAGAAAATAATCAAAAATCGGATTTTTCGATGATCAAAGATGGTTGAAGATATGGAAAGGAAAGGAGTTTAGAACATTTTTCTAGCGACAAGAATGGTTCAAGATTGTTTTATCAAAATTACAGTAAGGGTAAGGATCTTACTGTTAGGCTTTTGTAGGGGTCCTATCTTAGGGGTAAGGGGCTAACCCTAACCCTACCTTTGGGGAACTCAGATTAGTAAACAATATGAAGAAAAAGCTCATAATTATGTGATATATTCATAGAGGAAAGAACCTCTTTATCAAGTAAAACTCCTGAAAAGTTTATGTCAAGAACTCATTTCGACGCAAAAATGCACATTTTACCAAATGTGCACCATCAGAAGCGAAGACGGAAAGCTAGATTTTTATGGCCAAACAAAGGTAGTAGTACCAACTCGATCTGATTTCATTTTCCGCCTGTACAACTCATTAGACAGGAGTTAATAAAGGTCTCATACTTTCATTAGCTTCGCGACATGTTTGTGACAATATATTTGTCGGTCCTTTTCATTATCGGTTTATTGGGAAACAGTCTCGTTTTCTTCGGAATGGTCCTCAATCATTCGCAGATGGTGACTGCTAGCCATGTTTACGCGATTCACATGGCCTTTGCCGATTTACTTCTTATACTTGTTCTTCCGCTCAAGATTTCCCAGTACTTGAATCATGAAGGAAGGGGATCATGAATTCAGAAAACGGCAAGGAAGCAGTTTTGATCCTGAAAACAGAATGGTTATTTGGAGCGACCATGTGTAAAATTGCCAACGCAACAACAAACGTGAATTTCATCGTGTCTATTTTCTTTCTGACCCTGATGGCGGTGGACAGGTACATCGCCATCAAAGGAAAATACAATCCGATTGTTTCCAGAAGACGTCCTATCGTTACGCACTCGATTTCGGGCGCCATCTGGCTCATTGGCATCCTCATATGAAAAAGGCTCTCGATACTTAGACTTTATAAGCAGACAGCGTCAATGTTTTTATGCAAAAAACGTTCTTCGAAAACCCAAATAAAGCTCTCCACAGATTCTTAATACAGATCTCCATCCAAAGACGCGCATTTGTCGAGAAGACTGGGGTGCAATTGACCCCTATGTTATTGGAAATTTGACAGAATATGAGCAATCAAACTGGTACTATACTCCTCCTTGATTTCATTTCATTAATGTTCAGTGGTTTGTCCTCAGAAAAGACTTTTCTCAGCGACAAATACATGACGACTCCAAGTCAATCATTTGATGATATTTTCGGAAATACGACTGAATTCCCAGACTGCTCGGATAAATGGTGGGAGAAAGAGCCCGATATTGCCAAAATTTGCGATGATTTTCTGACCTATTGTCCCGAAGAAGTCGAAGAAAACTCTTGCCGGTAAAGGACAATCAATCTTCCAGCTTTCTTTAAAATTTTTAGGGGAACAGCAGACGGCATCAACCAATGTATTTGTCCTGTTTCAACCAGATTTAGATACGTAAGAATGATCAATTTTAGCAAAAAAGATCGAAAATTCAGTACGTGGTTTTCGTCTTCCTGACCTGTTTCGCTCTCCCCGGCGGTGTCATAACATACTGTTACTATAGCTTCATCAAGCAAATTACCAAAGTTCACAGGCTCGTTCGTAATTCTGCCGGGATGACGAACCAGCATCAAGAAGAAATTCAAAAGCTTGTGTCTGTCATAGTTTTTATCATTACCGCCTTCTTTCTTACTTGGGGTCCTGTTCAGATATGAGTTCAAAAATATGGCTTTTTCTTTTGAAAAATTGCAATTTTTGAACTCATTCGAAGATTATCAATATTCTTCTTTATACAACAACATTGCAGTCTATTTGCCATGGATCCTGTCGATTTTTGAAACGGGTTTTGCGATTATCCGTCAAAATTTTAGATACTTAAATTTTCTTTTCATTCAAAAACCCGAAACAAGATGCAGTTAAAGAAGAACCTGATCTGGATCTCATGTGCCATCAATTCAATAATCTACATATTCTCAACAGGTACACAAGTTATTTCATCTGACAGTATTCGAACCGCTTTTCAAGGACACAAGAAGAAGATAAAAGCCTTCTTAGCGAAGAAATTCCGCAAGAAGGGCAAGAAACCAACAAGCGACTACGAGACAACACCGAATACCCAGCGAATGACAATAATGACAAACTCGGCGGTCGGAGAAGAATCTGTGCGGCTCCACTCGAGGCCGAGCAGTGGCCGAGATTTTAGATGATTTTTAAATTTATTGCTTCATTTTTTTGTTTACAAAAACGATCGAACAGTAGTGTCAATGATATCAATACATTCAGTCAATTGCTCGTCGTTTATAACAAGTGGCGGTGCGAATCGGATAATATGGCCGTGAGTGGGCTTGGCAAGGAGGCCATTGTCTTTGAGCTTGTAGCAAATTTCGGTAGCATCGTAGCCTTCGTTGATGACAATCGCATTTAGCAGTCCTCGGCCGCGAACGAGGGAGACAATTTCTTGGGGGAGTTTTGAGAGCTCCTCGCGGAGAACTTCTCCTTTTCGGAAGGCATTTCCAGCCAGGTCTTCGTCGACGAGAACTTCAAGGGAAGCCTTTGCGACTGCGCAGGCAACTGAAAGAACTAATGAAGTCTCGATCCTAGAAAAGACTCGTACCTGGGTTTCCTCCATAAGTTGAGCCATGCTCGCCAGGACGGATAGAGAGGATCGTTTCGTGGCTACCAAGAACGGCTGAGACGGGATACACGCCCCCGCTGAGCGCCTTGCCCAAAATCAGTAAGTCTGGTTTTACATTTTCGTAATCAACAGCAAGCATCTTTCCAGTTCTTGCAAGGCCGGTCTGAACCTCATCTGCGATCCAAAGGACGTTGTATTTGTCGCACAAGGCTCTGACTCCCTTACAAAAAAATTATGTCAGAACAACTCTTTGCTACAAACCCGAAGATAGCCATCATCAGGAACAACAACGCCAGCTTCTCCTTGAATCGGTTCAACCATAAAAGCAGCAATATTTGGATTTGCTTTGAATCGTTCTTCAAGCGCCGCCAAATCGTTGTATGGAACGATGGAGAATCCCGGCATCTTTGGACCAAAGTTCGTGAAGCACGTTGGATCAGTTGAGCTAGAGCAGGCAGCTAGAGTTCGACCCCAGAAGTTCTCGGCGGCGAAGATGATTTCTGCTTGGTCAGCTTCGACTCCCTTTTTTTCTCGAATGATTTGGATAAATGGCGGGGTTCTCTTACCTTGACTTCATAAGCCCACTTTCTAGCGATTTTACAAGCAGTTTCACCGCCTTCAACACCTGTGTTCATCGGAAGAATTCGATCATATCCAAAGAACTTCGTGACGAATTCGGAATAAGGTCCCAATTGATCGTTAAAAAACGCACGCGAGGTCAAGTGCAGCGTCTAAAATCACCCTGAAATCATTACATAATCCGATCAGCTTTTACCTTCATTTGCTGAACGGCAGCATCAATAATCTTTGGATGACAGTGGCCCTGGTTCACAGCAGAATAAGCAGAGAGAAAGTCGAAGTATCTTTTGTCCTCCGCGTCCCACATGTAAACCCCTTCAGCTTTTTTAATCGCGCATTTGATAGGGGCATAATTTGTGGCTCCAAATGCCGCTTCCTTTTCAAAAAGCTCGGCGGAGGAAAGCTGTCTTTTTAGTGCATTTCGTATCATTCTGAAAAAGTTCTCTTTTTTATTGACTGTAGTTCTCTATGATTGCAAAAAGTTGAAATCAGATTTGAGATTCTCTCTCGTGCGCGAATCCAAAAGAAAAAAATAAAATCCAAACATGTCTCAAAGCAAATATGAAGACAAGTGTTTACGGCGAATTTTTATGGGCCGCCGATCAGGCTCACTTTTCATGTCCTTCTGAAAAAGGCTTGGGTTCTTAGACAGGGCGTGAATTCTCTAAGCAAGGAGGGGATTTTCAGACAGAAATATTTTTCTCAGGCACTCGTGGCCAATCCCTAAAGTTGTGACACTTTTGGAGTGATAAGAAGCTGCGAAAAAGGTGTTGCGCGTCTCAATTTGGAAGTGGAAGAATATGCCCGAAATAGTCGTACCAAGTTCAACTGGCCTTTGATTTTGAAAATAAAATATTCAGGATGCTGATTCTAGAACTTCTTCATTTATTTACCACGTCTGTTTCCGTCTGAATAATTTAAAAATTCTCCAGAACCGCCGGAAGTTTCCCGCATCCAATCAGCTCTCAACTTTCTCCATCGACAAAAAACTCTCGCTCCGAGGCAGATCAAACCGCGCCCGGAGCAAGAAAATAAAAATGGAACATGTTTCGCGCTCCTTGTTGTACCAATTTTTCAGCCTTGGTTGCGAGATGATTTTTGTAATAGAGCAGAGGCTAAAAGACTCGCAAATTGAAGAAGAAAGAAGGCAGAAAGTCTTGAGAGAAATCGTCGAGAGATTTTTGTCCGAGGAAGAAATTTACAACTTGGGAAATTTCAAAGAACAATTCACGAAAATCGCGCATTGTACGACGATGAAATTGAACCCCGTATCAATGGCGAAGTTGTTTGATCTGATGACGATGGGTAAATATGAATTAACTTTTCCGAAAGCGCTAGAATAAACAAACTTTTCCTAGCTGTGAAGTATCAAGTCTTCCACTGCCGCAACCCTAAGCAAATGTATCTTTGCTTACTGAATCATTTTGAGGACCTTGAAGGAATTTGGTCAAATATAGTCCTCTGCAAACTTAAGTTTATACAGGCCCTGTATTACAGGGTAAAGGAGAGCTTATCCCGTTCGATTTTTGTCCAAATAAAAGAGCTGTTCAAAAGCATTGAAGACAGAAGAGTGAGAAAGTTTTTCACAACGAAAGTGGCTCCTATTTTCGGCGATCTTTCAGGAAGGGATATTCAGCAGATTGTTACTAAAGAAGATGTTCCCTAATATCTTTTCTAAAGCTGCAAAATGGACAATACTTCGGCGTAAAATCCTCAACGATTACCAGGTAAAATTTTGACCAGGAGCTGACGCTACAAGTCTGCTAAACAATAGATATAATGACTCTTTAAATTTTCCAGGAGCACCAGATCCGAGTTTCATTACTGTTGCGACGCGAGTTACAATTGGAAGACGCGCGTTTTGTCCTCAAGAGAACAATTCCCGACGGTTTTCAAAAACCAGGAACGACGAAATTTTACGGAGCGATGGAAGAAAGCGATCAAGTAACTTGGGCGATGGCTGGAGGCCCTCCAGGTTGATAAAACTAACGCTTTAGATCATAAAGTTGATTCAGAGACAGTTTTGGAAGAAGAAAAGGAGCTTCAGTCAGCGGAAGATTTCGCTGGAAAACGAAATTGGAAGCTTGGCCGAAATTTATACGACGAAGCTAGCCAACAACCACGAGTTCCTGAAGACGCACCGTCTGTTTTTGAAGCCCAAACTTCGATTTTGTCGAATATGATGTTCGAGGAAAGCAAAAAAGAAACTGCTGCTCAGTCGATGATCCAACTGTCCGTCTTACACGACGAAGCTGATGGCAAAACAGATCCAGAAGAGAAGCCAGAAAAACAAACAGTTCGTTTCGAAAAAGAAGGTGACTCTTGCCCGACCGTGAATTCCAAGAATGTCAATAGCTTCCATGTCCAAAAACTCATCAAAAATCTCCAAAGCGATGCTCAAAATGACAAACAAGCACCTGAAGACGATTTGCTAGCAATGATGGATGCTTTATAAATTATAATTTTTTATCACCGAAAATCTGCCTTTTATAATCCTTTCTAGTCAAAAATTTTACATGAAAAATATATTTATTGAAATATAATTCGCCATGTTTCATCATCAAAATAAAAAAATATGAAATATTATTGTTAATTTTACAGTTTTATACAAATTTATACAGTCTTATATGAACCGTGAATGAATGATTAAATGAAAGATGAAATGACATACTATGCGAATTTTTTAATTATGTGCAGTATAAGGATGTATCTACAAGTAAATATTACCGGTAAAGAAAGATTGAAAAAATATTAAATGAATAAGAGGCAGTGTAAAATAAACTGACCGAGACGAGGCGATTTTCGAACGTCCTTGGCTGTTTTCTTCTTTTTGGACTTCGATGCTCTTGGTTTCGCTACTGGAGGAGTACGATCTGAGAAAATTTCTTTTTTTGTTACAAGAATACTAAGAAGTACCAGTCTGCTCGTCTTCAATGACTTCTGGTACGTAATGCTCGCCATTGTTGATATCAATCTTTCTTTTCTTCGGGAATGATTTTTCAGTTGAATCTCCGCGCAAAAGAAAAAACTCTTTTTCTTTTAATTTCAGTATATCTTTGCATCGTGCCAGCTCCTCTCGAATTTTTTGTAGCTCTCTTTCGTACTCGGCGTGAATCGAAGATGCAAGAGCGTTTCGCTGCTCCTCTAGTTTCTGGATGACCTTTATTGACTCTTGAAGAATATGTGTAATCGGTGGAATTCCCTCAAAGCCACTTTTGATATGAATTTCGGTCATGGAGCCAAGCCTATTGTAGGCTTCAGTGAGCTTCTCGAGGCGCGTTCTCTCACTTCCGGTATTCTCAGCGGAAGATATTGCGGAAAAGCTCATCTCTCCGTTATTTTTTTTTTGTTTTGACCGTTTCAAAATCTTTGAAATCACAAAACTCATCGACGAAAAAAGTGCGCAAGCGCTATCAAAGCATCTTCAACGACAAAAACGGAACACCTTCATTTTGAATAAGAAACGCATCACCATCCTTGAAAGCTATTTTAAACCTCGAAAAAGGCTTTCTTCGTGCCCAAAAATAGACCACGCATAACACCGGTGAAAAGTGCAATGACAGCAGTCCCTGGCGTGTATTGCGACTGGCGGTGTATCCTGAGGCTATTCGCGCAGTATGCGTTCCACCAAGCTGATTCTTTCAAATTAGAAGCGAATCTTTTTGCTAGAAGGATGCTTGTTTAATCATGAGAACCCGGCGATTGATAAAAATTCCCCTCGGTGGATACATTTTATGCGCACTACTCGTCTTGAACTTTTACCAATTCAATGAGAACCAAAAATTAACAGAAGAAAGATCCGAAAAGCAAGAGAAAAATGAAAAGAAGATTTTGTTCTACACCGCCGTCAGGGATTTCGGCCTGCCAAGAGCGAGGCATTACAAAATGTTCAGGTAAGAAAACTCATAATTACGCCCTTTTTCATTCCTCTCAGGCGGCAGTTCCGAAATCTTTATGAAACCAAAGCAAATTCTTCAAACTTCTACTCTGAGATTTTCCTCGATAACTCTGGCTACAGCAGTACATTTATGAATTACGAGGACGAGTTTCCTGACACACTATACACGAGCAACATTCCAGAATCCTTCGCCATCGACGTCATGAAAAACGCCAACAAAAACTCACTCTTCGTGTTCATGTCCAACCACCAATTCGATATCACCGAACCTCTCATCGAAAAACTCAAAGAGCTCAAATTAGAAAACGACGAAATCGCCTGCTTGAATCGAAAGAACGAAGCAATGCTGCCAGAATCTCTCAACAACACAATCATAAGCCAGTGTCATTGGGACATCTTCGCTATCAACTCCAAAACTGCCGAGAAAATACGAGACGCGTTGATCGTTCAAAAAGAAGTGAAGAGAAAACAAGAGCCGGAGAGAACGATTTACGAGTATACTCAAAAACTGCTCAAAGCGGATTATCAAGGTCTCATGGTTCAAAATAAAACTGGTCGATCAAATGGATCTGCTTATTGGACTAGTCATCTGAACTCGTTTACGACCCTTTTGAGTTGTTCGATTTCGACGAAATTCAATTATACGTAAGTGAACTTACTCTTTATTCGAATGAATTTCGAACTTTAGGGATCACTCTTATCTATGGGAAGATTTCCTCACATACCCAAACGACAGCGCCCTAAAAGCCCCATTTGACTACGATTTGGACGCTCAAATCAACGAATTGCCGCCGCAATACCAACTCAACGACCCCCAAGATCTCATTCGCTACCTCCGACGGCCAAGAACCGCATGTTCCAAAGGAACAGTAGTGTCTTTTATAAAGTGCGCCCGCGGGGATTTCTTCGAACGAGAATGGATCCGCGACTATTATCAGAAAATGGCGAAGAAAGGAAACTTTGACTACAACATTTTCTTTCTTCTCGGAACAGGTGAGAACAGAACTTTGAATATTTTCTTCATTGAATTTTCAGGAGAAACGCTCAACGATGAAATAGACATGGAAGCGACGAAATATGACGATCTGGTCATCGGTGACTTCGTTGATACATATGAAAATCTTCCTCTGAAGACATTTCTTGGATTCCAGTTCTTTGCTGGTTTTTGCTACGGAAACAAGGTTTCATCAGCTTGCCATTTCATTTCTCAAGTTTTCTTTTAGAAAATCATCAATTTTCACGACTCCGACGCATTCGTCCTCCTCCCCGACATCGTCAAAGACTACAAGACAAATACAGAAATGAACAATCGAGAAAAGAAGCCTTGGGAACCAGATCCGTTTCTCTCCGATGAATCAATTTACTGCATAAAAGGGCAGAAGATCAATATTAGATTCAAGGATGGCGAAGCTTTTCCGGGCAATATGGTCGCGACTTACACTAGCAAATGGTACAACTGGATTGCTGATTGGCCTCCAAAATATTCTATTCCAGAGGTAAGTGCATTTTGAAATCATAGATGATGTTAACTGAGTAGTACTGTAATGGAAACTGCAATTCGATGGGTCCAGAAGCGGCAATGAAAATCTGGAAAGAAGCCCAGCGCACCAACCGTTACTCAATGCGAATCGAGGACAAGTTCTACCTCGGCATTTTACGAGTCAAAGCCGGAATCCCCAATGAAAATATCGTCGCCGTAACAAACATGCTCAAGATCGATCCAAGCATGTTCAACCTCAACGGTCTCCATCGATGCATGCACGTGAGCGAAGCGGAAATGTACGAAAATCCCGATGCGAATCTTCTCGAGTTGAAGAAAATGAACAAAACTTCGTTGATGAACATGCTTACTGATTGGTACATAAATGGAGATTGGACTCAGACGCGAAAAGGATTCTTATATGGCGGGAAGGATCATCTCCTGGCAAGACAATAGAATCGAAAATGATACATTTGCATATAGATAGTAACCAGATGTAAATTCTATATTTATTTATTTATGTTGAAATGAGAATAAAAAGAAAGAAAAATAAAAACGAGGGTTTTGATAAACGAGTGATTCTGTTTGATAAATGAAGCAATCAAGGAAGAGTCTTAAAGTCAGTTCTTATGAAGGTTTTCATTGATCTCCTCCGCTTATGTCATAAGAATAAAAATGAAAACCGTTCCTTCAGAATTCGAACATCGGCCAGTGCAAAAGCGCTGCTACAAGTTTGGCATAAAGGCAACCGCTTGGTATTTCCAGCTTCTTCAGCAAGACAACCGTAGCAAAATTGATGAGAGCAGTTTGAGATGTAAGCTCGTTGTCGGAAAATGACATCTTCAAAAAATATATTTCCTTGATTTTGGTGAGCCTTACCTGGATCGAATTCTTTGGAGCATATTTTACAAGTGCGGTCATCAATGCATTTTTGAATAGTATTCGCAGCTAGCATCGCTACTTTGAGATCATTCGTTGTTGATATTGATTTGATGAGGTTCTTGCACTCGGCTAAAGATGCATTTTCAGCCATAAATTAGTATATTTGCCTTACCAAAAGAGGGTTAGTAGCAGCTTCGCAACAGCTCTTCTCCTCGAATTCATGAAATCTAAGAATTTTGTCGCAGTTTTTCGCAGGACACTTGAATCTTCGCCCTTCAAGCTCGTAAACTGGCAGCTTTTCAATAAAAGTCTGATCTTCTTCTATCGACCATTCGATTTCTTCATAACTTGGAAGTTTGAAAGCGCAGTTTTCACAGAGCAGGAGAACTGGGGCATCAATCCGGCAAAATGTGACTTTGTCGAACATATTTAGGCTTACCGCGGTGTTTTCTATTTTTCAGGCTCTTTTGAAAAATCTCCCCATACTTTCAGAACATATGCATCAAGACAAGCCTTGAAAAACTGCACTTGCAGAATTTTCGATATGAGTCATCTTACCCCCTTTTTTGGGGGATTTTTAGCAAGAAAAAAAGCACTAGTTTGATTAGAAGCGGCTTTTGAGTGCGTGCTAGATCGATTTTGATAATTTGATGCCTACCATGTGAAAGATAAGCGCAAGATGCATCGATACATATGAAATTTATTATTGCGGAGTACTTCCTTCATATGATTCTAGAGCTCCAAAGTTGACGCAAGCAGCCAGATACGAAAATCCAATATTATCAACTTCTGATATAAGCATGCTATGATGATGTTTTATAGCTCAAATTGAAGCTTATAAATTACTGAACAAAATGGTGTGGTATTTTTTTGACCAGCCGGTTGTGCTTCCGGTTCGTCGCGGTTCATACCCGGAAATAGGTCAAAATGTAGAAATATGTATATCAAATGAATTAATTTTCAACAGCGAATCTTTTGAACATATTCAGAAGTTCAACCGCCCGGTTATGATTGCGGTTCATGGTGGTTCATGGTGGTTCAAGCGCAGAAATGAACAAAATAGCAGCAATATGTATATCAAATTGAAACATAAATTAAGAACATTCATAAAATCATTTAATAAGCCCGAACCAACCGGTTGTTCTCCCGGTAAATGGCGGTTCCAAACGGTTCAAGCCGGTTCAAGCTAAAAACATGCTCAAAGTGGTTCAATATGGTTATCACATGTATTCATTTACAATAGCGAAGCTTTCTAGCATATTATGAAATTCAACCGCCCGGTTATTCTTGCGGTTCATGGTGGTTAATCGTGGTTCAAGCCCAGACATGAACAAAATAGCATCAATATGCATATCAAATTGAATCTTGTATTAAGTACATTCGTCGAATCATTGAATAAGCCCAAACCACCCGGTAACTCTCGTGGAAAAAGGCGGTTTCGGACGGTTCAAGCCGGTTAAAGCCGAATATATGCTCAAAGTGGTTCAATATGTATATCAAATGAATGTTTATTAAAAAGCACGTCTTTTGAAACTTTAACGAGATCCGGACGCGTGGTAAAACACTAGATATGCGCAAACCGCCCGGTTTTAATCGATTTTGTCTCTTTAAACGGGCAAAAATAAGGTAAGGCCAGGCCCGTTTATTCAATTCAGTCTGAGACGGGGCCAAGCCGACCCGAAGGAAATAAACGGGCCTGGTCTCCCCTTCGGGTCGGCTTGACCCCGTCTGAGACTGAATTGTATAACGGGCCTAGCCTGTCCTTCGGTTCGGCTTGGCCCCGTTGCAGACTGAATTGAATAAACGGGCCTTGCCTCCTCTTCGGATCGGCTTGGCCCCGTCGCAGACTGAATTGAATAAACGGGCCTGGCCTCCCCTTCGGGTCGGCTTGGCTTCGTCTCAGACTGAATTGAATAAACGGGCCTGGCCTCCCCTTCGGGTCGGCTTGGCCCCGTCTCAGACTGCATTGTTTAAACGGGCCTGGCCTCCCCTTCGGGTCGGCTTGGCCCCGTCGCAGACTGAATTGAATAAACGGGCCTGGCCTCCCCTTCGGGTCGGCTTGGCCCCGTCTCAGACTGAATTGTATAACGGGCCTAGCCTGTCCTTCGGGTCGGCTTTGCCCCGTCGCAGACTGAATTGAATAAACGGGCCTTGCCTCCCCTTCGGGTCGGCTTGGCTTCGTCTCAGACTGAATTGAATAAACGGGCCTGGCCTCCCCTTCGGGTCGGCTTGGCCCCGTCTCAGACTTAATTGTTTGAACGGGCCTGGCCTCCCCTTCGGGTCGGCTTGGCCCCGTCGCAGACTGAATTGAATAAATGGGCCTGGCCTCCCCTTCGGGTCGGCTTGGCCCCGTGGCAGACTGAATTGTTTGAACGGGCCTGGCCTCCCCTTCGGGTCGGCTTGGCCCCGTCTCAGACTGAATTGTATAAACGGGCCTGGCCTTCCCTTCGGGTCGGCTTGGCCCCGTCGCAGACTGAATCGAATAAACGGGCCTGGCCTCCCCTTCGGGTCGGCTTGGCCCCGTCGCAGACTGAATTGAATAAACGGGCCTTGCCTCCCCTTCGGGTCGGCTTGGCCCCGTCTCAGACTGAATTGAATAAACGGGCCTGGCCTTTCCTTATTTTTGCCCGTTTAAAGAGACAAAATCGATTAAAACCGGGCGGTTTGCGCATATTCAGTGTTTTACCACGCGTCCGGATCTCGTTAAAGTTTCAAAAGACGTGCTTTTTAATAAACATTCATTTGATATACATATTGAACCACTTTGAGCATATATTCGGCTTTAACCGGCTTGAACCGTCCGAAACCGCCTTTTTCCACGAGAGTTACCGGGTGGTTTGGGCTTATTCAATGATTCGACGAATGTACTTAATACAAGATTCAATTTGATATGCATATTGATGCTATTTTGTTCATGTCTGGGCTTGAACCACGATTAACAACCATGAACCGCAAGAATAACCGGGCGGTTGAATTTCATAATATGCTAGAAAGCTTCGCTATTGTAAATGAATACATGTGATAACCATATTGAACCACTTTGAGCATGTTTTTAGCTTGAACCGGCTTGAACCGTTTGGAACCGCCATTTACCGGGAGAACAACCGGTTGGTTCGGGCTTATTAAATGATTTTATGAATGTTCTTAATTTATGTTTCAATTTGATATACATATTGCTGCTATTTTGTTCATTTCTGCGCTTGAACCACCATGAACCACCATGAACCGCAATCATAACCGGGCGGTTGAACTTCTGAATATGTTCAAAAGATTCGCTGTTGAAAATTAATTCATTTGATATACATATTTCTACATTTTGACCTATTTCCGGGTATGAACCGCGACGAACCGGAAGCACAACCGGCTGGTCAAAAAAATACCACACCATTTTGTTCAGTAATTTATAAGCTTCAATTTGAGCTATAAAACATCATCATAGCATGCTTATATCAGAAGTTGATAATATTGGATTTTCGTATCTGGCTGCTTGCGTCAACTTTGGAGCTCTAGAATCATATGAAGGAAGTACTCCGCAATAATAAATTTCATATGTATCGATGCATCTTGCGCTTATCTTTCACATGGTAGGCATCAAATTATCAAAATCGATCTAGCACGCACTCAAAAGCCGCTTCTAATCAAACTAGTGCTTTTTTTCTTGCTAAAAATCCCCCAAAAAAGGGGGTAAGATGACTCATATCGAAAATTCTGCAAGTGCAGTTTTTCAAGGCTTGTCTTGATGCATATGTTCTGAAAGTATGGGGAGATTTTTCAAAAGAACCTTGAAAATCGAAAAACACCGCGGTAAGCCTAAACATATTCTTGGTGATCTCTCTAATGCTTTGTAAAAGAATGGAATAGAAAGCTAGAATTACCCGCATTCTTCACAATTTTGATCCGTACAAGTGTCGGAAAAGAAGAACTCTTCGGTGATGCTGAAATTTATTCTTTCCATGCGATGCTATCTCTCGATGTTTTGCAAATGAGAGCCCTAAATCCCGCTAGAACTTGTTTTTAATACAGTGAGTCTCTAAGACGTTTATATTTTTCACAACAATTGAGGTTATCTAGAGCCTTTTTATCGCATCGAAACGATCAAAAATCGAGAAATCAAAAAAATAAATCAAATTTATTTTCAGAATTTAAATAGTAGTTAGTACAGTAATCAGGTTAGTTTTCATCAGTCATTCGAACATGTTACTAAAGTCCTCGACTTTTTAACAATTGTGGCTTCCAGCAGTAGAGGTCGTGGAAACGTAGGCCTTGGCTCCTGAATTCTTCAATCGGCATTCGTTAGTGTTCTCGTTCCAGTCGTAGAGCATGCATTCGGGGATCATGTCGCAGATCCATTGGCAGCCCTCGACGGCAGCGGTGAATTTCTTGAACTTGGGGTCGAGATCTTGGTCTGCTCCTTGGAATTCGACCGCGCTCATCATACAGTCGTCTAAGAAAAGTTTGATTATAACCGGAAAAAAGGGAAAATCTTACTATCGCCGCACATGTGCGATCCAGAAACAGCATTGCTGTCCTCAGAGATGACTGGGGCATCATCGGAGGTGATCAAAAGACACTTGTGAGTTCCGTTCTTGTGACCTCGGACGTTTGAGTGACCGTGGTTGTCGTAGTGGAACGTCCAGTTTTTGCACTCTTCGTAGACGGTGCAGAGCTCCCAGCATTCCTTGGCGGATTCTGTGTAGACCATTTCGTTCTGGCTCTGGTTGGAGAACATGGAGATTCCCTTGAGAAACATGTTTATGGAAGGGTTGAAAAGATAAGATCTCACCTTGACATAGCAAAAGCTCTCCAAATTGGCTCTGAGAGGAAGAGCACCAGCCAAACCGTTTGCAAGGGCCATTTTTTGTTAGATATAACTCTATATTCTCTTTGAAAAATAAAGTAACAAGAGTGCTAAAATCAGGAGTTTTTATGCGGCCAGGATTGAGCCTGGCGCACGCGAGCAAAGAGCGCTCATGATGCGACACAACGTGGAGACGAGAGTTGTGTTATTACGATTGACTATCGTAATTTTAGAGGATGAGCGTTTGAAGGTGGACATCAGCACTGTTGGCGGATGTTGGCGGACACTATTTTTCCAAAGGTAAATTTTGATAAGCTATCGTATCAGCTCAAAAACATGGATTTTGCCTCCGACGATCCAAAAGTGGCTTCCTGACTTTCTATCCTTTCCAGTCATTTTTGATGAAAGTTGCGAATTTCTTTAAGACAGAATACAACAGAAGCTTTCTATAGCTTTCAGAGAATTATTGCTCTGCGGTCCCTTGGAATAGGGTCTAAAGAAAATTCTTTCCTAATGGCTAAAAATGAGAGTCTTCTCATTAGTAAAATAGCTAATAATAACTCTGAGAAGCAAATTCTCACACACGCCTTTGCAATTTGACAATGTCCATTTTTCACATTGTCGTTTTTGGGCAAAACAGATTGTTAGTTCTATGGGATAATTGACAGCAGTCGTCTAAGACAAAGACAGCCAGACTAAACCAGTCATCAAGCGGCTGAAAAAATCTTTTTATTTCAGTAATTTGAAGAAGCAAGCCTGGAAGGTTCCATTTTTAAAACGGATAATGACCGCTGTGTTTTTACGGAAAGCTTTTAATATTTACTCAGCGCTGAACGAATATTTTCGTGAACCTTTTTTTAGTACTCCGACAGCCACGTTGTTCTAAGCTAAAAATATTGGAGAAGACACGATATACATGAAGCGTTGATGATACAACAATCGAGCGCGATATTTTTATATTATTCTCAGAATTGATTTTTGTGTCAATATTTCAATGCAAACATAAAACGTTCAAAGAACCCGTATTTCTAAGTACAGAGAGGATTCTAGTGAACTCTAAATTTTCGAAATTCGAACCAAGATTGAAGATTCTAGTGAAACCTTAAACTCATATCAACTTCGTCAACTTCCGACTCTAAAAATTAAGCGTTCAAATTTATCAGTGTTCATCAGAAATCAAGGAATCTCTGTATTTTATTGATAATAAGGGTACAGACGAGGGATAATGGCAAGTTTTTTTCGTCGTCAGGAGAAGTTACTGTTTAATTATTATTTGTTGAAATAGCTCATGAAGGAATTTCGCATATCACGAATTTTTTCTGCGTTTTCGCCGTCCAAGGGGTTGGGGACAAATGTATTCTAGCAATGTTTTAGTACTCAGGTTCTTTCATGAAGCAGTCTTGCCTTTCTAGCCGAACTGGGCGAATTGGGCAACGATTGCCTAACTTTCGGGGTTGGTCGCTCTGGAGTACAGGGCTCACTCACCATTTTCTTAATTAAAAGAATAAGCTCTTCTTTGATAGAGGTAAAATCCAACCTTGTGGTGCGGATTCACGACCGTCTGCCCAGCACTAAAATCATATTTATTCGCATCAGTTATCTTCGTTACGTGATTATATAACTGTTAAAGTGCACAAGAAGAAAAGGTTAATAGAAGGCAAGAAGAGTAGTTTGGAGAATATAAAAGGGACAGAAAAGAGACAGAATGAAGAAAGATGTGGTAAACGGTGCCGGTTAGACATGACATAAACTCACTTTTTTGCTATCGACTGCGGCCGGCTCGCTAAAGAATACGTTAAAGATTGATGTTTGGAAAAATGCGCTTTAATAAACACACGTTGAATAGGTTTAACTTTAAAAATCAACATATAAGACGGGACGAATCAATTCTTAATTTTCATCGAAAAATAATCCTCTCACTTTATTTCAAACAAAAACATACATTACGCAACATATAATCCATTTTACCGAGCTCCATTTTCTTGACAATCACATCCGCAATCAGTGCTTCATCATTTTGAGCCGCTACAGTTTGTAAATTCAGCCAACTGCTCTCGACGTTCACGATGATATCCCGACCATCAGCAGTGTGGATCGCCCGTATTCCAGCTATTCGAAGAAAAGTTAATCAAGAAGACATTTTATGCATCGTCTGATATTGCTACTAGCAGATCATGTGCATGCATTTTTGATGCAATTATAGTAATTGATGCATTTCTTACCAATGTCAAGTCCACCAAATAGCTCGCAAACTGCATCTATCCACAGTTTATACCTTTTTAAGATGCTCAATGTTGCGAAAATTAGCTCAAAGCTGAGCAAACTTTTAGCTAAGCCGAGAAAGTTTGCTTATTAATTTTGTGAAGAAAAAAAACGTGAGGGTTTGTTTTTAAAGAGATTTTGATCTTTGTAGGTCACGGATTTTGAATTACACGATTTGACATAGATAACATCATAAACTCAAGATTGCGTCTTCTGCTTTGAGAGAGCATCCTTTCCTTGGAGTTATTTCAACGCGCTCGACCACAGGATTCCCTTCTTGAGGCGAGGTGCGGACATAGACGGAGTAGATTCCGCCAATTCGCGTGACGTGGAGCTCGTAAGCCGCTTTCACCAGTGGCTCGACCATGATGTAGTCGTCGATTTGTTGCAAGATTGGAATGATGTCTTCTACCTGTTCGCGGTTTCTAATCCGCAGTCGGGCGTCTTAGAAGTATTTTGGGAATTGATGATGAAGTAGCTTCGTTACCTGATCTATTTGAAGAGCTGACAATTGCGGGAAAGTCGCGGAATCGACGGAGACTATTAGCATTGGGCATAAATGTGGTCGTTGTCACGGGAAACTCTTCAAAAGAAAATGTTAGGCGGATTCTTAAGAATCTATTTGAGCGAATTTTGGGATGTCGAGCAGAATGGCCCGACCTACTCCCGCATGAGGGCGCCAGGTGCGCGGAGGACTCTGAATCCTCCGAACTTTGCGAGTCCAGGGAGAACTGATGAGTTGGCGATAAGCCCTAAATACGATAATCGAGCCTTCCACCTGGGAGTGAGCGCAGCAGGGGCGGACGGGATACTTTTGTTCTACCCATGTTAGTATTAATTCTAGAGGCGAGTAGGAGTGATGGCCTTCTTTCTATGAGACATATATATATCAGAAGAAAGCTTTTCGCGCACAGAACATAGATTTTACGGAGGAGCAAAACGAGAAAGCTACGCTCCAAGTCTTGGATCAAAAATTGATTTTGACGTTTGATTTAGATTCAGCGCAAAATCTTACCTTTGAAAAGTTTTTCTAGTTTATTTATAATTTCATAAAAATGTGCGCGAAAAATCAGTCTAACGAAATTTTGCTCCTGCAGGGGGTACTACGCAGTCAGAAATGATAGCGGTGTTTGAACAGAGATTGACACACTTCACGCTAGGATTAGGCGGCTTCGCGCTCCCTTCCTTACTTGCCCACCCGCTGAGTAATTCATGGAGGTTCTCCATCTGCGCTCCCCTGCGCACTCTCCTCCGGCGCCATGCTCAGGGCGCTCTTCAACCTCTTTTCCGTTCTTCCACCTCTTTTCCGCGCGCCCTCTTGCGGATGAAGGTCGGGCCATTATGCTTTTACCCCGAATTTTGAGCTGATCAACTTTAGCGAGAACAAAATAACAGCGAAAAAACAAGGGTTTTTCTATGTTAATTCTGAGATATACACTTTCTATTGGAAAGTAAGTACCTGCTCCAAATCGCATTCGTATCCTAGCAAGCTGGGCAAAAACCCATGGCGGGTCGAACATGTTATAAATTGAGTGGAGCGAGTTAATCGACGGAATCCCACCGAGCTTCAGTCCCAAAAGAACGCTTCGATGCTGCTTGGTCAATGGTTGTTGTCGGATGAGAATGAAGTCGGGGCGGAAACGAATTTCTTTGTTTTCTTCCCTGAGTTTTCTCGAACACGCCTTTTTTGAGGTTGGAAAAGAAAAGCGGATGAAAAGGTCACGGAAAAGCGACATGCGCGCACGTCAGGTTCTTAGATTGTCTGATCCAACCCAAACCTGGACCATGCCCTCATTAGTGGCGATAATAGTCAAATCATCGAACGTATGCTGCTCAACTCTGAATCTCATCCCTTGAACCGTCTTATTCGCAAAAGCCTTCCCCCTTGGGAGAGAATTTTACTCGCTGCTTATTGGAAAAGTTGTCGTTCTTACCAATCTGTCGCGCGATTTTCGATAACCAGTAGGCATTTTGACGACGAGTCCTGAAATAAACATTTGCATATGCGCAACTACTGTAAAATAAGACATACAGATGGACAGTGAGATGGATACGTGGGTTCAACTGGGGAGATGCGCTTATTTGAATATAATCGCCTGGGAAATGAGAATAATTGATTCTCGCCCAAGGGTAGATTCTTATTCAAAGAAACATGCTGTACAAATGAGCTTTAATTACTGATTCGACTTACTGTTTTTTGGCCGACATTGACAGCACTAGCCATGTTTGAAAGAAAATTAGATGCAGTAGAAGCAGCGTTCGACAAATTCGGCCCTGATGAGTGGGAAACTCTCTCGGCTGGATTGCTAAGAAAACGCTGTTTCAGATTGATAGAAATGCATAGTATACGTTTTCGATTATTTTTTAATAGTCTTTTGAGTCATATATTGACATATTACTTCATGATGCCGCTGAAGAATCCGGCTTTGCTTTTTTGCGGCTGATCGGTCGATTGTTGTGTCATTTCACCTTGTCTTTTAAAAGGGATGAAATATGCAGAGTCAAAGAAATACAGTGAACTCGCTTTTACTGTCAATTTAAGTGACGGTATTTAATTACGCAGTCGTTTATGAACTTGTGGCGCGTCAAACTTGCGGCTCCCTTGAGTCCCATCAGAAGCCGCAATTCGTCTTTACTAAGGGTGTACCCACTCAAAGATTGGGACAAATTTGAAATCGATGTGTTGCCTCAGGAGGCGGCTTTGTGACCACTCTTGGCTAGTTAATTATTAATTGCACGCTTTTTCTCTCCCTCCTCATCCCCTTTCCTTGATATTCCTGTGGAATCTGACGCTCTGCTTGCTAAAGAATTTGTAGTAGAACTCGCTGTTGGGACCATGTATCCATTAGTAGGAGCAGCGTCCATCGTCGAGGAGGGTTGACCGTCAGCGCCGGTTAAACCCAAGTTTGTCTCAGACAGTCTCTAGAATTATCTCTTTGTTAGAAAAGCGACCCTAGTTTATAAGGTTTATTTTTAATCGAATTAAAAATGAAGCGCTTTCTCTCAAAGAGAATTTCTCTTTTTCTACTTTTTTTCTCGTTGATTTTTTAAATTCCAAGAAGCTTACCCTTCTTATGTACTCCATGAATAATTCGTCTTCAAATTGTTTCTCTCGTTGTTGACGGGCAAGATTTGTCGACAAGGGATTTTTCCTGTGTCAATCGGTAAGGGAGCACGGCTCGCGAGCGCCTCGGCTATTTGGAGAAAAAGGGATTAGAAAACATAAGTCAAGCAATTTAGCCCATTCAGAATATACACTCATCAGTCAAAATTTCAATATCGATTGCGCGAAAAAAAGGTTCCGAAAAAAGGGCCCGAAACAATTTTTCAGGTCTAAAAGGGCTCGACCTCTCTATCCCCCAACCGGGCCTAACCCTAACCCTAATCCTTACGGTAAGGACCTTACCTTTTATTGAAGAAGAATCTCTCTAAATCACCAGCTTTTCATTTATGAAGAAAAGTTAACAACGGACAAGATATCAAAAAACGATAACACCAAAAACAGTACATAGATGCGTGTCGATGAGGGATGAGCACTAGCGGAGCGCCAGAGATCGATCGGGAAAATTGAATTGAAATGAAGTTGTCTTTTATCACTACAATTACTGTATTGCTCAGTATTACTTTTTGCGCTGTAATGAAATTGAGAACTCAAGGAACATTTTTTACGTGACTGTATTATCAGAAGCTGACTTGTAAAAAGGTGCCAAGACTTGATTTCGGCATTCTCACAATAAAACGATCGTCGATCGTTGATCGTGTCGCATTCAACGCTTGGAGTGTATGGCGGCAAAAGAGTCACTGTTGTTCTCGCTGTCGTGGACGTCGCTCAAAGCCTTCCGGATGATCTGAGAGGGTAATTGAATTGGATCCCTTTTTGGAACGTACTTACGGTATCGCAATTCTTGCCGTATCTGCCGCTCAATCATTGGCACCAATAACTGTTCCACTTATTCTCGCAATTCGCACTTCCCGACGCAAAGCATGGTTCCAGGATCTCGCATTTATTGAGCCGCGTGTACATGAAGTGATCCGTTTGATCCTGGTCGCCGAACACTTCAAAAGCCTCGGTCCAGTCGCAAGTTTCTTCGTTGCATTCTCGCTCAAGATCTACCGCTTGCTATTTTATTATACAAAAAATTAATATAAAAAGCATCTCTTACTCTGTCTTCTCAAAGAATGTACTGGCTTCCTCTTTGCTTATTTCTGGAATACCTCCGACAGCCATGGAACTCAAAGGAAAAATACTCAAAAACTTCCGTAAAACGTTATTCTTCGAAATAGCGCGTCTTTTTTGCTATGAAGCTTTTTAGATAATTGTTTTTGAGATGTTAGATAAGAAAAATTTTCCATCAGCAGAGGGACAGCCTTTCTGGGTCTCCGAAAATATTTTTTATTCAAACAACAATAACACCGTTATGTAACTGTATTATCAGAATCTGACATAGATGGAGCAAGTTTTTTTCTGAAAATGTGAATGACAAAATGAACAGTTGCACAGGCTCCTACGAACCAGCTTAAACATGTGGACCAGAAAGTAAATTTGCTCGCTTTATTTTCTTTCTCTTCCTCATCTTGAATCCGGAATGGTCCAAGAGTGACGATTCGTTCCGGATGATAGTCTAACGAAGAAGCTCTTCGTTTTCGCCGATCGGCAGAGAAGATAGGGTTGGTAAGATCGCCTAACCGACAGGTTGATTGACAGGCTGGGTCTTAGTAAGGGTTCTGTTTGTTAGTTCTTTGTCAATTGCTTAAATTTGTGAGAAAGTCTAAGGCTTTTAACCCGTAGCATTAGCTTTTCGCAAGTCGCAAATAATCACATCGCACTAAAACTTATGTCAGTCTTCGTTTGATAGTGATGATTGCCTGTATGTAGACGAAGTTGGAGCCGGGAAACCTCAGCGTCTTCGTTTCGAAGCGATCTTCCTTGTGGAGCCGTGGTTGAAGAAAAGTAAAGGAATCCGCGGGACAGCCGTTGTACATCATTGGATAGGAAACAGTGTTGCTAGAAAAAAATAAAAAGAATTGAAAAGTGAGTCTAGTGTGAACTAACTTAGGGTCGACAGAAGGAGCCGACCAGCAACTCTTCGTGAAAATGTAAAAATAATGCATTTGAGTGATCACCTCTGCACCGAGAAAGACGCGTTCGTTGAGTGATTTCGGCAGAGGAAAGGATTGAAATGGGTATCTTAGAATAAATTAAAGCATTATCTTCCACGCGTTTGTTATTTTTTACCTGGTCAGATAACTGGAATTCTCGTAGACATTCAATCTGAAGAGAAAATCGCCAGCGTTTTGAATCGCTCCCATTCCTCTTTCAAGGTCACTTATCATTATTGGTTTCACAAAATTATTTTTTGCTATAAAAATTCATCCTGTAAAGTGGTATTTAGATTTGCTGATGTTTTGAACCGTTCCCTGTTACCATAAAGTCCGAGATAACATAAACGGGCATAATTTCTGAGGACACCTCCCAACTCGTCTCATTCACGAACTTGTTGTCGATTCGACCAAGGCGATCAATCACACATCGAAATAAATAAATTTCTCCGTAGTCTCTGTAAACTCCCCCGGTCAATGCTGGTGCTCGGCTAAATTTCAAAGTGTTCAACTTTTTCTTCATGTCGGAAACTTACCTTAGGTTATTCTCATAAATGAACTTGGTCGGTTGGTTTTCGTCGTATCTCATTCGCGTTTCGCATTCAGTAAACCTGAAAGAATAAAACACTGGCTATTCTACTGGTAAGAGTAGAAAACTTACTTGTATGAAAAAACGACGCCCTGTTGATCCTCAAATGAATGTGTACAGGTCGCACTCATCATGTCGAAGCCAAGCAAATAGTCGCCAAGACTTGATTTCGGCATTCTCACAATAAAACGATCGTTGATCGTGTCGCACTCAACGCTTGGAGTATATGGCGGCATAAGTGTCACTGTCGTCGTTATTGTCGTGCTCGTTGTCGTTGTTGCTTGTGCTCCGAAGAAGCCTTCGCAGCCTTCTGGGCGTTGACACATGTAGCCATCTGAATTTTCGAGGTGAGCAATGATCAAATAACGATGAAAACACAGATTGCTTTTTCTCGGAAAATTTTATCCATAAAAACAAGAAAAGATTATTTTTAAAGATAAAAACCGGTTTGAACTGGGGGTGTTGGAAACAACCGGTCAGTCAGTAATTTGACCTTTGATGTACGGTCCTCATTGACCTCGAATCGCTCTATGGAACGTACTTACTGTATCCTTAACATCGCAATCTTTGCCGTAAAAGCCGCTCAAACATTGGCACCAATAACTGTTCCACTTATTCTCGCAATTCGCACTTCCCGACGCAAAGCATGGTTCCAGGATCTCGCACTGATTGAGCCGCGTGTACATGAAGTGATCAGTTTGATCCTGGTCGCCGAACACTTCAAAAGCCTCGGCCCAGTCGCAAGTTTCTTCGTTGCATTCTCGCTCAAGATCCGCAGGTTGCGCTTCTTCCGCAAGAGTGTCGTCCATTGCGGAAGGGTCGGAATTCATTCGCCCTAGAATAAAGTTCATTATGGTTCCATATTTTTAAGAAAAAAAGCTTCCAAAGATAACTAACTCTGTCTCCTCAAAAATGCACTGGCTTCTTCTTTGCTTATTTCCGGCAGACTTTCGACAGCCATAGCACTCAAAGCAATACTCAAAAATAACCGTAATGCCATTCTCTTCAAATAATTAGACTGACTTTCCCGGAAAAAGTTTCCGTTAAAATCTGCGTTTCTTGGAAAAAAATCTGCGTTTCCTGGAAAAATGAAAACCGAATAATTTCAGTTTCGAAATGTGTTTTTTAGATCTAAGATAAGACCTCTTCTTCCACGGTTATGATACCGAAATAAACCGCTGGTAGGTCCTTCTCTCTTAGCATGATCATAACGGCTTCTTGATGACCTAACAGGCTAAGATTTTTTAATCTAGCCAGCTCCTTATTTTTCAGAAAAAAGCTTCCAAAGATAACTTACTCTGTCTCCTTAAAAATGCACTGGCTTCTTCTTTGCTTATTTCTGGAAGACTTTCGACAGCCATATAACTCAAAGCAAAAATACTCAAAAATGATCCTAACGCCATTGTTTCTCTCAAAAATTGAACTGCCTTTTCCGGCAAAATCTGTGTTAAAATAGTTCGTATTTTGGTCGTGAACCGGTCGGAACTAGTATTTGAAACTGAAAAATAGGCTTTCAAATAGGTTGTTCCAAGCTGAACATGTTTTCAAGATGTAAGATAAGATTATTTTTTGTCATCTGCAGTAGCCATGTTAGAAGGCCCTTCTTCAAAAGTTAAGAAAAATATATCGCTGATTTGTCATTTTCTATGAGCAAAGTTCGCTTCTTCCCGTATGAAATTGTTTATGAGAAAATGTGGTTTATTCCGCAAAATCCAGTACACAAACAAATACTTGTTCAAATAGGCGGAGATCATAAAGCCGTTTTCTTCTCAATAACGATTCTCAGTTGCAACGAAAGACAGAAAAAAATGAGGTTCAAAAAGCCTCTTTTGCTGCTTTTCGCAGCAGTTTGCAAGAGTAGCTTGATAAGTCGAGATATCTGCGCAAGATGCAACAATCTTTCCCAGACGTCCAGAAGTCTTACGATGAGAGAAGTTCGAAACGCGGAAATTGATGACCTCTATCACGTCTTTCTTTTGACAGAAAATGTGGACCGCCCTTTTGCTCGTTTTGGGCGCTCGCCTTCTTATGGCTTGGATTATTATACTGATGCAGAGTTGAGCAGAATGGTTTGGGAAAATCCGCGTTATCCTTATGACGAGGATTTCGAAGTTCTAGTCGTTGCGGACGAAAATGGAAACTCAGGAATGCGTTAAACGCTAGTTTAGCTACCTCCTTTATTTGAAAATATTCAAAAACGCAATGAAAGTTTGCAATGCTGAAGAAAATCAATCTTCTAGTCCCTTGCTTTGCTACAACGGCGAGGATAAAAATGCAATTTCAAAGCTAGCTTTTTTGATATCATCAAAGCCTTTTCTCGAGCAAAACAGGCCTTACTCAATTTCTCCTTTCAAAATCACCGAACTTCATTCTCCAGAATGGGATCGAATTCCAGCAGAATTCACTCAAATTGGTAATGCTCAGTATCTCCAACGCTTTTCGCAGCTAAATGTAAAAGAAGATATCCTTGGTGTTTTATCGGAAGCCTGCCAGGCTGAAGACAGAGGTCATCAAACAGCAGAACTCGTCGAGCAACTCAAAGTTGCTTCGCCAGGCGAAATCGAAGCAGCCGCCAACGCCGCGCACTCTGTTTGCAATGACAAAAACGACCTTGACGGAGAAAAACTTCTCTTTGACGCGTTAATCTTTTGCAGACTGGACAAATGTTTATCTCAAGCTGTGAAACTTCAGCGAACTAATGGATACGCTGGCTTTCCAGATCTACTCATGAACAGTCTTTTCATCACTCCACAAACAGGGGAGAACAGTCTTTCAACTTTGAAGAATTTCTACGAATTCGCAAAGAACAGCTTTTCCCGAGACATCGAAAAACTGCTCCTAGGGAAGCTTATTCACGAGTTTTGTCAATTCAATTCGAATTGCCGGGCGACAAATGCTGTGAAAAACGCCGTTGAACTTCTTGAGAGGGGAATTTCTACATATTGTGATGCAGAAGAAGATCTAATCTACCTAAAAGCGCTTGGAAATGGAGGCGTTTTCAACGACATTACAGTCATAACAGAGCGCTGCGCGTTCAGTGATGACGAAGAAATCAGCTCGACAGCGATTGATGCTCTTCGACGAACAGAGTGCACGGAAGCACGATTCGAGTTCCTGACTGGAATCATGGAAGAGATCGACCACCTTGCTCCGGAGCGGCGGCAAATGGCCCTACTCGCGCTGTGGGAATGTCCTTCTATCGAACTAAGAGACTTTTTGATCCAAGCGAGTATCGAGGAAGAAAGCTCGGACATGCTCAATTTGATGAAAACCCTGCAACTGGATCACATGAACTTGATGGGAGCGAACATGTCTGACTTTGCAGCGCTCCTCACTGGAAACAGCTTCGTCTACAAAAACGATGTTATCAAGATTGAGAAGCTTAATCATCCGGGCTCCATTATTCTGAGACGACTGAACATCGATATGAACAAGTTTGTTACTTTTGCGTATTTATACGTGAGTGGGGCGAACTTTCTATCCACCCAAGAAATGGTCAAAATAGATGAAGGGAAATTCGGCAGCTTGGAAATGCGCATCAGAGCGGTCAATTTGGAGAATGAAATCATCAAGATCTTCGACCCAAGGGCAAAGAACAACGATGTCGAGGGAGATTATGTTGCAGAAACCCTTGGACTCAATCAAAAGCCACAATTGAAGCTCGACTTCCGACTCAGAGGCAGTGACGTTTTCAGCATTGAAATCGATGATATCAAGGCGTTCTTTGCTCAAATTTCTGAAGATTACGAACGAACGATGAACTTGTCCCTTTTTGAGAAAGTAAAGGTGGCTTTCGGATACACAGACGTTGGAATCTTCAAATACTTGAAAAATGATGCCTTTGATTTTCAACGTTCTTTTCTCGTTCACCAAGAAAATGAGCAGGGTGAAAATTCAAACGACCCTCTTCGTCTAGAGACAGTGTCAAGAGAGACGGCATTTGAAACATTACGGCTCAAAAGCTCTCTCTCCCTTGATAAAAATTGGGAGTTCGTTCTGAAAGGAATTTTAAAAAGCGAGTTGGAAGAAAAAGAAACACTTGCAAATGAATTTATCCGTCGGCGTAGAAACTCAGACGTGTCCCACTTTGAAATTGCCTTTGGAAGTCAGGGATGGCGACTAAAAGCAAACGATGGAACTGGACTCGAATACAGCAACGTCGGTGGATTCAGTTTCAAAGTAAATGGCGATGGAGCTCACGCTACTTTTGTATATTCTGAATCAACTGGAGAATTTATTATAACAACTGCTGGATTTTTGGCTCCAAATGAGCAGGTCTTCTCTCTGCGCTCTGTTGATGGGGAACTCAGAGGATCATTCAGTCAACCATACGGTGAAGATGTCGAGTTCAAAATTTTCGATCAGATTCCAGAGTCGGAAAGAACGATTTTCAACATGAAGCCAACCATTGAGGCCCATGACAACGCAACACGTGCTTATTTGGCCCTAGAAAAGACTGAAAATCTTGCCGAGATTCTGGCCTTTATGACGTTCAAGAAATCTCCTGACAATCCAATGGCCGGTCCTCCTGCTGACATGAAATATTTGAATCAAACTTTGGCGATCATGGATGGTCGATACGAAGAAGAGGAGATTATAACTAGTTTTGTTAACGTAAAACTCTCGCGAACGGTAGAAATCGGCAACGCGGAAGGAGAAATAAAGTTTATCCTCGACCTCGGAGACAATTTTCAAGTGCTTTTAGACACTGGAGTGGGAATTCAAGATGATAAGGCAAATGTTTTCTTTCATGGCGACGCTGGTGAACTTGGCAAAGTTGATTTCTTGGTTGACTCAAACTGGCGATCGGGAAAAGACTCGACCAAATATCAACTAAAAATCAGCCAGTTTGAAATCCAATCTGACTTCGTCCAACTTCGATTCGATAAAGGAAAAATGGCATTTCAACAAAATCACGTGCAAAAGTCCAAATGCCCGGCAGAAATGGGAGGATTCGTCGGATCTCAACGGGAAGTCGAAGGAACTTTTGACTTCAAATTCGATCTCATGGGAAAAACAGAACTTCTGGACATGGCGTTCTATTTAAACATGGCCGATGATTATTCAAAATCCGCAGCGGGAATAAGGCTCAATCTGGTGCCTTCTTATCTTCGACTTTTTGCCACTAAGTACCAACTTGTGACTTATTACCAACTCACTCCTGAAAAAATGATTGGCCGACTGGATGGGAAAAAGGAAGGCGAACATGAGATCGACATCAAAGGTCAAATTCTAGCGACGCCCGAGCAACTCCAATTCGAAGCGCTTTACAAATGGAAATTCTACGCTGAGTCGACTAAATATGGTCTTCGAAGCACATGGCAAGTCAAGAACCCAAGAAACCTGTTTATCAGCTTCGAGCCGATTATGAACGATGAGAGCTACCCAGTTTCATTCAGATTCGTGGACAAGTCGGCAAAACGAGTAGATTACTATATTGACGTCTCGCAAGACGTAGAAGCTCTATCATTAGATTTTCCAAGTCGAGTTCGTCTCCAATTGAAGGAGCCTACCGACGGCCATTACAAAGCTGTTGCTCTTTTGAACGGCCCTGGAGAGAAAAATCAGGAAAGCTACAGTGTGGATCTCTACGCCCAGAAAAAACGAACAGGCTTTGCGCTGAAGCAATCGAAAGAGTTCTTCCTGAGCTGGGAAAATTCGACTGACGTACGAACACAAACACTTTTCGCGATCAAATCAAGTGATGAAAATTATCTAAAAACATCAGCTGGTTATTCAAAGATAAATAGTCTTGGTGCAAAAAAATGCAGTTTGACATTTGTCTCTGATTTTAAACCGGAAGCTGGGGAGACATGGAGGAGAAGCGCTCAGTTGAACATCAAAAACGAATGCGTCAGGGATCCGATGGTGGATCAAATCATCGGCAAAAACTCGGGATTCAAATTCTACGCCGCGGAGAACAACAAGAGACTGACAAGCTATCTTGAGCTCGCCAAGAAGGGAATGGAAGAGAATCAACTTCAACGAATAACGGCTGGTCTCCTTGTTGATCCCAAAGCATCGACTATTGCCCTTCAAGTTTCTTTGGATCTGAATGAAGACTTGAAGAAAAAGTTTAAAATCGCGGGACGAAAGTTTACTGATACAGGCTCCGTTATTGTCAAAGTCTCCGAAGTACGTGAGCCAGAAGACATCGTTCTCGGCGAAATTTCGTATCTCGTCAAACCAGAAGAGTATGAATTCAGCATCGAAATTCCAGAAGAAACAGCAATGGAACAACAATTCCAGATGGGAATCCTCAGTGTCAATGATGCCCTAACTAAACTCAATTTCGTTTATGTTCCCAATCGGGAGAAATTCGAAGCAAAATTGGCTACAACGGAGTTGCAACGAGAGTGGAAAGATGATGGAACATCAAACGAGCAGCAAGTGGACTTCAATTTAAGATTCACTGTTCCGAATGGATTAAAACCAGCAGAAGACGGCCTCGTTGCGATAATAGAGGAAACAATTGATGGAAACTCTATAGCTAATTCTCTGAAGATAATTGTTGATGAGGAGCGAAAATCATTATCGGTTGTCGAATCGAATAATGATTTTTCTTTGGAAATATCTGTTGTTGATTTCAATTCAGAAAATGACATAAAATCTGAAATTTATGATGCCACAGGCGCTTTACTGGACGGAAAAAGCTTGCTCGAAGTAAAATGGTACAAAGAAGAAAGTTTAACTTGCAACCGAACTGATTATTTCCGAATATCAGCTGGGAAAATAGTCAACATTTACGAAAATTTGATGGGTTTTGAAGAATCGGAGAATATTTACCCTGGATTTTTCGCACAAATGATGGGTACCAGCGACTCTCTTCCTGATTACGAGTTTATGATAACAAAGACTGCAGGTATTTTTGAAGCTCATTTCTATGGGCCAAAACCGATTCCTCGAGAACTATTGGACTTTACGTTGGAATCTGCTCTCTGTTTCACATACGATGAATACGATGAATACGGAGAACGGATTAACGATAAATACGGAAACTCGTTCTTGAAATTCAAAAATGTTGATGATCTTACAAGCATTTGGTGGAGTATACACGATTTAGAGACCCTGTTTATCGATTATCTACCAGAGGAAGTGGCGGTAGTCGAGCATCTGATCATGTATGAAAACGAAATCGAAATCAAGAAAGATGGTCATAAAACGACGGTCGAACACACTTTGCCTGAAAAAAATCAAGTACTCGCGGAAATAGAAATGTCTTTCCATCAAAACGGACTCCAAGATTTTTACATTTCCGGTAAAAAGCCTGCAATCGAAGATGAAAGTCTCTGTTTGGAAAAATCAACTTCAATTTTTTGCTACCCATCACAGTCAATTTACTTGGATTCCTCAAACATGAAGGATTTCATTACAAATTTCGACAAAGAATCTTCTCTAACCATCGATCATAAGTTCCTTGAAAGATCAGAAAATTTGAGAATCCGAGGAGTCATCAACAAAGTCGACTTGAATTTGAGACTTGAGGAAATTTATGAAGCGCCTGAGCAGAATAAGAATCTTACCGTCATTTTCAGCATTGAAAAGATCGGTTTGGACATTGGTCGCGGTCTCGTTGAGTCCAGCCCCATCACAAAACTTGTCTTAGTCTGTGATGTCTATGAGACCTCTCCGGAAGCTCAACTAATGGGACTAGAACAGCGACATGCTAGACTCACTCTAGGGGGTGAACTTGACGATAACTCGATTTTGCTGCACGGCTCTGTTGTCAGCTTTATTCAATCGCAAGAGTTTACTGCTCTGTCGTTCAAAATTCACGGTCTTCTTGATCTCCCCTCCTCGTTTTCTTCCATCAATTCGCGCGCAAATCTGTTGATCGACATTGAAGAAAGAGGACGTCAGCTTGTTCTTTTCGACATGAAGAATGAATTGAGATCCTCCGCTGGTCGTGGCGATTTCTCATCGCAAGTCGAGGTCGAAGCCTATGAGCTTCTGAACCAAACGACTGTCGATCTCCTTGTCAATTTTGGTGATCCAAGCGGCTCAACTGGGCTGATCTTTGGCTACGACGGCGAATACAAAATCGACACAGATTGGCGGGTCGACATCAGCCGCAACGATGCTAGTATTCGCGCGATCGAATTCAAGCTCAATCCACTCCTGGAAGTCCGCAGCGATCGTGCAGAAGAACCAATGGTCGACTTGAAAATGAACCTCGAAGTGGAGCCGGAGTACAAAACCGCGACTTTGAACGAGTTCTTAATGTTGATCGACAACGATGTTTTCTATGAATTCGAAGTAACTCACGCGAATTTCCGAATGAACGAAAATCACATGGAACTTGTCGCCGAAATGTTCCACAACATCGATTTCCTGCACTATCAAATGGCGATTTTGCCGCACACGAGAATCGACGCCTTCGCTGATTTCCCCGAGCATGAGGCTTTCAAAGCAACAGCAATCGTCCAAGGCGCAGAAGGAAAACATGAACAAATTTACCTCGTTCATGATTTGAGCCTTACATGCGATTACAAACTCGGCGGTCTTCATGATTTCTACGGAAAAGGGGCATTCAAAGCAGCCAGTCCAACTCTTCCGGAAGAAATCTCTTTCGACGTCGTTTCTGATCTTGATGCTGGAATCAACGTCAAGGCCGGCTACAACATTACAATAGGAAATGAAGAAGAGAACAAGTTTCTTCTTGGCGCGAGATTCGGAGAGCTCGTCTTTGATTACTCAAAAGATGGAGATTTGAAGACAAAGGTCGACCTTGCTGAAGGAAGCGTTTATCTTGACGGACACGTGAGCTTCGGCGAGAGTGGTTTCAGTGGAATCTCGCTTGCTTTAGACTTCTTTGGGAAGGATTTTGAAGTGCTCTTGAATACATCGGAGTCTTATTTAAGCTCGGAAGTCTTCGTCAGTCACGAAGAAAAAGAATATGTCAGGCTGAGCTACGACTTTGAAAACAATCACAAAGAAGGACTTGTGATAAACATCCGCGAAATGAAAAACAAAATAATCATCGACCAAGATTGGCAAAATAGCCGCCTTTCATGGACCCTGGATACTCACGGTCCCGATCATAAGTTCCAAAATACTGGAGAATTCAACAAGCCCTACAGAGTCACTTCTGAAACAATTCTTTCTGGATTCGGACTTGAAGACGAGCATAAATTGACTCTCTCAGGCGATATTATCGAGGAGCAGTCACCTGGAGAGGAAAAATACACGCTGAAAACAAGCGGCGAATACAACGAATACAAAGCATCTCTCGCCCTAGGCGGCGCCCTACGCTACACAACGGATGATTATTATGGACAAACCTACCATGCTTTTGACCAGCTAATAGGAGGAAGTGCCTTAATCGAGTGGTCGATGCCTAGTTTGGAGAAATTCCACTTTTTCTCGACCGAAGCCAGTGTCGATCTCAGCGGCCGAGTCGGTGGCGGACTCGAAGTGGAAGTCAATGACAATGAGCCGATCAAACTCGATGTCCGCTTCGTTGGTTTAGAAGAAGGAGCTACTTTTGGAATCGAATCCAAACTCAGTGGAATCATGCAACATGTAGATCCAGAGATCATTGAGAAGTTCATGCTCGCCAGGTCTTCTGTTGACATCGTTGTTTCATTGGACTGGAGTCTTCATACTTACTCCTTGACTGTAACTCCCGATGGCCAGGAATACCATTTCAGAGGCTCGTACGAGCGAGACGGATTAACGATTTACTTCACTCAGCCGAATCAAATCAAAAACGTGCCTACTTGGGGCTCAATTCATTGCGAGGGAAGCGAGTCTGATGATGAGTTCTATTTCATTTGCAATGCCAAGGCTCTTGTCAACGATGTAAGTCGAGAATTGAACACAAAGTTCTCCAACATCGCCACTTCCAACGCTGTTTACGAGTTCACCAGCAATGTTGCCGAATTAGACGTTTTGTACAACGACGAAATCCACGGACCAGAAAAGTGGTCGTTCAGACAAGAAAAGAAATCTGACGGATTTTTGTCGATGATTTCGTCGCATTCGAACAATAAAGGGACGAATAGCAGAAAGATTGTCGTCCTTGATACAGAAGAACGCGCCGTTATCGAGCTAAAAGCTCTTGATGAGCCAAAAAATTCTGACAAGTCGCGACTTCAGGAAAAGTTCATTACTTTGTTTTTTGTAGAAGAAAAATTTCTAGAACAATTTGTTTTGTTTTATTCTTTAATTTTAAAAATTTTATTCTCCCAACCCGGGATAATAAAAAAAGAAACTTTCGTTTTTAATTTAAAAACAAACAATTTGTTCTAGAAAAAAATCTTGAACTTGAAAAAAGTTGACTTTTAACTTGGACAAAAACACTCGCGAAGCAAAACTCTCCATCGACCGACCTGGTAACGCGGAAGGACTTGAAACCTACAGCTTCATCTTTCCTTCTGTTACTGACAGTGCTCGAGAACTGTTCAATGGAAATGGAAGCCGTCAATATGATTCGAACATCCGATTGATCATTTCTGGGGATGAAACTGAGGAGGGCTCTATTTTCAAGTTTGGCTTGAAAATCGGCAAACATGACTACACCGTCAACGTCCGTCATTTTGCAAAGCGAAACGAGCTGCCAAACGTTCTCGTTTTCGGATCTGAAAGCTTCTTGGAACTGGCTGGATCGAAAATTCCAATTCAAGGCACATTTGTCGAGCTTTACAAGGATCTCGGCCAAACTGGAGTGCGATTTACTCTCAATGAATGTCTCGCAAAGCTGATCAGAAAATACATTATTGAAAAAACAGACATCGTTGATGAGATTCGCTTCTTTTTCTACGACAATGAGTGGTTTTTTGGTGATTTTGCCGGACAAGTGGACAAAATTTCGAGAGATCTTGAAATCGAGCAGCTTTTTTCCTCCCTTCAACAGATGAATCCAGTTTCAATGATCGACGAAATGGCTGATTCCGCTGGTCAAATTTTGCCTTCAGAACTCGGTCTGAAAGCACGAATAAAATCGCTAATCAACAGTTTATTTTTTGTTGGCGATTCGGAGATGTTCATCGGTCTTCCAATCAACATTCCCGACCAAATGCCGAAAGACTTCGACTTGTCCGCGGCGATTCTCGCTTCAGGACCTGTTCAATTCGCTGGAAAATTGTCGGATGTTGACTATTGGGTTGATATTTGGTTCCATATCAGAGCTTTTATCGCCAAAGAAAGATCTGTAAGATTCATTAAAATTTCAATAGCATTTGTATGAACTAATTTTTAGCCATTTTCCGGACGAGCCTGGCTCGTGGAAAACAGATACGTCCATACTTTCGACGGTGGAGATGGAATTCTCGATTCCGGATCTTCGTATCAAACAGACTACCTCTACAATCGAGAAATGAAGCTCTTGCCAACAGCAATCGGGGAATTCGAGACGATTATGGGAGTTGTTCACGGACAATTCGAGCTGGCGAAAGTAACTGAGCTTATCCTTCCTTGGAAGATGTTTGGAAATGTCGCGGGTTCTTTCGGTCGAATGGTAAGTCCTTCTATCTCTTTCAAGCCATTCAACGAGTTCTAGTCGCGAGAAATCGCCGATGATTTCCTGGTGATCAACAAACGCGTCAATTCTTCAAGCGAAGCCTGCCCAGTTGAAGAACTCCGACCGCGAAATGCTCGAAGATCCCTTCGACCTTGCCTTCCAATCGTTGACATTGAACCCATCCGAAATATGATTCTCGAGGAAGACTGCGGAAAAATTTCTTCCTGTTCGATTTTGAAGTATTATTTGAGAAGATGCGCTGCTGAAGGCATTTTAATCGAAGAACCACAATGCAGCTGAGCGATTTCATTCTAGCACGAGCAAGATTTACATGTTCCCTTTCTTTTTTCTGAAAACAAATAAAAATTATAACTCGCAAATAAATGACTAAAAACGACTAAACTAGTCAAAAATGGAAATTTATTTGAATAGCAATTGAAGGTCAGATTTTGCAGGTGGAGAAGAAGGTTACAGTCACGCATTATTGGCGCCCGTAAAAAGCTGAAAGCAGCATAAAATCACAATTAGCGGAACGGCGACTTTCAACATTTCATTGTCCAGAAAATTCAGCTGTTCCTTTCCGCTCTCCGATTTCATGTGCTTCTCCCAGCTTTCTTCCATAAATTTCCTGTTCGCTTTTTCTTGCTCGACTTGAGATTTGACCTTGGAGGTGAATTTTTCGAAGCCGGCGTTCATCTTATCCATCTTTTCTTTGAACTTCGGATCTTGGGAGAATTCTTGAGCTGAAGATCTTTGAGATGAAGAAGGCTCAGACGAATCATCAGAGGAAGATTTTTCTTTTCGCTTTCCTCGGGCTAGAATTGAAGGAGAAATCTGAGAGGGGGCTTCATAAATGATAACGTTATGGGCGAGTAGGGCCCTTTTACCCGAAGACAAAGGATTAACGAGGGCCCATTGTTAAAAGAAACAGATTAAGAAGGGATACCCTTATAAATTGAGGAAAGAAATTCGTTATTTTTGAAGCTTTTCCTGAATATTTCTTTGATGACTCATCTTTGAGTAAATTTGTCTCTGTAGTAAAATTCGTCTGACTGAAACAATCATGTTCTTTCTTCGATTCTCTTTGTAGAAATCGTAATTAATACAACTTCAAGCTTCAAGTTCAAAAAGCCATTCACTGTAAAATGGAGCCAATGAGGAGTCGTATTCAAAATTGGCGCGCGATTGGAGGATTGAATTTTTGTAGTGAATCGGGTCGATCCGCCCGAGCTGCCAGAATCCTACGCAGCGCCGCGGGCAATGAAAAATGGGAGAAATTGAAAAGAAAAATGGCGAAAAAAACGCAAGAAAGAGAAAAAATGAATAATGAACAAGAAGAACTTCACGAAAGATGAATGATTCATCAGAGGGATTTATTACGAAGCAGAATAACGGCGATTTTATGAAAAAAAGAGAAAATTGAATAAAAAAATGGAGAGAAAAAGAAAATATTGCTGAAGAAAATTTATTATTCATGAAAATTTTAAAATGAAACTGTTGGAAGATAATCTATTACAACCCCCTATTCGGTTTGATAATTTTTTTATATTAAAATGAAGCTAAAATTGCAGTAACAATTTCCGACCATTCGCTTATATTGCTTTTAAAAATGTTATAAAATGAACTTACTGAATAATTCTTAACTATTCGTATTGTACCGTCTGGTGTTTTTTATTGATGAAAATTTTTAAAATGAAAAATCTACATTATAAATAAAGTTGTTTATGCGGCTCGATCCACATGTGAGATCAAATGTATTAAAACTGATAATTAAATCTTTTTTTCTGCAAATTATAAAATTTGATATTTTAATAAAATGACACTGCTGCGAGAGTAGTTCCCACTCACGGATAAAAGAATTGATAAAATATTATAAAAAGAAATTACTGAATAAATACTCTTCTCTCAATGTTGAAAGTATATATTAAAATGAATGAAACTTCAATGTTAAAATACTTATTAGTAAGTGAGCTACCGGCTTATTTGTGTTCAAAATTTCAATATTAAAATAATATACTATTCCTGTTACTTTACTGTTTATTTTATTAAGAGCCTGTTCTCATATCCATTTCATATTCAGATGAAAAATGGCGCGGGGTAAAAAGGATTCGGAAGAATCGAGCAATTCTTCGGAATCGGTTCAGTCTTCTGAAGCTGAATCTGATTCCATCCGAAGCCGCTCCAAGGAAAGAAAGCGCGAAAAGAAAGCAAAGAAAAAGTCGAAAAAGGCATCGAAAGATCGGAAGAAGAAATCTAAGAAAAGCCATCACAGATCTAGGTAAAGTAGCGACCCAATTCTAAAATGAAATTATATAATTGCTTCAAAATTGAGCTCAAAGAAGACTTTTTTGTGAAAGAATTTGTTTTCCGTGCTAATAATTAGTTAGCTATTCTATTTTTAGCTCGCGATCCAAAAGCCGCGAGAAAAAGTCCAAGAAGCGAAAAGATTCCAGAGCAGGGCTGGATATTTTGAAATCAACAAAAATCTCGAACCCCGAAAAAAACATGAATCATCATCTCATCCATTTCAAAAATGCAATCTCAGAAAATTTTCTGTCTGAGATCTCAATTTTCGATTTTGCAAAAAAATGATATTTGAAATGCTGAGATCTCAATTATCTCAGAAAACTGCGTGAGTTGGATACGCGCGTTGCAATGAAATGAAATTTGAAATTCTGAGATCTCAAGCATTTCAGGTCCATCTGAACCAATCACAAGTCTTGCTCTAAGCCCGCGACATTTGTCCGCGGCCCTTGCGCGGTTTGCAAAATTTTGAGATTTGAGATCTCGAGATCTCAGCAATCTCAAGAATGGAAAAAATTATGACGAGGGAGTTGCAATAATATTGAAATTTGAGATTTGTTGAGATGGTGCAAAATTTTGACATAGAAATGAAATTTCACACAAAAATTGATTTGAAATTTTTGCTGATTTCAAAATATCCAGCCCTGTTCCAGAGACTCTCGCGATTCGAGAAAAGCAAAGAAAAGAGGATCCCGCTCGCGCTCTCGTTCTCCACTTTCTTTGAAGCGAAGACATTCATCAAGAGCGAGCCCCCCGCCACCGCGACGAAGAAGCCGATCTAATGACAGGTCGAGATCAAGGCGATCGCCTCCCAGAAGATCTCCTCTTAGGCGAAGATCACCGCCCAGGGAAAGATATCGCTCAAGAAGGTAAATGACCGAGAATGTCGATTTTGAAAATCTAAAATAATTTAAAATTTACCGATTTATGATCACTTATTTCTAAAAATCATCATCGAATTCTAGCTCCCGATCTCGCGAACGCGATCGTCGAATTTCCACCACCTCGAGCCGCTCGCATCAGTCAGATTACTCCCGGAAACGCTCGCCAGTTTCTCGCCCCATCAAGGTTGAATCCCCAGACATTTCAATTAAAAACAAACGCGTCTATATTTAGACCTTCGCTCCCAAATGCGATCTCTCAGCACTAAAAATCCTGCCGGGCGGGTCGACCTACAAGCCCGAAATGAACGAAGATCAACAGATCCAAGAGCAGCTCAATAATTTCGTATCCAAGGTAGGCGTAACCGGCCCTGTTAACTACACCAGCGTCACCTGCCCTATTGATCCGGACACTGTTATTACGGAAATGAACACCAAAAAGAACTCGGTCAAGGCAGATAGGCCCAGGTTTTCAAAATGCTCATTTTGGAGAATTCTAGCGGCTCAGGAATCCAGAGCTGTCACCTTTGGGCCGACTCTCTTCTATCGCCCCTGATACCCTTAAAGCATCGCTGAATCTTAAGGACATCCACCCATAAATTCGACCCGCTTTTCGACCGGTCAAATTTGTAGAGCTTATAACCTCCAGCTCTGGAGACTGAGACCTAGATGCTTATAAAATATAAGAACAAATGAAAACTTTGTGAAACCCCTAAACAGCTTTCTCACACAACAGCATCCATACAGATAGATCGACTGCCAGAACGAAGAAAAATCAGGGCCACTGTGGATGGTGAAATTAATAAACAAAAACAATGCACCCAATTACTATTTTTTCTTCTCCTATTTTATCTTGTTAGGATAAACGTTACCCTCTCTCTATTTTTCTTTAGTAAAAAACAGAACTTTGTTTGTCACGCCAAAAGGATCACGTAGCCCTAACCTTACTTTTAGATAGAAGTTGAGAATGAATCGCCACGGAAGCGGAAACCTACGTTTCAAGTGTCGGGTCGGATTTAATCTTACTGATAGATTTTTTCGTCTATTTCCATTTTTATTACCCCTATGTTAGACTTTTTCGGACAGGAGTCTGATGAAGAAGTAGCAAAACCAACTGCACGAAGTTCTCGTCTGACGAGTCTAAATGGCCTCGACGAAGTTTTCTGCAACTCTAACGACGGAGATGCGAAATGGAAAGCCGTCGTTCCTCCAGCAACTCAAGTTGGCCCGCCAAAATTGACAAGAGCGCCGAAGATTGAAAACAACAACGAACCAGTTCCAGCTCCAGTCGCACAGATGCCTCATCTTATCCCAATGCCTGGAATGGATGTCAAGGAAGAAGATGTCTTTATCGACGAAAACTCACAAAAATATCAAGTCAAAACAGAAAACGCTGATCCTGATGTGCTCTCTGATGGAATGGACATTTCTGATTCGGACGAATACGACGAAGAAGAGGTAGTACACTAAAAATACCATCTGTTTTAACAATTTTCTTCAGAGAAATTTCATCAACAACTCGACTTACTCCGTTGAAACCGGCCAAACTCCTGTCAAGCGAGAGCCTCCTCCGCTAAAATCGCGCCCCCCTCCTCCCCTTTCTCGACGAAAATCCCATTTTTCAAACGACCACTTTTGCCCAGATTCCTCTCCTCCCGACCTATCCGGTCCGCCAAAGCTCGCAGCAGCGCCAGGTGTTCTTGAAGACAGTTCTCCTCCGCCAGAAAACGGTCCACCAAAGCTCGAGCCTGCCCCGAAAGTACTTAGTGCTCAAGAATTCAACGCTTATCAATCACCGCCAAGATCACTGAAACAAGAAAAAATCGACGAAGCTAATAAGCGACTCAGACCGCCGCCAATCCCAAAGTTCACCTTGCTCAAAGAACCTCAATATCATTGTAACAAAGACTTCGTTCGCGCTGGAAAAGATACCCGCGATTTGGACTGCGAATGCCGCCTCCCCAAGGATCGCCGAGAAATCTGCTGCGGAGAAGAGTGTCTTAACCGAGCTCTGATGGTCGAATGCAGCAACAGATGTAGAACCGGCGATCGTTGTACTAACAAGAACTTCCAACGTCGAAAATACGCGCCCACGGAAGTCTTCTGGGCCGAGGGCAAAGGCCACGGACTCAGGGCAACAGCCTTCATCCCCCGAGGGACGTTTATAATCGAGTATCTCGGGGAAGTTGTGAGCGCAAAAGAATTCAAAAAGAGATCGCACGAATACGCGCGCAACGGGAAGAAGCATCACTACTTCATGGAGCTCTCGCGACAGGCGACGATTGACGCTTATCAAAAAGGTGCCGTGTCGAGGTTTATCAATCACTCCTGCGAGCCAAATGCAGAAACGCAAAAATGGACCGTCAATGGGCTCCTACGAATTGGTTTCTTCGCGATCAGAGATATTCATCCAGGGGAAGAAATCACCTTTGATTACCAATTTATTCACTTTGGACAGGGTCAGAAATGTCTCTGCGGGGCGCCTTCGTGCCGTGGTATTATCGGCAGGGAGGCTGATCGAATCCCTGCCCAAAGAAAAGCGGGGGACAAGGAGGAAGACGAGAATTATGGCAAGCTCATTCTAAGTACGATTTTGACTTTTCGTTTTCCTTTATTTACTAATTTTCTGATCAGATACGAGGAGGGTAGACTGCTCAGAAGATATGGAGAAACTTGCTAGGAACATGTCTAGAACTTCCTCAAGAGAAATAAAAGCGAAATTGAAAGCCCTCGACCTCATTTTGGTAAAGAAACATCATCTTTATCCTCTCTGATGCGTATTTTCAGAACTCAAGTAAAAAATTGCAGTCTGTCTTCATGACCAACTTCGGGCTCGAGATCCTCTGGAGCTACGCGAAAGAAGTCCACTTAGACGACAATGCGCTCAAGCATGACCTACTCAGGTAATATACCTATAAATCGACGTCTGTCAATTTGAATATCGTTGTTTTAGGCTACTTGGCGACCTAGAAATCTCACACCGCGATAAGGTTGAAGATAATGGGCTGATTGAGATTATTGATAAATGGTCCAAAATTGAGGACAAGTATCAAGAGAAAAGCTTGAGTATAGTAACGAAATGGAAGAGGCTCACTAGGCGTGTTCCACTGAAACGGGAAGCGACCCCTCCTGCAGAACCTGAACGAGAACCAACTCCTCCGCCGATGCCAACACTAACTCGCAGAGATTCAATTCGAAGACGAAGTCCCAGACTAGCGAAGGAACCATCTCCTGAGGCTGAAAGAAGTCCTGAGATGGTGCCAGAGACTTGGCGAAAGATTAAAGAAGATCGCAGAAGGCAATTCGAAGAGAATGTTAGAAGAAGGGACGAACAAGAAGCGCATTTCAGGGAAATCGCCAAGCAAAATGTTGATCAAATGGTACTCGACGCAATGAATGAATCAGACAATGAAAACGACGAATTTCATAATCATCATGATCCAAGAACATCAACAGATTCAGCAGTTCTGCCAAATGAGATGGAAAATTCAACTGAAAACATAGAGGATTTCATACCAGACTCACCGCAAGGAAATCCATACAATGACCCGGCTCATTGGGAAGCAGATGAACAGCGAGATTACATAAAGCGGATTATGCAGGATCTAAAACCATCAGAAGACGATGAAATAATCTGTGACGGCGCGGGCTGCGTCGTCTCCAGAGACGATCAAGGCGGACTAATGGTTTATATCCGCGCTGAAGATGTTGAAGATTTCGAACAGACCTGGAGAGACGGCAAGAAATACCAGGAAAAGAAGGAACGCGCGAAGAAAGAGAAAAAAGACGCCGACGCGGCAGAGCTCGAGCGTAAAATTGCACAATCGATGGAAACTACAGTAGCTCCCGCAGATACAACTGTCGCAAATGGAGATGCTGTTCCCGACGAAATGCTGCCCGACGGCTGGAAATCGCACAAAGATGACGAAGGCTCGACTTATTACTACCACGATAAAACACGCGAAACGAGCTGGGACCCGCCACAAATGAGCAAAGAAGAGTACGAAACGAAGATCGGAAAACTCAGACGCATGCTTTGTAAGTTCATCGCCGAGGTTCTTCTTGCTTATCGCGATGAAAGCACGACGCACGGGCGAATAACTAACGAAGCTGATTACAAATATCTGATACGAAGGTTGTCCCATGGCTTGAGCAAAAGAATCACGACAGAGCTGAATACATTTCGACTCACAGAGGAAGGCAAAATGATGGCTGCTAAATACAGGTACTTACTATCGACTTTCAAAATGCAGGAGATGACCACTCCTTTAGCCATAAATATATGACGCGCCAAGGTGAATGTTATATAAGAAGGCCTTCTACTCAGAAACCACCGTCAGCCCCAACCAGTACTGTATCCTGAGAGTACTGTCTATCGCTCTTCATGAATTTATTTATTGACCTAGAATTCTCTCAATTTAAAGCATTTACATACACACTTCAAAAAAGATTTACTAGAAATTTCCGTTACTATCCTTTTTCAACTTATTTCCTGTAAAAACTTCCTTCCTCCTTTATTACCTTCACTCAGAACCGACAGAGTTCAATCTCAATAAGGCAAAATCAACGATACGTACAACTGCCTTTTGAAAATACGAAACTTGCTCAACTTGAACTCCTAAAGTAGGAGTTATTTTTTTGAAAAACTATCTGTTTTTACCTCTTATTCGAATATTTTATGTATTTTATTCAATCAAATCGATTTAGTAATTTTAAGAAATAAAAAGAAAGTTGGAAATCGGACTCGTTTTTAATCAATAGATGGAATTGCGGGTATGGGTTGATGGGACTCAACGAGTAGTCTGTGGAATAACAGAACAGACGACCGTCCAGGTATGCTTTTTACTGAAAAAAAAGATAAATAAACTTTTTGCCAAAGGAAGTTGTCATCGCCCTAGCTCAAGCTACTGGTCGAACCGGCCGTTATACTCTCGTAGAAAGATGGCGGAACGCAGAAAGACTCCTTCCGGTAAATTTGAACACAGAAACAACTCGCGCTAACAATAATGTAGCCAAGTGAGACGCCCTTAACCGTGCTCAACAAATGGGGCACTTACGCAGCAGATGTCATGTTCATCTTGCGCCGTTCTGCTACCTCAGACGGCCCAAAGAACAACCCAGCACCTGTTTCTCAAGGTCCTCCAAGCTCATCAGCATCTTCTGGCTTCGACAAAAATCAGCAAATTCGCCAGAGTTTGCCAACGCACTCCAAAGCGCGTCCGCTCTTCTCGGCAGCAGATAAGTCTAGGAAGTCGCTTGGTCCTGGTCACCGAACGCGCGGAGAAAGTTCCTCGTCACTTCCTGTGACCCAAGGTGCGTCTGGAAATATTCATCGATCTGGTTCGCCTCAGCGAGCTCCAAGGACGCCCTCGCGGCCTCCAGTTAGTGGACAAATGCGAGCCCCGAGTGCCAATCGTCAGCCAAGTCCGAATCGTCTCAATCATCAACGCCGGTTAGAGATTCAGCACGTCATTACAGAACAACAAATGTTGCTGAAAGATCATGTAAGTAATCCTTAAAAAAGAAAAAGTCTCAAAATCTATTTTTAGACCGAGCATATCGATAGAATTGAGCGTAAAATCCAGGAGGTGTTGAAGCGTGACGGCAATAGAAAGGTATTTTAGTTGATTCTCTTCCTTGATTTCATCCTTTATTTCATCTCAGGACGAGGAACATCGGTTACTCGAGCAAATCAGACAAAACGACGCTAGAATATCAAGCGAGCAAGACAAGGTACGTTTCTCATTCAAACTTGAACCCTCGAGATCGAATTGTCATTTTCAGCGTAATTCAAAAATAGCTCTTGAACGAGAAGTTCGCGCGAAAAAAGATGAGCTGGCCGCCGTTCAAGATAAAATTCGTCAGGAAGAACGAAAGGCAATTGAAACCCAACGACTCATAGACGGTAGGATAAACAAGCGCATGAGCGTAGTCATTATCGATATCCATTACTTCAGAGTTGAGTCGGTCTACCCGACTGGCGAAGGAGCGCGAGAGCGACGAGCTGCGAAGAGTAGAGTACGATAACCAGCGCGAGGCCCATCGACTGCAAGAAAAGATGCACAGGATTGAGGAACTCAATCGCGAACTTAGAAAGGTCAATCTGCAATCTTTTGTTAGGGAGACTGGGTCAAAGGTTGGTATTTTGCCTTTTGACAAGATCGTAAATGATTCTACTCCTCGTTCTTTCATTTCTTCAAACAATCTTCAGGTTACCGTTCTGCCTTCTCAAAATGCCGAACCATTTCACCGAAAAGAAAACTCAACGAGCTCACAGGGCTCGAGTATTCCCAACCTCTCCCCTCCGAAACCTGCGCAGGGCAACTCTGGAGTCTGGGTTTAACAAGATCAACATCAACCGCTTAATAATATAATTCCGAGTTTCCTCTCCTTCTTTTTCCTCCCTTTCTTCTTCGCCCAATCACTAATCAAGAATCTGAACACTTCCTTGCATGCAGCCATCTTTATATATTATTTTTTATTGATACAGTGATAAATTATCATGGTATACTGCAAGGGGGAAATCAAAGTGTCTACACTACTTTTTCTAACTAACAACTATGGCTTGTGTAATAATATTTGTCTATCAGTACAAGCACTAGCCTTATTTCTCTATTTACCTCTCTGTATTTAACGAAAAATACTTATTTTTAAATACGTTCAACAAGTAAACAAAATAACGCTCCTTGTGCCTTTCTGCCGCAGTTTTTCGTACACTAAGACTTATTTCATAATCGCTAGCTATCTAAAAGTTAAAAACTATTTCCCTTCTCTTTCTCGCTCCCGAATAATCATTCCTAGAACTTAAATTTTCAAAGTTAAAGAGGCGCATATCCGCCTCGAGCTCTGTGAATATTTTACATTTGGTCTTTGGTATCAACAATTTTTATACACTTATATTTTCATTCTCTAATCAAAACATTTCCTATTTGAATTCTAACTCGAATTCGCTCTTTATTTATTAACAAAAATCGTTCATTCTTGCGTATCTTCCAATATACTGACCAAAAAACTTCAATTTAAAATTATTATCCTCGTTGTTTTCAGAAAGGAATAAAAAGAAACTCCCAGAAGTTGACACGATTTCGTTCTAGTAGTCTCAATTTTACGATTTTAACCAGCCAGAGATAGATAAAACATCGAGATTTTAAAAAATGATGAGAAGATCATGATCAAACAGGAAACGAACTCTCCTGGATTGCCAGTAAATAAACCTGGTAATAGAAAAATATCCAGGGCAAGTTTTGAAATATCTTCAGATACACCTGGTACAATGGAGTGTTCTACCGGCTGTCAAGCAGATCGGGCCGCTTTGCCTGTCGATTCTATGGTCACGGAAAGGTAAAGGACTGTTTTTGAGTAGATTCTAGCGTTGCTTCTTTTAGCAACCAGGCAGCACAAGATCAAATGATGGAGTGCAAAATGGAGGAAATGACGAAAATCGAAGAGCAAGATACTAAAATGGAAACACAAGGTTAGATCCCCTCTATGGTCATTTTTATAAAAGGAAATTTATAAAAGGTGATACACCTCTTGCCAAACAGCTCGCGTCAAACGACCTGGCTGGTATCACTCCCGAGGAGCTCCACACCAAAACAGTTCTTGACATTACAAAACCCAATCTGGATATTCTGTTCGTCGGGATCAACCCTGGCTACCACTCAGCCCTCACTGGTCACCACTATTCTGGGACTGGTAAGAAATAGCTTCCTTTTCACTTCTAGGAAATTTCTAGGTAACCACTTCTGGACTTGTCTGTACACATCAAGATTAATTCCGGAGCCTTTCACTGCCGATAGGGACCGAGAAGTACTTCAACATGGCATTGGGCTATGTAACGTTGTATCGCGGACAACCGCCTCTGGACAAGATCTCAGCTCTTCCGAAATTCGAGAAGGATGTAGACGTCTTGTTGACAAGTTATCCACCCTCCAGGTAAGCCACTATATTCGAATTCAATAAATCAACAAAATTATTAAAGCCGCTCGTGGCTTGTTTCAATGGAAAGTCAATATGGGAGTCTTTCTGTCGGGAAATGCTCCCCGGGACATACAAAAAGCGTGACTTCGCTTTCGGCCGTCAGGATATTGCTCCATTGCCGGGCATCAAAACCGTCTTTTACGTTATGGCAAGTTCTAGTGCCAGATGTGCGGCGTTTCCAACAGCCGAGACTAAACTGCCTTTTTTCCGAGAAGTTAAAAATATCAAAGGTAAAAAGACCTTTTCCATCGCTTTTTTCATCAATTTTCAAGACAAATTAAAAAGCGAAGAATCAGCAAAAGGTCTCGCTGGACTTTCAAGCATCGGTGGAAACCTGCCGAAATTCACTGGCCACGATGTCAGCCCGAAAGTCTATTCCGGCTCGCCCAGACCTCCAGGAATCGACGATGCCAAGGAGCGAAAAGGGAAGAAACGCCCGATCGAGGAGTCTGATCATCCGAAATCGAAGCTGAAACACATGGTGAATAATCAAGATCGCCCTAGACTAAATAATGATTGTATGATTCAGACTAAAAAGGATGATGGACCGGTCATTCCGCAGCATCGACTTGCAGGAGGTGGAATTTCGCACGATATGCTCAAGGATCCGTCAGAGAATGAACGAATGGAGCGAGTTAGAAAGTAAGAGCAATCATTTTTTAACTAGATTTTTCACGATCATCACCTTTAGATGGGTAAATGGGCAGGATTTCTCGCGAGCATCGCCAGAGCCGCCTCTGCCGAGTGATACGACTAGAGCTGATCAACAAACACCACAAGACTTATACAACGCGCTGCAGAAACATATGCAGCCAATTACGATGCTCCATCACGGCGCAGCTGTTCATCCCTTTTTGTCAAAAGTAAAACATCCTCCTCTCCTTTTATCTAAGCATACTTTTAGCCGGATTATTGGCCAGCTTTAGGGCTGTCAGACGACCGAGTCCTCCAGTCCGCTTATAACTTACAGGGAGTCACTCAACCACTTGCACCGACATGTAAGAACTTCCAGTTTCGCTGATGACTCATCCTCTTTTTCTAGCGTTGAGTGCCTTCCAAGGGCTTTCATCAGGTCTATCCACCGCTCTTGCTGGAGGAACTGGCCTGTCAAGCAATCCCGGAACTGCACCATGGCCATATGGAGCTTTACAGGTAAGAAAACGCCCCGAAGACAACAATTTAAATTAACTCGTTCAGTCTGGCGTATCTCCTTCGCTTTATAGACTTCCTGCAATCTCCCCGTATGACTGGAGTAAGGCACTTACAGGCGCAGCAGGTAAATCCAAATACGTCAACCATATGTATCAGCTAAATAATCTTCACTAGACGCATCAGCGCGTGTGATACCGTTTGTGCCCGTGATTCCCGCCCAACTACCGACTGGTCTTTCAAACTCGTTGCAGTTCGTCCTCCCCGGCCAAAATCCCCAGGGCGTGATCTACCCCGGCGGCTATAATTTACCTGAAGGTGGCTCCAAAAACCCACCGCAATGATATTGAAACTGTTTTGTCCAAATTAAATCCCAACGTCCAAAAAATTAAAAAAGACGACCCAAGTTGCTGCTTATTATTCTCAATTTCTCCTTCTCTCTTTCTCTTTACCCCATAAATCAATCTTTCAGTCAGACTGATCTGTTTTTCTTTTTGCAAAGTAACTTCTGAACAAGCCTGTATTCGATTCTTCGATTCCACTTTTCTTATTCGTACTGTTCAGGAATCGAAGATAACCCCCAAACATGATATTCCCACTTTACAATTTTTAAGTTATTATTATTTTTATTCTTTGTGTTCCCTTATTTTTCGTTGTTTGAATACCTGTATTGATTACCTTTTTTCTGAAAATGTTCTATCGGTTTAATTCTAATTCGCATTTCCCTCCGACTTTCTTTTCTTCAAAGAAACCTTCAGAAGTCGGATGATCCTCGGATCAGCATGAGATTGAGAAGTCGAGAACAACAACCAGTCCCTAGCCCCTTGAGAAAACGAACAAGGTACGTGTTCATCTCTAGAATGCTCATTTTTCCACCCACGTGACGTAACAAGCAAGTTCACCAGTTTATTCAGCGGTTTTAAAATGGGAAACTGTAACTCTAAATTTAGATCTGCCATCAAATCCCGTTCAAGTTCGCGATCATCCTCCGTTTCTCGAATTTCGAACAGCAGCAGTAGCTCACGATCCAAGCGCGCTCGGATCGTATCTCCCGATCGCTCCGAATGCAAGGTCGTCAAAAGAAAGGTTAAAAAGTCTATCACCACTGAGACTGTAAGAACCCGTGCCGCACGAGGAGAGAAGCCGGGCACATCTGCCTCAGCTCTACCCGTCCTAAAATCGCCCAAAAAGCGAGGCCGTCCTTTGAAACGGCCTCGAATCAAGGCGTCGCGATGTGCATCACCGACTCCTCCTGCTTCTCCTGTCCCCAAAGCTTGTTCAACCCCCGAGCAGTCGAAAATCACGAGGAAATCATTCGATTCCCCTCCGCATAAACAAGCCCCAGCTGACGACGAACCGGTAGCGAATATTCAAACGGAAAATTGCTCTCAGGTAGAGGAAGAAATCGTCATCGCTTCAGTCCCGGAAACGAGCAACGCAAACTTGGATGACTCTTGTCCAACGATTGAGCCGGACAGCAGCTCGTACTCGCAACAAAATAATGCTTATTACACTAATGATAACTCTTCCGTAAGAAACCTATCAAAAGGACGAATAATAGTAACATCTTCAGGGCCATTCTTCGCAGGGTGGATCTGCTGCATCCACGCACCATCAAAATATTGCTTCCGGAAATTACAACCCAGCGTACTTTATGCGTCACATCACTCCCCAAACAGAAGCCATGAAAAATCGAGCCGCAATCTTGGTATACCATTTCTTCCCGTTTCTAGCGCCTAAATCCTCTCTTTTCAGCCGTGCAAAACGCGTAAGACACCAGAGTATACGCTCGTCCTCGATTTGGACGAAACGCTGGTGCACTGCACTTTGGCCGAGCACCAAATGCGCGACTACGAGTTCACCTTTCCCATCCGCTTCCAGAACGTCGACTATGAAGTTTTCGTCAAGACGCGGCCATATTTCCGCAATTTCCTCGAGCGCATGTGTGAACACTTTGAGATCATTATTTTCACTGCCTCCAAGAAGGTAAATTTTTTATCTTAAAAATATCTGTAAAAGGTCACGTCGTGTCTGTTTCCTTTTGTGGGTCGTCCGAAATTTTTCAAGGCTTGGAGACACTGAATTCTCTTCTCTACCCTCACAACCAAATATTTTAGGTTTATGCGGACAAATTAATCAGTATTATCGATCCAGACAAGCGGCTTGTCCGACACCGTCTTTTCCGGGAGCACTGTATTCTTGTTCAGGGAAACTACATCAAGGTAAGCTACCTCTCTTTCCCTCAGATTCTGACGGCTTTCAAGGACCTGACAATTCTCGGCCGCGACCTGACAAAGACAATAATCGTCGACAACTCGCCACAAGCATTTTCGTACCACATGGACAACGGAATTCCCATTGAATCCTGGTAAGTTCACTCTTCGACCTTGAAAAGGTCAAACTCTTATCAACCTGTTTTTCTGAAAAGAGGAAAGGAAATTATGTAAAAGTCATACTCCCTGTCAGAGCCCGTCACGCCAGCTGAACGTTTAAAAAGTGTATTTTGACCTTTCATCTGGCGTGTCAAAAGCGACAAAAACAAGTAATGAGAATAGACACGAGTGTCTAAAAATGCTCTGGGGTTGTTGCTACGGCGAAATAGTGGGTGTCTTTCTAGGGCAATCATGAGACATAGATATATTTTTATATTGAGTGGACAATACTTGATGATATACCACTGGGTACAGATGACAGAATTATTGAGTATTATCCACGTAATAAGAAAACATTCACCATTCCCTTTCCTCATGATTCTTTTAGGTACAGTAACCCCGAGGACCAGGAACTGGAGCTGTTGGAGAAATACCTGTACGATCTCGTGAAATTCGACGATGTGCGACCAGAACTCCGCCGAAAATACCGAATCCGCGATCAAGTGGAGGGCAGAACAGACTGTACGCTAAAACAACTGAAACAGTACTTCTAAGTCCTTTCTTCCCACTGAAACTCTGTCTTCTTTCCTGAAGTATTCAAAGATCTTTAATTTTTATTCCCCTGAAAAACCAACACTCCCGATTCCAGTTCTCCGTCTTTTTTTTTTTCTCTCCCGGATCTTGTACAGTGGGTTACGCAGGTACTGCACCCGTAAAGAGCGGGCAAAGGGTGCAGCAGTCACGCAATCACTTTGAGCGAGTCTAGAAAGAAACAATAGAAAAAGTGCGGGCGAAGGGTGCAGCAACGCCTCAATCACAATTTGTGATTCACAAAGGGTGCATTACCAGCGCAACCCACTGTAAGAGATATCTTAATATTAATCTAATCCATAATTGAAACAAAACAAATCTCGCACCAGTCCAATGCTAAGTATTTCCATTCATCAACTCAGGGATCTACAGTTGATTATCATTTTTTTCCAAACCCAAACAGAAAATTTCGCGTTCTCCTTTTTTCCCATTTTTTCGCCCGTAAATCAAGACGCAAAGCGACATTTTGATAATTTTGAAAAGTTAGAGCATGTCGTTTTTCTTGCGTTTTGAAAGTCTTCAATTTTTCAAGTCAAGCATTTTAAAAATTCATGCACAAATACTACCAAGAAGCGCGCGCTTGTCTGAGACTCGCCGCGTCTGGCAGACAGGGTTCTTCTCCAAAACTCCGAGTCCAAGAAAATTAAACCTATCGCTTGCATTTTATAAAGATTGGATGTTTTTTCGAAAGCTAAACGAAAATTTTTCGCAAATTCCAAATTTCGCTAAACAGCAATTTTCAGTTGTCAAAAGTTATTAAGCTCAATTTTTTAACCCTCCAGCGTACCGATTCCCGACACACCCTACTACTGTTCTATTCTGTAAATAGAATCTTGTCTGTGTTGTCCCTTTTTATTTTCTCCCTTTTGTCTGTCTTGTCACAAAAATTGATTCCAAAAATACAGAATTTTCAAAGCCAAAATTTCAAATCTGCAGTTGAAGGCCGCGTACGTCAGAGCACTTTAGTGGGATAACCATCGCCATTCAAACAGGCTCTTCCAAATGGCTCTTCAACCGCTTTCGTCAGAAAAGGCCACTCGGGTCTTCTTTGTACAGCAGTGTGGAGAATCTTTAGACATCGAAGATCAAAGTTTTCAAATCTCAAAATATCAAAGTGTTTATTTACGCATGATGAAGCTCTGATTACGCTTATAATTATGTCTATCTGCCTAATTGGACCATGCGATCGCGTTTGCTTGATTTACAAGAGTTGTTTTTTGCTAGAATGAAATATTTTATTACGAGTATATAATTATCATATTCTTCTAGTCCTGTGGCCAAAGCTGTTTCATTTGCATATAAGAAGAATGTCTATCTTGCTAAGAAAAGCGAATAGTTTTACTCATGTCCATCAATAATTTACACCAAGAAGCCGCTTTTTTGTTATCGCAATTTGCAACAACATATGCATGTGTTATTTGCTAGAAATTCTATCATCATCATCATCATCTATCTCCAGCCCTATCCATAGACATTATAAACAACTGTCCACTGATTCCTCGACTCTTTAATTTCCTATCAATCCAAATAACTCTCCATCGACTCAGAACTTCTGAGTCAGAAGCACCTTTTTGTAGTTAAACTGGAACCGACCGGTTTTGCTTGCTATCAGATCAATATTTTCTTCGTCTGCATCTCACCGATAATCGACGATTACGATGATGATATGACGACGCTTCGCATCCGTTTTCTATCTTCTTGATTTCGAAAGCAACAACATCAGAAGCAGCATCACAAGGAGGCATTGTATTATTGAGAACCATGGTTGTATCAAAAATCGCTGCATCTTTCTCTTCCCAAGGATTGCCTCGTGAGATTCCATCCCATGGGGACTCACCGCTCGGGCCTGACTAGTGATGAACTGGTAAATTTATTAACAAGTAAGATGCTAATTTTTTTAGTATTGTGATATTTTCTGATCAGCTAGTGGGGTTGATTTATTATTCAAAAGTTTTTGAATTTATGGGACAGGAAAAGATCGACCGTCTACTTGAAAAATAGAAAGACGGGGTCAGTTGAAATATTTTGGACGTCATTTTTTTATTTTGATATTTTTCAATATCAAGATTTTTGAATCCACTGGTGAAAATGATATTGTTTCGGTAAGAAGACGTAAGAATTGACGTCAAGGGCTTTCTTCGGCAAATTATTGAATAATTTGCGAAAATTTGAAGAGTATTCAGCCTCAACTACCCAGTTCGAGGGGGTCATTATACTCAAATGAACCTGGGTATTTTTCATGTGGGTTTGTTTTCCAACAAAACTGCTGTAAGTGCACTTCAAACGACAAAATACCGGATTTTTCTAATTACTGAAACATATGGTAAAATAGATTAGAAAGAAAAAAGAGCTAATTAATTCATACACCCGCTGTAAGAATGAATTAAGACTCAGAATAATATATCACCGGATTATTGAAATAATGCCCCACTAAATTATGATATACTCGACCATCCTCGACGGGCCTTGTTCATTATCAAGGTGGTCGATGCCAGCTATTGATTCTCGCCGTACTCCGGATAATTAACAGTGCCTTGACTTATTGCCTGCTTTAGGCTTTTTTTCTTGACCTTGGGGACTTCTCTGTCCAGCGTAATTTGCGGACAAGGAAGGCTACTTTCTTATTATATCAAAATATAAATTGCTTCGAACAAAATGTTTTTGGGACCCGGCCAAATAAGGGGTTGAACTCCCAAAAGCATCATGGCAAGGCAATTACGCCTCATGATTGATTCCAATAACCGCAAAAAAGATGAGAATTTCCAACTAAATGATTCTATAATTAACATGTGGTATGAAAAAAGAGTGAAATCCCTTATCTATTTCTTGTCTCACGTGACTAAGTCACATGATCGGAGTTTATATCTAATTCATTCGATTAGATCTGGTCTTTCTTTTCGCCTGAAACGGGGAGTGTTTTTTTGGTCTGGTGGAACTTATCCTCCAAAATTGTCATCAACCTCCATTAGCTGGCATTTTCAACGTTCTTGGAGAAAAGTAGACAGCAGCAAACATATTTTATGGCTCCATGACCACGTGGATGGGTAACAATAGTAATACCGGGTCGTATGGTCAGTTTTTTCTTTTTTTATCACTTTCTTTTTTATTTTGATGGGCATGTTCCGACTGACCAACGCCTGTCCCGGGCAAACTTTTACGATAAACTTTGAACTTCGGCCTTCTAAGGGAAGGAATGTGAGCTGCAAATGGATATTTGAGGATGATTTTTTCTTGCGCTGACATTCTGAGATTCGTAGTGAAAAGTGTAGTGGGAGAAAGAAGCTTGCGTTCTGGTTGAAACTGGTTCGCGAGCAGTGTAGTAGCATAGGCAAGGAGAGAGCTGAGAGAGATGTTGGGAGAAAGGGCCTCTCGGCTCACCAGAGCTCCAACAGGCTCTAGTAGTGTCAGTGGCGCTGGGATGTCGCTCGCGAGCTGCGCAGCCCCGTGGCTAGGGGCCCTTTAACTCGGCCCGTCGCCGCTTCTCCTCACTATACCAAAAACACTGAACGAGATAAACCACGGGCGTTTACGTCCCTTTTTTCGACGTCGCCCAACAAGGGTCGAGATTTTATTTGTCGACGGATCCAGCTGCCCCTGCTGGTCCCTTTTTATAAACAGTTGATGGGATTCCCACGACGACTTTAAAACCGTGAGCCGAGCCGAGATACCACCCGCCGCCACGCTGTTACCCTTTTCCACCTCCACCCTGTTTCCCCTATTTATTTCTTCGCATCCGCAGAGCTTGAAGGCTCGCCTTGGACGAAAACAAAAATGATCGAAGAAGTGCCCCAACAATTCACACAGAGTGCGCTCGATGTGCCGTGCGCCGCTAGTTCTGAGCTCCAAAACAGCTCCGACATCGGCTCAGGGCTCATCCTCCAGCACAAACTATCAGAGCAAAAAGATACCTACGACGCTCACCAAATCGATTCCGGCTACCTCGATCCATCAGACATCGAGGAGACCGAAGAAGAAGAAGACGAACTATCTGGTAAGTCAGAGAATCACCTGGCAGCGCGCCAACCAGCTAATTCAGAGATTGAAAACGAACACATCCAGAGAGTCTTCGTTCCACGAGAAACTGAACACAAATTGAAGAGAAGACGAAATTTACTCGTCACAAAGCTCCATCATCTCCGAAAAGATCTCAACATCCTTGTCATCGGCCCCGATAACGCCGGTACGTAACATTTAGCAATTATGTCAATAGAGCGTTTGCCACGTGATAAATGTTATTGCTTACGCGCGATACCGTGCGGTGGCACCTGTATCAGTCAATTTTAAATTCATGTTTAGGCAAAACATCGCTCATCAACTCCCTGGGTTACATGATCAACCAGGACGACAAAGGAAACCTCAAATGGAGAAACTTTGCTGACTACGATCTCGGCAGAACTTTCAAATACAAGGTACAACATTTATTTTCCCAGTCATTTTTAAAACAATTCTCTTAGGCAGCTCGCGTATGGCCTCTTGAAAAACAGAAGGTGCGCAACTCGCCCCAAGTCGCTCCAAAGAAGAATTTGACATTCTACGAAGCTTCAGGCCTCCAGAAGTGCGGAGATGTGGAGAAATCCTCCACCATTCTCCAGTACTTTCTTGAAGGAAGAATCACCCCTGGACTTCTCACTTTGGTAAGTGTTAAAAAAGCGAACGAACCATGTCGGTTATTTTTGGACTTGAAAACTCCAGCTTGGCGGTGATTCAATACTCGCTCAAATTTTCGCGATTTATATCGATACTCAAATATTATTTTCTCTGCTCATAAACATCTTTAGTTCCTGTTGATGACCACCGACGACATCACTGCTCGATACTGCGATCTTTCCACCGATCCTCGAGTCCTCGAAAGTCGCCGAGTCCACGCGATTGTCCACTGCACTGCCGCTGATCAGCCACCCAACAACGATCTTATCAAACTTGTGCAGGCGGCGATGGCTAAGTCGAAAGATCCGCGCGTCAAAAGTAAGCAAGAAACTTCAATCCTAGAAATCATAGACGATACAACCTCAAACATTATCCATTGATCTCATCATTCACTTTCAGAAATGCCAATTTTGACCTGCGTTACGAGTCCCCACGGCGAAGTAAAACAAGTCCCTGTTTACGAGACTTCATCATATGACATGTCTGCCCAAGTGCGCAGCAACTCCGTCTCTGGACCCAGCTCTGGCATGCGCCGAAACTCCTCGACCGGACGCCTCACCGGCGGCCACAAGAGCTCCTTCGGCGCGGCGAACCTCTGCGAGCCTCGAGTTTGCCGAGAAGTCACTTACTACGCGCCAGACTACAATCCAGTGACAGATGAGTCCGAAACCGACAACATACAGCCCGACAACGACATCAACAACGGGCTTCTGCGACTGTTCGATGACATCCTCCGCGTTTCCCAACGAGACAACACCAAGGGACGCGGCCGCCGACTGGTGAATATGATTGTTGAGCTTTTCAATTGAGCATTTCTCTCTCGTGGTTAATTAATTAATTATACACACATACGTTTACATTCAACTATTCACTATCGAGCTTCAGCTAGATGCGGCTCGCGGAATCCAGTTTTCGCTCCCAGGCAAGCTCCATTGGGGCACTCACTCAATGCTCAGGCCCGACTCGTCACTCTAAAAATATGTAGTACTGCCTAAACCTCAAACTATGCTCTCACAAGCACCACATTTTACTCTATCAAGTAGTGGATGCTTTTTTCTATAATTTTTTCCCAATTTTGACGAGTCGCCCCTGGGCAGTGGCCCAATGGGCACCTGGAGGCGCCCGCGAGTCAGCTTTAGCGAGCAATCATGATGCATAACTTTTCAGTTTTTATTTTCACGTTTTGAGTGCTTCAAAACATGTTATTCCGACTAGCGATAGTTTCATTTTATAAGTGCCTGTTTTTAGTAAGCCGCCTCTTGTCCGACCCTGGCCAGTGTTTTGCTTTAGACCCGCCGTTCTGAATAAGACGCGAGAATAAGGCTCACATTTTTATATATATTTATTTTTTCCTTTTTTCAAAGAGAATTAGACAATCGGTGTATTGGCCAATGCCTGTATGTGTATACAAGACGAAATCCCAGTCGTTTGAGATGCTTTGAATGCGCGACTGGGAGAGAAAAAAGTTCTTCCTCCCACACGATTTTGAGGAGAATTAAGGGGTAATGCACATACGGGAACTGCAGCCATGCCCGGTTGGCTATTTTCAGCTGCGGTAACTCCCTCTCCCAGGACCCAAACGCACCCCATCCATATCCCCAATTTGCCAGAACACCACTCATAAGTTCAACTCGAGTCCAAAAATCCGCAAATACCGAGACAACATAAAGCGCTAGAAAACAAAACAAAACGTCAACGAAACAAAGTATAAAACACTTAGCAGAACGAGCGTGGTTTACAGCGAGCACTCGCCTAAGGGCGGCACAGTAAGGGCTTAAAGATACGGGTACTTGTAAATATAGGCATCATGCGATTTTTCACTTTTTTCGTGAATAACGAAGTCGTGGCGAAAGGTTTCTGCGGGCTGGTAAGGGGATCAATATTTTGATTTTCGGTGGATTCACTCTTGGAATCAGACTTGACAAAAACAGATTTACCTCTCTGGAGAGGATAGAGACAAAATGTTATTTTACATTACAGTAGTTGTAGATTATACCCACCGTTCGAGATATTGCCCCGGGCGAGTTCCTAACTTTCGCCAACGATCAACCCTTTTTCTATTAATTTAAATATGCGTGATCTGTGGCTAAGTCTTTTCCGACAGTCTACCCGACCGGGCGCCAGCCTCAACTTTTTTTCATTCGTCATTGAACTCATGCTTCTGTCTTTTTTCATCTGCGTTTCATATTTTACCGTGTTCTTACTGTAATAATTTTTACTCTTGCTGCATGCGAACAGGCGTGACAATCAAGGGATCGTGTAAACAAATCTAAATTGCTCTTTTTCGCTGTATTAAGTAAGAAGTCAACGATTCCTTGTGTCACCGGTCGGGTACGTCGTTTTTCGCTCGTTTACCTCTACCCATCTCTTTCTCCTTTACTCTCCCTTCTACTTTTTCTATCAGTCGGAAAAGGGCCACAGTCAACCCAGCTTCTGCTTTCTTGGAACCATTCGAGAGTTCCCAGTATTGTGATTTCACTGCATAACGATGACTTCGCACGGCTAGGTTCGTTTGGTGGCGTTTTATCGAACCGTTGTCTGGAGACCAATCATGTTGTGTACAGCGCCTGCTTCTAGCAGATTCTCAACCCCATAAAAACATGAAAAATAAAGAAAAAATATTGATGTCAGAGTGTCCGTTCAACAAGGTGTAACTCAAATTTTGGACACTCTGGCTCAGATGTGCCTAAAACCCAAAACCCCCCTTCCCCCTCAGACCAAAGAAAAGCCCCCCTAAAAGCAACTCACCCACCCAAAAAACAAAGTTTACTATCCAAAACTGAGAATCTGGCTAGGCAGGGGTTGTAGGCTAAATCTGATTGGCTAACCGGGGCGGAGTCGATGAACGGTAACCTACTGTAAATGTTTTCCACCCGCCTAGTACGTCGAGGTCTGGGCTGTCCAGTCCTGAGGTCGAAGTAAATAACGTTCAAACAAAATATCGCAGGGCTGGACGTGCACGGCTATTACTTCACTGGCCACCCGATGGTGCTTGAAAGCACTCGCTGGTCCCACGCCACTACCACCAGTTAAAACACCTGCTCTCTCCCACCAGCACCAAAAGTTCCACAAAGTTGTATAAGGTACAAATTTCCCTCCTTTCTCAATCGAGCATCGAGTGTGGCAATTTTTCGAATCCAGTAAACAACTAAAACCCAAACCCTAAAAAACGGTACTCCGGTAGGAGGCGAGCAGGATACAAACACACATAAAAAAATCGAAAAAAAAACTTTCCCCAAAAAAATTGAAAAAAGAAAAAAACTCTCAACCAACAAAAAATATCAAAACAACAAAAATCTCTCCCCTCCTCCTGAATGTTCTTACTCTCCGAAATAGTTCATATCTGACTCTACATCACACAAGCTATTACTGTAACACTTAATATAGTCTAATTTTTATAAACATCGAACTCTTGGTGATCTCCTAACTAAGTGTTGTTTATTTGTTATTCTTGAAATTGCATGAAGAAGCAGGCGGCAGACAGTCGATTTATAAGACGATGACAGCAGATTTCTATCAGACTGTAACGTGAATGCATAAACACTTGTAGCGCTTGAAGCCCTGGGGAAGAACGCAGATGCCCTCAAGCGTGCGTAGACTCTTTATTTTACGCGGATCAATTAACATCAAGATCTAGCAGCATTTTCATCAAGCAACTTGATTAATTGAATCAAGTTCATTTGGTTTACTACTCTTGGCAAACAGACTTTGCCCTACACGGTTACATAAGATTACATCACCGAAATTTTGACGAGGAACTTTATGATCTCAATCTGCTCACACACGCACTCGAGATTTTCAAGCGCTTCCACGAAACAATAAAGCCGCCGTTGTCATGGATTTGACAATGGCCGGCTCTGGATCGGGGCGTGTATGTGTGCACAATTTGCCAGAAAATAAAGTCACGGGACGTAACTGCCTGAAATTGACTATTAGAAATAGGATGAGAAAATCATATTTTCACCCAAAAACCGATCATATCATATCTTTATCTCATGGTCAACCGGGCTTATGAATCTATTACGTAGCGATAAAATGGCTTCGATCACAAGACCGGAAGAATCTCACGCGTTGTCCAAGTGATACTGACCATGACGTCCCAAAGAAGCCATATCTCAGAGTTATGACTTTCCTCTACCTTTTCCTTTCTACATCCGTATTTTGAGTAGCGTTCGCTGGAGCGGAGATCCACTAGGATCATCTCCAGAAGCCAGGATCGATTAATAAATCAAAGCCTCAGATTGCCTTCTATTTATAGCCAATTTATTCTAAGGGTACTCTGGTTTGTTAGATCTATTCTACGAGCATCGATTTTTACCAACAGTGACCATTCTATAGGCCAGTCTTTCGAGTATTCTGAACAGGCACTCAGCAAATTGACCAAGCTCGGCCGCCCGGCGAGACGAGAGATTCAAGTTCATCTTTTTCTTTCTTTCAAATTGCAAAGCCCCCTAAGAACTGTTCTGAGCTCAAATTTGGCCCGTTGCCAAGCTAAAGAAAAGAGTATCCCTTTACTACCCGAATTTGTTGTTATACTACATTTTTAATTATAATCGAGTCTTATTTCAAGCTTCTTTGAACTTTAGACAGTCCGAATAGAGGCTACAGACCGCGTTTAACAACTCTGAAAGACAAGGAAAATAGTTGATGATAGCGAGACAATGTCTGAGGGAATAAAAATAAATTTATTTTTCTGGCAAAGTTTCAAATACACTCCCCGGAAGCGCCAATTTATCATGAAAACCGCAGCGTTCTGAGTAAATACGGAATACAATGAAGCTTTAAATAGAATGGAGGTGCTACTGGAATGACCTTTCTACCGTTTGACGTGTGAAATATACAGTCAGCTAAGGACTAGAATCGATTGCTCGTGAGCTCATTAATATTCTGACACCTCATCACGTTTTCTAGTAGCTTATTCACTTCTTCGGATGTTGCCGCTCTTAGAAATATCATCAAGAAGAATCCAGAGTACCAATTATACAACTGAGTAATAATTCGAATCAATAAAAGTTCAAGTTGACATTTGTAAACCTCCATTTTCTATTCGTTTTGTAGGATTATCGAATTAAGACTCAACTGGAATGCACCAGTTTTCCTTTGTTGCGAAAGGCATAAAGATTCATGAATGCCGACGGGGAATGGATTATGCCTTGGATCAAGCGTTGCGGCAAAGGCTATTCTTTTTGATACAAGACGAAATCGATTATTTCTCGATTTTCGCTGCCTCTGAATTGTGTCCAGAAATCGACCAATGCCACCAAATTCCACTCGAAAATGACGGCAATCGAAATCAAAGACATTTTGTCTATCTGAGTACCTCCTAACCGACATAACTATTTTAACAAGCTCTTCATGTGACCATAAAAAGCCCCAGTCGACTTCCTCGAGTCCAGATGAGCCCTGGTTTATTTATCCTTCTGATTGAGATGTAACTATTTGCTCTTGCTAATACTTTAACGCGAGGAAAATCAGCAAATGTAATTCTGAAAACAAATACAGCTTCAATGGCTCCATGACTTTTGAAACTGGCCAGAGTTTATCCAAATAAAATGTATGAGTTTATTTGAGGAGAAATTGATAGAGAGAGATTGCTACGGGAGTTGAACAGAGTCGTACGATACTGTACGATACAGTATAAGAAGCTGGCTAGAAAAAAAGAGCGAAAAAAATGTAAATTTCGTAAATTTTAGCTCGTTATCACCATGAAAAGGGAAAAATGCTATAGATAGAAATTGAACGAGAAAGGGAAAAAATAGGCAACAGCTACGGTTTCAATTGAGTACACTTGGTTAGGCTTAGCTTTTGAATGTCAGATGAGTTTCGTTCAGCCCCTCGACATCTGATGCTAATCCGATTTCTCAGCCATGAGGAGGGCAAAAGGCAAAAATGGTTGAACTTGAGAAAAGAACAGCTTTTAGACGAGTCAAGGAAAACAGCAATAAAATAGTACGGAAATGATCAGAAACACCAGCAAAGTAGAAAAGCAGACAGATAATCAATAATTCACCCGGTCGTTTATAATTTTTAGACTGCTTGTTTCACAATCCTTTGTTGTAAAACGCCTTTATACGGGGGTCAAGGTTGAGCTCTGGCTCCAACGATCCGCCTAGGATCTCCGATTGTTGCTTGAAGAGTGCACAGGTCAGCGGATTGCCGATCAGGAGACCCAAACCAACGAGAGCGACTTGCGCTGCGGGCGCGCCAACCTTTTTGAGGATACTCAATTTTAAATGAGAGCAGTCTTTGTTTCTATATTCCAGGGCGATTCAGAACGAAAGCATAATTAGCCTCTATCCCGCCCGGTGTGATCTTTAAAACGCAAACACTAATTAATTCAATGTCACCTTCGAGCTTTATTGCTGATCAAAGAAACCGCCCAATTTCGGCATTCCAAAGAATACCCTTGCATCTTTCTACGAGGTGTTTATGATACAGTTACATAAAAAGAACCCTCGTCAGAAATTGTCAGAACTCGAGATTGATTGGAAATTTACAGCACTCGTGATCATCATGACGAAATGTCATGATCCCTTCGCAAAGCGATAAGCCTAGGCATGAGGCCGCGTGTCTGGGAAAATTCTAGGGATCTATTTTTGAAGCGTTAATGCATCGCTCAATTTCTGCTTCAAATTGGCTTTAGCGATTGTGGGGATTTATCCTTTTCTCCGAACTTTTAATAAAGTCTAAGCAAATGTTTTATATAACACCCGGCAAGTTACATTCTTTCACAAAAAAGTATTGGATATTGTTAATAGAGTGACGTCAAACACTGTCGGTGTCCTTTGGGAGTCATTACTACGTAAAGCTCAAGCTCCTTTTTTAATTTCCATATTTGGCAAATAAAAAGTGAATTGCAGGAAGCATCGAGCCATAAACTTGATTCAAAGGATGATTGCCGGGTTATCAATGAAAGTTGATTTTTATAAGGCTGATTTATAAAGCCGGCAACCGCAAATGCAAAGATATGATTTGGACACACGATATTCAATATATCAGATAAAAATGGACGTCTGTTTATGGAAAAAATACGGCGAATAAAAGCAAAAGCTAATCAAAATAATGAGTGAGGCAGTCTCGGAGACAATTGTCTTGGATAATTTAAAACTTTTTATTCGATTAAATGAAGCATTAATTATATAAACTGCCGACTTTCAGACTCTTGAGTAAAACGATTCGACGAACTCATGAGAATACAAATTCCAAGGACTACCAACTACAGGTACCAACTACCAGGTAGGCCAGTTTTTGTTGCAATTAAAGAGAACTTTCGAACGTTACGTAACAGTGTCAATACCGCATGACCTGGCGGCAAAAGCGAATTGAATCAGACAGACTGTCCGAATTGAAGTGCTATCAGAAAGACAAACTTCTGGTCCGGCACACCCAAGAAGTCAATGTTTGAATTTTAATGTCATTTCCCGCAAAGCCATCTTTCGAAAGTCAGTTGCTGGTAAATAGAAAATGAAGGGTCAGCATTCATGTGATCGATTTTACCGCAGAAATTCTGTAGAAACGTTATGCAGCTTTTACACAATTTAAAACTCGATAACCTTTCCCAGAAAACTCTCACAGAAAAGCTAGAATTTATGACAACGGTACTCATTTTTTCGAAAACGAGCAGTCGGTAGTTACGTGGACTGTCACATGGCTACAACTCGGTCCAAAAAGGGATAAACAAAAAACATCTCGTGATGAAGAAGTTGGAGCATGTGATTACGCAACAAGAATTGCAGTAGTGAAAGATCGCGTGATCGTAGTGAACAACCGGGCCGCGGGCCGCCCTTGGGCTGTTCTTGTTCAGGAAAAGCATTTGAACTTTTGATGAGCTTCTAAGTGAAATACTGCTTTATCATCGCAAACATTTTAATTCTATGGCATAATCAGTTTTCTGCCTAAGTCTGAGATATCATACGATGATATTCATAGATAGGAAATTGTCGTCAACGGATGACAAATTTATATTTACGAAGGGAAAGCTGAAAAAGGATGGACCGGAAGTAGTTAGCACTTTATAATAATGGAAATTCCAATAAAGGATGACAATAAGTCATTCAAATTATACCCCTCGAAAAAACATGAAAACATCTTGTTAACTTGCATCAGTCCGGACTTGGAATACTCATCCTTTTCATGCAATTTTAAACAAGCAGCTCATCCCTTTTAATCTCTCCCGTCCACAAAAATTCTTCAAATCCATTCAAGTTCAGGATTTGGCACGTCTTAGTAACTAACGCTCTAAGCGATTTCGGAAGCGGCAAATTGAAAGGAAGATTCTCTTCCTTGATTTCATTATTTTTTCAGTATCCATCCCTTAGATTTGGCGAGCGCTGGGAACCTCTTCTCCAAGAAGATCATTCCCAAAAGTGGCAGAACCATGGCGGGTATCGCGCAGCTAATTCGTTGCACTTTTCAATGCTGTTTTATTTGTTCAAAAAGAGTATAAAGCCGAAGGTCTAACAACATTCCTATGACTTGTCCGACCGCTCTTTGTGCAGCTATTGATGACTTCCCAAGTTCATTTCCATTTTCGTCGAGCACAGGAATGCCATTTTTAATTTCATTTGAGCGCATCAGGGACGTATTCAGCACATTTGCAGCGCAAACGGCGAAGAAAGGGGATAATCGTGCCATTGACTTTGGAGCAAACTGAATGAAAAGCACATCAGCGAGGGGTTAGATTCTCTGAGTTTTCTTCAAAATTGAGTCAGATACGGGTAATTTATTTTTTCTTTATAAGGGGATTTTGAGATCGAAGATTCTTTTGGATCTCCACTTAGATTCTTCCTCAAAGAAACTAGAATAAGTAACTGCCAAGGTCTCCCATTTGAAAAGTCAAGATGCCCTCGTAAAGCGTCAGACTCTGACAGTAAAAATATGGCATGTTCTTTTTATCTATTCAATATGCATTTTAATGCTATTTGCCAAGTTACCTTTTTAATGCCGAGCGCGGTCCCGCTTGCCAAGGTCGTTGCACCCAGGAAGTTTCTTGACAGCTCTGTCGTGGAAATTGCAGCATCTCCGCTTCTATTCGTGAAATTTACAACTGCATTTACTGACTGATTCGCGAGCTGCCAGAAGATCACTTGTTGGGGCGTGCTTTGGTATGCCAACATTGCTCCGGTGATGAGCATGTTTCCAGGAACCTATAAAGAAAAATGGTGAAAGCTCATCAAAACATGTTATTTGGCGCCTGAGAAGGCATTTTGATGTTTTACGGACTTTCAAACTGGACAGGCTATAAAAACGAAAATTATTGCTTTTACACCTAAACGTCTAAAAGTACCAAAAAGACTCGACTTTGAACTTACCCAAAACGACATTCGCCCCGGTAGGAACATTTTCTCCCCAGTATCAGGGTGGAAAGCCGAGTCATGCTCGTATTTGGCTTTCCAAAGCTGCTCGTTCGTCAATCCCAAATCCTCTCCTTAGTTTTTGTTTGAAGGGGTCAAAAACAAAATTCGCCCTACCGTTTTGGTGACGAGTTACAACATCCTTCGCGTTCTGCAACTGAGAGTCTGTGAGAAGCGCGTTTCGCGGATCTGTGAGTTTGCAAAAATGAAACACTCTGCCAGAATAAGTTTCTTGGTCGAACTCTGCATTTTTGAGATTTATCCTGTTCGCGGAATTGGAAGTTTCGCCCATTCAAAATCTATTACAATTCAAGGCTGATTTATATTCAATTTGAATAATTTTAATTTATACTAAAATAACAAAACTTTGAACAGAGGTTTACAGAAAATAAAGCAGTTGGTAAAGCGATTTTGAAAACGACTTTTTTCGTTTTCAGATTTGGTTGAATAAGGACTTTTTCATCTTTTGAGCTTTTGGCGTGTCTGGTGCTGTCTTTTGTCGCTTTGGGAAGCTGCCCGCTCCGTCTAATCGGTAGATTTTTATTAATTGGCTCTAGGAAGGAAAGATTGCTTACCTGACTGTCTTTTTCGGTTTTCCTTTTCCGCAGCTTGGAAAGTCATTGGCTTCGAAAAAGCGTCTCCTTTTGATAAACTCGCGAAAGCTTGGCCGAATCGGTCTTTTCGCTAAAAAAGGCAGGTAAGGCCGGTACCGTATTAACTTTATTTACCCCTCGTTATGTAACATTACGAGGTTATGCTAAGTTAATCGTAAACCCGCGTAAACTAACCTTCTGATTTGCACCCTTAGCAAAACTATTCTTTTTGCGCTTTGTAGTTAACTTGACAGCCGTCCCAGAGGAAAATAACGATGACTGAGTATTTGTGAAAAGACTCTCTTGGGTCTCTTGATCGACGAGAAGCTCCCGTTCGAGTTTTTGCTTCAATCTTAATTTTTAATTAATAAATTTAGTATTTTCAAATAAAACGCCGTTCTTACCGGTCAGATTCCTCGTTTTGCAGGGCTTTGACTTTTTCTTCGTCGACTTCTCCTTCATCAGAAGATCCGTCGTTACCATCGTTGTCGAAGCCGTCGTTGTTGATGACCCACTTGTACTTGCTTTTTCTCGCCTGCGCCATCGCTACATCATCGTTGTATTTTCCTTCGATTCTGGCGATGATTTCCTCGTCCTCATCTCGAACGAGTTTGTTGTGCACCTTTTGGATCTCTTTTTCCATCTTCCTTTGACTGGGAAGGACTTCCGTGATCTCTTCATGCTCGTATTCGTCAAGTCCTTCTTCGTTTTCGTCGTCAGATACTTTGGCCCCGTCATCAGATAGTTCTGCTTCATCGGCTTCGGCAAACTGGTTCATCGAAAATCCAGGTTTTGGCTTTTTTGCTTTTGGCTTGACTTTTTTCTTGACGATGACCAGATTATCATCTTCGTCGGAGTCTAAGTTTTCAGGAGGTAGTTCTGGCTCGTCGTCGATAGGGTTCGATTTGGTGCTGCCTTGAAGAGACGCATTCAATATATCAATATCCGGCAGTGGAAGGGAATCATTCTTTTGCCGAGCATTTGTGTCTTCTGTCAATGTTTCTACCTCTTCATGATCATCGAGGTCCATTAGGTCCCGCGAGTCGTTCATATCTGAACCAAAGCCGAGAGACACGCAAGCTGCAATTGATCTCGTTGGACTATTGGTATTTGAATCGGCGTTCTTTGGTCCATTCTTTCCCATCATGGCGGCAAAATCTGCATCGCCCTCCTCGTCATCAGATCCACAAAGAGCTGCTAATGCTTGAGTGTCTTGGGTTTGCGAATCTGGCCCATTGCAGAGGTCATTTACTCCTTGCTGAAAGAAAAATAAGAACCGGAAACAGGAAAATGGAAAACACAAAGTAGCAAAATGGTTAGTCAAGAAAAAAACGATCAAGATCAAGAACGAACAAGATCTTACTTTCAACTTCTTTCGCTAGAAAAGACACCTTAGCACTTGATTCGCCTTTATGTACCTGTACATCATGTGCATCATTAGCATCTTCTTGCGCCAGAAACTCCTGCAGAAGATGATCTTCTGCTGATTGAGAGGGCTGGCTTTTGAACATATTATCACAGTCAGGCGTCTGCGTGTTTCCTCGACTCATTTGGCTCTCGGTGTTTTCGTCGAAATCAAAATCGAAGCTGAAGTTTCCAGGGCTTTGGTATCGATAAGGCACTGACAGTGATTCAGAGGGAGTTGGTGTATCGAAGGATTTTGAACTGATGCTTGAGAGACGATCTGGGGTAGCTGGGAGCGGCTGAAAAGATGGATAAGTGGATGAAAAGGGATGATTTTTTAACCTGAGCCGCCGTCTGTTGCATTGTCGCGTTTTGATAGTTATTCTTTGCCGTAAGTCTGCTCATTTGATTGTAAGGATTGCAGCTGCTCGAGGTCGACATCTGTGAGGTAGTATCGGAATCGACATTATTCTGAAACGGCTCTGGAACTTGCTCTTCATCTTCATCAGAACTTTCCAAGATTTTTCGCGCCTTCTTATCGCGTTTCTTCTTTCGCCGCTTTTTCATCTTTGGTGGCGATTTATCAGCCATATTTTCGTCTTGAGAGTCTTTTTCGTCGTTTGAATCTTCTTGATCATTTTTACTTTTCCGGGTTTGCACTTTTGTCGATCAAATTAGCTCATTTAAAAAAATAGAGTTCAAAAAATGAAATTTGAAGAGTTTCAAAGCTACTTTCGATTCCATGCTTTTCCCAGCGGTAAAGAAGAACAGGAAGAGTACTGGGAAATGTGGTCCGATATAAAAACTATCCGCGGACGGGTCCTCTCGAAGGACCAGAGAGATAATGATTCTATGCGAGTTTACAATGGATTCAGCCTTTTCACGATTCTAGGACGGAAGAACGAGTTTCGAAACGTCCAGGTAAAAATGGCCCCTCAAAAAGATAGAAGTTTAACTTATTCAGTGTATGGACGAGGTGTTTCTTTACGGATTGCCGGCGACTCCACGCGATCATACTCTCTTACGGTAGGCCCTTTTCTCTGGGATTTTCTCATAACGCATGTTTTTCAGCAATTTGACATCCGTTCTCAAGCGGACCGACTCATCCGAGGCCATTGCCGATTCTGACTCTGAGAATGACACGGATACTTCTGCCGAATTCATGTCCGATACTGCTTCGAGTGGAAAGCCTTCGACTTCTTCTAGCTCTAGCTCAAGCAGTTCTAGCTCTCTAGCCTCTTCTGACGACGAAAAACACGAGGGTTTTCAGCAGCGGACACTTTCAGACTCGGATGAGGATTTCTCCTATGTTTCTAAAGTTCCAGAATCTCCAAAAACGAGCGAAAAGCAAGAGAAAAAGTCGCCTCCTTCCAGCTCGGGTCCTTCATCAAAAATCCCTCGCCTCACTCTTCGACGAAACATCAACGGGCATTATTCCAAGGTCGAAAAATAATTCTCAAGTTTTCTCTAAAATTATCAAACCGTGCCTTTGATTAGTTTCGTCATTTTCTTCTTTATCAGTGCTTTCTTCATCTCCTTCTTCGCCGGATTCGCTTTCTGATGAGTCCAGAGCGTCTTTTCCTGGTTGAAATTTATCAAGACCATAAAGAACATTAGAATGAGAACTATTAGAAATTATTTTGAACGGTTGGTTTTCAGATCAATGACTACACACTCTGCTCTAGTGCCCATGAGAGTATTATTTGTTTTAATTTATAAGATCTACCTAAACCTACTGCAAAGTTTCAAATTCAAGCCACTTGAAGATCATGATCCCTAAGGGGACCCGCTAACTTTTCAACCAAGCCTGGAGGATGCTCATTTTCGAGCTCCTTATCAATTTTATCGAGATAATTGTCCTCGTCCATTTCTTCTTGAGCTTTTAGCCGTTCTTGCTCTTCTTTAAAATTTCGCATCCTCTCAGCTCGCAAATTCTCCCATAATTGTTGTTTTAACCCTGTTAATTTTGACTAAAGAAATCATCTTCAACTCTTATTCTTCATCTTTTTCATACCTTTTTATTTTTCAAACTGTGGAAAATTTCCTCATCTTCATTTTTAACTTCGACGCGAATTATCTTTTCTGAAATTTCACTTTCTCGAAATCAAATAAACCCAAATTCCAAAAACCTTTGATTTCTACAATTTCTCCGACGTCATTTTTGACCGCTTCAGTAACTTTGGTGCACATCTTTTTCGGCGATTTTTTTTTCGTCAGATGCTTGACCATTTTCTTTTGCAAATCGGACATTTTTGGATTCAACTGGAGAAAGCCCTGGCCGGGTGTTGGCGCTTTAGCCGCGGCGAGTGCGGCTATGCGGGCTTTTTTCGCGGCTATTCGGGCTTGTTTATCGGAGATAGAGGGATTTTGATCTGGAGCGGGATTCTTTTGGGATTCGGCAGTGGGATTCGGGTTTTCAGAATCGGCATTTGAAATTTGCGAGGTCTGGTTTTCAGAAACAGCGGGAATTGGCTTTTTTGGCTTTGAACTTTTCGGCGGTGACATTTGATCTTGAAAAAAATAATAGTTTTTGCTGAAGAAATTAGGGCTCGGCTCGGCAACCTGTGTAGAAAACCTAACTCAGGGTCTGAAAGGTCCCTAATGATAAGTTGGCTATTTCAAACCCTGACTCAGGTTTTCAACACAGGCTGCGGAGCTCAGGAGAAAGATTTACCTAATGAGAAAACTTTTTGATGTCGAGGTAGTTTAATTTCCGTTTCTCTGAGCAATCGAGCTTGTTCTGCTTTTGCATCTTCGTGCTCTTCTCTCATACGAATTTGGCGATCACGGAAGGACTCTTCTTCTTGTTGAACGGGTCGTTTTGGCTTTTTTGACTTAGAACTCTTAGGAGCTGCTGCTGAACTAGATGTTTCCATCATTTCATCGTCCGATCCACTTTGCTGAGTTGGAAGAGGAGCTGAGCCGCGGAATATTCTCACTGGCTCATCGTCGGAATCGGAATTGTCGGAGTTGTCCGAATCTTCTGGGCGATCCCCGTCGAGTTTTGTTGCTTCGTTTTCAGAACCTGAGTCGATAGGTCTGGAATCCATCGATTCTTCCTCATTCTCTGCTTTGTCTTCTGACTTTCTTTTGATCCTGACTTCGCTGTCCGTGTCCGAGTCTGACGAAGAAGAACTGCTCGGGCGGGATTCTGGATCGCTGTGGATAATCGGCCCCTGATTCGTGTCGGAATCGTCTGAATCTGGGAATCTACTTGCTTTTGAAGAATCGCCATCAAGTGAGACATTCGCAAAGGTCTTTTTCAACGATGCTTCTTGTGATTCTTGAGATGATGGTAATCCAACAATACTGTCGATTTTTTCGAGCGCGTCGAAAATCCCATCTAAAATTCAAATTCTTTATCCCTTGGAAACAAAGGGTGTTTACCTTGCGACCCCTGTGAGTCCTGACAATCATCATCACTGAAGTTGACTTCATTCATAATAATGTTACTGTATTTTCTTCTCTTTCACATCGAAATATTTACTCTTTTCAGCTCTAGAAATCCTTTTTCAGTGGCTTTTTCGGATGCCCTTCTTGATGAAAGAATATTTTTCTCTTCCGCTCAGCAAATATAGAAAAAAAGCTTGTCAACTGAAAAAATACATTTTCTTCTTTTTGAGAAATTAGCGCGCAACGGAACGGGCGCGCAAAAAAATTGGCGCCTTGGCCAATCAACACGGATCCGGGCGATTTGAATTTTGTTCTACTTCCATACAGCTGGCGATTTCAACCCTTTTCCATGGTCCGTTTCGCGATTGAAATAACTCATTCTTGAGCCCGATATCTGAGCTTTCCGATGGTGACAGTTTTGACAGAACATTTTCGACTCAAAATGATGGAATTTCGAGTCAAATGAAGACCGAAAAAATCTTCTAGACATGATTTCTAGACAGACTTTTCTTCGGAGGAAAATCGGCTCCGCCCTGGAGCGAGAAAATTTGCAATGAAGACATCTGATTGGCCCGCTTCTTTCCACGGAGTGAACGCACTCGCCGTCCGGCTAGAGAGCGAACGCCGACGGAAAATGCTTGAGACGCCGTATCACAGAAATGATATTTTGAAAACGAGCAGGATTTTGAAGGCGCAGACGCTCGATGGTCATCTTGCTGTGTTGACGAGAGAAAGTAAGTACAGAATCGCATGGTCATTTTTTATTCAAATTGTTCAGCATTTTTTTTTAAAGACAAAAATGCGTTTTGGTTCATTTTCTAATCAATTTATTTGTTTCAGTATATTTTCAATATTCGGAATATACCTTTATCTTAGATGATGGCTCAACGAGTGTTGCCTCATTTTCAATACTGCCCCTCAGAATCGGACCATCCCCTTTTATAGCTTGAAAATTGATACGAATCTAAGATCAAAACAGTTATTTACTTGCCTACTTCATGGCCTCAATTTTCCATCAGGGGAATGAACCAAACACTTGCTTCCAAACGGTTTCGTGAAATCTATAAATTATTTAATGAATTATTAATTTTTTATTCGAGAAAGATATTAGAACCCAGAAATAATTGAGGGAATTGCTTCGGCATTTTCATTTTATCTCCATAATCATTTGATGATACCAGGTAGAGTTGACACATTTAAAAATCTTTTTCGTACATTGTTTTCTTAGAAAGTCAAAAAGTTTTCATTTTTTTGGTGTGCCCAATCTTAGCAAGAGTCCCCTTTTTATACCGGCCTTAATGATAAACATCAAACCCAAACCAAACCACTACAGTAAATTTTACGGCCTCAAAGAGGTCGTATCTATCAAAGGAATGAACAAAAAAAAAACAAATTCTCTTCAGATTTCCTGATCATCTTCGCCGCAAAATACGGAAGCGTTCCGGAGCTCCGCGAAGTCTTCAGAAAGAAATTCAATCATGCGGTCGACTTCGCCGCCTTCGAATCCGACTACATCATCGTGCTCAACTCCCAAGAACCGCACATCTCCCTCGTCCAGATTTTCAAAGAAAAAGTGATTTTCGAAGGAAACTGCAACTGCCAAGAACCAAGTCGAATTTACAATCTTCACGGGCGATTCGCCGTCATCGACAATACCAACTCAGTTTTCATCTGCGAACTGGCGAAGAAGAATATCAAGAATATCATCACGCTTGAAAATCGAATCCCAGTCGAGTGTATTCAAACCGTTTCAAAGAACAGCTTTATTATTTCGCTTAAAAATGGATTGGTTCATTTGTATCACGAGCACAAGAGCGAAGAGTTTATTAAAGGAGGGGTCAATATCGAAAATATTAGAGTTCAAAAATAATCCATTTGATAAGATACATTAATTGGGCGGAAGTTGGCTCTTGGAAAGTCTTTTGCTTAGGGAGGATGGAAAACATGAAACAATAAAAAAAGTTGAAAAATATTTTTTATTGTTTTATTTTGTTCATTTTCGCTTCATATTAGAAATGATGTTCTCTTGATTGTGAGAATTCTTTTAATACATCGTAATTCCGGAACATCTGCTATTTGTCCAAAGCTGGTGAACAGATCTACACAGGTTAGCTAAGTCAACTTTTAAGCCTTTGATCCATCTTTGTTTGGTGTTGAAGATCTAATGATAAGGAACACCATGGAAAAATATAGTTGAAAAAAAACGCCTGAGCATCTCATCCCCTAAGACCTCAAATAAGAATCCTGCGAATTTCCCTCTGCCATGAAAAAGTTCCAACTGTACAACCCCCTCGACTGCCGCTACGCCTTCGCCTGTGCCGACGGAAAAATCTATCCGGGCAAGATCATCGTCTCCGATAAACTCACCTTCTCCTACGAAAAAGACTCGCCCCTCATCTTCGGGGAACACTGCGAACAAGGAGTGCAGCAATTTGTCTTCGCTGATTTCAACGGAGACAGCGAGAACGAGATCGCGGTACTGCGCGACGACTACAACATTCAAATCTGGCAGATTTGGCAAAACGAGCCGGTTCTTTCTTTCTCCAGTACGGCGAAAGACAATCACGATTTCGGCTCCGTAGCGTTGATTTATTCGCCTCCGAGGAAGCGCAGATCGCATTTGATAGTCGTTGCCACTTCCGGGTGGATCTTCTTTCTTGGAACTGAAAAAGAAAAGGCCAAACCCAATTCTGAAGAAATCTACAATGAAGTGATCGAAGAAGTCACGAAGGTTCAAACTGCTATTGATCGAAAACAAACGTCGCAGAACGAGTGGATCATCCCGCCAAAGATCAACTGTCTCATGGAGATGAAGACTGTTGCCAGCTTGGCGCTCAAGAATCTCATCGTCGAGTGCGAAACGCCGATCGAAATGGTTCAAATTTGTTCAACGACGAGGGTGGAAGTGGTCGAGGATAAAAGTGGAAATGCCTTGTCGAACCAAGCAGTGATTACTGTCAATGACAGGCCTGGGCACGAGTGGCCGATGAGCATTTTATTCAGGTGCCAGGAAAAAGTCAAAGAAAAAGAACTAAAAATTGACCTCGACTGACCTCAAATGACCCCGGTACTGTCCTTATCGGACATAGTTCCATCAGGAAGGGTAGCAGACGGAGCCTTCTTGGCGCAGTTGGTTAGCGCGTCAGTCTCATAATCTGAAGGTCGTGAGTTCGAGCCTCACAGAGGGCATCCTACTTTTGCTTTTCTAGAATTATTCATCCCTTTTTGACTTTTAAAAGGCAGGAACTAACCGGTTGGACATCAAACTCCGGCCAATTGAGGGCAAATCTGGCGATATTGAAGTCTTCTGCTTTCCATACTTGACGATCAACAAGATTATCTTGAAGGAATCCTTTCATTTGCCAGGTTTGATATCGAAAAAAGGGTTTCTTTGATGAGTGTTTGAAGCACTGAGTCTTCATTCTCCCGTGGCGAGTCTTGAAGATGTTGGTCAGTACAGTGAGCTGAAGGTTACAGGGGCCGGTTCACTAGGATTCTGAGAGTTCAATCGACTCTTGATTACAATTTTTGAACCGAATAATAGGATCGTTCAGCGCGAATATTATCACAAGTTGGCTAAATGACATCTTCATCGATCTTCCAATGGACACAAATTCAATGTCAAGATTCATCTGCTACCGAAATTACCAAACAGGCAGTTGGCTGAGAGTTGGTTGGGCCGCTGGAGAAGCGCATGTTCACTCAAATAATCCGACAGTTTTGCAGATTTGTAAACAAGTTTTGCTCCAACATGCGTATGACTGTAGCCAAGAGGTACTTGATTCAAGTTCAGAAGATACACTTCCTCAATTTTCAGGTGGATGTTCAAGCAAGCTTATCAGAAGTTTCAACGAAAGAACTAGTCGAACAGATTCTTCGCAAGTTTCAAGAGCATAAAGAATACATCAAGTAAACCGTTCTCAATAATTCCAGCGCTAAAACCTTATCAGAAACGCCGATATTGTCGGCATTCTCCGCGATATAACGCTGCTTGATGACAACAAGGACTCGATCCCGCAGAAATATAGAAGCATGCTTGCAAAAGGTACCCTCTTCCATCCCTTTCAAAATCACGAGAAAATCGTAGGAGTGAAAAATGCAGAGTTAGATGCAAATCTTTACGAAACCCTTTCTGCTGTTATTCTTGATCTTTTCATCGATCAAGAAAAGCTTGCCGGAAGACCTGGAGTGGAGAAAGCGAAGGATATTGCCGAGAGTTTGAAAGACTTGGAATTTGATGAAGTGTTAAAGTTCTTTTAGTTGATGTTTATATGTTTCTATTTTTATACTGCAATAAACGACTATCTTCGTAATAACGATCAACTGAAGTTTGCTTGAGAATTAAAATTTCAATATTAACTTGAGTTTGAATTTGATAAAATTTGAACAAGGTGGGAATATAAACTCTCCGAGGCTTTCGGAAAACTAAAATACTTCCATAATATTTGCCATTATCTCGGGATACCGAGCGGTTTACACTCTACTAAAATTATATAAAGTCGAAAAAATGATTAGAGTTACGGTTCTCCGAAAAATCAAAATTTTTGTCGAAGAAAGCGTCCCGCGTAGGTGAGCGCAGTCTGAAGAGCGGCGGGATCGACCAATCGAGGCTCTTGTTTTACTTTTTTCGAGCGCGGACGCTTTAGCGTAAAATTTTTCCCTTCCAAAAAGAAATACGAACTTGAAATTTACGGTATTAGAGACTGCATCGAAGAGAGTTATCAGAAGATACCCGTTGAAAGAGAAGAATGGCGCCGGTGATTCAGCCGACCGGGGACTCCAAATTTGAGGTACGAAATTGATGAAAATTACGTAACTTTAATTATGAAGTAAACTCACAGAAAGATGTTTTTCGAATTTCTCTAGAATACCACATATTTGCTCATTCAGAACTCTGTCGACAAAACCTGTAAAGAAGATTACGCGCTACATCCAGAACAAGAACTCAGATTCGAAGTCGAAAAGGTCAGTTTCAGAAAAATCATCCTCTCCTCAAAAATCATATAGGGAGAGTACTGTAAAATAGAAGTGCTTGATGGAAACGCAGAACTCTTTGGGACCGAACTCATAAAACAAAAACGTAAGAAACTCTTCCCCTCTTTCTCGTCTTCAACGAAATTATAGCGTACTACTTCAACGGCGGAAAAGGATATGGGATCTTTACATGGAGCAGTTGCAAAGTTCGAATCACCGGAAAGACAGAATCTGCTTACATTTCGAAGGATACGCCGATGGTGCAATACGTCAACATTGCATTTGCGATTGAAGGGTTGAGAAAACAAGCTGAAGCGAGGGAGAATCAAGTCGACAACCAGGGAACAGCTCTTGATTCTAGGGTAAGTCGAATGACTTTTGATCGTTTTCTAATTGAAATTTTAGGGACCAAGAGTGATGGTCGTTGGAGGAACGGATGTAGGAAAAACAACACTGTGTCGATTGCTGCTGAATTACGGCGTTAGGCTTGGAAGACGACCAGTGTTCATCGACTTAGATGTTGGTCAACAGAGCATCGGAATTCCAGGAACCATTGGGGCCCTCATGGTCGAGCGCCCGGCCGATCCTGTCGAAGGTAAACGTCTTACCAGCCACCAGTACTGATGATCTTTAGGTTTCGATATGAAAGCACCAATCGTCTACCACTTCGGGCACACAACGCCCAACGCAAACATGAAGCTCTACACAACTCTGATCACTCGAATCCAAGACTTATACAACACAAAATGCTTATACAATCAAAAGGTCCACCACTCCGGCTGTATCATCAACACATGCGGCTGGGTGAATAGAAAAGGATACGACACACTGCTGGAAACGGCGAAAACTTTTGAGGCTGATGTCGTTTTGTGTTTGGACGCGGAGAGGCTTTATCAAGATTTAGTCAGGGATCTCCCGGACTTTGTTAACATCATGCTCCTCAGAAAGGTACCTTTTTCATTTCATCACTTTTCTGAACCCTTCCCTAGTCTCCAGGAGTCCTTACTAGATCAAAAGAACAGCGCCGTGACGCCCGGGAAGCTCTTATTCGCGAATACTACGACGGCCCTCGTGGCCAATTCTACCCTCATTCGTTTGATGTTCCCTTTGACAACATCGAAATCTTCAAAATTGGTACTCCAAGTCTCCCGAACAGCGCTCTGCCGATCGGAACAACTTTGGCGGATACAGAGACAAAGCTGGTCGCAGTTCAACCTTCCCCAGATATCATGAATCATATCCTCGCGGTTTCAAGAGCTGAGACGTTTGAGGAAGAGTTAACTGAAACGAATGTTTCCGGATTTGTTGTTGTAAAAGGTTTGTACTATTCCAAAAGAATTTCCCATCTCAAATGGACCATTTGACAAAATGTTTTTAGCTGTTGATGAAGAACGACGAATTATGACTGTAAAAAGCCCGGCGCCGCATCCGCTCATTGGCCGTTACTTGCTTCTTTCAACGCTCAGATACATGGATCAACTTTAATTTTACTAGAAAATTATTTGTCCTTCATTTTCATTATTGAAAATTATCAAGTTTAACTGCCTGAAAATCTCTCAACAAGGATAACATTTATCGACGCTCTCAACTGATCATTTCCACAATTCAGAATGGCGGACCAGATGCAAGCAATCCAGGCGATCCAGCAACTTGCTGCTCAAGATCCAGAAATTCAAAAGCTCCAGGCTCAGGCACAATTCAAGAGTGTGATTCACGGACATACCGATCGATGCTGGGAGAAGTGCAACTTGGGAAAGGAAGCCACCCAATCCTCTCTTTGTAAGTTGCCTTAATTCTTTCAGAGCTTTATTTTTTTGTAGCCGGTCGAGCAAAATCCTGCCTTGACAACTGCGTCCGAAACTTCTTCACCTGCGAGGGAGCTGTGAATGAAGTCATGCAGAAAATGATGTCTGGCAACAACTAGGAAAGAATGACTACGAACCCGATAAATTATGAACTTCCCTCGATCGTATATTAATTCGCTGATTGATTGGATGAATTGAGACTTCATCGCCGATTTCAACTTGTTTATCAACTCTAGAATGGGCGCCAGGATGAGTAGAGGAGTCGGCAAAGTTCCGAAAGAAACACCAAAGGCTCCGACTGCTCCAAAGCAGAAATTACCAGGTTCGAAATGCTCCTGTGTCCGATTCCTAACAAACGTTTCAGAATATGTCCCTGGCGAAGGCATCCGCTCGCTAGATACGTCAGCTGGCTTCCGGACCCTCAATTTCGAACTTTACGTCAAGGCAAACAAACCAATCATGGCATTCGGTATTGCCACAATGTCCATTATCACACTCTATTTTGCCTACATGAAAGCGACAACAGAGGTTTAATCTCTTCGCTCTCAAACACCTTACTAATCAGTCTTCCCAGAACAAAACTCTCGACGCTGAATACGATAAACTCTATGGCGAAGGTGCTGCGAATTATATGCGAACGCGGAAAGTGAATAGTTGGGACTAAACTTCGAAAAAGAACTTGCCAGTTACTTCTCCTTTACCTCGCTCTACATTCTGTTAATATTTAATTTATTCAAATATCCATTTCAACCCCGTTTTTTGCTAGAATGGCTGCAGTTCAACCCTGGCACCGAGTTCTCCGATACGGCGCTCTCGCCCTTGGTGTCTACCACGGCAAGTATGCCTACGACCAACTCGCCGTTATCCGAGCTAACGAGCGAAAGGTAAGCCCTTCGTTTCGCCTCTAGATTTTATCTCCTTCTTTAGGAAGAAATCGAAGTCGCCAAGGCTTACATGGAGCAGACTCACATCGCCAACAAGCTCGTCGAGGAAGAAGGCAAGCGAGTAAGTCCTAGAATGACCGATCATTTGTTCAAAAAGCCATCTTTTAGGACTCCTACCTTTTCGGTACCAAGCTCCCAGAAGCTCCCAACGCCGCTCCATACAACGCCACCAACGACATCCTTCTCACCCTCGAAGGCCCTAACAAGCTCCACCCCCACCTCCAGGCCCTCTGGGAAGCCAACAAGGACAAGGTACGATCCTCTTTTTCACTAGATCCTTGATAATAATTTCCCCTAGGCTCCCTTCGGCAACCACATCACCAACGGCAAGAAGGATCTCTTCCCCGGACCCCAGCAGTACATCGCTTCTCTCCCAACTCCCCTCATGGGCCGAGCTCGATCCTCCTTCGACAACCAGGTCCTCACCCTCAACTTCCTCATCGAAGTCAACAAGAAGCTCGGTATCGACACCTCCAAGGTCGAGAACATCGTCTTCCCCAACATCGTCCGAGACGAGAACAACGGTATAACATAAAATTTCATCAACAATCGTCTCATCCGCTTTTTAGTCGTCAAGGTTGTCGGTGGCACTGCTGCTCCCGCTTGCGCCTGGACCTCTACTTTGTAAACTGTTCACTGGAGAAACTGCGCTCAAGTCTAGACAGCTGATCATATGAAAATTCATATGATCTGCTTGTCTAAAATTATCCAACATGTTCATGTCTGAGTTCCGTTCGAATTCTGTTACAATTAGGCCACTACTCTAATTACTGTAACTCCCCAGTAAACAACATATTTATTGCAAGTTTAATCTTGTTCAAGAAAATTAAGAAATTCCCGAAAATTCAATAAAAGAAAAAGCTAAAAACGAGTGGTTTTCAGATAATTTAAATCGCAGTTAATTGCAGATTATGCAAATATGTGGGCAGAAGCGAGAAAGCATGAGAAAAAGATTCGAGGGATCGTTATTGACTTGAAAAAACGAGCAGAGAGGAGGAAGGCGTATTATGAGGCGATCAAGGATGATCCAGTGTCTTATTTGCGGATTCATGGTCAGTCGATGAAGGTGCATCTTGATCCGAAGATTTCGGAGCAGGCGAATGCTTGTATGATGCCCTGGCCAGGCTCTACTGAGGAAGATGACGAGAAAAAAGACGAAATCGATAGGTTTGATGCCCGAGTTCATCTTGAAGCTATTCCTATCAAGAAAAAAGTAAACCCGTTAAAACAAACAGTAGCTAACTCAACTCTAGAACGACCAAAACTTCGATAACAAGCTCGAAAAAGACGTGTTATCAGAAGTGCAATACGAGCGATACAGAGAACTCATCCACAATGACTTTCGCGGTGTAGACCAGAAAATGGTCTTGTCAGAAATTGCTGCGGAAGAGAGTTTTGAAAAAATGGCTAAGAAGCTTGATAAAAAACGCGAACAGAGGGCGGCAATAAATGTACAATACAATCAAGGGGATAAAAGTAAACCAAAAGGTAAGAAGAAAAACTATCACTAGAGAGTTATCTTTCGCTTCTTAGATGGTTCTGATTCGGACGACTCTGGTTCCGATAGTGATCCTGGAATCGCCTTATTAGAGGATGTCATGAATCCGACCCTTTTATCGAGCCATGATCAGAGCTCAGTCGACAACAGAGCGATGGATTTCGGTATTGCCCCCGGAATGTTCATCCGCTACCTCAGAAATGACAGACTCTTTCTCGACAGCAAACGACAGAAGCAAAAAGAAGACATTGAACACGCAATGTCAGGCGAGAAAAAGTCGAGAAGAGGAAAGCGAAAGAGGAGGGACAAGAAACTCAAATCGATTATCATTTCCGAATTGCCGAGTTTTTCCCAACAAAACGTGAGCGTTTTTGACTTTTCGAGATCTTTATTTATGTTTCAGAATATGGAGCTAGAGGAAGGAGAAATGTCAGACTCATCGTCCGATTCTTCAGAAGAAGACAACGAAGGAGAGGTTCAAAAGATCACATCTTTCGGCGGCTCTTCGGAAGACGAAGCGCAGGAAATGAAGGAAATGAACAAGGCGAAGAAGAAAGCGAGGAAGAAACGAGAAAAAGAACGCGAAAAGGAGCGACAGAGAAGAAAGGAGGAGGAGCGCGAAAGACGGAAAAGAAGATCAAGGAGTAGATCGAGATCGCCAAGAAGAAGAAGACGTAGGTCACGCTCAAGATCAAGAAGCAGATCCAGAAGGTAAAAAAAATCGAAACTGGCAGTTGTTTATTTAATATTTAGTTATGAGAGAAGACGGAAGCGAAGCAGAAGTCATGATCGTCGCCGTCGAGATCGATCTAGAAGCCGGGATCGATCAAGAAGTCGCGATCGCCGCCGTAGAAGATCACGATCCCGATCTCGTTCCGCCTCTCGAGAGCGTAAACGATCAAGACATCAAGAAAAGCCAGATCGAAAGCGGACAAAGACTCGTTCCCAGAGTCCCGTTCCTTCTCCGCCACCGCGGGCGAGAACTCCGCCGACGCCGAAAAGAAAATACAGTTCTCCTTCGTCCAGCTCTTCCTCCTCGTCTGACTCTTCAGACAGCGATGATGGTGTTCGACGACCGGGACAAGCTCCAGGTCGAGTAAGAATCGGTCCAGTGACACCAGCGATGTTCAAGGGCCCTGCTAGACCAGTTCAAGCCATGTCTCAAGCGGAAAGAATCAAGATGATGATCAAGAATCGACTGGAAACAACTCACGAAACAGAAAAGGTAAGATTCGATTTTTCATTGAAACAAGTTTGTTCTCAGGTGACCCGAGTTCTGAAAAAGGAAGAAGCTGAGGAGCAAAAACTCGAGCGTCAACGAGAGTGGCGTCGGCAGGTAATTAAAAAGCAATTGAAGATAAGAGCGCTTTGATATCGCTTCTTTCTAGCTTCGAAAACAGAAGGAACGTGGCCACATTGATGTCGATGTAGACAAGTTTACGAACGAGCAAATGGAGCGAATGATCTTTCACAAAGACTACAACCCTCTCAAGGTTTGCTTTTTATGAAGAATCCCGTGTAATATTTTTCTGTAGAAACGAGAGGACGATGAAGGCGACGGAGCCGAATCCATGTCCGATGATGAATCCGCCGCCGAAGCAGCCAAACGACGTGCAGAACTACGAGCTCGTTTCAACGCTGCCTAAATTTTCTCAATTCTATCACTGCTATTGTCGAATTCTTAGGTTCAAATTTTCTGCCATTTCAAAATTCATATTTCAAAATAAACAAACAGCGATTTCTCCCATAATAAACGGCGAACTTGAGCAAAGTGGCTATTCTTGGTTATCTTTTTATTTCTGTTGATGCAGGGCAAGTTCCGTTAATAACAATAATAACCCGCGCATCAATATCCACTTGAAGATTATGCTTATTATAACTATTCAACAGTTATTACTTTAGATTACGGCAGATATCATGGTGTCGTCTTGAGGAGCAGGCACTTGTGAAATCTGATTGGACTCGCGAAATTGTAAAAGTTGTTCGATTTTCACTGTTGGATATTCAAACAGTGGCGTTGAGTTCGGAGAGTATAAAACGTGTGCCACATTTACCTTCACGAAGAACAGGAAATGAGTTTTTTCGCTTTAAATCGAGCTCTTTCTGCGTTGGGAGTAGGAGCAGTACTTTATAGAAGGAGAATGAAGAGGGATGATGTTGAAGCTAAATCAGGTTTTTATGAGAACATGTGATATCCAAAACAGCTTCTCCGTTATCGGGGATATGAATAGTGTGAACCTTAGAGTTTAAAATCAGTGTAGTAAGATTTATTATTTATAAAAAAATGACTATCTTCAAAAATTTCTGGTTTTTAGCTTGGTCTTTATCCGAATTTGAACTTCTCTCCCCAATCAACGGAATCTCCAAGTTCCCGACTTCTTCCTGGTCCGATTTCATCACATTCAAAAACAGCAATGGCGAATCAACCTCGCTTATCTGGCCCCATGCCGTTGCGAAAAACTACTCCGAAATCGCCATTTCTAATCTCTTCCGATACGCGCTGAAGCTAGACCCAAATATTTTGAAGTCCCCAGCTTGGCAAGGAAAGGGATTCTTTATGCGTTATCAGCAACTTGGTGAGCGTCAGCGAAAATTTCAGACTAAATGAACTTTTGCCCTAGAATTTACGCAAGAGTTTTACGATGCGCTCAGCTGCCCTAGAATTTTTCAATCACCAGATGCACCAACTTCAAATCTTCATGTCCATACGAATATTATTCAAGTCGGAAAATCTTCTGGTAAGCCTTGGTTAGGGTTAAGGTTGAAACTACGCCTTGAGATACTAGAAAATTTAACGATAAGACAAAATATAGTTTACTTTGCAGATTCTGGTTCGCATCATCAGAAGACGTTGGCGGCTTTTGCGGACTTTCAAAAGCCCGCTTGACAGACATTTCCGATAGTTTGGGACACTTACCATTTCCGCGCGACAACTTATTATTTATCGTGCGACTTGGCGTAAACATCCGTTTGACATTTTTTATCTTTAGCTGTTGCGGAGCAGCTGCTTGTCGTCGACGGGAAGCGAGTTGGAAAGAACTTGCAGCAGATAACCTGTATAGAACGTGGGAAGCCTGGGGCTGCTCCGTTGCCCGACGAGTTTTTGGAACTAGAATATATCAAGGCAGGGATAGAAAGTTGATTTTTGAGGCAGTATATTTACAATGACACAAATATATCCCGAAGTAGCCTTTACGAAAAGCTCCCAGACCGAATTTTCCAAGGACGTTTTTACCAGATCCGAAGTTAGAAGAAATCGGATCGTTGAAAATGGGTTGCTTTCAAAGTGACACTGATGAGAACTGCCACATGAATGAAAGTGTCTATTTGAGGATTTCTTTGGATGCGATTTTTCATTGTGAAAAATTGACGAAAAAGGATCTTCAAGTTGAAAAAGTTCAAGCTCTTTATCACAAAGAAATTCTAGGTAGGGACATTCTACAAGGATTCTTTTTACAACCATTAATTCAGCTGGTAAGAGTGTTGACGTAAAAGTATACCGCGGACCCGATGGGACTTATGTTACAAGCTTTACTGTTGATGGCAACTTCTCCTTCCAGAGCAAGATCAAAACGCGAAGAATTTAACGCTCTGTTCCAATACTAGTTCTTTCAAATTTTCAAAGTTCGAAATGCAAATGAGATTCTCAATACATTCTTTAACAAATATATTCGATGAAACAGGAGGCCACTCTTGAACTTGAGTGTCCGTTTCTATGAAGATGCTCCAGAATACCCTTATCTTTATCAATTACGTTGAACCACAGACTCGCAGAGATAGAAAAACGCATACTTGCACAATTGCATTCTAGGGAAAATCACATCGCGTAAGAATTGATTGGAAGCCACCTTAATTCTATGATAGCTGAGTGCGATTAGCAAAGCAACTTATCAATAGGTTTATCGTTAGCCCGCGGCCTTGGAGAGGCGCAATTGTCCGCAGTATTAATCTGCTGCATGCAGCTCCCGACGTTTATTTGCTGCTGAAATAAATTTCAACCGATAATGTTGAAGTTTTGCGTTTTTTCGTTTTTGATGCTCACTGGAAATACCCTTGCCGGAACAGCTAAGAGGCATAGAAAAGCGATGAAAATGTACGAAGAAAGTAAGATGAACGCCTCCCTGCGAGGGAGTAGAACGATGGGTAAGAAAGGAAACTCATGCTTGTTGATTATAAAACATGATTTAGAATTGCCTGACGTCGTTAACCTGGTGCGAAGTGAAACTGGCTCAATTTACGAATGGGTCGAAAGCAACATCCGGGAATCATCAAACTCAAGGCGCGTCCTGTCAGCACTCAATAAATTTGAGCAAAAATTCGAGGTGAGCACTTCCGAACATCTAAGCTTGCCGTTTTCCTGCTGCTGACAGTCCTGACATTTCGTATAATTCTGTCGAACGTGGGGACAGCGAGAGTAGCAGTTATGCTATAAATTATTCAACAACTTCCCATAAATTCATTAATTTCGAAATTCTAGGGCATCTTCAATCAGTACGGCGTTTTACTTTGTAAAACAAAAGACTCCTCTCGAATCAGCTTTCTTGGTTTTTTCGATGACTTAGTCGAAGGAAGGGATGGAGATTCGTACAACGATGATGATGAGCACATTGGAATCTCCCCTGGAAGAGGTCTAGCTCCTCTCCCCAGATTCGAGCAGACATCGAATCAACATGGATCAAGTGAATTTTCAGAGAAATACGCTTCTCTCAAGCCCGTAAGTTAAAAACATAATAACACCGCCGAATGTTATATCATTTTATGTCACCTTATCGGCTGATCCGGACATTAGATAATTTCATCGGCTCTTACGTTCAAACTTTTCATAAGAACGAGAGTTTACCAAAACAATAACAATGATGTTTAGATCTTGGAACGAATCCGAGATACCATCACGAAATTCACGAGTGCCTGCGCCAAGCATGACAATTTTCTTGAACGAGTCCAGAAGATCGAAAACCGGGGGATCAATGCTTTACTTGATGAAATGATGTCCTCCGAATAATTTGATTCACCCTCCCTTTGATTCCTGCGCAAGAAAATTAAAGTGCCAATAAAGATAAATTCTTCCAAGTCAATTTTTATTTGAAGCCAGAGAGTGATATTTTCAAGGGTTTTCTTTTTACAGTGACGAAGTAAAACTGTCAATCTCACACTTTTGAGTCATTTCATAATATGCTGAGTAGTCCAACTTGAAATTGGAACACTAATCTTTATTTTAAAGGATATCTACTCACTAACGCGCTTGTACAAGCTAGTTTGCTGGTAAACACAATTTTAATATATTACATAAGAGAGTATTAAGACAGAGTCAATAAAAAATCGTGTCTTCAAGAGTACACGAAGTGGTTGGCCAGTTCCCGTGCGCCATATCGCATCGTGTAGGGAGCGTACCGCGCAGCTGCCATTTGATGGAGGCTCGGGGTGGGCAACGCGGTCGGAGTTGAGGTCGCTGGGCGGACTGCCGGCTCGGAGGCAGATTTTGAAGTATTCGAGAGGTGGACTTCCTAGGAGTTTACGTTAGGCAAAGTTCTGACATTCCACAGATCACAAGAAATGTTTATCGCAATCAAAGAGGACTCACCTTAACATGCTCGCCAAGAGCTTCTGTTGTGGAAAACTTTTCATTGCAGTTTCCCCAGTTGCATGCTTTTTCGGGTTCAGCTGGTTGTTCAGGAAGTTGAGGAAGACTGAGAGGGAATGCACTGCTTAGACTGGAGGTGAGACTGGAGAGTCCAAGCTGGCTCCATGCAGGATATAAATAAGGATTGTAACCGACAGGTGATGGTGTAAGCCCAGGAAGACCGAGGGGATAAGCAGCAGACGCATAGGCGGCAGCGGAAGGCCAAGAAGCTGAAGCTGTGAGTTGCCGGTATAGAGTAGGATTGGTGATGCTCAAGTGAGAAAGAAGCGAAGCGTCGGTAGCAGTAGCGCTCAAGTCTGGAAGCACTTTGGCTGGTGAAAGCTTGGCGGACTTAGACGGGAGGGGATTTAGAGGCGACGAACGGCGCTTGGTAGCTGGAGTCTTTGGGGAACTTTCCTCCTTGTTTTCCGAGACAGGTTCGGCTTTGCGCTTCAAGGCGGTTTTCCCATGCGACTTCGACGAGTCAGCGGAAACAACAGAAATGTTAGTATCGTCGTTAACACTGAGAGCTTTTTCGCGGGTTTGGTTGTTGGTTGATGAAGACGGAGTAGAGTTGGTAGCAGATTGGTATGCTGAGCTGGTGCTGGGAGGCTTGGGACTATCGCGGCCGATGGCAGCGCATGTCATCTGCAGCATCTCGAGGGGACACTTGCCGCCCAACTGAATTATAATTTTAGCTGTTGAAGTTTATTTTCGGTCGAGTGAATGGCTTAGTCTTGTCGATGCTGTGACGCGTGATTGACGCGCCCGTCACAAAGCTCAAACAGACGACATTTTGATATTCAAAAAACTTTCACGTCGCAACTGTCACACTATCGAGACATCACTGTCCTTCCTTCCAAGCCCGACATGATGGCCCGCTTCTTATCACTCGCGGACAACTAGAGACCAAGTCATCAAAGAAGCCGTAACTTAGTGATTCGCTATCGACAATCATACTTTGACAAGTTTGTAAACTACAGAATCGTAATCGAATGAAATACTGAACTTAACTCTGCATATCAATACTTGCCCGAGTGAACTTGAGGCTACTAGTATTCCAGAGAAAAAAAAGGCTTGAGCTGAAGTTAATGTTTACTCGAGCTCATGAAGTTTCATATGGCGGTTGATTTACGTCGAGAAACTTTTGAAGTACCCCACTTGGGCTGTAAATCATCAGCTAAAGTGATGAAGACTTGTTGAGCCCTGAGTGTCGTCCCCGTGGCGAGCTCCAAGAGCCATAAAGAGGGCGACATTGATTGATTGGGGGTACTCGATGGCCATAGGAAGTATAAACGGTGTCAAGCATTTGACAAGCGCGTTAGATTGATCTGACAGGGCTCAGCATTCGCCGCCCAAGCGACAAAATCGACACTCGATCAAGCCACACAGACGTCCGTCAACATCATCCCCAGCTTATACTACCCGTCGCTCTGTTAATCATTACGTTATCTCCCAATTAGAGCAAATGCAGTTAAAAGCATGCACTCAACAGTCTATCGATTAATTCTCTAGAAAGTTCCACCTTTCAGCGCCCAAGAATCAATTTGTCTAACTGTGGCTCCTTACGTCCCCGGAAATCATCGCGCGCTCAGAGTGCGTTAGTTACCTGTAGACACCTTGTCATTTATCAGTTGCTCGCGGAGTTTTGAGATGACCAACGATTTGTTGAGAGGAAAGACAGGGCTTAAATCCTTCAACTCACCACAGCTGGCCATCATCATCAATCCTAGTATCGTCCTTATAAACCCTCGCCGCCGAAGACGATCCATTATGGACCGCCGTCGAAAATTTTAACTGATGAATGCAATTAGTTATGCTCGAGTCAACTCGTGTATCGTTGTAATCTGATTTAGCTGATTTACGAACATGTTCACAAAGAGCATAAATCAGGGGCAACTAGCGAATGCCCTGGGAAGCGCGTATTCCCCGATGCACTAGAAAAAGTCACGGGCTATTATTCGCGCATTAAATTACCGCTTTATCAGCGAGGCAGAAGACACTTGCGGAAGAAGAGGGTGACAGACAACTTGCCATAACACCGGCGGGCGCACTCTTAGTATGGCATGCCGCTGTCATATACACGTTTGATCATGTGAAGAGAAATTTCGCCGGCGGAAGCTATCTGACCTCCCGTTCGACAAAAGCGCAAATACCCGCGGAATCTTCAAAAAACCATATACATATTTTGACAGATTAAAGTTTACTAACTATGCGAGAAAAAACAATGCAACTTTCAAGGAGAAAATTTGCTTACCGATGCTGGAGGGTCTGACGGTGACAGATACTGCTCGTTTGATTTTGGCATCTCTCTTTTCTGGCTTTACTTTGAAGTGAAAATCTCTGAGGTTTTATTGTCGATGTTTTCTGTTGAAAAAAGAGTTTTTTTTTGTTTTATGTTTTTGTCTGGATCGCGCAGAAATTTTGCAGGAGGACTCCAAAGTTTCGCCCAGGAGATGATAGCGCGCGGATGGGTATGGTGGCGCGCGCACAGCTCAGTAGGGTAGCGCTCGCGCGTTGTCGACGGACTCGTAATGCTCGAGCACCAAGATTGAGCTAGAGGAGCTCCTAGGGTGAAAATAGGCCAGCGCCCATATGCAGCCGTTTTCGCATCAATCAGACGTTCTGATGACAGTAGCTGTAATTTAATGAGAACGCATAAGAAACTGCTTACTAAGACTTGGGTTAGTTGAGTAGTTTCTAAGTAAAAGCTCAAAGATGAGTCTCGAAGGTGATTAGGACTCTCGGCGAAATCGGTAATCATCAATTTCTGAAATTGCGCTGTACTCATTTATCAAGATAAAAAGGACAGGTATAAAAATGATGAAGGATCCAAAATTAAAGAATCAAAAACATTAAAATGCACTTCATGATGAAAAAGGATTATCGATGAAGACGGAGGACTCTATCCATTTGTCTTTACTGACTGCCAAAGAACTTTAAGAATGATCTATTTGGCTCCGTATATTTCGTTTCATTCAGGCAAAAAAGTTCCATGGAGACATCAGATTTTCTTATCAACGGCCTATCACGAGGCAAACAAAGAGAGATGCAAAATATTGTAACCTTCAATCACGGAGACGTTTTAGTTCTTGATACGGGAGTGGTATCGGATTGAAAGTCAAACTTTTGAGTCTTTGTTTTGATGAAAAATTTTCGAGTTACCGTAGATCTACGATTGTAAATCAATGGATCAGTTATAAGAACTTATTGATATGTATTTGGGGGCCCTAAATTAGGCCTACTAAAATAAACCTCAGCGAAAAATCAATGCCCCTCCGATTTTGTTATTCAAATCGGATATTGTGATAACCTACTTTACCGCAGCAAGTCAGTCTGAGAAGCGTGGAAATCAATTGACAATTGGCCCAGAATTGTCAGCCCCGTTCTTCTCCCTTTTTTTTGTATATGGGCGCCTTGCGTGAACTCGTAAAACCACACCCGGACAAACAATTTTCTCAAGTAATCCCCTTTCATCGAGGTCAAGTCATGTCGACGGCGATGTTTGACATCACGCTGTCACCAGCAGCGCGTGAGTTAGGGAGAATTAAGCTACTAAAACCGTCAATCTAAAAAAAGGATATTGCTTGAATTTATGGAATAAGAAGTCTTTATTGAAGATTATGGAAGAAAATTTATGTAAATCAAGCTTTGTCTTCTTCTAAAGAGCCCGTACTTGCCATGGCTAGTAATGATGATAACGACGATCCAAGAAATATTGATGGATGGCGGCGGACAGTTTGATAGTCAATGATGAAGATTGACGGCGTCACTGCGTCGACAGCGCGCAAAAAGCTCGAACTGAAGACATGCGAGAGTGGCGAGTTTTCCACCCCTTTCGGCCTCTGTAAATTACAAATCATGCGCAAGGCGGCGACAGGATCAAACGCAAAAAGGTTGTTTTTAGAGTCTGATTTAGATCCTAACACATTTTCAAAGCGATCAACTTGTTGATTGCTTTTTAACTCCTCAGTACACTTATGTCCCGTTTTAGCCCCTTCGTCTCAAGATTCAAGGATTACCAAGGTCCATGGTGCTCGAATACTTTTAGAAAATATTTCAAGAAAACGCCGAAAAACGCCTCCGATGGAAATTGACTTCCTACAACATAATTCGCGGTACAATTACAGATTGTTGGCGAGTGTCGGCCGCCCGTCCGGCGTTGCGGATTCATTAACTCCATGTCAGCGACTTCCTCGTCATCCCTCCTAATTCATCATTCTTGGTCGACTTTCTCAGGAGCAATTCGCTGTAAAGGTGATCCTCCCCTCGATCAGTATTCGCTCACGGCGGGAAATTCCGACCACAAATCAATTCGTTTCAAATCATCTTTACTAATAAAATAATCCAGATTTTCTCGAATCTGACGAAATAAATTTACGGCGTTGTCTTCATTTCTAAGAATGGCCTTGGCAATAATCGTAACTCTTGGACAGTATCTTAATTGCATAATAGCTCGATAACCCTGCAGGTCTAAGAGTCTAAGATTAGCGTCAGATAAGTCTCCTTTCCCAGAAATTTCTTGGGTACAGCAAGATTGGCCCCTGCAATCCTCCTGACAAGCGCACGACAATCAGTTTGAGTTTTATTGGAACAATATGTCAAACGAAAATTATCGTAAATCATTTCAAAGTTTATTCGAAACCTGGCTGCCTCTCGTCATAAATCGTACGGCGGAGGGGGACATTTTCGCCTTGCTGCTCAAATCAACTTTTGACATGTTCTTATTAACATTTTCGACGATGTTGGTATTTTTATGTTACAATAAATTTTCTTAGAAATCAAAAGAAGCTTCCAATGCGACTCTGAATTCGATTGAAACCAGAGTTGAATCTAACTGGACAGATCTGTCGAAACTTCAAAATTCTGCGCCTTCGTTTTGGAATATTTCAGCGCCGCGAAATCGACGGCTGCTTGTCGGTATCGCCTCGTGCTGACAGTGCTCGGACGTTTCGCGCGTATGACGAGTTGACTTATCGAAATGTTAAATTTTGATCGACGTTCCATGTCAACAAACGACAGCACTTAGAAAGGCATGTTTGACTTATCGAAGGCGAAAATTATAGATCGAACATCTGACACAGCAAATCAAGCTTACGATAAGGAGAAAATAAGAATCTTGCCAGGTCTTTTACTTGCAGAAACGCCGGGAAAATCGACCTTCAAGAGTCCAATCTGGAATTTCGGGCTATTGAATTCTCAAAATTATTTTACAATAGAAATTTTCTGTAGAAGCTGTTTTCGAAAATTTACGAGGAAATGAATTCTTAGGTGACAATTAGTAGTAGCATCTCCCTGTGTTTTCAAGCTTGCCTTTTTCAACTCTATAAATCCACCGATGATCGATGGCCTCCATAATCCTCATGTCTTACTGCTTTTTTTTCATATCCATGGAGATAAATCTAATTGACACTTTTTGACTGCTTACGTGAACTTTCACCGTGATTATGCGCAATATAACACTTTTACGAAAATTGATTGTGTGACATGTTTATTGGCTCGGGATGATTATTCTCCTCCTCGTTGAAAAGTGCTTTTGGACTTCCGAAAAGGCGACAAAAAGCCGACAGAACGCCGACATTTAGGCACCTTCCCCCGAGAGGACCTTTTCAGCTTTGTGACGGGAAAAGCCGTTACGAAAGCGTCTCAAATCGACAGACAAGGATATCTGAAGCGGCAGAAAATGAGGCGTTGAAAATGTTACAGTTGAACCATTTAGACGGAAGCAGCGTTTCTTTTTTTGAGCGAAGGGTTGACAGAATTGGCGCTCGGTGTTTTTTTTATCGGCTTTGTTGAATGATGGGCCGAGTAAGTTGCGCTGTTCGGGATGAATTATTGCCTCTTTTCGCACGGTCAATCAGCTGCTGCTTGATGCAAAGGTCATTCAAATTACAAAATCACACACACTCCTTGAAACGGCGAATGTCAACGACTTTGGAGCATTTAAAATTCTACGGCTTTGATTTCTTTGATTTAAAGATTTTTCCCCGCGAGTGGAGATTTACTGTCATTCGTGGCTTTCTCGCTATAAATTAAAAAGTTCGCTCTGGAATCTCTAAAAACTAGCAATAAACAGATCTTAACTCTCTTTCAGAACATTGTCAACTCATTGTCTCAGGGTCAGAAAACCGCGGCTAAATTTGAATAAAAAGCCGCGGGTTTTCCGCCTCAAATTTTGATCTACAGTCAAAGGGCACAGTAACTGTAGTGTGACAGTCCCGAACCTGTCAAATGTGGCAAACGTCAGCAGAAGCATTTGAAAGCTACTGTCACGGACAGTATTTACCAAATCTGGCATCGATCAAGAATACGACATGAACCGAGAATGATACCGGAGAATAAAGCCCTTTGAACTTCTCCTGGAAAATTCGATGAGTAGGCTTCACTTGGACAAGAGCTTCACTTGGACAGAGCTTCATTTGGACAGAAGCTTCACTTGGACAAGATTTTTACGAATTTCAAAAACGACTATATATGAATAACGTAACTAATAATAAATTATTATGGCGAAATTTCATTAATAATTAACACTATAAGATGTTTTTCTTTATCTAAAAAGTGAAAAATACCATATTATCACCAATAAATTTATTTATAAGATGTTTATGGAAGAAACTTGCAAATTTTATAAAAAGCGTTACTTTCTTCCTAAGAATCGTACGTAAAATTCGTAAAGAGGACCTTTAAAAAATCTTGTCCAAGTGAAGCTTCTGTCCAAGTGAAGCCTACCCAAATTCGATATGCAAGTCTACAGTCGTTTTTCCAATCAAGACCTTTTTCCAAACGATTCGCGAAGAATAAAACAAATAGATCAACTGAACTTGTCACAAAGTTTTTCAATCCTAGATGGATAAACGTTCAGTCGAGTGAGTTCTCAGCTCAATAAATCACTCTTTATAACCTGCTGATCTGCCTAGATCTGTCCAATCCAACTTCAGCTGCTCTGGCTTTTACTGATTGAATAAAACTCAACAGTAAGTGCTGACGCGAGATACTTCCTAAATCATCGAGTGCTGTCGAAGGGCGGCCGCGCGAAATTTATAGTTTCTGACACTTTCACCATCGGCGCGACAATAAATTAACACTTTATTTAATTCTATTTATCAATTTAATTGCAGCACTTTGGGCGCGAAATCGATGACTGGGACGGGGCGATTTATCAAAGCCAATGAAGATCTCGTCCGACACAAGCCATTTATCTTTTCTGGACTCTTTCTGATCATCGCCGGTTGAGTAATGGCAACAAATCGCGGGTTAGAATTTATCCAACTTTTAACCTCTAATTATATGCAAAAATAACGTCTCAGGAAGGAGCTGAACAGGGAGAATGTAGACTTACAAACAATGAAATGGTACAATCGACCTCGCAAAAGAAAAGAAATACCAAATTGTGCTTTATTCCTGCAGATTTCTGGTTTTCTCGAAAAAAAAAAATACAATATTTCTTTCAACAACGAAGTACCTTACAGGTTTTTCTAGGAAGAAATTACGTCTGCGAGTCCAGAGTTTGAAATGCTCGCAAATGCTCGCGAGCGCAAAGAGCGAGAGCAAAAATTTATCATTGCTCTGAGAGCAGGAGAGCGGGAGCATGAAAATAAAGTTGCTCGAGAGCCAAAAGAGCGCGAGCCCAAATTTGAAACCGCTCGCGAGCGCGGAAAGCACGAGCGCATATGTTGGCAATGCTCGGGAGCTAGACGAGCGGGAGCGGCTGCTCTCGTGCTCGCCATGGAATTGACTCACGAGCGGCTCGCGAGCAAAATTAAAGGAACAATTTTTTGCGTTATTATTCACTTTCATGGATAAATTTCTCTCGTGGATCAATTTTTCGTGTTTCCGATTTGTGCAAGCTTCATTAGGTCCGTAATCTCGGCAGCGGAACGCGAAAAGCCGAGAGTAAATAGATAAAAGATGCCCACCGCGAAGTGCTAACTCCTGTGAGAGGGACTCATTTGGAATTTGTTACGGGGTCGCCGAATCATTTTAGGCTCTTGAAAGCTGCTCGCGAGTCAGATTTTTCAGCTCGCGAGCCAATCGAGCGAGAGCAAAATTTGACCAGTGCTCGGGAGCCAGGAGAGCGAGAGCGCGAAATGAAATGTGCTCACGAGCGCAAAGAGCGCGAACGCTGAAATAAATGCGCTCGGGAGCACAAAGAGCATCATGCTCGTGCTCGCTCGCTCTCAAGTGAGCCGCTCGCGAGTCTCGAAAATTTCAAACTCTGTGCGAGTCAGCAAATGATGTATTTTTAGTCCTAGAAAAGCCTCAGCTGACAAGTAAAATCATTTCATACGTTCAATATAAGTCAAATAAAATCAATCATCATCATAAATCGTAATTTTTCTTAACATCGGCTGGCAAGGAATTTATCATTTTAAGATGACACTAATATAACGAAGTGGTGACAGGTTATGATTGATGGATCATTACGCGTTACGGAGGTGCTTCCGTCATTGGAGATCGACGAGTTGCCAAATTGATTGATCGGGCTCCAGGAAGCTCCAGGAAGCGTGGTTTTTTTACGGCTATCGAAGAAAGTACTTTTGAGGGAGGAAAAATGATAAGATTGAATTTGCAAAAAGATATTCCGTTTCCCGGATATCCTTATTTTAAAATTTCCTGGGTCCATTTGTAGCAATTCAAGGCAGTTGGATTGGAAACCTTCGAAGCTTTTGCAGTCTTGATTGAAAGGCAAAATTTCATTTCACTAGCCAGATGCCGGCAAGACAACAAAAAAACTTTATGGGTGGTGAGTGCAGGTGGCGGGATGAGAGAGCGAGTCCCAACTGCCATCGACGAAGAGACAGATTTACGCGAGGAGATCTAACTTGCCATAACTGTCAGAGCGTCAATATCGATGAGTTTGCCCAAATAAACCGACGCATATGCCACTAGTTGTCAACCCGCAAACGGGCAATTTGCACATCACAAAGCTGGACTCGTCAAATAACCCGAAAATATGTAAATTCGTATCGACCTGGGAAGGAGAAAATCTTTACTTATTAGCTGTGAGAAGTTATGGACGGAAGGTGTCAATAAGCCTTTCTTTGCGAGCCAATATATCAATAAAAATGTCCTGATCTATAAATTGGATTTGCAGTCCGTTTTCAGACAGCAAAGAAAACTAGACTTAGCGATATGTTAAACCCTGCTGTTTGCTGATTACTTTTGTTACAGTATCGAGCAATTCCTGAGTCGCAAATCTCACGGCGCAATAATTGCATTTGATTTACGCGCGCAACGGGTGAACCATAATAGTTGAGTTACTGCCCGTCCACTTATCCCTTCGTAAATCTGGCTCCCCAAAAAAGTTCAAGCCCGTCAAAGATGAAACGCGCGCCGTTTCGTAAATCTGTTTCACGCTGCCTTTGGAAGACAGAGAGACGTTTGGGCACATGCCTTTCTCGACCGTAAATCGCCACTTTGGACAAGTCTGATGACATTTGCAGGTTGTCGCGTTGTCGACGGCGGTGGCGATTGAAGATCAATCAGCGGGGAGAGCACCAATTTCCAAAAATTTAGGGGAAATGTCAAGCGTAATTTCAAACCAGTGAAATCTTTATTGTCCGCCACAGGAATTTTCCTCGTCACTTTTTTCGTAACAACGAGCTTGTATCTTCTTGAACAACAAAAGAGAGGACGATTGCCTGAGAAATATCACATACTGTCTGGAAATATATTATATTATGTCTCTGTCCCCTCGTGGCGGTTATAAAGTCGTAAGAAAGGCCAATCCACGTGACTACTTACCACTTTGAAAATATACCAAAATGAAGCATGAAATTTTGAAGTAACAAACTAAACTGTACAGAGCAAAAAATAATGATACGAGAAAGATTCAAACCAGCGATTTACACCTTTTTAGCGGCTTTTTGCCAGCCTATCATCATTTACAGGTAATTTGACAATCACAGATGATGAAATAAACAACCCAAAGGTTGACAGGCGACAAAAGACTTCTCAGGTGTTATGGACTTCTCGCCACGGCCTCTTTTCTTTGCGGTTTTATTATTCCAAGGGATAGGGTTGAATTATATCTTGCAAATCTTCAAAACTACTTTTGAAAAATATTTAGTTTAATTCGTTTGAATATTATAAAAAATTTAACATTTGTGACACAAGTCAGAGAGATTATTCGGGCAGTTTATCCTTCTAGAATTTAGTCCCTCTTTTTCGTTACTAAAAAATTAAAAACGTAGATAATTAAGGCCTCTTCTGGTCTTCAATTTCAATTTTCATCCAGTTAAAAGACGAGGCTATTTCCTCGAGAACGAAGTGTTCTACTTCTCCGACTTCTTCTTCGAATGCGGACCCTACATCCTCTTCACCATTTTCCTCATCTCAACAGTCTTCTACCTCCGATTCCTCTACCTCATCTCCATTGAGCATTCCGACTTATCAAAAGACCTTACCTTCAAAGCCAAATTCGTCCGGATTCTGCAATGCATTTTCTTTCCGGAAATAATAGTCTGTAGAATTGCCAAAAACAAAATCGCCAAGAAGCCTGACGTTTTACTGCCAACATTATAGTTTATAAAATAAATGAAAATAAGTTGAAATAAGCTCGGAAGTTTTGTGTTAATTGGCACGGGCGCCAGTTTGATGGATCTGCTTCGGAAGCGCGCTGGACACGATGAACATGCTCGATCGAGAAGGGCCAGATGGGCGATGGAGACGGATCGGGACAAGGAAGCTTCCGACTCCCTAATAGAAGACTTTTGATGAAGATCGACCAATTCTACTTTTTTGCCGTTGACGATTATATAGCGTGATTGGTCGCCTTAGCACTTTCGTCGAGAGACTACGGCACCGATATGTATCGATTAGCAACAGTTGATTGGCAGCTTCCGAATTAATTACAAAATCCGACAACTCCGCGCGCTCAAAAGGATGAATAAGCGTCCCGATGCCCTGGCCTGTCGCCTGATCCATCACACGTTTGGTTTAGTTTTTGGCCCCATAATGAGACCAGTCAGATATCCACAGTCGCCCACACTGTGGTCAACGGGTTCATCAGGGCACACGCTACGACTAATCAAAGGCCAATTAAGGAGATTGATTGTTTAATGAGATTTTAAACGAGAAATTTGAATAAGAAAAACGAACCTATCTAGACATAAGTATGAGAATTAATCGACAGCGACGAGAAACTACTAATATAAATCAATGCCGATTTCGATAATTTATCGACACGATATAATTTGAATGAAAGGGGAAAGTAGTTTGACAGGTTTAATAGCTTCTTGAGTTATATGAAGCTCTAAATATAATTGACGAGCGCACATTTTACCTTTCTTATATCTTTGCATCGTAAATCACACCTGTGCTTACCAGTGAGCAACCAAGGGCGAGCGTAAATCATTGAATTTATATTCCTTTCCGCTACTTTTCGTTGAAATCAGCGAGAATGCCCTGCAAAGTCGATGATTTGAACATGTGAGAAGGTCTCAGCGCAGTATCTCACATAAAAAGGGTTGATATTGTCCGTATGTAATTTAATTAATAGAAGAAATAGACAGAATCAAGAATACATCCAGATCTACAGTTGTAGTACTTTGATAAGACGTGGTATTTTTGAAGGAACTCTCCGGGAAGACATTTTGAGTTTGAGGCAGTTTATCTGGATTGGTAAAAATAGGTCAATTTACATAAAGATTGGCGTAAGCATTGGCTTCTTGAACAGGTCTCTTACTCTGCGGTAATTTTAAATCTCAGTATCTTCCAGCAACACCTTAAAACTAGACAAACTTCATCCTCATTTACTATTCCAAGAACAATTCCGATAAATAGTCTTGTTAGAAGTTTATTTCAATCGTGCTTTTTAGTTTGGTAGTTTGCTACAAAGGGATAAAAAGAAATTCTTAGGAATTATGCGGCTTTTTCTCTTCTTACCGCGGTCAAATCTTCTGGATCGGTCGAGACTTTCTTTGAAGATTTGTAGTAAAAGACCTGAACGACTGTAAGAGAGATTTTCAAGGTATTCTACCTGGCAGATGATAAGGCAATCGACTGTAACTTGGATTGAGCCACAGAGAATAAATTGGAAAGGCTGATTCAGAAAGACGAAATATCCTGTTTTGAAGATATCCCCAACGAGCCAGCCGAGAACCATGAACATTGACATTCCAGTCGCTAAAATAACTGTAAAAGGGTTCCCAAGCTACTTGTCTTACTTGAACTATTCTGGTAGTTTTTCCATAGCTGAGGCGTGGCAAGAAGGGATTCTGTTCCTAGCGCGAGGAAACCAAGGATATTGAAGTAACTGGCTACAATTGAGTTTGGGAGTTGAAATATTCACGATACTCTTACGTGAGTGAAGAAAAACATAAGTGGTAAATGCAACAACGATCCAAAAAAGAACCATGAACTGGAGGTAATCAACAAAATACGTCCAGTTCCAGAACTCCTCTGGTTTCAGGCAGGGCTGCACAATTGGATTGGAATCCAATTGGTTTCCAATTCCAATTGGATTGGATTGGTAAATTGGTTGGAAAAAGGGCGGGAAAATCAGGGTCTGTCCAATTGGACAGCCCTTCCAATTGGAAAATGGGGGTCCAATTGGCAACTGGTAGCCAATTGGTAAATTGGCAAAATGATTGGATCGAAGCACCTCTTTTCACGCGGAAATGCCAAATTATGCTTGAATTAGTGCCTCAAACGATCAGTTCGTCAACAATTTTCTCAAAAAATCGAAAATTTCAAAACAGCCATATTTTGGCTTCTTAGTGTGCCTGAAAGTTCAATTCATCATAAAAACTTGTTGACCAGGGAGCACTTTTTGACCAATAAAAATCCAAAATTTTAGCGAAATTGGGACTTTTTCGTCAAAAAGTCCGATTTTCAAACGCGATTTTGAGGGCTTGCCAAACTGCCTGAAAGCGCCTATATTGCCCAAATGTCCGAAATGCCCGCTCTTGCCCGGCCAAATTTTATGGGCTTAGCTGTCCGAATGCTCGGCCGAACCCTTTTTCCCCGAATGCCCGATGCCGATTCGCTTTAACCCCTATACGCGAAGCTGCCTAAAGAACCCCCTTACCCGAAGTGTACAATTTTTGTCGATTTGGCCTTCCTCTCAAGATAATCTTTTCAAAGTATCAGATTATACTAAATCTATCATTATCTTTCGAACTGCACTTTTACATTTTCGGTAAAATTGATATTTAGTGCTAAAATTGGGGAAAGAAATTTTAACACTATAAAATTTATTATGTGATAATTATGAAAAATACTCATCTGAGCCATTTTTAACGGTGATTTTCGAATTCTCCATACTAAAAAACCTAAGAATAAACTAAAACTGAAGCAAAAATGAGAAAAGGGAATTTTTTTCTTCCTTGGAGCGCGCGAGGTGGCGTGAGAAAATCAGTACTGGTGCAGTGCTCACTGGGCTTATCACGCGGAAATTTTGCGGAAAGGTGGGCAAGTCTTGTGCAAATACTCATTTGAGTTTTCAGGTCATTCTGACCCACCAGCTCCATTGGGCGAGCGACTATATCCCGAAATCGACAAAAATTGTACACTTCGGGTATAGGGGTTAAAAATTCTCTCGTTTGTTAATTTTAAAGGATTATTTAAAAATTTTAATTTAAAATTTAAATGAACTAAAAAAAAACTGACTTTTCCAATTAGAATCCGATTTTCAATTGGAATTTGGCTGTCCAATTGGCAAACTCGTGCTAATTGGAAGCAAGATTCCAATTGCCGATTGGTCCGCCAAATTCCAATTGGAAATTGGAATTGGATTGGAATTTGGTTGGATTGGCAAAATTTGGGTTGGATTGGATTGGCAGTTGGTTGGAAAAATCCAAATTTTTTTGCCAATTGTGCAGCCCTGGTTTCAGGTCGGCCATATATCGCTCAGAGCCATTTTTCTTGCTGTGGTTGACTCGTACGACAAGCTCGACAAGAGCGAACATGGCGAAGATCATGACTACTGCTTGAAGGAAGAGAGCGGTCTCGTAGACTTCGCCAACGCGGAAGAAAATCCTCGAAGAGTGTCGAAAAAGGTTAAAGAAAATACTCGTGTACCTGAGAGAGTTGGCGATGAGCAAGACGAGACAGACATGTTTAGAAAATGAACCAGTCGTTCGCGTTTCTCGAATTTGTTGGTACTGCGGGAGATAGGGCAGTGCGCCCCCGAAGACCATAAAAACATCGGGCAAGAAGTGAAGAAGAAATTTGATAAATGACATCTTTTGATTTCTACTTTTCTACATTCTAAAATTTATCGAAAGTAAGAAGATTTGCGAATCTGAAAGTACGTTGAGCTTCAACGGTTGAAGAGAGAGGGAATGAAATCAATATATAATGACAAGAGAGAATTATCTGTAGAGAGGAAGAAACGCAACGCTTGGGATTAATCGTTTTTCTTTTCGGGGACTGAGCTGGCGATGTGCGGAGGAAGGTCCGACTAAGAAATGGTAAGGGAGGGTTGAAAAGGTGATCTTACCTGTGGGAGATCTTCATATCTCGGTGGAGCATCTGGGAGACGCTGTCCAGCAACAGGTGGAGCCATGGGAGCACCGTAGTTGAACTCCGAGTTCGACTGGAACTCGTACATTCCTGTGGCCGCGTTGAATTGACCCTGTTGGTTTTGAGTATAGGGATTTGGTGGTGGAGCCGGGTACCCTTGGAGTCCAAACTGCGGCTGCGTATAAACAGTTTGAGTTCGCGAGCTGTTCGCAGTGGCGAGGACAAATTTGCCGAACTCAATGCACCCGCCAGAGTTGAAGGTCAAGTTTATTTGGGTTGTTCCTTCCCAACCACCGCCAGGCGCAGCTTTGACATCGGCGATGACGTAGTTGGAGCCGAAGATTGGCTGTTTCAGCTCGAGTTTTGAGAGGCAATTGAAAGGAATGATGAAATCACGGAGTTTTGATTTTGCTGACTCGTTCAAGAAAAAGACCTAATCGGATTTCAATGAAAATTAAGAACAAAAAGCTTACCCGTAAATTTGTGACATGAATGTTTCCAGTGTGCTTGCCCTTCATTTCTCTGCACGCATGGGATTGATTTTTAAACTCCAAGACCACATTTTTGTCCTTTCTCATCACACTAAATTCGCAGTTAATATTTAAAAGCGATCTGAAGGACTCAATATCTCACCGTTCATTGGGCGCAAGAGTGAACTTATTCTCGCGCATTCCCGGTTCGGGGTTAAACGTATTCAACGACATTCTAAAGCGAAAATATTCAATAAAGGGCTTCGTTTAATTTATGAACATGTTGAGTTTCAGTCACGCTTGAAAGAACCTCTTGGTTTGCTGAATCCTCTGCTGGATCCGCGTCCACCTCTGTCAGAGCCACCTCGCCCGCGATCAGAGCCTCCACGACCCCGGCCGCCGCCTCGTCCTCTGTCTGCACCGCCTCTTGAGCCGCCGCGGAAGCTTCCTCCACGACTGCTGCCTCTTCCACCGCCGCGATCGGAAGATCCTCCTCTGAATGAGCCTCGTCCACGACCATCTCTGTCTCCTCCTCTGCCTCTGCTGCTACCACGATCCGATGAGCCACCTCTGAATGAACCACGCCCTCTTCCAGAGCCTCTTTCACCTCCTCGTCCTCTGAAGCTGCCTCTTGATGAGTCCTGCTTGAAGACTTTCTTGGGAGAAGCTTCTTCAGCGTCGTCATTCGTGCCATCTTCGTTCTTTCGTTTCGTCATTCTGTCTTTGAACTTATCTCGCTTTTCTTTATTTGCTTTGATAGCAGCCTCTGCTTTGGCTTGCTTCTTTTTCTCCCACTTCTCGCCTAAAATTCAAATTATTCTAAAGATCTCTGTGAGTGATTCAACCTTTTTTTCGGCTCTTCGACGGAGCAGAAACGCGATCAGGAACGTAGTTGAACACAATTGTCTGGCCGTTGATTTCCAAATCGGATTCTTTATACTTCTTGGCAACTTCTTTCGATTCGAACTGGGCGTAAGCAATGTTGAGGCCATTTTTGGGGAAACGAATTTGAACAGGATCTTCAAAGAGGTCTTCCAGGTCCATTTCGTCGAATTCTGTGTTTGCTTTTATCGACAAAGTTCCGGTCTAAGAAGAATTTAAAAACATAGATTTTAAAAAAGACCTCACCTCTTTGATTTCATCAATATTCGTATTGCTGCTTTTCGCACCACACAGATCAACCTCAAGCCGTTTCTTTCTAAGATCCCATTTCTTGTAATCGTGCGCTTTTTGAGCAGCTTCAACAGTCTTCATCTCTACAAATGCCTTTCCTCTGCATTTGCCACTCGCTTTCGTTAGTAATCTGACTTCCTTGGCGTGGATGAAAAGTGCTTCGAGTTCTTCTACTGTCGTATCGAATGGCAGGTTTTTGACGAAAATTGTTCGATCTTCTGAGGAGCGAACGTCTGTTTTAACTTCAGAGGGAGGTGCGTTTTCGGAGGCGTCTTCATCGGCTTCATTCTTGATTTCTTTCTATAAAAGGGTTGGAAAGGGTAAACTTTCCGCGCTGTGGTACCTTAACTTTTTCATCGAAAGCGTTATCTTCGTAATCTTCAGGGCTCTCTACATCAGTTGCGAGTGGTATAACTTCTGAAAAGAACAAATGAAAGCTGTCTTGTAAAAAGGTCATAAATAATCTCTAAAGATCGCCGTAAAACTCACCAATCTTAGGCGCGACTTCAAGCCCCTCAACAACTGTCTCGCCATCACCTCCAGTAACTACGAAATCTTCTTCTTCAGCCTCGACCATATCGAAGGACTCGTCGATATCATTGTCGATATCATCGATGACGGCTTTAACTTCCTTCTTTTTCGCGCGCTTCGATTTTTTCTTCGGCGTCAAATCGGTATTCTTCGTTGATTCCAAGTTTTCGGCCACTTCGATTTTGACGGTGTTTTCTGCTGGAGCCTCGTCAAGAATAGCCGCCTTAGATTTTTTCGATTTCGCCATTCGATGATCTTCAATTGGGTATATATGAGAGGATTTGAACGAGAAAATAAAATTACATGGAGATAAGTTCGCATGGCAAGAGTTTTCTGAGTACATAAATGACGAAGAATGTGAAGGAGGAAAAGAACACAAAAAATAATTGAAGAAGGAAGTGGGAAACGAAAAGTTGTATCTGTTAAAGTAAGCGAGGGTTGTTTTCTATTGGAGTGCGGTTTTCCTGTTGAATACAGTGTTGCGCTGCTGCTCGACGTCGGCCTTCCATCGACGAGCCATTGCGTCGATTTTTGACATGATCGAGTCAACGATGGATTGACTTTGAGAGCCACGAGGGAACAGTTGCGCTCGATCTTAGGAAAAATATGCTATAGCCAGGTTCAAACTGTAGCTAAACTGTACCTGAGTCTCCCTCTGCTCTCGGCTGGTATTTTTCGGTGAAAAAGTAGACTAAACTCGTGTAGGAAAGGAGCAAAATGATGGAAACGATGTAGAGGTAGACGATAAACTCCATCGTGCCAGTATTTCGCAGCTCAAATTTGCACTCACATGCTCGACAATATGCATCTTGTATCGATTCCTGAATGATAGTGAGCAACCTTTATGCTGACGAAAACTTACATCATGAGACGGATCTAATCTGGGTCGAACAACCTCATCTGCCGTGCATGTTTTCGCCTCTACCTTGCCTTGTGCGAAATAAATCTCAGACTTCTCCGCAATAGGCTGAAAAAATCATAAAAATCGACCGGTTGAACCTAATTTCGTTGAGTTACCATTAACGACGGGCATCTGCACTGACATCTTTGGTCAGAAAAGTCGTTGGCGAACGCGATCCCAACTAGAAGTACCGAAATCAACATCTAAAGGGTCTTGTTACAATTTGAGGAAGTTGTACGAAGATGAATAAATTATTATCTGCGTGAATTGTGAGACATTCAATTCTGGGAAACAAAGAATAAGACGATAATGAAATACACATAAATGATGGGAGCTTTTTCAGTATTTTTGTTAAAGGAAATAATTTCTTTCTAATATCTGGGTTGGCTGCCAGATCCTCCTCCGTAAACGAATCCACTTTGACTGTATCCTCCGTGCTGTTGCTGCGGTTGGCCGGATTGAGGAGCTCCAGATGGTGGTTGTCGTCGTCGCGGCATGTCAGGCAGTGCGTTAAAATCAGTTCCTAGGATTCGTTATCATTTGAGAATGGATTGATGAGTTACCTGTATTTTGAGGAGCATGCTGAGATGGTTGAGCTGGTGGCTTGTATTGTTGATGTTGGTAAGATTGTGGCTGCTGTTGGTGAGCTTGTTGATAACTTTGGTAGCTCTGCTGCTGAGGAGGCTGGTACTGCCGCGGTGGCGGATTCTGAGTTTGTTGCGGAGGTCCACGCATCGGGGGCATTTGTTGAGCTCGTGGTGGCGGCTGAGCAAGACCTTGCGGAGGTCCTCGACTGGCCATTTGCGGTGGAGGTGCATATGAACGCTCAGCTTGTTGTGGCGGAGCGTATCTCATCTGATCTTGTTCTTCATAGCCGCCATAAGGTTTTTGTGGTGAACCTCCTTGCTGTGGTGGTGGTCCTCGGTTCGTTGGAGGTTGGTATTGGTAACCACCTTGCTGAGGAGGAGGACGATCGTATTGAGGACCTTTTGGAGGCTGGTAGTTCGGCCTTCCTTGTGGCGCACCTGAATAACCTACCGGAGGAGCACCATTTCGAGCGTTTGGATGACCGCCTGATTCTTTCATCTCTGCTTCGTTGATCTTCTGATACGATTTGCCACCGATAAGGTCGGCGATGGATGATTTCAACTTATCAGTACACTCATTTGCTAATTTTAGAAATAGATGACAAAGGATTGATTGAAAAAATTACTTGAAAAGGTTCTGGGGAATCCTCCTAAATCAACTCTTTTCTTCTCGAGCCAGTCAACAACTTCTTCTACTTCCAATAAGCTTGCTTGTCGTCCGTCTGTCAACAATCGCAGAATCGATGCTATGCGCCCAGGAGGTGGCTGGTCTTGTTTCTGAAGGTTATTTCCTTGTAAAAACAAAACTTCTGTTAACTAACCCTGCAGTTTTGAACACGCATGTTTATCAAAATAAGAGCTTCCACTACTGGCATATTTCGGTGTTCCTCTGGATCTGGTTTAAAAATATGAACAGTACAAGTTCTCTTGTGTTGGTCGTTTTTAGAAATTTGAACGGCGCAAATCGAGTCATCGTCATTCTGCATTTCAGTCAACTCTTCTTCGATCGTTTTCCGAGCTCTTCTGACAGTATTTAGCCAAACAGTGGTGTCCACGCTCACACCAAGGATTCTCAACTTTCGTTCTATCTGTGTGGCATAAAGTCGGTCATTGTCGCCTTCGATGTAAATTCGACACTGAGGAGTTGTTCTTCTGATCGGTGGGAGAGTTGCGCCTTCTCGGGGGAGTTTTCGCGCTTCTTCTTTGCTCAACTGGGCCATGTTGACCTCCAGTGATGCTCCTGTGTTAACATTTGATGCATATTGTTTTTCTCGACTGGTTTACAAACTAAAAGCTACAAAATTACCTTTACATCTTCGTCCGTTTTCGGAGCTCGCCGCGTGGCGCGCCATTTCCGGAGCTTTGTATTGAATAAAAGCAAATCCACGGTGCAGCGAGATCGAAATAATCTTCCCGTACTTTTCAAATTGATGATAAATATCATCCTTGGACAGATAATCCACTGGTAGATGACCAACAAACACTCGGCAGATCTGATACTCGAGCTCTTTTCCATTCGTGGTGTGGGTATACATTGGCCCGTCGTCCATCATTTCTTCTTCGGTCATTTTGATTCTTCCTGCTTTTATCGCCTTGCGCAGCTCATCGTTGAAGAAGTCATTAGGATCGTCTCGTGTTCCAGCGACCGGAGGAGGTGCATTGACGTACTTTTCTTTCGGACCGCGAGATGGCTGAATGATCGGGTTCGATGGGTCGTCGTCTTCGACCATGATCGGATTCGAACGATGATCGTGGTTGTCACGGGGAGGAGCTTTGTACTCGCTGTAGGAGCGAGAGGGAGAGTCTCTTGTATCTCTTTGAGTATCCTAGAAAGTCTTTATATATAGAGTGTTTATAATTCGGGTTTCTTATTCAAAAATATGCGAATTCGAAGACGTTTAGAAAACGGGGCCAATAACAGACAACGATAATTCGTACCCGACGATCTCTATCATCTTTTGATCTTGAAGACTTCTTAGAATCGCGGTCCGCGCTGCGTCTGGTTTCTCTCGATTTTCTATCACGTGATCTTGAGCGAGTACGGGTACGACGTCTTGATGATTCCTTTCGATCTTTTGATCTGGATCGTCTTCGGTCCCGGCTTCGTGAACGGGATCTCTATTAGTTAATGATAAGAAAAAGTCCTCTATAAAGGCTTTTATCAGCAAGAAAACTTGCCTTGGATCTTTTGGTATCTCTAGAATCTCTCTTAGGCGATCTACTCTTGCGTTTTTCTCCCTTAGAAATCTCTGTTATCTCTAAAATATCATCATCTTCAACTCTTGCGCGGTTAGAGCGCGAGGATGAAGATGCATTTTCTCTTTGGTTTCTCTCAGAACGGGAACTTTCTCTATCTGATCTTCTGTTCGTATCACGATCTCGCGAGGAGCCTTCTCGACGATCGTACGAGTCTTTGGATCGATTGGTATCAGAGTAAGAGCCTCTTGAACTTGCTGGAGGTCTTCGATCATCATAGTCTCTTCCGTTGCGAGTTGGTTCAATTGGATCGTATTTTTCAGAAGATTGGGGCGGAGTTCGATAATGATTTTGTTCCTCAAAGCCGAATTCAGAGCCTGTTATTTGGGTTTGAAAGTTATTCGAGCGCTACTTTAGCTGCAAATAGTAAAAAGATAAAGAACCCTTCACGGCGCGGTTCAGCTCTTCCTCACGCTTCTGGATCTCTGCCAATCGTCGCTCATTCTCGAGCATTTTCTGCTCAATTTCAGAGAGTTTCTCGTCGGGGTCGAATCCGTACTCGCTGTTGTAGTTTTCATTGCTAACTCGAACCTTGAGCGGCTCGTAGTTGAAGGAACTCATGCTTGAAGCAACTCAGTCCTCCACGATTCTTGCTGAAAAAAAGAAATCGTTAGGGAACTCAATCGATTACTTAATTTCATTGAAGACAACAACGATTCATGCTTTTGAAAAAAGACAGATTTATGTGATCTTCGTTCGGGTTTTATTTGCAGCGTAAGTTGAACATAAGTAAAGTAATAAACTTATTGCAGTCTTGAAAACGCATTGTAAGGTAGTGATCATAATGTGGTGGCTAGCGCACGTGACGTGAATGGAGGACTGGTCCAACGGTGTGTTTTTGCATGAGTGAATGATACCTTCCTTCTTTATTGCTCGTTTCGAAACTCAGTGAGCTTCAGACAGAGAGGACTCAGAATCTGATCCTACAGTAACCGTTAGCCTTGCTGATTGAAATTCTTACTGACCTGATGAATCATCAGAGGAGTCGGAGAGTCTGCTGCCGCTCTTCTTTTTCTTGATTTCTTTGGGCTTTTCTTCGGGTTTTTTAATTGCTGCCGCAGCCGCTAGTTTTTTTATTTGAGAAAAATTAAAAAAATAGACAAACCTTTTTGCTTACTGGTCTTTTTCTTCAGGCAGAAGGAAACGTACGTATCGAGCTCCCTCAATGTGGCAGTTTGTAAAGTATCGAAATCTAAAGAGAATAGTTTAAATTTCGGACCCGACTCAATCAGCAGAACGTGTACCCTCGACCACCTCCACCACGAGTTAACTCGTCGTATACATCATTTGTGCACTGTATGTACTCGACGCGTTGAGGTTAAATAAAGAAGGGATACGATAATTAGTAAGGCTGCTAATTTGAGATCGGAATTTGGGACAACGATCTTGGCTGATTGGATTTAGACCTCGTCACAGAACACCAAGTTGTACGTTGGCGGAAGCGCAAACGACAACTTCTCCAAAACACCTATGATCAAAATTCAACTGGACAAGCTTTAGGCTAAATTTCGTTCACGACTGCTGAACCCACTGAATATTGATCAATTGATAACTCTGATGCCAGTAAAAGTGACGATGCGATATCTTACGTCGTTCGACCGTTTCGTTAAAAATATCTTTCGAAATTCTCATTTGGTTCTGGACCAACTTATGCATTTCTTTAATTATCGTGTCCCACATTTCGAGCTCGATGTCCAGCGCGAATTCAAAGGGGGACTTCGCTGTTGCTGAGAATTCGGAGTTTGGGGTGAGACTACTCGAAGGTGTCGATAGTGAAATACGATTACCGATTTCGATCTCGTCTGGGTTGTGCTCGCGGTAGTGCGATTCGCGGTTTTGGATGATCGTCACCACTCTTCCGAGCTTATCCGATGGTAACTAAATTGATGATAAGAAGATTGCCTTGTCGCTTGTGCATACTCTGTTGATATCTAAGCTCAGTTGTCGCTTCTCGTCGTAGGTCATTTCTTTGTGATCGTCATCAGAGTCAAAATCGTAGATCGCACTAAAATTCAATTAAGACCTCACCTCCAACAGATATGATCTTACCCTTCTCCATCTCTATTTCCGCCCTTCTTCCCGGCACCCATGTCTCCCTTCTTCTTCTTTCGCTTTCCAGCTTTAACCAATCTTGCTTGAAGATCCATCAAATAAGCCAACTGCTCTTGAACTTCCCTCAGCTGAAAAAAATCAATGGAATCAAGGATGACTAACTTCACAAACCTTCTTTTGGATCTGTTGGAGTTTCCTCCCTCTTTCATCGTCAGAATCCGAGTCGCCAAAGTCCGATTCTTCCGAATGATTTGCTGCTGCATCTGCTGCTGAGAAGCTATCAGCTAGTTTTGCTTCAAAAACCTTCTGAAGACGGGAAGCCATTTGAACAACCTCGTGATCTGGTGGATTGTACTAAAAGACATGATTGCGAAACTGAGCTACTTTCAAAGAAAGCTACTTACAGCTCGACAGTTTTCGAAGATCAAAAGAATATCCGCGGTGAATTCATCTTTATTATTGTACATGTCGTTGTCGAGATTTTTCTGAACGGTGGACAAGTCCATCGGCTTTTTAATCACATCATAGTAGTCGTGCAACTCGAGAGCTTTCACATCGACGGGCGTGTAGAACGGCCATGCGTATTGTTGATGTCTTTTTTGATGAAGCTCTCGGAGGATTGCCGCGCAGACTCGCATTTCCTTCTTTTTCGGCATCGCGCCTCCTGATTTCTTCGATGGCCCATCGAAGCCCGACATCGACTCGGTTTTCCTCTTTGGTGGATTTGGCCGTGTTCGTCCTGTTGGCGCACTCGCTCCGTTTTTCATCGGTGCGGCGGAGAGTTGAGGCATTTCAGGACCGCCTGGGGATGGAGCGATGCTGGTGTCAAGATCGGTCGTAGAATTCATCGACTTAGAACTTGGTGCTGGGCTTGGAACGGGGTCGATGGACATTGGCGTTGGTGGATTCCGATCGCGAGTGCCCAACGGAGCTCCTGAGGGAACTCCAAGGCCTTCAAGCGGATTTTTCTTTCGCTTTTGCTTTTCTACGACGGCCTCGACTTGTGGCATGTTCTTGATCTTGTTGTGAAGAATATCCTGGATCTTCTTGCCCATGATTGAAATATCATCTGTAGGTCTGTTGTAAGTATAGCAGTTTTCGAACATGAGGTCGTAATCGGCGATACATTGCTTGGCGGATTCGTATTTACAGCCGTAGAGCTTCTTTTTGATCGTTGACATGTCCATGGGATTTTTGATGATAGTGAAGTAGTCCGGAAGGTTGAGTTCCACAGGATCAACGGGCTTCTGGAACGGCCAGGCAAACTTGTGATTCCATAGCTAAAACTGATAAACGAAAAGAAAACTGAAAATTTATTACCGTCATAAAGATATTTTTCTTTATATATTGCAACTGGTTAGTCATTGGAAACTTTTTTCCGTCGTCTGGCATCGTGGGCAATTTCAATGATCTGAAAATTTTACTTATTGCCTGGAGTTGTTTTCTTGTTTCTTGTCAAGTAAGTTTTTATGTCAGAGAAAAAGTTTTTGGTCTTTTGGTAGATAAAGATAGAGAAAAGGACAAACTTTGAAAGGTTCACTTGGGGATGGAATTCTTTTTTGCGCACCCTTTTTACCAAATAAATATGTTTAAGATAAATTGTTTTAGGCTATTTACAAGACCTAAATAGTTTTTTAAATTGTATGAAGATACGCTTTTCTCAAACTTTTGTTTTAATTTTGTAAATGAAGAAGTGTTTGGCGAAATATGTTTATAAATTATAATTGTTACTGTTAACTGTACAGTACTGAGATAGTAATAAAGTCTAGAATTTAAAAAATACTGGGATAATAATACTGAAAGTATTTATACTATGAGTTGCTGTTGATAGAAGTCTTTGCCATAAGTTCATCAATTTCCGACAAACTGGAGGTTGGATTTTCTGGTGATTCGTCTTGAACTGCTTCCTCTTTAGCGTCATCTTCTTCACCTTCCTGCGAGTTTTCATGTTCTTCTTTGTCTTGTCCTTCCTTTTCTTTCTCATCTTCCGACCCTTTTTCTTCTTCTTCATCATCAAAAACGATCGGAAAGATCTCATCCAGCTGGTCAAAGGCGATGTGTCTCAGACTTTTTGCAGCCCACTCTGCGAGATTTTCTTTATCTTGTTGATTAACCTTTTGAAAATGATAAAAAAAAATTGGGGAGAGAAAGAACATACTGTTATAAATATATTTTCAACGTCAGGATCAACTGGATCTCGCAGCGTGTGATGGGTGAGTATCCCCGTGCTCATGAACTACAAAAAGGTTTAGTTTTCGTCGACAAACAAACAGTAGTACTGTACCTCAAATATCCTTCGGAAAGCATCGACGATCCCAAGTTTGGAGGAGTTGAACGAGGCGGGCGTTATATTCACCGAGTAATAAATAATCAACTGAAGCTGCCAAACTGATAGTTTTTGCAGAATATGTTCCTCTAAAATTTCAATTGAGTGCGAGCAAGAGAAAGAAATGTACTCACCTTGGGAGCGGAGGTGAATCATGAGTCGGCAGATTCTGTCCATGATTGAATATGCTTCCAGAGCTTCGTTTCTCCAGAAATTTGCGCGTCTGACTTGTTGCAAGCTTGACGATGTTAGTTCGACAGGAAGGGGATCATCTTCAAATAGGGATTGATTCTGAGGGGTCTCGTGGGCTTACCAGAAAGAGGGGCAGTGATGTCTTTGCACGTGAAATGAAGGCGACATTTGACGGATTCGTTGAGAATCTCGCCTGAAACTAACACACTAGCGTCACCTTCTTCTACGCCGAGATTGAATGTCTTATCGATACAAGACGGAAGTGTCTGAGTAAAGTGTTGTTGGAATTATCTTTCACGAGAAGAGACTACCTTTAAAATTTGTTTCTTTAGAGTTTGCGAAGGCGGCGATTTGAAAAACAGCACCATTTCTGATTCCTAAAGACAGCTTCTTAGCTGAAAAATACGTCATAACTTACCATAGTATCATGAAGAAGATTTTTCATAGGTAGTGCACCAACTCTGAATAAATTTCTCACTTGTCGTAGCTCGTTGAGATCCTTCTTCTGTTTTACTTCTGCCTCAGTGGGCTCGCTCTTCTTTCGCTGGAGAATTTTCATGCCGTTATTATTACGAGCGTCGTCGAGCATTTCTACGAGGTCGGGTCGGCCCGCATCTTCGGCAGCCTGCCGGACCAGCGCGTCTGATAGGTTTTTCATGCTTTTCTCGACGATCTTCGTTACTTTCTCCAAAATATCTTGTTTCTCGGCTGGCAGGGATATTCGATTACAGTGTTCCAATAAGATGATATCCTAAAGAATCATTTTGCTGGATGAAAAATTGGTGAAGATTCTTACCGTTTGCTCTAAGACCCCATTTCTGCAAGGGAGATTCGCTCCCAGCACATTTTCAACCTCCAGTTCAGCTGTGATATCTTCAAGCATGCCTCTCAAGCTCTGGGCGGTTTCATCGTTGACCTGTGGAGGTGGCATTGGCGGCTGGATCGATGGCTGGGGGATGAAGGGTAAAGGTGGTGGAGGAACTGAATATATCGGTGTCGCACTCGGCGGTGGGAGAAAAGAAGGCGGCGGATGCATGTAATGCGGTGGTAGTGGGGGTTTGTTGGGGCTGATTTCGGCGCTAATCGGGAAGAAGGGCGACCCCGGCTGGGCGCCGGGTGTCGAGCTCTGAGCTGCTGCGGGGATGTACACACTGTGAATCACTGGTGGTGGATTCGAGCGTGGATGCATCCCCCTTGGGTGGCTGCTCGGCTCGTAGCTGCTGCTGTTTCTTGGCGTTGTTGATTGCGTTTGTGGACTGCTGCTGCTTTTTGTTGCCGCTGTTGGCGTTGTTGGCGGCGTTGTTGTGTTGCTGCTGTTTCTGTCCATGCTGGTTGTTCTTGCGTTGCCAATTGGAGTTGCCAGTAGTAGCTTTGTTGGTTGACTGCTGTCTTTGTCCTTTGATGTTTCTGACTGGTGCTTGGGGCCTGGACTTGCTGTAGCGGACGTCGAGGGGAGAGAAGCTTGAGGCTGGCTGGAACTGCCCAAGCGGGCCTGTGTCCCAGCTGCTTCCTCCTGTCCCTGTCCATCCTTGATTGATGGTGTTGCTGAATTGTCCGTACTGCCAGTTCCACCAGTTGGTGCAGGGTCGCCCATTGAGTTTCCCGAGATCTGATCTTTTCTTCGCCAGAATTCGTCCGTGTTGTTTCGATTCTGCTCGCCTCGGACCCACGCTGGCTGAGGCAGGGCGCTAGAATTCTCCACGCCGTCTGACTTCATCATTTCTTCCATTTCTTTTATCAAAATTTCTTCGTCGGGCTTCTTATCTACCTTCTTAGTTCTTATCGGATCCTAAAAAACGATATGTTATTTTGGTCGATGGAAAAAAACGGTACCTGTACTCCTAGAGCTTTTTTCTTCATATTTTTAACATGTTCCAGCTCGTTCGGTAGCAGCAGCTTCGATCCGAGTAACCAGTCGATAAAATTCCATGCGGCTTTACTTTGCGCTTCTTTCTTGCTCTGCGCCATTCCTGTTCCCGTTTCTTTGAATCCCTCCGCGCTCAAAATGCACTTGAAGCTTTGATTCGGTCTTTCGCCTATCGTCGTCCAGTTGTAATTCGGCCTAATTTGTCTAAACCCTAACCAGGCGTACAACCAGGCTTTTGGCTCCATATTCGTGTTCTTTCTTTCTGCTTTGTTGGCACCACGAAGGTTTGCTGATCCAGAATTTTGGCCGTTAAAAAGTGCCATTCCAGGTTTTTGAAGAAGATGGCTCCACGCCATTTTCTCCTTTCCTTCTTCTTCTGTCGACTTTACTTCAGCGATAATCTGGGCCTCTTCTTGGCCTCCTTTTGAATATGGAGCGATGAGTTTTTTCTGCGGCTGGATTAGCTCAGGCCAGGTTTGCCCGTCTGCGTCGAAAGTTGTGGGAGGGGGAGGTTTGGTAATTTCGATTTTCTGTGCTCTATTCTGAGCTGGAGCCCTTGAGCGGACTTGGCGGGGTTGGCGGGGATGGAGTGGCGCTCCTCCGTGGGGATTCGGAGAGTTTGGGGTGTTGTATCGCTGGTGGGGAAGGAAGCCCCCTTGGGGGTGATGAGGGGCATGGTATGGATTGGGGGAACTTTGCGGATTGGGGCTGTTTTGGTGATATGGATTCATCATCGGATTCCATCCAGGAGGAGAGCCATATGGAAGGCCGTTTTGAATGCCAGAATGACCAGGTCCAGGGACGCTTTGGGGACTCATGAAGGGAACACGGGGGCCATTTGTATTTTGATTCTTTGGCGGGTAGAAAAGACCGGACAGACCAGGACTGGCGGGGTAGTTTTGCGAGTTTTGAGGGTAGTGCCCGCCATTTTGCTGTGTCCAGGATAGTTTTGGATTGTGGCTCGTTTGGTAATTCGTTTCCCCAGGATTTAGTGAATTTGGATTTCGATCGAGGCCATTTTGACCGTGGATCGAGCCTATTTCACCGTGGAAGCCAAAGCTAGAAAAGGAGAATTAGAAAAATTGAGGAGAATCGGGTTTTACTTGTTTTGATTGAACTGAGCATGATGATTTCGATGGTAATTTGATTTCTGATGATGTTGATTGTAGCTCATTCTTTGCTCTTCTCCTGTTTCAGGTCGTTTCTTTGCTTCGTTTTAGACTTCTCATCGCTTTTTTAATCTTCCCTCTCTACTTCCTTTCTTTCCGAATTATTCTCACGAATCTTTATCTTCTTTCTTTTTAATTTCTTTCAAAGGGATGAGCCGCGCATTTTCACTTTTCAAAATTCGTAAAAATTGTTCTAGCCGTGTTGATTTATGACCGTGTCGTTTTTACGTGCCTCCCTTTTTAGCGATTCTCTGGGATGGATTCGGTGGATTCCACCCTCTCAACGAAACGAAGGAGAAACAAAAATAGAATGCCCTAAGGGTAGCTGCCAGAGCCGACTCTCTCTCTCCTCCCCTCCTCAGTAGGGTCAGAAACCAACCAGCAGGTCACGGAGCAGAGGGCGCCAATTCTAGCGATTTTGAAATTTACCGAAAATACCTTAGGCCAAATGGTTTCCTCTGAATGAATTATCACCGCGTTGCCAAAACAGTGTTTCAAAAATGAATGCAATTAGCGTGTTTGAATAAATAGCTATTTGAAGTATATATTCCGAGGGATATTTATTAATTACATATTATTTAATTACACAGGTAGAAACATAGAATGGAGCAAAAAATATTCTGTGAGTAAAGAGGTAAGAAGCGGCTTGCGGCTTCGAGCTGCAAATAAAAAAGCCGCACTTTGCGCGGCTTCATTTCTTTTTTTTCTTATTTCAAATATTATTTTTATTCAGAATAAAAGAATTATTTAAAAAATACATAAATAAATTCACTTCATAATGGAAATAAATATTTGATTTTCTATTTTAAAACGTAAATACTAAATTGATAAAATTAAAGAACTTTTTATGTTTATTTCTTTTTTTTTTTCTTTTGAAAAGCTGTTCATCCCTTTCGCAAAGTTGACTTTGTTGATTGAATTTGTTGAATTGTCCAAGTTTCGATTTGTTTTAAAAATCTGTCTCACAATTGATTGGAATTGGTAAATGACGTGGGAAAATGAGTCGAGTTGGTATGAGTCACCTTTTCTTTTTGTTACGTGCGTGGCTTGAGTTTGCGTGCGCTCCCTAGTTGGCTTAGGGTGGCGAGTGATTGGCCGCGCGCACTACTAGTGCGCGTTGATTGGCAGATTAAATCGCGGCGAGTAGCGCCCGAGGCAGTCGCTTCCCGCCAAAAGCACGCTCGAGCGCGCCACGAACTCTGTCACTTGAGCCAAAGAGCCCAAATTTGAATCAAGAAAACTTTCGAAATAACAGCGCTAGAATAAAGAATCGAGAATCTGAATCAATCGAAGAAGATCGAAATCACACATCCGCCGTAGAGAAGAAAAAGGTAACGATCTTTGTTCAAGATATAGTTTTTCGTAAAAGCGCTTTTTATTTGTGCTTTTTATGCATCAGTGATTTTGGGAACAATAAAATTTCAAAACGGAAAATTCGTTTTCATTCATTTTCTGTAAGAAGGCAGCCTTTCTAAGTATAAATAATGATTGTCATCGAGTTATTTTGTTTTCTGATCTTTTCTATCGAATATTTTTTTGACAATTTACCTTTAATATGATAATTAATTATAAAAAATTAATTTATGATCATTTTTAACCAGAAATTGCATAAAATGACCTTCAGCCTAAATCTTTTAGAATTCTTTTTTATAACCTCTCGTATTCTAAAACCCGTATTTTCAGGATGTTCGCTCACGAAATTATTCTCGAGAAGTCTGGGCCTCTAGCCCGGGTCTGGCTGGCCGCGCACTGGGACAAGAAATTGAAGAAAAAAGACATCTTCGAAACGAAATTAATTGAATCAGTCGACAATATTATCAATCCTAAGGTAGAACCGTCCATCCCTCTCAACCAGGCTCAACCTTCTATTTTAGATGAAACTTGCTCTGAGAACATCAGGCCATTTGCTCCTCGGAGTCGTGAAGATTTACAACAGAAAAACTGGCTTTTTGTACACTGACTGTAACGAAGCCATAATCAAACTGCGCTCTGCCTTTCGACCGGAGCAGAAAGAAATGACGATCAAAGAAAACAAGACGAAAAAAGACGATAAAAAGCTGTTTCTTTCCAACATCGATTTGGGAGACATAGATGACAAACTGCCGGATATCAACGACCTCGATCTCGATAAGAATCGCGCCAGATTGGAGGAAATCACGCTGAGGGAGGAAAATGACTTTTTAAACGCTGACGATTTGGAATTAAACGATTCTTATGTAAGTTCCCCTTTTGCGTTTTTGTTTTAATAAAATCGATTAGCCGTATCAAGGCGATTTGGCAATCGATTTCAACAATGAAGAAATGATGCGAGATTTGACCGAGGTCTTCGGAGAGCATCAACTCGACCTTGGAGGGCATGACACCAATTTCCTCGGCGATGATCAATCTGAAATGGGAGACGATCACACTCTCGGTGGAGGATCGCCGCCCGAAATCGACCAGGACTTGGGAGACGCGCCCGGACATGCTATGGAGAATTATGACAATCCGATGAGCGTGCACATGATGGAGGATACTATCGATGATGGTCCGATGTCTCCACCACCGCGCCCGCCAAGACCGGAGACGGCTGACTCGATCATGGACTCGCAGCCGCCGACACCGATCACGGTGAATTTTGGAAGCATTCAGGAGCCAATGACGCCTGGTGGCATGTCTCAGGAAAGGGTCAACTCTTTCTTATTCTCTCTTTTTTTCCGGAATAAATTGCAGTAATTGACCCTCAAACAGACAAGTTCCCTAGCCATGGAGCGTCCCGAGCAACCTCCAACTCCAATGTACCACGATTCGATGCCCCCATCCCCGATGCATCCGCAAACCCCAATGTCCAACCCTGTCATGCAATCAACAATGCTCCAGCGAACCCCTCCCTCCCCAGCCCAACCCATTCACGTCCCACAATCTCCTCAGCAGCAGCAAGCCCAGCGAATGCAGCTCCGAGATCGAAGACAACCCGAAAGACCTCAAAGCACGAGGTCATTTGTTTTGGAGCCAACCGAACATATCACGCCAAAAGGTGGAAGGAGGAAGATCAGAAGACAGCTAACCATTGATCAGGTAAGAATCATAAGAGCATTTTCTCATGGATCGGTTGGTATTCGAAAATTTGGGGTTGGGGTAAGCAAGGATTATAAACCGGACTCCCTCTACTGATTTTCTGTGAGGATACGTCCCTTTTCTGGAACCTAATTCTCCTATGAGCGAAAAACTGACAACTTCATCATCACCCTCTCGGAACCCAATCGGGTTACTTTTTCCTAAACTGGACCTAAACTGATACATCTAGGCTATCGGAATCGACGCTGAAACCATGCGTTCGCAGCTGCGCGACCATGATGACATCGTCGGTCGTTCCGTCATGGCACCACCCGTTGAGAAAATTCTCAGAAGCAAAGAAGACACCAGTGTTGATAAGCTCTTTATGTTGCCGATTTCTTCAATTCACACGGGCCTACACGTAAGAGAATTTGGCACAAGATCGTTATTAATTCATCGTTTAGCAATCTTGTTTTATTTCCAACTGTCGTCCAGATCTTCCAGCATGTGCAAATCTTCGAATCGAGCAAGCAAATGTCGACTCTTACAATACTCATCTTTATATGGATCAGCAACAACAGCTGGATAGAAGTCACGACTCTGACGATGACGGATATGATTATGAGTAAGTTCCGACTTTCAAAACAGCCATTTTATTTCTCTTCTAGCGACAACTACGGAGGACCACCATCAGTAGCGTCCTACCACGAGGAAGGAAGAAGGGACATCAATCAGCATATCAACTCCCAACAGAACATTTCGCATCAAGATAGCCAATGGGACAGAGCTGTGAATCAAATGCCCAACAATGTAAGTTCGTTTCTCTCACTTCTCTGATTAAAATGAATCTCAGATGTCGAACCCTAACGATATGAGTATACAAGCCGCCGATTTCACCCTTGGAAGCAGCATGAATGATAACTCAATGATTCCTCAACAAAAGGAGCTTCCTCCTCCGTCGCCGGCTCACTCGATCCACGATAATCTTTCAATGCCACCAACACCTGGCGCACCAGTCCAAAACTGGGGCGCTTCTGGAGCTCTTTCGGCAGCTCCATCGCCAATGCCCATGCCGGAGTCTCCAGCTGCAGCGCCGTCTCCAGCTCCTTCCATGGGTCTGCCAGAACCAGAACTGCCAATGGACCCAATTCCTCCGACGATTCAGCAGCCCGAACCAAGTTCAAGTGAGAGTTCAAACTACGAACCAGAGCCGAAAAGGATGAGAACGGCCTCGGCGGAAGCGGATTTCCAAGAAGTCGAAGCTGGAAAAGGCACCGCCGCTTGCATCAAGCTCACACAGGTAAAGACCTAAAAATAGCGAAAAAACTGATGTTCGTTTGTAGCGACTTCTGATGGAAAACAACGTCGTTTCACTTAACCAAATGGCTTACGGAAACAACCGAAAACTTGCCGCTCAGAAGTTCTACTCCTCCTTAGTAATGCTCAAGCACGAGACCATCGAAGCCCACCAAAACGAGCCTTTTGGGGACATCATCATCCGCAAGGGCAGCAACTTTGGCGCGGAAATTCTCGATCACTGCTAGTTTCTGCTAATTCTATTAGTATTATTGAATCTATTAATTCGCTACTTGAAACAAGTAAAGCTGCAATAATATTTTTTATAAGCTTCGAATTCCTTATGTTCAGTACACAACAGCTGGAAAAATACTTGTAAAGTCATTCAGTATATATCTTCTTTAACCTTCTTCTTTTAACCTTCTATTCTTTGCTCTCCCTCCTAAACAAAATGAAAGAAAACTATCTACGACCCGCTGAAGAATGAACATTCTTTTTTCTTCCAATTCTATTGATCTTTGAAAAACTTGCTCCATGTCTGCCATTCCCTGTACAAAGAAGTCCCGGTTTATTTTTTGAATAAAATTTCATAAAAAATATCCAGAAAGATAGAAAACGAAGCGGATTGTCGTTCAGTCAACCGCTTTGATTTCCTCGTTGTTTTCATATTTTCGCAAAACGAGATTTCCTTATTTGGAGATTTGAAAAAACGTATGATTCTCATTCGCCCAGTTGCTTCGGCGACCAACCGGTTTGATTCCAATCTGATTACGCTTGCGCCACTCTCTCAAACCGCTTCAATTTCATTCGCGAAAACCCCGGTGTCTCATTTTTTCCGATTTATAGAGAGAGAAAGAGATCGTAATGGCCAACAATGAAGCCTTCAATGCGCTTCAACGGGAGGCCCTTTCGCAGCTGTTGACGTCGATCGGAGTCAAGGCAGAAAACCTCAGCGACGAGGTTGATGCAGGAATTAAAAAATGGCGGCTGAATCGGTTCGGATCCACGAATCCAAACACTGTCAAAGATCAAATTGAGTCCGTCGTGGACAAATTCAGAATGCATAATTTTACAGCACAGGTGAGTCTTACTGAGTTCCTTTTTCACTCTTTTAAAATATATTTTACTATGTTAAATTTACCCAAATTTCGGCGAGCCCTTTTCTCCGCCCATTTCGCTGGTTCAAAATCAGAGTGATTTAAAACCACTTTCGATTCATAATTTATCTATATTCACCAATAAATATCAGGCCGACGACTTCGACGATCATTTGGACAATTTCATCGACCGAGCTCTTGTGAAAGGAAAGTCGGGCAACTCTGACCTACACTGGGAGATTCTCCACTTTCTGCTGGAAATGTCCAACTCGCCAACTCAAGCGGCAGAGATCAAGAACCCTGCGAAGAAAGCCAACGCCAGCATCGAGGAGCAATCAGAAGAAAGCGAGGACTCTGAGAACTCGAATTCGGAAGAATTCGACAATGGAGATCGCTGGGACGACAAGCTATCCACGTGGTCGGAAGTGACGAAAAGCGATGAGGGTGAAGATAATGAAGATCTTCCTGAAGAGAACCAGCGGTCAGGATTTCCTGAGATTCCGAAGAAATTCAAAGAGTTCAAAAGAATCGACAGAGTTTATAATCTCGCAGAAGAGTTCCAAAAAGTCGCCGATAAGCATCCAACGCGACAAGTCTACCCTGTCGGAGAACAGCCCTGGAAAGGCGAGAAAACAATGGGAAAGCTCTACGGAGAAGTGATGGACCACGTGCCTATAAATGGAACGCTAGAGTATTGGATTGAACAGACGAATTTGCTGCACAAAAAGGGCTACGGAAAGGGGTTTGATAAGACGAAATATATAGTGGCGAATGAGAGGCAATGTCAAGTCTGGCTCTGTGATTCTTGTATGGGAATGACTGAAAACCACCTGGTTATTTGGAACGAAGAGAAGCAGCAAGCGTCTATCAATGAATTTATCCTCGTCCAACGTAAGCCCTTTCCTTTCAAATTTTACATCATCGTAAATTAGATACTGCACCAGAGTGGCATGGCTACATAAAACGCCTTCTTCCACTAATCACTAATGTCCGAAAAGTACGAGACTTTTTCTGGGGCCTAACAGGATCGACGCGCCATGAGAACAAATTCTTCCGACCTGCGTTCCTCGACTTTGACATACAATTGATGGATCTTCTTCAATCGCGCGTCTTTGTCTTCTTTCGTCGATGGCGAAATCATGCGATGACGAAGCACACTCTTTGCTCCACTGATCTTCTTGTATCCAGCGCGATGAAGCAGATTTTCGAAGAAGGGATGAAAATAACCGAAATCGCACTTGAAGTAATCTCTGTCGATCGATCCGCGAATCCTTGCGATATCAGTTCGCGAACGCTTTCCATTCTCTTCAAACATCTTCCAATAATTCACAAGAGTTACGAAAGCTTCGCCGCCGAGTATTCATTCCTCCTGAAAAAGTGCATGTGGAGATATGTCAATTGCATTCAACTATTTGCGTCGCAAAGAAGCTTCATCAAAGTTGTCCCTACATTTCCGCTTCGATTTACTGACGTTGATAAAGACAGTGAGAATTTTATTGACGAATGCGTCGCCAGGTAAACACTCCTTTTCAAGTTGAAATAGAAGGAAATTTACTTCAGATCGAATAATTTCCCGATCCCTCCATTGGAGCCTGCGTTGAGTTTACTTTACGAAATTATGCGGATGCGCGCCGTTCTTCAAAACTGGGGCGTCGAGGAAAGATTTTCCGATCGCACATTTATGTTGGAAAACGCGTTTGAGGAGCATTGGGATGAACTGTCCGACAAATACTTTGGGCGAAGAAATGTGCTTGATGACGCGTATTTGTCAACGCGGGTTTGGGTGAGCTACGAAGAGAAGAAATTCACGAAGGAGCAGTTGGAGAGCTTTGGCCCTTTTGCTGAAAGGATGAAGCAATTGAACAAGAAAAAAGTCTATCACAGGCCGGAGAAATCGACAGATTGGAAGGCTATTATCAGAAAGCCAAGCAAGGTACTAAATGGAAGTCCATTTAGAAGTTTCTTCTTTTTTTAGATTAATTTAACTATTACTAATAGGGAAATTTCAACTTCAAAATGTCACGTGGCGCCGCGCTTAATTGCGGAGAAACCAATCCCTGGCATAAAGAATTCCTCAAGCCGATCATGGCTCATTTGCGCTCGCAATACAAGTGCTACAAAGCGCAACTGGCGGAAATCGACCTGCAACGCTATGTTGATGCGCATATTGATTTCTTTCTCGGAGATATGGGCGATCATGTGAACGATATTGCCTGGCTGCTGATGGATAAGAGTCTTGGAGGGAAGCTGCACTCGAGTCTTGTCGAAGAAGTTATAGGAAAGGGGATAGAAAAGGAGAGAGAGAGAGAGAAATTTTCTCATAGATTCTTTCATGTATGTTTTAGTTCGTAAGTAGTTGTTATCCCTGGGAAAGAACAATGTCCGCGCTTCCACAAATTCGAATTCGACATAAAAATCGAACAGAGCTCTCCCAAATCGGCTCTTGAGCGGCTTCACATCGCTTTTAAAATGCCACCGATGCTGAAAACGATTATCAGCGACAGCTGCCAGGAGCGATATCTGAGAATATATCGCCGCATGATTCTCATGGCTTGCGCTAGCATTGGTGTTTCGGGCAGATTCGCCGACAAAAAGAATCGGGCCAGAGAAGAGGAAGAGTACTCAGAGGAATCATCTGGTGAGTTTTTTACATATTTCTGCAGCGTTTGACAGTTGTTGGTTCAGAGGCTTGTTTCTTGAGCACTAAAAATTTAGCGTTTACCGAAGACGAGGCGGACGAAATTTACATGCAGCGACACCTCCAATTGATTCTTCCCACTTTTGCCCATGCCTTCCAAATCGCCATCATTCAACCTCTCGTTAAACAGTTCCGCGAGAACGCTGCCCGATCTGACACCATCTTCGACTTGATAAAGTACCACAAAGAAATGGTGGCAAAGCTCGAAACAGCTGTTTTCTTCGAGGAAACGCCGGTGATTGGGAAGAAGGTTTTGACGATTCTGAAGATCGCAAAAGGTGAGCTTGAAGTTGACGAGTTTATCTGAAAGTTGATTTCCCCTCCATTAAAAAGCGAGGCCGCTTTTGAAGGTCCCTGAGGGATCATTTCGAATAAATCGAAGCTAACAAAGTGTGTTCAGACTTTGAGCGAAACCACCACAAGAGATCGACTCAAGAGGAATTTGTCAAAACCTGCGCGGATTTGAGAATGCTCACCAAATCGATCCACGATAAGCTTGTTGACGAGAGAACGAGGTCGCTCTTCCAGGGAATGTCGGAAGTACTCTACTACACCGATGGTAAATATTTGCTTCGATATTCAAGAGACCCTTTATCTCAATTTTTAGTCCGAAACCAAGCTCGAAATAATGCTCTTTCCGCGGCGATGAAGTTCAAAGGAGCACATAAAAATGCTCAAATTTTCTTCCCCAGCGTAGGAACTCCCGTAAAGAAAAATCTCTAGTTTTCGTTTGCAAATATCTTTCACATTCCAAAAATTCACAATTTGACCAAAGTTCATCTCTCTTCTCTCACTGCCTTTACCTCGATTTCTTTAATACTATTTACACATCTTACAATTTTCAATTAATTTTTTTTTTTAAAGAATGAATAGAATCCACTAAAAATGGGAAATTTATTGAAAATATTGAGCAACAATTGCTTAGGTGAGGGCCTTACAGAATTCTTCATGAAACAACCCATCTTTTAGATAGCACTCATGGATTCTCGGAAGAAATCTTCCTTGATTTCGACAATGTCATTCCAAAAGAAGAGGAGCGCCAAGTTTACAATACAGTGAGTCCTATTCTTGCTGAATCACAGGACATTCTCAGGTGCGTTGTCCACAGAACGACGATTAAATTTCATTCGTTCTTTTAGAGATCTCACAAATTACGAAGGTGCCGCTGCAGAAATTAAGAAATGCATCCAGTCGCCTTCGGATCAAGAGCACAAAGATCATACTTGGAACACACTTTTGCCTCTCGTCGTCAGATTGAAAAGATATTTTGAGTTTTCATCCGCGCTTACAGGTATTTTGTCAACCAAATTATGCGTTAGTTATTTGCTTTTAGATGCGTATATCGACATAATTAGAGAACTGACAAGACATCAAGGAACTGCCACTCATGTAAGTCGGAAAATATCGATGAATTGGACTGAAATTCTTTAGCAACTTGAGCAAAAACAAGCACTGGCAAGACAACTGGGTGATCTTCTTCATTTTACTCTGAATTTCGACAAGAAGAAAATGGAGAACTCTCAGATTCAAAACGACTACAGTTTCTTCAGGTAAATCGCTGCCTAAATTATCTTCCTAATCGCTAATTAGACGACTGACAAACCATTATTCGCGAATGAAAGACGTTCAACTTCCCGGCGAAAAGAACGAAGAACTGAGTCAAGCTCAAGCCAACGACATCTCTTTCTTCTACGCCAAGCCCACGCCGATGCTCTCAATTCTATCAGAAGCCACTGTAAAATTCGTCGACGGTCAAAACGAAGACGTCAAACTCAAGACGCTTACCATCTTGAGCACTTTTGCCAACATCACAAAAACCATGATTGAAAAAAATGAGTTCCGATCGAAGCTTTCGACAGAGTCCATTCAATTATGCGAGAGAGTAAGCCTCCTTTCTATTGTTCTTTTAATATTTGCTTTTCTAGGTCATGACAGCAGCAATCATCCTTTATGACCATGTTCATCCAAACGGTGCCTTCGAGAAAAAATCCGCCATCGATGTCAAAGGTACCCAGTTTCCACCAACCCCAAATTTATCATTTCTAGGGGCCATCAAGCTTCTTTTGTCACCAGATGAGAACAATGCTATGCTGAACGCACTGCGCTACACAACGAAAACGATAAACTCAGACTCGACCCAGAAGCAAATCAAGCAACTCCTCGAAGTCAAAAGCTAGTTCAAAATTCAATGATCACCGTCCGTCAAAACTACCGCAATTATTCCTTCCAGATTTCGTCCAATGCAAACAAAAAAGTATTCCTAAGATTCAACTTCACACAAAAAAGTACCATGAAAATCTGCACAAAATCAAACAAAGAAAATCTCTTCCAACTGCTCCTCCTCCCTTTCCTTCTCTTTCCAGCTCTCTTCTTCCTCGTTTTTAGTTTATTTTTGTTGATGCTTAATAAATAATAAATCAGATTCATTTCATTGCATTATTACAATGAATCCACGGGAAAAAACGTCACGGCCAAAAGCAAATTATCTTTATTTACTCGAAACACAATGAATAAGCGGTGTAGGAAGATTACTCTTCCTTGATTTCAAGAAATGATCCTCCCAATATTAGATTTCAATCGTTTCAAAAGCTCTTCAACTTTTTTTGTATCACGACGTCTAACAATTTGTTTGCTGTAGGAAACGCGCGAGCTGCATTCTCTCAGAGACGTCCAGTCAGAGTTGACAGTTAGCATTAAAACGGAACACTTTCTAGTGCCAGAAAATAATAAAGAGAATGTTTCTTTGTAGATGAAATCGTCCGAATGTCTACTGATTGGGAGTAATTGTTTGTGACCTTTGGAGGACCTTTTGAAGATGTGGCAAGTCATTCCAGTAAGTTTTTGTTACACTCCTCAGCGAATATCTACTCCTTGGTGAATATTTCGTGACAAATTTCGTCGATAATAAAACCAAGCAAATTAACGGAAGAAACGATCTAAATTATCAACTTTAAATGGAAAAAGAAAGAACGACCTAATGCACCGTCTTTTTCAGTGGTTCTTATTATCGACAGTCCTGGGCGAAACGAATGCTCGACCGAACATTGTGATTCTCATGGCCGATGACCTGGGATCAGGAGATGTTGGCTTCAATGGAAATACAACGATCGGTAAGCCAAAAACAACTGCGCTCGGGTCAATTAGCAAATGATAAAAAAGTAACTGCATAAAACTTAACACGCAATTAGGGACGACGAATATCGACCAGTTGGCAACGGAGGGAGTTATTCTGGATCAGCACATCGCGCCAGCATCTGTTTGCACGCCCTCACGGTAAGTCTGCATTTTCATTTATTTATCCAGACTACTAGAACAAACTTGCCCTATCATTCGATTTCTAGTCTTATGAAATGACCACAAAGTCGAATTATCACGAGACTTTTGACAAATTCAATCAACTCTTTTAGGGCTGCTTTCTTGACGGGCCGTCTGCCCATTAGATATGGTATTGCTGCGAATGCTACGCGCGTTCGGGTTAATATTTGGAACGCGACCCCAAATGGCCTCCCACGGAGCGAGTTGACCTTTGCCAAAGTTCTTCAGCGAGAGGGCTACAAGACTGCACTCGTTGGCAAATGGCACTTAGGTACATAAAAAATTGCTTCAGATTAATCATACCTTCAGGAATGAATAACGAAAACAACCACGACCAGCACTATCACCCCTACAACCATGGCTTTGATTCTTGGTTTGGAATTCCTTTGACGAACATTCGAAACTGCGCTGATGACGGAGGCTCCGTCCTTGTTCCTGGAGGCCAATACGTACTTGATGGCCTTAGACTTGCTTCTGCTTTCTTTTTTCTTCTGCTGCTTTCTTTGAACGCTCTTGGGGTAAGATGAACTATCAATTCAGTTCATAATTATTCTAGTTCCTTCCGTGGTCTCTAACGAGAATCATCATAGTTGGCTCAATCCCGAACCTCGGTGGAATTCTCTTTCAAGTAGGATTTCATTACACGATGCGCTTCTCCAGCTGCCAGCTATGGAAAGACAGGACTGTTATCGAAGCTCCTTACAGCCTTGACAATATGACTCAAGTACGACCAATCCTTTCCTATCAAATCTTTATCGTCTATTCTAGCGCCTAGTAAACGAGGCAGAAATTTTCTTAGACTCAGCTGCTGCTAGCGACGCCCCATTTCTTCTGATGCTTAATTTTCTTCATGTGCACACTCCCTTATTTTCTTCACCCGAATTCCGCGGCAAATCGGTGCACGGTCGCTACGGGGACAATGTACTGGAGCTCGACTGGGCTGTTGGTGCAGTTCGTGAGAAACTAGCAGCGCTTGGACTTGCGGAAAATACGATTGTCTATTTTTCAACTGATCAGGCTGCTCATAATGAGGAGATATCCGCCTCGCAAGAGAGGCACGGAGGCTACAATATCTACAGAGGTGGTAAAGGAATGGGCGGATTCGAAGGTAAGAAATGATCATTTCTTCCTCGTAATAAACTTTCTTCAGGTGGAATTCGAGTTCCCGCAGTGATTTCCTATCCTCGAGAAAACTGGGAAGGAGGCTGGCGTTTAAAACAAGCGACAAGCATGATGGATATCTACCCGACAATCCTCTCACAAGCCAAGGTGTCCCCAAGTTTATTCGCTCAAAATGAAGCTGGTGAAGAAAACGCACTTGACGGGAGAGATATTTCCGCTCTTTTGAACGAAGGAGCGAAGGAAATTCCCACTGTTCCGAGCCCTCACGAATTCATGTTTCACTATTGTGGTGACAATTTGAATGCAATCAGGTGGACCGAGCCGCAGACTGGTCGAGTTTGGAAGCTTCATTATTTTCAAGTAAGAATTGTCTATGAACAATGCCTCTAACCATCTTCAGCCTTCTTGGGATGAAGGAACCGAAGGATGTGCTTCAATTCTTATCTGTGGCTGCTTCGGACCTTTTGTCACTTATTACGACGAGCCACTTCTGTATAGTCTCAACGAAGACGTCATGGAACGAACAACTTACGATTCCAGCAACCTTGCCAATTACACGACAGTTGTTTCCGTAAGTTTCTTTTTGCTTATTTTTCTTTTAAGTCGTACATTCAGATAATGGAAGAGGGCTTCAACAACTGGAGATCATCATTTACAAAACCGCCTTCTATCTACACAAGCTTCAACGCCATCCCCCGCCCTTGGCTTCAACCCCTTTGTGATACGTTTCCTTATCTTACCTGCTAATTTTCGTTTATTTTTTGTGTTATTCTGTGAGTCTAGTTTATTTAAATTTATGTCATTTTCAATTCAATATTCTGCACTGAGAACATGCTTGCCCTAAACTTCAAAATCGAGTTCCTTTCTTCAATAAGGGAATCAAATAAAGAGGTATTGATCAAAATAGAGGCTGACTATTCCCGGACGAGGATGAAATTTTCTATCTTGAGATTTCAGTTGGGAGATGGAGCATTCGCGTATGGATCGTTCCGGCACCCCGGTGTTAGCGCCAATCTAACAAAGCAGTATCTAATCGAAAAACAGCCGGTCAAGTTAATCATAATTTTTGCAGATTTTAGCAGCATAAAAATGCGCATTCAAAGAGATAATGACAGTGTTTCCAGCTACCAACCAGACCTACTTCAGAATATTGAGGTAAATTGTTTGCTATGAGAAATCACCAGCAATATTTTAGAACGTCACGGATCTACACAAAGAAGAATTTTCAGTCACCATTGGCGTATATTTATTTCAGATTTGCGCTGTTCTGAAGATTTTTCCAATTTTTCTGATTATCTTTATTTTCCGTTTTTTAGTGAACAGATTCGGCGGCAATTTTTACTTAGGTGCGCTTTCAATTTAATGTGCCAGATTTGCTTTTAGTTTTCGGGGAAAAGTTTCCATAAGACCCCCCCAAGTATTATACCTTTTTAGAATCGTCTTGAGATGCTCTTTTGTTTTGTCGAGCCCGATTTTCGAATTTCGGTACAAACTTCCGGTATCGATATTCGGTACTTATTTTTGTCGTCTTATCGGTACCAAACAAATACCAAAAAAATCGCCAGAAAATTTCATGAAGACTGGTACAAAAAGATTAGTAGTCCGGTACTTCCGGCGTGAATGAGCACCCCTTGATTTTCGTCAAAATAGCCTAAAATCGACCAAAAACCGTGATTTGAGAACGCTGTCGAACGAAAATAAGTACTTGAGTTGGTTTGGTATTGATACCAGTCTTCATGAAATTTTGTGGCAATTCTTTTGGCACTGGTTTGGTACCGATAAGACGACAAAAATAAGTACCGAATATCAATACCGGAAGTTTGGTACCGAAATTCGAAAATCGGGCTCGACAAAACAAAAGAGCATCTGAAGACGATTCTAAAAAGGTATAAAACTTGAGGGGCCTAATGGAAACTTTTCCCAGAAAACTAAAAGCAAATCTGGCACATTAAATTGAAAGCGCACCTTAGCATTACTTGAGTGTATCAATTTTCGTAATAATAAGATTTACCGTGAACTAAGGATGTGCAGTAATGCGGATGATCGTGGTAAAGTGATCGCTAAGGCTATCCATAAAATTTTAGTCCCAGCAGACATAGATGATACATTAATATGTATTGGGCAGGGTTCCAATTTTGGCCGAAAAAATTTTGGAGTGGAGTGGAGAGATGAGTGGATAGCCCAAAAAAATTTTTGAGCGGAGTGGAGCGGTGAGTGGATGCCCAAAAAAAATGGTTGAGCGAGTGGAGTGGGTGAGCGGAGTGGATTTTGAGTGGATTTTGAGTGGATTTTGAGCGGATTTTTAGGGAAGTTTGAGCGATTAAAAAAAATTTCTTTGCATTTCATGCACCCTAGAATACACTCAAAAAAGGGTCGAGAGGCCGGGTTTTTTTTAAACGATTTCATTCTCATATTTTTAGTCAATTTACAATTATGTTCTCGGAAGCATTGACTAATGAAAGATATATTCTTAGCAACCTTGAAGTTCATGAGGTACTGAGGAACTAACAGGGTCGTTTCATTCTTAAATCCATTATAATGGGTCGTTGGGGGGGAGGGTTTAGTTATCAAAAAGGTTAAAAGAGAGCAGAGGAACAAAAAAGGTTCGACCCCCACGAGCAGACAGAAAGCGAAGTCATCTTTGCACGCCGTGAGCAAGCCTTTCCTTTTCTGAAAAAAGGGGTTTTAAGAAAGAGGGGGTGAAGGGAAGAGAAAGAGGGGGCGTAAAGAAGAGAGGTTGAAAAAGGTCGGGCCCCCACGAGCAGACAGAAACCGAAGTCTTCTTTGCACGCCGTGAGCAAGCCTTGCATTTATCGAGATAAAAAGGGTTTTAGAGGGGGTCTGATCATCAAACTTTTATGAAGAAGTTGGTCCTTAATTAAAGGTTGATCCTGATATTATGTCAGTGATTTATTCTCTTGATTATCCCCTGAGAGAATTTGATTCTTCATTTAAAAATCGACCAAATTCGGTCTCCAATCAGAATACGAGAAAAGGGGCGCTTAAGACAAAAATCCACTCCATCCGCTCAAAATCCACTCCATCCACTCAAAATCCACTCCATCCACTCAAAATCCACTCCAAAGTAGATTTTACAGGTTGGAGTGGAGTGGAGCGAATGAGTGGATACTAAAAATATAGGCTGAGCGAGTGGAGTGGAGTGGATCCACTCCGCTCACGCTCCACTCCACTCCGCTCAAAATCCACTCCATCGCTCAGCAAAATTGGAACCCTGGTATTGGGCATGCTATTTTCCAATTTGTAATTTTCCATATTTGCCGACAGCCAATTATAGCAGATAATCGACTCACCGCCGAACTTATTCGAGAAAGCACCAACGCTTTTATCATTTACAGTGTATCCCAGTACTTCATCCGAATCCGTTTATTTCCACAAAGGAAAATATCGAGACGTCAATATTTCAATGGTTAATAAGCTTGTTCTTCAAGCTGTGTTTGAAATCTCTGTCTTTAACATCTTATTTGTTATTTATTTCTACCTTATCTTTGAAAACACCACATTCTCTCTTTACCCTAAAGATAACCATGATTTGGAGAGCAATTTGATGCGGATGCTGACATTTAACTTACAGATTTCTGTTACGACGAATTCTTATTTTATGTGCTTTAGTCCTAAATGTACGAGAAAGGGAATCGAGGCATCATCAAAATTTACACGAGATTCTATAGAGATTCGAGACGGTATTGTCAAAATGTTCAATATTGCACTTAGATTTCTTTTTTCCATTATTTTTCTGTTCATCTACAAGCCTGAGTTAGCCTCAATTTACTCTTTAAAATCTGCACTGAAAACGATTTTGTTGAGGAGTCTATGAAACATGAGAAAGATTTCTACCATTTTTTTTTATTATTATTGAAAATGGTTGAGCAGTAGGTCAATTAGAGTAGGCAAGAATAGAAAACATAAATAATATCAATAGGAATCCGAAGAATCAGTGGTCAAATCCGACAGTCGGATTTGATCCAATCTTCGCGAAGAAAATGGAACTTGTAAGGATTGGCTTGTAGAATTGTGATCCGAATATTCGGACTGCGTCGTCGACAGCTTCATGTCATCAACTCTCGCGAGCATAGCGGACAGATGACCTTGTTTTATCATGGATAAATTGACGAACATCTTTTTCGGACTTGCTTCGGACTCGGAATCGCTTGATTCTCGAGCGATCATCTAAATTCAAATTGAATTCATGAAGCGTCAAAAACGTTCTCACCCGTTGATGATGCGGACTGAAGCCTTCTTTTATGCTCCAAGTGTTGTTTCGCTTTCTCAGAACTTTTCGTTTTCTGATTTCAGGCGTCTGAGATCTTTTTAGATCCGGAATTGTATCAGGAATCGCAGCTGGGCGACGCTCTATTAACCGATTTGCCCGGAGATAATTTTCGATCGAGCTAGAAACAAGCTTGACTTGGTGAAATCAACGAGGATCTTTACCTGTTAGAATCGCCGGAGATCTTCTTCGGTCCATTCTTCAAAATCATAGAAGAGTATTCTCCTCGTTGTCCTCGATTCTGATAAACCAACGGAATGTACTCTGAGAAAAGCTCGATCTCGTCTTCTTCTTTTTCCGAATCCATGAAGAAACTAAGTAGCCAGCCGATTGTGGAAGTATCCAGCGGCCAGAGTCCCTGAATGCCTCAATAATTCATCGATTGTTCAAAGCGCCGGGGAATATTTAAAACATTAGAAAGACTTGTGGAAGTCACCACGTTTGTGACAGTATTAATGTAGATTACTGTTCATTACCTGAATGAAAACGCAGAATTCGAGGGAGTAGATGACGTAAACTAAAGCGCTAACGTCATTTTTGAGGGGACAATCCATCGGATTTTCCGGAAAAAGGACGTTGTTTCGGAAACATTGGTCTTGAACGAAGTCGACCGTTTGTTCCATCGTTGAGTAGCTGTACAAGGCGTAAATGCAGGCACCAGTGTGAAAGGAAAGGCAAAATAATAGACTAGAGAGGCGGACGAGATAGATTCGGATGTTCCACCGGCCTTGGACGGACAAATGCTTCGATAGATTCAGCAAGGTTATGAGCTGGAGAATTGAGCTGATAGTATAAGCCACGGCCAAAGCGGACATAATGACATGTGCGGTAGAGGAGAGGTAGATTCGCCAGGGGCTGGAAAACATGCAGATCTTCAGAATGGGATCAGGATAAAAACCAAGATCGTCAGTTAGAGTGGTGGAGTTATCGTCTGAGGAAATTTTCGGTGTAGCTGGAGTTAGGTAAGAAAGCGTTGCGGCAAGAAGAAGTGCGAAGGTTCCACCGATTATGTGGTTGTATCGATGTTGAATCTATAAATTTTGTTAAGTGTGCCATTCAATAAAATATTTAGCAAAACTTTTTATTGCGAGACACGTATTTTGCGAAGTTTGCCCTAAAAGCATAAGCTTGTTTAAAATTCGCACAATTACGCTCCAAACGAGTTTTGAAATCGAAATCAAATGACAAACTAAAAGTTCCCTTCAAGAAAAAGAGAATGAAATGCATTGCAATAAAATGAGATGCATTAAGAAGATAAACTAATTCAGCGTAGCCGTAATCCTCCGGATTTTAAAAATCCTCAATTCCTTTCCATAACTGTTCTATTTATCGAATTTCCGAATACTGAGCTCACAGAATTTAATATTCAAATAAATGTTACCTTTTCAAATTCTCGTGGGTGAAGGCTCAGAGTTTCGAGGAACTGTTTCAATTCGTTTTTAATATTCGACGTAAAGGCTTAATATAGGTAAAAAAGCTATCGGCATGATTTTATCATACCAAAATATAAGGCTGAGAAAGACAGAAGGCTGAAGGTGAACAAAAAGGCGGATAGCGGGCAGAGGAAGGAAAGCCTCTCTTCCTGACAGTGAAAGTTGTTTTTCGACATTATGTGCAATAGAACTCCTAAAAAGGGTCGGTAGATGTAGGATATTGAAGGTTACCGAGTTGGAAGAGGACGAAATTGAGCGCTAGGGAACATTCCTTTAGCTGCTTGCGGAACGAAGTGCTAGAAGAAGCGACAGAGATGGAGAAGGAAACAGATGCAATGGCCATAAGCCACACTGCGGCGAAGTTTAACGATTTGTGGAAAGCTTAAAAGAGCATAAATCAGCGCACAGACGTCCACTTACCGTCAACAGCTGAGCTTGTGTAGGAGAAAGATGTTGTACAGTTCTTCGCGCATTTCGAGCTAAGAATAGAGGGCTCGTAGATTTTCGAGATTTCGTGAGGGATGAAGCCCGGAAAGTCACATGTTTCTTGTTCTTCGGAACAATAGCAAAGAGCATCTAAAATTCTCAACAACAAATCATTTTGTCAACCCTACCGTCAGAAGCTTGTAGATCAATCTGTATGGCTTCTTTCTCCCATTCTAGCAACACATCTCGATTCAAAATCTCTCTACAGTAGTCTTCTTCCAAATTGTTCGCGCATTCCGGAGCAAAGACACAGAGAAGAGTGCAAATCGTTGAATTCATGAAGGTGCCATTCTCAAAAAGACCATCAAGTTAGCTTTACTTGAAAAAGAAAGAAAATCAAAAGTTAAAAGTTATCGAGATAGAAAAATAATTTCGCGTTACAGTCAGTTTGGCATGGATTCGTTTTTGCTGATTTAAAGATCGACTTCTTGCGACTCAAGGTCTTTTCCGTTGATTGTGGAATCGTCGTTGTCCGACTCACCGATAGAAGCTACAGATTAGAGTCAAAGAACCCGGCTTTTTACATGATTACCTAGAGAAGGGTCGATGCCGAGCGTTCGCAATCTCTCGTCAATACGCGCCAAGTCAAACTCTTAAAAAGGGTTTCGATTTTTAGGGTCTTTGGCAGCTGATAATCCCGCAAGGATGAGCTTTAAAAGCGACATCCACCTGATAAGCTTCCCATTGTTACCTTTCTACGCAATAAATCAACATAACTCACATCCTTATACCGTGTTCTGACGCGAAAAAAGGAAGTTTTTGATTTATAAATGCTATTTCAGAACATTTTTTCTCTGAAATTTTACCTGAGAAAGGAGCGTTGATATCCGGCATAATTTCTTCCATTTCGGGAAGCATTAAACTTCCATTGAGCCTCTCCATATCTTCCGTATCTGGAATAGATGGATCTGGCCCTGGCAGAAACTGTTTCGTAAATTCGGTCGAATAAGATCGAGCTGGGGGAGTATATTCGCGATTTTCTTGCTTCGCTTTTTCGACTTCTTTTTGCAGCTCGATTCGCTCTTTTTCAGCTTGAAGTCTTAAGAATTTATATAATTAAAGTAATGTGATTTTGTCTTACTCTTTTGGAATGCTGAATTGAATGTCGTTCATATCGTTGAGATATTCGTCCAAAAGGCTGCTATACTTTCCAACACGATACATTTTCTCTTCATTCATTGTGGCGCTTCTCTAAATTGTCGAGGTGAGCAAACTTGAATGGAAAGAATCGAGGGGATAAGCCAATCAACGCGTCGTGGAACATTCTCAAAACAGACAGAAAGAGAAATAAAGAACTAACACGAAGTCCACTGAAAATTGAATTTTATGACCTTATTGCTGATTAGCGATCGTAGTCTGAATTGGAGGGTCGTAAAATCGCTCTTTCTTTCTCTCAGACTATTTATAATAATGAACTTTTTTTGTTATTTCACTAGCAATAAATAATTGCCTGTTTTACTAGAAATGGAAGTTGATTCGGATTATCTCAACTGTCGAACTTGTCGTGTTCGTTTCGCCGAAAGCGCGGCTCACAGAGACCATTTCAAATCGGAATGGCATTTGTACAATATCAAAAGAAAGGTGACTTGCAAATTCATGCTCATTCTTAGGGTAAATCACTAATAATTCGACTTTTTTCTGGGCTTAGTAGGGTGGGCATATAATACAGTTTTAGAAAGCCCAGGAGCTGGGGATCATTTTGACTATTGAAACTGGGGGGTGATTTCGTACCCTGAGGGCATTTAGGACCCCCGAAAGTCCCAAAATCTGGGTACTTTCGGGAATGGGATTTTTTGAGGGCGAAACTAGCTCTCTCTGATGGAGCGGTTTCTACAGATTGTAGCCCAGGTTCTGACGATCATTTTGAGCTGTTCAAAAGTATGTCCCGGGGGGGTCTAGGAGGTAGTGGCGGTAGTGCAAAATTGGGTTGAAGCCGGAAATCCGGCCTAACTGGACTCTTTTCTGATTTCAATACAATACCACTCAAATAATTACTATTTATGTACAAATAATCACTTCAGGTCACCTTGAGGTCAATTTGAGGTCACCGGGAGTCATTCGGGGTCAACTCAAAAAGGCAATTTGGGAAAAAAAATATAGTTTTTGAACTTGACCCCGAATGACCTCAAGTGACCCCAACTTGACCACACTTGACTACTTATACATATACAGTAGTAATTTGAGTGATATCGTGTTGAAATCATAAAAGGGTCCATTTTGGCCGGATTTCCGCCTTCAACCCAACTTTGCACCACCACCACCACCTCTAGACCCCTCCCGGGACATACTTTTGAACGGCTCAAAGTGACCGTCAGAACCTGAGCTACAATCTGTAGAAACCGCTCCATCAGAGAGAGCTAGTTTCGCCCTCAAAAAATCCCATTCCCGAAAGTACCCAGATTTTGGGACTTTCGGGGGTCCTAAATGCCCTCAGGGTACGAAATCACCCCCCAGTTTCAATAGTCAAAATGATCCCCAGCTCCTGGGCTTTCTAAAACTGTATTATATGCCCACCCTACTAAGCCCAGAAAAAAGTCCAAATTATTAGTGATTTACCCTACTCATTCTCTTATGATTATTTAGGTGATCAAATTAGCTCCGATAAGCGTAGAAGAATTCGTCGAACGGCAACTTTTATCGCAAGGTGGCTCCTGCGTCAGCTCTGAGCTTGGAGAAACCGACTGGTAAACATCTTTCTATATGAAAACGTCTATTTATCATCACTTTTCTATATCTCAACATCTTTATAGGTAGTACCAGATTAAACTTTCGCTCTGCCGCGGCGCCGAAGAGCGCGAGGTGCAAAACCGGAAAATCTGCGCTCCGATCTGCCACTTTTTCAGCCCCTATTAGGTACTGTGCTTACTGTAGCCGTCGATTTCAGTCGAAACGCGCCTGGCTCAACCACCAAGAAAGCCAGAAACATAAGCAGAAAGAAAACGATCATGTCAGTCGAGGAATGCAACGAATCAAAGTCCTGAGTAAGCGAAACTACAGTACTTAGATTTGCAATTCAAATTCAGCCGAGGAAGCAAGAGCTCGAGGAATGCCAGCGCCATCGCGTGATGAAATGAACGAAATACTCAAGCCTCCTCTTCGACAGAAAAAGACGACGGGAAAGGCTTGGGGACACGGAGACGCACCGCGGTACAAATGGCTCAAAGAAATCGGAATGCTGGAAAGTGACGATGACGAAGACGACTGCATCGATGAAGAAGATGACGAGTGGGAAGACATAGCAGAAGTTGATGCTCAAAGTCTCGCGTCAGAAGTTGGAGAAGCCGAGCAACGAGACATTTCTATTCAAGAGTGTCTTTTCTGTGGAGTTTTCGGGAAATCGTGGGAGGATAACTTGAGACACATGTCCAAGAAACACGATTTCAGAATTCCTGATTTGGCTTTTGTAAAGGTACATCAAGAAAATGATCACTATTCTACGGAAATTTGTAGGAACCGAAGGAGCTGATGCAGTATCTGGCCGACAAAGTGGGCAAAGGAAACATGTGCCTCGTCTGCAGCTTGGACGGAAAGGCGTTTTTCTCGTTGAAGGCGGTCAGAATGCATATGATCGAAAAAGGCCACTGTCGAATTTCAACGGATGGCGATAACGCACTAGAGCTCGTCGATTTCTACGACTTTACCAAGGCAGATGATCAGCCAGAGCTCATCAGAGATGGTCTGTCAGAAGACGAGCAAATTCCAGTTGAAAGTCAAGGCTACGAACTTGTCTTGCCTAGCGGAGCGATTCTTGGGTAAATCTTTCATTTTCAATTCACCGATGTTGATTTTTGAACTTTAGTCATCGCCAGCTGAAGAGATATTTTTCTCAACGACACGTCGAAATCAAGCATAAACCGCGCGACAACGCTCCCCCTCAATTCAAAGCAATAGGTTTTGGAGAAAATGAAGCTAGTCATGAAGCTCTGGTAGCCAAGGATCTCCGTCATGTTTGGAAGATGGTTGCGAAGAATCAAGTCAAATCCGAGCTGCGAAATAATAAAGTGTCCAGAAAGTTCTTCAAGGATCCTACTGGCTTGATACAGTAACTTATTAGTCTGATGCTTATCCGAAGGTTAATCTGTTCAAGGGTTCAATAAAATATTCTGATTGAAAATCTGTTTGACTGTCTAACTTCTTCTCGAAGGAACTCAGTTCATTTTAAAAGTTCGTTTGAATGCAGATCGGTAAAAAATATGCGCTCAATTTCGCGATCAATTGAGCAATTATCAATTAGTATTCATTAAAAAGAGCAGTTCATCCTCATTAAGTTTCCCAAACTTGGTTCAAAGGCAAGAGAAGAGAGCATGAAGATACTAACAGGTTGAGAAATTAGCGTTTTCACATAGTTAAGATCTTTTTCTAGCGTTATTCCTGACAGTCAACTTAGTCTTTGCTGCTCAGACTATTTCAGAGCCAGAGGAAGACCTCTCATTTGAAGCTATTTTTGGGCTTGAGCCGGAGCAGTTACGATTTCTAAGTAAAAGATTTCTCTCGTTTCATAACCATAATTTTGAAGTGAATGGTATTCCTGTTGTCATTCCTTACCCAAGATCAAATCCGGAAGCAAAAGAAAAGCGAGGAGCGTACGATTTGTATGAAAGAAAATCAAAGGAAGTGTTTCAATTTGATTCTCGTTTTTACGAGTTTACTAATTGATAGTATTTGGTTCTGCCAAGTTGGAACATATTATGACTATTGTTGACTCAGTTAGTATTGAAACCTCAAAGTTCAAATGCCGTCCATTCTACTGGAAATCGTACCGAATGTGTTCAGTTCATCTTCGCGCTTTGTAAATTTATTGATCATTTGAAAGAAATAAAGTTCAAGCAGGGTTGGTTGTATTATGACATTGGTATATTACATTGAATGAGGCACCGTTGCGATGCATGCAGCATGTTATCAACAAAATAATCATTTTTTCAGCAAAACCGATTATTTCAAACACGCATAATTATGTTGTTTATGAGCAAAACGAGTTACCAAACGCGAGTTGTATCCTTGAAAAAGTGGAAAATGCTTCGAAAAATTTGAAGAAGGTGGCCTATTAAACCGCTCATTTCGCTTGTTTCCGTACAGATGTTGAAGGTCAGAAGAGGCAGTCTTGTCTTTGCTTTTGGTGAGAAGCGGAGTACGGAAGCGCAAGTCAACCAAGTTAAACAACTCTTTTCATTTTCACCGAATGAGTTCCAAAAGCGAGGAAAAAGGAACGGAAAAAGAGAGCATAAATAAAAATCAGCCGAAGACGGAAACTGCGCATAAGAAAGAACCTTCTGCTAAAGATGAAAAAGAAACTGAAACTCCAAAGAAAATTGTGAGGCCAAAGTCAGGAATCAAGAATCCTGTCAGTGACAAGCCGGTCAACAAGGAATCAAAGAACGTAAATACAACTAAAGATGAAACTAAAGACGAGAGCTCAAAAGAAAACGCTGATGATCCGATGACCTACTGGAGCAAAAGTAGGAGACATAGAAAAGGGTTAAGATTTGAAGATTTATGAATTGAAGAATTTCGAGGGGTAAGGGTGGGAGAAAACTGATAGAAATGCAGATTTACTGCGAGAACATCAGTAAGCTAACACAGCCTGCGAGTTTTTCTTAGCCGAAAAATTGCGGCATGAAACTTCAATGCCTTGTCACCGAAAATAATGACGAGCAAATATCAGAGCGGATTGGAAGGGGACCGCAGAATCGACACCTCGATTCTTTTTATTCGGTAAAGGAAATGAACTCTTCCTACTCGCCTGATTTGAAACGAAAAATATCTGACCTTGAAGTTACATTCTTCTACGATTCTATAATTTCTTTAACCCGAGCTCAGCTCTTTCGGCGAGAATCGCAGTAGACGCGATAGAAAAGCAAGTGTGGATTTGTGGCTCATGGTAAAGGAAATGTCAGACAGTCGTTAACAGCGATATGTGTGATTTGTTTCGTGAGTATCTTAGTTTTTCCATTCCATAAAAAAATGATGACACTTGAAAAAGGACGCTCAACTGCTGCAGGAAAAAGCAAGGCGGAAGAAATTGGAGGACGAGGAAAAGGCAAAAGCGACAAAGAAGCTCAAGAAAAATCTCACGTAACAGCTGTTTCAGCTGATGCTTGTTGATTGATTGTTTTCAGTTACGAAGATTGGTTGCAGTCGAAGTCATCATCAATTCGTCGAGCATCCGCCACCCCGGCTTATAATTTTGATCGTCGAGGATCTTCAGCATCAGTTTCAAGTGAGTTCTATTCATCGAACTTGTGAAAATTTATTGAAAGGCGAGCGGAGAGAATCACTACCAATTATTGCGCCCGGAAGAAGAGGAAGTCTCGTGTCAAAGCATAATCCAAACAGAAGACTGTCGCATCAGGAGTGGGACGAGCTCAAGGAGGAGAAGAAACTGGCTGAGGCGGAGAAAGAAGCTCTTGGTTTTTAATATGCTCAAAAATTATATTTTTCTTAAATTATTTGTGCATCAGAAATCGAAAAGAAAATTGCAGAAAAACGGGCAGCGATATCAAAACGACGAACAAGTTTGAAACCAACGATTTCAACTGTACCCGAAAAGACTTGAATGAAAACTTTCCTCTTTTCTTATCAAATAAATGTTTATTTTTTTATCTATTCAAGTTTGCAAGGTAATTCATATTCATTTTAGTCAGATTTTATTTTTTGCAAGTCATCGGCAGACAGATTTTTGGAAACAGCAAGTAATTTTCCATTGATTTCCTTTTGGAATTCTTGACGTTTTTCTTCCTTTCTTCTTACGATTTCCAGTTTTTGTTCGTACACGAAGCATTGGTACATCTCTTCGGTTTGAGGATCGGAAACGGTGACTGGCTTGGGATTCTTCGGTGATTCGAAGAAGATCGACAGCAAACCCATTTCCTCAAGCCAAGCGCGATCCCAGTCGCCATCCTTTTCTTGTGAAATCTTCTCGGATTTTGCACATTTTTCTAGGGGATGTTGGATAAAAGGGGTTTTGCCGAGGATTTTTCGTGGTCGAGGAGTAGAGCTGTTGTTGGTAGACATTTTCTTTTTGTTGTTTTGGTGTCTTGTTTGGTTGATCTGATAGCACCGGATTTAGATCCTGGTTATATGGGGAGGTTCACCGAATGAGGGCGGTAGATCACCCAGTAGTGGCACGAACTTCATACCCCGCTGAGAGTAGAAGTCCCCTGCGTCGTTTGATACGAATCTATCTAGTAAGTAATTTATCATTTTTACTTGGTAATCAGAATCATGTTGAATCAGCTGAAATCATTGCTAATGGCATGTTCAATCACAGTTATGACAAAATATAATCGCATGCTGAGATTTATGGAAGATTCTCGGATTTTAACCAAAAACGAGCGCTGTCCGGTAAACAATAAACAAATCCTCCGTGGAGCGGTTCAGAAGGCATTTTTTCGGTAATGTTCTAAGAGCTTGCTCTTCGAGAGCAAAAATGCTTTTACCAGAGATATTATTCCTCCTGGGCCTGGCCCAGGCGAATTTTCAAGGCGCAAAGAGAATGTTTGAACATAAGTTAAGAGAATTCTAGACCAACAAGTAAGTTCTAAAGGGTTTATTTCGACTGGCAAAATGCCTTATTTTCTAACATCAAAAAGTCGCTGGTCTGTACCCGCCCATACGATGAGATTATCAAGCTCCGGGAATTGAAAAGCTTTGAGCCTCAAGAATGGAGCTGGCTCGTCAAAATAGGCGAATGTCATGGCGCCCTTGTTTCCAATCAATTCGTTGTGACTGCTCCTGCGTGTTGCTCCGGTGCGTCTGGCAAAAGTGTTATTCTTGCTGATAGGAATACAAACAAAGTCGACAAGGTTATCATCAACATGGAATCTGATGATATTAGAGATGAAATCTGCTTGATCAAATTGAAGACACCAGTTGCTTATTCTAACAGAGTCTATCCTATTTGCACGGATGACACAAACGGAGATGTCTCAAGAGCAATGAGAGCGTTTTCCAAGAATAATCTGTTCGGCAATACAGACATGGCTGTAGATTTACTCCCTCCAGTTATGTGCCCACGACTTGAGGACAACAAAGGATCCACATGCGTTGTGGGAGCAGGAGAAAATTCCTTCACCGATGGTTTTTGCCCTAAAAATCTTGGAGCTCCGATCGTTTCAGTCCAGAAAAAATCTGTAATTCTCGTCGGAATAATCACACATCCGTTTGGAGATTGCAAGCATATTCAAGGATTTGCGACGCAAATTGCAAAGGTGGAAAAATGGATTAAACAGAACATCAAGTTTCACGAAAACTTTTGGTCATTTACCAGCGCAGAAAGATTCCAAGAAGAAACGACTGGTTTTGAATTGAGCGGCAAGTCGATGCTCGCGGAAATGGGACAAAATCAATGTAAAAGCGAAATTGATGGGTTCGGTCGCTCCGGCGCTAGTTTAGTCCGCTCTCTTCAGAACAAAATCGTCCTTGACCAAATAACATCTGGAGAGATCCTCGCTGAAGAGTCCGAATTCGCTGGAAAATTCCCACCTCGAGATATGCGAACAACCGAGTTTTGGGAAGACTTTGAGCAGCGAGTGGTTGGATCGAATATTGAACCACAAGAGAACCCGTGGACTTGGATGGTCGATTTTGATGGTACTTGTGCTGGTGCCCTTATTTCTGCAGAAGTTGCTATCACTTCTGCCATGTGCTGTGGATTTATCGACCACGATACAGCTTATATTGGTGGATTTGCTGAACGAGAATCAGGAGTGAAGCGAACTATTCGTCAGAAGACCGTTTCACCTGACTTCAATCAAGGAAAGCTTCGCAATGACTTGTGTCTAGTGAGTTTTACTGAGCCACTAGAACTCGGTCCTAATCTGAGACCGATTTGTTTGCCTTCTGGTGGATTTTCTCTTGAAGATGGAGAACATCTGTTCATCGCTGGCTGGGGATCAAGGACTGTTACGGGCGCTCTGTCCGATAATTTGAGCTCAGCAGCACTCCCTGTTGTTTCTTTCAAAACTTGCGAAAAAGAATATGGTGATCTTGGCCTTGAGTTGGATAATAAAGCTCATTTCTGCGCGAATAGTCCAAACGGAGGAATCGGCCCTTGTCGAGGAGATTGGGGAGCACCGAGTGTCGTGATGCGCGCTGGTCAGCCTGTTCTAGCTGGAGTTGTCAGCTTTGGCAGAGGATGTGGACACGTCGCTTTCTCTTCTGTTTACACAAATCTTGCTTCTTACCACGACTGGATCGTTGCAACTGGAAAAGATATGTCCGTAGTACAGACAACAACGACCTCAACAACCAGTACAACCATCACTACCACAACAACAGCGCCAGAAGCTGTTAGTCTTGATGAAAACTTTACCGGAGTTACTGGAGGCTCTTGTGAGTCTGTTTTTGACACAATGTTCTCATCAACCGGACGATCGTCTATTGCAAGCGATGTTCCTTTTGAAATCGGTCAAAAAATTTCCTACTCTGATTATTTCTTGAATCAAGAAAGACGAAGCGCTGGCATTTTCGGTGGCCGACTGGTTGGCGGAGAAAAGGTAGAGGAAAGCGGTGAGTGGCCGTTTGCTGTCAATATTGCTGGAAAATGCGGTGGTTCACTGATCGGAAGAAGATGGGTAGTTACTGCAGCGCATTGTTGTATCGATGAAATTTTGACAAACACTTCTTCTATAACGATTGGAGCGAATTTTTTGAGAGATGCCACGGAAGATCAACTCTTTGCCGCGGAAGATTACGTTTCTCATCCAAGTTTCAACGAGTACAACTACAACAATGACATTTGCGTCATCAAACTCGACCGAGACGTTGAATATTCTGGCGCTGTTTCGCCTGTTTGTTTGAATGAAAATGTAGCGCACAACAGTGGCTTTCAGAATTTTATCGCTGGATGGGGTCAAACAAAAGCAGGAGGCGTTATGAAAAACTTTATCTCAGAAGCGTCGGTTGAATCGCTCAGACGATCAGAATGCAAAGAGCTTGTCCCCGATGAGTTCTTGAAAAAGAAAATGTTCTGTTCTCGCGGAAAAGGTGGCTCGCTCGTCAGAACTTGCGATGGAGATGCTGGCGGGCCTCATGTTTCTTGGAGCAACGGGTCACCAGTGCTTACTGGTGTTCTCAGTTGGGCATCTGACTGTGGCTCGGATGATGCTTTTTCGATCGTTACCAATGTTCAGGATCATCTTGACTTCATTGCTCACGCTGTTGCTCAGCTTGAAATTTTCGAGCTTGAACCCTTTGTCGACGAAGTCCTTGTTGACGAGTCATCATTGGTTAGCAATGTTGATGTTTACAAGTGTCCGAATCCACTTGATCTTTTCCAAACTATTCGACCAGCAGATACGCCCGCATCCGCTACCTGGCCATGGAAAGCAGTTGTGAATGATTACTGCGCCGGTGTCTTGATTGGTGCTTCTCAGGTCTTGACTACAGCAGACTGCTGCGGAAACCAGATGAAAGGAAAGCCAGTCAAAGTAAATGGCCAAACCAGAGCTGCATTTATCGCAAACAAAAAGGACAATCTGTGTTTGATACAAACAAGCTCGCCATTCGTAATTAACACAGACGTAACTCCTATCTGTATTGAAAATTCTATCCAAAAAGAAGTTCAATTATCTTCGGATCAATACGTTATTGTGGGTCAATTTCACGAAGAAAAACTTTCTCTCGGAGATATAAGTGGAGGAGAATTTACTTTGAGCTCGCCAGAAAATGACACTGTCTGTGACCTGCAACCTGGATCTGCCTCAGTTGCTATCGGTGGTGATGGGTATCCGATTCTTACTGGGATTTATCAAGGAAAAGCAGAATGTTTCTCTTCTGCTACTTTTACGAATATCTTCGAGATGAAAAGTTGGTTGATTGACACTGCCAAGGAACTTGGAGCTTACAAAGAAAGCAAATTCATCGACACAAATGATATTGAGCTCATGAATAACATGGAAGCTTACAAATCGGCCGGTGCTCACTGTGTCTCGCCATTTGATAATTTGGGAAATCAAGGTCAGCTCACCAGATCCGCCATTCGAAAGGACGTGAAAAAGCGAAAGAAAAACAAAAAAGAAGCTCGCCTTTCTGTTGGTTTTAACGTTCGTGACTTCGAAGATTGGAGTTTTATTGGATCAATCAATGGAACTTGCGGAATCACTTTGATTGCAAAACGCTGGGCTCTCACTTCTGCAGATTGTTGTCTGGACATTGCCGGAAAATGGATTCATTTTGGCTCTCTTGACATTGGTAACTTCGAAACAGGCACTGTTGTTGAGCCGCAAAATATCTTTATTCACCCTGACTTCAATGAGCGACTCCTGCAAAATAATATCTGCGTGGTTGAGCTCAACAATGCCGTCGAGTATTCAGCCACCCTCGGTCCAGCTTGTTTAGACACTTCTGCCATCAAACAAAGCACTCCATCAGATCCCTCTATCGGTTTTATTGCCGGCTTTGGTGGCGAAAAACTCCCTCTTAAACAAGCCCCTGTCGCAGTCATTCCAGATAATGACTGTAAAATCAGCTACGGTGAATCTTCTATTACTAGGGATCAGTTCTGCGCTGGTTATTCTACTGGCGAAGTTGATGCGTGCAAATCTGATGTTGGTGGACCATTTATGACGATCAACGCAGAAGCCGGACAAAGAAAGCTTTCTGGAATCATTTCCTGGTCAAGAGGTTGTGGTAAAGAAGGTCGACCAGCTGTTTATTCAAAAATTTCGTCTTATGCAAACTGGATTTTTGAGACAATTCGAGATGTTGATGCTCCAATTAGTATCGGAACCACGAATGAGTTCGAAATTGAGGTTGAAAAGGACGATTCCAACCCTGATTTCAACCTGGCAAGTGAAAGAGTTTTCTCGAAACTGAATATTCCCGCTCAATGCGTTCCAAATTTCAAAAATCAAGGGGCAAAGACCTTCGTCAAGAGCGACACTAAAAATTGGCCATTTGCGGTCAATATCAATCGCCAGTGCACTGGTACTCTTATCGACACAAATATGGTTCTGACTTCTGCATTCTGTTGCCAGTCTGTGTCTCCAAGCGATATTCAGAATACTCGCGTTAATATGGGCAGCAAAAAGGCTATTGGAAAGCAATCCGTTAGAATGCACAGTTTTGCCATTCACCCTCGTTTTTCAAATGTCAATGGAATCAGGAAAAATGACATTTGCCTCATTCGCCTTATCCGACATGTGGAAATCAGTGAAGAAATAAGGATTGGTTTACACTTGACATATTTACAAACATGTCTAGTCTAACTGGCAAAAGTTTAAAACCATGAAAGACCACTTTGTTTAGCGACAGAATTGCCCAAAGCGAACACGCCTGTTTACACCGCAGGCTGGCCCGGTGCTCATGGCGGGTTCAAAAAAGTTGCAAAGACAATCGTTGAGCGTGTCAATAAAAAACTCTCCGTTTCCGACTGCCGAAAAGTTTATCATGGAAAGATTGAAGATGACCAAATTTGTGTTGAGCAGTTGCCTGATAATAAAATGCTCAAGAAAACTCCCTGTGCGAAGGATGTTGGCGCGCCGTTGATCGTCATCGAAAATGGAGAACCAAAGCTTCTTGGTGTTATGGGCAAGCATCGTAATTGTGTGACAGAGAGGAACTATTTTACCAGCGTTCTCGACCATATAGAGTGGATAAATGCCAAAGTAACCAATACGCACATTTCTATTCCACCCGTGAAGCACAACCGACTCGTTGACAAGGTCGAAGATTACAGCTGTCCAAGTATCACGGATCACTTGAACCAGTTCGGCCACATCTTTGGCTCGCGTAGCGTTCGGGATACTTCTGAGGCAGCTGAAGAAGGAAGTGGAGAAGATAGAACAGATCAGTTTGATATGGATGTTGCTTCAGACAGAATTGACAACGGACACTCTGTGAATAGATCTAACTGGCCATTCCTTGGAAATCTCCACAATTTCTGCTCTGTCGCTTTGATCGGACGAGAGTATGCCTTGACCACAGCGACATGCTGTACTGCAGCGGTGAACAGAAACATCTTCTTTGGCGGAAATAGTCGACGAGACGATTCGTCGAATTTCCAAGCGTTTGTCGAAGATGTGCGTCGCCATCCAGATTTTGATCTAGACACACTTACCAATGATATTTGTGTGATCAAAATGGACCGATCAGTTGAGTACTCTGCCAATATCAAGCCAGTTTGCATCAATCCTACAGATATTGAAGAGCTTTCGACTGCTTTTATCGCTGGTTGGGACTCTTCAAAAATGCTAAGAGAAGGAGATGTTATCATCACAGAATTTTCTACTTGCAATACGGCTTATGCTTTGAGTCTCAATAAAGAACTCAATTTTTGCGCTCGAGGAAAAGAAGAAGAAAATGCGATTGACGAGTGCGCAACAGATGTCGGTGCGCCACTTATTCATGTTGTCAATGGCAGACCACTTCTTTCTGGAATCATGAGCTTTGGCGACAGCTGTGGAGACGAATCTCTTCCTGGAATATACACGAAGGTTTCGTCTTTTGTCGACTGGATCGTTGAAGCAGCTGAAGACATGGCAGTCAAACCAACAACTACAACTACCACAACGACTACGCCCGAGCTCTCTCCCGCTCAACAAGCTGGCTACTCCTCATCATGGCCTGGATTCTCTTTGGAAGACTTTTCTTTCAATTGCCGTCCAAATCTCGCTGAAATGAACGACACACACGTTGACAATAATGATGTCTCAGTCAATGCTCACACTGCTACCATAGAAAATTCATGCGCTGCTACTCTCGTCACAGAAACGCATCTTTTGACTTCTTTGATCTGTTGCTCTGATATCATCGGAAAGTTCATTCTCTTCCAAGATGGCCAGCAAAAGCGCGTAATTAACACTCGAGTTCATGAAAACGGTCTGTGTATGATTGAACTTCCAGAGCCAGTTTCTCTTTCAACTCAAGTCTATCCAATATGCATCGACGAAGGAAAGAACCTTTTCGAAGGAATCCCTGCATTCATTCACAAAGAGACAATTTCCAGATCTATTTCTTCGGAATTTATTGCTATGCCTGTTGGTCCAGGCTGTCACACGGCTGGTGGTTGCTTTGGTTTTATTGAAAGCTTTGATGCTTGCGAGAATAAGGATCCAAACAGACCGGGAAGCGCTATTGTTGCACTCCATAACATCAAGACCCCAAAACTTCTCGGTGTTTACGAAGACGGCTGCCCGGAAAATGGGGCGTTTACATCTTTCATTCATACAGGCCCTCTGATCGACTGGATGAAGGAAGCAATGAAGAGCATGCGAGATAGTACAACAACAACATCAACCACTTCCACTACAACAACGACAACAACAACGACTACCGCTGCTATTGCGCTCCTCGAAGATGCAAACATCTTAGGATGCAGTCTACAATCTCCCTTTGTTGTCGAGAGCGATGAGTCAAGATTTTCTTTAGAGAATATCTGGAATGCGAACAAAATTCTTGGCGGGCAGCAAGTTGATGAGCGAGCTCACTGGCCCTGGTTAGCTCATTTCAAGGGTGCAGCCGAGGAATGCGCTGCAGTTATTGTTGGAGACAAATTTCTTGTTACATCTGCGCAGTGCTGCGGTCTCAATATTCTGTCAAGAAACGTAAGAGTTGGTACTCTCTCCAAATTTGGCGACGATGATGTTTCTGATGAAGAGTCTCTGTTCAAAATCATGAATTTCAAGAAACACGATAGCTTCTCTGACAGGCTCTTCAACGATCTGTGTGTTTTGGAAGTGGACAGAGAATTTACTTTCTCTTCGCGTGTTCATCCCATTTGTCTCGCAGACAGTCCTCCTCTCGCAGCAGAAAAGGGCTTTGTTGCTGGTTGGGGAGTCGCTAAAGCCAATAATGACTCATTCGTTGAGTACTTCCGTGAAGCTGAGCTTGAGATCTCCGTCGGAAGTGAATGTACATCAACTTTCGAAAACAATGTCGATTTGAACATTCAACTCTGCGTTGAAGATCCTTCAGGACGAAAAGCTGCTTGCGGTGGCGATTCAGGTGCACCGTTTGTTGTGCTCGACAATGGCGTTCCTAAGCTTGCTGGCTTAATGAGCTGGGGATTAGGTTGCTTGCAAGCTGATAAACCCTCGGTATACACAAACATTGCTGCTTATCGCAGTTGGCTGGAAAACGCCATTCAGCTAATGCGACTTACTATCTCTGAATCCGCCCAAGAAGAAGTCCTTGAAGCCGAGCCCATCGCCATGTTTAACATCTCAGACGCTGGAAATTATCTCGGAGGTGTTTCAAACACGTGCGAGTCGCCCTTTGAAAGCAACGCGGGAAAACAATCTCGGCTCCTTGGTGAAGCCAAAATCGTTGGTGGCGAAGAAGTCATTAGCAAATCTTCGTGGCCATGGATCGGGCTCATCGGGCAATCATGTTCTGTCTCTCTCATCGCAGCCGACATTGGTATCACGGCTGCTCATTGCTGCTCGAATCCAACACTTATGAGCCAGTCAGTCACTTTTGGCGACTTGAGCCGAAATGGAATGACCCAGGCGAAAATGATCAAACGGCACGTTATTCACCCGGATTTTTTCGAAGCTGACTTTGAGTTTGATGTTTGCATCCTGTTCTTTCACGAGTCTGTTGAATATGATGAAAATACCAGCTCTGTTTGCTTGACCGACCAAGATGAACCCCTGCCACCAGTGGGAGCGCCTGTTTTCATCGCTGGTTGGGGTCTTGTAGAAGATGGTGGTACTATATCTTTGAATTTGCGTGAAGTCGCAGTGACAATTGTAGATTACGCAATTTGTAATGCAGAAGACGCTTACGATGGTAATGTGGCCGAAGATTCTCAATTTTGCGCTGGGCATAGCGACGGTGGCGCGGATTCTTGCCAGGGTGATTCTGGAGGACCGGTTGTTCGACTTTCTGCTGATGGCCAAAGCGTGACTCTGATTGGTATTATTTCTTGGGGTAAAGGTTGCGGTCTCGCTGGCTTCCCAGGAGTTTATACAAAACTCGCCACGGTGCGAAACTGGATTGACTCAACAATCGCCGACTACCGAATCGAATTCGCACCTTCCACAACCTCAGCCCCAATTGCTACCACCTCCACCACCACAGCTGCGCCTATCTTCGACGGTGTCACATTCCAAAAATGTGCTAGCTTTTTAGACGTTAACGAGGAGGGAGCCGATCGTTTTGAGAGCTTTGACCTTGCCGATAATGCGAAAATTATCGGCGGCAGTGAAGTTGTGGACAGAACGCAGTGGCCATGGATGGTTTCCATCGGTGATTTCTGTGGTGGATCTATCGTTGGCAATAGATGGGTCCTGACAGCTGCACATTGCTGTTCTAAAGATAAATTCTCCATCCAAAACGTCTACATTGGACACGTCGATCGGCTCAACTTGGACAGTAAAGAGGCGATCCCCATCTCAAGTTTCCGAGTACACCCAGATTTTAACGAAGAAACACTAGAAAATGATCTGTGTCTTATCAAACTCGCACGTGAGCTAGAATATTCAGATACAGTACAGCCTCTCTGTATAAATGATGAAGAATTTGACCTCGAAAGTGGAAGTGAAGCTTTTATCGCGGGCTGGGGCCTAGTCAAAGAAGATGGATCAGCTTCACAATTTTTGAAGGAAGCAAGAATTCCGATTGTCTCTAACGAAGAGTGCTCAGGTCAATGGATAGAAAACAATCGCTAAAATGAGAAATCTTTGCTTCGCAGAAGTTTTTAAAAAAGTCTATCCCTTTCAAGTTCCCTACGGAGATGACTTCAAAGCTGAAACAATGTTCTGCGCTGGCTACGCCCAAGGAGGAATTGACTCGTGTCAGGGAGATTCCGGCGGTCCTTTAGTTCTTTTAGAAAATGACGTTCCAACAGCACATGGCGTCGTTAGCTGGGGAGTTGGCTGTGGAAGAGCAGGAATGTACGGTGTTTATGCTAAGCTTGTTGATAGCAAGGTATGGATGCAGAATGCGGCCGGGGAAATGGGACATGCGGTTTTTAGGCCAACAACGACTCCAGGAAGCGCTCTAAAGTTTTATTTTTAATGTTTTATTGCGCTGAAAAATTGCGTAAGCCGAAAAACTAAACCATAAATCAAAAGAGCACTTATCAGCTCAAGTTGCAACCACACCACATCCTCTTCTGACGCTTCTCACGCCGTTCGATTCTGGCTGCGGTGCTTTCGATTTGCCACAATTCGGTACTCACGACACAGGCGCAACCGATGGGGGCAACGTGAAACCCTGGCCGTTTATGGTTCGCTTCTCCGGCAAATGCGCTGGAAGTTTAGTGTCGAACGCGCACGTTATTACATCCGCTCACTGTTGCAGATTTGAAAGTGAAGGTTTCCAATTCACCGATTTCGAGGTGGAACTTGGTTTCATTCCAAAACAAGGGCGATTTTCTGAGTCACGAAGGATCCATAGCATCTTATTGCATCCTGGAAATGTGGAAGCAAAGCTTTCAGGTGATCTCTGTCTGGTTCAACTTGATGAGCCAGTTCAATTCAACACCTTTATCAAACCAATTTGCCCAACTGACTCTCTCACTGCATCGCCTATCACTCACTTCTTCGCTGGGAAATGGACGCCAAATTCAAACACAATCGAGGAATTCGTAATGAGCAGCATGAACGAGACCTCTTGTGCCTCCGCCGTCTCGCGCTCCTTGTTTGCTGATACTGTTTGTGTTGAGGGCGACGCTCAGGTTGACCCCTGCGATACAAACTCAGGCGCACCGTTGGTCGGGGTTATAAACAATAGATTACGACTTCTTGGCGTAGCGACGGCTAGCTATGGATGCAATTCTGAGAATTTGCCGAATCTTTACTCATCGATCTCTTCCTACAGCCTTTTCTTCACAAACGGATTCCAGCAACTTGCAGATGCTACTTCAACAACAACTACCACAACAACAACCACGAGCACAACTACTACGACAACTACGACAACAACAACTATCATTCCTCATCTCGCCGATCTCCCACCAAGATGTGACTCAAAATATGATCTTCTCAACGCAAATGTCTTGAGCGATGAAGACGGCAAAATCATCAACGGACAAAATGCAAACACTGAAGAATGGCCCTGGTACGTCCAACTTCGCGGTTGCGGTGGATCAATTATCGGTCGAAGATTTGTCCTTACTGCAGCGCATTGCTGCCAGGGCAATCAACTGGGCTTTGAAGCGAACATCCGCGGTCAGAAAGTTAAAATGATCAGAAAACGCAATCATGGCGGCTTTACCATGCAGCTTGACTTCGACTTCTGTCTCTTATTGACCAACAAGCCGATTATGTATAATGACAGAGTTCAGCCCATCTGCATGATTGAGCAAGGAGGTGCACCTCCAGAACACGGCGAAGATCTCTTTGTTGCCGGAACTGGAGTTGGATCTGGTAAACGGCTCAAGGTATACTACCTTAAAAATGTTTTCTTGACAATCTTCGTTCTAGGAAGTGCTTGTACCTTATATCAACTATAGCACGTGTCGCCTTGGTTATGGCGATAGAATCAGATCTGCATCAATGTTTTGTGCTGGTTACATGGAGGCAGGGTTCTAAATCGACTAGTCGAGTTTCGACTAAAGTCGAAGTCGAGTCGAGTCTTAGTCGAAAAGACTAGCTCGACTCGACTAGACTGGTTGTTAAAATAAGTCGACCCGACTCGACTCGACTTGACCCAATGAGTCAACTAGATTGTCGACTAGTCGAAAAAGTCAAGAGCAATATTGAGGAGAAAGTCGAAAAATCTAGTCGAATAAGTCGAAAATCTAGTCGAAAAAGTCGAAAAAAATCACTATTTTGCTTTCGACTTTTCGACTACGCTTTCGACTTTCGACTAAATTTCGACTTTTCGACTAATTTTCGACTTTTTCGACTAAATTTATATATTTTTCCAGTTTTTCGACTTTTCGACTAATAAGTCGATTTAGTCGACTCGACTCGACTCGACTCGACTAGCGATTTTCAAAAACGCTTTCGACTCGACTCGACTCGACTTCTGAGATTCAGCTCAGATTTAGAACCCTGCATGGAGGGTGGCAAGGACGCATGTCAGGGCGATTCAGGCGGTCCTATCGTGCAGATAAAAGACGGCAGACCAGTGCTTATCGGTGTCGTCTCGTGGGGCGAAGGCTGTGCTAAGGAAAACAGACCTGGTGTTTATGGAAGAATCGCAAAAGCTGAACATTGGATTATTGAAACCGCTGAGGAAATGTTCCAGGCGGTACATGGAATGGACGTTGTGAATCCAACTATCACACCGACAACAACCACTACGACCACAACTACGACCACCACCACGTTTACGATCCCACTTGAGTTCCAAGAGGGTTCAGCTGAGGAGAGTGGGGACGGATCTGGAGACGGATCTGGAGAAGGATCGGGATCAGGTGACTTTGAATTCTCGGGAGAAGGATCTGGAGAGATCGAGGTCGATTTTGAGCCAGAACCAACAGGAGCGGATTCTAGTGCTAGAAACAAAATTCTTATTCAGGCTTAGAATCCAAGTGCTAGAAATTGTTCACGTTTGCGAGGAGGAATGTCCACGCTTTTCACATTGCTTCTTTGGCAAATGCATCTGCAATGAGGGATATGGTGCCCGAGAGTCGCCAGTTGATGGCTCAAGAATTTGTCAAGTAAATAACGTGGAACTGGAAAAACCGATGGCGATGGAAGTCACAAGTATTGATAAGCTTATCTCTGGGCAGTTTGCGCGTTCCACGATCGCCAGGGAGGAATTCTTCAGGAGCAGGTCCCAATTAAGAACATGATAAATTTTAAAAGCAAGCTTTTGAGACCTTGAATAGCAAATATTCCGAAGGTAGAATCCAGGGTGGCTCAGTTGTTGATGATCAGGAGAAATGGCCTTTCATGGTCACAATCAATCGTGTCATGTGCGGTGGTGTTCTCATCGGTCAAGGCTTTGTTCTAACAGCTGCGCAGTGTTGCAAGGCTGGAAATCTTCAAATGGTGCATTTCGGGAAACATATCAAGAGCAATACCTTCCTCTCGGGTATCTACGAAGATGGAACGAGAATCCATCCCGATTTCGACGAAAACTCGCTGAATAATGACATCTGTTTGGTGCACTTTTCTGCAAGTGTGGAATACGGACCTAAAGTGATGCCCATCGACATTTCAATTGAAGAAGTCGACGCTGGCCGAAACGTTTACATGGCCGGCTACGGATCTGACAATGAACACGAAAACACCCGCGAAGATCAGTTGAAAGAAGTGACAGTTCCAGTCCGCGATGGAGAAAAATGCCGCGAAGTCTATCTAAAAGAGAATCTTCTATTTGACCCTGAAACATCTCTTTGTACTGGCTCTTTCGAAGAAAAGGAGGGATCCTGCCGAGGTGATCTTGGCGGTCCAGTTATTGATGTCTTCCCGAACAATGATGGAACAGTATCGAAGAAACTTGTTGGTACTCAATCGTTTGGAATCGGCTGTGGAAGTAAGAAGTTTGGAACTGTTAATGTCAAGATGAACCAAGAGAAATTCGACTGGATTCTTGAAACTGCGAAGGAACTGCACTGCAATGTGTTCAAGGACGATATTCTCTGCAAGGTAATTTTTAAAGTAGAAAAGGTTTTTGTTGTTATTTTAGGTCGATCTTGAAACGGAAAGTGATTGCCAGCAAGGCTATGTTGAGAAGGATGGCGAATGCGTCGACATTGACGAATGCACACTTTCGGACAAAGCATGCGGCCAAGAAGGTAAATTGATTAATTGTTTTAAAATATAGTGACCTATTTCAGGTTCTTGCGTGAACATTGAGGGTGGTTACATTTGCGAGTGCTTTGATGGCTTTGAAAAGTCGCCAACTGGCATTTGCGCTGACATTGACGAATGCGCTGATGGTTCCCACACGTGTGTCGATACCCAAAGCTGCAAGAATTATCACGGTTCTTTCAAGTGCCTCTGCGAGATAGGCTTTAAGCTGGATAATGGGACTTGCATTGAAACTGAACATACGACCAAACGTAAAGAAACTACCTCCGCACTTGCCGGCTCCGAAGTCGTCTGTGAAAGTCCATTTGACGCTTTGTTCGACGCGAAGTTTTTCGAAGTCACGGGTCAAGTTTACAATTCGAAGAAACACGACGATTTTAGGTCTTTCGACTTTGATGAGTTTGACAATGCTGGAAAAATCATTAATGGCGTCCGCGTTCAAAAGAGAGAAGATTGGCCGTGGATCGTGAAGCTTCGAGGCTGCGGTGGATCTATTGTTGGTCGACGCTGGATCGCTACAGCTTCTCATTGCTGCCCTAATGGAATGCAAATGGGAGTAACCGCTCATCTCGGAAGCGATTTCAATAGCCAAGAGCTTGGAAGAGTTATTGCGTATCGCCAACACTTCAAATACTCCAGTCAATTCGATTATGACTTCTGTTTGTTGATGCTTGACAAGGCTTGGGTAATAGAATTTTAGAAGTAGCGAACCTTTCTAGCCCGCATATCCATCACGCACACTCCACTCAACTCCAAGAGTCGCTCTTTGTCGAATTTGGTATTTCCGACAGCATAAGCGGCTTAACACCATGTGAACCCATGTTATGTCTTTGCATTCGTAAGCTCCTTAAGCGAATTCGAAAACATACAAATGACCCTAAACATTACTCAGGAGCGACAGAGTTACTAAAAATTCTCACAATAATTTTTCTCTTACCCAGGAAAAAGGATATAATTTACAGCGACAAAGCAAAGCCCATTTGTATGGTAGAACACGAAGAGCCACTTCCAGAGTTCGGCCACAATTTGATGGTCGCTGGCTGGGGAACCACAGAGTCAGGAGGACAGTCTTCATTCCTTAGAGAAGCTACTGTCCCTCTCGCCACTTATGAGACCTGTAATGCACAGACTGGATACAACGGATTCGCCAAGCCAGAGAGCATGATTTGCGCTGGTTTCCAACAAGGAAGGGTTTAAAAAATTCCACTACCATTCCAAAATGAATCTCGTTAAATTGCCAGTCTCGACCTTCGTTCTAATGCAAGAATAATATGCGCCTTGCATATCAAATCGCACGTGATATTTTTTGAGCGACGAAGTAAGTCTATTTATTTTAAACCGTCTTGAGGTGGAATTGATGCGTGTCAGGGAGATTCGGGCGGGCCGATCGTATTCTTAGAAAACACGGAGACTGGCGTGCCAACACCGAAATTGATTGGCGTAGTCAGTTGGGGATTTGGCTGCGCGAAGCCGAACTTTTTCGGCGTTTATGGACGAATGTCAAGGGCTCATCGATGGTATCTTGACGCTGCTGAAGAGATGATGGTAGAAAAGATCAACATCTTCACCACAACGACAACTACGACCACAACAACAACCACAACGACCACTACGACTTCTACCACAACGTCCCCAGGTCCGACAACAACAACTACACCTGGTCCAACAACCACAACGACTACTACGACTACGACTACAACAACTACTACAACCACGACAACTACAACTACAACAACAACATCGACGGCTGCAAACTTCTTGCTGGAAGCTTCCGGATCTTGCTCAAGCTCAATCGACAAGCTTTACGGAGAAATGGAAGCGAATTTCACTGGAATGCCTGGAATCAACAGAATTGTTGGTGGGTACCAAATTGAAGGAAATACCTGGCCGTTCTATGTTTTCATTGATGGAGAGAGTAACAGCTGCGGAGGAACCATTATCGGTCACAGATTTATTCTTACTGCTGCGCATTGCTGCAAACAATACAGTAGAAAAGAGAAGACCATTATTCGAGATCCAATTACTTTGGAAGAAATTTCAGGCATTATTGACTTCAGGTACAGTAACGCGAAAATTCAATTTACAGAGAAGATACTAAACGCACAATTTTAAAGAATCCACGAAGGATTTGACGACTTTTTCAACCACGATTTCTGTGTTATTCTAGCTGACGCTGATCTCACCGGCGCGAATCAGGAACGGTTATTATTTTCTGAAGCGGTATTTGTGCGTGAAACCAAGTTAGTAACGCTAGAAGTACCTGCTATCTCAGATAGCCTATCTGCTATACAAAATGAAACCATTCGTAAGCCTACTCGAAGCCACGTTTGTCTTTATGACGATAAAGAGTTCTTGCCAGGTCTGCCAAAATAATCGAATATCAACAAAACTAAAATATTTCAGCAATGGGAACAGAATTATTCGTTGCGGGTCGCGGCCAAACTTTTGAAGCTGATGAAAAGGGATTCCGAGAAGCAAGAGTGGAACTAACCACATTCACATTCTGCAACAGCCAGGTTTAGCTTTTTGTCGCGATCATGTTCTACAAGAATTAAGGACGTTTACAGAGGCGCTGTAAATCCGAGAACAATGTTCTGCGCCGCAGTTGAAGAAGGAGGTATTGATTCCTGCCAGGGCGACTCTGGTGGCCCAGCTATCCACGTGGAAAATGTCAATGGAATTCCAACAGGTTATTTTACATCTATTCTTTCTTTTTTCTATCCCTCAGCTCGTCAAATTGGAATCATCTCGTGGGGCAAAGGTTGTGCCGAAAAAGGATGGCCCGGTGTTTACGCCCGAGTTTCATCTGCAAATGAGTGGATTCATGATTCCGTTGTAAGTTTGATCGAACAGCACGTTTTCAAAACAACAACTACGACCACTACGACGACAACGACAACAACGACTCCTTTCAGGCCACCGCCACTATCAGAGCTTAGCTTGCCAGACTTTGATTGCCAGTTCTTAGGATTGAAAATAGAGCTCAAAATTTGCAGTTACTTTTCTTTAAAAATTCTCAAGATCTTCTTTCATGGGAATCAAAAATTTTCAATCCTTATCAAAGTCTTTCCTCGACGAAGAAGGCATGCGAATAATGGGCGGGTCTGAAACCACTTCAGAAACAGCTTGGCCCTTCATCGGCTCGCTGAATGCTGAGTGCGGAGCAGTTCTAATTGGAAAGCACTTCGCGCTTACTGCGGCTCACTGCTGTGTTGATGGTGATTTGAAAGTATGTACATTGAACAAGCAGAATTTCATTTTAAAAATGGGTTTGGGTGTCTATTTTGAACGTTTTCGCCAATTTTAACAAATTTTCCAGCATCTGCTGTTGCTAAAACCGTTGTTTCCATTGATAATCAAATTATCTTCGTAATTTCGTAAATTCGTGACAACAGATTTTCTCGGATCTTAGAAGGCGGCCCGGCCTTCTATAATTGTTCATGCTTCAGCTTGTTTTAGAAATACAGAAAAAGTAAACATAGGCTTAGTTACATTCAACAACTTTTAAACATGCGTAAACAGTTTACCGTAAACCTGATAACATTGTAACCATTCAATTTGCAATACAACCTTTTTTTCAGAATCGCGAATCGACAGTTGTCTTTGGCACATCAAGTTTAGTCGATGGTTCTGGCCACCGAGCTGTTATCGATTCTTTCCGATTCCATGAGGATTTCAACTCGGAGTCTATGCACAACGACATTTGCGTCCTCCACTTCGCCGAAGAAGTCCCCTACGGTGAAAAGATCCAGCCAGCATGTTTCGCTTCCTCCGGTATGCATATTTTCCAGAATGGATACATTGCTGGGTGGGGAAAGACTTCCGAAAGCGGATTCCAGTCGACAGAGTTATTGGAGGCCGTCGTGCCCATTGTGGGGACACTCGAGTGCAACACTACTTACAAGGTACAATTTGACTCAAAATTGATGATAGAGGAATTTTGATTTAGGGTTTGATCAACGAGAACCAGTACTGTGCTGGATACAGAACAGGAGGAGTAGACGCTTGCAAGGGCGACTCTGGAGGACCATTGATTCAATTAGACTTCAACAATCGACCTCGACTAGCTGGAATCGTTTCGTGGGGTGATGGCTGTGGAAAAGCAGGCAAACCGTCCGTCTACACAAAAGTTCAGCCGTACCGTTCCTGGATTATCGAAAGCGCGGAAATTCTAAGCGGCAAGCGAACGTGCGCCGACCCACGTGATCATATTCCATCCGATCCTGAAGTACAATATCACTGCGATGCACTCACAAATATTTGCACCGTCACGTGTTCTAACGGCGCCACACCAAATATTCCTCAAGTTGAATGCGAGAGCACCGTTTTAGCGCGAAGAGGCAGTGGGGAGGAAAAATGGAAAGTTCCTGGATTCAGGAAGCCTTTCTCAAGCGGGGGTCTTGTTCGAGGAGGAAGAGGAATCATGAGTCCTGGTGCTGTTTCAAGAGCGACGAAAAAGGCGCAGAAGAAAGCGAAAAAGGCTTTCAAATCGAGTGAAAGGCAGAACAAGAAGAAGAAGAAGAACCGTGGTCCAACAAGGCCGCCAATGACGACTACAACTACCACCACAACAGCTCACTCGCCATCTTTCTTCGGCAGTAGCAACTCAAAGACTGTAGAAAGCGTGGTGAAATGCGCCGTAAAGGTAGAACAACTGACGTGCGGCAACCCAAGAGACTTCTACACAGCGCCAAATCTTGACTTCGAGTGCGACGATAAGAAATTGGAAACTTCCTGCTTCGTAGATTGCGTAAACGGAGACAACCCAACGAGTACTCAAGCAAAGTGCTTCATTTCGGGCGGACAGGTTCGCTGGTCCCCGTCTACGCTCTCTTGTCGAAAGCCTGCTGCTACTTCTGGTTCGTAAAATTTAACAAGAAACCTATCTTGACCTCAATTTCAGCCCCTCAATCAGCAATGACAGCTTGCGGAGATCCGAGAAACAACAGTGCATTCTCCTTCTCTGGCCCTGTGCAATTCGACTGCACGCCAAAACAATGCGGGTATGCTTAAAACTATTTTTAAAAACTGCATCTCACGTTTTTCCAATTTTAAGATTCGGCTGCCCAAGCGGCTGTACCGCTGAATTCCAAGGAAGAAAATTCAAAAAGGTCAAATGCAAGGCCAAAAAGGGTCGAACAAAGTGGAACCCAAAAAGCGGCTCGTTCAACTGCATCTGCTAAAAGTCATTAAAATTTGTACAAGATCTTCAAATAAACTCACAATCAAGGCAAAAATTCTTTGAAGGACCCGGTCATGACGCGTTTTCTAAACTCAGAAAAGCCTGGCTTATCTTCATGGCACGTATGTGCTCAGAACTTTGGACAGCGGACACGTCAGATTACGAATTAATCCGTATTTCATTTCGGAGGGTGAATATTTTCATTACCGCAAAGTAAAATTCGAGAACCTAAGTTTTTGAGATGAATTTTTTATAAACAGAATTGAAGATTTTCTTGTAACAAATAGAAAAATACGGAGCTTCAAAACAATAATTTTATTGTTTTCGCTATGCAAAAGAAGGTACGGAAAAGGGTTGAATACGTCGATTCAGAAGTATTTAGCAGTCGGCGATTCGGGAGAAGATGTTTCGCATTCGGTTGGTTCGCTTGGCGAAGGTGTTGGGGAAGTTCTTCTTGGGGTAGGATTCGGGGCAGCCGAAGACTCGGATGTAGGATCGGAGAGCAGAGGCGAGCTGACCGTTGAGCTTGCAGAAGTCTTCCTGGTCGAAGACGAGGACGGAGTCGGCATCTTCCTCAGCTTCTGGGCATGGGTAGGTGGTGTCGAGATCCCGGGCCTGGGCGAAGACTCGGTCGACCCACTTCTGGGCTCGGGCGACGTTCTTGTCGGAGGTGGTGGTGTTGTTGTCAGCCAAGTCGAGGAGGGTGTTGGCGATTTCTCTGGGCTAAAATTTCTTAAACAACTTACTCTTTGTTCTTGCCAGCAGCGGCGACGACGACGAGAGTAGCGGCGAGCTTCATTTTATGTGATTTTTTTTCTTTTTTATTCCTAGATTTTTAATCACCCGGATTATATATTGTTGCCTTCTGAGAGTCAGCACTTGGTGGTGCTGATGCTAGGTCACTCAAAAGTACCTCCGGCACCACGTTTTGCTAATAAACACTACATAGATTTCGTCAGACAAGACGTCTATTTTTAGCTTTTTCTGTAATAAGGACCCGTTTCTTAGGCAGTAAGAAAGCTTTCTTTGATTATAAAATAATGATTTAAAATAAGATATTCTAAATAAAAGCTCAAGTTATTATTCATAAATACTAGAATTTAAATACAAAAATGTTTAATAAAAAACTAATTAAAATAAAAGAAATGTCTTTTTCAAAACAATAATTTTATTGTTTTCGCTATGCAGAAGAAAGTAAAGAAAAGGATGAAACAGTTGAATCAGAAGTATTTAGCAGTCGGCGATTCGGGAGAAGATGTTCTTCATTCGGTTGGTTCGCTTGGCGAAAACGTTGGCGAAGTTCTTCTTGGGGAAGGAGCCGTCGCAGCCGTAGGTTCGGACGAAGGATCGGAGGGCAGATCCGAGCTGGCTGTTGAGCTTGCAGAAGTTGTCCTGATCAAAGACGAGGACTTCGTCGGATTCTTCGGCAGAGGGGCAAGGGAAGGTAGTGTCGATCTTGGCGACATCGGCGAAGACCTTGTCGACCCACTTCTGGGCTCGGGCGACGTTCTTGTCGGAGGTGGTGGTGTTGTTGTCGGCCAAGTCAAGGAGGGTTTCGGCGTGTCCTCGGAGCTTGTTGATTCGCCTGACGGGGCTAAAGAATTGATTTATTCCTTGTTCAAAATATTCAGTTTCTCTCTCTCTGTTGACTTTTCTTGCAATAACTTACTCCTTGTTTTTGCCAGCAGCGGCGACGACGAAGAGGGTGGCGGCGAGCTTCATTTTTATATTTCAAGTTTTTATCTAACTTAATTTATTGAAGGTCTCTTCGTTCATTTTATACTGTTTTCGTATCCATCGTGCGCTTGGTGGTGCTGGTGCTAGGTCACTTCGTAAATGCAACCGTTGCATTTTCGACAGCTCCGGGCTAACTAACGCTACATGAGTTTTGCAATTCTTTTTTTAGTAGATCGTTAATGAGGCCAGTTTTATTTTAATTTTGAAAGACAAAAAATCAAAAATATACAATTCTGATTCTTCAAGTCTTCATGAAAATGCCTTGATTGATAATTTAGAACCCTCGCGTCCACCATTGTTTCTTTCTAAATTTCCACGTGCTTCAAAAGATTCACTCGTGAAAATAAGTCCGACAATCAAAAATTCAGATCCTACCGCTGCTATTAACGAATAAAAAAAGTGACAGCCGGTGATTTTTGAGGCTTTTTATAAGTATTTGATTTTATCTCAGATTTATAATCGCCAGCTCAAAATTCATGGATAAAAACAAAAAAAAATGAAGCTTGCTACGGTCTTTTATCGCAGCTGTATTCGCTTAGAAATAAGTTATTTCAAATAACGAAAGATAGCTTTCGTCAGAAATACGCTTGAAAATTAGATAATTTTTTAGCCCGGAAAAGCGGATCGCCAAGATGCTTTGCTCGAATTGCTGATTATCAAAATAAAAATAAATTCATCTATCGTGTTTATTATTTTTGATCAACTTTGTAAATGATCAAAACGCGGAAGCAAAGATGCCGTTCTTATAGTAAGAAGATATATTACTTCAAGAGGTTAAGCATGCGACTGCTCTGACCCGCAACTCCTGGCGCGCGCCACCTTGTGTCGCACCACCACCGCCAAAAATAGTATAAATCTAAGAATCGGCGGCTGATAAATCATTGTAATTCAGATATTTGAATACCAACATCACCAAAAATGAAACTCGCCGTTGCCGTCTTCGCCGTCGCCACTGCTGGCAAGAACAAGGAGTAAGTAGTCAACAACTAGAGATATTAAATATAAGCATTTATGCTTGAATGATATTATTGATCGTAAAATGTGCAAATATTCATCTCGACTTTTAGCCCCGCCAAGCGATTGGCTAAGCTCGAAGGACACGCCGCTACCCTCCTCGACTTGGCTGACAACAACACCACCACCTCCGACAAGAACGTCGCCCGAGCCCAGAAGTGGGTCACCCGAGTCTTCGACCAGGCCAAGGATCTCGACACCACCTACCCATGCCCAGAAGCTGATGCTGACGCCGATGAAGTCCTCGTCTTCGACCAGGAAGACTTCTGCAAGCTCAACGGTCAGCTCGCCTCTGCTCTCCGATCCTACATCCGAGTCTTTGGCTGCCCCGAATCCTACCCCAAGAAGAACTTCCCCAACACCTTCGCCAAGCGAACCAACCGAATGCGAAACATCTTCGCCCGAATTGCCGACTGCTAAACATTTTAACCGTTCTGGAATAAATACGCATTCGTTTATACATAACCCCCTGTCTCTTCATTTTTCTTTTGACATTTTTGAAAATCAGAAAAATGAGCATTTTATTATTTTATTTGGGAATTTAAAGGAAGCGGGAAGGTTTTTAACAGTCACCAGCGCGGGAGAAAATGTTCTTGACGCGATTTGTTCGTTTGGCGAAAACATTTTCAAAGTTCTTCTTTGGGTAGGTCTCCAGGCAGCCGAATTTGCGGACGTAGGATCGAAGTGCGCTCTGAACTTGGCCCGTGAGCTTGCAGTAGTTGTCCTGGTCGAAGACGAGGATATCACTGGCTTCATCGGCATCGACGGTCTCGCAGAGAGTGACGTTAATTTGGCCAGCTTGTTCAAGGAGTTTGTCAACCCATTGAACAGCTCGAGCAACTCGAGCGTCAGAAGCAGTGGTGTTATTCTCCATCAGATCGAGAAGAGTCCTCAAGTGATTGCTAATCTTGTTCAATCGCTTTTCAGCGCTAGAAATGGCTGGATCATTGAGTCACTAAATCTGTCTTACTTTTGAGCGGAAGCGACGGCAACAAAAAAAGTGGTGAGTTTCATTTTCAAAGAAGATAAAAAATTTTTATGAGACAAAGCTTGATGCTGACCGTTTTTATACTGGCAATCATGACCAGATGCGCTAGAGGGAGACCAAAAGATTTTTGATTACAAGGATAAACCTAACCACGAGCTATTCAAATTTCACAAATAGTTGCGGTATAATTTAACACCATCACCTCACGTTTTCATGCTTTTCTGAACAAAAACTGAATTTTTAAGTCTGAAAGTCAGCATTTTTAAACGTTTTTAAACGTTTTTATTAAAAATTTTTATTGAAAAATAGTAAAGTTAGTACAAAAGAAGTTTGAAATAAGAGTCTCAACAGTCGCCAGCGCGGGAGAAAATGTTCTTGACACGGTTCGTTCGCTTGGCAAAAACAGCTTCGAAGTTCTTCTTTGGGTAGGTCTCTTTGCAGCCGAAGGTGCGGACGTACGATCGAAGAGCGCTCTGCACTTGGCCAGTGAGTTTGCAAAAGCTCTCCTGGTCGAATACGAGGGCATCACCAGCTTCATCCACAGCATCGACGGTTGCGCAGAGAGTCGCGTTGATTTGGCCAGCTTGGCCGAGGAGCTTGCTGACCCAGGCGTTTGCTCGGGCAACTCGAGCGTCAGAAGCAGTGGTGTTATTGTCCATCAAATCAAGGAGGGTGTCCATGTGGCCGCTGATCTTGTTCAGTCGCTTTTCAGCGCTAGAAATTTGCATTTAGAAATTTATTCAACACCAGATCTATCTTACTTTTGAGCAGAAGCAGCGGCAACGAGAAGAGTAGTGGAGAACTTCATTTTTCAAGAAAAAAAAGAGTTTTTTGGTCTCTAGTCGGATTATGTCTTGCTTGACAAAATTTGATGCTGGATTGACCACGTCTATCTGTTTTATACTGAGTTTATCAGCAGATGCACTAGGGGGCACTCACGTTAACTCTGTTTGTGGATGGATGTCCTTATCTACACTAGAATCGTGGTGAGCGAAAAAAGGGTGAAGGGGGAATAAAGCAATAATGATGAGCTTCCATTTTTAGGCCGGGTTCCGTCACCAAATCCTTCGAAATCCTTCGGATTTTCCATTTCAAACCTAATCCTACCGCAAAGAATTTTAAAACGGGCACATCGTTGCGGTATTATTAAATTCAGAATCGCGTAAGACATGTTTTCAGGCTGTTTAAAAGTCGTGTTTTTAGGATCGTTTCATATTTTTTATTAAATAAAAGAAGACAATGTGAAATAAATAAGAACCGTGTTTTGCATGGCATATAATTAACATTCGTTTGGCTTGAAGAAAGACAAAAGTAGAAGGAAAGAAATTGTGAAAATAAAAAAGTTGAAAATTATTATCAGTCAGTGGCAATCAGTCACGGTAATCGAGGTTTTTTGCGTTTTTTTTTGTTCGTTTTATGGTCTTGGTTCTTGAAAATGCTGCTGATGATGATTGGGAGGAAATTTTGATAGTCTAGCAAAAATTATAGAACAAGCAATAAAAAAGATCGGTTGAAATGTTGAAAGCAGTGGAACTTTTTTGGCTTTTGTGTTTTTTGAGCTTTGTTTTAACTTTAGACGGAGGAGATTGTGGATCCGGAGCTGCCAGAATTGCCGAAAGAGACGATTGAGAAGCGCTCCATGTCCATTGTTAGATCCACTAAAATTTTAATAATAAAAAAGGCTTCTTTTCAGTATTTGAGAAAGATCGATTTATGTGTCGTGGATGATTTATTGCTTAAAAATGACTTCGAAAATGATCGATGACCGGAAAAGAAATCGAAAAGCGGAGGCAGATTTTTGCGACACTATCAATTTAACTTTGGCTGGCTCATTCCAGGACAAAATTGACTTACTATGCTCAAGATTACTGAGGCTTGGTTTTTTCTTGTGCTGCTTCTGAATCTTTGTTTCTCGCGAGCAGCCAAACGCGACTTTGAATCTTTGGAAGCCAAGGGACCAGAATTCTGCGAATCCCAATAGTACGGAAATGCTCCCTAAAAAGAATTAAGGAAGAATCTCTTGATTAAAAAAACTAACCAACTATAAACATGAACCAAAGGAAGATTGTCTTTTCGTATGCCCTAGAAATCCAACACTCTGTTGCTTGAGGACAAGGGTCTCCGATGCAAATGTACTTTAGCGGAACTTGGAAACCGAACAGGTAGTACTGTAGCCACAGAAAACCGCCTTCGATCGCGGTTCTTATCAGCACTTGAGAAAATTTAGAAATGTAATTCGTAAGTGTTTACGGTAAGCGCTAATTTGAGTGCTAAAATTGAAAGCATCAATTACCTTGCCACCAATATGCACGCGCGATGTCGGGATGATGCAGCGGCCTGTACTTTCCGGGAAACTCGGAAGATGGAAAAGGCTTCCGAGTTGAAGGCGATCTTTCAATGTAAGTAACGTACTTGTTGTTTTTCCCATCGTAGACTGGATATCCTGCATTGTCGTTGTCTGTAAAATACAGAGGCGGATCTCCAACGCCCAGATGCGCGTTTGGACCAGACCCGTTCGGCTGAATAAGCCTATCTTCCTCGTCTGGTTTCGTTTTCAACGGGGACATTGTATGGCGGGATATACTTCCGGGATCGGAAAAGTTCGACTTTGGCGCTCGACTTTTATGACCAGAGTGATTTGAGCCTGCGTGTTTTCGATTTCGGAGAGAGTTCATTACACGGTGCTTTTTCTTGTGCGCCCTTTTTGCTAGCTTTTCTTCCCTCTCCCTAAAATATTCTAGCGGCAAAAGAGAAAAGATTTGCTCACCTGATTTTAGTAAACTTTGCTTCATCTTTCTTCCTTTCGTTCCTCGTTATCAAGTTGGTAGCATAAGCAAGAAAGACAATCGGAGGAGTGGCAGTTATGATCACCATCGCAGACCAAAATCGCAAATGCGAAATCGGAGAAAATTTACTATAGCAGACCTTGAAGTCAGATTTTAGATTCAGAGTCCCGACGCGAAGAAATTTCAAACCTGATTGCAGCCAGGAGTATTCGTGTTGCAAACGAACTGATCTTGTTCATCTCCGTACACTTGATCTCCCACCCTGGCTATCATCACCATTCGGAAGGCAAACATGACCATTATCCATCTACGATTCAAAGTTTAGTTGAAAATCAAAATGTGAAGAACATTTTTTGGGTACCAAATTAGCCTAGAATCCTTGACATTTGAAAAATTCTCACGGCAATAAGAATAAGGGCGTCGCCTCTCTACTTCGGTGAATATTTCGGGTTAGCTGTCCTGTTAAACGTGGTAAAACGAAAGTTATCTGTGTTGAAAATTACGATAACAGTGAGCAAATGAGAACGTCAGCAAAAATGAATCTATCATTGACATGTTCAGGCACGGGCTCAGTGTTTGGGGCTAATCCCATGGGCAACAGATCCGCTTTTTATCTGCAGGATTAATCTTTTAATGCTGCTCCTGCTGATAGGAGAAAAATACTCGTTAAACCGAATGATAACGTTCGTAAAAAGGGTTCTATCTGAGGCTCTAAGTGAGCGATTTCTGCGCTCTGCGCTTTTTGATCTTTGAACTTACAATTTGCCAGGAAAAGTGGAGATTTTCCTGCAATTCTCCAGTAGATTGTGCAGCACATGCCAGGCCATGTTTCTCTCTTTTCTTCTTGGCTTCTCTCGTCGCGTTTTCTCCTTCGCTCAAGTCATTTCCTCGTTGATCTTTTTTAACAAGCCACGGAAGCAAATTGTAGATCGTCGCGGAACAGAACTAAACTATCTACTGTTACTCTATTATTCTGAGTCTAAAACAAGCAGATAACAAAACGGTTTATGTCACTAAATCGCTTCATTTGCGTTTCAGAACGTAAAACTTTCTTTACGCTCGTAAAATTATTCGTAAAACGGACGTTTTTCTACGTACGCTGTAGTTTTTTTTACTACAGATAAGATCCGTTCTGGCAGCTAGACGGACACTTGGTATATCCTCACTGTCAAAATTAGCGAAATTCTCGGAAAGCCTTACCGATTTTTGAAAGAAAAAATGTCTCTTTATCGCGAAAAGTGCTGAGAAAAAAAGTCTGGCAATTTACGATCTGCTTGGATAAGGATTGGCGCTTTCTAAGCTTTTGAATATATATTTTTCGAAAAGAGAGGGAGGCAGCTAATTTTCCAGCTGATTTCATCGAGCGTCGATTCAAAAGCAAAAGCAAAACCACTGAACCCCTACTTGAGATCTACTTTAGGGTATTTTAAAAAGATAAAGATGTTTACTCTGTAATTTTCTCAAGACTGACGTATGAGAAGTCAACTGTTAAAGCTTTTTATGATGAAAATTCTTGGAGGATAAAACATTTAGTAAAATATATTATCAGTAATTCAATTGATTATAAAAAAGCCATAATTATTAAAAGAAAATATTCCATAGATAATTTAATAAACGAATAAAATCTTGAATTTAGATTGAAAAGAAATCCCGCATAATGCTAAAGGTAGTGAAAACTTATCTACTGTAATTCTAGCCGACTAACTTTGATGAAAACAACACCTGATCAAATTGAATTTAACTTTTTCCCTCGAAGGACCTCTTTTATCCAAAGTCGGGATATAAAATCTGTCTATGGTTCTTTAAGAAAATCAGTGAGACAATGAACACTTGCGTGAGAAACTGCAGAAGGTGAATAGTTCTGACCTAAGTTGGGTGATTAACCTCCTTCAAGTTTTACAACGGCGCTTTGCGGTGTCTTTATGAAAAAAATAAAATAACGACCAAAAGAAATGTCAATTATATATTTCAATATTTGTTTGTTTATTTTGTCTCTCGCTCGAAAATGCTAGTTTTCTTCAGGTAATATATCTGTAACAAAGGCTTACCGTCTTGTTTGTGAGGCAATACTGTTCTCTGAAAAAATGGGAGACATTGAAAGTTGCCCTTGAAGCAATTTTTGGGTATGATTTCTGCGGCTAATCCCCTGCTGAGAATCCGCCGTAAAAGGTGTCGAAAGTAACACGGTCAAATTTACTCGCTGATTTATCGAATTAACGTACCTTAATATCACAAGTTCTAGTTTCTCTTCCAGGAAAAATAAAAGGAAAATTGAACTAAGTCCGTAACATAAAGGTTGTCAGAAACGACAAAACTGGCATTTTTGTGGATAGTATTCTCTGAACACGCTTTCCAGACAGATTTAGTCTGATGACCAAAATTTTTAATTGAGAAAAAAAATAGCCGGATCGATTTTCTAGCAATAAATTTCTCTCTAACCTTAGCTTGAAGTTTCGCTGCAGCGAGATACGTGTTTCTTCAGTAAGCGGGCTGGCCTCTTACTGTAACGGTTAGTAGCTGATGACAAGTTCTTGCCTCCTCACGGCCTTACACGGAAATACACGAATTTTATATTAAGGGTTGCTTGACAGCGCGCTAAGGGGCTTCGGGCTCACTGTCGACTTCTTGAATAAATTTAAATTTTCTTCTGGATTAAAGTATTCTCTCTGTGTGTGTATCAAAACGGCGGAGAAAAACAATAGAGATTATATTTTGGGCGTTTTTTGTTTAGAGCGCAAGAATAGAGCTCAATTGAGATTTTACTTTTTTTAACGAGGAAAAGGTATACTCTGCGGGTAGAGCCTGAGTTTAAAGAGTTAAACGCGAGATGGAGATGAATGAGCCTCTGACGGGCCCGACGACGATGACCGGTTAAGAAAACGTAAAGTGAGAACGCTTTGAGAGTGATCAATCTTCATTCCGCGTTTGATTGCTGACACGAGTTTTCGCACGGAGTTTGTTTATCAAAAACGCTGCAAGTAACTTTCAGGGTGCAAAAAGCAAAGGAGTGATTTATGCGTTGCTCACCTTATCATCACCTTGTTGAGGTTGATGGAGGACGGGAGAATAGCGAGGTCAAACTCTACGAAAAATTATTTTTCCCATGATTCCGCAGTTTTCCACCTGCGGAAGTGGCGGCATGCAATTCATTTTAAGGGTGTGACAAGTGAATGAATCCTGTCATTTGGGATTGGCGCGATAAATTGTCAGCCAATTTGCAAAACACAGAAATACAGAAAAAATCAACCGTGTGAAAATAAACTGAAATAAACTTACAATTAGCTAGACCCTTCTTCTTTAAAATGAAACTCTCTGTATTTTAGAAACTCGATATTATTTTTTCTTCCATTTTTGTTGTTTTCTCGACCCTTTGGGAAAAAAATTCTGGCACAGAGGTGCCCCCTTTTCCGCCCATAAACAAAGCAAATGCCGTAAAAAGTCATTGATGCCTGGAGTAATTACTCGCGTGGGGATTTCTTTGAACCTTTCGACAACTTGAAACCTTGACTCACTGGATAGTTTTGGCATGTTTCTCCACTTACCCTCGTTTTTCAAGCTTTTTTGCTGATCTCTGGAAGCTTTTTCCGCCTTTTGTGGTGATTTCTGACTCCGTAATCGGAAATCTGAGCGGGATGATGGCTCTAACGCGATATATAATATTTCGCCAAGAAATTCGCGAAAATTGGACAATTGACGCCTTCAAAGGCTCAATTATTCTGGGCGCGCTTGAACAACTTTCGAATTTCACATCAATTTGTGAATTTACAACCTGCTAAATTGGTACAGCTCGTTTTCGTGTGATAAACTTTCTATTCTAGCTCCACAGGTTCTTCTAGCAAGATTGATCGCCACTCCACTTTGCCACCTGTTCTCCCTAATTTAAGCTAAACAACTTGTATCCAATTTACGAGAAATTAAGCCCCTCCGTTGAATCGCTGATAAGGAGCTCCTGTTGGAGTTGGAGGGCGCTCACGTTAATTTCTGCTGATAAGGAGAACTATAAAACTCGGTGGGAGATTCTAAGCAGCATCAACTTCCAGTGAACCAACACAGGAAAAAAAATACAATAGCTCTTTTTAAAACTCGAAAATGAAAGTCACCGCTCTCCTCGTCGCCGCTGCTTCTGCTCAAAAGTAAGTTTCTTCCTTGATTTCAGCAACCAACTTCGAACTATCACTAATCTTCATTCTAGCGCCGAAAAGCGATTGAACAAGATCAGCAGACATATGGACACTCTCCTCGATTTGATGGAAAACAACACCACCGCTTCCGTCGCCAGAGTTGGCCGAGCAAACGCTTGGGTCACCAAGCTCCTCAGCCAGGCTGGCCAAATCAACGCCACCCTTTGCGCCACAGTCGAATCCATCGACGAAGCCGGTGATGCCCTCGTTTTCGACCAGGAAAGCTACTGCAAGCTCACCGGACAAGTGCAAACTGCCCTTCGCTCCTACGTCCGCACCTTCGGCTGCCCCGAGACGTACCCAAAGAAGAACTTCGAAGCTGTTTTTGCCAAACGAACGAACCGCGTCAAGAACATTTTCTCCCGCGCTGGTGACTGTTGAGACATTCATTTTCAACTAACTTTTTTGTACTTTCTTTTGTAATAAACCTTTTCAATTAAAAACCTTGTTGTTCTTGAAAGCTTTTACTTGACAAAAAAGCTTGTTCTTCGTCAAGAAGGATGATTAAAACGGTGAATTTTATTCATAAGTTATCGGCAGCTAAAGAAGCGCAGTCAGAAAAGTTACCAGTCTCCGAACAGCAAGCTCATTGTCTTCCCCATAAAAGAGTTGTCCTGAAACGAACGTTATTTCAAACAGTAAAAAGTAGGGGCTACTTTTTTAGGAGCGTTGGTTTCATTAGCGTAGTGATTGGTGGTGCTCATGCTGTGGCCTGCGACCGAGTGCATGCGGCGCATTCCTCGCCGGGTGGGCGTTCCGGAGATGGATGGGGAGAAGCTGTTGAACGATCGGTCCCCGAGAACGCTTCGGTTCCGCGGCGGTACGTTTTCAGACCCAGTTTGGTTCGCGCTGAAGGTGTTTCCGAACTAGAGAAGTTTTTGTTAGAATTTTGTTTTCGGAGAGGGGCATTTACCTTTGTCATATCTACTGAAGCCACTTGTTCCTGTCCTGGATCTACGATGCAGGGTATCACTCCTATCATGATGTTTCCGTCAATGATCTTTCCATTTTTACTCAAGGCCTTTTGAGCTTGCATTTTATTCGAGTACTGTACGTGAATCCAATTAGCATTTTCGGTCTAAAAGGCGCATTCAAACTCTTGTGATCATGAAAATATCTCTACCTGTGGTATGTAGTTGACAATGACGCCGTATTGTCTAAATTGTCGAATTATAAACGCCTCAGCAGCACTTGGAAATCCGAAAATTGTGATCCAAGTAGGATCGCTCGTCACGCGCCCTCCGTTTTGAAAGAACGGATCCAACTGAGTCGGCGACTGAAGAATGGGATTAAAAATTAAAAAAAAAGATATCTCTTTACTTTTGGAGCGCCGTTTTGAGTGTGTTGATTGATGGACGTATTCTGCTCTTCAGAAATTATCATTGATGCATTTCCGCCGACAGATTTGTTATGAGCGTGAGGACTGGGAGGAGAAAAAAGAGCATTCAATGACGCGACTGGAGGTCCGAGTGATTTTACTTCTGTTCTGTCTGGCAATCGGGGCTTGGCAAGCTTAAATATCGATAAGATTATCGAAAGATAATTGGGTACAAAGTCACCTGACTTTCGCTTCGTGATCCTGGTGTTCCGGGTGTCTGTGATTTTGGAGAAACTGCTGATTGAAGTGATCTGGTGACTGTAGGCGTGGATTGACTCGATCCGATCAAGAAATTTGGCAGAAATGTTTGGCTCCCAGGCTTGCTCAATCTATCACTTTCACTCAGAAGACAGAACAATTAAAGTGCGCTTACCGATCATTACTTTGCTGGGGCGAGCCAAGGGACATCGGCTCAACATCCATTATCCCTTTTCAATTCTAAGGAAAAGGAATGAGAAGTAAAATTTCTTTCAATGGTTTAGTATCAGTATTAAAAATGAAGTGACATGGGCAGATGAATTTATGAAGTGTTTGTTCCTGTTTCTGTGGGAGTAGTTTCTGTTGGCGTGGTTGGGTGTTCAGAAACATATCGAATCCCGCGAGTGAGGCCATTCGATGCAATAGGATCGTGGTACGAAAAGTCACTATCACCATTTTCATCTTCTTCGTTGAGTGAGCTTCTCTTTGGATCGGAAATGTTCGACAAGTCGATGTGAGTGACTTTCTGTGAGCTGGTGTCTTCTTCAATCTCCTCTTCTTCTTCTTCTTCTCTGAATAAAATGCGCCCCTGTTTTGGTTTGGTGAGGAATTTAACTGATTTCATGGCTCAAAAACGATTTTATCAGAGATCGACAGATGGCTAAAGCCATTGAAATTTGAGATTTGAAAATTCCAAAATCAATACTCGATTATTTTCAGTTTGGAGCCTGGCCTAATGGATGTACTTTCAAAGTTCGAGATGAAGTGGGAAGGAATGGGTAAATGTACGCCTCCACGATTGGATAGTTGAATCTGTCCATGAGTTCGACTTTTTTGGCGTCAATCATTTGGTAGTAGGCAGTGAGCTTGTCAATTTCTCGGGCGTGGTCGCGTGTGTACAGGACGGAGACGTTTTCATCTTTCCCTACTATTGGTTCTAGTGTTGGAACCATGCGGCAGAATCGAGCTTGAGCGGGGAAACGAAGCAGATCTTCGTCTAAAGAGCAGTGAGATAAAAAACTACGGAGAGTTACTTACGCATCATGAGCACATTTTCGATAGACACATTCACTGCCTCTCCAGTATCGACGCAAAGAATTCGACAATCATTTCCGATTATTCTCGTTACTCTTCCTCTTTTGAAGCTTTCCCCGTCTGGCATCTTCACTACAACGAGTTCCATCAAGCTCGGCGCTCGGCTTCGAAACTCGTACTGGGCTTCTCCGATTAGATAAATATTCTTGATCGCTTCTTCGATTTTGTGGTGTGCTGAGTATTTCTTGTCGAACTCAGCGAGTGACGGGATTGTGTGCGCTTTGTCTTTCCAGAACGGATGAGTGAAGGGACCAACGATTCGATAGATGAATCCGTTTCTTTGACTTTCGTACTTAATCCGCTTGATGAAGTATCTATCGTTTTGCTTGACATCGAATTGGGAATTCGGAAGATGGATGTGGATCAGATGCTGCGGGACCGTTCCGGCCCGGTCCGCCACGGGATGAATGAACTGAAAAAGACCATAAGTTTCGAATGAGCTTGTTTTACCGGTATTATAATTGATGAGCGGTCGGTAGGCGGATGATTATAAAAATGTTGCGTCCTTTCCGATATAGAATGAGAGATGCAAAACATCGTCACTACCACTGACCCTACCTTTTTCTCAGAATAACAGAAAGAGCCCCCATAAAGGAAACCTACACTTTAATATCAACCGATGAAACTCACCGGGCAACGATGTCCAAGCCGGCAACTACCGATAGTTTTCAGCTCCTTCCTGCAAACTTCTCGCTCGTTCACTTCTGCTCTTCCCGACTCAATCATAAGCGCGTCCACTCTCTTTCGATCCCTGGTTCCATTTTTGAAGTCAAGAAATTGGTTCGAGTTTAAGAGCAGTGGATCCTTGACACTCTTGATTCTGTCTTTATTCGCTCTCATGCTCTATCTGAATTAATTCCTTTCTCAAAAGAGACTTTGGTGATAAATTGATGGCCCATCAATGGTGGGTGAATTGGTAACTGCAGCTTTAAGGGACCTGGGCGAGCAGCGCTGAGCCAAACTTCACGCGCCCGCCGTTCTTCTTAGAAACAAGATTTTTTAAAATTTCTTTTTGTAAATTATATCTCCGAATCTTCAGCTTTCTTTTCCAATTCTTAGTTTTTCTCTATCATTCTTGGTTAATGAGCTAGCGAAAAAAAGAGAAGCCCAACTTCAAAAGGCATCAAGTCTTGCGGACTAAATTTTTTCTTCATGAAACTAGCACCATTGAAAAGAGCGTTAAATTCTGAACAGATCCCACTCCATCAGCTAAACTAAATCTGTACATACTGGAGATAGAGCCCAGATAAACAAGATAACTTAGCGCCCGCGCAGCGGGAATCATGTCCAGGAAGCCCAAAATAGCTAAATCGGAGCGTCCAGCCGCGCCGCGACCAGCTGCGCGCGCTAAGTAATTTTCTTAATCTGGCCTTACACGCCAATAAGTAAAGACTTAGTTTAGCTGATGGAGTGGGATCTGTTCAGAATTTAACGCTCTTTTCAATGGTGCTAGTTTCATGAAGAAAAAATTTAGTTTGCAAGACTTGATGCCTTTTGAAGTTGGGCTTCTCTTTTTCTCGCTAGCTCATCAACCAAGAATGATAGAGAAAAACTAAGAATCGGAAAAGAAAGCTGAAGATTCGGAGATATAATTTACAAAAAGAAATTTTAAAAAATCTTGTTTCTAAGAAGAACGGCGAGCGCGTGAAGTTTGGCTCAGCGCTGCTCGCCCAGGTCCCTTAAGTAAAAATTTGAAGAGATATCTGTAAAAGGCGATATGGATATGGCTAGAACTTTAGTCGGTATTTTTTCTGTGAAGAGGCAGTAAATTTAAGTGAAGCAGATTTATAAATCAAAAGGAATGAAGCGTCCCGCGGTGTGAGTTTGGCGGATTCCCTCGTATTCTTCGCATCCAACGATAGCCTTGATTTTTCGATCGAGTGGGGTGAGCTCCTCGCGGCCGAAAACTAGACGCCCGTCCTCGTTGGTTTGGAACGGTGGGAGAGGGACGTCGTGGCGAATGTAGACCTCCTGGCCCCATTGCTTACGCTTTTCATCAAAATCCGGGTCGCAGCAGGACAGGACGACGGGCAAGATTTTACCGTGCTGAATTCAAAATTAACAACGGCGAATAATTGAGAACGTACCTCTCTATCCTCGCAAGCAGTCATCTCGAATTTGACATTGTTCTTTTCCATAGCTTCCACGTATTTTCTGAATGCTACGATTTCGGCATCGGTGAAGTATTTTCGACCCGCCTGCGGAATCATTGGCCGAGGAGCACCAGAGTCCACGTATACCTTGAGCCGACAGGCGACGGTCAGTTCTGGCTGCAAGAGCTGAAGAAGCGCGTCTGTAAAATGGGAGTTTATAAGGTGACTTACTAATTGTCCACCTGGATGATCTGGAAAAGCGCTGTTGATTGATTCCTCACTCCAGGTATACAGAGGCGATTGAGGCTTGAAAATCTCGCCTCGATCGACATCGACGACGGTGACTCCGCTGAGGATGTCAATAACTTTGCCGCTAAAAAATTAATAAAAAAAATCCTCTATTTTCACTAACCGAATCCATGACTGTTCTTTTGGATTATAAGTGAACACAAACATTCCGTAGTCGGCTTCTTCCTTCGGAATAATGAGGTAGTCATGGTTTTTGATCGGGTGCATCTCTGTTCGTAAAAAGTCAAGCATAGCTCGATAATGCCACTTTGACTTAGGAAAGAGAGGCTTCTGCAGTTGAGCAAGGAAGAGGCCAACTCCTTGGATAACGCTGACGATTTTGATCGGAATTCGGTTTGTTGTTGCTCGTTCTCCTCCTTCGATGTCCAAGAATTTGTTCGGGCCAAGAGCGGCTCGCTCGTCCATTTTATTTAATTCTTCAAATTCTCTTTCGAAGTCCTCATCTGAAATAAATATGAGTTCCTATTCGACAACGAGGTTTGACTAACCATCATCCTCATAGTAGTTTTCTTGAGCTGGCCGTGCAGGTGGTGCAGGCGGTTGAGTATTCGGCACATTTTGATGGTCAAAAGCAAGATGACCGTGCTTTTGTTGAACTTTTGCTGTCGGGAAGTGAAGCTCATGTCGCACGGGCTCTTCATACACTGGTGTGTCTTGCTCTTGAATTACTTATCGAGAATGTAATCCCAACATTTTATTTACCTTTTCGCTGACGATAACCAATGTGACTGCGAGAAGGATGAGGAGGTGGCTTCGTGATTTTTTGGTCCTGTGGTGGGTTCGTCGTCGTTGTCTGAATTGGACTAAAAGCGTTGGCCATAGCAGCCATCCGCCCTCTATCTCCAACTCTGCTTCCACCTCTTGAACCTCTTCTTGCTCTCGAACTATATTCCTCTCGATGAGACGAGATCCGACTATCACCAGCTTCAGAAACCTTGGTGTCTTCTTCATCTTTCTTCGAAGAAACTCTTGTCTCATCATCGGCCTTCGTTACTTTCGTGCCTCCCTCGCTCTCAACCTTAGAAGTTCTCGTAGAACTCGTACGTTTCTCCCTACGTCTTTGCAAGTCGCTCCTTCGCTTTTCTCGTTCTTCCTCGCGGGTCATACTTGCACTGCTGATTCGGCTTCCAGACTTGAGATTGGAAGACGTTCCATGCAAAAGCGAGCTGCTCATGTATCGCATTCCTGTCGCAAGAATACCTTAAATAGATTTTTGGATTGGGAACTGATTGAATTGATCTTACCTTCAGCATTAACGCAGCTAGATGCTTCCTCTCCATCGGATTCATTTTCTTCCGAAGACCCTCGGCCGGGCTGAGGTAACTTCCCGATACCGCTGATCGCACTGATTTCTTTCACTCGATTTTTATCTGGCAGCTGCTCAATATCAGAACCGTCACTCACACACTTCAAATTCGATGGTGGCTTGAATCCTTCTGAAAACAAGGAGCCAGGCTGCTCTTCTCGGCTTATGCTTGCTTTTGCGGTCGAATACGTTTCCGATTCTTCAGGTGTTGGCTTCTCTGTTTCATCATCGTCTGATTGATTTAAATTCTCGTGTGTGCTTTTCGATGAGACGCTTTCTTCTTCAGCGACGTAGCGAGGACCTTGAGGAGCTTCTCCGAGATAGTCTTCGACAGTTGGCAGGACTTCATATTCACTTACCTGTTCCTCAGGCACAACTGGCTCTGAACTTGTAATCTCGTGACTAGAATCTTCGCTCTCTTCACTCGTATAGTCTTCTACTTGTTCAATGGGTTTGGCTTCAACAACAGGCTCGGAGTAAATCTGCTCGGCATGCTCCTTCCTCTTGCTTGTGGGACGAGAAAGTTCATCTTCTTTTTGCTTTTGAGCTCTTCTTTCCTTGTCTCTTTTAAGTCGCTCTTTGAACTTTGAGTTTCGATCGGAAGGAGGATTTTCTTTTAGTATTGGAGGATTTTCTTCTCGTAGTTTTTCCCCCCATAATCGGAGATCCTGCTCATGCGAATCTTCGCTTGGGAACCGACGTTGATGTTCTTTCTCATCCTCAAGAATTTCGCAATCAAGCACTGGAGGTGGAATACCAGCTTTGATTCTCCTCATATCATCTTCTATCAACAGCTCACTCAATGGTTTGTCTTGTGATCGAACTGGAGTTCTTACGCTGCGACTAAGCTGCCCATGACGATCAGAAGCAAATGAACTCCGCGGATCTTGACTGACTTGTTGGTTCGCTTCCTGTCTTTGTCGCCGTTCTCGACAAATACGCTCAATAGATCGATCTCGTTGGCTGTGGATCTGATCTGGCCGTCGGTGAATGTTTTCAGAATGAAAAGATTGAGGCGACGATATGTTTGCTCGTTCAGTTCGCAGAATTTGATCGCTGTATGCCTGACTAGGAGGGTAGACTGGGTGTTGATGAGGATGGAAAGCTTGCTGATGAGAAACTCGTTCGAAGGAGCTGTAACGAGATGAGGGATTCGTGGTTGGCATTGGCTGCATCATCTCCAACCCGTCCTGGATTTGCTTCTCCAATGTCTGGAGGACTTCTCGGTTATGTTTGATAGCTCTACGCTCGGCGACGCTCATCTGTCCATCGTAGCCGCACTGGGCCTTCAGAGCGTCTTTTAGATCACATATTTTCCCAAGCAGCGAAGTCACGTGATTCCGATGGTCCAGGCGAACTGCCTCCTCGTATGGCATGTTGACATCTTCTGCAGTAAACGACACATTGGAGAGATCATCTTGGCTTTGTCCGAATGCTTCTTGGTCCGACATTCTCTTATCTGAAGTAGGAAAGAGTGAGAGGAGTGGAACGAAGACGATGAGGACAAATCAGAATTGCTCCGACTGCCGCCCCCGCTCGAAATCCATGCACAATGGGCCATTAAAATCTAGGGAGCATTTTTTAAACAGTCTTGAAAGCTCGCATCGCAATTCAAAAACTCAACAAAATTCAGATAATAAATATTTTATTAAAATCTACAGAATCCGCTCGTAATAACAGTTATCTTCGTTAGCCATCACAAAATAAATTTAAATTCCAGCTTTCAATTCAAATTGCGGCAACAACTCATCCATGTTCTTCCTCTGCAGTTTCACGCTCTCATCATCTTTCTTCACGGTGCATTTGATCTTGGGATTATCCAAATGTCTAATTAGGGAGCGTTTCGTGCCGAACTCTTTTTTACACACGGGACAGGGAAATGTCAACCCTTGGTGGACAGTTTTGTAGTGCTCTTTCAGCGCTTTTTTCGTTTCGTATTCGCGGCCGCACATGCCACAGACGCTGACTTCGATAAAATCCCTGAATAAAAATAAGAAGTTTTACTATTCTTCGAACTTGATAAATTACCTTTTATCATGAACAGTTTTGATATGCACCCTCAAACTAGACGCCGTAGACAAGGTCTTCTCGCAATGCGGGCACTTTTGCGGCTTCTCGCATTCCCTCACTTTCTTTTCATTGTGGCTTTTCTTGTGCTTGATCATTACTGACATCAAATCAGTAACGAAGTCGCACTTGTCGCATGTGTGGGTTTTGTGCCTCGCCAGGTGGCGTTTCAATTGACTAAAATGTTATTTTCATTTTACACTCACGCAAAGACTCAATCAATCATTGATAAAGCCCCTCGGTTACCTTGAATAAATAAAGGTTTTCTCGCATTTCGTACATTTATGTTTCTTTTCACTCTCAATGTGCGTCAATTCATGCGTCGCCCTGTTCTTTTTTCGAGTAAATGTCGACTCACAATGAGAACACTTCAAACAAGCATAATAAAGTACCATCAAAGCCATATTTTAATAAACCTTGAACAATCGCTTCGGCTTTTCTTCCTCTTCTTTGCATTCCATCAACTCCACCTCTTCTTTTAACTCTGCTTCGGAGTCGTCATCAGGCTCATAGGCCGATTCCGATTGTCTATCCGACTCTACTTCGCTCATATCGACATTCTATTACTATTGACATTATTGAGATATTCTCTTCCATGATTTCAATTTGCAATGCATTTTTTTGAATAAAAAACAGTCTTAAAAAGTGTTTGTTGTTTATTATCGCATTTCAACATAGCTAATATAGATCATTGTCGATTTCTTCAAGCAGATGGACGAGATCTCCAAATGGTTCTTTTTGAAGGGGATCTCGGGTGAACATCATGATTGGAGAGCCTTGTGAAGCGCGAGGATCGTAGATGTTTTCAAGGGGAACAGTTCTCTTTGCCATTCCAGAAACTATTCCTGCGAGAATTGCCTTGGTTGACTTCAAAAACGTGCTAATCATTAGGACTCCTTATGCTAATAATAAAGAGATCTCGGAAGCACTAATAGTTTTTGAAGCCGTAACAATACCGAGCTCGTCCTCATTTCGATTATAAAAAATAAGTCTCTTTTTGGGTCAGCAAAAAACTGCTTTCTAACCTGAATCTAATATCCCCGATTTATATACACATAGAAACCTGCGTATCACTAGCGCCACTATCGAGCCCCACTCTAACGAGCCAACCTTGTGCTACTGTAAAAAACGAGGGGCAACTGTACTCGTTTACCTTTTTGGCGTCATTACTTTATTAAAAAATCACGTGTTTTTTCAAATAGAAACAAGGGCAGTGTGGAAAATTTGAACTAGCTTTTCTTCTTGATCATGTTGTTCCAAAAGTCGTTGCTGCCAAATTCAGCTTTTCGCTTTTTAGATTCGGGCTCTTTTTCTTTTGGTTCTTCGGCTTTTGGCTCTGGTACTTCGGGTTTCGCGAAAAATCCAGCGGGAAGGCTTGCAGGAGGTTCCTCATCACTATCACTTTCAGCTGGAGTATTTTCTGGAATTTCTTCTACTTCTGTTGGAATTCTAGTGGGAGCTTGATCATCTTCCATTTTTGTAGGTTCCTCGTTCTCTTCCTTGTTGTCAGTTGTTTCCTCATCACTACTGCTCGAGCCATACCCAGCAAATCCCGAAACAAGTTGAGCTTTTGCCTTTTCTTTTGCTGCCTCCGCGGCTTTTTTCGCGGCTTCATTTCGCTTCACTTGCTCTTGGAACTCGCGATAGGACATTCCCTTTTTCTTGCCCTCCGTAGTTTTCGCTTTGACCTGGATTAGAAAGTTAATTAAGAATTCAAAGCATTGGTGCAAACCTTCACGATTGAACCAAACTTTTTAAGACTTGATTTTTTGTCCAGCGCTTCTCGCAGCTGACGTGACCGTTTATCTTCGATAGAGCTCAGTATCGGGTTTTCCTCTTCTTCGAGGTTCAATGTCAGGTAGTCAGATGACTTGACATCTTTGAGCATGTTCAAGACATCGACTTGATCTTGATCCTCTTGCTTTTCATCCTCCTTTCCAAGCCGCCAGAGGTCTTGTTGGCTCTTGAAAATCGGTTTTATTTGAAGTCTAAGGAAGGCGCTTACCTCTGATAAAATATTGATATCTTTTTCGAGCAAAAATTCTTGAAGCTTTTGCTGGAATTCCCTTTCGTCGTTGATCTTTTTCAGCGCTTTTAGCTGCGCTTTATCAGCGTCTCCAGCCATTTCCGCCAGCTCAAAAATCTCCTCCAAGTTTTCTTGCATAATGAGTTGCGCATTCGATTTTTGAGTTCTGTTTTCCAGTGCGATCATCGGATTTAACCTTCACAATGAATTTGAGACGCGATTCTTTTGTCTATCTGCGGTTTATTACCTTTCTTCCTCCGCTTTAGCTTCTTCTTCGCGCTTTTCCATGAGCTGCCACATTCTATTAGCCTCGAAGTTTCGCGTCGCCCCCGATTCCATAGCATAATCCTAGATAAAAGTCTAGATCGGGGGTATTTAAAGGGGAGTCTAGTTAACCTGATTAGCTGGATCTGTTTTGAAAGTAATGGTAGCTACACACTTGGTGCAGCGAATGTAGAATCGACGGATCGGAATCGTGCCAAGGTATTTTTCGCCTTTGATAGTTTCAACTCGGGAGTTGAATTTGGTTCCTCGGTAGATATAATTTCCTTGAATATGGGAAAGATTAGGAGGGATAAAAGAGAGGAGATGAATTACCGCAGGTTTTGCAGCGCATGTGGAATGGAGCCATAGTACGGATGATCATGATCTTATCCTCAATGGCTCCTGCTCCCTTGTTTCGAGGCAACCTCCTCGGATCATAATCCGGAGGGTAGTATTTATTCAACACCTTTCGTTCCGACATGGTCTATAAACAAACTCATTAAAGTTACTGTATTAGATTATTAAAAGATGTCGGGATTGAAATAGTCAGGTTTGACAAGCAGCGAGTAGGGCATCGCGTCTTTGGCGTATTCAATATCAGAAACGTCGATATCTTTGCCCGGCAATTTTATGATTGCCAGCGAGTTGAAAGCAGTGAGTTCATCCTCCCAATTATTCTCGACTGGGAGGCATGTCAGGACCGTCATATTGCTGAGATATCGGTTCAGAATTTTCAATTCGCTTCGTTCTGAATTGGAATAATTAAATCAGGATAATATACAGGTAAATATAGCTCAAATAATGTCAGATCATCATCGTCTGTAAAGAAAAATAAATAAATTGGTGGATAATTGATGGCTGCTATGATTGGATTATCTTTTTTACAGACAAAAATGGAGCAAAAGATTAACACAGGAGAAATACCGATTATCGGTCGTAAGAAAGACGCGTGGGCAGTTAGCCAGCTTATTATCTAAGCACCAGAAAATGCTTGAGAATTCTTACCTTCGTTCGATTGAGTTTCGATAATATTTTCGAAGTTATTGACTATCAGAACTGTCGGGCTTGTCTCGTCTCTTCTCAGATACAGGAGCCAGTCAATAAGCCAAAGCGGAACGTGAGGTAAGTACAGAAGCATTGGCCCTGTAAACTGTGCATCTTCGAGTGCCGAAAATGATGCTTTTACGAATAAATCTCCGAGAAGCTGGTGATCATCAGGAGTCATTATTGGATCGTGAATATTAATCGAAAGAGGGCTCAGGTGCTCGCGTAGACAGCCAGAATGGTTTTTAAAATTTATGCATAAATAGATTTTCTTTCTGTATTATTAAAAACCATTGAAACCTAATAAAGCCGTTTGATGACGGGAGGACCTCGAATTGGCCGGTGATCCAAGACCGTAGCAGTGTATGTTAAATATGCCTCTTTAAATAAAATATGTTAAAAAGCTATTGAAAGTCGAGTTAAACCTTTCGACTAATCCATCCAGCTGACCTTTCATCTGTGCGAAGAACGGAGAATCTTCCATTGACTTGATAATATTTTGGATTTGAAGGCCCTAATCTGAGGTTGAGAAAAGAGCCGTATGTTTTATATAAGCTTTTAATAACGTTTAGTGTTGGATATAATGGCTTTATTGAGATATAAATATATTCAACCTTTTTACCCAGTTTGGCGGCCTGTACGCGTTTTTCTTCTGTTTCTTGGAGTTTTTAGCTTGTTTCCACATTCTTAACAGGATAAATGAAGATGACTCTCTCTCGGATGTGAACGCGGAACTAGGTCAAGTTGAAAGTAACAGCAGCCGGTCGACGGCGTGTGAGAATAGAAAATGATAAGGAGCAAGGACGAACATAATGCTCGGAACATAAATTTACAGAAAATTAAGAAGCAGGGCGAACACAGCTTATAATAGTAAGGTCAAGGTCGGAGAGCAAATGACCGGTTAAATGAAAATAGAACGAGTTTGAAGCGAGAGCGAATAGGTGGTGAAATAATGTGGAAATTAACGCTGAAATACTAGTCTTTTCTTTCGGGATTGTATTCTTGAGTCGGCGGAAGAGCATTCCAGTCACGCATTTGCCTTTAAAACTTTTTAGCACAGGATGGGATGATGATCCTTTACCTTGTTGTTTCTTTTTTGACATAATTAAAAGGATTCTGAAGCTTGACAACACCAACACCTCCACCAAGCCGTCTGTAATGCATGTTTCCCTTTCCAGAGCACATCCTCCACGAGCCATTTTCACTGTCAAGAATTTCCACGGATTTGAGATAATTCAACCCATCAAAACCACCGACAGCTGAAAGAAAAGAGGATGAACTTACGTAATTTATGTGTAACTACTGATGAACACGACGTCAAAAATCTGTCAAAGTATGGATCACAAAGATGCCTAATTACATCAAAAAGGCGTCCAAAAGTGAACATGATCCTGGACTCATAGAATCGAGCATATTTTATCATACCTAGAAGTTGTCCACCAACGACGGCTAAGCCAACGCCGGAGCGCTTCATTTGCATCGCGACAACTGGCGTCCATCTGTCATCCTTGTCGCAGTAGCGTTCGACAGAGTTCAGTTCTGTACAGTCGTCACGCCCACCGACGGCGTAGATGTAGTCGTTGTAGACCGCGCAGCCGAGATGCTTGCGAGCAGTGGACATAGAGCAAACTTTCTAAAAATGATGATTCTAGCGCTGAGAATTAATTTGCATCTCTCCTACTTGCCAAGTGTCATTCTTAGGGTTGTATTTCTCCACCGAGTCCCAGGGTTTTCCTCCGTCGGAGCCTCCAACTGCATAAACAAACTCATTCAGCACGGCTACTCCTACTCCCAGTCGCCTTGTCTTCATCGATGCCTTGCGCTCCCATTTATTATTCGCCTGATCGTATCTTTCAACCAAATCGAGGCAGGAACCGCCGTCTTGGCCACCGATTGCGTATAAATACCTTAAAAGATTCATAATAATTTTTCAACAGAAATGGCCCTAAAAGGAGGGACAAATTAATTAATGACATTAGTACCCACCCATTAAGGACGGCGACTCCAACACTTGTTCGACAGGTTGATGTTGGCGCTACAGCAGTGCTCCATGCGTTTTCGTCATTCGGGTCGAATTTCTCAACTGTTTGGAGGTAAGAGGTACCGTCGTGCCCTCCGATCGCGTAGATAATGTTATCTAAAAACGATTTCAAAGAAGAAACTTTCCATTTCTTTTACCAAGAACAGCCACGCCGACGCCACACCGACGCTTGTTCATTGATGCAACCATGCTCCATTCTTCCCTTACTGGATCGTACCTTTCAACCGTCTAGAACGTCCTTTTAAACCCACTATTTGTCCATATTTTTCTACCTGAATAGCATCTCCACTGCACCAACCTCCAACTGCGAACAAAAATTCATATGGATTGACCGGCCGTCTTGGACGCGTCCTTGGCCCTTGCATACGACCACGCTCTTGCGGAAGAAGAAGATAGTTTTTCGCCTCGTCAACGAAGTCACGCGACTCTTCATCTGCCTTGATAAGTTGAGAGTTACTGCAAGTTCCAACAAGAAAGACAGGTGTCATGAGCGGGAAGCGCACGTGTTTGAGAACTTTTTATTGGTTTTTATGGAAGAAAAACGCGGTAATAGAATTCAATGATTATCTGTTTTTTATTTCTTTTCAATAATATTTTTTTCAATGATGGGCAGTGAGTATAAACTATTTTAGTCACTCTCGAAGTCGCTATCTAAGAAGCATACTTCGTATGCAATGCGACGGATCTTTTCTCGCTTGGATAATTTTCTTCCGAAGCCGTGTTTTCTTTTTACACGCTGAATTAGCCATTTGACTAAAGTCGAAAATCATCAAAACCTTCCTTTCGAGAGAAAACTCTTTCTATTCTGCAAATCATGTTCGATCCAAGCCATGGCGGCTTTGTAAACTTCTTCCTCGCACGAAACATTGAGCTCGTCTGACTTTATAATTTCTTTGAGCTGGTCATAGGTAGGGTTCGCGCCCAAAAATCAACTGCCCGAAATACTTATTGAATCTTTCTAAATTTTAGATATATAATAGATAAGGGCAAATATGAAATATCTTCTTTTAAAATTTTTCAAAATTTTAGAGGGTTGAAGAAAAAATAAGCCCCAAAAATGGCAAAAAATGGGTTGAGCATGTTAGTCAGCCCAAAATTAAAAATTTCAAAAAAGGGGATGATCAGTAGAGTTTTCTGATCATTATTCCATAAAAAATTTTGGGAAGCATCGACGGTTTCCTAGAATTTACAAAAACTGCCTTTTTGGCAATATTTTTCTGTTACGTGATCATGCGCGCGCACGCATAACCGCGCGTGATAGGGGGTGGCCACGCGAAATTCCAATCAATTTCGCCGGAATATTTTAATCCTTCTTTTAAACACTATAAATAAACAATTCGTAATATAGATAATAATATTAAAATGAATCATAGCTAAGAAAACATTAATTAATAATAAATAGTCATAAATTGAAAATTATTCTCCTTTTTTCTTGGAGAATACGTAAAAATCAGTTTTTCGGAGCATAATTCTACCCCCCATATTTCTTGTGCTCATTTAAAAGAAAAACTTCTAAAATTTCGAATTGGCTGTGTAAATCCAGACCAAAGTGATCGAGCTAGAGACATTCTCCAACGATGCCGCTCCTGTCAAACTCGAAACTCCGTTCCATGACTTTTAAATTTAAGGGGCTTGACGGCCCTTCGGGCCGTCTCAGCCCCGTTCCATGACTTTTAAATTTAAGGGGCTTGACGGCCCTTCGGGCCGTCTCAGCCCCGTTCCATGACTTTTAAATTTAAGGGCTTGACGGCCCTTCGGGCCGTCTCAGCCACGTTCCATGACTTTTAAATTTAAGGGCTTGACGGCCCTTCGGGCCGTCTCAGCCCCGTTCCATGACTTTTAAATTTAAGGGGCTTGACGGCCCTTCGGGCCGTCTCAGCCCCGTTCCATTTCTTTTAAATTTAAGGGGCTTGACGGCCCTTCGGGCCGTCTCAGCCACGTTCCATGACTTTTAAATTTAAGGGGCTTGACGGCCCTTCGGGCCGTCTCAGCCCCGTTCCATGACTTTTAAATTTAAGGGGCTTGACGGCCCTTCGGGCCGTCTCAGCCCCGTTCCATGACTTTTAAATTTAAGGGGCTTGACGGCCCTTCGGGCCGTCTCAGCCCCGTTCCATGACTTTTAAATTTAAGGGGCTTGACGGCCCTTCGGGCCGTCTCAGCCCCGTTCCATGACTTTTAAATTTAAGGGGCTTGACGGCCCTTCGGGCCGTCTCAGCCCCGTTCCATGACTTTTAAATTTAAGGGGCTTGACGGCCCTTCGGGCCGTCTCAGCCCCGTTCCATGACTTTTAAATTTAAGGGGCTTGACGGCCCTTCGGGCCGTCTCAGCCCCGTTCCATGACTTTTAAATTTAAGGGGCTTGACGGCCCTTCGGGCCGTCTCAGCCCCGTTCCATGACTTTTAAATTTAAGGGGCTTGACGGCCCTTCGGGCCGTCTCAGCCCCGTTCCATGACTTTTAAATTTAAGGGGCTTGACGGCCCTTCGGGCCGTCTCAGCCACGTTCCATGACTTTTAAATTTAAGGGGCTTGACGGCCCTTCGGGCCGTCTCAGCCCCGTTCCATGACTTTTAAATTTAAGGGCTTGACGGCCCTTCGGGCCGTCTCAGCCCCGTTCCATGACTTTTAAATTTAAGGGGCTTGACGGCCCTTCGGGCCGTCTCAGCCCCGTTCCATGACTTTTAAATTTAAGGGGCTTGACGGCCCTTCGGGCCGTCTCAGCCCCGTTCCATGACTTTTAAATTTAAGGGCTTGACGGCCCTTCGGGCCGTCTCAGCCCCGTTCCATGACTTTTAAATTTAAGGGCTTGACGGCCCTTCGGGCCGTCTCAGCCCCGTTCCATGACTTTTAAATTTAAGGGCTTGACGGCCCTTCGGGCCGTCTCAGCCCCGTTCCATGACTTTTAAATTTAAGGGCTTGACGGCCCTTCGGGCCGTCTCAGCCCCGTTCCATGACTTTTAAATTTAAGGGCTTGACGGCCCTTCGGGCCGTCTCAGCCCCGTTCCATGACTTTAAATTTAAGGGCTTGACGGCCCTTCGGGCCGTCTCAGCCCCGTTCCATGACTTTTAAATTTAAGGGGCTTGACGGCCCTTCGGGCCGTCTCAGCCCCGTTCCATGACTTTTAAATTTAAGGGGCTTGACAAAGGCTTTGAACCCTGAGTTGATTCATATCAGTTTTGTCCCCAACCCCACCCACACCCATCATAATTTAAATTCAAGTTGTCCTGTTTTATGTGCAAATTATGGTTTTTACCTTTAATTATGAAAGTTTTATTTATTTTTGAAAAATTTTAAAATTTCAATAATTTTATGTTAAATCTTCCATTATTTTTAATATCAGTGGACATTTTATTAATCTTTCTTTGAAAAGAAAGAATTTCTTTGAAAAGAAAGAAAAGATGATTACGCGGCGTCCACCCTAGCCGCGGAAGAATAATGCCTGAGGGCGAACGCGGCGCTGTGCGCTGCGCGCAGCGCAAAAATGGTCAAAAATAGACCTTCAAACGTCAATTACAGTATGTTAGTCAACTGTTTCCCATAATTTTTCAATTGAATTTTGTTTTCCTTAATCGAAATTATATATTTATTAAAAAAATTTCTGGGAAGCATTTGACTAACATGGTTTTTTAACATTAATTTCCCCATATCTCTTCAACCCTGAAATATTTTTTTCTCCATAATATGTTTTTTTAACCTTTAAACAGATTTATTTAACCGGTAGAAATTTGAAAACATTTAGATTTGTCTATCAAAAGATAGTTTTTTTGGGCGCGAACCCTAGTCATAGGGGAGGTTCTTGAACTCCTCGTTGCTGGCGACTTCTTCGAAATGCTGGGCACAGTAGGTTGATGAAATGTTGAGGAGCTCTGAGCAGTGGTGGGTGTCCGCAAAGGCGCGGATTCCGAGGCAGTTGGATGGATCGAGCTGTTTTGAGAGAAATTCGCAGCAGTAGTGTTGAATTTCGGTCATCTACGGAAAGATAAATTTCTGCCGGAAATCATCCCTTTTTGTACCTGAAGAAGACACGCAGCAGGAAGAAGTTGTTGAACATTTCGTTCTTCGATTGTTATTTGCGCTGTGTAGCAGTAATCGATCAGTAGTTCCATCGCTTCCGCAGAGATTTCATGAAGCTGGATCTCTTGCATCGTCGTTTCTACCATTTCAGACGCGAACATTGCATCGAAGTAGGGACAAGACCCAGCGAGGACATTCTTGTGGCACTTGAAGGTCTTTTCTTCGACTGAGAGAAAATTGGAGTAACTTCTTATGTGGCGAATACAGACCTTTGATAGAAACGTCACAGAGCATTTCATTCTTGCGAAGCCTGTTCATTGAAAGAAGTACTTTTTCTGCATGCTTGTCCGAATGAAAATTTACGGATTGTCGGCTTGAGTTGCCAGCTGAGGAGCAGTGAATCAAATCGGAATTCGTACGTACGGATAAGGGCAAAGCCGAGGGAGTTGTTGGCTGATTTTGGGTTCAATTTATTAAATATGATTGGCAATTTTTTGTCGAATTTCAACCCCTTTCTGTCCGATAAACGACCTAACCGGGGGATCGGGTTTGAGATCATGGGCCAGACGATCGCCTGAGCCCTCTGGCGAACTCATCCTGAAAGAAAATCCTTTGAAACTAAATTTATCCATATCAAGTCAATAAAAATTCCTGCAAGAAGAAATAAACAACAATTCGTCAATAGAACATTTTTATTATTATGCAATAAAGACGAGTTTTGGCAGCCTCTTTCCGCAGTATACAAAAAGTGACTCTTTGCTCTGACGAAGCATTTACTTCAGCTTCTTCTTGGGTCGGAGGTTGTTAGTGTGGCCGCACTTCTTCTTTCGACAGTTGGTGGCTCGGGAGTGCATTCGAGCGTAGCACTTTCGGCAGATCATCTTGTCGCAGTTGTACTTTTCATGGCTATCGACATTTCTACGCACTCGTTTAAATTATCCCTATTCAACTACGGAAGTGAGCGATAACGTTCCTTCTGGGCAAGGACCTTGAGAGAGGGCTCAATGACACCACCTCGGAGTCGGAGGACCAAGTGAAGGGTGGACTCCTTCTGGATGTTGTAGTCGGAGAGGGTTCGGCCATCCTCGAGCTGCTTACCGGCGAAGATGAGTCGCTGCTGATCTGGAGGAATTCCTTCCTTGTCCTGAAAACAACTTTGTCAATCATGAATTCTTTCAAAGATATGGATTTTTTTTTAATTTTCTGCTATTATTTCAAGAGTTCAAATGGACGACAATGTCGCGTTTTCTATATATACCTGGATCTTGGCCTTGACATTTTCGATAGTGTCGGAAGCCTCGACCTCAAGGGTGATGGTCTTACCCGTGAGGGTCTTGACGAAGATCTGCATGAATCCGCCCGATCTGAACGAAAGAAACGATTATTAAAAAGGTTTTCCCCTTGCCACAAATCAGTGTTGTGTTTAATTTAGGCAATGGTAGAAGCGTTGGAGGAAATACGGGGCCAGAGGTCAGCGCATTCCTTCGCGACGGGACCGGTGACGGCCGAGCCCTTCATTTCTCCCTTGTTGTTGACGATGACACCGGCGTTGTCCTCGAAGTAGAGGAAGGTACCGTCTCGTCTTCGGAAGGCCTTCGACTGTCGGACAACAACGGCGGGGTGCACCTTAAGACTTACGTGTTAAAATCGACGATAAGACTGAATTTCGCTTCGTTAACTCTCTGGGCGTTTGAATTCAACAAAAAATGCTTAAACAAAATTCACGGAGCTCCTAATGACAACTTCAAATTTGAATCCGTCTCAGCAAGAGGGCTTCGAGAGGTGTTATTGGTCGAAAGCGCGTTACATCAATCGGCGAGGAAAATTCGAGAAAAGGAAGGCGCTAGGGTCGGCACAGATCACCAAATCCCCACGTAGGGTAGGCGGGGCCTTTTGAAAATGGGCGGTTTTAGCGTTGGATCGGTGCCGACCCTAGCTCAGAATTGATTGGAACAATATTGTTGAATTCAAACACCTCAAGAGTGGCAAACGAAGGGCTTTCTGCTCAGCCGATAGGAGACGAGAATAGGGCGATATAGTTTCTTGTTTCAAGCTTATAGAAGTATAAAATTGAATGTCATCTCAGCACAATTATTGAGAGCGCAATCGTTTTTTTCCCTTATTATCTTCACCTATTGGCTGAGCGAAAGACACGCGATTGTCTTACCTTCTTTCGGAGTTCTGGCTTTCCTTTCTTGACGGAGGCCATGACGAGATCTCCGGAACCGGCGGCAGGGAGACGGTTCAATCGACCTTTGATGCCCTAGAATTGCTTGAGAAACGGAAGGGAAAGTCTGGACTTACGGCGACGGCGATGACGTAGAGGGACTTGGCGCCAGTGTTGTCAGCGCAGTTCATAACGGCAGCCACAGGGAGAGCAAGGGAGATGTGGAACTTTCCACCTCCTTTGCCACCACGTCCTCGCTTAGACATTTTTTATGAAAATCCGATTCTGAACTTGTTTCGTTATTAGATTGGGAAAAAGCCAAAATAGAAATCGGCAGGAAGGCAGAAAAGAAGGACATTTGATTAGACAAAAGGGGAGAAGATGGATTTTGAATGGAAAATGGGAAATTTTTGAATATCTCTCAAGACGTCTGTGGCTGACCTTGCGGGAGAATGAAAATCGAAATTCGAAAGCCTATTTTTAAAATTCAATCGCTATCCGAATTCCTAATTCTACATTCCTACGCAAAATCGCCAAAATGAAATTTTATTATTTTTTCCAAAATATAAATTATGGAAAAAGCGAAAGTGAGGGTCAGCCACGTGCGGTTGAGCGTTTTTGAAGGAGAATCTCGCGCGTGGGCGGCGATTTTTGAGCGGGGGTCGAAAAATCATGATTTGAGCGGAAAACCTAATGAACGAGTGATGATCAAAATAACCCCAAGGCGAAGAAAAAGAGTAAAATTACGTAATGAAAAGAAATTTCTTCAATTTATCAATTATCAACAACAAAATGATTAAATTTAAAAGGATTAAGATCAGTAAGATAAAAGTTAAAACCGACGTCTACCTAAAAATTTAAAATAAGAGCCCATTCATTCCCATGAAAAAACACTATTCAATAGGAGATTGTGAGAAAAATTATAGTAATTTGAGGGAGGCATTTTTTAATAAAATTTCAATAGAGCTTCGTCCTATTTGATAGATTGTTTCGTAACTTTTTTTTCTAAATAAATTATTCTATTTCCCTTGGTTCAAATAGTGCTAAAACCTCGTTGAACTTCTCTTGAGCGCTTTGAAACAATTTTTAATCATTTGGAAGATCTTCATCTGACTGTAGCTCTCTTTAAAATTCGGGGTCAATTTTGGAATCTCTCTCTGTTCTCATAGGTCCGGCGCGTGACACGGAGCGCGCGCGTCCAATCGCCCCGCCGTATTTCGAATTATCCTCCAATCAGCGCTACGATCACAAACCAGCGGAATCGAAATTTTTGCGTTCAGTTTAACTCCATCTATCGGCGAAATTAGCGGACTTCGGGACATTTCTCTGCAGAAGCGAGGGGCGAAAAAGAATTTTGTCCAATGGAGCGTATTTTCAGCCACATTAGTGGCGCCCTATTGGTCGAGAGCGCGCAGAAATGAGTGGGTGGCGAGATAAATGAGTAAACGACGCCAAATTCATCGAAAAACGCAGCACGAACACGCGAAATTCGGAATTCCGCTCCTTTCTACGATCTGCGATGATCTTATTAAAATACTTTTTACCTATTTTAATAATTATTTGTTAACCAAGGATTGGTCGAAAATTTAATTAAACTTAAAATATAACTATTCATAAACTAATTCGGTATTAGTAATATCCTAGCGTTTTGTCAAATCTAAGATTTTTGACTTCAAGTCTAACTAGACTGCACTTGCAGTCGAAGGTGCCAAAAATAAGGGTAGGGCAAGTTATTCGCATTCGATAGAGTCCCTATTCTATTAATTCATCGAAAGCTGATTACATAACCCTCGTCCTATTCTGGCTTTGCAATTGCTTTACTGCAGAAGATTGGGACCTCTTCGTTACGTTGGTTTCTTTTCAAATTTGTCGATTTTGGAAGGATTGAGGTAGCGCCTGAAAACTGCCATATTTTTGGTAGTAATCAAATAAAAAATATTGCCGAATTTTCAGACCCTAACTCAAAGCAACTTGGAAGATCTCTGCTTTTCATAAACCTCCGTCGGTAACTAGTAACACAAGATGTATGATTAGCGCCATGTTGCTCTCTCAAACGTAACGTCTCCTCATCCTGTATGGATTTTGAAACACGTAGGTTACAAATTGTAACTTACAATCAAAGACTAGAAAAGGTTCCCTCTGTCTGGATTCCAGACTCTGGAAAAGAAGTCTCTCGATGACTTGCTTTTGATGTGATCTGTAGTCTCGGAGTAACGAATTTATATCTGCCCCTTTGATTGATCCTTTATGTTCTCAATTCGAACCGATAAATGATTATTCTGGTACGATAATCTGTAAATTCTTGAAAGACAGTCCTGAGCTATCCAGGTACTTCAAGAGGAAAATGAAAAAATTGAACCTCTTCTTGCCGATTATTTGTGATGGTGGTATGCTTTCCTGTATCTTTCAATCTGGTGCAGAAAACATGAATATGGGTCGGGAAACCTGTGCAAAAACCTGAATCAGGGTACCTGCAAAAAAGGGAGAGCCAAGAAATCAAAGAATTCGTCATAAATTTTGATTATTTTTCGGACAAAATTGCATAAAAGTATTTTATTTGAATACAGAATATATAAATAATATTGAAAAAGAATTGTTTTAGATACAAGAAAAGCAAGAAAGAAACTTTGAACTGAAGAAATGGTCGGTTTGAGAGGCGGTAAGAGAAGTCTTTCTTGATTTCGCTAAAGTGGTTTGTGAGTAGGTTTATTCGTTATTAGTTTGGTTAGGTTTTTGAATAAATTGGTTGTAAATAATTGAAATTCGTGATTGGCATTTTGGGTTGGCATCTGTTTAGGACCATGTGATCAAAGAAACAGCTCTTTAAATTCAATAAATTGATATGTAATGAAATGAACTGATTAAAAAGTAAATAAATAAAAGTAAAAAATCACACCTGGGAATTGAGATGAGCTTCACGCTTCTTTTCTTTTTTTGAAGAAGGCGATAGAACTAATTTTACGTTTAAAAATCAGGATTTATAGTTAACCAAGATTTCACTTTTTCACCGGATGGTTATATAAAAAAACGAGTTTTTAGAATTTTTAGCAAGGGGTTTCTTGAAAGCTTATTGATAAGGCTCTGGGCTCGGCAATCTGTGTAGAAAACCTGGCCTAGATAAGGGTGGGAAGGCAGCTTCAATGCGAAAATCTTTAAATGATAAGTCGAGACGAGTCTTTTAAGATATTAGTGGATAATGTTAAATTCACAAGGCTAGTTTTAGGTTAAAAAAATCTCATGCTTTGGTAGTCCGAGCGTGCGTCGGTAAAGTTTTCTTATCAGTTTTAAACGCCACGTAGCTATAGAGCAGGGAACCGAGGATGGAAATGTTGATCCCGACGAAGTTGAGCATCGAGAACACATAGTCAGGAAAGTAGAGCATGCCATAGTACGCGATGCTGATGTTTTTCAGGCAGCCGACGACGGTTGTGGTCAAAGAAGTATTGAACTTTCGAACTGTCACAAGATGCCGCAAAAAAGGGTATCAAACTTTGGCTGGCTGACAATTTCCTGAGTACAAAGCACCACGGCAAAATTCAGCACCAAACCCATCATACAGCTCATCACAAATTGAAGACAGAACATTGGATTAGACCAGCCGTCGAATTCTAGCGCCTTATCGATGTGTCTCAAAAACGATTCAAATTTCTACTCTTCCATGATTTCAAGTAGACACAAGGCAGATTAATATTGAACCGTTGCCCAATTTGATGGCATAAAAGGGCCACCAAGGGAAAACCAAAAAGCGCGTTATAGAACAACAAGCCATATTTCCCGAGATCCTTTTTGTTCAAAAACATTTTTGTATAAACGCCATTTGCAGCGGTGGTCAAGTTGTTGCCGAAAATGAAGGCGTACGAGAGAAGGTCGAAGGCAAGGTCATTGGCGGCGGCTATTAGCGCTCCGAAGATCATGATGAAGACGGAAAGGACGACGAATCGATTAGGCTTTGTTTTCAACATGTAGAATTCGAGAATCATCGTCATTAGGATGCTACGAACGCTTGAAAAGGGCTGGGAAAGATGGGACGTACCTGAATCTTCTTAGAACAGTAAACATGGGAATTGAAAGAGCTTGAGTCGCGTTCAGTCCAAGAAGACTATTTGCCAATGTAAAAAGCGGCAAAGGAAAGACCCGCCGGGGCAAGTCCCTGGAAAGACGAGGGAAGGAAATGAACCCAAAAAGCTTGGCGATGAAAAGCACAACGATTGTGCATGCCATCTGACCGAGGGAAAGGATGTTGGCAGAGGGGAACTTGTAGCTCGTCAGAACGGATTTGTTCACAGTGGTGATAAGAACAGAGGCGAGCGCTGAAGAAGTAACATGAGTAAAAGTTCTTCAGCAGAAAAATTACCATAGAAGACTGCTGAGCCAATTTTAGCAGCTGAAGAAACAGCATCATTTTCTGTCTTCATTTTTTATATATTGAATAACTTGAGTAAGTAAACTAAAGCTAAAGCTTCGATTTCGATTCTCTGTTGAATTTTTTTTCACAAGTATTGCGTTGCCATTTTTTTAATATTCTAAAGAAGAGTGTTTATTCAAGAGATGGGAATTGGAAGAATTGGATTTATTTTTTATAATATTTGTTCACGAAAGAATGGAACCTTTGTTCCGGGCAGTAGATCGACGAGAAATAATAACAGGGTAATATTTTTATGCATCTGTGTAAAAGAAATAAAAAAAATATAGAAAATTTAATAATGAAGAAGTTAGAGTCAGAGTAATTTTCCGTCAACATTTTTTCGGCAAAAGATGAGACGACTTCAAGAGCAGATTTTTATATAACGATAATACAAAAACAAAGCTCAAGCTATTCATCATCCCTATTCAAGAGCCCAGTATGATAAGTCAAGGATATTGAGGAGGAATTTTGGTGTGTCGATTGGCACGCTTCGCATTTTAACGACAGTGAATGGTAGGTCAATTGAAAAAAAATAGAATGAACTAAAGGAAGAATAATAGAATAAATGTATAGGAGAACTATAAAGAGCAAAATTATTTTTCAAAGAATTTAGCACTATTTTAGCGCTAGAATAGATAATAGGCAAATGAACCTGAAATAGGCTTGAAACGTAAAAGTTGAAAGTTGAGAAGCTTTTTAAGGAGATTTCATAGCATAAAGAAATAATTGAATATTGAGATTAGATAAAACATTGTCTAAAAAAGGTCACTTGGAAAACATGTGAAGCTCGGAGTATTTACAAGGTCAAGCGGGGGAGATACAGTATTACAGTAAGTAAAGAACAATCATCAATGCCGGAAGAGAGGTTGAGATCGTTCAAATGTCCCATCATTATGCATCGTTACATTTTCTAGAGACGATTTTTGAGCTTGAGAAGGAATGCTTCATTGTGTACCTGGAATAGTCATATTTGGATCGCATGGGTTAGATCTGGGCGGATTCAAGGGCTGGTTATTAAGGTAGTTGAAAATCGGCTCATTCGGTTGCAGCCGCGGTTGCTGTCGCTGTTGAATCATCAAAGGATCAGGGTGTGGCGTTGAGGTTGACGGGCCGTTTGAATGGCTTAGCATTGAGTGGCTTCCTTGAGCAGTCAGACCGTTTGGAGTGTTGGAGCCAACAATCGAGTGCTCAGGCATGGGAAGGCCGCCGGAAGAGCCACCGGATGAGGATTGACGGCTCAGCGAATACATGGGTGCTTGACCATCCGCCTATAAGAAAAGGTATTTATCTTGTTTTCATACTGTCAACTTACGTTACAGCCAAACTGTGCTTGAATCTCTTGAACTCTCTTGAGCACACATCCTGCAGTGAGACGAGCCTCGGCGTCGCAATCCCAACAATCTCTAATTGTCTCACAGAGATTCTTGAATTTGTCGTCCTCACTCCACGGGGGATCGTCGTATGCGTCGTCCTTCTTCTTGAATTTTGGGCGAAGGTTGTTGTCAACGATGTTATTTTGGAGGTCCTCAAGGGTGGGCTTTTCCTTGGTGAAAAAATGATTCGTTAAATAGATGCGTTTTTCGTCATGAATTCACCGTTCCTGAGTGCCAAGCTCATTTTCATACGGCAACGAGTAGTGAGCAGGTCCACGTGGCAAGTCCTTGCATCGGGAAAGACATTCCCACATGACCAAAGCAAAAGCATACATGTCAATGCGCAAAAAGGCATCACGGTGAAAGGAAATTGCACGCTCGAGAATCTCTGGCGCCATGTATCTCCGCGTTCCAACTAAAATAAGGAGGTAAAATGGCTGTTTTAGCCGATAAAATACCAGATGGGTGGGCATCTCCAAGGTTTTCACCAAGTTTGAATTGAATGGCAAGGCCAAAATCGCTTAGGACCGCCGTCAAATCGTTCTTGAGCAAGACATTCTTTGATTTGAGATCTCGATGAGCAACAGACGGCTTTCCCTCAGACAGTTGAGTGAAGGTAGGTGTCATATCTTCGTGTAGAAACCGCAGACCATCCGCCATAGTGGCGATCACATTCAATAATTGAGAGAATGTCTATAAGCAAATTGATTAATTCTGACTCTAGTCAATCCTTGGTCAGAAAAGAGGGTCAGCCGAGAACTTACCAAGGTGTGTTTGTGCAAAAAGTCACTGAGCGATCCGACTTCGTGGTATTCTGTGACGATCCAGTACTCCTTCTGAACGTCGTATCGCTCTTGAGCACCGAGGAAGGTGAGAATGTTGGGCTTGTGAATGTCCATAAGTGGCTTGAGCATCATGTAGATACTTCGCTCATTGTCATAAGAGTTTTTATCCTATAAATTTTCGCCAGAAAGTCAAAAGAAAGATCCTACCTGAAGGCACTTTACAGCATATTTACGATTGTCGCTACTTAGCCCCGTCCAAACAGTTCCATATTTTCCTTCTGCGAATTTTTCATGGAGCTGAATGTCACTCACCCACGCATCCTGGTGATCAACATCCTATAATCAACGATCGGAAGCTGCAAAACTAATGTTCACTTACGATGGTGTAGTCCTGGTGTAAATCAACGCGCGAGTCGTTCCCGTTCTGTGTTGGGAGTATTGGAATCTGCTCGTTGTGCGTTCCATTCATCCCGTTGTTAGACGGAGTTTTTCGGCGTACGTAGAACTTGTAAACAAAAGCGAAAACGACGACGACTCCACAGAGGATGGGGACCGTGATGGAGATAAGTTTGTACAGGTTGAATGTAGCCGCTTCCTTAATTTTCTGTTAAAGCTAAATTTGAACGGAGCTTTACCGGTTCTTCAGGCTCGAATTCTTTCCAGGAGTGATTGATGTTCATATGATGGTTGCAGTTGTCACTTCTACACCTACAGCCGATATAAATCGTTTCGTTTTCTTCCTTAGGCACTTCAGATTCCACATCGCAGGTTTCATTGATTATCTCCATCGTCGAATGCGGGGCGTGAAAACAAATGGCATAGCTAAACAGGGTCGGTTTAAATCATCATAAAGCGGTAAAGCAATCACCTGATGTAGTAGTTTTCACTATTGTCGCAGCTCTTTGTCTCGTGATTGGGGCCCTTGCACTCCGCTCTCGTGTGGCAGCGGTAGGCTAGCGGGTTGTCGTCCTTGATTTTACTGTCCATGCCGCAGGGATAGTGCGATACTGCGCACCACAGTTGATCCTCGCCAAAAGGTGTTGTCTTCTGCACAACTTGAGGAGATATCTTTCTGTTGGATTTGAAAGAGCACGGGGAGAAATAAAGCTGGTCTCCATTCTTAATTCTTGATAAGAGCAAGAATATGGGGTTCCCTTACGTTTCCAGCATGATTTGCATATGTTGCTTTATAAATGCTTCCGGAAGAAATGTCAAGAATCTGTTGAATTTTAGGGTCATTGAAGTCAATCCCATTTTCGAGAAGATCTTGCTTGTCAACAGGAGACGATCCATTTCCATAGTAGTAGTAATAGTTGTCGATTAGATTAACGAGGTCTTTGAAAATGATTCCCGACAGGTGCTTGTTGCTTGGTTCGTCTAGGTCGACCAGGGTTTCAGCCGTGCCGAGGAGGAATTGGCCGGTTGATTCATTTTTAGGGAGAGGAAATGGACTCACTCTTTGGTCATAAAAACACTTTTTTGGGCTCGTCTACAAGAACTTCCTTGCGGAATTTTCGACAGGCGATATTACGTTATATTCTGAGCCCTGAACCTGAAGGGCCAAAGATCCAGGAAGCAAAAGTTTGAAAACCAATCCCATGATCCATCTGTTTTACATAAACTGTCTAAAAACATGAATTCGGTGTAAAAAATTGATTTCGATTGCAGACTTCATTTTAGACGATAATGAACTTTCTAAACAGGGTCTCTAAAAACGAGAGCGTCCAAAAACAGGCGTGGGGGTTTTCAAAGTAGCATCAGTTTCAGTATTTTCCTAAAATAGTAGATAGAGATTGGATGTTTTTCGGAGTTCACAAAAGTTCAAGGTACAGTTGTAAGATTGGAATATTCTATTGGCGTTTTTGCGTAGTGTCATAAAATGACCATTCTCTTATCGAATAATATCGTTAATTTCTGCATACTAATCTGTCTAATTCTCGTCCTCTTCACTCTCCGTTTCCTAAATAAAAGAAATAAATAAGAGTTACAACATGACATGAAGAATATGATTAGGGACTTTCACGGGAAAATGACTGCCCTTCGATTTTCGTAAAAATTTCCTTAAAAGTATGGATTTTTTAGCTGATTCTGATGATACCAAAATCTTTTTGATCGGATAATGCTGCGGAAGACAAACTCAAGACTACTCTTAAAGCTGACCGATTTTTCACCCGAGTTTTCTGGGTCACTTGCTTATTATTTTTCGAAAATTTCTTTGCAAACATGAAGCTTAGGACTTCCGGGAACTTTTTTTGTGTTAATCACCCGGTATTGTTTGCATCTGATTCCGTGTACTGGGTCAAAGCAAGCACCCACTGAGATTATGGCGCGCGCTAATGCTTTTCGGGCTCCCCGCGCAGCGTGTAAAGCACTAGCGCGCCGTCACTTTTACTTAGTTATCTGATGATTGTGGCCGACTAGTAGAACCAAGTAAATTCATTTTTTGAGAGATTAAGAAAAAGAGTCTGATAGAAAAGATATCGAAAAAAGAATGACGAGGCAAGACGAGCTCTATACTTTTTCGATCTTTGAAAGATAAATTCGATGTTTTTCATAATATTCAATATTTTTTTGCCAATTTTTTGATCATATTTGGAATCAGCAGGTAAGAAAACATGTTTTTTTCTGAAAAATCAAGAAAAACGGATGGCTATTTCGGGTAGTTGGAAAAGCGAAAATTGGGCCCTCGCGCTCCCGTGATAGTCCCTAAATATGATAAATAGCGCCGCTTTTTATATTCATTATACAGCTCTTCCTTTCTCTCTTTTTTCTCAAAGAAGAATATGGGAAAATTGATATAAAATGGTAGGTCGTGATGCTCTTAGTTATACCTCAGATTCCACATTCGCTGAATCACTTGGCGGCAAGACAGCCTCGATTTCATCGATGAAGGGTGCCTTTTTCAACTCATACCGGCCACTCTGCCTTTCGATCTCGGCCTGGATTTTTTCTTAATAAATTATTTAACAAATTATACATTAAAAACCCGCAGCATCAGCAGACCAAGCTTGGCAACTTACCCATGGCTACATTTAGGACCTCTACTCCATGTTTCTGGTCGTTCGTTGTTGTGGTGATAAAGTAAAGAGGTGGGGCGTAGAGTTGAATTTTAATCTAAACAAGACGGTCTTTCCCTCGTATTTTTATCACCAAAACTTACGGGAACTTGTTCTGTACTGCATTCCAATCCCTTCGTAAGCGCGGCTTTGATAGCATCGACGCCTTCGTATTCATAACAAGTAACTTCAATCTCGGCTCTCAGTTTTTTGGGTTGAGGGGTCAGTCGCTACAAAGAAAAACATTTTATTCACAGGTCTATCTGTTCGCTATTAGCAGAAAAATCGAAAGCGGGGCGAGAAGTACCGCAATTAATGTTTACCTGTCTGATAGTCTTGAGAAGAGCGGCCTTTTGCGCGTCCGTAATATCAAGCTCGTCTAGAACCTCTTCGTTGTCGACGCACTCTTTGAATTTGTTGTACGAAGCACGGTGGGGCTACAAGAATTGATAGTTGATCTGGAAGACAAGCTCGTGCGAACTTATATTCACATATTTGATGGTTATGTAATGGCATTAGAGGGTACCCTCCGGAACGGATTAGTTGAATAAATTTATACATCGAATAATTACTTGCGACAAAAATATAGTACCGCGATTTTCATTTCTAGATGACTATTGTGTCCGCCTACGCTCCGTCAATTTACATTATCAATTTTTCGTTATAACATTTTTCCCATGCAAAAATGTTAAAACGACGTGCGTAGGCGGACAAAAATAGTCACTCAGGAATGATAATCACGGTACAACTTTTAGCTGTGTGAAAATCGGGAACACGAAAATCGCGACTTACCTCTTCTGGTCGTTTGTATTTGGCATCAAAGTGCCAGGCTGTTTTCTCCATGAACTCTTCAAGCTCCTCGTTCGTCGTGATACCTGCCAGTTCCGCCGCATACGTAACAATTGAGTTTACGTGCTTCGCCTGTCCGGGAAAATGTGTGTGATAAAGAAAGCCTATCGGCAGATATGCTTACCTTTTCATATCTGTTCTCACATCTCCTTTTCTCATCTTCTGATAGACGTCTCTTTGAAAGATCGATGTATCCTTTATCCTATTTCATGGGTTACTTTTGGTCCTTGTTTCTTTGGTGTTTTTACTGTAGTGAAGGGTTAGTAGAGTAGGCTCACAATCACTGTGAGCCCGGTTCATAATTCTGAGGAATTTTCTGTCGAAAAATATGATTTTTTTAGATGTCTAAAATCAGATCTCCTGATTCAGGATCTGTAAGCGCTGCGCGCCTGATCTGATGGAGAAACTCACTTTTCGCTTCACTTATCTCTTTACTTTTTTGTGTGCATCCAGTAATTTTGAGTCACTTTTTCGCAAAAATTATGAACCGGCTTAACAACTTTGTGTATAATAGACTATTATCATTAATAGTCGAATAACACCGTGGTTTCCGGAAAAAAAGAAAGTGACCCGTTTTCCTTGTCCACTCGAACTACCACGGCGCACTCATCGCGGCCAACCCTGACAAGCTTGTTGATGGATCTGATTCGTCTACGGGACAGCTCAGATAGGAGAATCATGCCTATAAAATTTTTACTTTTGAGCCAGGTTATTTTCCAGGGATCATCTGTTCTCTGACAAAAAGAACTCTTTGGAAAAAGCCTCCCTCGAAAATTCTAGATATTTATAATGCACAAAGCCTCTTGTTCTCCATATGAGGATAAGAAAGATGATCAAGAGGATTATTAAAATAAGAAGGAGGCTCCCTCGGGAAGTTCCCACGGCTCCGTTATGAAATGGAATTATTTTTATCGAAAATGACTTTTAGGGAAAGGGAGGGGCTTCGAAATGTATTCTGAAAGGTTGGCCATTCTCGGGTTACGAGCTTTAGAACGATCGAAAGAAGCTCGAATATTTTCAAATAAGGATGAAACAACATTTGCCATAAATACTTATGATCCTGAAAAGACGCCTGGTAGCAGGTTACTTACCAGGAATATTATTGAACTCTAGCAGCTTGACATAAGCTCCCATCTCGCCAATCTCAGTGACAGTCGCGATAACCGCATCATCAGCATCAGGAAACGGTTCCTTATAAAAACGCACGGACAAGCTCTGCTTCACAACTGGTATAACCGAAGCCATTCTACAATTCCAAACTCAGCAATTTGAAATTTTATCTTTTTTTTCGTATTTTTTCAAATAAAAATAATTGGTCAGAGGAGTTATTTTTTGTTGTAAGAAGAGGAGGGAGCAAGATTTTTTGTATACGAAAAAGATCTTGAGAGAATTGAATTTCAAATTTTAACAATTAAAAATTGTGAACATGAACACGGTTGGAGAAGTAGAACTAAAGGCTCTAAGATCACTGTTAATGTAACGGGCTAACTGGGGACCTCCAACACTCATTCCATCCAAAATCCAAACCTGCCAGAGCAACATAGCAACATAGGGAGCCTTATTTATCCTCTACGTTGCTTCGTACGTGCCCTTGTTCCTCCTTGGGGGACATGGCTTTATCCCATGGATGAACATGGCTACATCGGCAGAATTTAAAGAACGAACTAGCCCCTATATTAATTCAATAAGACAAGATGCGAGCCTGCGAGTAGTAACACTGTACTATGATTTTACACTGTCATTGAATTTTTCATGTTTTATTTCTGAAGTCTTACCGGCCACGAGGTTTTTGTTGAATCATGTATTTTTTGGTGGAGCGAACAAGGATGGAGGAGCCAAGTTAACAAAGGTAAAAAAGTATAAGTAGCCAAATATGCTCCAGAAATCATGTCAGGAGCAAATTGGACCGGAGAAGGTGAGAATAAAAAATTAATAATACCAGACAGACTGTAAATAACAAGTAATAGTAATTTGTAGTTTCTTGACAAGCAGAAAAGATCGAATAGTTTGTACGTTAAGTTTTCCTAGTGGGTAAAAATTTACACGTAATGAGATGCAAAATGGTAGATACTGTATCATACAGGAAAGTACATGTACTCTTGGGTTGAGTCAGCTTTTTTAGGTTAAGGATGCGTCTGATTGAACTCGTATGGAAAAGTGTGCTTACGTGTAAGAAAGAAATTGAAGTGGGGAAAATTTGAATTTGGGTTAGCAAGGTTTCCTGCCACCTTGTTCGGAACTTGGCAGTTTACAGCTGAGATTATCTTTTTTTGAATGAAAGTTGAAAAAAACACAGATGGCTCAGGGGCATCTTTTTGGGTTCCTTTCGTTTTTGTGTTGCGCAAAAAGACCACCGAACCAGAACTGAGTGACCGGTTGATTCTTGGCTGACTTTTCTCCCTGGCTAAAACTTGAACCCGAGTCTCGAATTCCCCCCATTTTGAAAATGAAAAAGGGGAAAAGACAGCCCTAATCCGTGTTTAGCGTTTTCTTTTCCAAAAGTCGTGTGGTTCTTTAGAATCTTGATTTGAAATTGGGGTAAAATCAGGTTGTGTGCTCTTGCTGGTAAAATAAGGGGTGGACAAAATAATAAAATATGGAGTTTTTAGCATATGGAATAAGGGCGAAATAATAATATTTTGTTTAGGAAAGGCGCGCAACCAGAAAGATCAACGATTGCTCCTGATGGTCTTTCTGTTGTGTAGCCTCTTGTTGGACGTAGGAAAAAAGGTGTCGTGTTGTTTACAGGAAATAGTCTGGTGTTCTGCGCGTCACGTGCGGCTCGCCACGGCGCGGGGCTGGATCAAACTGCAAGAATGAATAGCGAAGGTTGTCGTCCAGCTCCATAATCGCCGCCTATAAAGGAGAGCAATAAAGTAATTTAATCAAATGAGTCATTGTCTTGCCTGATTTCCGCATCTGTAACAATAATTTGGCGCCGAGAAGATGGTGACGACGTTTCGTTCGTGGCACCAGTTGTATCCCTCCATCACCAGCTGGTGAGCGCGCGATATGAGGGTCAGCCCGTTTGTGTGATTGAAGGTCTCAGATATGTCCTAAAAGAAGGACGCTAGAAAGACCTATTTCTTGGGAAGCGTACCTGTCCAAAAGTGTATCCAGCGCCACGAGGCGAGATTCCCCATCCGCCACGATCATCTGGATCGGACCAGAGAAGGTCGCACATTGGTCCCTCGTGTGGTACCTCCTGAAGTCTGTCAAGAGCGCGGATGTGATCCAAGGTATCAATCGAAGGCTAAACAAAACGGTAATGAAAAAAAGAAATGAAGAAGCCTACCGATAGACCGCCGTGGAGAGCGAAAATCTGATTATCGACGATCGCCGTCAATGGCAAGAAGTCGAACAAATCGGTGTAGTAGCGCCAGACATTGGCGTTACCATATTTTCGGAGGCATTCGTCATAGAAGCCGTATACTAAAAGGTGTAAGGAAGGGGGAGGAGAGGTGGAATACCTTGTGTAATCTGCCTGGATTCGTGGTTGCCTCGGAGGATGGTGACTCGATGGGGATATCGAACTTTGAGCGCGACGAGGAGGGTGACGGTCTCGACGGAGTAGTAGCCACGATCGACGTAATCGCCCATGAAGAGGTAGTTGGTGTCGGGAGCTTTGCCACCGATTCTAGAGATCGATTACAAGTAAGAAGGAGGGAAAGAATTACCGGAATAATTCCATGAGATCGTGGAATTGACCGTGAACATCGCCACAGACAGTCACTGGGCATCGAACTTCCTGGACGTTCCCTTCATGGGTGAGGATTTCCTTTGCCTTGTCGCATAGTTCTAGAGTTTGTTAGCAGTGATAGTGGTGGCTGAAAGTGTACCTTTGACTTGGGATTCGTCGAGCTGCTTACATTCGTAAAGTTTCTCAATCCATCCGTCCAGATCTTTCGCCTTTGATATCGTCGACCCGTCCTCCATGTATCTAGACAGAAAAGGGGATGAAGAACTAGTTGTTTTCGTGTTTAAAAATGTTAAACTAAAAGGTGTTTTTTATAGTCAGGATATTCGTTCAGTAAATAACGATTTTCGTATGTTAAACTTTCTTCTAAAGATGCGTTTAGTTTTGGATTGTCTAGGAGCGTTTTCAGAAGAGGGGATGAAAAGTGCTTCTTTGTAAAAATCCTGTCAAACGCCGATTCGACTTCTGATTTCTCCGAAGCTTCAAAACTGCCCGACTTTTCTTTCTCCATTAGAATGATGAAGGCGCGCAATTCTTGAGCGCACAACGCTCCTTTTCTCGCGTCAATTAGGTGTTCTACGTACTCCTCCGCAAAACCGTTTTGTAACAACTAAAAAGCGTATTGAGTTCTAGAGAAAAAGGATTGTCTCTCTTACGAAAAGGATGAATTGACCGCCGTGGCGCGTCGCGTAAAGATGGTCGAAAAGCCCGTCTTTTGCTAATTTCGCGTTGATCTTTTCCCGTAGGCGGCAGTAATGATCGTCGTTTTCGTCGAACGTCGCAAGCGCTGTTTCGAGCAGCTGGACTGCACCTTTCCATCCGTGCTCGCTGAAAGGAGCATGAAGAAGAACAAGAAAGCTCGGGTTCTTACCGAAGGAAATTGTCGATGATTTCTGAGTTGTCTGGGTGATCTGGGTCGACGGAAGGGGGAATGTTCATGGATCTGTGCTTTGTTGGGTATTGAGCCTGAAAGTAAATATTGAAGAAAGATGCAAGCAAATGACAACATAAAGCAAATACAGCTACTAATGATAGGGCGTGGTGATGAAAGATGGTTACTAATGGCTTCGTAGGGATCATTCTTGAGACAAGCGATAAAAGAATGGTCAAACAGGCACCTTTTTCAAGAAAAAAAAAACAAAAATGACCTAAAATTAGCTAAAGAGTCAGTTCTGGGATTTTTAGAGGATTTGGAGTTAAAAAAATCAATGTAATTTCCATCCCTAACAGTGATTTTAGCCCGATAATACTCTAATAGTAACTTGAAAATTTGTTAATCAGGAGATCTTTACCTGAAGTCTTCTATTGCGCTCTGGCCACTCAGCATATCTCAAATTTCCACTTATTCTTTCCCTGACATAAATCGGTCTATTCTTGTGCGAATAACTCTCCGAAACATCCATCATGACCAAGTTGGACCCGTCAAGGTGATAATAAAGATCGTCTTCGTGAGGAATTGGCGTGGCGATTTGCTCCCTTGCGATACATATCGGCGGCATTTCGGAGCGCTTGACAACGTCTTCGTAGAAATTTAAAAGTGACTCTTTGAATTGCGATGGGGACATGAGGTGGTCGCCTGGGACTCGGTACTTGGTCACATGAAACGGTTCCTAAGAGAGATACGTTGATTCACGCGTTTTTCATCACTTTCTGACTCACCTGGACGTCTCTGAAAAACATCTTCTCCTGCGCCAAGTCGAGATTGGCCTCGACTCCCTGGAGAATATAAAGCAAAGTGCGACTGAACCATGCGCCAAAAGCTGGATGCAACTTTTCGCCATATTCGGACCACAAGAATCGATCGCTTCCTTCCGAGTTGATGCTGATTTCGGCCGAAATCGAAGGCGAACTTGAATGTATTGAGGCGGAGACGAGTTCTTTTGTCTTTTGAAAACTTGCTTCGTCGTAGTTTGTGAAGACGCTAGACGAAGTAGTAATAAAGATAAATAATTAAAAACAAACTGTAGCTAGTGTAGCCAATGCTGCAATCTGACTGTACTTACTCAACAATATCGGACAATTCCTTGGCCTTCTTGTGCTTGTGCCAGATTTCTCCATTTTCCTTCAGAGTCGATAGTTTCTCAGGCTTGGCATTGACTTTTTCGCTCAATCCCTAGCTAATTATTTATACAATTTTGTAATGCAATAAAGCTCTTACCGAAGGTCCTTTGTAGTCGATGTGGTACGCGTACGGGCCGTAGTTGAAGTTGAAACGAGTGTATTTTGGACCTGAATTATTGACAATTAAAATTGGCTCTTTTTACTATAATTTCCTAAAAAATATGAATTTTTTTTATTAAATTAATTAAGAAATAAAGCAAATAATCTGTGATGAGTCATATCCGAGAAAATTAATTAACTTTTTTGCTCTAAAATGTAATTTATTGAGTGCTTTCTGTACCCAATGAACTTTGACCCACTTTTCCGCGAAAGAAAAATAATAAACTAACCTGGAATTTCCCTGAAAGAGGAAAACCTCTTATGCACACTGCCCACGGCTCTCATTTTACGATAAATTTACGGAAAGCGCGTGAAAGGTGATAATTTGCAATAAAAAGTGTCGAGTTCTCTCGAAATCGTGCTGATTTTGCGTCGGTCCGCTACTGCGGCCAGCGACGATCGATCTTCGATTGGTTGTTTTGAAACTCGACACCTACGCGCGCAATAGGCGCCCTCAAGCGGACAGCGAAAATTATTCGGGGACCACTTTGAAAATTACTGGTGAAGGTAAGCTTTTGCCTGGGATTTGAAGGTGATGTAAAGATGGAGAAAAAAGATTCTAAAATGTAATGCGAGCCGCAGAACTACGGCGGTGCCCTTGAGTGTCTATCATTATTTTCGCAGTTGTGAATGACGGATGATATTCATGGTATACTTTATACGGTATAAATTATACCGTCTAAAGTACCAGTTTTTGCAAGAAGAAAAAACGCTATTCCAGCTTGAAGGCCACGAAATACAAATTCTATTCGTTTTGCCTCGGCCCGTCAAGGCATGTCGGCATTTCGGAATAAGTTATTCAGTAGAGGCTCGAAATTTCGCAGCTTTCTTTACTGACCTCAGCGCTTTTCTAATTTTTAGACAGGGTTTGACCTAGCTTTTCAAAGCAGCGCTAGAACGTCATCTTTCATAATCCATCAAGCGTTGAAGTCATCCTGCCGTGATTATGTCGACGATAGCGAATACCTAGGTAAACTTGATGAAAAATGAGCTCTTTTTAGAGCTTATAAATCAGGGAATATAATACAGTTTTAGAATCCTCAGAAGCTGGGGATCATTTTGACTATTGATACTTGAGGGTTCTGCTCATGCCCTGAGGGGTTTTGGGCCTTCCAAAGTCCCGAAATTTCGCCAATCTGGGTAAGGGGCTCATAACTTTTCTTCTCCCCACTTCTGGAGAAAGCCCACTATATGAGCTTGTAGAGGAGCCTCTAACGGTTCAGAATATGTATAGAAAACCACCGGACACCCCCATTCTAGAGCCTCTAGAAGGCCCGGAAGTTGAGGAAGTCACCGAAAAATCAGTACTTTTATACGAAAATAGAGTAAAAAGGCAATATTTTCATCGGAAATCGTTAGAAAAACGTTTTTAATGACTTTCTGACGTACAAAATTTAGTCTGGGGTCCTCCCGGGGTGAGTTCTTACGAAATTCAATTTTTCTCACAATATGACCCCACGTGACCTCAAATGGCCCAAGAATAAATTTTGTACGTCAGAAAGTCATTAAAAACGTTTTTCTAACGATTTCCGATGAAAATATTGCCTTTTTACTCTATTTTCGTATAAAAGTACTGATTTTTCGGTGACTTCCTCAACTTCCGGGCCTTCTAGAGGCTCTAGAATGGGGGGTGTCCGGTGGTTTTCTATACATATTCTGAACCGTTAGAGGCTCCTCTACAAGCTCATATAGTGGGCTTTCTCCAGAAGTGGGGAGAAGAAAAGTTATGAGCCCCTTACCCAGATTGGCCAAATTTCGGGACTTTGGAAGGCCCAAAACCCCTCAGGGCATGAGCAAAACCCCCAAGTATGAATAGTCAAAATGATCCTCAGCTTCTGAGGATTCTAAAACTGTATTATATTCCCTGATTTATAAGCTCTAAAAAGAGCTCATTTTTCATCAAGTTTACCTACGAATACCTATCCTTCTACAAATCAACGAATGACAGGTTTGAAAATTTGCGATCATCGAAAATGTTACTCCAATTTTAGCGCACTCGAGAAAATTGTAGTTTCTGTTCTTCAGAAAAACCTTGTTTTGGAGAAAAACACATCCTGCCCGTGAGCCTTCCTCCATAAAGTTACACACCTTGTTAATTGAACATCGCCATCTAGTAGGAACGAGTTTCAACCCTCCGTCAGACACATTAAACGATTAGATTTTTTACGAGAATAGCTGATCAGATCTGAAACATGAAGGTATATTTGAATGGAATATTATTCAGAAGAGACCTTTTTAATCTCTCTCCCACTATAGATGTAATTTTTTTAAGTTTTTATTATTTGAATTTTTCTGTTTATAAAATTTTCAGTAAAACTTGTTCTCAAGTTTGATCTCAAACACCGCGGTCAGCGTTGACCTAGATTCGGGACTCTAATCAAGAACGAGCGAGGAGCGCCCTAGAATTATCCACTTAGAAGCGCACCCGCCACCTAGTGCGGCCAAGTTTTCAAAGCATAAAAAGGAGAAATTTTCAGAAAATTTATCAGAATATCTGAAAGTAAACTCAGAAAATGAAGGTTTGTCTTATCGATAAAAAAAGAGACTTTGAGACAACAAGATGTAATAAATACGAAATTTATTTCAGCTCTTCACGACAGTTTTGACTTCAATCCCTCTTTGCTCCTCCGTCGGTGTCTCTGTTGGCAACGAGAGAGCTGCTGGCAGCTCATGGGGTTACGACGGTAAAACTTAGATACAAAAATCCGATAAAAAATACCTTATTTTAGAGCAGGGAGACGATTGGGGCGATTCTGCTGAGACTTGTAATGGCAATCGACAGTCACCAATCGACATTCCGAAGAATTACTCTTCCGCTGAATTCCAGCCATTTCAGTTGACCAATTTTGACGACGAGCAAAACTGGACCTTGTTTAACAACGGCCACTCGGTGCAAATGACTGCTTCCAATCTGTAAGGACTCACTTTCTTTATATTTTACTGACATTTTCATCTCCAGGAACATGAAATTGAACGGCGGTGCTCTTCCAGGCGAATATATTCTTGCCCAATTTCACTTTCACTGGGGATCAGCCGATCATGCCGGCTCGGAGCATACTCTTGAGGGAAAGCAGTATTTCTCCGAAGTCCACTTGGTTCATTTCAAGGCGGAATACGAAACAATCGGCAACTCTGTAAGCAAAGGCGACGGACTAGCCGTCCTTGGCTTTTTCATCGAAGAAGACCCTTATGCTGAGGTAAACTGAACAAAAAAGTCAACTTATTAACCATTAGGATACTCCGCTCGATAATTTCTTCCGCAACCTCGTTGGTGAAGCAGTTCAAAATCCGTCCGAAACTTCTACTGTTCAATTTTCCATGACTGATATTCTTCCCTCCACTCTCGACAACTTTTACAGGTACCTCAATATTTTATAAAATATTTATAAACAAGAATCTTTTAGATACCTCGGAAGTTTAACCACCCCGACATGTAATGAAGCCGTCGTTTGGACAAATTTCAAAGAATCCCTAAAAATTTCTTCGAAGACAAGGGAATTCATGACTCAGTTCGCCAAGGTTCCTTATCTCCAAATTATATAAAGTCTGGTACTAACTTATTATGATGTTTAAATTTACAGAAATCAAGGATAACCATGGGGAGGATTTGGTCAAAAACTACCGAAATGTTCAACCACTCAATGGACGCGAAGTGACTTTCTATTCTTCACAAGTTGACCGACTCAATCTTATCGAGTACCACTTTGAGGTAAGCAGTGGAGATACCAATCGTAACTTATCATTTATTTTCCAAGAGAATCGTCGAAGCTCTCCCAGACAGACCATGGTCCGATCGATACGAGCAACGACTAAACAAACAACTCAAGAAGGCTGAATCTGCGTTCACAGGAGTCAACTGCTACAAAGAAAATGGCTTTGGGTCTGATGACTCTGCTGACGACGTCCAGGTCTTCGATGAGAGTGACTTCTGCAAGCTCAACGGCCAGGTCAACGCCGCGCTCAACAGCTGGGCCCGAAACAACGCTTGCGAAGGACGAGGCAAGGTCTACCGACAGATCATCCGAGCCAGTCGAAAGGTCCGAAACCTTTTCGACAGGAAAATGAGTTGTTAGAGAAAGAATGGATTTCTTGATCTGTGCTTATATTTATCTGATAAGGAATACAATATAACCAAACCTGTTATCAAAAAATTGAGAAGCAAACTTGACATCTTCATTTTCTTCGACCTTCTTATCTTATCTTATATAATATTATATATATATAAGTTATATATAAGTTTTATAATATAAGTTATATTATATAACTGATAAACATATTGGTTAAATGTTAAAAGACAAGATTTGTGTATATTTTATCTTTATTGTTGGATAATAAGAGGGATCAGAAAATTCTTTTCTGGAGTTAGCAGCCCATCTTGTCGTTGTAGAAGTTTCGGACCTTTCGAGCGGCTCGGATGACCTGTCGGTAGACCTTGCCTCGTCCTTCGCAAGCGTTGTTTCGGGCCCAGCTGTTGAGGGCAGCGTTGACTTGGCCGTTGAGCTTGCAGAAGTCACTTTCGTCGAAGACCTGGACGTCATCGGCGGAGTCGTCGGAGCCAAAGCCGTTGTCTTCGTAGCAGTTTTCGCCGTTGTCAGCGTCAACAACCTTGTTGAAGACTTTGTAGAATCGGTTGACGTATCGCTCGGCCCAGGAAGCGTCTTCTGGGAGAGATGCAGCAATTCTCTGAAATCCCAGTTTTAGGGATTTTACTCACTGATTATTTTGTTACTTAGTAAGTAATACTTACACCGAAGTGGTACTCGATGATGTCAAGTCGATCAGCTTCAACAAGCTCAAATTCGAAACCACCTTCAGTAAAGGCGTGATCCGAGGAAAAACTGACTGTCGCCTGCCCTCCAATCACAAATAGGTCATCGAATCCGTTGTTCGAAACATTGACAAGGTCAGGAGTCATTTTGCCGCCCTCTTTCTTCTTCTTGTCGGCATCACGTCTTCGTCGTCGTCCGTACAAACGGGGGCCGCAAAAGTTTCTCTCTTCCCCGTTGGCAATGACCTTCACGTAGTCATATTCGCAGTTGTCAGCATACTCAACGTTGAATCGATTCGCAGTGATGAAGAAACCGGGAACTCCTCGGATATCGATGGTCCAGCTGCAATGAGTTCTGTCGGGATAGTTGCCAGCACCTGAGTCTGGAGACGAAAATGTTTGAAGCTCAGTGATGCGGCCGCCGCAATCGGTTGCGATCGGAACGCCGTTAGTGGTGGTTAGAGTTCTATACGTAATGGAAGTCGTAGTGGTTTCAGTAGTAGTAGTAGGATAATAGTCAGTAGTGTAATAAGAAGCAGATGCGCCGGCAATCAACGAAAAGAGCTAAAAATAAATTCCTATTAATTGTCTCGCGTCTCTATGGATAAACCTTCATTCTCTAGCTTTTTTCAGATATTCTGATAAATGATGAGCTGCTTCACGCGGTTTTGTACATTTTGATTTCCGTAATTGCTCCTAGGTGGCGGTGCACTTCCACCAAGAGGTTAAACGAAAGAGAAACACTGAGAGTGCTTAGGGCAATGTCTAGCCTAGATAATGCTTCCGTTTATGGTATCAACTCTATTCCGTCATTTTTGATTCGATTAAATTGCTATATTAAACAAGTCGCCCTTTGACGATTTTCCGATGTTTTAAATCTTTCTTCAACACACATGTAACTCGTGGTAAGAAATCAGAACAGATCAGACCGTCACCAAGTGGAACTTGAAAGTAATGACAGGTTGTCAAAATAGCAATGTCGATCCTTGCCAAAACGGACCCAGCCCTTCGTGGTACTCTGGGAGATTTCCTTCGTAAGCAAAATTCTTTGAATTTATGAAAGTGCCTTAGTAGGAATTCATTCGCATCGGTACGTGTGCAAAATAATGCGCTCAAGTTCCGCAAGTCCGCTGATCGCAGACTAACAAGACCGCGCCCTCGATGTTTTGTCAACATCAGGCTCAGGTAAAGTCTGAAAAGCGTGTTTTCGTGAGAAACAAGTTTCGAGTAAAGTTTTTTTTTATTTTCGCAAAAAAGAGATATGAAATCAGAAAATTCTTTTCTGGAGTTAGCAGCCCATCTTGTCGTTGTAGAAGTTTCGGACCTTTCGAGCGGCTCGGATGACCTGTCGGTGGACCTTGCCTCGTCCTTCGCAAGCGTTGTTTCGGGCCCAGCTGTTGAGGGCGGCGTTGACTTGGCCATTGAGCTTGCAGAAGTTACTTTCATCGAAGACCTGGACGTCGTCGGCGGAGTCGTCAGAGCCGAAGCCATTTTCTTCGTAGCAGTTTTCGCCGTTGTCAGCGTCAACAACCTTGTTGAAGACTTTGTAGAATCGGTTGACGTATCGCTCGGCCCAGGAAGCGTCTTCTGGAAGAGCAGCGGCGATTCTCTGGAAGATTATATAAGAATCATGACTTGTTCAGTGACTAGTTAGTCGATAAGTTACAGACGATTACTTACGCCAAAGTGGTATTCAATGATGTCGAGTCGATCAGCCTCAACAAGGTCGAATTCGAAACCACGTTTAGTAACGGAATGATCCGTGGTGAAACTGACTGTTGCCTGGCCTCCTAGAACAAACATGTCCTCGAATCCTCCGTTCGAAGCGTTGACGAGGTCAGCAGTCCATTTACCGCCCTCTTTGGGCTTCTCGGTTTCGCGTCTACGGCGTCTGTAAGGATCGGGGCCGCAGAAGTTCCTCTCTTCTCCGTTGGCAATGACCTTCACGAAGTCATATTGGCAGTTGTAGATAGTATACTCAAGCTCGAATCGATTGGCCTTGATGAAGAATCCGGGAACTCCTCGGATATCGATGGTCCAGGTGCATTGAGCTCTGTTGGGATAGTAGCCATAACCTGTGTCTGGAGACGAAAAAGTTTGAAGCTCAGTGATGCGGCCGCCACAATCGGTAAAAGTTGGTTCACCGTTTGTCGTGGTTTCAGTACTATAGTAAGGAGCAGAGGTCCCGGTAGGGTAATACTCAGTGGTACTCTCAGTAGTGGGGTAATAATACTCAGTGCTGTAGGAATAAGAGTAGGCAGATGCGCCGGCAATCAAGGAAAAAAGCTAAAATATACTTATTTACTTTCTTATTTCTCTGTGAACATACCTTCATTCTCTAACTTTGTCAGATATTCTGATAAATTTTGAGTTGCTTCATGCGATTTTGTACTTTCTGAGTTCGGCCATCGGTAGGTGGCGGTGCGCTTACAGCGAGAGGTTGACCGTAAAAGAATTGCTGAGAGTGCTAAGGGCAATGTTTTGACCGAGATTAATGCAAATGTCGAAGAAATATAGAGAATCCTGTAGAAAATAAGGGTAAATTATTTATCAGGAATCCCGTTTTTTTTTCAAAATCTGCGTGAAAATTGTATTGAAAAGAATAACTTGACGTTTTTATCGGGAGAAGTCACATTTATTGTGAATCCATGCTCGAATTTCGGGTTCATTGGACGGTCTTTTGAAAAAGAAAGATTTTTTTACTGATATTCCTGAGTAATAATTGCTTTCCTTCAATTATAAAATGAAAGATTTACCGCCTATTTGACCACAAACATTATTCCACCAGACGCAAACGTGTCTCTTCAGGATTAAATTTGTCGTAACATGGTAGAGCGGGTCAACTTGAGCTAGCGACTACACGATGTTGCTGATAACTGCCAATTTCAGGAGTGCGGATTTAGATAGAGAGGCGAATTTGCATTCGCTTCAAAGCAGAAGCCCGGCCAAGCGAAAGTTAAAATAAATGACTGGTTGTTGAGATAGCGATGTCGATCTGCGTGGCACTCTTCCGTTTGTAGTATCAACTCCGTTCCGTCATATTAGATATAACCGTATTAAATTGTTAGATCAGACTTTACCCAAGTGGAAGTTTAAAGTAATGACTGGTTGTCAAGATAGCAGTTGCTATTTATTATCATTACAATGTCAATCTGCGTGGTACAAATTAAAAGTCCCTTCAGACTGAACTCATAAAAAATCCACTTGAATTTCTTTGATTGCGAAATTCCAAAATGAAATCGCAAATTCGGTATATTTTTTTACTTGGCTTTATTCGCAAGAAAGAGATATCATATAAGATCAGAAGACTCAGAAGACAGATTGAGCTTGCAGAAGTTACTTTCATCGAAGACCTGAACGTCGTCAGCAGAGTCGTCGGAGCCGAAGCCATTTTCTTCGTAGCAGTTTTCGCCGTTGTCAGCGTCGACAGCCTTGTTGAAGACTTTGTAGAATCGGTTGACGTATCGCTCGGCCCAAGAAGCGTCTTCTGGGAGGGCAGCGGCGATTCGCTGAAAATAATTTTAACAAAAATTACTCTTCTAAATCGATGAGTAATCGACTATAACTTACGCCAAAGTGGTATTCAATGATGTCAAGTCGATCAGCCTCAACGAGGTCGAATTCGAAACCACTTCGAGTTATGGAACCATCAGTGGTGAAGCTGACAGTAGCTTGGCCTCCTTGGACGAAAAGGTCGTCGAAGCCGTCGTTGGAAACATTGACGAGCGAATACGTCATAAAATGCTTCAAAAAGAGGACAAGAGCCGTCTAAATTCATTCTTTAAAACATTTGGCTACGTAAAACGTGCCCTCCGCGTTTACCTAAAACAACCTAAACAATTTGTTTCGCCTGGATTTCAGAGCCATGATAGCCCTTTTAACCACTAATCGCATGGCAGTGGCTATGAGACTACCGTAAATAGGGGTCCGTTGCTTTGTCGTTGATCGTGAAAGAACCCAAAATGAAAATATTAGTGTTCGGCAGCAAGAAAAAGTGTGGCAAGAAAAGGAAATCATGCGGATTTATTGTAATAATATCATGTAAATGCGTGCACCTCTAATATACCACGTGCGCAATATGTTTTGGCAGCATAGTTATTAAACGTTTCTAAGATTAGATGTGACCGCTCTTACTATCCATAGTCTTGCAAATGCAAGATAAAGACAACTATCGTGCGTGAAAGAAAAAAATCGAATTTTAAAGAGCATATTTTTAGGTCATTGGTATGTTCCACAATTCCTGGACTTTGAGCTTGAAACTGAGGTCGAAGATGGATACAACAAGGGTCTTCTCAAAATAACTCTTCCATGCTCAGGTGATTGAAAAAGACATAAAGCAGTAGTATATCGTTGAAAGAATGGGACAACGCATATGCGAGAGAATGGCGAATTGGCGGAGAAGTGGATTCCTGGCCGAAATTCCTCTGCGTGTTTTTATCCAACTGGCCGAAATTGATCCTTAATTTTTTCATCATCATCGTTCTACTTTTCGTGCTGGTGAAAATTTCTTGCACTGGTAGAGGGCAGTCAGGGCTTATTGGCAGCTCCATTGATGTCGATAGAGAAGCGTCCGAGAATACTGAGAGACGGTAGTTTGCAAATTTAGCTATTTCTCAATTTATCAAAAGTGTTTAGACGCAGGGCGAAAGAACGATCTCTTCGAGAGAAGATACAAGAAGGAAGAAAGAGCGAATACCTTTCTAGTAGAACGAGTACTCCATCATCATGTTCAAAAAAGAGAATTACAAAATAAAAACAGTATTGGTCTATCCAATTTTATATCAAAAGAGACGTTTATATTTGGAATAATGTTTCTTTTATATGTTCAACTTGTCGATAAGACTGTTCTGAACTTATTTTGATTTTAAAACTTTTATAAATAGTATCAAAATTGGCAGCTTTTGGCAGTCAACTGGCAGCTGGTCTATCTTCGGTTTATATTAATGCAAGAAATATTAATGCATAAGCAGTTTCTAGAAGCGAAAATTGAGTCTGTCAAAGTGTCATTTTAGAAGCTAATAAATCTAAACGCTATAAAAAGACTTGCGTGGACCTACAGACATGGCTACTGATTGGTAAACTTGAATGTGGCAGTAGGTGTTTCAGAGAAAATCGAGCTTATTTATGACCCCTGTTTCAGCTACTGACTACTTGAGAGATAAAAGACACAGAGCTTGATTTTGAATAAGCCTCGATCAGAGGAATCCTTTTGTTCAGAACAGGCCGAGATTCCAGACTAGACGAAATACTTGTTTTTAAAAGCTTTTCCTTTGAGTAAATTTCCACTTTCTTCGGGCGCGTCTCAGTGATTTTCCATCGCGTTCGTCTTATCTGATAAATTTAAGAAGACAAAAAACGGTAATATGTCGAAAAAAGAGGAGAACCAGCTTATAGAGGAGCAACAAGAGAAAAAAGGCTTTGATCGTGTTTGGGATAGATTGCCGCACATATCATGGTATCAGTTCCGAATCACGACTCTACCTTCCGTAGCGTCGCTCGTCGGGGGTTTCATGTCCATTTATCCGGTTTTTGCGCAGTTCAAGGTGGAAAAGAAATGGTTGCGTTTTTCGTAAAATGTATTTTAGCCGCAATATCGCTGCCAAACAGCGCTAGATAAAGCAGGACTAGACGTAGATCTGTCATTCCAAGAGATTTTTGATCTGACTACAAGCACTCCGTATTGCCAAGGTAAGAAGAGGCGGGTAAAATATCATCTCTATCCAAAAGGTTATCAAAGCAATCAGCTTGGCGGGTGCTTCTTCTGCGATTTTTCCCCAGAAACAATTACTTCTTGCGATTCAACTTCTTTCTCATCTCTGAAATCATGCCTCGGAAAAAGAGAGGCTCAAGAAAACTCGACTTGGCGATCATGCGAAGATTACCAATACGACCGCGGAACTCGTGGAAATGAGACGAACTTCAGAGGAGAGCAGTGGGAAACGGCAGTGACTGAATTTACTCTTCACTGTGGGATGGAATGGTTCGACTCCTTGTCCACTGCGCTTGGACTCCTTGGCCTTCTAGGTGGCGCATTTTTAGCCGGACTCTATTCAGGTACACAAGATGGCACTAACCTAACTTTTTTTATCTACTAAAGAATTCAGCAAGGTGCAGATCAGTCAGGCAGTGTCAAAAACACGTGCAAAATCCATTACATAACAGATAATGAAGTACTTTCTCGCGTCGTCACTACGCTTACCTTTTCGTCAATTCAGATCGTTTTGGTAGAAAGAATTCTCTTCTGCTTTGGCACGCTGTCGTTGGAGCTCTTCTTATCATCATGTCATTTATGACGACGAAGTGGGGATACTTGGTCTTCAGAATATTTTCGAACGGAATTCATCACACATCATGGCTAGCATTCGTTGTTTACTCGCTTGAAGTTCTTGGGCCGTCGAAACGCGCAGTTTCTGGAGCTACTACTCATATCTACTACGGCGTTGGGTACATGCTCACATCCATCCTGGGCTACTACTTCCCTGATTGGCGCGATTTTACCTTCGCCATCGCTGTCATTCACCTCGTTACTCTCGTTGTTGCTCCATTCTTCCCTGAAAGCCCAAGTTTCTTGTATGCAAAGAAGAAGCCCGTCCAAGCTCGCAAAATTCTCAAAACTTTCTCCGAGAAAACCAACAAAAGCCTCGATGACAAATTCCTCGACCAGTTGGAAGCTGAAATCAACGAGAAAAACAACACCGAGTTAAATAATGAAATGGTGAAAAAATTCACGATCATCGACCTTTTTTGCCATCGTTTACTTGCGAAAAACACGCTGATCATTGCCTTTGGCTTCTTCTCCGGCGTTCTTGGCTACTATGGTTTATCGTTCAATGTCAGCAGTCTATCAGGAAACCTCTATCTCAACAATGCTATCAATGGCTTCATGGAAATCATCAGCTACATCGTCGTTATGACACTGATGGAGTTTTGCGGAAGAAGATGGTGCTGCGGAGGAATCATGTTTTTCGGAGGAATAGTCTCACTTCTCTGCGGAACTTTACAACTCTTTGGCTACGTTAACGGTGTTCGATGGCTTTCATTTATCGGTAAGTCATTTCAGTTCTTTGTTAGATTAAGGATTTTTAGGAAAATTTGCTGTTAGTGGCGCTTTATGCTCTATTTACATTTTCGCCGGCGAGATTTTTCCGACAGAAATTCGCTCCACTGGAATTGGCTTTGGATCGATGGTTGGGCGACTGGGTGGATTCATGAGCCCATTTATCATTCAAATATCGAACAAGGTCCTTGTCTACTCGATTTTCGGAATCGTCGGAGTCCTCGGAGGAGGCCTCGTCTTTATGCTTCCCGAAGTGAAGGTACCAATTGTAATTTTTCTATGAAAGAAGGTCATTCTCTTTCTAAGGGTAAACCAATTCATCACACAATCGAAGAAGCTGTAGAATTTTATGAACATCCTAAAGGAAAACCAGAATCTATGAAGATGAGAAAACTTTGATCCAATGCCACTCTTTTTATGACCAATAAAAAGTCAAAATTAATTTAAGTTTATTGATTAGTTCGGGCAGTATTATCAAGTTGATTCTAAAGTCTCTTTTCTTGAGTCAAGGACATTTGAATCTCCATCACTTGAGCTACTAGTTTGATAGCTCTCTGAAGTGTCCAGAAGGTCGTCCTTGAGTTCGGATTTACTCTCGTTTGTCTTTGACCAAGGCTGTTCTTCAACGGAAAACATCGTCTAAAGGAAAAATAAAAAATCTTTGAATGAAATTTTACTTACAATGTAGCAAATGCCCGTAAAATAATTGATAAAAATACCAATCAAAAACAGATATCCATATGAAATTTCCGAGTGCCCGTAGCGGTCAAAGAAAATGCCAGCAATCGCAGGTCCCCAGAATCCGGTTGTATTCGCGGCTACATTTGCCAATCCATTGATGACTCCTGCAAGAGTTGGAGCCAGATCATTTGGATTACTCTTGAAAAGATGGTGTTACAGAGCGATCTGACGCTTTTATACCTTGACACTAACTGCTTGGAAACCCATCAAAATCATCGTGAAACTAAGAGCCCAAAAGGCTGCATTTCCGCTGCAACCTATTATCTTTTCGTGAGCAAAAGCAAGGGTAAGAGGCATGACGAAAAATCCAAGAGCAATGTACCAAATTCTAATTTTTAGAAGACCGATCTTTCTCGCCATCCGATCGCAGACAACTGCAAGCAGCAAAATGGAAATTATATGGACGAGAATAGAGAGGCCAGAGATAAGACCAGCAAGCGAACCATCAAGTCCAAGAAGATTCTTCATCAGCTGAGGGAAAAGAGTGGCGACCATGAAGAATTGATAGTTTGTCCCAATTTGAGCGAGTACAAACGCCCAAACTTCCTTTGATTTGACCATTTCACGGAAAGGAATCGACTGCTTCTTCGATTTTTTCTCCGCATTTGGAAGCAACATAAGTTCTTCTTTGGTGATTCTAGGGTGGAGTGCAGGAGTATCATAGACAAAGTAGCTCCAAAACAAAGCCCAAGTAAAACTCAGCGCAGCTGGTATATAAAAAAGCCACTCCCAGCCGCAATACTTTGAAATCAATCCGCCACCCATCAATGTCGTTACTTTTGTGATTACATAAGCTTGTTAATTTCGTACAAACGAGAATCTTTGGTTATGTAACGCTCCTGAACCGAGTCCAGCTCCAGCAAAAGGGATCATAATGAGGGTAGATCTTTCCTTTTCAGGCGCCCAATGGCCCCAAGCACCTTGAATCGATGGAAACCAGCCTGTCTACGAAAAGACCTTGAGATCAACGAAGAGTCATTCAAAATCTACCTGAAGGACTCCCAAAACGACCCGATTTGCCACGGCCAGCCAGTAGTTTGTTCTCGCGAAAAGTGGGAAAGATGCAGAAAGCAAAGCAGCTCCAAGGGCACTGATCATCAAAACTCTTTTGAATCCGTACTTGAAGGCCAAACTTCCACCGAACAGATGGCACGGAACATAACCGAAGTAGTAGTATCCGATCAGGTTCATTTGCTGACTCGGAGACCAGTCGAACTCGTAAGAATCCGTGGCGGAAGAAAGGTTTGTGCTTGTAGAATCGATGACATCTTCCGAGCATCTTGGAGTAAACTCGACCTCTTTTGTCGACGGAGGCGCCATACTGATTATACTTTATCGGGATCAAAATTAAGTAGCTAAAATATAGCTGATATTTTGAAATATTAATCCCCCTCCCTGATGATTATATTCATCCTCGTTGTGTACATTATCACCATGCCCAGAAAGGACAGCAAAGTGAGCACATATCTCTGCTGCATTTTCAATCGCTTTTCTTAATAAAAATAATCTTTTGAGCGAATCAATCAATTTTGACGAGCTTAGAAATCATATGATTTTGTTGTGGTTCACGAAAAAGCCGATCCTGATTCTATCTTGTTTTCATATTTTTCTCGCGCAACGTATTTATGCGGAGCGCGCTGCCACTTTTACACACTTCGTTCTCGCCGCTCCTCGGAGCACTACAAAATATACCAGTTCTTTTTCCTACGCAAGACCGTGTTCAGTTTTTGCAGCTTATTCGAGAGCCAACATAAAATGGTACCAGGAACAATCTGAACCCTCGCCCTCAACTTCGTCTACTTTAATTTTTATTGTTGGAATCTCGCCTACTCCTCGCTGGTAGAGAACGAACGTCATTCGCCCATCTCTGGACATCCCGCTACTACTTTCTTGCGCTCAACGTTGGCTACGACAACGACCTCTCCCTCGCTGGTTTACTGTTAGCTGGCGCATGAATCAAACCGCGAAACTCTCGCGTCACTCTTTACTCGTGTCGAGTTTTCGGCACATAAAGAGTGCCCTAAAAAGGTAGTTCAACCGTCTGAGCCACTTACCTCGATTTTCTCGTGCTCAACGCCGTCAACGTCAGTTTCAACGCGTTCGACCTCCCCTCAATTCCTTTCTCCGTTGACGCATGGAAATCTCCCGCCAAAACCTCACATTTCTAACGGCACTCTGCATCAAAATCACCAACGTCGATCTCACGAGCGATCTTCTCTCCATCTTCGAGTCTTGGTCACATCACCGCTCAAGTTCAACTCTAATCTCGCGAGAGATCTTCCCGCCATTTTCAACTTAAGAGTTTGACCTCCGCTCACTCCACCGACATGATTTTGATCGCCAAAACTTCAAAACAACTTCAATTTCTTCACCTCTTCACCAATCCATATCAATGCTCACAACTACTCCTCTCTTCTCAACCCAACTCTCTGCTCGTCATCAGCTCGGGGGGTACGATGCATCCTTCGCTCGCTTCTCCTGTCTCTCATCTCTACTATGCGCTCGACTCAAGACGCACAAAACTCAGCTGATCGACTTCGCAGACCTTCAACTACAACTACTACTATAACTACAATCTCAACTTCTAAGCCCAGCTTCAGTCCTGGCACACCACTCTCCTTCAAGCCCAGCACTCGCCCTGGCAACCAACTCAACCTCAATCAACTCTCACTAAGCCCAGCTCAAGCCCTGGCACTACTACTAAAACCTACCAAGACCAGCCCTAGTCCTGGCAATCCTCACTACTCTTCAAACCCAGCTCTAGCCCTGGTACTGCTCGCTTCTCTCCCGTCTACATCTACAAGCCCAGCTATTGTCCTGGCAATCCTGACTTCTATCAATCTCGCCTCTACCTGGCTTCTCTCTTTAACTCCAAATCCAGCTCTCGCCCTGGTAACTCTACAATTTCTACTCATCTTTAGTTCTATTCTTCTACAATTTCACCCTGATCGCCTGCTTCTTCTCTTCCGAATCACCGTGCTCGTGCTCAAAACCTGCGCAGCGCGCCCAGTCAACTCTACTCATCACCCTAGAATCATCATCGTCTGGGGGGCTGTTGTGGTTCACGAAAAAGCCGATCCTGATTCTATCTTGTTTTCATATTTTTCTCGCGCAACGTATTTATGCGGAGCGCGCTGCCACTTTTACACACTTCGTTCTCGCCCGCTCTAGGGAGCTCTACCAAATATACCAGTTTTTCCCTACGCTAGAACCGTGTTCAAGTTTTAGCAGTTATTCGAGAGCCAACAATTTCTTAGAAGTCCGTAACTTTTAGTAGCTTACATTCTGGCCTATTTTTTAATGACCTGCTTTCTCTCTACATCTCTACATCTCTTAACATCGACGTTCGAACAAGATTCTTATTAAGACCGTTCTTATTCGAAGAATACCCAACTTTTCTAGGATGTAAAAAACGGTACAACAATTCGATAACCATGTCGTAATTGAGGGTGTTAACAAGTTTTAGTAGATTTATAGTAGCATGGTTTATCTTACCAATTTATTACTTCCTCGGGGGGAAAAGCAACCTTTTCTCTAGTATCAAGTGCAATTAAAATTCTCGTGCAGCAAACTGATGAAAACAGGAGGGTGGTGGCGATAGCGTATTTCGAAATGTTGAGGAACTCAAGTACACTTCATGAAAGAAATTGTCGTATCGAATCCTGATGACATAAAAATAAAGGTGTCTTCTTATGCCATAAAAAGGGCATCTCCAGGAGACAGAGTAGCTACTTATTTGAAACTTTCCGTACCATGAATTTGAGTATTTTACAAATTTCATCATTTTCATCCTTTTCAAGGGTCATTTAAGTTCAGTAAACTGATGAACTAAGCGTGAGGGTGACGGCTCGCCTCGGGACACTTCAAATGAAATATATCATATATATTATATATCTAAATAAAAAATTTGGAAATAATTTGAAAAGATATGATCGAAGACGTCTAATTAGTTATTTTTTATTTGACCTTCAAAATTTGACGTTTTCTGCTGATTCTACCGAGCCCCTATCGAACGCGCGATCCAATTTCTTATTTGTGTCCTTGAATCAAGAACGCGAGAAGTTGAAACTTTCGCATTTCTCTTGCTTATTTACGTCAATGCTGTTTATTCATCGCCGCAATAAAACAGAAGGCAGACTTCAAAATGATCACACCATAAAATTTTCATAAAAATGAAAGTTTCAAAATCAAAAAGTCCAATCTTTTCAACTTCCCTAAAATGGGCAACGATCCCGATCTTTTTCGCCGTCCTTCTGAGATATGCTCCTGGATATTTTTATGGAAACAAAAGAGTTTTGGAAAAACCGATTGCTTACGAAATTATCGACGACTTTCTTTCCGAAAGCGATGTTCTCGATCTCCGAGAATGGGTCTTCAACGAGAGGCGATTCGCGACTGTCATTGATGCTGCTGCAAGAGGTGTCCAGAGTATCGGAGAGGATGAACCTATCAAACCAGATGGAACCTGCGACGACATGACATTTACTGCTTCTCCTTCTTCGCCAACCTGCAAGTTTACTGGTCGCTCGGACATAGCCCAGCATTTCGTCAAAACAGGCGGACATCGAGGAATGAAAGAAACTCCAGATAAACTGATCTCTTCAACCCTTTCTTTCATCAACTACTACCCGGACAAGGTCAACGACCCTGCAATCAAGAAGCTCTTTGAAAACAAGGAATACTTGGTGAGTAGCTTCACAAATTTCAATTTCACTAATAAATTGAATGTAGAAAAAAGTCGGAAACATCTGCCACGATGGTTGGGGAACTCGAGGGCCACGAAAAGAAGGAGACTTCATCTTCCGCCCTACCCAAGTCAACATCGTTCTCGTCCCTCCCGGGCAAGATCTGCCTCTTCATCAAGACAACCAGTGGTACTGGGGAATCAATCAACTCAGCCAGCCTGATTGGCTCCTTCACACAGTTCAAGAATCCGGGCTCTACAAGGACAAGATGATTCCACAAGCTCAAGGTGAGAAATTTCCCTTAATCCACCCCTAGAATTCTTTCAGGCGTCGCATATCTTCACGGGACAAAAGAAAAGCCCTACTATGAAAACGGCGGCGAATACGTCTTCTTCCCTTATGGACCCGGGGCCGACGCGATGGAGCTCAAACCAAAACGAGGTCAGGCGATTCTCATGGATGGCGGGCGAATGATTCATGGCGTCGCTAGAACAGCGCCAGGATACCAAGTGGCGGCGATTGATAAGGACGTTTTCAATCGAATTGAGTACCAAGGAAACGAAACCTGGTACCTTCTTTCTGACGATGAGCTCATTGATGTCTTCAAAACTTCCGATCTCCGAATGACTTTTGTTTGGCGAGGACTGTGCTTCCACGATGAAGCGGAAAAGGCGAAATTCGAACAGCATTTGAAAGATGAGGTAGCTTTTCACAAAGAAATAGCTTTTTTTAATCAATATTTCAAGGATTACGTTCCACAGTACACTCTCCTCAAACAACTAGAAGAGCACATGCACGAAACGGGTCGACTTCCAAAGTCCAAAAATCTCGAGAACATGCCACGAAAAGAGTTCGCCCAGTACTTGTTCAGCAAATACCTCCAGTATCCATTGGATACGATGAATACGGCCTGGTTCCCGATCAACTACTGCGCAGCGTCTCTCGGCAAGCCCTGGCTGAAGGCCCTCTTATCGCCATTCTGTGTTGACAGAAAAGAACGCATAGATTTGAGCGATCAGTATCCGCCGGCGAAAGAGTTCTGCGCAGAGGGCAGAGGTGAAAGATACCAAACAAATTGCAACAAAATGTAAATACCACTACAAACTGTCCGAAAATGACTTTTCTTCTGTAAATAATTCAAATAAAATACTGAAAAACATGTAAAAGCGAGCTTTTGAAGGGATTCATTTTCAAACTTATTATTTTATTGTTTTTTAAATTCATCTACTCTTGTTTTGCTAGCTCTTGTTTTGCAGTTTATGTTCAAGTGTATATGTACAGCATTTAAATAAAATTAAGTAGCAGTTACTGTAATTAACATATGATTTAGTAGTTAAAGCTTGGTTGCTGAGGTCTTGAAGGTTTTCTTCAAACTTGAAAAGTGGTCGTTTGATGATTCTGTGTGCGTCAATGACTGTTTTGCAGGGCTAAACTCGAGAATGGTCGTTTTTACAGTAGAAGAGAATAAATTTAGAATTTGCGAATTGATGGAACATTGGAATACGCTTTATTAGGTTTGACAAATTAGTTAAATTGATGATCAACTCAGGCGCGTAACTAACTTAGAGCAGCGCGACTTCGACCTGAGCGACTCGCGCGAATATCGATGAAAATAATACTTTAGAAACGAATCAGACAGATTTTGTTTCAATCGATCTCATCCTCCTGTTCCTCCCTGTTCCTGTAATTCGTTGGCAGTTTGCGCAAAAGAGTTTGTGCCAAGTTCCAGCTTCCCAGAAACTGTATCGGCTTTGTTGTCTATATTTATGGTGATGCAGTCTGATTTTGAGTCAAGTGACGGCATTGGTGTGAGATTGTGCTTTGTCATTGACGACTTGTCGATGTCACAATTTCGAACGACGGTTGCACTTGAGACATCGCTGCACGGGGAGTTTTCTTAACGAAATTACCGCTGCTCGTGACCAAGGGTAATTATACCTAATGAAAGCGATCCGGAATGAACAGAAGACGACGGTATCCTGCTCATTGGCGACGGGATCGAGTTTTTCTTTATATGATTTCGTAGAGATTTATCTTCAACAGCTATAATTACATTGATTAAGATGATGAAGATTCAAGGTCAAACTTACGAGTTGAAGCTGACGAATGCTTCGAGCTCCGTCTAAAATAATGATTGAGCGAAAAAAACATAGAAGAAAATGTATTCTTGTAAACAAGCGGTTTTCGCAGCACTTTGCCTGCCTGTCACGTGTGAATAGCGGCGACATTACGGACCGCGCGCGATGTCATTCGATGTCGATCGAGTGTCCACGAAAGTCAAAGCTTTAGAAATGGGATAAAAGGCGTTTAGACCATGTCAAGTGGTTTTGGATTCGTGGAATTATACATTCACCAATTATTGCCAAAAAGGTTCCAAAGAACAAAAATCACAGCCTACCTTGAGGATCCTTTTCTAGGCGACTGCGATCGTTCCAGACTCATTTTCCGACTTAGGAAGCTCTTCTGCCCTTCAGATGATAAGTTTGACCTTCGTAGATCATTTCCCAAGGTCAACTTGCTCGCGCGTTTTGGAATAGAATTATTCTGTTTGCTCTTCATTAGTCTTTCTTTGATTTGGTCCTTGAACAGATTTGAGACAATTTTCGAGCATCACACCATACCTCGATCTTTGCTCTAAAATTCTTCTTCTCTCTTCGCTTTTTGATCGCCATCTGGAGGAAAGCACAGGCATTTATGATGAAAAGCAAAAGTCCGATCGACAGTGTGACTGAAATCTCCAGCCCAACACCAACCTCCTAAAAATCTAATGAGTTGATGATATTTTCCAAACTGTACCTTGTCTGCTTCTTCCTGTAGCTTCTCTTCAAAACTAATAATCGTCACATTGTTCATGCTCTTCAAATCGTCGGCAATGGTCGCTGTCTCATCTGTCGGCTCTGGGTTGAAAGAGTTGCTTGGAAAGTTGATCTTTGCCTTTTGAACAGGCTCCATCATTTTTGGAATCAGACTGTTCCAGAGCTTCATTCTTTGAGACGCGTAATCTACAAGTGTTCGTTCTACAGGTGGCGAGTCACGGTACAGTTTCGATCCTCTCAGTGAGAACTCCATGGTTTTCCGAGTCGAAGGGGTAAATTTAGGCCAGGATATTCCAGAATAGAGATTTCTAAAGAACAAAAATGATAACTTTTGCAGTCTAACAGACGATAACCTTGGCCAAAATCGCTCGCCAACAATGCATTTGTTGTTTTGAATCATTTTATCTGACCCTCTCGGAGACGGATCACTAAAATCGTAGAGTAAATTTGAATTAGAGTCTACTTCAATACCCATAATTAATGAAGTTAGCAAAATATGTCATCATTGAACAGCTTAACGTCTTCTCCTCAGGCGACCACACGATGGAATCAAAACCGGGTGCGAAGGTGTCTTTTCCATAAAATGGTATTCTAAATAGACTTGATTGTACTATTGTGTCTTTCCGTTAAATTTACCCGAATAAGAATGCTATCGCCTGATTAGTACCGGCGCGGTCAAGCTCTGACGGTCGATATGATTCGGAGCCCATTCGATGGTCGAATAAGTAAACGAACGTGTCATAGTTGAGCCCGGAATGTAGCTCAGCCGTGCGGACGGCGTTCGATGTCCAGCCAAAGTCGGAGAACATCTATCGTAATTTATTTTCTGTTGATTGAATTCAACACTTACTTGGAGGCCTTTCTGTCGCGGGGTAAGCTTGGTGGTGTTGCTGTTCCAGCCGCTGTAGACGAAATCGACGACGTTGGAGATGTAAGAAGCGGAAGGAAGGGACTTAAAGTTTGTTCGGATCAGCTTATTCAGAAGTTTTGTCCAGCTCTGATCAGAATTGTCGCTGGATTGATCGTAATTGTACTGCGACGATTGTGGGACAAAGAAGATCCCTTCCCCTTGGTCGACTCCAACAAGAACCTAGAAGTGATGATGAACAAGAATGTTATGATTAGATCTACCTCATAGTCGAAGTATTCTCCACTCTGCATTCTTTGAAGAGGACTTCCGCTATTTGGATCTGAACTGAGCACAACGCCGTCTAGAACAGGTCCCCAGATGGGCGAAAAATCGTTGCCAAACATCTTCATATCAATTTCGACAAAATCGGACCATGTTGACTTTGACTGGAGACATTCGATCGTCTCTGTGACGTTGAATTTTATCGGACAGCCAAGTTGCTTCGCGAAGAATTCTGCTTTTGTGACTGGGTCGTTGGCGAAAGCCCAATTTGCAAGAGCGCTTCCAGAGAGCATGATTACTCTTTGAAAGAGCTCTAAATGAAATTATGAATTTGGCAGGTGAAAACAACGAAGAGTACGTACTCGTCTTGCTCTCTGAAATCATGAGCATTTGAGCCATCGCCGCCCCAGCACCGCTTCCAACAATGGAGACCTTGCTCGGGTCTCCTCCAAATTGCCCGATATTATCTGTTCGTGATCGACATGTTGTCTGACAGATGAGGTCGTTTACTCATTTTCACTTTTTTTTTGATAAAAAGTATAATCGATCCGGACCTTTCACCCAAGTGAGAGCCAACTGCACGTCCATCAGCGCCAAATTACCACGTAATCCATCTCTTTTTCTCGGGTTTACATGGAAGCCTCACGATGCTTGAAAACTCACAACTCGAGAGCAATCTGCAAGAAATCAATAATAATCAGATAAAGTCCCTGGCCTGAGAAAACTGAGCCAGCCAAAAGGACCTAGTCTATATTGCACCAGAACAACGATCACATTCCCATAAGATACGAGCGCCGACGGGTCCATCCAACTGTTCGCGCCATCTCCAAACGTATGTCCAGTTATATACACGAGAATTGGCAGTTTTTGCTTTACATCGGAAAATGATTTCGCACTTTTTTCTACAAATTAAGTTTGTCAAAAGACAGCTCAGCTATTTCAAATCTGCTTATGGCGCCTTGAAAAATGTAAGGCTCTATCTTACCATGGTAAAATCTTGTTGGAACAATGACGTCAAGAAAAAGACAATCTTCATCCTGCGTGAACTTGTCACTCTCCAACAAGCTTCTTCTATTTGGACGATCTCTGAACCAGCTTGGCTGGAGAAAATCGGCGATGAAGTCCAGTCTCTGGGGGCAAATCTTCGCTGATCAAAGTGCTGAATACCCTTTTCCAACGAATAATAGCTATTATGTCAGATGAAATTATTCTCAGCGCCTTTTTCCTTGGACATTATTTAGAAATTCGGTCTTGGCACAGGAGGTCGACTTGGGCACAGGCGGTTTAAATCGTAATTTGGCAGTTGGCGGCTCCGCATAAGGGATATTGAGGTACTAAAGCAGTAAGTTTATGTAAGGTTAGGTTAACTATCGAACAAAGTCTGCTCGGATACGAATAATATTAAAATCGAATGAATAATATATTTTTTGGGTACGACAGCAATTATTATAAAGGGTTCTATCGAGGTCAATTTCAAATATTTTCACATGAACCTTTATTATAGAAAAGTCTACCGGGAAGTTGAATTTTCTATACATATGAATCTGGGAGCGATAATTCCAACTCAATTATAAACCTCCCAATTAATCAAAAATAATGGTCGAGAAAAATATAATTTTCACCAAAATTTCCAAACTTATTTTTTTGTTTTCTCTATACTCTAGATGTGTTCTAGAGGTCCTAAAACCCCCCTTTCGCCAGAAAAAACCACGTGAAGCAAAGAAAAAAAATCGATTTTTTCGACTCGAAAACTCGAAAATCGGAAATTTTCACCAGCCAATTACTCATCCTTATCGATGAGTCAGCATGATGAATCATACCTCATTAGATAGCTCAGAGTCTGAACTTGTACGGACCGTTGAGAAACCGGTGCGGACTTCAACCGGTTGGTCACACGGTAAGGTTGAAAGTTGGTCAATTTTCCGAAATTTCAAAAAATGCCCATCTTCAAGCGATGATTACTCATACTTCCTGATCACTAATTTTGGCCAGTATATGGCCACTTATGGTCGACTTTGGTCAAGTTTGGCCGGAGGACCCCGGAGGACCTCCCTGGTGGAAGACCATCCGCTGGAAGACCAATACTTAGTATTTCAATATATGGCTGTGCTCGGCCAATTAATGGCCACGTATGGTCAAATTTGGTCTCGTTAGGCCGAATGATTCCCATTGGCATCTTTTAAAAAATAAAATCGGATAAATTGATTATTCCCACCTCATCAAGAACAATCAAAACAGGACAATTATTTCTGTCAGTATTCACATTTGTTAAAATTTTTTTGAAGATATTTTTGGAAAGGTCCAATTGCTTCTGGTACCATGGCGGAATTGACCAAGGTCCTACTGTTTTACCAAAGCTGTCCTCGTTTTTGGAACGGTAACAAGTAGAGAACTTTCTTGGAGGGGAGTATTGTTTCCATTCATCGAAAGTTCCTAAATTCCGATAATAACTATAAATGAGTTTAATTTTTTAAGCTTTTACCTATTTTTATTGTTTTGTTTGGTTTATTCTTGAGGATTATTTCGGCCAATTCTGTTTCTCTTGTATAGTCCCAAGCCCATTCTGACATAAGAAATAAAAAAAATTTCTCTGCTTTTCTTCCCTGCTCACTCGCGCAAGAATTGTAGTATCCATTAAAAATTCGACGCATGAATTTTCACAACGAGCCTGAATTTTTGAAATTTTTTTCCAGATGAGGTCAGAGTCATCATAGGCTATTCGAAATTCCCCCAATAAAGAGAAATGAATGAAAAACAAATCGCAGATTATAGTCTGGACTTGGCGATCTGTGTAGTAAACCTTAGTAGAGTTCCGAAGAGCGTTAATAAAAAGTTGCATTGTTTTAAGAAATATTTTTAATTTAATTAAAGCTTAGAGGTTTCTTCCAAATCCGATATTAATTTGCTAAGAATGTTCTTTATTCTCCGATTTTTGAAGAAAAGTGTCTTTTTATTTACGCTCTAATAATTCTGCCTTAGGTTTTCTGCAAAAATTACCAAGACCAGTAGAAAACATGCTATTGAATTGGCAAGAAAATTCGAAAACGCACTAGGTCTCCTCATCGGGCCTATGGACTTTTTCCAGGAAAAAATAATACGATGCAAGACAGGGATCTTAATTTTTTATGCAAAAACTTCGGAATTGCAATGCGATTGCAATATTTTTACGAAAATTTAAAATCCCTGATGCCAGCGTATTTTATGGGAGACAGGAGTTCAAAATTATGCAGAGTTTGTTCTCCTCGAAACGGCACGAGAAATGAATGATGGGAGCATCAAACGCAGGTTCTCAATTGCGTCAACTGAAGTTGGGGACATACTTATTCCTGATGAGAACTGGCGATCAAACGAGAATACGCACATACTGTCTCATATCTAGGGCCGACGCGTAAAAAATCAACCCCCAGAAAGCATCAAGGTAGAGAGCTGAAACAACGTGATATAATGAAGTTCGACCCTACTAAAAAAATTGCTATTGAAAATTTTTGGTTTGGTCACGTGGTCACGTGATACAGACCTCCGAAAAACTAAAAAAGCTTGACGACCTTGAACGCATGATCAAGGTCGATCAGCTCATATCTCAGAAGAAAGAGCTAAAAAGTTATTCTTATTAATATTTTTGGTGGCGCAATCACGTGAGACAGTAGAAAGGAAAAAGATGACCCTGAATTCAAGGTCGTCAAGCTTTTTAGCTTTCCGGAGGCCTGTATCACGTGACCAAACCAAAAAATTTTCAATAGCAATTTTTTAGTAGGGTCGAACTCCATTATGTCACGAAGTTTAAGCTCTCTACGTTGATGCTTTCTTGGGGTTGAATTTTTACGCGTCGGCCCTACTCATATCTACAAATTAAAAGATCCGACCCTTATGCTTAAGGATGCCATGATTTTGAAAGGCCACTGGACGCCAGCCCGATTGACGCAAAAATAAAACAAAAATTTGAAGAGGAAATGAAGAACATCCTTGAGGAGATCGGAGAATACTTGTCGACAGAAAATGAGGATTAAAAATTGTCATTCATTATTTCTGTTCAAATTGTTTTTCTTTTCGGTTTTTCATCTTCGTTCTTAAATACTTGTTCATTTTTTGATAAATATATGTTTGTCTATTGAGATTTTCTTAATTTGAATGTGGTCTGTTCTGCAGAAATTTGAAATATCAACACTTTTTCGCAGGCACTTGCGACCGACCGATTTATTGCCGCACCGGTTTAGTATTTTTCTAGAAAGAACAGATATTAAGCTTCTTATCAGTTAACCTTTTGAAAATACAGCCTGACTAGACCAATATTGACTATAGGTGGCCATAAATTGCCCGAGCACAGCAATCTATTGAAATTCTAAACATTGGTCTTCCTGCAGATTGTCTTCCACCATAGAGGTCCTCCGGGGACCTCCGGCCTGACTAGACCAATGTTGACCATATGTGGCCATAAATTGGCCGAGCACAGCCATATATTGAAATTCTAAATATTGGTCTTCCAGCGGATGGTCTTCCACCAGGGAGGTCCTCCGGGGTCCTCCGGCCGAACTTGACCAAAGTTGACCATAAGTGGCTATATACTGGCCAAAATTAGTCATCAGGAAGTATGAGTAATCATCGCTTGAAGATGGGCATTTTTCGAAATTTCGAAAAATTGACCAACTTTCAGCCTTACCGTGTGACCAACCGGTTGAAGTCCGCACCGGTTTCTCGACGGTCCGTACAAGTTCAGACTCTGAGCTATCCAATGAGGTATGATTCATCATGCTTACTCATCGATAACGATGAGTAATGGGCTGGTGAAAATTTCCGATTTTCGAGTTTTCGAGTCGAAAAAATCGATTTTTTTTCTTTGCTTCACGTGGTTTTTTCTGGCGAAAGGGGGGTTTTAGGACCTCTAGAACACATCTAGAGTATTGAGAAAACAAAAAAATAAGTTTGGAAATTTTGGTGAAAATTATATTTTTCTCGACCAATATTAATCAATAGGTATCGAACGTCTCATAGAATCAAATGATCATGATCGAACTTGCCTTGAATACAGGGTAAAGACCTAATGATTCCGGCTCGATCTTCTGGTTCGAGCCCCGGATCTTGCAGGCGTTTCTGTCCAGTCGAACATCAGGTGCAAAGATCTTCGTCGCCGCTATAATTTTACTCTTCTGATAAGCGACTTGATAACTCCAAACGTTGTTGAGTTGGACGAAGAAGAGAAGATTTTTCATGATCTTCTTTTTAAGGTTCAGATTTATGCATTTCAAAGGCGTGTCAGGTATTGATTAAAGGAATAATCAGTTTAAAAGTGGCCAGAAAAGCCCTTTTAAAAAGTCAAAGAATGATCATAAATAATTATGAAAATGAAAAATTTTGAACCAATAACTTCTTTCATCACTATTTGAATTTCTTCAGTATCTTACTCTCTTTTTCCATATTTTTCTTCCTCTTCTTGTCTTTGGAAATTCTCTTCTATGATTTCAAATTCGGACCAACAACAACAACGAGATTTTGGTAAGAGATTCTTCAGTGTAATTTGTAATAACAAAGATTTATTATTTTTATTTTGTTTTTACAACTAAGACGATAGCTAAGCGGATAGTTTGTTGCTGACGGAGGGCGGGTCGTTGCGCCCTCAGGCGAGTGAAATCGATCCGTAACATCCCTTTGCGCGCGACAAGTATGGATCTCTGTAAATATGGCAGGCCTACGCTACTTTTCATCAAATATTCAGCAGCAATCCGAAGCAACTAAGACTCCAATTATCATCTCTTCTTTGTTGAATTCAATCAAAAATCATTGAAAGTGTAAGTCTGGTCGACAACCTTCGTTTTCGCGTGATGATGACATTTTGATGTCGGCATTGAATACATTATTGATGAAAAATAATGCTTCGTTAAATTTTAAGTTAGCGTTGAACTTGAAATTGACAAATATGACCGTCTTTACGCAGATTCTAGACACAGAATGTTTTTCAATTATCTTTCCAAGACACCATTTCAATCAGGAAAGAGAAAAAGATGCACGACAGCATAAAATTCAAGACAAAGTCTGGCAGCGGAATTGTCCTTGTGGTGAGTGATTGCACGTAATTTTGGCGTTATGCCAACATTCTGACCGCGAAAAGACACGACAGTACCAGAGTGTTTAATTTCGAGTTTACTAATACTTGAACTTTTAGTCGATCTTCATGATGCTTGCGACTATGTGGCTTATGGCGACGACGATTCATGGAAATGAAGCAATTTGCTTTGCTGTAGTCGGTAAGTAGGGGATAATCAACTGCTTGTTAGACGATTTTGAGGTGGATTGATTCAATCTGTCTGTGGATTTGCTGTTGGACTAGGGAAGAACTGCAAGGAAAAACGATCACAAGAATGCTTTACAAAGGAAAGCTTTCAATAAAGATAATATGAGTGAGTAAGGAGTTGAAGAGTTGAAAGCTTAAAAGTTCGACTTTTGCCTCATGGTAGGAACAAGTAGTACTGTAACAAGTTACAGTTGTTAAAAGAGCCGATTATTCGGGCTCGGTTTTCGTTCGTGTGAACTTGTTGTCAGTTTTGATTTGTGGAATGTAAAAAATTAATGTGCTCAGATGGCGTTGACAGCTGCGACGATTCTATTCATTTTATTTTGGATCCATCAATTCTTTCAACTCGGCGTTCCCGATGATGCTTATTCCTATATGCAATGTATATTCAATCAATTTTCAATTATGTTTTTATGCTTTTTAGTGCAATTTATCATCGGCCTGCTTTATTTGCCGATCCTCGGTAGTTACTATCTCCGAACTTGCTTTGACGATGGCGTAAGTAACCGACCAAGTGCCGAAGAAATACTCGCAGAATATGGCAACACGGGAGGCCGAAAATTCTCCATGCAATCGAATCACTCGAGAAGGAAATGTTGCAAAAACCAAGGATAGATCAAATCATGTTCTGATGATTTTTGAACATAAAAAAAGCTCTGGAACCAACAGCCGAACAAAACTGAAGCGATCTTCCTCAAGATGAGAGTTCAGCAAATAAATTTTTCAAAAAAGCGACTCTTGTTTCAAGCAAGGATTCGATGGTGAACCCTTTTCATAGAAAAAATAGCCAGGTTGAACCTGATGATATCAACGATCTGAACTCTGAAATCAGCCGTCTCACGAATCTTGCCGTTTCGCCAAGTGCAGCTGGAAAGAAGGATCTCATCAGACCAATCGTTTAAAATGCATTATTATCTGCCTTGCTTGAAACTTTCAAAACTGGAGACATAGAAGAGAGAATAGTAAATATACGCACAATAATTCCTAAGGAGCTTATTTATGCAGTTTTTTCTAAGTTTTTTGAATGTTTATTTTCATAAGAAAAAGAAGGGAACATCAGGAGCAGTATACGACGTATGAGAATAGAATCAAGCAATTAAATAAACTCTAAGAAAGAGAGGGAAACGGAAAAAATGAATTATCAACTAAAAATTTATGCTGTAAGAAAAGGCAGGAAAAATGAAAGATAAATCGAGAAACTAAAAGTGTCCACTTGTATAACGTGGACGAACAAAATACTCAAATAACATATAATAATTGTTTTTCGTCAAAGGAAAAAACGCGACGATCGGCTGATTGACGCAAGAAAAAAACCTTTGAGCAGTGCTAAGAAATCTTGATCATGGCTAGCAAGCCAAACTATCAAATTTCCAAGCTGTCGATTAATAAACTTAAAATGATGATGAAGCAAGTAGTAAGGCATAAATTATGGCTTTAACATAATATTTAATATCATATCTGTTGTCTTAAATATTTGAAATGAAAGAGAAAGTGGAACTAAAAATCGAGCTGTAATAATACTCAAGCAGTTGAATTTCCGCCGCTTTTAATAATCGGTGGCGACAGAGAAAGGTCGGAAAGTTTTTGGTTAAAAGAATCTTGATTGTTTTCTGGGGTCGGTTGCGCGTGTTTGGGTTCTTGACTTGTTGTCGGAGCTTCTTCTGTGGTACTGGAGCTTGAGCCATCATTGTTGGCTGGTTTTTCATCTGTCGGACATGTTGACTTATCTTCGGGCTTTTTATCATTTTGTGGAGTTGTTTCGGAGTCTTTGACGACCTAGGCGAGTGTATAATTTGATGGATAATTGAGAGAAGGATTACCTGTCGAATTTGGTTCGCTGGAAGAAGGAATGGCTCATCTGAACTTTCCCATTCATCCTTAAACGGCCTCGTTAGTTATCTTTTCCGGAACTCTCGCAAACCTTTAGAAGCAAATAGAGCTCCATCGTTGTCTTGGCATCTTCCAACGCGCTGTGGCTAGAAACTTGAATCTCGGCGTCCAAATAAGTCTTCGCGGCCTTTTTTAATGAAATTTTCTTTCCTTTCTAAAATGGGATTTAGCTCAAATGTCAAAGCTGATTTCTTACCCATCGGAGAAATTGACTAGTGTCGCGGATTCCTTGACTTGGAGGGCCAAAATGCTGGAGAACGCAAAGATCGTGTTCAATTGAGTGACCAACTAGGTATTTTCCTTGAATTATTTGACGGACTTCGGCAAGGACTTGTGAAGCGAGTGGCTGAAAAAACGATAGAAGATGAGTTAGAAAAGATCGACTACCTGGTAGTCGAGATCGCCAGGCCTGATTCCAGTGATCCAAGTTCTCAAATCTATGCTTGGTCGATCGAGTGTTCTGTCAATCGGAGGCGAGTATAGCTTCTTGAAATGTTTGACTGATAACTTTCCGGTTTGCGGAAGAAAGTCTGGGCGGCAGCGACGGTGATATACGGTGTTCAAGTTCGAGTCCACAATACCGACTTCAATCGGAAAATCGAGCATCACATGATGTCCCCATTGCGGGTTGGCGATGCCAATCATTTCAAAGTCGATACAGAGCATGTTGTCAAGCGGTGCGTTTCGTGGAAACTGGCTAAAACCAGGAATACACATCAAAGATTAAAAACAACCATTCTTACCGCGGCCAGATGATCGTATCCATTGGTGGAACTCGCGCTGCTTGAATTTCTTTCGCCACGTCTTGATTGATGCTGATCTGGCAAGGCGTTATCCCCTGAGAAGAGGCATTCTTGAGTCGTCGGTGAGCTCCATACTTTAGCAACATCGCCGCCATGTCTAGATTGTTGTCCGCCACGGCGAAATGAAGTGCTGTATTCCCCATGCGATTTTGAGCGTTTGGATCTAATCGCAAAGATAGAATAAAAGTTGATGACTTGAAAAGCTTACCTGCTCCTTCTTTCAGAAGAATTTCAGCGATTCGCGGATTCGAACAGAACATAATCGGCGTTTGCCCTGTTGGTAACGAGCGGAAGTTGACATCACTCATGCGCACCTTGATTAAGTAATAGACTTGGTCTTCCATGTTGTGTGCACACGCTGCTATCAGTTCTTCGCCAGCTGAAAGAAAGATAAGGTAGTAATTGATGGAAAGAAGATGTTGACTTACTTAACAGATAGTTCTGGGTCTGGTGGGGCAACTGGTGCTGTATTAAGTTGACATTGAAGTATTCAGGCATTCTTGTGGGGATAGGCGCCCGGGCAGGATCAAATCGCTTCTCTTTTTTCGACATTCTGTTCCTTTCCTCCATCCTCGCATTCTTCAGCGTAGCAAATCCAGGTGGCCTCATCTTGTGTCTAATGTTTTGAGATTCTTTGTTCTCCTGTGCTGGAGACGTTCTAGAAGCTGCCTGTGGTTCACTGCTGCTTATAAGAATCGGAGGGGTGGGAGCGACTCCGGGCCCGCCGGAGCTCATGGTTGGACGAAAAAGTCAATGAGTCCGAAAGAGCGAAAATGCTTATCCGATTGCCATGCTCTTAACGATCTTTGTTACTAATTGATTCAACGAACAATTTGTTTTCTGTCATTCCCTAACAGTAAGAGAATGCCGAGGCAGTTTATTAATGAACTGACGGTTTTGGGAGGCGAGTGAAGATCTCCCTCTGAAGTGAAAATGCGCTCGTGAACTTTTTTTTTGTTTCAATTCAAAAATTTGGTATAATTTGAACTTTAGTGGCAGTTGTGAAGTAAATGGCAATTTTAATCGGAAGAAAGAGTGCTAAAAGAGCTTCTGGAAGTGTTGTATTCGGTGGTGTCAAGTGCTAGCAACAGCTCATAAAGCGGCAGTTGGAAAAGCGATGAGCTGACATCTAGTGTGTAGAGATTATCGCGAATCTTTATTGTGCAGTCTTTGGCTGCAAACATGGCCTTGATTTGCTCGACTTGGGCAGTGTTGAACATTGTGAAATCATCACCGAAGTCGAAGGTGATTGCCAGCTGCGGAGTTCGGCGCAGATTTGTTGGCAGGACTTTTATCGAACAGCCAGGAATGTAGACGATTCCGCCCTGAATAGATGATAAATTCGACCCTCTGCTATCTGACTTACAGCATCGAGAAGCATGACTTTGTATGCTACGTTGAAGACATCGTGGGACATCTTCTCGAGGATCCTGCCCCGGTACCATATCTGCGATGAATGCAACTTGGCAGCTACGACGTCTCCTTTTTCAATCGATGGAGGCTTGTAGTCGTTATTTCGAGCAGCGAAATATGTCTCTTCCATATGATCTTGAAGAGCGAGGTACACTTCTTCTGTATGTTTGTGTCGAATGTGTACCTAGAAAGAGTTAATTGCTTTACATAAAATCGCATCTAACCTGGGCTTGCCGAGAGTCGACGTAAAGCAAAATACAGTCGTTAACAATCGCTTCATTCGGAGCACTTGACCAGTGCGGTTGAACTAAAAATTCAAGGGTAGGGTTGATTATCATCAACTTATACTTACGAATTTTCTTAAGGTCCGCTCGAGGCTGGCAAGTATGCCAGAACGGCATCCCAATCAGATCTGTATCTTGGGACACTGGCTTCAAACTAAAACAGGAATTAAGACAGAAAATAGAAAACTAAGCTTACTGGAACCCATATTTCTTAAGATCGATTCTGAGAACAGGAAGCCCGTTTTTCTGACCCTCTACTTTGGCGATAACTCTATTGCGCTCGGTGCAAAATCTTCGAAGCTTCGCCCATTCATATTCTTAAAAAAGTCAGCTCCGTAAAGAGGGAACTCTTTACCGTTAAAATGATCAGTATCGCAAAGCGTGACAGCGGAAGATTGTGCAGGAATCTTGAGCAACTCAGCCGATGGAATAATCATCGTCCCTCCAGACTTGATACTAAATCCATCGTCCACGCAAAAGAGAGCCTTCTTGGAGGCAGTCTGCACTCGACAGGGACCGTTTCGCGTGATAACAACACCGATGTGGTGAGGATTCTCGGGAGCTTCCTCTGCATTTTCCACGCAATTTGCGAGCGCGTCATCGAGGGCGCTGCGATCGTTGTTACACATGATATTCACCACCTAATTTGAACCGTTTACTATGCAAGAAATAATGGCTTTCTACCTTCTCTCCGTAGACTTCGGAAACACTACACATTGTGACGACGATTTCTTCTCCTTTTTTGAGAGTCTCAGACGCTATCCAACTTGTGAAGGTGAAAATTGGATCTTCAAACATCGGGTAAATGGGCGCTTCGTGACCAGCTCCAAAGCTTCCTACAACACAAATTATAAGCTTTCAAAGATTATTGAGCTTACTGAAGGATCCGATGAGCGACTCGGATAGGGAAAATAGGTCGACAATTAGGATTTTCTTTCCGTTCATGACGGCAGTAGCGATGACTTTTGCGGAAAGATTGTTTGTTCCGTGCTTGACGACGAATTGCTTGAGGATGTGGTCGACAAAATCTTCCTTGGCTTCGTCGTAGAAGCCATAGGTTGAGCTGAATATTATGAAGGGTCGATATTGTTGCTTTTCTTACCAATAAATAGCTTGAGCCGGGAACTTGATCACGAATGGCTTTGGCAGATGATGGACTAGATGCTCCGCCTGAATAAGTGACAAGGCGGTGTCAACGCAATGAACTTGGATCTGATGGCCATCATCAAGAACTCGCTCGACTTCTCCTCTCATGTAGCCGTCAGGAGTCATCGTCGCGACCGCGTCACCAACATTGAATTCTCGCAATGTAGGCATATCCAATGCACGAGCTTTGTAAGCTTCAAACTCGTCGTGGAAAGTATCGCGAAGACGGTAGTGCTCCTTTGTCTTTTTACGAATTGCAAAGGTTCGTGCGCATTGAGCTCTAATGACCTAAAGCAGGAATAAAAGTGGTTCTCATCGTTGATTTCACAAACCTGAACGTCCAAAAGAGCTCCCACTAAAATTGGCTCACTCGCATAAACAGATTTGCGTCCGGTAAAGTCCATTTCCATTCTCATTGTATCATTCAATAACTTTCCTTCTGAATAAATCTCCACTGAGAAAACTCCTTCTTCAATTTCGTCGATAAATTTGGCAGTGAATTCGCCTTCGCTCAATCTAGCGACAACTCTGAGCCGTTCCACGCGTAGATCAGGGTTAAGAAGCTTGCACGAAATCGTGCGCTTTCTCATTTCGACGAAGCGATCTTCAAGTTTGACCATTTGGTCCACATTGATTCTGCGCAGCTGATCTGAGTGGTCAAGAAGTTCTACTTCTGCGTTCTGGGACGTGATTTTTTCAACGACGCGGCATCGAACCCAGCCGAAGAATGGAATATTGGCGCCGACGATGAAGTTGTGTGCGTTGCCGGAAAGTGACGTCACAGAAGGAGCATTCTCACAAGCTTCGGACAGCTGCGACTTGAAGAGTTGAAACTCTTCGACCTCATCTTCCAAGTAGAGGAAGAACTTGTCATCGATGGTATGATTTTCAATTTTTACCTGAAAACGTTGAATATAGTCTATATTATATAGAGTAGAGTAGGAATGTAAAATTACCTTCAACATCTGCTCGTTGCGGCTGAGCTCATCAACGTTCCTCTCTTGAGTTTTAATTTCCTGGTACTTGTTGAAAATCTCCGGCGAGATCTGATACTCGCAATACTTGTCAAAATCGCAAGTCCCTTCGTAGATCAAATTCTGCGCACATTGTTTCACCGCTATTATGTTTAGCGTTATGTATTTTCCGACCAACGCTTCAACATTTGATGATCGATCACAAATCGGAATCTGCACGCTGACGAATAATGGCGGTATGTTCATCACCTCTCTTGGCAGTTCCGCCACGAATTCGTCAAGAAGAATTTCACGACTTCCAAGATCCAAGTATCGGACTTCGTATTTGCAAGAGAACTCGTAGTTCAAGTCCCGAAATGGATAAACTTCTTCCACCACAGCTCTACACCAGCGTTTGCCCATCTTCGCAGCCACATAGTCGCCGACGAAGAATTCTTGAATGACGTTGTTTGTCGCGCCTAATTTCGTGTTTAGCGTCTCGTGGATGTCTTCGAACTCGTTTTGCTTCGATAGTGGAATTCCTTTGAGCAACACGGATCCCGTCTGTCTGCAAACTTCTTTCAGACAAATTTGCTGCTCGCCAAGACGAAGACAGACGATCGTCTTTTTCGTCGGTAGCTCAATCATCGGATTCCCATTGTTGAGGATGTTGATCGTGTGTGGCTGGTTTGAGCAGCATGGGAGCTACAAAACTTGATAAGGACTGCGTCAGAGACTGATATAATTTTCTCCGTGAATAGGCGCTGTTCTCAACCCTCTATATATATAAAAAATCACTCATTATAGGATACCTTTCATCTAATAAATGAATTTTATAGCTGAAAATATTCAAGCAAAAGCTGGTACGATATTAAAAAAAAGTAAATACGTGCTGAAAATCAAGAGAACCGACTCCAGTACTAATGGAGCTTTGGCATCTAGGGAACTGTGCTCTTGCGACTGCTATAGATTGTCGCAATGCATTTGGAACTGTTCCCCACAGCTCTATTATTAGATTACTTGCTAAATTTGCAAGGGGAAGTGCGCTTCAGCTCCTAAGTGAATCACTTGGTAGGAATGTAAAAGTGGTACAAAGAGGCTTCCCATCCCAAGTCAATCCCCTCCTCCCCTATGGAATCCCCCAAGGGGGAATTCTTGCCCCTGTGATCTTCTCACTCTATGTCAGCCAACTAATGGACGTTCTAGGTGAACTTCCGGAGGGCACAAAGATGTCTATCTTCGCTGACGATCAACTTATTGTCATCACAGGAAGAAACCATGAAGAATTGGTTCTCAAAGCAAATATGGCACTGGATGTTATCGTGGGGATGGTCTCGAAGCTTGGAATGTCATTAGTTGCGCGGAAAACTGTATGCTGTCTCTTTGGTAAGCAATACAAAGGTGCAACCCTGGCTGACCTTCCCAAAATAACCATAGATGGAACCCTTATACCATACTCAAAGAACATGAAATATCTGGGCTCATTCCTTGGGTCTAGGGATGGAGCCTTGAACTTTGAATACAATAACCAAATATTACTCGGTAAATGTAGGGGTATAGTAAATAGGATCTTTGGCCTGTCTCAGTTTATTGTAAAAAAGGAAAATGCAGAGCTACTAAGAAGCTCCCTTCTTGGTACTATCCAACATAATTTCGCCTTCCTCCCCCTATGGAACAAGAATGAGTTCTGTAAATTCCAGAACATATTTCACACGGGTCTAACCAATTCGCTAAGCAAGGCCTGGTGGATGACTCTGATCAATCGTAAAAATAATGAAGACTATGCCAAGATTAGATCGGATGAAATTGCGGATGTCCTTGATAAGTATGGAATCATGTCGATGTACCAAATTAAACTGTCCCTTTTTGCGAAAAGTATATGGAAATGTCTAATTTGGAGGAGGAGTAATGCACAGAGAAATCTCCTCTTCAATGCTATTAAATTTTTCTATGTGGACTCTGGTAGGCCGCTATGTAAGATACCAGACTTCCTAACGTTCTCCAGACTCAATACAAAAATTAAACAAATGAATGAGATCTTTGGTGAAAATATCTCATTACTAGATGTTCACTATGATCTAACTGTTCTTAAGAAAGTCTTTGATAAACTACTTAGCACAAATCTCATAGAAATCAAACTAGTTAAACACAGGAACAGAAACTCAGCTGAGGCAAAAAAGTGTTGGCCCTGGTTCATGGAGCCACATTTTAATCAGCTCCCCCAAATAGTTAGAAACTCAATCCTTGATAAAAACTTTGATAATATCCTCTCTAGGGAACTTAAAAAGATGCACCCCCACCCTGAGCCCTCAACATCCTGCATAAACTGTAAATCTAATGTGGAAAAGATCCCGTTAAGTGTGAGAGCACAGACGGAACTTAGAACTGACTCGGAATTAATTAAATGGCTAAGAGGCTTTGAATTCAAAGAACAGCAAATAAGCAAGGAAGAGAACAAAATTCTAGGAACAATTAGGGAGGTGCTCTGGGATGAGATTGAGCATCAAAGTCCTATTTCCGCTGCCCTTGGGGATTTTGCACTCATACTTATGAAAGGCTCTGCCCTCAGCTCTGACTTAGTCATTAATAAACTCCTAGAAATTACCAATGCAGATCAGCTCCTCAGCCAAACCCCAACAATCTTTGATTAGAATTTTGACGTTTTCCTAGGTGCGGTATGCTCTGAAACCATCCTTGAAGCAGTGGACAACCTCAGAGACCCTCACACCATTGATAGGCTACTGCTAATTGAAGTGGACAGCAGATCCATCTACTTTGTCAATGAACTCATGGAAAAAACAGGAACTTGGTTGACCCTCCAAGCCTCTTTCAAAATTATCCCAAGCTCGATTGGTAAACTCCTTGAGCCTGAGCGATGGAACAATTACCATGATGAAATTGAAGAGCTTGGGAAAGGAATCCTGAATCTCTTTGGAGAAGAGCACTGGAAACAATTCAGAAAAATGCTTAGCGAGACGCCTAAGAATGACGATCCTTGGTCCTGGATTCTGCCAAAGGAATGCTCTCTCCTTCCCACTGCGCTCTGGCTAGTTAAACATATTCAAGCGAAAAACGCTCTGGACGACCTTCATGGCAATGAAACCTGGTTTCCGCTCAACATTGGAGCAAGTGAAAATCTATGTATCTACGAACCAGCACCTAGCCCGTCTCTCGCTCCTGAAATTCAGTTGAAACTTGGATCCGAGCTGATAATCCAACTGAATGCTCTCATGGCAAAGGGTGGTCGTTTTTCCATGGACAGCTGGGGCAATAAAAAGCTTCATATACCGCGCAGAATTGGCAGCTTCCTTGGCTGTCTCACCCTCAAAGTCCTTCACTACAAGAAGATCTCTGAGCTTGATGACTCCTTGCAATCTGAACTTGTCAAGATGGCTGAGCATAGAAACAAAGGCTACATCTCGTCAAGAGGACAGTTCTGCAATGACATCATTGCACACAGGAACACGTTGGATCTGCTTATTAGCAATGGGCTCTACTCAAACTGCCAAGCACTTCTTAACAACATCTTTGCAGCTCTTGTAACCCCAGCAGGGCCGCCAGAGCTTGTCTGTGAAATCTGCAACGTCATGAAATTAGTCAAAACTAATTCTCCCTAACCCCTATCTAAATGACACTGTATACACATGAGTTTAATGATTCTCCCTGCCAGTAATATATGATCTGGGTTTTTTAGACCAGAATAGACAATCCCTGGATTAACAATCTTTTTTTCCTAGATAAGCCTGGAATCGGAGTATGAAGATTTACAAAGGATGGAATGCAAATGCCATGGATCGCCCAGCCGCCACAAACAAGGCCACAAAGCTTGGATTCTGGCTTTCCAACACGGCAGCGACCATTGTCCAACCAAACCTTCATGCAGCCTTGGCTGCCATCAATGAAAAGCTTAGCAAAATCCGCCTAGCAGCGGGTCCCCTGGGACTTGACTACCATGTTTCGCACCCCAAGGCTGGTATTATCTTCCAACTCAAAGTGGGAGACTGGATAGAAGAAGCGATCAATGATGACATTCCCCCGGCGCTGGTTGACTCGTTAGCGATAGTCACAGAGCAGTTCGAGACAATTTATTTTCTCAGTTCCACAGCAGTGCTTATGGGAGCGCTTGATGACATAGTACCGCCGAGAGCAAATGCTGGGGATGACCCGGGGAAGATGCTGATCCCTTCTGGAATCTACCTTGCTGAGGAGCTAATCAATGATCAGAATCTTACCACACAATCTATGGAAGAAGAAATCAATGATAGCAACTCAATAATACTGAGCATTCTCAAGAACTCTGGAAGAGATGCGGTTAAGTCCTGGTTCTCCAAATACAATGCAGGCCCCATTCCTTTTGAGGCTGATGAACTGCTTGCTGAATGGTTCAAACCTGAACCCCTGAATTGCACGGACCTCAGAGCTATCGTCCAAGCCATAACCAAGTCGAACGTATGTCTGCTTGATGGACCCTTCAAAAGACCAGCTGGTGCACCAATCTGGTCTGTGCCAACTGGACTAACACTGCCTCATATTCTTCACCACCCCTCCCCCTTGGTAGCCCCAAACCAGGATATCCTTGACGTAGCCGTACAATCCAACTCTCTGACTAAACTAACGACCAAGGTTACCAACCCAATGCTTCTTTCTCCTCTTCTCCTCTCGTACTACACCTCAAATCGGCATGTATTGGAACTTGGACTCATTGCCAGTGAGGACTATGTGAATACAGTTGGCAGATTGCTTAAAATCAAAGCTGGACTGATTCATGCAAAACTTAAAGCATGCCTGGTGTTTAACCGGTTTATCCGAAACTGTGGTGAACCTCTCAGTGGAGCCATCCCGACTGGAAAAGCTCTGGACACAATAACAGAGTCAATGCTAAAAAGACCGGCAAATGAACTCAGAATCGCAAGGCAGAACTGTGTATCAAATGATGCAATGTTCCTGAAGCCCAAGAGACTTGCCATTGCACTAGCGCAAAACAACATCACGAGAACCACCTGGGAAGAAGTGCTCATGGAAGTCTATGGAGCCAACCCTGCTATCATTGACCAAGTCAAAGCTCAGCTTCGCACGGAGCACTACCCCTGCTTTGAAGAATGGTTCACTAAGAAGCTAACCCTGGAGAAGTGGGAACCTGGTGAAGCACAGATACTGAAGCACGACATCAATGGAGCCCTCTTCCAGTTACTAACGGAATCCAATGAAGTATGGGCGACCAATGACCTGCTGGAAAGGGCAATTCTCAGAATCACGGGAGCCTCAGGCATAGCGGCAAGTGTTACTGAGGAAATAACTCTTCTAGCGGAGAGAAGGCGTGGATCCGCTAGATCCATCAACCCTCCCGAACTCTCACTAATTCCTGGTTCATCCAACATGGACAGTGACCCTGATGAATCCGACAATGGCAAAACGCCTCCTCCAAAGAAACGCAAGATCAACCCCTGCTCGGCGGGAAAGACACCAATGAAGCTAAACCAATACCAGGATTCTGAAGAAGATGATGATGACCCCCGCTAATCTCTGACACTGCTGCAGGCGACTCCAATCCAATTGGATAATTTTCCCTCATTGCCTAAACCATTAAAACAATGTCTACTCCTGCTCCTGCTCTCTCAGCTAACTATTTCTCAAACAACTCTAAACTCTATGACTCTTTCCCTTCATGGCTCCCTTGCCTCAGCTATGAATTCAGAAGTACTAGAGAACTCCTTGAACTAGAAAAACTCAGTTAATATCAATTACCCTACTCTCTCAGACTCTCTTATCTGCTCAGAAGCAGAAAATTCACCATAGTACTGCTCTCTGTACATCGGCTACCCAGTCAGTTTCAATCTCTCCCCTCGATCTTCCCTGCTACCTTGAAACTGGAAAACTCCCTGCAACAATACCAGTGAAGTTGCACTGCCAACCCAGTCCTTAGAAAATCACAACTCTGATGCTTGTACTTTTTGCAATGCGCCAATAGCTAAAGCCCAATAAATAGACTGCCCGAGAATAATCACTTTCTTCCTAGAACTTGAACTGCTTGGAATGTCCTGGAATGGCTATACTTCCTGGACGAGCTCTGCTGAACGGCCGGAAGCAAAGGCCTTTCTCCGCTCTGTTCTGTACGGGATCTACATGGATGATGTCGATGACCTGTTAAGAAGCCTAACGAATCTCCAGCGTCAAGACGAAGACACTCTCTGTGACCTGGGATTGCATCGGATCTCCATGCGTAGTAGAGCTGCATTGATCTACAGAATTGACGTGAAGTCCTGGTGGGCGGAAGCCATCTGTGCGAACATCCCGCCTCAGCTGGTCCCGCAATATGCTGTTGTCAACCCAGCGGCAGGTTCCCTTAATCTGCATAGCGAATGGTCCCTCCGCTGTGGAAGTCTGAGCACCCAACTGGAAATCGATCAACATCTCTGTCTAATTCCTTCGGGGATTCATGGCAAGCTATATCGAGCTGCTGAGGAAACCTTCAGCTTTGACAGGAAACCCTTTGATGACTTCATTGCTGAGCTCCAAACACTAGTTAACCCTGAGAGATTGGAAAACTATCTTAGATCTCACGTGGGGCTAGTAAATACCAACGTAGCTGGGCTCAATGCTTTAATGGCTCCACAGGAGATGGATGCCGATGGACTCAGTGAGATTGTCAGAACTTGCAGGCTCCGAAGGAAGAACGTGTCTGAGAAGTTCAAACTCTGCTTTGGTCCTTGGCATGGCGTTAAATCACATGCTCCCTTGCTCGGAGTAAAACCCACTGTCCTTCCCTCTCTGACGTTCCCTGACTTTAAACTTGTTGCCAAATCATCAAAGTACAGTGGAAGCATCAAGATCCCCAACCCTGAAATATTCTCCACTGCTAATCTAGCGATGTTGTCGACTGCTAGAAGCACACTGGAAGTGGCAGCCAAAGCCAAGAACCTGCTTTGCACACTTATCAGCAATGACCTGAGCAAAAAAGCACAGGCAACTCAGTGTGCTATTGAACTGGGCTTAGCTATGAAAAGAGCCACACACCTCCAGATTGACCCTGCTCGTGAAATTGACGAAGCTATCCACAAAAGTGCCAGCTCTATCAACACCCAGTTCAAAACCAAAGTTGCAATTGTCGGTAGCATGGTCTCTAGCATTGTCGAGTCTGCTGACAACGCACTCCTGAAACCGGAAATGATACTCTGGAAGAAAATCACAGATGAAGACTTCCCGGCCTTCCCGTGGACCAACTTCCTCAGGGTCAATCTTGGCATCCCAACCACTGTGATCACGGAACTGGAGGCTGAAATCAAGCGACGAACAAACTACAGTCTGGAACTCTTCGTTGACAAGGTCCTTGGAACCATTACATGGATGCATGGTGACTTTGACTTCTTTTCTCAGGAAAGAGCCTGGTATGGCTCCACGATCAAGGCTATTCCTCACCAAGTACGCAATGCAGAAATAATCTCTACTCTGATCTCAACTGTTACTGGGAACTTGGTCCAAGCCAGAGATGCTGCCTACTTCCTAACCACAGAATGGAAGCCCTGCAGGACCAATGATCAAACGCACACCTATGATCCTTCCCCGAGAAAGCGCCCAAGAAACACGCTGGATGAAGTGGAGCCTTTCTCATCTAAGTCCATCTCTCCAGTGGGTAACGCCACTACTCCAGCTACCTTGACACGACAAGAAGGCGCGCTCACAAATTCTAAGGAATACGAACGACTGGGGAATCTTTCAGAGAATCAACAAGGAGTGAACCTGTCAACTCTGAGTGCAGAAAGTGCTGAAACATCCAAGTACACCTGCTCGCTCAATAATACAAGCAGCTCTGATGGACTTGGTGATGTGCAACCCAAGCAAAACCCAACTAAAAGAAACTCTGCCAATCTCATCAGCCTTGTCAACCACCAGAGTGATGAAGAAATCGAAGATGGTCAAATCTGTGGAGAATAACTGCTTACTCTTACTTAAATCTATGATCCCTTAATCCACCAAGAATTACCCATTTCACTGCCAGCTAGGGATTCTGGCTAATAGCTTTTCCGTTCAACATGGGCTGTTACCTCTGCTCTCTTTGGGACCCTTTCTTACTAAGCTACTGTTGTGCTTGCTCTCCTAGATAAACTTTGCTTTAACCAACATCCCAGATAGGTAAATTGCACTGCGATGAATAAATTATTAAACTCTACTCTTTTTTGGTAGAACAGCGATATCAGAGCTGTTGACAACTTTGACTTTTATATCTATGCAGCATGTTACTTTATTGCAGAAGCACTCAATAGTATGCCACAGAATAAATAAATCATATATCATTGCCATGCACAATTACAAGAACTCTTTGCAAGCAAATTCGCGGGTTGAGTACCGCTTCCAAGAAACATCGCCTCGCTTGCCTCGGTAGGCCGTAGAAGTCATGTGGCCGTAATCCAGGATTGGAGATGAGTTCTCAGCGGAAGGATTGACCAATGTAGGTTCCTCGTGCATAAACACCAACTGCCCCACAGAGTTTATACGCCCAATCAACTCTGAGGGAGGGACCGGGTCGTTGCTGGGGGCATCGCGCTCTGAAAATTAGCTTGCTCCGTGAATTGAATATTCTTAACTTACGGAGGAACTGCTTAACTAAGGGGCCCTCCTTTGTTCCCTCAGGCCAGAATAATCTCTCATCGTTGTATACCCCGAAGAGCAAACGTTCGATCTGCTGCTCCCAGCGAGGACCCACAACTCGCTGAACAAGGGAGATGTTGCGACGCCAAACTGGGTTGATCAAGCCTGCACTGTACTTCAATGAAGTAAAGGCCTCTGAGCGGATGTCGCCGTGTCTCTTCTCAGCACAATATGCCAAATATCGATCGCGCAGTGGTTTCTGATGTTGAGCTATGAATCCTGCTATTCCTTGCATACACATGAGCTAAATAGTATTAACTTAGACTTCCACTGACTAAACCGACCTCTTCTCTACGCATTGTTGTTCCGCATGTCAAGCGAGCCAAGTCCCCTAGACCACGCTCCCCCCGCTCTTCGACGAACTCGTAGCTGAAGCCAGGCCAGATTGTTCTAAAATTACTATTAAAATTTGTCCAAGGAACTGCTATTCTTACTTTTCCCAGCGAAGTAACTTTCCATCTGAGTTGTAAACTGGGTGCCAATCATAATCGTGGCCCGGATTAGACTCCTGAGGTAAGGTCATGGAACCAGGAGGGGCTCCAATGCTAGTATCCGGGACTAACACTGTCTCTGTCATCGACTGCTTCTCTTGCTCGCGACGTTGTTTGTATTTCTCCAAAGTCAGACCCATAGATTCAGCTGCTCGGAGTCCTTTTCGCTCGACTGCTCCACAAAGGAAAAGAATTCCCATGCGACCGGACATCTTCATAGACCAATAAGAATTAGGTCGTTCAGCTCCAATTGACATTGCAAAATCCATGCAACATCTCCCAGGGCAAAATGCATCGTAAACTCGGCGCTTTTCACCATCCAAGTTTTCATTCCAGAATCGGGCCATAGTGGACAGAGTCCCAACTATGGACAAAGTGAAGTCCTCAATGTTCTGACCATGGGAGTCGGCATGGGCTATCTTACGCAACCAAGGACGATTGGAATACTCAGGAACATCGGTGGGCTCAAATGAAATCATGGGATAGATCTTCAAAGCGCAGATTGACCCATTGAAAAAATCACCGTCGCTATCCTGGCAAGGGACATCATTGCATAGTCTGTCAATGTCTTTCCCAGTCAACTTAGTGCGCTCTTCTTCACTCATCTCTGGATAACCCTTGCTGTGATCATGCCATGGAGCCACGGGCTGGCAAACATCGCGGATTATAGCCTGCAGAGTTCCCTCTGGGGTGTAAAATGTACCATGATGCTGTCGAATGTATCTCTCCTTGATGCGCTGGAAATCCCCTGGATTGATGTCGTCCGCCCGCATTGGAGTCGTATAGATAGCAAAGGTGGTTGTAGATAACTGCTCCTCGCTTGTACTCCGATGCTGAGGAACTCCATTCTCAGGATATGAACCATCGGCATGACCATCAAAGGGCAATACATAATCTGGGAGGACAGTAAAGCCCTTAGTAGTGTGCTCGTCGTCCAGATTACGATGAAGCTCAACCCTCTCTCTGGCGAGCCGAGAAAAGTTCTCAGGCTGTTCGTTCATCACATCGATGAAGTCTTCGTTGTCTAGGAGCTCTTCTGTTGGAAGAACGCTTGTTGCATAGTATGGACCCTCTCGGAAATTAACAAGATCCACACCGTCCTCCTCTGGGTTCTCTTCCTCCTCCGGAATTGCCACTTCTGTGACTATCTCACGGGTCTGCTTCTTGGGGAATGGTGGAACTGTTTCCTCCTGGATGCTCTCTGCGGATGGGGGATCCATGTTGTCCCATGCGGCTACCTCAGCCTGGGTAAGATTCTCGGATTGTCTTGGGAGAGTCTCGCGCCGCAAGAGTGACACTTCCTCGTCAGAAATGTCGTGGTGAACATACATGGCCGGCCCAGTAAGGGTTGCAGGTTTCCCGGGTTCGACGGTGACATAGGCGCTTCGACGTTCAAAATCCTGGAGTAAACGTGTAGCTTGGAAATCGGGCTGACCCTGAAGTGACATGGCATCGAAATAATTCTTGGCGTCAGCCTCCTGCAGAGTCTCCCCAGGCTTGAGAGTTGATGTATCAATGAGTAGGTGAACAGGGTGATCTGGAGGCAACTCGTTCAAGTCGCCGACCACGGGGCAGTTACATGGACCACTCTGCATACAGGTCAAACAGGGTAGAACATGACTTCCTAGATTTTCGCCCAGGTAAACCAAAGTATCAATGCAGGGGCAGATGGATCGCTCTGATCCAAAAAGGTAGTCGGAAGCAAATCCCTCGAAGTCACCCTGATCGGAGATGGTATCGGTAGACAGGGGTGACCATTTGGGCAAAAAATTATCGTCGGGCCAACCAATTGCCCGCCCAATACCAAAAATCAAGACCCGGGCCCACCAAATGCCCGACCAGTCCAATGTGCCCAGAATGCCCAATCGGGCGATTGGGCAATTTTTCGGGCAAAAATTTTCCCGGCATTTCAGGCTTCTTAAAACTTTACTTTTTTACTTTTCTTTTAATAATTTGTTTCAGTTGAAGTGATTGAACGAATTTTAAGCAAAAAAAGGCTCTTGAAAGGTTTGAAAAATATTTAAAAGGGGTCGAAAAAATAATTATGTAAAAGTTCAGTCCGGTTGTCAAGAATAGACAGCTAACCATAAAGGTCCACTTCACACACTCTTGCATAACCGTCTCGAACAAGGGGTTCAAAAATAAGGGATAAAAAGGATCTGGAGGTCAAGGGTAGAGTCTACCGTAGACAGCTAACCTTCAAGGTGCACTTCACAGACCCTTGCAGAACCATCTCCGCAAAAAAGTCGAGTTAACGGGGTGGATATTTTCATAAAAGGATCAGGAGGTCAAAGGTAGACAGCTAACCATTGAGGTCCACTTCACACACCCTTGCAGAACCTTCTCCTTATATCTTTTTTTTCTTTGCGAGCTTAACGACCAATAAGCGGGCAGGAAAACGCCCACGTTCGTGATTTTCCCCGGTGGGCATTTGCCCAGCTGCCCAATGGTGCCCAACTGCCCAGAAAATGCCCAAATGCCCGACGTATCCCATGTTGCCCAGCCTATTTTCAGGAATTGAGCCGACCAAATACCCGCCCAAAAGCGTTTTTGCCCGAAAATTGCCCGATTTGCCCAAATGCTCAATGCCCAAATGGTCACCCCTGTCGGTAGATGAGTTGTATGAGCTGCCCTCCTCGCTACCTTCTTGGCAACGGGGTCTACTGCGACACTGAAGACAGCCATTGTAGATCTCTGTAAACTGCACAACTGGGCAATGGCGAAACTCTGTTATTGGGCGCCCCTTCTCATCTTGGCTCTCGTAAACGTGGAAGTCCCATGGATTTGGCTCGTGAGAATTGCGAACTTGTTCCCGTACTTCTAAGTATCTTCGTAAGCACTGACATTGACGATCCAATATTTTGAAAGAGCCAGCGCAATCGTTACATCCAAATACGCGCTCATTATTCTTTGCCATCACTGACCACATGATACTCAAAGGATTTCTCAGGAATACAAAACCGAGATCCCACATCTCCTTGATGAGTGCGCTGAAATCTTCCCCCTCCTGTGTTCTTTTGCGTAGAAGACGAGTCTTCATTTGTGACAAAGTATAGGCAAGATCTTGTTCAGCATTGCTCTGCTCGGCGCTGGGGACCCCGAGCTGTTGGGCCTGCTCAGATACAGCGCGAAGACGTGCCATCTGATCTCGCATATCCCAAACGTAATCCTTCATAGCAGTGATTCGACGCTCGAGATCCCCTGCAACGCGGCACTCCAGGAACGATCTCAGAATCTTGCGCTGTGTTTCTGGTACATTCTGTACCTCGTCAACCATGGATTCGTGGGCCAAACGGAGCTTCTCGACCTTCTGTGCAATGAGCATCTTCCGGGCGTTAAGATTTTCTCGGTTGGTTGACTGTGATTGAGTAGACTCCTTGTGCTGTCGTAATGATGCTGCAGTTGGAAAATACTCAGATGAGCGACCAGGTACCCTCTTGTAAACGTTTCCAGCGGTTTTAAGACCATGAGTTTCTGAAGTTAGAGCATACTCGCCAACTTTGAGTTTGAGCTCTCGCTCAGTTCCAATGAACACACACGTTCCTATGCATCTCCCTCCACGGATAAACTCCAGGATGAAAGTTTTCCGCTCATTCTTCGGTAAGATCGTCAATCTCTGGCAGGAAATCGAGAGATCCTCTGGAGTCAGTAGATTCTTTGAATACGGAAGATCTTCCCTGGTACACCCTAATCCAGCTCTGATGCCCTCCCGATCGCGGAACTTAGGAAATGCGAAGCCAAATCGACTGAGTTTCAGTAGTACATCTTGGCAGCGGAAGAATCGCTCACCAGCGTTGTGTTCTCTGTTGGACGGTCCAATTGCTCCTAGAAAGCCGACATAAGCCTCTCCATCCTCGGCGTGATTTCCACCATGAATGACCAAGAGGTCTCCTCTGAACTTTGAAGAACCCGGATTCAGTGACTCCAACACGGAATCGATACAAAGCTGCAAGTACTTTCGATCCCTGGCCTTCCACTCGGTCTACAAAAAGTGTTATCCCTGACCAAGTAACTAACTCTAATACCTTGAATAAATCCATTATCCAGCGGCTTCTCCCATTCAATGAATGTCTCAGGGAGATGTCAGCCTCAATGCCGGATGACTCGGCCAGACGATAAAATCGATACCATGACGAGGGAATTCCCACGCGGATCCAATTATTTTCCCGGTTCCTCCGTGACTCGGCGTTCTTGAAGAAGATATGCTGAGCGGATGGACCAAAGCTCTTCTTGAGCACTTTGCTTTGATAGTTTGGCTCATCTACAAGGGGCTCCACCATCTTAAATTCCTCGTCGGTATCAAGATATGGTGGATTCTCTGGGCTTGGAGGTCGACTGCTGAGTGCACTATGTAAGGAATTAAAAATCGTATTCAATGTAAAATTGTTGTCTACTATGTATAAATGGAACATCTACTTACGAAGCCTGATCCTCCAAGAGAACACACATCTGGAGGGAATGAGCCTTCCACTGCTGTGCCTTGACCGCGTCGGACACTGTTGGATCCTGCACAGGACACAAATCCTGGTAATTTTCATGGTCCAGCGAAGAAACTTGCTCAGTTATCTCCTGCAAATAGTCCTTGCTTTTCACCAGCGATCGATATCCTGAGGTATAACGAGAATACTGCGGTTTGCCGATGCCTGACATGTCCTGGATCTGCTAGCTCTGAGAATGGTCACAGATCTCCCTCATCACAAAACTTGTCAATAATGGTGTAAATTTAAATTCTCATAGAATCTCAAATACTCCTAAGATCACTACCTAGTAATAACTTACTCTTTGTCAACTAACCCTCTCCTGATCTGTGTTAAAGATGAACTGACCCTCTAAGGAATTTTCCCCCCACAATAACAATTGTTCTAGAGACACTCTGTCACTAGGACCTGAAATTAACTTGGCCCTCCTGGATGGAAGCCTAGAAACTCCTTCACTTCTCAGGTGTGATCAACTATCCAACAACAAACTGCTCTAGAAAGGCCCAAATAACAACCAAGATTCAACATGTTGCTAATTTTTCCTTGCAAATCTCTCTGTCTCCCTAATGGCTATTCAGGAGTTTATCTTTTTCTCCGCACTATGGATGATTATTTTATACTTTGTTTTTATCCTTTATTATTATTTTTCAAGTGTCAAGAAGGCTGAGGAATGGTGCAGTGACAGCGGGAATGTGACGGTCATGGTGGTGAAGCGGTCTTCAAGTCTCCTGGTGTGGCGATTCGTACTTCACTTCGGTGGTCCAGGATGAAGACGGCAGTAATACCTCCTAAAGACTCTGTCATTAATATTTACTGTAATTATATTCCCTGCTGCTCCCCACTGTACCTTCTATTACTCACTGTACTCAGCCTTCCTGCGCTTATAGGGCAAAGGATTAGGTCTTTTCCTTTTGCTCCTGTGCCTCTGGCGATCATTGATTGTCCAGGATAATGCCCGAAAGGGGGCCCAATAAATGTAAACAGAACAGAACCGTGATTGACGTAGTTAAAGAAAGATCTGCTGTCGAGGAAGATAGTGTCCAGGAAATAAAGACAGATCCAGTTTCGGTTACAATAATATTTAAAGTTTAATGCACTCTAAATCCATGTAACCATTAAAAGTCGACGATCTTGTTGCGAAAATTGAAAAACTGAAATTGAACTCAAAAAGATGCGATGAGAATACCCTTGCTCTCAATGAAATTCATGATTCAATGATTACTTCTCTTGAAGCCTACAAAAATATGGAAGAAACTTTTAAGAAGCACCAAGCAAATTCTTTCGTTTCTGAAGAAAAGCTGCAAGAAAAAACAAGCGTTCACATTTTGACGTTAAAAAATATAGAAGCAACGCAAAATTTTTGTGATTCAATGTTATCAATGATTGCCCGGTCAAGAATCAAAATTGCCGCTCTAAAGACTGAAAAGGAGACTACCAAAGAGGAGATCAAAAATATTCGTCGAAAGACGCAACCAGTGCTTTCCAAGTTAACCGACGACGAAGATGACGAAACTACAAACGATTGCGATATCTGCTTTGAAAAATTCAATCACAGCGATCATTGGCATTCATGCATTACTGTGTGCGGTCATCGATTTGGAAGCTCTTGCATAAAGGCGGTTGAAAATTTTCACAAGTAAAATTTTTAATCAAAAATTGAACCGTTCAAAGAAACAATTCGAAATCAATGCTAGGTGCCCCAAATGCGATCGCCATTTCACCGAAGAGAACATTTTGACTCTGTTCTAGCTATTTCCTACCTTGAGAACTTCCATGCCCACAACACGCTCATCCTGTTGAATCTCCATTAACTCTCTCGTAATTCCACCATCATGACTTCTGTAGTCACCGCTCATTTTGCGAAGCAAGGTGCAGCGAATCGCTTGTTTTGGCAGTTGTTTGAATTCTGGGGGCAAGTAAAAGAGATTTTCGCTGGGATCGAGTCTCGAAATAATAATTCTTGTTCCGCTATCTAGAAGATGAACGACTGTTCTTTCGCTGTAGACGCCTAGAATTTCCGCTCGATACGCGTACTTTCTCTGGTCTTTCTCCCAAAGTGCCACACACGCTCGACCAGCAGTTATGTCTTCGTCTCTCATGGCCTCCAAATTTGCCTGGGTTAGTTTTTCATTCAGGGAAGAAAGTTGTTCTTCGAATTCAGTTAGAATCGCGTAAACACCATTTCCATTTTCGCTATATTCGTCGACGTTTTCAATCTTTACATCGTAAAGGACCCCAGGCGAGACTTGAACTGTTTCCATCTTTTCTGACTCGTCACTCGAAGCGGTAGAATATCCACAGTCATGTACATTCCACATATACTCGGAGATCAATTCCTCACACAAGTTGTTCCCGTCAAAAAACAGGTCTGTTCGAGTAGGATCTTTAGTAGATGGCACAGATTCGAAGATTCGCCTTTCTGCTACTTCGTCACCTTCAACTGCGTAGTGAGCGAAATCGTAAAAGTCAGCCTTTGCTTGCTTCACAATTTTCTGGGCAAAGGGGCAAGCCATTTTTGCGCATCGAACTCGAGATTTCAACCCTTGCAGAGCGTATTTCTTCACCATCGGAGGATGAACCTTGACAATGTCGCTGATTTGAGTGATTTCGTAAATTTGAGTGAAGGGAATTCGCTCTCGTCGTCCATAATCGACCAGTTGAACAACTACGCAGCCTTCGTCAACTTGTTTCTCGACGTAAAGAATGTGCCCGCGGGCGAGTATCCGATCATCGTCGCGGTTGGCAAAGGATTGTTTGTCGAACTGATAATATGGGCTGATATGTTTACTGTAAACGAGACAGAGGACACCGCGGCGGATTGATTTCTTGTGCAATGGCTTGATTTTCGAAGTATAGTGCTCGTGGTTGATGATGTATTCTAGCAGCCTCGCGTCGCCCTCCGAAGAAACCGGAACGACCCAGAAGCTGAGGGGCGATTCAATGTGCCAGATGCGGACATTTTCTGGCTTTCTTTCTCCGTTTGTTGGGGCGTATTTCGCGACTTTATACGTGAACAGTGTTCGCAAGACATCCTGACATTCGCCTACATAAAGGTCGATATTTCTCGGCCCTTCGCTTCGCCGAACAGTGATGTCTTCAATTAAGACAGTGTGGTGCAACAGTGTGCCAAGCGCGTCCATTGCGATTTCGCACCAGAGCTCGTTCGACTGAGGAGGCTTGATTCCCTTGAGCTGGAAGCATTTTGCGGCGCCGAGGAGGTTTTCGTCGTCCGTGACGATTAGATCCGCGTAGGACTTGGTCGTTTGGCCGCCAGTGTCGATGAAGAGAAGGCGAGCGTAGTTCATGTGGGTCCGGTCGACGAGCTCCAGAACGCGGCAGCGGTACCAGTAGCCATCTTCGGGGTCAAGTGAGAGGTAGATTTTGTCCGGAGAGATGGCGTTCAAAGAAGGCGATGTTCCTTCAAGTATTGCTTCTCTATTGGAAGGAATGGAGTATTCTGAGCGCTCCTTCAGCGCAGAATTCCCCCAGACCTGGAGAAACCCATCTAAATTCAACACTAAGACCAGGAAAATACAACAAGTCGCTTACCAGAAGTGAGATGAACAGCAGTTACGAGAATCTGCTCTGTTGGGCCACTCATCCTTTCATCTAAAAATTGAGAGCTTTATCAATCAAAGTTTTATATTAAATTTGAATAGATTTCTTCATGATACAGCGTTTGATACATACAGTACCCTAAGAAGCAGGGTATCGAGAACTTGATTTGCGGTATGAGTTTTTTCGGAGTTTTTTTTTTCTTGAACAGTTTTTTTCTCGAGCAATTATTTGGCATTCGGCGAATTTTTTGATATTTATCATTTTGTGATTCTTCTTCATATATAGTTAAAAAGGGAGGAAACAGTGCACAAGATTGTTTTAATATTTTTTTTAATATTTTGAGGGTTTTGTGGAGCAATGAACACTTGCTGGAACGAGCAAGAAAAAGAAAAGAAATGTAGGAATATAATTTATAAAAACAGTTCAAAAACGTTTCTAAAACAGTTATAAAAAGCTGAAAACGGGTGGAATTCTTCTAATTTTTGTAGGTTTTGCAGCACGATTTTGATTGAACTTAGCAAGCGGTTTTCTTCGTTGTTGTCATTTTTCGTTTTTTGTGTTAGTACCAAAAAGTTTTTACACACTCATTTTTCCGTCAGAAATCTGTCACTTTAACTGCACACATGGTCACTCTATGCTCAAAGAAATCACATAATCCCACGCTTGAAGACGAAAAAACGCTTCAAAGAATCACTTTATGGGTACTTTTCAGCGAATGGGAACGTCGAACAAGGAATAGTTCATGAGGTCAAACTATCATCTTCCTATTTTATCGCTTCTCTATTACAAAAGATCTCTGTGACCTGTCCCTATGTCATCTTGTTTGCTATTGGCATTGGCATTTGTATACTCTTCTGCTTCGGGCAAGCTTAATTTTTAGATGATACATCTGTTGTCTAAAAAGTCGCCTCACCTGCAAACGAGGCCGGATTTTTGTGTCTGAACGGCAAGGTTCTGAATTGATACGGCGATGCCATTCGGCAAATTGGCCAGGCTAAGATTTCCTTGACTTTGAGACGCGCGCAGATCCATTTCGCTATGTCCTAGGGCGAGTTTTAGAACAAGGTTTGAATGAAAAAATGTACCTATGTCGTTGCAACTGCCGATAGAAACAGATTCTATCTGCTCGTTGCCGATGAGTTTGACAACTTGGCTCGTGTTGTGATCTTTTCGAACGATGTAGTTCTTGGCGCGTCCGTTCGTTTCGCCGTCGTGGAAAGCATGAGGATTTGTGACTTGGAATGATGGCAGATTATTGATAACTGAGGGTGGAATTGAATTACTGAAAAGAAGACATTAGCACTTGAATAAGCCCTAAATGAATTACCAAAAGGTCCGATGCCAATTGAAACTGCAACCTTGGTCGAAAGGGGATTCTTTTGGATAACGGGCTGAGAACTGTTCGTAGGTCGTCCGACCATTTGTTATCAGGTAAGTATGGAACATCTTATCGAGCATTTTATGATAGAAGGAAAAGCGAAACCCTACCGTTAAACCGCAGACGAATAAAAATAATAAGAAAACAAGTGAACAGATGATGATTGATATAACAACTTCCTTCTTCGTCTTGAAAAAAATCGAATCAAAATATAATAGGTATTCCGGTTACTTACAGCACTAAAGTCTTCGTCTTTCTTTGCAACAAATATATACACTAATGAACATGTGAAAGTAAAGACCATGTGGAGCGTCTTTTTCGAGGATACAAATTTAAAAACGATGCGAAAATAGAAAAAGAGAGCATATAATTTTTGTATCCAAAACAAAGTGGCAAGATACCAGCAAAAGAAGCGGTAATTTCTCCTTCCAATACAGTTCCCCAGCCATGGACAGTGGTGATCAAAGTCTTGGACGCAGTTATCGCAAACAGAACAGTGCGAACTCCTAGGAAATGGATGGAATTAATAATAGAGATGATCAAGTACCTTGGAGGGCGATAGAATTTACATGTACTGCACCACTTCATTTGGACGGCAACGTTGTTGATGTTGATGTTTTTGTACAAGGGCATGAGATCGTCTTCGACTACTTCTTCCGGTGGCACCCTTATTTACGGGTTAGGAAAAGGGCTGATGAAAGAGGCAATACCTGGGAAAGATGCCAGGATCCATGGTAGAAGCAGTAATGAAGTGAACCATGGTGAGGACGAAGAGGATAATGTCGACGAAGGTGAAGCACCTAAGCCCTTCATTTTCCTCGATATTGAGCAGCTCTCGTCCGGGATAGCTAGAAATACGGGTGACATATTATTCCAGGAGCTGTTCTACCAATAGAAGGCGACAGTAATTCCAATTTTTAGCAGCAGCGCCACCGCCACTGGCACGAGCCGCTTGAACGTTCCCATCAATTCATTCTTTAACCTTATCAGCTTTCGTTATCAGTTGATTTTGAGCTTGAGTTTATTAATCGGATTCACGAGTTTATTTACCGGCCGTATATTGTATGAAGAACTTTGTTAGAAAATAAAACAACGAAGTTGAGTTTGCGTTAAAAATTAAGGGTAAATCGTTCGCAGAAAATTTTACAGGAAGTGTTAATTAGAGCCTCTTCTACGCCAAGTACAGTAAGAATTGCAGGACCATACTGTATCTAGTCGGCGTTAATTGGCGCTCAGAATCATCAAAGATATTTTTTTCTTTGAAATAGAAATTTTGAAATTCGGATTTTTTAACAAAGCTGGGTTTGAACATTTTGCCCAAATAAAAACGAAAATGAAAGTTTATAAATTTACAGTGAACATATTGTTGTTTATACTCTTGCGTAATTTTTAGGTGAGAAAAGTGATGGGATAAAAAGCAAGAAATTGGAGGCGGAATTATAATGGCATTATTTTGAATGAGGAAGATGCATCAGTTTGGGACGATTGATCGGTCAGCAATTTTATAGTAAGTTGGTTCCTTTTTTTCTTGAAAAAGAAAGGGTTGTAAACAGCAAGCCAAGATCAAATCATTAATCAAGGTAAATTAATACTAGCTCCACTGTCGGAATCACACGACGTCATACGATCCCTGTATATATGAGTTCAAGGAGTGTTACAGTCACGTTCGAGTTTGAGTTATGGAAAAAGTGAGTAAGAACATGATGGTTATAGAAAAAAAATATAGAGATGGTAATATAGTGACAGAGTTATAGAGGAAAAAGGAGTAGTAGTAACATGTGTGAGGAAGAATTATTGAAGATTTGAGCTGACGGGAAAGCTAAAAAAAATAAGCGTTAGAAATTTTTCTCTGTGACTATATGTGTTTTTAAAATAAAGTTGAGCGTTCTTTTTATCCGATAAAATAAGATAATTATCCAATAAAATGATAAAAACTTACCGTGCGTGGAGAAGTTATGAAGGGTTTCCATCTGAAAGTGGATTATCTATCATGGAATCGAGTAAAGTTGCGTTTTCTGATGTATTTAAAGTGGAAGAGTACGAAAGCGAGGCTGCTGAAGTCGTTCCGCTAAGCGGTGCGGGAGTCGCTAGAGGATCTGATGTTGTCGAGTGCTCACGAAGTGGGCCCTCGTCGATGTTTCGTCCAGTCAAGACGATTACTGTCACGACGATTGCGATCAGCACTGTGCCCCAGAAGACGAGTGAAGCGATGATTACTGTTTTGTTGTTGTAGCGATTTGATCGCGACGTCATATTTCCACTGAAAAAATGAATTTCGAATATCTAAAGCTAGAATTTTCAGGAAAGAAAGCGTTCTACAAAAGCAAAATATAACTGAGCTCTTCTCTGTGAATATATACTGCCTTTAGACTAAGAGTGTGAGAGTTTGATAATGTAGAATTAATGGGAAGACGTCACAATATCTCAAGCAAGGTCTCGAATTTGGTGTGGCCCGCTGTGCGAGAAAATGAGTCCCCTGAAATGTATCACAAAAAGATGTGCGCGGGATTCGAGGATCACAGAAACTGCTGTGATTCACTCGCGCACATCGCCAAATCTGATGTGGCCGGTCACAGCTCTCGATCACAGATTGATGTGATCGAAAATTTTCAGTCACAAATTTCGCGTGATTCAAAAGTGAGGGATGGGCATTGATGACTTTTAAAACAACAAAATTATGAATCATGCGCCTTTTTTAGCTGACTTTTTTGAAAGTTGCTTATTTAATTCATTTATAATATTCATAACCTATGAATTATAACTTATGATTCATAAGATTAATTGATTAACACGGACCCGGAACTCGAATTGTTTTATTGATGAAGCCTCTAACCTCTCGCACCGCCAAAAATAGGTCATGGTCATCCCTCTCAGTGGCGTTTGGCGCCAGGAAGTGTCAGTAAAATCAGATTGGCTGGAAAAAATATAAATTTTTCGTCTTCGAACAGCCATAACTTATTGAAACCAAGTAAATTTGTTTATAAGTAAACTTATGTAAAATAAGGTATCAATCGAAAGTTCAGATTCTGACTCCTGAATCAGGAGTTTATTTGTCTATTTCAGTCATAGGATAAATTTTGTCCATAAATTGAGAATAGCCATAATTTAAATAATTTTCTCTACTTCTTATTATGATAAGAATACTTTAAATTCAATAAATCAAATTCATGATTATAATTCAATTGAATAATCTATTTAATTGATGAAGAAAATCACCAGAATTCGGTCGCTGTGACTCGATCACAAAAATATGTGCGCGAGATTATCCCTAAAATCCGCGGTGTGATCGAGCCTCGATCGCAGCTCCTTTGCGCTCCGAAAAACCAGCGCACATCTTTTTGTGCGCCACTTTGGAAGAACCCTTTTCGCGCACAGCGGGCCACACCAAATCCGAGACCTTGATCTCAAGCTCAAATCCGAGATTTTGACTGAGAGTCGGGTTAATTTGATTCCATTACTTCTCGTTTAGAATTGACCTTTAGAATCATTCTGACTAGTTGAAGCGAATTCTAGCGCAGTGAGGAATCATGTGAAAACCTTTTATTGAACCTGTTAGTGCGTATTAGTTGAGTATCTTCCGCCGGACAAGGTAGCGATCGGTCGCTTGCGCCCGTGTTCGATTTTGACCTGGAACCCTGCGCTTCCAGATCGAGACAGTCCTCGCTTCTTGTGCATGTTTCTTCGAGGATTTCTGTCGACTGTGGCTCACTCGCGTTCTCACATGGAGAAACTGTTACTACAGTGTCCAAGGGCCTCGTTGCTTGGATTTGTTGATTTTGCGGTTTTTGATCTATAGCAGATTTTGATAAAAGAAAGCTGAAAAACTGATAAGCACCTGTTATTCCATCGCCATCTTCTACCGAAGTCGACATTTTCCGCCAGACCAGGCTGAACAAATAAATTTTAAAGCATCAGCTCAAAAGAGATAGTAACTTTTTGACTGAATTTGAAGATAACGAGGGATTTTCTTTGAGAAATACTTTATTGCTGATAAATAACGAAATCTTAAAATGCGCATATGACAGTGGAAAAAAGCGGAGAAGAACAGTCACAATAACTGTGAAAATAAATAGGATAAGTTAATAGTTAGGGTAATAGTTGTACATGCCGCCCATTCTGTAATTGTAGAATCCATAGGCGGGAACCTGGGGCTGCATGAAAACCGGCTGGGGCTGAGGCTGTGGCTGCTGGACAATGATGGGCTGTTGGGGCTGGGGTTCAGGTTGTTGGATGATAATTGGCTGTTGTGGCTGAGGCTGGGGCTGTTGGACGATGATAGGTTGCTGGGGTTGCGGTTGAGGTTGCTGAACAATGATAGGTTGTTGTGGCTGAGGTTGAGGTTGTTGGATAATGATTGGCTGCTGTTGTTGAGGCTGGGGTTGAGAGTGGTTGATGATAATTGGCTGCTGTGGTGGAGCGGGAGGTGCGGTTAGGTTGATGACGGTTGGAGGAAGGTTGACGTTGACTCGGTTGCATCCGCCAGAAGAACCAGCGCCGAACATCATCATGAAAAAAAGCAAATCTTCGTTGTTGGAAGAGCCGGAGGAGTCCATGAGCATGAGTGGGAGCATCATGTTAGATCCCATCGCACTTCCAGGAGCACCACTCTGCAGGGCCATCATAAGAACGAGCATGGAAGTATCATCAGTGGCACCAGTAGTATCGTTCATCAAAAGGAAAGGAAGGAGCATGTTGAAGGAGTTGTCGAAACCGCTCTGAGTGTTCATACCGCCAGTCATAGAGTTCAAAAGAACCATTGTGAGAATTTCATCCATGCTGTCTCCGCCAAGAGTCGATCGTCGTTTTCTGCTGTCGTCGGAGAAGAGATCCATCATGAGGAGCGTGCTCATGTCCATTGCTCCACCGCCGCTCATGCTGGAGAACATGAGCATTGTCATGAGCGAATCAGTGCTGGATGCAAGCGCGCTGCCATCATCGGAGAAAAGTAAAAAGGGAAGAAGATTGGACATGGCGTTGTTTGTGTTGACATTGCAGTCGCCCTGGATGGTCGAAAGAAGCATGAAGGTAGAAAGCATGTCAGTATCGCCAGTGTTGTTCATCAAAAGAAGTGGAAGAAGCGAGTCCATGCTGCCAGCGCCGCCGCTCATGAGAAGCATCATCAATTCGTCGGAATTCGCATTTCCATCGCCCATGAGAAGGAAAGGAAGCATGCCACCCATCTGGCTCTGTTGAGAAGCAGACATGCCACCGTTGCCAAGAAGCTGCATGAGAAGAAAGTCATCTGAAGCGAGGTCGAAGGATTTGACGCTGCTGAGAGCGAAGAAAAGGCTGAATATCTTCATCGTTTGTGCTTTGCTTTTTGGTTTGTTGTTTTGATTGTTGTTTTTGAAGTTGGAAGTGAGTTGATGATGATTCGGGAATTCGTGCTGGATTTATACTTCCAAGGCCACCAAGCGGTGACCCAGAAGTTCAGGTTGATAGCGTGCCTGATTGAAGCACACGATACGCACGATTAATGACCGATATGATCCGTTCTAGCGAATTCGAACCATTCGCTTCGTTCTCTCTTTTTCTGATTGTTAGCAAGAAAAAATGAACAAGAGACATATTATTTTCTTCTACTAGGAAGTTTATTGGTTTGTTCTGTATTGTTTTCATATTGCACATAAAATTCTTTTTCAATCGATCAGTTATGAATATCCTTTAACTGATTTTTACAGAAGCAATAGTAACTCATAAAAAACAAGTTGATTTTTGACTTGGAAATTCCAGCACTCAAAAGTTTTGAACAGATATTTATGGAGGGAACAGAGGGCAGGAAATGAGTCTTTTTTTTCTTTTATGAGTTCGGTAAAAATAGTAATTTAAATAAAAATACTTTGACTAACGTAGTAACGGAATAACTAAAGAATGATTAGTTTGAACAAGACAGAAGCGTAAACGAATATTGTCTAAAAATGGAACAGATGTTTTTTTGTTTTGAAGAAGCGAAAAGGAGAACGAAAAAATGGATTATCTATAATTGGGATAATCTAAAAATAAAGGTAGTGACAAGAAGAAGAATAAATTTATAATTTCTCTAAGATGATTTTTTAAAGTTCTGAGCCGTCGTGCGTCGTATCTTTAGCTGGCTCTTCAGTCGTCGTTTCTTCGGCGGGTTTTTCTTCCTCGCTTGCTGGAGCATCTTTTGGAACTTCCTCGCCTTCCTCAGCGTTAACTTCTTCTCCTTCTTCGCCCGTGGTAGTCGGCTCGATCGTTGGTGGCTCAGTGGGCTTTGGTGGCCTCCACGTTCGAATCTTCTTGTAGAGAATCTCTCCGGCGTTTGAAAGGGTCTTCTCTTTCACCTGAAATAGATAATATTGTAAGATGGGGATTCATTTTATTGGAGTTTCTTTTTTGAGTACGGCGAAACCTCGCAAGCTCATTAACAAATAGTCCGGGGGTCATAAAATTAAACTAAATGACCCGTCAAGTGGATCTTGGGAGGTTTGAAATTACCTGAACATCCATGACCTTGAAAGCAGGGTCCTCATGCTGGGCCAGGGCTGCTTGAGCTTCAGTCTTTTCCTTGAGCCAATCGGTGACTTTGTCGAGCTTTTCAGACATTTCGAAGACGTCTTCTTGGCTGAGAGCAAGACCCTCGCCGGTTTGGTTCTTGTAGGTTTCCATGAAGAGTTCTCGCATTCCAGAGATCATTTTCTAAAGAGCAATTTTAACAAAGTGGATCGATCGGGGTGCGAGGCGAAGTTAACCGTGACAGTATTTATAAATTTTACGCTTCCTAGCTTTCGAGGTCAGAATTAGTCCTAAAATGACCGCTACGAGCTATTACGAATAGCCTATTCGGCAAAATTAGTTTTTTTTTATAAAAGTGTAAAATGAAATCCCTTTTTAGAAATTTTTCTACTAATTCATCGTCGATTTGAGAATTTCCCCCTAAAATTTTACCTCGAGACGCTCAACAGCTTCAGGGCGCTTTTCATGTTCTTCGAATCGTCGCTCCCAATCGCGAGTCAGCTTTTTGAGCTCGGCAAGCTTGTCGTCAAATGTCACAGCGGTTGGTTCCTCGACATCCCAAAGCCAATCCGATGCAGCCGAGAGGGCCGCGGCGACTTCTTCTCGCTGTTCTTCACTGTGAAAAAATATTTTAATGATAAGTTATAAAATGTATCAAAGATATATTCATTTGCTCCAATCGGTACTGGGACATATAAGGTTGTATAAGATTATGTGACTTAATAGGTACCTGATAGCATCAGTCCATCCTTCTCTGTACAACTTGTCTTGTCGATCGTAAATAAAACTTTCCAAATCGTTGAAAGACTTTTCCTTCGCCAATCGATCAGCATCAGCTTGATCCAATGCCTAGAATAGTCACTAAAGAATCTATGTTTCCACTTAAAAATACCTTGATCTGATTGTAAATGGCTTCTCGCTCGTCTCCAGAGACAGATTCCAGATCGTGGTTGACAGCAGTTGATTCGAGAATGACGGAGAATTTCTTGATGACTTTCTTTGGTTCTTCAGCTTTTCCCTCCTGAAGATTTGTTAAAATTTATCTCCCTGATTCTTACTTACCACAGCAGCAGGTTCAGCTTCACCATCCTTCGGTTCTTCAGCTTTTGCTTCTTCGGCTTTTGCGTCTTCAGCCGCGGGTTCCTCAGCTTTGGGCTCTTCCTCTTTGGCAGCTTCCTCCTCAGGTTTTTCTTCTGCAGCTGGCTCGTCGGAATCAGTCGAATCTTCGCCCGTGGCTTCGTCTCCAGCTGCTCCTTCAGCATCTTTCTTTTCCTTTGCTGCCTTTCCGAGCTCTTCAAGCACTTGTTCGGCAGTTTTTCCATCGGTATCTTCTCCATTGAAGAATGATCCAAACTTGTCCTTGATCTTGTCCAGCGTGCTCTTGTCGATATCTGGCATATCAGGCATCTTTGCTTTCTCATCCTTTTTCGGGGCTTCTGGCTCTTCGAAAACTTCGTGTTCAAAAGTTGCATCGGCGGATTCGAGGACAAGGATTCCAGAGTCGTTCATTCGGAAATGAGCTTCAATTGTTTTAATAAGAGATTAAAGCTTTTAATCTACCTTTGACTCCCTTAGGATCGGCGTGCGTGTTGTTCTCATGTGCCCCTTTGACGCCTGCAAGATTTACAGTCTCCTGGAGTTGTCCATCAATGAACACACTGAAGCTGAAATCATCCGCAAATCGGTTGAATGTGATTGCTTTCTTTTGAGGATAGGGATTCATCTTTTGGAAAAGAGTTCGCTTAATAGTCTTCTTGGTGACGCCATCTTCTTGGATTTCTTCGGGCTCGAGGTCACGCTCAAATCGGACCTCGACGGGCTTTTGGACGGCATCCTTGATGAACATCGTTTTCACTCGGAAAACCTGTATTTTGGTTCATAATTTTTTTACAAATGCCAGATTGATTTCTGACTTTTCCTGCAATAGAACATCCCCCTGGGCGTTTATTTGAACCGTTCCTTTGATACAAAAGCCGCATGATAAGATCCACCAAGAGCAGCAGCCTCATCAGCATTAATATTGAAACTGAGTTCAGCTCCATTCAGTTCCTTCTTGAGCGCTTCTTGAATTGCAGGCACACGCATTCCACCGCCAAACATGATCACTTGGCTAATTTCGTCGTTGGACATTCCCGAAGATTTGAAGGCCTCTCGAACAGCTTCCATGGCCTGTTCAATGTCTCCTTGGATGGATGCTTCGAGTTCGTCTCTGGTGATTTTCGCCTTGAAGTCTTCATCATCGATGAGTTGCTGGACTCCGGCCATGTGTTCCTTATTCGCGGAAAGGACCATTTTCGCCTTGTTCGCCGCTACGAGCATTTTAGCCATGGCTCGGCCAGTTTTCTGTGTTTTGATATCTTGACTTGTCTTTTTCGTCTCTTCCCACTTCTCGACGAGTTTGTCTCGCACCGTCAAATCAATTTTTAAACCGCCAACTGGTGCGACACCGACGCCCTTGATAGCGACTTGAGGAGCTGTCTCTGTCTTTCCCTTGATGATTTGATACTGGGCGATTGTTGCTGTAGTTTGGGAAGCTCCCATGTCGAAGAAGAGGATGTTCTTGGCTTTGGACCAGAGTTCGAAATCCCGCGTTTGCCCGGGGGAAGATACGGGCACGGGCAAGAAAGTGAAGATTCCCGAGGGCAAAAGCGGTCACGGGCAAAAAAACGAATTTTCCCGCGGGCCAAGCGGGCACGGGCACAATAAAAAATATTCCCGCGGGCAAATTCGGGCACGGGCAAGATTCCCGCGAGCTTAAACGGGCACGGGCAGATTCAATGCACCTTATGAAAAAGTGTTTAAACTATTTAAATAGCGTGGAAATAGACACCAAATACCTGAGGGAGTATATTGAAAACAAATCTGCATACAGAACTGTTATGACGTGCTTTTTTTAAGGTTAACGAAGTTTTCCAGCTCATTTCCGTCTTATAGACCCCCGAACATTATACCGGTATACCTTTACAAATCAACAGAAAATTTAAAGAACTTTAACGGTTCAAAATTCTAGAAAACTCCACTTCCGGTCGGTTCTAGAGCCGGAAGTTGACGTAATTTAGGTGTTATGGTGAAGTGTGACCTATCAAATTGATGCTCAGACGATTTTCTATCATTTTAGACCTAGAATCAAGACCAACCGCGGTAAAATAAACCCGAAAAAAGTGAAAAAAAAAATTCATCACTTTATGCCTTTTTTACATAATTTTAACGGTCGGTTTGACCAGGTTTGGGACTGTTTCTTCTGAAATATTGATTTTAGGATGACTCGAAATCTTCTGAGCATCAATTTGATAGGTCACACTCTACCATTATAACTAAATTTCGTCAATTTCCGGCTCTAGAATCGACGGGAAGTGGAGTTCTCTAGAATTTTAAACCGTCAAAGTTTTTGAAATTTTCTGCTGATTCTAAAAAAGTATGGTGTTCGGGGGTCTATAAGGTGGAAGTGGGTTGGAAAACTTCGTTAACCTTAAAAAAAGTCAAAAAGGCGAAATTTTCAACTCCTGGAAAGAATTCTTTTGAGCGAAATTTTCGCGAAAATTTTCGGTAAAAAGCGAAAGCGAAGCGAAGCGAATTGAAATTACAAAAAGCGAAAGCGAAGTGAATTCGCTTCGCTTCGCTCATGAGCGAATTCGCAAAGCGAATCCAAGTCGCCGTTTCCCCAAGTTGGGCAAACGGAGATCTTGGGCAAACTCAAAATTTGGTTTGATCGATTCTTCCCCAAAGTTGCAATAAAACTCAAATCGCCGATTGAAAACATCTAGGCAATAAAAATACCATGAGATTTTTTTCTAAAGGGAGATCTGAGAATCTGAGGGTCCCAAGCCCTCTGGGACTCTCAGTTTAGCCGCGCGCGCCTAGCGCGGCTAGCCAATCAAATGACGGTATTTTTCCGCAGTGCGCCGCACTCTAAATTCTTTATTCTGAGGTACCCAACAGGATCTGAAAGAAATTTCTAGACTTCCCCGAGAGTGAAACGGGGAAGCGAGGCCAGGGGCCTTCTCCCTCTTTAAAAAAATCTCATGGTAATTTCACAAACCGTTTTAGAATACGTCCAATTTTAGCTCAAAAGTAAGTGGAAATGAACTGCGAATTCAACAGTTCCTGTCCGAGTGGTCTCAGTTTGCCCAAGTCGCCGTTTGCCCAAGTCGCCGTTTGCCTAAATCGCCGTTTGCCCAACTTGGGGAAACGGAGATCTTGGGCAAATGGCGATGTGAATAAATTTAGTGTGATTGATCATGTAACATTATTTGGCTTCTCAAACGTCAATCCTGAATTCTTCAACGCTAATCCTGGCTTCACCAACTTCAATCATGTCTTCTCCACTATCATTAATATTATATCAATTATGGTATTTCCAACGTCGATTCTGGGTCAACATCGTCAATCTTAGCTTCACCGACTTCAATCATGGCTTCTCTAATGTCAGTCCCGAGTTCTTCGACGTCAATCACGACTTCTCCAACGCGAATCCCGTTGACGTTTGAGCCACCAACATTGATTTCTGAAAAGCTCGGATCGAAGTTGTTGAAGCCGGGACTGAAGTTGGTGAAGCCAGGATTGACTGTGGAGAAGCCAATACAACAAAGTTATATGATCAATCAATTTAATTAATTCACATCGCCGTTTGCCCAAGTCGCCGTTTGCCCAACTTGGGGAAACGGAGATCATTCGGTCGTAGTTTCTAACTAGCTCCTAAAATTTGCGATTTAAAAATCCGAATTGATTCAGGGTCTTATTTTGGAAAATATTTAGCAGTAGAAAAAAATGTTCCCCCGGGCTGCCCTCGGGAATATTTCGTGCGGGAACGCGGGCAAACCGCCCGTGCCCGTTTATGCCCGCGGGAATCTTCTCATTCATGCCCGTGCCCGTATCTGCCCGCGGGAAAATTTCTTATAGTGCCCGTGCCCGCTTGGCTCGCGGGAAAATTTGTTTTTGTGCCCGTGACCGTTTTTGCCCCCGGGAATCTTAAATATTCTGCCCGTGCCCGCCCGCCCGCCGCCCCCTTGCCCGGGAGCCGCAAAAATTTCGAACTCTGCTTTGGACTCAATTTGTTTTCGATTGAAGACTCCATAGTGAAGGGCAACGGCGGTGTTGGTGTTCAAAAGTTGGTGGAGCTTGATTCCAGCGAGTTCGGCAGCCGCAATTACTGATTTTCGCTCGACCTTGGAGAGAAATTGCTATTTAGAAATCTGGAAACTGGTTTTACCTGTCCCCAATCAGAAGGAACAGTAATAACAGCATCGTAAATTGGTCCTTCAGCAAATTTCGAGGCAATTTCTCGCGCATGGCCGAGCACCATCGCCAACAATGACTCCACTGTGTAAGTGACATCGCCTTCTGGATGCTTGAATGCTACTGTATTTCGCTCTGTAGGAACAAGCTCATAGTACCTAATTAATACTAAAGGGGAATTCAAGTGGATAATACTCACGGGAATTTCTGCTGGAAGTCTTTAACAACTGGATCGTCAATAGATTTGCCGAGGATAAGTGGGAAATAACGGTAGCTAAAAACCGTCAACATGACCCTTTCTTTTTCAAACAAACCTGTTGTGTGGGTATCGATTGCCAGAAGTAACAGCATCGCTTCCAAAAAGTCGCTCTCCATTTCTCATAAAAACGGCGACTGGGGTTTTTCTTTTCGATTCTTTGTTCAATGCGATTTCCATTGGAACACCAGGCTTGACGATGGCGACCTAAAATGATCGAAAAATCAAGAAACCAGAAAGCCAAATTTGGTAAAAAATTTATATAAATTATATTATGACGAATTAGACTAATCAATAACTAGAGTTTTACGCTACTCTCGATATTTTCGAAAAAGCTATAAATACAAACGTTCGCTAAAACTAACCTTGAACCATTCGGAGCCTAAATCAACGGACATGACGCCCAAACCGGCGGCATAGCCGAGCAATGCCACGGCCAGAATGAAAAACCTCATTCTACAAATTCAAATTATTCCTCTTCTCCTTCTTCTTCTTTCAAGATCTCTACACAATTCGTTTTACAGATAACAGGAGAAAAAACTATCGGAAAGCGAAAAAACTGGGAAAAATGTGACTCAGCGGGAAGTCGCCAGCGCCACATCAGTACTCGTGAGCCAATCAGCGCCGCGGAAAGGGGCGAAAGAGCCAGTGAGAATCTCCCGTCGAGGTTGACAAAGCGATTTTCCCCTAATTCTTCCAGTAATTTCCAGTTTAGTCGAGAACATGAAAAAAGCTTACCCGACAACACGAGAAAAGGAATTTATTTAGCCAAATATGCGATTGCAACCATTTTTATTGTTTTATTTGGAGTAGAAATTCCGATGCAGTATCTAAGCAGTTTTTTGTTTCTTCTCGGCATTTGGCTAAAAAATGATTGAGAACTTCACTAAATTTTTCTTCTTACCGTTTCGGATGCATTTGATTGAGGACGTTTCTTGGCGAGTCGTTTCTTGCAAATCTGCATGTGGCCGGTAATCCATCCAACCTTTTGGCATTCCTGAAGATTTTATAGAAATGCATTTTCAGTGGGAGTATACTTACTTTGGAACAGTAAAAGTGGTTCAAGCAGCAATGGCCAAAAGGTTTCTCGCCGCAAATATCGCACTGAAGCATGGCCACAATCTTGTCTTTATCAGACTTGAGCTTCTCATAACGACGGGCCGAGTTTTCTAGTTCCTTTCGAAGTTCGGCGATGATCTTCTTGTCATCTTGATTGCGAAAAGTGTCCGTTTGAACACCCTTAACAAAGTTGTTCTTTCAAGTTATTCTGGAGAAATAGCCTTTACCTGATCACGTCGTTGAGGTCTGTCATCAGGATGATATTCCTGTTTGATCTCCGGTTTTTCTCTCTTTACTTTGGCTTTCATCTTGTGTGTGTTCTTCTCTCTCTCTGTTTTTAGGCCTCTTGGAGCTTTGATATTCCGAAATAAAATTTCGAAAATTCAAAAGGGAAAACCTAAAAAAATGGGAGTAGCCAATCTATGTAGCCTGAATTGAATCACTCCAAGATTTTGAGATATTTTCCAAAAAATTGCGAATTAATGGAATTTCTCTCGGAATCGGCTGAATTGGCAAGAAATCACAAATTTCAAAAAATCAGGATTAGCACCTCCGCTGTGATAAAAAAAATTTTGATAACGGAATTGATGACGAAATTGATGGCTTAGAATGATTTTTGCAACGTAGTGGGAAAATGTAAGCAAACTCGTTTTTGAATTTTATTGTTTGAAGTTGAAAAGTGCTTCTTCGGTAATTTTCTTCACAAAATTTTCGTACTCGACGTTGTCATCTCGTCTTCCACCAACAGAGTCCAGGAAGTTCCAGAACTCATCGCTTTCCTGCTGCGAAAAAGGCTCTCCATCTGTCAGTAGTAGTTCTCGAAGTCGTCTTCGGGACACGAAGGATCGTTTTCTGTCTGATTCTTTCAACTTGACAAATGTCCTTAGAACATCAACTTTACTTCACAGCGCACTTTAAAAACTGGTATTTACCGCTTGTCAGTCGCGCCGTAAGATTTCTCGTAAAAGACGGGCTTGAAGTCCGAGTCCTTTTGCTTCGTCTTCTCGACCGAGTAGAATGTCGTGAGTCCTCGTTGATGTCGATTTCTGAACCCTCTCTCTCTTGCCCGTTTCTACATCGTTCTTACTGTACCTGGCAGTATCGACAGCATCGATGCATTCAAAAGCGTCGAGAACTTCGCTTTGCCGATCGTTGAGTTTTTTCAGCTGAGACATCATCAGTAAAAGCTCCTATTCAGAGCTCTCTCGCGATTTTTTTTACTACTGAAATGGATAGTTATGCACTTATCCTTCTTCCTCTTTGACAGGTAAAATGATAAATAATGACAACTCTTCCTGAAAATTTATCTCGCCATCGTTGTTAACATCGACCATGAGCATGATGCGATCCACCCTCTTGTCTTATCAAGATTCAGTCATCAAGTGAGCTACTGACTGTAAAGGATAAATACCGGAGTTGGTCGTGGAAGTGAACCCAGCAGCAAAGAGAGCTGTTCCAAGTTCGTCCCGGCTAATTGTTCCGCTAGAAGCGGGTTACAAATTATTTATTCATCAAGCTAGAAAATCGCCTCGAAGCGATCACTTTCTTTCGAAACCCTTCTTTTATCCAAATCCAGCGACTCAAACACCTCCCAATAGCTTTGAATTTCAAACTTATTGAAGAACTTTTCCCACTTCTTGTAATCAAAGTTCTTCAACCCATGTTCTTTCTTTTCTTTGACAGGTTTTAGGTTGAAAACCAGCGCTTCATTCTCTTTTTGGGACATTTTTTTCGTGTGACACTGTCAGATCTCAGCAAGGATTCTGGTAATTTTGCCCAATTTTGCTTTTAAATGTCACCGATCAAGGCGAGATTACCCCCTCAGACTCACAAATATCGGGAACCACTTGCTCCAATTTTCCTTTTTATTGCCCTGATTTCTGGCTAGAATTAGACATGAAGACAACTGGCATCAATTTCATTTTGTAATAAAGAAACTCTTTTATTCAAATCAACATTAATTTTTGAATTTTCAGCAAATAATTCATAAAACAGGACTCAAAACAAAATGCAATCAAATCAGACAGAACCAAATCAAAAAAGAATATTTCAAACAGGCAAAACAAAAAGGTGCAAATTCGCATTTCACGAATGTCAAATTAAATAAATATTGAACTCAAAAAACATCAGAAGAAAGCAGACAGTCACAGACAGACACAACCATAAAAAAACAATAAAACTTCAAATCAAAATTCAATCATCAAAGGTTAAAAAGAAAAGTACGTTGAAGGGTTTTGGAATTACACTTACTTTTTAGTCAGTTAAGTGGTCTAGTCTTCAACAAGTTGTCCACAGCTATTAAGTCGTTTGATGGCGCGTTCTTCCGCCGGAGTTTGGCGCAGTTGCTTGGCGTATTTCAATAGCCCACTAGAACCTTTTTAGCACAAGAAAAAAGGCGGATAAAAGGTTACCTTCGAGTAGTTTTGTGAGCATCAGTCATGACGAGTTCCTCCTCTTTCATTCTTCGTCGCCATGCTTGGATTCTCAGCAGCTCCCCTTTTAGAAATTCTGGTGTCCACACTCCGATTCGCTGGATGTAGGGGAACAGGAAGATGTCGAGGAAACCAGGTGCTTTTCCGCCAAAGTAGCGGCCGCATCGAATCAATTCGTTTTCGAAAATTGCTAGACAAAAAATCAACCAAAAACTCCTTAAAAAATTCTTACCAAGAGACTCCATGAACAAATGAAAGGCGTCGTTTCGATGGACATTGTCTTCCATCATGACGCCAAAGACCTGAACCATTCTCTGATTGAAGCCGAGCGCGAGCTTCAATTGTCGTTCTCGCTTTCTTTCTTCTTCTGGGAAAAACTTGATCCCAAGTTGTTCCAGCGCTGCTCCAAGCTCGATGATGTTCTGAAAGCTTCGCCCCTCGACTTGTACTGTGCCAGACAGTGCTTCATCTGTGACGAGTGAGGCTTGAGCGCCAAGATTTGTCAGGCTGAGGCGCATTTGCTGGGCGTAGATGCAGCCGGGGGTCGAATACAGAGTGATTTCTAAACGGAAAGTTTTAGTTTTGGCCTGGATCTCTTAGAATAAACGTACCGGTGTCCATGGTCTTTTTTTGCCTCTTGTCTCTCTCTCTCTAAAGCGCAGTCTGATCTGCGAAAACCGACCGAGGTCGGGGCGGTGCCTGCTGCCTAGGGGGGTTTAGCCGAGGTGGACTCTTTGACGTCACAACTCGGACACGATAGCCAAAAAACGTGAGTTTTAGAACTGCTCTTCTACGAAAAGCAAGACTGTATTTTCTTTGATCCGTTCTAGAAAAAAGGCGTGCTTTTATACGAAAAACGTATTTACGAAAATCTCGTGTTGAAGTAATACACGACGTGTTCAAATAATGAAAATTGCTAAATTGGCGTTAGATCTGGTTTTCTCCGGCCGTAACCCGACTAGATGAGTCCAAAGAGTTAAGACACGAACCTGGAATAAATTTCGAAAATGACTCCTTTTCGCAATTCAAGCTAAAGCTCTAAGAAAAAAATGAACGAAAAAAGCAAGAAAATCTAACGTTTGAGCTTTCAGAGCCGTAAAAAAGTAATCATAAGACGTGTTACGTAACAGTTATGAAATCGAAAGCGTTTTTTCAGATTTAAGGGCATAATAAAATTATTAATACATATAATAATATTGTTGCTGAATAACGCACAATGCGTAAGGGACATTTTTCCCTTCAAAAAAAGAGGGAAATTCTCAGTCGGAAAAGTCTCTAGACGCATTTATTGTGAGCGCTCTTGTTTTCAAGCGATAAACAGATTTATCAAGAAGCTACTCTTTCCCAGGAACACAAAAAAAATCTTCGGGAATAGATCAAACATGGGCAAAAACATGCAAAGCAAAACATATGACCAGAGAGAATGGGTCAAGCAGTTTCTAAAGAATCCAGAGTTGGTGACTCCTCTGGCAGATCAAAGGATGAGGTTGTTGGAGACGATCGACAGGAAGACTTTCAGGAAGGGATAGCAGCGTTTCTTTCCGGATTTCTTACACTAAGACGGTTTCTATTCGTATGTAAAGAGAAGCAAAGATGTACCGTGAATGGAGGTACTTGAAATTTCATGCAGAGGGCAAAAACATCTTTGGAAACCTCTACCGTTCTGCAAAAGACATCAACAAGCGAAAACGCATGGACGTTTGGAAAGCCTCTGTGTCTCAGCGAATCATTCTTGAGGAAAGTCCAGAGCTATTGAATGTCATTATTGCCAAAGATTTCATCCCGGAAGACACCGACGCGGAGGAAGTGGAGAAAGAAGAGATTGAGCGGCCAGCATCGAATGAGACAATTGCAAACTATGGCGGCGAAAGTAAAATATTCTACCAGAAGACGCCTTTTGCTGAGGAAGATCTTGTCGTCAGAGTTCAAGCGTTTGATCGCGGGCTGTTTTCGAAGCCGTACGAATTACGAGTTTATATTCATTTTGCAAAAGGTAAGCAGTTTTTCCTTAGAATTTACAAAAATGGTTCGATATTCCTGAATCTCGCGATTGTATATAGGTCAGATGTACCGATGGATTGTTCCGGTAGCACCTGCAGCCAGTAGCAGGTGCTCCCGTAGACTCCAGTAGATTGTGCCCTCATTTCGTCGTTCATAAATAGCGCAAAGTAGTCTGATACTCAAAATTTAATTCAGAAAATGAAACTTTACTAATCCAACTTCGTACGCATTGCTCTTTATTATTAAACATTTTTCTGTTCTATAAAATGAAATTTCTTATGTTGCATACAGATTTTCGAGTCTTTCAATTTGAATTAAAGAAAATAAAATTGTGTTGAAGATCTCTTGTTGAGGCTATTATTATTAATTTTAATGAGGACTGACTCCTTTGACACTCATGTCACAAGAACAACAATCGATATTTAGATTTTCCAACTGCCGTAAACGATGAATCAGACCCAGACAAGTGCATCCCTCGCAATCCTTACATAGTCGAGCATCTTGTCAACGTAGAAATCTTCCACAGAAAAGACAACAAAATGCTCGACTGTATCGGCTGGGTCACCTTCATGCCAAAAGCAGAATGCGATTTGTGGGACATTCTCAAAGAAAATCGACTGACCTGGGAGCCGCGGAAGATCATTTTGAAAAAGTACTACGATGGATTTGGATACTTGCGACAAATGGCAGCAACCGTTTTGCCCGTTTTTCCGTTCTGCCCAAATGCCGTTTTGCCCAGAATTCCGTTCTGCCCGTTCAGGGCAAAACGGAAAAATGTGCAGAACGAATTTTCGGGCAAAACGTCATTTTCGAAGCGAAATTTAGAAAATTATTTTGAATTTGATGATGAAGGCGAAGATTCGGTTGGCCCAACCCCCGCCGAGTGAGAACATGCAGCAGGTGTCGAGCCCAGTGAAGGAGATGTAAGGGACCACGCCGCCGGTGTTAACTTCTGCAGAGGCTGCCCCTGGGCCCAAGTTGGAGCAAGTCTCGGTGTGAATCCTTGAGTAAACATAAACTGGGGGCATCCTGAGCTGGGAATTGTGATCGAGCACGGCCCAGATCATCCTCAAGACTGAAGATATGAAAGATTAAAAATTAGAATTTTAATTCTGCGCTATCGTTAAAGTCTTTTGATGATAGATTTTTGAAATCACTTCCAATTATTATCAGCTGCTTAAATCAAAGTAACTTTCTTAATTACTTCCGGTTTGGGATTAGGGGGAAAAGGAGAATCTACCTGCACATTTGGTTGCGCAGCTCACAGAGGCCTTTTACCCTAGTTGGTAATTTTTCAGAAAATTCAATTTTTGCTGTCTTCCACATCTTCATTTTTGAAGATCATCAAGGCTGAGCTTGATCATGATCTCTGGCTCAAGATGCCCCCAGTACTCAAGGAATCACGCCGAGACTTGCTCCAACTTGGGCCCAGTCTCTGCAGGAGCTCACACCGGCGGCGTGGTCCCTTGCATCTCCTTCACTCGGCTTGACACCTCCTGCACGTTCAAACTCGGCGGGAGTTTGGCCAACCGAACCTAAATTGATGATTGTACAGGAGAAAAGATTTGCATTTTTAAAAATGAAGCTTTACTTTTTGAAATTTTTCATTTTCCAAAATGCCGTTTTGCCCAATGCCGTTCTGCCCAAAATTCCGTTCAGCACATTTTTCCGTTTTGCCCTGAACGGGCAGAACGGAATTTCGGGCAAAACGGCATTTGGGCAGAACGGAAAAACGGGCAAAACGGTTGCTGCCGCGACAAATCGGCCTGAGATATTATGATCGAAAACCAGCGAACATTTTGATGCATCATGGAGAGCCGAAGATTTGCGATTTCGGTTTGGCTTGCATGTCAAAGCCGAAGGAGTCGTTTCAGCAGATGGGCTATCTGAGGAAAGGGGCCAAGTTTCAAAGTGAGATGGGAAGAAGTCTTGGAGCTGGTACTCCTGGTTTCTGCTCGACTTGTCAATTGTTTGATGGCTGGAATACGATGATACCGATTTTCCGACTTACTGTCTTCTTCATTTTTGACTGGCCTTCAGGAACGGTCCTTGAATTATCAAATACTATTTTGATGCAGTAATTCAATTTGAGAACCACAATAAAAGCCTGGCAAATTCTGTACAATGGAATCGACGAAAACGAACGAGAAGAGTACAACAAAATCATGTCCAGTTGTGGGATGAAAGACACGTGCTACTGGTTACGTAATCTGTTCCGAGTTTACTTTGATGGTGGATATGCCGCTCATCAGGGATATAAAATATGGCCATTGACGTTTTTTTTTTAATTCTCAGAACTTATGTTCGATCGAGGGTTAGTCAGTTCTTTCACTGAAAAATAGGTTTACATTTTATATCTCTGCTGCTAATGACGAGTTCATGAACAATCTTCCAAGCCACGTGACAATGATCAAACTGCCAATCTCCGAAGCTGCCAATTTCGAAGCCCTGCGAAAACGAACCGAGAGCGTCTCTCTCCAAGCAATCAATCATCAGCTCTTGAAAAAAGTCGACCCTTACCAAGATTTCGGCGTCAGCGATCAGAAAAGCGCAAATCTCTGCATGGCTCAATCTGCTGCAATGCTACTGAAACACGCTTTCGAGGAGAAAATCGCGAAAGACGGCACTAGAAACATGACGACAAGGGAAGTGAGAATCGACCGCATCATTTTTTCACTGACAATGGATTTGATACCGATCGGAATGAACGGCATCGATCCGAATTTGACGAAAGAAGGCGAGAATGTGCAACAATTAGAAATAATGAGAGTACTCAAGCGTTTGACACACGAGAGCTTCTTCGAACCAGAGGGGTGGAAAATGATAGCAAAGAAGCTTTATCTGAGCAAAAAGCACAAAGACCTTTTTGGAGAACCAATCGACGATCACAAACTCACCTACGAAAGAGGTACCAAATCTGAGCTCAGCACCCTGTGTAGAAAACCTGAGTCAGGGTTTGAAAGATCTGTAGTGAAAAGCCGCGACTTCCAACCCTGAGTCAAGTTTTCTACACAGGTTGCTGAGCCCTGAACTAATTTAAAAATCTTAAATCATTCAGTGTTGCTTCACGAAAACTTCAAATTTACTCGTCCACTGATTGTCACTGTTGCCCACTGGATTCCGTCAAGAAACAAAGTCTTCTTCTTCCAATCCGTTTTGGAGAAGATAGAAGACGAGAACTATGTTCTGGCGAATAATGCTTTTGTCAAAGGATCCGAGGAGATTCATATTCCGCTGAAAAGTCCTTACTATAATTGCGATCGAAAATCGATGCGAAAAATGATTCAAAGGAATGGCTTCTAAGATACAGGCCTTGAATCTTCCTTGACAGAATTATTGACAAGCCAAAAAAAAAGACAGAAATCGAGCTTATACGAAGACAATAACATGAGAATCCACTTTGTCAACGAAAAAGAAAAGCCTCAAGATGGCAAGATTGACGTCCCTGAAATGGAACCTGAACGATACTACCTCATATCCGCTGCATTTTCACTTCAATTCGTTTAATTTTCCCAAAACTGAAAAATATATTCAAAGCACTTATAAAAACCATGACGCTTCTAGATCGAAATTCTAGTGGCAGTTGTTGCATAAGTACATTTAATTCATTCCTAATTCCAAGAAAAGACTGATGATTTTCTAGAGCTTCGTTTATTATTCGTCCTATGACAGTACTCCAAGTTAGTTCGTCCATCTGTTCCGCTCAGGTTAGTACTATCACAGTACAGTGTCTTCCCCTTGTCTTGGACTGTAGACGGTTTAATACGATGTCATTAACGCGCATATGCTGAATTGAGCGTATTGTGATCATTTGTCATTTATCGACTTCTGTTGGCTTTTGAGCCGCTGCTTACTATATATAATACATTGATAATGGTCGCACGCATATCGTTCGCTGCCTTTTTCGCCCTTCGCTTTTTGATCCTCCTTTTTTTCTGAAGAAAAATCGAACAAGAGAAATGACATCTTCCATGAGGACAATTTGTCCTCCATGATTTCAATTCAGCGAAGATTACTAATTGATGTGAGTAAATTCTTAATGTTTCAGTTAATCGCTTCATTTTTAAAACGATTTCGATTATATTTTAATTTATAAAAAAGAAGATTTTAGAAGATAGAATAGTCGAGAAAACTTTAGTGAAAGCTAATACGTAAAACAGCCGACGAAAATAGCTTTTTTTGGGTAACTCGAATCGGAGCCCGAAATCGTGAAAAATTAACGCGGCAGCGGCGTCAAGCTACCCTCATCGACAGCGCGTAACCATCTCTTATTCAACTCATATAGAGAAGTTGGACATCGCAGAATTGAATTATCTTAGAACAAAATACGCTTCAAAATGTGATCAATTTTTGATGGATACGACCATTTTAGGTGATCATAACAAAGAAAAAACTGAATATTCATATACAATAAGAATCTTTAAAAATCATCTAAATACAATATTAAACAATAAATTTTTTGCCTTTAACAGTTATTTTCAGGTGTTTTAAAGCGAAACTCAGCTCCCGATTCAGCCTGAAAATTGGTAAGTTTTTTCGTATTAAAAATTATTTATTAATGAAAAAGCCGGCTTTTCTTAAAAACAAAACTTCTTTTCGGAAATTAGTGACGCCCTGTAACAAATTGGCAGCTTATATGTATGTGCTCCTTGTTGATTTTGAACTTGCCAATTGATTCTGAATTCATGCGCCAGTCGCGAAATGGGCAAATCTGACGTTGATTATTATCGATAAAAACGGCCGTATTTTTCACGCATGCAGAAATTGTACAATAAATCAATGTTAGTAATAATATATTCAAAGTATATTTAACACAACAGCTTTTTTGTTGATCGTTTTTTGAAAGCCCCTTTTTACCACAAAAATCCTGAATGATACGTTTTCGTCTTGTCTCGTTTATTTTTTTAAACAATTGTTTCTAGTTTGTTATCTTTTTTTTGCTCAGCAACTGATAGATTTTATTCAGAGAGAATATGTTGGACTGTTTGAAGGCAAGGCGAAAAATGTTCAAAATAGTAGCTTAGAACAAAATCTGCTCTAGAACATAGAACATTAATCATTTGTTTTTTCACTGATTAATGATTTGTAGCTCCGTGAAGTATTATGGCCATTTTCAATAAGAAACCGAAAAAGGAAGTGGCGCCGAGTACAGTCTCAAACGTAAGTACACACTTGAATTATACAGATTATATACAGAATAATACAGTATTGGCTCGAACTCATCGCGCTCAGAATTATTCAAACAAAAAGTTGATTTGACGTCATTTTGATGTCAGGAGTCCAAGAGAGCTGATGGCCCTTTCTCACGTGATAATTTCGTCAATTTTTGCAAAGCGTCAATTAAAAGTAACATCAATTTATGGATTTAAATAATCAGATGACTAGTATTGGCCCTCCTAGTTTATTTAATTTTCGTGTTATGAAGCCCCGTCTCGATGGCGGAGGTGCGCTAAAAACAGCTTAGTCAGCGCAAAGCTACTTCAACCCTGAGACCATGTCTCAAAAAACTCAAAACTCAATCATCAGCACCAAGAGACAAAATGGGAGTGGAAATACGTACGTCATTCAAAGAGTATTTTTGCGTGTCTAAACTTCAGTCTCAAACTTTTTTGTTATAGAGAAAGTCACGTGAGAAACGAAATTTTTTGGGGAGATGGTCGATGGTCGAGAATTTTATTGCACTTTTGAACCGACTTATAATTTCAATCCGAAATTTCAGGCAAACGCAAATGCAAACGAAGTAAACGAGTTGAAAGCTCAACTTTCCGAAGCTCAAAAACTTGCTACCCAATACAGGTAAATGAGTACAGTTATTCATTTCTTCAATGAATGTAGAACTGACTTGGAACAAGCGCAAGCATGCTGCAGAAAGATGGAACTCGAGCTCGAGAGAGTGAAGCTCACTTCCTCCGTGAAAACGATGTCGCCATCTACAGCGGAACAGACATTCATGGCCAAGCTAGAAGAGCGAGACCGCGAAATTATCAAGCTCAGACAAGAAGTTGCCCAGATTACCGACAAGATCAACATGGTCATCGACACAAAAGATGCTCAAATCAGAGTAAGCCGGTCAAATTCCTCTCTATATTGACCACCCATTCTAGCGACTTCACGCCCTTGGTGGCACCGACAGCACAGTCCCCGCCTCCAACGATGACAAGAAAGCACGAAACCTCGCCATTTCCGCCGAAACCGAAAGCGGCGGCGTCTCCGTCCCCAAAATTGAAAAGTCCGAAGCCGAAAGAGAAACTATCAGAGTCGCTATTGCGGCAAATACCTTTATGAGAAGCCTCAATAAAGGTGTGTTTTCGGCGTCTATAACAGGATTAATAGGCTTACGCGTGTTTTTAAGCTCAAAATGCGAAGATTACCGATGCAATGAGCAAAAAAGTCATTCCAGCCAAGCAAGAGATCATCACCGAAGGAACGACCGGTGATTGCATGTACATTATCGAGTCTGGAGAAGTCCAGGTCTTCAAGGTTTGTCAAAAAGCTCTCGAAATATTTGCAAAAAAAACTTCAAGCTTCCTGCAATTTTTTATAAAAAATCAAAATGAAACTTAGAGAGCAATGTGCTGGCACGTTTTTAACTGCTTAGTAAGTCGAATGATTTTGATTCGGTCGCTTGAGCCTTGAATGTCTGACATGAACAATTTCAATTGTTTTTGGCTGTTTACTAAATGTTATTCTGAGCATGAAATATCTACCGGTAGTAAACCAAAGAAAAAACATGTATTGCAAAAAAAATTCAACTCAATTTTCAGGGAACTGGTGGAAGCAAAAACCATGTTTGCGACCTTGGACCCAGAACACTTTTCGGCGAGTTGGCGATCCTTTACAACTGCAAACGAACTGCCACGATTATCAGCAAGACCAGCGTCACCGTTTGGGTCATCGAGCGAGCGATCTTCCAGGCCGTCGTCAAGCAGGCGGGTCGAGAGGATGAGGAAGAACGATTCCGCTTCATTTCTTCTGTCAAGGATCTTTCTGATGTAAGAACACTTCTTTGTTGTTTGCTCTTTAGCCTTTTTTCTAGCTCCCCGAAGCAAAACTTCGAAGAATTTGCGATTGCCTCGACGAAGAAACCTACGAAAATGGAAGCTGTATCATTCGACAAGGCGCAAGAGGTGATCTCTTCTTCATGATCAAGAGCGGAAGCGTCAGAATTACAATCAACGAGGGCAAAGGTTTGCGTTAAAAAACATAACTCTGAATTACCATCATTTTTAGCTGAGAAAGAGGTCGCCAAGAAGGCCGTTGGCGAATACTTCGGAGAGCGAGCCCTCATTCAGGAGGATGTTCGATCGGCTAATGTGTATGCTGTTGGCAAGACTAGCTGCTTTACTTTAGGAGCGGATATAAAAACGAGTTGTTTCGAAATTTCATGATTCTAGTGACTTATTCTTTCCTCTGATTCTGGAATTTCAATCTGAACTTTCCTGATCAATTCTATTCACCCTTTTTCACGAAGATCGTCGACGATTATAACATAAATTCAAAACAAAGAGATAATATGGAAGTTTTATACCCAAGAAAAGACCGAAACGCTTTTAACAGCCTCGTCGGTAAACTCGGCGATGCAAAGAGTACAACTAAAGTTGCGGTTGAAAGTGATGAGCCCACGAGAAAGGTGCACGATGCCTTGAAAACTTGCAGTTTCAACGACATGGAGGTCCTCCGACCGATTGGTGCTGGTGGTTTTGGTATTGTCAAGCTTGTCAAGGTTGGTTTATAAAGGCTGCCACTGATGCAAATGGAGTTTTTTAGATTAAAGGCATCGAAGACCGATCTTACGCGCTCAAATGTATCCAAAAGCAGCGTGTGGTTCAGTACAAGCAGCAGCGTCATATTTTGGACGAGAAGAATATTCTCATGTCTTTGGAGTCTCCCTTTATTGTTGGTCTTTACAGGACCTTCAAAGGTACTCTTCCTTGATTTCACACTCTTGTTCATTGTTTTTAGATCAAAAGTATGTTTATCTTCTTCTCGATGCTTACTTGGGTGGCGATCTCTGGGGCGTTCTTCACAACCAAGGACCATTCAACGATGCCATCGCTCGATTCTACGTCGCCTGCGTCGTCGAGGGCTTCGGCTATCTTCACAAACGTGGCTACTGCTACAGAGATTTGAAGCCAGAGAATCTCATGGTCGACAACAACGGCTACGTTAGAATCATCGATCTTGGTTTTGCCAAGAAAATTCAAGGCAAGCTTTGTTATTTGAACTCATTTTTGAACGTTTAGTTTAGCTGGACAGAAGACTTACACCTTCTGTGGTACTCCTGAATACATCCCTCCAGAGATTGTCTCCAACTCCGGCCACACCATTGCTGCTGATTACTGGTCCCTTGGAATTCTTGTTTTTGAGCTCTTGTCTAAGAAGACTCCATTCGCCGGTAAGAAAACTTGAATCTTAGGCTTGTCTAAAATTTATTTAAGCGCGGGCGGATTTGGAAATTTACGAAGGAATTATGAGAGGCATTCATAACGTTGCCTTCCCACAGCATAGAGTTACTCGAAAGGCTGAAAGCATGATCAAGGTCAGGATTACTTATTGAAAGTTGTTTTTGACCGATTTCTAGGCCCTGTGCAGGCAAGAACCCTCAGAGCGACTTGGATACCAAAAAGGTGGCGTCGATGATATCCGTAAACACCGATGGTTCCAGGTAAAATTGACGCAGCCTTATCTTCTTTGACCCTTCAATTTAGGGTTTCGATTGGGAAGGTCTTCAGCAAGAGAAGATCGAAGCTCCATTTATCCCCGCCATCAAGAATCCCTTCGACGTCCAAAACTTCGAGCCCATTCCTGACGAGGATTGGAACCGTGTGCCAGCTGACAACTCCGGATGGGACGCTGATTTTTAAAGACCACTGTTATCTTTTAATTGTATTTGCTGCGCAGGGAGTTTTTATTATTTACTCTTATCTTCACAGTTGTACAGAACATTCCAATAAAGTTAAACTTGTAAGGCATTTCTGAAATTATGAATATTTTGTAACGCTAAAATACTTAACCGCAAAATGACAACGCTTTTAATTTAAAAAGTGGTAAAAATCAAACGATATCATTTTTTATAAAGACTCTTTATTAAAGAGTACCATTATCGAGGAAAATCAGATAAATTTTTAAATCATCAATTCTCACATTGATCATTGATATTAAATGATGATGAAGAAGGTGTTTAAACCTTCCATCTAGCTGCAAATCATCAATTATGAAGCATTCAAGTGAATATAATCCGCCGAAAAGCTAAAGTTAATCAAATAAGTGTTACTGAAAATGTTATTGTCTCTTTTATCATCAATTTTTGTTCCATCTTTGGCGCTTTATCGGACAAAAGGAAGGTTTTCAACCAAAATTACTAGTAAATCTTACTCTATTTTGATAAGACATTGCTTGAACCTGTAAAGCTTTCGATGCTCTTATTCATCCGCAGTTCGGAGGACCAAACATTGACCCACAAGGGTACAAACTCGAAGGAGAGTTCAATAATTTTCAAGTTTAGTAATTCACAAGTGACCTCTTTCTAAATTTCTATAATTATTTTCATCTGTACGATATGAATATCTCACCAGATCAAAATAACCAGAAATGGATCGTCTACAAAAGAAGTTTCACCTACCCAAGCGCTGCCTTGATGTACAATGGCTAAAAAGATACTGAAATAAAAACGCATCTTTCTAATTTTCTGAGTCAGACGAGTCCAAGAAATCGCAAAGTTCACGGCCTAAACTCATCCCAAAATCGTTTACTGAATCAGTTCCGGCTAAGTCAACCTTTAGCGCTCAAGCAGGAAATAGGCGGCTTATTGAATTATATCAAAATGCAAGAGAGGTAACGTAATTTAGAAAATTTGTGGTTTATTAGAGCATCCGGAATGGCGCACTAAGTTAGTTTATGAAAATGTGAGCTGAATAATTGGCGGTAAATATCGTTTGTGATATAAAGGCGCGCTCGGTTGAGATTGCAGTAGAGCGTGATGGCGATCCACGAGAGTGGCCGGTATGGGAAGTTTCTTTTCCTCGCAGGAACCGTGATCTATTTTGACAGGTATTGAACAGAGAGGTTTATTGAAATCACGGCACAGGCTTGCTCATACTCTCGTCGGTAGCAGCACAGGAAGTAGACCCACCGCAACTGCTCGATGCGCGGTCTTTCCGGTCCAATGCGGACAGGATACAGGCCATTCTGCAGTTCCATGTAAGTAAACACCTTTGATTCTGGTCGCTCATTTTTAGCTCAATTTTGAATACGGCTTTGGCGCGTATTCCGCTGCCGATCTCCTCAATTATGGATGTTGGTGCGATTTGGACAACCCTCATCGCCATGGCAAACCGGTCGATGATGTGGACAAGCTGTGTCACAAGCACTTTCGGTGCCATCGTTGTGTTTCGATGGACTCAAACTACGCCTGTTCTCCTGATGTGCAGTACGAGCTGACGTTTGATACATCGACACAGTCTCATTACTGCGCTGCGTCAAATACTGACCCGTGCGAGATGGAGGCGTGCCTTTGTGACTTGGATCTTATCACGCAAATGGTGCAGGAAGCTCCAACTTACGATTCTTACCAGGTTCTTGACGGGTACAACTACCCTGTCTGTGAATCCCCTGATTCGCCATCATTCCCAGTCGACAGCTGTTGCGGCGAGTATCCAGAGCGATATCCTTTTTCTCAAGTTTCTGGAAAAGGCTGCTGCAACAACAAAGTCTACAATACAAACATGTTCCAGTGTTGCGATGGAATGGACATCGAGCCAATTGGAACTTGCTCCGTTGACCCATGTTTTCCGGATCCTTGTGCAAACGGAGTCTGTGTTCCCGTCAATACTGCGCGCAACTTCGACAACTTTCAGTGCAACTGCGAGACAGGCTGGACTGGTGAGCTCTGTGATCAGCCGACTTGTGATCACCTGGACTGTTCCAGCAACGGTGCTCCTTACTGGAATGGCGACGGATGCATCTGTCACTGTGACGAAGGATTCACTGGCAGCAATTGCGAAGAAGGAGTGTGCGATGACTGGCCCTGCCTATTTGAAGGCGAGGCACAGTATCTTCCGGACGGCAGTTGCGGTTGCGTATGCCAAGATGGTTTTAGTGGCGACGTGTGTCAAATCACTCAGTGCACTTCAGATCCGTGTCAAAATGGAGGAAGCTGCTCACTCACGCAAGCTACGTATATGTGCACTTGCGTAGCACCTTTCGCGGGGGTGAATTGTGAGATAAGCCCCTGTGAGCCAAGTCCTTGTGAAAATGGGGGCGAATGCTCTTTGAATTCCAATGGATATGTCTGTACGTGCCCTGAAACGCATACTGGCGAACACTGCGAACAAGAAATCACAACTACGACTACAACCACGACAACTACCACTACCACAACAACTACCACTACTACTACAATAACAACTACCACTACCACAACATCTACAACAACAACTACAACAACAACTACAACAACGACAACAACAACGACAACAACAACAACTACAACAACAACTACGACAACAACTACAACAACAACCACTACAACTACCACGACAACAACAACTACAACAACAACTACAACAACAACTACAACAACCACTACAACAACAACTACAACAACAACTACAACAACAACTACAACAACAACTACAACAACAACTACAACAACAACTACAACAACAACTACAACAACAACTACAACAACAACTACAACAACTACCACTACAACTACAACCACTACAGCAACAACTACTACTTCTACCACAACAACGACAACTACGACCTCCACAACAACTACAACAACGACGACTACAACTCCAAACCCATGCGATCCTAATCCATGTCTGAACTCAGGAATTCCGATTATAAACGGTGGAAGTTGTACCTGTATTTGTATGCCTGGATATGATGGAGATGTTTGCCAAATTACTCCATGCACTTCGAATCCCTGCTTTAACAATGGAACATGTAGTGTGGACGAGTCGACATATCTTTGTAGTTGTCCGCCTGGCTTCAGCGGCGAAGAATGCCAAGTCACGCCTTGTACTCCAGAGCCTTGTTTGAATAACGGTACATGTGCTGTGGACGGATCGACGTATCAATGCAGCTGTCCGCCTGGCTTCAGCGGCGAAGAATGCCAAGTCACGCCTTGTACTCCAGAGCCTTGTTTGAATAACGGTACATGTGCTGTGGACGGATCTACGTATCAATGCAGCTGTCCGCCTGGCTTCAGCGGCGAAGAATGCCAAGTCACGCCTTGTACTCCAGAACCTTGCTTGAATAACGGTACATGTACTGTGGACGGATCGGCGTATCAATGCAGCTGTCCGCCTGGCTTTAGCGGCGAAGAATGCCAAGTCACCCCTTGTACTCCAGAGCCTTGCTTGAATAGCGGCACATGTACTGTAGACGGATCTACGTATCAATGCAGCTGTCCGCCTGGCTTCAGCGGCGAAGAATGCCAAGTCACCCCTTGTACTCCAGAGCCTTGCTTGAATAACGGTACATGTACTGTAGACGGATCGACGTATCAATGCAGCTGTCCGCCTGGCTTTAGCGGCGAAGAATGCCAAGTCACCCCTTGTACTCCAGAGCCTTGCTTGAATAGCGGCACATGTACTGTAGACGGATCTACGTATCAATGCAGCTGTCCGCCTGGCTTCAGCGGCGAAGAATGCCAAGTCACCCCTTGTACTCCAGAGCCTTGCTTGAATAACGGTACATGTACTGTAGACGGATCGACGTATCAATGCAGCTGTCCGCCTGGCTTTAGCGGCGAAGAATGCCAAGTCACCCCTTGTACTCCAGAGCCTTGCTTGAATAGCGGCACATGTACTGTAGACGGATCTACGTATCAATGCAGCTGTCCGCCTGGCTTCAGCGGCGAAGAATGCCAAGTCACCCCTTGTACTCCAGAGCCTTGCTTGAATAACGGTACATGTACTGTAGACGGATCGACGTATCAATGCAGCTGTCCGCCTGGCTTTAGCGGCGAAGAATGCCAAGTCACGCCTTGTACTCCAGAGCCTTGCTTGAATAATGGTACATGTGCTGTTGATGCATCTTCATATACCTGCACATGCCCGCCCGGCTACTCAGGAAGTGACTGCGAGATTACTCCCTGTACGCCTCTTCCTTGTCAGAACAATGGGACTTGCTCAGAAGATGCTGATTCTTACGTCTGTACCTGTCCGCCCGGCTACTCAGGAACTGATTGCGAGATAACACCCTGTACGTCTCTTCCATGCCAGAATAATGGAACTTGCTCAGAAGATGCTGATTCTTACGTCTGTACTTGTCCGCCCGGCTACTCAGGAACTGACTGCGAGATTACTCCCTGTACGCCTCTTCCATGTCAGAACAATGGAACTTGCTCAGAAGATGCTGATTCTTACGTCTGTACCTGTCCGCCCGGCTACTCAGGAACTGACTGCGAGATAACACCCTGTACGCCTCTTCCTTGTCAAAACAATGGGACTTGCTCAGAAGTTGCTGACTCTTACGTCTGTACCTGCCCTCCCGGCTACTCAGGAACTGACTGCGAGATAACACCTTGTACGTCTCTTCCATGCCAGAATAATGGAACTTGCTCAGAAGATGCTGATTCTTACGTCTGTACTTGTCCGCCCGGCTACTCAGGAACTGACTGCGAGATAACACCCTGTACGTCTCTTCCATGCCAGAATAATGGAACTTGTGCTATTGATGGAGCTTCTTACACGTGCACATGCCCAGCTGGATACACTGGTGCCAACTGCGAAGAAGATCCCTGTTTTAGCGAACCTTGCTTTGGCAATTCAACCTGCAATGTCGTCGGCTCATCGTATCAGTGTGACTGCCCGATCGACTATTCTGGAATTCATTGCGAGATCTGGCAGTGCTCGACATTGATCTGCTTAAACAATGGAACTGCAACATACAACAACACAAATGATGGATGCGAGTGCGAATGCATCTCCGAAGAAACTCCAGAAGGCAATTTTACTTATGTCGGTGACCACTGCGAGTATCGCTTCCCAGGAGTTTGTATTCCCTCGCCATGCGGCAATGGAACGTGCGTCGAGCTAACTCAAACTTTACACGATTGCGCCTGTGACTTCGGCTACCAGGGCGAAAACTGTGACCAAGTGTGCAATACAACAATCTCCGGCAGATTGGACATTTCGATTGTTATTGACACCTCTGGCTCGCTGACATCGGCACCGAATAAAGATCAAGTGCTCATGAACTTTACAAATAATCTCGCCAACATGTACGATACTGTCAATCAAGTAAGATGCTCATTATCTATCGTTTATTATTTTGAATCTAGGTCAAAATTGGCTTGACAAGCTTTTCCGAATCAGCAGTCCTGGAAATGCCATTGGATTTCTACAATCAATTAGAGCTTCAAGATGGTGTTTCAAATATGAGTAAGCCATAACCTGAAAACCATTTACTAACCTTATCTAGCTTGGCAAGGAAGCTTTACGAACATCACTTCAGGAGTAGAAACAGCCTTCAACGACATGGATACGACAGATTCTGTTGACGATGTATTCATTATTCAGCTTCAATGTTTATCGATTTTCTAGGTGATGATTTTGATCACAGATGGATTCCAGTCGACAAACACAACGGCAATGTTTCAATTGATAGATCAGGTAAAAGCATCAGGGGTTCGACTGATCGCGCTTGGTTTTTTCGGCGATTTCGCGTTCTACTCACCGAATCTGTACTTGATGACGAACGAAGTCTATCACGCAGCCAACTATGCGGAACTATTGGCAATTGACAACACGATCTTTGAGACCATTTGCTCTGATGGTGTCATCCCCAATGGTGTAGCCGCTGGCGAGAGTGCTAGTGACTTTGAAAAGACCGTAAGAAGAATAGTTTGATTTCGATTTGCTTATTTCTAATATTAGTTTACGGATGTCAACGCTACCGAAGTTTTCATGATGCAAGCAGCTCATGACTTTTTCGATTTGAACGGTGATTTTCCATCGTGGATCCAGAGCATTGTCCCTGGATTGAGCTAGTCAACAGCTAGTCGACTGGTAAGAAAGATGATTCCGAAGCTGCCTGACCAACAGATTCTTTTCATCTCTCTTACCTACCACTTCATTTCTTCGATCCGGCCCGCGCATTGTGGCTGGACTGCGAACCCTGCCTGTAAAAACAATTTCACTTGTATTCTTCCGTATCTGCGCCCAGATATTCGTTTTTTGTACAGTTTGCTAGTTTATTTATTCATTCATTTCGCCAATTTCTGTATATTAATGCCTTTTATACTTTTCTTTTTTCATCGTCGCTTCCAAGATCAGCTTCATCGTGACCTTTTTTCGTTCCCAAAATTAATAAAAAATTCGATTGACCACCGAATACCGGTATAATCGTCATTTATTCCGGATTCTATGCATCTTTCTTTTCATCGAAAGAGGCGGCGGGAGAAGTTGTTGTTGTCTTGTGCGTCAACGAGGCGCAATTCTCGAACAGTTTCGAGCGGAGGTGGCCTTTCTCGAAGAAAAATTGAGGAGGTGGCTAACAGACCAACCAGCTGCTCAGATACGCTTGTCACGTGCTGATCCAGGTATAAATAGCCCTGACCCAGCCAGAAAAGCTCATTATTAAAAAAAAATAAATCGAGAGAAGGAGCAAATAGAGAATAAAGAGGGTAATATAATTCATAACTATGAATTTTTAAACAAAATTCTAAGAGTTATCCTGAATGGGGATCGAGACCGTGGGCGAGATGGAGGTGCCAAAAGACAAGCTCTATGGCTGCCAGACCGCGCGATCGATGAAAAATTTCCCCATTGGCGGCGAGGCTGATAAGATGCCCCGACAAATCATCCAGGTAATTTTTAATAAAACTTTACTTATTCTAACCCCGTCATTAGGCTTTTGGCTCTCGGACAGGATTTCTCTGTATACGTCAAGCAGCTCGACAACGGAATTGCTACTCTTCCGCGAGTCTACGAACTTGCCATCGGTGGTGCCTACTGTCCAAAATAATATCCACTTCTGTACCATGCCTTTTTACTATCCTTTTTCATCGTCGCTTCCAAGATCAGCTATATTGTGACCTTTTTCCGTTTTCAATAATTAATAAAAAAATTTCTTTGACCACCGAATATTAACGTCATTTATTACGGATTCTCGCAGGATCAAAAAGGCAGGATGTTTAATTATACTTAGCGCAGAATTTTTCAGCCTGAAGCAGAGTCTTGCGGCAGTTTCGTCGCCACCAAACAGTGACGGATCGTCCGTCGTGGCAGGTTACCGTGTATTCTAGGGAAAAATAAGGTGTTTGAAACCATATAAAATCTCATACTGCTCGCTCCTGCACATTCCATGCTTCCGATTCTCTCGTAATGCTTCTCTGTCTCTGCATTTGGCTCGCAAGTTCTCAAGCACTTCGTGTCAGTCCTCTTAGCTGGAGCTTTTGGCTTCTTGTAAGATGATGAAGGTTCACGGTGGTAAGTAATTCTCAAGTCGTTCTTCTGAGTCGCCCAAGCTGGAAAGCTTGGTCGAGCAAGAGGGCCAACTCCGAAATTGAGCAGACTGCTCATTCGATCGGCGAAGGGAAGACCACGAGAAGCGCCAAATCTAGCAAGACCACTGTCCGCATTGTAACTTTTGTAAGCTTCTGACCACTGTCTCTTCACAGTTTCAAAATCAGAGCCAAACGTTTTGCTAAAAGTTTGCTCGAGTGGCTTGTATTGACGTTTCATAGGGTCTGATTTCCGGTTTGATGATCCAGCGTTGCACATTCCCTTTTTTCAGTTTTTTTTCTGTATGATACATTAAGTTCCCTTTCTTATAAATTAAAACTATCCTTAGCTTTTCTTTTCAGCGTTTTGGCAAGTTTTTTTGTCTTCGGACATTTTCGTTTCATTTTTATAGTGAATTTCGGCTCTCCCTTTCTCTGGTATAAGCCATCTTCAAGAGGGTTTTATTGCGATTGATTTTTGTTTAAAAATTTTAGGCTTTTCGGAGACTAAAAATGCTAAAGCAAAGTATTTTAAAACCCGTAGCATTAGTCAAATCGCAAAAGAAGATAATCTTTCCGTACTCTTCTTTGTAGTCTGCTCCCTCTCCGAGAATAGCGAGAATATAATCAGGGATTTTACACTGTCTTGGTGGCTTAGTTGGCGGTGGAGGTGGCTGGCATGTTTGTCCATTGGCTTTCAGTGTAGCGATGTATTGTTGAGAAAGTTGGATGACAGTGTCTTTATCGGCACAGTCGGACTAGAGAGAAATTTTAATGAAGGAGTTTAGGAGTGAAAACTTACAGATTTTGCGGCCACTTTGACATTATTTTCGCTCTCGATAACGTATCCATTTTTCTCTGTTTCGCAGTAGAACTTGAACCTTGCTTCGTCATCAGAGTTTTCGCAAGCGACTTTGAGATCTTCTGTTGCTCCAATATTGTGTTTTGCGCCGGTGAGGACACTGAGCATCAACGAAGTACATTGCGCACAGGGGTCGATTTTTGGTGCTTCCGTTGTTGTTGTCTCTTTGGTTGGAGTTTCTTAATTCAGTTAGCTCTCTAATGTCGCATTCGATGAATGCTATAAAAATGATTGCCAAGATTTCTCCGGCGAAATAGAGCTAAAAAGTCTCAACCTCGCCATCGAAATTCAAATAGTAAATGAGTCTCTTCTACTCTTTCTGATAGAAAGAAAAAAACAGACTGAGCTCGCACGGCTTTGCAGCATAACTTAAATGTGAAACAAGATCTTTCTAGGATTACAAACGCATCGGGGAGGATAATATTTGCGACATTCCGTAGTAGCGCGCAAGATAAACTCAGTGTCAAGTTAAAATAATGACTTTTTGAGGAATGAGTTCGAGGGATTACGAAAAGCAGCTTCCACTTCTTACTCTCACAGAAAAGTTCAGTCAAGGAAATTTTGTTAAAGAAAAGCAATGCACCCTAATCTGACAGCGTAATGAAGAACCTGCTCTTTAAATCTTCTGCGAATAAAGGACAAGAAGAAAAATACGAAAACTATGATTTCGTAGATTATGAGTGTTTTTAAATGTTTAAATTGTATTTTATTCTTTTTTATTCAGGGGAGCAAACGGGATAGGCGGGCGGGTTAGTCGGACGAATGTTTTGTTTTTTAATAATTTTAGACAATTGAGACGATATTTGTTGGGTAGGCCGTTGGTCGGACCAAGCGTAGTGTTTGTGAGCGTGTGATTGCTTGTACAGAGCGCTGGTTGGTCAATGTACAAAGCGAGCGCGCCACCTAGCAAGCACACACGGCGAAGCGGGCAGCTCGTGTGGTAGGCGACCTCGTGTGTTCATAAAAATCAATTAGACAATGGTCGGAATGGCTAAACGAGAGTTTTTCAGCTGCCAAGCTGGAATGATTAGTAGTCCACTTTTTAAAAACTAATTTAGGACGTGTTTTTTATAATTTTGCTATTTTTAATAAGCGTGTCCGCACCCACACAGACGCCGTGTCCAGATTTTGTTTTTCTGTTTTATTTTTTGTGAGACGTTTAGGGCACACAGGGCAGGTAGGCAAGCAGAAAGTCGCCGTCTTTTAGGAGGAATCCGTCTTCTCCAATGTAAGGCTTTTGACAATAAGCGGGGTTGAAACTGAGGCGACGATGGAAAGGTTTCTGTTTGGGAAAAAGGCTTTGCACCGTTGCCAGGATAAGAAACTAAAGCAGACTTGGGGTTTTGGGAGAAGATGTGCTAAAAGACGGGGCGGGAACTTTCCGGCAGGTTCGAACCTAAATGTGCTGAACTTCGAACGTTCGGAAGAGGGTACAGGCCGAAGCACGGAAGGAGAGAGTTTTTAAGTACTATCAGAGAGAGAGGGAGAGTAGTAAAGAGCAACTAGAAAGCAGGGACTTGTTCGTTCCCAAGCGTTTACTCAAGTTGTGGTTTTATATCATTACTTGTTAAAGTTAATTTTTATGTTTTTGATGACTTCGGCATGTTAAAAAGAGGTAAATGAGGTCACGGGGTCAATAGGGCCGCAATCCATGAGAAGAGAGGTCACGAGAGGAAAACGTCGATTACGTTTTGAATGCGCTCTCGGCAGACGTGACAGTTCTGAAGATTGAATAAGGATGGAGTGAGAGAATTAAGGGAGTTACCTCGAGTTGTGGAGCGCAAGCGGGACAGGCGCTTAGATGGCGGCATGGAAGGAAACAAACTGTGGCTAAATTTGAAAGGCACACTTTACACTCATGTTGGCGACGTAGATGATCGTAAGTTCTGAAAGAAGATTAATGGCGAAAGATGGTGGAGTGCTTACAATCGTCGTTCATCCTCGGACAAGCCTTCGAAATTGTCTGGTAGAGGTTCAGGAGCTCGATGATTGATGCTGTTCCGATTCGGAATTGTGTATGGAGAGATGCGAGAGTTTTGCGACTGAAATCAAGATTAAGAGAACTGCGCAGATGGCGATTTGGATAGTTACCAGAAGAATCGGCGAGCGACGCGAATTGATCAAGCGTTGAGAAGGAAAAGAAGGCGATTGGCGGGCAACAATCGCGGTCGACGGGGAGCTAGTCATGTTGCGGATTGGCGACGGACTCATGAATTCTGAGTTGAAGCCGTTGCGCAGTGACGTCACTGAAATTGGGGAGTAGCGGTTTGGATGAGGGCTGTAAACGAGGTCATAAATTATCTTCTTATAATACACTGGTAGCTGATAAAATATGCAAATTAGGGGCGATACTAATTCATGACACTGGCCTTGTTGCGCTGCTCGAGCGTGAAACGGTAGTGAGTGGCGAATGTATAGAGTTCCTCACAGGGTTGACGATCGACAGAGGTATGTCAGTAATGAGCGGAGGAGGAGAAGCGAGTGTGGAGCGAGGAGGAGTAGCTGGACGTGGAGTGTCGGCTTGAACTGGAACAAAAGAGCGACTAGAGGGCGGAGTGGGATGACTTGATGCTGAGACGATAGGGCTGGACCCCAGACCTAGAATTGATCAGTTATATCAACGAAGAAAAAGGAGAAAGGTTACTTCTCCGGCGCATTGACGGATCCGTAGTGGTGGGCGGCGGCCTTCTTTGACCCGTCTGCTGATTGATCAAGCTAAAACAGTGTCTGTTTATTACAGTGGATCTACTGCGAGTGGTATCACCTAGCGTAGGGCCCTGTCACTAGATACTCAGCGCCTTTATCAAGCACGATGAAGGCGCACGCAGGGTTGTTCTTGACGTGCTCCTTCCAAACATCATCCCCGGGCGACCATCTGGCGAGCGTCACCCCGCTGAGAAAACGTAATCAGTTTCTTTTCTTATGTAAAGCCGAGGCAATAATAAAAAATAACAAAAATACAATAAAGCGATCACAATGACTTTTTAGGTCAGCGGCAAAAAGTTAAAGCGAACATATCTACAGCAATTTGCGCACCGCCGATAAGCGCTAAAGCCGAATGCGTATTAGGTTTAAGCTTACCAGTAATAGCAAGTGACCGAATCTCGGTCCTCTGAGCCCGGATTTGAAAAGAATCCACATTCAGCGAATTCTTGCGGCGTCGGGGACATGGCAGGATTTGCCCGAAGACGATCTTGAAATGAGGCTTCACGAGCGCTAAAATTTCAGTTTTCAAAGTCGAAACTTTCAATATTTAATAATTCATTGATTAATATAATTCTCGATAACAACATACGCAACATTGCTGAATTCCTCTCGCTTTGGAAGGACGAGCAGTGGACGCAGAAATGGACAATTCTTGAAGTGCTCCTTATGCTCCTCTGAATTATAAATTGGCATCAGAATGGTTGAGAGAGATAGAGAAGATCTACCTAATGGGTTGTCCCCCTCGCGCCAGGATTTGAACCGGCCTTGGCAGTAGTCGCAGCGCACTTGGTCGTCCGGCCCTTCATACTGAAATTAAATTAGTCCAAGGCCCTAATTAGTGAGTAGATCTGCTCAAGAGGGCCCCTTTCCCATTTACTTGGCAATTTCAAATTCAATATGCTATAAAAAAGGGAGCGACACTGTTAATGGACCTACTCGAAATCCGGCGAGGGCAAGCGCTTCATTGGACACTGGACAAAAGCCCGGCTCAAAGGAAGATAATCTGTTGACGTAAGCTCGGTCCCGTTTTGGATAAGACATGACGCATCATCTCATTCTAAACATAATCTCGACTGATCAGCTGGTTTTGCATCAGCTGGGCAAGCAAAAAATACATTATTCTTCAAGGAGTCATGGAAGGATTAAACATTCCCATCAGGCGTTTTAACTCTTCGCTAGGCTCAACTTGAGGTGCATCTGTGACTTCTTTCTCTGCTTTATCTCCTTCTTTGTCGTGCTTGACGTTCGTTTGACTGATAATGACTGAGAAAGAAAGTGGTAAACTGACAGAGTTACGAGCGGTAAAATTACTTGATGGTTCTTCCAGTCGCCGAATTTTCGATGGAACAACTTCGATAGTTTCCATTTCTGCGTTCTGATCTTCCATTTCTTCTCCAAACGATTCTTCCCCGCTGTCGAATGGTTCCGGCTCCATATCTTGTGGAACGTCTTCAGTACTTGCTTCTTGTGTATCTTAATTTTTCAGTGAATTGGACTGAATGGATCCGGCTTGAGTAACTTACCACTCTGTTCGGCATTCTGCGAGTCAGATTCATAGTCACTTCCTTCACAATTCTCGGCGTTTTTGTTTTTCAAACTGGTCTCTTCTTCATTTTCTCGAACCGCGAGGGACGGCCGCCTGCGCGCGCCAACTCCCTTTTGCGCCGATGGCGTAAGATCTACCTCCATGCCGTGCTCTCTGGCTCCATTTGTGGGCACGCAGACGCCGCTTTGCGTGCCCAGCTTTTCTAGCTTTGACTCGAGTCGTTTTAGCCCGCTGGCTATTGTTTGTAACGATGTGTTTTCTTCGTCTGATTTCTTCATTGGTTTCAAATTCAACCGCAGCTCGTTCGAATCAGCATCGTTCTTGATTAATTGAAATCTATGAAATGGCCGTTGAAGACGCGTCGTCGTATTCAACAATGACCGTGCCGCCGCCTTGGCCACCGGAGAACGGCTAAAATAAATTATTGAATATTGTGTCTCCGCGTGAACTTGGGTCTCGCCGAAATTGCCAAGTGAATCAAATGCTATCGATAGAATAATCTATAGGGTTTTTCACGGGAACGGCGCGGCGCGCTCCGGGCCTTCCACCGCCAAAATCGAACTCTTATTTTTGATCAAAAATGAAAATTTAAATTATCAAACGTACTAATTAAAGGTCGCAGATTCCAAATATCGAATGTTTATTCTATATAAATTTCAAATTATGCCGAAAAATCACTTTTTGCACAAATTTTCTTACTTTTCTCCCGGAGTACACCAAAATACACCTCTGATTTTGAGATATGATTGATAATAGACCTTTATTACTTATCTCTCAAAAATTCAGAATTCAGCAACATTCAGCAGATACTCAAACTGAGGCTTAACTAATCGGAAGGGCCTGGGCGCGAGCTTATTTACAGAGCGCCCGGGGAGCAGTCCGAACCTTTTTGCTCAAGGTGACAAAATCAGGTGGTTCGATGCTGAAATCCGGGGATTTCCGATTTTGGTATTTTTGGAATCAGTGGGTCAAATTTAGTCTACAGTGTGAATTTCAGAAACATAGCATAACTTTGAAATTCCCGTGAGAAACCCTAATAATCTATATTTCAACGAAATGGGACAGGATCAGTGTTTTATGCAGAAACGCATAATTCATTCTCGTTTCGCAACTTAATTAAGGATCGCCCTGCGTTATAAATATTAAGAAATGCCGTAAGCGAAAGGATGGATAAAAGAATTTTTAATGAAAATCCCGTAACTTCAATTTTCTGGTCATATAGCTGTAAAACTGTCTATTCTTTACTTTAGTAGCTGCGCGGGTAAACATACCTGCTGAGATACAGCCTCGCCAATTGCCTGGCGAGCAACAAAGGCGTCGGAAATTTGCTATTGGTGAGCTGAACGAGCTCTTGAACGATTTTCAGGAGCTCTGGGATCGTCTCACTTGCGCTGCTAACTTGAGAGTTGTCCACGAGTGTTCTGAAAATCGTGGAAGTGGCGTCGACGAGTAAATTTGGCTTCACATAAGTGCCGTATGCTTTTTGAAAACCTTCGCCAATTATCGAGTTTAGTAAAGTTTACTCTCGTTAAAAAAACCAAAGAATCGATCATAAAAAGTGTCTCAAAAATATTTTCGTCGCTGAAAAAATGAACGAAAGTGCACGTGCCTATCTCTTTTTGAAAGCCTCTGTTTCTCTAATTTCCCTCGAATTGGTGACGTATTCCCTGTAACAAAGCTTCTGAGCAAGGCGATGTCTTTGATCTCCGGCTACAAAGAAAATGAAAAAAAAGTTAAACACGGAATGGTGAATGCTTTGGTAGTTAGAATCTGCGACTCGGTATTAAATATTCACATACGCGAGTAAATTTGATGTGAAATCCGCGATCGATTGACTACTTATCTCCTTTTATTTTTCAATATCTAAAAGCTTGGCCTTTCGGAGCAGGGGCCAGTTGTGAAAAGAAAAAGAAAAAAATAGAAGAAAAAGATAATGGAAGTATTCATAAACGAGTAGTTTATTGATGATCGGATATTCTGAGATTAGGGAGTGTATTTTTTCTCATTCTGAAGAGCTGACGCGCTACAGATTATATCAAAAGCCTTCTTATAAAAAGGGATATTATAAAGACACAAATTTGATGGTAATCTTTTTGCTGACGTCTTTAATTTTTTAATTTTAGGCAATCCTGAGATTCAAAGATCGATCGAAGTTTTTCTACAGAAATGATCGTCGATAGCAACATAAATAAGTCTCTCCAGATTCGAACTGTATTGTCTAAGACAATTTATACCTTTTGAAGTTTTTTCAAAATCTTTAGCGCAAGCTTCTCAAAATTTTTCGTTCTATGAAGTGATCCAAGCACTCCAAGTTGATTAATCCATTCAAGTAACGTCTCTTCAATCGCATCGGCCACTCCAGCTTTATCCGCTGCGTATAAGCCCGACAAGACTTCCGCGACGTTATTGTTGACGAGAAGCAGCTCTTGACTGTAGGATTTAACGATGGAAAGTGCGAGCGAGCTGAGTAGTCTCAGCACGGCAGGATCGACGGCAGTGTGGCGCAAAATTGCGAAGAAATCTTCCACCGGGAAGTCGACGCATCCGTGGTAAAGGATGTGTCCGCGGAGGAAGGAGACGGTAAAGTGTAATCGCCGGTACTCAAAATTGGATCAACAAATTGTTCCTATACGGAGATTTATGTTCATTCCCATGATTATTGACTAGAGATAGTAATCGAAGGTCCAAGATTGTCCATAAAAATCTTCATTTATTTCAACGCGGAAATATTTTTCGACCCTCGCGTAAATCAATCACTATCAATATCTGCGAATGTCATATTTTTATAGCCCGGTCATCGCCTCCGTATAATTTTGACTGAGAAATAATGAAGATGATCGACAGCTTGGAGAGATGTCAAATTAAATGAAGCGGATTCTATTTAATCTCAACATATGACTACCGAGATCTGCCGATCAATTAAAAAGGGAGAGTCAAGGGATATTTAAAAAATTGATCCTTTCCAGAATTTCTGCACTTTCTTCGAGCTCTTCTTCGTTTTCAACAAAGCTTTGATTGAAAATCAGTAACGATGTGTTAAGAGTTTCTAGGGTTCTTTCTTCAGGTTTTTCGACGTTTTTCGACAAAAGCATTGGCGAGATCTGGTCAAGGAGCAGCAGCATTTCATTATACAGATCTTCAAATTGGTCCTTTGTTGACGCAGCGGAAAGAATCGTGGCAGCTTTCAGTCGCAAGATATGATCTGGACTAGACGCAAACGTGGCGAGGTTGAGCCACATCTTGCGCTTAACCTGTCGGCAGGGGCCGCCAAAAGATGAGAGCAGGATCAGTAAAATGGAGAGATACGCGTCTGAGTTGGATGCCTGCCGAATCCGTGATAGGATGTCATTAGCCCAGCTGAAGAAAATGCGTCAGAATTTAATCATTTCTGATCATTCAGGAATCAGAAATTTCATTCTTCTTCCTTGCTTATTTCTTTCTAAGTTTTTTAATCTGATTCACTGAGAATAAGTCTAATGATTTGAACCATTTGAAATAAAATAAGACTGACTCCTTTCTTACCATTAAAAATTATCAAATATGCGTAATAAAAGATATAAAAGCTCTCACCTCAGAATATGGGGCGATAGAAGCTGCGTCGTGTTCGTCGTTTTGGCTGCATTAATTACGCGCCCAATAAGATCCACCGCCGCATAGTCGTTCATGAACTCGCCATGAAGCTTCCTAAGAGCTTGATCAACCCATTTGACGCAGTTCTTTTCAAAATCTTTCACTTCGCCTTGGCCAAGCCTCGACCGCAGCGCTTCGATTTTATCGTCGTCCATTCTATTCTTTCAGCTCTGAAAGAAAAGTTATTTAGCGCGGAATTGAGGAGAATTCTGGCTTTTGAGGAAATTGGCAGTAACTCGAGTTTGCAGTTATCTGGAACTTGAAAAACATCCGAGAATGTTTGTTGAAAGAGCAGTTCGGAGATGGTGCACCTGTTGGACGACTTCCTGTGCAAAGTTTGAGCAAAATTTATTAATAAAAAATGACGATTAAAAAAATTCTCGAAACCAAAAAAACAGGATTTTTAAACAAGTAAACGACTGAAAAATGACTTAAGTCAATGTGATAAATCAATGTGATGAACGCTTAAAAACTCAGAGTTTAAAATAAAACATTTTCAACGAGCACTCTATGCTTCATGCGCTTCATCAAAACACCTATTACGTCGGTGCGCACGAGTTGCACCCTCGAACACTCGCTAAAATTTCCAAGTGCTTCGCCTCCCCCGCGCTGCGCCAAATTTCAACCCTCTTCGTTCCGAGTCCCCCTTCATTCATTTTCTCTATTCTCTGCTCTCCGCGCGGTGTTTTCGAATAAATCAACAGGGAGTGCCGCGAAAAAAGGGCGGTATACAGAGCTTTATTTTACCGCGGTCGAGAAAAATCAACTCCCGTCCATTCCAATTTCAGGCGACCTTTCGGCCATCATAAATTTTAAAAACACTTTTCGCCCCGAGGCACATGCTTAAACTTGAAAATTCGCTTTCATAAAATGGCGTGACCTTGAGAGCAACCTCAAAATTTAAACGCTTGTCGAAAGTGATATAGAATGCCTCTAGTCATATAATTTAATTACAGACGCTTTGCCTAATCATCATACTGTAAAAAGATCCTACATCAACTACCCTTAAACATGATAATGACAGTAAGAAGTACGCAACAAACAACTCAACGTTTAAGCCTTTTAACAATAAATCGATTTAATTATTCAATAATAATTCATCAATTAATAAGATAAATTTTCTGAAAAGTAACTGTAAGTACCACTTTCCCTGTAAAAAGATAGTCAAAGAGTTTCTATCTCTATGCTGAAGAGTCCGCAAACTCGCCTCTCGGTAGATAGTTTTTCAATAAATATAAAACTGCGAATAACAAGGAGGCCCCTTGTAAATAATTAATTATGCTCAAACCCAATTCCTGCTCGAACAGAGTTGCTAATTCAGGCGATGTAGTCTGTCGTGCACTGTCTATTAGATCCTGGATGAGCCCATTGTTAGCCTCGTTTGACTTTCCGAGTTCCTCCAGAATTGCCGTCAAGTGAACAATAAGCGATTCACTTTTCAATGGCTAAATAATTCCCTTTGAATACTACTCTTGTATATATATAAAGCGCGTTTTCTAAGAATTCAGAACAAAGACTTGAACTTTCATTTAGACAAATTTTTTTAAGACATAAGAAAATAGTAAAGCATGCCGAAAATAATTAACCTATCAATGTATTTTGATCAGTTTTTGGGCCATAATCGCAAAAAAAGGACATTCTTTAATTATAGCCAAAAATATGGTCAAAAATCTGGATGGGTTAATATTTCTAGAGCACAATTAAACTTTTCAAAAAAATTATCTTTATTGAAGCATTTTTTATGAAAAATCCTTGATATCTCAGTTCTGTTTCGAAGAAAAAATCGCGTGAAAACGCACAAGCAATAAATAAGGGCCGGAAACTCAAGTATTGAGTCGTTTGATAGGGGGTATCTTACATTGTTAGGATCATTTGGATATCTCTTATTTTGCTGCTGCACCAAGTCGTAAGCGTTTGCGCAAGCGTGCTCGGCAGTTTCGATTTCTGTCGGGTATTTGGTCTTTAGGGATGATGATGATGAATTGACAATGCCAAAGACCTTCTCTGAAGCCATCAATCAATCGAACTCGTCCTTTGAGAGTTACCTTACCTAATCTACTGTTCACTATTCAGGCTTCAAAAATATTGTCGACCGCGCGTGTTGTATTATTATTCAAAATTCAAAAACCAAACAAAAAAATGCTCGAGTGCTCGAAATCGCTTTCTGAAGAAAAAAGCCATTTTCAAATCGTCATAAAAAGATAGCACTTAACAAACCGAAACACGGCCACAGCCAAGAATCAGCTTCTTTCAAGCCCCATTCAATTGAATAAGTAGTACTAGCGAAACTCGTCTTTTATATACAAAATTATTTATATAAAAAATACATTGAAGCATCATTTAAGCGCCCTATTTTTAACCTTTGAGAACAAAAAACTATTGTATCTTTTCGGTCAATTATGACGTCTGAGATCTAAATTTACAATTTTCACTGAAAATAAAAATTGAAAGCCTCTCCTTGTTGAAGTCTGACCATGTTCTGTGCGTATTCTTTCTTTTCGGACATCGAAAGATGCTGCCCAAGGGCAAACTGAGCTTGGGCATGGTTGTTCGTCAAATGTAGTAAGCCTACAATACGTTCCTTTTCGTCCAACAGCACTTAACAACAGAGTTTCAAACTCGCCACTAATTGGCAATAATTAGCCCGGCGAGAGAGAAAGAAAACTTTCAATCAGCGACAGTCTCAGCGTAATCTCACCTTGAAGGTCGGCTAATCCATTGATGAGCGGCATCATTGCGGCCTTCGTGTCGGCAAGGTCACTCTTTTCGTCGGGCTTTTCGACGACGAGCGGGTTGAGCTGCTCGTTGCTCATCACGTTCAAATCAGAAACGAAGTAGGGCTCCCCCGATAGAGATAGTTCAGGCTCGTTGCTGTCGAAGCGGATTTTGTAGCCATTCTGAACAGAGTATTCATCTTTAATCATACCTATAAGAGAGAACTTACATTGACAACGACTTCGACCGTTCCAGTCGCTAAAAGATCGTCTCTTGACTGAAGATTGACCTTGCACGTGACCCTCGTTCCGACGGGCAGGATCGGCGGTATATTCCTCGGCAAATCTTGCAGCTGATCCGCCGTCAAGGTTCCATTCCGCTGCAATATCCTAACTAACGAAACGAATTTACAAAAGAAAGGATCAAAAAGCTTACTTTTTTCGCGTTTGCTCCTGAGTGATTCTCTCTCTTCTTCCAGGAAGGCGGTGGAAAAGCGTCGCGGCTTTCCGAGCAGTTTTCGTATCATGTTCCATTCAACCCTTCGTAATCGCTTCCCGTGCAGCTGCGGGAAGGTTTCTTTGAGGCAGAGCTTGAATTCGCTTTCACTTTCGAAAATGGCATGGTCAATGTCGCTGTAGAAAAACTCGTGGACAGCCCAGCGATGGGCCTTGGGAAGTTTGACGAGGAAATCGTGTAGTCTCTCCTCATTCCGCCGATTACTCATTTCTCTAAGGATAAAGGAGGTTTAGGACGAGGGACACGATTAATCGACGTTTGAATATTACCGGTAATTATTTCTTTCGGAATCGAAATATGAGCAGAATGGGTTCCACTCAATTAGACTTTGACGTCAACATTTGAGTGGGCAAAAAGAGCTCTAGGTTCAGTAATCTGGGTAAAATGAAGGATATGGCAATTGAAATTGAATGACAAAAAGAAACAAATGGGGTTATCGTAGAGCATGAAAATGAGATGGGAAAAACAGCTCAAGCCTTATTCTTAATTTTTATGGCGATTGAAAAGCGATAAATCGACTACAGTAAAAACCAATAGTACGAAGAAAAAAAATGTCATATTAATACTCAATAGTCTCACTGGAGCCAAGATGATCTGGAACGACTTTAGCTGGTAAATAGGTAAATAGTCTGCTATATATAGAGATAAGTCAGTGGGTTAATTCGGTGTTAAAAACACAACTGAATGTGAAATTCAATTTGAAACATGGAAACGGGATTTTGAAGAGTTTAAAACTGGAAGAAATAAGGGGCGATTGCACTATCGAAAGACTGGAGCGCTTTCATGAGTCGTCAACCTTTTTTCGAGCTTTCAAAAGATCATTTTTTTATGGAAGCAAACTCAGTTTCGAAAGCTTTTCCTTGAGAGTGAGTTCATCAATATCATCAGCTTCTGCTCTCTCAACATGATCCAGTTCCGCCTTTTCTATGAGCTTATCGGACTCTTCTAGCGTCGGTATCGTCGTTGGAATCTCATCGTCAAGCACTGGAAAGCTCGATTTGTTGAGCGAGTCCTCGAGTTGATCTATTTTGGCTTGGCTTTCTTCGCATTGTCTGAACATGGTTGTTGTAATAATACCCGAGTTCTGGCGAGCAGACGGAGACAAACTTGCTAGATACACTTCGCTTTTCTGCGGGGACGCTCGTCTAAATTACCAAAGATTTTTGGTAATGCATTACCAAATTTTGGTTATCCATTACCAATTTTTTTCAACAATATCCATTTTTTTGCTCAAAAAACACGTAAATTACTCCCAAATGTATCCTACAAAACAGGCGCGGAGCGCACAAAGGCTCTTTGACTTGACAAAATTGGCCATTTTTGGAAAGTTTGGTAATGCATTACCAAAAATTGGTAATGGATTACCAAAATTGGTAATGCATTACCAATTGGTAATTTAGACGAGCGCTTCCCCTTTTCTGTGTATGTATTCAAGAAATATTACGCAACTGTTACTAAACACGCGGAAAATGAACCAAAGAGAGGACTTACCGGAGGGATTTCTCCTGTAAAAGCTGATCTTTTTGGCGGTCTCTGTCTTTCTTCAGTGTCAAATTTGTCTCTCTAAGTGCCTTGATCTCCTGCTGTAGCTCATCCCGCTGCTGACTTATCCTTCTCATGCTCGCTTCGAGAATATTAATTTGCTGCTTGGTCTCAATTAGGTCCACCCGAGCCCCAGCTGCAGCTGACACCATCGCTTCCAGAGCGGAATCTGATGATACTGCATCTTTACTGAATAAAATAATTTCAAATCCAACACTCTCCACTTTCAGCTCTCGCGTCGGTTAAAAGAAACAACGTGACACGTCCATAAGCTACCTTAAATTAGCCTGTAATCCCTTCTGAAGATCTCTAAGCGCCATTATCGCCTCGCTCTCCAACTTCTTCGAATTTCGAGCTTCTGCGAGAGCGTCAGCAAGCTGTGTATCTCGTCGCAGCTCTCGATTTTCCGCTTCAAGAACTTTCATAAGTTTAAACATGATTATCATTTATTGGGATCAAGGCTTTTTAGGCTGATTGACAGATGTGACGAAACATTACAAAACCATTCATGCTTGTTTATTGTCCTGTCGTACACTTGATACTTTTAGATCTTCGAAATTCTCAATGTTGTAAATTACAACTCATTATAAATATAAACTTTTTCCTTTTTGCCTTTCATTCGATTCTTTCAAGTGTTCCGTAGCTTCTGCCTCTCTCAATCTTGCCTTCACGAGCTCCTGTTGTAATTCAAGTACAAATTCTTCGGTATATTTGACATCCTTACGATCCGCATCATCCGCTAAAACTTCATCTCTACTTCCGCCTGAAAGTCGTTTGGCGTGACGTTTCGCCAATTTCAACTCCTTGCCCAACAGAATTTTTTCTTCCGCTTCGATCGCTTGCTAGATCGAAAATTTATTGGAATCAACAAGGACCAATTTAGCCACTAACCTTTACGGAGCGCTGTATAAGATTATGAGCTAGCGTGTTATTCTCCTTCTCGAGCGATAAAATCCTATTGTTCAAGTTTCGGTTTTCAGCCCGTAGCCACCGTATTTCGCCCTCTTCGGCAAGTTCTTTCTTTCTCGCGCTTTCGAATTCTTTTCGCCACTTGGACATTTTCGTGGTAGAAATCTTGATACCAGCGCCGTATGCCTTGTTGATTAATAAGTCAGGATCGCGGGCGAAGAACTTGGGCCCTTCTTTTTGCGCTAGGCTCATCATACCGTCCAGATCACGTCCGAGAAATTGATCCTTCAGCGTCAGAAGCAATGCTTTATTTAGGCTTATTTAACCCGAAACATAAACAGAAATAACAAGACATTTCGCTCTTTAGGTATTTCCAGCCCTGTTTTTATATTTTCGAGCTTGATCGATCTATTATTCAAAAATATAGCCCGGCCCTAGTCCAACGCGGAAAATGACCTTGATGCCGTCAACGAAAAATATGTCCAAAATGCGGATCGACAGGTCTTTTTGAAAAACTGAGCAGAATAGTGTGAGGAACCATTTGGAAGCAAAAGTGGAAGTGGAGAATTCATGAGCTTTGAAGTGAGTGTGGAGTTCTGGGCAATGTTCTTGAATCAGCATTTCGAGCTGGTAGAGTAAAACTTTCAAGGGGATAAATATTTTATTGTATTATTATAGTAAATTATTGTTCACAAAAAATATACAACGCATTCTTGAATCAAACAGTAAAAGACATCTACATGCATTTGGATCATTTTAAAATAACATATTTGAAGTTTCGGAATGCGTCATCTACGGGACAAAATCGTGTATCTAAAAATTTCGTAGCATTTCATAAATTCTCTTTTTGATTTTTGACTTATAATGACAATTGCCTGTTCCATTCAGGTTATATACGGATTTCTCTGCCACTTGATTGATCCTTATCAGTTCGGAACGGTCACAGCAACCCCCTGCGCCCTTTGAAATTATGACCAAACAGGCCGATAAATTTCACCGGAATCAGATAAACTTCTTTTTATCCTCGCCTGGAAGTTCACCCATGCCGGGTTTATACATTTCTCGGAGGCCATAACCGGTCGCTCTCGACATGAGCTTGACAAAAAGGCAGAAGGCATCTTCCTCTGGCATATTTAATAATAGCATACCGACGATGAACGCACTGCCCTGGCAGTAACCGACCTCTGGATCGCTAACTGCATATGCTTTCATAACGTTGAAGAGCATTTCCGCTAAAATTTTCAGTAAAAAGTGGTATAAACTGGTTCGATTTTACTTCCAGAAGCGTCTTGGAACATTTCTTCTTCAGGAAATGTCCGGCTTATATCCCCTCGGATCATTTTTTCTGACGAAGTTTCTTGGCTCAAAAGTTCAGAATACTTTTGGTGGAGGCGAAGATCTGCGCCAGAAATAGATATCCAAGCCTTTTGAGAGCAGATTTAGTGGGAAAGAAAACTTGACAGAGAGTCTTACCATGGGTCTGAGAGGATTTGGAATGCCCTTCAAAATCATCGGAAGAACCTTTTTCGAGTTCTTCTTCGAAAACTCGTGCCAGTCTTTCAATGCGTTTCCCCAGATTTCCCATTCATTATTAACAGCGCCGTTCATTTTTGGGATCTGAAAAATATGCTTGAGAAATGTGCGTTTTCCTTTTGCTCTGTATCTACTAGCTTTAACTGCAACTGGCCTTTGTTTACTACGTTCCAAACAGAGACGACCTACCCGTGGCTTGTTTGCTTTATTACGCTCGATCTCTTCCTTTTTCTGATTGACAAGCCGTTGCTGCTCAATCGAGGACGCAGTCGTAGCATTGTGGAAATTTTGCTCCTCAAGGCGTCGTATCAAGGCCTTCTCGTGGTCTGAGGGGCCGGGACTGCCCTTTGACGGTGGCTCAGACGGCTGAGGCACCCCGCTGAATGAGCCCAGATTCAATTTTGCCAACATTGCTTTATTCGGGCTTGATTTTTTTCGATTCGTATTCAAGTTCAAATTCTAGTCGGAGTTTTTTATTGTAACATAAGGTACAGGTAATTTTATGATTTTTTACTTCTTTCCCATGCGAATATTTTTCAATGAGAGAAACACCTTCAGAATTCATTTTAAATTCTTGGAAAAAATCGTTGGTCCACAACACAAACTTGAAGTTTAAGCGGATTCATTTTATTTTTGAAATCCCGAAGAGACCTGGCTTTTTATGATGCTCATGTCCCGCAGAGTGACCCAGATCAGCCTAAAATTCAGTTCTTCAAAATTTACTAATCAAATAATCGCTGGAACGACCCAAAATCTTTTGTCATCAAATAGCCCTTTCCTTTGGCACTGGATCTGGGCGACTCCATCTTGCTTCTTTTTTGGACGTTTTTTATATACAAATATTCATTCTGAAAATAATCTATGAAAACATATGTATGTACATGATTTTGTAATATCACGAAGACAATTCGTCAAAGAAAATTTCCAACAGTTGTCGTCCCTTGCTCGGGAACCAAAATAATAAGAAAATCTCGAGAAAAGTAGTGCGATTAGTTGCCAAATAGTCTTGGCTATCGCCGCGCGTAGAATAGAGAAAGAAATCGTTGCATATTAGCGAAATGTCGGTAGTTTGTGTTGAGTCTTCTGTCGATTGACTCTTGTTGCTTGAATTTGCTTTATCACAGAATTTGGAACGGATAAGATAGATCAATTCGGAGAGGGGCATTCTTATCGAAACGCGTAGGAACTAAAGACGATATGATAAGAGAGAAACGATAGCTGATTGGATTACCTTATCAGCGCCAGACTTTTGATTGACGATCCTCAGCCTCAACAGAGGATCAGTAAATTCGGACTGTTGCCAGAGGTTATTCTTGCGACTGTGCCAGACGCCGCCCTCGAGCGATACGCGCCGCAGGGTCGAGTTGAATTCATTCTCCAGCTTCGTTTCGACTTGTAAAACGCGCGGTACGAGCAAGTGAATAAGGTCTTGAAGAGTGCGGTCGTAGCGCAGGGCTCCTTCGGCGGACAAAATCACCTTTTCGCGGCAATGGGTTAACGGGCATTCTTGGTTTTGCTGAAGGATTGATAAGTAGACTGATGTATAATATAAGCGTACCTGTAATTTGCGGATAAGACAGGAGCGACAAAAGACGTGAAGACATTCTGTGATGGCAGTAGCGTTGACTAAATATCCATTGCATATGGGACAGGCGAGGAGGTTGGAGATCGGGCTGAGCGAAACACCCACATACTCCTCTTTCTTGTCCAGTTCTTTGATATCATCGTAGAGTTTGTTTAGGCGGTCGAGTTGGAGCTGCACCACTGGAGGGCGAGCCTCCCCATTCGACATCTACAGTTCTGAAACGAACTTTTTGAACTCGAATGTTTGTTGAAGTTTTTGAAGAAATAACGAAATGTGAACTTTATCAGTAAATGCTCGCAAAGAAGCATCGTAGCATTTTGCGAGATCGGCGAAAATGAAAAAAGTGCCGAATAAGGTTGGGTTGATGATAGTATGGTATCGGTTGAGGAATGGGCATGCAAAACCTTTCAAATACAATAACAACAATACACAGGGTGGACAGTTAAAAAGAAAGATTGACGAAGAGATGTAGTACAGTTTCAGTCAGAGTTTGTATTCAGCTTTTCTATTAGTTTTATTGAAGGATTTCTTGAAGACGAATGTTCAAATCGAGCCCTTGAAGAAGCCAGAGTTCGGCGTGGTCGTCCCGGTCAACTAGGATCCCTGCAATGTCCCCGCCGAGGGGGATAAGTTTAATCACATTTGTCAAGGTTGATTTCTCTGAAGCGTCTGGTTTTGTATCGAAAAGCAAAGTAGGCTCTACCTGGCTCATTCACGGGCGAGAGCGAAAGTGCTGGAGCTTTGATCGTTAATCGCGCTAGAGGCGGAGATGGAACCCTGAATTGAGCTCTGGCGGTTTGTATGCTCTTTGCCACGTCTTCTGCAGCTTCCAAACCGCAATGCCTAATTCCAAGCAGCCTGCACTCTATATTTTTCCCATCACTTTTTCAAAGGAATTTTCAAAAGAAGTGGGATTCAAATATTTATCTTCTAATTCAAAATCGTTTAAAATTCCTCTCCTGATGGGTTCATGCTCAATCGGCTCCGGATAGTCCCAAGAAATTTCCTCGACAATGGATGGGTCGATCTCAGGCGAGCGTGTTTGACTCTGTCGCTCCGCTGGCGGGCTCAGCGGGGCATCAATCTTATCGGCGATTTGAGCGGCCGACGTTTTCAGGCTTGAAAAGGCATTCTTCAGATTACCAGTGATATTGGTGACCCAGTCGGATTGTGAGCCAGCACGGCCGCGAGTCAGCTGAGCGGCGACTTCGGGTGAGACCTTCAATGGGAATTAATTTAAAATCGATTAGTTTCGAACAAATTCGTACCTGCTCAACTCCTTGAACGGCCATAATGAGGCTATCAATCGTTGCGATCCATGCGTCGCCGGCCTCGAAGCTTTCCGCCTGGAAGTAGTATTTTCCTGATGGGGATGTAACAAGGAAAGTGTTTGCTCGATCGTCCACTTGACAACTCTAAAATAATCAATTAGAAACGACGAGAAAACAGCTTATTCCTACCTCGACTTTGGCTCCTTTAAAATCCATGAACAAAGTCGCACTAATTTCATCTTTCGTCTGTCTCATCAAATGCCCATCTTGGATAAAGAAGAACATTCTCTGCCACTGGCTAAACGGCAAGCCCCTTGTCCGAAAGTTGAGCCATCCCCTTGGAGGCCCGTTTAGACCCGGTCCAAGGGTGTAATGAGCGCCCTGCAAAGCTGCAAGGACCGCTTGATTCAGTAAATTTGCTCTCTTGATAGAATTTTGGACATCGACTTCTTCGATCAACGCGTCTGCTGAAATCGCACCAACATATTGGCCGAGTGAGTTACGGAACTCCGCCTGAAGATGAATCGTTAAACATTAACTATAAGCCAAAGTCAAGTCATTACCTGAAAGCCGGATAGCTGAGCACAAGCAACAAGAGCTTCAAGTTTAGTCTGATGAGCTCGTCCACGGGAGATCACAACTCGACCAGTATCTGCATTTTTCAAGTGACTAACGATAGCCTGAAAGTTTAAATGTTAAAAGCGTCGTCAATATTGGAGCAACTACCTGTTCGTGCTCGAGATCCGCTTCATGTGCAGCCTGAATGGCAATATTTAACGTTTTCAACCTCGACATCGCTTGCTGCAATCCATCTTCTAACTTCATCGCGCCGATCGTTCTAACAGAAGCGAAATCAGCCAGTATCTTCAAATCACTGTCTCCATACTCGACTCCGAGCTTTCCCATCGCTTCTCCAGCGGCTTTCTCCGCCTTGATGAGTTTATCAGCTTCGCGAGCGAGTGAATGAAGCTTGACAGTTTTGTCCACGCAGCGAGTCATCTGAAGCTGGAAAAGCGAGGCTGTAGACGGGTCTGGATCAATCAGGAGTGTGAACTTATCACCGTACATTTGGATCTCTTCTGGCTTCTTAGGAGCTTCCGGTTGTTGCTGAGATTCTTTTCGCTCCTCTGTGGGATGACTTTCAAGACTTGCATCACCGCTACTCTTTGGAATTTCGACAGACTCTTGCTGAGTTTGCTCGACTTTTTCTTCGTCAACAAGCTCTCTTGGCTTTTCTGTTGACTCTGTTTCCGACATTTTCTATAAAGAAGTTGATAAAAAAGGGTTTTTTTAATTAATATATTCGTTGAACTTCAACGGTTGAAGGTGATCTTTGAACTAAAATCAAGGCAGAAGTAAATGTTTTTGAACGTGATAATTGGTATCCTAAACCATGGGACATGTCCGTTTTCATGTTCGATGAGCAGAAATCAATGGAGATTGCAGTTACAGTACAGTTTGATTGCAACGCTTTTAGTTATTTTCTTTGCGACATATCTTTTGATTTAAATAATGTATGGAATGATCGCAGTTCGGCCTCGTGGGTAAGCTTTGAACTCGGATTTGTATCGACGATGCTTGCCTTGTGCCCAGATGGTCATTTGCGCCAAGCCGCAGAACATAAAGATCATCACTAGATCAGTTAAGATATCATTCCTTTGATAGATATCTACCTGCGAGACATTGAGTCATGATTCCAAAGGAAATCCACGCTCCTACTTCGTAAGTGTAGTTGGGGCATGAAACGAAGTGGTAAAGCAGGGTCATTGGGTTAGCATCAGGCTAAAAAAGGGCTTGGTTTGATAGAAAAGAGATGAAAGCGGGTACCATGGGAATCTTTCGATCACGAGTTCCAGGGGGACGGAGGTTCTTCAGTAAAATGTGGATGGAGAAGTTTCCGAACTCGCAGATGAGAAATGCGATGAGAGCGAATTTTGTTTGCTGGGCACTTGGCGCTAGAAAGAGTTAAAGACTTTTCAAGGCGTATTAAGGAAGACCTGTGTAAAGAGGATGATTGATAAAATATGCCATGAAAGCTGCAAATCCCCAGTAGTACGTGCAGTTCTTGAACAAGTTGCGAATGGGCATTGTCGAGTTCGAGAATCGATGAACAAAGATCGTCTCCAAAAGACGCTTGGCGTAGTGGAAGGAATGGCATGCAGCGGCGTATTTGACGACTTGATCCATTGGCTTATCGGCTGCTCCAGCCCCATAAATGATCTCTGGTCGGATGTAGAAAAGGAGGTAGATAAACAACGGGCCGGCGTATTCAGCAAGGAAGACTGTGCTCCATCCGATCTGGGGTCCGAGATCTTTGAAGTAAAGTTTTCCATCAATCCCGAGATTTTGCAGCTGTTCATTGTCTTTCAACGACTTTCCCTTCTTATCAAGCCGAAGACTTATCCTAACGCACCGTTTATTACCAAGATAAGTGGAAGAACAAACCTTTCGACGTAGTATTTGGAATGTTTCTCTGCAATGCGAGCTTTGACATCCGCAATTGTAGCGTGAGATTGCAATCTGTCCACATTGGCGATGATTCTACCACTTCGAGCATCCTCTACTTCCACGGAAAGACCCATTCTACGTCGACGAGTTAAAAAATAAGCAACGATTTCTGTTAATTTTTTGTATAAAGAGCGTTACAGATGAGTAAATCAGACCAGACGGAATTTTTTTTCAATTTAATTAAAATGTAATATTGCATATTTCATAGAGGAAGGAAAGATCAAAGGAAAAAATATAAGGGAAGAGAAAAAAATTCAGAACGGCGTTGTAAGGGACTGATTAGTTTGAAGAAGGATCGCTCGCGGCCAGAGCCGCTGCTAAAATTTTCCACCACCACTGGCTGGCCCGTTATTGAGCTCAAAAACGGGGCGGAGCTCAGTGTTGGCGAATACGTGTGTACACGAGTTAGGAGATATAGAATGGACGTGGACATTTTTTTGAGTGATGTGAAGAAACATGTGAGAATTGAGTGATGCTGATGAACAAAGGAGTAACTTTAGTTTTACATGAAGGAAGGTCATATATTTGATTAATCCTCAAATCAAGCTACAAATTTTATTGACAAGTACTTTCAAATGGTTGAATGATTTCTCTCATTTAATTCTTTGCTCTTGAAAGACAAAAACCAACAACTCGAAAGCCATAAATCAATCAAACTTGCCGGGCTCGCTCACTTCCAGTTAAGAAAAACTGCGTAACGAATTATCAAATCAGTGGTTGATTATTTTTTCTCCCTGCTCTGTCGTCATAAGATTGCACTACATGAATATAATATTGAGAGTCTGTTGCAAGCGGTGGTTAAAAATCAATGATCATCACACGGACATGAATAATTATGAGAAAGTAAAAGGTCGGTAATTTTTTGCTGTTTGTAATAATGAAGCGTTCTTCTTTTATGATACGTAATATTGATTATATTTGAAAAGAACAAATTTAAGCTAGATCATGATGATGATGAATGTGTGTATGTTTTTTTATTAACAAGAACAGTTTTTATCTTGAGGCGTTTGAGGTTCGTCCGACGAGTTGATCTGGTTCGATCGCTGTGATCTGGTTTGGACACCAGAGTCGGCTGCGTTGAGCTCCAAACTGCCTTCTTGGATCTTTTGGTAGATTTGTTTTGCCGTTTCTAGGAAGGCGTCTTCGACGTTTTCGCCGGTTTTCGCAGATGCTTCGCAGAAGTGGAGACCGTGTTCTCGCGCGAATTCGCGGGCTTCTTCGGTAGGAACATCGCGCTAGAATAATTCGATTAGTTTTCAACCTGAAAACGATCGGAAATTCGAGTTTTTACTGAAATCAAGAAAGACTTATCCTACCCCCATTTAATTGTTTAAAAAAGAATGGATGCGCCAAAAATATGGCAGACTACCCCGTGTAATGCCATGAGTGGATGTGCGTCACGATTGTGTTTATCTGGATACGTGCTCCAATATTCTTATAGCTACTGTACGGAATACTTTATTTGCTTCGGGACCAGGACTGCCAGATTGTTCATTTGGATGTGTCAACCTAGAAGAGACTCGGGGACTACTTCGTTCAAACCTCATAATTGAATATGATGAATGTTTGCTCGACGCAGATGAATCGATGCGAAAGTAAACCAGGTGCAACCAGTTGCGAGTTGTAACTACAATTTTTAGCGCGTGCGTAATTCAGAGAAACCTTGTAAATCGGGACTTTAGAACTTGGGGGATGGAGGCAACCTCGACCGAGCGCGAGAGCATCGGGAGGGGGCCTCGAGACGTGGCGGAAGGCGTGTGAGTGCGAAGAGAAGACTCCTAAACAGGGGACTGCAGATCTCACGTCACACACATCCGCGGGCGCGTCAAGATTCGAGGTTTATAAACTAAAGATCGCCGCGCGCGCCCGGGGCGAGTACTTATGGCGCCTAGCTGGAAAATCTAGAAAAAATGCAAAATGCTCTAGAACTGACCACTCTTCAAAAATAGAAGCAATTATCTTTGATTACAGAAGCCACCACTCTTATTTTTGGGAAATCAACAATCCTGGACCCAAACTTGATCTCAAATTGGCAAACAAGGGAAAAGCATTTGCTGACGAACAAACCTGATCTTCCAAGTCTGACTTATTGCCAATCAAGAAAATGACTGTATTAGGCGAGGCGTGATTCGTCGCGTCGGTGAGCCAGGCCTCAAGATGATTAAAAGTCTGCCTTCTTGTGATATCGTAGACCATGATGGCACCTGAGCTTCCTCGATAGTACGATCGCGTGACAGCTCGGAATCTGGGAAATAAGTCAAGGTCTTGAAATCAAGGAAGAGACTTTACCTCTCCTGGCCAGCTGTGTCCCAAATTTGAAGTTTAATTCTCTGCCCAGCGACTTCGATTATCCTTGTTCCGTACTCGACTCCGATCGTATGAGGGCAATCAGCCATGAATTTTTTCTCTGTAAACTGGTGTAGGAGGCATGATTTACCAACTCCCTACGGATACATCGAGTCTGACAAAAACTACCAAACTAACCTGGTCTCCAATGATAATATACTTGAGAATGTAATCGTAATTGTACGGCTGGCCGCTCATTTTCACTTTCTATTTCCTCACGTTCCCGGTCTGAAAATAATGCTCCTCTTTTAGTCCTACTTCGACTCTCCTAGGAGGATGATTTCGTCCGAGTTTTTGCCTGTTTGAGGCGCGCAAACAAATGACTAATGAAAGGTATAGTAGCCACGTAGCTAGGTAAGAATGTTGAGTGTGTAGTTGTGTGCGTGTTTTGTTGTCTGTCAAATAGTTAAAATAAATAAGTGAAGCTGTTTTGGTAAATGAAAATCGGTGAGCTAAAAAGAAGTAGTACAGCTAAGAGGGATCTGGGTTGGATAGGCTTGCAGCATATTTTATGGCAGTGGTGTTTTGGAAACATTTGGCTCAACCCGAAAAGATACCCTTCATCCCTTGTCGCTCGACAGATTGGCGGAGCCACTGCAGTTGCGGATTACTTATCATTGGCTGGTCCAGAGATCTCCAGTAGAGTGCTGAGAGTTCGACAGCAATTCTAGAGTAACGGAATCGCGTGACAAACTCGATCATTGAATGATCACAAGATCTACTGTTGAGCTTTTTCTCGGCTAAACAAGATTAGCAAAAATGTCGGGCGGACTTGAATTTACCCATAAGATAAGCAGCAAATGCGGTGGCAGAAATCTCCTTTGACTGAATCAATGGCTGAAGCATGGTAACCAAGGCCGTGAAGTTTTCATTCTCAAGAAGAATCCAAGCGACGGTTTCGACTAAGCTCATATTTGGGCTCTCCAAAAGTTGTCGGCAAAGTGACATTTTTGACGAGTCCGGGAGTCGCTCAAGAATAGTTGGAAGAATTTGGACGTTTACTGGGAGGAATGGACAGTTGGAAAAGTGCTTCAACGCGAATCCGAACAAATTTGGAGCGTCCTTTCTGCGCATTGACCAGCTCAGAGCCTCCAAAGAGATGAACTCTTGATCCTGTTTCGCGACTTGTAGTGCGACTCCAAAGACCTCACTTAGATCACTCTCGTCATGTTCATCGTACAGACGTTCAATGAGAATGAAGGAAAGCCAAATCCAAGGGACGGTTTCTTCACTAAGCTGGGAAGTCTGCGTGAATTTCGGAAGCGTTTCTGACATTTCTTCCTTGAAGAATTTCGGGTAGTATCGCTCTAAGACTCCTCGAAGAAGAGCGCGAAGACTGACAGATCCTTCAGTCAAGGAAGTTTCTGTACCAACTTCGTAGAAAGGGATGATCATGTCTTCAATTGTCCTACAATTCAAAAGTAAGATAAAATAACTATTATATATATTTCTTACGATAAGGCGAATGCACAGAGCTCCTCATTCTCGACATCAAAAATGAATTTCCTCGCAACCAAGTAGGACATCTTCGGATGATTACTTAATTTACAAAGAGCTTCATTAAAAATTCCCATGGGCTCGACTCCCGGACAGCTTCCGACAAGCAACCAGACTAGCTTGCATTTTGATAGTTGCCTAGCAATAGAATGGGCAAACGCGGCGTGGCTTCCATCAAGAAGCACTAGAATCTCAAGCAAGGAAGTGACTAGATTTTCTGATTGCTCACTGTCGTCCCAGTTTGATACGGCGCGCTGGATGCCCTCGGAGATCTCTTCGAATACATCGCTCTTATTTATTGCGTCCGTGTTGTGAGTGAAAGGAGTAAGCTTTGGCGAGTGAATGGAGAATGACTCATGTGGAAAATCAAAGGTCAAGGGCACCTCCATTGAGAGATCGCAGGAATACTCCAATGGAAGGACTTTCATTGGGAAGGCATTAAACACGCGCAGATGAATAATTACGCACCAGATAAAGCATTCAAATGAGCTTGGCAAATCGACGATATCAGGCAAACCCGATAAAAAGTCAGCGGCTTCGGATAAATTTGGCTCCATTGAATACAGAAATGCTCGATAAACAGCAGCATTGACGAACTCAAGATAATAACACTCCACGTCTCCGCTGCCTAATATTCTCGCTATATAACGCTCAATTGTTTTCGCTTTTTGCTTGGAGTTATTGATCCGATACTGCCAGAAATCACGATCAAGGGAGCAGTTGTCCTCGCAAAAGTCAATTACTTCCTCGAACTGAAGGCTCTCTGGCAGATTTAATTCAGAATGAAGCGCGAAAAAGTTTCTCCAAAGAGTTGAATTCGCCGGACTAGCTTCAAGTCCGTGGCAGATCGCGGCTAGAGCATATTTCGGACCATTGAGAATATTCGAACTCATGTATTTCTGAACAAGCTCAACAAGCGCTGGAACATTTTTAGCGTCATCTTTTGCTGTCGCTTCGAGTTCTTTGATAGAGCGCTCTAATTGCTCGTCGTAGAAATATCGCTCTTGTTGAGTAGCATGTTCGTCGTCTATGTATTCAGGTTGATTTTCGTCCTCAGGATAATCTGGCTGCTGCGCTACTTTCGTCATTTTTCGAACGTTTTGCTTGCATTTGAATCCAGAGGATGCGTATTTAGAGACGATATGAGGCTCGTCTACGTTACTCTCCTTGTTGATTTCTTTGAAATAGAATTAAGCCATTGAAAACATGGAATAAGCTTACCTTCTACCAAAAGCACGCATTTCTGAGCCATATTGAGTTCAAGCTCCGACGGTAACATTCTGTTCAAATACGCTTGAGTAGCTTTCAACTGATCGCTGTAATCAGTGAATGCGTCCATCTTGATAATGTCTCTGTTGTACGCGAGTAAATCGAGAAACACTTCATGGCCTTGCATGGTTATGTCACGACGGTGCTGTCCTATGCATCGATCGTCGTTGCATCTACCAGAAAAGCTAAATTTTAAATAATAAATCAAGGTCGAAACTAGCCTCAACAAACCTATAACTAGGGATATCGCTTAAATTTCTAGGTACCCGAAAAAAGGGTCAAAATCAATTTTTAGATGGATGATCTAGTAGAACTTTTGACGAGGATTTCAATGCTGTCAAAATCATTTCATAAAAATCAGTCAGTTTCGTAAAAATGATGTGTCAGGGGGTGTTTTTTTCGATCAGGGTGAAACTTTCAAAATTTTGGAAATTGAAAATGCTAGACTAGCATAAATTTGGACGAGGATTCCAAATCTGCAAAAAATTTCACTGACGCACCTTGCAATCGCTAGAAATGAGTGTTCGGGAGTTGTTTTTTTCCTTCTCGACGCTTGTGGCGCTTTTCTGTTTTCAGCTGCGCGCTGATTGGTAGACGCTCCTGAGAGCCTTGCTCACAAAAATGCTCGAACAGGTTCAGCAAAATGATGATTTCTCGGGACTGAAACGTTGAAATTACATGATTCTTGGACCAAAAAAATTCTTGAAGACCACTTTATCAAATTTGATATAAAAATAATGTTTTTTTGATTGCAAAAACCAGTAAATGACTTTCAATTATCGTTTTTCTTTCATGGTTGAGTAAATAAAAGGGCCAGAATTTCTGAAAGATAATCCTGAAGATGAAGCTGTATTGGTTGATGACGTGGTAAAGAGTTTTTTTGAGGTTGCATGAATTTGGAGTGTTTCACTGATTATCTGAGCCATTCGCCTGTGGCGCGTTTATGTGGCGCCCTCTTTTGGAGAGCCGGGTGGTACTCATCTCGGTTTACGGCGCAGATTTTCATTTTATATTAGAGCTTGAGATTTAAGAAAAAAATGACCGAAGGAGAAACACCCACCCCATCAGAAGGTTTGAACTTTTAAGCCCAAGTACATTTACGATAGCGAAAATGTTAAGTAAAGACATGATTTATGTAAGAAATATTTACAAATTTCATTTATCAAAATATTTTATTTGGGCTTAAAAGTTCAAACCTTTTTTTTCGATTCTTCCTGCCATCAAAAAGCGAAGCACGCCCGACGATGGATCATGTGCTTCATAAGCGTAGCTGCTTTAATCTTGGGGATAATTGGTAAGTCAAAATCATTATGATAGAATTTTTCGAACCAAAATAGTTTCTTGTTCAAAACCCGGTTAACTTTTACTTTAGAAACCGTTGAAACAGAAAATGCTCCTTGGACAATGATGACAACAACTACAACGCCAACAACAACTACCACACGAGAGTTCATTTGCGGTCCCGGAGGCGCTTCCCGACAATATGCAATTTGGAGATTGAAAAATTGCTAAATTTCTTTGCCACTATGTCTTTTTATTACTGCTAATTGAAAAATATAATAATATCAATCATGGAATTTTTATCTGTCTATTCTTTTTGAGCAGCTGTTGGGTTAGGTAAAAGAAAAGATCAACGATGAGTAAAACGACGTGTTGGAATCTCCGGGTTTCAGCGGAGGGCGGACGGAAGTACATGGAAGACGTCACTGCGGTGCACTTTGAGCGAGTCAACTCTGTTACATTCGCAAGCTTCGCGTTCACACTTTTTCATCATTATTATATTGTGCTTCAGGATCAATTGATGGGATTCATCAAACGAGAGAAGGGTTTCTTCTCGACAAGATGTGATCTTGTGAAGAAGGCCATCCGCGCTGGATTCCTTGCTTGCCACGAAGCCATGGCTAAAAAACTTCGTGAATAGCAATCAATTTGAAATAGAAATAAACGAGAGATAAATTTAATTATGCTGACTGGCAGAAAACAGTTTTGGGACATCCTTGTACTGCTGAGACCACGGCCGCACTAGTGATTATCCCTGAAAACAAACTGTACGTTGCTCCTGTGGGTGATTTGGCGGTGATCATGGGCATTCAAAGAGATGACGACGCTCTGCTGGAAACAATCACTTTGATCGAAGATCACAAACCAGAAAGTCTGAAAGAAAGGAGGCGAATAGAAGCGCACGGTGGCACCGTGATCAACAAGACCCGTGTCAACCGCGTTGTCTGGGAGAGCCCGAAGTTGAGCCACTCGGGAGCCGTCCGACGCTCTACAGAACTCGACGAAATCGCCTTCCTCGCCGTCGCAAGGAGTCAGGGTGATCTTTGGTCATGGAACACGAAAACCAACTCGTATGTGGTAAGTACTTCTCTTACCGCAAACAGAGCATGAAGAAGCTCAATTGACGAAAAAAACTTTCACGATTTTGCTCTGAATCCGTGTTCACGGTCGGATGATAAGCAAACGTTCCAATTTCTGATGAGCTTAATGAACATATAATTAAAAAAATACACCATGTTTCGGTAGTTTAAAAATTAATTTAGGTCAGTCCTGATCCGGATGTGGAAGTACACGACTTAAAAAATCAGGATCTCGCTTCATCATTTTGGCGTCGGAGTGAGTAACCAACATGATCAGATCACATGACGCGGTGAACATGGTCTCTGAGTTCGAGGCGCGAAAACGCGCGGCGAGGTTGCCGGAACATCAGCTCATGAACTGGCCAGAAACGCACTCAGAAGATGGTCAGAAAGGAACATGCGCGCGGACAACTCCTCGGCGATTGTCGTCTACATCGAAAAGAAAAAGATGGAGCCCAAGAACTGCGCGTAGAGCTAGGAGAGCACGAACAAGAACCGACACGTCAAGACGCCAGTATCCGAGAAGATCGCTAGGAGGATAGCTCAACTGAGACCGCCACTTACGGGAGTGTCCCAGATCAAGACTGCTCCACTCAAGACGTCAAGAAAGAGAGTGACTACCGAGAACACTACCGAGAACGACTGGCTTCATATAATTTTTAGTTAAAAAAGAATCAGTTTGGGAGAAACTGAATTGTGCCACCCTGCGCCGCCCGGCTCGGCCCTTAACCAAACGGAATTCTAGTTCTTCTTTGGTGGTAGTTTCCCTTTTCCAATTATATTGTTAAACTAGAGATTGCTCACTAAGAAACAGGCTTCATAATAAGCCCCTTAACTCGATGATAGCTAAGTCCCAAAAAAATTGTTCGACCTAAAAGTTTGCGAGATCGGCGGTGAGGCACCCCTTAAGCGCGTATTTTCTGATAAAGAATTAATCGGGTCGGAAGGGTTCAACTCTCGCTCTGGTTCAGACCTGTTTCCTTGAACATGTTTGGGTCGGAAGCTTAAGAACCGAGCGACGCTAGACGGCGCAGAGCGGCGCAGGGCGGCGAAATTCAGTACACCTCATCAATATTATTTATTAAAATTTATTAAAATAAATAATTTATAGAAGCCCATTTAAGATAATCGGAATATTGAGAAAACGTTCAGCCATATAAAGCATATTGAAAATTACGACTTTCGATCCCAGAATATTAAAATATGGCGATCTGCGATAGCAAAGGTAATTGTGGCGAACACTCATAACAGAAGAACACAAACAGCATTAGGTCTTTCCCAAAAATATTGTAATATTTTATAGCAAAATATGGCGACAGAATTCCTTGATGATTTGGATGAAATACCCGCGGAGGACTTAGTATGGAAAGCATACCGTCGAAAATCTCTTCAAAAAGAAGAAGATCAAAATCATGAATTAATGATTAAGCAACAAATTTTAAGCTGTTCATAATCATTTTTGTTTATTCAAGAAGAATCAACAAGATCATTTACAGTTTTGTCAAGTTGTCGAAAATGATTTAAGAAGGTTTTAACTTAACAGTCAATAAAATTTTTTTTAATTATCTAATAGTTACCCTTGGTATATTTTTGTCGGGAATTTTTTCTTTCCATCTTGAAGCTTTCGCAAATTTGTTCAAACGCATCAGTCAGAGATCTTTATTTTCTCAATAAAATCGCAATTTGCGAATATTTTGCGATTGTGAAGCGTAATTTCGCAATCGCAAAAACCTTTTTGATCGATTTGCGAGCGTATTGTTTTGCTAGAACCTCCGTTATCGCCAATAAGTCGCGTATTGAGATTTTTCGCGAATTTCTGTATTTTTAAAATGAGTTTTCTTTGACTGAAATTTCTTAATTTTTTCAAAAATTTTTTTCTATTCATTAAAATTTCGCAAATAGCGACAAAATCGCAATTCGCGAAAAAATCGCAGTCGCGTCGGAATTTCAGGAGTTCTTTGCTTCACGATTGCATCGCAATCGCAATTGAATTTTGACGAAAATTTAGATCCCTGGCATCAGTAAAAGTTTCCAGTCGTGTTTCTCGGCGTTGAAGCTTATCTGTATCCGGTAAAGCTAAATAATCATAAAAAATTGGACTAACAAATTGTAAACTTAATTGAAACTCTTGTTCGAGCGTTTGCGTTCCCGTCCAACTCGAAAGATCTCTTATACGGGGTTCATATCAAGTTTTCTGAGCGCTCTTTGCAAGAACAGGGGAGCTTTTGAATACTGGACCCGATCTTAAAAGTAGACCAAATTCTCCATGTCGAATTTTTCTATTGAGATCGCGTAGAGTTGCCTCGATAAATCCCTTTGATTTTTGAGCAATCGCAATTTTGAAGCTTAAAATGAGTCATCATCTAGTTTTCGAAATAACCTACATTATAAAATGGGTGACAGGTATATTCAAATCTGGAAACAGCAAAAACTCGTTGACGTGTTCACCAATAGTTTTGTAAAAAGAACATGCTACGGAATAGTTTTTATTTTTGGGTAGAAATTTTTCACCATTAGTATTTGATTCATCAATGACAAAATTGCTTCCGAAATATGCCCGATTGTTGAAATTGTACTCTTCTAAGCTCATTTGATTGGCAGCGCACTGTGGTTGGTAGATCAAGAAGGGAAAAATTGCATAAAGCGACCGAATCTATCATGAGTTTTCACGAATTTTCACGAAAAATCCTTGACAGAACATTTCTGTCTGACGCCGACCGGTCCAAAAGGGGTTATTTTCAAACAGCGGCCGTAGGCGGCCGAGGACGGCCTTTGTCAGTGTCCCTGGAAAAAAAAAGAATAGATATCGCTTTATGCAACCTGCCCCTTCAGAGAAGCGGTTGTTCTCTGGAATGGATAATTCTCATCTTAAAAAAAGATTTTGATAGCTGTTTTTATAGGTTAACTTTTTAAAAATATCAGAAATTATTTCAAAATCATTTCCTTGTAGTCCAAATTTTAAATAAATTTCCAAAACGCTCGAACAGTACTGTCCTGACTCGAATTTTCCAAGAAATATTTTTCCTCGCTGTGAAAGTTTTTTTAATATTTGAATATTTCCGCTATTAAAAATAATGTTAGAACTTTCTCTCTAAAGTCGTCTTCATACTTTCTCTTTCTTCATATTTAGGAAAACGTTCATTCAAATTGAAATCATTTTTAGTAAGAACGAAGTGAAAAAAATGGATCAAGAATATTTTAACAAAATTCATACTTAAATTGATATGAAGCAAGTTTTTTTCAGAAATTATGGTTCTTGGCATTTCACCAATTTTTAATCTTGCCTAAAGCCACGAAAGATCGATTTGATAATGATCGATAATTTTTTCAAAAATATTTGAATTTGAAAGATGAAGAAAATCAATTCGCGTAGGAGCATTGTGCGCAAAATGTGTGATTCCATCGATTATGAAAGCAAAGACGATGTCGCGATTTAAAAATATAGTCGAGTAGTGTTTAGTCGAGTGAACGATCTGGCCAAATAAGATCTTCAGCAGAGATCAGTATGTTTGTTTTATAATATACCTTTTCCGACATTTCATCGAACATTCAAAAGATCTCTTCTTCCTTTCCAATAATGATTACATCGTAAGCATCTTTGAAAAGAAAGTACAAATCCTTATTAACTTCGTACTCGGCAAGATCTTTTTTGAGAAGAATGACCTTGTGTCTTCCACCCGGGCCATTTTTGATGTCTTCTCCAAGCCAGTCTTCTCCGAGTCCGAATTTTTTGCTTTTTAGACCAGAGTATTTTACAGATTCTACTCAACAAAGAAGAGATCTCGCTCTTATTTCATTGTGTCTTTAAAGTATTTTTACTATTCCCTTCAGAAGTTCAGCTTTACTTTCTTCACAAAAAAGAACTCTTTTACGTAATAATTCATAAATTTCTTTTCTTTAAGTAATAAGAGTGGGAGCAATTCATGGGAGATGTAGGTGGCTCAGGTTGACTTGCTCTCGGCGTCAGTCTAGGTTAGTCTTAGCAATTCGAATTCTCGAAGCTTGCTCATCTCGGACAGAAAAAAGCGGTCCAAGATAAGATCGAGAGACTCAAACAGGAGCGCTTGCAAAAGGAAAAAACCAAGTTGGAGGAGCACAAACAGATCGAAGAAGCTAAACTAACCACTGAAGAGAAATTGAAGCAAGGTTGTCAGAAGCTTGAAGCAATCAAGGTCGTCTCCAACAACGCTCTACTCTCATTAAACTCTGTCGGTAATGATTTGGAAACGATTCCGACCGCCCTCCTGGGCAAAAACGAACGCGTTGTCTTCAAGTTAGGTCAGTTCATTCTCAGTCTCATCGTCAATTTCTCTGGATATTGCCCAGTTACTCTGCTCGCTGCGTCGAAGATTCCTTCAAATCCAGAACTCGAAAAGAACGATTTCAAAGGATGGTTCTCCTAAGATTGCACCAACAGATTCCTCTTCATCACAAAAGAAAAGCTCCAAGAGCAAAACCCAGGGCACCTGTTCGTTCTTATGGCTCACTGCATGGCGCATTTGACCAACGATCTGAATCCCCAGTTCCGAAACGAGTTCTACCGGCTCCTCGCAAAGATATCGACTCACATCTTCCAAATTCAAACTGCACCTGAAATGCAACTGCCACTTGATTCTCTGGAAAGTCAAAAGAAAATGTTGAGTACACGCCTGCAGAAATCAAAGCCATTTTAGAGCGAAAAGAAAACTTGATCTGAGCCGAGGTGAGCTTGACAGTGATCTTGAGACACTTCCAGTCGCCAGTGGCCTTGCAGATGTCGTTACCAATCTTCTTGTGGGAGAGACCGAGGGGGCACGGACTTCGCAAACAACAACTCGGAGGTAGACCTCGACGATGGGAGCGGTGGGATCGAACTTAGGCAGATATTTCCACTCTTGTCAACAAACGAAGCTTCAAATTCACTCAAGCTTGTCAGGCTCCTAGAGACGGACAATGCAATTAAATTTTTCGTATGAAAAATTGAAAAAAACTACCTAATCTACCTATAATTTTTAATAAAAAACTCATTTTCTTTATGAAATATTCTTAATAACATTTAAATATCCTTATTCATCAAAAAAAACAACTTAAAAGCTCCAAAAATATGCAATTTTATGAAAAATCGCATAAAATAGTAAAGAGAAAAGAATGTGAGTCTGGCTAGCTTGGCCATGCAGCGCGCGCGCCCCCGTGCGGCCGCCTCCAAAATGACGCAACGCCGCTCAGAATTCACCTCGGAAAACTTTAAAAATTCATATTTTCAAAACGCGAGGTGCGTCAGTGAATTTTTTTACAGATTTGGGTTTCTCAGCCCAATATCTATTAGGAAAAAATAAAAAATCATTAACGACAAAACAGTTCTCGTACTGATCCGAAAAATGAGGTTTTTGAAGGCCATTTTTACGAAACTGACTGATTTTTATGAAATGATTTTGACAGCATTGAAATCCTCGTCAAAAGTTCTACTAGATCATCCATCTAAAAATTGATTTTGACCCTTTTTTCGGGTACCTAGAAATTTAAGCGATATCCCTACCTATAACCACAGATGGGCGCGTTGCAGTCTACTTTATGCGTATAAGTAGCCGAGGCTATTGAAAAATTCTCGCGGAAATATGGCGAGAATCGATACGATCGAAATTTAAGGAGTGGCGATTTGAATTTGCCCTTGTTCTCAAGTGGTTTCATGTCTTTTGCGAGATACGTTTTCGGCAGAATATCCCGTTCGGTTGCAATCGGCATTTTGTCATTTTCTGTTATTTCTTCGACGAGTTTTATATGTGCAATTTTATGTCGGTGTGTGCAAAGAGATTTGATTTTTTCTTCGAAAGTGCTTCGTGTAACGAGTGAATATGGATCTGGCGGGGTTGTGACGCGCGCTGGCATTTCTGGCAATGGCTCGAACTCGTAATCATCGTCGGGTGGTACTGGGCTACTTCTAGTTGCGAGAAGGGGTTCTCCGTTTCCCTCGCCTCCGTGGATGAGCTGTGTTTGTTGTTGAACAACTACGAATAAAAGATAGTGTAAATCCTTCAAAACAACTTACTTTGTTGATCAATCTTCTCTTGAGTTGAATCCGCGAGTTTTTTTAGCTTACGCTCCAGCTCAGCTTTTTGCTCATTCAGCTTAGCCCGCATAATTATCTTCCTATTTTCATCCGCGTCAGCATCATCAAGTCCATACTGCTCCTGCAAATTGCTAATTTCTACTCGCCGCTCTAAAATGTCCGTCTTCGCTGTTTCAATGTCTATCACCATATTGTTCACAATATCCTTTATCGAGCGCTGATATTCTGTATTTTCTCGCAAGTAGCGTTCATATGACGCAACTTTGACCATCAGTACTTCTAGTGATTCTTTGACTTGTTTCTTCTCTTCTATCTTTTTTGATCGCAATTCTTTGAAGCTCTTGATTGACTGTCTGTCTCGCACGATTTTCGCATGATGATGTCTTATCGATTGCTTGAGCTTATCAATTTGCTGTCTTGCTTGCTCCTCGTTCTCGACTTCATCATCTGTCGATTCTATGTCTTCTGATGATGAGTAATTATCAACCACAACAGGAGGATGTAAGGGAAGAACATCGTTAGCCTGCAAAGAATCATTGATGCTTAGATCTGGAAGAACAGGAGCTTGTTCTGTGAAACTCGTCTCAAGAATTGAACTGTTCATTGTCTCTTCATTTTGCAATCCGCCATCTCTAGAATCCATGGTGTAATCAGCTAGTGTTGAGCCTTGTGTTGCGTCTTGTGAGTTGAAAGTTCTGTCCATCACAGCTTGGTCCGTGTGATACTCATCGTCTCTAGTTGTTGTCATCGGCACTTCAAAAACAGGACTTTCCCCTGCCTCTCGATTTTGATCTGTTGTTGGTCTTGGCTCTATTTCCACGGTCATTGCGGATGATTCAGGCACTTCAGTCGCTGGAGGAGCGGATAAAGTCGGAGAGATCTCGTCCATAATCGTGAAGGAGCCATTGATTCCAGCTTGATCAGCTGATTCCGAGCGCGGGCGCGCAACGACATCGACGTAGATTGGGTGTTCGAAGCTAGTGGATCTATGGCGGCCTTCGGCGTAGGAGCTCAAATTTGTATCTGGAGGTAGTTTATTTGGATTGGCATGAATTTTAATCCCACGTCTTGCCATGACTTGCTTGAGGAGTTGATTTCGTAGCTCGGCTTCTGATTCTGAAGGCTGTCTTTTCGCGCTCCTCGATTCGTTCGCACTCGAATTGTCCGGCGGCCTCACTGTTCTTTTATAACCTGGATCGTCACCGGAGTCAATTTCCATCGGGATGATTTGAATGTCGTCGAATTCTCCCGGGCCAACTTGAATAGCCACGTCTCTCGAAGCTTGAATCCACTGAACCGCTGAACTATTAGAACTCTCTGTCGAGCAAGTACGCTGAATGGATTTCCACTTGTCTTCATTTTCTTTGAAATGCCAAATTTTGGGTTTCATTCTTTCTCGATATTTCGCCGTGAAAAGGGGTTCGACTATTTTTATTTTCGGATTTTTGCCGATTCTCGGTACTCGTCGAGGCATGAGCGGACTTTTAGAGTTCTTCAGAGAGGGATGATAGTTTTTCTTCCAATAAGGAAAGTCCCTTGGATCTCTGGAATTCCCGTCTTTCCGTTCTTTCTTCTCGTATTCGTATGAGTAGACTTTGACGGGGCGAGAGGCACGACTTTTATTTTCGCTGTGGAGAGCGCGTCTCCTAAGCTCAAGAAGCATCTTATCATCGTCTTCTTCTTCGCTTTCTTCTCGTTGCGGTGACGAAACATCGATGATTTCGCAGGAGGGATCATTATGAGGCGCTGTAATATCATCCTTCGACGTTTCTTCTTGGATCTTGGCGATTTTCTTATTGACTTCGTTGTACTCTTCCAAGAGCGAGGAATAATCTTGTCCACGAGTTCGAGGGACGGGAGGATTATCTTTTGGCGTAACTGTCACCGATCTGCACCAATCTGGAGACGTAAATGGATTCGCCTTCTTTGCGTTTTTCTTCTTGTTGTTTTTTCTTCCTCGCTTATTTTTGGGCCTGTTCAAGAGGTGAACTTTCCTACTGGCTTCACTTCCTTTCTGCCCGAAGAGATCCAGAGAGTTCGGATCTTCATCTGACTCGAGAAGCTCTCCGTCTTCGAGGTCGATTAGTTGCTGGTGTGCTGCCCATCCTGTTACTTCTGCTGATGTTATCTGAAAAGATCGCTTGAAGCAAGGACTTGTGAATTCACTCGCAATACCTTTTTGGGCTTAGACTTATTCTTAATTGCTAGCGCCAACTCATCCGCAACACAACTAGGGACCAGATCTTCTTGAGGAATGACGTCAGTGATCGTCAAGTCTGGCGATGGCGACTCCATCGGCGTATCCACATCGATTAAATCGACAATTGGTATATCATCGTCTGGATCGGAGAGAAGAATCGGGGAGGGGTTTCTGCTCTCCTCATTATTATGATGATCTGGGGAATTGTTTTGAGATACGTCAAGTATTATCAACGAGTTATTGGACTCGTCTCGAATTGGGGTTTTGTCAGACTCTGAACCAGGGTCAGAACCAATTTCGATCACCTCCGCAGACATGTTTCACATGTATCTTAATAGGAAAACGTCAAATGGAACGTGTATTATATATTTTTTCTATCTTTGGTCATTTTTTCATTTTCAGTGTTTTGAAAAAGATCAACAAGCGGAATGAACTGATGATGATGTTGTTGGCGGAACAAAACAGTAGCTCGCTTCGCTACTGATTGAGAGCTAGATATAGACAGAGATTTGACAGGATTGGAGTTTTGATTCCTACTTTGAGAGGAATGCTTTTTCTGGACAAGATTCATTTTCACGCAGACAGTTTTCGCCTATTCTTTCTGCTACTCCTTTGGGCGGGGAGAAAAGTATGACTTGATGCTTCGATTTGGCGTGCCAGTTGGCGTGTTCGTTTTGAGAATATTGGAACGAGATGATTTTATTAAAATCTTTTTAGCAGCGGGCTTCGGCGTTGATTGATCCTCGACGAACTTGCGTTTGACCGGAGTCGTCCGGAAATTGTTCCAGATCCTGAATAAATCATCGAATCAATCAGGGAGATTTAATTTGTGTTTACTTTGAGGGGCCTGTAGACATTGTTTTGAATTTTCTGTTCATCTCGCTTAATGTATCTTCCGTTGATTCACTGTTGGGCGGTTTGGCACTATTTTTGTAGGAAATCGTCAAGTTCTCTGAAGAAAATGAATGATAGGCAAGTTTTTTCTGATGAAAATTTACCTTCAACCAGTTCGGCTTTGACCACTTCATTTTTGTAGCGATTGTGTCTTTTCTCAACAATGTCATTGTGGAATACAGAGACTATACAGTCATCAGCAGCTAGGGCGAATCGACCTTTTCGAGACCAAGCGACGAACATCACTGGATCTATGTCCTTTCCGACTTTTATTCCTACAAGAATTTTAAATTGGAATTCAGTAAGAATACTAAACCTTTTACAGTACGCTCGAGTGGATAAGAACGAGGATATTCACTGACAGGTTCGTCTAGTGGATAAATACGCGGGCAACCATCGGTACTGCCTGATAGAAGGTATTTGCCGCACGGGGAGACGGCTATTTTCACATGATTATTTCCAGTGCCGTTCAATTCGTGGCCTTGGAAAGCGCGGCGGGGACCGTCTGGCATATCGCGCTGGAATTCGTAAATACTTCCATCCAGACAAGAAGCGAAAACTAGAAGAATGTGGTGTATTTTTGGGCAATTTTGAAGGGCTTACTTGAGGTAGACGAAGCAGTGAGCGAGGTGAACGGACGAGCAGTTCCAGTCGGCCCTTTAGGACTCTTTAAACAGAGTCTATTGTCAGTATGCCGGCAGAGTTTGCGCGTATCCCAGAGTTTTATACACTTGTCGGACATTCCACAAGTGTAGAGCTCATATTCGGAGGTATAAATGGCGCTTGAGATGGTCTTGTTTTTGCACGCGTCGGGTGTGATTTGGGACTTTTTCTTCTTCTCGCTGGGAAAGTCGAAGTGAGCGAAATCGATGTGGCGGCAGGGAAGAATGCGCTGGGTGGCGTTGACTTTGCGTTTCTCACGAGTGTCGTAAATTGACAGATCACAGTCTCTCCCACCGGCGGCAAAGACTTGAATAGGGATTAATGATTAGCGAAAGAAATAAGGGAGTCATTACCATGAGGATCAGTAGGCGAAGGAGCGAGGCATTTTACAGAGCCAGAGCCGAGGGGAGACTGAAAAGAGGAAACCAGCTGTTTCCCCTTCCAATAACTAATCGAGTGATCAGCGGACGAGATGAGAATTCCAGAGCCATCACAGGTCCACTTGGCGTCGGAAATTGCTGATCTGTGTGGCCGCCATTGATGGAGGAGAACTCCGCGCTCGTTGTTGTCGACGATATCTGTGTTGATGATCCCGACAGTGCCTAGAGAGTTTCAGTTGAAATCAACAAAGAGAACGGACTCGTCTCACCTTTGTCATCTGCGACGAGAAGGACATCTTGCGGCGCTGTGGGATGAAAGGCCAGACCAGCTGGAAGCGCCTCTGCGTCTATTCTCACGCAATCGGCATGATAAGAACGGTACTCTTGCAGAAACCGATTTCGACCGTAAATTTCCAAGCGCGCTTGTCTGATCCCAGAGTTACGATCTCGAAGCAAACCTGGCAAGCTCATTATTCTTATTCTGATGCTTTGGTCATTCTAAAATTGAGGAGGGAGTGACTTGTCTTTTGGAGGTTTTTTTTGTTCTTTTTGAACTTTTTTTGGAATTTTATTTAGAAGTTTAAAGGGCAGTGTGTAAATGTACAGGCATACTCTTGTGAAAGTAATTCTAGTCCTTGTCTGTTTGGTTAACGGAAAGAATAAATTACGAATAGTGTAAGTTCAGTTTAAATGAAGCTCCATTCTTAATTTTTAGTTTTTAGGGGACCTCTTTTTGTGAAGAACATTCAGTAAGGAGAAAACATGAATAACAGTCAATCTTAATTTGGTCTTTCTTATCTTTTTATTTTAAAAATTCTAGGGTGATGGGCGATTTTGTATGGCAGTTTTCCAAGCGCCACATCAGGCCCATTTTGAACACGAAAACTTAACTTAAATCTTACAAATGAAAGTAACATTGAATAAAATGTGGTGAGATGGAGCCTCATTTGAAAAAATTTGGTGCTCGCTAAATTGAGGATTAATCAATTAAATTTTTTATCTTTTTTATTTACATTTTTCAGGAGTTTTTGAATCTATTTTTTTGGTGGGCTAATAATAATAAAGCGGTCGTGGATTTTCATTGTCAAAATGAAAAGAAAAAGAGTGAGAATGGAGAAAATAGGGAGTATTGCGAAAATAGTTTATTTGTACATTTATAAAAAGAAATTGAGAGAAAGAGAAAGGATCAGCTTGGCAGATCAGTTTTTCCTATTTTACATATCAAGCGAAATTCAATCGAGTAAGCCAGCTCGGGCTTGATTGTTATTTACAGTTAGAGTTATTTCGACTTGCCAAGCTTGAATTTTAACTTTTACAATTGGAAATATTTTCAAAGTTTGAAATCGTGTGAGTACTTCGTGGTGCTATTATTATTTTAAGGTATTAAATGGTTGAACTTGGATCATTTGAGATTGAGAAATAAATAGTTTTTTTTTTTGTTTGATTTTTTCAAATAGACAGATTCCCAGTCAATGCAAGGTTGTCCTGGAAGCACAATTTCTGGATGAAGTCGTTTGCGTTGGGAGGGATTCAACGTTAGTTTTTAACTTTTGTGGGCTCTGTAACTTACAAAAACAGCTTCATGGCAATTAATAAAAATAAAAAATGCGCGATTAAATATGGATTGCGAAACAATTTCAAGAGAAAAATCAAGTGAAAGAAAGCTGACTGTCATTCCATCAAAGAAAAAGGATTAAAAATGGGATGACAGTTAGTTGAGTTTCTGAAAAAGTTTCTTGTTTTTAGGGTTTTGAGAATTTTTTTGTTATGATGACATTTTTATATTTTTTTGGGCCATCGAATTTCGTTAGTGGTGGTAGTTTCGATGCGTTTTGGGGGTTTTGAGATTTTTTTGGGCATTTTTTTGAAAGAAAAATATTGAGTAGAGAAATTGAGTAAAGTGGTAAGGCAAATAAAAATATATAGAGCATTTCTATCGTTCTACGCTCCTGGTTATCGGTGTAATTACGATTTGATTGAGCGTAGAATAATAAAAGCCGTGGAGAATAAATATGTACAGGTACGATCACGTTTTTGAAATAAATAAGCGTTGCTCGTTAATATTAATCATAGTCTAGAGTGGGAGTACTTTTTTCAGCAGCTCAGTAGGGGCGCCTGTTGCCCTGATCCATCGATCTTCGACCGTCTCGGTCATTGTACGATCCTTGGTCGAAGCGTTCTTGTTCCCGATGTCTATCATTCGAGTAGTTGTCATTCGATTTCCTTGGCTGATACAAGTCTCGTTCACCATCGCGTCTTCCGTTTCCTGGTTTTCGGGTGCTAAAAATACCGTTAGTTCTCCTTGATTTCCATGATAGCAATAAGCAAAGTAAAATATAACCCCGTAAAGGTCTTTTTAAAAAGCTGAATAACTCCAGAACCATTTGAGAAAGAGCTCACTATGGGAGATAGTCAACAACTTTACTGTGTCTTATCTTACTTCGAACTGTGACTCGGACTGTTCGGGTTATCTGAAAATTTGAATCTGTACCGCGTGCTATCAGAGGCCAGACCGCCACCAGAGCGGCCACCACCACCGTAGCGGTCACGATCGCCACGTGGTCGGTGATCCTGTGGATGGTCCATCTGATTCGAGCCTGTGCGGTAGGAGTAAGGGTCGTCCATTGCCGCGCCTCCACGGGCAGGTCCACGGGCGGAGCCACGGTTATTGAAGCCACGGTCATTGCGATGATGCATGCCACTGCTGACCATATTTCCATATGGAGGCATGTGACTATGAGGACTTTCGATAAGGATAGTTGACAAATTCATCATGTAAAAATAATGAAAATAATCAATATTTGCATGAAATGTCGCAATCCATTCCTTGGTTGATCATCCCTGTAGTTGCCTCTCTGACCTTGCTGATTTTGCTTCGATCTTCCAGATGAAACTAAACTCGGCGACTCTTTTCCTCTGTAATAATCATCATTTGGCACAGGACTGGACCCATCTGAGCCCCGTCGCGAGCGCGCCGTCGAACGAGAATTCAAGGACTCTCTATCATCATCATACATGAGTCGATCGTCGTAATTTCTATCGTGGCGGTACGAGTTGTTGTCATTTTTGCGTCCATTCTTTCTGTTGTGCTCCCATCGGCCGCCTGAAGATACTCCGGAGCCAGTTCTTGAGTGGCCAGTGTTGTATCCTTGGCTTTCGGAATTTGATTGATTATTTCGAGCAGTGTCTCCTTTCGGTCCTTGTTCAGACTTTCGATTTCTCTCTCCAGGAGTGTTCTAAATAAATTATCATAAATATTTATTCACTATCGAAGAACTTTATATATGAAGAACATTTTATATAGGTTTTGATATAGAAATATCCCGATCAGACTTCGGTTTAAAAACCTTTACACCAAGAGGCTGAAGTGCATTTGAAATGAGTCTGCTCTTGAAATTGATTCTTTTGCTAGGACTTGGATTAGCATTTGGCGACTTAGAAGCGTTTGGCATCGAGGAGTGGTCGTCAGAGCGCTCGTGGGTCGAGTTGTCTGACTGACTGCTTCGGTTTGGTCGACTATTGCTCGGGCCTGGATTCGATGTGATTGCATCCATTGGGTTGACGTTGACTGAATAAGTGTTACTGACTGAAAAATGAAGATGTCTAGTACTTGAGTTAGTTCGGACTCTTCGACCATTGTCATTATCGTTGTACTTTCTCGACTCTCTGGAAGGCATGAGACTGTCCGACTTTCGACCACCTTTCTTTCTCGAGTTACTTTCTGGATAATCATTGTATCCACGATCATACTCGTTATTCGAGTCATCATCAGCGTCGATATCGCCATTGTCCCTGCTTCTCACATCATCGTCATCATCCTCATCGGTTTCGCTGCCAGCATCTTCGCTTGAGTAGTCCTGGAGCATCGTGTTCTCTGGCGCATTGTGGTGGTAAGGAGCATTATTGTATGCGTTGTGCATTGGAGGCTCATAAAGTGGCATTTGACCAGGAACATTGATGCTGTTGTGTGAGTTAACCACGTGACGGGAATCGCCATTCGCAGGAATTTTAGGCTCCGAGTTCTTTGTTCTGATAACTTGTCGATTATTGTTCGAGACAGCAACGGTAAGCGGGCCATAACCACCGGTTTTCTGACTTGCTTCATCAGCGGAATCATCAGAGGGATCAGTACCTCCTTGCGAACCTTGGTGTGGCTTGGCTGGAACTTGTTTCACAACAACGACTGGTTGGACTGGTTCCGGCGCTGGTGGCGGCGGTGGAGGCTGAAGTCGAGGCACTTGGTGCTTCCAGTGGCGCATTACCCAGTTTCGATATGCGTAGACTTCATCTGTGATGAGAATTATTCGTCCAAGGATCGATTGATTACAGTCATGCGGGTAATGAAGCGCTTGTGGGCTCACACCTCGGTCAAGCAGGCGGTAGGCAAAGAGAAAGGCGTCTTTAACGTTCTCAGCGCCATGAGAAGCCCGGCCGACATCATTCGAAGGCGTTAGAGGATCTTCGATGGAAAGAAAGTTTGGAACGTATTTTGGACCAGAGGGAGCTTCTTTCATCTGAGCCGCCATTTCTTCCTTCTTGATGAACTGACCGCCATTCTTGACGCGAATGCAGCATTTGCTGTACTCAAACTCCATTCCGTAGAAGCGCAAGAACTTGATGAGCAGCACTCCTAGATTTACTTCGTCAGCTGTGTCGTCTGCGCCCTGTTGCTGGAGAAACGAAACGACCATCAGAATCAAGCCGTAAGAAGAGATGCCACCTGTCCAGACTTCATTCATATCTCGCTGCAACAGGAACTGCTTCAAGACAAGAACGAGGTATCGAAGAGCGGGGAATTGTCTGATGTAGCCCTTGACAAGGCCGATAGCGGTGACACCAGTCTTCATGTTGAAAGAAATGTCGACCTTGATGTCCGTGATCATATCTCGCATTTTGATAATTGGCACGGCCGCGCTGTCGATAACCTTTATATTGTATCGCTCGGCAATGCCTTGTTTCAGGAGCCGGTCCTGTAGCCTGTAGTGAGGACTGTTCTGTGGGTTCCCGTAGCGCTGGTCGATCTTTTCGCCAAGAACGACCATGTCGATGTCCGAAGTAGGCAGGTACAATCCTGTCTGAAACGAGCCAAAGACTTCCACCTGTGCTCCCGGGAATTCCTGCTTAATCGCCTCTTCCACCCGGAGTACCACGTCGTGCCGCATCGTGTACTCTTCCGGCGTCGATCTGATCCAGTTGTGAAAGTCGATTATTTCTTCGTGGAGTCCTTGCATCCCCTGGCTTAGCGGCGAAGTGATCCAGGGGGCGTGATTTCGGGAACGATAAACCTTGTATTTTAGAAAATCGATGCTCTCGACTGAAGCTGGATTTTCAGCGCGTATCAAGGCGATCGGACTCATTTCTTCAATTCCCTTCACCTGCATCAGCACACTGAGCTTTTCCTTTTTCATTTCTTCTGGTATAGGCGGGTCGTAGCGTGGAGGAGGAGGACGTTTTTGCTGAGCAGCTGTTTGCATTAGCGCTTGTTGAAGTTGAAAGGGAGTAGGAGGGATTGCACCATTCATCAAGTTGAATCGGATCCTGAAAATAATGGATTGATGAGCCTGGAAATATCCTTACTGTTCGGCTTCGTTCTCTGCTTGCTCCTTATCGAGTGACTCGGCGAAGTTTTGATATAGGTCCGAGGCAGGACCCATCTGCTCGGGCATGAGCCACGAGATTTTTCCCGACATCGTGTTGTTTTCCGATTTCTATTATCTGAATCAAAGAGACCATAAGAAGAAAGCCTGTCTTGGCGGTTGGGACTCAGCAGAAGCTGATGCAACTTGTGATGGCAAATGAAATTAACCCTCAAGATAGCTTACTGTCAGCTTCGGCTGGCACAGGGTGAGACAACTTGGATCAACCATATGATGTCATAAAAACGTTAAGAAATTGAAGTGAAATGTATTGAAGTAAATTGGGCAGTGAATGTAACTGAAACACAGGGAGAAAAGAAAGCCGTGAAAAGAATTATTTACTTGAGGAAAATGAGCAAATCATTTTGCTCCTTCTCTTGTAAAATCGTCGTGAACTCGTTGATCTTTTCGATGATTTCGTCGCTCGAAACATCTTTTGAATTTTTCTCTAAGCGCTCGACAATAGCGTTGTAGGAATTGTGAAGCTCAAGCTAAAGAAGAAGATGACTCAGGTCAAGACTGATTTAATCAGAATGAGTCTTGTTTACATACGTCTAAGAAGAAGCAGTCTCGCAGACAGCTATGCAGCATTTTCTCGAACGCTTGCATAATTGCTTCCAGATCTTTAACTTCTAGCGACTGTTGGAATAGCTTCCAGTTTGTTTGCAACTTCAGGGCTTGGTGACAGACCATTCCGGATACCCATCGTTTGATTACGAAGAGCTTCGGTTCAGCAGGAAGGTCCAGGCCCATGGATGTGAAGATGACGTTCAAACGGCCATGAAATTGATAGATGATGTTACATTTGTGCGTGTGGCCTTCTGTGAAAAGAAACTAGAAAAGATTTTAGGAAGGGAAAATGGACAAAAAAACCTTCAATCGAGGATCGATAACTGGCGAAATAAGGAGCTTCGAAAGTTGATTTTTCGATTTGAATGGATAAGGACTTGCGCCGTTCTCAAGCGGAGTAATATGCGACTTCGACACTTTGATGTTAAAAAGGTCTTCGTAATTGTCAACGCCACATTTCCAGCAACTCAGGTTCCACGCTCTTTTGTAAGGATTCCAGGCGTTAACATCAGTCAAGTGCTGAGCGAGAAAGTCAGAGAAACATGTGAATAAGTCGCCTCTGTTCATCAGATAGACGTTTCGGATGTTCTCGAAGTGCTTTGTCAGCATTTGATTTTCCTGGCAAATGTTCCACAAGAAGCTGGAAATGAGCTTGAAGACTTTTTCTGTTACTTCGTCCAGGCGATTCCAGTCCAGTCGCTCGATTTCAACGTTGGTCAGGTCCCAGTTTAGCTGCCCCTCGCCGATGATCAACTCTTCGCACAGCTCGAAAATGTCAGAGTCGAGTTTTCTAGTTGTGTAGTCGTCTTCACCTTCTTCTTCCTTTCCCGAATTCATGGTCATTTCTTGAAATTTTCTTTATTTTTTTAAACTAGTTCGAAAAGGTCACCTTGGTTCTTGATCATTTTTCTCCAATTTCCAGCAGCTACGATTCGATTTGCAGCACAAGAAGAGACACAATTCGGCACTCGATTGTAAGCTAAATCTGCGCTAGAAATGAACGCATCTGTGCTCTCCTCCTCGCGTTCTTCCAGAATAAATCCTTCTGCAACAGATCCTATCAGAAAGAAGGTGATTAGATGGTTAAACGGATCAATCTTGCCTTCTCGATACCAAGAAACCAAGTCCTCGAAAAACCTTCGCTCAAGAACAAAAAGAATACTTTGTAGAATTTGTCGCAATACGCTACTCGCTAGAAAATAGTTGATTCTAGCTCCTTCTGGGCATCCTTACCTGATGCTTTCAGGACAAAGTAATTCTCCAAAATATCAATCACTGCCGCACCCTTTTTCCTTCCTTCTTCGAGCTCATTTATGAGCTGCACGCATGTTTCAAGAACATTTGACCATCTCCCGTACTGCGCGAAAATATGGCCCAAGGTAATCTGCCCGCCTTGGAGAAATTCCTCTTCGATTTCGTTGACGAAGCCGTCATAAGTTTCTTGAATTGAGTACTCCAACGCTGATTTCGCTATATCTTCGTATGATTGAAAACTTCCTGAAGAAAAGAAAGGTTGATAAGGGGAGATAAAGATTGATTTTTAAATTTACCTGTGGATGAAGACGTGAATTGGTAAATCTTCGCTCTTAGGTTTCCTAGCTCTAGAATTTTGTTCAGAAGGTCGATTTCTCCTCCCGCGAAAAGGATACTCGGCTCTTTTCGGCTGAACCGACTGAAGTTCCCATTTTCGTCTTGTGTGAAAATATGTCCGGGAATTCCTTTCAACGCCAAGCACAAGTCCTGTATCATTCTGAAAGCAAGATAGGATTTATAGCGGAAATTGAATAATCTTTGATTAGCGATATTTTCCAAAATAGTGTTGATCCATTTGAGAAGCTGCACCGTGCTCGGTTTGACTCCAAAAGATCGGCTGGCCCATGGTGTGGTTCCAGCGCGTTTTATCGGTCCGCAAACCCATCATATTCTTGGCGAACATCTCTCGACGCGTGAAAAAGTTTTCATTCGCCATTTCTATTTTTCGCTCTTCTTCATAAATTTCTGTAATAAGGGTCAAAAACTAGATAAAACGTCTTATTTTGAGATTTCTTTGCGGTTTGAAAACTGACCAGAAATCTTAATAATCGAAAAACATGGAAATAGATTTGTTTCGAAGATTGAAGAGTGCATCAGCAACGCCGGCAAACAACACACTCTTCAAACAAAATCTATTTTTGGCAATCTTTGACCCTAAATTTTAAGATTTTCCCTACTCATCGGGATCATACTATCCTTTACAAGCGGAAATCTCGCTAATTTCTTATTCTCCGGCCCTTCCACCGCATCAATCGCATCCTGCAGCCCCTGGTAGACGTGGAAAAACTCGACTTCATCATCGCAATCGATTTCCAAAATCACCGTGCGCGCTACAAAATTGTCAAAGCAAGCTGTTTTAATGTCAAAAGTTGCCAACTTGGCAGTTTCAAAAACCCGGTTTGAGACTTCATTGGATATTGTTAAAAAGTGCATAATAAAACCTAATTGAATTTGATCAAAGAAGAGGAAAGCGTGATTCAGAAAGGCAGAGGTGTTAATTATTTATTGACCCTTTGGGACTCCCCAATTGGGTTTGACAAAAGCTTTACCTTTGGTTCAGCTTTTTTTGAAATAAGGGCCGACGAATCTTTAGAGACGTAATTCGAAATTATAATCAATTTCTGAATACAATTTCGTTTAATTAAAATGTATTTTCAATTAACTATGGCTTTATTTTACGCTTGAGAGATTTGCTTCATCAGATCTGTAATTCACAAACTGGGAAGATACTTTTTTATTATTTTTTTATCGAGAATAATTTTTAATGATCTTGATTCTTCAGAACAACAGAAAATATCACGCCATTTCGAAAAAGTCATAAATTCTTTCCTCTTTCGCGCACAAGAGAAAACAACAAGGACCCTCTCTTTTGCTTTTAATTTTTTTTACCTCTTACAGGTGTACACCAATAGTGAATTTTTCCCTTGCCGCCACCTGCCGTCGCGCACTCGACGTGCTTCGTCACCGGGTACCATGGATCGGGAATGCGGAAATACGCGTGCATGCCCATTTCTTTCGCCTTTGTCGTCGGCAAGTTGAGAAAGCGATTGAGCGCCAGTTCCATCGCCTTCATGTACTGGTGGTGCAAGCGAAGTCCTTGAGTGGCGACGATGCCGAACTTTCCTTTCATTTCGGCGAAGTCGTCCAGAGCCGCGCCTCGTTGGAGATAGTCGGCTCGTTGTTTTGAAAAGGCGGTTACGCGCATGTTGTGATTTTCTCCTGTAGCTCGGATATTTGCCGCTTTTTCCTTGAAAAAATGAGTCAAACTATTTTTTTCTTTGAAAGAACCTGTCTATCGAATCTAGGAATAACTTTGGGCGTGATATCATTCGGCCCATATCGATATTTTCCCGCTGCAGAAATCGATGTCTGTAGCGATCTCCGAGAGATCCCGGCCCCGATCATTTGCTACAAAAGTGATAATTTGAATATTTTTGTTTCTAGAATGAAAAAAGATGACAGATGCAAAAGAAGAACTTGAACTAGTAAAAATGGAGGCTACTGCTCCGGTTATTGGAGAATCGGATGTTTCTATTTCAGTTTCAGGAAAAGATGAGACCATTTTTGTGAAGATTTTTTTAAGAAAAAGGGTTGAATAATTATCTTTGTGAAGAAAAATTAGTGGAAGAAAACAACAATCTCCTCGAAAAACTGCCGAAAAAGCCTGTCCCAGAAAAGCCTTCTCAAGAACAACCTCGTCCTCTGGATTATCTAAAAGCTTCTGTAATTTTCTTCACTGTAAATATCTTTCTCATTCTTCTCGGCAGTAAAATATCTAATTGCGGCTGGTCTTTCAAATAGAATAAAGTTGTATCATTAAACTTTCGCTCGATTATGGTTTCTTTTTTTTCTCACGCAAAATTCGTGGGCCAATTCTGTGGTGGCGCTTTCCCCGAATCGACCAATCAGCGCGCGCGGAGAATTGGGATGGGAGCTCACGGTCTTGGCATGGCATTGATTTTCACGCCCCAGTGGGTTTTTCCTGTTTGAAGTTTGCCGCCTTCGTAAATTAGTTTTATGATGTCATGCCTTGCAGATGAACTTTTTGACACTTGCAGAAGCGTAATCACAGATTTTTTTTCAATGAAATTTTTATTAAAATCGGTTCATACACAGTTTTAGCAGTCTCGACAGTCGATAATACCTTCTCTCTGATTTTAAATAAATTTGGTTTCTTTTTTTGCTTCATTTTATTGTTTTTTTTTCATTTTTCGAGGCATTTCTCAAAGCAAATCCCTGGGTCGCCAAGCAACGAACTGAAAAAATAATTCTCTAGATCTTTTGTTGCTTTTCTTTACGTTTTTCTCCTACGCACTTTTGTCTTGAATTTATTTATGCGATAGTGAGCATTCCATTTTTTTGTTTCTAAAAGAGGGATCTTTTTCAGAGAGGAAAAGATAGAAAATGTCAGTCGATATCCAGCACATTCTTTCGAACGTCCAGACAGGTCTTCAAGATCAAGCAGAGAAGGTGAAAGAAGCAACAAAGAATCGAGATAATTCGGCGCAGAATATCGCCAAATTGGAAGCTCAGTTGAGCGAGACCAAAGTTGTCATGGACGAACTCGGTAGGTTCATTTTCAAGAGGAGTCCTCGTTGATTTCAATCCATTTTTCAGAGCATGTCCCAGAGGGTCGAAATATTTACAAGTTGCTTGGCCCGTGCCTGGTTCTTCAAGACAAAGAAATTGCAATGCAGACGATTAAGAATCGCCACAGTCATATGACCTCAGAATTGAAAAAGTAAGATCGCCAATTTTTAGCCTCTCTTTATCAAAAATTCCTTCAGAACTGAAGAAAACACGAAGAAATTTAGCGAGCAGATCATCAAGGAACAAGCTGCTCTCAAGTAAGAACCCGCTTTCTCTCTTTTTTTTCCAGCCCGTTTTCTAGTGATTTGGCAGAAAAAGCCGAGCAAATCAGACGAGCCATCACTCAGCAAACCTAGACAAAAACAAAGAAAAGTACAGTTTCCTCATTAGTACCAATAGTCACTCATTGAATCCATGTATGCACGAATTTTTTAATGTATTATCGGTAACCTGCCTGTAATAAAATCCATATACACACGCTTTTAACAGATATATTTAATTCTAACAGTCTACTGGAGATAGAAGCCAACGGTCTCGTAATTGTTCAGAAAGCCGGGGGTGTTTGCTTTTGAGTTCTTTCCACAGCGAAGGAGCGACATTGAGTTCAGTTCTAAAAGAGGATTGAGGATTGGGAGAAGAGTGAAAAGAGTCTTACGAGTAGCAGCGGACATTCTGTGATCATCCATCTTTTCTGGGCCGCATTTCGTAGCGGGCAAGCCTGAAATTTTTAAACAAGAAGCAGAAAATGGCCGTACCTTGGTCGTGACAGTCGAATTCATCAGTACCCTGGAGCCTGATTCTCTGATCCTCAGTGAAACCGATTGGATGTCCAAAAGTGTCGCTGTAGTAGAGGAAGTAGTTTCTCGCGGATCGGGCGTAAGAGACGTCGAAGTATTTGTAGTGGACTTGGAGGAAGAGATCTTGGGGTGTCACGAAGATTCCCTAAAGAAAACTTCAATAGGGGTGGATGAAAGAGGTCTTACCAAAGTTTCATTGGCAGTTTTATGCTTGCAGCCGATAAATAACTCAGACGTTTCTGGATGCGATTTGAGATAGTCCATCAGTCGATGACCTGATTCTTCAGCCATGACGCCGAAGTACTTAGCAAAACCATTTTCCATTAGGGTCTCCTGGGTCATGTTTCGGTGGATCACATTTCCTAAATTCATTTTTCTTCTCACTGTGATAACAAGCTAACTTACTGTCAAGGTTTGAAAATGTAGGGAAAATTGCTCGGTCACTTATCATTGGAAGGGTGTCGCAAGTGTACTGTCTGATTGATTTTAAATTTTAAAGTTGAAGTTCTAGTTTTTACCGTTCAGCCTTGCAGGGGCAGTCGGTGTTAATGCAATCTTCGTACTCGTTGATCTTTTCGTCCATGCAAGTCAAGTTCGTGTAGGGACACACTTGGACGTTGTTGTCCATGTGACATCGTTGTACGCACTGAATCGAAATGTTTACAGAAAATTCATGCGTGGAAGGGATTTTTCTGCATGAAAAAATAAAGCTGGCGGAAAATAGGCTGGTCCACTTGAGGAAGAAGTATTTAGGGTGCTGTCTCAATAATTTTTCAAAAAGATAATGTCATAGACAGAAATATAAAATGACTCAAGTATGTACCTACCTAGCTTAATCTTCTTTGCGCCTGCGTATTAGCTTGCTAAGAAAGAGGCAGTTAGACCCTAATCAGTTTTAATTCAGACTGATGGATTCTGCGAAAGGACAACAAGTTCCATATTTTTTGCTGTACTCACTTGTGTTATATGATATAACTTATATATTATATAAGAGAAATATGCTTGAATTATTAATGCCCTTTATAAAATGAATTCGAAATCTCATACGCAACCCCGTTTTAAAGGACATTAATTCAATATGATTCTGTTTTCGAAAATCATACACAATACGGCATGTCCGCATTATCATTACTCTAATAAAACATTACCGCTCTCTGTTCAATACTGTGAAGTTCCTCGCAACTCGTACACTGAAAGTTCTCACAGGGACATCCTCTGTAGCAGTTGATATTGCACGGACACTCTGTAAGCATTGTTATTCGTTGCATGTTAGAAGTGTGTGTATTACGTACCGTTTTCACAGCGCACTTTTTTAGTGGCACATTCTCGCTTGCAAGAGTTGTCTCTGTTGCACTGGCGGCGGCAGCGGTAGTATTCTTGGAAGCAGTCACTTTCGCATTGAATTCCTGAGAAAGAAATTAAGGATCGACATCAATGTTCTGCTTTCAGATTGACATTTTTACTAAAATTAACAAAGTGACACCCTTATTCTTTTCCATTAAAAAACCCCACTCGAAAAGCAAATAAACAAGGTGTACCCCCTTATTTTCTTTTTCTTAGAACTTCACGTTACATAAATGATCTCAAGGACATGAAAAATTAAGCATTCGATTTTGAATTTCTTTGCATCCGCCTTCTCATGATTCTCAAATTACCTTGGTCCACATCGTCCTCGCTGCATTTCGGGTTAAAAGTCGGGCTGAGCCGCAATTTCGCTTCCAAAGCACTTTGTCGGGCAAAAGAAGTCTGTGGATTTCTTCTGGCAGCTTCTACCTGCAGCGAGGCAAGAGCAAAAACAAGCAGCTTCATCTCTTTATGAAAAAAGGAGGGCTTTTATTTAGGCTAGCTTACGGTAATTCAGCAAATACCGAATTCAGAGCTTGTGTGTTTATTTGTTCTTGTTCAGAATAGCGATTCTCAGTATTGACCTTGTACGTTCGTCTGTACCTGCTCGAATGAAAGACTTTTAGCTACAGTTATTCGAGCAAATAAAGAGAGACAAAAATGAAGACGATAGATTTTTATGAAACCTTAAAATGAAGCCTTGGAACTACCATCTGGCAGTTGGAACTCGAAAATCAATAATGAAAAATTATCAATAAATGAAGATAAAAGCGAAAAAATTTAGCTGTCATTATAAAATGATTCTTTACATGAAAAAGTTTTGCAAATTATGTCGACAGTATCGTAGCGATACCCTTACTGGGCGTTTTTATTTGTTCTTGATGCTGAGAGTCTCTTCTGATTCAGAAGTTCTGAAGCAATTCTCAGTATTGACCTTCTACTTTTGTCTGTACTTGCTCGAACGAAAGACCTTTAGAAGATAAAAAGAGAGATTCTCATGAAGTGAATAAATTCTTGAAATTTTTTTTTTGAAATGATGCCTTATCCGCTGTAGCGATTAGAGCCAACGCCTTCTTCCAAAATCAACTATGACAAATACGCTTCACCTAAAATTATTATAACGATCACTGAAGAAATCGACGAAGAAAATTTTTTTCCCAATTCTTTGAAAATGATGCTAACGTCACTGAGTTATCAATATCTGCCTACGGAAAGCCTTATTTTTATGAATTTCCATCAAAATCTCTGATTATCAATAAATAAGTTATTAAAAATCCGTTTCTTGTTTAAAATCATCAGCAAGCTTAAATATTGAATTCGAGGTCAATAATTACGTTTAACCTTTTTCAATACTTTAATGGTTGTCGAAAAAAAGTCTTCAACGTGGATATCGTTTATTTTTATTTACCGCTGAACAGAGCCCAAGAGTGTTCTTTTCAACAAATCTTGTCAGCTTGTTTTATTTATGCCAAATCGGAAAGGTCAGCTTTTGGCGCGGGCAATTAAGAAATTATTGAAAAGTTATTTTTTTTCTTGCAAAAAGGGATTTAAGAATCAATCAAATCCGGGTGAGGCAATTACTCCAACGTGTTCTTTCGTTAAATCGAACAAGCTTTTCAACTCTTGTTCAAAATAGAAGGAAAAAGAAAACAAATACAACACGTACAAGGAAAGTTATAAAGAGAGAAAAAGGGGTCGAAACAGTGGTAAAAACAACGTGCGAGACTAATCCAATGCCACCAAAGATATTCTCCGGAACTCTTAGCAATCTAGTCAAAAGGGCGTATCGTTCAAGAGACCCTTTCCTAACCTTTGAGAGAAATTGAAAAGAAAAATATAAACATTTGAATGAACACAAAATAAAATGATAAGTAACGCTTATCCTTGTTTACCATCCTTTCTTCCCCGTAAAAATCATGAGCGATAGAGCAATATAATATAGGCTATATAGGCCATATGATATAGGCTAAATCCTTATTTTTCAGGAAAGGCCTGGTTCTTCTGTAAAAGCAGAATCGATGTGGGAATCATTCACCTTTTCCAAAAAGAGTTTTGACAAATGTAGTGAAAATTCGAGACTGTATAAATATTAGCCTCTAACGAAGAGGTGTGAGCGAATATTCCATAATCTATTGAATAAAGGCTTTGATGCATAAATGTTAAAATTGCCTTAGCGAAAAAGAGATGTAAAAGTATGTATTTCCTTTTGAAATGATGCCCAATCCGCATGGGATAACAGATCAGAAATAAAGATATGAAGAACAAGATTTTTTTAAATGAAACGAAAAGCAGATGTTGGACTGAAGCAAATAGCCCACCAATTTAGTGGCAACGAGTATATACAATTGTTTAGGAAAAATAGAGAATAGATGATCCTTATGTATACAGTATACAGTATAAAATATATAATAAACTTGAAGAACAAAGAGGCCTTAAATTTGTTTCATTGCATCAACTCTGTATCAATGTCTGAAGCAGTTATCTCGTCCAAAAAGTGTTTTGAAAAAATGTATTAAAAATAAAAATCCTCACCGCGATACACGTTCTCCTCCGTGATTACATTATTCCACAATCTTGCGGTAGCTATCAAAATCTCCTTTCGAAATTCTTGCGCAAAAATCAGAAAAAAAAATCGAAAAAGTCCTCCGCGAGCGGGCGATAGCGCGCTATCGTGAGCGCTCAGCGTGCGCCGCCGCGCTAAGCGCATCGTGAAGTAACGGAAGAAAAAAATTAATACGAATCAAGAAGATCTAAAATTCTATCGATTTTATTTTTTATTGCAGAAAGAAGAAGAGGATAGCTGTGAAGAAGTTTTTGAAAGAGCAAAAAATAATTCGATCAAAGCTAAAAAAATCACTTTTTGTCTGCTGAATATTTCAAATAGAGATCGACTGCTTCGTGTCTTGATTTTGAAGGTATGATATTCATCGTCAGTAACTGATTAGCAACGAATTAAATATGAATGAGAAAGCTACCGGACTACTTAAAATATTCCGAGTTAGAAAAAACCTGAAAAAGTTATATTTTCATTTTTAAATTGCTACTTATGGCGTGAGCTTAAAAACCTGTGTAAAACGTAATTCAGGGTCCTGAAAGGTTTAAATAAAAAGCCGCATAGCGGCTTAATTAATTTGAATAAACAAATTTGAATAATAGATAAAGATCGTATTTTTGGCGAAGCCGCTTTGCGGCTTCGTAATAAAAAAAGCCGCTACGCGGCTTTTGATTAAATCATTTCTGAACCCTTAGTCAGGTTTTCTGTCAAGCCCTTATCAAACTATTTTATTCAAAGATATATTTTGTGCGCTAAAAAAATAACTTGATGAAACGCATTTGTCTAGATAGTAGGATCGCCCTAAGTTTTGCCAGGTGAAGAGTTGAGCGTGATTGAATTGAAAAAGACTCGGCTTTCTTTATACAATTTTGGCAGATGGATGGCAGCAATGTGAGGCCGATTAGTTCACAACTCGGGGATTGTTTGAGCGGCAGCGATTTGGAATAATAATTAAACGCATCTATCTTGTTGCGCCCCAATTTTCGCAGAAATTAGTTTCGAACAACCGTTTCTATGAAACTTTAAGGGGGTGGTGGTCAAGAAAATTTTTTTCGACTTTTTAAAATTTTGATATTATTTTTTGATTCCTTGATAAAAAAGGAGCATTTTTGGTCTCTAGCTTTTTTTGATTGGACCAACTTTATTTAAGAAAATTTTCGATTTTATGCTATAAAATCGCCATTTTTGGGGAATTTTGAAACGCGTTTTTTTTGCACTAAATTGATCAAAATTGATTTTTTATTGCGAAGTTATTATTCTTGATCATATTTTAATTATAACAATCTAAAAAATTACGATTATTGTGATGTTTTCGAAAATTTCATTGAAAAAATGAGTGAAAATGACGATTTTTCAGAAAACAACATGTTTTCATTCAATTACCAGTTTCTTTTCTAACAAGGTGAACTTTCTAAAAGTAAGCCGCCCACACGCTTAAGGGTCTAAACTTTCTTCTCAAAAAGTTTTATTTTGAAAAAAATGATAAGGGGATAGAGTTTTTTTGGTTAAGAGATGGGTCTACTTTGAAGGAATTTTTCACCATCTTTGCGAAAAAATATTTTTTTCAGACATAGCCGCCCACATAAATTGAACCCTTTTCAACTTATTTTCAATTATAGAAAAAAAAATTTTTTTGAAAAAATTTGAGATTTTTAGGTTGAAAAAAGTCTTAGTCTCGACCACCACCCCCTTAAGGGGATAGCTTTCGTTAAAAGGGTTGATCATTTGCTTGGCAACATGTGTAGAAAACCTGACTCAGGGTTCGTAAAATCTCCTATGAAAAGCCGCGAAGCGGCTTTTTTCAAAACGAAGCCGCAAAGCGGCTTCGCAAAATTACTTTTGCAATCAATTTTCAAACTCTAATGTTTCCGAGGCCAGGATTCATATTAACGTGAAGAAAAAGATTACAGTAAGAATAAATCCCGAAAATTTGACTCGAAGTGAGCTGGTTGTCATTTTTCTCAAGAGGGCTTAAATTCTATACATCCGAAATGTTTGACACTTTGTTTGAAAAATGCGTGTTTCAGACATCTTCTTTTCTTACTGTAAGATCAGAAAAAACGTTACGTGTTCGGAATTTGAGAATTTCATGGCCCCGGATTTCTCCAAAATCAGCTTTGTGATAAAATTTTGCGTCGTGTCCGGCCGCGGTGAAATGAAATTTCAGCTTTCAGTCATTTTTTTACCAAATTTTTGTCGAGCTAGTTCAACGTGAAAATTGATTCGATTTCAAAATCGCAAACAAAAAAAAAATAAAATTTAGCATAATTTTAGCTTCTCAGCTCTCATTTTCTGTTGAGGCTCTATTGGAACCTTACCGTAATGCGGCAATTTTGCCTGTCTGGAAATCGCGATTTACGGTGACTTCACGTAAAAATCTAAGTAACCGCGGATTACAGACAAGAGCTTGTTCCCATTGCATTGAACGCAGATTGAACCGAAAGGTTATAAATTGGGAGCGGATGGTTCTGCACCTTAGCGGTTTGACCCGCTCCATCTTAGTCCCCACAGATGCACAGATTTTATTTTCATCACTTTCGGCGAAGATTATCGAAAAACGTGAAACTTGATAAAAGTCAAAAAATGAAAACAAAAGCATATGAATATATTGTCATTTATTTAATCATTTTAGTTTCACAGAACAGTCTGGATTCATTTTGCCACTGGAAAATTAACATTTATAAAAACCCTTTTTGCTTCATTTTCTCATTTCTCATTTCTTATTTTTCACTTGACCGAAAGTGAAAGATCCGTGCCTTATATTCCGAAAAAAGGGTGCGCTCTTTAATTACTAGGTTTTAATAATAGATAAGTTACTGATATAGGGGCGAAAAATGTCAAGGGAAAGCGCTTATGTCAACTTTCAAAGCGGGATAATTATTTATTTTCAATTATGTGCCATTTAAAATCGAATTGAAGGGCGCACGCAAAACAGATGATCCATCTTAGATATATTCCTGTATTTTTTAAAGATTTAGAAAATTGTTTATCGGAGCTATTTCTTTTTCAAAAAAAAATCAAATTGATTCTATTACTGGTCGCTTTTTCGTCGATTAAAAATCACTCCCCAAAACGGTTTTTTTTTTATATTTTGCCATCAAAACGCTAAATATTTTGGAAAGCAGCCGCTAAATTTTTGTTTCTGTTTTGAAATCAACAAAATCGTTCTTCGAGCAAAAGGGATTAATTTGGCGAAAGTCGATTATGTAAGCCGAGATCTGTGTGGAGCGCGATTTATGCAAGTCTTTGACATTTGGTGTTCTGAACGGATCCGGGTGTCAAAGAAATCTTGTTCCAGTCGCTTTCGGCGGCTAATCAACAGATCCACAACATGCGCAAATCTGAATTTCCTCGTCTAACTGAAAAATAATCCGCCCCAGATTCTGGCAGGTCAATTTGATCAGTTACTGTAATACTTCTCTATATAATTCCGAATAACATGGATAGACTATTCCTCGATGGATCATTTGAACTTGAACTAAGGAAACTACCGTATTTTTTCTATCGCCATCTTCATGCAGCTCGACAATCTTACTTGAATTATCAAATGGCTGATAAATTATCAATGATAGTCCATTGAGTTGAAGCGTGTCTTTTAGAGCAATATCTTATCAATTAAAAACAAAGGGCGGCGGGCGGCCGCGGTACAAAAGTGAAATTTGTACCGCGGGTAAAAATTTTGTACAGCCACGGGCTCTCTACTACCATCATCATCACTGATGGTCCATCGGTCTCCTCCATAGTGCAAAAATCTGGTATAAAAGGCGATGATTTTCGAAATTAAGAAAAATATATAATTAAAATGATAATTTTTGAAATGAAACAAGAACAAATTTAGTTTTTCCGACACCACCATCTGCATAAGAAAAAAGCCTGTTCATGAGATGACTGATGAATAAATATAATGCTGCCAATATAATTTAATTGGTTATTTTGCAGATTTTCAGAGAGTGAGTAAACTTTTTACTAAAGCAGGTGAGAACCAAACGAAGGTTTTTTTTGTTTGTTCCAAATCGTAGTGTCCTATTTTCGTAGTCGCTCTGATAAGCGGCGAATCTCAAGTGTATTTCCTCATCATCGCCATTTTCCAAATTTTAGGAGGTGGCGATAAAAGAAGTGGTGCTCGCGCGTATAACCGCAGAGCAGCCCTTTTTTGGCTTCCTAGATTGAGCGAATTTCAGTGGCCAAGTCTCCGGTCTCGCTTTCGTAAGAATAAGAATAAGGGTGGCGCAATCATTAATCGTGAAAGCTAACAATTAGACGAGCCACAAATACTCCGCCGCGGAATGTCATTTGTTAAAGAGCTTTTAAACCGAATTTTTTTTTTGTTCAACTGGATCGTCAAATTGAGGAATTTCTAAGATCTTCGATTTCAGTCGTTTTAAAAACAGGGGAAAGTTAGAGGAACGTTTTAGAGAGAGGAAATTGCCAGCTCAGCTAGTTCCGTGGAAAATGGTTTTGCTGTAATGCCAAGAGTTAATCCTGTATCCCGTTCCACTCGATTAGTACTGATTTTGACCTTGCGTGAGAAACCGACATTCATGAAGAGATTCACAGTTATTTTATTTTATAATTTATAAAATTTCGTGATGCAGATAATCAGTCAAAAGTAGTAAATGCGTATTGCACATATCATATGTAACATATGATATCGAATGGTTTATGTCTATAGTATCATTTTATTGCTCATCATCATTTTTTCGTTTATATTTCTTGAAGAGTTCTACGCCCTTCTCACATCATTTTTAATCATCATTTTTTATCTAAGAATACCTCGAAGTACTCTCGCTCGGTATTTATACCTCCCCAGAAAGCCCCCTGCTGGGCGTCATGCTCGCAAAAATCATCCTCAGTCCCGGAGATTACCAGCAGGAGACATCGAATATAATCGATCAAAAATCAATATCTTTTCGTTTTTCCGTTGGTGCTTTCCTTCGTTATGATTATTTCTTGGATGAAAATGTAGAAAGAAACGTGTATTTTGCCGGACTTCCGACTAAATTCGACGTTGATATCTCAATTAAAACTTCACTCTTGACGTTTAGACCAGTGAATTTCAGCTTTGCCGATACCACTAACTGCTATCGAGCTTACTAAAACGTCTTTCTGTAATTTACTTTAATTTTATCTTTATTTTTTTCTGGAGAGTAAAGTGGACGTTAACAATAAGCAAGAGTCGCTCTGACGTGATCCGGATGTCTGTTGGGCGGATTCGTGGAGATATCGGTGTCCATATCGGGGATTACTAGCTCGGACAAGGGAAGAAAAAAGGGAGCAGTTTTGAAAACATCACAGAGGCTCGGAACCACGCATCATCACGCGTTCTTATCGACTCGGTCACCTTATCGTTTACGTGTTAGGCACTTATATAATACTACAACAACAATTTAAAAATTATCTGCCCAAGAAAGAAGAAGTAGTAGGTACTCTAACAGTGCGACTAAGATAATTGAGTTATCATAAGCTCCCTTCTCTTCGTCTTCAACTTCTAAGCCAGCGAAAGTCAAGTCCTAATTCATTACGCTTGATTATTCTCTATTTATCCTTGATTCGGTGACCTGTTCCAAATCGACTTAAAAGCTTCTTCTCTGAAAAGTTTGATGATGATGGAAATATTAATTGATTTAGTACCGTGTGAGATCATAGCTTCAATTTTCTTGTTGATAATTGGGACCCAGACAAAACTGCAAATCTGCATCTTTGATGGATTCTAGAGTGATTTTGTCAAAGTTTCGGAGAGAAAAAAATCGCTGATTTTTTGATCGTGGCGCTACACGATTTTCTGCCAAGGATGAATTATAATTGTCACGAGATAATAATTCATAAAATATATATTTATGAAAAAACTACCATAGATTATGGTTTTTGGTTATTTTTAAGTGAAAATTTAGTTTTTTACTGTCTAAAATCCGTAGCAGCATTCCAAGGGAAATACAAAGTGCTCCAATATATTGAATTATCGTATCCTTCAACTCTTTTTTATCAGTTTTTCAACAAGTTGGAAAGACGAAATTGAGTGGTGAAAGAAAGCTAGAAGAGCTATTGTTGAAACCCGATATAAAAAAGTTGCAGAGATGTAGAACTCCAAAGGCAACTCCAAGGAGAAGGACGCTCGATCCCACCGCTGCCAAGGCTTTCATTAGTCTCACAAATGAGCGGCAACTTTTGAAACGATTTTCTTTAGACGCGTCTCTACGTGTGTGGTTGCGTAATTACGCAGCTTCATTATCGCGGAATGAACAAACCTGGCTCTTTTTTTTCAGTGAACTTTAGTTTTTCGAGACCGACCTGAACAAGGTAATCCTTAATTTTTCGATGCCTTGTGATGAACTTAAGGATCTCCCTTCCTAACGCCCTTCTCATCAAAATCTTCTTCGTCGCTTGAACCGATCTTTATCATTTTTTCTTCAGTTGCCCTAAATATGAAAGCTTGAGAAAAAAAAAACGTTCCTTTTGTGAGTTTTCTGCGGCAGCATATTTTTAGTAGTTTAGTTTTAGCGGGGATTAGGATACGAGTATTCACTTTAATCTTGTTACCGGTAACTAAAAAGGGGCTCGAGAACTGCTAACGAATGATCTATTGGGTTATCTTTCCCGGCAAGTTAAACATTTAGAGCTTTATTGAACATCGTTCATCTACTCAAAGAATTGAGGGTTAGACATCATTGATTCCAATTTTCCACTTGGACTCATTTTTGATAAAATCCAGATTTTTTGTAAGAAACAGTATCTTCTACTCGCCAAAATATATGAAGCAATGTTTTGATTTTTGAGGGAAATACAATGCTTGGGCTTGCTAACCTGTGCAGAAAACCTGACTCAAGGGCTGAAAGAGCTACGCGCCTTTTCAGACCCTGACTCAGGTTTTCTACACTGAGCTCAGTGCAGTGCAACCCCCTTAATCGCTCAGCTTTTTCCTTTTAGAAGAAGATTAATTTAACCTGTTTATTTACAGTTGCTCGATGAACATGTCAAGCAAGTGCTCATTACAATATTGTGCTTGTAAGATGATTAGTTGACAGATATTCAAAACATATATTTTTCAATCCCTAAGTGCTTGAAACCCTGAAACAACATTTTCTTTTAGAGCGCCGAAAATCGCGATGGCTGGTAAAAGCTTGATTTGGAATTCGCTGCTCTGGGCACTGACAGGTGCAACATTCCTGCCGAGCGACAACCGTCCCTGGAAGAGTTACAAGAGTAAGTAAACTGATGGATCAACTTTTGGTATTTTTCATTCGCTGGAATTCAATTTTTCAATCTTGCAAAGTGAAAAAATTCTAGCGCCGCGGCCATTAATTTTTACTATCTGAAATCAGTTTGATAGATCGAAATGGAGTTGTTAACGCAGCTCTAGAATTTCGCCTCGCGCTGAAGATCATTAATTAATCAGCGTTATTTTTTGATCAAGACTTCTAAACGTTTATAAGCGTCTTAAAAAGCTTCGGAGGGCGGCATGTTGAACTTTTATAAAAAATGTTAAAGGATCTTGTTTACAATCAGGGCGCGTGTTCTTACACCAGCTCAATTATTGACTGAGAAGTTTTATTTAATAAAACTCTTTAATTTAAGGAGGTAGATATCCTAAAAACAATTTTAATAAAAAAACTATTCGTAATGATAATTAAATAAAATATTTTTTAAATAATAAAATAATATTATTAATTAATATTTTTTATTTAATAATGATTTATTATTAATAAAATTAAATAATAAAAAAATAATAATAATTTAATAAAAAATTTAGTTAAATTGATTAGTAAAAAATCAAAAAATGGCTTCATTATTAAATCCTATTTCAGAGTGTGGATACAGAACTGGATTCGAAACCATCGACGAGCCTGCCTTCAGGAAAGAGGTTGAAAAACGAATAAATCATAATTACCCAATTACGTAACGTGTCGACAATTAAGAGTATCGCGATAACTAAAAACACACTTGAGAACTCTTTGAGAATCTCAAAATCAATTTTCGGGTCCTACTCAATTTTCAACCTCGACAAAAAGCCCGAGCGAGTCCGGAAGAAAACCAAATACAAAGATTTACAACGGACGGGGGATTTTTACGAAGGGCGAGTGGCCCTGGTTCGCTTCGATTTTGGAGTCAGGTACGGAAAGCTTTATTGATCCTAGGGTCAAATGCATGGGAGTGCTCATCAATTGCAATACTGTTCTGACGACTGCTGCTTGTGGCAAGACTGTAAGTAAAGGAGATCAGGTAAAGATAGGCTCTCCTGTGGCGGAAAACTCGACGGTGGATCGAAAAGTCAGCCAGGTGGTCATCCATCCAGGCTTTACCACGACGCATAAAGAACATACAGTGCATTACAATAATGTGGCTGTATTGTTCGTTGACTCGCCTGTATCGGATGATATTCTTTACGAAGAAAATATGGTCTCGCCTGTCTGCATGACTGAAGGAATGGTTCAAATCAACCTCTGTATGACGACAATTTGAAATAATAACTGCTTGTTAAAAAACAACCAGTTATTGATTGACCTCCTCGCACGTCGACGGACTGCGCAATAATTGCCGACTCAATCGTATTTAATGAAATTTTGGGCGGGTTTGAATTTGTGATTTTGGTTTTGGTTTTTGAATCTTGCATAAGACGCGTCTTTTCTCACCTCGAAGTGCTGGGCCCTTGGCGTCACCACGAGTCCCGGATCAACGAGCCCTCCTTATTTATCGACCGCAGTACAGGTACTGTAAACGGCTTAGACAAGTTCTGCACTTCAAACAAACACATTTAATATTCAGATGCAAGTGTCATTCTCTCGTAAAAAATGGAAAGTTTGATAAAAATGAGCGCTTTTATTTTGACTACAAAGATACCGCCATTTTCCGCTAAATCTCCTCCTTCCGATAGATCCTTAAGAACATGCTTGAAAAGGACTGTTGATGCTTCAATTCATTCAGAGTTGACATAATTCTAGAGCGCGATTCTAGAGCGGGAAACGTGATCGCGGTCAATTGAATAAAAAACTGAATTGAAAACGGCGGTTTTCTTCGTTGATTTCAATTGCTCAAAATGTCATTTTAAAATCAGAAAATGAAACCTTGCTAGAATTCTTGCTAAAACCTCAATGTATCATTTGAAAAACCCTCTTCTTGAAAGAAATTGTTACATAAGCTCTCAATTTCCGCGAAACCGCCGCAACAAAAAAAAATCATCTGCGGCGGAATAAAATCAAATCGAAGGTTTTGCGTTATACTTTTGAGATTACCGCTTCAACGTGACATGCCTGGGTGTATACTGTTTGTTGTGGAAGATTTGTTATTTTCAGTTGAATAATGATTATCGAACATTTGTAAATGCAATTTCAAATTGTGTTATTAATTGATCTGCTTGTTTTTAAGAACACATAAAATTGATCAAATAATCATCTAACCATGTTACCTTGTCAACGAATTAAATTCTCTTTAGCTCGATGTTGAAAGACAGTCATTAAAGTACTGTAACGCCTTTGGATACGGAGGCGAACTGGATAAGGACCAACATGCTTGTATAAAGGCAAAATGGTCTTCTGAAAATCAAGGCTTCTGCAACCTGGCCGACAATGGGGCTCCAGTCGTCTGCAAGAGGTACAATTAATAGCAAATTGTAAGATCTTTATACTATTTTCAGAGATAACTCGCAAAACGAATTCTTTTTGCTTGGAATGTACTCGTTCTCCGAGGGCTGTACGACTTTTCCTCGCCCTGCAATCTTCCAAAAGACAGACTTTTTGGACGAATGGATTCAAAAGACAATCTTGAAGAATCAAAAATGCTCCTGTGTTCCTCCTCGACCCGGACCAAGACTCGATGTCCAGGTAAGAAGCTTCAGTAAATGACATCGAAAGAACTGCACTTTTAGCCTGACATGTGCTGCTTGAATTTCGCCTACAACTCTGGAATGAAAGAGTGCTGCGGTGGAAAATTGATTGAAAGGGATTCTTCACTAGAATGCTGCTCTGGAGTTCCCTACGACAGCAATTCGCACCGCTGCTCCTCCAACGATGGCTCAATCGTCAAATTATAACAAACACAATCCTGAAACATGCGCAATCTGTAAATGCTCTTCAAACCTAAAAAACCTAATCTGTAAAATCCTACAATGACCATTACTATTCAAAACTGTACATAATAAATGACGATTTGGATAGAAGGGACTCGCTCCCAATTTCTATTCAAACATAATATCATTCACGTCACGAGTTTTTGAAAGTTATTAATTACGGGCCAAAGGCGATGACGGAGTTGGTTGCTTCTCGAATACTTCGTCGGGGAGAAGGGAAATGTCGTAGTTTGAGCGATATTCTTTCGGAACTGAACGCTGGTACTCTGGAACCATCTAAAAAGAACTGTATCTCTTAAACAGGGAGCATTATCCTACGTTTTCTCTGTCACAACTGAAAAACTGCCTTGAAGACATCCAAGTAGAAGTGATAGAAGCTCTCCTCGTTGATTTCCGCCTGCTAGCCTTTATAGCTCGGAAGCACTAGAATATTGCTCCAGAAAAAGAATCAGTATTTAATTTACCTTTGGAAGAACACAGCCAATAATAATAAACATAGCCAAAGCAATTGTACAGACCCACCAAGAAGAAATGCATCCAAAGAATGCTGATGTCTCGCTATCGAAGAATTTCGTACTGCATCCCATTCCTCCCTTCTCTACTGGCGACTCTGTAGGCTTTGGCGATGGGTAAAAATCTTCGTCATCGAAATCTCCTGAGCCAGAAGCTGGCATTTGTTTCTCAAAATAGAAAAAGTTCGAGTTGCTATTTTTGAGGTTTTATAACGATTAGCCTGAACGAAACCGCAAAGTAGGATTTACAGATTACACCAAGATTTCCCTTTTCAATACTTCAGCATCTCATGCTTGAGTAGCTTTCAAGAAACTTGAAGTTTTAAAACTTTTCAGCCATCAATTTGAGAAACAATTTCCTTCAAAAATAGCCATTGCGGAAGATGAATTTCTCAAGTTTCTATTTTTTCTCTAGTGATTTTTCCGCCACGTTCTCAAATAAAAGCTATCGAGTTTTTGGATTGTTTACGCAGTGCATGCCTGAGGAATTGTGCCGTCTGTCTGTTCACCAACTATTCTTGGTAAACAAAGTCCTACGATGTGAAATTTGCAAGAAGCAAGCGCTGTTTTACGACAGCGAATGTCTGCGGCGAGATTTGCATGTCTGCGCTCAATCAGGTGTTGAGTCTGATTGAGTGCTTCACTGGCTTTGAGAATCTTTTTGAAGTTTATTAGAATAAACAGAACGAAAATAGAATGAAGAAAAGTGGGTCGCGAAAGAAGCATTGGAGTACGAAGTTCAGTAAAAAGTCATTTCGATAGGTAGAAAAAAGTTACGCAAAAAAAGAAAAAGGTCGTAAAAGGCTGGAAGGCGGGCTGTAGTTAGTCTTTTGAGTCGATAGAATGGAAGAAGATGAGCTCGGGAATCTGGCCGTCCTCGACGGAGGTGCCATTATTGTTGCAGGCTGCGTAGAAGAATGTGAAAGTGGTCTTTTTCTCGCCGACGCCGACGTGTTTGACTTGGGCGAGGCCCTTCGTGCCATACCAGCTGTCCGGGCCCTAGAAACAGTGATTATAAATCGTAACATGATGGTGATAAATACGTTTAGTGTGGCCGAGGCAGTGTAGAACTGGTTGGGCTTGATTTCAATCGGTTCTTTGAACATGACACGGAACGTCTTTGGCGTACCATCAGGGCTACAAAAGATCTTTACCAGATCGTTTTTCTGTTGAAAACTTACCTGAATGAGACTTCATTTTGACCACAAATGTTGTTGGTTTCAGAGTGAATAATCTGCATCAAGACTCGATACTCAGTACTCGCACCACTGTGGATCGATCCATAAAGACCAAGGCCGACGACGTAGATTTTTCTTGAAACCGTGAAGCGGATCCGATCGCAGGTGCCTGAGTATCCCCATCGAGAGGCATACTCGGAGAAGCGAGAAACCACTTCTTCTTTGCCAGTGTGACAGCATCGAGCATGATCTGGGTATGGAATTGTGGGCTAAATGGATTCAATGATTCTGTTCCTTGATTTCTGCTGATTTTACCTTAGGGTTGGGTGCTGCAAAGTGCAAGAATATATCAACAACTTCATCTTTTTCAAGAACATCAGATTGGGCCGGACCAGCGGCGAATTCTTCGATAGTCATGAGAGGAAATCGTACTAGCTCGACTGCGCCTTCCAGAACTTTGCGCATGTTCTTCGGGTTTTTCGGTAAATCGACTCTGGCGCATTCAGCTCCGGCCCAGCGGAGAATCGCGGAAAAGAGTCGATGCTCGCGAATGCCGAGAGAATCGCGTTTGAGAATGACGAGCAGGGTTTCAAAGTCTATATCGACGAAGCCTGAAGAAAATTTAAAACCGAATTTCACGAAAAGCTAGAGTTTACCGTCACCAGCGAGAGCTTCTTCGGTACTTTGATCAATACATTCCATACATCTTTCAGCAAGCGCTTCTTCAGAAAATATTCTCGCTTGACTATCAAAAGTTAAAAAGATTTTCGATCGAAAAACGGTTAATTTTTCAGACTTTTTCCTAAGAAGCAAAAAGGCGTTGTCGGGGGTCAAGTTATTCTCCAAAAACTCGATGCACTGATTTTCCAAGGCAGGAACGGCATATTTCTTCGCTGTGTAGAGTGTAGTCATGACATTTTCAGGCCCAATGTCGGATTCATCGGAGTAAAGAAAACGCAGGAGAACGAGGAAGGCGGGAGACTCGATGTCTGTAATGACCACTTCCGGTTCTGTGTGACGCATATCACCGTTGAACATTGCATCAAAAACAGCTGATCCGGCAGAAAGAACTGGAAAAAAGTTGTATTGGGGAAAATGAGAACTTTCTTCTCACCGAGTTTATGAGCAGGAATCCGAAGCTCATCAGTCCCAACGATGAAATGAACATCCGCCAACGTTTCGTTATTGAAAAGATGAGAGAATCGCGCTTTCAGCGTCGTTTTCTTCTCTTGCCAATTAAACTCCGATTCATTTTTAGGCGCCTCTGAGTCGAGCGACCCTTTGGAGCTATGAATAGAAACGGCGGTGGAGAAATTTTCGGAGAGGTTTTTCAAACTGGGCGGCTTGGAAATTGTACTGGAGTTGGGACTGGGCCTTTGCGGATTAAATTTATGCCGGATCGGGTTTGACATTTTTCGATGGACGATTTCACATAAACAAGGAGATCTAATGAAGGAATGTGGATTAATATGATGTGAGAGTTGTGAACTTAATTATACTAATAAATACTGAAGAGTGTGGCTGTGTCAGGTGATTTTAAATAGTGGCAAGTTGAAAACTCAGTCGCTAGAAATTCGAGTTCAGTTGAACCCTGTTTTCGCAAAACAGTGGCGCTATTCTATCACTTTCTGCAAATCGACTCTCATTTTCTAAAAGAACATTGGTCACTAAAGGAAAACTCGTAAAATCGTACCTTTCGAGACTTTTTGCATCATTTCGCGAAGTTTCGCCAGAAGCGCTTCATTTGGTCCTCTATTTTTCTCTTTGAACAGGGTCGTTATTTGCTCCTCATCATCGTTTTTATCGCTTTGGAATGTCCTCGTGTCTGATTTTCCTTTTTCTAAGTCCTTATAGTGCTGCAAAAGATCGCCCCACGTCTTGAATTCTGGATGAAGTTTCGCCAGCATTGCCTAAAGAAATGAAGGTTGATGAAAGGTTGAAAACAAGGGACGGTCATGTGACATAAATTGTCAAAAGAAAAACCTACCTGAGCGGCAATATGTTTTGCATTTTTCTTCGATCTTGCTCTTCCCTCTACAACGTCAGTTCCGAGGGTGTACGTAAAAGTCGTGTTGTTTGGATTCGTGCTCTTGATGTCGAGTTTTTCCTGAAAACAATCAATGAATCGATGATTCAGGTCTAATTATTTCAATCAAGGACTCACCTCGGCACCGGCGGGGCCATGAATTTTGTGAATAACGTCTTTTAGAAATTGGTACGGCGCGGGGATACCTGCTTGCGCGCAAAGTTGATGAAGACGATTGTCTGTGATCTTGAAGGGAGAATAAGAAAATGAAATGTCTCAGGGAAATTACCGATAAGTGATTGAAATAAGCATAGTCTTGCTCCGCTCGACCCGTGAGCATGAACTTATCGTCTGGCTCAAAGTCGGGAATTAACAACTTGAGAGTCTCCAACGCCGCGATATTTTTTGCAATCGTTCGATTTGCACCTTCGCCAGAGCCATATTCTTTCCCGTCGATTTTCACTACGTATTTACATCCATCCGCACTAAAATAAGTTATCAAAATTGCTCCCAACGTAAAATCAAGTAACGTACCCCATCAGTTCATCGCGAGCATCTTCGTATTGAGGATGAACCTTGAGGGCTCTGTTGCAGTATTCGTGGAGAATCGTCACTGTCGTCTTAAAAAAAAGATGTTTTTGAAAGAATATGGAATGAAATCCTTACTTTTCCTTGGAGATAAAGCGTCATATTTTTGCCCGGTCTTCCCTTCAAATCCTTCGACTTGAACTCGATGCATGTTTTTACCAGCGTCGGCAAATCCTGATCATCTCTTTCGTCCGAGTTCTCTTCTTGCCTCGCCTTCTTTCGCTGCTTTCTTTCTTCTCTATAAGTCCGCCTATTTTCCTCTCTCTCCCTTCTTCTTCGGACAATGGACATGTTGTAGGCTTCTTGATTCTTGTATCGTCGTCCTTGAATTTCAACGTACTCGAATCGCTTTTTCACGTATTCTTTTATCTGCTGATTATCCAGTTGCTCGGCTTCTGCGTTGATGACTTTTGCTCGAATTTGACTTTCTTCCTCATTCTCATGTTCCGTTTCTTTTCCTTCAGTTACATTTTCAGGATTTTCGGCAGTCTTTTCGCAAGTTTTTTCGACTTCAGTTTCTTCCGGTTTTGTTCTTTTTGAATAGGCTAGACACGGGATTGCGCTAAGAGGCACTTATTCAAGGTTTTTCAATGGCAAAATGTGTTGGTTCAATATATTTTTAATCCAATAAAACCTCTTTTCCTTTGTGGCTTTTCGCATTACTCGATCCGATGTAATACGGCCTGGACCATGTGACGATTCTGGTCTCTTTATGCATGTAAACAGGAAATCCGCTGTGATGATTAATTACCGTCCATCCATCTGGAATTGGGTCTTTTGAATCGACCCAGGTGCCGTAACGGTGACGCACAATTTCTTTCGTGTAGTATTCATATTCGACATTTTCTTCGTTCTCTTTTTCTGGCTCGTCGTTTTCGGATTCACGATCTTCATTCATTTGGTCGTCCGATTCGTTCTTTGGTTCTTGATTCGATGAGTTTTTGAAGTTAGGATTTTCAATCACTGTTCTTTGAAGCTCTCCTGTTGATGGTTCAGAGTTGACGCCTGTTGGTATGTCGATCGAGTCGACTTGAGTTGTTGACATTTGCGATTCGGTTGTTTCTGTTTCTGGGAAGGTCTCTGTTTCCGTGTCCGAAATTTCCATGTCCGAGGCTTCGGAGTTCTCCGCGGAGTACGTTTTCGAATAACATTCTTCTAACTCCTTCGCGTTCTTTTCTTCTTCTGTTCGAGGGGGTTTGGGAAGTGGAATCGGCGGTGCACCGTCACTCACTTTCATCATGTGAGGGAGAAAAGGGAGGACAACAGGGCAGGACTTTGGCTTGGGAGTGGACATTTGCGGAAGTGGCAATAGAACGGGCAGGCGAAGAGCTCCACTGACTCCGGGGACGGGGCATTTGACGGGCAGTGTTATCGGTGCTCGCATCGACGGAGACGATGATGATGGCGGCTTTGAACCTACGAATAGGAAATTCATCAAAGTAGAATTGAGTAAGCTTACTGTTGCTGGCGCTGGGAACTTGTTCTGTGGATTTATTTCGAGAGGGAGTGGATCTGTTCAACGGAACATCATTTTCTTCGTCGGAGTCTGGAAGCTCTCCATCTTCGCGGGTTTCATCGCTTGCTGAGCTGAACTCATCCTTTTCGTCTTCCGCGAGTTTTCTTTTCTTGTTTGATGGCTCGTCCTCATTCATTCTAAATGAAAAGTCTCTAGATAATTTGAGCATCATTAGTTCTTGCTCTTCAAAATTGACCATCAAAGAGGATATGCGACTAAAACGACGCCAGTCTGTAAGAAGATACCCGTTCCCTTCAGCGAGTGGATTCATAAGGGTTTAAATCTCCTTACATTGCCTGTAAGAATCCACGTCAAAGGCTGTTCGACTATCAGAAAGCTCGACCTGCGACCTGGGCTGGAAGAGAAAACTTCGTGCCTGGAAAGACTCACTCTCGTCATCTCTTGGCTCGTTATTTTCGCCTTCCCGCTATTTTTGATTACCTGTCCGCGAAGAATCAGGTCTTACCAAAAAGGAGTTCTCTTCAGATTTGGGAAATTGTACTCGAAAACACCAATTTACCCCGGATGGAAATTTACAAATGTCTTTGTCGATGATGTTTATTTCGTCGATGCGCGACCTTTTGAAGCAAAAATGGACTCTCATAAGTTCATGACCTTAGTGACGGGCTCGTTTATCCGAGAAAAACGATTGAAAATTCAAATCAGCCCGGATAAAGATGGAAGCATCTTGACCATGAAATCATCTATTTTCGGTGTTGTTTCTGACCCAGCACGGGCGATTTGTGAAGTTCAAGAACTCATTCCCTCTTTACGAAGTGTTGCTTCAACGACCATCGCGGATTTGGTCGGAAGTCTTTTGGAGAACGAAGTGGTCGATAAAGTTTCAGAACTCGAAGATGAAGCATTAGAGGTAAAAAAGGTAGTTGAACATTTTCAATCAGATATGATTTTAAGATGATGGAAGTGCTCGTAGAACTGTGAGGAGTAAAGATATTCCGTATCAAAATCGACATCATCCCTGGCCCGCGAATTATCCAAGAAAAGCCGGCGATACATTCACCAAAATCACCGAAATTTAAAATCACCGGTGCTGGAGACGGTCCACTTCTTATCACTGATCTTTAGTCAGAAAAAAAATTAAACAAAAAAAGCTTGAATTGTTTTTTTTCTTTTGAAAGCAAAAGATACAGAATGAAGAGAATATAATACTAGAGACAGGTTTTATGCTCAAATCTGGCCACTTTGACGGCTTAAATAAGTTGACATTTGAAGAAGTTTTTTTTTATCTAAATAAGCCAGATTTCTTGGCGATCTCAGAATTCATCCTCGTGATGGGCTTTCCATATTTTTGATTCTGCAATCGATCCATGAAAACAAGGCCACTGGCTCTTTCTATCGCTTCTAATGGGACCATTGATTCTTTCAGGTCGTCTTCTGAGTTTGTTTCTTCGTTCGGCATCACATACGATTTTATTTGAAACTCTTTTTCATTCTCCAAAAGAAGGATTTTGAAGAAATGCGTCGGAACAGCCACTTGATTCGTCCCGATCAGCTGGTACTCGACGATCAGTTTACCTTCCTTTTCTTTAGGGAGATACAGGGGCCCAGAAAAGACATGGACGCAGTCATAGTGCTAGAAATTGGCTCATTTGAAGTTGAAAAATTGAGCATACCTTAGCAAGAGAACGAGTATAAATTTCTAGGGATTTCCAGAGCTTTCTGTTGAGTCCTGGATGCTGTGGACAAATATTTGAAAGTAAAAATGTTTCCTGAAGCACATTTGGGCTTTTTCGATGATTCGCTGCTGCGGCAAGATGTCCTCTGTCAAATCCAGAGCCTCGATAGTCCAAGTTTTCCGCGCGAAAGTATCGATGGACTTCTTTATCAGACTAAAAAGGTGATTGAAGGAGGGAAATAGAGGGATTGAGTACCTTGAAATCGCAGTCTTTTCGATCCGCGTCGCCTTCAAGATCGTCCTTGGTGATTTTTTCATAAACCCATTTTGGATTGCGCATTCGTTCATCGAAGGAAAGTACATAATTGTCTCGGAAAATCAGAGGTGGTGTGGCGGATTGATTCGGGTCTCCTGAACAGAGTTAAAATTCCAATTGATTGGGGGAGGGCAAACCTAGTTTATAAATCGACTGTTGAACTGTAACTGGCATCATTTCCCTCGCAAATGTCGAGTTCGCGAAAGAAGAATCATCATCTTTCACCCTCCATCGTCTGCCGATCATTATGCCACTCAAGCAGGCCGTTCCTGCGATTGCCAACGACCGCTGCATGACTTTCTGAACAAAGAATACATCAAGAATCATCAAAATATTTCTTTTCACATTGAGTGGAGGGGCGAAACGCCAAGCAGTGAAAACATAGTGTCCATTCTGTCCACAAACATTTCAACTAACAAAAGTCTTCGTAAAGATTCTTCCTTTGCATCGTCTATCAGTTCAAATTTGTCCCCGTGGAAGCCTGAACAGCCAGGTAAGACGCGGCATTTCGAATAAAACTTCGAAAAGGAACGGGAAAAGCGGATTATTTGATCGACGAAGCCGGAACAAAGGCAGATGTCCCGAGCTTCGATGAATCTTTTGACCGCGAAATCAGCTGTTGAAATGCTTTTTGAGGGGTTGATGGAGCGATTTATGAGGGTTTCAAAGTCGATTTTTGTCTTGAAAACCGAGAACAAATCTTTTTCTTCAAAAAAGTCGTCATAAAACAATCAACCCGTTTTCCTAAGAGCCAATTCTTCCTCAAACTCATGAATCTCCTTCCAATCAACTTTCCTTTCCAAGTCTTGTTTCTCTTTATCCACTTCCGTCTCCAACTCATTCTCCATCGTCGCCAGCACATGCCTCGCCCTTGCATATTGATACAACAAAAACTCCAACTGCATCAAGTCCGGTTTCTCTTCGACTTTCTTCGACAACCTCACCCGCAAAATCGCCAGTCGAATGAGACATTCGACCTCTGCGTCGAAATTCTTCTGAGAACTTTCTTCCCGAAATTCGAGAATTTCTTGAACTCGGTTTTTCACATTCGTTTCCAGTTTTTCCGAAGAACATGGTGCGTAGAAGATTCTTTCTTTGGCCTCTTCGACTTTGGCGTCTAGCGGCGCTAGAATCGTATCCGCTTGAGAATCTTCTGCTGGCGATTCTTCGGTGAAAGAAGTAAAGATTGACCCTTCTGACGTATAAGAACCAGAAACGAGAAGAACGGAATTGAAGGAAAACCTGTAGATATCTGAAATGACCTTCGCCCTGATCCACGAATCCGGCTGGACGAAAACTTTCACTTTCCTGCTCCCATTTTCCTCCGCTTTCGGAAGTTGAATTTCCCTTGGAATCAGCTTTATAACATTCTCCGTCGCAACTTCAAACTTCTTCCCGTCCAACTTAACAATTCCCAATTCTCCAAGTCGAGAAGGAATCTTCCCGAACGAAGAAAAAACGCGTTTTCCTCGTTTTTGATCATCGGTTCTTCCTTTGTGAAGCTTCACTCCCGGCTCCGCTAATTTTTCGAATAGGTACTCTTTATCCTGGTTGAAGAAGAAAACGACAAAAAGGGATTAAAAATCAATCAAGATCAAAACTCGTTTCAACCAGGCCCATTTTGGAAATTCTCTAGCGCGCTTCTTTCCAATTTTTGTCCAATCACATCCCCGCGTAGAATCTCAATAGTTTTAATTTTCTGAGAGAGACTTCCTCTTTTTCTTTAGTGAAGTTGCCAGTAAAGATGTTTTACCAAAGTCGAGATGGGTTTTTGATCATTGACTTCAAATTTCTTCAGGTTTGAATTTTCTCTAGTAACGGTTCGATTTTCAACTTTTTCTCTAGATTCCTTCTTTTGCATGATATCGCTGGCTATCCTGAGATTACCCGCTAAAGAATTCAGGCTAAAAAAGGACTTCAGCCCTCGAGAGATTCAGAGAACAGACTTACCAAGGTAACAGAGAGACTTTTAACTTCGCCAGCTGAAAAATCTCAATTTCAGGTTTCAAAATGGACAAAAAGTCGAAGCGCAAACAACGTCCACGACCTGACCGTAAGAACCGAGTTCCGAAATTGCAGGATTTTAGCGACCCAACAAAGAGTTGGAATGACGAAAATAAACCGATGGATAAAGAACTCGAACGCCAAATGAAGGAATACGGGAAGAAAGTCCAAAGGTCTGTGACTGTCAAAGAAGGCTGAAGGTCTAATGATCTTTTCAGGATGGGCCGGTTTTTCAAACGCTTTTTGGAAAATCCCTCAAGCGTTGCTGTCTGGTCGGTTGCAAACACGATTCTTAATGACGTCCACGAAAGTTGGCCTGGCATGAAGGGACGAATTGACAAGCTCGTTCCAAAGTTGGTCTTATTTTTTTATCTTCGATGCTAAGGGTTCTTCAGGGATGAAGAAGGAAAGCAAGCAGAAGAAGAGGGAAAGAAGACAGAAGAAGAGGTAAGGAAGAAAGAGGCAGAAGATACATTAGAGGAGAAATACGCAGACTACTTGGAATTGAAGCGACTTCATGAGGGCCCTCGCTCGTCCATGATGCTTCCGATGGAAAATAAGAAAATAAAGGAAGAAGCAAAGAAAAAACAGCAGCGGCAAGAAGAAGATTTGGAGGCAAAATACCAACGCTACATAAAAAATATGAAACGCTGATGCATATCTGCAGTATTTCCTTCCCTCTGCCAGCTGTGTCAGCTGTTTCTGTTCTATATAACTTCCTGTTGTTTTACTGAATAGAATTGGTCAGAAACAAAACTATGAGTAAGAGAGTATTTCCTTTTGAAAATGAAATTTGCTTCAAATATCGCGAAAAGGTAAATTTTCATCGATTGCCTGAGAACTGAGAAACCTTGTTTGAGCTTTGAACTTTTGAACCTGAAAATCTGGGCCAAGATTTTCGGCCCCAGCGCGCCTCCTCCGCGATTTTCAGCCAAATTTTTATTTGCCAGTTGGATTTTTTCGATTTCGCGGAAACAGCTAAAACTTATTCTGAGAGAGTTTTCTGAATTAGAGAAAAGGGCAGAGCTTCTCGCTTTGTTTATTGCTTTTTCTTAATGAAATGAGACTTATATTCGCATTTTTCAGATGAGTCGTCGGTCACGTGTCCGAGAGGACATCTCGACCTTGCTCAAAGTTGGCCGGATCGCCAAAGCACACGATCGGAAACGGAAACAAGAGCTCACCGGCGAAATCAAGTCCGCCGAAGGAATAACCTACAAATACAACAAACTTGCGCTGATCGATCCTCTCTTCGACCCAAAAGAAGGAGATACAGTGTCCTTCTCCGTAATCGAGCTTTCTCCTGGCGAGTTTATTGCGGCAGAGGTTCAGGAATGCACTCAAGAAACATACGCTGCTGGTGGAACTCCCAAGAAGACGAAACCGGCACCGTTGGCGTCGAGAAGCAGAAAAGCGCCGTTGAAAGAATCTAACCGAAATTCGCTCTCGTCAGAGATCGTCTATCGGGCAGGCAGCGGCAGACCAAAAACAGTTGTGAAAATACGAAAAACATCTGCGGAGGAAAACAGCGTCCCGAAAACGCCGAAGAACTACGGACTCAAGGAGACATTTAGCACTGAATCGCAAGATGATGGTGACGAGGAAGAAGAGGAATTCAGCGAAACATCGACGGAGGATGAGAAGAAAAACACCGTGAATGTAAGTAATTATTACAACTAATCTTATCTTAGCTCCTTTTCAGTACTCTTGGGGTGAAACAGAAGGCTATGGAACGAAAGGAAAGCTGTTCAAAAGCATCAAGTTGACATTCAAGAGCACCGTTGAAATAAAAATCGGAGAATACGCACTTGTCCAAGACGAAGCCAGTACTGATAACTTCTTCGTTTGTCGAGTTGAGGAACTGTACGAGAGTGATGGTGAAAAATTAGCGGAAGTAACTTGGTGCCTGATGATTGATGATTATCACAAGAGCATCAGAAGATCGAGAAATAAGGATCAGTTGAGGATAAATGACTACTACGGTAAGGAAAAACTAGCGCTTGAATCATTCTCTTATGAAATCGCAATCGACAAAAATGCTTCAGATGACGAAGTGGTGATGATTAAAGACGGTATGTTACAAACCAGGATCGACGTCGAGTCAATCGTTTGGAAAGCCCGCGTTTTCCACGCAGATCATCGTCAGAAAATGTACGGTGATTACGGAATGAAAGACAAGCGATACTTCTGCCGCTGGGTGTACGATGGATCGAAGGAGAAACTTTCCAATATTGATAAATGGCCAAGAGATTTGAAAAGGCTATCTGCGTTGCCGAAAAAAGAGACGGCTCCTTCGAAAAAGATGTCGAGAAAAGAAGTGATGCAGATGTTTGAAGAAAGCTCGGATGATGAGCATTCAGATGATATTCAATCACCAAAGAAGAGTAAGTTGAAGCTCAAGAAACTTCCGGATTCGGATGAAGAGAGTTCGGAAGAACTGCCTGTCGTTAGGACGAGAAAACAATCTTCAGGTACACTAACACCACCCTTTCTCTGAATAAAGCGATTCTAGCGTCTTCATCAAGTTCTGCGAGTTCCTCGAGCTCAAGAAGATCAAGTGCTAGAAGACGATTACTCATCGACGAAGAAAAAGAAGAACCAGAGCGACGCAGTTCGAGGAGAAAATCTGACTCCTCCGTTAGCTACAGTTCTTCAGAAAAGAAAAAGTCTTCCAAGAAATCCACACTATCTTCCATTTCCGAAACGCCTTCGAAAGCCCTTGGTCGAGAGCTTGAAAAGATGAACTTGAAAACATCTCCAAAAAGAACTCGTCGTCCGAGCACCAGAAGAAGTGTCGCAGTGGTTCAATCGACCCCGACGAAACAACAGAAAAAGACGACGAGGAAACCTTCCAAGACAGCAACGACAAGTATAGCAGAGGAACCAGCGACGCCAAGCAAAGTGCTAGCAAAAGATGTTGAAAATCTGTCGATCAGGAGGAGCTCTAGGAGAAGCGCGGCTAATGCTACCGCAGGTGAGAGGGGATGAAAAAAGATTTTGACCACGATGGGACTCGAACCCACAACTTCCTGATTCGAAGTCAGACGCCATATCCATTAGGCCACGCGGCCGGCCGATAGAGTTCCCATTTTAGTCCACCCGTATCCCTCTCCTCAATGAATAATTTATTTTCTAGCGATAAAATTCGGCAATTACAAGGAAAAATACGAAACATTGCAGTGTAAAACAGATGAGAAACTACAGAGAGTGGAGAAGGGGTACAAACCAGAGTGCTCTTCCGATTCTAGCGAGGGTTCCAGCGGAGATACGTCGTCGGAAGTGGAGACAGATTCAGATGACGCGATCATGAAGACTCCTAGAAAACGACCAAGAGGATGGAGAGGTGCGAAAACGCCGACCAAGACTCCTTGCAAAACTCCAAAGGTAAAACAAACACTAGAAATGCCGCTCCTAATCGGAAACTCTTCAGAAACTCGCGACAAAGACACCAATGAAAACTCCGTCGAAAAAAGGAATGGCCGATGCTGTGTACAAGAAATCCGCTGCTCCCAGTCGTCAAGTTCTTCCAGATGAAATTCTCAAATCAAACGACCTGTTATCGATCTTAGATCAAACTTCAAAACGACTTGGTAAGCCTTGATCTTCCCAACCTCCCTAAAGACATGTAGATATCAACTCTGTGCCTGAATCACTGCCGTGCCGAGAGGACCAGTACCAGAATATCTACAACTTCATCGAGGACAAAATAAAGCACAACACAGGTGGATGCCTTTACATTTCTGGCGTCCCAGGAACTGGCAAGACAGCGACAACTCATGAAGTCATCACTGCATTGAGGGAAGAAGCCGAGAACGGAAAGCTGAAAAAATACAAGGTAATTATATTTTTTGAGATTGACTTCGTTAATATTGAATCATGAGGATCGTTTTCGAACGTTTTCGTTTATTTAAAACATCATCAGGAAAAACTAGAAACTGTTACGACAGTAAAAAGAAAGAAAACTAACTTGGTGTGTGAGAAAGCTGGACAGATAGCTAACTGAATCGAATTTTCAAAAGCAGAAAACAAGTGAAAAAGGAAAACAAGCGAAAGTTAGTCGAGCGCCAAGGAGGCCCAAAAACTGTTCTATTTAAATGATGTTTTAAATAAACGAAAACGTTCGAAAACGATCCTCATGATTCAATGCAAGGTAATTATTTTTTTCTCTAAAACTCGGACTAGAATCGCTTTTAGTTCGTCGATGTCAATGGTATGCGAATGACGACGCCAAAGCAAGTCTATTCTGCGATCTGGAGTCAACTTACTGGAGAGAAAAGAACAGCTGATCATGCATCAGAGCTTCTAGAGGCGAGATTCGCAGGGAAAGAAAATGCTCGTGGAAAAACTGAGCCAATTTTGATGCTCGTCGATGAGCTTGACCAGCTGATGACGCGGAAGCAAGACGTTTTGTACAGAATATTCGATTGGCCTCAGCGCTCAAAGGTAGGGGTAATTGGTTCCATCATAAACCTCATCGTCTTCTAGTTGATCGTGATTGCAATCGCCAATACTTTCGATCTTCCTGAGCGAGTTATGATGCGTCGAGTGGCTTCTCGTCTTGGTCTTTCTCGAGAAACTTTCAACCCGTATACTTTCAAGCAACTCGAGGAAATTATCAGAGCTCGACTTGGTCCGAATCTCTCACGGCTTTTTGAAGACACTGGTCTTGCTTTTGTATCGAGAAAGGTGGCGAGCTTATCTGGAGATGCAAGAAGATGCTTGGAAATTTGCCGCCAGTCGGTTGAGCAATCTATTTTGAGGTAAAAAAAGATGCGATTATTTCTTCTCAAATTTGGTGTTCAGATATGAAGAGACAAAAGATCCACGATCCGTCTACATAACTCTTGATGACATCATCAAGGCAGTCAACGCTGTCAGTTGTAACCCTGCCATTGTGATGATGAAAGCTTGCCCAACTTTTGCGCAAATTTTCTTGCGAGGCACGGTCGCTGCTTTCAGAAGTTTAGGAGTTGAAGAAGCCTCCGTTGATGATGTTATAGGAAAGGTTCTCATTTTTCCCGGTTTATTTTCAAAAGTAAAGTGCAAAAACTGAGCCTGTGAAAGATCATTCCGGTGTGATCGCCCATATGGACGGAGAACGCAAGCCAGAGTCCTTCGAGCTTCTTCAGGTTGCCGGTTACTTGGAAACAGTAGGACTTATACTCGTTGACAATCTCCAAAGTGGCATTCACGCAAAGGTTCGCCTCAACGTTTCACCAGAAGACGTACTTTTCGCACTCAACACCGAGAAAAAATAGACTATCACTTCCTTATTTTTCCTTCTATAATCACTGCCCATTTATACAAAAAACAGTATTCAGACATATTTCAATAAACTCAAGCTGTAATGAATGATGCTCTTGTTGAAAAAATATATGAATTTAATTTGCATCGTTGGCATTGGCAGAACTGTTGAAATTTTGAAGTGCTGATGGATGAATTTGAAAGCCGTAGAGAGTAGGAGTGTATGACGAAGTGGGTGGTTGAGGTCGGTTGGCTGGTTGAACCATCAATGCCATTTGCTAGGGTCGAGTTTACATGTTGAAAACGGAAAGAATGTTACCGGAAAACCTGTCCCAAAGTAGGCACCATCAAGTGTACAGTATTTTGTACTGGGGTTGAAGATATCGTTGCATTTCGGACAATACAGCTTTACTTGTTCTTTGAAGAAGGTTAATTTATTAAAATCATGAGTGTTCTTACTGTGACCAAGAATATCCGATTCTCCAACTGGCAATACATGCTCGCCCTGACAATGAACTCTTGAAGACTTTACAATAGCGCTTCTTCTTGTTAGTTACCTTGGGCATTGGCCGAAATGTCCGTCTCTCCATTTTGCCATCATCATTGCAATACCCCTGTTTGTCAAAATAAATCTTGCGTGAATTAGTCCATATAACATTTTTGCTGATCTTTGCACATCACCTGCATGGAGTTGCTCGTCTTCCATCTCATCCGAGTCGTAGTATGAATCTTGAATCATGTCCAGCGCCTAGAAAATCGGTTAGACAAAGAACATGTCGATTTGTACCTGTCTGTAATAAGGAACTTGTTCATTCAAATTCGTCAGGTTGAACTTGTCTCTTATGTAATCTTCGCTGATTTCGCAGAAGAACTCGTGCCCTCTTTGGCTACAAAACCACTGGATCCAAGTCTCATCATCGCTCGATTCGGACATTATTTGGTTCCCAATTTTGCTTTATTTTAATTTTTACGACTTGAAAATTTGAGTACTAAGCGTCGATTGAGAATATTAAAGCGCACAGCGTGTGATTTTTAAAAGCGGAAAAATGATCGCTGATCAAATAATGGAAAGTTACAGTGATGCAGAACGGATTATTTACACACGGCGTAATCTCCTTGTTTCACTGAAACATAAATTATTCAGCTAAATTCGTAGCTGAATTAAAAAAAAATACAATTCAATGATAAAAAAAACGTAAAAAATTGATGCCTTGTTCCTTCTTTTTGCTTAATTTCTCTGTTGCAATCGGTCCCAAGAATATAGAATAAGGCTCAAAAAACATCTCGATATTATAATGAACTAGAAACGTTGTTTTTCTCTTATTGATTTGTCAGTAATCTTTCTCTTTCTTCATCTTGCTTTAGGTATGATATTTGAAGCACAAACCGAATTAGAAAATAATTTTTGACGGTATGAATGCTAGGGGTAGTCAAGACTTCTCCTTGCATTAAAACCACTTTCTTCCCTTTTTGTCTGAAAACTCCGATGCAGTAGCAATCAAGACATTTTTGTGAGAGTCAGAATTACCCGAATTTCGGAGTTTAGGCAAACGAAACCACGCTCGTAGATGAGGAGATAGGTCATCGCTTGGTCTTTTCTGACAGCTGGACACTTGGTCTCCGTTTTTTAAAGTCACATTTTCTGCTTCACCTTTTTAGCGCAGGTCAGAATAGCTTTGTCTCTTCCAGAGATCACTCGCTATGGTAAAAGAAGAAGAAAACGAAAATATCAAAAATGCGATTTTCCAAACCAGAATTCGGGTATTTTTCATCTCAAATTGAGATTCTCAACCTTAAATAAAACTAAATCATACAACAGTGTCTTGATTGCGATTGCATCGGAGTTTTGAGAAAAAAAGGGATGAAAGTGTATTTGATGCCAGAAGACGTTTTGACTACCCGGAGCATCCATACTCAGAAAAGCGATGTTATAAAACTGATTGAGAAAACGACATGGAAGAAAAAAGTGACGGCGAAAATAAGCTTGGCGAAACACGGAAACGCCACAAATCAGCAGCAGTTCAGCTATCTGACTCTTGGCAGCATATTCTGGCTCACTGTTATGCTCATAGGTACCTTTCGAGTAATCTAATATTTTTCTTATTTTGCAAGCAAATTTCGCCTCTTTGGAGAAATCGCTCGGCGCAACGACCTTCCTAACGTCGACCTGTCACCAAAACTATAAAAAATGCGTTAAAATTTCAACAATGGACTTTTGCGGTCATCTTATGAAGCAATGCCGCGAAACCAAGGAGTTCATCCTTCCTGAGCCGGCTTCTAAGGTCGAGCATGTCAAAGCGGCGCCGCTAGTTTTTTCCGAAGAAGAAAACGAAGTGAATCTCCGCCGCTGTCAGAAGAAACGCTTTTACGACCAAAAAGTGTGTCGCCATCTCTGCTCGAACACGCTCGTTTTGAAATCAACGAGGACAAATCCGATCACGCCCTGTGAATCAATCTGCTTTGGACTGACAAGAAGCTTCGATTCTGCTGGAGAGGTGTGTCCGTTTCAGAAGTACTGTTCCAAAGGTTGTCCTTGTCCTCATTACCAGTGTGAGAAGCTGGAGTCGCCTCAAAAACTTGTTCCAGTTTTTGATTTGCGAAAATCTGAAAAAAGTTCAACGCCGATCGAGTCAACTTCAACTCAGTCGACATCAACAGGGTCGACTTTGACGACGTGGTCAACAATTGGGTCATCAACGCAGTCAACAATTTCGGCGACAACAACTCGGGCGACAACATCTCCAATAACAACCTCAACTCAGTCAACGTTGTCTTTCATCAACTCAACCGCGCACTCAAATGGCAGCACTGAACTGACTGCCGCTCATGAAGTTGAAGAACCAAATTTTACGATTCTATTGGCCGATTTCAATGGACAGAATCAACCAAAAATGACAAGCGCCTCAGATTTTTCGGACTCTTATGAACGGTTTCGATGATGAGTGTATTTTTAGCAAATTAGGTTGGAATAATGTTCGAGTCCAATTTTCAATAAAAATTATTCAAAACTAAAAAGTCGACTGGCGCTACCTTTCTGAACGGAGAGCATTACTTGGTCGATGCGATCGGAAACTTGATGAAAGTAAAAGAAAATGATGATGCTCCGACTATCATTCCGAACCCACTCAAAAACATGTAAGTTAATATGATTTTCTTAATATTTGCTAGATAAGTCGAGGCCCCTTAATTTTATTAAAAGAGGCCGCTTCGTTTTCCACTTTGGATCGTCGATTGGAACTCACCACATTGAGATTCGCCTGAAAGACAAAGATCGAAAGATTTTTCCGGTCGTTGTTATTTGAAAACGGTCAAAAATCGGATGAAAGGTAAAAGGAAAATTATGAATTTTTGACCAATAAAAGCTCCCCGGACGACCGTCCAGACAAGTGTTACTACTACGCGCCAGATTATAACCTAAACAGATTCGAAACAGCTCAAGGTAAGAATCAGCCTTCTACTTTTACTTCTTCCTTGACATTCTAGGCTACATCGCGAGCAACCATATAAACGCTAGAACTTCTTCAATCAGCTTCGGCGGAACATTTATTTTGATGAGCTTGAGACTCGGCAGAAACTGGATTGTTGTTTCGAAAACAGTCGCCCTGAACTCAATCCGAGCAACGGAGGAGTTGGAAAAGGGATGGAAAAAAGACGAAATAGCTGTTCCAGCTATGTTCCGAGACTTTGACCCTGTTCATGTGATTCCTTTGTTACGGATTCAATCGATATTTTCTACTTGCTCTTTCTTCTTTTTCTTTGAATTCCAAAAAAGATCGATCTTGGTCAATTGATGCTCATTCTCGTCACTAGAAGCATCGCGCTCTCGAACACGCGGTATTCTCTTCTACTCGAAAAAGAGGGGAAATTCTTGACGCTAGGCAATGAGTGGATTGGCTCCTTGGTTCGTTACGAGCGAGAATCGCGTTGTTTCTCTGGTTTGTATGCTCCGAAAGATTACGCTTATTCAAATGCATTTGGAACCAACAACGACGAGTGCGAGTATTTCATCAATGGCTTCATTAATAACGATCGTATTTACCTCCAGAATATTGTTTTCGACACGACTTTTGAAATTCATTTCGACTTCGGAATGGATCATCACTATAGTTTAACTTGACTATATATAAGTTAATCCGCTAAAAAGATCACATCGAGCTCGATTTCCGTCAACAAAGTGCTGGAAACAAAATGCTTGTGACTAGCAACCCGTATTTCGAATTCCACAAAGATGTCTTTCCTTTCTTCGCCAAAAACGCTGTCAAAGAACAAATGCCTTTTCCGCAATCAGGCGAGGCTCTTGATCAAACGAGCAGAATTTTTTAATAGCAAGTCGTTACTAACGGCGATAAACAGAGCCCAAAAAGCAAGCAGTTTGTCTCCACCATATCCATTGGAAATACTGCCGGATTACCCTTTTTCGTCTTTCAATGAGTCGCTATTCCATATTTCTTCATTCGAATTGGACTTTAACGAAACGCGAAAACTCACTTTTGACATAAAGGAAAGAGTCTCAAATTTAACGCTAAATAATTAATTTAAAGTAAATTAATCGAAAAATATTCTTGACTCTCAGAAGACCAAATCGTTTCTCACAAAAGCTGCGAAAATTCTGGAATTTCGATCTTATAATGAAAAATCTATCTTCGCAATTAAAAATTACGAAAACAGCTCGATTGCGATTTCTTCCGACTTTTTCGAGGAATCGATCGTTTTGGACGACCCGTTAAGCACGAATTGGACATCTCTTGAATTCGTTTTCAAAGTCGAAGACGGCTCACTTTTTTCCCTTGTTGTGAGGAAAAAGGGCGAGGAAATAGCAACAAGGCAAATGAACGAGCTTCAAACTTTGGGAAAAAAGAGAATCAGACTTTTCAAATTCGACGACGAAACCGAAATCAAGAATGTTTTTTTCTATCAAAATCAACAGAGTCAGATTCTTGTTATCTTATCTGAGCCAGCTGAGTTACCACATTCATATGCTTTGTTTGGAAATGGTTTTAAAAACGAGGGCACCGTATTACTGTACATGTAATATTGTACAGTGGAAAATTGTATCACTGTACTTGTATTAGTGTACAGTATCGTATCACTGTACTTTTCCCTGTGAACTCAAAAGTACAAACTTACAATGTACAGTGATACAATACTGTACACAAATACAAGTACAGTGATACAACAGCAAAAAATTTAAAATCGCGAATTTACGGGGCTAGGATTTTTTTTTTTTTAAAATTATTATTTAAAATTCAAATTTACAATATATTTTTTTCATACAATTTTTATTTAATGCGCGCGGCGCGCGCAAATCCCTACTTTTTAATAATATAAATGAACTAAATTAAAAAAATACAATAAATTATATATAATTTCTTATACAATTTTTATTTAATGCGCGCGGCGCGCGCAAATCCCTACAATTTATATTCCCAAATTTAACAAAATATGGGGGGACTATATTTTGGTAGCTAGGGGCGGGGCGGGGGTAGATTACACAAGGGCTATTTAATGATGGCCTATATAGCGTTTTTCACGTTTTTTCCCAAAAGTGTGTTTTATTGTACTGCAAAAAAATAGAATTTATGCCCCAAATTCTAATAAAATAGGGGGACTATATTTTGGTAGCTAGGGGCGGGGCGGGGGTAGATTATACAAGGGCTATTTAATGATGGCCTATATAGCGTTTTTCACGTTTTTCCAAAAGTATGTTCTTCCGTACTGCAGACAAAATAATAATTCCCACTTCTGACTTTCTAATAGCTATTTTTCTTTTCAATTCAACTGCAAAAATGCGATATTGTGTACTGCTGAAAATTTATTTTTTTCGTTTTAGACTAGACATGAAAGAGCAATTCTGCTGACAAATGAAGAAAACTCGAAACAAAATTTGAAACACTTTCTATGATCTTCATAATGCTCGTTGATAATTAAAGTTCGGCCTTGGCAGAGGCTTTCGGTTCCTAGAGCAACAAATCCGATCACAAGAACTTGGTTTCTTTTGTTTATTCATTTATTCATTTTTATCATTCAGGCTCATTCTCTGTCTGGCTTAAAAAGTCAGTTTCCGTAGATAACAGCACTCCACTTGTCTGCCTGAAGCGCCGTCCCATTCGCAAGTTTCTTAAACGAGATGTTATTGGTCCCCATTTCGCGCCTACCAATGATTCATCCGATGCGTCCGGAGTCTCTTCGATCTCATAGGCTTCCAACTTCACACCTTGGCTTCCACTGTCAGTTTCCACCCGACCTTCGATTTTAATGTAGTCGCCAAACTATTTTTAGTTATAATTTGTAAATTGAACGTCTGATTACCTTGAACTCTTCGAGAAGTTCGTTTTTGCCAGTGACCTTGATTGTTTCTTCGCCATCAGTGACTACGATGGACTCGCCTCCACGTGCAATATCCCAGATCTTGCAGTACAGTATTGCAAGGTTGTCTTTGTGCTTAATAAATAGCTTAGCTTTCTCATTGAGTCTTTAATATTTTAAAATCGCCCAAATTACCTCTGCGATGTTCGCAGCGCACACAAGCTTTCGCTGCTGGAACTTCCACGATGGAATGTCAGGGAACATTGATTGAAGATCGGCATCAGTGTTAGTCATTCTGAATATTTAATTTCAAGCGTTTTTTGTCGTCTTTCTGTTTTCAAATTTGAAGTACACGAGAAAAATTATCAGCGAAATTTTTACTTCTCTCTTTTTCGAAGTATTCGATGTAAGTGGCCATATCCAGGTTCGGCTGCCACCGCCAAAATTTTTGTCGAATGACTAAGATTAATATTTTTAAATACTAGCTTTGTTTTTTTGTTTATACCTTCAGCGGTTCTTTTAATTGCAACAATCGGCTCATCTTTGTTCTCCGACGCAGCGATGACGATGTTTCCTTGGAAGATTTTTTCTGCTTGATCTTCAATTTCCATGGGCACACAGTTATGGACGTGTTGTTGTTCATGAAGCCCAGCTTCTTCCGGATCAAGGGGATACGCCGAATTGCAAAACGAAGGTGCTTCCTTTTTGCTTATCTTGAAGTTTTTCGTTACTTCTTTTTCGTCCGCAACAATGACTGCACTTGGACGGAAAATTTGAAGTGATTCAAGACCAACGCACGTCTCATTTGCGCAGCACATGAGCATTTGTTGCTTACTTAAAGAAGTTACTATCTTAAAGTCCTTTTTATTTGTGTTACCTCTGGATGTAAGCGAACGGTTTCAGAACGACCGTAAACTGATAGTTGGCGTCAGTATTTATCCATTTGCCATCAGCCGTTTCTTGGAGGTCGTAGCTGAATGCGCATCGTGGCTCCCAATCCATCGTGATCCAAGTTTCGCCCATAGACCGCTGGACATCAGGATTGATTTTGATAGTCGTAGCGAGCATTTTTTCTTTTGTGACCTAGAATTAATGGTTATTTATTTAATACAGTGATATTTTCATAGAAATTTTATATAAGGCGCGCTGCGCGCGCGATTGCGTTATCTTTTCGTTACCTTCTTCGTCTGGCGCTCCGAAACAACTGATTCGTTCTTAATTTTATCCATTTAAGTGTGCAATCAAACGACGTAGAAGGTGTTTTTTTTTTTCAGTTTCAAAGAATATAGTTTTCCAATTCGAGCATGATCACGCCCTGCAAATCGTCGAAATCCTGGGCATACTTTCGAAGCTCGGTAATTGGTCCATTCCGCGTCCCTTTATCTTTCCTTGGCTCCTAAAATTCTCTTCACTGTAAATGTATGACTGAGAGAAACGAAAAGGAGAATTTTTGCCAATAGGTGCCTATCCTTGATCTTCTGTTTCAATTAATGCCGTAAGTCTGCTGGTCAACTCTTCCCCACTAGATAAATCTGTTAAATCGGCACTTATTTTCTGGTTATCTGATTACTTCAGCTTTTCTGCATTGACAAGCGATAGAAATACGTGAATATTCTGTCCAAGGCGTTGGATTTTTTTGCAGAGGATCTTCAGTTTCGACCACCAACCCTCTAAGAATATTAATATAGTTATTGAGGTTATCTTAAACTTTTGATTGTACTTACGGACAATATATTTAGCATCTTCAAGCTTCTTCTTTTCTTCATGGGTCATAAACTCGTTCTCGTTTTTGGTTTTGAGATGTTCTTTCGCCGAATGAACCGACTTAGCGAGTGAACATTTTTTTTTTCTCTCAGTCAATCACTTATTGAATTGAGTTCACTTTCCTCAACAACTTGTCGCATTCCGATCATGGCCGTTGACTCGGGCTCGAGTCGCGAAAGAATAAGCTTGGCAACCACGAAACCTTCCACGTCTGGGTATGTTTCTGTCATAGTACTAAGAGATCAACCGCGCAAATCAGTTCTGAAAATAGGAAAGTCATTTTCTATTTTCTATTTTTTCTTTCAACCGGTATCTTTCTATCTGTAAAGGAATTATAAGCAAGACTTGCTTATAAAATCCTTTAGATCCGTTCATAAGGGCAGTGTTACAGTTATCTTTCAACAATTCAAACGGGTTCTTTCTTGATCATAAATCGACGTTTCGATTAATCCATTTCGAGTACGAAGTCAGCGATTTTGGTGGTTGTTTTCGTAAACGAGATGTGAATTTTTTCGTCGACAGTAACTGTTCCCTCCTCCGAATTTTTTGCTGCAGCGGAGAGCGACTCGGTCCACCTAAAATTTAAATTTACTTGGTTTTATTTATCTATGCTATTTTACTTTTGATTCAATGAAAAGCTCGCATCCTTGATCGCTTTTCCATCTTTTGCGGTGATTGTCACGGATTTTACGGGTCTAGCTGGATTAAAAGTCCCGTCCAGAGCATTTCCAAGTGATTCCGAATTTGAAAAGCGGAGTTTTTGGTTACCAGAATCTACCGCGATCTTCAGGGGGAAAGCCACAGACGAAGGAAGTTGAAAGCAGTTGCTGTCGAGCTTGAATTCTCCGCTAAATACTAAGTTATCATTTTTTTTTTCTTTATGTTGCTTACGTTTGCTTTCCGTACGATGGCAGCTTGTCTTCCATTTTCACGAGAGTAAGCGGCGCCACGTGACAACTGACGAGGGCGCAAAGATTGTAATCTGCTACCAGCTCTCGTCGAAGAACCAAGTTGAAGTTCTTGTCAACAGTTACCTCCCATTTGAGGCAGCAGTGTTCACCTGATGCATTGACCGATTCGATAAGTTTCGGCGTTGAGACTGAAAGTGATTATCTTTTTATTCAATATAAAAAAAATATAAATACCTTTAACTGCGAACGTTTCGCAGCAAGTATACAGCTTGAACTGTGTCGCGTCGAGCTCGACACAAACACGATTCAAACCCGCTTCATCGCTTGTTTCGATTTTGATCCCACTTGGAGTGAAGATCATCTTAGTTTTGTACCCAATCTTCGCAATCGGTGCTAATTTTGTTCTTATTTCGACTGGTTTGTTGTAAGCAGCCAAAAACATCAGTCTAGAATAAGGAATTTCAGTCATCTTAGAGAGACTCATCGTGGATCATCACAAAAGGCTTTCAAGGACATTCTGAGTGTGCACAGACGATGTAATCTCCACGACTGAAAGTTTATCGTGAAGCCTTAACAGTTTGTCAATTAGAGACGTGGCGTTATTTTTCTCCTCGAAAAGCTCAGCGAGTCGTTCAATCTTTGCTCCATCACTAGAAATTCGTCACTTTGATAAGTTTTCATTTTAAAAAGTACGTTTTATCGCAACTCTACAGTTTAATTATTATTTCTCATACTATTTTTATTTAATGCGCGCTGCGCGCGCACTTTTACACTCAATTAGCCTATCTTTACCTTAATTGCTCGTGATGAATGAGAGACAGGAAGATGAGAAGGTTTTTCCCAAGCACGCTGGTCTCTGCACCAATTTCATCGATCTCCTTGGTGTACTTTTCTACTCTCTTTTTAGCAGCCATTTTTTCTGTCGTTAATCTTACCGAGCGAAGAAATTCCATTGTTAACTTTCTGGATGTACGAAGCTGGCTTAGATTCTGATTTCATTTGTTCAAACATTTCTTTCGCGCCTTCAATGTTGTTTTTCAAGTCTCTTCGCCTTTTAACGATATCGTTTCCGGCTGGCAAAAATTGTTTTACAATCTCGTTTGCAGTTTTCAGTCCGTCTGTCCAGTCGTATGCATTCACAGTGGCCATTCTGAAGATATACTCGATTATTTTTACTCAAGTTAAAATAGAAATAAAATTATCTTTTGAACTTTTGGAGTCAGATATGTGTGAAACCTTTTCAATGGCTTGCAAGTTTAAAGGTTTTCCCTTCTTTTTTTTTTCCTTTTACCGTAAAAAAAACGCACACAGTGAAAATAATAATGATCATTTGATCTTGAGGAACTTTTGGCCGAGGCAGTTGGGTGCTGAGCGTTAAGGTTTTTTTTTTTGAAAATTGCAAGCGTACAGTTTGTGCCTTTTCCGTTTATCTACCTAGGGAGTTTTTATTTCTCCGCCGTACTATAAATGAAAGAACACAATTTAGTTTAGCTAGTGAGGAAAAAATTGGAACTAATGAAGGTATGGGGTGCGGCAGACGGCGCAATATGTCCATCGCTCGATCCATCGCAATGCGCATGCTTTGTCAACCTTATGTGAGCAATTTTTGAATCGGATGAGTGGCTCCTTGAGTTCCATTTGACAAATTTGACAGATCTCTTCTTCCTGGATATTTTGAGGAGTCAAAGTGTCGCCAATCAGTCCTTCGAGCCGACCTTTGTATTCGTCCGAAGCGCGAAATTCAGCTCGCCAAAGATCGCCCAAGAGTCCTTCCATAGTTCGGCTTTCTGGATCGATTAGTGGAATATTTTGTGGATAGCTTGTTTGCGGTCGTTTGAGTTTGCTTTATTACACTCAAGCACGAAAAAGGCATATTTTTTTTTCAACTCAAAAGACCTTTCCTGTTCAATCCAAATGGATTGTTGATAATAGCTTCGTAGAAATGGTTGTAATTGCCATCATTTTGATTGTCCACCGTGCCGACAACATTCCGATCGTCGAGTTCTGGCCCTTTTCATGATTTAACAAGTCTTTTTTATGGCTAAGATCTGATAAAATTAAAAAAAAAAAGAATTCTATATATTGAAGTTTTGTCCTTCCTTGAAGTGGCTGTGTGGCGGTGGGCAACTCAGCAGGGTTACGAAGAACAGGTGGATCCTCTCCATGCACCTGTTGAGTGCCATCTTCTTGATGATTCTGAGCGGGTCCATTTTCCGCCGGGATGTTTCGATTCAAGTCAAAATTATCACTCATTCCCCTTTCAAATGTCTGAATAAAAGTTCATTAGTTAAGTTCGAAATTTATCCTGGTAATATATCTTTGATCACAGTGAGCTTTGATAAGACTGAAGGATTTAAAAATTTGTTTGACTGTCATTATGCTGAGTGAACATGATGTTGTTACAGTTTTACTAACAATAAGCATAGCTTTTAGTTTGAACTTTGTTTGGCAGTTGGGCAGGGGGGGGGGAGCAGAAAATAATCATAAAGTGAAAAGGCCGATTTACATTTCCTTGACTCACGAAGGAGAAGGCCCGACTTTAAAAACTTTATGATTTTGAAAATGGGGTTTAGAATTGGTTTTCGTATTTGGCAGTTGGTAAAAAATCGTGAGGCGCGAAAGTTTTGTTTTGAAACCTTTATGCGTTCTCGTCGGATTCTCGTCGAGGTCGTTTTTTGTCGCGTCGGGTCTCACGGCTGTTCTCATCCGTTTTTTTTCCTGGCGAGCACCCGGCAGAGTTGTTCTTCTCAGATGGCTCGTATTCAATGTTGTTGTTCTCGTCAGGCTTTTCATTCTCTTGTTGAGCCTTTTCGTACGCACTCATCCCGGAGTTTCGATCATCATCGCTCTCGCCTTCTAGCAATGGAGTTTTTTCCCCCTCCTGCGGCTGTGGAGTCGAAGAAGCCGTCGCGTGAACACGAATGAAACGAGTTCGTAGTTGATCATCCCATTGATCATCGCCCATTTCACCATAACAGTGCACATCTTCGCTTGGCAGCGGTTGGGTGAAAAGAGTGGTGACCTGAATTAGTGCATTAATTACTAAATGTATGTAATACGCCGTACCGATAGACCACGAATGCTGATTTCAATTTTCAATGGGTTATTCGCCATATCGATTGTCATTTCGATTGCCATGTCGGCTTCTTCGTTGCGGCAATACTCAGCAAGCGCTTTCGCATATTTACGCAGGCAACTTAACTTTTGTTTTAGTTTTCTAATCGGGAAAAAGAAGAGTAAAAATTCGAGATTATGAAATAGTTTTTCTTTCAAGAGAAGAACAAACTTAAAAAATTATTGTACAAAATGATTACACGCGAGAATAAAAGCGCTGTGCAAAGAAAATTGATCTTTGCGCGTCTCACGGTTGCATTAATGATGTATTCCTATACAATTTTTTATTTAAGCGCGCAGCGCGCGCGAGACCCTTATATTAATTCAATGCTAAAATTGAAAGCTTGCTACCTTGTGATGATATTCGCATGCGTTGAAACTCCGTCAGGAATCACTTGCACAGCCGAGTCTCCATTTGAGGCGAAGACTTTCTTGATTCGCTGTCTGGAATTTCCATCCGACATGAATTCGAGGTTCGAAGTAATCGGAAGAATTCTAATGGTCGTAATATCGCCGCCTTCAAAAGGAAGACGATAAATGAAATTATTAACCATAAAAACGCATACCTAAACCCATTTTTTCACTGGCAGCGCAGAAGCTATTCGCTGGCATGAGTACAAGTGGGTTCGCTGGGTCTGACATTAAAGCTGGTGGCTCGCGGACTTCTTTTGTTTTCAGATAGAAAACATCTCCGGCTTCACTATCGGTTACAGAAACACGAAGGAAGCCATCAAGTGTCTCGCCAAGAACCAGTTGCACAGACTTCTCTCCTTCGTTCGCCACGAAGCCAATGAGTTTTTTAAGGTCGACTAAATTTCGTTATTTATTCTGTCTTAGTTTTCCCCTTTTAGAGAGAGAACCGGGCTTACCTGAGAAAGAACGAATGATGAAGTTGGTGTTCTCATAGTTGAGGAGTCGGTCCTGGTGGTAGATGAGGTAACAGGCGGCGTACCTGTCTTCCTCGAAGCCAACAAAATGGAGAGAATCATGCGTCGCCATGATGTTAAGTGTATCACTTGTGCTTTCCATCAATAAAAGAGCACGATGAAATTGATGGGCACTTGGAATGAACGCGTTCATGTCTGAACTTTAAAATAGTTAATTTTCTGTTACTTGAGCTGTTTTTCTCTGTTGTTTTGAACAGATCAGCATTTTCACAATTTCTTCATGTCTGTCAGTCTGATTGTTCCTCCTCGTCGTCGACTTTCTTGATAAATCCCCTTAAATTGGAAAGGATTTGCTCGCCGAGGGCGGGCTTCAACTCCAAGCTGAGCGTTCGTTTTGCTGTGTCCGCTTTACATAAAAGCCGCATAATCAACTTTTTCGCCAGCAAATAGCCTTCCCATTTTGGCCTACAAATTGTTATTAAATGAATAAGTTAGTAAGACTTACAGTTTGGAAAGAATCGCCAGCATAAATACGTAAAGTCGATAATGCGAATCGGCGTCTCGGAGCTCCTTCCATTCTATTTTGAAGACATCGAAGCAATGATCAGCGGTCTCGCTGAACGTTACAATAATTCATCAGCATCATAAATCGATATCACATGATATTGTTCTCTTAGCTAGTCCTATTTTTGATTGACCTACTTTTTGAAGTCCTTGAGTTCTTTTAGACGATCAAACATTTTCAAGTGAGTCGTGAATCAGACAAACAATCAGATCTGAATATTAAAAAGATGAGAAGCATTAGGACGAGTAAGAAGCTTTTTTGTAGCGCTGCAAAAGAATTGTCTGAAACAGATGGACGAATTTTTCACATAGCGCTTCGGTTTTTCTGAGGTTGAAAACTGTCGGGAAACCCTTTAGGTCCAATTCCGTTGTCAGCAGGGGGTCGAAAACAACCGCGACTTAAAAAAAAAAATATATGAGTACTTCTCGTTTCCAATGATAATTACTTACTGGCTCCTGTATCCTGGTGGACGCTAAAGGGCATTCTCAATAAATGCTTATGATTGGTAAGCACTGGCTTATCTAATTTCGGATAGAGATGTCGAAGTTTGATAACGCGCAGTGAATTTTTGTCAAGCTGGTCGTTGTTCTTTAGTCGTTGTTCGATCACATTCCATTTCTGGTCCGTCGTCTTTTGTTCCATAATCTTTTCGACCAGACTTCTCTTGACAGACTCAGTCAGCGCTGTAAAGCTTAGCAATTTCATTATTCTTTCTTGAAGCTCCAGGAGGCCTTAATTTTCATTCAAATGAAGTTCAGAGAAAGCGATGCTCACCTTGTTTACATAAAAAGTCCACCCAAACTGTGTCGATAATTTCCTCCGCTTTTCTTAATGACGTGTGGTACAAATTGCCGTTTCCATAGTACATTCCTTCGATGTTGATATATCCGAATAACGCTCTGCGATTGTACTCATCGGATTTTATGTATTCTTCGTCGAGGATCCAGCAATGAATGCCTTTTTTCCCGCTGAATACTTAAAAAGATTATATTGATTTTGCATGCAATACTATATTTAACGCGGCAGCGCCGCGAAATGAAAAAGGATGTAAAAGAACTTACCCCAGAAAAAATGCTTGAAACCGAAATCTTTTCGAAGGATTCTGTCCAATATTTTTGCCGCGGTTCGAAGAATAACCCAGCAACTGGAGCAAATCGTATCTTCTTTACAGCACGTCTTATATGTATATGAGCTGATATCGATGTCAAGCGTGAACTGAACAAATATGAGTGGATAAAAGCCATAAGAAATCATTTATTCTTCTGCTTATTTTAGTTTCCCCCTTTTTTGTTCCCCTAAATTTGGCTTCTAGAACGCAAAGAGTGGCAATTGTTTTCGTTTTACATCAGCAAAAAAGATGTTTTTGTTTTTTCAACGATCAACAAATTCTAGAATTTGATGAAGATACGAAACCAGTGCCATTTTGATAGATTTTACTGTTTTTTCTGAAATATTTCGATTAATATCGTTTAAATAGATTTCTCTTTTTTAAATAAAGGTGAAGAACTCCTCAATTTTGTATCCTATGAGAAAGAAAATGAGTTCTGTCATTAATTTCCCCGTAAAAAAACAAAATTCCGAATTTAAAGCAAAAAATTTTAACCTTGTACGGAGTTTTTACTCTTTATTTTTAGATTATATGTTCAATCGACGTCATCTCCGGTTAATATAGAAATTTTAAAATAATCGAACCGTTGAAATTCTCAAAAACTCACTTTTCCCGAACATTTTGAGAAGAACTGAATATTACGTAGTAATTCTAGATTCTAGAACAAAAAATGTTTTTTTTTTTTTACGTTTAACCTACCTCACGCGCCAAGAATTCATCTATGTGGATATTTCGATATTTGCCCGATGGCTTATAACATCCTCCAAGGTCGACTCTTATCGGGCGCTTCTTTCGAAGATAATCGAAGAATTTCGGCTCATCGCGGAAGATGTTTTCGTTCCGCCTCACAATACCACTTCGGTCCTTGAAACTTATGAGCCTTTTTAGCAAAGAAATTTTATCAAAACTTACAATATATCTCTCTGGCCGATTCTAAACGTTTCGCCGCACGTAATGAACAGTGCGAGCTCATCCACTGGGCAGTGAAAGAGGTAGTATTCTTCAAGCTCCCTATCATTCGGCTCTTTTGGGCGATTGCATGCTCGTATTCCACTACTATCCTGCGAAGAGTGTTCTTTTTCGGTTGTCTTGCTATTAAAAAAGTCGTTTATTTCGGAAAAAATGCATTCGTTGATATACCTTTTGAACTTTTTTCTAAATTCTTGCGCAAGACCTCCTTTCTTCTCGCAAATTTTGTTTACAGCTGTTTCTGGCATATTTCTGCTTGACTCGGGAGCTGTATTCTTATCGTCCTTTGAGCTTGGAGGCGGCGTTCCAGGTACCCTGAAGGGAGAATCTGTTTTTTCTTGGCGACTTGGCGAGGTGATTACATTGACGACAACGTTCTTGTTATTCGTCCCTTTTGGTTCTTCGTCGTCGCTATTGGGGTATAATTGAATACTGCAGTGATTTTCTACTAACCTTTCACCTGAAATCACTATGATGTCTGCATCGACGGTCAGACCAATTTTGTCCATTTCTTTTGCGAGAAACTCGTCATTAAAAACGTGGAACTCGCGCTGCACTCCTCTGCTTGCGGGACGATCGTTGTCCATGCAACTAAGCACGGCTGTTAAACAGAAAAAAAAAACACAGCGAAATTAAATTAATTTACCGTTCTAATTTTTGTTTCACAGTAGGAACAACCGGGGGCACAATAGAAGCACAGCGTTTAGGAATTTGAAGCTCTGTTTCTTGATTTTTTCCGATCGTCCTTATCATTACTTTTCCGTTTAAACTGTCTGCAGCAGTCAATTGGAGTTCTTCTTCGACGTCGCTGACTCTAAGGAACTTCCAGAAAGAATCGGCGGGCACTAGTAATTTTTTTAATGATGGGCCTTTCTAATTCACTCAATAACTTACGAATTACTGAATCTCCGATATTGTTTATAGCATAGCTTTTCATCATGTCTTCACAAAAGAAAAATTTTCTTTCAATGTCATTTCCGCAGAGCTCATAAAGGTACAGCCCTTCATTGTGGAAAATTAGCAGGATATCGCAGTCCTCTATAATAGAGGATTCATGAGAGCCTACAAACTGAGCTATGCTTCGAAAAGCGGCGAAACTCATGTCTTTAAAATAAGAAAATTATTTTTTTAATCTATAGGAACTATCAAGTTTTTCGCAAAAAAAAAATAAAAAAGAAAATAAAAACAGAGGGGCAGTGAACTCTCGCAGACTACATTTTACATCGTTTTAGTCGAGATTGATTGTCTTCTTTCCCTTAAAAGGGGGTTAGATTACAGAGTGATGTTTAAGATTTACCTCGGAGATACATCGGGAAGATGGGCCCGGTCTATTGATGTCCTCTGCTTGAGTTTCTTCGTCAGTTGACTATAATTTTATTAGAACAGGCCCCTCTTGCTTTAAGTTTTTTGCTTTTCTCGGTTCATAAATACAAGTACAGTGATACAATACTGTACACTGATACAAGTACAGTGATACAATGGCGAAATTTTAAATCCAGATTAAATAAGATGTTTAACGCTTTTACCTGCGAGTAGCTGAGAGAAGTGTGGTCTCGAGCACCCATAGAGCGGGTCCATGGCCGGTTGGTAGTTTGAGAGCCAGTCTTATTTATCGTGTAAATATGTGATATTACATGAAGATCATACCTGATCGTTACCGCCTTCTTTTTGCTCCGCAATCTTCTTGGTTTTCGTCGTTCGAGTGTGATCTGTGACCGGGAGAACACTGTTGATCGTGGGCTGGTCGCTTGGTCTGAATTCTCGTTTATGGACGAGGAAAACGACTGACAGAAATAACACGAACGCATACCTCTTCCCTCGACCGGCAGCAGGTTTGCTTGTCAAATCGCGGATTCGCTTACGGAGTTGTTTGTTCTCCATCTCGAGGAAGCTGATGCGTCCAAGTTTTTGAGAAAACTCACTCTGTAGCCCTTAATGGGAATTATTCAGTATAAATCGCATTTTTATTTGTTCTTACCTTTCACGAGATCGTTCGCGTCTTTGTGCCATGGCAGCGACACATAATCTGCCTAGATATAGATAAATTCGATAGTCAATGTATCAGAACTTACAAAATACGCTGCCTTGCGACAGAATGCGCACTTGATCTTGGCTTCTCTTGCTTTGCGGCATTTTTTCAAGCATTCACCGCAAAAAATTGCACCGCAGCCAGCGCACATCTTGGGATCCTTCACCGCGAAGTGAGTTGGAACCAGGCTACAATCTAAGGCAGCTTGCAGGGATGAAAACGCTTCCATTTTGAATCCGTGAAACGTTGTCGGCGGAAATCAGCTCTCTTTTTCCTGCTTTTGATTGGTTTGAAAAATCACGAGTGAGAAGTAAAAAGTCTCTCTCGATAACCTTGTTCATCTCTCGGCTCGAAATAACGACGCTTTCGGGATTGGAGTTGCAAAGTATTTTTGGCCCGAAACTACACTCACAACCATATTTTTTTTCTCTGATTTTCTAACTACTACACTCATAACTAGTTCTCATTACTACACCGCTTTTTCTAGATCAAATAAAAAGACATTTGTTTTTTTTTTACAGAAAGGTTTTATTTTGCAGCCACTTTGTGAGAAAAGGGCGCAAGAAAGATTTCTCAGACTTGACAGGAATTTACAGCTGGAAAAAAAAGATGGTGTTGTTTCACAGCGTAAAAGTCGGTCGTTGGAGCTTTTTATGAAGTCCAATTCTTTCCTCGGATCTCCAATTTGCGTCCAGAAGAGCTCTGAATCACAACGAGACATCGTTCGTTCACCAGGTCCTCGTAGAACTTTGTCGCGGGGGTGGTGTGACGAGCGATGATCCGTTCCAGGTCGGTCGCGACGCGTTCTCGGTCTTGTGGAGAGAGACCTGCGGTGAGACGCAAGAAGTACTCATCCTCTAAACAATTCGATTGATTTCGGGAACAAATAAAAAGATATAATAGGAATTACCTGCAAAGCGGAGAGCACCACGGTTGTCGAGCTTCTCGCCATTTGGTGCGATGAAGCCAGGTTGCTGCGCAGCTGGCTCACCCTTTTTCTTCTCCTTGCCCTTGCCCTTGCCCATCCAACCTCGTGGAAGTTCGGCTGGGGGGGCTTGAAGTTGGTCAGCGCACCGTCGAAGGTCAGAAGCAGCTTTCAAAAGCGCGTTCTTCAGGGTGGTCGTTTTAGCGGCCGCGTTCTATAGACAAATTTAGTCCAAGGGGAATCAGACAATGCCACATGGGCGCTATCTTTGCAAAAAAAAAAAAAAGAAATGATTGATTACCTGGGAAACCATTTTTCGAAGTTTTGATCTTATCTCTGTTCTGAGAAAATCTAACTGAGCTGAAGGGACGCAAATGCCCAGACGTCGAGCAATGTTCTAGAGACTTTTTCATTAGCGAAGAAAAAGAATGCACTTTTTTTTTTATTTTGTTGGTTTCGAGACAAACAATTCTAGAAAAATTAAATAAGCTCGATTTCTTAATTCTACGGTCAACCACTCAAGAGTACACAAATACGAATACACTGATACAAAGTCACACTAACCGAAAATTTCTAAAGATCAATTTTTACAAAATGGGACACTTTCCCTGATAAGTTTCCTTATCAGTTGTTTGATTTTAATAAGAAGATTATTTATTACTGAAAAATATGAACTTTCAGACAAATAAAACAAGAAATAACTTAATCTTCCATTTCTTCAGTCATGTCATCGTCATAGGCGACGAACATCTCGCCCAGGTTCATCGCCTTGTGGCCCTTCGTAACCAAGAGAACGGCGAGATTTTCGTTTTGTTCCTCTTCGAGGAACTGTCGAATATTTTCAACGTATTGGTCCGAATCATTCAAGAATTCGGCGATGGCTGTCTCAACCAGCGGTGCGCCGTCGGCAACTAAACAAACCAATTAAGACGGTAGAAAAATGAAAGAGCGTACCTTGAACAAGAGGCCGAGCCCGCTGGCTGATAACGATGCTCGAAGGGTCATCGAAACGACGCGGAACACCATCCTCGAAGACCACAGCGGCGCCTGGGCGATGATCGTGGTGGATGGCGGAAGCGAAAGCCGGGGCGAAATAGTTTCCGAAATCGGGTGAAATCGGAACAAAGCCTGCGTCTTCGCCATTCGTAGCCGTGGCATTCGATGTTCCAGCCACGGTTGCATTTGCGGACTCGTTGAACAGCCCAGAGATTCCACTAACAGTGGAGTTGGCGCGCTGCGAACCCATGCGAGCACGGTTGTTTTGGCCGGGTCGGCCAGCGATGGTGGAGTTGGCGGAGCCAGTTCCGTTGAACAGGGCGGAGATGCCACTGACGGTGGAGTTGTTTTGGCCGGGTCGGCCAGCGACGGTGGAGTTGGTGGAGCCAGTTCCGTTGAACAGGGCGGAGATGCCACTGACGGTGGAGTTGTTTTGGCCGGGTCGGCCAGCGACGGTGGAGTTGGTGGAGCCAGTTCCGTTGAACAGGGCGGAGATGCCACTGACGGTGGAGTTGTTTTGGCCGGGTCGGCCAGCGACGGTGGAGTTGGTGGAGCCAGTTCCGTTGAACAGGGCGGAGATGCCACTGACGGTGGAGTTGTTTTGGCCGGGTCGGCCAGCGACGGTGGAGTTGGTGGAGCCAGTTCCGTTGAACAGGGCGGAGATGCCACTGACGGTGGAGTTGTTTTGGCCGGGTCGGCCAGCGACGGTGGAGTTGGTGGAGCCAGTTCCGTTGAACAGGGCGGAGATACCACTGACGGTGGAGTTGTTTTGACCGGGTCGGCCAGCGATGGTGGAGTTGGTGAGGGGCTCGCCCAAACCGGACTCATTGTAGACGCCAGCGTCGAAGGTGGAGTCGGCTTGGTCGTCCATGGCGGAGTCGGCTTGGTCGTTGATGGTGGAGTCGGTCTGGTCGTCGTTAGACGAGTTCAAGGTGTATTCTCCCTCATGGGGATTTTCCTCGACTTCGGCGAATACCAGTCCAGAGGCGGATAAGGTGGAAATATCGCTGCCGTTGACGGTGGACATGGTATCTTCGGATGAGGACGAGTCGAGCGTCATCTCCCCTTCATAAGGATCCCGGGACACGTCGGGATCCACAAGAGTAGACTCGCCAGAACTAGTTTCTTCGTCGGTGGCGATAGAGCCATCGAACTCGTCTTGGAGGGAGCGTCCAATGGCGGAAGAAACATTGGAGACTTCGTTGATGACGGGAGAGGGCGTGCGCTCAGGAGTGAGCTCGAACTCTGCAGTGGGCTCGTCGTTTGGAGTTAGCTCCATGGAGTCAACGCCAGATCGACCAAGATAGTTTACTGGTCGAGGGAGGAAACCAGGTGGAGGAGGGCGGACATCACCATCGGCAGACAGGGCAGATGTTTGAGCCGTGTCAGGTTCCACTTCACCGACGACGGTGAGGGTGTCGACAGTGAAACGAGAGCCGATGGATTCGTCAGCGTGAATCGCAGAGTGTCCATTGACACTCTGGCCCAGAAGAACACTGGCGAGAAGACCAGATCGCTGTCCATTTAAGACGGAAGAGATTTCGTCGCTTCCAATCGAAGAAATCTCAGCGGGAGAGAGTGGAGGTCCATCGGATCCAACTTGGGTAGAGTTCATTAACCCTTGGACAAGGGTCGCATTCGGCGAGGCGGTCGAAACAACAGAGGTGTTGGCTTGAGCCTCTCCTTCTTGCAAGATACTAGAAAAGAAAATAAAGAAAGGGTGTTAAAACCAGTAATATATACCTTTCCGGGAGGTTGGAGTCCGCGGGCACGTTGCGACGTTCAACAAAAACATTGCTCCATTCGCTTTCGTCGCGGATGGTGTTGCCAAGGGAAATGTCACCAAGCTGCTGCGGCTGAAGAGCGTTCGTGGCCAATTCGACTAAAAAAAAATATTTGTTTCTAGAACAATTCAAAATCATTGTTTTTGTATAATTGCTTTCTATTGCAATTAAGTTATCCATTGGCATACCAATGCCGTTATAACGACTTGCTTAAAAGCACAAAAACCGCCATATCAATTGCATAAATAAAAACGCATAAAAAGACCATGAGCAGGTCAACTGGTGTGCCTGGTCAGCATAAAATTGTAAAGATTTAGACTTACTTGAGGAGGGTGTTTCCACTTGAGAATCGGAACGTTGAGCCTCGAGAGAGTTGCGTGCCTGGGACTAAATGAGAATGAGGAAAAGAATGCTTATCATTTATTTTTAATTTGCATAGCATTATAACTCGAAATATAAAACGAATTTGCGCGCGCAGCGCGCACTCGATAAAAATTGTATAAGAAGTTATAGTGGATAGATAAATAATATTTTTAAATCCACTACGGAAAAGTGCTTAGGGACTTTATATCTTGCTCAACATCAATAGAGAATTTAACTCAAAAAACACAAATTAACAATCAAAAAGAAATAATTATGGTTTTCTTTATCTTAGCCTCTGGACTTGGGAACTTACTCGAGTGGTCATAGAATGACCAGTTGAGACGATTGGGGCCATGACGTAAAGAAAGTGTCGCGCCTAAGCTGCGGATGAAAAAATTTATGAATTGACTCGTTTGAAATTGAGTCAAACACAAATGAATCCAGTTTTTTGCGAGGGGCACTCGTAGAGCCATCCTGAGCATCATTCTAGAGAATATTAGTGTGTATTTTCAAAAAAAAATAAATAAAAACAAACACATGATCTAGAATTTTTTTTTTTACAATATGTATTTGTAGTCGATTGGATCGGTAGTTTCAAAAACAGTTCGATTCGAAGAGGTTTCGTTAAACGGCATGTTGGTTATGAAAGGATAAGAGGTGAGAGGCCAAGAAATGGGAACTCTACGTAAGCGCTGACACGATAAAACCCAACTAATAATGTCGTTTGATGTACCAGATCGAGGTTTGCCTTTAATTTGAATATGCATGGGGAATTTGGAAGTGAATAGAGCGAGAACGTGTATGGTCGAGGCATGAATTTCTGTATTGCAAGTCCAGACTTCGTTTGCATACGGCAAATCAGTTATCGGTTTGACAAAGTGAACGTATGCAACAAACTTATACCTGACCTCGCTAATTGACTTAGTGACATGGGTGGGAATGATAATAAAACAACAGAATGGGAAATTCTCGGTGATATACTTGAGACGTTCGACAGTAGAGAAGTTTATCGTGATAAATTTTATATACGAAGACCTATTTTTAACGAGTAATTGTTGATTGAACAAGTATTTAAGAAAAGAACCATAATCACTCATAATCAGACGATTTTCACTAAAAAAAATCACCATAGAATGGGTCATTTTTTTCTTGCTGACCTTCGTAAAATAGGAACAGGCTTTGTGTCACATTTTTTTCCCGAAGTACTGTTGGCCCCGGCGTCGCCAGTCGGAGATTTATCATCTTTCATACCTTCCATCTGTCGAAGATCTCGGTAATGCGCCTTCTTCGAGCGAGTTCTTGCGGGGGAAGGATCATACTTGTCAGAAGTATATGCCGGCAACGACGAGAGAGAAGATCGCGGGGTCGACTATGAATAATGCTCCACAAACACAAAAATAAATCAGAACACTTACATTTTGATTCTTGCCACCGCCCGATCCGTTCTTGGCTGCTTCTTCCGCCTGAACTAAGCAAGCATTGTTTGCCCCGGCGTTGTCAGTTGGAGATTCATCATCTTTCATACCTTCGAGCTGTCGAAGCTCTTGGTTATGCGCCGTCTTCGAGCGAGTTCTTGCGGGGGAAGGATCATACTTGTCAGAAGTCTTGCCAGAGCCTGATCCGTTCTTGGTTGCTTCTTCCGACTGAACAACTTCTTGCTGCTAAAATAACATTTAAAACAATTCAAGAAGATCACATTACAATGGAAACTTACATTTTGAAGAGCTGGAGCTTCTGTTTCATCGTGAGATACAGCGGTAAAATCATTAGCGACTTTGTTTTCCCGCTGTCCATCATCATCTGCGGTCAGACCACGCAAACGGGCACGTCCTTCACGCAGGTACTCTTCCATGGCTTTCTTTTTCTTGATATAATGATCAAGCTTTTCCTCACCCTCTTTTAGAATCGTATTAGGAGAGGAAGCGCGGTCTTTCTCCGAAGTATCCACTTTCTTTTTGGGCGTCCTTTTTCTTCAGAACTCTACCTTCCTTTGCGGCCTTCTCTTCTCGAGCTTTCCTTTTCTTTTCCAGGCGTTCGTGTTCAGCAAGCTTCTTCTTATTATCCCTCTCGTCATCTCTAAGAGTTTGAGCCGCTTCTCTTTCCAATCTCTCTCGTTCCAAGCATTGTTCCATTGTAGGCTCAGGTCGACCTTTATCGAGGCATTTCAGGGCAGCCCTCACGTCTTTCACAGTTTCATTTTGATTGGAATCCGTAGGCAAAGTCTTCTCGATGTCTCGAATCTGACGGATACAATCAATTTCCGACATTTTAAGGCTATAAGAGCCGGGAACAATATCATCAAGTCGAACGTTCTTCTGGGGCACATACTTAAAATACATTTATTTAGATACTTTGAATAACAATCAATGTTACCTGGGTTTTTCGGAGCGACGCATTTTCGCGTTTCCGACGATTAAACTCATGAGAAGCAAGATCGGATTTGTTGACCAATTCAAGCGCGGTATTAAAGCCTTGATTATCTGGATTTTGTCGATCAAAAGGCTAGACAATTTTCAAAAATAGAAATAAGAGCCAAACAAACCTTTCGTAAATCAGTGCTAGCAGGCGAAGAAAGAAAAGGTATCTTCGAGGGCAAAATACCAGCAGCGGGATCGTGAAGCGTTGGTGATGGTGGTGCATTACCCATTGAGAAGTTATCTTCTTCAGCATCGAAACATTCCAGGTCCTATATATTGTACTGTAAAGAAAAAAAGAAAAAAAAAATACCGTATCTTCCAATCTCAGTTGAGACTGATTCAAATATTCATATCCAGGGAGATATTCAGATGATTCTAGATCCTAAGAATCATAAATAAACATATTAATCATGAAAGTAAATACCGGATCAGTTTGTCTCAACTGAGAAAGATTCAAATAGCCGCCGGATGAATCATGCTTGGAGGAGTAAGATTGAGAACTAGTTTCATCACTCTATCCAAAAATGACGTGATTTATTTTTTTTTTATTTAACGGAAAAAAACAACTAACACCCTACCTTCTGCATCGTTGAAGGTGCATCGTTTGTAAAAAGATGTTCCATGGGGGCGGGATGAGTCATTGATTTCTTCGTCGATTCAATGACGACGCAAGGATCGCCCACCGAACCAGTTGAAAGATTCTGATGATGCTTAGACTTCTTTGAAATCTGTGCATGCTTAGCAATCTGATGGGAAATTCCAGTTCGCCCAGAGTCGGCATTCTCTCGCGTCTTTGACTTCGGCGTCTGCAAAGTCTTCACACGAGGATCATCCACCGAATCGGATGATACATTCTGATGATCCTTTGACTTCTCAGAAGGACCAGTAGAAGCAGGCATTGGTGCTTTGGAAGTTTTGAACTTGGAAGGACCATCAGACGAAGTAGTGACGCGTGAATTAGAGGTCTTGGCAGGCTGAGTATTTCGGTTTGTGGTGTTTACAGCTGGAGTTCCCATCGCCTTTGGATCTTTTTTTTGTATGGCGCTCGTCCCGCTGGTGTTAGGTGCTTCAGTACGATCATCAGCAATATTTTTCGCGCGACGAGATTGGCTTTTCGTGCGCCGTCGAAAATTATATCGGCTAGCATCTTGATCAGTTTGGGACGAGAACATTTGATTCCAGTCGTTAATATTACTCGCAATTGAACGAGCCATCTCTTCTTGAGCAGGAATCGTAACATTGGGCACAGTCATTTCAGGATCTTGGTCAATCTCAAAATTCAACACAGGCTCGTTAATTTGCATTCGAACGTTGCCATCACCATCACGAAGAAACTCAGAACCAATCACAACTTCGTCGTTAATCTCTTCTTGAAACTCGTTTTCTTCTTCTTTCTCGTCGTAGTCGGGCTCGATTGGGCCAGGGAGTTGCACGCTTGGATCGTGTCTATTCGCCTCGTTCTGGATATGTTCGCTCGCGGCCCCTACGAACTTCGGAGGAAGAGGAATATCCAAATTTTTCTTGAGTAAATTCATTACACGTGCACGACGGAACAAATGACGCAAATCTTTATTAATTGTCTTCTTGGACGTTCGCTTAAAAGAATGGTAATAACATAATTTCAAGTAAAAAACAATACCAAAAATTCATCGGCGCAGTTGAGGAGAAATTGATGGAAAATTTCGGGCTCCACTTTGCCGTTTTCAGGCACCTGCTCGCACAAGAGAAGATTCCTCTCGATAAAAGCGTCGTGAACAGTCGTGTCGTAAAGGCTGGTTCTCTCGTTGTGCGCCATCAAGTATTCTCGAGTCTTTCTCTCCATAAACGAGTGCAGAAGCTTCAAATCAGTATCGAAACTAGCAGTAGACTAAAGCAGAAATAAGTTTAGATAGAACCCCAAGATTTACCCTGTAGAAAGACTTGCGGTACTCATTCGCAAGGCTAGAGTGAAGAACTTCGGAAGGATTGGTCGAGAGTACTACTGGAAACTGTCCAAGAAGCCGGTACTTTAGCAGCGGATAAGAACTGAATCTTGTTCCCCAAATGGTCACGAGGACCTTTCGAACAAATGACATTAGGTACAATTTGATCCTATTGCCATAGTTTGGAGTGGGCAAAAGCACAGCGGCGAGATGAACAATCATTGAAACAACAATGTCCGGACGAATCATGGTCTAATAAATCAACTTGATTCAATAACAAAGGAAGAAAAACTTACTGTAGACGCGATAAAAAATACCATGAATCGAATCTCTGTACAGGCCTGGCGCAGATGAAATTTGGATTTAAGACATCGGAAGATCGCTCTAAAAGTTATTATGTTAAAAGGGGAAAATGGCAAAAATAATGTACCTGATAATGTGCACTATGCATAATACACTGATAGACCGAATACCATAGACCGACATTGCTGACTCCCAGCCTTTAATGAGCGAGGTCTCCGAGTCCGATTGCATGATACACTCCTGAAAAATGTGGCCGGGATGCAAGGTAGCTAGAATTCGGTAGAAGCTGGCGAATGCTTGTTTGTAGTGGTCGGAATGCTAAATCAAATTGCTCGCGCTGCTCGCTTGTATATTAATTGTATGTGATATAATATAACACTAATAGCAAATTAATTGTTTACCTGGGAGATTTGGTATATTGCGCCAAGCATCTCCAGCTCCTCTCCTTTCGTCAAGCTGGACACATAACCCTGGACAGTCGTCAACTGAGCAAATCCTCCTCCAGGGGTAAAAGTTCCGTCAAGCATGATGCGAAACAGGGACTTCTGTGGGATGCGCTTCAAAAGGGAGATACTGCCAACTAAACAAAAAAAAAATCATATAATAAGTGAATCCAACGCAGCCAAATACCTATAAGGCAGCATTCATCCCGATAGAGAACCCATCGGTCTTTTATTTCAGTCCCATTGATATGGAAACTCAAATTTGAAAGCGCCCTTGGGATCATTTCGTGGTCGGGATCTCGATTCTCGAGCTGCTTACCAGGTCGACGCTCGTTGTAATATCTTATGATAAAAATAAAAATGCATGTCTAACTTAAAATCTCATATTACCTGGCGAACAACTTTCTTGCGTAATGAGATCGAGGATGAGCCGGGGACCATGAACCGTATCTTTCTTTCACCACTTTTTCGTAAGCTTCCACGCAGCGTGAATTAACCAAATTGTCACCATCAGCAGCAGCGCCACGGATAAATTCCTCAAATGTTTTTTCGGCGATGTCCATGTAACCAAATGGAGTGCAGCAATGGCTAACTGTCGGCGAGTCACAAAACGCATAGTTCTAAAAGAAAGTGTCAATACAGAAAATAGTCGGATAAAATTACCCTGTAACAAGCTGGAGCTTCGGGGCGTGCATAACAGAAGAAATCTTTCCAGTACTCCTTTTTAATTTTATATTTGCCGTCCTTGTCTTCGTAAAGGATATCCTCGCAATGGATAAAAAATCGCTGTTTACCACTACAGTACGGCCGGTTGCATGTGTAATAGGCATAGAAAAGACCAAAAACCCTAAAAAATAAGGTATTTAGCGCAGGGACTCAGGAATAATCTCACGTTTTTCTTATCTCCAGTAATCGCATGGGAAAGACAACAACCGGCCCAAGATGGTTGGTTATAGGAGCGTTGGCAAGAAGGTGCAAGTCGTAACTATTAAAAATGAATCACTACCGTTAAACAGATTATTACCGAACCAAAGCTGCTGGATTTTTTTTCGTTGAAATGTAGGCCAGCAGAACGGACACCGCACAATCGCCAGGAATATCGAAATACGTTCTTCGATCAACGATGTACTCCAGACCGTAATGAGCAGAAAACTGACAAAAGTCAAATTGCTTCGGGTCGCCAATTGGACATACATCGATGGGAACCGGAATGAAAAACGAATTCATAACACGATGGCCATCATCGCCGACTTCGGCATCGTATAAATTCGTGTTTCTTTCAATTCCACCGTTATCATTCTCGTCATCGGACAAAGGCGAAGGAATATCAGCGAAAGAAGGCCCGGCAGATGAAGCACTAGAACGAGTACCACCATTCGCAGGAGGAGGAGGAAGACGAGGATCATCGGAAAAGGGCGCCTTCTGACCTCGCTTGTCTTCAAAGTGGACAGACTTCGATGCAGTTTTAACTGGGCGCCCAGGCTCATTTATTCGTTTGTCACTCTTTTTATTCGCTCCATCTGCTCGTGACGGCTTGTTTTTGTCAACAAAAGTTTTTTTCTTTGGCACAACCTTCGGACGGACGTTCTTTTTTCTAGGGGGGATGTTTTCATTCTCGTCAACATCGCGAGGATTCTTTTCTTTCTTTTTCCGTTGGCCAGAATCGTCTCTTTGAGAGGTGTTGATACCAAACTGGCTTACCATTGGCATCCGTTCCTCCAACCGTCTCTGACTTTGAGTGATGCTGGGCCTAGCAGTTTTTGCATCATATTCCTTAGGTGACTTCGTGGCGTCAGCTGCGCTTACAGAGCCTGTATTGTGAGTATTGGTAGTGGGCGCATTGTTAGAACTTTGCGTGACATCCTTAAAATTAAAAATAAAAAAAAAAAAACGAATTCCAACAAGTAATTATTACCGAAAGAATGGGATGACGCGAACTAAGCTCCTCAAATGAGCTGTCGCCAGAAGAATCATCAACATTGGAAGGGGTATCGCTAGAAGGTGGGCAAGAGACGTTGGACGCTTTTTTGTTCCTTTTTGGTTTTATCTTCCGCTGAAAGAAAGAAAAATGAACTTGATATTGTAAACTAAATTACCTTTTTATGGAGCGTTAATTGAGAAGCAGCCTTCTTTAATTGTTCGTCGGAAACAATCCCATTTTGATTTCCAATAACTAACATAGAGTATTGCAACTCTTTTCTATCGTCCGACTTCTTCTGAGAAGGGGTTCGCTCGTCCCCACTGTCAGTTGAAAAAAGAGGCCCAGAATTATCAGATGAAGATTGGGATTCCTGAAATTAAATTAAAAGAAGCAAATGTAAAAATTCAACCTGAAAAAGCGAAAACATTTGTGGCCTTTCATCTCGGCGAGACGACGGGGATGCAGCAGTTTTCGTGGACTGACTATCCCGGTCGTTTCTCGGGGAAAACGGTTCAACTGTAGCAATGGGACGAGAAGATTGACTATCACCCGACGGCCTTCGAGTAGGAGGAAAAACTGCTTGGGAAGGGGCAGTAGATTGTCCTTCGCCTTCGTGAATCGGTTTCGAGCCAGCAGATGTTCCAACGGACAAGTCCGAAGTTGGTCGCACGCCAGACGTAGAAGTTTTGGGAGACGAACGCATAGAAACGGCAACATCGTTCCCAGAGGCATTGATACGAGCAGATACTGCTTTACCATCGGGCGAATGGAACACTTCTTTCGTCTGCGAAACTTTCTTAATCTGAAGAGCCGGCACATCATCAGACGGATAAAATTTATCATTTTGAAGTATTTGATTGGCTGTAGTTTCACAGCCCGCCTTCTCGAAATACGAATCGTCAACACCCAACATAGGGTTCTTTGCCTTCCGCCGAGCACGGATGATCTTCTTCGGGCCGGAAGTCTCTGTCACTTTGCCATGGTGGCTAAGCCAGTTCAAGTGCCGCTGTTGTTCAGGCAATACTTTCTCCAGGCTTGAAGGTTTGTTGAGAACATCGTTGAAGCGAGTAGAATCACGCAAACGTTCCGCGTAAGAAACATGATCGTGACGGCGAAAGATACTAGAATCCTTGGAAAAAAATTAACTTGCGACCTGTCAAAATAGAATACCTCAGTTCGATACGATTCGTGAAATTGACGCGCGAACGGGGCAAGTGATGCATTACTCACACCACTTCCAAGAGACAGAGGAATCGGCGTTGATGACTTAGAACGAGTGTCAACATGGTCGGCCGTAACATTTGACGAGGCAGAAGACGCGGCCTATAAATATGAGCTCAAAAATGACGGATTATTTGTAATAAATCCCTTGCACAAAACTTCAAAATATTAAACACAAACCTCATTTCTAGAACGGCCGTCTTCTCTTTGTTTCCGCCTTTCAGCAGCAAGCTTTATAATTTTATCTCGAGCACTCATGAAAAAGTCATGATTTTCCCCGGACAAAAAAGAAAGAAGTAGTAAGTTCTTTAGCCAGCCAATGAGAGAGGCGGAGCAAACGCGCGGGCGGTTTGAAAAAAAAAGGAAATGAAAAGATTACTCATGCAAGTACATACACAGCCTGGCATATAATTCACAGCTACTGCCATAGATATAAACTATCTGACAAACGTTGTAAGTACCATGCATGTGGGCCGTCATTATGTACCCCTATTCTTCTTCTAGTTTCCGCTAGTATTATGCGGCAGAAATTCAACTTTTTCTTTGCAGTACAATTAAACGCACATTCGAGAAAAAACGTAAAAAACGCTATATAGGCCATCATTAAATTGCCCTTGTGTAATCTACCCCCGCCCCGCCCCTAGCTACCAAAATATAGTCCCCCTATTTTATTAGATTTTGGGGCATCAATTCTTGTTTTTTATTTCGCAGTACAATAAAACACACTTTTGGGAAAAAACATGAAAAACGCTATATAGGCCATCATTAAATAGCCCTTGTGTAATCTACCCCCGCCCCGCCCCTAGCTACCAAAATATAGTCCCCCCATATTTTGTTAAATTTGGGAATATAAATTGTAGGGATTTGCGCGCGCCGCGCGCATTAAATAAAAATTGTATAAGAAATTATATATAATTTATTGTATTTTTTTAATTTAGTTCATTAATATTATTAAAAAATAGGGATTTGCGCGCGCCGCGCGCATTATATAAAAATTGTATAAAAAATAAAATATATTTTTAAAAAAAAAATAGAAATAAAATTTATTCTAGCCCTATTAAATCTTGATTTAAAATTTCGCCATTGTATCACTGTACTTGTATTAGTGTACAGCATTGTATCACTGTACTTGTATTAGTGAAGACAAAAAAATTGTGTTCACTATTACAAGTACAGTAAAACAGAAGTACAGTGATACAATAACGTCGAAAGTACACTAATACAAGTACAGTGATACAATTTTCCACTGTACACAAATACAAGTACAGTAATACGGGGTACTCTTAAAAACGAGAATACGAAAATATATATTCCAACGATTCTTCAGAATAAAATCTACGCCTCTAAAGCTGCGCTTGTAAAAGGCCAGTTGAATATTTTCGGCGGCTATCAGAGACGGAAACTAGTAAACTGATCTTTGAAATTCCTTATTGACTATTTTTAGATTATTGTTCTTGATGGATGCGAATTGAGGCTTCTCCCAATTCGACTTCTGAATCAATATTATGGTGGAAGCGCGGCGCTCTCAATTTCAAACGGAACTGAAGGTTCCTCGCATTAATATGTTTTTTTACAGTTTTCAGCTCTTGTTTGTTTTGATGTTTCAACGGACAAGAAGTGCGAGATTTTTAACGGCATCGCTGTAGAAGAAGTCGCATTTGAACTAAGAAAAGGACACTGGGCAGGTGGACTTGCTCATTATAAAGGACGGCCAACAGCAGTTGCCGGAATGGATTTTCCTGACTCAAACGGAGGATACACGGAAACCTTGACTAAAGATGGCTGGGAAAAACTTCCTCCTCATCCAAGGTTATTTTTATAAGTAAATTTTTATTGAGCGTTTTTTAGAGCAACAGAAGATGTTACTGTTGTTGGATTGCCGTCGGGATCAATCGCTACATTCGGAGGTTGGGATGCAGATGACGCAAAAGTTTCGAAGGAGATTTTCTTGCTGAATGAATCTAAATGGACGATAATGGGAAATTTACTTCAGGTGAGTTCATTCCAGAGTATTTTCATAATCTATATTTTCAGCGTTTTCTCGGTGGATCAGTTACTCTTATCGACAAAACTATTTATGTTTTCCCTGGAGAGAGCAGAGATTCAACTCGATTGATTCAACGACTGCAACTAGGGAAGGTTGATAATTTTTTCAAGAAATTACTTTTAAAAATCTTCCGATAATCTTAGTTGAGGGGGTAGAGCAAGATTTTTCCAAAAAAAACATAGAAACTGAACTAATTGCCCTGAACGCGCTAAGTAAGAAATACAGACTGAGCGCTCTCAGCACGGCAGAACACTCCGATCGCCGATCGGGCTAATTTGGGATCTTGGGACATGAATTGTCATGTCACATGATTTCCGAAATTAAGAAACTCCTAATATTCCAACACTAGAAACATCTGGTTTTAGCCCCTTGCGGAAAAAATGATCAACTGATGTTAAAGACGGAGACAATATTGTTGCAATCGAGGTTGTTGGAGAACATGATAAAACTTATACTACACCAATTCTCTTCTTTTCGTCGTCGAATTTCTGCACTGCAAAACATGATTGACGTCCTAATCAGGGCTGGCAAATTGGAGTCCTACTATCCGTACTTACATAAAATAGGTCGGGTCACTTAAACCCCGACAGTGTCGATTTGGCCGAGTGTCAGCGCCGACCCTAGGTACTGACTCCGTACTGCCTGAAGTGCAGGCTGATAGGTCCGTCAGTCAACGTGGCTGATTCAAAAAATAATAGAAATCAGTACAGATTAGGATGAAAAAACGTCCTGACTCGTGACAAATATTAGTAAGAACCACAACCATTTTTTAAGTACGGCCGTCGACGCCCCAATTTGTCAGCCCTGGTCTTAATCAATAAAATTTTCTTTGTATAAGATGATTCTATCTATTAATCAACTGTTTCTTCAATAAGAAATCCCCCCCCCCCCCGCTAAAGTTCAATTCAACTGCTCCTTCGAGGAGATTTTTTTCGAAAAAAACCATTAATTGTCGTAAATATAACCAAAGAGTCACTTCTTGAGTTGCGAAAACTTCGATTCTTTTAGAAGATTTTGATTCATAAATGAAGAATTTTTCAATTACCAAAGTCTATGAACAAATTTTGCTAGACTTTAAAAGTTTAATCTGTCCGAGGAATTATCATTAGCTGGCACCTGTATGTCCACGTGTGAATAACGCGTTTGAGAAGATAAAGCTTATTTTAACCAAAGCATGTGGCTTTAACAGGCTGATTGCTCTGTGATAAAGCCTTTATCGTTGCGGTTTATGCCGGCGAATGGTATAAAAAAAGCATTCAGAGCAAAGCTGTCAATCAAATTAATAAGCTTCTGAAGCTATGAAGCTTCTGTCAACTTTTGTCGCTGTGAGCAATGCTTGGAGCCTCGGCAGCTGCACAACGAATGGAACTGCCGTCGACTCCGACGTTACTTGCAGAAACAGCTGCGACTTCGACTGGATCGGTCGAGGTCCAAAAGTTGGATACAATGAGTTGGGCAAGCACGAAAACGGGTTTCTCGCTTCGCTCAACCCTCAAAAATGGAGATTCGACTACTTGAACAAGGACGGAGCCTACGTCGGAGTTCTGCGATTCGATAGAACCTTCTGCAAACGGCCCATCTTGAAAGGTAAAATGATGCTCAGGTTCTTATTTCGGCGGACAACCTGTTTTATATATTTTTAAAAGCTCGTTTTTATTATCTCAAATATTTTTAAGCAATCGGCGCTGGACGAATCAACATTGAAGTCTTCGACCGAACTGAGGAAAACTACATGACTGAAGCTCAATATTGGGAGATCCCGGAAGACGGCAGTGTCAATAAAGAAGCTGCTTTTGTGCAGTTCCGAAAAAGCGGATATCAAGCGGGGGAATTCGTGAAAAAAGGAAAAGATCGATTTATGGTCTCGATGACTGGCATCCAGAGCGAGTTTGCCCCCTTGGACCCGCCAAACGACAACGTTGTCTACGACGACTACTATGAATGCTTTCAGAACGTTGGATTAATGACGATGCCTGACGATGGCAAGGGAATGCTCGACTCCGACTACACCCGTTGTGCCGCTTTTCAGCGATATGGGAAAGGTGCAATCGATCGTTTAACTATCAATTTGAATACAAATTAAACAATAACATTGAATGAAAATTATCGGCGACGATTTTCCCGTAAAAGACAAACACCGGACTGGCCCAACGGACCAGATGGACCAACAGACCCGCCTGGACCAAATGAATGGGAAGAGGGTCCAGAAACAATGGGCTCGGTAGCAACTTGCACCACTCCAGGTGTGCCTCTTTCTGGCACAAAGAGCATCACAACTGGACCTGGAAGGCAAAGTCTTAAATATTCAGATAACTAGCGATTTTTTTTATTCAAAGGCATACATCGGATTTTATGAGACTTTTGATTAGTCGAATTGTCGGTGGACAGGCAATTCAGCAAGGTGAATGGCCATTCCTTGTTGGAATGGTTGGAGATTTCATGTGCGGAGGAACAATCATTACGAAAAATGATGTCGGGGACGACTTCATTCTCACTGCTGCTCATTGCGTCGAAGGCATGTCAACTGTCAAGTATGCAGTTGGAGACTGGAACCAGTTTGCATCGGAGGCAAACGAATTCACTGTCACCGGAGATGTAACTATGCATCCAGGAATGGAATTCTTTTTTATATATTGACAGTATTGCCGCATAACGAGAATCCTATCATAAGACTACGACAACAATACCTTCCGAAACGATTTGGCTGTTGTGCGAGTTCCAAACCTTTCCGCAATCAATTCTGCAGCCTTTGAACCAGCGTGCCTCCAAGCTGAGCGACCAGCTCACGGAAGTAAATGTTACACCGCTGGCTGGGGGGCTCTTGCGGATAGTCAGAACGCCGCTTCTCCCGACATTGCTCATGATGTTGCCGTGTACGTTTTCTCTGACGAGTATTGCCTCGCACACACCGACCAACCTCCCCTCGAACCAAAGCAAATGTGTGCAGGAATCCCAGATTTTGATGGAAATGGACAAACAGACGGCGGAAAAGACTCTTGCCAAGGCGATTCTGGCGGTCCGTTGATTTGCTTGAATGATGACGGAATTCCAATTCTCGCTGGAGTTGTCTCTAGCGGAATGGGATGCGCTCAACCAGGCACGACTGGCTTCTATGAATCTGTCGCCGACCATATGGACTGGGTGCTGCAGCATATCAACAACTGAAAGTGCATCAATCACTGAAAATCAGAAGATACTTTCATGATGTTTTTCCTTTAATAAAAGCATATCCAGACGATTTATGAATGTAACCATGTGTCTCCTTTCGCCATTCATTAAATCCAGCGAAATCAATCAAGCTTATAGAGTTGATACTTTTAACAAAGAGCATATTATCGTAAAGTTATCTCATTATTCACTGCTTTTGCGTTTCAATGAGCCTCCAGAATTTACTTTTACAAAGTCTTGCTTACTTTTTTTTTCCAGGGCAACTAAAAAGTAAGTATGTATGTGAACTCTGATCAGAATCAGTGTCATGTTTAACGAGGATCAATTTTATTGCTGGAAGAAACATGTTTTCTCTTCCCAGACGCTGATTCTTTTTAAGACTAATTAGAGATTCTGGTGAAGAAGATGAGTAAAGTTCGGTTACTGGTATGATTTAGTATTAAAAAGATTCGTTCTTCGTGCTCATCTGTCAATAATTTATTAATGTGTCATTACATCCTTCTTCGTATCAGCGCATAAGAGACTTTTAGGAATGCCATTCGACAAGCGAAGACTGGACTTTCAATTTATTCTAGGTAACTAAACATAACTAGCATATGTACGGCAAATGTCAAGGCTTGATCCAGGCAAATCCTTTATGCGAGAAAATAAGTCTTTATACCGCGTCGTAAATGAAGATGTCTGAGAAGGGTACTCAGATCTCGCGTTTCAAAGGAGTCTTTCGATCAAGGGACAGTCAGATATTTTTACGGCCAGGAAGCGAGAGGGCTCAGTTTTTCCATTACGTTTTAAAGCTGCTAGAGATTTCGGTGATTGAGCTCATCCAGATGAGTAAAGGTACCTTAGGAATGATTTTTAACGACTGAATTAATCTCATCTAAGTTGAATGTCAAATTATTTTGGTGCAAATGGAGCATCATTTTTATTAGTTAAAAACTCATGAATTCCCCTTTTATGAGTCCTAAAGATGAAAGTCACTCCAAAAAGAATGAATTTGTTGACCGATTAAACTTTCTTTCTTCCACCTGTTGGAATCTTGTGTGATTGACTTGAGAAAATGACAAGGGAAAGGCGCTCCAAGCGCGGTGTTTGCTAAGACATTGTATCAAACGCTGTTTGAGGAACATTGACGATATTTGCAAATGTTATAAATGAATAGCATGCTATAGGCAGCCCATTTATTAGAGCCACGCACCGACTCAAAGAGGCCCAGGAATTGTCCGAAATCAAAGCCAATTTTTTGCTACGAGCTTTTTGAAAACAGAGAGAGAGAGTTAGAAATAACGATAAAAAGATAGAGCTATCAAGACGTCTTAAAGAGGTAAACTGATCATTTTGTCAAAATTTCTTCCTTGATTTCAAAATTGAAATTGTGTTTTTTCATGATTCAAGTTATAGAAAAGTTCTCATCTTCAACTTGAAGACTTCAAGAGCCGTAGATTCTCTCAGAGACGTTTTATTTGAGACTGGCTTAGTAAACCGATCTTCAAAGAAAAAATGAAGCGAAAAAATGTCTATTTGAGAACAGTTACAGTAGGCAAATTTTCTCGACAATTTCGCAAATACGAAAATGCCTGCTGCCATTTTTTAAAAACTGGATTGTGATCTCGTAAGGAAGGAGGTGTTTGAGTGACGAGTTATTTGCCGTCTTCGTTTTGTAAAGTTTGTACAGCTGAAATGAATGTCAGTTCTCTTCTTTTTCGAATTTCTGAGCTAGAAATTGCTTAGGCCTTCCATGATAGCCTTAGACGTTCCTGCCGCCTGTCAGTAAAAATCTACGGCTAGCGGGACGCTCCAGCTGTCAATATTATCTTTGCACTTGAATTTAATTTCTTTATAAACATACGGCTCCTCTTTGACGGAGGCCGCAATTTTTAAGCGTTTATTGATAATTTCTCGGGCAATAACTTTCTTTACTTTTTTGAACTTTGCTTCGGGTACATCCACTTTTTACGAACTACGGGACATTTTGTCCGTTTTTACGGGGCATTTACGGAACTAATTTCAGACTAATTACGCGGTTTTGCCATAAACAGATGTTTTATTCGTCAATTAACAACGGCTTTGGAAAGATTTTCTTATCAAAATCTGTATAGAAAACCTAAGTCAGGGTCTCAAAGATCTATTATAAAAAGCTGCGTAGCGGCTTCGCCAGAATTTGAAAATTGATTTGGAAGATAATTTTGCGAAGTCGATTTGCGGCTTCGTATTCAGAAAAAGCCGCTACGCGGCTTTTCATAATAGTTCTTTGAGACCCTGACTCAGGTTATCGATATAGGTTGCCGACCCTAACACTAACCCTAGCCCATCAAAAAGCACTAGAAAATGCGCTTGAAAAGTCAAGATCCACGAAATGTCTTAATTACTAAGATAGCGGAGATGTATTATTTGCCAAGGACTTACAAATTCTTGTTTATCAGAAAATGCAAATAGCTTCTTTTCCTCGCATTTCTGAGCCGTTTTTTAAGAGCTGTTAAGAATTTAAGTACCTCTGCTCATTTTTTAAACAGTGAAAAAATGACGAAGTAAAGAATCTCTTGCGCCGATTTTTACGACTTATGGCGGGGAACGCGGACGGGGGTAAGGCTTTTGAGAGGAACCAGCCAGGGAGAAACGAATATAACGGATATTTGGCTTGTCCGATTTTGTTCCTGTTGTAAAAATCGCTACAAAGAGAGAAAGAGAGAGAGAGTCACTCTTCGTAAACTCAATCCACATTTGTCGAAGTCGAAGAGATGATGACCCATAGAATTGTTGTCAGATCAAATAAGAGGACGTTTCAGTCAGATGCAGCCGAGGATAATTTACCAGGTTCAATTCTTTAATCAAATCAAGCAATTTTTCGAAATTTTCTAGACGGGAAATCTGTTCAATTAGAAATTAATTTTGTCATTTAAAATCTCAGCAACTCAGATCAATCATTTTTTTTCTCGGAACTGCGAATGGAATGCCTTGATCCCAACAAGACATCAGTAGAGAGAGAAATGAGCAGCCAGGAAAACCATGACTTTCACCAAATTTGCGATCATTGCCATTTACCGAAACTGTCGACAGATCAGCTCGGTATTCCTCAGTAAAACTTTTCAATCGGAAAATTTCAATCAGGGTCCTTGAGCTACCGCCAGCAGGGTCCCTGCTCGTTTTTATCAGTCTGATAGGAGCTCTATATTCAGCTCTTTTCTCCCCCTTTTCTTCCTTTGAGGCCTATTTATACCCATTTTTTTATTTGCCGCGTTTATTTTCATTGAAATCAACAAGTTTTGACTTCAACTTTAGCGAAAAGACGGAGCCCGATAACCAAAATCGACCCAGCGATGACCACAAAAACCGACCATGGTGAGTTCAACTTTCTTTTCTTTTTTGCCCCCATTTTTCGTTTACAGAGAAAAAAAGAGCATCATGGGAAAAATTACGTTTCCTCTTAAGAGAACTTTAAAACCGGACGCGAGCAAAGGTTTACGACTGATTTCGTTACTTCCTATAGAATATCGTAAAAACACATGACTAGAATTAGGTGACATGTCACATGTATTAGTATCAGTTTTTTATTGTCTACCACAAGTAGTCTCTGAAGTGACTAACTTTTCTGAAAGAAAGATGTCATCAGAAAGAGAGAATTTAATCATCACTTTAAATTTAGCAAATGGAGACTACAAAGCGCACGAAAACTACCACACAGATGAAGTAAGAACACTCTTCGTATCTGGCCTACCTACAGACGTAAAACAAAGAGAGCTACACCTACTTTTCAGGCCGTATAAAGGTAGATTTTGATTGACGACTTCTAGTAAAAACGTCATTAAAAATATTTTTCAAAGGCTTCGAAAGTGCCGTCCTGAAGTTTCCCCAAAAGCCCGGAAAAGTTTATCCAATCGCCCCCGTCGCATTCGTCACCTTCAAATCAAAAGCGGAAGCCCAAGTTCCGAAAGAAGAGCTTCAAGGGGAGAAATTTGACAACGACTACCCCACGACGCTGAGGCTGGAATTCGCGAAATCAAATACGAAGAATAGAATGAAATCGCTCAAAGAACTTGACACTTCAGGTACTTATCGATCAATGGGGGATTTTTAAAGGAAATCTGTAGATTAATATCGTCCTTGATATAAAACAAAAAAACTCGTAAATTGCGAATGTTACGCGATAGTAGTATGAATTCGAAGATTCTCTTCCTTGATTTCAATAAACCTCTCTTTCTAGCCCTGCCGCTGATGATGACCACAGGAACAGGCATCCTCGATCCGTTGATATTGCCGGCCGACGTTGGCACCAGTGTCCACGGCACAGGAATGGTTTATTGATTCTCCCAGGTGATTTTACTCTTCCCAGATCGTTCGCTTTTTTCACACCCAAAAACAGAGCTTCCCTCGTCTTCGATCCCGAAGCTCGTATCGAAACAATCGTGTCACAGTACAAAAAGTACCAAAAAAACAAGACAAAACGGAAAGCAGCACGGATACAAGCACAAGATATGTAGCACCTAAAAATGTCAAAACCGTAAAAATATCCTCTCACCGCTCAAAAAAATGGCGCACGAGAAATTTTCATCCCACGACCAAAAATCGGGCTTCGAAAATTTTCTCCTACCCGGTGTCTTCATCCATAAATACGAAAAAAACAAAACATATCAATAATCACAAAAAAGGACTTAACTCCGCAGGAATGCCGCGCGGCGTAAAACGAGGCCGCCTCGATAATTTTAGAGCACATCCATTTACCAGACCGGTAGAGGTAACGAAATTTTTTCACATTCAAAAACTCATAATCGTAAATTTTTAAAAACTGTTAATTATTCATCGCTTCTATAAGTTCTCTTATTGCATGGCAAATTTCTACAGATGAAGGTCTTTATTAGACCCCTTCAAGTAGAAGAAGGGTTTCTGGGCTCGGAATCCTGAGTAGAAACCTGAGTCAGGGTCCTGAAAGAGCTATAGTGTGAGTTTTAGCGAAGCCGCTTCGCGGCTTTGTTTTTGAAAAAGCCGCTACGTGGCTTTTCATAAAAGCTCTTTCAGGACCCTGACTCAGTTTTTTACTCAGGATTCCGAGCCCAGAAAAGTATAAAAGACTTTTTCTGTGGAAATGAACGCAAATTTCATAAAAAAAATGTAAATATAATTAAAAAATAAGCTTCTAGTAGCATCATTATCACTTTTTTGATTTCACCACAACCAACCAGCCTTATCGTTAAGCAAAAGCACACACAATCACAAAATGACGAGCAAAATCTCATACGATCTTTACAGTTTCCAGCCGCGGCCAACATCGTCCAAGTTCCGCAAATGCCAATGGCGAATTTGATGGTGCCCCAAGTCACCATGGCGAATGCAATGGCATTTCAGAACAAAAACGGGCTCATTCAAATGGCTCCTAGTAGTCAAATGGTTGGTAGAGGGAGTCTGAGCTCGACATCCTGTGTCACAGGCAGGGGCTGAAAGATCATAAATCAAAAGCCGCGTAGCGGCTTTTTTTTTCAAAAACGAAGCCGCATAGCGGCTTCGCATAGTAACCGTTACAATCTATTGTTTAGTTGCTGCGAAGCCGCTTTGCGGCTTCGTTTTGAAAAAAGCCGCTACGCGGCTTTTCATTTAATATTTTTCGGACCCATACTCTGGCTTTCCACACAGGATGCCGACCTCAGAAAAAAACAAAAGGGGATGATACTAATTGTCTGTTTAGTCGTACCACGGTTTCTCGAAAGCGAGGGTTACATCACCCAACGGAGCGGTTGAGTTCACAGACGCCAACGGAACCAAATACTTTGGTAAGTCAAGGCTTAGGCGCTTTTCTTCGTTCAAGTTCTTCCTCCAAATTCGCTTACCGCTCCTTTCAGCACAAAACGACCAATGAGCCACTGAATTCCATGCATGACACTCTTCATTCTATCCTTCTTTTCTGTACATTTCTTTATATATTGAATATTTACAAGAGCGAGTTTTGTAAATACGACTCTGATCCCTTGAAGTTCCACCTTCCGAAACGAGAAGAAACTGGAAAAAAAATAAACTTTCAAAAAATGCCTAAAAAGAGCTTGATAATTTGATTTTGACGCAGTTTCCGCCTCCCGAGGTGCTGGGAAAATTCAAATTAAAAAAAAATCAACTCGCCGTTTGTGTTCAAAACTCTGTAAACGGATTATTCAAATATTCAAAATCGCGCTAATAATTCAAAATCGCGCTGAATTCATGAAAAAAAAGAAGTGGCGAGCGCAGTTATCATCCAAAACGACTAATTATGCATAAAATTAGCTTTCCTAACCGCTAAAAAAGTGAGAAAAAAATTGAGATTTTCTTAGCTGGGCTCGACATCCGGTGTTTAAAACCTGAGTCAGGGTCTAAAAGAGGTTAGATGAAAGCCGCAAAGCGGCTTTTTTATAAATGAAGCCGCAAAGCGGCTTCGCACGATAACAATTTCAGCCTAATTTTATATTCTACAAAAGCCGCTTCTTTTTTCTGACCCTGACTCAGGTTTCCTTCACAGATTATCGAGCCCAGTTCTCGAAAATTTCTCCTTATCCTAACCTCCAATCCCCTTTAGCCACCTGTGTACGTTCATTTACGTTTCTTCCCCGTGAATATGAATTGAATTGAGTTTTTACTTGGTATTGTACCCAGTACCCCGTCAATGTATTTTTCGTTTATCCAGGCTTGAAACAAGTCCATCGCTCATTTTTTATGAAATTTCCAGGACAAAGTATTTGATAGCGGCGCTTCTTATTTTCTCATAACCGTACTGAATCGGCCCGCTTCGTGTTTTGTATGAATTTACACTTTTTGATTGCTTTGGAGACATTTAACGAAATTCTAGAGGGCTTCTTCTGTGAACTGTAAATTGAGAAATGCATTGTATAAATCCGCGGTGCAAAATCCGGCGCGAAAATCGTGGCTATACGTTCAGAAAGCGCGTTTTGCAAATCCAGAATTGTTTGACTTGCACGTTCTATTTGGCTCAGTCAAATATCGAGCTGGTCTTACTGCTAAAAATTAAAAACTTGAAAAAACAGAGAATCAAAATGTCTGATTCCGATGAAAGAAGCCTCCTAGCGGCGTTAGAAGAATTGGATGCTAAACAAAAAATGATTCAAAAAGCGAAAATAGAAGAGGAACAAATTAAAGAAAAAATCGCTCAGATCGAACAAAATATAAACGAACGAGAAATCAAAAAGAAAAAAGAACGTGTGACCTGTCTGCGAGCAAAAGAACAAGGTCTTCTTGAGAATATCAAACGATTGACCGATAAGCAAATGGGGATAAGAAATGAGTTTTACGAAGCTTGTGACGATTTGAAGAACGAACAAAGGCAGCAAAGGAAGAGTGATTCTTTTGTCGATGATATGATGAAGACTCGGTCAAATGAAATTGATTTGCTCGATTTTGGGAGTTGGAAAATATCAAAAGACACTTCTCAGAAAGTGGCAAAATCATTTGATGAAATGCCTTCATCTTACCCGAAGCCTTTACCGAAAAAACCTGCAACTACCCATGGTTATACCGATAAATTTTCAGGCTGTATGCCTAAGAAGTACTAAGAACAACCAAAGGTGTTCCCAGCTGAAGAAGCAAAACCTTATTTTTATCCTGATTTAAGTCCTTCGAATCCGTTTCAGAAACAATAAATCAACATTATTTTACCAATTCTTGCCGTGAGATTTCACCACATTCTGTATGCAGGAATGCGGACTAATCACCTCTCCCTAGCAGCGCAATCAGCGAAAGCATTCTACACATTCATGCATGTTTTTTCTCGCGAAGAGAAAGTTACAAATTACCCTCCTCCCGCTGTCACCCTGTGTATTGCACTCGTCAGAATTCTAGCGCCTCGTCTCTCCATGCAAATATGTAGCCGTTAAAATGCATCCTCATCGTGCGTGGATTATAAATAATTATGTTCACTTGATAGGCTTGCGATTTGCAAAGCTCGATAAGGGTGGCCAAGCCCAGTTGGAGGAAGTCGGAGGTGTCAGAGTTGAGCCCCGCCCTGCTGGGAAAAACCTGAATCAGGGTTTGAACGAGCTAGAATGAAAAGCCGCGTAGCGGCTTTCTAAAAAACGAAGCCGCGAAGCGGCTTCGCAAGAGTTTGAAAATCTATATACAGTATTTATGGCGATGCCGCTTCACGGCTTCGTTTTTAAAAAGCCGCTACGCGGCTTTTCTTTAAAATTTGCTCAGACCCTGAGTCAGGTTTTGTACCCAGGTTGCCGAGCCAAGCCAGAAATATTAAGACAAATAAATGAGAATAAAACAAGATTTGAACAAAAAGAGATGAACAAAAGCACATGTACTCGGCAGCTGAGTGGAATTAAGTTATCTTCAAGGTTGGAAGCTACTCGCTCGGGATTAGAAAACTCTTCAGTAGTCGAGTGAAACTGAAGCGGGAGGGAGGAAACGGTCCACATGCTGCACTTCGCTATTACCGCCTCACGTTTGAACCTCGCTGGATTTTCTTGAAGATCGAGGAGAAAAGGAGGTGGTTTCTTTCTGATGTAAGTAACAAGTAATGATCAGGGCGTCAACAACAACTCGTTCGCTCCACCAACCGCCCTAAAACAGATTTGATTGAATCTGCTTCACGTTTTGAATGTTTCCCTCAAGCCGATTTTTGTATTGCTTCCAAGTTTTGGGCGTATTTTGGCGACAAAAGTTACGCGGCTTCAGCTGGCCTCGCCCGGAAACGCCACCCGCTCAGCCTAGAACGGAGAAGAGCTTTACGGCTTGGGGAAAATATGGGAGGCCGCCAGTCTACAAGCTGACAAAACAACGGGTAATTCAATTCAATAACGTGTATTATCTGATTTAAAAATAAAATTGATAATCCACTTCGTTCAAAAGATAATTTTCAATTGACTGTTTATTACTCATTTTAAGGGTATCCAGTTGGAAATCATCGATAAAAATTAGGGTAAAAACCATTCGTTAATTTAATTTTTAAAGTCTATCTATGCATTAATGTGGAGAAATAAGGGTATCACTGTGCTAACTTTTGGTGAAAAACTTGTAAAAAAATCATCATTTACTAAAGATATACCCTTAAAAAATTGATTTTTTAAAATAAAAAATGAATTTCAAACTAATAAGTCGAAAAATAAACTGATCAAAAGAAGCATTATTGACCGAGATATCCTTATTTCTATGATTCCAGGCGTGTCAAGTACCACGGAAATCATTTGGAATTCTAGCAAAAAAACGTCCTCCCCGGAAACACTCGTCAAATATTTTGGCATCGTCAACGGCTTTCATAAAAAATACGAAAAAGCCGTCGCATGATTTTTTTCAATTTCTGCTGAAAGTTCTGATTTCTTGATCGGCGAATCTGACGCATTTTCGTCTGAGGAGAAATTATTCAAAATTAGGCGGCGGGAGGGGCCTTGATCGCTGTTGTGGGAACTTCGAAGTGTGTTTGTGCAAATTCTGATTCTGCTGCTCTTCCAACAGAATCGAGGATAATCCCAAGTTGGGGTCGCAGAAAGCTAATAAGGGATTAGTCACTTTCGTCGGCGATTCATCAAAGTTGGCGTTGGAAAACAAGAATTTTGAATTGAAATCTATTGACGATAAACTTCTAGCGTCCGCCAACAGGAGTTTCAACTAAAAATCGAAAATATGACTCCAAGATCTGGGCTCGGACCTGTGTATAAAACCTGAGTCAGGGTTTGAAAGATCTCTTATAAAAAGCCTCGTAGCAAAACGGGATGGTGTCTGGAACCGACAAAAAATTTCGACAAATTTTGCGTGGGCGGCTACTCGGTTGCTGATTGGCCGGTTTGCCGAATCCAGGCTTCTGATTGGTTGAAAATTTCCACGTAAAATTTGTCGAAATATTTTTGTCGGTTCATGACACCTCCCCAGCAAAACTACTTTTTCTTTAGCTGACTCAGGTTTTAAACACAGGTTTCCGAGCCCGGTCCAAAATTGTCAAAAAACGTCGTTATTTTAGCCGAAGATTGTCAATCATGAGACAAAAAGCGCGATTCATTTTTTCGCAAAGTTGACTATCTTAGGCCCCTTTTTCGACTCTTTATCGACTATTTTGGGCCTGCAATTGAGTTGACTCTAGAATCGAAAAACCCCTGAAAATATGTGGACCTGAACTTGTGACCCTTGAAAAAAAAAACGTACTTCCATCGCCAGGCGTTATCAACAAGTTGCTAAAATAGCGATAAAAATCTGAGCGCAAGAGTGAAATCGATGATCCTGAACATTTCAAGATCATCTCACTGGCCTAAACAACAGTAGCATTAGCGATAAGGACTCGAGCCGGCGAAAAAAATAGCCTCTAAATGGGCGAAGTTATACTCTGTTTGTATATATGTTTTATCAAAAATGAAGATGGCTCGATACTCGAGATGTAAGCATGATTCTTGTTTCTGTTTGAAATAAGAAGGCGACTTCCGTCGGTTTTTGTTTGAAAATGCGCCGTCGGAAGCACTCACAGGATTTGACGTTACATCTTTCAAAGAAAAAACTCAATAGAACATGTATTATCCCGCTTGACTCCACCTTTCTGAAAAATATCGTATTTGAGAGAAAATAAACAATGATTAAAAATGCACAATTTTGCAATTAGAAAAACTGGCAGCTAGACTTTTCCTTTTTACAAAGAAGAACTTATGAAGGGGCTCAACATCCTAGGGCCTAGGACATAGGCTATGTCACCTAGGTCCCTATTTCAGGATTAGGGTTAGCCTTGCCCGGTTAGGGCTAGGCTCGGCAACCTGTGCAGAAACCCTGAGTCAGGCTCTGAAAGAAGATTTGCATCAAATATCTTTTCAGAGCCTGACTCAGGTTTTTACACAGGTTGCCGAGCACAGGTTAACTGAAGCTCGAATGCAAATGAAGTCAAGCTCATAATCCTCGGCTCCTATATTTTTGTCCATTTACAAATAGGCTCGGAATGCATAAAAATGAAAATGTCGACATTCTTGTGAATACAAAATCGGCACCGGATGATGCGGAAACGGTTGGTTGTTCATTTTAGGCTGCAGGAGTCTTCTTCCGGCCGGACGAATACTCGACCCGCCCTTTTAAATATCTCCAAGGTTGGAAAAGATGAAAAGTTTATCTGCTTCCTTTTGTTCTGCGGCCAGATGTGGGCAGAAAAATTCAGGTTCCGCTCCCCAAAATTTTGTGCTTTTGGACTCGAAGAAACAACCACGTGGTTCAACAAACAAGTGGCTTTCTGCTTGATTTGCCGTTTTTCTTTGGTTCAATTCGAGGAGAGAGGGCCGTCCTTTATAAGGACCCGGTCTGTAACTTAGGAGGCGAAAATGACACGAACTAGGGTGGGGATAAGCGGACTTGAATACTGCTCACCGTAATCATATATTGCGCAGCGAAAGACCCTGAGACAGGATTAGAACCACATCAGCTCGGGTTCATTAGGTAATCATCCCTCAACTACATTACATAATTACTAAAATAGGAGCTGAAATCTAGTAAAGTTGCCGTAAAAATCAATTTTGAGAAAATAAATTCTGATTATAAATTTTCATATCTGACTGAAGAAAAATGTCATCATCAAAAATCTGATGGTCAAGATTGATAAGGAATTGTTTATTATTTTGTTGAAAGCGAAGAAAGAGCGAGCCTATCAGCCGACTCAAAGAGAGGCTAAGACAGAGCTCTGTGCGCGAATCGTGATCACTCAGCGGCGCCCTGCGCAGCGGGAGACCGCCGCTCGTTAGCGCCACCACTGCGAGATCTCTCTCTATCGAGCAGCACAGTGTGGCGATATACCACATCGTTTGTACCAAACGGTAAAGCCCCGCCCTGGCTCCGCCTTACCAAATCACGATCCACGGATAGAACAATCCGAACAAGAGAAGTCGAGAGATCTTAACGTGAACCTTCTGCTAACAGTCGCTTTTTAACAACGGAAGAAAACAAAGAAGAAAAATATGACGACGCTAGAAACAGGACCGCCGCCGCAATTTGATATAACGGTAAGGCCCCATACGATAGAGAACGGAGCTTAATAAAATCAATAATAAGCTTGGGGACTCTTATTTCAGAGAAATTAAAAATAGACATTCTGATTGTTTTTCTGGGTCAATTGCAGATAAGCCGAACTAAGCTGTCATAGCAGGTGTTCTTCACTCTTAGGTCTATTCTTGGAGACAAGATATTTTTGCATCTGTCGACAAATTCTAGATGTATTTGCAAATACTCATCATAAAGCTGGATTTTATATGCAATGCTTGATTTTTATACCCCTAAAGTCCAGTGAAGCCTTCACCTAACCTGTTGTTGTCTAAAAGATTGTGAAAAAAATCGAGTCAAATATTGATAACATCCTCAAATGTACTGCTCTCTCTATACAGTCTACGTGACCTAAATAACTGTAAATTATCCGTAATACTTGGAAAATGTTTTTATTACAGAACTACTAATTTATGGAGTAACATGTGACCAAAATACTGTGCCCAAGCCCATTCCCTTTTCTTGCTTCTGTTTGGGTAACTGATAAGTAGCTTATCAGTGTTGCATTGTTTAGTATTTGTATTTATGACGCCCATGAGGATGGAGTCGAGAAGGTGGAGTCCATTTGCTCCGTTGATCGCGGCTTAGCGCACTAATCGGACAGATAAAGATGCAATCGCAAGTGGCTTATCGCACTCAGCTCCCAATCAATGCAACATACACTAGAATAAATTTATAAGGACTTACCCGGGCGTGGATCGGAGGAGCTTTTGGCATGTTATTTGAAAATCACTCGAATTTCTTTCAAAAAATGGCCAAAAACAAGCTTCAACTATCCATAACCCTAATTGCTACACAAAGCCCCCCGCCCAGTTGCAATAACTTTCCGTTACCGGCAACCCAGGCTTGCGCATATTCTCGCTGCTCCCCCAAAAATCAAAGGCGCAACCTTGACTCCTCCTCTCACTCAGCAACGCCCGGTGCATTTTTGATTCGCGCGACGCTGACAGAGAGGAGCACTTGATTCTTTCTATGTGTGTTCTTGGCGAAAAAATAAAATAAATTTGAATTTCCGACAACGGGATGATGCACCACCGGTCGTGTAACATTCGGCGGGATGGGTCTTTGATCTTTAAAGAAATTCAAAAATTCGAAAAAGAGTTGAACAAAGATGGTTGTTTGATTGAGCGCGAATGTGATTCTTTTAGATTGACTGTAGCTCCTTAAATTTACCGAGAGACTCCCTTATTTCTTGCTCTATTTTGAAGCTCAGGCATTCTGAAGCCTTAGTAGTGCGATATCCTTAAGTTTTTACCTTATCTTAAGGGTATCCGTGGCGATTTAAAGCTCTCCGTGACCATTTTGGCCACTTGGGTACCAAGAGGTTAAATCAAATCTCCGAGGCTCGCAAACTCGGAAATTGTTGATGATTTGAAGTGTCCACACAACATCACAAATTCAATTTGTTGTCCTTTCCCTAGAATCTTTTCCCCGGCTCGCGTTATCGAATATTCCATATTCAGACTGTGAGACTCAAAATCTAATTTATCTAATTTTAAAATTTGTCTTGCAAAAAGTCGTGTGCCAGAGCAACTTTCTCTCTCTCTCTCTCTTTTTTATAAGTTTTCTCCAAAACAGCTCATCGGCTGCAGCGTGTTGACACCAGTTTAACTCCAAACATTAATATTAGTTTAGACTGATCTGATAATGTTTTCCGATTTGGGATCACAATAAACCTCAGATTTTTTTGCGAAAAAGGGGGAATCCGAAAATAGAGGACACATAAACTCATAAACAAGGCTACTTCCGTTACTATTTCCCGAATCCTTTCAATCATTAATAGGCTTATTAATGAAAAAAATAATCTTTTTTTCTAGCTTGATAAAGTGCTCATATGACACAGTTTTTGAAAGCCCAGAACCTGAGCGTTAATTTGGGCACCATATCAAGGGGTCTGGGCCGTGCCCGCACGGCGATTCAGGGGCCCGGAAGTCCCAAAATAGGCTCTAGAACGCTTTAATCGCCTGGGGCAACCGCCTCCACGCTCGAGAAGTCTCGTGACCATTTCTAAGTGAAAGAGCTTGTTCTGAGCTTTCAGTAGATACCAAACAATCCTGCTTGCCTGTGCTAACGTGTAAGTTAGAACCGAAAAGAAGTCGTTTTTGCACCCAAAATTAAGGGAAATCCGGGCTTTTCTCCTGCAAAAGATGGAAAAATACCATGCTTTTTTGGCAGTTTATCGTTTGTAGATGACTTTAGGAGAAAGGCAAGCAGGATTACTTGACATCTACTGAAAGCTCAGACCCTCAGCTTTCACTGAGACGTAGTCACGAGACCTCTCAAGCGTGGAGGCGGTTGCCCCAGGCGATTTTAGAGATCTAGTGCCTATTTTTGGAGTTCCGGGCCCCTGAATTGCCTTGCAGGCATAACCCAGACCCCTTGATATGGTGCCTAAATGAAAGCTTAGGTTCTGGGCTTTCTAAGGCTGTGTTATGTGACCCTTATATCAAGATAGAAAAAAGGGTTGATTTTTTCATTAATAAGCCTAATCATTAATTAGTATTTCAAAAAGAAGCCGTAGCAGTTGTATTTTGAGATTGAGGATAAAAACGTGTGAAACATTAACAACTACAGATTTTACGCTTTGCCGTGAAAATGTATATTTTCACCCAAAGTGGGCTTTTAGACCGCGCCCTCAACCCGGAAATCCAAATTTCAAACTACACTTTTTCATGTGAAGATAAACCCTTAACTTTTACATAACTCTTATCAACTAAAGCGGTTATAAATATAAAATTTTGGCTTGTTTAAGGCCTATATGAAGGTTTTAACTTCATTCTGGTCAGTTTAAATAAGGGTGTCACAATGTTATTTTTTGAAGAAAAGCCCGTTGCAAATTTGAAGGAAAGATGTCTCCCCCCTTGCATTGACAGTAGTAGATCCTTAGTCAAGCAGTATGCGCATGAGGAGCCTGCTCTATTAGGTTAGCCAGGGTGTGGCTTATTGTTTTGTGTTTGTAGTTTTTCTCCTTCGTTGTTGGTAGGAGTAGCGAGTTCGCGAAAATCGCCTCACAACGCTGAGCAAAAACCAGCTGAAGACGGATTTATGCAAATTGCCCATATTGCCCAAACAGCTAACAACGCTTGTATACGACGCTTGCGGGAAAATAAGATACTTACTGTTTACAAAAGTAACATCGGGTAATTACGCGAAAGGGAGGGGGTTTTGGACAGGCTCCATCAGAATCAGCTGGTTTTAGAGAGAATTCGATTTTAGCGACTTGGAATTCCAAGTTCCGATTCTTTAAAAAATGGAAAATCTCAAATTCTAGTTTTCGGTATTTTTCGCACGTTCTATTATTTGTGTGATTAGATTCAGCGCACTCAGCAGGCGCTTCCGGCGCAGGGGAAGCAGATTAGCGAAGTACCACAACGCTCCCAGGTGCACAAACGCAAACGCAATTCCCGATTCCACAGGCTTATCCAAATTCGCTCAGTAGTGACTCTCTCTCCTTATCGATCCAAGCAGCTTCGGAATAAATTCAACATCTTGGCACCTTGATTTTTTGGTGCACACGCGGCTACGCGTAATTACGAATTTCGGAATTCATCGCAGCGATGAAAATTATCGCCAAAGTTTACACACGCTGCCCGTAAACATGAACATTAAAAGAAATTCCAATACTCGCTCACGTGACCCCAAGGCGATAATCTGCTCCCTTAATTAGCCTGTGAATATTCTTCGCGAAAATTTTAGAACTTAGCGGAAATTTTAAAGAAGGAATTTCCGCAAAACTTTTTTTCGAAATCGATGGATCCAAATATTTTATTCAGCACAAAACCGAACCTGGCTACTGTCCTCCAACCCCAGCCGACTTTTCCGCCTTCATCCCTCACTCCTCCAACATCAGCTCTCTGACGCCCTCCGCCGACTCCATCAACCAGTCGACCTCACCCTCCTCATCTTCTGACAACTCCACAAATTCATCCACAGAGTCGCCACAATTCTCCTATCCGTTTTTCAGTCCCCAAAACAGTCTCAAAGCTCCATCGAGTTACCCGTCTTATGACTCCACGCCCATGTACCACCCTTACAACTCCGGCGCGCGACCCAACGCAGGTCCCAACCCAAACTTCTCCAAGATCAAAGTCGAGATTGAAATGCGCTGGGGACAGAATCAAATGCCGAATTCATTTCCACACGGAGCAAGTGCTGGTCCTATCCCTGGTCAAATGCCTTCCTGGCCTCCTCAGCAGCTTCCCGCCACTACAAACACAGGGGCGACAGGAGTGCCAAGTCCAAATCCAATAACCGACCCACAAACAAGTCAAGTTCCACCAGCTCCAGCGGCCATTACAGATTCCTCGCCACCAGTAACAGTTCCCTCTCCAACCAACCCTCTTCCTTCTCTTCCCGTCTCAACTCCAATCAGCAGCTCCCAGAGCTCCCAAGTTCTTCCAGCTCCGTTCCCGAATCCAGCTCACACGCCTCTCATGCCACTGCCCGTCGATCCGTCTCAATCACAAATGCCTTCAATGCCTTTCCCTGGCATCCCTGCAGTCTCCTCCGGCCTCGAAGCACCATGGACAGGAGCCTGGTCAACGCCGCACCAAATGCCACAAGGAATGGGAATGGGTTACCCGTTCGCTCCAGAATGGGGCTGGCCAAATCGACTGTATCCAGACTTTGACCCGAATTTGCTGCCCCAAGATTTTCTCAGAGGACAAGGTCTCGGATGCCCGCCGGCTGGATTGAGTGTTCCAAGGAGGACGAGAAAAGCTCCTGGAAAGAGAAAAACAACTATTCATAGATGCGAATATCCCGGCTGCGCAAAAACTTACACAAAATCGAGTCATTTAAAAGCTCATTTACGGACTCACACAGGTAAACAAACATTATAATTTGTCAAAATATCGTCGTCGTTACCTTTTGAAAGCTTTTATTAACAATTTTCTTCAGGAGAAAAGCCCTACAAATGCACTTGGGAAGGCTGCGGTTGGAAATTCGCGCGCTCTGACGAGTTAACCCGACACATGCGAAAACACACTGGACACAGGCCATTTAGGTGTACTCTCTGCGAACGCGCATTCTCACGCTCTGACCATCTCAATCTTCACATGAAGCGTCATTTGTAAAAAAGCACTTTCCAAAACTATTTTTCGTGTAAATACAACTCAAAATGCTCAAACTGTAAAAAAAAGCCATTTGTATATTTTCAGCAGAAGAATCTTCCGTTTGGCAATTTTCCGTCTTTTCAACCGGGGGCTAAACACAGCTCTATGTGTACTATAAATTTTTAATCTGAGGAATTCTATCATTTTGAGCTCGACCGGAAGTCCTAAAGCCAGCTAGTCGTCTATTAATATCCGTATATTTTAGTCCCACACAATTTAACTACCATAATTTGCAATATCATCGTTTTTCTCGAGTAAAAGTTGACTATTTAGATCTTGAATAATTAAGATGTGTTATCCAGATATAAATAAATAGGAGACGGAAGACGACTTGGCTCATCCAGCTCAGGGACCGCGAGTTGCTTCCCGTTCTGTGGGCAAAATAGAAATGGATGAAACTTTAGAAAATTCTGGAAAATAAACACATCACGTGGCAATATTATATGAAAGTCTTTATTAATATGTAAAACACTTCACAAATAAAATCAGGCTGAAGACACGACAACAAAAGTCTACTATGCTAGGGATTCATTTTATAAAAAAAAAACATAAATCTTGATCGGCCTCTTTGCTGAAATTTTATTTGAGGTATTGCTTTATATCTCGAAAAATTCCAAAAGATGGCGCCAAGTGAGCCGAACGATCCAGCCGATTTCCACGGATCTCGGCATGATACCGCTGCTGCTACCCGTAGTTTCCCAAGATCTTAGATCGAATTGTGAGCAGTGTCATATTTATTTTTAACAACTCAAATTTTTTATCAAACATATTCATTATCTTCATCAGCAGACATCGAGTAAGAAGTTGGCATTGGAATGGGCTGCATCCTCGTTGATGCTCGCGATTCTTTAGCAGCAGTCATCATTATCAACTTGGCAAGAGTTTCCTTGTCTAGGGATCGGAGCAATTCTTCATTTCCTGAAATTAAAGATAGCAACTTTTTTTACTGACTTGAAAAAACCTGTCTGTTTCTGAGGTTTTTCTTCGGGCTCAAGCGGATCAATCCCCGCGAATTTTACAGTTTGCCTGAATTTTTTAAAAATTATTTGATGAAATTATAAAGAAGAACTACCTTTGAGTTCGAACTGGCAGAGGAGATTCTTTGAGCTCGGAATTGAGCTCTTGCAAACTCCTCAATCTGCGTTGTCGAAGAGGACTCGATCCCAAATCGAATTTATTACTTTGAAGGGTCGGAATCTTTAATCTGTAAGCAAGACGTTAATTACTATCATGAGAAAAGGAACATTTACGAATTCTGCTGCGCTTCATTTCTTTCACTGACATCTTCTCTTATCTCTTCACTTGCTCTTTCTACACTCAGCTGAGGGATAAAAGGGATTGTCTTAACCGTGGAAGTTGTATTTTCTGTAGAGACAGATAGTCTCTGAGAAACGCGTTTTTCATTCTTGTACGATTTTCTCGCCATTTCCGAATTTCGCTTCGCCTTGGTGAATTTTTGCGTAAAGCCTTCGCGAGAAAGCTCTGCGTTCATGCTCACGAGAGTCACTTTCGTTTTCGTCTACGGTGGATTTTAGTGGTGAAATCATGGAAGAGTACCTTGATCTTTCGAACGAAAGTATTCAAACTCGTTCTACTTGACCACCGAAGTTGTATGTAAGTGTAGATCATGAGAAAGGAGAAAATGAATGTGGCGCTTGTTGAAATCACATAAACCCCTGAAAAGTGAAAATTCGTTCTTATGAAAACCGACTTACAGAAAAAGACGGAATAATTGAGAGCGCCTTCGTCCAAATCTTCATCGACTTCAGCTTGACTGACAACGATCGTCCACCCAACACAAATAAAGACTTGAAAAGCGAAGGAGGCTAGGTTCAGAACGCCGACGATATAAAATATGTAAGAACGCACCAGGAAAGGAAGATATGAAAGAGACACTAGAATCGAGTCATAAAAAGATTCAAGAAAATAACTCACAAAAAGCGATTTTGAGGAAACTTGTGACTGCTGCCATTGAACTGATGACAAAAACCAAGTCTTCTGGCCAATGCAGCCAAAACCGTGACCCGTAATTTGGGCAATTTTCATCCCAGACAAATTCGCTAGTGTCATTTTCGTGGAATTCTTTTTCAGCATTGTAGAATTTCTGCCAGCTTATGCATTCTCTTTGCTGCTCTTTTGGCTCCTCTCGAAGGATCTTTGATCTAACAGAGGTTAAGGAAGAAGCTGTTGTTGTTGCTAACTCTGTTGAAGTAGATTGGTCCTCGTTGTTGTCAATAAAAGTGATGCAACAAATTTGGAAGAGACCGAGGTCAATTTCCGGAACTACATTTTTCGGGGTACCATCTGTTTCTAGTTCAACTGTGCTCCATTTTGCATACGAGATAGCTTTCAAAGGGCTTTTTAGCAGTTCCGAAAGAGTAATCAAAAAGCAGAAAGGGGCCCGTTCCGAAAATATCAAAAATCTGTACAACGGCAAAAACGATCGAATAAACAGTTCCCACTCGTATTTCCATATGCTCGCTCTCTTTTCTGAGAAAAGTTTTCTCTAAGTACCTTTTTTCTTCTCTTTTTCCAACTTTTGCTTGTTCTTTCTTGCTCTCGAATACACGAAATGAAGAATGCTTTATTTTGCATAACTCGATGAGCACACATAGTAATAATGGTCGTCTCGGCAAATGTCATGAGACGAACACGGTAAAATATTTGACGAAAATCCCCCAAAGAGAATACCACAAACTTACTATTCATTCTTTTCGATGATTTGGAAGCTAGGCTAGGCAACCTGCGTAGAAAACCTGAGTCAGGGTTTGAAAGATCATCTATGAAAAGCCGCGAAGAATTGTCTTTCCAATTTATACTCAAATTCTAGCGAAGCCGCTTGGCGGCTTAGTTTTTAAAAAACACGCTTTTCATAAATGATCTTTCAGGCCCTGACTCAGGTTTTCTACACAGAATACCGAGCCTAGCTTGAAAGATGCTCAAATTATTAACTCTAAACCGGCATAGCTTTTAACAGTTCAGTAGTTGTCAAAGTGGACTTCAAGCAAACGCATTAAAAGTTGCATTAATCATCATCTGGTAGTGTATCGCTAATGAAAGTAACTTTAAAATAATCAAAATCAATTATTGCAGCTCAAACGACAGCTCTGCGACAGATGCCCTCCTTAATTATCCATTTTTCATTCTCATCCCCATCCACCCTCTTTTATTTTTATTACTCCGATCTTATTTATTTATACTAAAGTTAGTGTCTTAATAAATAAAGATTCGTATTTGGTGAATACGTATTCTTCTTCTTTTTTTGTGAATATTGACAAGTTAGTTATATTTCAGACGAAAAAATATATCGAGAAAGAAAATATGTTGGCTAATTAAGCAAATACAAGCTGTTGAATTAATAAGATAAAGAAATAAAGCGGATTTTCGCCGTGTCATTAACCAATGCACCATTAATTATACAACTAATTGCATGTATCAATGCTGAAAATGAATATTTGCATATTAAACCCTCTTTCTTACAGTCTACCGGTAAAAAGGTGAGCTGAAAAAATTTCTTCATGCATGATTTGAGCGAAAACCTGGAGTTTGTTTTTATAGGGGCAGTCAATCATGCGTGCGTGAAGCTATAAATCTCCTAAGTAAAAGTAAGGTTTCGTCAAAATGTGAAATTTTCAACCGAGAAAGATTGAACAAAAGATTTTTTTCTGAAAAGGTACAATTCAATGAAGTAAAAATGAAAATCAAGATTCTCTGCTTCTGCTGCAATGCCACTCATTAAAATTATGGGCCATAACCGATACAATTCAATCGTGACAAAAAAATCATGACTAATTATACCACTTTATACTTTTTTGTATGTTTTTGATTTAATCCACTTCTGGATTTCTGTATGACCAAAACCTGCCTTACAAAATAAAAACTCAAAAAATTATCTTTACTTATTTATATTTTTATTTACAGTAACAGTGCTAGAACAATCAAATCCAATTCTGAACAGTTCCATGAACAGGCTACAGTTCTCTTCCTTGCCACTTTCATTCAGCATTCGTGCTCGCTATCTTCGCCAAACTTGAGCTCCCCGCTAGGTTGAGTCGTTGTTGCTGTTCTAGAGCTCCGAATCGTTCGAGGAGATTTCGCTCTGGCCCATGACTTTGGAGGTAGCCCATGGCGAGTGCGGGGGAGGGAAAGAGCATGTTGTTGAGTAGACTTGTTGGCTGAAAATCAAGCTTTAGTTATTGATGACTTTATGAGTCTGGAACTAATTAGTACTTAGTGATTGCTTATTGAAATTTGAGTCTATGTTTCTGTAATGGGAATCTACCTGTAATCGGCTGAGGCCATTATCAGTCTGTGTCTGACGTTTCCATTTATTTCTTCGGTTTTGGAACCAGATCTTGACCTAGAATTAGAGTAAGGCGGTGAGCTTTTAAAAAAGAAAAAGTACCTGAGTTTCAGTAAGATTCAGCTGCGTCGCCAAATTCGTCCGCTCGCTACTAGACAGATACCGTTTTCGCTCGAACCAGGTCTCGAGCTGGAAGATCTGCGCCCGACTGAATGAACAAAAATTTAATATTTATTCGAAAAGATAAAAAAGAAACAATTTAAGGCAATTGTTTTCTGAGTAATGAACGCGCTCGTTGAGTGGCAATTAGCGCACACTGCGGCGAAAAAAAAGTTAAAGACACATCGAAAATTCATAGACGAATCAATCTCCTAATTGAGGAGCAGCCGACGATCAAGTTTGTCTGTAGTTGCTCACCTGAAAACTGTGCGGGTTTTCTTCTTCTTTGCTTCTCCGCCGCAAGTTTCTTCTGAGGAGTTTGCGTCTTCTTCAACAAGGTCCAACTAAAATTTCGTTTTAGCGGATGACAATTTTTCATTTTGCAAATCATTGAAATTGACAAAATCTTAAGGGGCTGAACACCGTTAAGACCGATATTCAAATAGATTTCTTTCACAAGTTAGCAATGTGACACCCTTATTTATCTCGCTCAGAGGAATATTTCTAGCTCGATAAAAGACTTTTCTATTAAAAACTCGGATAAACAGCGTCTACCCCCTTAAGGAGGGGGTCGACGAGAAATTTTTTTGATGATTGACGCAGGGTACTTACGTCTAATGCTTCTTCTTTGGAGCTATCAGTGGGTGACTTAGGTGGAACGCTTGGAATCGGTAGCTTTTCACTCTTGAGCAGCTCTTCATAATCTAAAAGTCCGTTAATTCGACATCATTAGAGAAGGATTCTCTGATTTTACTGGATATACGATTGTAGAGTTAAATATTCATTTCCCAAAAGCGCCCCGGACTAAGTGTAAAAAGATAAAGCTGTTCATAATTGAATGCCTAACAGGGCCGAAAATCGACAATAAAAGCCGTCAAACAGAATTAATTGCCGAACAAGGAAGAAATAATTTGGCGCCGGTCGAACTTCAGTCACGCTTTACCAGTGTAACCAATTGACAGACTATTGCTTCTACTAATGAGATTAAGAATTCACTTTCGTGCCAAAATTTTGCCTAAAGCTATCCTTGTTGATTTCTGGACTTACCGTTGGAGTCAGTTTTGGTATCCGTACTGCCCTGATTCGCTCCCAAAACGCCCATCTGACGATTCAACTGGCCCCTCAGAAACATCTGGGCTAGCAAGCTCTGTCTTATCAGAGCTTCGGACAGGGTGGAGTTCAGAGCATTTGGCTGGTCGGCATTATTTGATGCGCCGTTGGCAAGGTCCATGACCGGGTTGTTTAGGCCTCCAAGACCTGGATAGAGGCTGGAGTACAGTCCGCTCTAAAAGATACTTCGTTATTTTCCATAACTTTGATGATCAATTTGAGTTGGTCAAAAAGTCGAATCCGATGCGCGTTAAAAGGATAAGATAATGGATCAATTGCAAGTAAACGGGATTAGATTAAATATTAAATCTGACGGTTTAATAGTTTCGTCGCCATTAATATCTAATAACGAATTATGAGCAATTGAGATAAAAATTGAGCCGCCAGATTGCCCGTGTAATGCATCAATAAGTGACAGTTAAGCTCCTCGATAATCGAACTTCACGACAAAGTCATTTTGCATCATCGTTGATCGAGTTCGGCTCATTATTGGAAGCTCGAAATCCGTTTCTTACCTGAAGCAATCCTGGAGCTACTGAAGATCGGAGGAGGCTGTTGGCTGATAGAAGCTGGCAAGGAGAGTATCCAGGGGGGAAAACCAGGGATGAGTTGCGGGGCTGCAGCTTCTGAAGCTCCACCAAGGAGATTTGCGATGCTAGAATTGATGTTTAGCTTTTCATTTAAAAATAAATGGCCAAAAAATGATTTTTTTTTATTGAAATTTGCTCTTTGCACTAGAATATTTTGCTTACGAACCTGTATGGAAGTCCTCTAGAATTCTTCGAATCCCCGTCTTTCTCCGACCCAGACTCTACTGCTTTCTCTTGCTCAGCATCAGAGACACTTTGAGCTTGAGCTTTTCTTTCTTCTTCAATCTCGATTTTGCCCATTGCTTCTTCTTGAATTCGACTAGCAGAAATAGCTTGAGCTGTGTCTTCCATGATTTCAATTTGAATTATTCGAAACGATTAAAGTAAAAAGTCCAGTGCTCGACGAATAAAATTTGATTGCGGAAAGAAGGTGGCGCTTGGGAGCGCATCGCCCCGCGGGTCAGGCCCAACAGCGCCACGGGAGAATGAAAAATAATTGAAGGGATTACTCGTTAATTATTTACCATCCAAGAACAGGAGTTTATATCTTCAAAGATATGTACTAGCAATGAAAATTTGTCTTGATATATCTAAAGCTAACGAAGGGATGAAAGTTAGGAGATTTCATGAGCTAAGGTGAAGGAAGTAACTGTAGCGGGATTTTTGATAGACGATGAATAATTTAATGCCCCTTTTTTGCTTTAAAAATGTCAAGTTTTTTGTCACCTGCTGCAAATGGCCCATTTGAAATGGGAATCAACAAAGAGATTTTCCTTCGAAAAATGTTTTTAAGGCTAATATTATAAAAAAGTTTCTTACTGTATGAAAGATTCTACCTATACATCAGACCGACTGAAATATTGATTCATAGTCCTTGAAATTACACCTTCTGTTACCATTCATAAAAGTAAAAGTACTCAAAGTACATCTAAATGATGAATACGCATATCAAAGATATTGACGCTAATGATCGCATATTAAATAATATGACCCTACAAGCTGAGCATGTAATTGCAAAGGCTATTGCAAAAATAATCGGCTTATTTAATGGAGATGACCAAATTCTGAGGTTTCATCGCAAATGGGTAAAATTAATGCTGATTGAAAATTGGATTAATTATCTCTCGATTCTCTCTAAGAGATTTCAATTATGGTAAAATGATGGCTTGTAATGGCCCTATCTTCATTTACCAAAGAGGTTAATTGACTTACCATTCATGGCATTCGATGCAGACATGTCTTTTTGGGGACTCTTGCTTGGTTCTTCTTGTCATTGTCTTCTATATTCACGAAATAGACTGCCACTTTGATCTTCCTCAAGAAAAACGACAGAAATTTGCCCTCGATTCTTAGCAAAAGACGAATCAGGTCCTTCTGAGATTCAAGAAGATTAACCGGATTCATCTAGAGATCGCAATCTTCATCAATGCTAGACGAAATACCAGAATTCCAGCACAAGATTGACATTTAGGCTCGTCAACTTGTGAAAAGAGCCTGAGTCAGGGTATGAAAGGTCTGAAAAATCTTTCAGACCCGGACTCAGGTTTTCCATACAGGTTGACGAGCCTAGATTCTCATAAATCTTCAGAAAAGGAGTCTGAAAATGTCTTTGTCATTTGAAATGTACAAAGAGCAATAGTCTTTTTACTGAAAATTGTTCAAAGAACAGTTCATAAATAAGTCCACTGGGAAAACCATCCGCTTTCCCCCACTTCCCGGCAGATTCCCTTTCATTAATCTCTATTTCCCATATTCCCTTTGAATTGACAATGCTCGATAATTTGCTTTTTGACAAGGTGCTCCCGTGTTTTATTTTATTGCTGCAGGTTGATCCCCCGATCTTTTCTTAGTGGGGAGGGGCGGCGGGCCGCTTTGATTGAGGGTAGTTGCATGAAATCGCCCCATATGGACAATACAGAAAAAACGCAATATGGACCATGTCGAGTAATAATAATCACGCGGAAAGAATTGAACAAGAAGGGATGGAAATGCTTCCGACAATTATCGGCCGACTTCAATCGAATAAACCTATTACTGAGAGTTAGATTTATGATTGTCGATCTTTTCACATCTCATTAACATTCTCATTGATCAAAGATCTTCAAAAATAAAGAATTGAAATTTTAAAAAAATTAGAAATGCTGAACTCGGTCTTAAAAACCTGAGTCGCGGTGTCAAGCATTGTAAAAGGAAAGCCGCGTAGCGGCTTTTTCAAAAACGAAGCCGCAAAGCGGCTTCGCCAGAATTTGAAACATGACTCAGGATTTTTTCACTGATAATCTTGCCAAGCTCATAAGTGCTTATGAAAGTGTTGTATGCATGACATGTTGGACAGGCGTCGACTTGTGGGTACGCATATGATTATTGATATAATTAGCCGCTTGTGTCTATGCTCATATGGGTTGTGAACGGGTGATGAATTCAACATGGCCATTAGCAAGAAGTTGCGATATTGAGTATTAGTGAGAAAGAAGGAAGAAAAGACAAAAAGCCGTTTTAAAATATTCTTTCTTTTTGCTGTACCTCAAATATTCATGAGTACAGATGATTAGTAAATCCGCCCCGCGCTCATTAGACAAATGCCCAGAAACTATACATAATGAAAATTGGTGGGAAAATCGCCATTGCCAAATGATCAACACCACCGTTTCAAATCAATACTACAGTGTCTTCAAAAATGGTCTTCTGCTTAAATTTGTTTGAATCTTGGAATTTTTGAAATTAGCATTTTGAAATTCAAGAGACGTCACCTAAAAAGGCGCCACATCAAAATTCAACAGGAGTTCCTCCGAATTACTGTATTTTTTGAATTGTACAAGTATTTTGCGCTGCAGGAAATTTTAAAATGAAGATATGGTAGCATTTGTGTAAAGCATGGAAACTGACTGTTCAGGACTTCTCCTGGGCTTGTTTTTCTTTTTCTTCCCTAGCTGCTTCTTTTTTCTCGCCGGCTTCGAGCATTTTATCGTGCTGTTCTTCCTTGTACTTTTTCCAGCCGAGATAAGCGAGGGGTCCCGTCAAAGCCACTAGAAATTCAGGGTCATTTTCCGTCTTTTTTTTGGCGCTTTAGAGCTGCACCAAGAGGTTAATTCAATCTGACATTTTCCCACAAATTGGATAGTTTCTAATTGAGTCCAAAAAAAAACGCCCAATATTGTCGAATAGGTGCTTTTATGCCAAATAGAAAAAGTTTTCATAATTGACAAAAAATGACAAAAATTCGTTTGATTTGAAAACGTTGGCGATTCTGATCACGTGCAACCTGCTTTCTAGCGCTTATACAGAACGTGGTCGTTACAAGACCACATAATGACAGACTTGTTTATCCTCTAGCTCTATACGAATTCTTACGTATGAAAATATAAAGCCACGTTCCGCTCGATTTCGCAGGTTCCGGCTCTGGCTCAGGTGACGTTTCTGGCGCTTTTGTTGGCCTGACGATGTTCTGAAGAGTTTTGAGTTAGCTTTGATTTCTACCGAGGCTGACGTACAGGAACAATCAGCCTTCTCAATTGTCAAGTTCTCGTTTTCTAAAATACCAATTTCGAGGTCTTCGGCTTTGCTCCTGCTTGCACTTTTGCCACGATTTTGCCCGAGCCCCCTGATGATTTCTTCTTTTTTGACTTTTTCTGAGCCGCTGCTTTTGGAGGAGGCTTCTTTTTTGGCGGCTCTGGCTGCATGAAAAGTTCAGGTGGAACGGAAGCACCCTTGCACCAGCCGTTGTTGTCGCCATCTACTCCACATTCTTCCGGTTTATACTGCTCTCCTCCGTAGCAGACTAACCCTGGAGGACAGGCAGGTCCTTTTCCCTGAAATATAATGGTAAAAAACGCTGATAAAGGATGATTTCCTTATCAAAATCCGCAGCGCGCGTGGATGAACAACTCTTATGTTTCAATTACTCGGGATTTCGATGATCTTGGCCGTATCTTAACCCTATTACTCGCGGCTCTTACTTGACATCTTCTGTGAAAATATCAAGAACGAATCATTTTCGAAAACATATCTATTTATTTTTTCCCAAGAAAGAGCCATAAACCTTGTTGATTTATTCATAAACGTTGTTTTAGGACAATATATTTGAACATAATGCTCTTGAATTAGCATAAAGAGCCTTAGAAGTACCTTTGGCTTGGCAGAAACCGAACTGTAGGAAAGCAAGAAGGTCGTAACACGCATAATCCTTGATCCGGGATTAGCCTTTTAGGAATTTTCGTTTCTCTTTCGTTGACCGTGGCCAGTGCTTCTCTTTGAGTTTCACGTTCAGCCCTTTTCCTAGCCTTGAGCTAGTTGCCCGTTCTATTAGCTTATCACGCCTTTCAAGTTGAAAATACGTAAAAATAGTTCTTATCAATTCGTGTGGCCAGAAGAGAATAGTGTAACGTTGGAATCGAAACTAGTCCTAGCCAGCGTCGAAACCAATTGAGAGAGTGCAACGCAGAAAATGCCCACCGGCGATTCTAGCTTCAAAAGTACAATTCAGCCAGCTCCTCAAAGTAAAAGCAAGAGAGAGGATCTCACGCCCCTTGCTGCAACACGAGGTCAAAAGGACACGTAACGATGCGACGCAACACTTTGTTGGTAGTTTATTAAACAAAGCTCAACAAAATCATAAGCAGTTAAAAGTTAAACTGGTTGAAACGAACAAATTGGGTGTAACAAGAATCTTTTTTCGAACCCCGTCCGGTTACTTTTTCACGTTCTTCGATGTGATGGAGATAGTCGCTCATGTATGAATCCAGATAAGATAAGAAGTCTTGAATTTGTGGCCGATCATGTAAATTCTAAAGAAGATTTTGATCATAAAGAGAGGGCTATCTTATTAAAATCATTTTTGTCATGATCTCATTATGATAGCCGTGCATTTTTTACGCTGTGAAAATTCTCACTTACATTTTTCTCCTCAGGATCGTATTTGAGATTGTACAATTCCTTCGAGCCAGGCACATATTTAAAGTTTTCTTTCCGGAGTGAAGCGTTCAAGCCCCGCAAGTTCGCATGCGTCAGAATCGGAGTCTTTTGCAACTGCAAATTTGCTTCGCCAGTTTCTATGTAGTGGACAAGGCTTCTACTATCAGGAGCTTCGTTACAGTCTTTCTGGTGTTTTCACTCTATTATTTTTTCATTTTTATAAATATAATTCCATAATAAAACACATTCCTAGGCTATACTCAATAAGTTCTGCAAGTGAAGCGTAAATATCAACAGTAGAAACTGGAATTTTCGGATCGAAAAGAGTCCTAGGCGTAAAACGACGCGGATAACGCCATAAAAATGGAGTTCTGTGACCTGCTTCGCTTTGACTATTCTTAGCGCCCTTCAATTGAATGGACCTTTCTGGCAAGTCCAGTCGCCGTTGATTGTGACCAAAAGTTTCAAATATGTCCTCTGCAGATGTTGCTGGTCCGTTATCGCTCATAAAAATGACCAAAGTATCATCAGCAATGTCATTTTCTTCCAGTTTCTTGAGGATCTTTCCGACAATTTCATCCGCCTCCATGATCGACTCCCCCAAATTGCCGATTCCCGACTGATTTCGAAAGCGCAAAGGCGTGTTGAACGGCCCATGCCCGTTTCGCATCCCGTAGTAGACGAAAAACTCTTCATTCTTGTTATCATCGATGAAGCGTTCAAGCTTGGGGATGGTCATCTCCTCGTTGTGACGCGTGTCATACGATTTCATCGCGACTTGCTGGCGCGGAAAGTTACAAAAATAAATCGGTAGATCTTGTTTGTTTTCATCAAATCTCTTTGATTGTCTTGTGTCGCCTCCCATGTACCCTGTCACGGGAAAAGTGCTACATCCACCCGTCTTAGGATTATACGACTTTACATCGCTCGGAGTGGCTTCTGGATATGCCTGTTGCTTGATCCACGTGTCAACCGGCTCGATTCCCACTCCATTCTCGTAGAAACCCCCAGGTTGGCAGCAAAGAAAGCTGTTGGTAAAGGAATAGTCGTAACTGTGATTTTGAGGGCCGACGAGAAACTCGTAATTGCCAGGAAGATAGTTTGACGTTCGCAAAGTTGGGAAGCTTTTTCCTAGCTTGTTCATTTCTTCTTTGAACTCGTTGTCGAGTCGTTTACGGTTGTTCCTTTCTTCTTGAGTTTCATTGAGATTAACGAGATTATTGCTCAAAGGCTGGAACTTTCCAAACATGCCCGTTTTGTAGCCTGCTTTTTTGAACATATCTCCAAGCTGCGGCTCATCCGGCCAAATAACTCGATTCGGCTTGTCTTCCATCGAATACCGCCCTGTCATTAGCATGTATCTGCTCGGTGCACAACGACTCGAGCCACTGTGAGCATCGAGAAATTTCACTCCTTCCTTTCCGAGTCGGTCGATATTCGGCGTGGGGACTTTTGCTTCTCTGTTGTAGATTTGAAAGTCGCCGATTCCGAAGTCGTCGCAGTTGAGAATGATTACGTTCGGCCGCCTAGCTGTACTCTCTGCTATCAAAAAGAAAATAATACCAGGAAAAAGTCGCATTATTCAAGAATATTTCCGAAGAAATAAAATTGATTTTTGTGTTTCATGAACATGATACTTAATTTAGCGCCACCAAATTTGTTATTGATGGAATCAATCAATTTGATGCTATAAATACCATTTTTCTTCTGCTTTTTTATATTTGGATGTTAATAAGAGTTCCAAGAATCTTCACGTTGGTAAAAACATTGACCTTTGTTTGCTTTTATCAAAATCGATTTTGAATATTTTGCTCAATCTTTTAGCTGAATTAAAAATTTTTGAAAAATGAAATCGTTCTTTTTTCTTTTGAATTTTGCGAGAGCCGAGCCAGAAGGTCTAAGAGAACTTGTGTCGAAGCTGATAACATTCAAGTACTCCTATGATGTGGAAAACGGCACCAGATATGCATTGACTTTGAAGGAGCTTTTGTCTTATGGCCAGGGTTCGGTAATTTGAGCTCACGCTAAAACTCAAGGAAACAAAGCTTGAGACTCAGGTTTTTTAATTTGAGTTTTGAGAACTCAGAGATGAGAGCTCGCGTGAGGAATCAATTCTGGCGATCCATGAGCCAATCAAGGAAGCGCTCGCTTAATTTGAGTTTTGAAAACTCAAAGCTCTCAAATTTCCCAAAAACTCAAAACTCTCAAATCTTCTCAAAAGGATTTCTCAAGTCACTTTGAGTTCTCAATTTGAGGAAATTTGAGCGTCTAGCCAAAATGAGTTTTAGCTTGAGCTCAAATTACCGAACCCTGCTTATGGCTGTTATTGCCAATTTGACGATGAAGTCAATTATCGGCATCGTCATGGAGTTCCGCTTGATGAATTCGATCTTCATTGCCAAAATTTCAAGCGCTGCTCGGCTTGTGTTTCGATGGATGATGAGAAATGTGAGGAAAAAAGTGCTGATTTTGCGATGTTTTTGAACCAAGCTAGTTTTCAAAATTAGGAAATTTCATTTTCGGAGGAAATTCTCTTTCGTCGAAAAATTTCTAACAGAACTTCTTTTTGAAAACTAGTGATATGAACCGGATTGTATGAATGCGCGTCTGGAACAACGTGTCAAGAAAACTTGTGTTCCTGCACCACTGATTTTGTAAACAAGATTTTTGAAAAGACGGAATTCGCTGTGAGAGGACTTTCGCGAGAGCACAATTTGGAAGTCATGAAACTATGCAAACCTGGCGGGCATAGACAGCTTCGGGTGAGCACCATGCTTTTGACAAAGAATCTTTATGCTAGAATCTTTATTTCAGGCCAGAGATGCAAACTTGGCTTTATTTTCGCTGAGCTGAGCTGAGCTGAGCTGAGTGAAAAATTCTCTGAGCTGAGCTGAGCTGGCCATTTTCAGAGGTCATTGAGCTGAGCTGAGCTGAGCAGATCCTAATTAAAGCTGAGCTGAGCTGAGTGAGCTGATTTGAGCTATTTTTTACTGTTTTTTAGTAGTGAAATTGTGTTTAAATCATTGAGCTGAGCTGAGTAATTATTGTCTTAGCTGAGCTGAGCAGATAAATTCATTTTCGAAAATCAGTGAGCTGAGCTGAGCTGAGCGACTGCTCAGCTCACTCAGCCAGCTCAGCTCACTCAGCTCAGCAAATTTGCAACTCTGTTTCAGGCGCGAGCTCAATTCTTCACACCAGAAAAGGCTGATTCATGTTGCGGCCGGTACCCAAATAGATTTCCATACAATACTTCAGGAAGGAATTAACTAAAAATATTTTTTCATCTACTGGCTTTTCTATAAATAGCTTTTTTTCATTTCTTTTTTCGAAATTGCTGATATTCTCAAATCAGATACAGAAAAAGAGTGCTGTGATGGTTCGATAATATCTTCTCGAAAAAATGTTTGCTGTCATGGACGAGTAACATCAATAATTGGGTGTGAAGATGAAAAGATCAAAAAAGAAACTGATGATGATGAAATGTCTATTTTTCAACGAAGAATAGTTTTTTTATACGATGAAGGAGGTTAGATTTCTTTGAAAATTCCCACCATAAATTTTTAATTATTTCCTTTATTACTCCAAAATTTATTTCTTCCATTCAATAAAAAAATCAACAATAAAACGTTGCGATAGTCTTTTGAAATAAAAAAAATAAAGTCGTCATAACTACAAGAATTCAGACCAAAATGCTATCACTTCCACTGCGTCACCAATTTCTTATGAAACAATGTTTGAAACATACACAACTACGGCAGATACAACAAAACAAACTGAATACGAAACAACTTCATCATCTGCCACGTATGAGTACGAAACGTATTTATCCACAGTAACCACTGGAACAACCAAGGATCCGAGTACAACAACTTCAACATTGCGGACTTTGCCAGTCTTAGATTCAGAAGACAACGAAGATTATGAAACTTCGTTCTCCACTGTGACAACGGGAACGACAAAAGAACCGACGACAACAATGACATCAACCTTCGGAGACTTCCCAGGACCTTGCTTTCCAAATCCTTGTCTCAATGACGGAGAGTGTATTGAATCCCCAAATTCCGAGTTTCCATGGCTAGCGTACTCCTGCATCTGCCTAACCGTGCCGATTCATTTCACTGGCCGTAACTGCCAATATGGCCCGTGCAATCCAAATCCGTGCATCAACGGCGGAAGATGCAAAATAGCGGATTTCAAGCGAGAAAAAGAATACTCAAATATTGAGTGTTTTTGTCCCAAAGGATACGGGGGAAATTACTGTGAGCTCCGACTGTACTGAAAACCTTGAATAATCTGTATTATACTATTACTAGCGATGTTATTTGTAAATAAATCCAATTTTTATAAGGTAAAACCTTTTTTTTTATTTTTTTTTGTTTTTTTTTCAGGAGTATAAGGAGGGATTCTATTGAACAAGAATAATTTCTTGAGAGGGCAGATTTAACTTGAAAGCAGGATAATTTTAATACTATTAAAGACTGGACGAGAACAGGGCATTTTCAGGGTAATTTTATGGGGGTGTCGTCAGGAACCGACAAAAAATGTCGACAAATTTTGCGTGGGCGACTATTCGGCAGCTGATTCGCCGTTGTGCGGAATCCGGGCTTCTGATTGGTTGAAAATTTCCACGCAAAATTTGTCGAAATTTTATGGCGATTCCAGATACCTCCCCATTTTATGAGGAGACTAAGAAAAATGAAGATTTTGAGACATTGAAATTAAGCTAGGCAGATCCATGGTAGTTTTTGAACATTCGTCGACGAATTGCCCGATCGCTTTTTGTGCGATAGGTTTCAAAACGACGGCCAACGTCAGCATCGTATGCCTTGAGCTGCTCGAGATAAGATGGAGCAGCTTGAGGAAATTGATAATTGCGATGGTTGACGAATTGGTTTTCAACTTGAATGGATGGAATCGCGAAAACGGTCGATCCAGAAAAGAAGATGATGGTTTGGGCGATTTTCATTGCTGAGATTTTTGGTTTGAGCTGCTGCTTGCTTGTTGGATGTGAAAGTGATTGAGTTTGATGTCTGGTCTGGTCTTCAATCCTTTTTATAGAAGCAAACTCGACTCAAATCTAATACTAGAGGGAGCAATAGTATACGATGGCACTATCGAGCTAAGAATAAGTTTTCACACCTCGTGAACAATCACTCAAAGTGACGAAGGAGTGCAAATAGAAAATGGAAAACAACTGCCTCCTAGTACAAAAAATTTAATGAAAGTGCCCCTTTGACCTGCCGATAAACAATAACCAACAGCATTTTGACTTGGAAGATTCTTTGTAAAAATAAAAAAAAAGACGAGAAATAAAAGTCAAAATTGGCAAGTTGCGTGAAGAAGCAGTCAACAATGGAGAATACAAGAAGGGATTATACAGCAGTTTATGTTTATAAATTATAATTACGCAAAAGTGTATGTTGTGTGTTTGTGTTTTTGTGTGTTTTGTGAAAACGGCGCTAGAACAGCACCCGCGTGAGCCATTCGCTGCGACACGATAAAGTGCACGCGCGTGCGTTCAAGTGCACGAATTTTTTTCATGAAAAAGATAGACAGTACTGTGTGTTAATGTACAGTCGACGAAATTAGAAAATTAGTTAGAAGTGTCCTCAGTAACGTCAGATTAGCGCGCGCGCGGTTGGCTGGTTTTTGGTGTTTTGGATGGTTGTTTTGCGGAGAACTGTGATCGTGTTTTGTCTCCAGCCGACTTTTTCGGAGAGTCGGGGTGTTCGGCTCTCGCGTTATCGTCATCTTTGAACTTAATCGTCTCGGGCGGGGGCAAGCATGAAGCCAGAGAATGTCGAGTAGTGACTTTATCTTGTTCGAAAAAAAATTCTGAAATCAAGGAAGACTCAATTTCTCTAGAAAAATCTTTGACTTCAAATTTTTGTCGAACAGTTCCTTGGAGAATGGCCGTAAACATGTCCTTGTCTAAGCCTGACCCAGATGCAGTCACCCTTCTTGAGGATGAGAACAGCGGTGCAAGAAGTCGTTTCAAATCGAACATCCTGGTTGGTTCCAGAAGCGACCATCTCTTGGTTTCTCATCAAATGGACAAAAAGTGGCCCAGAGTTTTGGCATCGCTGTCATTCGGTTTTTTTGATATATTCACAAATTATAAATTTGATAAATTATCAAGCTAAGAATGTTCGAAAACCGTAACAAAACATTGACATGGAAAACGTAAGTTCCATCGACTGGGGCGTTGAAGCTTCCTGTCTCTTGATCATATGCTGGCTGATTGGGCTGGACCTCGTTCTGGTTGGTCAAGACAGTGTCGAAAGTGATGGCGTCGCCGCGCTCGATGAAATTCTGGCTCAAAGCAGCCATGAAGGAAACTTGAGCTTGTGGAGAGCAGGCTTGCTCGCAGATTCCAGGTTCACCAGCAAGACCGACATCGCCCTTGACTAGAAAAACATGTTATAATCAAGTATAATTGCACTAAACTTACTTGAAAGACCGGCTTCACCAGGGACACCAGGGGGACCTTGTGGACCGACTTCACCCTGAATGCCGATACCAGGGTTTCCTTGGTCACCCTTTGGTCCAGGAGCACCACGGGGACCAACTGGACCAGGCTTCATCGAAGCCTGACCGTTGAGACCTGGGGCACCATCTTTGCCGGGAAGACCATCTTCTCCCTAAGATTTTTATCAGAGTTTTAGGCTACTCATTTTTGATCTTACCTTGCAACCGGGCTCACCAACGGCACCTTCGGGACCGACTGGACCTGGGAGACCTGGAAGACCTCGTCCGCCAGAGTCACCCATTGGACCTTGTGGACCTCGCTCACCAGGCTTGCCATTGATACCATTAGCACCAGGCATACCATTCTCGCCAGGTTTACCAGGGGGACCAATATCTCCTCGTGGACCTCGTTCTCCTGGAAGACCATCTTGCCCATCAAGACCGTCGAGACCAGTAGCACCAATGGCACCCTTCAGACCTTGCTCACCAGGAAGACCTGGTTTGCCATCAAGACCAGCTGGGCCTCGGAGACCAACTGGACCAGGGGGACCTTGCTGACCTTAATCCAAGTTAGATTGAGTAAGTAAAAATAATCGTACCTTCGTCTCCCTGTGGACCTCGAGGACCACGCTCTCCAATACCGGGAGGACCCTGAAGACCATCAGGACCAATTGGACCAGGGTTACCCTGTTCTCCAGAGGGACCTCGTGGACCTTCGTCTCCCTTTCTTCCTTGTTCTCCAGGAATACCAGGCTCTCCCTTTTTACCACAGGGGCCAGGGATACCAACACCGGGAGGACCAGCTGGACCAGCACAACCAGGAGCACCAGGAGGACCGACTGGACCTTCAGGACCATCAGGTCCGCTGCGACCTAGCATAATAGATAATAATGGCAGTTTTTATGATCTTAGAGTGATAAAGCGGTTTATTATTGTTTCTCATATTTGATTTCAAAAGATGATTACCTTGTGGACCAGTGGGACCAGGAGCACCAGGTCCACCAGGGCAACCAGGAGGACCCTGAAGGAAGTGGCATTCTCCGTCGCTCTGACAAAGCGGGCTGCATTCAGGACAATCTCCTTGACAGTCCAATTCTGGCTCTTCGACTAATGGATTGTCTGTTTTCAGGGTCCTGACCTTTGAACTTGAACTCCTTGTTGATTTTTCAGCCGAACAAGAAAAAGTACTACGCTAATCAGATCCGATTGGTTAATTAATCCAATGATCAATTAAGTAAAATGATTAATGGCGCTACTGTTTGACACGGGCGGTCAGACCCATTCCTCGTCGAGACATCTCTGGAACTCGGAGAGCAGGCTCGTAAGTCTTGATCTGTGGCTCGCGGTTTCGAGATCGGTTGCAAGGCACTCCGCCGCACATTTCGACGACTTCATCTTCGTCGGGCTGTGGACTCGCCGCTACGAGCCCAGCGGCCAACACTCGCCAGATCTTCATGCTTCTGAAAATTCTTGTTGATAAAATGAAAGACCATAACTAGGCTTCGGACGTAAAAAATCATCACCACCAGCCGGTCGTCGTACGGTAACAAGAGTAGGCTCATTCGAAAGCTCTTAAAAAGGGCTTTCTGTTAGGTTTATAAAAAAACTGGGCCCTGTCCTCCTTTTTCGAGATATTTGATTTTGAAGGTAAGCTTCGAAAAATATTTTTCAAAATAACTCGTAACAGAAAGGGAGGGCCCAGTTTTTTTATCGGTTTAATAGAAAGCCCTTATCAAGAGCTTTCGAATGAGCCCACTCCTGTTCCCATACGATGACCGGATGGTGAAAATCGTCTTTTTTACGTCCGAGGCCTAACCATAACTCTATTTTTTCTTATCTTTTTATAATAATTTTCCCACTGCTATCTTTGAGCTTAAACAACAAGTCTATTACATCGAATTATAGGCAGCTTCACGAGTAACATTAACATAATTTGATAAAAATGCTCTAAGAAAAAAGTCATTCTGAAATAAACCCCCATTTTCTGGATTGATTCATGATTCATAAATCCACTAATGGTCTCCTCTTGTTATCCTTGATTTCCTCTAACTGGATTTTCAATTTCTCTCAGAATCCAAAAATCTCTAAAAACTGTACCTGGACTTCTACCTATCAAGCCGAAGGAGTGTCTGTCCTTCTTCGCGATGTTGGCTCTGGTGATATTGCTTCGTCGAGCTTGATCACCTGGGTGAGCTCTTCTGCCTGGCGCGGTAGTTGAGCTTGGGCGCCGCCACGCTTACTTCCTTGCTCGTTCTTGTCTCTTCTCTTCTCGACGGGAACTCTTTCTTTCAGTGAAGTTTAGTGCCAAGTTTCAACAAAAAAACATAAACTCTGTTTTCACACATTTCCACTCACGCCACAAGACAGTTCCACAATTGTCATTTCGGCCAGTTGATGCCGCCCCAATTTCCTCTTCCGAGCGAAAATCAGCTGCTCTCCGACTTGTCACATGGGCGCCCATGGTCTTTGATGTGCATGCCATGGCCGCTTGACTTTGAAAAGATTTCGTTTTCAATAGTAAGTGAGCGGATATCGCATTTTCTACCGGGTACCGTTCCATTTTCACGCGTGAGCCAAAATGAACAAGAAGAAGAGGCAGGACAAAGGAGGATTTATGATTTGCTGTGGTAGGAGATGGTTGATCAGCAGCAGCATTGAATAACAATGATGGATTTGAAAGTTCTTAACAGTGGCATTGAAAATCAAGGACTTTTTCTATTTTTATTGAAAATTAATAGGCCAAGTACTAACTATTGCCATTTCTGAAGAGAAGATGAAGTCGACGCTGGCAAAAGTTCAATTCGCTAATCCAGCTAGTTCATAATCGACAACCATAAAACGTGAAACATGTCTGAAGTTGATGATCGATGAAAATTTAATGATTTTATTAATTCCGGCCTAGAAAGAATTCGGGACTAGGTTAACAGAAATTTACTTCCCATTAGCGGGTCGCTAAGACTTCGGGACAGATCGGAATGAAAATTTGAATCTTTTATTTTCATAAAACATTACACATTACAAATTCAATTAACATAATCTTATTGCTTTTGATATAGAAACGAACGATTCTGAAAACATTTTATAAATATTATATTTTATTTTATTTTGAGTTCGACATTGCTAGAGGTTCCTTTTATCAGTTTGACTCTGGAACGAACCAGCATTTTTATCTACTTCTAGCGCTGTTGACCATGAAATTGATCAACGATAAGGATTTTTCTTCGTATGAAAGACTAGTGGTTTCTTCTTTTTGTATAAAATTTCGACTGTAAAATGAGAAGTCAATTGAATAATAAACGTAGCTAGTTACGTGGTCGGCGAAATGTTTAAACTTGAGAATTAAATAAATTATTCAATTCGGAAAGCCAAGATTGTCTGATGTGTCATAACCGTAATAACGAAAAGAAAAAGGTTTTAAAGTCGGAAATCGTTATCAGTGACCTATTCGGTCCATAGTCAAAAAACCGCATCGTACCATGATTTGACGTAACTAAAACAATAACTTGCCAAAACGTCTACTAGAGGTGTCAAAGCCGCTTTCAAACCTTTGGTCAAGGAAGAATTTGGTCAAGTTGAATCCAGCTGCCTTGTTTACGAGTAATTCGCCCTTCAGATCTAAAAATAACGGGCCCGGTGCTTAATGGCGTATTTACGGTCCTAATCAAGTATTATTTATTTGATAGGCGATCAATTAACATTTTGTTAAAGCAAGCTGGGGAATTTCGAACCCGTAAACGTTCAAACTTCTTCACGATTTGACCAAACTGTCTCTTTATTTAAGGGTGTCAACATCGATTTCAGCAAAGTTTTGGCCCTCATTTAGGCACCTTCCTAACCTTCCTGAAATTAATAAGGGGACCCCTTCCGCTAACGAGAATAAAGGGGGAGCAAGCATTTAAAGGGGTCTTAGCTTCATATTGACAAGAATAAATAAGGGTGTCAGTATGTTAAGTCTGGGAGTAAAGGCATCTCGAAACATTACAAGCAAAAGAAACTGTCTGTCAAGGCAGACAATCATATTTTCTACTGTTAGCTTCCTAAGACTTTTAACATCTTGTAAACTAGCTTTATGTGTTTTTAAAAACAATAAAGCTGTTTACGGCCTTAATTAGGGTTTTTGATCAGAAGCCAAGTTCTTCGCTTTTCTTTTTTTCAGATTTGCGTTGAGCCGCTTTTCAATTCAAAGGCTGATTTTGGCCAGCCGGCGCCATAAAACCAAAAATCTAAACGCTAGCTCGTACTTTCCAAGTCATTAATGTCAGACCACCTAACTGCGATCAAACGGCAAAAAGCCAATAAATTTACATAACACGAGCAAATTGTGAGACATACCGATAAGCATAATGTCTTTGAACTTCTATTACCGGAAGTCAACAACTTAGCAATTAAACTTACCATAATCAGATCAATTTCTAGTCAGCAAATGATCAAGTTATATAATAATTCAGTTATTGATATCGATAATTATCAGAATATTTAATATTTATTGAAATTGGTAATTATCAAATCAAAAACTGAATTATGATATAACTTGATCATTTGCTCACTAGAAATTTATTTGATAATGTATAGTTTAATTACTAAGTTATTCACTTCCGGTAACAGAATTGTTCTTTAGTAAAACATGATAATCGTTAGTTGTTGATTAGTGAGTAGTACTCAGTAGATTAGTGATTAGTGAGTACTAGAAAGTCGAAAATTTGACATTCTTGAACTTCAGCAAACCAAGCGCGTGGGTGTTGCAACTAGCCAATCAGAGAAAACAGCCGATTGGAATTTCTATAAGAATCTTTTCGACCTCGATCTTGGCCTTGGAAGCAAAATCAACATGGTCCGACGAATCGACAAGTTCCGTAAGTCCTCTTTTATCATCCGTATCTCCTCATTTACAATCCTTACGCTCTGTAAATGTAGTCCATGCCCTGAAGAAGGAAAAAGAGGAGGAAGAAGCTCAATTACTCGAGCTTCTCGCTGGAAATTCTTCGGCAAAACAGCTGCAGCGCGCTGGAAAAGCTTTGGCGAACCAAGTCGTTCAAGCAGTCAGAACTGGTCTTTTCGAACGAATGGTTGTCACATGCTCTCCTGCTCACGGAGGAGCCTTTCCAGCGACAGAAATCTCACATGGAAAACCCGTGATTCTGCGAATGCCAGACACGACTTACAGAGGCTTCGTTTTCTCCACCTCCGAAATGTCGGTCGATGTCTGCGTTGATGTCGGCGAGGATGGCGAAAAAATCGCAGTTGGAGATCGACTGGACATCATGCCAGCACCGGACGATATCACTTACCGTCGAATGAAAGCAGCTTCAGAGGAAATGAAAAAAGTTATCGAGCAGAATTCAAGTAGAACTGTCGACATCATCTTTGGAGAGTCGCAGCCAGCGCCGCATGTGTCGACGGAGAGCTTTTTGAAGCCAAAAACGGATGTCAAGAACTTGAATAAAGAACAACTTGAAGCTGTGGGAGCTTCACTGGCGATTCAAGACTTAATGTGTCTTCATGGACCGCCTGGAACGGGAAAATCAACGACTGTAGCTGCCATTGTCGCCGAAGCTGCCCAGCGAGGAATCAAAACTATAGGAACGAGTTTCGGATGAGAGAAAAAGGGGTTGAGAGTTACTTAACTTTGTTTTTGGGAACTTGTGATAAGTCACGTGTCCATCGAACGCAGCCGTCGATGCGCTTGTTGAGAAGCTGGCAAAAAGGCGTGAAGTGGTGGTCACGCGACTGGGGCATCCGGCCAGAACTTCACCACATTTACGGCAATACACACTTGAAGCGAAAATGGCTGATGTTGAGATGCTCAGGAACTGGACTGTGTATTCAGAATAAAGTATTCTAACATATAAAATTTTTTCAAGGGTCACTGTTTATGCACTGACTTTACCGCAGGCACCATTTAAATGATGGTCATGGTTAGTTGATCTATTCAAAAGGCTTGTATTTATAAAATATATATTTCACTATCTAACATTAGCAGTTATGGTGATTACCTCCAGTTAAGAGATCTCAAATCCGACATGTTCGCTGCCTCCGGTCGAGAACGAGGAACCCTCCGAAAAGAGCTCCGAGATCGGGAGAAAAAGTGCTCTGCCGAAATTCTCAAAAACTCTCATGCTGTCATTGCTACATGCACTGTTGTTGGAATGAAATCCATCCTCGATGTTATTGATGATCCAGATCATTTTGGCCTTGCGATTGTTGATGAAGCCGGACAAGCAGTAGAGCCAGCAATTTATCCGATTCTTAGAAGATGTTCGAAGAAGTTGATTTTGGCGGGAGATCCAGCGCAGCTTCCACCAACGGTGATGTCAAAGGGTGCGTCGATTCTGACTAAGACGCTACTCGAAGACTTGATGACACGATTTCCGGCAAATACAGTCCTACTGAAGCGACAGTATCGAATGAATAAGATGATTTCTGACTGGGTGTCTGACAGTATGTACAATGGAGAACTAATTGCTGATGAGTCGGTCAAAGATCACACGCTTGCTGATTTATTACAGAATGTGACTGAAGTAGGAAAATTATCTGGAGCGGATTTTCTGGAAGATATCATCAGGTTGGTAATATAGAGATCTCGCATAAAATTGAAACAGCTGTTTTGCTCATGTGCGCTAGGAGTAGATTAGTTTATAGGATAAAATGGTTTGATCTTATAATGCTGATATTTAAATGAATTTTTCCACACTCTGACCATTCAAATACTAAAATGAAGGCATTTGAGATAAATACTATTTTTGAGATTGTTAAAAAATGAAATACTATTTTTATAAAATGGAAAACTCTATCTTTGTTTAGAATTTTCATCATAACAGTGTGGTCTGTGAAACAGTTTTCTTAATAAATTCCTCACAAAATGCTTAGCTCACCGTTGACTTTAATCGACACAGTCGGCAGTAATATGGACGAAGATCAATTCAGCGAAGACCAATCCAAGGTCCTAGGTTGTCAATCAATTGAACTTTTTCCAAAGCTGATCCCAAAAGGTCGCGACGCGAAACACGCGAATTTCGCTCTATAATTAGCTTCGTTTTCCATTCTGAGTCGCTAAGACAGGAATCTACCATTGAGAACCTTTTGAAAGTCAAATCCAGGGGAAGCTCTTTTAGCGACTCTGACCACGAAGCTTTTGATAAGCGCGGGGATCAAGGCAAAGAATATTGCGATAATTTCTCCGTATGTTGCACAAGTTCAACTCATTGCCAAGCTTGTTGGCCCTTCTGTGTCGGTCAGGACTGTCGATGGATATCAAGGAGGAGAAGCAGAAGTAGTCATTCTCTCCTTGGTTCGATCCAATTCTGATGGAACGACCGGTTTCTTATCGGACAAAAGACGACTGAACGTCGCGGTGTCCCGTGCTAGAAGAAGCTGTATTATTATTGGTGATAGTGGGACAGTAACGAGGGATAGTTTTATCGAAAAGATGTTCGAGTACTTTGGCGAAAACGCGACTCTCATAAGTCCAAATCAATTTCAGGAACGAGGTTCAACTTGCAAGTAATTTTCATCCTCTTCCATGATTTCAATGGTTGCATCTCCGAAAAGACCTGTGAAGAATATGAGAGCATTGCCGAATCAGCAGGCTTTTCAGCTGGGAAAAAGATCCCTGTTCATTCTCATGCAGTAGAAATAGAAGCGTCAGTACCAGAACCAAAGCGACCAAAAAAGCCTGCAGAAGGGCAAAAAAGTGATCCAAAACCGAAAAACGCACCAAAAAGCAAGCTTGAAAAACGACTGGAAAAGCAGGTGCAAGAAGCACAAAACAAACCGTCTGTCAACGAAATGATTTCCGAAAGCGTCAAAGAAGCTGTGCCAACTCTTTCGAAGCCATTTTCTGAGCTGAAAATTGAAGAACCGGAGCAAGGAAAATGCCCAGATTGCAATAAAGCAATGCCAGTTTCAAATCTAGAGCTCCATCAAATTCACTGTGCTCGACTGAGACGAATGCGGCCAGAACCAGTGGAAAACGACAAGCCAGAGAAAGAGAAAATGAAGAAGCAAAAGAAGGTTCACCAAAGAAGCGGATCATCAATTTTAGGCGGATTTTATGTATCAAGTTCAATCCCTCTTGATCCGTTTTGGTAGAATAACAAAGAACACGAAAGACCCCGCGCTAGAAAAAGACTACGATGATGACGATGCTCTTTTGGCAGCCGCAATGGCGTCAGGAAAGGGGCTCTATTTGAATTTCAAATTGCAAAAGTAAAATATGTTCCCTTGCAATTGAGCTCCTTGAAAAAAGCTGGACAATGCGCATTTGGAACTTGCACCGTTTCTGTTAGAGTAATGCCTTTTGCTTGTTCAACTTGCTCAAAGCACTTTTGCGGCACTCATAAATTTCCGGAAAGTCATGGATGTAAAAGTATACCGATGAATCAGCGAAAGGGAAGCTCGTCTTCCTATAATTTGAAGGTAAAAAACTAGTTGAAGGTTGACTACCGGAGAAAGAAAAATAAATCATGATTATCAAAAATGGTTCGGACTAAGAGTACTTTTTTGTCAACTCAGTAGCGCCTACAGTAGATAAAATGAGCGATAATCATGGATTGATCTCTCAGTATATAAGAAAATTTGATTGGGATATTTTCATTCGTGCTAAGTTAAAATGAAGCGATTAGTTGAACAATATATTGAAACTCGAATTCTGTATCTAATATATATTTTTTTTATAGCAAAAACAACTGAAGAACAAGCTCGGTTCAAAACTGAAAGACATGGAAAAAGGCAGACAAGCTACAAAAAAGACCAAGAAGAAATAAAATTCTGCTGTCTTTATTTTTTTGCTTTCAACTTAAAAACAGAAGTGAATAAAACGAATTGAAAACGATAGAAGTCATGTAAAATCACGTCTAAAAATGTGCCGCGGATTAATTGCATGCGAGTTTGTTCATGAGATAAGCTCGGCGGCTCACGAAGAGGGGTACAATTACCCCGCACGATGGCGCTACGCTTATCAGTTTATCGGTTTTTTGTTGCTCAGTCGGAAATGAGCAGCGAGAGAGAAAGGCGCAAGAGTTTCAATTTTGCCATGTCCCAGGCGGGCACTCAGTACGACACGCTTTCTTACGCAGATACCAGGTAAAATAGAGATCACCAGCTGTTTCCTCCAATACCAGTAGATCCGTGGTCAGCTCTTCTGTCTTCAACGACTGGTCATCCGCGGAGGATACTCACGTGACGAGTTCTAGCGCGCAGATTTCACGGCCGCCGCGCGCCCCCTCTGAATTTCAATCCGTTCACGACTTTGACAACAACGAAGAGAACGATTATGGATCCGTGAATTTTAACGCCAGGCAAAATGTGAATCCAGTAAGTAGGGACCCTACAACGCGGTTTTTAATGGAGAAAATGGAGGCCTCATAATGAAATTCATTCGTTTCTGTTTCTATTTTTGAAATTGCTCTCTTATTAAAATGCCAGCTCTCAATTTTTCTCACGTTCAAAAATTCAATCTTCGTGTCTGCTCCCCAGTCCCTTTTTTCGCGTTGCTGAAATTTTATGATAATCTATTCCAGCCGTACTTCCGAAACTCGCTAATAACTCAAAATACTCCTAAGCTGTTTTTGCCAAATTGGCAAGATAGCGGTTTTTCTACACGTTTATGCTTTTTTACAAGCGCCCTACTTAATTTTAGCTGAAGCAAGTGGTTTTGGGAAGTGCTCTAGAAATGAGTGCATAACTAGCACGTTGTTGAGTAAAAACCAGGCGAGTGATCTTATCATCGAATCGGCTTATCTGCTCGATAACTAGTCGGTGCCTGAAGAGCGCTAGAATTCAGAAGAATGGTCTAACAACTTTTCTTTGTTTTGAGATACTCGTGCGGCACGTAAATCCTCTCAAAAGTTACGATAGCCATTATTAATAGTCTCTCCTCTAAACATACTATCTGTGGGTTTTCCCATTGATCCAGAATGATATTAATCTGCCCAATGTTTCCTACCTCTAGAACTCAATCAGGGACCTGACCAGTGGAATGAAGCCAGTAGAACAATAAATTGAGGGCAGTAGACTTTGTGTAAGAGTAGCAGTTCTAACAATATTTAGGCCTCCATTTTTATCAGTTCCGTAGCGGGAAACATTCGATCACCTTTTATAAACAGCTTTCATCTCAGATCAAGACGACCTTCCGAGTTCGAAAATGACTGTTTTAGAGGTCATTCTATGGATTTTTTCGAAGTCCAGTTTTTTACTAGAGAGAAAACTCTTCCGAATCGACTCTCTAAAGAGCCCTTTAGAATCCAGTATAACGAGACAGTAAAAAAACACCAAAAAGACTTGTCCAGAAACCGCCAAACAAAAACCTTGTATTTTTTTTCGTCGTCTGACCTTTTTTAAAACAGCAAAATAGATTTGAAATTGAAAGTGTATTTTTTGCACGTCATTTTTTTGGAGGACCAAAAACAGCATTAAAACTTTGCAAAATAAATGTGACCGAATAAGTGGCGCAATTAGACGCGCCACAAAAGCTGACTTTGTGGAATTATCAAGAGAAAGCGGCAATGTTTTGCAACTACACGATATTTGTTTACGCCGCGGTTGAAAGAGGTTAGAGCCAGGGCTCTATCGCGGAATCTGTTTGTCGACGCGCGTGTTCCATCCCAGCATCGTAAACGCAAAATCAAAGGCTAATTTAGCGCAGATTTTATTTATCAAACGTGATCTGAATTTTGATAAAGAGAGCTAGAATTCAATCAAGAGGTATTTTCACGAAGCTGATTCGAAGATTGTAGAAATTTTCGATTGGAAACCAGATTTTACATTGTGATACCCTTAAATTATTGCAGCGAAGTTTTAATATTATATTATATACCTCAGGGGGTTTTTATTTGGGACGGTGTCTGGAACCGACAAAAAATTTCGACAAATTTTGCGTGGGCAGCTACTCGGCTGCTGACTGGCCGCTTAGCCGAATCCAGGCCCCTGATTGGTTGAAAATTTCCACGCGAAATTTGTCGAAATTTTTTTGTCGGTTCCAGACACCTCCCCCTTTATTTTAACAAATATCCGGATTAGGCTTATGAATCATAACTTATGATTGATAAATTCTGATAAATTTCTGAAAGTTTCGTCTGAAATACTCAATAACAAGAAAGAACCAGGTGGTATCACTTTGTTAACTCTACGACAAGAGTCTAATTAAAAATCGCACTTACGATGTTTGCCCTAATCATAATAATGGAGAAATAGGATCATCTACCGTAAATACCGTATAAAACAGCACTCGTGACATTTTGAAACAGAGAAAGTGTCGTAAAGTAATTATTTTGGCAGAGTGGTGCTTGTAATCACGTTGCGAAAGCTATCCCCGTTTGTTTTTAAAATTATCGTCTTACAGGGTTTTTTTCGTGTTGTGGTATTTGAAGTAAAGTTTTGTCTTTTAAGCGCTCTGGGCGGCCATCCTCAAGACCGAGTGAAGGAAAGGATAAACAGATTTGACAGTTGAGACTAACTAAAATTGACCTGTTCAAGTGACCTTGAGGCACAGAATTTCAGTTGCGTTTTCGGCCACAGAAATATTTCTGGGTTCGGTGACTCAGGTTTTCTACACAGGTTGCCACGCCCAGAAGCAGTTCTATTAAAAATAGTATGTTCATCCTTTTTAAAGCCATGTGGTCTGGCATATGGAGTGGCCTCACCAGTCTTTCGCAGGTAAATCCCCAATTAACACCTCCACCACTCGAGTTACCAACTCTGGCGTAATATGGAAGTCCATATCACGTCGCGTAGAAATCAATACTAATACCGTACTTACACTAATGAAGAAGAAGAAGGCTGGAAATGATGCTGCTAATCAAAACCGGAAAGCGCAGATTTCCCGAAAGCAGCAGAAATTTATCAAACCAGGAGAGAGAGGATTACTCGACTCTGGCTCGTCCTGGGAGTCTAATTCGTCAGGTAATCGAGAAAAATTCCGATGACTTTGGCTTTGAAATTTCCTTCTGAACACATAGAATCTGAATTATCAGAAATTCTTCGGAAATTCTTCATTTTTCTTTGGAATTCTTGTTATCAATTTTTTATGAACTTTCTTTTCTCTTTTTCTAGCTGGCTCAGTTCTTCGTGGTGTTGCTCCACCAACCGGTGTTCATACAAGGAACGGAGTTTACGAATTGGTATATTATCAAATTTATACTTTACTGATAAGCGCCCAGTGATAAAAAGTGGATAAGCGCGAAATATCATGGTTTAAAAAACAAGATGTAAAATTCTGTGCGAAGGAAAGATTACCGTGAACCATGTCAACTCGTCGGAACACAAAGTTAAGGGTCCTCCACTTGGAGACCAGACAGGATCTTGTCTCTCTCGGCTTACATACTCTATCACTTTCCGGAAATGAAGTTGTATAATGCAATTTAAAATGTCTAAACCAGAGAAGGCGTAGACAATCGTCAACGCAATTTTCTGGCAAACTATTTTCCCTGAGCTAACATAGTGATCCCCTTAAAATTCCCTTAAATTTTCGTTTGAAATCTTCAGAAGATAAGTTGAACCCTTCAAAAGTCAAAAGTCCTTCCGCCAAGCTCCTGGACAAGATTCCTGGACAACTGTAACAGCTACACAATCATCGAATTCCCTGACAAATTCCGCGTCTCTCAGGAATGGCTCGTTCTATCACCAACTGTATAATTCCAAGCTCCTTTCAATTTCCCCGCCGCCCTCTTTTTATAACCAGCATAAATATTATTCCCACTGTTTTCAGGCGAAACAGGCATAATCAATCCAAAAGCAATGTTTTCCTGCATTGCGAAAAAAAAAGCCTTTCAAAGAACGAATTCGTTTACGAATTCAAGCTCCAATTTTTCAAATGCATCGTCGAATTATTTGGTCGGCCCGACGCGTTTTCGGGATCAGCTTTATCAGCGACATGTTTGTTGAAAATCGAGCATGAAAAGACGGAGAAAAAAAGAACTAAGATGCATGAATTTATACAGCGATTTTTTAGATTTGGTGTTAAGGGTGTCTCTCTGTTAAAAATAATCGCTTTTAACTTGACTTCTTTAGGCGACCATGGACCGATCATACACCGACGTGGACCAAAGCGCCAGGTAAGGCTCACCTCCTTCCAACCTCATGATTATTTTTCTGGGTCACTGAATTTACACTCACTCTCTCTTATCGCCCAGTCTGAGTCTTACGAAAAAAGGCCGCTGCTCTTCTTTATTCACAAAATAATTGTCCTTGACATCCTCGGTGACAGGTCGTGTTGTGTTTGTTTCCAAAGGACCGTTTCTTTTTAAACTGATTTGTCGAACTTGGGGAGTTCAGTTTTACTCAACACCGGAAATCATTAAAAACCCCGTCCGGAAATCCTCCGACCACGAGATTTAAATTCCAAAAGAGCCTCTTTGAAGGGCTTCCAATCTCAAATCCGTTTGATCGAATATAAACGATTATTGGAAGGTCAAGCTTTAATCCACATCAAACATCATCATGTGCTATAAATTACGGCTGGAAATACAGACTGTAATTTGCAGCTTGGTAATCATACAGTAATGGTTTGGGGGAGAAAACTGTAAGTGACAGTGTATTGGATGGGTATTATTCGTAAAATGTGCACTAATGATAGAGTTTTACGTGACCAGTCCGTCGCTGCAGGTGCTTATCGATTCGGCTTCATTATATCCACAAGCTTCATTTTATCCAAAGCTTCATTGTATCCAAATACTTCATTTGATCCAATTTTTTTTTGGGATATAATGAAGCAATTGGATCAAATGATGCTTTCGGATAAAATGAAGCCCAATTTTCAAAAAATTCGGAAGTTGGATAAAATGAAGCCTTTGTATAAAATGAAGTCATTGGATAGGATGAAGTTTTGGATAAAATGAAGTCAATGAATAGAATGAAGTCACTATTTTTTCGAATGAAAAAAATGGATAAAATGAATCAAATGGATAAAATGAAGCCGTGTTTTTTAAAGAGTAGATAACAAAGCTCGACTGGTCTTTGCCTTGAAATACTTCTCGACCCCCCTCTCAGAAATTTTTTCGAAAAATTTTTTTTTCTAAATTCTTTTTAGATTCATTTTCAACAATAATAATGAATCATCAATCATGAATTCATTATTTCGTTTTCTATGATAAGGCTGATCGAAAAATTTCATCAGACCAACAATCTTATCTTTCACCGAATATTGCAATGCAAAATATTGAGATACAGTTAGATTTCTTATTTCCGGACTGATTTTGTCCCCTTGTTTCTGAAAAAAATCCGGTAGTTCGGCCACTATCTTAAAAATTATGCATCATCAAGCATATTTAAAATTCTATGGATGGTACAGATAGACAGTCGCTTGTATGTCTTGAAGCGGTTTTACGTTGAACAACGGCTTAGATTGCGGTTTTTGCCTTATATATAAAGGAATCAACCAAGAAGCGTAGGCCACCATTTTTAAAGGTCGAGTCGGGTCACTTTAAAATGGCTAGAATCATGGTCGGGTCGGGTCTTGTAGAGTCGGCCATTTTTGTAATAAGAAAAGTTGGGTCAATTAATTTTATTGGGTTTATAAAACTTTCGCTAGAAAGGCAAATTATTCAATTTTTTAGTAATTTTTGATTTTTAAAATCGGATCTAAGCTAGCTGGGCTGAGCTAACCTCTCCCCAAAAAACGGGTGTAGGGCGGCGACGGTACAAATTTGTAACGGCGGTACAAATTTGCCAAAAATTAAATCAAAGAATCAGTGTGCGCTTCGCGCTAGAATTGAAGAAAACTCCTTCAGGTATACCTGAGGTGGAGTTCTGTCCAAAAGTGAGCATTAAAGGGGGTATAAATCGGTTTTTATTGTCAAAAAATTACGATTTTTTGGACCAGCGGTACAAAATTTGTACTCGCGGTACAAAGTCCAATTTTGTAACGCGGTTAAACAAACCCCCAAAACCTTTATCCAGAAAGTGCTCACTCTCATCGATACTTTAAATACTTTTCCCAGGTCGGGGTCCGTTGGTGTATGTTCGCTTGGTCGGTTTGAGATTGTTTATTACAAAAATTGAAAAAAAATTTCTGCAAAATATAATTTTTAATCATGGGGTGTTTCTTTGAAGACGTCATTTATTTGATCGGTCTCTGAGACATTTTATCGAAATTTATATTCTCAAAAAATAATGCTTCACTTTATCCCGAAGCTTCATTTCATCCCAATAAGCACACGAGAAAAAATTTGTCTTCATTTTATCCAGAGGCTTCATTTTATCCGAGGCATCATTCTATCCAAAGCATCATTTTATTCAAAAGCTTCATCTTATACAAAGTTTCATTTAATCCAATGACTTCATTTTATCCAATTTCCGAATTTTTTGAAAATTGGGCTTCATTTTATCCGAAAGCATCATTTGATCCAATTGCTTCATTTTATCCAAAAAAATATTTGGATCAAATGAAGTATTTGGATACAATGAAGCTTTGGATAAAATGAAGCTTTTGGATATAATGAAGCCGAATCAGTGACAGTGTATTGGATGGGTATTATTCGTAAAATGTGCACTAATGATAGAGTTTTACGTGACCAGTCCGTCGCTGCAGGTGCTTATCAGCAGACCGACGCTTATGAGACGAGAGCTATTTTATAAATTAGAGAGCATCAACTTGATAGATCTTCTCGCTCATCGAAAAATACTTTGTTAGCTTCGTAAATGATGAATTGTCAAAATGAGACACTTCCGAATCTTGAATCAGAAATTTTCCAATTTTTTATTGACAATTCTTTTAACAAATTTTTTTAGCTTAAAAATTTAACTAAAAAAAGGTTACTAAAGCTCGTAGTTCAACCAACGTTTGTGGAGATTATCGGATCGCTCGCGAATTCTAGCGCAAAGCAAATTTCGAAAGGCGTTACCTTGAATTAGGTTATCCAGGCCAAGAAGAAAGGCGCCTATCAAAGAAAATCCGCAGTTCGTAGTTTTACATCACGCACAAATCGCATGGCTTTCAAAATGCAAATGGCGCGCTAGGTCGTGGCTTGGTCCAATCCACGACGAATCGTAATTCTAGTGCCGCTCTAACGGAACCGTCTCCTGGGGACAAACGCCAGTCAGTCTCTGGCTCAAGCATTGCATCAGAAAATAAATGTCATTCTTATCAACCAAAAAGCTATTCAACTAAAATTTTTTAGAAAAAAATCTAATTTTCATGAAATATTTTCAAATTTCTTAAAAATTAGACAGCATTTTATTTTGTGACACCTTTTAAAGTCCCAAGAAAAATAGTGGGATAAGTTTGTGGCCAAAATAATTTTGCATGGGACCAGAAAAAAAAGAACGCGATTCGCTTTGAAATTGAATAAATTAGTGGAAGTTGTGGTTGTATACTTATCGAGAGGAAAGAAATAAGAGCATAATACTATTATTAATCCATAATTTTTTAATGCAAATAATATTTTTTTTTTGACTAAGAGAGCACGAAGATATCGATAATTTATTTTCCTCATAAATAATACGAAATTCTTTATACAAAACCGTCTTTTTTTGTCGGAGGTTACTTTTAAATCCGATTAAACTTTCCTCTGTCTAACCAAAAATATGCAGCCGGAGCTGAGTAATTAGCTCTTAGGATCCTAAACAGCGATCTAAGTAGAGTAGTCAAACGAGAGATTTTTTCTTTGCGGTAAGTCGGTAAGCAAGTCTGTTCGCCAAAATAGTTTAGCAGCGCATTTTAGCAGGCAGCATTCTCCACAAAACGCTGCAGCAGCTCAAGCATTATCGCTAAGGGTATCGTGCTCAACGGTGCACGCACGTAATTAAGGACAATGTGGCCGTACCAATAGCATTAGATCACTCCGAAGCAGTTTAGAAATTCTGCTGAGGCGCGCAATCCAAATTGACGAGGACTTGATTTATCAGCGCGAAGCTAGAAAATAAAAGGTTAAATTTTGAATTACAAACTTTTAACAGGCCCAAGAATTTTTGAACGAATTTTATCTTCTATTTTGGCTTGGCAACCTGTGTAGAAAACCTGACTTAAGTTCTAGACTCTAGAATCTAGAGATGTGGAATTAAAAGCCGCGTAGCGGCTCTTTTAAAAACGAAGCCGCGAAGCGGCTTCGCCAGTATAAATATTTAGGTTGAAATACCTGACTCAGGTTTTCTACACCGTTTCCTTCGTATAAACTTTCTGCCAAAAAGGACGAGACGATTTTTGACAGATAATTTGGTTAGCGAACTTTTTCGCTATCCTGTCCATCCTAGCTAGCCTGCCTATGAGTCTGGGGTTGACCAAAAGCAGTGAAAATTGAATTGAAATCTGTCGGTCAAGGTCGCCTCGCCTGTCAGAAGAGGAAGGAATTCCACGTCTATGCCACGTTCAACATTAATTTGCAGCAATTTGACATGATTCATCTTATAAATCTCGTTCTTATTTTCGGGACGGTAGAATTTTAAATAGACTGATTGTTTTATCAACAAGTTATTTTTAAAGTTTGGACTGAACTATCTTTTTTCGGATTTATGCTCAAGATGAGTAAGATACAAATACGTTACTGGTTACGTTCCAATTACGGTAAGACAAAGTGCCCGCCAGAGCATGGAATGCACCTCGCGCAAGTGTCGTGACCTTAGAAGGAAGAAAAATGTTGGTCTAAGCATTTTTTATGCATGCCATGAATAAGGATATTAACATTTTCCTGACCTCAGAAGTTCATTTTAGAAAATTTTACGAAGGAAATGAGAAAAAATAGGTCGAAAAACTCGGTTTCCAGGTCATTTTCATGAAGAACTTGATTTTAAATTAAGGGTATACCACGCCCTTAATTCATGATGCCGAAATCTCGACCTGAATCTACCACCTTTTCATTTACCACTAAACTCGATCGAATTTTAGCTTTTTTTCCCTGAAAAATAATTTTTTTATTAAAGTTCGGACCCACGTTTTTTTCTTCCCCTTTCCCTTCAATACAGTACTGTTCCAGCAGGTGACCGACAGGAGCTTCTATTTGGTGTAACTCCACCCGAAAAACTGCGGTCGGCCGGAGGTTTGGTTAGTTTAAAATTTTTGAGGCTTTCGCTTCCATCGGAATTTGGATTTTGCACCCGCCTAATCCCTCTTCTTCTCGCTGTACTACTAGATTTATGTTCACAATATTATCAGACCGACTGTATTAAAAAGAGATTTGAGGAGACCGCGTGATGCATTGAATGACGAATGACGGTTAAAATTTGACTTTTATGATGAAAACAAAAAACGTAAGCGAATCGGATCAATCTGGCTCTAGAACTGGTCATCGCACAAGTTCTGATCCGATTGATAACGACGGGTTAAATACGATTTCGCGGACTTTTTAATGTGCTTTCTGGATTGCTTGTAATTACCAAACTTACCCAAATATTATTTTCTTTTACATGCAATCTCCAAAATTTGAGTCTTCTGAGACGTAGCAGCATGTTTTTCTGAAAGTGTTCGATTCAAACAAGACTTGTTCTAACATTATTCTAAAACTCCATGTTTTTAACTGATAAGATCAGTATTACAGGGATGAGGATAATTCGAGATGGTATCCACCTCAAGCGCAATTTGTCTTGCAGACAAAACGAAAATGTCTTGACATGCTAATGTGTCATTATAATAAACTCCAATTCGTCTGCGAGCTAATGGAATTTATGATAAACAGTAGCACAACTGTCATTTCCCAGTAGAAGTCACTTTAGAAACTCCTTCTCGAACTCTCCATCAATCCAATCTCTGGTATAGTCTGCTCTAGTCTCTCATCAAAGAAGCCAGAAAACAAAGCCCATTAGCTCCACTTGATGCAATAACGCAATTCTATTTCCTTCAATTTTTTCCTCGTTATTTTTTCGTTTGAGTTGAGCGTTTTCAACAAAATTTCATTGATAACTGAAATCCGCGAAATTTGTTGCTAGACATGAGATAACAGGCCAAAGCTCAGCTGCTGGAGAGTGGAGTTTATTTTGATTCAGATAGATACAGGCGAATTTTTCTTACTAAAAAATAACTTACAGAAGATTTTCGCATAAGGGATAAAGGCCGTTAAAACATGATTTTGAGGACGTTAATTCTTGAAAAATTTACAAGGAGATACCCTTAATAATCAGGCGAAAATGGAGCTCAATTAATGTCCCTTCTTTTGACCTGAAAAATAAGGATGTCAGTGCACAAAGCCAATGAACAAGACAGTTTGAAGATTAAATTTCCCAATTTCCCTGCATCAAAAAATCCGAGTCAAAAATTACAGTTCTTGAAGGCTCAAAACTGTCCCTTTTGAACCACCTGGTCACTTGGCGCCACTCAACTTTAACCACAAGATCCACTTTTGCCCACTCGGAAAGTTACTTTCTAATAAAAAATTTTAAAACTTTCCTTCAATCCAACTCAATTCAGAATCTGAAATGTTTCATCCGAAATCCCTTGAACGGTTATTTTCTCGTAAATATCGCGCGTCGAATCAAATATAAATTGAATCATAAACTACCAGCGCCGAAAAAGCGGTTAAATCGTTCAATTAATCAAAGGTCTAAATAAAAATTGCCGAGCTAGGGGATTTTGATAAGAACGGGTATTTTGATAAGAAGTTGGAATTTCCAGTAGAACCCTGCTGGAAAAGCAACACCCGTTTCAAATCTGATTAGGTCTTCAAACAAGCTTAGCAGAAGTTGAAAAAAGGAGAGTTGAATTGAGCTTACAATTTCAATGCCTCAAATTTCAATGATTTTTTTTTACTGGGTTAGTTCTTTTAATTGGCTTCAATGATGAAATTTAGCCACATTTCTGCGTGTTTATACTAGAAACATTTGAGCATGAAAAACGTGCATGACAACATTCTTTTCCGATGTAATTTTTTTATATTACAAATTATGCTCATTATAAACCACCCTCGTAATTAGAAATTCAAAAGCATATTTGTGCTTTCCTTTGTTTATTAAAGCCATCGGAAGTCCCCTTAATTCTACGATTTGGTCTTCTTTTGAAGCCAAAAGTCCTTTGAGGAATAAAAAGGAGAACTTCAAGGGCGTGCTGGTGCTTATCGAACATGTCGGAATTTTGAACGTTGCGCTTTAGAAATGATTTCGGGATGCGGGGGTAACGTTTTTTTGAATAATCAGGTTTTAGTTTAAATACCCGACGATCTTTCTTTTGAAGATCCTCCTTATGTCAGCATTTTTTCTTCCTTGATTTCAATTTTTTTAACAAGAAAAATTTTTGATTAAAAACTATTGATTCCAAAAAATCGATAAAATATTAAAAAAAAATATTTTATTTAGTGATATTTTGTCCAGTAACATGGCTAATTTTGATGATTAAAGGTATCCTTTCGCAATATTTTTCCATCTTCTTTCAATTTTACAGCAGTAACCCGTTCAATTCTTTGCTCCTCCTCGACGATTCGAGCATTTTTCGCGATGGTTCATTCCTCGCGCGGCGTTCTAGCGCCCTCGTCCTCTGAGCAGGCCATACTGCTGCGCGACGTTCCAAAGTCCTACTGCGGCCCGTCATTCTGGTGGTGCTAGGGGCATCTGTGCCAATCAGGGCGCAGTACGCGCGCGCTCGCTGGAGTACGCGTCTACCATTGGCCTCCGTGCGCGCACCACCGACGGGCTTTCCTTATCACTTAACGATACCCCGCTGTGTTAACCAGTGAGACACAGAACAGTCCCTACGGCGCACAGTTCCCGTGCCATAAAAATTATTTTTCATTATTTTTTTTTTCACAAAATGCCTTTTTTCAAAACCCTAGAGCGCTGAAAACAAGAAAAATGAACATGGCGATAAGAGATTGATAAGAACCAGTGATCCGAAATAATCTGCAGCACCGATTTCTATTTTGCAACGTTGACCAAAGTGTTTATCCGAGCCCCGAGTTTGTTTGAAATCGGACAATATCGGGGGCTTTGGGCTGAATGGCGGAAGCCAAATCCGACTAAAGGATTTAACAGAATCTTCTTTCAGAAATCGCAATTTTGACGAAACCAATCGGATCGGAATTCAAAACTACAACTCGCCTAGACGACAGAATACCATGAGTAGTGGGAACTACCGTGGGACTGTCCGGCCTACCAACCGGGCAGTATCACAAGAGGGCCAAGGTCCGCCAGAGGTAAATTTTCATCATAATTAAAATCAATTGACCTTTACGCAAATTGTAACAACAAGATTTTTTATCAATCACTCATTAAGTTTTTCATTATTAAAAATAATATTTGCGCAATTAAAGTAGAGTTTATGATTTTTAAAATCAATTATATTCAAACATTTAATTCTTAGAAAGAGAATCATTTAATATTGATGATTTACGCTATTAATTTTATTCGTTAAAATTATGAAAATACACTTTACTTAACATATTTATTAATCAAATCATGATTCCAGTCTCAGTTTACTTATTTTATCAATTCCTCCGTACAGTTGTATTCAAATTGCTTGAAACATAGTATTTGAAATACTGTATTTCTTTTATCTGTCTAAAAATATTTGACTTAGCGCTTTTGAAATTTAATTTGATCAACTAAGCAAGTGTTTTAATATTGAAAACGTGAGGGTCAAAACCTCCTGACGTAAATCCCCAATGCTTTTTTCAAGAGCTCCGCAGCTTTTCGCGTTGTCAAAAACAAGGCGGCATATTTACAGTCTAAATTTTACCCAAACGCAAGTCGGCAACGCTAAACAAAGGCTTCACGTATTCAGCTTTTTGCTAGCTGGAATAATAATAATCTCAGCTTCGGAACCGGGTTTTTATAATTTATAAGGGGTATTCTTGGTAAATATTTTTACTAATGAATTTCTAGGGCGACCGAGTAAATGGATCTTTACACAATATTCGGGATGAAATCGCCTCCCTTCGGAGCCAGATCTCACGAGGAATCGAAACCCTGGGGTCAACGCGACCTGGCCAGCCCGATTCTAGCGCACGTGACATGGAAGAACTCGCCGATTACTTTTCACAGCGACTCGCCAAGTGCCAGAAACAGGTCTACAATGTTGTCAATCATGTCCACAGTCAAGTTGATGAAGGAGGACATCATCAGGTACGTCCATACGAAAAATGAAAAAGCGTTGATTCACTTTTGAACCGTGAACCGTAATTTTGCCCCGCAGTGGTTATTTTCATAATGCGCGGTAGTGGCCAAACCACCAGGTTCCACCCCCGCACTTTCGTTTCTAATTGCTAAGCTCAGCTGTTACTGAAACAATGTGCAATTGCATTTACGAATTTTCCGAATCGTTAGTGAATAATCCAGAGCCCCGGAGCCGCACTTTTCCGCGAAGTTAAACAATATTGATAAACAATAGAAATCTCGTGTTTAGAACAAGGTTCCAAATTCTCCTCCTCGGAGATTTTCGCCCCGCAGTCGCAAATATTTCCATTTTTTCTTGAAACATAGAGCGTCAGGGTTCGGTAATTTGAGCTCACGCTAAAACTCAAGGAAACAAAGCTTGAGACTCACGTTTTCTAATTTGAGTTTTGAGAACTCAGAGATGAGAGCTCGCGTGGAAATGAAATGAGCTAGAGATTTTCTGAAAGAAGCATTATCGAAAATATCCTCGAAAAAGATTCATGAGCCGCTGGCAGCAAATTCACGATGAGTCTGTTCAAAACTCACTGGCTGGGTCAAACCTCGGTGGGCCCAGTACAGCTCCGAGGACTGCGCCTACTTCTACGAGTAGACACGTGAATCGGGACTCGAGTATGAACAGGACGGAACTAACAAGGTTGTGGTTATCAAATTGGTCGTCATCGAGTTTTCGAGTTTTTTCTTTTGACTTTGAGTAATTTTGAAAATATTATTTTGTTGAACTTTTCTGCGGCCGGAACGCTAAAAAAATCACCGACTTCCTTGGTAACCGCATCAAAGAACCAATACCGATGTTGATTACCTCAGACGTCCCTCGATGCGCACAACGAGTGGCCTTTCAGTTACCCGGGCTCAATTTAAACCAATTTTGACCTTTTTATTTTCCGCTGAATCGGTCGTTTATTTCGCTCACGTAATGATCAATGCGTAGCCCGGGCGCTAGAAACGAGCTCAATCACTCAGTCACGCGGTTTGACCAGGACCGGAACAGGGCGGACGGGAACAACCCGTGGTCATACTACTATGACAGGGACAGAAACAGGGACTACCCCTTCACAAACGCCCGGAATAAGTAGAAATCAATCCATGAAAACAACCACTACGGAGCAAACACGGACGCATCGAGGTGGAGGAGGCACTGTCTCTAGAAACACCTCGATGAGTACCACGCGGACGGTATTCTAAAAAAATCAACGACAAATAGATAGAATCTAGAATGTTTCATTATTCAGTTATTCAACTTATAACTTAAGGATCCTTACAATCCCAACGCTCGATATGGAAAGGGCGGAAAGAACTGGGATGAAAACGGTGACTTCGACTCGTCCGACAGTGGAATTGGCCAGCCAAAGCCAGGTGCTCGCGGTACCATTCGACCAGCAGGTCGAGCTGCTCACCGAGGCGGTCCACCATCATCAATCGGCGGTGGCAACTCAATGAACCCCTATGGCGTCAATCAGGTCAAAGCCGATCCCTACGGCGGTGCCCGACAGCGAATCCCATCCCACCAAGGCTCGATGCGCAAGGATCCCAACTACGGAATGCAGTCCCATGCGCCTCAACACAACTTCGTTCCCGGCCAGCCAATCGTCGGTGCCGATGGAGTTCCACGATGCAGTCAAGCCGATGATGTTGAAGACTTCTCTCACTTCGAAAACTACTTTGACGACGACATGCCTGCCCCAGAGGCTTCCATTCCCGTCCCCCGAGTCCACAAGAAGCACCAGAATTACATTTACCAAGCTCTGTATGCTATGTATGTGATTGCTCTCCTCGCCTATATCTACGTCCGAATCGCCTTTACCCTCGATGCCCCTGGTTTGAATCGAATCTACTGTACTGTCGTCGCTTGTTTGGAAATTATCACGTGTCCTTCCCTCCTGATTCAAGGTCTGACCTTATGGAGGTGGATATCCCGGCCTGAACCGAGTCTCACAGCTTTCGAAAGACCAAAGTTCCATACTATCCGTATTATGGTCCCCACGTACAAAGAACCGCTGGAAGTCGTTGCTGGTACTGTCCACGAAGTCGTACATATGGATGTCTGCCCCGGTTTGAACATTCACGTTTACGTCCTTGATGATGGTCGACGACAGCATTTGGAAGAATATATCCTCGCCCGACGAACGAAAAAATACGTCTACTTGCACTATGTTGCCCGACCAAAGCTTCCTGGAATCCCCAACCACGCCAAAGCCGGAAACATCAACCACACGCTCCACTACATCTACGACAATGGACGAACTGAAGGTGAAGCCGTCGTTATCTTCGATGCTGATTTCATGCCTCGGCGAAACTATCTTTGGCGAGTTTTGCCCGTCTTCTCGGAAAAGCGAGCTCGGCCAATTGGTCTTGTCCAGACACCGCAGTTCTTCTACAATGTCAACTCTGACGAAGATGTGTGGGATCACTTGAACGTTTCTTTCTTCCATCGTATCGAACCTTCTCTCGATCAGTGGTCCGCTGTCAACTGCTGTGGAACCAACTTCACTGTCCGAGCTGATGCGCTCAAGGATGTCGGTTACTTCCCCGTCGGTTGTCTTACTGAAGATACTCTCCTCTCCCTCCGTCTGTGTACTATGGGTTGGGCCGTATCCTACCACCACGAAGTCTTGGCTATTGGACAGTCTCCTCACGAAATTATCGAAGTCTTCAAACAGCGTTCTCGATGGTGCAAGGGTAACTTGCAGATTTTCTTGGACGAGTTCCCTCTTATGCAGTCTGGTCTCACCATGTCTCAGCGAATCTTCTACTCTTCTTGTGGATACAACTACTTCTGCGCCTCCATCTCGATTCCCTTTTTCCAGCTTGTCCCCTCTTGGGCCATCTTCTTCGGTCTCTGGCCTGTGTCCAGTATTTCCCTTCAATTCGCCGTTGCTTTCTTCATCTACTACTGCCTTGGAAACATGCTCCTGCTTTTCCCTCCACCAGGATTCGCTGTCAAGGTAAGACCAAGATTTTTTGAAATTAAAGGAGTCAAATCTGGCCTCACGTAGACCTTGAGATACGTGTAAACGCGTACAACCGTGAATATCCTTAACAAATCCCTTTTAGGACATGTGGAACGGAGAGTTGGCGTCTACCAATCTTTGGTACACCTATTTCAACGGTGTCCGACGTATTGTCTCGACTAAGATCACTCAAGGAAAGGGAGAACTTACCTTCAAGACCACTAAAAAGGTACTTTTTATCAACGCTTATGCTCTTTTTCAACAATCAATTATAGAAAGCCGAAGGTGAAGAAGATGATTCCTCGCAGATTGGTTTCCAGAAAGAAGATCTCCGAGTTTGCTACATGCACTTTGTCATGTTTTTCCTTATGTTGATCACGATTGTTTACGCCATTGTCCAAGCCGTTACAGCCGTCGAAGTCAAGTTCTACTTCTACTATATGTATATGATTGGTAAGTCAGAGACTGATAAAGAGCTTATGACAGTAGCTACCGATTTTCACATATTAATAAATAATGATTAATAACATGATTAATAATAATCAATCATAGGTATGTCCTGGTCTCTCATTAACATGGTCCCGTACCTGATTGTCGTAATCTACTGCTACTTCCGAGTCCGTATCCCTGGTCTTATCTGCGCCTGTCTCCGAAACATCCAGCTTCTCTTGAGAGCGGTTTGTGGAGTTTTGATCCTGGTCCAGGCTTACACCACGCGAAACTTGACCGAGCGATTCATCTGTCCTCACGATTACATTGCTGAAATCGGTCGATCACCACTCACCATGGTAAGCTCTAATTCACGCGGTCAGACAATTTATTCAAATATTTAGGTCCGAACTATGGACGAAGTACAGAATCTTGATGTTGAGCGAAATGCTTTCTGGCTCCTCGGTGTCGACGATGATTTCTACACTATTCAGCAAATTAAGGTAACCCAAAATCCACTTCAAACAGACCATAAATCTTGCTTCAGCAATCTGCTTGCGAAGAGGACTCAGTTCCGATTGTCGTCTTTTTCATGCATCCCCGAGACGGTCTCCAACTCGACGAAGAAGCAGCGCATTATATGCCTGAGAACAGACTTGAGAACTGGGAACAATACGATGAGAAACTTGCGGTAAAGCTCGATTCGAAAGAGCAGATATCATTATTCTATCTTTTCGTTGATTTTATTCATTTCAACATGTTAGGAATACTCTGAAAATCTCCAGGAAGTCCCGATCGTTTTGATTCTCGAACCTGCTCTTCTTATGCACACCTTCAATGAGCGAACTGAATACCATAACACCGAGTTCCAGGTAAATATATTTATTACTTTTCTCTTAACATAAACTTTGAAACCAAACTCTAACATTTGTTGTTCAACCCTTTAATGAAGTAACTACGAACGATTAATTCCAAATCACCCAACTTATTCTTAATTCAGGTCGCCTTTGCCACCCGAGTCCAAAAAGTCATCGAATCTTTCCCTCGCGCTTGGGTCTACGTTGACGCTGGTAACGCCCTCTACCTCCAGTGGGCTACCAACATGAACCACATCGTCGATGTCTTGAAACAAATGCCTCTCGGTCTCCGAGGTTTCTCCATCAACGTCGGTTCCTTCGTCAACTCCACTTACAACCTCCAGCTCGCTACTGAAATTCATTGCCAGACCGGTCTCAATTTCATCCTCGATACTTCTCGAAACGGTGGAATGTTCTCTGAGCGAACTCTCGATGAAATTAACGAGTGTACTTACGATCCTCCATTTGTGTCCAAGGGTAGCGAGCCCGGCTGGGCTGGTGGATCCAAGAACGCTGTCAACCAGAAATCCACTGGTGCGATGGACTTCGGCTCAATCACCAACGACTTCGGCGCTGATGCTTATTCTTCGTACAGTGATTACGGAAGCGATTACGCTTACAGAAGAAGACGAGAAACAGGAACTCGACAGAAGCGATGGAGCATGGGCGACTACGGCGGAGGAGCTTACGATGCTTACGGCGGTGACTACGCTGGTGGAAGTGATTATGGCGACTACTACGCTGACTACGGAGCATACGATACTGGAGTCATTCAATGTCTCACTGGAGATCCGTCCGGTGGTCACGACGCGAACGCCTGGGTCAAAACGCCCGGTGAAGCTGATGGTCGACTCTACTCCTCTGGTACCTTCCACGAGTGTCTCCTCCAACACAGTATCGAGTGCAGCGATCAGTGCCCTCAGTACGTGCCCAAAATCAACGGTGAATTCGAGCGACCCTCTGGATGCACCTGCGATTAAGGTCGAAGCCAATACTATTTATATATATACTGTAGATAAAAATTTCACTTCACAATGCAAATTTTCAAAAACCTTTTTAAACAAAAGTAAAACACAAATAATTTATCATCACACAAATCAACAAAAATTGCAAACCAACAACTACACAAAAACAACATCTGCCCAACCTGTACATAAAGCTCCCAGTTTCCATCGTGATAAGGGCCAAAAATCGAATAAATGCAAATTTCAAAATTCAATCAACTCGCGTGTTCTCTTCCATGATTTCAATTAGCAGCTTATATCGTCGCATTTTTACCTGCATGTGATTGATTAGCAGCAAAATAAATCAGCTCGTGTCTTTCAGTAAAGTAAAGTCCAAACACCGAGACCTTTAGGAAAACGAGCCTGGTTCTTCTGAGAGATCGCTTTTCAGAAGAATCCTTAGAGAGAGTCAAATGAAGACGGACGATCCTTATTGCGTCGGAGGTAGTAAAAAGAGCTTTGATTTAGTATAAACAATAGACTTCTAGTGTTGAGCGTTCCAGTAATGATGTACGTGTGCTACATTTTTAAAGGATTGGTGGGTGCATCGTATAATTTCACACCATTCAATTTAGCGGAAAATCACATCCGACTCACCCTAAAATAGTGTGGAAGGTATGGTAAACCGCAATTACGGTCTTTTCGCAAAATTTAGAATCAACGCATTCACAAGCAGCGAAATAAGCGCATTCGCTATTATTTACTGGGTCAGAAACAGTAAACTGATATTTTGCCAGCTAGACAGCATTTCTGACCCACTGTAAAAACGGAGCAAAAGCGTACCCTAACTGCGCGGCTTGTTGAGCTAAGTAGAGCCATTTCTTCATGACTCCCTTAAAAATACTTCAGAAAAAGAACTTGAATCCCAAGAAATAATCAAAGAAGATTTCCTTGCTCCACCAATACCACGCTTCAAAAGGCCTTTTACTGTAACAATATAACATTTTTTTTTCTTGAACAAAGAGAGATTGATTGATTTATTTAGTTTCATTTTTTGCAGTATCTATTAAAATATAGAGAGCAGTAAAAATATCAAAAATGACATCCTCTTATAAATTTAAGATTTCATTTTCTCGACCAGCGAGAAACGGAATTTCCAATATTTGAGAGGTTCTCGGTTTTGATATTTTCTTCCTTGATTTCTTCAATCAAGGAGAAGAGAAGTTTCATTATTGTGAACTTTTTGATCGAGTATGGGAGCGTGCTTTGGCACTCATACTTGGACACGAAGCAGAACAATTCGGCAGGGAAATCGTCCTCGACGAGAGGGCGGCTGGTGTGGCCCGTAAACCGGGCTTGATAGAAGTCAAACAGTCGGAAATGAAATCGTCTCCGGTCCAGTCAGGCAGCGTGACTTGGTCCGTGATAAAGCCTCCGACGCTAGAAGCAGATGAGCGGGCGGTGATGACGGGAGATTGAGCAGCTCGACGAGAGCGCTTGCGAGAATCTCGGGAGTTGGAGGAGGTGGTTGAGCCAGTGGAGATTCGGTGAACGGGGTCGCTTTCAGAGGAAAAACCAGTTGATTGAGAGCGGCTCAGAACTAAAAAATACTGTAAAGGAGAGCGCCATGAAGGCTGAAATTGAAACCTGAGAGCATAGAGGAGCTAAATACATCTTTTATCGACAATCGCTTGGAACCTCTTCTAGAGCTGCGTGGGCGACAAGCAGGTGCAAGTTCTGAGGCCAGAGATTGACTATCTTCAGCGACTAAAATTATGAGAAGGATCAAAAAAGTCAATAATCTATTTTTTTACATTTCGAGTAGCCAGTAAGATGAATATTTCTCTGATGGGGGAGTTCATGGATCATCGCCATTTTCGAGTCTTGAATTGGATACGATTTTCGCCTCGCCTTTATCCAGTGCCCCTTCATTTTTCTCAACCCCTCTTTTCTCAGAAAAAAAAGTTCAATGTCTAACGATTATTTCACCTCGAACGCTTGCGCTACTAAAAAATTTAAATTTTTCTTTTTGTTGATTCATTCGGCTCAGCCGAAATCCTCTTTGGTGTTGAATAAACCATTTTCGTTTTGTCTGGACGTGAGAGCGTGAGCTCAGAGCGTGGTTTAATTTTTACGAGTTATCAGAGCGCGATTAATTATTGCCAAAAAAAAGACGTTTTGGAATATTCTGATTTTCAATAGAAAATCATGGCTAAGTGTTTTGGGTGCCGAAGGGACTCTATAATTGGGGAAATACCGACTTCGGCGAAGAAAGTCACGCTGATTTAGTCAAAACGAAGGTCTTGCTTCTCAAAATAATTTAGAAATTTTAGCTCTAGGGGACTCCTTAGTTGGGTTTATAGTATCCTTCCTGTAGTAGCTTCGTTTTTCTTCTTGCGTGCGAAACGTATCGATGCTCTCTTCCCCGTATCAGCTCCGGTCTCTCTTGAAAAAGGGATCTTGAGCTACTAGCTAAGCCTCAAAACTGCTGAATAAATCACACTGGAGTGTCTTGGAGTTTTTTCTTTTCGCTAAAACTCATGAAAAATTTAGCGGGCTTAGTTCGAAGTCTCTCCGGGAGCGCTCACTGCCTCTCGAGCTTTCAGGTGCTCCTTTGTTCTTTTCAATTTGAGTCTCAAACAACCATAAATTACCGAAAAAACTATGACGTAATCACTCAACGGGAAACGGAATTTTTACGCGGTGGGAAGATTTATGTGACAGCAAAATAACAAAATTGTCTTTGAACACATTCAACAGAAGGGGGTTTACCAAGACTATCTTAGACGGTATGTCCGACAAGATCCCTGTTTTGAACAAACCAAGAATCGTTCTTTCCTCCAAAGCAATTTTTCCAGTTGATAAAACAAAAATGCAGTCCTTGTGATTCAAGAAACAGCCAGCAGTTCAAGCAAAGTATTTCTCTCTTGTTTTTTTTTCAGATATTCTGAAGCTCGATTGTCGGGAGTTGAGATCAACAAGGAGAACGAAAAAAAAGTAAAAGTAAAAATTAAAAGCGAAAGTAAAAGATAGCTCCACCGGTATCGGCGGGTTGCTTTGAGCGGAAATGATTTGGCGAGTGATGATAAAAAGTCGGATTACCCGCAAAACGGACCGGTAATGCGCGTGGTGGCGCCCCCGCTATAAACCGCAAATTTCAATTTCAAGCTGCTGAACTCTGTAAAAATCTGCTGATTTGACGTCTAAAATGCATCTTTCATTACAAAGCTCAATAGACCATTCGATTCTAGACCGTCAGTTAGAATTATTTATTCTATCAAAAAACCCATCAAATAAAGAGCAAAATTTTAAAAATGATTCTTCTGTACCTCTTTTTGACCAACTTTGCCTTTGGAAAACTAAGTCTCCAAGGAACGGAAGTGCCCTTATTTTGCCCTATCCTCATCCTCTATCTTGCATTTCCTTCTAAAGATCGCAACAAAAATCCATGCGTCGTATCGCTCAGGTCGGAGAGCGAAGTCCTTTTCGAAAAATCCTGCGAAATCAAAGCTGGGGACGTGGCGAATTTCTTCATCGACGAAATGGCAGTTGCTGATGCTGAGAAAATCAAAGAAGTAAAACTGCGATCGGATTTCCTCAACTCCATTTTGTTTCAAGCGCCGATAAAGCAAATCAACCTGGAGAATAAAGAAAACTTACAGGAAAACGCCGCATAGATATCTTTTTCAAGAAAATATCTAGTTGATGCGAGTTCTGAAAAGATTCGAATAAGCAAGGGTTACGCACCAATCTCCGATTTTTATGCTTCCTACGATAACATGTACGATGCTGACTTAGACGCCGGGAAGAAGGAATTTGAAGACTGGGAATACAACACTGGGAAAACAGTAGCTAACGTCTCAATTTGGGCTTCAAGGTAACAAAGGAATCTTTCAATAATCAGTTTGTTTTTAGGACAATTATTGTCGTCATTCTAGTTTTCGTTATCCTTCTGATGTATGCTTTGTCAAAGCTCTTCAATTTCAGTAAGTTTGACTGATCATTCCAATAATCGAGAATTTTAAGTGAACGAAAAAGGACCTGGATACTCGCCAATCTAGCTCTTGCTTTTGTGTTTAAAAAAATAAACATTTATTAAAAAAAATTAAACAGCAGATGAAGGTCTCGCTTTCTTCTTTTTCTTTCTAGTCTTTCTTGGTTTCGAAGGAGTCGCTCTTTCTTCCTCATTTTGTGGTGGATCCTCTGGGTCTGAAATGAAAGTTCTTATGAGTCCTGTTTTTCAAAAGTACCTTGAAAAGCGACTCTGGCCATAGGAGCAGTTTCAACGTATCCTAACTTGTTTGATTTCATCACCATCGTTGGCCGATACGCCCTTGAAATGCTCGACTCTTCGGGTTCATCATTCTCCGCTGAAGAGTTTTCATCGCTTGCTGCGGAGATATTGAATTGTATGTCTTGATTCGCTTCGTCGAGTCCTTCAGACGGTCGATAAGTTCTTTTTTCATCCTCAGCTGAGAACTTTATCTTCCGCTTCTTTTGTATATCTTTTTATTGGTTTGTTTTTGTGTTGATATAAGTCTAATTATTTGATATAAAAGAAAATTACCATACTTATCCGTGATATGGAGAAAATTACTATTTTTGATGTCTTTGCACAAACCAATGCCTGAATCTTCTTCAGAAGAAGCCCGTTTTGCCGGTACCATAATGGTCGGTCTATATTTTCTACTCAAACCGCTCTTCTTCTTTTTCTCTTTCGTCTGGGAGTCCTCGAACTTGACAGTTTTATCAGCCGAATCATCGTCTGAAGAAGATTCCATCTTTGGCTTGACCATCATCGTCGCTCGGTAATTATTGAACTTTTTTGAGGAAGAAAATTGAACCGTTTTTGAGGGATCTTCCTCGGCTTCCGAAGAGGTCCGGTTAGACTTGATGATTTTTGTTGCTCGATAGTTTTTGAAGCTGCCATTGCTTTGGATTGGAGGTAACTCGGATTTACTTTCGACTTTAGTCGGGCGGTATGACCCGAAAGGACTTTTCACGGATAAATCATTGTTTTAATCACTTGGAATCGCGAAGATCAACCGTTTCCTTACGGGCTCATCTTCTTCCTCACGACCTTTGACAACAACAGTCGGTCGATAAGCAGTGGAAAGGCCCTTTTGGGCTCCAACAAACATAACTCTATCTTTTTGTATTCCACTGTCGCTATCTTCTTGCAAGAACCCGCCATTTCGAAATCCAATTTTCGGGAGATCATCCATTTCATCTTCGATTTTCTGGAAAAAAAAGATTGCCAACAAGCTTGATTTGAGAGGATACCTGAACATTGAAGGAAGCAAACGGATCCATTCCATCATCAAACATGGACTGCTCAGTCATTGTCGTCATCGCATAATCACGATTTCCGTCATCGTCATCGTCGAAATTCGAGTTTGCGAGAATCTGCGCTCTGTCAGCTTCAACTCTTTTGATCTTTTCTCGCTCCTTTTGCACATCGATTTGAGCTAGAATTTATTATTTCTAGGTAATTCTCAAAATATCTCACAAATAACATGATAGAGAGCAGAGAGACGATTCCAGAGCATCGCAATAAACTGAGTTGATGTCAAAATGATGTAAAAAATAAGAAAGAACATCGTAAATGGCTGGAGACTAAGAACAATCGGCTCGGTTTCTTCGTTGTCTCCAGTGCTATTGAAATTGGAGTGAGACAGAAAACCAGTTAAATCCGTTTCTTTCGTGCATTTTCCTTCCAATCCGGGCATGTCTTCGAGTATGATATCGATGCTCAATAAATCTTCGCTATATTTGATTACCAAGACAGACACTGTCATCCAGAGAAGATTTGCGAAAATATAAAGAAGATACATTTTTCGCTTGAAACCAGTTAGTTCTTCCGCCAGAACGAGTTCTTGTTCTTTCACTCGTTTCTCGAAACGACCCTAAATAAACAATATCAAAACTGCCTCAGAATTATTTCGTATTTTAACCTTTGTCCTGATACCAATATGACCAGTATCAGCATCTGCCATCTCCTGCCAAAATTGATATTCAGGATTCGAGAGGGAGTAGACTTTGCAGCCAGAAGATAAATTAATCGTGTCATCAAGAAACCAAGAGAAGTACTTCGAATCGCGATTTAGAAATTGCTCCCTTTCAAGAACATGCTCAAATTGAAGTGGAGTCCAATCTTCAGGAATCGGCTGGTACTTCTTCGTCCGAGGATTCGACAGATACATGTAAATATATTCTTCTTCGACTCGGCGAAGTTTCTTGATCTTGAAGCCGCCAAAAAGCCGCTCTGGAGTGATAAACTGCTCATTGAAGCCAGTAACAACAATCGCCTCAGTTCCGGAATCGCCGTCTTCATCCCCGCTGGCAGCTGCGATGACCGTTTTTCTCGGCCCATCTTGAACATTTCGAAATAAATCTTCATCCGCGACTGTTGGTTGTTCAACAACTGTTGTTTTCTTTTTGGTCTTTTTCTTGTCATCAGCAGATCTTGTTGGTTTTACTTGGTGATTTGGAGGAAGGCAAATAACGCAAGTACAGTACCGGAAGCAGCCCTTTCCGAGACATCTTCCAAGACAACCTGCATCCTCCTCTTCATCTTCGTTCTCCCCATCTTCTTTTTCTTTCGCGGTTTTCTTGAGTTGTCGAGTTCCCCAAGAAACATCGTCAAGATTCGCTGAATTTAGGGTTAGGGTTAGGGTTAGGGTTAGAGTTAGGGTTATTACCAATTGAATAAAGTTGTAAGAAAATGAAGCAAGATGGAATGAACAAAAAGTAAACAACTCCGCAAATCAAGCTCTTGAAATCAAAATGCAAAATTCCAGCTAAAACTTTCAGCGCAATCAAAATCAGGAAGAATAAAAACGAGGGATTGAGTGGACATTGGATTCCAGTAATGAGCATGCCAATCAACACCGCCGCCATGATAAATGCGTATCCCATCGAAAACCAGAAGGCCAAAGAAAGCTGTAGCTCAGAATTGTCTGATAAAAAGCAAATAATGGCAAAGAGAGCGGCCGGGACGATAACGATCAAATAGCACGGAAGTCGCGATAAGTTTTGGCTAAATAAAGTAGTCAGATATTTTCAAAAATCCGGAAGCTTCTAAATCTTCAAAATCATTCTGAAAAAAGCTTGTACTTACAAAGCTCCAAGATTTAGTCCCTCCGCGACGAGAGTCAGCGTTGTTGAAAGAGCGATTATGCTAAAGACGAGGATCAAAAGTTGGTAAGTGATGTAAAGAAGGGAGATGTATTGGTTTGATCGGCGGATTTCGTAGCTCTGTTGAATTAAATTCCAGATGTTGGCAGTTGTTGAGGGGCCCCATCTACGTCGCTGTTTGTAGAAGGTTTCGAGGTCTTCTGGGGCAAAGGTGTTACAACTCGCTGCAGATTCGTATTCAATTCTTCCACCAGCAAGCAGAATCAAAGTACAGAGCCACCTATCTTCTCCCTGATCGAACTGAAGCTTCTCCATTGGCGACTCAGCGTAAGACTTGTACTTGGCCATTACATTCGGTTTTGCTAGAAAACTCATTCTATAAAGCGAGAAACAACCTGGCGAGCAAAGGACACAACCAAGAACATGCTCGGCCGATTTCATCAGCCAATGACCAACAGCATATTCAAATCGCTGGTACCAAATTAGCCAGGAAGATCCAACTGGGACAATTCGGCCGCAACAAGCAGCTACATCATCGTTTCTCAGAAGTCGATTCAGGCAAAGCTCGACTGAAGAGGGATGAAAATCAACGTCGCCATCGAGAGTTAGAATGAAAGACTTGTCTTTTACAAAAGGAGCATTGTTTTTCTCAGCTCGGCAAGTGTCGATCTTCCAGCCGATCAAGTAGTACAAGTACATGACTTGACTCCATCTTTTTCCAGCCTTAACTTTCGTCGCGTCTTTCAAATGAATTACCAATTGAATGCCGAGGATTTCATACTCTATTCTTCCACCATATGGAGTAACAATAACAGTTCCTTTCTTCAAAAAATCTTCCATTTGAAACAACCTCAGCGCTTTCGTCACAGCTCTGATGAAAGAATTGACAAATTCATTCAAAACGACCTTTTCTTCGACCGTTTCAAAAACATTGTCGAAAAATACATGAATTTCCATGTCGTAAGAATCCGCTGTGTCTTTTTTCGCCGCATGATCTCTTATCAAGCGAACGAGAGAGGTCGCTAATTGGTACATTTCCTCAAAGGTCTCGTGCCAAAGTGTCGTGCAGACGAAAATCATCGGCTTTGTCTGGCCAGTCTTCCAAATTGCAGTTTTTCGGTTGTCGATTTTGATCTTTGGTTTTCCCGCGTTCCATGTTTTGGCTGCTTGTCTCCTGTTAAAAAAATTGTAAACACTCGTGTGGACAGGGCGATACGACGGAGACAAGAAAAGATTACGCTCAAACTCATACGGTAAAGACTTGTTAACCCAAGCGAAGGGACATCTTGTCCGGATCAACAACAGTGCCCCTAGTAAAGCCAGTAGCTGAGTTAAATACGAAGAGTACAGCATATCGATCGGATTGCAATCGTAATAAGGCCATTTTTCTCGAAGCCAGCTTCAAAAGAGGTGTATAATTACCGTTGTCTTGAATAAAAAGAATGTTTAACATGACAATTATTCTAAAAAAAATTGTTCAAGATTGAATATCAAATATCAAATATGCCATAAAATTTATGGCTGAAAAAATGCTTTAATCGACCATTTCCTTGTTGTATTCTCATATTTAGAATCATTATTGTGTTGTATGTAACACGCTTGAGAGGCCTCTTCATCGCGGGCAGTGTATTTGTTGAAGTAACTCAGGTCCATCAGGAAACAAATAAGGACCGCTGCGATAGATCCAACAAGCTTGGGAACCGTGAAACCAAAAGTCTGCAGTTTCAGTCGAACGCCAGTTTTCCCCAAATAAGCTGAAATGGCGCTGCAAAGCGGCCAAAGAATAATGAAAGAAGAAAAACTCGAGTCAAGGTTTTCCATCGAAGTTAGAATCGACCCTCCATAGGAAACAACGACAGAAGAATAGATCGTAAAAGTCAGTAGAATCTTCATAACAGCGATTGGAAAATGACTGATGATTACATGATAGTTCGCTCCAGTTGTGACATTGTCTTCGTTGACAAAAACCTCCCTGGTGATGAATTTTCCTACGACGGGCAGCTTTTCCACGACAGGAATATTTCCAAATGCAAGCGCAAGTAAATAAACTATCAAAAGACTAGTTACAGCTCCCAGATTTGAATCGGGACGGACGTCAACTCCCAGCGGAACTGTAATGGAGTAGAAAGCCAGGGCCGCGCTGGGCAGAGCAAGTGAGATAATCGTCCAGATTTTCTGGCTGAGGGTTTTGGACCTGAAGCTGAACAATTTTGGAAGCGTCAGTGCGAAAATTGGAAACAAGAAGGAGTTCCCACTGATGAGGGCGTTTGTTGTTTTTGATAAATAAGGCGCGACGCAATATACAAAAGTTGTCATAAAAATATGGTTCAGAATATCTGGTAGACCAATCGTCAACAACAACTGCCACCTTGGCCAGGTTTTTCTTCTATACAAAATGAAATAAGTCGAGTAAACTATCGTGAAAAAATCCGGAATGAGGAGTCCCCAAAACGCCAGATTCGCCTTTTGAGAGTACAAAAGTAAACTTGTTGCTTCATTTTCCGCTTTTTGGAAGGACGGATGGAGATGATAAACGACAACGGAAAATGATACTGCTGATAGGATTTCAAAAAAGGAGTTTGTTATCAAGAATAGGAAGCCAAATACGCGGCGGAGCCAAATGTTCACGTGGAATTTTGTGGCAGTGGGGAGCTTTTCCACCTTTGGTTGGACTTTTGCTCGATCCCAGGGCTATTTACAAGGAGTTTTCTTACTGTAATTTTGAGGATCTCTTACCTGAACATATTCAATCGACTCGTCATCATGTTCCTCCGCTCCTTTATCTTTCAACAAGTCCTTATCTTGCGCTTCATTGAACTGAACCTTCTTCATGTTTTCTGTTACTACAGTCTCTCTCTATCAAGGATGCTACAGGTACTGCCCCCTGCAGCCTCAGTGGTAAATCTCTGCTGTCGTTTTCATTGCTCTTGAAAATGAAAGTTGGCGCATTCGGAATTTATGATCGGCCCGAGTAACGACAAACAGTAAGCAAGTGATCGCCACCGCAAACATGCTCTTACTGGTACCTCCAGCCTTAGTTACCAATAAAAAGCAACTCCCTCTTTTGGTGCAATTCAACAAACAAGTAAACAAGTCCTTTATTTTCTATCATCATCTTCTGATTAAAAATAAACAATGGCGATTTTTATGCATGTATCTGTTTTATTCCGTTATTTTGAGTGGAATTTAAATTGTAAGCTATCATGTATTGGGTTCAGAAAAATATTTTTTTGAATGAAGCAAAAATCAGAATTCAATGAATTCAATTGAAATTCTAAATTTATTTATCCGCCTTCGCTGATTGAATCTTCTCCAGCGTCGTCATCGCAGTTGCTACCGTGCTGGGAATGTTTCCGACATCAGCAGGAAGAATCAATCTAGATAGGTTTTATTTGTCAGTCTTAGAGAATTTAAACAATCTTTTGCGTAAATAATTATGAAAATTGGGCAATTTATTTTCAAAAAGAAGCTTTCTAAACTGAGAATAATCAGCGACGATCTGAATTTTGAAAACTCAGATGTTTGCTTCTAAACTGAGAATATATTCTACAATATCGCCATTTCATCAAGATAAATATGAATAGAAAGTAGAAAAGATTCTCGATTACGGTCCGAATCGGATCATCCGATGGATGTGTCAGTAGGATAAACTCACGTGTTTCCTTCCTGGGCCAATTCACTAAAAGCATCAATATACTGGGCAGCCAAGTCATAATCAGCCGCTTGTCTTCCATTCTCCGCAGCGAGTCTTTCCGCCACCACTTCAATCGCCTTCGCCTTTGCTTCAGCCCTCAAGATCGCCGCCTGTCTTTCACCCTCAGCTTCGTTTATCAATTCCATGCGCTGCGCTTCAGACTGGAGGATTCGCGCCTGTCGCTGACCTTCTGCCTCGTTGATTGCAGATTCGCGGACACCCTCAGATCGCAAGATTTCAGCTCTTTTTGTTCGCTCTGCTTCTACTTGGCGCTGCATTGCTTGACGGATTTCACTAGGGATCTGAACGCGTTGAATTTTAAACTCGTAACACTTGGATAACAGATGTAATTGGCATCTGATACAACCCATAATTGGGCAAATTGGTATTTTTATCTATGTACCTCAATATCTTTAATTTCGTATCGGAGGGCAGACATTCCCCAATCAAGTGACGCTTCATTTATGGACGAGCAAATTCTACTATTCAATTCTTCCCTTTCGGAAAACAGACCATCAAGAGTAAGCTTTCCAATCTCCGATCTCATCGTTGTCTTCGTTGTTTCCGAAATAAGATAAATCACCAGACGGATAAAATTTACCTGGGCTAATTGTTTAATTGCGAATTCAGAGTCGTCCACTCCATAGGACGCTTTTTCAGCGTCTTTAATTTTAATGTACAAAACTCCGTCGATATCAATTGTAACATTATCCTTTGTAATTGCTTTCTGGTTGTCTTTAAACGTACTCAACTAACTTTTGTCTATTTTTTCATTTCCCGTAGGAAAATAAGAAAAATAATCATAAAAATCTTAAAATAAATTCGGGAGATTATCTACTTTGCCATAATAATTCACGCAAAATCTTACTAATATCTTATTTAAAATCAACTCATTATCCACGTAAAAATTTTATCCATCTCGAGATTGAGCACTTCCCTACGGTAATTACGAGTTCTTTTAAAACTTGTACATAAGCAACCCGCTCGATCAGGGGTACTTTAAACATAGGTCCTCCAGGACTCGATCGAGCGAACTTGCCGAAGCGCTCGATGACGTAGATCTCTTGCTGGGGGACGAAGTTGACGGGGAACGCGACGCGGGAGAACCATGATAGGGTTTTGGAAGCGTTGTGACGTTTGAGGCATCTTTGCACGGCACGATTAGACGATAACATGCTAAAAAGAGTACAAAAAAGTAAGATCAGAGTCTTCGATAGGGAAAATGGAGATCTGTATTTTAAGGTCTGTTGCTTTAGCAGATTCATATCGATATGTTTATCAATTTCTTTTATCCTGTACTACTTGTTATTTGATCATGGTCAAACGGGTTCAATATAACTACATTTGAAGTCCTTTCTAGTCACTTATTCATGATAAGTACTCGGAGGACTTTGCAGTCTTCGAGCTTAAAACCATATCCAACGATAAAGTTGATCCAACCATGAATATCATATTCGCTGATAGAGAGACAAATTGTACAGATAGGCTTTATTGAATATTTCAGTAGCAGAACTTTGAAAAACACAAAATATTATCAATATTAATAAATTATTAATCGTCAAACGCGTTGCATATGATTTTGCTCAGGCACTTGAGAAATCTGAACTGGCAGTTTTAAAGAAGAAACTTTCTGGGTGATCGGGGTCTTTGGGAGCGGCGCATTAGGAGCAAAGTTCTCTTTGCTGGCTTGATTTGGTTTCGACGTCGATAGATGCTCTAGAACGTTGGGAGCGTATTTGGTGATAAAAGCGCTGCGGGAGATGCCAAGAGCGGAGGCACGGCAGTAATCGTAAGTGATGATGGATTTGATGAGATCTTTTGCTTCCGTGGACAAAAGTGAGGGAAGATCGAAGCTCAAGTTCTGGATCTTCTTCCGCGTTGAAGTGAGGGAGGTGTATTTGAACGGTGGTCGGCCGACTTAATTGAAGTAAAAATTGATTGAAATTGACTAAGAATCCTTACCGAGCATGCAGAAAAGCACACAACCCGCGGCCCAAATATCCGAGGTGGGAAAGTGCTGTCGTTGTTGAAAAACTTCTGGAGCGAGGAAATTCGGCGTGCCACAGATGCAAATTTGCTTTGTCTTGTTTGTGTCGATAGCTAGTCCGAAGTCGGCTACTTTGGCGCATCCGTCTTTTAGGAGAATATTGCCGAGTTTGATGTCGCGATGGAGAATGCCGTGAGAGTGGAGATATGAAAGCGCGGATATAACCTGGCTTTAGATGGTTTTCTATGATGCGGTCTTGTGGACAATTATGAGATTATTATTTCAAAAACTGTTTTGTTGTTTATGGAACTTATCGTAATAACAGTCATACTTCTAATTTAATAAAAATTGAATTTCCCAATTTATCTACAGACTGCCTCTCGTGGAGGTTTTTCTGTAAGATACAGTCTGAAAATTCAGTAGAAAAAAATCCTTTCTCATGAAAACCAATTTCTAAATATCTCTGCAGATCGCCTTTCGTTCAGAGTTTTCGTCGGTTGATTCTGATTATGAGTTTCCAAAAAGTCGAATCTGTTAAAATTCTGTATTTATCCATAACTTCAAAACTCGATTTCCTTTATGAGATCTCCCAGTGTCATTTCATTGCAGTACTCCAGAACCAAACAGATCTTCTCTTCATCCCTAAAGCTCGCTAAGATCTTGACAATATTTGGATGTTTCAATCGTCGCTGGATGATGATTTCTTCGTCGATTCGTACGACTTGTTCTTGTTTTTCCACCCTCTTTCTTGGGACGATTTTCAAAGCGACTTTTCTGGAGTTTTCTTTCTTTCCATGCTCCGGGGTTGATTTGGAGTACTGAAGGGCCGAGTAGACTTCGGAAAAGCCGCCCTTCCCAAGCTTTTTTCCTAGATGAGGGTTAACTTAAGGCTGTAGCGGTCGATAAAGAGTGATTTTGGAGAGAGAGGGGGGTGTAGCTTACCGATTTTGTAGTAAGAATCAGTATGAGGGTTGAAGAAGTCATCCCTCAAGTTGACTTTATCCATCATTTCGCTTATACAGCCCATTTTCTCTACTCTTCTCTAGGTCGTTTTTTCTCTCTAGTTTGAGTTGGAGACTTCCAGACTTGAGTGTACCCAATTCTCGATTATTCGAAACTTCAAATTATCGAAATTTGCGTATTCGTCAATTTCCGTGATTTCTGGATTTCTTCTTCGTAATAATTGATTTCTCGTTGTATCAAGTAACTTTTCTTCGATTCGGGAAGAGTACCCATTTGCGCCGTGAGTTATTTGCTTCCGTAGCCGAGCCATATTTCGATCCTGAGTTAGACCAAGTGATGTCTGAAAAGCACCACGTGACCCGTTGTTTTTGCGAGTCTCGATAGTTGCCATTAACGCAAATCGCCACTTTTGGAAGCAGGAATGTTGATCAGACCAGCGTTCTGTCTCTATAATACGAGAATTTTATTGCCGTGTGGGATTAGCACTACTACGAGCGTTTTCTAGCGCAAACAAAGGAGAAAAAACATCTTGGCCGTCACATATTGTCTACTCCCATAATAAGCTACTTCCGACAGACAACGACAGACGGTATATGTCAATAAATTCTTCTATCATGATATTTTTGAGGGGATACAATCGTAACTTACAGAAGAGAAATGAATGATCACATGTTTTCGCTCCCGTAAATTATTCATTCTTATTCTCAATTTAACGTCAAATTATCAAACTTAGACAGACAGACGATTAATATCATCAAATATTATCCAGAAAGGGAATATAATTTAAATTCTCAATTCAGTCAATCATTTCAAAGAGTTTACACTCACTAGAGCGAGAAACGGTTATTCTATATTTAAATTCTATCCAGTAATCTATCAGCCGTCTGTCGTTCTTCTTGATGTTTCCTAAAATAATTAAATGGCTCATAAATCTGGTTTCGTTGTCAAAAATTTATATAATAAAATATCCCATGATTTGACACTTTATTTAGGTGTTTTGAAGATAGGAAAAATAGCAAACAAGAATGAACAGATTATAACTTGTTTTGAATCTTTCTTCTACAGTAACTGTAAGTACAGTATAAAAGAATGAAATTGACTGTGACATGCAGTATGTTGTTTCTTGAACGAATGGGAACAACAGATTGATAAGACTTGAAAGGGGATGAATGAATTTAGGATTTAACAGAGATGGGTAGTCGATAGTTAAAATGCTGGCTGAAGAAGTTGCGAAAACGACCTGAATTGATCATCGTCGAGGAAGATATTCTTCATAGGCGCGTCGGGCTTTGAACTGAGGATTTCTGCAGATAAAGAGCCCTTGCCGTCCCACGCCTGAAAGTCACTTTAGTTTCAGAAGATTCGTATCAATCATCAACGATTCCAGCCTGGAATATCCAGGACAATAGAAATGAAAAAAATTAGGATAATTAAGATCCTGATAGGATTTGCACGAGTTCATCTTCTTCGGGTTCTCATTGAGAATGGACTTTATTAAATACCCTAGGTCGAAAAAGAACAAACAAGCGTCAATACCTGATTGAAAATCTTTGTCGGGAATTCCTGCCCTGTCTTTGTCTTGACCGTAGCTCCATCAGCCTTTGCAATGGCATTTCTCAGCTCGGATTCAAGACTTGGAAGGACTTTTGCGCTCTTGGCTCGCTGGGCAAGGTCACCGGCAAGACGAAGCATGGCTGGTTGGGGTTGGCCAACTTTGACTAAAGATACTGGGCGGAGGAGAGGAGCGGCGGCGGACTCGATTTTGTGGGAAAGATCCACGAGATCGGGTGAGTTGATGTTGAGTCTAAATGAATATTTGAGGAAGAATACAGTTGTAATTATATTGTTTTCTAAAATTTAACCGATAGCATCATTAAAACTGCATCTATCATGCACATGTAGCTAGCACATGTAGATCGTGCTAGTCAACATGATAAGTTATCATGTACCAACAACATATTCTACCATATAAATTATATGATATAATCATATAATTCTATCATATAATCAGCTATTTTTTATGTTTCATTGCTCAAGAAAATTGTTGCATGATTACTTTGGAAGTGGCTGCAATGTAGACACTCGTTTCGATAAGGACCTGCCCTCCGATCGCGCAAGTTTCTTTTGAAGACAGCTCACAGATCTTGAAAGCGAGAGAATCTGCTCAGCAAGAAGAGGGGAGTCGTTGACGGAAGCTTCAAAGAAAAGCGTGAGGTCTAGTTAAAAGAAAAAAAGAATACCTGAAGTAATCGTCGGCGATTTCGGCGAGGAGAATCCAAGACGCTCAATCATATTCGACTTGTTCTGCGAGAGCCAGTTCTTTCTTTGCGACTAGAATAAATGTTGAAGATGATACGCAGACTTGGGCTTACCTGGAGGTTGTTTTTCTCGTCTTTGACAGAAGTCAACTCGGCCCTGTATGTTTCACAAGTTTTCTCAAACTCCTTTTCTTTCTTCAGTAAAAGCTCCTTGGTCTCCTTGAGCTCATTTTCCAACTTTCTTGATGCTTCCTCAGATTTCATATTAGCCCTTGACGATCGCGACTCGAGCATGTCGGCTTTGAGCTACAACAGATGTTTGATAAACAACAACGATAGTCTATCGACGAAACGTCGCAATAGAGATTTATATTTCTGTGGCAAGTGCCAACCCCAGATAGAATATGTTCTACAGAAAAAGAGTGACTCACCTGTAATTGCTCTGTTTCATCGCTTTTGATCCTCAGAGCTTGTTTCAGTTCTTTGATGACTGTATCTTTATCTTCCATGTGCAACTATAAATTTTAGATGAAAGATAACAACAATAGTTGAATGTACTTGGAGTTCTTCTGGCGATTGTGTAGATATCTCTGCAGCTCGTCGTTTTACAGCCGGCTCAAGAGACTCAGCAGCTTTGTTCACGTGGAAATCGCCCTCTTGAAGTCGGGAGTTGATTTTGGCGATGCATTGGAAAGAGCTTTGGATTGATCCCTTCACTGATGCTAACCCCTCGTTGCCTTTTTCGAAGATGCTTAATTTTTGTATTCAAAAGGCGCGCGAGGCGCTCTGATTGACCAATTGCGGGTAAAAGTAGACAATCTTAGGCATCCTTTCCTGGTCCATAAACCTTATTACACGCTTGAATACTAGCATCGTGAAGCTGCTTCTCCGGAAGATGCTTTTGCTCCAAGTTAATCGCTTGCGAGTGCGTCGTATTCGCCCAATACTGAAGGAACTCAGAAATGATTGAAATCTGGTGGATCGCGTCACGAGCAGACGAGCGCTGATCTTGATCCATGACACCATGTTTCTCGTCTGGAGAAAGTCGCTGAATTCTTCGGAAGGTTTGGCGAAGGGATGGGAGTCGCGCGATTATGTCTGTTAGCAATTTTGCTGGGTCGGAGAGCTCCTGGCCAGGGAGAACTTACAGAAGGTAAAGGATGTGTTGTCATGTGACAAGTAATCGGTGTCAAGCAACATGAATATCTATCACTGCAGCGATTTCTGTTGGGACAATTAAAGATTATTACTACGATTAAAAATAATGATTTGATTTTACGCTTTCATGATTCTATTACCTCAGTTTATATAAAAAAAACTCCCTCAAAAATGCTCTAGCATAGAGATTCATAAATTGTGAATAATTGTAGCACTATCGCATAATCCTATTTCACCGTTCCTAAGTTCTGTAGTCGTGCCGTAGTCACTCCAAGACGGTTCGAAAGAGTAAGACCTCTTCGGGAAAGTCGGAGGATGAAGCCAGCGGCGTCATCTTGCTCACGAGCAAAGTGAACTCCGTGGACGTGGGCGATGAAGCCAAGACTCTTCTGAAGATTGAGCAGCGAAATTGTCTCGTCAAGGGCGTCGCGTCTGACTAGATCGATAAAATAGTCCAGGACGGCTTCGTGTGGGACGAGCTCGTGATAAAGGGTCGCCACGCGTTTCCAAGTGTCGATTGAACAGTCATGAAGGATCCCCGTGAAAGTTTCAGTGTATCCTCTCAGCGTCTCGAGGATATCAACGAGCTCCGCTGCCCAAATATCCGTCTCCGTCTGCGCTGGATCGCCAGTTGCTCCTTCCAAATCGAACTTGTCCATCACCTCTGTTTGGATAATGCGCGCTTTTGCACTAAGCCTTCGAATAAGCAGCTCAATCTTGACCCCATCTGCGTCGCCTCCTCGCGTCTTGAACCCATGGGGGAGGAACATTTGGAGCATGTTCACGTGAGCAGCGAGCAAATCACTTTCCAGCTTGCGAAGATCAAGCTCGACTTGTGTTGAGTGGTGGCGACGCTCGAGGACGCGCTCAGTCAAAACAGCAGCGGTTGCTTCGGTTGTGTATGAAACCTCGGCTTGCCCGTCTCCCTCGCCTCGTGATGATTGTTCCTTCAGAACAAGTTTTAGAAAGATGAGGGGTGTCAATGATACCGTTTCATTATTTTTTATTTGAATCTATGACGCAGATGTATTTAAGAATATAGGTCTAATTTAGATAAATTTATAATATAATATAACTTCTAGTCATTATAATTTTTGCAGACCAGGGAACTACGCTCCAGAGAACACGCTAATTTTTGTCAGTTTTTTTAATAATCTCTAAAACCTTCCTTGTATTGCTCAATTTCATCTTTCTGCACGGTAACCGCGTGTCTAAACTTCTTGATCGTCTCCTGCAGGTCGATAGAATGCGCTCTTTCAGCTTCCAAAAGCCGCGTTGCGTCCCGAAGTCGACTGTTGATTATGTCGTTTTCTTCCCGCAACTCGAGTTCCTTTTCTCTCGCCACTTCGCCCATTTCCGCGTCTAGTTCGTGCAGCTCTTCAAGGTCGTCCGCCCGTTCTTTTTCCTCTTGTAGCTTTTCTTCCAAGTCCAAAACTCTTATCGTCAAGTTTTCAACCATCTCTTCCGACCCAAGCGCCAAATCGACCTGCTCTTTTAGCTCTATCAACTCTTCCTGGAGTGCTTTATTCGCATCTTCAAATTTCTGCTGCAGTTTCTTTGCCAGCGCAAGTTCTTCTTGATCAGATTTGGACTGTTTCAGAGCTCGGGCAGCCGCTTGCTTTTCTTCCGCATTCAAATCGCGGATTTTGACGATGGCATCTTTTAGTCGCTGGATTTCATCGTCCTTGATTCTCAGTTGAAGGGGAGTGACGCTTTCTCCGTCCCCTTAAAATTTAGGCTGTAATCATTGAGAACCCTTAATTTAAGAAACATCTATGGTAGAAGTATACGATCTTTCAAAAAATAGGCACTACGCAAATAATAGCAAAAATAATTATTCATCAGAGAGCACAATCGCACCTCCACATCACAATAAAAAACAATTATTGTTCTATTCTAAAAGGTTTATGCAACTGCGGATAATATATCCTCAAATAAACAACCAACAATATTGTCCATCTGTAGATGAAAAGATCTGAAGATAACTAGAGCAGTAATTATTTTTGCAAATACTGAACCTTAATGAGAGTAATTTTTAGCCCTGTCGCTGATAAATGAATTTATTGGTCGTTTTAGACGAACGTATTCTTTGGAGAAACAATTGCATTTCTACTATTCACCTGAAACGGTTTCATTCGCTGATTCCGCTTCCGCCCTCAGCAGCTCCAAATCCGTCTCGGCCTCTTCCAGTCGAATCTTCATATCCTCCACCTCGCTTCTCGCAATTTCCGCGGCTTCTTCCGCCATTTCCTTGTCCAGCGTGAGCATTTCTATCGTTTCACTGCTTTCGGCCATGTCTTCGCGGAACTGGTCGAATTCGGCTTGGAGTTCTTCCTTTGATTTGCGCATTGAGTCGAGTTCACGGAGCTTTTCTTTGTTTTGCTCCATGATACGGACTTTGAATTCTTCAAAAGACTGAAATGATAGTTGAAGTTGTTTAGCAAAATTTTATGATCGAAATTAAATAAACTTTAATTACAATATATCTTCAAGAAATTTTCTTGTTCAAACATATGTTTACATAAAGTAAAAGTATAGTTTGAAATTCAAACTTGGAATTGTTTACCAAAACATATGTAAAAACAAATCTTTTTGTTTCACCAGAAGAACACTCTCAGAACAGATATAAAATTTATACCTGCAGTTGAATCCTGTTCCTCTCCGCATCCTTCAACGCTTCCCTATCTTGCCGTCTTTTCGCAACGAGCAGATCGGTCTTGTCTTTCCAATCTTTCACCGAAGCCTGGAGCTCGGCGTTCTCTTTCTCAAGTTCGGCGATTTTGTTTTGTTGCTCCGTGATTTCCTGGAGGCTTTGAATTGATGATGATTTAGGCGGCGAGGCTTGCAGCTTTGGAGCTTCCACTGGCGCTGGTTCTTTTGCTGGAGATGGTTGCTTCTCTGGAGCTGGTTTTGGCGGAGATTCTTTTGGAGGGGAAGCAGCTTTAGCTGCAGCTTTCTTTTCCAATGATGGATCGCGTGAAATCTTTGGCGTTGATGCTTTCGGTGCTAGTGATTTTCGCTTTTCTGCCATCATTGAGAGACGACTGGCAGGACGAGAAGGGGGCTTCATTGCTCCGGCTGAAGGAGTCGGCGCGGTTTTCACTAAAGAGATGCTGTTATGAAAGAATACACGTTGGTACGGTATATCATATACCGTAAATGACAATTCTCATGTGGTTAAGACAAGCGGGTATATTTATGATTTATTCGGAGGATAATCGGGTGAATAGGAGAAATTTGCTCGTCATTAGCAAAACAATTCTGATTCGGAATTTAATCCCAGGTCCACCTCTCTTCAAGATCCTACAGACATGCTATATCAACGCAGCTCGGACTCGTACAGTCATTTTTCCGAGTACGCAGCTCGGAATATCATCATCGTAAAGATGTTTTAAGACGGAAAGTGAATTTCATCACAAAATTGAATATACCGTACTGTATATCGTACTGACGGGAAATTAATTCTTATTTATTCTGATACGAACAGCATGCGCTTACTCAAGTTTATATAAAGAAAACATAACAAATTCCAATTTCGTATAGACGCGCTTTTTTATAGGTGGTGGAAGTTTTCTTGCGAAACTCGCGAGTTTCGCAACTCACGCCTGATGAAGGAGGGCATTCCCTCCGAAAGCTCGCAATAAAACAAAAATCGAAAATTCTACAACGTCAACACAAGAGATACATCGTAAAGATGTTTCAAGACGGAAAGTGAATTCCAAAATTGAGTAAATATCGTAGTGACGGGAAATCAATTCTGTTTTAATCTGAATTCTGTACAGCATGTGCTTACTCAAGTTTATATAAATATAACATAACAAATTCCAATTTCGTATATGAAAAATTACTGTTGGCAACAGTCTGTTGCTACTAGCTGCGGTAATTGAACTCATACGCTCAAATGAGCGATTTCTTTTATTCTTGAAGTATCTTCGGATTTTCAGTTATTTAGGGTGTATCCTAAGATCACAAGCAAAATTCAGTAAGGAACTGACCCGCTGAAGACATCTATGGAGTATTTTCTTTCAGTCAAATGAATCCGAAGGGGCATTTTGTGCCCGGATCAGCCAGTATTTGACAGTAAAGAGGGGCGATAACGAAAAATCCGACTGATGAAAGATCGGGAATATTTATGGTTTCAAAGGCTAAAATAATTAAGGGTGTGTATCCGAGATTCACAAAGCAGCCCTCAACAAAGAAAAAACGAGAGCAACTGAACATTCGCGGAGCATTTTTATAGGTTTCCGTTCGACCCACCCGACAGGACTGAGGACCTGTAACATGGTTTAATACGGACCACGGGCCGTTTCCGGACCGAAATCGGCGCGGACGTTTCTAGGGTCCTATTGGCTTATGGTTTTTAATGGAGGCTGATTAGAGTAAGCTTATGAATAGAATGGAAAGGCTGGTTAGTTACTTTTGCGTGTACAAAAAGGGGTTAATTTTTTAACCCCCTGAGCGTGTACAACAAAAATCGCGCCCCACGGTGCGTTTCACCTGATTTTCGTCGTCTAACGGATTTTTTCACTCTTTTAGGTGAATTTATCGCTTTTTCTATTTCAGATAAATTCGGTTACAGATTTCATGGAAGCGAAAAACGCTAGAATCGTACCTGCGCTTGCCCCATCGCTGGGCGGGGCAACCAGCTGTTCTCGAACGAACATGCCATAGTTTGGTTCGCAAGTGAAATAAGTCGTTCCTTGGATAGAACCGTTGTTTTTGCCTTTTTGTTCATCAAGAATGATTCCAATCCAGACTCCTTTGGCGAATTCAGTCTCTCCCACGAAGGCGACGGTTCCGTTCCCGACGTCTTTCGACGGGATCGAAACTCTCTGGCCGACTTCAACTCCCATTCTAAATGACCATCGTTTAGTCCTGGTGATTTCTTGGCTCTAGAATCCTCTAGGGAGACGTGAAAGACGCGTTTCTAAAATATAAATCGATATTGAGAAAAAAAGAAACCTCCAAAAAATAGAAAACTTCAACTTGAAAATGAAAATATCAAATCAAGTTAAAATGATCTTCCTGTGAATCTTATCTTTTTAACTACAGTTATTATGATTATCACTGAATCATTGAACGCTTCTTTCAAAAGGCATCGCTTCTCTGGAAAAAGCTCTCGGTGTGAAGAAACGAAACTGGCGCGCTCGACCAATCAAGCGCCGCGGAAAATCTAAAAAGGAGGGAAAGCCAGAATAGCGCTTCCCGCCCTTTGTCTGCCCTTGTCGGATTGCCGTCCGGTACTCGTCGATTTTTAGGAGAGAAAGAAGAAGCCGACCGTTTTATTCTTCAAGTTATCTTTTCATAGTGCCTATGAACAAACACAAATGGATTAAATCCATCAAATTTTGATGATTAAAAAACAAGTTCTTTCAGTCATTTAGTCAATCAATCAAAATATGTTTCTAAAATTGTATCATCAAATTATCTTTCAAACTTTTATAGCCTAACAAAATCTTTATAATAAAGATTGTTGAGAAGAGTCGAATAATGCTATCGTAATGATTCTTTTCAGAAAATGGATTTTAATTGCTTTATCCATGTATTCGCATAATGTACCGGTAGTTATGCTTATTCGTGATCAGCTTTAAGTGGGGAAGCGAGAATATATTAAAAAATCGGACATCGTCGTAATTATAGCTCGATAGTGCCACAGCGTCAAGCAGCTCCCTCTAGGTGGATACAGAATGACAGCCTAGTATAAATAATGGTCTAAGCCCACTGTCTCATCAAACACCTGCAAATTACAACCAACAACACAATCCAAAAAATTCTCAACAATGCAAATCACTCAAAGCATCATCTGTCTTTTTGGATCGGGCGTTTTCGCCACTCCATCCATTCAACTTGAAAACGGCTTCGTCAACAAAGTAGCCAACTATCACTACCCTCAAGACGTTCCATCCTATGTTGACCAACTCAAGGCGTATGATGCTGAGCTCGGCGAGCGATATGCAAATTTTCGCTCAAAAACTCAGCTCAAACGAGCAATTCGCCAACGAATGTTCAGAAAATACCATGGATCTGACTAAATGTCCCCTTCAAATTAAAAAAAAATCACCATTTAGTATGCCAAAATTTGTTCCCTAAAATAATCCGTTAGAAATGCTCCTGTTCTCAATATCTTACAATCAGAATATCCCCTTAACAACTCTGCTGTTACTCTTCTATTGACTGTCCTTCTCTCTCATAAATTATGAATTATTCATATTATAAAATATATTTAAAAAATATTTCCTTAAAAACAAAAAAATAAAAAAAGGTATTACCTTGAAAAATTGATAAAAACTATATACTAAAGCCTATGTAGTTGGTAATTTTGACTTTATTTACAGTGCAGTAATCATGACAAAAAATTACAAAAGGGCATCGAGATTGAGATAGGTATTTGCGACAATCTCACTGGCCGAGGAAATTGTTCCTGAAGCCGAGTCACCTTCTGTATTTGTCGCAGTAATCGTCATCGGATATGTGTTCGTTGCGAAAAATGGATCGGCAGCTAAGAACCAAAAGGAAAAGCCAACACTGCCCTTTCCAAGAGGAAGGTCGAAAGAACTGCCGTTAGCGCTAGTCGCGGTTATCGAAGTAATTCCGAAACGGGAGTTAGTTGGTTGAAGCCCGAGCCACCACTGGCTGCTTCCGGTTTTCCATCGAAGCTGGGTCTTCGAATTCGGCCGGAAGGCGGGAGGACATTCGACGAATTCCCAGGAGCCGTCGAATCGGCTAGGCGACTCGTTGCCAGTGACAGAGTTCCAGACGGCGAGGTTAGAGTCGACATCACCAGAGTGGCACTCTGGGCACGAATCGGCGACCATAGCGATTGTATCCTAATTTGTTGATTACAGTGATTTTTCTTTCGGATTTACCTGTCCAGTTGAGCATACTCCAGGGAAAGTCGATTGCTCACACGAGCATTTGAGCTTGACGCACCGTCCACAAGCGAGACCGTCGTTGTATTCATGAGATTTGGGCAAAGCAACAAAGTTTGTGATTCCAAGATTTGAACTTGAGTCAAATGCGAATTCGCAATTTCCAGTGAAAGACGTCGTCTTATCGTATTGAGTGAAATCTCCAGTATTGGCCAGCACATCGCAAGTTCCACCAGTTCCGCCGTTTCCTCCTTTTGTTGTTGTTGTCGTCGCTGGAGGAGCGGTTGGTGGTGCTGTCGTGGATGGACTTCCGATGTAAGCGGCGATAAGTCCTTGAAATCCGCAGTTGTAATCCAGCGCGACCTCGTTTGTGACGTAGTCGCTTCGGTCGTTTACGAAGTTGTCCGTTGCAGTTCGTGGACCACCGATCAAGGCGCCATTCAGACGGAATCTGTTAGCACCGCTAACATTTTTATCCGACCAGTCGCAGGCTCCCTCGCTAGCAGGTCGGCAAGAACTGGCTCGATGGTGAGGCTGATTGGCGAACTTGTCTCCATGGCCGACCATATAAGAAGCCTGCTGGCCGTTAATAAGTGGATGTCCGCTTGGCCCATCGCCGAGAAGATAGTCAAGTTGTCCCTTTGCAAAGCTCTCTCCATCAGCAACTCCAGCGTCCGTCGCTAATTTTGCAATAAAGGCGGCATTAGCTGCATGTCGAGCGCTTCCCCACTCTTGAATGAAGACCATTCCTCCTGGGGACTTCGATTTTGCTTTGAGATTGTTGACAAATCCAGCGATCTTCGACTGGTAAGCACTTTTCTGAGAGTCGCCAGCGGCATTGAGAATTTCATACATGAGAAGATTCGCTGCTGGAGTCTTGTTGTCCCAAGAATACTCTCCTCCCCAGCCGAGATCATTAGCGCTCGCCAAACTTTTTGCTCTAGCGACGTCACTTGTAAACTTGATTGGCTCAACTTCTCTCGATGCCTTTGCGATCCAAGCACCAGCGAGAACCAGTTCGTCTTTATAGCCAGACCAGGATGTGTAGAAATTGCCAAGGTCGAGACTGTCGGAGTATTTAGCCCGATGGTTGTCGGCAAAATCGAGCAGCTCTCGAGCTCTTCTGAGTAGATCGGTCGCTTCGGCTGGATTGGAGTCTTTGTAGAGCAGTGAAGCGGAGGCGAAAAAGGCTGCAGTTTGTCCAGCGAGATCGGAACCAGGCTTACTCGCATCGATTTTTACGGCTGGTCGGTCCATTGACATCTGCTCCGGGCGAATCCAAACGGAATGATCTGCATTGCCATCGCCAACTTGAGCCCAAAGCTCGTTAGGTCCGGTATGACAACGCTTGAAGAAATCGACACCCCAGTCAATAATCCTCTTCGAGTTATTGAACTCCCCAGCAGCTTTATAATTATCCTCGTATTGAACCATGCCCCAAGCTAAAGTGTTGAGAGCGAAAGCGGCTGGAAAATTGAATTTGACGTGATCTCCAGCGTCGTAGAAACCGCCAGTTAGATCAACTCCGACTTCGCAACCATCGTGGAGGGCTGAGTCCCCGCGCCAAGGGATTCGTGACCAGGACGGTTTCTCTCCGGACATTTGAGCTTCGTAAAAGAGGATGCTCTTCTTGAGAGCAGACTCGTAATCGAGCCAGGAGTCGGATTGGATGTTGACGCTGGAAGGACTGGATGCTTCAACACCTTCGGGTCCGGAACAGTGATCAGTTGGGGGTTCAGTCGGAGGCTCAGTTGGCGGCTCAGTTGGTGGCTCAGTTGGTGGTTCGGTCGGTGGCTCAGTTGGTGGCTCCGTCGGTGGCTCAGTTGGTGGGTCCGTCGGCGGCTCAGTCGGTGGTTCAGTTGGTGGTTCAGTTGGTGGCTCGGTTGGTGGCTCTGTCGGTGGCTCGGTTGGTGGTTCAGTTGGTGGTTCAGTTGGTGGCTCTGTAGGGGGTTCTGGAGAGCAAGTTTCATGCGCTAGATGTGCATTCTTCTTGTATCTCCAGCCATTCTTGTCGCACGCAATCTGGAATCGAACTCTTTTGCTTTTGTCGTTACAAACAGCTTTGCATCCTTTGATTATGGTGCCTCTTTTCTGACAGTTCCATTTTCCGTCTCCGATCGGGTAATTGGTCATGGCATCCCATTCGTTGCACTGGAACTGGTTGCATGTCTCCTGCCAGTTCTTGCCCAGCTGCTTGGAGCTAATGCATGGTTATTAGCGTGAACGCGATAATTGGAAAGTGGTTTACCTGAAGCTTCCATTTTTCCTGTTGCAGAGAACAAGCCCTGCGCTGGTTCCAGATCCTTCGCACCACAAATTGTACTTCTTCTTTTTGCTGTCTTGTGAATTGAAAGCTAGGTGACCCTTGGTGATTGAAAGCGTTGCAAGCTTTTCATCGCACTTGTCGACTGGGACGGCGCATTTCATGTTATCAGTAACGTTTTTCTTTTTTATTCTAGTTGGGTTTCTACATTGACCCTAGAAAGATGTGAAAAAAATGAATTTCCGCTTTTTTCTTACCTGGATAGAGGCCTTTTTCCAATTTCCTTCTGCGTTTGGATCATAGCATTTCGGGTAGCACCTGATTGTAGGCTCATCTTGGTCGAGAAGCGGACAGTTCCAGTAGCCGTTCTCAATTGGATGGTTGCCTGTTTGTTCTCTCAAATCATCCGAGCAGGGATTACCCGCTCGAGCACTTCTGAAGAGCGATTCTGACGCAGAAAGCTCAGTTTCTTCCAACTTTTTGAGCTTTTCGAACTTGTGTTTCCAAGCTGCTTCTGAGGCGCTGAGCATCACCAAACTTGAGAGCTTCATTGTGTTGGGATGTGTAAAAAAGAGTGTTAGAAAAAATTTTTTTTTTATAAAATTGATGAAAAATATGAAAGCGCAGGGAATTTTATACGGAGCGCGCGGCGGCGGTGGCGCGCTTTCTTGGTCCTACTATTTGCGTAAAAAATAACTGTTCGAGGGACTTGGTGGTTTTATTGACGGTTAAAATATTCTTGTTCATAAAAGATAACTCAGAAGCGGAAATATTTGACAAGATTTGGAAAGTGTTCGTTTTATGTTTTACAAGGGAGGAACACGTTGAATTTCTATGTCTACATGTGGATACATTTTTAAAATGGTTGAAGGTGGTCATCATTCGAGCTAGCCCTAACCCCAAACCTTATCAAAGCAGGGTTGAAAATTTCGCGGACTTTTTTGGGTTCAAATCGCTCAACATCGCTTCAAAATCGCTCATCGCTCCGCTCGCTCCGGAGAAATTTTTTTGAAATCGCTCATCGCTCCGCTCGCTCCGCGATTTTTTCCCGAAATTTTCAACCCTGTATCAAAGAGGGCCATGCTCCCCGGCAGAGTTACAAAGTTGGTCTTTTTTTGTTCAGCTGAGCTGAGCTGAGCTGATTATGATTGAAATTTTACTTAGCTGAACTGAGCTGAGCTGAGTAAAACTTTCGCTTATTGAGCTGAGCTCAACTAAGCACACGCAATTTTGAGCTGAGCTGAGCTGAGTGAGTTGTGCTGAGCAGGTTTTTACTGTAGTGAAAATAGCAAATAGTGTGAGCTGAGCTGAGCTGAATTTGTCCTTTCAGAAAATTATTTAATTGAACTGAGCCGAGCAGGCCATTTGAGAAATCATTGAGCTGAGCAGTGCAGATTCTCTTCTGAAAATTGCTGAGCGGAGCTGAGCAACCTCAGCTCAATCAATTTGCAACACTGTTCCCGGGTGAGCACAAAAGTACACGTTATGGGACGACCTTAGATAGGCTGAATCTAATTAGGTGTTTAAGTACTTATCCTGAAGATAACCCTTGCCAAAAATCCGCAACGTTTTTAAAGATAACGGGCTCTTCTTGAACAACGTTCGTGCGGATTAAATTCAAACACGTGTTGCTTTACGTTAAATTTTTTTCTTATCGATGGTAACATTGATCATATTCCTACTCAATCATACTTCTCTCGATAAGCCCAATTAATTAGCTTTTTCCTTGACTTATTTCAATAACTACCGTACTTCGATAAAACAGATAAATACAAATGACTTTTTGTTATGGTACTCATTTGATCAATTTTATTCAATATTGTTTTCTGTTTCCAGCAACTTATTGACAATAAGCAGTGAGCGCCCTGTCTTAGGAACCACCACTGAGTTCTAAATTTACAATAACAACAGAAAAACCGAGTGATTCCACGATGAGCAAGTTATGATTAAGTTTTAAATCCGGACTCCGGAGCCGCCCAAAAACATAGAAATTTCCAGATACCGCCGATATTTTTCTATTTATCCCGAAAATTCGTATTTTTTGATTTCACAAGTTCAATTTTTGTACAAAAATGCCTTGATTACTAAAAACTAGACGCCGGTTTTCAAGTCATAATTTAATTCATAGAAATAAAAGCGTAATAAAACCGTCATTGAGAATCGAAAGATTAATTCGTGCGCAAAAGTCTATCCGCAACGCGCAAAATCGTAAAAATAACAATGACGTGAGTACATTTTTTTGACGTTTGAATTCTTTCAAGTCGTTTCTGGCACGGTTTTTGGCCTGATTAGATTGGCGTCAAAAATTGAAAAGAAAACGCACCCCAAGAGCTTCAAAAACAACGACTTCAAAAAGTCACTTTTCGGAGAAAAAGAAGCACCACGCTTTTTGGACAGCTTCTGCTAATGCGTGTCCTTGAAAGTGGTCCATTTTAAATGTCAATACTTTCAACTGACATTTTAACCAAACCCCTGCTAGAATCTACAAGATCAAATCAAAATCAAAGAATGGATGCTCAAGTTAGCCTAGGGTGGGCAAAAGCTGGGGTAGGGGTCCTGGGGAGATTTTCTCGCTTGTGATTGGCTAGTGCAAGAAATGCAAAAAACTGGCCTCTGATTGGCTTAGAGGATCCCCATCCACCCCCCCCCCCTTTGCCTGGGGAGAATATTGGCCACCCTAGAAGTCAGCAATCAATTCTTTCTTCTTTTATAAGATTATAATAAAAATTTATTATGCGAACAAATCGAAATTGGAAAATTCGCAGAAATTATTCTTCCTCGTTGTTGTTGTTATCGACGTTCTTGGTGGAGCTCTTCTTGGAAGGTACTCGTTCGACACTGATTACTGGAGAGGTCACTCGTTCAGCTGGTTTAGTAGCTTCAGCGGCGGTCGATTTTGATTTTTGTTTGATTTCTTTCGTCTTTTTGTTTTTCAGCCATCTGAAAATTGGTTTATACTTTGACAAGGCCCTATTTTCATACCTGATTGGATAATTGGAAATGTTCTGCATGTAAATGAGATTCTGGTTCCACTCTTCCTCCCAAATGTCGTGATTGTAATGCGGCTCCTTACTGCTGATTCGCTTCAGAATAGCCTAAAAGCATTTTTCTCTAGAACGGATAAGTTGTTGCCGGAAATGTACCTGATTTTCGTGAGTAACTCTGAGGAGCTCCCGCTGTCGACTGGATTTGTTGAGCGATTTCTGGTGGTACTGATTCCAGTTGTCTACTTTTCCCTTTGTTCGCATAATGTAGCTCATTTTCTCGAGCAGGATTCGGTTGTCGCGCTCCACAACCGCCAGGCGCTCTTCTTCGACTTGCAATTTTTTCAGCTAAAGACAAGTTAGATAGTTTAAAATTTCCGCGAATGGGAAAAGAAGAAGCCCAAATGTACCTTGAGATGCATGTGCATGTATGTTCTTGGCGCCTTATTATCAATTTGAGGTTTGATGTCGGCGACCTTGTTCCGGTGAAGATCGTACTGACGCTGATCCCATCGCTTCTTCAGAAGTCGATTGTTGGCAGCCGTAGTCGGTTGATAGGCGCGGTGCATTTTCAAAACTGACGACTTTTTGAAATTTCATCGGCTTTTCCAAAACAGTTCTAGAAAATCTTTTTTTTTTTGAAAACAAAGAAGACCAATTTGTCAATTTTCGATTGTTTATTTTCAGATGTAATTAGGAATTGTGGTCATAAATGGGAGAGTCTCATTGTTTTCAACTTCGATGAATGTACTCGTCAACTCCATAGTTGTCAGATCGACGATTCGAAACACATTTTGGAGATAGTGCCCTCCTAGTGTGTGCACTTCGCTGAGAACAAGATTGCCAGAGATCATGTAGCTCTGTCGAAAATACAAAAGATTGTGTCCGAAAATCGGATATGGTACCAGTCTGTCAAGCTCGATCCAGTGTCCCTTGGTGTTCAATTGAGAAAGCAGTTTTCCTGAACAATATTTACCTGGTAGAGACGATTGATTGTGACAAACTGTTGCTCGTAGAAATAGTTGATGCCAACTGTAATGAATATCAAGCCCTTGAATATCAATACCGTAGCGATATTAATTCCTATTTTCTCTACTTACAGTCTTATCAGGTATTGCGTCAAGGTACATTTTATAGAGCTTGAAACCGCCAGGAGGACGAGGAGCCGCATACTTTTCAGATCGCCAAGGTGAAACGGAAGGGTTTTTTCCAGGCTCTAGTGAGTCGACTCGAATGTTTTTATCGCGAAAGTAGAATATTGTCTACAAAAATATACGAAGAAGTTTTTTGTGGCGTAAAGCGTACGAAATGATTATCGACGGGTAATTTCAATGCTCTGTCATTTTCTTCCACCCAAATGTCCGACTTGATCGATGGAGGAGGAGGCTTCGAATAACGAAAGTTTCTTATCAAGCCACTTTCGATAAAGAAACAACGATCCTTTTTTGAAGCGATTTACAAAAAAAACATTAATTAAAACTTACTTCATCAAGTCGAGTTCCGCAAAATATTATTCTGCTTTTTTCCGTTGAATCGATCGTACCAACGCCAAAAATGAAATTCAATCCATAGGGTGGAAAATCAGGAGTTTTGCCGAAACTATGCTTCAAAGAAAGACTCTTCTCATCAACCAAATAAAGAAATGAAAGGCCAATCCTTTCCGTTTCAATTGGTTTGCTTATCCCAGTCTGTGTTATGAAATAATTGTTGTTAAATCTATCATATGCGTGGTAAATGAAGACATAGCTTTTGCCTTCCATGAAAATCGTCGAATACACAGCTGTGAAATCGAACTCGAAATTCGCAAGAACATTTCCAACCAATCTTTTATCGCGGACTTCAAGCTGGAGAAACAAGTTTGACCTGTTTGTAAGAACATGGTAAATAGAGTCGTAAGCATAATTCTCGACTACAACATTAGTTTTTAAAGGATATTGAGTCTTCGAGCAGATGAAATTTTTGCACGGGCAGCCATTTTGGCAATTTTTTCGAGCGGGCAATCCTGAAATTGAACGATGAACGACTTGCGATCTGAACGTACCTGAGTCGTGAGCATTTTTGTCGACTCCATACAGATAGAATCGCATTCCTTATCAAAAGTTTCATCCCTTTGCTTGCATAAAGCCTCACACATCTTCTTGTCACGTGTCACATAGAACTTGCACATGTTTTTATTGGCAATATTTTCAGCCATTGTGTAATTTTGCTCAATTTTTCTGCCAAACTTGACTGTATTTATAGCAGCTGGGAAAATAAACCTTCTGTAGCTGTCACTTTCGACATCCCCACAATTGTAAAGGGCTCTTGCGCAGGAAGAAAACTCGAATTTCGTGATGCAAGTCTTGAATTTCAAAACGCAAGCAGAACCGAAACCTGGTCTGAACCTGTTTTTCTGTAGGCTGATATAATTCGTGAGAAGCATGATTGATATCCAGAAGATACTTCCAAGGACAACGTAGACTAGTTTTTGTTTGTCAGTTGCGTTTCCATGCTTCTTGAGTTTCAGTTTCTTTTCGGTATTTCGAAGACTATATCTTCTCTCTCTTTCTGGAAGACTGTATCTTCTCTCTTCGTCAAGAAGTTTCTTTGGTATCAGCAGCCTCTTATCTTTCCCAGTAATCAAGTAGATCTTACCCTCTGCTTTGCAATTAGCACATTCAACCTACAATGTAAATGTCCGAAAAAAAAGTTGAAACTCAAAAAATACCGTGCATTTCGTATTCGGCGTCATGTTTGACTGATCCCCCCAAGTGCGGCTTCTTCAGATTTAGAATGGCAAAGCGACAGATTTGAAATGTCGACCTTTCAAGTTCACGTAGGTTCTTGAACCCAGAGTAACGGATGGAAAAGAGAGAGAGAGCCCGACTCAGACTGTAATGGATCTGTTCAAAGGTCAGCGCAACAAATGAACACGTCTAGACTAGCGTTTCGCTTATCACCTGATCCGTGGTCATGCTCGTTGTCGAAGCTCCTATGTATAAAATGTCAGATTTTTTGAGATGACAAAAAAGTACCAGTAGAAATGCAAATCGACGATCTTCCCATAGAGCTCCAAGCAAAAATTATCGAATTCACCGTCAAAGAGGACCAAAAAGAGCTTCAAAAAATTGCTCAGACAAGTTCGCAATGGAAAACGCTGACGGAGGAGATTTGCTTTTGGCAACCCATTTTTGGTAATTTCTCATTTGACAGTCTCAGTCTCATTATTTTTAAGAGAAAACGATCCGAGAATCTTCAATTATTCAAGAATATGTAGGAGAAAAAGTCATTCAAAGTTGGCGAGACAAGTCCCGTCGATTTTCAAGCCCAAAACGCTCCGCTTATCTTCAGACGCTCAAAAAAGAAGTGAAAATTCTTGAACACTTTTTTGTACAGAAGTTTTAATACAGTTAATATTTGACTTTGTTGTAAGGATACCTCAGGTAAAATGATGCTTTCTTCCTTGATTTCAACGAATTCTTTGGACAATAATCTTGAAAAATAGTAAAAAATCCGAAATTATGAAAAAAAAAAATTCCATCATCTCTAGAACATCCCTCCTTAGGAGGGTTGTTTTGCATCAGATCGTCAGTTTGCAAGTAACGAGAAGCCATGTCGCAGCCGCCAAATGTCTGGGGAACCACGCCGGAGATCATCGACGATCTCGCCGCCTTCATCCAACTCCGTCGACGAGCTAACGATGCTCATGCGATGAAACAGGCCGAGCAGATGAAGAAACTTGACGGTAAAATTTTTGAAAAATGATCGAAAACCTCCCGAAAACGATTTTTTCAGAGGAAATCATTGCGATGAGACAGCATGTTCGAGCTGATCGACGCGAGGTCGCCAAGAGCATTTTCAACGATGAACAAGTCATCACTCATGCGCTGGCTGACGAGAAGCAGCTTCAGCTCGCATGCAAAGGCCTTGACGTCCGCACCGCCGCGATCAAGCTCAACGAAGATGTCTTCGTCAGACACAAGTGGCTCAACTACCTCAGACACCAGCGGGTAAGTTATCTTTTTTATCCCCTTTTCTCATTTACATGGTCTTCAGATGGCTCGAGAGCGCCGATTAGAGGCTGCTAAGACCCAACATCATGTGACATCACTTCACGAACATTCCACTTTCCAACGCGCCGACGACAAAAGTCTCCGTCTCCTGATGACGAAGCTTGACAAGATGATCATGAAGCGCAACACCGCTTCATTCATCCAGGGCACTTACAGAGAAGCCCTGGATAAACTGAATAAGGACTCTTTGACCTTGTCCAAGGATTTGGACTACATCGAGCGAGCAGTCACGCTCAGCAAGTTTGAAGCTCTCGATCTTCGGGAGATCTACCAAGCTGCTAAACAGGTACTGAAATGCGCGAAAGAAAATCAACTAAAAATCTATTCTAGGGACAAGAAATCGCCCGGGCAAAACGACTTGAGCTCGAGCAAAATGTCTTCCTGGCCAAGCAGCAGCGCGACAAGTTGATCTCTGAGACTCGCCAACAAGCGAAACAGGCCGCCGAGATGCCCGAGTTTGCCGCAGTGCGAACTCCTGTTGATTTGGGTCAGACTGGAAAAGAAAGAACGACCAAGACTTTCGCAGACAAGCCATCTCATCAGTTGGACAAGCTCAGCCCTGTCATCAAGGTAATCGAACGAATGTTCTTTCCTTACTTATCTTTTTCAGATCATCACTACTGTAACAAATACTGCGCTCGCTGACGAGATCCCCAAGGCTTTCAATCGCCAGGTGAAGAATCGAGAGTCGCTTGAAACTCAGTCCACTGAAGTCACTGAGAAGCTCAACGAAGAGAAGCGACTCTTTAAGGCTGCCCAGGCTGACTTGGAATTCGCCCAGTTTAATCAGAAGGAGACGGCGCGAATTCTTCAGGCTGAGATTGAAGCTGCGGAAGAAGAAATTAATAATGACTCGCAGCGACTTCAGACACGACGATCTAGTGATACTAGACAGGTAAAGGACCAACCTTTTATTTTACTAAATGATTTAATCATTTCAAGGTCGAGTACGTAGTGAGCATCAACGACGCTCTGGACGGCATGCTCGCAAAGATCACAGGCGCTGGCCTCGCCGAAGTCGAGGACGCAACCAAGCTCACCATGACTGAAAGGCTCGACATCATCAAAAAGGCAGCAGAGGCGCTCAAACAAATAGAGCGCGAAGAGGAAGCTGAAATCGAAGCAGAGCTCCGCATGGACGCTCTTTTCAAGAAAGGTAATCACAGGACTCTCATCTTCCAAACTAATTAAACTTTAAGTCGGTGATTCGGGAGCACAGCGAATCAAAATTATCGAAGACGACGGAGTCAACTTCTCTGACAACTTCATTATTGACGACAACATCAACGAGCAGTACATCACTCGCGATGAGATCAAAAAACCTCTCAACAATGGAAAGAGCAAAGTCGTAAAGAAAAAGTAAAGTAAACTGAATCGATTCTAGCACCTGTTTCCTCCTTATTCTATTAATAAAACAACCATCTTGTCAAGAAGACAAAGACGATTCTTTCTGCTAATCTTTGGGTGAGCAAAAAGAAAGAGTTTTTTTTGTGAGTTTTATTTGAACGAGTGAAACAGCAATGTGGAACAAGAAGAAATTTTTTTTATAAATATTTTGTCTTTTTCCTTGAATTTTTTTTGTAAAAAGAACTATCACCATTTTTTGATTGAGCGAAATTTCTTATGAATTAAAGCGAGGTTCCGTGAATTCGGAACAGGAATCAGAATAGTGTGAAATATATAGAATGTGAGTTAGTAACTGTTTTGTGTTAGTAAATGACACCAGAACGGCGCTAGAATAGAAAATTTTTTTCTGAATCTATTCGTGAGAAAGAGCGATTGAGTATTTCGTGAAAAGCTAAGTTGGAATAACTACATTTGCACGGCAAGTCGGGCATGAGGCATTTTGCCGCAGCCAAGGGTCAATACAGTCAGCGTGAAAGTAATGCTTGCAGGGAAGAGTTCGTACTACGTAAGACATGACAAAGTCGTCCATGCAAATCGTGCACTCGTCGTCCTGCTTTGTGTACTCGTGCCGTTTTAGGGTTTTGATTTGGTCATCTGTTAGGCCGCGATTTCGCGATGATCGACCTTCTTCGCGATGCCCTCGATTTCGTCGATCTTGCGTTTCTTGTCTGAAAAAGGAACCGCTGAAATCAAGGAAGAGAACCAGATTTTCGAACTCACCGCATTCTCCTCTCTCTTCTTCTTTCTCTCTCTTCTCGATTGGCTCTATCAATCGTACGGGATATCTCATTCAATCGATTGTCTAAATATCACATCATCATCAAATCAAGAAAAAAGGCTGTTTTACATAAAGATCTCGCTGACCGAGTTTGTCCATCGCGTCGGTCTGCAGCCCTTTGCTCTTGCCGATTTTGGTTTCGGGACGATGAAGAAGACGACGATGTAGTGCGGGTTCTAGAGTTGTGACTGTTTCCATAAGGAAAGTTGTTGAAACTGAGAGGGCATTTTGTTCGATATAACCGATTATGCGGAACTTACTCAAACATAGATTCGATTCTAGCGTTTATGTTCTGCTCCATGCCACTGAAGATCTGGTCTAGTGATGACTCGATCTGGCCGAAGTTCATCTGACGAGAATTGCCACTTGAGCTTGAAGAGGAAGTTCTTCTTCGTGACGATGAAGAGTGATGACCATGGGTTTGATGATGACGAGAACTGGATGGGTCTTGACGTGGATGATTTTGAGGATAATTGCGTGAACGTGAAGTCGAAGTCTGGCTGTGCAAATGTGGCACTCCGTTGATCCTCACTGAGCTTTGATAAGTGTTGTTGATGTCGTTCATGAATCGGTTAAACGCGTCCCCGAACATCTCCCACTGTTAAGCTGACTTTCTTTCTAAAAAAACTTTCTTTGGATCAACTTTTATAAAAAAAACTTTGATATATATTAAGATAGACTTTGAACCGACAGCTTCTGGGTTTTGTTATTGCTTTGAATAGAAAATTGCACGGACGAACTGAACGAATAACCAGTAGTAAAAGAATTGAGAGAGGAAAACATAAAATTGAGTAAATATTCAATTTTTACACCGACGAAAAAGAAAATTATTTGGAACTTTGATACTTAGAAGGAAAACAAAATGTGCTTGAACATAGGTAAAATTATCATAATTAATGTTGGATTAAATAAGAAGACGACTTTGAACTTTGTTTTTTTTTTCTTTAGGCAACAGCGCATATTTTTTAAAAATATATATTCGGATAGAGTAAGGGCAGTTGACATAATATTATAAATAATCTTTTTGTGAGTAAAAATGCCGTGTTTTGGGTTTTTTGTGAACAGAAATGAATGAATATATGTGGAGAAAAACAAAAGGATAGACTGATAGTGATTCTTACAGCAATCAAGCAGGAGCTCTTGCTTTTTTGAGGTAGGGAGAAGTAGGTAAACTTTTATATCACTTCCACGTAATTGGCTGGATAGAGTCCCTTGCTACCGTCTGTCAATCTTCCCTGGCACCAACCTGAAAGCAACTCGGTCAGAAAAAAAGGATTGAAAAGGGATGTTTAGTACCTTGTTCATCTTCATCTGTGAGTTTCCAGAGCGTATCACCGGCCTGGAATGATATTTCGTCCGACTCGTGCGCCGTATAATCGTACAGTGCTCTATCGAAAAGGTCAGGGACGAAAAGGCTCAAGAATTTACCTGACAGGGACCCCCACATCGTCTTCGTCGTCATCTGACCATTCTGGCATTGTGGCACTGCTTTGGATTTGATCCTTTGCTTCGGAAGAGGTCACGGCCTGAAAGTTAGCGAACGTTATTATTGATTATGAAGCCTTGAAAATGCTGTAAAGATGAAATGAGGAAATGAAGAGGAAACCCAAGAGAGGGAAATAGGAGGAGAAAAGAGGTAGATTCTCGATCGATATTACGACTTTTGTTCAAAGAACGTCGCACCATTCAGGCGTATTTCCGCTTTTTCGAACGTTCCGCAAGAAAAGTTTATCGTTCCGAGCCTCTTTGGAGCAGGAGAATGTGAGATATGACTTGCAAATGAGAAAAGCATGGACCTTGTTCAAACGGAAAACTTCATCCTTGTTGGGTTTGTCGGAATCAGCCGAGCGTCGCGCTGTTTTGTCCTTCTTGTCTTTCTTCTTTCGCGAGCCGTACTCTTCAAAGGACGGCCAGCTCATTGCCATTCCAGGCCCGTGCCAGTCGTGCCAGTACCTTGATCAATATTTTAATTGGAATTGGATAAAAAGTAGACTTATTTCCTCAATTTATTGAGGTTAAGAAGGAACGATTCGACAGCCCGTAGTTTAGGATCTCAATCATAAATATCAAATTTTCCGTCAATCAGAGGCCACTACTCTTGGCTTCCCATCATCATGGACCTCTTCACCCGACTCATCCCTGAGAATGCCCAAAAAGATGACGAAAAAGCATGAACGATCGACTTAAACTCACCTCAAGTCAGATTCTGGATCAGCCGCTTCAATATCTTCCTTCATTGTCTGATAAATCGCCTTTATTTTCGCCGAATTCGACAGGTCGACATGTTTGTGGAAGTTTTTCCAAACCTGCTGCACAAACTCTTGCCGCACCCTCTCTATTGACTAGGAAAAGATAAAGAAAGGATAACTTCCAAGGCTACCTGTGATTTTTCGAAGACTTGTTTCATTTCTTCCTCGTAAATATTGTTGTAAGAGTCGATATCTTCGATTGTTTTTTCGTATTTTCCTTTGAGCATTTCTTTGTCGATGCCTCGTTTCTCGATGGTGTCTTGGATCTTTTTGATTTTATCAGGGGCGTCTTGTTGTTTTGCCGCGTTTTCTTGTGCTTGCGCGAGTCTTTCTTCTTTGCACATCCTGAAGAAAACGGATTAAATGGACCTCTCGTCGAAAAACCGGCTCGGCAACGTGTGTTGAAACCTGACTCAGGGTGTGAAAGAGCTTTGGTAAATGCTTTCAGACCCTGACTCAGGTTTTTCACAGGTTGTCAAGCCAGATACTAGATTTTTCGCTAGTGTTTTTGTTGATGAAGACTGACTTACTTGTAATACTCTTTTTTGGCATCTTTGACCTTTTTGTATAGCTTTGACCATGGCTTCTGCGCCTTCTCAAATTCTTTATCAAGGTCCTTTGACTCCTTGTAGCCGCCGAGCACTTGCTTGTGGTAATTATCTTTCTTGAATGCTTTGATATTTTCGATCTCGGCGTGGCAGGCGTCTTTGATCGCCATGTGAACGCTTCCAACTTGTTCTGCTTCGTTTAGCATCGATTTCCATCTTAAAAAAGCGATTAAACATTTGTTCGAATTATCAACAAAATCAACATGGCGATTATATAGAAAACTTACGATAACAAGGCTGTATTGTACTCTGGCGACTTTTCTAGGCTCTTCGCCCAGCGAAGTTGCCACTCGCGCAGCTTTCGACAGTACATTTCTTCAATATCTGCTCTTTCGTGAATAAACTAAAATACTCGTTACTTTCATAGATTAACCCGTTTAGCCGCATATTATATATGATAAAATGACCCCCGTATGGTTTCTTTTTCTGTCGAAAAACCCCGGTTTGCCGGCCAAATAGGTCGAAAATATTCATTTTTCAACCCCGAATAACCCTCTTCTTCGATTCTTTGGTAGAAAAACAAACACTAGAATTTTCTGAAGTTGAAAAACAAGAACCTGAACAGTAAATTGTATTGAGGAGTGCACTTGAAGGAAGAAACACTCCGTCACTCAGAATTATGGTCAAAAATTAACCACAGTTCCTCTAGGACTTTAGCTTGAACTTGAATGCTTCAAGTTGTTGGAAATTTTAGAGAAACAATCGTCAAAAAAGGCCTCGATTCTCCACTTTCAACTTTAGTAAACCATGACTATCTGAGAGCTCAATTATGTTAATCCAGTCTTTCATTCAGTAGGTAACTAACGAACTAGCAAACTAAACCACTAGAAGATAACGAAAACAAGAATAATGCGGTAGTAATTACTCGATAAAACTAGAAAGCGAAAAATGGCCAACCTTCATCATTTGATCGCAAATTTTGTCGCCATCGTCGATTCTCTTGACGGTCCTCTTGTACATGCCGATTTCCCAAAACGAGTCCGGCGGAGCATCGTTCAACGAGTCTCTCGAGTTCGAGACGTTTTCGTCGCTCATCTTGCTTCTCTACAATTCACCGTTCAGTCTTTTTTTAACGAAGAGGGAAAGAACAAGGTTACTAGGTAAGGTGGTAAAAGGAGGGAAGAGAGAGTGCGTGTGATCGATAAATGCTGATTAGCTTTAGTCTGACCCTTTTTTGATAACACACACGAGACGGGTCAATTTTGAAATCAATAGTATTCGAAGCTCAAGCCAAATTTTATGGACTGCTAAACAGACAGACCAAAGTTGATATGAAAAAGTTTTATGGTCGGAAATAATGAATCTTGAATCATTCAGGCTTCACGAATCGTGATTCAGAAATATGACTTATTCTATACGATTACGAGCATAAAATTCGAACAAAGTTTGCTCGGGATTGCGCACTTTCGACTAGAAAAAGCTGGTCAAAAGGGCCGAAATTCTAGTGTTTCTTATGATAAATCGCAAAGAAGATGTCTTATTCACCAGTTATCAAGCTAAAACTAGAATTCGGGCTCTTTTGACCTCCTTTTTCGAACCGAAAGTGCTCATTTACGGCTCGAAACTGCATCTTTTTCGAGAAGAAAACTTGTAAAAAGGATGTCAGGCAGGATTGAGAATAATAACAAGCAGATAAATGAGTAAAATAAATGAAAATATGTGATAAATGAAGATAAGTGTTTCAAAAGAAAATCACCAAAGAATGAAGCTCCCAAGCATCTTTAGTATTCTGAATAACTCCAGTTGTGCATTGCTTGACAAACTGGCCAAAACTCGCGCCCCCTTTTTTGACATTTTGGCCAATTCTCGACATCCGGCCAGGCTCGGCCATCGGAGGAGAATCTCCTTCGAACTGAACCCTTTTTTCTCTTCCGATCTTTTTTAGCTTCTGGGCCGCGCGGAAGGGATTTCTCGCGCAGGCGCTCTCTGATTGGCCCAATCGAAATGGAGTGTAGAGGAATTTCCCTTTTTTCAAGAGAAACAACTGAAGAATGAAAAACGCGGAAAATTGATTTTCGAAGATGGAGATTCTAGAAACAAAGAAAACGAAAAAATGAAGAAAATCATTATTATTGATTCATAATTATGAAATGTCACGAATTCCAAGCACGAATTGTAAATCCTGTTAATTGTAAATGACTGTTAATTCTTACTATTTTTATTATGAAATGAAAAACTGTATAAAAACAAAGTTTACCATAACATTGACCTTTACTGTCTTTTACTGAAAACAGCTGATTTATGATTATTACGAAAAATTCTATTTTTAAAGAATGAAACAAAAGTTTTCTTTCTTCGTTCAATATCAAGATTAGAAATATAAATTTATAAAAATGAATTATAAAATGGATCCGAATTATGTATTGTATGTTTCATCCACACATCGTAGCACTCTAAAACTGCAAAATTGTCTTACTATTATTATTGTTATTAAATTGATTTGATTGTTTCTTCAATAAAAAATCAAATATGCAGACTTATTAATAGCTATTTACATGGTTGATATTCTCTTTTCTGCTTGAAGCATTAGCATAAGTATTGCCCGGATTCTCCAGTTCAGAGGTGCCATATTAGAATGGAAGGAGCAGGAGACGACATCCCCGACGGATGGACAAAGAAAGTTTCTCGATCGAGCGGGCAGGCTTATTACGTAAACCGATTTACGAACGAAAGCCAGTGGGAAAGGCCGACCAAGCCTGCCAAGAAGCCGTCTAGTGAGAAAGTACAGGTAAAAACGTCAAAAAACTCAATTTTTTAAAATGAGAAAATGAAAGAGGGTTAAAATTGTGCAATTCCATCACGACTGTAAACAATCCTGTTTCAAAATATTATCTTATGTTTACAAGAAAAATTAAGAAACATAAAATTCATAAATTCAGGCGAGTCATTTACTTGTAAAACATCGCGATTCGAGACGGCCAGCCTCATGGAGAAACGAAAACATCACTATTTCGAAGGAAGAGGCTTTGGGTAAGAACTAGCGTCCTTTTTCTGGGTCTATACGCGGTCAAAAAGGAGCTGGGCGAGTAAGGGATCAGAAAAAAACTGAGCGTGGTTCTCGTATTTCATTTTGTACCGTGTTTTTGAGCGGTTCGAGGCTTATAAAAAGATTTGGGAGTAAATTGGGAATACCAGGAATCAGTACTCTTCTAGTAGAAGACTTCTACTAAAGGGTAGTAGGGATTTCCTTTTCGGCAGAAATGCCGAAAACTTCGATGGTTTTTTCTGATTTCCTTTTCGGCAGCTTTCCGAAAAGTATTTCCAATTTCAAGCCTTTTTTCAGGAATACTTTTCGGCAGAGTGCCGAAAAGGAAAACACAATTTAAAGAAAGCTTTTCGGCTAAATGCCGAAATGAAAATCATAATTTAATGAATTCTTTTCGGCAAAGTGCCGAAATGGAAATCATTATTTGGGGAAAACTTTTCGGCAAGCTTTTTCATTCAAGTTTACATGAAAAGCTCTACTTTTAGGTAGAAAATTATCAAATCTAATCATCCCCTACCTGGGGGCTCCGCCCCCTAGGTCCTAAAATGCCGGGGTCTAGTCTAGGGTTACTTAGGGTTACCTGCGGTAACCCTAACTAACCCTAGCCTATCCCCCTCGGGTAAGGTTGTTCTGTCATTTTGCCCAGTGCTCCTAACCCTAACCTTTATTTTAGAATTAAGCATTAAATTTAGCATTATGCTTATTTATTCTTTCCTGCAAAATTTAAAAGTTTCCTTAAAAAATTAATGCATCACTCTTAATTTCTAGAAGCATATACTGTCTTCTTCTTTCTAGACTTTTGAATTCTTTCTTTAAAATGTGCCGAAAAGCTTTTCCGAAAAACGAATGAAATCAAGTAAATGCTTTCGGCAGATCTGCCGAAAAGCTTTCCCTCTAACAGGAAACAATTCTGATTTCTATTTCGGCGAAGTGCCGAAAAGCTTTTCTAATAAATAGGTTAAACATGGTAATACTTTTCGGCAGTGTGCCGAAAAGTAAATCAGAATTATGCCTTCAAAATGATTTTCTTTTCGGCTGCATTTGCCGAAAAGGAAATCCTTACTACGTACTAAAGTTAAGAGTGTGACGCCCTTATTTGTTTTTGCGTAAAACTATCTGATTCTCTGAAGAAATTATATTTTGTGATCAATGTGTCTTCTTTTTCTATTGAATTTACAAAACAGAAACTGCTGTTATCTACATGACAAGAATCGTTAGAAGAAGATATGTTGTAGTTAAAACAATTATCAAGTAATTTTCTTCTTCTCCCAAGGTACAAAATAATTCAACATAATTGTAATATTATTATCATGTATATTATTCAAACAGCAGTCGCTTTTTGACTTCAAATGGACTGCCCCTTTGAGTTTTTCGCGATTGTTTTGCCATTTTAGAGGGTCTATTCTGTTTCACTTTTTTCTACAGAGAGCATTCTAAAGCCCCCGGAAAGGGGCTCCCTGTTGTTGTTAGAAAAGAGCAGCGTTTCCTCTTGCCAAGAAATAAAATTGCCAAGTTGTTTAGTTGTAGGTCAAGGATCTAAAAACAAATTTTCAGTAGTGGGCAAAAACCTGACAGAAGATAATTTTCTTACTGTGTGTTGCTTTAGTTCTTTTGCGCTACAAGTTGTAGCGTAAAGCTTCTTTTCCAAGCTAAAAGTAAACACAAAAACTTAAACTTTAAGTTTCAAATCCACAAGACGAAGTTGCAGACTAACAATAAACCAAGTTTGGGTTTAGGTCCTTTCGGTCATCAGCCTAGTTGTTTTTAGTCTGTTATTTTTCTGCTTATGGTCGTAGAAGTTGTCTTCGGGGATCGGCAATCTGTGTGGAAGCCTTCAGTTAACCACTACTGTATTAAAAGCTTGAAGAAAACCGACCCTACTTGCTGATGAGCTTGATAATGCTCACCGCAAACTTTGGTCATGTTGGCAGTGAATTTCGCACTTTTTCTGTCTTAATTTTTCTTCGCTGCGGCAAAGATTCTTGCGTGTCCAAATTAGATTCTGATTAGCCGCAAAAAAGACGAGCTGGTCGTTTTCACACTTGCTCAGCCAGGATCTGACCTGGGCTTGAATTAATCGAATCGACACCTGCAAGTTCTTCAATTTTTCAACTTTTTTACTTTTTGGAAAGATCAACTTGATGAACTCTAGTGAAAAAATTATAGCTTGAGTTCAAAGGCTAAAAAATGGCCTCCTTTTACTCTTGAAGATTACTCGGGACGAGAATGTTAAACATAGGGTCTGTTGACTTGTCTGAAAAAAAAGTGAAGCGAGCTATAATTTTCTGAACCGAAGTAGGTCGTTTTGCAATCAATCATCCTAGGAAGCACTATTTTCCTGCCTACTTCGTTAAAAGTCTTTGCTAAAGTTTACTATCTGACCTTTTCAGCAACATCAAGATCTCAGCAAGTTAGTAATTTCCTTTATTTTTGTAAAAGAATAACTTTTAAGAGGCAATTTGTAATTTTTGTAATATCCTATTGTTAACATGCACGGCCAAATTCCGCGGCGTAAGTTGATAGTGACGGAGCGTGCTCAGTGAGTGATCAAACACTACTGGTGTTGCTAGTACTTGCACCATTCAAGCGCCGCCAATCACCGGGCGCCGCGGAGCATTCTTGAGTACAATTGTGAAAACATCATGCTACGGCGGCCAGACTAATTTAGATTAGGAACTGGCTCTTCGACTAGCTGACAGATAGACGAAATCTACACCCGATAGCTATTATAGCGATATAGCTACTTTTAAGTAGTATCTTAATTTGAAAGTACTGAATCTTCGGAAATGATTTTTGACGTCAGGGAAAGTACGTGGAAACACTGACGATCAGAAATTCCACTCTGGATGCAAGTAAAGCGCCTTAGGGAACTTGAACAAGTCGCACTTGAACTTGCCACTTTTCCTGCTTGAGGCAGGTTACGCTGGTTATTTCATAAACCTGATAACCCTTACCCCTTCTGGAATTTGCGATATTTGTTTTACAATTGCGGTTTTTTGATGATATCCGATGGTCATGTACTTCTTCTGCGATCAATGAAGATTCTAACTTTACTCGACTTTGCAGTATTTACGGCGGCATTTTAATATGTACTCGGTTGTTTAGGGATAAAGAAAGAATCTTGAAATTGAGTTTGGCGGTTAGCAATACCGCATATTAATAGTCACGTCGTTGGAAAGACGGGTCTTTTTGGGTCAGTTTCAAGAGTATTTCGAAATATCATCAGCAACGGCGGAGCGGAAGAGCTACTTCAATGACAGTAATTTCGGACGTGAGGGGATAAACAATTTTAATTTGAACCTGAACCACGGTTATGTTCAGGTTTTACCCTCTCCATTCCTCGCTGAATACCGTCTGTGGTTTCGCGATTATTGCTATTCGGAGGGAGAAATTCTTCCGGCTCTCCTGGTCCTGGCCTCGTGTTTTGGGTTCGACTCGGGGTACTTTTTCTCAAGTGGTTTTATTAGTAGAACTATTGACTTGTGGAGAAGCGTTCAGACATTGACCAGGAAAGGCTGAAGCTGAATATAGAGAAGTTCAAGTGAGTTGTTCTTGGAGAAAAGGGATTAAGCACGACCCTCTGTCGGGGACGAGAACCGCCATGAACTGGGAGAGGGTCACTCGAGGGAAATCACGAATTGAGATAGAGAAGTCCGCTCTTGCGAACGAATCCGCTCTTGACGAATATCACTTGTCACAAACATGTCACGCAACATTTTTGCCAAACAACGATCCGGGATGCTCGATCGGGGATAGTTATTATTTGCTTTTATCAGCAGCAAGCTGAGGAAAGCGACTGATAAGTTGCGAATCGAGCATTTTCTGGCATGTTTTCTTTTTTGAGCCAGTCGTCAGCTGGACCGGGCGGGAGACGAGAATGGAATGCAACGAAAAGGTCGTTAGTCATGCATTATAATTTATGTTACTTTTAGCTGGAATTCAGAACTTAGTTCTTTCAATAAAATCCTTGGATTTTAGGGCTAGGGGATGATTTTGACGGGTTTTTCTTGAGAGGATAAGGTTATATTTGGATTTCAGCCAGTAAGAATGAAGTATTTTTTGTTTTGACAAATCACAGATCAGTATGTTCCTGAGTTAGCCGACAGAACCCATGTTATCTATTCTAGTGATTGAAATAACTCTTTTTTTCAGAACAATTGCAAAAATATATTGTCCAAATCGAAAAAGGAGAACGATCATTTGCTGTAAGTCGAGTTCAAGTCTGAAACGATGATTAATGTTTTGATTAAGGATTTAGCTAGTGAAGTATCCGACTGCTCCTCGGCGAAACGTGGCGGCGATTTGGGTCCCTTTGGCCGTGGGCAAATGCAACGTCCATTCGAAGAGGTACAGTATCGCTACGGTAGTATAGTACCCTTCTGAGCAAATCAGATTTGATCAGAAGTTGCTAGAATCTTTTGCTATTTTTAGGCGACGTTCGCACTGAAAGTCGGAGAAATGAGCGGCATCGTCGACACCGACTCCGGCGTCCACATCATTTTGCGCACTGCCTAGATCTGTCTTCGTTCAAGAAGACCAAAAGTAGAAGAAAAAGAAAATACTGTCGTCACTTGTCACATGTCAATTCAATCAAAAAACGCTTACTGGAAACATGTGAATATATTTGATTCAAAGTTCACTGATTCAAAATAATACCCTATTCATTGAACAAATTCAGATGAACCTTCTGATCGAGGGACGGAAAAAGTTCCATTTTGAAAAAAATTCTAGCGCTAAGGACAGCATGAATCAGCCCTGTTTATTTCTGACGTCAGAAAGGAAGCTCTAGGCTGTTTTTGACAAATGTCTACTTTGAAATTCGGACCGTTGGTTCATAATTTCAAAATATCACGTGATGTCATTGAGCTGAACGAGAATTTCTAAATTCTCTACATTGAACTTTCCTTCCTTTTGTCTTTCTACATTAAGATTATCGTTAAAAAAAACTAGGGCAAGAAGAAGGAGGCTACGGTTTATTTAACTAACTTTAAATCCTTTTTTCTACGTTCCGGAAGAACCTTTTTTCTTTTCAAAAAAGTCTGGAAAAGCAGAAATATCCCCTAATCTGTAGTTTAACTGGTCGGCAACGCAAAGTTGCGCCTCTCTGCGCTGCTTTCGCATTCCTCGCCACTAATCCTTTTCAAAGTTCGCCACCAACTTAGAAAGAGGAAGCTCGATGCCTTGACTTGACAAGCGGTATAATGGGATTATGTTCGGCGGCGAGGGCTGCTCGAGTTCACCGACGAAGGTTACTCACACAGCACCTTCGAGCTTGCCTTAAACTCCACCGCCACTCGATCACTACACCGCTATTATTTTTGTCCTCTTGGTGAATTTTTCGACCGTTGTCAAAAAAGTAGCCTGCATCATCGAATTCGGCAAAAATGCGCGCCATCGATTTCAAATTTGAAATTTGAAAAAGTCGAAGTTAACCGGTTAAAAATGCGCAACTTGCCAATTCTATCGTTGATTCCAGTTGAAACGAGAATCAGTTTGCTGCTTCGAGTGAATGAAATTAATATCGGATTTTTATATTTTTTAGCTCGAAGCCGCATGCGGCTTCTCGATTTTCTGTCATTTCTGGACACTTTTCGGCCTATGAAAAGCAATCGGGTTAATTCGACATTCAATTTCACCGGGTTAAAAATGGAGACTTGCTTCTCCGGCACATTACCCTTTCTGATGATTCCGAAAACGAGTAGGAAAGGACGCGTCTGAGAGCGCAACGAAACCCGACTCGATTTCATACAAAGCAGGTCCTTCATGGTCGCGAGTGACTCCGTAGTAATTCCAACGCATTATCGAAAATATCCGCTAACAACGAAAGGCTCAACCCCTTTCGTCGCTGGTTGACCTAAAAAACATGAGCTTTTGCACTTCCCAAGTCTATATTTTTCAGACAAATAAAGGTAAAGTTGCAAATATCCAGGGCACTTCCCTTATTTTCAAATTCCTTTTACTGCTTTCAGAATCTGGAAGTTTCAGACATTCAGGGATGCCCAGGGACCTCAGGGGACATTTTGGGACACCCTCGGACATTCATAGACATCCTGGGACATTCAGGTACATCCAGGGATGCCCAGGGATATCTTGCGACGCTTAGGACCTTTAGTGAACATTTTCATTTGTGAAAAATTTCTTTGGAATGTCTGAATAGTTTTTGATGATGAGTTTTTCGTACTCATCAATCAAGCAATTAGCCAAAACGGACGTAACCGCAGTGGCATTTCTGGCGTCACCGTCTCCGAGACTGGAAATTCTCTCCTCCCGGTTTTTCCTCGGATCGTTGGAATGCTGGCGCAAGTCATTCACTACTCCTTTACTGCACCAGCGGAGCAATTTTACTCCACCAAAAAGCGCGGGAACTCTGAGTTGCATCTCAGTCACGTCGCTGGGCGCCCATCGGCCAGGTAGATGTTCCCTTCAGAGCTCTTGGCGGCTGTTAGCGCTGCCAATTTACTACTGGTACAGCGCGCATACTCAAATCAAGCCTCTAGAAAACCGATACAGGCTTTTAATGAATGGTTCGGAGAGCGAAAAAAGAAGGATGATTTTCTCACAGTTTTTAAAAGACTGAATATTCTCGTAGGCTAGCAGACAGCAGTAATTGACCGTGTAATCAGTACTTATCATTTATTTTTCGCTGGTCGACAATTTTTTCTTCCGTTCCTTTTGTACCGATTTTTAATAATAAATGGTCGGTTATCACGACAGTAATTGCTACTTGCTACATCCAAGGCTGGTCCTGAAATTTATGAGTAGACACTGCGTCAATTCATACCTTCCTTTTTCTAGAGCATTCTTCATTTTTGTTGTGTGATTGGTTTTGGGTGGCGTGATTCGCAAAGTTTATCGTGATTGTTAGTTTACTCCAGCAAAAACAAAATGGCGGAAGGTTCGTCAAACCCCGTTTTGGAAAAGGTTGTTTGGATTTTAGGAAAACACTACAAGGGCAATTGTTGATTAAAGAGAGGCAGAAGGCCACCGCAAAGTCGACCACGTAGCTTCGACTGCCGCCATCGCAAGAAACGCGAACTAAAAAGTTCAGCCTTGGTGGTCAATACTGGGCAGTTTGCCCATCATTTTTTTGAAAATCTTTTAGACTTAAATTTCCTTAGAAACGTCCCAAAAAGTTCAAATCTAAGTATTTTCATTTTCACGATCGAAAGAAGTGGAGTCATTGAACGAGCTTCCTTATAAAGTGTTTTGCAGCACTTCGGATTCTTCTCTTGATCCTGGATTTCGGCCGATAAGACGTTCCCTACGATAGTGCTTTAAAATTGCCTGTCTGGCGGCCACTAGGGAAGGAGACTGGCGCTCCGAGTTCTTGATACATTTTAATAGGAAAATGCTGATTTTTTTTATTCATGTTGAATTTTACTCAGTCTCCATACTCGATTCTTTGTCAAAAAATCTATTTTTTAGCTACTCAAGTACTGAAATTATTCTCTGAGAGAATATTCCTTTCAATTACGATCCCAATCGTTGGAAATTTTCCTTAGTCGAAGAAATTCTCCATTTTCCGGACAAATCGGAGGAAGGCGATGATATAAAATCGCCGAAAGATCACGTACAAAGCAAGTGCTTGTGATTTTGAATATCGCATCTTGCTTGGCCGTGACAGAATTTTGATATACCCAGCGGAAAGCCCCTTTATCGCTTTAAAGCTTTAGTAACCAGCTAAGTACATTTTCTCCCGATCTCGTCGCGAGTTTTTCAATTTCTTTTGATATTACCAGTATAAATAACTGCGTTTCGGTAAAGTTAATTACTGTTACCGCCGCTGGAACTCGTAAATATTTTCGAGTTGTCACGAAAAGGAATTTTGTTGGGAAGGAGAGCTGGAAAGGGCGGCATCGCCCTTTTTAGCAATGCTCAGGGTGCAGGGTGAACTTTTCGCGAAATCGGATTTACGGACTGGCATGTCGCTTTTTCGACAGTCAATGCATTTTTGAAGCGGCGATTCTCCTTCTATTTACGATGGAATCGCTTGTTCTCAACAGTGCCACTTCATTTCTCATAAGCAAAAGTCTAGTAATAAAAGAGGATTGAAGTTCAATCATTGAACCAATTGAAAGTTGCAAATGCTAGATGCTTCCGAAGTAACTCGGGCCGAGTTAGGAATCCCATCACCATCCAAGTCTCCACCCTTTCGGCTTATCCAGCTAATCTCGGCCGAGTTCAAATTCTTTTTGCATCAGCAGGGTAACTTTCTCCGTGCTGAGGTACCGTTTATTTAACACCGCTGAGCTGTGTAACATATCTTCTATCTCGAGCTGCTATGAAAATAAAAAGGTATCGAGCTTTATTTGAACTCGTTCTTGAGTTACACTTGCCCGGTTTCAAGTTTGAAAATTATGCAAACCTCGGAAGAAGGAGATCCCCCTTGAGTTCAAACGGTAAACCATGGGAAGTGCTAGTTATGTTGGTATGTCCGGCTCGCCTCTCTTTTAAAGTTCTTGTGCGACAGTTCTTTCGGTAGTGATTATATTTTGATGTTGGACGTTGAAGGTTTGCGCCGTGTGTTTTCCGAAATAAGCTCCCTCTTTCTTTCTCTGTCTATTTTCAGTTGCGCTTGCTTCCTAAGCTAACGATGCTAACCTTTTAGCTTATCCCATAATATGCACACGTGAAATATGCTGACCAATAGTGCTTCTCGCGGAAAGTTCATATGATTCGCATAATAGAAAGTATCGCTTCAAACAAGCAGGGTTCTAAATCACGTGGTTTATAGTAAAACAAATCTTATCTTTCGGTACTGCTATTGAACAAGTTCTCGAACATCTATCCACAGATATTCGAGAATGACATTGATGTTTTTATGTTGTATCATCGTATAGTCACAATGATATAAAGACGAGCAACGATAGAACATTCGATTGATGAGCCCCTCGTTCCAATATTAACCTCTTGGAATGGACCTCGCTATCTTTAATTGTTGACAAGTCGGGTGATATCAGCGCAGTGCGATATCAGTGTTTTAGAGAGATTCTGCTTCTCGCGCAACCATTTCCCCGCCCGGTTACGAGGAACATCCGTCTCGATTCGACTGGCTTAATCTGGTTTTAGAAACCTCCCCCATTGAATCTTATTTATTGAAATAGTTGTTCGAAAACGACCGAATAACTCATCAAAGAATAACCCTCTTGATATCAAATTTGACTGTCTGGCGCCAGCAGTTGCAAAACTTCTTCTGAAACTTTCTTAAATTTGAGAGCTTCGCTACTGCTGTATAACTTCTAACCAGGGGAAGGGGAGAAGCTAAAAGACGTATCTGCTTACTTTGGTTTTTAATCTCCTAAGGCCTTGACTCTTATTGAGCGCATATTCTTTCTTTAAAAAGGGAACAGATTTGATCGTGGTGTTCGTTTGGGACAATGTCTAATGTCTCGATTTTTAGAATGTCGGATGAGTTCAAAATACATCACTTAGCCTCGCAAGTGTGTTCGAGCCTCAAGAGCGCGATCAAACCCGACAACATCGCCTCGAACTTCAACAAGAACAGGACGAGATATGTGACAGTGCAAGTGCCGGCACAAGAAGCAAGAAGGTTTATCATTTCGCAATCATCCTCGCCGCACGAATTCAATGATCTTTATGATGAACTCAAGGTAGACGTTCGAAGAATATTTCTTCATGCTCGGTTATAATCTATAAATTATTAGTTTTTACCATTCACTTCAATTTTGAACCGTCAAGGTTCATTCCCACGACCTTGCAGTTATTTTTTCTGTTTAGAGCAAGAATGTCCGCGTCCTCGACGGGCTGGTGTTTATACTGGAAAATGTATGCAAGGACGAAAAAGTAAAAAAGATGCTCCACGCCCATGCGTTGAACATTGGTGACGCCGGGAAGGTTCCGATCGGGAAAGTGAAGCCTGGAGTCAGGCAAACTGAAAAGCAGGAGATCGGGAACATGGACTTGGAGGCTATTCAGAAGACGATTTCAGGAAAAGTTGCTTAGATCTCCCTAGTCTATAAGAAAAGACTAGACCAACCTTGATTCTCTTTTATAAAGAATATCAAATTCATCAATCGTTTCAGAGTCCGCTAGAAAATCCCGCCGTTCAAAAGCGCCTAAATCTTCAAAAACAAACTTGCTTGAGCAAGGTGACTCGGCGGTATCGGCAGACACTCTTCTTGATGTCAAAGCTCAGAGGATGAAGGCTCACGCGAACGAACCGTCGACCTGTGACATAAGATATCCCGCGATCTGGAGATCACGTCACATTCCCGATTTGGAGCAGTACAAGAACAAACCGGTTGGGCAGATTGGTGCGCTTCCTACTGAATCACAGGTACTGTACAAAACTTGAAGCTGCCCTGTATTATCGGGGATTTTTATTCAAGACGAGCGCCAGTTTACTAAAGAAAAAAGTTGATATTCAGTCAGCCTAAAAAACCAATCCTCCTTGAAGAGCCTTTTCCTTAAAACAAATCCGCCTTTTTAATCTCCCGTGACATATCTGGCTTTAACTTGTTCGCCGAGAAACGAGGAAGGACTGAACTATTCTTCCTGCGAAAGCGATATTACAACGGCTTAAATTTTTGGCACCATTACTAAAGTTAAAAAAGCTATTCAAAACAATTACTTTTGAATGAATAAAGCAATTCTTTCAGGAATCCGAACTGGTCAGGGACCTCTTGTGCATCCTCTCTGGAGGCCGTGCTACCTACATTTGGATGAAGAAAGAAAGCACGGAAGAGCATCGAATCCTGCCGCCAGAATACGAGCTCGACCCGAGCATCAACATCTCCCTCCGCTCACTGACAGTCGAGCCCTTAAAAGTCGCTGCAGCTCTTCATGTTTTGCTCAACTTCAGCGAAAGATACGTCCTCCACAACTTCGGAATGGTAGCCCATGCGTTCGTCGCCGAGCTTTCAAATTACGTCCAAGAAATTAGGAACAACATAGTCAAGCTAGAATCAGTTCATGTGAGTTTGATGAAAGAATTCGCGCGTTAGATAATTAAACTCAGATTACCTCCGGACTCAACTTACACCAGCTCAATTGTCACCTGCGAAGCGTACTACGCCAAGTTCAAATTATCAGGTAACGCAAAGTCCCAACGCTCAATCTAAGCAACTCATAGCATTATAGGTATTTACGCAACGCAAAATTAATTTATCAAATTTAACTTGATTCCGATGGGGGAAAGCATCATTACCAACAAAATAGAAAAACAGAGTCAGGCTTAGGATTCTAGCAACACTTCTGTTATTTCGATACTAACAGTAGATGCTTCAGAGGTTATTGAGTTCTTCGCGGGGAGGAAAAATTTCATGCGAATTAATTATCCGAACTTTCGGAAAAAAGGGGCGTCCCCGTCTGTTGATTAGTGATTCAGGCATTCGGTTTTCTGGAGAGTCGTATTTCCCCCGTGCTGAATAATTTTCTCTCTCGCATCAACCGCAAAAAACTAGCTTCGAACTTTGAACCAGCTTCGGGCCGAAGAAGCGTCAGCTGCGGCTAGAATTTGCACCCTGCAGCTGCAATATTATCATCAGACGATATCTAACAGTGCCCCTATCTCTCTTTCTGTACCTGCCGCCTCAGGAATTTTCGATTTTCTTTCGAGATTCCTCCGAAAGAGCAGTAGAGAGCTAATAATAACCGGTTTTATCAATCTTGTCAAACAAAAACGAACTTGTCAAAGAAATACGTACTCGTTAATTTCTTTTCCGGGGTCTCGAGGATTTATGCAGCAGCGTCTAGACTCGGGTCTGAACTGATCATTCACCTGTCACCGCTGTGAAATTCACCGAATCGATTCTTCAACTTGTTGGAGTCCGTCCTGGGGGTCGCTTCGCACAAAAGTGCATTGTGGGAACTACCAATAGGGCGGCTACTGACATGTCTTTGGATGAAGCTTGTCTACATCGTAGTCTGGATCAGAGCTGGAAAAAAGTATACTTCCCCCCGCCCTTCAAAAATCTGCAGGGCGCCCTTCATTCTTGAAGGGCGGTGAAGTACGAAATGGCTCTGAAGTATACTTCACGCGCTGAAGTATACTTCAGCTATCGGTTCTTATCGAAAACTTTAGCTGCAACTTCATCTGCCACAATCAGCGTGGTTTAAATCATGGCGCCTGAGAGCCAATAAGCGCAAAATTTGAAAAAATTCTGGCGGATGGATTCTGATGGCCGACAGAACCAAATTGAAGTAGAGTGAAGGGCGGAAGGGCGGTTGAAGTAGAGGGAAGGGCGGAAGTACACTTCACGCCCTTCAACGCCCTGCAACGCCCTGAAGTATACTTCATGAAGTATACTTCATTCTGAAGGGCGAGTGAAGTATACTTTTTTACCAACTCTGGTCTGGATAATTGAGGCGGATCCGTAGGGCTAAACCTAAAGTCCAAACCACTCAGGCCCGTTTTTCATACTTTGCTTCAAAATCAAGAAAAAACGCATTTCGTTTTTGCGGTTGAAGGCACTTTCCCGTTGGGCTGTTAATAAATTCAATGCACAGCCGTAGCCCAGTATCCAGTTCAAAAAGATGGTGCGGTTACGGAGGTGAAATTACTTGAATTCCACCATAAGGACCAAGTGTAGAACGCGACTCTCCGGCTGTGGATACTTAGTAACGTTAGAAGGTTATGAAAGGGAGGTGAAAGCTGCATGCAGATATTCGACCTCAGCGTTTTTTTCTGGCCAAGGAAGTCCTTAATTCGCAATGCATATATTTGTATTTAAACCTTTATGTTCCTTTCTCGACCGTTTCCACCTGAGAAAAGAACTTTGGGACGCTGGATACTTGCGTTCGCGAACCATCATGTGCGCCCCTTTCCTGACATTTTCCTCGCACCTTCCTAAAGTTCGCCTCAAACCACAGCCGTTTTGAGCTCTCTACAGGCAACTAATCGTGCGGTAGCAAAGTCTAAACGTTGATATTTTTCTATAAAAAGTCAAATTATTGACTAAGAAACGAACAACTCTCGAGTTTATTTGCGTTTTTCTAGTTATTTTCTAGCGGCGAGATTATAGTTAAATTTCGGTCGAAATTAACCTTTTTCTTGCCATTTTGAGAATCTAGGATAAGGCCTCTATTTTCTATTTACGGAAATTCTCAAATTTAAATTCAGCAGAATTGCTGATCAGCTCTATTTTGAGAATGTTTTTGTCTACTTTTATATGCTCAAGCACGTGGTGAAATGCTGAAAAATAGACTTGGATTGACGCAAATTATCATAAATATAGGACAGGGGAATAGTTTTGCATAAAGTGAAAAGTAAGCATAAAACAAACAAGGCACGGAAAAAGGTTTAAAGCGGACTCGAGCGATGAGATTTAGAGTCTAAGATTTAGACTCTTTTTTTTTAGGATTAATTTTTAATTTTTTGCTCTGCCTTAAAAATCTGAGCTTTTTTGTTTGGAAAAATTCTTTCGAAAAGAATCGGAAAACTTTTAATTTCTAATTTTGCGCTGAAAGTTCATTGTTTTATTCAGCGATATCTGCCAGACGATTGCGCGTTCTAACTCTCGAGGTGCTCAAATTCTGACGATCTTGCATCAGAAGGCGGAGAACTCTGCCGGCGATCCGGAGCAGCGGATCATTTTCAATTTGACAGCCGCCGCGTGTGAACCCTACCTGGCGATGATTGCGCAGTGGATGCAGAAAGGCGAATTGCAAGGCACCGGTTTTAACCCTTTTTCCTCTTCCTTCCGCCATTTTCCGAATTGTCGAAATCGTTGTTCGGCAAAACACAGAAACAAGTTTTGGGATAAACTCGAATTGGTCGGAAAAAATATAAATTTTCAATTTTGACAAAAATTTCAACTTGGGGATAAATCATTATCTTGACCGTTTTCGTCATCGTCTAAACTCTAGAAAACACCTGGAAAAAACTTTTTTTCATAGCCTGGGGCGATTCTGAGGCCATTTTCATGAATTTTCTACGAACTGCCATATCTCACGTGACAGATGATGAAATCACGTGATTGATATATTTTTAGAAAGCTCAGCTTCTGAGGATTGGGGGAAAGAAAAGAAATTTGAAAAAAATCGATTCTAAATGACGAAAATTAATATTTTAATTTTTTGGCCAATCAGCAAAAACCGATTTTTCGGAAAAATTTTTGCTTTCCCCCAATCCTCAGAATCTGAGCTTTCCATTGATACTTGGATCATCTGGTTTCAAAGAGTATCACGTGAGTTATGGCTGTTCGAAGGCCGAAAATTTATATTTTTTCCGGCCATTCAACTTGAATTTGACGATTGAGGAAATTTCTAATTACGTTTATAGAAAATACATCAAATTACTAGCTCTTACAAGTCGTAAGGTTGAGTATAATAGGATATTCACTAGAACGTTCTAGTTGTAAGGACAAACTAGAATTTGCCATGTCGGGGAAAAATGTATGGTAGAATATGTTTGCGAGTATTTTTTTTCGAAAACCTGATTGGTCTAACGGCGGAATGCGGACATCTTATTGGTCTAGAATTTGACAAAGATTCTCCTTAATATGAACGCTATTTTTGTCGATTTGTACCGCCGCCCTGGTATTTTCGTTAAATTTTATCTATTTTGTAAATGATGTTTAGTCGGAACACTTCTCGTTCGTTAGTATATTGACGGTTCTTGGTCAATTACGACGACGGTAAAACGAAGTTGGAAAACATCATTTCGCAATTGTGCCTTTACGGTACTTTGACGGAACATGTTTTTTCAGACATTTGTTATTCCGACATCAGCAATATTTTTACATTCCATGGTAACCAGTTTACAACCTTGGCGGAGCATTATTTTGGTGCTCCCAAAAGGTGTTTTTCATGTCTATCTGTCAAATTTTGAACATGACAGCATCAAGAATGTCCTCTCCATCACGTGATTCATCCTCGCACATTCATCTACAGCTACCTAGCCTAGTCATTCTAGAGATAGCGTGGGATGAAGCGGGAAATGATTACAGCCCACCTTTCCTTTTTTTCTTTTTTTTTGGTGGAGTAGAAAAAAGCACTAGCGCTCCGTTCAGCATTTCGGTGCGTGGTGGTGCTTCGTGACTCCGTGATGGGATGGCCTTGGCGCCGCCGAGTAGATCTGATCGGGATGGTGGTGGAGCATGCCGCGGGCGATCAGGCATACCGTCGTGCTGACTCACCTGCTACTACTCCGAGCTCGTCTTGCTCAATGTTGCGAAATATTTTCTTTAGCAATAATAATAATAAGTGCTGCTTTATTTTAGATTTGTAGACCGGAAATACTGATGCTTATTTTAATAAAAAAGTAATATAATGGAAAATAGCCACGAAGTCGTTGAAATAGAAATGACAACTGTCGGAAGAAATCCTCATGAAATTCCAAAGTACTTTTTATGTATTACATGACATTTTAAATGACAATTGGTGGTTCAAATTTTATGATTGTTGGAAATTAGACGTTGATAAGCGTATACTTTTTATGATGAGTATAGCAGATTCCAATTAGATTTCTTATTCCAAGCGATTTGGTGTTGGTGTTCATTTTTGTACAAAAATAGACAGAAATTCACTTGTTGATAGCGTGATATCAAGAATCGTGTGGCGCAAGAGCATAGTAATAGACACTTGACGAGTTTTCACCGGTTGTTGATCATAACACGATTGAGCCGCAATTGAGCTTGTCGCCAAATAATTTCAGCTTTAGTAGTGAGGTGCCTTTTCCGGCGCAAACCGTCGTGCCCTCTGTTGATTTTTTGCATCATTTTAAGATGCAAAATTTGATTAGTAAAATAGGTGGTGGTCTAAACTTTGAAGTTCTTACGTGCGATAAGAACTTCGTGTGGCCTAAACTTTGATCGTTCCCATGTGAGATTCTTTGAGAAAGTGGCCTAAACTTTGAATTTCCCCGGAGGCGGTTCTGCCATCGGTGACTAGAGCACCGCCCGCTAAGGCCACTACGCTTTATGCAGACCAATAAGGTTTACGTTTTTCATTCAAGGTGATGACACACATAGAACTAGTCAGAGCGCCTCAGGGGAAATTCAAA